GGATGAATGAAGCAAGGCCAGGCCAGTGTCGGGACCGCCAGCCGGCAACGGGTGTCTGCGCCGCCCACCTACCTTTCAGCTGGGACCCGTTGCACGCATTCCGGTTCCGGCCAAGTCCTGGAAATGAAAGGCGACGGTTATGGAATGCTGCGACTGACCAGGAAGATCCGGCGCCGTTTGGGATGAATGCCAAGCAGGCGGCCGGTGTCAACCGGGCCGCGAAGAGACTGCAGTCACGGCAGCTTGCACGGCTGGGCCACATTGCACCGGGAACATATCTCAGCAATTGGCAATATAAAAGTCAAGGTTGAACGATTGCCCCGATGCGGGACTACGTGCAGTGTCATTAGTCGACGTCGTCTTGGGCAGTCCAAGTGTCAGCAGCAACAAGATGGTCGCCGCAGAGAAACGGACTTCCCGGCGCAACCACTCCCCACCCCTTTTACCGACCTGAACTATCGCTTTCGAAGACTGTGGGCGTAGTACTCGACGTCTAGAGATGTGAGCCAACGAAAAATTCAGAAGCAGATCATCCGAATCTTATGCCTGGCGGAGGTTGGGTTATATATCCTGCTGGTGGCTGTGCTAGCCGTGGCCACCATCACTGGCCGGGTGAGTCACTTGGTGAACTGAGCCCACCCACTAACACCTAGCCAGCCTTCCACAATAGTAGTAAGGGGCCCTTGGCCGCGTATCTAGCTTACAGACAGTAGCAATTTAGAGAAAGCATGGCCGGATGGTGTAGTGGCAGCATACATCGTTTGGGACGATGTGACCCGGGTTCAACTCCTGGTCCGGCCCTGCTCTATTTTTTTTGTTCTTTTTTGGATCCCCTTTTGTAGTTTTGTATTTCGAGAACTTGTTGGCCTCTGGACGACACTTGAGACGTGGAATCTGAAATGGCTTGACAAGAATAAGATATGCTCGAAACAGCCTGTACATTTATTGCCCTGGCCTTTCCGCTTGTATCTGCCTCAAGTGCCTACTTCGTGATCAATTATTTTGCAATTGGTGTGCTTTTCTTTACGTGTTTTATAAACGCTCTGCTGTCAGTCTCCCCTGACGGAAGACAGTCAATGATACTGCATGCATATTCTCTGACTCTGCGAACAACACGCCGGGTCTCGTCTCTGAGGTTCCGCACTCGTTGCGTCGGGCGAGACACTCAATAATTTCAACGAACCCTGACTCAGAAGCAGATAATGCTGGGAAGGTGTTCCGCTCCTAGTTCTTTGCAAGACCCGACACATTTCGCTTAGGTCTATGTCGAATTATTCCTCCCGCGGTAGTGCAAGTTCAAAGCACGAGATGATGAGGCAGAGATAGAACGGCACTCTACACCATATGATTCCATCGATTTTCAAATAATGTGAAACACAATTGACTTTATTGTTGGGGCTCAACTTTTGTCTAAACCTGGAGTAGTCTAGGATGCTCGATAAACTATCTGAGACACAGGGGTCCGGTGGTGACCCGCGAGACACTGACATTCCTCGTTCCGCGCGTCCCCGTTTGCCCCCTCGGGTATATATTACGATCGCTCTGGACCGATCTGGCCTTCTGTACCTATCTCCTCCACGTTGGTCTTGTGATAATGACGGTTCCCAGTAGGCAATGGTCAGTTTACCGCAGTCTCATCTCTGCAAGATCACATGGCAATGAGGTGTCAGCTCGTGGTTTTCTCTTGCGTTATTGACATCTGATGTGACAAAAGATCAAGAGACTTGGAGCCATAAGTTTGTACTGAAATTTCCAGCGGTAGAATGTGGGGGGTTTGGCGATAGCCGCTGTCTTCGGAATAAGTTCGTCTCATGCCCGGGGTGGTCGTTGTAGTACGGCTGGCAAGCCTTTTTCAGACAAATGACAACTGAGAGTCAAAATTTCGCTCCCTTCTTAGTCCTTTTGCTCCCAGAATCTACTATTCCGATTTGATATTCTGATCTAACGAGGCTGACTGTCGATTCGGGATTTCTACAATTTCATCTTCGTAATCTTGAAGCAAAACTAATTTTGACCTTGCATAGTCATTGAGTATTACCACCGGTGGACTATGTGAAAGCACCGATTATGACTTAAGAATTTACACGGAGTAAGGAGTAGAATGGCAACTACTTGGACTATTTAGAGACAAGATTGGGGATGAACTCGAGGTTAAAATGCATGACAATTTTTGATCCTTGACTACCAACTTCTATTGTTATTCGCTGTTCATATTACCTTGGTGTTTACGCATAAAAGTCTTGTTATTCTACTCAAAAATAATCATTTTATGCTGAGATACGAAGGCATGCTGGAGGTGTACAGTGTCATCATTTGCCTGCAACGAATGCAGACAAACTGCAGCTCGAGTGCCGCCTGCCTTTCAGGGTCCCATAAACCATTAGATTTATTTGATCGCAATGTACCCATTCCTAAAATATTAGGCAAGATATTTACGGAAGGCTCCATGAAGAGAAATGTATTCTAGCCCTATAAGGAAGGATACTTCAACCATAATTAGAAGCTCATAGTTGTTGAGTTTTAATAACGGTTTCAGGGCTTCTTCTCACAGTGACCTAACATTTCTGTCTTGAAAAATGTGAGGGAAAGAAATCGGCTGCGTGCTCAGATCTCCATCTAATGTTATCTGATTATTTCAAATGTTCCTATTTGTAAGTCTCTGTAGCGAAGCTGTTTCCTCGTCGCCAACACCTGGCGGAGACGATTCTCGGTCACAAGAACGCATAAAAATGAAGCAAGTGACAGGTGAAGACAGTTTTGCTTTAAAGATCCACGTCTTCCATAGCTCTATACACCCCTGTTTCAGTTTTGCTTTTTGTTTGCCAAACTCACCAACGGCTCCAGGGTCAGGATCAATTCACCTGTCCACACATGATCCTCGTTGCGCATCGTTGTCATTTGAAGAGCAAGGCAACGTAAATCCCAGTAACCGAGCGCAAGAAGAAGTGTCTTAATCCAAAAATAGCCCTCACAGACTTCCAACACCATCTTCAGCGACGCCCTCACTAGCGGAACTGACGAGCCACTGAAAGAAGACCACTCCGAGCACTGGAAGATCCAACCGCTTCGCAAGGAAAACCAGGCTACAAGTTCCCAGACCCAGCAGGCGGACAACCATTTCCTTAGCTTGGTAGACGGCAAGGCATCATTGATGCTTCGATGAGTAGACCCGGCATCGGCGCCGCGAAATTTGACCGGCGTACAGACTCAGATAAAATGCGAACGATCCTTCTCGACCCTGGTCTGGAGAATCTCGTCGACGACCACGAGCCTTCGCTCCACGATTTCTACATAGTAGCCGAGATGCCCCAAAGAGAATTCCAGGAGCATCAAATAGATGTCCAAAAGACCCTTAATAGAGTGGAACGGGAGCGACACGCAACTTAGAAAGGCAATATTGCAGGCGATGTTGAAGGCGAGCGCATTGACAGCGAGGAGTGTGAAGACAATCTTCTTGAACTTGAGACAGTAATCCATCTCTGTGAGTGCGAAGCTGTCAGATCAGCGTGTCCACACGACGGAGGGTGGCTCAAGTGTTGACCTACTGGATGTGCTCACCCAACTCGTACTCTGAGTTCAATTGGGAGAAGGGACACCAGCACCGCGGTACTGGACCAGTGTGATATCAGAACGATTATCTGCACGTCTGGCCGGGTCGTTCTGTTTTCGATCCCGGAAATTCTCGCTGAGAGCCTCACCAGTCCGACCACAATATCACGAAGAATCTCTGAGCCAAAGGAAAAGGGACAGAGCGATTGTGACCAGAATGAAGGAGGTAGCTGTGATTCAGAAAATAAGCAGAAATTTCTTGTCTTCAGGTGTCATTGCTGGGGTGACAGAGTTTAAGTTGTCAGAAGAGCACAGCTGCCTCGGTTTGAATCGATGCGGTGGTCTTACCAGGTTCAGAATCTCGTATGAATGCACTGGTTTGAGCCGTACTTTGGTGTCGGTATCGGCTGAACAATTATTTTCGAGTGGGATCGAGGGGCAAACTGTCGTAGGGGGTTATGTGTTTTGGGCGAGTGTGTGGTCTAGGACATGGTGCCCAAGGTAGCTTTTATAGTTATTCTTGTTGGGAGATATAGTGCGTAGACTGTGGCATAGATTTTGATGGTGTTTTGACTAAATAGGTAGCTTGGGTCTTGTGATGGCTTCGCCTCTGATGGGTTGATAGCTAGAAGAGTTTCAGTTTCTTAGTTCTTGTGGCGTGGTTCGGTACTTAAGTACGGCTTCAACATTAACGCTACGACTCTCAGTGCCAAATAGCGACTGCTGAATGACTTCAAGATTTTGAGAAGTTGTTTGAGAAAATTTACGCCCGAAGCACTGTTAGCAAAATTCAATTAGGCGATAAGTTCGACATATTCACGCGTACTATGTCTCGCCACTAGTTACCCAGTTAATTAGTTACCTAGGTAAGGGTCCGCTATGGCGCGAGGTCAAACCCATCCAAGTCTGATAGAATCTGTTTTAATGTACAGATAGATCCCTGATGGATGGCAGCCAGTACTGAAGACCGCTTCGAGCTCGCGAGATGCCAAGGTCACACTGAGAGGTAGTTCCGAGTAGTCTGTCCGACTCGGGGCGGAGCAGTCGAGGCCCTCATTGCTGTGTACCTAAGTAGGTAGTCGTAAAGGAGCTTCGGATTGGATTTTAGTCTGGACCTGGAAAGGCGTCTTATCACCCGGGGCTGTACCAAAGAACTTGTCGAGGCCGATGCTGAGAACCTAGGTACCTAGAAACCTGTACTTTTAGTAGTCCACTGGGTGCATCGCGTCAACCGACGGCACATCCAATCTTGGACATCTAATCTAATCCATCTTATCATCCATCTTATCGGGAGCTTACATAACACACTTGATCCAATCACATGCAGATCGCATCAAACTGCCCAACTTTTTTTTGACCGTCTTGAAGCAGACGGTCACCACCTGCCTCCAGCCCCGTAAGGCAGCAAATAATCGATCAATTGAGGTGATTACGCTACCTACACGTTCAATATGCCTCCACATAAGCGCAAGCACCGAAAGGAGAACCCGAACGCCATCGAGCCTTCACAGAAGCGAGTCAAGACCGGTACCCCCACAACGCATGCCGACGTCGAGCCCGCCCCCAAGCCCGTGAAGTTCGAGGGCGGAAAAAAGAAGGGCAAACCTGCTCCCGCCAAGCCTCTTACCAAGAAGCAGCTGCTTTCAGACAAGTCATTGTTTCCAGAGCAGCAGGACCGAAACATCGAAGCCCCTCTCTACGAATTGCTGGGCAGCGAGGACCCAAATGAACGCCTCCAGGCCGCCGATGTGATCATCTCCAAGCTCCTGGACAATGATGGCGTCTCGGAGTCATCCCTCGACAGACACCTCGAAAAGCGACTATTCAGAGGGCTCGCCAGCAGCAGGAAGGCCTCGAGGCTGGGCTTCAGTGTCGTACTCACCGAGATCCTGCAACAACTGTGGGGAGAGAAGAATCTCTGCGGCGAGAAGTACCGAGGGCTGACATTCGACTTCGTCCTGACTACACTTACAGAGAGGACAAAACCAGTTGGAAACATCGCTGGCCAGGAAGAGAAGGACCACTACTTTGGCCAGCTGTTCGGCATAGAATGCTTCGTACGGGCCAAGATACTCTTTGACGATGTCACGAGGTGGAACACGATTTTGGCGCTGCTAATCAAGCTGGCCAAGAAGAAAATATGGCTCAAGCCGCAATGCGCGTGGATCATCCTGCAAACGATACCTCAGATGGACCAGCAGATCGCAGAGGAGACCCTGCGCAAACTCGATGAGGCGGGCTGGGCAAAGACGCCGGACGCCGTGGCCATCACCGTTGTCTTGACGGAGAAATTTCCCAAGATCAAGCTGCCATCAAAGTCTTGGCGGGACTACTTGTCCTCGAAGTACCTCGGCGAGCTGCCAGCTATTTTGAAAGACAGCGGGAAGCAGGAAGGCAAGCAAGAAAGCAACGGCGACGAGCCTGCCCAGAAGCAAAAACAGGCGAGCTGGACGGCGCAACTGCATTTTGTCTGGGACATCATACTTGCGCATTATGCCAAGCTGGCGTCTACGGATTCCAAGGGTGCATCTGATCAGTTCAAGCAGTTCTGGAGCCGCGTTGTGGACCAGGGCTTCTTCTCCAAAACAGCCTCGGAACCCCAGAAGTTCACTGGTTTTATGATCTTCCAAAAGTTCCTGGAAGCTGGCATTGGGCACCCTCACATCACTCACAATGTGTTTTCTCAGAACCTGCTGACCTGCTTGATGAACCAAGCGGCGAAGCAAGACAGATACCTCCACCGGGCAGCCACCAAGGCCCTGAAGGCCATAGAGCAGGCAGCTGACACAGACCGTGACCTGGTTCCCGTTATGATACAGTTTCTCCTTGGCAAGCAAGGAGCCTACAACTTCGACCAGCGGTCAAATAGCAAGACTGTCGACAAATTACTGCATCTCACAAAACCACAACATGCGCAAGAGGTTATCAAGAATCTCAGGCAGCTGGTTCTCAAGTCGGAAGGTGACGGTGCAGAGAACCACATTCTGGTTTATGCTGATTACCTATTCCGGCTGGCCACTATCGTCCCAACAGAGGCTGATGCAAAGAGTGGTAACAAGGGCTCCGTGGGCGGACCGGCTCTGCAAGAGTTTGCAACGCTCGCGTATCCCAAGTCCGGAGAGATTGTCCCAGGATTGACAGAGAAGACAACGCCAATCCTGCGTCAGAAGCTCACCGCGGCACTCGCCAAGTTTGTGAAGAGGCCTGAAGACTTTGCTGAGTTCTGCAATGCCATCATGCTCATCGACTCCAGCAGCGTTGACATGGACGAAGAGCTGGAGGCGGAGCTGCTCGAGGCGCTGGAAAAGCTGCAACAGTTGACGAACCCAACGCAGGCCAAGGGCAACAAGAGCAACGCTTACCAAGGTCTGGCCCTCCTGTACGCCGTTGCGATCCTGCAGCTGTACAACGCCGAGCCTGATGCGGTCGATATTCTTAATGATCTGCGACAATGCCACGAGAGGCTGCTTAGCAAGCAGAAAGGCGAGGATGGCGATGTTTCCGCGATGCTAGTCGAGATTCTGCTCGCCATGGTTGCCCGCCCTTCGTCCCTTATGCGACAGACTGCAGATCGTGTCTTTGAGGCGTTCACGAATCTCATGACCGAAGAAGCCCTTACGCTCTTGACCGACACCCTGGCAGCCAAGGAGGACGCAGAGGGTCTACGAGCTTTGTTCGACACAGACGCGGATATGGAAGACGTAGAGGAAGGCGCTGGCTCCGGTGAGGAGGACGATGTCTCTGAGCTCGGTTCAGACGTTGAATTCGTCGACGCGGAGGAAACGCAGGAGGCCGACGGAGAGTCGGGCAACGAGGTCGAAAACGGCGACAATGCAGAGTCCGAAGAGGACGATGACGATGACGAGGAGGAAGATCTGAACGAGGATGAAGGCAAGCTCAAGGCACTGAACGACGACCTCGCGAAGCTGCTCAACAGCCATTCGCTCGATAAGGACAAGGACGCCGCGTCGTCTGATGATGAGTCGGACATGAGCGACTCGGAGATGATCGCCCTCGACGAGCAGATCGCGGCGGCATTCAAGTCGCGCGCCAAGGAAGGTAGCAAGAAGAAGGAGAACAAGAACGCCAAGGAGACCGTGGTCAACTTCAAGCACCGCACGCTAGATCTCCTGGGCATCTTCGCGAGGAAGGAGGCTGCCAACCCGCTGGTGTATAAGCTGCTGCTGCCGCTGCTGCAGATGATGCGCACCACCAAGACCAAGGACTTGTCGAGGAAGGCCGGCAACATCATCGCCGAGTTGTCCAAGGCGCAACGCAAGGCCAAGGCCAGCAGCAAGGACGAGGGCAAGAACGAGGGCCAGGGAGACAAGGACAGCGACAAGGCTGGCTCGGAGGAGTACCTGAATGCGCAGTTGCAGCTGCTCGAGGAGATCCACGAGGAGATGACGCAGGACGAATCGCACGCGTTCGCCAAGTCATCATCCAACGCGAGCCTCCTGGTCGTGGGGGACATCCTCAGCAGGAACGTGGGCTTGTTCCAGGAGATATGGGACAACTACGGCGGGCTTGCCATGAAGTGGGCTATGGACGGCGGGTTCCAGTTCTCGACCATCATTGCGGACTGGACGCAGTGGATCCAGGCACACCCTACGCTGGTGGCGAAGCGAATGGATGCTGCGGCGGAGAAGGCCGATGATGCGTCGGAGGCTGATGGTGACAGCGGGGGCAAGAGCGAGGATGAGGGAGACGATGAGTGATCGTCACATGTTTAGAGGATTCTTCAGGAGATACTACGTTCCAAAAAAACAAAAGTGAGGGCTTCCCGGCAATCAGCCGGGCTAGACATTATGCGCACATGAAACCATTGGACCTGGCGATGCGTAACACGTCAATAATCTATAGCCACTGGATCTCCAAAGCTGTAGTTCTTATGGTACAAGTTCCCCTGATCGTCAAGCTAGCTGGCGGACTCCCATTGCTGCAGAACGCCCTGCCCCACAGCCTGCTGCCATTGCCGTGTCGGTCAATCAATCACTCCCAAAAGGACGAAGTAATGCGTGACTTGGACCATTCTTAACGCTCTGACCAAGGTGTGTGTAGTCATGTGGGTGAATCAGTGCCAGCTCGGCTCGACGGCGTCGTCATCTAGTCCTCCTCCATCTTGTCGCCGTCCTTCTTCTCATCGTCCTTCTTGTCGTCCTCGTCATCGTCGTTGTCCTCCTTCGCTAACCGCTCGGCCTCCTCCCGCAGCGCCTTGGGGACCTCCTCGTGGCGGCCCTTGGTGGGGCCGTCGTGGTTGCTGATCCAGGTCATCTCCAGCTCGTACTCCTTGTCCTTGTTATCGTCATGGGCGAGGTGGATGATCCTGGCGGCGTGCTTGACGCCGTCATGCAGGGAGATGCCCTCGCCGTTCAGGTCCAGCTTCTCCAGCTCGGCCTTGGCCGCCTGCCGGCCCTTGCCCGTCGCGGCGCCGTAGTAGCCCCAGTACAGGCCCGAGGGCTCGATCATGTACAGGAAGGGCCCGCCGTACTTCTTGTCCTTGGCCTTGCCGCCCGCGCCGACCTTGGGGCCCGACCCGACCTCGCCGTCCACGGGGTGCTCCAGCTCGCTGTCGTAGCCGCCGATGATGGCGGTGATGCCGAAGGGGCGCACGGACTGGTACAGGGTGTAGGCTTGTAGGTAGCCGCCCATGCGGGACGCGAGGTCGGAGGTTGCGATGGGGGCCTTGAAGTTGTCTCGCCACGAGCGGGCCTCGTCGCGTGCGCGGTCGATGAAGTGTCTGCCATCGGGGACCATGCCAGAGTAGACCTGTTTTGAAGCGGGGGTGATGTCAGATGCGGACGGCGATGTGGCTTGGGAGAGGGGTGAGCATACAACACCAAGATGCCTGTCGACAGTTGCGATCCGCTTGTTTGCGCCGGGCTTCAGCAGCTTGGATGCGACGACCTTCTCGACCGCGAGGACAACGCCATCTCTGCAACGGATTCCAATTGATGTGCCGGCGTTCTCGACCGCCTTGACGGCGTATTCGACCTGGAAGTTGCGGCCATCGGGGGAGAAGATGGAGTTGGCGAGATCGTAACCCGTTCCTATCGACGTCTACAACCAGGCACTAGCTGTTAGCTGCTCTGCTGCTCTGCTGCGAATGACGGCTGGGGTCGGCTGAGGGGCGACGAGCTTACCATGGTGGATCTCTACGGGGTGGGTTGTGCTGAGAGAGGGAGACAAAGACACAGTGGTTGAGGTGGATGGGCTTGCGAGGGCGATACGTTGTCGGCGGTACGAGAGCTTTGGGTGACGGATGACGAACGGTGGTGGTGGTTTCGAGCTCCCCCAGGCAGGGTAGACCGGGTTCCCTTCAGGCAACTGGAGCTGCGCGTTTCTAGCCTGCCGCAGCCCACGTACGCAGTACTCCGTAGCTGCAGCTGAGCGGCTTGGCTGGGCAGCATGGGATGTTAGCAGCAATGATTGACTGCAGGGGCCCGGGGCCAGGGAGCCGTGGAGTGGCTGTGCAAGAGTGGCTTGACCAGGTAGGTACCCAGGTACCAAGGTACTTACTGAACCAGAAAGACATGTCCAGTACAAACCAACAACACAGAGATCACCCCCATCACCCCATCTTGACACTATGAGAGCTCAAGACCCGGCCTTGAGATGAGTTTGACCTTTATAATTCTACAGTACCGGCACAAAAGGTGACGGCTGGCCCAGCCATCTGAGACTGTTTCCCCCTATGGAACAAGAATCAATCCTTCTAGGCCATGATGTCCTCCCGATATAGGGTTTCTGTGACGGCATGAGCTTATAAATGCTAGATTTCTAAGACGGGGGACTTGGGAGTTGTGGTCTTTTGGCCGGGGCGTCTGTGGCATGGCAGTCCACAGGTCCGTCTCAGTTTCATCGTGCAACTAGGAATGAGGTGGAAATATTTCTTTCAGCAATATAGCAAGGTAGGTAAGCACACTCCACTGGTCGGTCACTGTTTATAGATTACACATGAATGGTGTGATTAGAATAGAGATCGGATATTCGCACCTGCCAATACGACCAGTACACCCGCACAAGGCGCTACAACTAATTAGAGTCCGCCATTTAACGTTCAATCCACCACCCCCAACCGAGTGCTTTTAATGCCTTCACACACACACACACACACACACACAAGTAATAATGCCCTCTAGTACTAAGTGATTAGTAAAGAATCTATGTATGAGGGTATATATAACTTTTAACTATCTAGCTATTATAAGGAGATCTAACTATTAAAGACTTTCTTAATAATATAAAAGAAACTTAGGATTTAAAAAGAAAGAATTAAAAATAACTTAAGTAATAAAGGTTAAAAGTTATAAGGAGGATATATAGTTTATAACTTTACTTTAATATTATGTAAATAGTGAATTAGTACTGTAAATTAAGGTTGGTATACTAGGGATACATGTGCGGGTATATGTTTTGGCTGGTGCAAATATCCAATCTCTTAGGGATATTGTAGGTGCTCAACTAGTCTCGCCGCTACTTCACTAGAACCGTAAAATTTGAGAACTACCTAAGTAGGTACCTAGGCACTTGGAAATTCAGTGAATCAGCCAAGGAGAGAAATTGCAAGAAATTCCATTGATTCAACATATAAACCTCCCCACCCTCTCCCTCAGGTACTACGTAACTTCAACTTTCCATAACACAAACTCATCTCTCAAGTAGCTCAGAAAGGTTCTTGACTAAGGCAACTAAAGTCATCAACCCAAATCAACTACTAATCCCTTCAACCCAACTCCTAATCCATTCAACTCATCAACTTGACTAGTCAACTCAATATCTGGGTTCACATTCAGACTTTGTTTGGAACAAATACGCTCAATCCCTCGGTCTTTGCCACCACCTTCTACTAAGAACAAAAGCAGCTCAGGCAACTTGTTCATCAAGAAACTTCATCATGCATATCAACTTTCCCAAAGTAGCACAGCTACTCCTTGATGGCCTGAATCTGGATCTGGATCTATCCGCATCTGCAAACACACCAGATGTCCAAGCTGAAACACATCTGACCCTTGGGCTCGGACCAAGCGGACTGAGAATCTGTTGGTATGCTGGTGTTGAGCTGGAAAATGCGGTTCGCATCACAGATAGCGGGGACTTTACGCTGGACAGTGCTCTTCACCTCGACAACACGCTGACCGTCACGGAGACCGGAGACCTATCCAACCCCATCCCCCCTTGCTTCGTCGACCTGTCCTCAGACCCTGACCAAGGCAGCCATCAGCAGTACGGAAGCGGAGGGAACACCACGCCATTGATCTCGTTGCCGTGGACCGAGACTACTTGGGCACAACCAGCCACAACAGGTTCCGGATCACATAGCTTGACTTTGCATGAGCCGTCATCTACCAGCACACAAGGTTCTGTCACTACTTCCACCGACGCCTCTGCCCCTACTTCCACCGACGCCTCTGCCACTACCTCCACCGACGCCTCTGGACCTACCAAGCCTACGACCTATCTCAAAACCACCAGCTCAGCTAGTGGCCTCTCGGGACCTACTAGTGCCTCGTCTGGAAGAACTTCTGGAACCGTCAGCTCGAGTGGTGGCATCACGGATACTGAATCATCCGCTACCACTCTGCGCACTATTTCTACTCGGCCTACAAGCCCCAGTCTGTCGACTTCATCCGGGACCTCGCTAAAGTCACAAGTACCTACATCGGTGACAAATAGTCAGGTAACCACTACCGAGGCCACTGAGACTATCACTGGAAGCAATGCTGGGACGCCAAGCTCTACTATCTCGTCCGCCAATGATGTCCCTTCTCACACCGGAAGTGCGAGTCTGTCAAGTTCATCTTCCCAGTCACCGACACCGACGTCTGTCCAGCCAACTACTATCGAGTTTTCTCTCCAGATTTCAGGGTCAACAACGGCGGGACCAAGTTTAACAACTTTGTTTACACAGGTGACTTCAAAAGCATCTGATGCCAGTACCGCGGTCCACCAAACAACCACCGAGCCGGCAGAGACTAGCAAGTTGTCTCCAATAATTAAATCGACGACTCTCACTGTCTCTGGTACTAGTATTCCTCAATCTGTTACAATCTCGGCCTTTATCAAATCAACAATCAAATCGACATCTCAATCATCCCCCTCCACGACTTCTGGGGCCCCCGTGCTGGATATAGTGGATGGAGTTACCATCCTGACAGGAACAAGAGCTCGGCCTACTCCCACATCGACTGAATTGAATGGAATCATCATCCTGACAGGAACAAGAGTTCCGCCTACTCCCACCTCCGCTGTGTTGACGTCTTCTCAATCAAAGCCAAGTTCTCAGGAAACAGTCGGTCCTGTGACTAAACCTGATAAACAGCAAGAACAGGACGAGGGTGGGGAGACCAAAGATCATGGAAAAGGAGAAGACCACGAGGACCACGACGACCACGAAGACCACGACGACCACGGGGAAGGAGTGGTGGGTGGAACGACTGGAAACCAGGGGAATAAGGAACCTCACGGGGAAAATGAAAGTCATGGCAAGGGGGGATCAGAGAATAACAAGCCTCCGCCCCCGACAGAGCCAAACCAGCAGGCCACGAAGCCCTCAAACCCACAGCCTACGCCTGAAACCTCGAGAGAACAACCCGGGGATGGGGGCGAATCTCGAATCCCGGAAAATCAGGCACAGGATGGGAAGAAAGGGTCCAAAAATATCCTGGATAAAATCAAAGACTTCTTCAGAGGCGCAAAAGGCGGTCTAAAAGACTTGTGGGACAAACTCAAGAACTGGGACGGAGTGTCACTACCCAAGGGACCAAGCTTGCCGAAGCCAAAGCTACCGAAGATACCAAAGTTGAAAAAGCCAAACCCACCGAAGGCACCAAACCCACCGGAGGCACCAATACCACCGGAGGCGCCAAACCCACCGGAGGGACCTGGCGCACCCGATCGTCCTCAATCGCCCGATGAACCTGAGTACCCTGATTATCCTGAGGGACCTGATCCGGACACCGACTTTCCCAATCCGGGAATCCCGCCTATGCCTCCTGCACCTCCTAGCGACGATAACCCCGGAGACTCTGATGAGTTCGGGTCTGATTCTCCGAACGACAGCGACTATGACACTGCCCCAGAGGATAGCGACTATGACACTGACCCAGAGGATAGCGACTATGAAACTGCTCCAGAGTACCCACCGGGGGATGGAGACAGTGAGGGAAATGACGACGAGGGAGATGCGGAGGAAAAAGAAGATAAAGGAAAAGGGAGAGAAAAATGCATCAGATGGCAAGACTTCGAAGAGTGGATGCATTACTTGGACACGCCTGAAAAACAAGGCGCCTACTACGATGACTATCACAGGAAAAAACCGAAGAAGCCGGAGACGCCACGGCCGGGAACTCCAGGCCCAGGAACATCAGATGGAGGTGGCAAGCGCCCCATGCGGCCGTCGACACCCCACCCAGGCTCGGCAGCACCACAGCACCTCGAATGCCTCGACGACGTGGCGCGTGTTGCGATTGGCAAGATGAAGGGCATCACAGACCCCAATGACATTTATGACGAGGCGACGGAGCGCTTCATCGACGGGTTTGAGGGCGAGGGTGAGGGCTCCACAGCCTGGCAGAAAAACCAGGACTCACCCGAGCGGGCTATCAAGGAGAAGTATGGAGACAGAATCACAGATTCGTTCAGACGGGGCTATCTCAAGACCGAACTTCAGATGGAGCAAGACACTATCAACAAAAGGCTCCACACTGGCGAGTGGGTCAAGAAGCAGATGGTCAAGGGGAAGCCTGTCAACGTCGTGGATGCGTATAAAAGGATTGATGAAATCGAGGAGGAGCTTGCGTTGATCAACAAGATGTACCCTGGAGACAAGAGTCCCTCGAGAAATCTTAGGAGAGGCGTTGTTTGGGTAGCATGATTTATTCGAATTATTTGAGTGTTTTTTTTCAACTGCCTTCTGCTTTTACTGTTATTATTGGCCCTGCGCTCTTTCTACATTGGGTCTTTGAGGGTTTACCTGTGGGGATGGATTCCTAGTGCAATTATCATGGGACCGTATGAAGGCACTGGGATCAAGAACGAAATCACATGAACAACAAACGAGTGGCTGAAATGAGAATTTAGTTAGAGATAGATTGTTTACGACGCGCACCAGTTATAGACCAATATGAAATCGTCAACGCAATAAACCCTCTCCCAGTCTAACTACAGAGTTGTACAAGCCAACCGCCTCAGGAGGCCTTTGTGCCTTGACATAGCTCGGGCTTGAAAGCCTCTCCGTCCATGATTCCGTGAATGTATGCCTGCCTCTCCAACATAATCTGTACATGTAGTAGCCGTCGCCATCGGGTCCTGATACAAAAGGTACCCTCCCACCCTCCGCGAGCACGACGCTATCGCCTTTGAGGGCTACATTGGGTAGAACGCACAGCCACCAGTGCTCACAACTTGCGAGCCGCCGTTCCATCGAACAGCGAGGTAGGTATTTAGGAAGCGGACTACCGGAATCAGCCAACCCCGCTGCAGCAACACCACCAAAAGTCCTCGAGAAACGGCGCCCCAGCATGAGATTAGTCGAGTGGTAAGGAAGGTACAAATCGGATGTAAAGAATTATTATTGCATAACTAAGAGAATTCAAAGGGGAGCGAAGCTGCAAAATGGCGTGGCTGCAGGTTTATTTGGAGGTTAGTTGAGTTGGCAAGAAAAGCTGTACTCGGACTGGGTCCTGTAGGCGTTTAGCTCACCTGCGCTGATGAGAGGGGACTCTTGGATAGGCCACTTACTTAGGTAGGTACCCGGGGATCAGTCCCAGCGTAGGGGTGCCAAAACCCCCTAACAGCCCAGAGGGCATTTTCCGTAGGTACTTAAGTACCCAGGTTGTTTACCGCTTACACCAAGAAGGGATCGGGATGGTCATTGAAGAACCGCATTGCCACAACGCGCCAGTCTCAGAGTATCTCGGCCAGTCGGCAATATCCAAACCATGGTTGTTCGGGTCTAAAGTGCGTATGAATGAGATCCCCTGCCTGTGTGGCCCGAGTATTCTTGTTTAGGCCATATGGTAATCCAGCAAACATATAGGAAAAGGCATCGAAGGCATGGAACGGGCCGAGCACTGGCAGGTGCGTCGCCACGCCCAAGTCAGGCAGCAGGCCGGCCGATGCAGGATGTTCTCCATCAAGGGAGGACAAAAGGTCCACTACTAGTAGTGCGACATGTCGCGAGTCCAGGCGGCGGGATATCCCCGCCCATCGCAAAACCGCAAAATCGGAATGAGTAAATCAATTTCTTCGATGAAAGCATAATCGGATTGAGGAATTCCCTGACCGAAAAAGCCGTGGCCAAACCTGGCATTGTAGAATGTTTCTCCCAGTGCTTCGGGGAGTGGCGTGCCTTTGAACCCCGCATGTTTGCACACGCCGCAAGGATGGAGATCTCAGTACTGAAATCCAGTACCAGATTTATTTGCATGGGCAGCAGCAGTCCTTTCCACTGAGAAGAGATCATTCGCACGAGTCCGCCCATAATAACGACGTAGATGCCGATATCTGGAGACTATGGATGGCGGCAAGCTAAGGGACCAAGACGGGCAAGCCCGTTCCCTCGGCGAGACATCTGGCGCAACATTTATCCGTCATCTGAAGCAATTCAAGTCAAATGTCTCACAACTGGCCTGGAAATGGCCTACGTCAGATGATGGGCTGACTCTCTTGTCTTCCCGTGGAGGCTGTCAAACCTACGACTCCCGTGCCATTGAATTCAATCCAAATGCCGACCCTTCTATTCTGCCCCTTCGAGAACACACGTCAAACATGGTCAAGGACCTCCGCCATTCCATCCAAGACGGCAACGCCAGTTTTCCCTGGGTGATATTTACTGGTGGGGGATCGGCTCCGTCCCAGTCAGCCCGAGCCGCGCCAACAGATTTATGATAAGTATCGTCATCTCGCCTTGTTTCATGCAGCCTTTGCTATTGCGTGCCAGGCACAGGCGACAGCGGCTTCAATGCCTTAGTTAATGTATTTGAGCTAAAACTTCTTTACCAGAGCTTATGTGCTCATAACTCTATCTGTAGCCGGCCTGCAATGTTAGTTGAACGCAGGCAAGTGCGAAGTAATTTTATCGTATGAGAACGAATACGTACAGTGATTGACGGCTCATCTAGCCCCTTAATTGCGTATGCAGTGCTTTTTCATGTGACATGTTCTCCTGTACTTGTTGAGCTGAGGAGGCACAAGGGCATGTGTGCCTTGATAAAGTCTGACAATCGTGACTGGTTTCGCTTCTATTCCGCATACATACATGACGCCTTCATACAGTGGTAAAAACTCAAAACACAGCGTTAAAAAAAGTACAAAGCCAACAACAGTACAGAGAGAATAAAACACAACCCTTATAACTCAATCTAGGGTCAAGCCGAAAATCTGACACTTGTCCCACATTGCCGATAAGATACAGGAACAGCACCCCTATCATGTTCTCTTTGAGCCAGTGCCCTCGTCAAGCAGTCTCCACATTGTCATCAGGTCTCCTTGGAAAATGAGTCGGCGATGTGATACGCACGACTACCTGATGCATACTAAATGCGGGCTACCGGTCTTGCTCCCCTATTGCAGAGTTAGAAGATGAAGTCCTGAATAGAGGAAATGGACTTACGGTGTGCCCGTATAGCAATAGTCTGTGACGCATGGCAAGTTGTATCCTTTGGAATCCCGAGCACCTTCTCTAATAAAGCTGACGATGTTTCCAACGCTAAAGTCATAGATGAATCTGGCAGCGGTATCACCCCATTTTCCGGCAACATTCACCTCAAAGGAGACTATGTTGGCAGACTGGCGATGGACATTATTGACGGTAACACCCATTCCGGCCATCTCCGTAAAGAGAGTAACTAGTGGTCAAATTAGTCCTGCTATGGATCCTAAAGTGTTGTATTCCAGAACATTCCAAAACATGAAAGACGGGGATCCGTAAAAGGTGAATAGTGATGCTTACTTTGGTCGTTAACCATGTTGATGAGGGCGCGAACAATGACATCTTTTGAGGCTGAGAGCGTGATAGTCCACACCACCTGAAGCGTGGCACGCATGTCTCGCTTGTCAAGGCTGTTGGCTTCGAGCGGGTCTTGCAGAACAGCGATATCGCATCCCTTTACCTGAAGACCACTGAGAGAACTCTTTTTTAGCAGGATATCTTATGACGACAAGACTAGGAGATACTTACGACCCGTCAGGCTGTGAAACTTGTTGGAAGATGTTGCTAGTTGCCAAGCTGCACTCATCCTGGGGAACCGCAGGCGCGGCAAGCGCGAGACCAAGGAGAGGGGCGAGAAAGAGAGCGAAAGTCTTCATTTTGGGAACTTTTTTACGAACGTAGAGATAGGAGAACAGAATGAATGACACAGGTCAACGAATGAATGATGTAGGCCGACAGAATGAATGATGCAGGCCAACAGAATGAATGATGCAGGTCAACAGAAGGAATGAAGCCTAATGCGCAGGCTCATCGTACTTTATGTATTCACGAAAAGGGAAGCCCACATCATCAAGGCAGAGCTGAATACCTAGGTACGTACTAAAGATCAATCAACTTCATAAGGTTTGCTGGGCCGAACGTGTTGGACACGAAAGCTTGACCCACCGACTAGTCAGTAAAGAGATGTCCGTTCAATCACCGGTGATTCCGATAAAGCCAATTCAGAGACTAACGGGTGATGGAACCAGCCCTAAGGCCCTTGAAGACCATGTGCATAATTGTGAAGGGCTGACTAGCTGCAGAGTTGAAATTAGCCAGAATAAGTTTAGGTACAGACCCTAACTACCTAGGCAAGACTGAGTTTCTTTTAGTCCTAGATGTTGACTAAAGACTTAAGACGAACAAGTTAGGATAAATAAGACTAAGAAACTATACAGACTAAAATAATTCAAGCGAGAGTTAGTTACTTGTTTCGACTAAGATAAAACAAACTAATTAAAATTAAAGACTAACTAGTCTAAATAAAAGACTGAGAATTAACTTTAAAATCTTGATTATTATAGAAGTTAAAAGACATTGACTCTATAATGAACAGACTCATTAAAGTTTGCCGGTTTCTATGCCTATTTTGGGACTGATCCGTCCAATTGACTAACGGTCGGTCAAGCCGTCGAACCAATTGGCTCTCTGGCTATACGTCAACTGGTGGAGCTGCAGCCTTACATTGAGTCAAAGAGTCCGAATATATATACCAAGACGGTACTCCCACACATCAAATGGCAGTGATTATAGCTGTTCAGACATTCCTTACTGCCATCCCAATCGTTCATTGCCCTTACCATTGTTCAGTATTTCGCCATCTGTCCTTACCGTCAACTCATACTTCAAGATGCGTTTCCAAATCTTCGTGGCAGCTATTTCGCTACTGTAGGCTCTCCACAAATTCCGGCTGATCCTTTCTTCTAACATTGAATAGCTCTGGCGCTGCGGCAGACTCCCATGACTACTGTGCTTGCCAAAGATCGAGTGGCGGTCCCCTTGACCATGCCGCGACAGCCAAGGTTGCTTCAAAGTCATGCTGGGGCTACATCTGGGGTAAGCGCTATAGTTTGGCCCTTCGATGCAATTTGCTGACTTCATCAAGGTCCTCGTGAGCTTGGGGCTGATTCTACAACGACTTGGAATGTCCATAACCCCGGGCCTCAATTTGAAGGGCAATATGTAAGCCAAATTTCACCGAGCTTCAGTCCAATTTGACCATACTAACGGTGGCGGCAGCTTCAAAACATGATCAAAGGATGGAAGATCAGTGGATCTGAATTCAACGATAGGTGCCGCGCCGCAGGAGCGGCGGACAGCACATGCTTCTCGTGCTCGCAGCTCCAGATGAATGCCAATGGAAGGGTGCAGTGCAACAGCGGTTAGACAAAGTGTAGGGACGATTGGTGTCTGATGGGAGAGTGTTTTACATGATGTTCGCTCACTTGTGTTTACATACTGTGTCTTGATTTTGAACCTTAGCTGTTTGGTGCTTTTACCTGGTTTCGCTTCTATTCCGCATACGTCCGAAGACATGGCGCCTTCATACAGTGTTTGTGTTTTTTGAAATTGAGAAATTTGAGAATTATAAATTCCAAGGTGGTTTCACGCTTCCTGTTGTCATTTGGAGAATTGAGAATAGTATCCAAGCTTGACAATAGTATGTATGAGTGAGTGTAAATGAACTGCAATTTCACATAAGGTGTTAAATTTGATTTACTGAAAGGCTAGTAGCTCCGGAATTGATTGCAGAATCTTGGTATTACTTGGGCCTAGATTCGTTTGGAGCTATGCAGACTTGATACCTAGGTAGGCATCAGGGTCCATGTAAATCACACTTTGCTCCATGGCTTATAAGAATAGACTAATTCCCTTTTGCTGGCTGCCCAGCACATTTGGCATAGTAATTGCTTCCCCTCAAGTAACCTGACTTGTACTTAACCAGAGGTATGAGTAAGTCTAGCAAGCATATCCTTATGAAGGGGATCATACAGTCATTATATATGTGTGTGGGTGTGGTTTCGCTTCTATTCCGTATACGTCCGAGGACATACATGGCGCATTCATACAATGGTAAACGCTCAAGACTCGGCGTTAAAGAAAAATACGATATTGATAACTATAGTTAATACAACAGGTGCGTGTGGCCTCAGCCTTATAACACACAGACAAGGCCAAGGGGCACCGTCAAGAGTGATTAAAATGCTGAATACGGCACATGATTTAGCCGGCCCTGATCACCTTCACAAAAAGGGATTACAGTCATTTCATTTCACCAGTTCGTGCCGTTTAGCCCTGGAGAGCCATGACTGTGCGGCGAGGTATTCATCAGTATGATCGCGAGAATAGAAGTGCTGGGCGGAGAGCCTCGTCCTTTCTTTTACATGATTACACAGGAAATACTTACTTAGTTGGTATAATTAGCCTTGGCATTCTGAGAGACACGGAACTGACTATTATTTCATCAAGTGGCAGGCGTAACTATTGCTACCCTGTCCCAGTTCACATCTCTATTGCCTTCTCGGAATTGTGCAACACCGTATCTAGCCTCCGTATCTTCCGCCAACATGTCTTGAAAAACATCCATGGCCAACTTGTCCAGCTCGTGATCGTGGGCAACGACTTCCGCAAGCAACCTTTTCGTATTCGCGGATGCTTGAGGAGCAACCAGCATCAAATCCGCCAACATCTTGTCCAATATCAAGTCTAAGCCGACTTGGTCCTGGGTAATCTCATGAATTACACCGACACTCGACAGCACGCGTGGCCTGACTTTTCTGGCCGTCAGCATAGCCATTCTTACAAGACTGATTCCCCATTCTCGAACGAGATACCGAGACACAATGGCAGGACACAAGCCCAACTTCGTCTCGCTCAAGCAAAAATAGGCGGTTTCCACCGCTAGGCGTATGTCGCAGACCATGGCCAGACCTACACCTCCGCCGAAGGCTGGCCCGTTTATGGCGGCTATAGTTGTCTTGGGGCAGGTGTCGATGGTCCTAAAAAGGTCTTGCAGTGCGCTACCTCGTTGTGCTGGCGAGGTGAACAAGTCCTCTTGGAGGTGCATTCCGGTGCAAAAGTATCGGCCCCGAGCAGTAAGGACGATCCTGTGGACGGAATCATCGCCAGAATAACTTGCAAAGAGCGATGTGAGTTCTTTGGTGAGGTCGAGTGTAAGTGCATTCCCCTGTTTGGGCCGGTCGAGGGTTATCTTGATCGTTCGGTCTCGCCTTGAAACCTCGTAACCATCGCCGCATTGGATTTTCACCCAGGGGACGTCGCCTGTCACAGTCTGAGACTCGGCATCTGACTTGGTCACATCATTGTGAGCGATTGTCGGACTAGGCGGTAGGAAAGAAAACACCTGTCCAAAATGTTCAAAATTCGGGTAATAATCGTGCGAGACCAGGCTTTGAGCAGCCCAATTCAAGCCGCGAAGAAATGACATCTCGTCTGAAATTCGTGACGATTTTCCGCTGGAGCGCTACTCATAGCACAGCCAGAAATGAACATTTATGGGCTCATCTAGAACCTATATCGAATAAAAGCACGACCGACCATATGGCCTCAATCGCCCCGGCACCGAGCTGATACGTCGGAAGCAGGGTCTACAGGTCCATTAGCCACTGATACCTAGTCATGCGGTCGAAAACCCTGCTGCTGTTTAAACTTTCAGCCCTTCCCGCGAATGACGCACCTAAACATGGTACCTGATTATCTTGCTACGACTCGACAACTGCCGGGGGAAATCATCGGGCGGCGAGTTCTCAAGGGCCTAGACTTCAGCCCCTGTCAGCCTCCTTCCGCTCATGCAGCCGGTACAGGGACACCTTGACTCACGTTTTCAACCCATCATCCCATCCATAAATCCCTTCTTGTGCCTGACCTCGTGTTTTTTCTACGTCACGATCGTCTTGTCTTGAATTCTCACACCAAGATTTTCCCTTCGTTGTTCGTAGCATATATTTCGTTAGTACTGTTCTTGAATTCCTTCCCCTCAAAAAACGTCTCGCGGAACCAGAGAGCATTAACGACTATGATTATGGACTACTTTTACTTACTATTTGCCCTGTGGGGCGGCATCGGGATCGTCTACGTGAGTTGCCACTTTTCCGTATCTCTCGGTCTTGCCGAACCCGGGGGTAAAGCCCTTTTCCACCTGAGCCTTATCTTGACTGACACCATTATCGCTCACTCAGTTACTGGGTGTTTGTGTATACCGATTATGGTTTCACCCATTATCGAGATACCCTGGGCCAGTCCTGGCCAAGCTGAGTAACCTTTACAGTGCTTACTTTGCATGGACTGGTGATATTCACATTGATATGTGGAGGTGCCATGAGAAATATGGTAGGAGGGAGAAATTGATTTTTGAGACACGTATCTGTGCCAGTACCAGTCTCATTATCTGACATTGCTTCTCAGGCGACTTTGTTCGTTATGCTCCAAACCGCCTCCTGGTCAATACACCTAGCGGAATGAAAGGTGTGTTCGGACGGGCAGTGACACTCACTTGACCACCCGAAAGAACCTTAAGGATACATACTGACGTTCTGTACGACCAAATTAGAAATTTATGGGCATAATAAGGCGTTCCAGAAGTCAACGGCATACCATATTATGGTTCATCGAGCACCAAGCACGTTCACGGCGACAGACAAGAAACTGCATGCGCAGAAGCGTCGAACCCTCAGCCAGGGGTTCTCCGCGGCAGCCATCCAAGGTTTTGAAGAAAGAATTCTAGAGCGCGTCAGGGCATTGGCGGACCAACTGGCCCCGAAACGATCTCCGGAGTCGAGAATGGACAACGAGTGGTCGTCTGTGCAAGACATGTCGAAGTGGGCAAGCTATCTTGCTATAGATGTCATCCTCGGCATCATCTTCGGTCAAGGCGTGAATTTGATACAATCGCCGGACTACAGATTCGTAACGCAGTGCATAGAAGATTGCAACATCCGCACGGGTGTCCTGTTCCAAGCTAGGGAGCTGACAACTCGTCGCTTTGACCGATGGCTGTTCAAAGGATCGATCAGCTCTCGTAACAGATTCATCCCCTTCATCAGCACCCTCTTAAAGGCTCGAATGCAGTCTCTCGACGTCAAGCAGAACGACATATTCTCCATCCTGCTCGACCCCAAAGGAACAGGAACTGATGAAAGGAGCCAGAACACTCCAAGCAAGTCTGAACTAGGTGGAGAGTGCACAACTCTGTTGATGGCAGGATCGGAGACCACGTCGACAGCGATCTCAGCGACGTTGTTCTACATGATGAGAAATCCAGAAGTCTACCGAAAGGCTGCCAAGGAAGTCAGAGAGCAGTTCTCGAACTGCGACTCCAATATCCGCCTGGGAACTACACTCAATTCGTGCACATACCTTCGCGCATGTTTAGATGAGAGCCTGCGGCTGTCGCCGCCGGCTGCGAGCGCCCAGTGGCGAGGCGTACTCACCGATGTGGTTGTCGACGGGCAGCTGATCCCAGCCGGATGCGATGTGGGCACCTCACTCTATTCAATTCAGCGTCATCCAGCCTATTTTGAACAACCGGCTGTCTTCCGGCCGGAACGCTGGACGGAGAGCAACGACATCTCGGCCTCTGAGAGGGCTCAGAGCGCCTTCTCTCCCTTTCTGCTTGGTCCCAGAAGCTGTGTTGCTAAGCCGCTGGCTGTTACGGAAGCAATGTTGACGCTGGCCACATTGCTATGTCGCTTTGACCTGAAGTTAGCCGAAGGGCAGGACGGCGAGGTCGGCTGCGGTGGACGCCCCGGCGCAGTGTATGGAAGGCAGAACAAGGATGAGTATCAGCTTTGGGAACATGTTGCTGCTGTCAAATATGGTCCTCTGATCCAATTTAGGGAGCGCACAGAGACTAAGTTCTAAAGATGAGAAATCTGATGATTACGGGCAATTCTTGGGGCTTTTTTTTGCGGGTGTGTAGTTCCTCACAGAATCTAAGTAGGTAGCTATCTACCCAGGTACCTAGGTAGGTAGTCAAGGAAGATGATTGAGCAACAAATTCAGGATCATCTTCCAGGGTCACCATCCAGCCATCCAGGCGAATATCTGATTTCAATTCTTGGTTTCAAAATTATGTCCCCCGCACAGAGTTTGATGCCCAGCTCGCTCTGGGATGTGCTGCTTAAGCGATTCCGGCAGGGCTTCCAGGTTTTCTTCGTCGGCAGTTCAAAAACGGCTTATTTCTGGCAACTGGCACCTGGCACTGAAATCATGACCAAAGGCGGAAAAGCTGAACTCAAAACAGCTTGTCGCCTGTTCGAATTTGAGATCCCTGTATCATATGTCGATTGTCTCTCGTTCACACCGCCTGAGCGTTCGTTAGTTAAACTTTTTGACGTGCATACAAGAGTCCCTTGACCCTACACGTGCTGCACGTGTATGACTGCGTTCCCTGTTCACACCGTAGTCAGTTTTAACTAAATTTGGGCATTTCCAGCCGCACGGCTCTTTTACCTTATAGGGCAGAACATACCTAGGTACGCGTCCTTGCCGCCCAAAGTCTTCCGCCTATGAAGCTGTTGCCACCCCCTCAAACCAGCTTGCCCGTACTACCTGGTCAGAACCATTATCCTAGGGAAGCCTTCGATCATGGACAACCTTCAGGCTTTCGGTTCCACCACTCCCTTCGCGGAGCCTCTGTGGTACTCCCGCACGGACAATCCCAATTACACTGAAAGCCACAGGCGTCTACGCCAGGCCATCCGCCACTATGTCGACAACGAAATAGTCCCATTCATATCTGAGTGGGAGGAGAAGGGTGTTGTTCCGCCAAATGTAGGATGGGGAAGCATCCGTTCCTGACCCGGGAATATTGTCCGTGCTTCTGGGAGCTACACCCTATCTCACTAACAGGCTTACGCAGGTTCTCAAAAGGCATTCTGACCTGGGATACACAGCCGTGGCGCTTGACCCCCATGCCTTGGGGAAGTATCTTCCAGACAAGGCCGTCCTACCAGGCGATGTCGCGGCAAGCGATTGGGACAGCTTCCATGACCTCATCGCGATGGACGAGTTGGCACGCTGCGGATCGCTTGGGGTCATCTGGGCTCTAGGGTGCGGCAACTCAATCGGCTGTCCTCTTGTGATCAAATTTGGAACTGAGGAGCAAAAGTCTCAGTGGCTGCCACCTGTAGTCCGAGGCGAGGCGAGGTTTTCCTTGGGTTGCACCGAACCACAAGGTGAGGGAGATAATCATTGCTACGAGATTTGCCAAAGCTGATAAAGACATTTCATTGCAGCCGGATCCGATGTTGCTGGAATCGTGACCACAGCTGAGCAGAAGGGCAATGTGTTCGTGGTCAACGGCACAAAGCACTGGGTCACTAACGGCATGACCGCGGACTACTGCACAGCAGTAGTCCGGACGGGCGTTGTCGGAAGGGATGGAATCTCCGTATTAGTGATTCCCCTCAACTCGAAAGGTGTGACCCGGAGCGAAATCCACAACTCTGGTGTCGAGTTGAGCGGTAAGTTCGAGATACCCGAGCACAGTGACGGATGCCAAATATCAGTAGAGCGGGTAAAAGACTTGGTGATTGTGGGCTAATAGCTTTGAAGGTTGCGCGTCCCTCAAATTTGACAACGTAGAGGTACCTGTCGGGAACATAATCGGCGAAGTGAATCGGGGTTTCAAACTCGTTATGACATGTAAGCATCGCTCACTCGCTGACAAGGATAAAATGGGTCATAATTGGACCAAGTTCGTATTATCTAACTCCCCTACGTAGGCTTCAACCACGAGCGTCTCTGGATCGCAACAAATTGCCTTCGGCTGGCTCGGGTATGCGTCGAAGACGCATATCAGCACGCACTCACCCGCCAGACATTTGGGAAGCCGCTGATCGAGCGCCAGCTCATCCGACTCAAGTTCGCCAACGTTGGTATGCAGGTCACGAGTACGTATGCACTGATCGAGTCGCTCGTCCAGCTTTGGAATAGAGCTCGCTTGCAAGGCGGCGATGATACTTCCACGCCCGTCGGCGGCCTATGCGCGATGACCAAGGTCAATGCCGCGAGGGCTCTCGAGCTCGCGGTGAGAGAAAGCCAGCAGATTATGGGCGCGTTGGGGTACACCCGTGGTGGGCCTGGGGGCCGCATCGAGCGGATCAGCAGGGACATGCGTGTTCTTGTCATTGGCGGAGGCAGTGACGAGATATTGAGTGAAATGTGTCTCATGCAAGAAAGCAAGGATTTGCAGAGGATCATGGCTTCATCTCTATCCTAACAGATGAGGGATTATGTCTACATAGAAGGAGAATGCACACAATAATTGTTGCAAGGCGCCATACAAAATCCATGAAATTGAAGTAAGGCTTTGGAAAGACGGAAGAGTGCTACCTAGGTAATGTTGTACAAAGTTCATTAACGTGTTGATCAAACCACATAGTCGGTACGCCGGAGAAGCGATGAACGGACTTCCATCTTAGTCTACTTAGGTAGCATGGATGAACAAATAAACTTCGCTTTGTGGCTTTGTGAGTGCTGACTCGCTGTGGAGTTGTTCTGGAGACGTACGATACTGAACTAATATCTGTGCACAGGTACACAAACGTCTTTGCATGTTCCAGAAAATGTTATCTGAACTCTCTATTGAGACGACCAGCTGCGACCATTGAGTACGATGGTACTCATGAAGAGATACAAACCTGTGGAGATTTGATTCACGATTTAAGTGCGAGACTTGCTCCCTGCCTGAAGGTGTTCGCAAAAGCCAAACAAAAGCTACGTCGGGGTGCTGACGCCGTCTGCCTTGCTCAAGTTGCCCGCAGTAGATGCACTGTGATTTGAATGAAGATCATTGCGTGTGTTGTGCCCGGTAGAAATCACGCCTCGCCTCCGCTGTCCATGAACACGTGCGTAAGCCAAAAGCCCGAGCAGTCCGGAGGGCGAAGAGGAAGAGTTTGTGCTTATATAAAGGGAAGAAAATCATCTCACCTTCACCACCAAATAAAATTTCCAAATCCGCAGCCATTTCATCCCATCGTTTGCCCCCTTGTACAGGTGGCAGCTGTAGAGCTGGATCGGGTACCGCCGGCCGTCTCCAACCAAAATATTTCGTGTCGCCGAGTTGGACAAAGCCCCAAGATCGCCAAAATTTCTTTGCCCGCTCTAGAGAACTCTCTATAAAGTTTGCAATGTCTCCTGGAGATTGTCGCTGTGTCCGCTGGAATCTTTCTCTCTCCTCTCGGAGCACACTAGGCTCCGCGATCGTCAGCACGGCGCGTGGAGGGTTTTGCTGCGCCGCCCAGAGCAGGACCTGGCCAAGCAATGCTCCAACCAATTCTCTCCCGATCCCTTGGTGCTGTAACTTATGATCAACCAGAATCTTGGTGATCATTAGGATCCAAGACTCATCGCTGTCGGCCCCCCAAATGCCCTGTCCCTTGAAAGCCGCTCGGAGGCGGCCTTCTGAGTCGAAGATCTCATGACCAAGCCAGCCCAGAACCTGGCTATTTCGGTCAATGAGGTTGTAGAACTCGCTGTATTCGTCAGCGGTATGGATGATCAGGTCGCGCTTCACCAAGAATGCCTCGCAGTTTGCAACAATGGGCCCCGGGTCCCGTGTTGTTGATGGCTTACGGACATAGCCGAGAACTTTTGTGTTCCACGGATCCGTATTTTCGTGGACCTCTGGGTTTTTCTCTGGGGTCTGCCCCTTACTTATCTCGATGCCATCCCAGGGGTGCCGGTGGTCGGCAGTCAGGATCGTGATCTCGAGACCACTCTTTTGATAGACGGGGCAGTCAAGAATCTCAGCATCCCGAAAGTCGAATCCCGACATGATTGGACATCCAATTACAGTGTTATCGTATCTCAAGACTTGTTCTCTCGGGATTTGTGTGAGCCCTCAAGACAAATAGGAGGGGAACGTTTCACGCTTGTTGGCCCTGGAGGACTTGAGGTCAACATGGATTAGTCACACTCGACGACCCCTCACCTTATCCCGAGCTGCGGCCAAATGGCTGAACACTGGCGTGGTAAGTAAACCTTAATTTCAAGTCAACATCAAATATGGCAGCAATGGAAAAACTATTCGCCGAATATCAGCAAAGGAAGAGCATTCTCGAATCGAGCACCAATTCGTTCGCCGGGGGCATTGCATGGATTGAAGGAGAACTCACCCCATTGTCCGAGGCCCGGATACCACTTCTGGACCAGGGCTTTTTGCACAGCGACCTCACTTATGATGTTCCCTCTGTCTGGGACGGCCGCTTCTTCCGGCTGGATGATCACATCACCCGCCTGGAGGCCAGCTGCGCAAAGCTTCGGCTGAGACTGCCTCTGCCTCGAGACGAGGTCAGAAAGACCCTTGTCGACATGGTGGCCAAGAGCGGTATCAGGGACGCGTTCGTGGAGCTCATTGTGACCCGCGGCGTCAAGGGCGTGAGAGGTGCAAAGCTGGAAGACCTCAAGAACAACTTGTACATGTTTATCATGCCCTTCATCTGGGTTATGGAGCCCGAGGTACAACGCAGCGGCGGAAGTGCAATCATTGCCCGGACCGTGCGACGCGTGCCTCCCGGAGCTATCGATCCGACAGTCAAGAACCTGCAATGGGGTGACTTGACGCGGGGCATGTTCGAGGCCGCAGATCGAGGCGCCACACACCCTTTCCTAACGGACGGCGACGGCAATCTCACGGAAGGATCCGGGTTCAACATCTGTCTTATCCAGGACGGCACACTCTACACGCCAGACCGTGGTGTTCTGGAAGGCGTAACTCGCAAGAGCGTGTTCGATGCTTGCGAATCCCTCGACATCCCCGTTCGGATGGAGGTTGTTCCGGTTGAGAGAGCTTATCAGTGCGACGAGATATTTATGTGCACCACAGCTGGAGGCATAATGCCAATTACGAGCCTTGACGGGCAGCTGGTGAGAGATGGCAAGGTCGGTCCCATCACCAAGAAAATTTGGGACGCATACTGGGTCATGCACTATGACCCTGCGTACACGTTAGAGATAGAGTATAATGATGCGTCGTGAAGGTCGATAGTTTTATGGGTCTAGATGCGCTGGAATCGCACAACCACCGGAAGACCGATGGACAGACATATTGAATATGTGATACGAGAATAAATAGCTGACCAGTAATATGGCACGAATGAATACGATATGGGTTTCGTGGGTCATGCCTTTGTTTGGGATACCTGATTAATCCAGGCCGATAATGGAGAATTAACTGCCCAAACGATGAATGAATCCGTGCCCAACAGTTCCGAGTCAACTAGTTTCAACACAATTGGTGCTCCGAGCTTGAATACCGGATTCCTTAGTGCTGTGGCGGTGAGTGACGGACGCACTCAAGATGATATTGAGAGATGGCAAACCGGCCGAGCCGGTGCTGCATATATACTCAGACGAGCGTCGCAAAGTTGTACAGAACTTTCTTGACCCAACTTCCTTTAACAATAAGCTACGCTTGCACTCCATCAATTCAAAGACATCTAAGGGGAGACGACTGGTTCTTTCGTTGCCTCCAAAACTACTCTCCTGAAGATTCAAGCAGACACGCGTGGCGCTCTGAGAACATTTGGTCTACGGATATGAGAGCGCTGGTTTTTAAGGGAGCTTACTGAATGTAATGCAGTGGAAGATTTTACATTCACCTGGTTTGACCATGCTTTGGTACTGGAGGGGGGCAGAGAGAATGTGGGCCTTAGTGCCCCTGTTTTTTTTTTTTCAAATTTGCATCTAGACGACTCAAGTCGAGCATGAGAGACAGAATGCAAAGTTCCGTTACCAGGTACAGAGGTGGAATGGAATCTCGATTCTATTTGAGAAATTCAAGTTTTAGTACGATAAATGTCGAAGATATGCAGTCGTCACGGCTTTGCCATGTGACGTGAATCTTCTCCTGCCTCAATTGCAAGGGTTCTTTTCGCAAGCTGGGGTTTAGCCTGGCCACACCGTAGAAAGTAAAAGTAGTTCCATCATGTTGAAGGTGTGGATAATTAGCTAAGAGATATCCTCTGGCTGAGGTATCCAATTTTTGGACACAGCCATCCGTCATCCCCGTCCCCGAGTCATTGCATCTGTCTTCGAATGGCATGCCCTGCAAACAATCATTTCTACCCACTACGAGCTGGGTCACACAGCTTTCGAGGCAATGTATGGCTAGCAAAGTTGGAGAGCAATTTTGATACTCAAGTACTCCTCTATCCACGGATACAATATGTGAAGCTGCAGATGGAGCAGCGTAATCTACCTAGGTAGATAGAATCGTGATACCGCTTCCGTCATGGCCAGCTTTGAAGCCGGCGACAAGTCCTGCGCAATTTTCGAGCTGTCACTGTCTCCTCGGCCCGTACCCAGGTGATGTTGTATTATTCAAGCTTGTTGATTTTGCGGGGAAGAGGAGAATGTCTGGGGTACACGCGCTCGATGTGGATATCGGCCCGATCACCATCCCAGAAAGGGGTGACATCCGCTCAATCGGTGTAGTAATTGTGGACACTAGGCGATCAATATTTGTAGACGTATGGAGAATCCAAATGCTCGGCATTTCAAGTCACGGAAGTAATTGAAAGCCCGAGCTGACATTGGACTTAAAATGTGTATATAGGCACTGCGTCCAGACTTCAATTCTAGGCATTGCCCCATTCGTGTTGGACGTGTCTTGTGTAGTCCACCCATCGCGGAGCCTCTTTAACCGATTCTACGGATTAGTACCTAAGACCTGGCACGATGCGCGGCACAAGAACCCTGCTCCTCCCGGCGGTGATACCAGGCGCCTTTTCCGCGCTCTGCACACCACTTGCCTGCTCCGCGGTGCACGTCTTCCTGATCCGCGGAACCAACGAACCCTACCCGGGCCGGCAGCTGCCCACCGCAGAGGGAATATGTGAAGACTGGGACTGCTCTTGGTCCAACATCCAGTACCCAGCCGTGTTCAACGACTACTGCGACTCAGTCGAGACCGGGATCGCCAACCTCGGCAAGGCTGTCACGGACTACGCCACGCGCTGCCCGGACGCCAAGATTGTCTTGTCGGGCCACAGCCAAGGTGGCCAGGTCGTGGGCGATTACCTCGGCGGTGGTGGAGGGAACACCTCTTCGCTCGGGTGCGTCCAGCAGACGAGCAAGGGGATTTCTCCTGAGACGTTCCCGGCAGATCATAGTAAGAGAAAATACCAACTGTGTCAAATGCTCTTTTATGTACCGTGCAACGGAAAGCTAATTCCAAAACCCGCGTGGCAGTTATTGCAGCGCTGATGTTTGGCTCTCCGCGCCACAATGCCAACCAGTCTTACAATCTTTTGGTAGGAGCTAGAGCTCAATCTGTAAGTGACCATGAGATTCTGCCTCCTTTTAGAGTGTCAGGTGCTAACCTACATCATCAGGGCTGGCCAAGGTCAGGAGAGCAACTCCAATCACTGAACCTCTGGTCTGATAAACTCCGTGATTATTGTAATTTGGACGATCCAGCTTGCGCGATGGGCTCCAACTGGACGTCGCATGAGAATTATTTCGAGATGTATAAGGATGATTCAGCACAATTCGTGAGGTTCAAGGCGTGCCAGTGAGAATCTCGAACACACAAATTGGTTCAAAGACGGCCATTGTAAATAGTCATTCTCATCTACTGCTGCTAAATTAGTATAATTCCGTTAAAATATCGTGCCGAAAGAGAAATTCTACACGAATCCGATAACATGTGTGCATCCGTTGCTGTCCGCAAATGGGTGAAATGACAAAGTATTGTTTTGTAGTGCTGTTTCGGGTACTATGTAGCGTCCTTTTGGAGGTTCCATTCCCTGTCATTCCTTTTCTGATTCTACGAAAAGTTAATCCGAAAATTGAATCGAGGCTTGTTCTTGTCAATGGAGTCCCCGGTAAGAACCGGCAGAAACTCAAATGATGTTATGCTGACTTCCTCAAACTCTTGAAACTCCTCCAGCATCTTGTGAACCCCAATGCAGAACGGTGCCCTCTCTAGCAACAAGTTGAATGACCGCATTTCTTCTGTGGACTCCGTGTCCCTGTTGACAATGAGATTGGTAAGTATGTCCCTACTCATCAGTCTATAAATAGCCTGGAACAGCTCGTTTCTAAGCACATGTTCTGCCGGATCAAAGTATATGATAGCTCGCAGATCAAGGGCCGCCCTTCCGAGATGGGAAGTCCAGAACGCAAGTATGATTTCACGTAGCCGTAGCTTTTGGCCCTGTGGTCGATTATCATTGACCCTGTTCCAGGCCTCTGTGATAGCCAATGTGTTACCGGCAGTTGTTGCTGCGTCGAAGTGGATAAACTCATCGACAACTCGTTGGCTTATGAATGGCACGATAATGCGGACTACATGAAAGCTGGACACCGCATCTGGATACGTCTGTGCCACTGGAACTTGATGTGTTTCATAGTCTGGATCGCCATCCAGAACCCGATAGTACCGTTCCGCCAAAGTCTGGATCACCTTGTAAGTACCTGGCGGATCTGGGGGCATAATGGACATGTCGGCCGGGTCAGCGGGGTGGTCCCTGGGCTCCACTTTACGGCCCAATACTTTGAATATCTCGTCGGGTGGGCCCACCTCGAGGGGCATGAACCCATTTCTTGCGTACGTGCGTGACAATATCCGGGCCACTTCTGCTGGGTCCCGCGCCCGTCCACTCGTGGGGTCGCGCCATGCGCTATCATATGGTGCACCTATTTCACCAGGCTCGAGCACGATGGTCAATGGACGAGTTATGTTGTATGCTTTGACATGGATAGTTAGTTGACCTTGCCCATACCGAAACATCCAGAAACCCACCAAATAGAGAAAGACTTGCGACTTACGGGCTGGTAATGTCCCACCTAATATCAACCTATAGAACAACTCGAGGGCTGGGTCGACAATGCGGTTTCCCGAGAACTCCAATAATAACAAAATTAGATAGCTACTCTTATTTTAACACAAGGAAGTGGTCGGAAGGTGAGATTGTTGGAGGGAGATATACAGCTGTTGCTTCATCATGCAAGTACATACATTCTCATGCACCCATACCATAGGCACGTAGATAATATCAGTGTCGTCAGTAAGACCAGCCCAGCGCGCCCCAAAGTGCCTTCGGACCGAGGCTGCAGGCAGCACATTCCCATTCTGGTCATGGGCGATAGCTTCAGTTGGGCCATACCCATAGCTTTCTCTGATGAACAATTGCGTGTAATAAAAGTCGGTGTCGTCCGGCCCGTCCGTACCTAGATAGAGAGCGTCCCAGTCCCTTGTCGACCGGTCAACATGCCAGGATTCAATCAGGCCAATGTATCTCTCGCGTTGCCCTCGCCGGGTTAGGAACATTTCCGCGTAGTAGCCACGTCGGCCCGGCTGGTCTGGATCTGTGTGAACCTGGAGCGACATGCGTAGGGTGGCCCGGGTCTTGTCGCGGCGAAGGAGTATATCTGACGTTCCACGAGCCTCTGCGAGAACTCTGCACTCTTGGTTCGCCCGAACCTCTGGTCTAAGAGATGTTCTCGTGATATTTCCATTTACAGGGACATGGGGGCCGTGTAGGTCCTGTTGGGGCAGCGATGCAGGATCAGCGGCAACGTGGTTGTGGGGGCCACCCCGACACCCAGGCGGGCAGTAGCAGCTCTTGAAGTCGTTCGTAAGCCGCCGGAGTTGGTCTTGGACTCGCCGCTGGCGAAGGAATAGGGACCACTTATCAGTGCTCCCCCGAGCTCTATTGTTTCGAGACATAGCCATGTCCAAGCTCATACCACGGCAAGAGATAAAAGTACGCTTGGGATTTTCAAGTGATAGAGATAAAATGAATCAATCGGGTAATTATTGTTTTTATATGCCTAGGAGTGGGGATGTGTTCAACTTTCCTAGGTGCACAACATCCTGATAGGGAGCTACATACCTAGGTAGGGCAGCTGCTCTGTTTTTGCAAAGTATGGTAGCACATAAAGAGTTTTTCATGTGATGAAAGTGTTGGTGAGACAAAGCCTATAATTTGAAATTCTGTTGTCCCTGGCATACAGTCTGGCCGGATGCGGTATCACACTACTAGTAAACAAAGCAGAACAGCATCGAATATATCAAGCCTGAGGTGGCCAAGATAAGAAGTCAGACTACGATGGTAGCATTAGCGAGATCAGATTCCCTCACCACACGAAGAGGTGGCTGACAGTACAACCAACAGCGCGCTTCGATACCCTCGGCTAAACGGATAAGCAGGACATCTGGAGGACCACCACAGGCAGGGACACGGCCCTCGGGCGAAGTCAAGACCTGTTCTGATAACCCACTTCAAGGTCAAAGAAGACGCAATCCCGAATATCAGTTCGACCCAAACACGACGCAATCAGCCGAACCTTGAGAGAGGGAAACCTCATGGTGACGGAGGGTGGAACCGTTCCCGCGGCTGCTGAGATGGCGAGGAGCGAGTTGAAGACAAAGAAGCAAGACGATGTGGTGGTGGATCTCACGAATTTGGCCGACACCTCTGAGGAGGATGAGAGCTTGTTGGGAGAGGATGAAGACAGGAATGATGACGACCTGGCGGATGCAGCCATGGTCCGAAGTCACGAGGGATGGGGGACAAGCCACGGAGAGGACAATGTGGATGAGGGCGACCCGTTCCCGATCCGAGAGGACCTTGCCCTGGAGACCCTGTCGGCGAACCCTACCTGTGACATACCGAATTAAAGTCGACAAAAACTGTTGATGGGCCAAACATGGGCATGTCAGAGACAAGAATATTGCCGTCATAAAAGCGTCTCCCATTGAATGGCTTGGGAGCTGACAAGATGCCCTATCAGGCCTGGTGATTCTATGCAAATGCGTGGCCAACCACCCCAGTAAAAGAATGTCCAGTGATTGTGCCAGCCATGGTATCCTCTACACGTCCCGAGCCCCGTGGATATTAACCGTTTTTAACGAGTGCCACGAGAAGACTCCTTTAACGCCATACCAAATATATAATGAGCCCCAAATCCCGAAATTGAGGCATAAATAATACCGTCGTGATGGAAGAAGTGAAGAAAGTGAGCGTGACGTGGTGGCCATCATGCAGGGTGGTGGCTCGACCGGTCTCTCCCGTCGCCACCAGTGGCCCAGCTAAACGTCCGCAATGCCGGGTAGCCCTGCATGGGCGACGCTGCAGACAGCTCAACCGGGGGTGACTGTTGGGTCTGCTGCGGAGGTCCCGGCGTGCCGTGTCGTGGGGGTACACTGCTGTCAGGGGATATCAGTATACGTGGTTCTCATATCCACACATCCCGCGCCGTGGAATCGGTCGCAACTCACAATAACCCTCCCGATCCTCCATTGTCCGACCCCTGCATGTACGGAGGACTCATCCCGGGTGGGCCGCCGAAATGCTGGTACGAGTTCTGGGAGTGGACGCTCATCGGCGGCGGGCTGCCGTTCTGGGCCGAGTATCCGGGTATGCCCTGTGACATGCTGCGCGAATGGTGATGCTGGTATGGGTCGTTCGACGGCGTCACCGAGTACGCCGTTGTCGCGAATGTCTCTTGGCCGGGACTCTTGGCGCCGGCGTTGTACTTGACTTCGCTCACGGGCGGAGGGGCCATGGTGTGCCTGCTCTGTCGGTTGTATGCCTTGTCCAGTCCTCCTCTCCGGCCGCACAAGTAGAGAAGTGTCGCCGCTATGAGGAGTACCACTGACCCGCCGATGGCGATACCGGCGATAGCGCCGGGGCTGAGAGGTGCGCTGGAATGAGAATGAGTACTGGACCCGGAAGACGAGGCCGACGTTGGTGTAGCGCCCGGGGTGCCGGCAGCGGTCTCAGACGGGAACGAGTCGCCTGGCACCAACTGGAGAGTTGTGTTCTTCGTGTACGCGGTCTGCACTTCTAGAGTTTCCGTTTCGTTGGGGTTGATGACTCCAATCATCCAGTTGTCGATGCATGATCCCGGCGCTGCGCAGTAGAACCAGATGGGTGCAGTGTCATTCACCCTGACGTCGAAGGTAGGGCCCTGTGGTGTCATGCTGTCAATGGGAATGTTCAATACAGATGCAACCGTCGCCGACCTACATTATTGGAGACTGTGGCAACATCCTCGAAGCCAGAGAAGAAGCCGATCTTGTTCGGGCCGGTCATTTCGTAAGGTATGCTACGTCGACGTTAGAAATATCCAAGCCCCCCTAAGACCGGAGATGAGCACCTACCATGGGTACTTGTACTCCGACCGGACGACTGAATGCCCTGTGGGATAGAATCTGAACCCTTTGTGCAGCCATCGTGTCAGTGAGAGATGATGGGTGGGAGTGGGCACGGTTATGGCCTTACGAATGACATCCCCGACAGATGCCTCTGTTACTTGCGGGCTGAACTTGTGGCCCTCCTAGATGCTTGGTTAATATGGGAGCATCTTAATATCGTGATATGAGGTCCATACTGCGCCCACAGAGACAACGTATGTGGTTGCTGCGGAACTCGACGAGGACGTAGCCGAAGCAGTCCTGCTTGCCGACGAGCTAGACGGCGTCGAATCGGATTCCTCCGTGCTCTGAGCGCTTCCAACAGTAGCCAGGGCCGTCAAGCCCAAGAGTATCGTTGAGAGCATCATGTGGTCTCGTGCCATTCAACTCGAACATTCGAAGCCCATATGTCGTATACCACGAGTCCGTGACAGTGCAACTCGTGTGTGTAGATCAGTGAGGCGAGATGACAAAATTGACAGAGGAGACAGAACTGAACAGGGAGGGTTCAGAGAAATGAGATAATTACATGGGCTAGCAGAAGGGCGGAACAGCCGTAGGCATGAGTGAGCAAGGGCCTAGCAGTCCAAGAATAAGACGAAAGAGGAATCCTCTGGACCTCACTTGTTGCTGACCGCAGCGCAACCGGGGCAGACGTGCCAGCCAAATGTGGAAAATAGCAACACGACCCTTGGCTCATAAGCTGTCCCACCCTCGCTCAGCATTTGGCAGACAGCACTAGCTTCCGGCGAGTTTGCTAGCCACAGCAGCTCTCCACTTGTTCTGCTGCGTGTTGGCGCACCCAAAGGACCGAAGCCCATGATGTGCATCCTTCCCACGGTGCACTTGCCCTTTCTGGGTACCAACTTGGTGCAAGAGACTTTGGAGACGGGAGATAGCGTTGGTAATGACAAACCAGAAGCAACTGTGGCCGTTAGTATGGGGGTTATGCCATGGCGTGGCGTACTGGAGACATTGGCACACCGCCCGGTACGGCCGCCCTTCTCGACGCCTCCATGCTAGCATACAATATGGGAATCTGGGAGCCTGGGAACGGCCCGCGAGGAAGATAGCTTCGCCTCGCCTCGAACTTGGGGGAGGGGGGTACCGGGCTTCCAATGGCGTCTTGTATGTAGATGCATGTTGGGTTACAGTGCAGCAAGCGACGCCGCATCCAGCCGGTGGGTGTGTCCACCCAGGATCTAAAAAACATCGAGCCAATAGACCATCACGTGTAGAACTCGATGGAGCGGTGGGAGGTGGGAGGGCGAGGTGGTGGCTGGACTTGGGACTGGCAAGCCAGCCCTTGGCAGGTTGATGTCGTTGGGTGTCTTCGGATAAAACCGACACTTCATATCAGCAACATGTGAAGCGGGGGTGTTCTTTGTCCAGAACCAGTTTTTTCGGTGTAAAAGGACATTGCGAGGCGAGGCCAACTTTGTTGACCTGTCAGAATGTCTCAGGTATGCGTATACACCATACCAAAGAGCTGGGTGACGAGGGCTGGCCATGGCCGAAGCTATTGTGAGATGCAGGCAACGAGCCTCCGCACAATTTCATTGACGGCCGTCATCCGGCGGCCGAACAAGAGCAGCACCGTAGCAGCTGGCGAATCTGTGGTTGAGCCATCTACCTGAGCCGGGTGGTTAGGTTTGAGGTCGAAATAGATTGCGGCGCGGTACATTAGCAGCTTTGTTGTGGGGGGTGGGATCGGACAGGATTAGCTCGATTAGCTCGCAAGTAGGTCAGCCCTGCGCTGTGGTGGAACTCTTTTATTTCCAGGAGCCCCCTGGTCTTTCCCCTGCCTGGTCTCATCAGACACAACATCCGGCTTGCTCCCCATCCGTCTACAGAGATGCGAATTTGCAAATTCGTGTGCTAAGAGTCCTGGTGGCGAGAACTTGTGGCCCCCAAAGGAGGAGAAAGACAGAGGGGGTGGGGAATCGCAAATGATAAGCGAGGGTTGGAATGAAAGCCTTCCATCGTCAGCCGCAGTCCGCTGGCTTGGCATCCCGCGGCCCGTCCTTCGTCGAATCCTCCTCCGCGGTGATGCCACGTCCCATTCGCTAGTGTAGGGCGCAGCTTTCGGTCTCTCTCATGATACGAACTCGACCGAGCTTACATAACGTTGCTCGTGATCCAATATTGTCCTGCAAGTCTCTGAATCATCACCACGAGAGGGGAGGTAGGGAGGTAGGGAAGGGCAGTGAGACTGGCACAAGTCTATCTGGAAGACGCTCGGCTGTCAGGCTGTCAGGCTGTGTGCCAACTGCCCAAGGCTGCTCATAGACTTCTGAAGCTGCAAGTCCTCATGTAAAACCCGGCACTTGGCTTGGGTGGCCCAGAAAGGCGGCCGGCAGATGCTGCCCTCCGCCACAAAACCCCATTCCCGGGAGGACAGGCGGCCGAATCGACGGCCGCAGCGATCGCCGCTGAGACACCCGCTTGGCCTTTCCTCTCGTCTTCGAGTTGGACTGAGAGATGGATTCCCCAGGAGAAACACGAAATGACAGGTGAGACCCAGATCCAGCGGGGGGGAAAGCCCTTGTGCAGTGGGCAAAATGAGGGCCAACCGACCTGTAGGAAAGACCAACAGATAGGAAGTCGGCAATAAGCACTTCCAGAACCCTCGGCTGACCACAACAACACAAATGCGGGCGCACAATCATCAAATAGACCGCGGAGACTTCTTCCAAAAGCGGGTGCAGCCCACCCCCATGCCACTTCCAGAGTTCATCGCCGGGAGCCTGCTTGGTCCACAGCCCGCTTATCCAGCAGGCTGGGCCGACCGGGCGGCCGAGCAAGACCACCTGCCCCGCTCAGGATTCGACGTGTGGAAGACCTTGTGCCCGTAGGGCGTGCTCATGTGGTCCAGGCCTGCGTGCCGTGCTGGGCAGCCCAGTCGGTCCTGCTAGTCCGCCAGTGCGTGGCGCTGCGTGGCGTAAGCACGTTGTGCACCATCATCTTGATCCCAGTCCGCTCGCGTGCTGCATGCGGCATGCATGCAATGTGGACAAGGCTATCGTGCCGACGCCGTCATGTCATGCTGAGCGGTGGCCATCTGTGTCGTGAAGCCATGGGAATTGCCATCCGTGTGTTACTATCTGGGTATCGACTTTTCTCAACTTGGACTCGGACCCCGAGAAACGAGATCTGTAGTGCAAACACATATAGTACAGCAACTATATCTAGAAAGATGAGAACAAAATGAAAAACAAGTCTGGTATAATGCCACCGTGCTATGCTTTGTAATAAACACCCTGCCGCCCACATTTTATATGAGACCTGAAATAGAGCTTTGCCGTCCTGGAATATCGCACTCGGCTCGGCGTGCGCCTGCTTGCGCACATTATTGCGTTTTCTTTTGTATGGAAACGGATTTTCTGGGTAGGATCTGGGCTTCCACAACCAACCGGTAAAGGCACCAGAGATAGCAGAGACCGAAACCTGCCGCGCCGATGCCAACGTTGAGTACGGTCCACAGATCCGGCTTGTCCTCCGGTGGGGCGACAAAACTCTCAAGGACATGCCAAGCTGCCAAGGCGAGATAGAAGCCGCCATGCAGCAGGAAAGTGGCCCATTGTGTCAGAGCGCCGCTGCTGCCCTCGAAGTAAGCACTCAGAGATGTTGGCGGCAAACCGAGGAGATAGGCCCACAGCCCGGTGATCACGGCGTATGGTATGCGCAGGTCTACCCGCTGTAGCAGCGGGAACATGGTCCAGGCCCCGAGAATGTTCGCAAATCCAACCCATGCCCGGATATCCTTCCCAAGACCGTTGTTACCGGCCAAGAGCAGAGTCATGGGCATCAGCGGGAGGAGAACACTTTTTTCGTGGACCTGGAAGCTGAACAAAAAGAAGGCCCAGGCTGTAGCCGCGAACCCCAGCGGCAACAGCTCCTTCTTGGGCTTGAAGAACAGAATCAGGCAAGGGATCAGACTGAAGGCAAGGGTCATTGCCAAGGACGCCTTCTGCAAGAGCTCCGATGGATACTGGCGCAGTTTGATGACCACGTTCAGAGCGCACCAGAAGTTTGCGACCTTGTCCTCGAACAGCCCCCTGGCAAACGGGAAGACGCGGTGTATCATCTGGACAAGTTGCTCGATCACAGGCCAGTAGAAGACGTTGGAGTCGATGTAGTCCTCTATCCATTCGAATATTGGGAGGCGGGCGTCAGGTCCTAGATGCTCGGCTGTGGGAGAGGCGCCCTGGCTCTTATCATACAGTGCGCCGGCAACCAGTGGGAGGAGCAGGAGGGCAAATGAGACGACCGTGCCGAGGGCTATGGCCAGGAGACGAGTGATCTTGATCTCAGGGAAGAGACAACTTCCCAGAAGGAAGAAGAAGACCGGTAGGGCATAGTAGAGGGCCATTTGCTTGAAACCTAATGCGGCCACGAAGAACACGGATGACCAAAAGTAGCGGCCAGCAAGCATGGAGGACATGCTCGCTATGACGAAACCCAGCATGACCGTGTTATACTGGAAATGGATGTGGTCGATGAGTATGGTGCCAGGCTGCATGAGCACAGCGACCAGGGCAACGGAGATTGTCCAGTTGGACACACCCTGGAGCCTGCCGTACCTCCTCACGAACATGACCACGGCAGGGACGAAGATGAGGTATTCGGACACGATGACAGTAGCCCGCATGAAGATCTTCAGATTTGGATCGTGGATCCCTCGGGAGGTGTAGAGCGAAAACCAAGACGGGTTGATGAGGGTGCCAATCTTGCCGCACAACCAGCTGTGGTATGCCGTCAAGGGCGGGTAGTCGAGGCCCCACCATTGGAGGTCGTAGAAGTACCATGACGAGATGGGCAACTGTGTTGTGATTTCCATCCAGTGTCTCTGGGCCTCGTAGTCACCGAACATTGGGGGTTTCTCAAATCCTGCAGCAGTCGCACGAATTAGCGTCAGTGGGCCGTTTCTGCGATCCAGATTGGCAGAGGGGCTTCAAGGCCAGGCCGATGCTTACCAGAATAACCCCAGAGACCGGCTGCCCATCTGAACAGGCCAACTACCATGAGGATAAGCGGCAGTACCTCCCATTGTGATACCGAGGCTCTTGCTGGCCAGAGAAAGGCTGATAGTGGGAAGGACGGCGTCCTAACCAGAGTCTCGGCCTTTGAGAGCTGGAAGCCTTTTCCCTCGCCGTTCTTGACCTTGCGTCGAGGCTTGTGGTGACGGCCTGAGGGTGTTCCAGCCATTGGGAAGCTGTGGACTGCCGAGGGTGGTGAGAGTTGTGGCGGTCGCGATTGTGGTGCCCAATGCTGGGTGCGTGGGTCGATCGTCAGGGACCTTTTGTGGTGTAACAGACAGCTCGATCGGTTGAGGTTTCTGGAAGCTGTCCAGAAGCTCGAGCTCCCACAACCCTTGTAACCCCGGGATCGGCATCTTCCACCTCTCCGGCTACCCAGTGGGGCTTCAGGGGACTAACCGCAGGACTGGGGCATTCTCAAACCTGCCATGACATCAGCTACGTACCTAGGTAGGGCCCTACCCTTGGAGCTCTGTGGTTGCAGTCGACCAGCGAGCAGCCAGCACATGCATCACATTCCGCGACACCAGGCGCCAAGAAGCTTGAGCCCCTCAGTCCACCAGCTTGTGGTGGACGCCCTCGTTTGTGGTTTTGTCTGTTATTTTCTTTGTGTTGTCAGGTATGTCCCAGGCACAACCTATTTCTTCCGCACCCAATCTGATCAGACCCTTGGCAACTGTGAACTGTTGACTTGGACTTGTGCTGCTACAGACTTGACCCTCAAGATGCCCTACCCCTTTGTCCTTCCTACGACCTCAGCCTTCTCGTACTCGTCAAGCTTTACCTGTGAATCCCACCCCTCGCTCCCTCTCTCAGCCAGTACCCAACGTGGTGTCGTCCGAGATGTGCTCAAGAAACACAAGCGATCCTCCCCACAGTCGCAGAGCTCAAACCTGCCGACCATTGTCTCTGCCATTACGGGCTACCTCCCCTACCTTCTGGCCGTCGACTCGGGCCTAAACCACCGCACCATCGGAAACGGCCTCGAGATCTTCAGCATTATCCAGCGGTCCAATGTGCCCCTTAACATCGAGTGGCGGCCCTCGCTGGCTGACGTCTTCATCCCAGGCAGGAAGGAGAACGCAAGGGTCAAGATCCACAGCCTGGAGCATGAGGTAGCCTTCGTGCTGGCCACCCTGGGCTACACATACACCCTCCTGGCCCGCACAGCCCTACAGCCGCTCTTTTCCATCACGACCACCGAGGACCTCTACGGCATCGGCTCACAGCCCCGCCAGGCCTCCATAACCACCGCCACGAAGCACCTACTCGACGCCGCCAGCGCCTATGACTACCTCGCCCGCCGCGCCGAGCGGCCCCACAGCTCCCAGGTGTCCGCACCCCCCTGCGCGGACGTGTCAGCCGCCACGGCGCGGGCGCAGTGCGAGCTGGCCCTCGCCGAGGCGACCCTGCTCGCCGTGCTCAAGGACGACCCGTACCCGGCGGTTGTGGCGCAGGACCGGAACCAAAACGACAAGGAGTGGATGTACAAGGCGCCGGACATACCCAAGGTGCGGGCACACCTGTTTGCCAGGCTCTGTGTCGCCGCGGCGGAGCATGCGGCCAAGGCGCACTCGCTTTGCGCGTCGCAGGGAGGAGGGGTGTCTGTTGGCGGCGGCGGCGGCGGTATACGGTTCGGCAGCAAGAAGAACAAAGAGGAAGGGGACGAGGCAAGTGGCGGCGGGGGAGGAACCGCGGGGTCTGGAAAGCTGAATGAGGGCTTCATCAGGTATCTCGAAGACCTCCGGCGCACGAGCAGGGCAAAAGCATGCCGGTTCTTTGGCATTGACGCCGAGCTGGGCGGGCAGACCGGCAACGCCATTGGGTGGCTACATGCTGCGTACCAGGAGCTGGGCGTCGAGGTAAAAGACCCATCCAAAAAGTCCTCTGGGTTCGGCAGGCTCAAGAAGGAGTGGTCAGAGAAACGGGAGGACCGCCGGGTTGAGAAGGGCACGACATGGGGCTCGGACGCTGGTAAGCTGGAGGAGACGCGTGTGATTGAGATGCTGGAGGCCAAATGGGCCAAGCAAAATGACACGGTCAGTAGATACTCTACTTATTCCAAAAATTGGTTGCCTTCATCCAAGTACGCTTCCATCAAATTGCTGACAGTGCACGTCCCAGATATTCACCCAGGCTATTACCGCACCTGGCACTTTGCTGGCCCAGATGCCTTCAGCGCGCGAGATACACACGCTCAAGCCGTTCGATGTGCCCGTCTTGGACAATCTCACGTTGAACACGATGCGCGCCCCACCGGACCGCAGCGACGATTACGGGGACGAGAACAGCTCGGACGAGGAGACTGTTGTTGCCAGTAGGCAAGCTCCGGGCGCGTATCCCGGAAGCGTATCATCATATTACTGAGTCCTACTGAGTTCTAGGGGGGTTGGCCGAATTCTCGAATTCTAGTAGAGTTTGATCGAAATCTAGAGGGGTTTCGTCCAAAGCTGCTCCTTGTGCCACACGTTCCATCCTCTCCTTTGCCACGCGTTCCGTCTGCCGCCGTATCTCCGCTTGGCGTGCCACGCGATCCTTGAGTTCCCTCAGGTGGCGCTCGGTACACCTACACGACCACCACCTCGCTCCGCAGACGAAGCAGAACTCAGCGCCACACCGGCAGTGCATGCGGCGGCAGAAGCTGGTGTGCTCGATCATGGTGCCACACTTCCAGCACCTCCTCCAGCCCTCCCGGTCGGCCATCTGCGTCACGAGCTTCAGGTCTTGGTTTTCCTCGCAGTTGACCGGGTCATTGTGTGCGGCGCCCAGGCACTTCCTGCATGTAACGTGCCTCCGCTTGCATCGCGCCCTGTCGAATGGCTTGTCTTTTTCATCATCGGGGACGAATATCCCGCAGTCTGGCCATGGACAGTAGTAGCGCTTGTGGGAAGGGACGCTGTACTCGAGCTTCTTTGCCTTGTAGACTTTGCGCAGGCCACGAGGGATGTTCTTGAGGCACGTTGCCTCGTCGATCGGCCCGCAGCATTTGGGTGGCTAGCACGATTCTGACTGGAGGGCGTTCAGGACGAGCTGGCGGAAGCATCCTTTGCAGTAGGCGTGGCAGCTCAGCTTGACGGTTTTCCTGGCTGGCCGTTCTTCGTAGCAGGCCAGGCACTGGAATTTCATGACGATAGGTGGTACGGAGGATGAAGGACGGGGACGAGAGAAGACACGAAAGAAGAGATGGCACCGGCATACACCTAGAACGGGAGGCAGGAACCTGCTCGGGATGTCATGTCTTGAGAGGTTGGAAGGTACCACCTTGGGAGGTTCCCTCTTGACCGGGTAGGAAGATGGCAGGGTAAGTGCTGGCGGGTCGTGTCTTAGGGAGTTATCTCCTAGGAGCCTGTACTATAGAAGTTTACAATATAGAGCATGTCTCATGGGAGGGTGTATCATAGGATGATGATATCCCTATGGCTGCGAAGCGGTCACCCGAGCAGATCTTGTTAACTCATAGCCAGGCTGGACTTTTTCAGGTTGATACAACTTCATCGTATAAGCAGAGACGACATATTTGGTAGCTATAAGGAAATTCTAAGGATTGATATATTTATTGCTAGTTGAGATGGATTCGACTTCGATGGACAAGGGTTCACTGGTCTCAGGGTCCCAGTCCCCTGTCCCAGCTCTTGAACCTAGGGGGTGGGTCTAGTAATGACGTCCACCATTGGCCGGCCAATCCTCCAAAAACCTCTCGACCAACCAGCCCACCTCAACTCAACTCGATGAGATTACAGTACAACGCACCGGGAGCCGATTTGAACAAGCTCAGAGCAAGGAGTACCAGAAAGGAGTTTCACAATGGCTCGCCTGTCAGGCTTACAGAAAGAGGTACTCGGCTTGTACCGTCAATGCCTGAGAGAAACACGCAAGAAACCAGATGTAATTAACCACATCCATCCCTCTCAAGTGTTGAGAGGCTGAATGACACTCACTGACAATGGACTCATAGGCCTCCCGTAAACACTTTCAGGCTTTTGCCAGGTCCGAGTTCAACAAGAACCTGGCCATCGAGAAGCGCGATTTCGCTGCCATCGAGTTCCTGCTGAGGAAGGGGCGGAGGCAGCTCGAGAGCTACGCAGCACCTGGCATCAAGGACATCAGATGAGGACCTTGGACACCCGTGGGTGTTACGGAAGGAGTGCTCGTCCACTCCAGATCGCCCCCAAGCCGCTGTGGAAGGCCCCTTCTGGGCCTGCCACTGTTATTTTCTCTTGCAATGATACCAACGATACACCCATCGCCGCCCTAGCATGCCCCATCATCGGTAGTATTTGTCGGGTTCGCTTTACACCAAGGGACCTTTTTGGAATATGGACGATGCCTGCATTCAACTTATCTTAGAAAGGAAGTCCGCATGGCCGGCCCACCATCAAAGCCGCCTCATCCGCCTCCCAACCTGCGAATCCCTCTACCAAGGCCACTGAGGACGTCTTTAAGAGACCTCTCAGCCCACCACTCTCTCGACTCCGACGTGCACAGCAGGCTCTAGTCGGCCGACGCAAGCGCCGTGTCGTCAGCAACAGGAATAGCAAGGTCAGGGTCTCCTTCGCCCACTCAACGTCCTCCTCGGGCCTTCGCCCATCCGGTACACGCACTTCTGTCCACAAAAGGAACTCAAGAGCCGGCCCACGGGTCGGCTCAACGCAATGGATCGCCGGTCTCGATACACCTCGCCGACGTGACGCAGATCCAAGCCCACATGTGCAGTCTCGCCCCGAGATCAAGCCCGTCCAGCAGGATGTCGCTCCGACTCAGGAAAAGACGAACGACGCACCTGCGGGCCGTGCGGTGCAATCTGGTCGAAATCGGCACGAAGGGGAATTCTCTCTTATGCAAGTGCCACAAGCGCCCGGTCATTATGGTGTGTCTTTCACTTCCAGCGTAATGACATCGTGGGCTGACTTGAGTTTGGCCAGGAGCCTCATCCGAGAGGCAGCCTGAATATGCTCATGTCGGGGCCCTCGACGGTAGCAGCAGCACAGAGACAATAAAGTTTCCGAGAAACAACGCAAAAAGGCACGCTAGCTACGTCGCTCGCGCTCCTCCTCCCTCCCGGAGTGCCAGGCCTATTGGCAGACCTCGTCGACAAAACGGATATCCATCGTCTCGAGCGGTGGCAGACAACCGCATTGCAACTCTTGGTCCACTAGCCGAAGAATCGTTCAGCAAGGGACTGTCGCAGCAGGACTGCCTTTCGTGTCTCATATCGCCTACCAAACACAAGGCGCTGCCAATTCCACCTTCTGGGCCAGCCCAGACACGAGAGCAATCGAAGAACTTGGCCCGCTTCACAAAGCAACTTGAGAGGTACTCCTCTGCAGTCAACGCCAACGGAAAACCAGAGTTACCCCTGGTCACGCCTACGGTCTCAGACTCTCCGACGACTCTTGATACAGTGGCAGAGCTTCTGCCCTACCATAAACAGTTTAAAGCTGCCGGACTGGCTGTCACTTCTCGTGAGCAGATGCCAAGGGTCCCAGAGTCCACCGCTCAGCGGCGAACAGTTGTGAACAATCGAAACGGGAGAGATCAACCCGTGCAGTATGTACAAGTCGACGGGAGTACTGTTAGCCCATCGGAGGAGGAGGAGGAGTCGGTTCCTGGGGATCCAGTGGCTGTTTCTGGCCATGAAAGTGAAGCTGGCTCTTCTGAATCGCGAATGCAGCAGCAGGCCCCTAGCAAAGCAGGACCACCGATCAACAAAGCCTTACTTCCTTGGTTTCGCAAGACTGGCGGTCCCACCGCTGTCAAAAGCCACAGTAACAGGAAGTTTTCTGTCGATCATATTCATCCGTCTCAAGCGTCCGCGGCTGAGCCATATTTAACGCCTTCGGACAAATTGGGTATCATCGATGCATACTTTGACTCCCCGAGCCCGGCCATATCCCAAATCAAACAGCCGGAACCGAACAACACATCATCGTCTTCTTCTTCACCACCCCGCCGTGTCAGTTCGCCGGTCAACACGCCTCGTCGGAAAGGGCCGCCAATCGAGCGCCAGCCTATACCGTGGAGAAGTCCTCGTCGGCACATGAAAGACACATCACAATGGCCGACCGCAGGAGTATTGATACATGATAAATCCCCGTCTTCGGAAGATCACGCAAATGAAGGAGTCAAAATTGTCGCAGCGACGCAACAAGGGCCACCGGTGCCAACAAAGGATCCAACTCCTGGCCGGTCTCAGCTTGCCACGAAGACCGAGAGAGTCAGGAAATCTGCTGAGTCTGGACATGGACCCCCGATACCTCCAAAAGTGCCTCATTCCAAGCACTCCATGGTTACTCTTGGCGATCATCTCGAAGAGAAACCTGCGACACCACCCAAAGACTTCCCAGTAACGTCACCTCAGTCCCAAGTGACCAGCCATCACCACACTGGGCAGTCATTATGCAAGCCATGGTCCAGAGTGACAGTCCTGCGGAGGAAGTCGCACGCAAGACTCGCACCTGTACCAGCCACCATACAGGAGGAGACAGAGGCTACCGCGACCCAGTCAGGCAAACCAAATGCTACCAGCGCTCAGGATACTAGCACTGCGCCGCAGCTGCCAGATACGTGGACATGTGCGGTAGGGAGATCATCCTCCTTTGAGAAAGCGCTCGACGCAGTGATACAGAAGCTTGATGACATGGACGAGAGGAGAAAGTATGAAAGGAAGATCGAGCTCGAAGCTGCTCAACAGGCCGCTGCAAAGCTTGAGGCCTCTCAAGAGCTGGTGTCCAACTACGGGTCTCCCAGCGGCCAACGCTCGAGGCGTCAGACCGAAGAGAAGGTCGGATCCCCAGGAGAAGCCCCATCCTCAGTCACGAATGAGTCTGCAGCCCACCTGGACAGGGACATCGACGACAGAGATATTCTTCTCGGTTTGAAGATGGCCATCTGCGCCGCGTGCGACGAAGACTTGGACGCATGGATCCGCGACAGGACCGGCCTTCGCCTGCGCCGTTTCCTGGCGGATCTGAAGGCATTCGATGCCGTCTCCAGGGACCGCAAACCCCCAGCGTCGAGGCCCGCGCGCCGCCAAGTCCAGAGAACTCCCAACGAGGCGCGGCGGCTCAATGCCGAGCGGGAACGCAGAAGGCAGAGTATGAAGTCTAAAGGGTTGAAGGGTCATTGCTTTGGAGAGGATGGCTAGGCCTGGGTGATACTACGACTGGCCTAGGCTGGATACATGCGACAATAACCAGACGGGGGCTGCTTGGGATATAGCCGGTAATGTGGTCCAAGCCGTGCTTATGTATGTATATACCCGTTTGGGATTGCTGGACGCCATTCATAGTGGTAATATTATTACCTTTGGCTTTGCGTCACATTCTATTAACGAATTGGATGATCAACCGCTACCTACACGAACACATTGCTGCAGGCTGGTTCTATAGGGCCTGGACAATAAGTCATGCTTGAAGGGTAGCCGTCCACAGCGGTTATTCGCTTGGTGCCGGCCGTGAGCCGTGGATCTTAACTGCAGAAGCACTCTGCCGCTGACTCAAGTTCGCCACCACATGCACTGAGCCGTCTAGGCATCATGGAATCCTGCCTGCCAATGGCCCAGGCACATCTGGCTGGTGCTGGACCGCAGATCTTGGTCCTGGAAATGGTGTCCTCGTGATGACCCCTCAAGTCTTCCAAATCCATTGCCCCAGATCCATCTGCTTGGCCCACTCCAGCTCACCGATTGGAGAGCACTAGGTGACCGCTCAGCTGTACAATCAAGGGGCCTCTTCTGGAGCTAGTCTGCTGTGTACGACGTGTTTGACCGGGACAACGGCCCGCGGATCCGTAAGCACTGCTCTACCTGCCAAGCTCCACTTTACTGGACACACGAGACACAAAGGTAGACTAAGGATCATGATCACAACTGGGCAAAACGAACGCTTATGCTCGGGGTATATGCGCTGGATGAGATTGCAGGAAAATCTATAGAACCTCGACTGTCTCTGTGGAGCAGCCTCGGGCTCCCCCAAACCCTCGGTGGTCGGCCGGCGCAAGACAGTATCTAGGACCATCTATTTACCCTACGGTAGGTCGGAGACTGCCGTTTTGGAATGCGAAAACACACTGTCCCTCCCCATGCGGAAATTTCATTATACACGTATATGGATGTAGGAACAAACGCCCCTCCCAGCAAACAAGCAAGCAAGCAATGTAGCAGGCTTAGGACTTGCCCGTGAAGTGCTCCTCGTGGGACTCGATGGCGGCCTCCTTCTCGACCTGCTGGAGGTCCAGCTTCGCGACGGCGGCGTGGTCGCCGTCGATGATCTTGGCCAGCTCCTCGAGGGTGGGGCCCTTGGTCTCGACGTACATGAAGTAGACAAAGGCCAACTCGCCGGCGATCCAGCACTGTGGTGGAGAGAGTCAGCGGACTGTATCTCGTTGGACTTTGTGATGAGTCTGCACTTTGCATAGGGGATATACTTACGGTGTAGATGAGGTAGAGCTTCCAGGTGTGGGGCTCAAAGGCATCGAAGCCGAGAGGGTTGGCGTAGGTGTTGAGGGTGAGGGCGACCTGGACCGACAGGTTCATGATCATGAGACCCTTGGCACGCAGGTTGTAAGGCAGGACCTCGATGGCGTAACCGACCAGGAGACCGGACCAGGCCAGCGAGTAGAAGATGCCGAAGATCCAGATGAAGAAGATCATGGCGTACCTGCCACCCTCGGCGCCCTTGTCCTCGTACAGGCCGGTGCTCAGCGTCCAGCAGACAAAGGTGCCCAGCATACCGCCTGTGGAGGCGAGGAACGTTGGGCGACGGCCCAGCTTGTCGACGAACATGGCCATGGTGATGGAGACGATGAGGGCGAGCGTGGTCTGGCCGGCTGAGAGACCCAGCTTGGCGGTCGAGTCGGTAACTCCGGCGGAGTCGTAGAGCTTGCTCGAGTAGTTGGAGATGATGGCGTTGCCGGACCACTGCGAGAAGATACCGAGGGAGATGAGGATGGCCAACCTGTAGCGGTTGCCCTTGGTCTTGACGAAATCGAGGTAGCTGCTCGACTTCTTGGCCTCGAGCTCGAGGGCGATGGTCTCCCTGATCTCACGGTACTCGAACTGAACAGTCGGGTGGTTGACGTTGCCATTGGCGTGGTATCTGGCGAGGATCTCTAGGGCTTGGTCGTGCTTGTCTTTGGCAACAAGGTAACGAGGCGACTCGGGAACCCACCAGATGAAGCAGAGCTGGATCAACGATGGGAAAGCCTGCAGCAGGGCCGGAATCCTCCAAGACCACTCGCTGTTAAGGTAGTCTGTGCCGAAAGAGAGCCACGAGACGAAGAGCGCACCGACGTTCCAGAGACAGTTGTACACCGTTGTCAGACGTGCTCTGTGCTGAGGGTGGCAGATCTCTGTCAGAAGCGTAGGAGACGCCAGCTGCGAGAAGGAGTTTCCGAAACCCATGAGGAAACGGCCACCGATGAAGACACCAAGAGTGTTGCCGGCACCTTGCATGATAGCTCCCGCAATCATGATGACACAGCCGATAATGATAGGGGGCTTTCGGCCGAGGTGGTCGGCGAACCATGGAACAATGGCGATGGAGGCGACACTGCCGATCTGGTAGATTGCTCCGAGCAAACCAAGCATCGAGCCTTGCGGGTTACCGAAGTGCTATTCATTTCTTGGTTAGCGAATGCCCGTGGGCGATAGGACCAGAAACAGAAACTCACGTCTTTCCATGTCTCGAAGTTTTGCACACTGTTGAAGAACATGCCATCGTAGCCGGTGGTGGCGGAAGCGATACACAGGACGAAGGCGTGCCAGTAGAGCTTCCTCAGGCCGGGCTCCTTGGTCCAGCTCACACGCTCGAACTTGGGGGCCTCCTCCTGGGCAACAAGTGTTGCCTCCTTGTTGGGCGCCTCTCTCTTGAAGATACCCATGCTGACGGATCCGAAACTCAAGGCAATGGGCTAGGCGAAATCTGAAAGACTTGGGTAGGACAGAACTTCCGAGCAGCCACAGCGTGGTGTGCCCAGTGTCGTATGGCCAAGTGAAGTTGACTGATGGACGAGGACTCGGTGCGAAACGAGAAGGGGAGTGGGTCAGGAATATATAACAACAGTATATTCTACCAGGAACATAACAACCTTGTCCAGTCCCAAGGCACGTACGGGCAAGCGGACCGGCTACTCTGCATAAATTGGATCTGCCAGCCTAACGAGGATGGACCAGAGGGTAGCATCTTTACAAGTAGGGCCGAGACAGTGTGACCACTGGGCGAGGCTGGCCCAGCACCCTATGGAACTTGGGGTAGGCAGCCCGATGGGCTGGGATCATACTACACCGGCAGAAGTTGGATAAATGGAAAGGTGGGCCTACATGCTTGGAAAGGCTTCGACGACCAGGGTGCTCGGCCGCATCCAGCTAGGGCAAGATGGTCAACAGGCATTGCCCCTACCAGGATAAGGGGAATCCGGGGATGCTCATTTGTTGCCCATGGGGAAGCTGTCAGCCTCGACAGCTTGACCTGGCCTCCAGGGCCGTTGAGAACTGGTACTTTGTACCCACATGAACGCGCATGACCATTCAGCCATTGAAGGGACATGGCCCCAAACAACCTCGCTCTAGAGGAAGGGAAGAGGACTGACTGAGTGGCGTGCAGCCCGAGAAGAGATCAAGTAGCGTCCCGAATTGTGAGATGCCAATTGTGCAGGGCGCAAAGACTCGAAAAGACTTCTCGACATGTGCATGTATTGGGTGGACCTGCACTCGGCCGAATCCGTCCAGACGGAAGAGACAATGGCACTGTTGTGCTTTGCGCGCTGTTTCAACTTGATGGTGCCTACCTGACATACCTGCAGGCCGAGTATTAAATCCTGGCCGATCCCCATTAGAATCTTTCCAGAAGGCAAGACTGAGGATGTGGAATTGATGAAGCCCCCAGGACACGTCGATCCTCCTGCCGCCTGTCAGGGCTCCTATCGGAAAGTCGGCTCGCCTGAGCAGAAGGGGCCTTGGGGGCCACAAGTTGGCCCTGCGAGAGGTGCGAGACGTGCGAGATGCACCCGTCATAGGTGAACAAAAGAGTGGTAACAATTCCAATAACTCCAAGGCCTTGACCTCTGAGTGCCTAGATGTGCCAGGATTCGAGGCCTGCTCTGGGTTCCCGGGAGAAAGCAACTGGCGCCTGCTAGTGAAGGTTAAAGGCGCGCGCTTGCGGCGAAGTTGAAGATGTTGAACCAGAATTTTGGAGGTAGCCTTGGTACCGCAGTGCTGTAGCTCGGCCAAGAGGCATTGCAGCAATTCTTCCGCGTTGCCATTTAGCCTGAATTAAGCCCGACCCCTGGCCATACAGTGCCACCTGGGCCACCAGGGGTGCCGGGGGTTGGAAGCGATCCTGGCTCTTGGCGTGCTGGAGATTCGGGCGGGACGGCACCACCACCACGGCAGGACGGTGGACGGTCGGACAGGAGACTCGCCCATGTGACAGCGCAGAGGTCTTCAAGAATAGAACCACCTGCCACCGCACCGGACTCGGAGAGGGCTGCTCGGACCAGGTGTCCGCCGCCGAAAAGCAGGCCAGCCACGCTTCCCCCCCAAGAGCCAACAGACCAGTGCACAGGTGCCAATGCGTGCTCAAAGGTCGGCTGACGAGCTATCGAATGGTGTCGTTGCCGCAGATTCGGGCCCGTGGTCCGAGTCGTGGATGGGAGAGGAGTCGAGTCCACTCTGGATTGCGAGAATGACCTTACGAGATGGATTGATCAACCCAGTCATGGCAGGTGGGAACACAACATCCTCTTCCTGCTCCTGGTCTCTCTAGCTAGCTTCCTTGACCTCTCGAGGGAGGGTCGGTTGGGGCACAGGGCACGGCAATGTGATTTTGGTGGTATGGTATGTTGGCTCTGACTCGACCTGTCGGCGCACGTGTGCATGAGACAGCGAAGCCGGTGTCGAAGCAGTAAATTGTTTGTCGCCTGTTCGGGAAGTTTTTGGGGTGGTCGACCAACCAAGCGAAGTCAAAATAAAGTGCTGCCGATCCCACGAAGAAGCGGAGTTCGTCCCACTGCAGCCCGTCTCGTTTCCTGGGGCGAGATGGGGGAGCCTGGGGAGCTGCTGGGGAGCTGCTGGGGTTGCAAGCTGGGCCTGGGTGCACGGATCATGTCCCTCGCCATCTTATCCCAGCTTCAGAGGAGGGTGCAGCTCCCGCTCCGCCTGAGATAACGAGACGCGTCTTCCGAAGCTACTGCACGCGTTAAGCACCTGTGGCGCCAGAGAACCAGCGTCACCAGCCAGTCAGCCAGTGATGTTCAGGATCTGACCATCATGGCGGGCCCATCCAAGAATCCTGAGAAGAGGCAGGCATCCCTGACCAGCTTTTTTACCCCAAAGACCGTCAATGGCCTCTCACAGTCCATCCAGAGGAACCGCCAGACCCAGGACCAGCGACCGTCGCCACCTGGGCGCGATGTCGCCGACGGCAGTCCATCTTCCCGCAAACGTCCTCTCCAAGAAGACACAGATCATGGAAATGACGCACCCGAAGAGCCCTCCCTGAAGCGTGCCAGGTCAAAAGACCAGTCGCCGCAGCAGATCGCTCTCTCGCGCAAGCCCTCTTCCCCTCGGCTCGAGACATCGTCCACCGCGGTCAAGGCTACTACTGCCCGAGCAGGTCGCTACGTGTATGATGAGTCGCGACCGACCAATGGTGGAAATGACCCTCAAGATGATGATGCGAACGAGGATGCAGCTTCGCAGCGGCGGAAGGAGGAATTACATCGGAAATTCGTCAAGAAGCTCGGACACCCAGACAGTATGGTCATGATCAAGCGCCGGAATTTCCAGATAGACGATGACACAGCCGCATTGGACGAGGAGGCCGAGGATGGAGACGATGCTGCCGAAGAGGAGGCAGCTCGACCCGCCAAATCAAACAAGAAGAAGGGTGCCAAGACCGGCAAGCTTACACCCATGGAGATCCAGTTCCTGGACATCAAGAGGAAGCACATGGACACAGTTCTCATCGTAGAGGTCGGCTACAAGTTCAAATTCTTCGGCGAAGACGCTCGCATTGCTGCAAAAGAGCTGAGCATCGTCTGTATCCCCGGCAAGTTCCGGTATGATGAGCGTAAGTAGTACTCGGCCCGGGCTGCTCATTCTAGTGCAATTTACTGACTGTTTTCCAGATCCTTCCGAAGCCCATTTAGACCGATTCGCTTCTGCAAGCATTCCAGTACATCGCCTCCCGGTTCATGCGAAGAGACTGGTAGCGGCCGGGCACAAGGTTGGCGTTGTCCGCCAGATCGAGACAGCAGCGCTCAAGAAGGCGGGAGACAACCGCAATGCGCCCTTCGTTCGCAAGCTCACAAATGTCTACACGAAAGGAACCTACGTCGATGAGCTCGGAGAGTTGGATCAGTCCACGAACAAGGAAGGCAGTGGCGCTCCGGCAGGCGGCTACCTGCTCTGCATTACCGAGTCTCAAGCCAAAGGCTCCGGTACTGATGAGAAGGTGGACGTGGGCATGCTGGCCGTCCAACCAGCCACCGGAGATATCATCTACGACACCTTCGAAGACGGCTTCATGCGCCGCGAGATCGAGACTCGACTTTTGCACATCTCGCCTTGCGAGTTCCTCATTGTCGGTGACCTGACCAAGGCTAGCGACAAGCTCCTCCAACACCTCTCTGGAAGCAGTACCAACGTGTTTGGGGACCGGAGCCGCATTGAGAGAGTCCCAAAGGGCAAGACTATGGCCGCCGAGGCCTACTCGCATGTGACACAATTCTATGCCGGAAAGCTCAAGGACAACGACGAGCGGGCTTCGTCTCTGCTCGAAAAGATTTTGCACCTCCCAGAAGCCGTCACCATCTGCCTGTCGGCAATGATCAATCATCTGACCGAATACGGTCTAGAGCATATTTTCGACCTGACCAAATACTTCACCTCGTTTTCTACGAGGACACACATGCTTATCAATGGCACGACGTTGGAAAGCTTGGAAGTCTACAGGAACCAGACCGACCATTCAGAAAAAGGCAGTCTCCTGTGGGCAATCGACAAGACCCGTACAAGATTTGGGCAAAGACTGCTGCGAAAGTGGATTGGCAGGCCCTTGCTTGACAAAGAGCAGCTTGAGGAGAGAGTGGCAGCCGTCGAAGAGTTGCACGAGAATCAGTCCAACTGGAGGGTTGACAAGCTCGAGGGCCTGCTGACAAATATCAAGACGGATCTCGAGAGGAGTCTCATTCGTGTCTACTACAACAAGTGCTCCCGGCCAGAACTCTTGAACACGCTGCAAATACTGCAGAAGATTTCTATGGAATTCCCCAAGAGCAAAATCAAGACACCCGAGGATACAGGCTTCAAGTCCACACTGCTGAGGGAAGCGGTCTGTTCTATACCACAAATTGGCGAGGTGGTAGTTTCTTTCTTGGAAAAGATCAACCCAGTAGCGGCCCGGCAAGATGACAAGTACAACTTCTTCCTCGAGTCGGAAGAGACGGACGACATCACAGAACACAAGCTCGGCATCGCGGCGGTGGAGCAGGAGCTGGACGCCCACCGGGCAGAGGCAGCCGCCAAGCTTGGGAAGAAGACACCGGTATCGTACGCCACAGTCGCGGGGATCGACTACCTGATCGAAGTCCCCAACACCGACCTGAAGAAGGTGCCGGCCTCCTGGATAAAGATCAGCGGCACCAAGAAGCTGTCCCGCTTCCACACCCCCGATGTTGTCCGCATGATCAGTGAGCGCGACCAGCACAAGGAGTCGCTGGCGGCCGCATGCGACCAAGCCTTCAAGTCGCTGCTGTCCTCCATCGGCGCACAATACCAGCCCCTGCGCGATGCCGTCTCCGCCCTGGCCACGCTCGACTGCCTCTTCTCGCTCGCCCAGGTAGCATCCCTCCCGGGGTACACCAAGCCAACCTTCCTCCCATCCTCGACCCCTCCCACCGTCTCCATAACAGAGGGCCGGCACCCAATCGCCGAGCACACCCTCCCCAACGGCTACATCCCCTTCACCGCCTCCCTCTCCAGCCCCTCCCCCCTGGCCCACCTCATCACAGGCCCCAACATGGGCGGCAAGTCCTCCTTCGTCCGCGCCGTCGCCCTCCTCGTCCTCCTCGCGCAGGTCGGCTCCTTCGTGCCCGCCGGCTCCATGTCCCTCACCCTGATGGACAGCATCCACACGCGCATGGGCGCCCGCGACAACCTCTTCCGCGGCGAGAGCACCTTCATGGTCGAGGTGTCCGAGACGGCCGCCATCCTGCGCTCCGCCACGCCGCGCAGCCTCGTCGTCCTCGACGAGCTCGGCCGCGGCACGTCCACCCACGACGGCGCCGCCATCGCCCACGCCGTGCTTGACCACGTGGTCCGCGAGACTAAATGTCTGACACTGTTCATCACCCACTACCAGAACCTCGCAAAGGTCACCCAGGGCTACGGCGGCCTCGTGAGGAACGTCCACATGCGCTTCACCGCCACTAAGCCCAACACCGCCGCCGGGAACGGTGACGGGTCCGACAGCGGGGCCGACGATGGGCCGGATGCTGATGAGGACATCACGTTTTTGTACGAGGTTGCTGAAGGTGTTGCGCATCGGTCCTATGGGCTGAACGTCGCAAGGCTGGCCAGGATCCCGAAGAAGGTGCTGGAGGTGGCCGCCAAGAAATCGAGAGATCTGGAGGACGAGATCAAGTCGAGAAGGCTACGCGGCGTCGTGTCTCTAATGAGTGACGTGCTGGGTGGGAATGTGAACAATCAGGTCATTGACCAATTGATCTCTGGTGTAGAACAGCTATAGCTTACAATAATGGCCAGGAACGCCCATGTGTGCAAGTTGTTATCGCTTCAAGCAAGGTTTGCGACCACGAACCTGAAAGTCACGGATGTTAAAAGCAACGCAATGTGTGTTATTGAAGCGAGTGGCTAATCTAAAACCCATCTGCCCTCAGACGAGAACCCACTGAACCGCCAAATCTAAACATGACTACCCATAGAGGGGTAGGACAAGGCTCGTGGCCAGACCAAGTAGATTGGTGCCGAATGCAAGGCCCCAAAGTGGTCGCCGCGGCGTTGTTCCACGCAATGCCCAAATTGTAAACGCCATTTCCGAAGGCGAAAAACTCCTGATCCCCAAAAAGATGAATGCCCTATGTAGGCTGTCGCTAGATGAAACAAAGGGGCCGGCCGAGCACAATCCATGATGAGGGTATCTTGGAAAAGCACCAGCATTCTATTTGAACCCATGATGTGATGCTGCTGCGCTTCAAATGTGGCTGAGCATCTAAGAACCAATTCGCAGTCGCCATGGGACAGGTATGCCGTGTAGATGACTAATGAATATGCCACTGCCGATAGCGAGACTTGGTTTGTCGAGTCAACCGTCTGTGAAGAAGCAGCTTGGGCACGATTACATGTTAAACTCGTCATGCTGACCGTGGCCAGGCGGGAAGGCAGGTGCGGATCCCAGGCCGCCAAGATCAGAGCCGTTCATGGTCTGGAAAACCGGAGTCGCAGGCTTCGGCACCTCGAAGGAATGACCACCGTAAAGGAAGGGGTAGTTGTCCTGGCGCTGCAAGTAGAGCGGATTGAATCCACTGGCGCCTGCCTGCATAGAGAGGCGATTCTGAGGAAAGTAGCCATGCATGGCGCCGTGATGGTGCACGGGGAAAGCCATGGTATCATTCTCTTTCATGCCCAAGCCCGGGAAAAAGCTCTGGGCTTGCCGTGGATAGAGTGAGGCTGGCGTCATCAAGGGTGTGTTCGACGGGAGGGTGTTCATGGCGTGTCGAAAGGAGAGATCAAAACGGTGGCCAGGAACGGCCCCAAGGGCGGCCTCGGATATGTCTACCAAGGTTTTGTCAGTTTTTACCGGAACGGCTGTAAAAAGGCCCCAAGGAGGTAAACATGGTTGACATACCCTGCCTGACCTGATGGTGGTCCTGGAAAACATCGCTTGCTGAGGCTCCATCGACGGCCTCCTCCTCCTCATCATCATCATCATCGAGACGATGACCAGAGTCATCCTCAGATTCCAGTCCCCCTTCGAGCTTGATGTTCTTCTTGGCTTGACGAGCTGATCGGCGCCTGCCGACCTTGGCGTTGTTGGCTGCACGTGTGACTGCTCTAGTCTGTCGACGAGGGCCAGCGCTTGCCAAGGTGGGCAGACGGCTGCGACGCTTCCTGGTCGTAGAAGGGACCTCGTCCCTGGAATCCTGAGCCATCTTGTTAGAGTTTGACGGAACAAGTCAGTCGGGTGAAAGAGCAGAGGACTTACAGGACTTCCGTCGATTGAAGGGCTGTCATAGACGTTCCTCGTCCTAGTAACCTCAGACATGGTGATGTCCCAAACCTCCTCATCCATGCTGATCGAGGCAGAAGTCATCTCCATGTTGCGAATCACGGATGCGTCCTTCTTCTGGTTGCGCTTACGCTTCTGGAGTGGAGTTGCTGCATCGAAAAGACCCATGCCAGGATAAACGGTTCCTTTGAGCTTCGATGCGTCGTTTCCATCATCAATGCCACCGATGGAACTGAGCAAACTGGTATTTCCGGTATCCGTTCCCGACTGCGAGGTCTCTTGCTTGATGTATGCGGAGCTCTGGGGGGAGTCGGGGAGTGGATAGGTACTGTGGTCTATGTAGGAAGGAGTGCCGTAGAAAGTCGCGAACGAGTTGTCGCGGGGGGCATGGAGGTGCCAAATATTTGGATTGGGATGCAGAGGCGCGAGTTCCAAATGTGCACCAATGTTGTCATTAGCCTCAAGCTTGACATCCATCCCTGTCTCTTTCTGCGCCCTGAGTAAGCAAACAAACTGGACAAACAACTTACAACACGCGACATTTACCTTGATACCTGCCATTCTCTGTCTCTTTGCAGGCTTCTTCAGCTCCTTGGCTGCAATGCGATTGGCGACCAGCTTTTCCACACCATTGTTGTCGCTCCATAGCTTGTATTGATCAAGGGCATGTTTGTCCTCAGCCTTGCCTGAGTGCTGTAGCTTGAACTGGGCTGCCAGGTGGGACTTGGAGGAAATGTGGGTTAGTAGGTGAGAGATGTCGGAAAATTTGGGGTGCTTTGGGCAAAGCAGGCAGATCAATGGGATTGAGGAGGTCGGGTCCTCGCCCTTGGCCACAGGCTCTGCAGCAGGCTGGACAGGGTCCATGGTAGACTGCATTAACTCTTGTCAGCCAGGCTTTGCATCTTTGTGGTAGCTATCCTCAGACTTTTGATGCTGAAAGCAGTAGAAAGTCGGGACGGAAACCAGGGACGAAAGCCATGGGACGAAAGCCATGGGACGAAACCAAGATCAAGCAAAATACCAAGAGGGTGAAAACCAACCAAGAAGGACGAGGCTGAGGCAGCGACACCACGGTCCCTAGGGCTCCAGAAGCTGAACCCAATGAATGTAGTTCAACGAAGGACTGGCAAAAGCAAGAGCAAGGAAGCAAAAATGGGTGACCAAAGGAGTGGCAGTGGGGTGTGACCCTGAGGCAGTGGTGGTGGGACGACAAGGCGCTGGGTGGCTTGAAGTTGAGTGTTGTAGTCACGGAAGAGGAGGAAGGACTTACATCGTGGAAGTTTGAGCTGAAGGCGTTGGATGGTGCAGCCGGGAACTGCGTGGGCAGTTCGAATCTGAAGGGGGCGGGTGTCGCACCTGCCTGGTGGAAGGCAAAGCCGCTCGTGGGTGAGGGGATGGTGATGTGGCCACGGAGGCGAGGCATTGGCAGGAACGGGTCGAAGATTGGAACACCATTGCCAGCCCAGACGGGCTGGGAGTTGTAGTCAAGGTAGCGCTGCATTTGAGCACCTGGGCAGGTAGGATGGGGAGGGTGGGAAGGCTACTGGGTAGTGGGTGGTGGGTGGTAGGTGGAAGTTGGTCAGTGAAGGCTGGTCGGTGAAGGCTGGTCGGTGGGCTGGCCGACGGGCTGGCCAACTGGGTACCCGGTAGGCGGTAGGCTGGGCAGGTAGGATGGGAAGGGGTGGTGGGTGGTGGGTGGTGGGTGGTAGGTGGAAGTTGGGAAGGAGTGAGTCGGTTCTCCCCTCGAGCAGAGACGCGAGTTCCTTGCTATCCTGCTCTGTTTGTTCCTGAATTCTCCCCTGCCAGTCTGTTTGGATCGCCGGTGTTTGAAGTAAGCAAAGCAAAAGCGCAAGCCCCAGAAACCCGATCAACCGTCTCCCAATTTCGGCGCAGCAGGATGGACATGGAAAAATGACGCGAGTTCCGTGCTGTCCTGCTTGCTTGTTTCTGAATTCTCCCTTGCCAGTCTGTTTGGATCGCCGGGTTTCCAAGTAAGCAAAGCAGAAGTGCAAGCCCTAGAAATCCCATCAACGGTCTCCCAATCTGGACGCAGCAGGATGGACATGGAACAATGTCCAGCCAATTTTTGGTGACCCTTGCCCAGGTAGGTGATTTTGATGAGAATTCAAGGTGGTTTAGATGCCTGCCATGGGATCCTGAAAGATGTTGTTGATAGGTGGTAGGTTGTGGGAGGTGGTGTGTGAAGCGATCATGTGTGAAGCGATCATGTGTGAAGCGATTGTATGTGAAGCGATCGTGTGCCTTTAGGATATAAGCACCACCTAAGAACAAAATTGCTCTAGGAGGTGAGCAAATTTAAAGATGATCTGGGTGTGGTGAGTTTGATATAAAATAATGTTTAGCTTAGATATATATATATATATATATATTTATATAGTTGTGGTTTTACTTCTATTCTATATATGTCTAAGGATATATATAGTGCCTTTATATAGTGGAAGGATTAAAGTAATGTCTGGAAGATGAGGGAGTTAGGTGATAGTAAGTGAAAATAAGTCGACTAAGTTGGGTAAGTGTGGATATTCCTTGGAACTTCTACTGTGACCTTAGGAGCTCTAGAGAAGTAAGTAGAGATAAGAAAGAGAGTTAATTACATTAAAAAGCACCTTCTGATTCCAAATAAGCTGACCACAAATATGCATGTGGTTAATTCAACATGATAGAAATCATTTCTATTGTAATCCGAGAGGTCCTGAAGAACTGTCATGGAATTTATAGCTGGGAAGACGGAGGTGTTGTGTCATATCAGCCCTCTCTCAAAGCATCACACTTAATGGCGATGTGCAGCCACCAACACTGAAGCAGCAGTATGGAAGCAGAGCAAGGTTGAGCCAAAGTGTTCAGGCAGTGAGTAAGCAGAGTTTGTTCTCACCAGTCAGCTAGAATATGAGCCACAGATGAGAATTAATCTTGAAAATATCCCGGCTGCCGGAGCCCTGGAGCTCAGCGAGCTGGACCTCAAGTGCTTTGTATTTGGAAGAGCGATGCTGGGCAATGTCAATTCAAAATGAGAGCAACTTCGAGATCTACTACATAGGAAGCAGGGGGGAGGCGAGGCAGATTACCTAGGTACCTAGGTAGTGTTTGGGCGACTTTCAGTTGTGTTGACGATCCTAGTCAGTGGCGCTGTCGGCAGCGACGCTTCCTAGCCTTGTCTGTGAGGCACGAGGCTGAGGTAACATCCACGGGTGCCCGTAGACTCAGTGTATTCTCTCTAGCATCGTGTTTTTCAAGTGGTTTCGTTCAATGTTCTTGATTAGTACCTCAGTATATACCCCAAAGGTGTACTCTCCCTTGACATAGTGGTAAATATTCAAGATCCTCCTGGAGTAGTTTTATTTAAGTTCTATATAGCAGTCTTCCAGTAAGGAAAAGGAAGCTTGCATGTGATTAGTGACATACTGGTGAGAAGGAGATGTAAAATGGCGGGGTAGCGAGGCTGGTGCAGTCTGTTGTGGTCTACGTGCTGCGTGCCAAGGCATCGCAGTGGAGGAGCTTTGAGAGCATTGCTTTGTGTCGCGGGGAGCGCGGTAGTAGCCTTGGATAATCTGCTCTGATCGAGACCCCGCGCCCTAAGCTTTCAGATTTTAAAGGGTTCTATCTTGGAAGATGATTGTACCACTAGCGTCAGGAGTTTGGTTTGGATGATTTGGATGTGAAACTCCGGACGAAAAGTGTGAAAACTCTTGTGGAGCCTTGAAAGGAGTGGGTGTGTAAGTACCTACCTAGGCACCTAGATGTAAACTTAAGAAATATTGAAGTTCTTCTAATACAACTTAATAGCTATTATCTTGGGATACCAAAGAGTTTAAGGACGGCTTGGCTATCTGTTGACTATAGCTGTTGTCACCTAGGTACTGGTAGTCACATGCGGCCGAGCTCTCTGGGGCTGTTGGCTCGGCAAGCATGGCATTGGTACCTAGGTAGTCATTTGGCTGCCGATCACTCCCCCATATCATAGCAACAAAGGAAATTAGTATGGCCTCTTGGGATGGGCGAATCTGGTGACGGCTCCATTTTCTTTGATGCTGGTACCGTATCTTGATCCAGTCACTGCCCGGCTTGGGAGACTGATGCATGGGCCACATGAGGAGAGGCCGGCAGGCTGGTCCATCTCACGGAAGTTTCTAGCAGTCCCGTGTCCTCTCAGACCAGATGAGTGGCTAGAACCTCGTTTCTGTGGTGAGTGACGTGGGGTGTGAGCATTCCATCGCTCTGTTGCTGGGTGCCGATCGCCCCGCTAGGGACCTGCCAGTGCTCGGTTATGAGCCCTGGATATTCGTTTTGTTGGCAAGTCCCGAATTTCACTGAGTGACGCAGACTGGCAGACTGGTTATGATCTAGCTGCAAACTCCGTAGTTGTGCGTCTCGTGCGCTACCTGATTGCATCGCTCGACGCTTAACCCGCTGCGTCTTGCAGATCTCTGGGCTGGGCAGGCCCGAGCCGAGGGCTGGCCTTTCGGTCCTCATATAAGGAGCTCAGACGTGCCCAGACCTCGAACCTGAAATCAGGCCCCTTGATCACTGGTGCGAATCTCACGATGTTGATCTCCTGGCTCCTGGTCGTGCTCGGTGGACCGTGTCTGCTGGGGCTCACTGCGGCACAAGTTCCTCCACAATGCGGTGTCAGTACATCTGACGGCCCCAGATGAGAGCCAAGTAAATTACTCTGGGTTCTCTTGATGCTGACTGTGAAGTTAGGTAATATGCACAACCCAGGCTTTGCAGCAACCGGAGTACTTCGGTAAGACTCAGCCGGAACTTTGTGCGGACCCGGGATTCGGCCAGCTTGTCATCGGCTGTGTAAAGCAGGATTGCACGGTGATAGAATCCTTATGTGAGTACCCCCGGAAGACTGGGCAACCTACAGATACGATTCAGCACCAATCGACTCATGCGTCCGGTGCTGACATGTTGCTGAGCGTTTGTCAACTACACGAGAACAACATGCGGGCTACCGTCACGGGATCGCCGCCATTCTGTCCGCGTGGTGACCCTGGCCATGTTTGCCCTAGCCACCGTCTTCTTCATCGTACGGATGGTGGTGAAGTTTTTGAGATTTACGAAGTGGGGCCCCGATGATAATTGGTGACAGCGTCATTTGTACGTCTGCGATTTCATCTCTATCAACCTTGGAAGCTGGGCGATACCTAAACGAAGAGTCTACACATGATGACTGACTTTTGCACAGATATTGCTGGTCCCATTCATAGTTCTGACCCAATTGTGTAAGCCTTAAGAACGGGCCAAGTTGTGAAGCAGCCTTCTGACAAATTTCGTTCAGTGATTCCAGAAGGGCTTGGTTTGCAAATTTGGGTACTCAGCGAGTACCAGATCACAGAATTTCTCAAGGTGCGTCATCCCAGTCCGGTCATTTGCGCAGTCCATCGCGTTTCAACGCCTGCCTGACATATGACAGATCCTCTTGGCGGTCCAAGAGCTCTATATCCTCATCATAGCAATGGTAAAGGCATCGATACTGGCCTTTTTTCTCAGAATCTTCCCCGATGAAAAGTTCCGAAAGGTGGTCTGGACCACACTCTTCTTGACCCTGTTGGTGGGCGTTCTCTGCTTCATACTTGGTCTGGTTCAGAGACAACCGACATGGCTGATTTGGGAAGGCTGGAAGGATAAGGTGCCACGCGGTGTCGTTGTCGATTTGAACAACCTGGGCTTGGGCCACGGTGGTGTGAATGTCGTACTGGACGCGTGGATGCTAGTCTTGCCGTTCACGCAGCTGTACAATTTGAACCACCCGCTGCATAAGAAGCTCGGTATCTTCGCCATGTTTGGTGTTGGAATATTCCTCACGATTGTGGGCGCCATCCGAGTCCACAACCTGTCAACGTTCGCGACATCTGAGAACCTCACCAGTACGAGCCCTGTCCCCACTCCCATCTTTCATGGGCAGGAAATGCTAACAAAGGGTCCCATCTCGACAGATGATGTGCTGGAAACCGTCATCTGGTCTTGCATAGAAGTCTGCGTGGGTATCTCGGTGGCCTGCATGCCACACGCGCGCCAGCTCTTCCGTGAGGCCTCGAGGAAGCTCAAGCGCGCTACTCGGCCCAACAATTCAATGGAGAGGCCTGGGAGACTGCACTGGAGGCCACCCCGTGCCTTCGGGGGCGAGTCGCTCGAGTCCGGGACTGCTGTCGGGTCTGCCGCCTCAGGCCCCGGCGACAAAAGCTGGAGCAGCTCTGTGCTGGGGCAGGAGGGTTACACGACCACGACGTGTACTAGTGACCGGCTGCCTTCGAGCTTCGCGAGTGAAGCAACCACGCGTGTTGGGTCGGTCGGGCAGGCACTGGACGGGGCTGCGGCCTCCCAGTTGAAACCAAAAGGACTGGGTGAGAAGATGAACAACGAATGGTGAAGATGGGAGGAAATGGTCATACGAGTGTTTTCGGTGGTTCTCTATCCAAGTCAGTGGGTGAGAGCACACCAGTCCAGATCTAGGTGCTGGTCTTTTGGCATGGACCTTGATATGGACGAGGTCAATCAGTGACTGATCAAGGCGTAATTCTGGAAGGTGTTGGTCTGCTCATTCGCATAAGACACAACCTCACGCTGCAACCACATGCTACTTGGCAGATGTCAAGTTGCAATAAGCAAGAGGTCATCGAACATTCATTCGATTTCCAGGTGTGGTAAAATCCAAGGAATCAAGCAAGGGTCTCTGCGTACGAGTTTATGCTGCTGCTCGCCCTGCCAAAATGGTGTTTGTCCCATTAGAATAAACCCACGGCCCACTCGAGTGATGTCTCGTCTGCATGGCACAAGCATCAAATTGCAATTCAGCAGGGACGAGCAACCCTGGGAGCGCTGCGGGTGGCCCGGAGAACAGGGGTTTTAGGCACCTGGATCAGGTGTGGTCAGTGGTCACAGCCTCAGCCCTAGACCAGTCAGTCCCTGCCAGTAAGCTGTGCGCTGCGGGAGGCCCACAACTTCTCCCCGCCCTGGCTCAACCACGGCAGCATTCTGAATCCTTCACCCAAATCCTCCACCCAGATCCTCCACCCAAATCCTCCACCAAGGCTCAGCAGAGGCCGTGGATCTTGGTCAGCACGCACTTCCGTCCTGCCCTGACGTCTGGGTACCAAGCAACTACCAATGTCTCCGAAATGAGCGGTGGTCTCATCTCACCCGCCCAGGGCAGACAGGGCAGACAGGGCAGACAGGCCGTGGCGAGATTGCCGACTTATCCTCGCCAGCCATCAGAGCCATGCTGTCAGATGGAGCGCTCCTCGCTCTTCCGCACCAGAGACCCGCCCGGGCGGCAAAAGATCCGAGAGACCACCCAGTGGTGGGGATTCAACTCGGCTGCGTCGTGTGGAGCAAAACATGCCAAAGGATCAGTTGCCGTTGTTGCCTGCGCACCGGTTTTCAGGCGGTTCATAAGGATGGAAGGCTCGCTCTCACGAGGGCTCTGCGCCCAACCGGCCGGTGTTTTCAGCCTCTTCTGATACTGAACACGCTTGCACCCATCAAGGACAGGGTATCAGGCCTTTCGGATTCGAGCCGAGGAAATCCAGTCAGATGTCCTTCTGGCTGCGGCACATCTGGCTCTCCTCCATAGCGTCTTCTGGTCCCCGCCCTCGGACTTAAGATGGATATTCCAGCGGCATCCACAACGTCGGACGACTTTACATTCGAGCTGGCAAAAATCCCACAAGATCCCTTCCTCCCGCAGGGCCTACTCAACCGCCCAGCCTTTCTCGATACGCAAGCCTGTCTCTGCGCCTACAGACAGACGCCTATTTCAGACAGCAGCGCCGCGGCATGGGAGTGCATAGGAAACCAGACGAATGGGATTGATGTATACACAGGGGGAAAGTGGTTCAGGCCGACACACAGCGCCGTCATCTCCAGACAAGACGTGACTCTTGGTCCAATATGGGACGCATCCAATGGACCTGATCTCAGCACGCCATTGGTCTTCGACCGCGAGCAGGATGATCTCGTCACAGTTGGCGACTCGAGCCTCAGCCCGTACGACGCCGCTTGTACCGGCGTGAACCACACTAGGTTCTCTGAGACCTTCTACCGCGCGGTCAACCAGCGGGCAAACCACGAGACTATGGTCGACGCCGCGCCATGTAAGCATCACTTTTCACCTTTTACGGATCCCCGTCTTTCACCTTTTGGAATATTCTAGAATGCAACACTTTAGGACCCGTAGCAGGACTAACTTCACCACTAGGCTATAGAAGCCCCTATGCTGTTCCACTGCAGATAATGGGCCTGGAGAAGTGGCTGCGCGAGGGCTGCAAGGAGGGTTTCTTGTGTGGGTAAAAGGCCCAGTTCTGACTTCGCAATGGTAAAACTAACTAACTCGCCTTCAGGTCGGAACAACACAGTTAACTCACTACCACAATACTGCCCACCCCCTGACGTATGCCAAATATCAAGAGCAGCAGGTATGACCTGTCAGATCTGGCATGAAAACACCGGTATGGGGCCGTTCGAGCCGGTCATCTGCCAAGGCGGGTTCTATTGCCCCAGGGGTGGCATGGAGAAGTTCAAGTGCCCGGCTGGGCATTACTGTCCCCCTGGCACGGCACAGCCAACGCCCTGTGCCGTCGGCAGCGCCTGCCCCGCTGGGTCTCTATCCCAGCGCTTCTATATCCCTCTCGCGGTATTGATGATCTTCGACGTGTGCCTGATAGTTGGGATGCTTCTTCTCACAGTCCGGAAACGTGCCAGGAGAAGCTCAGGCGTTCATCCCTCTACGGCTGGAAACATCGCAACCCGCCCCAGCCTGCGGCGAATAATGACCGATCGAGCTACGGGGTACAGAAGTGTTCACGTCGACGAGGAGTTGTCACCCGTCTCCGAGCCTGGGACGCCTCGGCGCGCGCTGACAGGGTTTGAGGCTGCCCTGGCGATGGAGCAGGGCCAACGGATCCAGGACATGACGGACTTGTCCCCCGAACTCAGGTCTTTCGTGCAGTCGATGCAGAGGGCTACTGACGCCGCGCGCCTGGGCTTGTCCTTCCAGTACGCTGACCTCAGCTTCCAGCCCAAAGGGATGGCAAGACCCATCCTGCAGAACGTCACAGGATCCATCGACAGGGGCGCCCTGACTGCTGTAATGGGCGGCTCGGGTGCGGGCAAGTCCACCTTTGTGAACGTGCTCATGGGTAAGACTACGAACACGGGAGGTGTTGTCATGGTAAATGATGCCCCAAATAAGATGAAAAGATTCAGAAAGCAGGTTGGATTTGTACCACAGGATGATATCGTCCTCGCAGAACTTACTGTATACGAGAACATCCTGCATAGCGCCCGCGTGCGTCTCCCGCGCACTTGGGAAGACAAGGATATTCGTGCCCACGTCGACAGTGTCATTGACTGTCTCGAATTGTCTCACGTCCGCGATTCAAGGGTAGGAACTGTCGGAAAGCCATTGATCAGCGGTGGCCAACGGAAGCGCGTAAGCATCGGAATGGAGCTCGCAGCGGCACCAATGGCGATATTTCTCGATGAGCCGACATCTGGTCTGGACGCAACGGCCGCGTCCTCGATCATTCGCACCCTCAAGGCGATTGCCCGAATTGGCATATCGGTGATCGTGATCATTCACCAACCACGCATGGAGATATTCGAGATGCTGGACCAGCTCATCCTGCTCGCGAACGGTCAGATCATCTACGAGGGCCCCGAGGAGTATGTCCAACGGTACTTCGAGAACTGTGGCTTCATTTTCCCGCGGCACGCGAATTCGGGCGATGTCGTAACCGATATCATCACAGGCAACGGGCGTGCCTACAAGGCCAAGGGGGATATCAGCAGGGACTGGCTAATCTCCAACTGGGCCGGTTCCCGTCAGCACGCTCAGATAAAAGAACGCCACGCCTCGGCCGTGAGCACCTTGTCTTCATCCCATGGTCGCCGGCTATCAGTTACGCCATCGTCGCTGATGAGTCTGAGCAGAATCAGCCTCCCGATAGACCAACACCAATCACTGCGCGACCCGGCCATGCTTGAGGCGCTGAAGAAGCGCGGGGCGCCACGGCTCAAGCAGACGTGGCTGTGCCTACGGCGGGCGATGGTACAACAGTGGCGCGACAAGACATCCTTCTGGTTCGAAATGGCACTGGCTTCCGTGGCCGCGGCTCTCCTGGGCCTGGCACAGAACAGCCGGAACGGCGTTCTCTTCCGCGGGATATACGTGGGCGAGTTCTCGATCCTCTCCAACGCGGTGGACCTCACGTCGGTCCCGCAGCTGTCGCTCCTCATGGGCGTCGCCATCGGACTCATCTCCGCGGCCCCGGGGGTCCGCGTCTTCAGCGAGGAGATGCTGCTCCACCGCCGCGAGGCCGAGGCCGGCCACTCGCGGCTGGCGTACTTCCTGGCCAAGGTGCTCTGCGTGCTGCCACGGATGCTGGTCGCCTGCATGCACTTCTCCACCATCACACTCGTGCTCGCCAAGCCCGTCATCCCCTGGGGCTTCGCGTTCGTGGCCAACCTGGGATACTTCTGGTGCGTGTATGGCATGTCGGCCGTCATCTCGATGGTCGCGAAGCGGGAAGATGCGCCCCTGCTCGCGACCATGGCTTCCCTGATCGTGGGTATCCTCTGCGGGGCCGCGCCGACGCTCGCGCAGGTCTCGAAGTGGAACATGGTCTGGCTCTGGCGCATGTCGCCCGGCGTATGGCTTAGCGAGCTGTACTTTGGCGAGCTCGTCAGGCCCTTTGGATACCTGTACCAGACGGACATGGCGGCTGCGGCGATGGGCTACAGCCTGGACGCGACGTGGCGGAATATAGGGGTTTTGGTTGCCATCGGCGTCGTGTACCGCGTGATAGCATATGTTGGGTTGTTTTTGGGCAAGAGAATCAGGATCTGATGGCATGTGGAAACGGTCGTCCTATTCCGAAGGGTTGGCGTTTACACATGTTTCATCTGCATCGATGGACAAATAAGTGTACAAATGGTTCAGATCATCTTTGAAGTAACATATGTCTTCAAAAATACCTACTGAAGCTCCAGTCGGCTGGGGCCAAAATATCCCAAGCAAATCTAGTACAATATTACCATGGGTGATCTCCCCACTCTCTAGTGAAAGAAATCTTGTACTCCATTGCGACATATTAATTACAGGTACAACTAGCTGTCTTTGTGAGCCGTGATGAAAACCACGGGTCAGCACCTAGCCTAGAGGTATCGACATCACTATTAGCACCTCACTTGGCCCTGAACGAGTCTCCAGCAAGCATTTAACAGCAGGAAAAGCTTCACTGGAAAATTAAATTAAACGACCCACCTCCGGGAAGATAAAACTCGCTTGCCGGTTTACTGGTGTGAACCCATAGCTACTTTCAAAGCCGTGTGAGTAGACTTACCCGCTGTGTTCCCCTGAACCACCCAAGAGCCAAAGCCTTTAGCATAATCTGGCTACAGTGGCGGAGTAAGATCCAATCCACCAGTCCAGAACCAACTTAGGCTTGCGGCCCAGTGATCTTGACGACTAACAAGGGCATCTAAACACAGTCTTCAGCTCTGGACCCGGGCCACCTCGAAAGGAGGAACAAATATGGAAGCATCTGCATCAACCGAAATAGTGAGACCGACTCCGGATTTTCTGCCATATACCAAGGAAGCCATATGATGTTGAAAACGTGCGCAATACTGTACGAAAGTAAGCCTCGATCGAATTCGAGAGGGACAGGCAGTTTGGGGGATCATCCCTGACTACTTAAGTAACTGCTTAAGTAGGTACGGGACAAAGTCATCCGAACATTTGAAGGGGCTCAGAAACATAAGTGGTAGAGGTGTCATTTCTTATGGTAGACCTCGGACAACAGCCACGGGTCAAGGGGAAAGTTACTAAGACGCATGCGCCTCACGCTGGTCTTTGCCCCTCCGTTTGGTCGGAGAAAGACTGTTGTCAACTGGTGCCACAATACATATGGCACCCTAGCATTCGGAGGTTTCCGCCATCGCTCCCATCTATTCTGATTTGAAGGCAGACTTGTCCTGAATTCCCTGGGTAGACATGTGCAGTGACACGAGAGGTGCGAATTGACACACATCAAGCGACTTAATGCCAACTTTTGAGTTGAAATCCTCGATAGAAGGGACGAACGAAATGCTCTAGTAAGAGCTTCAGGCGGTATGAAGGCTTGCGCAGTATATAACCAAATGCAACTTATGGGAAATACTTTCTAGTCATTCAAAATCGCAAATCACAGGTATTTCTAACACTGCTTGTTCTAAAACAAGGATGGGCATCGTTGTGTTGTCCCAGTTACTTCAACGCATAGATTCAGCGGCGCGCTATTTCTTGTGTTGTTCATCCTGCTCTACTCACATGAAGGTGCATGCTCATCACTAAAATCACCAGTGATTGTCATTTGATCCTTGAAGCATCAAACATTCTGAATCACGTCTTGAATAATGGTCCTATGATTCATAATATTCCACCTATATAAACTGTGCACTCTATTCCTTTGAGGCGACGCCCTGCCTTCCTTTTACCATCAGCAAGAAACCACTGAACCCAAATTCGAATGCAATTTCTTTTTCCCATAACTGGAGAATTACGCAGAATCACCGGTTGGAAACCTTATCTTCAACAACGAAAGCAGCTTGAAGGCATAACATACCGCGCACTCCAGTCAGCAGAGAAATCATTCTCTCAATCAGGACCGCCCAAGTCTAACACTGAAGTCCACCATTTATTTCTTCCAATATAATCCTTGCCTCAATCAGAAAGTTGTAATGACTTCTTGTTTTAGCAACAATGTGTTGGATATGGGTGGTGTTCACAAGGTATTCTTGCGAACATATTGTCGAGGGACAAGAGTACACGGAGCAACAAAACTGTGAACGTGCAAATGGCGAATGGGGAGGTTGCGGGAACATTTACACACTCGACAATGAAGAGGTGCGACGCGATTACATATGCGGGCCCTGCCAGGCCCGAATGAATGGCACAACAAGCACCTGAGACATTGCAGTTCCTGCTTTGGACATGCTTGGGTCAGTGGAGGGATGTCAGAAGGGTCTGCGGCACTGATGGCATGCAAGTGCGTTTATTCAAATGATCATAAGAAGTGCGCTAGGATTCTCTATTAAGACACCGGTTGTCTTTTTCCTTCAGTTAACTTTGCTGCCCGCAAAACGTGAAATGCTAAGATCACATAGTGAAACATGAATACACAGTACAATGAAATTCCATGAATTTAGCAGAGATCAACACTAGAAATTCGAAATACTGGGCGAAACCCCAGTAATATCTATTGTGGCGGAGGAGTACTAAATATTGCTATGTACGTAGCTGGGTGGGATGATGAGTTATTTTAAGTCCCTAGATTTAGTGATTTATCCCTACTTTGGGTGTTCTCTTTCCACTGTTATTGGCACTGTATTTCTTTAAACGCTGGGTCTTGAGTGTTTACTACTATATGAAGGCGCTACATACATTTTATATATATGGGGATTAAAAACGAAACCACCTATCCCTACTTTGAGCACGGTAGATAACATCGTGTGAGGCGCAAAATTGCGTCTGCCCGTATTTGCAAATGAGGAAGCACTTGTATGAAAGAATTTTTCAGATAATTGGAACATAGTTAAAAGCCTGCATTAGTTGTGGATATTATGCGAAAGCGAGGACCTGCGTTCACACGGCCTTCGTCAGAGATGACCAACCCGAGCTTCATTCACTCTTCTTCTCTTGGCCCTGAATATCGAAGTTTTCGTGTCCCATGCTTCACACACTCCCGAAGGAATCCTACATAGTTGCGCTTCGTTCCTGCACGGCGTCGTCTGCTGCGCTACCATCGGTGAATCCACCCGAGCCTCTTGGCGGAGGCACAAGTTACACACGAGCTGCAGAAAACGTGCTCAAATTTGCGCAAACACCCCAGTACCTCATCCCATATCAGACTGCGGGCCTCCAACGGGTCCGCTATTCAGCCAATAGGGAAGGTAGCGTGAGGCGCCGGTCTGCGAATGGAGAGTAAGCTTGGACCGCGTGCTCTTCCGGTGCTTGAGAAGCTCGAAGCCGCCCTTGGGCTTAGTCCTACCTGGAGGGGCTGGGACTTCGTAATTATATCAGTCTGATATATGAGCCCTCATTCCTCTGCTGTTGCTGATATTCTTGCGGTCGTGAACCCCCCTTGCTTCACCCATAGCTACCGTTCAGCAAACGCTCATTCCGGGCTGCAAGCCACCCAAATTTGAGACACTCCAACTTCTCCGCCCTTCATAGGGACCTCGATCTCAAAAATGGACCACATGAATCACATGGATATGGGCACTTCAACCACCATGGACATGGCTGCTACTGGCACCGCGTCCTCAGCCGCCGCCGCAACCACCAGCGCCATGTCGATGAGCATGGGCGCAGGCCACTCGTGCAAGATTTCTGTACGTATCATTAACATCCGAGTTCTGGCCAGATCTTTTAGCCTATGCTTCGGAGAAGGAAACCCACTAATTACAGCTACGCCATACTAGATGCTCTGGAACTGGAACACGGTCGACTCATGCTTCCTTTCGAGCTCGTGGCACGTCACCAGCCGCGGCATGTTTGCAGGCTCATGCATCGGCGTGCTTCTGCTTGTCATGCTCCTCGAGTTTCTAAGAAGGGCTGTCAAGGAATACGATGCGCTGCTGGTGCGTAAGCACTCCGGCGCCAGTAACAGCTCAAATGTTGGCGCCGCCGGCCCCGGTGTCCAGGAGGTAGGCTCGGAGAGCAAGGACCACGGCATCAGCGTGCGCCCCGTTGGCAACATCCCATCTGGCCGCTTCCGACCCACCGTGCTCGAGCAGGTCGTTCGGGCCTTTCTCCACATGTGCCAGTTCGCTGTGGCGTACTTTGTAATGCTGTATGTGTTCTCATGGCCCCCTCCCTCCTGACATCAAAGCACATTTTACTATTCCTTATGGTTGGCCACCTATTTAGGGTTCGGTCCCTTTTAGTCGGATATCAACTAGATCTTGCGAGCTAGATTCTGCGGGTGTGGCACAAGTGCGTGGCTAACGTATTGATCGCCCGTTAGGCTAGCCATGTACTACAACGGTTATATCATAATCTGCATCTTTCTCGGCGCATTTTTGGGCTCTTTTGTCTTTCACTACGAGTTCATGGGGCATGAGTGAGTTTGAATATCATCACCTCAAATCAAGACATTATCGGCTAGCTCTGTCTGACAATATCACTCCTTCAGCGGCAACCAGACAAGCGCTTCTCGTGAGGCCACCGTGTGTTGTGGCTAGGCACGTTTTGCCATGATGGCCGTGGAATTTCCGTGCGATATCAGTGGCTCGGCGGTAATTGAAGTGTCTCGGAGACTCTTGTTTGGTATCGGTTGCGACCATAGGCAAGTGGTGGTCTCAGGCAGTACGACCCGAATTTGGGTCCGGTCGCGGGTTGCGCATTCCAACAAGGATGTCAATAGAAGACGAGATACCTAGGAAATTGAAATTGCGAAAGTCAAGCTCTCTCGTGACACTCTCTATCCATTCCCATCTTTCTTTTAGCAAAGACTGCATCCAGTCCCAAACTTCGTTTCCCTAATTTACCCTGCAATGAACCATGTCCTGGATTTACAGACGACACATGCTTTTACTCTAATCTCTAATTTGTCTTTCATCGATTTTACTACACTGTAGAAAAGTCTCTCCCTCCAAGTCCGACTGACTTCGACAAAGTTCCGTTTGCAGTCGCACATGACATAAGACTGAGGCCGCTGATGACTTGACACGAGATATGGCTCCGTGGGTGGTTTCATTTCTAATCCCCGTACATATAAAACGTATGTAGCGCCTTCAAACAGTGGTAAACGCTCAAGACTACAAGGGAAAAGAACGCCGGCCAACTGTTGGGTAACTGGTGTCACCTTCTGCGGGGCTAAATTTTACCTCTCATGACTCCGTTATACCTTATCATTTTTCAGATGCTCTATGAAGTTCGTTGCGGGGCAGGGAAAGGAAGTGAGGAATGGTCAGGGGAATATTTATGAAGGCCGGTGGATGAAGCAGTCTCATGTAGCTGAATCATACCTAGGTAGCATGGAGTTTGTTCTGGATCGCGGAACCATGGTACCAGTTGACGAGATAACTCCACATCTGTTGTTCAAAAATACAAAACCAAGGCAGCTCTCGTTGTCTGCCCGGACTTGGTTGCACCGTCTTGCTGCTTCAATGCCCCCCCTCCTTCTCTGTTCATCAGTCACAATTTCGAGCTGGTGAATCATGCAATCTTTGATATTGTGACACCGCAGTCGTAGGACCAACCGTGTTCTTGCGTCAAATAAGTTATAAACGAGGTTCCTAAAGCGGAGTAGCCCCTAAGCAAACGTTGCATCAACGACGGGGTGATCCCCCTGTAGCCGCTTACACGAAGCTTGACTGGAAGCTTAGCTGAAGATCTTGCTGAATTGGGCAGGTCACCTCAGGCTTGAGCGATGGATCCTCCATGACGCTCTCTTTCACACAACCCATGCAGCCCACTCATGTGATATTGTGTCACTGCCGTAGTTTATGCACACTGGCTGTTCCCGAATACTTGGATTTGAAGTGATATCTATAGAGCGAGTAATTCATTGTATAATCACGCTGTCTCCCCGCAGCTAATCATGTGCTAATTGCACGGCTTCCAGAAAGACCTTCTTTCCTGAAGTGCCTGCCTAGGTTGATTGATGTTCATAGGCTGCACAGAAGCTTACAAGCAATCTCTTTCCTCCTTCCCTTCCTTCCCCTTCCGTGGCCTTTCACACCGTTCGTCCTTGTCTTCTCTACCTGGGTAGCTAACTTATGCGAGAGTGCACCATCCCACGCACTTAATCATTGTCGGTCCACCGTACCAAAAATTCGGGGTTGACTTACCCTGGCCAAAACCGTGTGGTAACCTAACGACCGACCATGCGCTTCTCGACCGTTGCAGGCACAGCGGCCCTGGCTCTCGCATGCTCCGCGATTCCTACATCTGGCCGATACAATCTCCACGAGAAGCGAGACAGTAAGGCGCACGCATGGCAGAAGCGTGATCGCCCTGTCGCTGATCAGATTTTGCCTATTCGGATCGCCCTCAAGCAGCGGAATCTTGAGAATGCTGAGGCTTATATCTATGATGTCGCGAACCCGAGCTCTCCTAACTTTGGTAAGAAACTATCTAGTTCGATCAATGCGATTGACAGAGGAGCTGTCGAGTGAAAGATCAGTTGACGGGTGGCTGTCGAGTCTCAAATATTCTGAGGCGTATTTTGTTAATCAGATATTGGCAAGCAGGCAAGCATTGGTCTGCGGAAAGGGTTGCAAACACCTTTTCTCCGCATCCAGAGACCAAGGATACAGTAATTGACTGGCTTGTTGAGTCCGGTATCGACCCCTCCAGGCTATCTCCGTCAACCGGTAAGTCAAGAGTCGGTGATGAGCGCATCACAAGCACCAGGTCACTGATTCCTGGCAGGTCACAACTGGGTGCAGTTCGAAGGGACGGTCCAGGAAGCAGAGAAACTGTTCGCCACGGAATACTGGCACTACGAGCACAAAGCAAGCGGCGGGCTGCGCCTCGCCTGCGACCACTACAGCCTTCCCGAGCACGTCCAGGCGCACGTGGACTTCGCTATGCCGACGGTCCAGCTGGACGGCCTGAAGCCCGTGGCGAACGTCGACCGCAGTCTGATGGCACGCATCCCTGGTGGCGCCAAACTCGGCTCATTGCCGTGTGGTGAGCTGATCACTGTCGACTGCCTGCGGAAGCTGTACAACTTCCCCGCAGGGAACTCGTCGGCTGCAGAAAATGAGATGGGCATCGGCGAATGGGCTGATTATCTCTATGAGGAGGACCTTCCGGAGTACTTCAGGAACTTCAGCTCGCCCGAGATTCCAGCTGACACTCGCCCTGAGTTTATCGCGATCGATGGCGGTCTGAAGGCGAACTTGACTACCGTCTCGCAGGGCTCTGGTGTTGAGTCTGCTCTTGACTTTCAGGCTGCTTACTCCATTATTTATCCCCAGAAGTTGCGATTGTACCAGGTTGGAGATGGCATTAACGTGGATAGTGTGGGGACTTGTAAGTCATCCCAGCACCCAGCATCGTCTCGCGTTATTGACAGAGCGAGGTTTTCTCTCACTTTCTCTACGTCAGTCTCTAACATGTCCTCAGTCAACATTTTCTTGGACGCTTTAGACGCCAGCTACTGCACGTATCAAGGCGGTGACCAGCCTTACATCGGTATTCAATCCTCAACTGTCCCTTTCTAAATCGAACCTCAGACCTCAGTGAGACTGAATAACCCGTACAGATCCCGCATATCCTGATCCGAACGATAATGAGAGCGGCTACCAAGGCCCCCTTCAATGCGGAGGTGCTCCGAAGTCGAATGTGATTTCGGTCAGCTACGGTCAGATCGAGGTAAGCCGGTGACTCAGACACCCAACGTTGTGAGCTCATTCTGACGGCGCTATGCTACTCCGTAGGGTGCTTTGCCAGAATTTTATCAAGTCCGCCAATGCAATGAGTGGATGAAACTCGGACTCCAGGGAGTGAGCGTTCTGTTTGCGAGCGGAGACTCAGGTGTTGCGAATCGCTACAACGCTGGATATCCAGACTCTTGCCTGAATGCAGACCTACCCTACGTGGACAACAATGGAACTCGCTTCTCACCCTCATTCCCGGCTAACTGTCCCTACATAACAGCTGGTAAGTCCAGCCGGCCCCAATACCTTCTCACGGAAATAGAGAGCTGGTTCGCTAACCCCGTCCTCTTCCAGTCGGAGGAACTGACCTCATCGGCAACACCACTGACAGCGGGGAACGCGCCGTTGCCGCATTCGGTTCCGGTGGCGGATTTTCAAATGTGTTCGCCTTACCATCGTGGCAGGCTTCAGCAGTAAAGGGCTTCCTCGGGAAATATGCCCCTTCGTATGGCCCCAACGTGTACAATGACAGCGGCAACGCGAGGGGTTTCCCCGATGTGGCGGCCATCGGCCTGAATGTTGCCACGGTCTTCAACGGGACCACTTACGGCGTCGGTGGCACCAGCGCCTCGGCGCCCATATTTGCGGGCATCGTGACGCTGCTCAACGAGGCCCGCATCGCGGCCGGAAAGGGTCCAGTGGGTTTCCTGAATCCGACCTTCTACAGCAACCCGGAAGCTTTTAATGATATTACCATTGGGAATAACCCTGGCTGTGGGACCGCCGGGTTCAACGCGACGCCGGGATGGGATCCGGTCACTGGGCTGGGGACGCCAAACTTCCAGAGGCTGAAGGATATCTTTCTGGCTCTTCCATGAGCATGTAGAGAACGGCATCCAACCCAGTGCTGACAATATGTGAAGGAGATGAGCCCATGGGTTTTGACCTCCAGATCTCAACGCAGCTACGGGACAGTAGACAAAGATATCTTTTCGTCGCTTATAGCGCGGAGCCTTCCATATAATTAAAGGTCTTATGTCCAGTTGCAGAATCAATGACAGGAATGTTCTGTGCTTGCTTGCAAATATAAACTGGGATATGCTAAGGTATACGAAAAGTCACCGCTCAACTTTCAAACAACTTAAATGCATTTAAAGGATTGCTCTTATCACTATTTTATTACTACGTTGGTAAAGATAGTGACTGACGCTGGACTTGCACTTGAGGCCTTCAAAACTTATATTACTGTACTGGGTCTTATGGACAGGAGTGTCAAAGGGATAAGTTGCCGTTGTGAAGTGGGCACCTACCGTTGATCTGGCTTGGTAGAAGAAGCACTTGAGAACTCGAAGAGTACGAATAGTCCTATGAGCCTCTGACACATCTCGATTGGACCTCTCGAGTGCTGTCGGGGACCAAAATGATGATTTGCCATGAGCGGTCTACGGTCATTCTAACTTGGGTCTACATGGATTCTATCATTTCGTGGTGATTCGAACACTTGCATCTACTATTCCCTACTCTACCTCTGGGCGGGAGGTCTTGTATATCTGGTGTTTGGTGAGCTCATACTGGTGGATAGTGACGAAGACTTGAAGGGCGAGACCAGGGCGCGAATCTCTGTCGTAGGGTGATAATCAGGGCTTCATATCCATCACACCAGCGACGATGGCATCTACATCATCTTGCCACAGTGCTCGCCTGTCACCACTCAGCTCCTCGCGCCCGCCGCAGTGTCATTGGGGTTGCGATCACGCATGAGAGTGACGGATATCTTGAGCGTCCCGTCCCCAAGCCAGCACCGTCTTCCCCCCTGAGCCTACGAGACAGGACTTCTCATTCTGTTCATTTTACCCATCAAAAGTGACTCTGTAATTACGTAGCAGGATGCCCGGCCCTTTGTCTCTGGATTTCTCAAGAGATACTACCATCTCGGCCACCAACGATCCACGATCCATGGCAGGCAAGCTCTCTTGCATTGCGCACTCGATGCCCCCGGTATGGACTAACTAAACTCTATCTTGACCGCCGACGAAGCACACATCGCCACAATGGCGCACGCCGGCCCGCGTCGAGCCCAGAGCGATCGATGCATCTTCGCGGCATGCTCGCTACAAACTTCCCTTCGCAGGCAGCCCCAGGTAAAGAATTGCCCCAAGCGGCAGACTGAAGTCAGCACCAGCTGGCGAGCAGCTGCGCATCCGAAGAGCAGAAACACCTCAATGCCACGACGACGAATGAATGCATTCGGTCTCCCTCCCCTTCCCTTCCCCAGCACCGCTCCCCGCACGGGCCCCCAGTTAACTCGTTGCGGGCGGGTGCGTGTGTGTGAGTAGAGTCTGGCTCTGCCCTTATTCTGAAACACCTCCCAAACCACCATACCCATCGCGCACCATGCCGACCCCTCGGGTTTCAAGATTTGGAGTGGAGGAGGAGGAGGAGGCGGTCAGCTGGCGGATGACCTGCAGGGACACAAGGTCGGACGATAAGCGTAAAAAGAGGGAGGGGAGATCTCGGCCAGCCTGGGCCCCGCGACCCAAGTGTCACACACATAGCACCCAATCCTACCAACACATATACACGTATAAGATGTTATACACCCACCGACCCCGGGCACGCTTGCGCTATAATGGGCCGGGGTGGCGAGCAAGACATCGGTTGACACACAAGAGGGGGGGAGTGACAGTAGCGCCGCCATTGGGCAAGACTCGAAAGATCTGAAATGGGGGCGGTAGGGCGGATGCTCACGGGAAGCGACGCTGGGGGTGGCGTTGTGGCCACGAGTCGCGGCTTCTTAGGATGGGATGGGACGAGGCAGACGGTTTGTAGATCCGCTGGTGCGATGTCCTACACGGCACGTCCACATAGATTTAACGACTGGCTTGAGCGAATGGGTTCCAATTGCCACATACCTGACGCACCGGGCCAGCTGGCCAGTTGGGAGGCGATGGGGACGAGAGCCTCTCTACCCACTCGCCATGACTTGCCTACCACACTGCATCTTGGCACATGGAGAAGCCGTCTTGGAAGTTTGTCCGGCCGTTGGCAATGGGACCATGTCGCTTTGCGATGTGCTCAGTGACAGTTTGGGAGCGGGAGAAGGACGGAGAGTCATGCTCTGCGCTTGTTATCCCAGCCCGGAGCACCCTCAGACGACTTCCTCAGCCCACGGGATAGGCCAGGACAGGCCAGGACCTTGTCTCAAAACGACCTTCTCCGCGATGATCGCCATTAAGCTCCGTGCTAGTATCATGGTCCTGGGTTCGTGATCGACGCCCCATGGACCCTTCTTCTCTCTGACGGCATTGGACTGAGCCGACCTCCGTCCCGTCCCAATTGCCATACCTTACGCAAACCTGCGCCGGGCGATCCTCCCGATAGCCAGCTGGCGGAGCTGTTTTTATTTGGTAGGCTGCACGTAATCCGCTGACATCGGTAAGGCGCAGCATATACTGATCACTACTCCGGCCTGCTATTGTCTCCGACCGATGTCATGGGCCGTCGAACCCGGACACTACCAGATGATTCAAATAGTGTGCATCCAAGGCGGCAAGGATTCGTGCGCGACCAAGTTGAGGTGCCCGATCGAAGAGCCACGTAATGACAGATATGGCTCAACTTGCTCGAAATACGCTGGCCCTGAACGGCACGCCCATTTGAGTGCACTAGGCAGGCACGACTTAAGCTGATCTATCTGTCACAATGCGTTCCGCAGGGCTCACCAGCACCGCCGGCGCCCCTAAGAGGTCTCTGGCGGAGTCCTTGCAGCACTTGCCACTGGTTTGTTTCCTGTCTCCGCGATGGTTTATGCAGTTTATGGGTCAACACTAGCTGACCATGGCAAGCTGCTATACCCCGATAGATCGTTGAGCGTAGCGGCGTAGCAAGTCCCTAGATGTCCTGCGCCCGAATCTGTTTGAGATCTGTTGTCGGCGTGGGTGTCTGTTCGCTGAAACGCATGATTCCCCTGCACAAACATGACGGCCCGCCCGACGTCCATCAACCCCAAACATATGGCAGGTTGGCAGGTATCACGCAGCCTGGCCCCACGTGTGGATTCGCTGGGTGACGGCGGGACCGCGTAGAACACCAGCATCGATCATGTAAGTATGGGGATGCAGTGGACAGAAACGGGCCGGTCCACCAAAATTGACAACCAGTGGCAGCTGGGACGATACTTGACCACTCGGCAGACCGGAAGAGATGCGACAAGGTCTCATTTGAGGCACTTTCGCTGCCGAGATGGCTCTCAGATGTCGATATAAAAAGCAACTAAAGCATGTTGGCGAGCACTACTGCGACCAACTGCTCAAGGAGGATCCTATGCCCACAGGGGCCGAGCGGGCCGTTTAACGTGCAGTTTGACCCTCGACCAACGAGTGGGAAAGTCGCCCCATAAACAAACCACAGTGGGCCTCGCCCTTTGACGTGTTGAGCTTCGAGTTGACGAGCTGTTCGTCTTGGCGCTGACAGCTGGGTTACAGGCTGTTAAGCGGTCGGCCTGATTGGGTATGGACTTCTGTGAGGAACGTTTCGGATCATTCTACAACGGAATTCTCGAAACGCGCCGCATAGCTCGCCGCCATCTAGCGTCGCATGAATAAATAGAACCAGGGCCAAGCGGTGAATTGAAGTGCTGTGCTGTGGTGCACATCAGAATCCAGGTTTGAAGATCATTGCTGTGCCAGCCAAAGGACCACTTTCCACATCCACTGGCCACTGGATAATTGGCTCGAGTCGGGTCGGTATTGCTTCAAAGTGAAAAGAGACACACACCCCCGGCCCCCGGCGCAGCTGGTCGGAGGATGAATGACCTTGCTTGTCTGAGCCTTGAAAAGCGTGAGAGTCCACACCTGTGGTTGCCAGGCCGGCCGGACACAGCGATAGATTTCACGAAACCAGTAAGCCTAATTGAAGTGGGCCATTGGCGCCCGTGGTGACAATAATTGCAGTCGTTAGTTGAGCCTCTCAAACCGCAGCTCAGCTCTGCGGAGTCGCTTGTGCAGGAGGTGTACCCGCACTTGATGACCCGCAGGACTGACCAGAGCTCAGACGCCGGGACACGCTGAGCTGTGCGCGGAGTAGGGCCATAGTTCCCTTGACGTGTGCCAGCGGCTGCGATTGTTATGCCACGCCGTACATCAGCCATGCCGTACATCAGCCACGCCGCCGATATATCGAAGTCGGAACGCCACGACCACCGCGTCTGATCTGCTGACTAGCCGCGTGGTGGTTGTTTTCGGCCGGAATAACGAGTGCAAGGCGCCACATCCGGGCGGATTGGTGCGCCAGCAAGTCGGCAGGCATGTAGGAACTGCCCAGCCAGGGGAAGCTCACGCGGGGATTAATTGGCCGACCTGAGGCTCCGGCGTTATTTCACCGAGATGATGGTGTGAAGACCCTGGCGACGGCCGGGAGACTCTGGCTGTCCCGGTTGATGGAAACTGCTGGTTCGGCTCGGACAGCTGGTTAGTTGGCTGGCTGGCGCTAGGAGCGAACCAGTCAGGCAACACTGCCTCAGGGCAGCTCCATTCAAAGTCAAAGTGCTTGCGTGCTTGCGTGCATGCGCGCATTGAGCAGGCCCGATCGGCGAGGACATCAGCCGGAATTCAAATGTGGCGGCCCTGGGGACATCATGATGCTGACGCTATGGTGCCTTTCGTCCAGCGTTTTCAATACAGACTTTGGAATGGATCTGGAAATCGCCATGTCCGGAGGTCAAAAAGGGGGCTGAGACCCGGATAGCTTCACCGAAAAGGAGGGCTGGGATGAGGTGGGATAGGACGCCCCGCGATCTACCGGAGAAAAGAGGTAATCTAGATAGCGATGCCGCAGCTCCTAGCGGTACTTGAAAGGATCAAGATTTAGAGTTGCATGTGTAATTTGTCTCATAATTGCAAAGTCGCAACGCGTCAAGTGTATGGGGCTGGTGATCTGAAAGAGGCTTCGTAAAGGGCGCGAGTCCTCGCCCTGCTCGGTTTGCTTGGCAGTCGCGAAAACAAGAGATCTACAAGACGTTTTTATCCCAAGATCAATGATCAATGAGTAAAGCCACACACTGGTCAGCCACGACTGTAGTCCTCGGAAAATGATGGTGGCCGAGGGGCGACAACCGGGGATCATGCTAGCACGACGGCGCTTCTATGAGGGCTGAGAGCCAGTCGTCGTGTCCGTCTGTTAGTCAAGACTCAGCGGCCCGACGTGACCGCTCAACCAGTGTGTGCTGATTGCAATGGACCGCTTGTCATGGCGGTTTCCAGGCCGAGCTGACAAAATCTTGTTTGAATTGGAGGCCAAATGACTTGTTTCAGAGAGATGGGATAGAGTTGCCGCGTGCATGGCCACTGAAGAACAGGCGCATCTGGCGCGCTGTGGAGGAATTGGAGGGACGTTCGCAGGTCCAGGGCCGACGTATCGGATCCATCCATCAACCACGGTCCACGGATACCGCGTACCCATGTGGGGGTATCGAAATGTGTACGTGATCTCCGTCCAGCCCCGAGGTTTAGCGAGGCCGGCTGGGTTTGACCACCCACCCGGGTCCCGGTGCATCAAGTCCTGGAAACGTGCAATTCCGGAGCGGGCAGGTGATTTCTGCAGGTACTGGTTTACTCCATTATCACCCGTGCCGTGCCCACAGAACCTGGGCTCCTCCTGCATTATGCGTGCAAATGACGGGCCGGTAGTGTTCTCCGCGCAATGTTGCAGCAGGCACATAGTAGCCGGTCTAATAAGGGCGGGCGGGCGGGCTGGCAGGCTGGGTTCGCTTGAAAGCTTAGGGAGGCCAGGGAGGTCGTCATGGTGGGCAGAGGACCCTCAAGAGTCCAGGAATGGGTACAAAATCCACCTGGCGCGGACGAAAGTGGCCCGCGAGGGATCCGTGCCCGCTGGTCATATGGCCGGCCGTCTGGGCCCCGGAGACACGGCGAGCAATGATTGATGAAGCTTTGACGTGAGCCTATTGAGCCTTCGTGCCAGGCCCGGCCTGGTTTGAGATTGACGAGAGAACGGCGGGCGCATGTTCCGAAAGGCTATGTGGGGTGTTCATGAAGAGATACCGTGAACCTTGGCTGGTTGATATGGGCTGTATTGGCCGGCAGTGGCTCCGAGGTACAGCACATAGAAGTGCCATTGGGAGGCAGGGAGGGTGAGATGGCGATGACAGACGTTGGCACTTTCTTGGACACTTTCTTGGACACAGATGCTGCGGGCAGCGGTGGTGCTTGCGCGCCACGGAGCTTGAAGTGTTGAGTTGGAGGCAGGCAGGCTGGCTGGCTGGCTGGAGACGCCCCCTTGAGACCGTCGAGACCCTGGTCTGCTGGTCGGGTACCTGGCTACTGGCTGCAGGGCGGTGCGGTCCCGCGGGTATCTGCGTATCCAGATGATGGAGGAATTCTCGTTTTGGCAATGAAATTTAAGGAGGCTCCACCAGCCAGAAATTCTCCGGTGAGCTGGTGCCACGGAGCCACTGTAATGACACCGCAATGACACAGCTCTCGCCAGCGGTTTCGCACCGGTCAAACCAAGCCATATGGCTGCCGCAAAGCTACCTCGAGTTAGAAAGGGCCACGATAGGTCTTATTATGGAACATGGTCTAAGTCGAGACAGACTGGCAGAGGCGGCCATAGATGTATTGTGCGTGCCGCGGAGCACTGACGTGAAGGCCGTGGCGTGTCGCCCTGGCTGGCGTGGCTGGTTATATGCCCAGGCCCATATTGACAGAGATGTAGGGCCAATAAGGTGCCACGCTGGGCCTGGATGTTTTGTGCCTGGGGGTTTGGCAGGTTCGGTTGCCCAGGCCTGCTGCGATGCGGCCTGGAGAAGCGCTGCACTCCGTTGTAGGTTGTCAAGCGAGGGACTGTTCGGTGTAGCTAGCTTCTGTGCATCGGTGGCTGGCTGGAAGAGAAGACACATGCTCTGGCTGACATTGACTTGTTGACTTGACATTGAGGCTGTCATGTCATGTCAGTCATCAGCCAGACTCGACCTGGCAGGCTGGCTCGACCGGACTCGACTCGACTCGACTCGAAGCTGCCCGTTTGGACCCGCCTGCCGTCAGCAGGGCCAGGTGCACTTTCCCGTCCAGGACGTGCCAGGTTTTCCACTGGCAGCTGGGTGGGTGCCCAGGGGGCAGGGGTCAAGGGGGTGGATCAGTTTGGGCATAGCGCCACAAGGAGCATCTTGCCCGATGCGGGTTGTCAGGTTGTATCGCATTGGAGAATTGCGCACAGCCAGAAAAACGGGCCTCATCTCACTCAATCAGTAGTCAATCGGTCAATCACTTGGGATCCTGATGGTACTTGCGTAGGCCCGACATGGAATAGCTTGCAAGGATGCAGCATCCGACAGACTGACAGACAATGAGAGAGCAGACAGCCAGGACAGGACAGCAAGACAGGAGACAGACCCGTGTCGAGGGAGACAGACGACGGTTGCGCAGGGGACCAGGGGACCGACCAGTCGACCTGGTTTTGATTGCGATTCTGCATCAGGAAGGGAGTCGACTGTTTCTGTCACACGTGCAGCAGCCACCGGCAGCTGGCCTGGCGGTATCGATCTTGTACCGGCCGAGCACCCTGCTGGTGTGCACCGCCTGGCCGTCCGAGGGCTCCGGTGGCTTGTGACTTTGACGAGGACGGCGACATGACCTGACAGGCCTGGGCTGCTGGGGCGGCAGGGGACGAGCAACATAGCGCCCGCCATAACATTCCTGTGCTGTGGTATACAGATGGGTCAGTCTAATATCTGCCCTGCTACCACAGTCATAACCCGGTCGGCATGGACGTGGGGAGTGACATGGGACGTGTGGTACGTGGTGCGGGAGATGAAGGAACCAGAGAATCCGTGACTGACAGGTCATTCATTCCCCCGGCCAGCCGTTGCGATGCAGATACAAGATAGCAGACATACAAGATGCATCTGTAGCGAGAGGGACAGAAGACAGCAATAGCAGTACCTAGGTCGAGTAGTTAGGGAGAGGCGGAAGGGACAACCAACCAACCAACCCAACCAAAAAAAAAAAAAAAAAAAGAGACATGCCGACCATCCCATCCTGATCGTCCATCATTTCCATCAATCCATCATTCGCCCCTCCAACAGCACCCCCCCTCCACAACACGCGGTAGACTGACTACCCGTGGATTGACGCCTGCCTCTCACAGGCAGACAGGCCCGTCGCAATTTTCATTCCTTTTCACTCCCTGCCTTGTTATAGTCTTGTCTGCCCTTTTCCCTCTGTCTGCGGGCAACTCTCTCTCAACCTTGGTTTTGGTCTTGGCGGTCTGTAATAATTACCATTGATTGATTCCCTCCCATCCACCCCCTCCGACCAGGTTCCCACCCCTCTCGATTCGACTTTCCTTGGCTGAGGCCTGCAGCAGCATTCCCGGCGGTACTGCATAGGCCACATAGGATAGATTTTCCTAGTTGTCGTTTTCGCGACGGCACACACACTCTCTCTCTCTCTCTTTCTTTCTCTCTCTCTATCTCTCTCACGCAGTGTACCGACGCCCAGGGCCAAGGATTGAGCCTCTTGCGCTCGCCTCGCCTTGCAAGCGGCCGGCTAAGCTGGCTCTCCTGTGCCGCTCCAAACAGCCCAAAACCGAGATCCAGGATTGTCAGGGTCATCCAGGCACGCCTCGAAACACTCGGTCTCCCAGCACCTGCAGACCTGCAGCACCGCGGCACTGCATAGTGGTTAAGCTCTGACCCTCGGCTCCGGGAGGTACTGGCCAGGACAGGACTGGACTGGACAGGACTGGACAGGATCAGGAACGGGATAGGACAGGCAAAAGGCAACGCAGCTTGCTGGGGTCTCCTACACTGTCAGACGGGGGGTCCCTTCTGCCCTTTCTGGCCAGTGACCCCAGGGCGAGACCTGGCGACCCGGCGACCAGGCGACCAGACGACCAGACAGACACCAGGCCCGGTCTGGTCTCCAGTCACACACTCACAACACCCCCCCCCCCGAGTCCACTCCAGATTCGTCGCGTCGCAGACTGCCCGACCCGGCCCTGAGCCCTGAAGCAATCTGGCCCACGAGCCGGCTGTCGAGGTCCCTGAGGTCCCCTCGCATAGAGGACCATGTCGCAGCTTTCGCACCAGAGTAGGGAACATCCGTCTGATGCCCACGCCTACTCTTCTCCCTCCCCCCGTCCGCCACCGCCGCAGCGGCCTCACCATCATCTTCAACACGGCCAATCTCACGCCCGTCTCCAGCCTCAACTTCAACCTCAACCTCCTCACAGTCCCGGCCACTCTTACTACGCCCCCGGCCCTCCCTACACTCCTGTGTCACCCACCAGTGCATCCCAGCTCGACTATGCCCAGGACAGCCCTACCGTAGGCCGAGCTCAGGTCCACCACATTCGAGGCCCTCACTCTGGGCCCATCCCTAGCCCCATCACCATCGTGCCCCTTGGCGGTGTTCATGCCTCAGGTTCAGCTTCTGGCTCAGGTTCTGGCTCAGATTCACCAGCATCCGGCTCCGGCACCCTGACCTCATCTGCACCCACTAGTCCCTTGCCCAGCGCTGGCCCCAGGTAAGACGCATAATCTCCATGTCCCACCTCTCCTCCTGCCGCGGCCCTCTCCGACTCCTTGTGCTCCCATCTATTCTTTTTGCTCCCCTTTCCTTTTTTGGTCCGTGGCTCGGCCTCGTGCAATTTGTCTACTCTCGAACCCTCTGGGCCGTCGAGAATAGTATTGATCCACCGACTACGCCATCAGACGACTTAGTGCCGCGCGTGCCCGCAGGCCGTCTGTGCAGGGTGGGCGCAATTAGATCTGCTCGCTCGCCTGCCTTTCCCCGGATTGTCATCTTAGTTCTCGTCCCTGCTGTGCAACTCGATCACGGCCCTTCAGACTACCGACTTGCCCTGCCCGTGTGCTACTACTGCACGCACTACCGAGTCGCTCCAGACGTACTTCAATGCTGATCCTCACCCCTCTCCTGCTCCAGATTCCGGAAACCTGCACCCAGCCCGCTGCATAATACTACGGCCATCTCTCCTCCCAACAGCCCCAGTCCTAGGAAATCACATTTCCAGATCTCCTTTGGCGCACACGGCTCGCCCATTAATTCACCAACCACGCCTTTGGCCTCGCAGACAAGAAGAGCCCCACAGGCCGCGGAACCATTACCGCGACAAAGAACGGTAGAAAGCATCGATACCGAGAAGTCCTACTACCACAGCGATTCCTCGGGTACAGCAACTCCTGACGACAACAAGACAGCACCTGGGTTCGTGGACCCCATCACCCAACGACTTTCCCAGGGCACTCGCCAGCCTAGCGACCTTTGGCGCTGCGCCTATTGAGAAAACGGCTAACTAACCCGCCACACAGATCCTCGTTGCCCCCACGACTCGCGCATGACAGCAGAAGCGTCTCCGACCCCGTGAAGAAGCCACTTGGGGCCTCGACCAACTCATCTTCCCAGGCCATGCCTGGGTCCTCGAGGATGGAGAAGGTGAAGGGCGCTCCAAGGAACTCCTCCATCGACTCAGCCATCTCCGCCATTTCCACCGGGTCCTCGACCCCCAAGAACTCCCAAGATGGCTCCTCGAGCCCTGCCGATATCTCAAAGCTGATAAAGGCTGCCGGCTCCCCCGAGGCGGTAATACAATATTTGCTGAAAGAGAAGAACTCGCAGACACAACAGAACTCGCAGCTATGGCGTCTCGTGGACAAGCAGAGGGCCATGATACTTGGCCTCAACAAAGACCTGGAGCGAGCCCTGAAGGACAAAGAAAAGTACAGGAAGAAGCTCAAGGAGGTTATGACCTTGCAGACCATCCCTTCGGTCTCCTCAGCTTCGGCAGTGCAGGGCCGAGAATCTCCCGCCAGCCTCGCACCCGCGGACGACGACGACGACGATACTGCGAAGAAGGCTTCCCCCGACGTGCCCGCGTCGCCCAGTGTCGAGTCCGAGAACATGAGACATTCTCCCATCGATGTTTCGATGGCACCATACCCGATCACGCCGCCAGCAGATCAATGCAGCAATGGTCCTCCTTCCGCCGTGGGTGAAATGCTAGATCCCTCACATTCTATGCCCGAAGCGAGCGAGCACGCCCTGGACAATTTTGATCACGACGCCCAAGAGAGGGCAGCCGAAGTGTCGAAGGATCTTGCCAGTTCGAGTAACGACATTCCCATCAATTTCGCACTGCCACCTTCGAGATCTCTGCCAGAGCGTCCTCCGCCTCCCCAGGGTGCGCTACCGGCACCACCGCGGCAAGCTGCTCGCTCAGAACTCGACGCCTTTATCGACGAGGACGGCACCTCACGCTTCCCATCTGTACCAGCACCGCCTCCGAGAAAACCACCACCGGCACCTCTGCACCTCAAGGACCAAGAGTCCGGCCCCGCCTACCCGGCAGATGAGGATTCTGAGAGTGACTCGGACTTTGACGATATTCTCGAGGTCAATGAGATTGCAGCGGAAAAGCGCGGCCGTCGGAGGACACGGCAGGAGGACGATGAGCTGCGTGAAGTCCTCGTGCTAAAAGAGGCAGAGGCGCGGAGCATCTCCAAGAAGAGCAAGGGTAGCGCGAAGGGGCCGCCGGAGGAGCCCACCCCACAACTAAACATGGCGCAGAGCTCTCCAAGGGCGCTGAATAGGCCAAACGCCCCGGGCTCTCTTGCAGGTATGCTGGATAATAACATGTCCAGCACTGCCCTGCCTCTGCGTAGCCCTGGATTGCCTCTGAGTCCTCGGCCCATGCAGTTGGGCGAGGGGCCGAGCTCCCCACCTCAGTCGCCACGGCACAACGGCCTTGCGGTGCCCCTATCACCTCGTGCTCCCCGGCAAGCAATCCCCCTGCCCCCAAATACGCCTCTCCAGACTCCACCGGGCGAACCGCTTGTTTTGAAGTCGCCACAACCCCTGAACATTGTCAAGGCCGCCGTTGACGGGGAGGCCGCTAGCAGTCCAACTTCGGAGAGTCGTGTGAGCCAGACTGAGCGAACCAGAATTTTCAAGGGCTTTGTTACCGAGGAGTACCCCGACCTTCTACTGCCACCAAACGCCATACCTTCTGTTATTGTCAAAGTTGCGTCGTCGAGGATGAAGCCGTCGCGCGCAAGCTTGATTTCACTGACACAACTAGAGGAGGATCCCGTGTTCACATTAGCAGTCATCTCGCGATCCGAAGGCGGAGAACTCTGGCGGGTCGAGAAGGACTCGGTATCCCTCGCAAAGCTGGATCAGAGGCTTAAGCAGTGTGCAGCATTCACCGCGAAGACCCCAGACCGGACATTGTTCAGCGGCCACGCTCCGGCAAAACTCGATGCCCGCCGCCAAGCCCTGGACCAGTATCTTGACGAAGCGCTCAACACTGCATTCGACACCCCTAGCGCCATAGAGCTATGCAAATACCTGTCTAGCAATGTTCTGCCTCCGAATGCTGATGAAATGGGCTCGTCGACAGGCCCGTCTGACGAAGGAGGACCTAGACTGGGACCTGGCGGCCGACAGTTCAAGACCGGCTACTTGACCAAGAGAGGCAAGAACTTTGGCGGTTGGAAAGCGAGATTTTTCAGCGTCGAAGGCCCTCAGCTGAAGTACTTTGAGACGCCCGGGGGAGCACACCTGGGGACTATCAAACTTCCAGGAGCTCAGATTGGCAGACAATCCCAGCAAGGCGGAGACGCGCCCTCGCCGTCACGCCCCACCGACGAGGCCGAGAACCAATATCGCCACGCGTTCCTCATTTTGGAGCCCAAGAAGAAGGATCCCAGTGCCATGACCAAACATGTGCTCTGCGCTGAGAGTGACAAAGAACGCGACCAATGGGTAGAGGTCTTACTGCAGTGGACCAACTTCAAAGAGGCGGACGACGACAACAAGCGCGACCATGCTCAGGACCGACAGAACTCGAACCAAGTGAAGGGTGCAAATGCGAAGAAAAAGCTGCACCCCCGCCCTCAACCACAACAGTCCAAAGACAGCGAGGACGCTTTGATCGGTGTTAGCTACGACACCACAAAGCAGGGCGATGTTCCGAAAATGGGCGGCCACGACCTCCCGCAGCCTTCTCCAGCGGCGGCGATGGGACCCCAGTCGTTGTACAGCATCTCTGCTCCACGAGATCCACAAGTGATATCTGACATGTCCATGTGGGGCAATAAGATGGGTGGTCTCAACATTCCTCCCGGCTTGGACGAGAAGAAAGTGAAGAAGCGTAGTTTCTTCGGCTTTGGGCCAAAGCAGAGGTCCTCGAGCGATGGGACTGACTCCCTCTTCGGTGAGAGCTCTGGATCCCCAGGTACTTCAGCGGGCTCCAGGGAGGTGTACTCTGGACCCGTCCGCCGGACATTTGGCGCTCCTCTCGCTGAAGCGGTGCGTTATAACTCACCTAGAGACATACGGGTACCGCTGCCGGCTGTGGTCTATCGCTGCATACAGTATCTCGAAGCCAAGGGAGCCATCACCGAGGAAGGCATTTTCCGTCTCAGCGGCTCCAACGTCGTCATCAAATCGTTGAAGGAGCGCTTCGACAATGAGGGTGACATTAATCTGCTCGCAGACGAGCAGTACCATGACATACACGCCGTTGCCTCCATGCTCAAGGCCTACCTGCGGGAGTTGCCGACAAGCATATTGACTCGGGACCTGCACTTGGACTTTGTCGCAGTTACCGAGATGAGCAGCCAAGCTGAAAAGATCGTTGCGCTGAACGAGCTCGTCACCAGACTCCCACAGGTCAATGCCACACTGCTCAAGTACCTGATTGCCTTTTTGATCAAGATTATCAACCACGCCGATCGCAACAAGATGACCGTCCGCAACGTCGGCATCGTCTTCTCGCCAACGTTGACTATTCCTGCTCCAGTGTTTGCCCTTTTCCTGCAACATTACGAGGCCATCTTCGGCATCGTTCCCGAGGAGTACGAACTGCCCACACCAGCATCGTTCGAAGAGCAACGTGGGAGGGAGCCTGCGCTCGACCTTCCACCCAGGCCATCAACATCTAGTGCAGCCAGAGAATCTCCGCACCGTCACCGTCTCGCTGAGGCACTTCAGGAGGGACGAAGGGGCAACACGCCCCCTCCTGCCGGGTTGAATCCCTTGGGCGGGTTCACGCAAGCGAGATCCACACCGACTCCACCTCTCGTCCAACAGCGCACCTACGAACCGTCTTACTTGGCCCAGCAAAGTGTTGGCGGCCCTAATGTCCAGATCCGTCCTGCGTACGAGAGCATGTTGATGGCCCCCGGCCCTGACGCCAGTCAATTCTACGCGGCACAGCAGCGTATGGTCAACCCCGGCTACGATCGACCCATTTATGAGACCGGTGCCGCCGCATACGATCAGCCACAGTCCGTTCGAGCTAGCCGCAGGGAAAGCACCATGATGATGATGGGCCCTCCGAGGGGTCTCACGCCACAAAGCTCCATGGGTCGTCTCAGAGAGGACCCTCAATTCTGATTTATGCACACGAAGTCTCACGAATGCCAAACTCTCAGCATCCGCTCTTGATGGAGCACCACTAGCAAGGAGCATGATTTTCCACGAATTGCTTCGATTCTATTTTGTCATCCAAGATACCACGCAGTCGTTCCCGCCCAGCGCCCATCATACCAAGCATCCACAGTGTTGGCGGTGGCTCTCGGGGCTGCCCACCCCCCCAAAACCCGCGAACCCACAAACATAAAATCCGAATGTCGATCGAGCAACCATGAGCCTACGGACTGGCGCCATAGCGATAGCGAATCTTTCAAACACCGCACACAATACTAATAATCAGCTAATCACGCTCACTCACCTCACACCGGCCTCCTGGATGATACCACCATCAGAACGGCGTGGAGCATTGGCATTGATTGCTTTGGGCTATTTCTCTTGTATTTCCTTTGCCACTTGAATATCTTATTCTTCTTTTTGGAAATATCCATGATACCTGGAGGGAAGATGGGGAATGGGATGAGGCCCGGGGTAACGGGAAGGAATGGCGCCCCCCAGGGGCAACACAAACAACATGTATAACATACAAATTTATGCGTCCCTACCAATTTAGCCATTCAGGCTCGGAGTTGAACAGAGATAGAGCGGATTCCTGGCGGTGAATGTCAGATCTCCCCTCTCTTCGAGGGAGATGGTGAAGGTGGCTCTTTCGTCTTTTGTTTTTCTATTTTCTCTCTATTCGGATTTCTGCACGGTGTTCGATGGTGTTAAGCGTCGGCCCTCGTTTACTTCTTCTCTTTCCGGTCACATAGGACCGGCCTGCCGCTGCTGGTGCCTACGACACACCCATATATCTATGCACCCCCGGGGCGCTTGACATGTTGTGGTTGGATCTTGCATGTCTCTATCTCTGTCTCGCGGGAGAGGTAGCGAGGAGTGACGAAAATTATACAAAGATAAAATGGAAGATGTTTAATTTGCTCATCTGACCTTGTCAGTCCTCTATCACTGGATTCTGAGCGTTCCATGGCCTCTCACCAGCCTCAGCTTGGTCCGCGACTCCAAATGGCAATGACCGACTTGCTGCCTGAATGGACCCAACTGAAAATCCACGATCTTGCTAATGGCTTCTCCTATATCTGATAAACTTCTGAGTCAGTTCTTTATTCTCCTCCACCCTTTTGTCAAACCGCTGACGATGTCCCATGCGAAGGCAGACTTGTCCATGCCATGCCCCAGGCACAACTCTGCACCAAGCAGCTTTTCATCAAAACAACCAACTACTACAAAAGCCCCTACAGAACGGTCCTAACGTATCGCGCTGCGCAGAGTTCACCTGAACTAGTGAGAGACTTCGTCAAAGCCGGAATTGACCTTGAGGCACCAACGACGAAGGAGCTACAGCCCCTCATTGTGCTGCGGCATGGGGAGAAACTGCATCACTGCAGATTCTAATCGAGAGCGGAGTAAATGCCAACGCGGCCAACAATGATGGCGAGACGGTGCTGCATATTGTGACGGGGAACCGTTCTCTCAGAAGTGTACGTGATTCAGAGACGAAGGCCAAGCTTTTGATCGAAGCAGGGGCGGATATTCATGCGAAAGCAAAGTCTGGAAAGACGCATTTGGATTATGCGGTTGATTGTGAAGGCGAGGCTGTTGAGAAGGTACTCCGTGAGATGGGGGCGGCGTAAGATGCACAGAAAACAGAACAAGTTCTGGGTTTCGGGCTTTCGAGTGAACTACCAGCTTCTGAGAATCGAATCAGTTTTACCTTTACCATATAATTATCAATAAACTGTTGCGCTCATCGCATTTTGTCTCACGTCCGATCAACAAGAGCCCAAGTATGGTCAGCAATCTTCCTTCTCTCCTCCTCACTCCACTCTTTCTTCCCTCCAATCACCTTTCCATGGTTATCGATGCAAGCCCAGGACAAGCCCTTCAATCGTAACTCATCCGCAGCTTTGTACAGCCCATCAAGTTGTCTTTCAGCGCACTGCTCAGGCTGCAGGCCGGCCAATCTCGAAGCAACCTTTGACACAGCTCGGAAATACCATGCTGAGTTCTTGGGTGTCGCTGTGTTTACAAGTCCGGGATAACCGTGCGCGAAGAAATGTTGGGTACCCTGTTTCTGAAGCGCGTGATACTGCACCATTGCGTCATTCATGGTGATACAGTGGTTTGCCGCGTGAGGAAGACTGAACGTTTCCTTGAGGTCGAGATCATCCCAGTTCAGCTTCTCGGGACTGCTATTAAGGCCGTCCAACACGAGAAGAACCTTCGCATCCTTGCTGAAAATGGGGCTCAGCTCTCTGATCAAGAGCTGACGACCGTAGTAGTGCAGAGCCATCTTCCTGTCAATTCCCTCAGGTGTTTCCGTCCGTCCCGCGAATGACATGATTCCCTGCGTCATCACGAGAAGGTCAAGAGGGTTGTTCTGGCTGTTGTTCCGGAACTCCTGCGCAAATTCTTTCAACGCGTGCATTGATGTTGCATCGACAGAGCGGAACGAGACTTTCTCAGCTGGCATGACCTGCGGTTTTGTCCGGCCCACGATGGTGATGGATGAGAACTGGTAACTGGGGGATGTTGCCAAGCGGCTGGCGATTGCGTAGCCAATGCCGCTGGTGCCGCCCACTACCAGAGCGTTAGAGCCGGAGATGACCTTGTTCATGATGAAGATGAGATGAGGGGAGGGGATGTAGTGTCAGACAAGATGCGCGGGATGAAGAACAAGATATGGTGGTGGATGGTATGACAGACCAGTCAAAACTGTTATAAATGAGCAAGTGAGCATTATTTATACCGAAAGGATGTGATACAAGATAAGAGTTGAGACTATGCTGCTTTCTTCACTAGTGCTTATGTTGTCGCATAATCCTATAAAAGGAGATTTTCTATACCCGTCTCATTACACAATATCCCGAGTCCGAGTCCGAAAATAATCAAAAGTTTCCATCTACATCCCACGGACTCGCAGGCTACTTCTTTAATGAACACATAATCTCTTCCATATGAGCAAACGCAGATTCATCCATCACCTCCCCCCCAGACTCTGCAGCTGGTGCATCAACTTGAATTACAGCATGAAGTCACACTCACTAGGGAAGACAGTGCCGTTTGGTCCGGGATTGGTGTTGAAGTAGGTAGCAACCATTTCCCAAATCTCCAGTCTCAGACCAATGCTGAAGCTCGGCTTTATGTGGTTTCGCTTCTATCCGTATACGTCCGAGGACATACATGGCGCCTTCATACGGTGGAAGCTCGGCTTTAAGACATGATTGACGCAGGCTCCACTGGTAATAATGATCTTCTCTGTCAAATACTTGACCTCCTTATCATGAATCAACGTGTGGACTTCCCAGATGGACCTATTGCTACTGTCTAGAGGACGAAGCTGCTTCACCTGAGTGTGCTGCTTTGCCTGGGCACCGTAGTCCTTTGCGAGACCGTACAAGGTGGGGAGGAGGAGTTGGACGTTGATCACTCCGTTATCCGGGGCGAAGAGTCTGATCCAGTTGGGATCGAGGTTCTCGAAGGGATATTGCTCTTCAATCTGCTCAGCAGTGATCATCTTGGTCAGAATAAGATGGGAAAGTGGGAGTGAGCATACGTACGCTCCTTGTAGAACATTCCAAACTTGTCCAAGTTCGCCTTGGGTCCCAGCAGTAATCCTATCCCCGTCAGTACCGCATCCAAGAAGCATAAGTGTCTCACCTTCTGGACCATCGCCACCCATGTCCTTATCTCCAAAGTTCGGAAGACGTCCCATCCAACGAAGCGACACTCCAGCATCTTTCTCAAGAGCATCACAATGCTTCATGGCCTCAATCACAAGCTTGGCCTTGAACTCCTCAGTGTACCTATCCTGTCAGCCATGTCCTCAAGATTTATTCCGCGACAGACTTGCATAGTGCGAAACATCAATGACGGGCCAGATGACCAAAACTACCGGCTTGGCTGAAGAAATTATTCTGTTCAAGAATCATTACCTTGCTTGACGATATTTAATTGACAATTTGCCTACCTGTTCCTCTTGAACGACTTGATTGTGATCATCTGTCTAGTCCGCTACTCAAATCAACTCCAAGTGTACTTCAGTCGTCATCTAGATTGCCGCAGAGATTCAGGCCACGATCTCGCCGCATGACCGGCCACACCACCTCCGAGAAAAACACCAAGAGAACAGATGAAACAAACCCCTCGACGTTGCGTGGCCCTCATCATAGAGAACACAAACCGAGAAACCTCTTCGAGTCGCGGCGACCAGGCCACGATCCCAATGAGGTTGGTCGCCCAACCAGGGAATTGAAACCCAGAGTCTTGGGGCTCGCGTTGTGAACAACACGAGCCAGACTCGTGCAATTGTGTCATTTCTGACAAAGCTTGTTGCTAGACGAGCTACAGTAAGATAGGCCGCAGGTCACATGTGTGGGTTGCCTTCAAGAGCCTTCGCAATGTGCCTCACTCATCCCGTAAGCCATGCGAGCGCGAGGCATCGCTTACATATGGCCGGCATCATCACAATGATGTTGCCTTTTCGTTTCTTGAGCCCTCGGAGTTTAGGTAGCCAGGCCCCAGGATTGGCAGGACTCGTCTACCCCTCAGTCTCTGTCTCTGCCATCCTCCTGCATGAGATGGCGGACAGTACACGCCACACTGCAAGAAGGCCACCCAGGGAAGACGGGATGGCTCCGCGCGTGGCAGTGGCACCCAGTACCTCGTTACGCGCGGCCATCAACCGTGACGCCTGGTGCCTTGTTGCCGGCTCGTGCTGCGCGTGTCCTCCCGCCACCTCTTAGACCGCGATTCAGCTGCTGGTGAGCTAGCTGCCTGTGGTAACAAGGGTCTCTTTGATGCCATTTGTGGGTGGCTCTCAAGTGATTGATGCAGTATTGTGAGTTTCTGCTCCTTTCCACGCGCCCAACACGTTCAACCAGGCAGCGACTGAATTCCTCGGCGGAGTCTTGTTCCTGCCGGCTCGAGTTCACCGCCCGGTCGATCTTGTCAAACAAGACAAAAGGAGTCATTCTCTTTATACAATTAAGTCTTTTTTCTTTGAACGAAGGATCTTCAACTTCTTCAATCTGAAAAATAAACAGCGGGCAGGGGGCTCTCGCTGGTGGGGGCCAGAGACGAGCCGAACACAGAATTCCTCAGTCATTGTGTGACCGGCTAAGTGTCGGCGTCTATACCCCCTGGTGTAAAACAGTGTCATCCTGTTCAAACTCATGTCCATTCAAGACGACCACTTCCGGACTGCCGCCACCGTCACATGGTGGCGACGGCCGAACCTGGCGTGCACAGGATGGACATGAGTTGTGAACCGGTGAAGTTTTCCCCGATTTTGGAACCCGCGTAACCCAGAGGCCTTGCCGGTGGAAATGGCAAACCGTCAAGAGGAGCGACAGCCTGTGCCATCAAGCCCCGGTCTTGGACGGTTTAGTGGCCGACCACGGTTGACAAGGACCCCTCGATCCAACGGGACCACACAGTTATGGTTGTTTCTCAGTTATGTAAGACCCGCGTGGAACCCTCTGACCTTTGCAATGCTCTGGTGTACCAGGCAGCAGCGAGGGCACGACGGTGTGAGCGTACGTGACCTCAGCATGCTGACGGTCGCAGTGGCAGCATCGGTCTCGGGGGTCCTCGCTGGCCTTATTGTGTGTTGTGTGTTGAGTCATTTGCGCTGTGATCCAGACTTGGCCCGTTGCATACAGGCAAGTGTCTCAGTGACGCCTCTTGGCCTCGTCGTCCAAATGTTGATGTGACACTCTGTGTGGTGCTCCCGTTTGACTCAGACGCGTGGTGTTGGCTTTCAAGGACGTGCGACGGCTCTGTTGCTTTGGCACAAGTGGTCGACAGTGTTTGCGGGTGACTTGACAAGTTTGTAGCGTTGTGGATTTCCTTGTCTGTCTCGTCATTGTTCGTTCCCGGAGTGGCTGCGGGCTGCAGCCGAGTTCGGGCGTTGGTGGGTGACAGGCAGTACTCTCCGCGTTGCGTGTGTGTGACTTGCAGGCAGGCAGGCTATTGATAGCCGGCCCGATGATGTCAGCTCGGATTGAGTGGGGATTCCGGCACCCCGTTTTCTCGCTGGTCATGATGGAGCCGAATGCGTGGGTTCGGTGCATGATGTAGACGCAGCGAGCAGAAGTTCTCACACTTTGCGGGACGAGGGCCTGCAGGGGCAGTGGCCGCCCCCTGGGCAGACGTCGCCGTGGCTTCCGCGTGCTTGTTGGGCGGCTGACTGTGCGGGCGGACTGAACACGTCGGGCCTGCGACAGTTGGCCAGCCGCACAACAAAGCACGCGGGCATACCACAGCGACCCCAAGAAGAAGATGCGTCTCTGTGTTGGCTCTGGCCCCGCAAACAGCCCTCTCCGTTGGCATGAGAGAGGAGTGCAGAGGGTCAGGTTCCCAGGCAACACCCCGTGGAGGTCTAGAGGCCGACTTCGATGCCCATTCTGATGGTGATGTGGCGGTGATGGTGGGTAGACGCGTGAAGGGCTGCAAAGATGCCACCGCGAAATGGGGGAGTCGTGAGGTGAAGGTGAGAAAAGGATGGCATGCAGGTGTGAAGGGGGGGAGATTGGCGTCATATAAGGGTGGCCTGTTAGAGGCCGAGCTAGTCTGGTACGCGTGATAGCCCAAGCCGTGCAGCCGGGGGAGATGATGATGACCAAACAGGCTAGCGTCGATGGCCGGATGGCAAGTGGGGGCCGCGGCAAGAGGCTGAAGTGTGAAGGCTGGAGGTGGGGCTGGGGGTTGGGGTTTGGGGTTGATGGGCAGCTGCTGAGCTGTTGCTGCAGTACGGAGGGGGGCCTGAGAAGGAGCTGGCTTGGCTGGATGGAGGCTGGAGGCTGGGGGAGGGGACGTGAAGTGGCCCGTGCTCTTCATGCAGTAGTGTAGTCTACGTACCCATACTCTGTTACCTCTAGGACTCATCATCGGTGGGCGGGTCCTCGGTCTTAGTCGGTCCTGCCTCTTACAAAGCTCCGTGGTCCGATGCGACAGCTGCTGGGAGCAAGCAACAAGCCCAGCCGATTATGTTGGCTCAATAATCACAATAATCAGACAGCACCCCATCCATACCATGGACAATTGCGCGAGTACGGAGAGCCAGCTAGCTGCCTGCCAACATTGAACCTTGGGACCAAACATCGTCGTCCGCCGCCATGGATTCCGCCGCTTTGGATCCACGCCTTCGCAGCACCCACGATTCATCCTCTATCTCCGTACACGTCGCCGAGGATGCCTCTTTGCCGTCTTCATCTCCGTCACTGGCACCACCTGTTTCCCATAATAATGTGTCCGCCCCCACCCCCACCCCCACAGCCAGCGGGCCCGGCTCTGGGACCGGGACTCAACACTTCAACGGCTCCGTCTCGGGCACGGTTGCGGCCGGAGCTCTATACTCAGCCGCCCCGGCGGCATCAGCTGCCTCTACTCACACCCCGGGCAATGCCCCGTCTCCCTTTCCCACTGCCACTGCATACCCACAGCCGCCTGCGGCCCCATCCACCACAAATGCCCTGCCTGACGACCACACTGGCGACCAGGACAACTCAGGGTCCGATCCCAGGAAAGCCAGGGCCTGTGAGGCATGCCGCGGTCTCAAGGTCCGCTGCGAGACTGTCCCCGAGGATCCTGAAGGTGCCTGCAAGAGATGCGCCAAGGCTGGACGCAACTGCGTCATCACCCAGCCCACCAGGAAGCGCCAGAAGAAGACCGACAATAGGGTTGCCGAGCTGGAAAAGAAGATTGATGCTCTGACTGCTACTTTGAGCGCTGCCAAGGCCGGCCAGCCCAGCCAGCCCGGCACTTCCGTCTCCACCCATCCCGAAGCTGGTCCTCCCGGCGGTTGGGATGCCGATGGGACCGGGATCTCTGCTTCTGCAGTACCGCCAGTGGCCAAGGCCGGTCAGAAGCGGAAGCGTAGTGCGCCCGTCGCGAACGGCGGCCACACTCCAGCATCTTCGAGCAGTAACGAGCACCATGATCTCGTCGCCCGTGGTATCATCACTGCCGACAGTGCGGCTCACCTGCTAGATCGTTACAACTACCAGATGGCCCCTCACCTACCCGGTGTCGTCTTCCCGCCCCACCTGACCGCCGACGAGCTCAGGAAAACGAGACCAGTCCTGTTCCTTGCCGTCATGGCCGTTGCCTCCTCGAGCTTGCCCGAAGTAAAGCGGGTCGCTTTCAGAGAGCTCTTCCAGGCCTTCGCTGACAGTATCCTCATCAAGGGCGAAAAGAGCATCGAGCTGGTCCAAGCTTTAACTCTTGCCGCCATGTGGTACCTGCCGCCAGAAAATCTCGATGAACTCAAATTCTACCAACTTGTACACATGGCTATGATCATGGCGCTTGACCTCGGGCTGGGCAGAGGTAGACCCAGGGGTAGCAAACCAACGGCGTGGGGTGCGCAGCCACCGAGGAGGCAGGTTCAACCAGACCCAACCACCATCGAAGCAAGGCGGACCTGGCTTCTGTGCTACTATATGACGGTCAACACGGCCATGGCTCTTCATCGGCCATTTCTGCTCAGATGGACCTCGTTCATGGCAGAGTGCATGGACATACTCGAGTCCTCGCCCGAAGCTGCACCAACGGACAAATATTTCTGCCATCTCGTGTGGACGCATCGGCTGGCGGAAGAGATCGGGTTCCAATTTTGCATGGACGACCCTTCGGTCCCAGTAAGCCTGTCAGACCACATGACGCAGCACAGGATTAGAGGCTTCGAGCGGGAGCTCGACAAACATAAGAATCAGGTTCCTGTGGAACTTTTGCACCGTACGTATGACCCATTCACTACCCTCTGCCTCCTTCATGCTGTGCTAACCTTCAAGCAGCATCACTTAGGCTCAGCTTCCACACCCTGAGCTTATACATGCACGAGCTTGCGCTGCAGACGGATCCAGCTGATGCGATCAAAAGCCCGTTCGTGCCAGAGAGCGCTGCTGGTAATGCAACGCTGAATCCAGCCTACACCAGCGCTCTGGCAGCCTGTCTGACGGCGATTGATGGGATATTTGACACTTTTTTGAGCATGGATCCAAGCAGCATAAATTGTATGCCCGTCTTTAATCTTGTGCGGGTGTCCTATGCTATGGTCATCCTCATCAAGATATATTCGGCTGCTTCAAACCCGTCGTCGGACCTCGGGAAAGTCATTGATAAGGACAGCCTGAAGGTCGAGCAGAAATTGTCCGATCTGGTGGAGAAGTACCGTGCTGTTTCCAACATTGACAAACACCATCCGGCCTCTAATTTTCTCACCATTGCAGTCATGGTGCGAGCTTGGTTTCTCAAGTTCAGCCAGTCTCAGCCCAGGCGTGGAGAAACCAAAACTGATGGCTCAACAAATGCGGCGGGGCCGAACCAAGCAGGCGATTCTTCTCAGGCCAGCAGCAACCCTTTGCAACTTCTATCCGAAGCCGCCACCAATAATCGAGCTGCTACAGGTGTTTCTGAGGTACAAGCCCCTGCCGATGGGGCTCCACAGAGCGGCAATGGCGACGCAGACGCCAGTACAGCAGGGGCCGTTTCATCCTCCAATGGCCCAGGCGCGAATCAAGAGAGGAAGGACGATGGCAGCATTAATATGCCGCCACCCCCGATGCCTCAGGCACAAGCATATCCTCACCAGCATGGTTTCGTCGGTGGCACGCCTGCTCCGTGGCTCGGCTTCGGAACGGACTTTGACGCCCACATCCTGGCTGATGGATTCACCCAGGCCTGGGACCTGACCATGGAAGGTCTCGGTGACGGGCAGGGGGGCTTTCAGGACTTTAACGGCTTCATGCTCGGAGTTCCTGACCCACTGTTTGACCCAGCTGGAACCCAGATGCCTGGCCCTGGCTCGTTCTAATCCTGGGAGGCGCAACATCGAGCGTGGATTGCGTCTGATTGGCGGTCCTTGGTCCATCATAATAGTCGAGCTGAAGCGGCTTACACTTGTGTCACAGAGTACTTGATTATCACTGTCTAGAATGGCCTTGGCGTCGGGTCGAAACACTGGCAGCACTTGAGGAAAGAAAGCTGTTTCTAACATTACTTCCCTTGAAATCATGTATTTTACGATTACACAGGGGTGTTCTGGGCTGATGTGCTTATTATAGCGGACTCTTTTCAGCATCGCTCTAGGTTGGTGGCATTTGGCAGCATTGGCTTCACAAGGTATTTTCAAAAGGGCTCAGTCTTGTTGCAAGGCGTTGAAGGGATTTCTTTAACCGGAATTCATTTGCTATTCTGTAGATTACACATAAAAGGGTGGGAAATAACGACGTCGGGTAATACGGTTCATTGGTCGAGAGCCTCTCTTCTCAATTCGAAATCACATGCTCATTAATGCATGCATGACAATCCTGGGTTTGTCTGATACTATCTCTCGTGGTTCCCTGAGTCTCGAAACCTAATTGTCGACGTCGCTGACGGGAAACTGGGACAGTTTGCGCAATATCTAAGTTCCCAGGGAGAGGCACCAGACCCTGGCCACTCCCTTCAGCAGGTTATAGGCAGCCAAGGCTCCACACGCGTCACTCGTCCGCCCTTCACTCGCTGCCTTTATAGTCTGCCAAATCACCCTCTCTTAGCTGAACTTGCTCAAATGTTTTACTGAATTACCAATCCACAATTATGCTCTCCCCATCCATCTGAATACTTCAGAGTCTGAACCCCGCCCTCATTGTGGGTGGCCTAGATCTAGTCACCGCCCTCCGTGGCTTTAAGATCCGCACTGCCACGCTCGAAAAGTACCTGATCGGCCTCGGAAAGCCTGCCGGGACCAACTCAGCTGCCATCCCATCCCACCGTACTACGACTATGATGCCAACGGGAATGCTACCGATGAGGTCTCGGAGGTGCTGCGTGCGAGCAGCGGTATCTCCAGCGTCCTGCTCGTCATGCCCTCTGTCGAGGGGCACGACCGCTCTTCCTGGGCTTAATTATGTGGCCTACAGCTGTGCACACATCTACGCCCAGCGCCACGTAACTCCTCAGGGCCCTGACGAGAAGGTGCCCCAGGGGTTTAAAGAGCTACGGCAGGGTGTGCTCAACTATAGCTCCAGCTCAGAGGGGGACGAAGGCTTGATGGGTCTTTTTATCGTCATCACAGAGGCTCGGCCAGGTCCAACCCCACCAGAGCTCCAAGAACGTTGGCAGGTATACTAGCAAATTCCCCCTTGTCGGCCATTCTTTAAGTGCCATTAAGTAATCCGTTTTTAAAAAAGAAATGCCGGCTAACTTGTCAAAATAGACCCTAATTCCATGTGGTCTTTGTGAACAGACTTTTCAGATGTGGTCAACACGACAGGGGCACCGAAACGAAGTTCACGGATTAGACGAAGAACTTGACGCTTTGCCTTCAAATGCTTGATGACGGCATCACTACCCAGACAGATGCAAGGCGGGACAGTCAGCGCAAAGGATACGGATGACATTACGAGACCTGGCTAGCCAGTGCCAAGGGGCTATTCGCTTGCTACTTGCTGTCCGGTTAAGCCAGAGGTTTACTGGTCCTCAATTACACAGTTGTACTGGGCTGAACGTGAAGCTGTGTTGTTTATGGGTACTTAAATAGTGTAGACTTTAGGACTAGAAAGAATAAGTTAAAAGTACCTACTGGAGTAGGCAGAAGGCATTAACTCTGAAGGGGTGGCCTGTGTGGGCTGGTAGGTAGTCTGTTTGGCTATGGTGATTTTGCTGTGGTCATTCCGTCAAGGTACATTTGTAAGCCATTTTCATTTTGCCGTGGCACGCCATCCTAGGTAAGTTTCATGGTGTCCAGCACCTCTCCTCATATACCCTCGAACTTTTACCCCACATGAATGGCCATGACACGGTCTGTTTTTCCACGTAAGACCCTATCTGATTAACTCGAGAAGAGATTCACGATGAGGGTAGTAAACTACGCCGCCTGGATTCCCTCCCACGGCGCCGAGCTGGAAGTGGCCGAGGCTCCCTTTCCCACCATCCTCGACGACGACGAAGTCATCATCAAGAACAAGGCCGTCGCCGTCAACCCGGTCGACTGGAAGATCCAGTCTGCGCCGCAGCCAATCTTCAACAGTCAGTAATTAGCAGGCTTCTCCTCCTCCTACAGACCCCATTCTTTTCATCCCCTTGCAAATGTCCCAGGATGCACGACTTCAGGATCTATAAGAAGCAAATGACTGACGTGCATGTAATCAGTCCAATACCCATTCATCCTAGGATCAGATGTCGCGGGCGAGGTCGTCGGCGTCGGCGAGGCCGCAAGGCACCGCTTCAAGAAGGGTGATCGCGTCATCGGCCACGCGCTTGGCCTGTCGTCCGGCGGGGCCGCGCAGGGAGGGTTCCAGCTGTACCCAAAGCTCAAGGCCGCGACCGTGTCCAAGATCCCCGACGACATCCCATTCGAGCAGGCCGCCGTGCTACCCCTCTCCATCTCAACGGCCGCCGCGGGGTTGTTCCTCAAGGAGACGCTGGGGCTGCCGATACCCAAGCCGCCAAGCAGCAGCAGCATCTGGGGGGCGAAGGGCGCGGGCAAGAAAAAGGAGACGGTCCTCCTCTGGGGCGGCTCCTCCTCGGTCGGCAGCTCCGTCGTCCAGCTGGCCGTCGCGGCGGGGTACGACGTCATCGCGACGGCCTCGCCCTCCAACTACGACTACGTCAAGTCCCTCGGCGCGGAGCTCGTGGTCGACTACCACAACCCGGACATCGTCCCCATCCTGGCCGGCCTGCTGAGGGCCTCCGGGACGCGCCTCGCAGGCGCCTACGACGCCATCGGGTCCGACGCCACCGTGCGCGCGAGCGCCGCCGTCGTGAGCGCCCTCGGAGGGGGCAGGGTCGCCAGCGTGGGGGTCACGCCCGAGGACGCCGGGGGCGACGAGGTCGAGGTCGTGCGCATCTCGGCGCCGAGCCTTGTTGCTGGGGCGCCCGAGGTCGTGAGGGCCGTCTGGGGCGAGTATGTCCCTGCTGCGCTGAGGGCTGGGACGCTGGTCCCGCGGCCGAGGGAGTTGGTCGTTGGGAAGGGGCTGTACTTTGTCCAGAGGGGGTTGGATGCCAACAAGGCTGGGGTGAGCGCGGCCAAGGTGGTCATTACGCTCTGAGGGCGTTCGAAGCTGGTAGGGCGTTGACAGTCAGGACTTGTGGCTGGTAAGAGTGCGTGCTGAAACACTTCACACAAAATCAGCTCCTGGCAATAAGTAGCTGGAAGCGATGGCTGGTATTTTGACCATCCAACTGGCAACTTTATTTTGAGGGACTCATTGATTCTGACCTCATGGTTTGGTCTTCCCAAATTTCATGCTTCTAGTGTAGTTGCTGGGTCTTGGAATCAAGGAGCACACTCAGGGATCATGTCTGGCTACTACACCTTCATGTAAATAGGCTACGTAAGCTGAGTGACTACCTCATGAGTGAAATGTACTTTCCGCTGCCCAGATCTTCCCGTTGGCTGTCACTGATGGCCAACTTGGAGTGCGCAGTTGATGTATTCAAGCAAAACTCAGAGATTCCACAAGTATGAAAAGTTTGGAACGAGTCATCCCTTTTACTGGTTGCTTGTGTTTGATTCAAAGGTTGAGCTAGATTTCTCAGACGCGTCATGTGTCCCAGATGTTTGAGCCATCCAGCAAGACGCCTCAAGGTCACGCCCGTCGGGAGGGACGAACCTTCACCTCGTCTCGTGGACTGCTGCCTTCCTGGACTGGGAGCCAGCCCTGGAGGGCTTGTTGGTTTTGTGATGCTCATTTGGAGAGGTTCCCCCCCTCCATTCCGTCGCAATCTTTCCGTCTTGTTTTGGCCCCGCCACTTGCCCTTTGACACGCGCCTGGACGGTTACTTAGCTTGGAATCCCCCCACAGGTTGAGGACGAAGTCAGCTTTAACTAGAGTGCTTCAATGTTGCAGTTGTTTACGGCACTTTCGACACGCGATTGATAGTGCTCATATGCCCCAGGTGATGACTTGGAGCTTACAAATATTTCAACGCTCTGAAGAGAATGGAATCAGGACCATTGGCGAGAACTAGTCCTGTATCATTAGCTCAGAAATCGACTGGGGCCTTCATTGTCTTCCAAGCCCACTGTTGCGTGGCATGTTCTCATTCCCTGAGGTCACACACAATGGACCGGCCAAGAAGCAAAGTATGGTCGTTCCTTTTGAATGATTGCCAATTACAGAAAAGTGCCTGTGTCCACGTCCAAATTGTCGAAGACAACCACTGTCATCATGGTCCCAACGCAGGTTTTCTTCGTGAACTAACTCACTTGTACCTAGATATCTGATTCTCAATCAATGTCTGTGGATGTGACTGTATTTTATTAAACACTTTCTGTCTTTATTGCCATTGAGCTCTGAGTGTGGATATCGTGAGTTGAGTGCTGAAATTCAATTTTATGTAAACAGCTATCTCATAATGAATGCTAGGTCCAAATGCCCAATGTCTTTGAGTCCCAACCAAACATAATGACCTTGATAGCTGTCTCTTGGTCATGCATCAGAGTCCAGTTCTTTCAGGGAGCAGAATTAATTAAGAGGAATCCTCCAAGCAGTGTGATTGAGTTTACAATCTACCTAGGTGATGGAGGGCCATTCAAGTGAGAGTATCACGGTCTGCCATGGCAGGGAGCATGTGCACAAACAAAGAGGAATACAATTTCGTCCCAACTTTGCCATCCAGCACATGTACAATTCAGTTCAGATTGCACAACGCGCTAGTAGCAGGTGAATCCAGAGTGAGTCTTATCGATTTGGCATCTGGCCATCCCTCCATATTTATTTGCGCCTGCTGCAAGCTGCCGCGATCCTGTCTTTTAATTTTGCGACACCACAACAGCACATCACGGTCTCTCGTTTGTGGCACCAGAAGCACCATGGCGCCACCAAAATCATACGCCGAGATCGTGCAGGGGGCGCGTCGGCCTCCTCCTCCTCCTCCTCCCAGGGCGCCCCCCCTGCCCGTCCTGCCACCCTCGACCTCGTCGTCGGAGGTGGTGGACGATGTGCCCACACCCTCGCCCTCGCCCTCGCCCACACCCTCGCAGCTGGTGGGATCGCGGCCGCGATCCTATGCGTCTGCCCTCCGGGGTACCAACAGTAAGCAATCTGACATCGCGACATCGCGACGACATCATTAACCACACCATTGATTGATACGATTGGCCGCATCGTCAGCGGCGCTGCTGCTTGGGCCACTCTGTTTTTCCTACTTAAAACCTGCCACTGACCAAGCTTAGGCCCTCCTCCTCCTCCACCACCACCACCACCACCGCCACCAGCAGCGGCAGCAGCAGCAGAAGCAACAACAACAACAACGGCGACAATGTCGCCACCACCCTCGCCTGTGCCGCCGCCGCCGTCTCCTTCTCTGGAGACGGTGGTCTCCATCGACCTTCCTGCGGTGCCTGCGCCTGCGCCCGCGCCCGCGCCCTCGCCCTCGCCCGAGGGGGCGCCTTCAACGGCGCCAAACGCGCAGTAAGTAAATTCTCCCAGCCTTGCCACACCTATTCAACGTTCTCTTCCCTAGTCCTGGGTCTTTCTATGGGAGCGTGCGAGCTCGAAATTCTCCTCAGCCTCAGCGTACCAAGGGCTTAGTCGCCACGAAATTCTCGTTCGTTGCGCGTCTTCTCATTTCGCTGTTGGCTTTTGCTCTCATCCTTCCCCTTCATTCTTCTTGCTCAGCGTTTTCTCCCAGCCTGCCTTCCCAGCCTGCCTTCCTTGCTTCTCTTCGTGTCCTTTCCTCTCAAGTGCTTGACTTTCACTCTCGATCCTACCGTCCCAGCAATACACCGTGTCGCCCCTCAAGAATCATCGCTAATGGTACAGCTCTAGCCTCTGGCTGGACCCCAACACCTGGGATCTGGTGGTCCGCTGCGGTGGTCGTGGGTGGCTCGTCCACCGACATGTGCTGGCGCGCATGTCGGAGTGGTTGGACGAGAACCTACCATACGAAGGCCCCGAGGTGAGTCAACTGGTGCTCTAACTACAACACGCGGGACCTCCACCGTCCGAGAAACAAATTCTGACAGGAAGCAGGGCGAGCCGGGCCTCTGGTCTCCCGACCACGCCGCTTGGAACCCAGGCAGACTTGAAGCCGTCTTTCGCTTCATGTACCACGAGGGTAAGTGAAATCAACACCTTCCCGTCGCATTGGAGTGCAATTCACAGCCAGCTAACTTTGCTCCTGTCAGACTACCCGTCGGGCTGGTACGACCCCAACAACCCGTCGGACATGACGCCTATCAAGGACAACGTCGCCCACTACATCTGTGGAGCTTCTGTGCTGTGCCATCCTCTGATGGCCGAGGCAGTCCGCCGAATCGACGTGGCAAGAGCAGACATCGTCAGGCAGCTGCCAGCCGTCCTGCAGGACCGCGACATGCTCGACAAGTTCGAGTACGAGTTCAGGATGGCGATGGTCAACCTGTACGCCGAGCCGAACCAGGGGCTGCTCCGCGACCTCCGCATCGTGATGGGAAAGCTGGTCGCCGACATCTTCCCCGCCATCCTCCAGCACCCCGAGTGGTCTGCGACTTACGAGCAGCAATGGGGCATCTTGCGTGTCCACGTCGTCGCCGACCACAAGTGGCTGTACCAGGCAGGCCTTTGCGAGAAGAAGGACGTCATCGAGCACGGCTTTGAGCACATGAGTGTCCTCTGGATAGACCACGGCCGCGAGGGTTGGCAGCCGGCCGCCGAGACCTTGTTTCCCCAGAACCTCGTAGGCACCCTCCCGCAGCCTCCGCCGCCTCCGCCGCCTGCTTCCACCCAGCAGCAGCAGAGCAGGAGAAGTACGACCAGGGCCATTCCTATCGTCAACCCTGACGGAACTGTCGCGCCACGCCAGGGAGCCACCGTGCCTCGTGGTGCCCGCGGAGGTCGAGCCCGAGGTCGAGGAGCACCCAGTGGCCTTGTCGAGCCTGCCCCTCAGCCCGCGCGTGGAAGAAGCAAGCAGAAAGCCAGGACGGAGGCACAGACTTCTGAGAGCTCTGAAGCTGGACCCAGCGAGCAGGGCGAATCATCGTCCGCCAGCCAGGCGACGCAGGCTACCACCTCCTCTGGAACCACGACCGCAGCAGGCCCTTCCGACGCCGGCCTTGCAGCTGAGCAGCCTATTCGTGACGACGCCGCCCGCCGCGCATACTGGATGAACATTGTCGCGCAGTACAACCAGCCCACCGCCTATGTGGACATGGCTGCCCCGAACCTCCAGCCAACCAGACGTCCCTTCTCCCCAGTTCGCCCGTCATCATCCTCGTCTGCGCTGTCCGCCAGAGCCGAGACCTTCCGCCCGGGCGAGTCATCCATGCACTCTGCCGCCGCTGGCCCCTCTTCCTACTATGAGGACACCCCTACTACTTTGCCACCCAGGGCAGACACGGCTGCTTCGGACGCATACCTCAACGATCCCGCCCGCCAGGACGATCTCTACGGATCGATGGATGACGAGCCGCCCAGCCAAGACAAGGGCAAGGGCAAGGAGAAGGCGAAGGAGGCTGCGAGTTCCACCACTGCTGGCGAGTCATCCAGGCAGAGCGGGCACACGACGTCTCGCGAGGGAGAGTCCAGCAGGTCCCGAGAGCGTACTGAGCAGCTGACACAAGCCTTCACGTCTTTCGACATCAACGAGAGTGAGAACGGCGATGATACCAGCCCTGCTGCCCCCTCTGCTCCCGAGAGCCACGACGAGGATGACACCTGAATCTGTCGCCTGGTCTCTGTCTCCATCGCCGGTGTGAACGGTCTACTGGATACAGCGATGAGTTGACACCAAACAAAAAATACTTTGAAAGGGCTTTGGAAACGCCTTCTACATAATACGGTTGCGAATACTCGGCATAGCATGGCACTGCATCGCATGGCATCGCATGAGCATCTCTGGAGTTTCGACGATACCCGATACACCTTTTCCACTTTTGATTTCTCGAGTTTTCCAACTAGGTTTCTACTACTGACGTCCGATATGAGACGATACGAGGCATTGGAAAAGCTGTGGTCCAAAAAGTCTTGGAATTACGGCATGGCACGAGGCTGATCATTGATGGTTGTTCCTGTTTCTCCCCCTCGGCTGCGTTCATTACCCTCTCGCGCTCTGCCTACTTCACGATTTGCGACCCTTGTCTGCAACCTTCCTGCTCGATCTCACTGACAACTCGGTCTTGTGAATGAGCCCCATAGGGTCGGTCAGGCGTTGGGAGACACGGAAGCAGGGAACATGACGGCAGGAATGAAAGAAAAAGGGACATGTTTTGATTTGGTCATTGACGAATTGACGAGGACGAGGCGAAAAGCCTTTTTTACAAAAACGGTGGCCGTTTGATGGTTTGGTTGATTGATTTCTTTGAAAAGGCACTTGGCCACGGAGAGATGACTTGATTGATTTGGCATTTGGTCGAGAAGGTTCATGAGATTCATCATGCACCTGCGTCTGGTTCTAGTTTTGGTCTTGAATCAGTTTTCAGATGTTCTTCTAGGTTTCGAAGGACAGCCACAGAAGCAATTGCACTCGTGGATGACAACCCATCCGAGGATTTACCAGACTTTGAGCTCTTTGGCAAGACTGACTAATTAATTCACTATGAAAGTAATGAAACGCGCGCGTGCGTGCTTGCCACCTTCCTTGCAGAGACGCCGCTCTCAGACGCTCGCGACGCCCTCGTAGCTTATCCAGGCATCCTGGCCCTGGTCCGGGTAAGCTTTTGTTGCGATTGGGATGATGCCCATCGGAAGAGTTGCGCCTCGGAGATATTATTCAGTGATCAGGGTAGATCTCTGAGGCTATTTCCTTCCTCGCCGACATCCCGACACGAAGTTGAATACTAGCTCCAGGAGAGGGAAAGCCTTCCACCCGGAATATGGGGTTGCCTTTCCGGAAGCAGAGGCAACAAGGGCTCTATGAACACTAATATTGTCTTTAGCTAAGTTATCTCGCATACCGTGCATGGTTGAGTTACCACGAGTTCTCTCGAGATTGGTTCAACAACAACCGCCATCGGCACAGGATCCGTGAACTTGCGTGCCCCCAGCACCCATGCCTGTTGGTCGCGTGCCCCAGACCCAATACAGCAACGCTTTCGTGTACCGAGATTGTGGGTGAAATCGCCCCAAGGTCGGTGCGCAGTTGCTTTGACCGTCGGCTGGATCTGATCTGTGTAAGAACCTTGGAGGGCGAGATGCAGGATGTCACCTCGAGGCTCGGTTCGTGAACGTGGGCGTGGTCGGGAACTCGGGGATTTCTACAAAAGGTGATAAGCTTTCTGTCAGGTTTTGGGGCTAGCCACTCAGCCAGAGGCATAGAGTGGTCGTGCCAATGGGCCCAAAAGTCAATTCTGGGGTAAATTGTCAGTGCGAAGAGGTTTGTGTGGAATCGCCCGTCAAACGAATGCAAAAGACGAAACCCCGTCGTCTGGGACGGCCCTACACTACGGCGATTACGCTCCATGCACTATAGCACTATTGGACCAGCCCGCCCAAGCCAGCCAGCCAGTCCTGCGGCTCTGGCCCGAATTACCCTTTACGATGATGAGTATCTACGTCGCCGGAGAGTTTGTGACCCGGGTCCCCGCTGCGAGCCCGAAGGCTTACCCGGTGTTAGCTGGTTTCGAAAAAGGATGGTCAGAATGCCATGTGCTTCGCAGCCAACGTCAGCCAACCCAGCCTCAAGAGGGTTATGCTTTCTGGGCCCGTCGTTGGAGGGTCGTGTCGCATGTCCGAACCTTCCGTCCCTCATACTTTTTGTACGACACCGGGCGATAGACGGACTTGAGCTCAGGGCCCGGGCTTATCGTTCTAGGCCTTCCTCCTTGCAGGACGCCATACCAGAATACTACTCATCGATCCAGCGTCTAGAAAGTCAAAGCATTCTGCCGACGGCCGTCGTCGTTGCTCGGACGCGACACTAGTAACAGCGGCCCTGTAACCTTGGAGAGAGAAAGAGCCAGGGGCAGGAGGAACGAGGATAATGGTTACCCGACATGTCTTGGGAAAATAGGCCTGGCACACGCCTGGCATACTACCATTGGGTACGAACAGACATAGATTCATTCTCGGCCCCACGCGCTGGAGAATCGACAGATATAGCAGACCATGGTAATCGAGTCAAGCGGCATTGGTCTGGGCCTGCCTGGAGGATGCGGCTGCCAAGCGGGAGACGGACCCTGCTTCTTGCAGCGGGACGCCTGCAATATGCACTATGCAGAGGCCAAGCTGACGAGCGGACGAGTCACGATGCGCAGGTTACCGGCAGAGTGTCCAGAGTGTCCGGATTGCCCAGAGTGTCCAACAAAGTTCGTTTCCCACGCAGGTTTCAGGGGCTCAAGGCCAGGGCGACTGCGTTCCCGAACGCGAGAGCCACACTCACTGCCGGCCCCCGCAAAGTGCATTGTTAGGAGGATTGGCACGAGGATGGAAGGCAAATCAGACGGCCAAGCCCAGCACACAGTAAGGCAGAGGATCAAAGGCTCTGTGGGACAGCAGCCCTAGGGCCAGCTCCAGCCAATGTGGTGCTGGGAGCATTACCGCTGTGTAGGTCGTTTTGAGACGGCAAGCAGTGGGACGAAGCACGGTAAAGAATATCAGGTGGGGGCCATCATTGGGCAGTTCTTGACAGTCCGTGGCTGGGATGGTGTGGGACGTGCAGTCTAGTCGTACGTGAGGACGGTAGCGACGAGATAGTGCGTGGTGGTGTATGCGGTATGGCTTACACAACACCACCACGTTAGGCTCGGTCTCCCAGACGCCACCCAGTCGGTTGCAGTCCTGAAGGCAGTTGATATAACACCAGTCTTGCCAGTCCGGACTTGCCGTATTGCCCGTAGTCAGCAACGCGGACGAACGAGTCTATAGTCTGGTGGTAGTGTGTAGCAAGCCATGCTTGGCTCGATCCAAGATGGCGCCACCAACTGCACCAAGGCCTTGGAATCCATCCAACGGGCTAGAGGGTAGCTGCAACGCTACTGCACTCGACTGACAGGCCAACAGCGGGTGCAGCCCAGCTGGTGGAACCTCGAGACCCGCTAGACTAGGTACCCAGGTTTATTTATGCACACAGGAAATAAGGGAAGCGCCTGAGAGGTTGCTTGGGGGGGGAGCATGCAGAACCCACACCTCCTTGGCCACCCAAGCAAGCCAAGTTATAGTTATTATGGGGTTCAAGCAGATGGCGGTTCAAGTCCGCGAGCTTGTTTCAAGCCAAGTGGCATATACGCTTCCTGGCTTCGTGCCCTCCCCACGAAGGACCACTTGGCATCAAGCAGATGACCCATGATCGACAGTAGCGGAACCTTGACACCGAGATGGCGATGGACGGTGGATGATCGATCGGGGCACCGAACAGGACGGTGAGTTGGCAGCTGGCATGCCTTCAGGCCTTGCGGGGCGGGGGCGCGGAGCCGGAGATCGGTGACCGGTCTGGCTTGTCTGGCTGATATTGATTGAGTGTGTGTGACGGGGTGACGGGGTGACGTGCCAGCCTGGACATGATGAGCGAACTGATGAGGCGGATCGACAGAAACCCCTCGGGTGTGATGATGGCTGGCTGTGGCCATGATGCAAAGAAATGTCAACGCCCGTTGGAGAGTGTCAAAAACAAAAAGAAAAGAGAAAAGAAAAAAGGATAAGAGGGCTTGCCGTCTGAGAGTGAGACAGTGGGCGATCGGTAGTCGGTTGGAATACGTGGGGAGGATGCTGCCATACCAGACAGACCAGCCTGCCAGCCTGCCAGCCTGACCAGACAGACGGCCAGAAGGAGGTCGGACCTAGAGGAAGGGGACCAAGACCGTGGTTGGGATGGTCGAGGGCTGAAGGAAGGTGGAAGGGATCAGCCCAGCAGGGCCTCCCTTCCCTTATCGATTTACCCCACACTATAGACTGATTCGTCAAGCGCTGGATGGTGGGGCCCACAGTGACGTTTCCCCGCGTTTGCACTGAAGGATAGCCGGCACTAACGGCCTCTCGCCCCCTGCTAGCGCCAAAGCTAAGACGCACGGACGATATCACCTCATACCCTCACCTATCTGAGCAGGCCTTCTCATTGGCCCCAGGCTGGCTGCACCCTTTGTGCACCCCTGCCGTCCAGGGGCACCCATCCATTCGTTCCGCCTGCATTCCACTCTCCATTGCCTGCGACCCTCCTCCTTCTGCTGCTCGAGTGCCAACCTACCAAGCCTACGCAGCCTACGGTAGGCGGCCGTAGTCATCAGGCGTCAATGGACACCTCAACTCACTCTGACCTGTTCAACAACCATCTTCATTTCCTTCCATGCCAATCTCATCTCTCCTTTTCTTCCTTTCATCTCCCATCAGCCACCCCTCACCATTCATCTTGCACAGGTTGAACCAACTCACCAACCAACAACCAACAACCAACCCACAGAGCAACTCATATTTCTTGCCAGCTCCAGTCATTTTGGTGCCGCGCGTCTCTTCAGTCTTGCCAGTCCTTCAGCGCCTCGTAACCTGACTGCTACGAGACTCCAGATCTAGCCAGATCCACCACGCATACTTGTCCCTTGGCGTTCCAGTCTCCTTTCTGCTGCATCAGCCAATACCATAGGACTCGTGCATCGCACAACAATACCAACAGGGGCCCATCACAAGTCACAAAAGCCGACTGGCATTTATCTGTCTTTCCCCACAATCTCAGCACCAAATCTCAGGGGGATCTTGCCGACAGATCCTCTTCACCACGCCCCTCCACCGCCCTACAACCAACAGCACACACGGTTCCACTCTTTTCCTGCGGTGTCTTGACTCCTGTCTTGACGCTCCGCCAATACTCGCTTCCAGTGGTTGATACTCCGGCCGTCACGACTTTGTGGCTCACGCCGACTCATACTCTCTGTCGAAGGGGAACTCGCTGTGTGTCAAGACTCAAGAGCAAAAGACCCCTCAGAGGCCACCTTGCTCAAGAGACCCGCCTTCGCCAGCGCCACCGCCAGGCGACGGAGTTAGTCTCGCCCGAATACCACGGGCTTCTCACCTGATTCAATCCCGACTCTCCTTTCTCGTCAGTCCATTGAGGAGCGCCTTTCTCGCATTTTTGTTGTTGTGTATCGCCTCGTCCCGCCAGCCCGCCCAACTACCCGTGTCCTCAACCGCCTTATCAGCGGCCAAGACAAAGGAGAGACACTGCGCAGCGAGCCATACACACGCCCTGGTCCGCTCAACCACGCACATTAAAGCCCAGGCGATCCCTGGCTAGCTCCTGAGCACATCGTTCGACCCTGCAACGGGCTACGCTCTGGCGCCGCCTCTGATTTAGAACACTCAACATATTGACGTTTCACTCTCCACTTTACTCTGCTTCCGGTGTCGCACAATCCTCGAACCATCCACTGCCAAAATCATATCAGGCTATCGCCCCATCGACGCAACTCGAGCCTCGTCGTCGCTTTTACCCTTACCCACTACCGCCTGCATTGTGGCCTGGCCCCTCTCTCCATCTTGCCCCTCTGGCCTTTTGGTATAAGACTTCGGCGCCCTGAGCATTCAGACCCACACATTCCTTCAACATGTCTTCAGATACTCCCAACTCGAACAACACCACAAACTACTCCTCCTCCAGCTACAACCAGAAGCCTCCTTCACCCCCGCCCGCCGACATGCAGCACAACCGCCGTGGATCCGTCACCTCCGCTGCCTTCGCCAACCTCTTCCAGCGGAGCAACTCCACCACCGCCGGAACCCCTGTGTTCCCAGGTGCCATCACCTCTGCTGCCATCAACGAGCAGCGCCGGAGACTCTCACTGTCCACAACCTCCCTCGGGCTGTCCGGCACCTCGCCCACTGGCAACCCTGCCTTCAACCGTCGAGCCAGCTTGTCCACAAACAACTCCGACTCGGTCGACGAGAATGCCATCGAGGAGGAGGACTACCCCTCCGCCTCCCGCACTGCCCCTGTCTCCCCGTTCACTCGTAGGATGAGCTTTGGGGCACCGGCAGCCATGCGTCGCCCTGGTGGCAGCCCCGGAACAGGCAATGGTAGGCCTAACACCCAATCTCCTGGCGATGTCAATTCTCCTCCCATGCAGCGTCGGGGCACCGTCGCTGGGCTTCTCTCCCCCACCGACGGTGCTGCCGCGTCTGCGACGTCCTGGAAGTCCCAGTCTTCCACTGCGCCTCAGGCGAAGCCAAGCAGCCCAGACAACTCGAGCAATTCAACACGTCCTAGAGCCATTTCTGACTTGTTCTCCGCTACTCCAAAAGACCAGGGCTTCAACTGGTCGGAGCAGCTTAGGTCTCGTGCCGAAAGCACTGTCGCCTCGGGCCAGCGCCCTTCCTTCTCCTTCGCCTCGGGCATGACCGGCTCTCCGCCTCGCACTGGCGTCGTCGCTCCCCCGAGCACCCATGACCGTAACAGGTCTGTCTCTGAGATGCCTGCTCCGCCGGCCCAGACACCCAAGCCTCGGTCCCCACCTCGGGACACCAGGCCCAAGCCCGACGCCTTCCAAGAGCGCATCCTGAAGGGTGACTTCTACATGGACTGAAGGAAGAGCGCTTGTACACTACATTACAAACAGGACGACTATCACTCATGACCAACAGAACACTGCTGTACGATTGAACGAAGGCGGCGCAACAGGGTCCAAAAGGCAGGCTTTTGTCCAAACGTGTGCATGTCGCACCCCAACACTGCATTGCGACGGCGTTTCGGAAGCACATCAGCTTTCTACTGCAAAAACCACACTCGCTCTGGGCCATATTTGAGCTCTAATCGGGGGTCGTCACTTGCGGCCCCCTCCCTCCGCCAAGAGGCTTCAGTTCCACGTTTGGTTGGTCACTGGCGCTTGAGCCTAGTGGACACGAGTCTCTCTTTGGAACGGACGCTTGTGTGGACGGTTTGTCGAAGACTAAAACCAGAAGCTTTGGCATAAGACTAAGCCAAGGTAGGGCCTGCGGGCGGGGGGCGTTTTTGAACGGCTACTGTACCGGCGTTTGTGGTTGCACCCAAGGCGGACAAAGTATGCATGGCTCAAATTGAAGGCAACTGGCACGGCAAAAGGTCACGGGTCACATTCGAGGCATTGGAAACATTTGATGACGATGTTTAACTAGCTATCTACAGCATGCTGGAGACTTTGTCACAGATCCGTTGGCATGGAAGAGGGTTGGGGGGATCCTGACTTCGGGGGGAGGACAGAAAGGAGACTCAGTCTGGCGTTCGGTACCTCACCAGATTGACACATACTCGACTTGTTGAACCAGTTGTTCCAAGCCGACGGAAATGAAATGAAAAGTGTAAAATAAGGACAAGCTTTGCGACTTCCTCATCCAATCCCCCAAATGTGACATGCCGGCAACTTGTTTGTTATTCTGATTGGCCCGCGCGAAGAGGACGTAAATATTGAAGCGCTTGCAACACCATGTAGTTTGATTGTCTATGCACCACTTCTACTGGAGTATCTCTAGGTTAACGCCTGTAACTCCTTCCCTGGCCCCCTCAAAACAGTTAAATCTCACGAATGAGGACGCTCTTTCGCATGCAAGACATCCTCGCCCCCTAACCCCTTGTTCCGGCCGTTGACCCAATGGTGACGTGCCTGGCGCTCCCGTCTTCCCGTACGCGGATGTGGCCGGTTTATCGAACGACTATGGGGACAGATCCGTAGATGCAATGCAACCGCGTCTCCCCCTGGCGCGCTCGTCGACTGATCCCTGTCTCGGGCGAGAAAAATACGTACCGTGATGGGAACGCCAGGCCAGGCCAGCCAGACGAAATAGACCAAACAGACAGCGCCCGTGGCCCACAAGCACCGCAACAGAAATGCAGGTGGCGAGGCTACTACATGCGTAGCGCGGCGGCGGCGGCGCTATCCACACACGCACGTATACGCACGTACGTCAAGTCAAGACGCACATATGAATCGCACGGCTTTTTTTTTTTCTCTTCTCTTCCAGGCCCGGAACCGCCCGCCCCACTATTGGATCTCGGGGTTCTTGGGGTTTTCTCTGACCATCCGCGCTGTTTGGGGGGGCATTGTGATCTCCCAAAAGGGGCCCGGAACGTTCTGGCCTCCCCGAAGCGAGTAGGCAGGGGCGCGGAGGCCGGAGTATTGTGCCCGTGGGGGTCCGGTTCGCTTTGCGTCGGATCCGCTTCAGGTCTTGATCATGAATATCTGGGGAGGCGGGCGCGGTTGTCAGCTAATATTCCCGACGGGGAGGCGGCTTGCTCCGCCCCGGGAGGAGGGGGGAGGTGTTGCTGTGACTTACCTGGTTCAGCGCCGCTTGGTCCATGACTGCTGCGCGCTTCTGGGCAATGAATCTTGACCTGGCGAGGTGTCGCGTTGGAATCGAGGGTGTTGAGGTTCCGCTGGCGGCTGGTGTTGACGATCCCGTGGTGGCGGGCTCCTCCTTGTCCGCTTTCCTCTTCTTCTTGCTCTTCTTCGACTTCGAATCCGATGCGTCCGCGGCGTCCTCGTCGTCATTCTCGAGCTTCGCTTTCCTGCGCTTCTTTTTCTTCTCCTTCTTGGCCTTCTTACGATCCGACGCGTCCTCGTCGTCTGGGCTGGAATCCTCGTCCTTGTCTGAGGCGTCCTTCTCTTTCCTCCTCTTCTTGTCCTTCTTCTCCTTGCGTTTTGATTTCGAGGAGTCGCCATCTGCGTCTTCGGACTTGGATCTCTTGGATTTCTTTTCCTTCTTGGACTCTGACAGCGCACCCTCCTCCTCGTCGGCCTTCCTCTTCTTGCTCTTCCTCTTCTTCTTCTTGTCGGCGTCGCTAGACTCCCCGGACGTCTCCTCCGACGATCCACCAGGGACTTGCGCTGCAGCCTGCTTCTTGTCCTTCATGGAGTCTGCCAGCTCCTGGACCTTGTCGCCGATAAGCAGCCCGCCGTAGACAAAGTTGATCGTGCCCAGCTTCCGGTGCAGGTACTTGTTGATCTTGAGGTCCTCCCTCTTCTTCTGCTCCTCTCCCAGCGCCTCTTCGCTCTTGCCGTTCAGCCTCGACAGCAGGTCCTGCAGCGCGTCCAGCCCCGTGCACTCGTCGCCCTGGTTGCGCTTGGCGCCCAGCCCGAGACTGTCGTCCTTGAGCACCGCGCGGATGTGGGAGGCGTTCGCCGCGCCGTAGTACTCGGAGTGTGAGGCATTCTCGGCGCCTAGGTACTGCCCTGGCGCCCAGCCCTGTGACCGTAGGATCTTCTGCCCGAATGTGTCGGTGTTGCGGGACCAGGCGGTGTTGTTGGGGTCCTTGGCCCACTTCTTCTTGCTGTAAAAAGTGTGTTAGTATTATTAAGAACTCGAATTCATTCTGGATAGAATCTCGAGTTACTTTTTGGCGCCGGCGAGACCCATGGCGGCGGCGCTGGGTCGGGTTTGAAACTGGGTGCGGTTTTGCTGGGGGATTCTGGATTGGAATTTCGATGTCGGTTTCTCGCTTTCCCTTTTGATTTTTTTGGCGGGCAGAACCCGAGGGAGGGAGCACCCATGCGGTGGGTGGTCAAGTTGCCTGCCGCTCTGCCGCTCTTTTAGCGCGACTGCTGAGAAATTGCCGACGCCGGCCCGACCAAAAGTTACCAGGCATGAGCGAAACGGGCCTGCTGCCATGCCTTCAACCTCCTGCCATGATTGATTTGCAGTAAGAGACATCTGACATACTCAATTGAATCGAGACTAAATTCATCTACAAGAAACATAAGTCTGCGCTTAAACCTTGTAATTTCGTCTTCACACATCCCACCGCATTCAACATGCCTGGCAAGAAGCGACCTGCCGTTGACGATGGCGACTCGTCCGAGGGCGAGATCAACGTGGAACAGGTGATCAAAACCAAGGCGGAGCTGGACGAGGTACTACTGCCAGCGTGAGACATCTGCAACCAGCATCGTCCTGACTTTTGTCCACCAGATCCGCAAGGACCGTGACAAGAAGCGAGCCCAGATACAGGCGGACCTGGACAAGAAGCTCGAGGGCGTGCGCACCCGCATCGAGCAGACCGCGCAGGCTCACATCCGCCAGCTGTGAGCTCTTCAGACATGAATCAAAGGGGAGCAGGACACCCGGAACTGACATGTCTCCCCGCAGCGCCGACGTCTACGGGCAGCAGGTGGAGGAGCTCTTCCACGCCACGAGGGAGAGGGACAGCATCCTGCAGCAGATCAAGGCGAAGCTGTCCGAGCTGCAGGAGAGGGCCTGTGACCTCGACTTGTCGCTCCATGAGGCCTACGCGTACAGGATGAAGAAGCTCGAGGGCGTCACCATGCCTATGGTGGACCGGCCGGCCCAGAACAATATTGGGGCCAAGGCGGATGGGGCCTGAGTGGAGGACGTTCTCGTTGAGAGATTGGCGGCTGCGGTTGGAACTGCGCGATGAGTCGGCGGTGCTGTGGTTTTCTGATGGGAAGGCGTTCGGACGTCGTGATGCCGGGGAGCTGGTTGGCGCATGTGGCTTTTTGATGATACCCTTTGCTTGTTATGATCAGTCAACGCCAAATGTGGAAACATGATACCGTTAAAATTATTCTTTCTTATTCGTCTCATCCCATGATGTTCGCCTGTATCGTTGAGCGGAGAAGGAGTTGGTCTTCGCGACCACCCGCCGATCTATGGATATCTCGCCACCGAGATATTCGGACCTAAGCCAGTCGTGTTCTTTTCTACAGAGCCGGCCGTATTATGTGCAAACCAGCGCCCCACTGTTCTACATTGTAAATGTCCTCCCAATCCGACACAGCGGTCATACTTCGAAGCCGAAACCCTTCATGCACGATCGGTACTGGTCGATGGTCGATTTGCAGTCCTTTGTCGGGTCGGCGGCGTTGGAGAAGAGCATGCACTCGTCGCGTTTCGCTTTCTCGTCTTTGCAGACACAGCAGGGCTGAAGTGGCAAGGAAGTCAGCCTTCATCTGGGACAACAACAAACATGAGAGGACAGACCTTTGGCTTCTCGGAGGTCGCGGGTGCTGGTGCTGCTGTTGGCGGCTGCGCAAGAGGCGCCGAAGCGGGTATGGCTGCGTGGGGAGGTTGTCAGCGGAAGATCGTGCAGCATTGCGCCTGTAAGTAACCATGCGGAATATTTACCATTGGGCGATCCCATTGTGACTGGTTGCGACAGAACAATTCGTGAAAGAAAGGCGTTGTCGCGGAACAGAAAATTGGCTGTCGCGAGAGTCGGGTCCGATGAGCTCACCATTTCAAATGCCTGCCGTTGATTTGTAAGTCCGCTGCGCCGGGAGCTTCCGACCAGGTGCCACTCAGGGAACTGCTGGGATCCAGGGGTCAGGGATGGGATGGGAAAGGGTTCGTCCTGTATTCCGTACAACACGTCGAATTCCAGAATTGGCTGTTTCATTGACTTTGGCTGTGATTTTGAATTTCAATTCATTCGGTCAGCACGAGAGGCGAAATTCTCTCCGGCAGGTCAATGCCAGGCACAATGGCATGGCATGCTGTATGTATGTACATGATCGCGACAGCTCACCCGATCATGTCACCCATCAGCAGCGCCCTGTGCTTGTCCATGCCCTCCCTGATCCTGATCAAAACCCCCGCTGCCAACATCTTGACATCATTCTCCTCCCCGCCGTCCTCCCCCCTGGTGCCAGCAAAAACCTGTGCAACCCACTCCTGCGTCTCGACGACCTCCCTCGGCATGCCCTGACAGATATCCCGCATCCTGTCGCCATTGACCTCCAACAACGTCAGCAGCGCAAACAGCACCGCGTGCGTGACGCCGAGGTCGCCGACGGCATGCGCCCGCACGCTGCTCCCCAGCAGGAGCCCCCACAGCTCGGCCGTCATGTCCGGGAGCGACAGCGTGCTCGGCCCCGCGGCGTGGAGGAGCAGCGCGAGCGTCTTGATAAACAGCGACAGGAGGAAGGGCTGGAAGACGATGCCCCGCGTCCGCCCCGCTGTCGAGCCCGCTGCGGACTGGAAGCGCGCTGTGAGCGGGAAGAAGAAGGATGTGGCGATGAGCTGCGCTGTCGTGTTGGGGATGGCTCGGACACGGGCTTTGCTCTTGGAAACCTGTGTGGTTGACGTCTGTTGTTGGCCCAGTCGTGACTTGAAAGTGGACAGCTTCAGGGCGTCTGGACCCGTCGCTGAATCTGCAGCATCAGCTGCCAGCGGCGCCATGAAAGCCGAAGTGAGGGATCTCGTGATTGTGTCTAGCGCGCTGGGCGGCAGTGCCTTGAGCGACGATGACGAGGTAAGCTGGTTGCTCTCAGCCGAACCCTCCAAGTACAGCTTCTTCATCTTGTCGGGCAATGTTTGAGATGGGAACGACGCCGCGGCCGCGTATTCTGAGGTTGCGTGCCCCGAGATCTCGCGTGCGCCCAACCCCATGACGGTGAGTACTGACGCCCTCTGAGCCACAGAATAATCTCCGCTGAAGAAAGTCCGGGCGAACCACGGGCCCATCATCTGAGGTTGAGCTACAAGTATGGCAATCATCCCCTGTAATTTCAAGTCGTAGAAATTCTCAAGGTCAAAGTTGTCCTGAACACCGACCAGGAGTGAGGCAAGCTCTTCAGCATGCTCCTTCACTTCGGTTCCATGGTTCGCCTTTCGCCTGATCAGGGTTGGTGCTGTTGTCAGGGCGAGCTTTTGATGATCATAGCCTTCGGTGTCCCGTAAGTAAGTGATAAGGTTCCTGATGTACACCGGCGCTTTCGGCTTATCTCGTCGGATCGTTTCTGGGTCGTCGTCGGAATCCATCTCATCGTCGGCCGGCTTTGTCAATGGCACTATATCGTCGTCCTCCTCCTCGTCCGAATCCACCTCTTCAATGATGGCCTTTGCCTTGCTGGGAGCTAGCTTTGGGGCCGGCGCTGGTTCGGATTTCCTCTCGAATGGTCTTGTCTTTTTCTGAGTCTCGTGGACTGGTTTATGTTTCGAGGCCAGGGGCTGGATTGCACCGACAACATCCGATGTCTCGACCAAGCCCTTGTACCATAGCGCCTCGTCCGAGTTCGTCTCCTCCATATTGAAGTTGAGCTTCTTGTCATCCTTGTGCGCCAGCTTTGAGAGTGCCTCGCCGACGATCATTCCTAGCAAACGGGCGCGTATTTGAGATGCTTCCAACCTCTTGGAGACCATATTCATGAACGAGCCAGACCTCACGGCCAAGGATAGTTTGACTGGTGCCAGCCTCTGAAGATACCCTGCACTGAGGAGAAGCACTTGCGCATGCACTGTGGGCCACGGTGTGTTAGCAATTTCCCTGCTACGAAGAATATTATCCTGCATACCTTCTTGTTGCAGAACTGGCGTGTGTCTGACGTAGAGATAGTCACCAAACTGGCTTAGGCTCTTTTCGAACACTGTTGCCACGGAGTCTCTGTCTGACGAAAGCACAGCCAGAACTGCTCGTCGGATACCAATCGCATCGCCAAGTCCGGCTCCGGTGGCACTTGTCAGCCATGTGACCAGGTGAGACAAATGTTTGGTATCATTTCCCACAAACAGATTGATGATAGCAGCAGCCGCTGATATTATCGTCTGCTCTTCGGATGGATTACTGTTGGCCAATGTGTTGAGATGGACGTCAGCAATGCTCTTCAGGATGCTGAAGAGCAAAGCCCGTTGTTCCGTATTTGCGAGGCTTCCGAACAGGCCAGAGACATGCTGGGCGTGCTGGAGGTCGTTGACTATATCCGCAAGCAGTAGCTGGACTACACTTTCTGCGCGCAGTCAGCAATCTTGGCCCGATTAACAGGGAGCTCTTGGCTTACCAGAGTATCCCAGGCGCAACGCCTTTGATAGTAATTCTGCTAATAACTTCTTCTCCACTGTGTCATCTGCTTGCTTTGACCAGGAGATGATGTTCCGTGCAAGCCACTTCGTATACGCGATCCCGTTGGCAACCCACAGGCCAGGGCCTTTTGTCTCTTGTGAGATGCTGGACTCAGCTTCAGCAGAAAAGGAGATGGCACGACCGCCAGCGATGGCATTGACAAAATCCTTTGACAGAATGCGCTGCTTCGTAGCGTCTGTGCTAGCAGATGTATTGTTCCAGATGAGCGACAGACTGTCATCGCCTTCCAATGTTGCGCACAGCAACTCGAGGGTGGTCTTCAAATTTAACACTACATCTGAGTGTTGAATCCCGTTTTCCCGGGACTTGTGCTCCTGGACCAGGGTTCGCAAGCGTAGCAAGATGGCGTTAAGGCCTGCAAGACACCGTAGAGTTCCCAGGAGGAGTGACAGGTCTGATTTCGGACCGTCTGACGACGATGACTCCTTCAGGACGGCCCAGTAGTTGGGTACAATCTCCGTGACCAAGATCTGGATGATCCTGGCGGCGTCGGGTCCGGGGGCTCCGATATTGAAATGATCATCCTCCGGCCCTCCATCGGCGACGAACCTCAATGCTGATACCAAGGTGTCATAATCCGGTTCATGGCTCAGCGCCTCCACGATATCTCGGAGAGTTTTTGGCTTGAAATCCGGGGCTGCTGCTGCCCTCGATGATGCCTGCACTTTCCGGAGAAGTGGCTCCGCGGCATCTTCGGACTTTACATATGTCTTGCTGATGGGTCGCAGAAGCTCGTCCATTTTCAGTGGTGATGGCTGAGTTTCGTCTCTTATTGTGGCCGACTCGCATGCACGCTGACCTGTTGAAGATGGCTTATTCCCACCATTTCTGTACTGACTGGGATGGTTAGGGAATCCGTTCGGCACAACCTTGGCGATGATCCAGCCCCCGTGATTGTTGTGTCTCTCTTGTCACCTGAACTTCCTGGTCGGAATTCTGGGGCAAACGGAGTCGTGCCCAAGGTGACAGCACGGATTTGGCGTTTTCAAGTCGCTGTGGGATTAGGCGTCGAAGGTGCTGCCAGGACGCCCTCCGTACAGGGCATCAGCCTGCGGCCTAGGCTCAACCCCTGCAACCTCTGGAGGTGACAGGGCTTATCGATAAGGCCCGGTGTAGCTGCCTCAGGGGTCCCCTCCAACCATCAATGATCCAACGTCACTCCAACTAAATAGGCAAGCCACCGTCCTGGATCTTGGTTCGTTTCACCACCTCTCTTCGATTCCTGGGGACACTGCGGAACCGGAGCCTGTGGAACAATGGCGGCAACATCAAGATGGTATATTTCCTCTCAGAAGTTGTTTGCCACTCGCATGAGCTGATCATTCGTGCACAGGCGAGATCTGGACAAGATCCGGACCACGGCTGGTCCATTCAGTGATGCAGAGGAAGTGGATGGCCCATCTGTGATTGAGAACATGGACAACATGAAGATTTTGTGAGTTGCAAAACTCATCCCTAGGCTACTTAAGCTAATTGATCCGGCAGGGTAATGTAGGTTCTCACAGGTCCAACTCCAGCTGACCTGCGACTCACCTGTGTTTCAGTGGTGCTGGTGGCCTCGGATGTGAGATTCTGAAGAACCTGGCTCTCTCAGGATTCAAGGACATACACGTTATTGATATGGGTATGGCAATGTCATGAATAAATCCATGCTCTAGGCTAATACCATCGGTGCAGACACCATCGACATCTCCAACCTCAACAGGCAGTTCCTCTTCCGGAAGGCTGATGTGGGCAAGTCCAAGGCAGAGGTGGCAGCCCAGTTTGTGGAGCGAAGAGTCAAAGGTGTCAAGATCACACCACACAACAACCGCATTCAGGACTTTGACGAGTCATTCTACATGCAGTTCACCATTGTAGTGTGTGGACTGGACAGCATAGAGGCTCGTCGATGGATCAACGCAACTTTGATCAACATGGTGGATGAGGACAACATGGACTCTCTGAAGCCTCTCATTGATGGTGGCACAGAAGGTGAGACGACACCTTGGGGCCTTTCAGACGATTGGTTTGTCTTCTTTGTGGAACTTCTAACATGAAAACAGGATTCAAGGGGCAATCCCGAGTCATCCTGCCCACCATGACATCCTGCATAGAGTGCCAGCTCGACATGTTTGCGCCACGAGCTGCAGTGCCCCTCTGCACCATTGCCACGATACCTCGGCAACCAGAACACTGCATCGAGTGGGCTCATGTCATAGCATGGGATAAGGAGAAGCCCTTCCCAAAGCTCGACAAGGATGACCCCGAGCATATCACCTGGCTGTATCAAAAGTCTCTGGCCAGAGCCAAGGAGTTCAACATTCCTGGCGTCACATACTCCCTCACACAAGGTGTTGTCAAGAACATTATTCCTGCCATCGCCTCCACCAATGCCATCGTGGCAGCAAGCTGCTGCAATGAGGCCCTGAAGATCGCAAGCGGCTGCGCACCGTCCCTGGGGATGGAGGAGAACTACATGATGTACTCGGGAAACGACAGCATTTACACCTACACCTTCAAGCACGAGAAAAAGGACGACTGCCCCGTGTGCGGCTCGTTGGCACGCCCGCTGGAGGTCAACCCAAAGCTTACACTTCAGGAGCTCATCGACCTCCTCGCCACTCGGCCGGAGGCGCAACTGAAGAAGCCGTCCATCAGGGCTGAGGGCAAGAGCCTCTACATGCAGTCCCCCGCCAGCCTCGAGGAGCAGACGAGGCCGAACCTCATCAAGAGCCTTGAGGAGCTGGGCCTGGAGGATGGATGGGAAATATCAGTGACAGATCCCGCCTTTGTGGCTAATTTCAGGTTTATCCTCCGTTTCAAGGCGGCCTAGGTGGTCGCATTGCCGGTACTTCACCGGCGAAGGGCGGCGAGCACTGAGGCCCAGGATCCCGACGAGGCCCATGGGAATCCAGGGAAGCGACGAAAATCAAGCGGGGATGACCGACATGCTTAGAGGAGGGCTGCGTGGAATGACTGGCTCTCGAAGCTTGGGAATCCTGGCTTGTGGGGCATGGGTTTCGAGAGGACATCGCTTTGGCGTAGAGGAGACGCTGTAGACTTGACGTGGAAGCAAAAGCCTAGCACTGGGAATCAAAACGAAATGGCTTCAGTGACTTTTATCAAAATCAATACATCTTCCCAACCCCAATCCGTTCCTTTTTGGGTACTCCTGACGCCAGCCGATGATGCTTCTTGAATTATGGACCGAAATTACATCTGGCCACGCTACCTTGCCATGTAGGTCACCTGCTTCTCGAAGCGCTGGCACTTGGCCTTGAGATGCTTAATCGCCTCCAAGAACAGCTCGTCCGAGTCCCACTGGCCCGTGGACTCGACCTGGAAGATGAAATGGTCCCGCTGGCGGCCCAGCTTGACCTTGTCGGCAAACTCCGGGTGGCGCAGGCACTCCCTGCTGACGGTGTCCTTCATCGTGTCCTTGACCACGGCCTGCATCTCGCCCTCGTGGCCCTTGAGCTCCGCCTTGGACCTGGCATCCTGCTTGGTGATCTTCTCCAGCCCGATGACGCCCTCGGGGAAGCACTGCTGGAACTTCTCCGCGTCGGCGCCGACGATGGGCCTCGTGATGGTGATGAGCGGCAGCAGGCGGTACGAGGCGGTGGCGACGGGCGAGAACTTGGAGTGGTCGGCGCCGACGCCCTTGTGCATGTGCGCCATGAGCTGGATCGACTGGCCGGGCCGCAGCTTGGCGACCAGGATGTCCGGGTGGACGGGGGCGATGGCCTGGTCGCCGGCAAAGACCTCGACCTGCTGGCCCACGGGGACGAACTTGAGGTCGGACGCGTAGACGCTGCCGTAGTTGAAGAGCTTGCGCGGGTCCTTCTCGCCGGGGGCCGCGTCGGCCTTGCGGGTGCAGGTGACGTCGAGCTCGATCTTGACCGTGTTATAGTCCATGCTGTTCTCGAAGGGGTCCTGGTCGGCGCCGGGCTTCTTGTACCACTTCATAAATTCGTGCAGGCCGAACTTGCCGCCCTTGAAGGGGACCAGGCCCAGCCTGTGGCAGAGGACCTCGTCCTGGATCACGCTCGTGTTGTTGTTGACCCAGACGTCCTCGATGGCGAGTGTGGGGATCTCGGCGATCATGATGCGCCGGAAGGCGTTGGCGATGGAGGCATCAACGCCGATGAGGCTGAAGCAGGCATCGTGCTGGCCGTTCTCGTGGAAGACGACCTTGAGCTGCTCGCGGAAGGCCTCGAGGTCCCACGAGTTGTCCTCGCCGGGGTAGTGGCCGGGGAAGTCGGTCGAGGTTACGTTTGTGACTGTTTCTGCGTTGATGTTGACGACCTGGGGTTGCGCACGGGGCGGGTCAGCAAGAGGCACATTCCGACATGGACCTGAGCATCGTAGGAACTCACCTTCCGCCGGTCAAGCTCCTCCCGCGTCGGTACTACTATTGGCGCCATCTTTGCAGCATGTTTGTCGCAAGGAAAGTTTGAGGGCGGCGGTTGATTTTCTACGATAAGATAAAGAAATTTGGCTGACCAGCCCCACCATACTCACAGGGCACAGACAAGGGGTCCTTGCATCTAGACCAAACAGTCCGAGTACACAGTCCAAGAAGAAAGCTGATATTCCAGGGTGTAGACTGATTGTTCTCGAGAAAAAAAAAAGGTAGCCCGCAGTTTATTAATTATCTATTGCATTACGCAACAGGCAAAGCATCCATGGATATCCCAGGATACTGGCGGCTTGTTTGCGGTTCGCTGGTCGCTTCTGTACGAATCCACGCCAAGAGCTGCGCAAAGGCGATAACCAGCCTGCAGCGACTAGCATATCTGCCATCAATGCTAGAACTTCCTCCTCACCCTGCGATCCGAATGCCATCCACAAGAGAATAAGGGCACGCTCCTTTGGCATCTCGGACCGATCACAGACTGCAGGGACTTGGGTCCTTGCGCGCCCGCAAGAGCCTCAAGAGGGCAATTCTTTGAGGACTGTCCCTGTCTTGTCTGATTTGTCTGAGAAAGACGTCTTCCCGGGCTGTGTAACTGTGCTTGAGCACGGATACCAAGCCGTTATCATCCGGGGTGCCGACACAGTGGATGCGCTCCGCTGATGATGGTGATGTCGACATGTCTCCTAGCCTCACCCGTTCAAGCGACAGAGAGCATTCGATAGCAGATTCATATTGCCTGTTCGCGAGCCACCTTGCCAGGTTCTCAATTTCGAAGTGCTCTGCAAGCTGCTTGATTCCCATATATCTCGCATGATGGTGGCCTCCGGTCTGGTTGAAGCAGACGGGGTAGATGCCATGTCGAAGGTACCGGAGTACATGTGCAAACAAATCAGGGTCCGCATCGACAAAAATAGTGCCATCAGCCAGCTGCTGATGTTCACCAGACACCAGAGATCGGAAGTACGCGCTTTCCTTACAGAGGGTGTGCGCATGGGTGTTGAAGAGCCTTTCGCCGACTTGGAGATGGACAACCGGTAGCCCTCCTTGTATCGAGGTTGGAACTGACTCCCCCGTCAGGGTATTCGTTGATGATAGCTCTGACATGGTAAAGTGGAATCCGTGGTCTTTAAATGTTGTCTTTCTGGGAAGAGCCGCTTCTTCGCCATTTCGAAGGCGGCAGGGAGCACATTTTAAATACAACGAAGGCCCTATGTCAAACGGCGAACATCTTTGAGTACAGGTCTCATCATTGACGCATCGAAACTTGTCTTGCCTTGACACTCAGGTGTACACTGCGGCCTTTCATTGTGAGAGCCTTTCTCTGTCCCGGCAGTTTCAGAAATAGGCATGTGCTAGACATATAGGATGGATGCCCTGAATCTTCACTCTGCTTTTCATCTCGAAAAAGGCTTGTAGAACTTGAGCAGGCGAGGTCAGCAAGGACGATAGATAGTGTGTGTAACTGGTGGTGTTGAGGCTCATGAGCTCCGAAATCCAATGCCCAATCAAAACGCTGCTGATTCATGCCGGGTGGCGCCTTACCCGATTGGTGAGCTTAGCTAAGAGTTAGATGGTGACGGCGACACCCAGAAACACGGATTGCCGCTCGCCCACTCGCCCACTCGCGAAAGCTAGAGCCCGCCCCGATTGACTGACGACCGAGCAGAGGCTGATACGGACGGCTCGCTCGCCCTCACCTTCCGACCTCTCCACTCAACCCCAAACACAACCAACCCACAGAACCTCCGACCTCCGCCATGGCCACGCTCCAGCGGTTGGCCGGCCAGACTGCGAAGCGGCTGTGTCTGAGACCAGCCAGCGCCCTGCCCATCCGACCCTCCTCGACACCCTCGATACAGTCCGCCGCCGCCCGGCCGCGGGTAGCAGCAGCCGCCGCCGCCTTCTCGACGACCACCCTCCGCCGCTATGCCGCCACACAAGAGCCCCAGGGCACCGTGCTGGTCCCCGTCGACGAGAACTTTGCCCCCTCCACCCGCGACCCCTACAACATGTTGCGGCTCGAGGGCGACGAGGGCACCGGCGAGAACCCCGGCGACGGCTCCCTGGCTGGCCGCAAGGTCCGCCACTACACCGTCAACTTCGGCCCCCAGCACCCCGCCGCCCACGGCGTGCTGCGCCTGATCCTCGAGCTCAACGGCGAGGAGATTGTGCGCGCCGACCCCCACGTCGGGCTGCTGCACCGAGGAACCGAGAAGCTGTGCGAGTACAAGACATACCTGCAGGCCCTGCCCTACTTTGACCGGCTGGACTACTGCTCCATGATGACCAACGAGCAGTGCTTCTCGCTCGCCGTCGAGAAGCTGCTGAACATCGAGGTCCCAGAGCGTGCCAAGTGGATCCGCACCATGTTCGGAGAGATCACCCGTGTTCTGAACCACCTCATGTCCGTCCTGTCGCACGCTATGGATGTTGGTGCTCTCACGCCCTTCCTGTGGGGTTTCGAGGAGCGAGAGAAGCTCATGGTGAGTAGTCACTGCATTGATGTCGTGCCATCTCGTCTTATGGGAAATCAACGCATGGATTTGTTAAGGCAGCGCAATGTGATCTACCGGACCGGATGAGGACTAATTAATGCTAACGAGCCATCCCCTTAACCCAGGAGTTCTATGAGCGTGTGTCTGGCGCCCGTATGCACGCCGCATATGTCCGGCCTGGTGGTGTCTCCCAGGATATCCCCATCGGTCTCCTCGACGATATCTACCAATGGGCCACCCAGTTCGGCGACCGTATCGACGAGACCGAAGAAATGCTGACAGACAACCGTATCTGGATTGACCGTCTCCGCGGCGTCGGTGTCGTCTCCGCCGCCGATGCCCTCAACCTCTCCTTCACCGGCGTCATGCTCCGAGGATCCGGAGTCCCATGGGACATCCGCAAGTCCTCCCCCTATGACGCCTATGACCAGGTCGAATTCGATGTTCCAGTCGGCGTCAATGGCGACTGCTACGACAGATACCTCTGCCGCATGGAGGAGTTCCGCCAGTCCCTCCGCATCATCCACCAGTGCCTCAACAAGATGCCCGCCGGCCCCATCAAGGTCGAGGACTACAAGATCGCCCCTCCCCCCCGTGCCGCCATGAAGGAGAACATGGAGGCCCTCATCCACCATTTCCTCCTGTACACCAAGGGATACGTCGTCCCACCGGGCGACACGTACACCGTCATCGAGGCACCAAAGGGCGAGATGGGCGTGTACGTTGTCAGTGACGGAAGCGAGCGGCCATACCGTGTGCACATCCGTGCACCCGGTTTTGCTCACTTGGGTGGTTTCGACGCAGTCGCCAAGGGCCACTTGCTGGCTGATGCCGTGGCAATCATCGGAACAATGGATCTGGTGTTTGGTAAGTTTCTGATCGTTTCCCGACCTGATTGGAGCAGCAATACTGACTATTTTGTCCCGTAGGCGAGGTCGACCGGTAGACTTGTGATAGTATGGGGGAGTGTCGAAAAAAAGAAATGAAAGAAGTGATAGAGTCGACCACCATCCGTCTTCGTTCTTTTGTCTGTATAGTACAAGGGTCCGCTGCGTCGTAAATACAGCCTTCTCCTTACACTTCTCGTAGCATGGCCCTTATTGTGCGTTTTGTCTGTCAGTAATGTTTTGATAAGCGTTGGGGTTTCCCGAGTGTTGCTTCCTTACCTTCGAACTCAGCCAAGGCTGGCTCTAGCTCAGATGGAGCTGCTCGTTCTCACCGGAGTCTCCGTATTCAGAAGGCTCCGCGCTCCGAGCGCGCTCTCGTCCAGTTAGAGCCTCCTGCCGCCAGTCGAAACCAAGCGGGTCGCACCGCGCCCCCGTCGCCTCGTGGAGACAAGCAAACGACTTGCTCTTGGAAGCCAAGAGGCAAGCCGCCGGCCCGTCACCCAGGCAGGCGATCAGCCTCTTGGTATGTAGGACGCAGTCTTCGAATTGCCCCATGTGGGAGAGGCCTGGTGCGCCCTCTGGGCCCGCGCCGATTGGGAGGCCCACCAGGGGCAGGTACCCCTCTGCCCGGGGGAACTCGACCGACTGGAAGTCAGCCAGCGTCGTCATGGCGGCGCCGCCGTTGCAGGCGTGGTTGTAGAGCCTGTTTGTGGACTTTGCCGGGTCCACCTGGTAGATTGCGCCTGGCGCGCGCTGTGGGAGCGGGTTGGTAGGGTAGGAGGAGCTCACCACGAGCGGAGGTGGCTTCGTGGAGGTCTTCGCAGGAGTGTTTGAAGAAGTCTTTGAAGAAATCTTCGAGGGGGTGGTGTTGTGGGCTCCTCTGAACCCAGAGGGCGTCGAGAGAGTGCCCTCGAGGCCTGCCGCCATTGTTGACGAGGACTGTTGGGTCAGGTTGTCAAGCTGGTGTTGAGGAAGATGAGTAAGATGAGGAAGCTGAGGAGGATGAGGAAGATTAGGAAGAAGAGGGTGGGAGTAGCTGGGTAGAGGTTGAGGTTGGTGCTGAGATGGGTCCTGAGAAGGGAGACCCTTGGGGTTTAAGTATTCAGAGGCAGCAGGATTCTGAAAGTGTCGGTCGCCTTGGACCTGGTAGCTGTGACGAGTTGTTTTCGTCTGAAAAACATGGCCAGGGCCATTGTCGAGCAGCAAAGCTGAAGATGGGACGGTTTTGATAGGCTCAGGGGCCTCGTAGAAGGAAAAGTCACCAGCACACTTGCAGGAACCACTCTTGTGAAGCTGCCTGTGCTCTTCCAGCCACTCAGCTCCATACAAAGAAGGAATTCGGACGGAAACCTCGAGATTCTGTTGGCCAGTCTTTGTGGTTCGCTCCTGGTAGTGGGCTGGGACAGCCTTGGAACCAGCCGCGTTGATTGGACCAGCCTCAGCAAGAGCCGCCCCGTCTGTAGAGCCCAGCGTATTATCTCCCATCCGGCCAGACCTCCCAACGGTCTGCCTGGGGTGGCTTCGGCTGACGACACGAGGGCGAACCAGATCCGGGAACCGCACCTCGCAGCCGCACACTCCTCGCTCGTGCATCCAGCGGTGCTCCCATTCGGTAATCAGCACAGCCCGGCCGTGGATGACTCTCTGGCACGCCGGACACATCTCCGGGGCTAGTATGGGCCGCCGGGCGTGCGATGTACAGACCGGGTTCGTGTAGAATTGGGTCGTCATGGGACAAGGGCGCAGCACCTCTGGGGAGGAGTGCCCACAAGTATAGCCGATGAACTCTGAGAAGCACATGTTGAATCCGCGCGTCTTCTGTCAAGAACGTATTGGTTGTCAACGTAATAATCTTTCCTTGCGGGATTAGGGCCCAACGAGGGATACTCGATGTGACCTGAATGTAGAGCGAATCGTTCTTCCAGTGCCGGAGGCTGGGACTGTTCAACGCTGTACCTAGGACCATGTGTCAGTACTTGTCTCTTTGAATTCGTTCCCCGAGAATCCGCCCGATATGGTCGATGCTGTTTCGGTGTCTGGCACTGGATTTCTTTTTTTGACCGACTCGAAGCTTCTGGGCCAACGCAAACCGGATGGCGTGACTCTTTCAGTGGATGGACAGACAAGTCTCAGGTCAGTGAGCAGTGTATGCGTCGTTTGGATGGAGAATATGAAGTAACGTGGAAATAGAGATGAACCTCGAATTGTGAGTCTGACAGGATCTCCGTAGAACACCTCAGGGCGTGGAAAGTCTACAGGTCGTCACAATTCGATGATGTATTTGGTCAGATGCTGACCCTTCAGTAGTGACCCTTCTGAATGCTGCTTCCTGGCACGGAGATATCGAGTGTAGTGACGATCAATATCGGTGGATTTCTATCCAAGCTGGCAGGAGATTCGGCCCGGACTGTTGTGGGAATTTCGTAGAGGCGGTAGATAATTTCAATAACCTGGGCGGTCTTGGTAAGGCTGCGTAGATTTCCTGTTACCAAGTATGCTTCGATCAGCCAAATTTCTTGATGCCTCTTTTTTGGTGGCCTTCCTTTCTGTGCCGCGTTGGAGCCCGGTATCAATGTATGCAGTCGCGGTGATCCATGAGCCGTCTGAGACCCTGATATCAACTTCCTCTATGTTTCACGCTGTTGAGAATCTTTCAGAAGGCAACAACTGTATTCTTGGGCCAAATTCGGCTTTGAATCTGTTCTTTCTCAGATTTGTATCTTGGCGAGACGTCGGAATGCTTCGAAGGGGTTAAGTGGGAAGTAGTAGATGTTTTTGGGGCTTTGCTATTCGTCTGGCTCTACCCAAGCTGGTTATGGATGATGTGAAGAGAGGTTTTGGGGATGAGGTCTCGTAATAGATGAGGGTAGATGGGCTGGTGTTTGTCTCGACTGTATCGTTTCTCGGGACGGCTTTCGAAATTGAGCCACGTTGGGCTTCTTTCCGGCCCAGAAAAGGATCGCGGATGTTGGTGACGTAAGGTAGGAGGTCCTAGGTGGTTACTTGAGGGTTCTGTGGAGGCTGAAGTCAACGTGTTCTCCACGAATTCCGCTATCTGCTGATGGTATTCAGAGATTCCCTGAGACCTGCCGGACCGTATCTCAACAGTCTTCAGGCCCCTCAGTGTCCTTGAGCGGTACTTCTGCGATGAAGCTGGGTGTTAGATGCTTGTATTGATGCGTGTGCTGTCTTTCCGTAAGTGGGTAAGCTGCCTTCTCAGAGTGAGACTCGTCTTCTTGGCTTGCGTGGGCGACCGTGGCCAAGGACAGTCTTGTAGGTATCCTTTGGGGCAAGAGGCGTCGACAAGATGTGTTATGACGGAATATTGAGCTTGGTCAGGTCTTTTAGATGTCTCACGGTGGGTATGCGTCCTCTCTGTGTGGTAACTTCCTGGAAGCCTGGAGGTTCCGTGGATGAAACGGCCGCAGTGGTGCAGAAGCAATGTATGGGTGTCGTACCGTAATCTAGAGGTCTCTAAGGAAGCCTACTCTTAGTGCTTGAAAGTTTCCCAAGTGTCCTCACCTCTGAAATGGCAACCTTTTCTCTCTGAAGATCCAGGACTTACCTGTAGGTAGCGAGTATTTGGAAGGGCAAGGGCGAGCTGTTGTGAGCTGTTGCCCTTTTTTTTTTTTCGGGGGTTGGAAGTCTTTTTTCGCGAGTACTTGGAAGGTCAAGGGTGAGCTGTTGTGAGCTGTTGCCCTTTTTTTCGGGGGTTGGAAGTCTTTTTTCATGAGTACTTGGAAGGTCAAGGGTGAGCTGTTGTGAGCTGTTGCCCTTTTTTCGGGGGTTGGAAGTCTTTTTTCGCGAGTACTTGGAAGGGCAAGGGTGAGCTGTTGCTCTTTTTTCGGGAGTCGAAAAGCTTTTTACGCGTCTCCTTCCACAGGCTGGGAGCACTTATTGTAGATGACGATGGCTCAGGTCAGACGACCAGAAACAAGACGCTTTGGTGCCAGCTGTTTGGCTTCAAGGAAGGAGATGGAGCAGTTCAAATTGTGCCCAAGGAGACTGGTTGAGAGGGATGTTTGATGGCAAAGAAGATGTGGAGGGAATTTGCTTACGGATATGAGCAAAGCGAGCCCAAGTGCAAAGCTTGAGGGGGCCGGGGAGATGACTGTGCATGAAGGGTGGCAACAACAAGGCCACTGGGTCACTTGGTCACTGGGAAGGCAAGTGTGGATGAGAAACCACTCCCTGTGACAGCTTAACGATATCCGGGCTGGCCAGGAGCAGCAGCTCCTGTTATTTTAAGGGGTACTTTGGCTACAGGTATCCCCCCCAAAGCTTGGAACAATCATTACCCTCGAGCAATTGGAACTCGGGAACCCCTCGGAACCCCTCCGAGCAACCAGGAAGGCACAACCCACCATGGTTACAACAGATGATCATCAGTCGAGGAACCCAAAACGAGCCCATAGCCTGAGACCGGAACTTGGTGCCCATATTCCTGCTTCTTCTCTCGAACTACCATCACACTGGACGATGATTAGCACGACAAACAGATGCAGATGGCACACGCAAGAGGGCATGAGGGTGAAGGGCACGAGGGGTCAAGCACAAACACAAGGACGATCAGAACAAACACAAGAACAAGGAGGACAAACAGAAGAGCAAGGAGTACACAAGAGCAATGGGTGTTCAAAGGATGTTAACACTATGAGAACACAAATGGCCTGAGTAAGAGAGGGAAACAAGCAAAACCAGGGCACCAGAAAGGCAAGAGGTGTGAGAACAGGCAGTGGAAAAAGAACTAGGCAGCTACATGAGCACCAGAAACACAGCCAGTATGCAAACAAGAAGACAAGAGGACAAGAAGCAGGCAAAGGTGAGGTGCGAACGCAAAGCAAACAAAGGACACAGGGCAAGAGACGGGTACAAATCAAGAGAAGGGTATAGCAGAGTCGGGGATTTTGAAAAGAGAATAAGCAAGGACAACTGGATGACCAGGGGACCATCACAAATAACAGTACATACAAATCAGCCTCGGAAAGTGAATCCCGGTCAGGAATTAAAGGAAGCCATCAGTGAGAGCGAGCAAGGTCAAGGGTTTCATAAAACTACCCATTTCAATCTATCCCGGAAGTTCATCAAGTCAGACAGCAACACATCAAGAACAAAGGGGCTACATGAGTGCCCAGGTGGTAAGAGAAGGGTAGTGTAATGGGGCACTGTGCTGTAGGTTGGAAGGAAGATGACTTGGGAGCAGGAGGAGCTGGGTACACAGGAACACTACTTGAGTGACTAACGATATGGGTGAATATGGAAGACCTAAAGAGAAGGCATGAAAAGATGGACTGAGGACAGGGCCAAGACTTGGTTCCACCAGCATGCCCGGCTTGTTCAGGTCAGTAGAAGGGAGGTGCAGACAAAACCTATGCTCCATCAGGCCTATGGCTATACAACACGTCGTGTAATATTGTGCATACCGAGCGGCGGATAGAAGAATACTGAGATTCAGCAGACATTGACGAATTATGTGCTAGCAGGAGTGAGATCACGGGATCCTTATTGAGACGATCAAGGTCTACAGGTCTTGAAGAAAGGATGTGCGGCTTGAATTGAGATTTCCCCGGAAGAGTCACCATCACGGTAGCCTCAAGCTTTGTCGACACAGACCTTCAGGCAATGTTTTGTTGATCAGAATGAGCTCATCAGAGAAAAGAAACGAGATCATCCCAACAAAGGACAAAAGACTTGATACTATGATAATCAACTTCCGTGGTTGTACCTTAGGATGGATATTAACCCTACTGAGAAACAGGACGGTCATCATATCATAAAAGATGCCCTTACACTACCTGTTTACATTACCGTCACCAAGTCAGGCTAAGCTAAAGAAGATATCTAGGTAGGCAAGAAGTTCGGTTAATATATTTCATGTCCTCGCAGGGCAATGTAGCACTTTCCCATAGTGCTTGTCGGCATCAGACTATCTAGGCATCGACCTAGGTAGCTTGCGGCTCGCGGCTCGCGGCCCGTGCTGGCTTCAACCTTGGACCGGCGGACGGACTGGCGCGCTGGTCTCGGTATCTCATCTCCTTCTCGTCGCGCGGGTTGTTGGCTGTCTCCGGATCCAGCATGGTCATAGGCTGGAAGGGGCCACGGTTCCGGAACAGGTGGAGGCCTTGGAAGCCACCACAACGACTCTGATGCTGCTGCTGCTGTGGCTGTATGCCTCCCACCTGGAAGGTAGGTGGGCTGGCGGGCTGGCGGGCTGGCGGGCTGACGGGCTGGCGGGCTGACGGTACCGGCCCGAACACCTGAACAGGCAAGGCCCAATGCTATGGCTGCCAGTGCAGAAAGGCGCCTTATATTCACAGACGGGGTTTCAGAGCAGATTGCAAAGTCACTATGAAAAGTCCTGTATGGTAAACTTAAGTGAGCTTATCTTGAAAGATACGTTGTGCCTTGTCCTTCTAGGATACTGTCTATGGATTCCAGCTTAATAGAGGACCTTGAAAAATACAAACAGTCTGTCTATATTCATGTCCTCGGTAGACGGGAAGTACCTGGTATAGATGGTATATTTAGCCGGGCTATGAGAGAAGGGATAGTAAGGCTGTTGGGACTTTTCTGTCGGGAACAGAAGCGAAGCCTGGGGTTCATTAATTTCTGTGTGGTAGGAAGGTCTATGTGGAAGAGAGAGATGTAATTTTGATGTTGGACAAGCTGATCCTGATTTGACACGGGGCTGCACGTGACATCAGATCCTCAATTTCAGTGCATACATGTACTAATCCAGTATGATCAATACCCATGTACACATATTATAGACACACCTCTACTGGAGTCTTTTCCCGCACCCTGGAACTTTGAGCCACCTCCAGACTTGGCTCTCCAATAGGCAAAGGAGGACGGCTGGTGGGCGGGGATGGAAGTTGAGGGTGGCAAACGTGGCAAACGCCGGCCATAGAGGTGACGGAAGTGATAGGGGCAGAGGAGGATGCCAAGGCTGTCAAGCATGACGGATACTAGGAGATAATGTAAGTAACGTTGCCAGAGAAGCTGTGCCTCCCAAACATGCTAATTAAATCATCTTTCTGTATGTCAAGATCAGCGCCATTCCGAAATTGAGGCTTCCAATGCCGTGCAACAAGGAAACCCCACAGGTACTGTCTCAGCCACAAGCATTACCCGCGCCGACATTTGGATGAAGGGGATGGCATTTATCTTCCGGGTAGCTTCTTTTGTCTTATACTTATCTTGGCACTTTGCTTTTCCCAAAAAGCTTACTCACTCTTGGTGATCCTCCTTCGAGATGCTGTTGTCCGATGGAACAGCTATGCTCCACGTGAACAGCCTTAGTAACCACAGGATCAATCCAGGCTGAGATACTAGGCTGACGGATGATCATCATGGCATCCTCTAGCAGAATGACGGTGTGAGATGAGTGGTTATGAGCCATATGAATGACCGTGGCGTGTCTTGCAGTGGGAACTTTTGGCAGGAAATCGGTGTGACGAATGAGTAGTTATGAGCCATAGCTGATTTTGCGTATCAGCAAAGCCCTCATTATGGTCGCAGAGTCTTGCCTCTTGGAACCTGTTCCTTCAAGTTATTCGACACAGCCCAACAGAGAAATAACCCCAAGTCGGGGTTAGACTCTTCTTGCAATTGTGAGGCCATCCTGCGTTAGTAGCCCGAGAACTGTACGCATGTTGTGTTCAACATATATAAACATGCAGGGACAAGCTCAGTACCTAAGTACTGTTCAACCTCAGATAAGTCCCCCCAATGGCACACATTCAGGCTTCTAGTTGCCCAGGCTCGAGATCCTGTTGGGTACGAATCGCTGTCCCATCCAGGTTTTGTCTTTTTTGCCTACTCAACCTTAGTTGACAGAGTTCTATGACGACCTCTGAGAATGCGATGATCAACCCAAGACTTCCTACGGCGCATGTATGCAAGTCCATAGCCCGCTTCCTCAACACCATCAAGTATGATGACTACAGACTCACCCGCGAAGATGGCGTCTGGGGCTTGCGAGAGGTCCACGCCAAGACAGCCGAGGACTTCACCCAGCCCCTGGCCCGAGACCCGAGAGACACTCATGGATGTTCACGCAGCGCGATCCCGACCACCTGTCGCACCATCTCATCCTGGGTGGTATACTAGCACTGCTGGCCATACGTGCTGCGCGGCGTTCAGGTTGATGTCACCGTCTGGCAGTCTGTCATTGACGTGCTCGACAACGAGACTAGCTCCTGCCCCTTCCGCGAACACCTCCACTCTCCTGGCCGGCATGCTCGTGGGACGACCACCTAACCACCCCTTCTGGAAGCTGATGCAGATGCACCTGTCGAGACTGCTGGCGCAAATTAGCACTTCCTGTGAGTTCAGCATCAAGCCATCGACTATCTACTACTACGAGGGCTGCTGGGTCGAGAAGCACATAATCCAGGGCTGGCACGGCGCTGATGGTTACCTCATGGTCTTGTGTCGACTGACTTCACTCAGCGCTGCAGTGGCGGGAACCCTTTTGCTAAGATCGGGATGGCCCGACAATCGTGTATTGCTCTCAGAGATTTCCACGGTCATGGCGCAAATCACCGGGATCGTGGCCCTCCCGAACGACCTCTTCGCCTTCTACAAGCAGTTCGACCAGGTCCAGCTCAACCTAATGTCCAACCTTAGTGTCTTCGAAGACATAACGATGGAGCAGACACTGAAGCGGCTCACAGACAAGGACGCGGCGGTACTCCAGCCGATTAGGTAGTGGGTTCGTGCAAGGTTACATGACCTGGCATTTTTGCGAGCGACGTGATCGCATGAAGGAGGTCGACCACACAGCTGCCTCGCCGGAACTTGGCCTCGCCGGGAAGAGGTTCCGAGACTTTGCATTTTCGGTCGGGCTGGTGCCTCTGAAGCAATTGAGTCTGCTCATGGCTCAACGATTGTCGGAGATTGAATCCAGTGGCGAGGGGACGCAAGCGTGCAGGATTTCAGCAGAAGACCACCCGTCGATTCAACTTTGGAGGAAAGGATGGCACTCCGGTATAATCTCGTGGAAAGGGAAGATAGCATCTCACCTCTCCAGAGCTATCATATAACGCCCTATCGAACCCCGGTACACTGACCCGGGATCTGGAATACCTCAATTTCTCCTCTGTCAGCACGAATGTATGAAAGCGAACAACTGCCCCAAAGCGCCCGCATGGCAGTGAGTCTGGTAAGAAGCACATCTTGCAAGAGACTCAGACAGCACGTTGTACAGGAAGATTTGATATTTCTTGAGCTTTGTCACTGCTTGCTGTCTGAGCACTGTTTGCGACAACGGGGACAATTTAATTGTATGATTTTGCTTCGCTTTCGACTTTTTCCATTCCGCATTTTCCTCTTTCGTTTTGGGCTTTTACCCGCATGCAAGTTACTGCACTATTCTGCTGGGGAATGTCAGCACTACTATCAAAATCGTGGACCCATGCAAATGCCGGTCAACCCAGCGAGCCTAGGCTTACAAAAAGCCTGCAATTATAGTCTACATGAGGCAAGGATCATTGATTGTGGTGAGACACGATAAGCTGGTTGCAGCAGCACAACAAACACAGCCAACCAGCGACATTCTAAGATGACCATTGCAACGGTGATTCATAGAATATGTGTCCCCGCCCTGGGTCGGATTTTGTCTGATTCTTGGCCGCAAGCTCTCCGAGTCCGAGGTCCGACTGCAATCAGTCAATGCGAAATCGCATTCTGAGAGCAGTCTTATATCGCCACACTCCAACATTTTGCCTGGTCGTGAAGCTCAAAGCTCTTTTTATTCTTGTCTCATCTCACATGCAGTCACCATGGATGTCTTCGAGAAGTCCACTTTCGCCGGCGGCCCGGCTATCATTGACTCGGCCAGCGAGCTCTCCGCCGACCAGCGGGATATGCAGCGCATGGGGAAGAAGCAAGATTTCAAGCGGAATTTCAGTTGGTTCAGCAGCATTGCTTTCACTTCGTGCACGATGGGTACCTGGGAATTTGTATTCGTCAACAACTTCCAGAGTCTCGTCGACGGCGGCAGGGCAGGCATGTTCTGGAGCTACTGCTGGGTGATACTGGGCCAGTTCTTCATTGTCCTGTCTCTGGCGGAAATGGCGTCCATGGCCCCAACAGCAGGCGGACAGTCAGTCTTTCTAGTCAGGGAGGAAGGATGATATGTATGAGGTCCAATGGTCTGCTAACTTGACTACAGGTACCATTGGGTATCGGAATTTGCGCCCAAGTCTATCCAGAAAATTTCAAGTTATGCATCCGGATGGCTCAGTGCCCTGTGCTGGCAGTCTTTCGCCGCTGCCGACTGTATCTTCACCGCCCAGCTAGTGATGGCTGTTGTGTCAATTGGGGATCCAGAATTCTCCCCCGAGCTGTGGCAGACAAGTCTCCTAGCCATGCTGATAGGTGTCTTTGTCGCCTCGCTCAACATTTGGTGCTCAAATAGGCTACCTATCATCGAGAACTTCTTCGTGTTCCTCCACATTGCCTGCGTCGTTATTGTGATGGTCACACTAGGAGAAACAACCCAGAAGACTTCAGCTAGGGCGGTGTTCCTGGAGGTAAAGGACTATGGCGGTAATTATCCGACTTTGGGTATGGCTGTTATGGTCGGGCAGGTTGCCGCCATGTTCAATGTCTGCGGTATGTAAGCCACCATCCATGGATTCTAGCCAGAATGTGTATATGCTGATGAAACTGCAGCATCTGATGCTGTGGCTCATATATCGGAGGAAGTCAAAGATGCCAGCATTATCGCCCCACGAGCAATGTTCTGGTCCTTTGCGCTGAACATCCCCATCGCCTTCGCCATCATGGTGATGTCTGCATTCGCCATCCCGGACGTCACAGTCGCAACGACAGAGTTCGCATTCCCGTTCCTGTCGATCCTGGACAGCAGCAGCCTGTCGACCGCCGGGGCCCAGGCCATCACCTCTCTGATGGTGGTCCTGCTTTTCATGATCGCCGTGTCGACGTTCACCTCGACCTCCCGGCAGTGCTGGGCTTTCGCGCGCGACCAGGGACTCCCAGCATCCGACTGGCTGCGCCGTGTCGATCCAGCGCTCAATGTCCCCCGCAATACGTGTCTGCTGACATTGGGCGACATCATCATCTTGTGCCTGGTCTACGTTGGCAGCAGTGTCGCCTTCAATGCTATATTATCCATAGGAATCGTCTCTCTTATGGGAACTTATGGCCTGTCTACGGCCTTGTCTTGTACCGCCGGCTGCGCTGGCCTGAGACGTTGCCGCCGGCGCGGTGGAGTCTGGGACGCTGGGGTGTCTTGGTAAATGCGATTGGAGTGAGTTATGCCGCCTTTGCATTCTTTTGGTGCTTCTGGCCGATTTATTACTCTCCCACACCAGAGACAATGAACTGGGCGGTGGTCATGTTTGGCGGTGTCATGTTACTGGCTGTGGTGGCATACTTCGCAAGGGGTCGAAAGTTGTACAAAGGCCCAGTGGCCACTTGTGATGGTAGGCGGATCGATTGAGATGCGGAAGACTACTTTTTCACCTGAATCACGACTTATATTCGTTGGTATCTTTCCAATTAATATCCATTTATTTTCCCAACAAACGAGGACCTCTAATGCTCGTCGCCACGTCGTATCCAGCGCAGATATATCACCCTGGGATGTCTTACTTGGGGATTCTATAGGGTTCCGCACGTCTCAAGTCCTACCTCTTCAGTTAATTTCGCTGTGTCCGAATACATGAGGCTATGGTAAGTTATTCTCAACCAGTATATCGGTGTGGCAGGTAGAGAGACCTTCTGCGTGCTCACAAGCGAAGGACGAACATCATGATTCCGCACTATGCTCACGATAACTGTCATCACGTACAAAGTTTTGACTTCCACTGCAAGGAATGAGGTACCTTCTCGTCCTGACTAGCACCTTGTATAGCAGATTTTCTTGAGAAGCCCTTGGAATGCTGTGGGAATATCATTTCTACATATGTAACCACGATCGTGGTTCATTGACAGACATTTCCAACTCTCTGCAGTGACAGAAATCGCCACCGTATTCAGTACTCTTAAGTCCGAGAACCTTCCAAGGTTGGCGTTTCGAGGTGGAGAGAGGCCAACAACAACTTCTCCTCGGAATGTATTCCGTCTCCAATGTCCACCCCCGGCCCTTTTTCTTTTATTTTCCTTCCCTATGAACCTGGTCACATTGACCGTAGCAAACAATGCTTTTGAGAAGGCGCAGTGAAGATTGAAAAGCAAACCGGATATCAAACAAAAAACATTGCCAGTGCCGTAAGCAGGCTTACTTGGGAAATCAAAGTACCTGGGTAGCGTAAAGATGAACAAAAATCCGAAATCGCTCAAAATGGCCATGCCCTCTTCATGCACATGCCCATGTCTTTTGCCAGCCATCTAGGACGAGGGAGTCTCAATCTCGTAAAAGCCGTGGCCAAAATTGAGGACATTCCAATGGGCAACATCTCTGGTGGCAACAGCGTCCTTAACGCTGTCATGTCCCTCCCTGCCGGTTTGGATGTCCTTGCCGATGCGCTCCTTCGTCAATGTCTTCAGGGAAAATCGACCAGAACCACCCCTGCCCTTCCTCTTGGGCTTCTCAGCGGGCTTCTCAGCTGGCTTCTGATGACCTGGCTGTTTCTGAGTCCTCACCGTCTGGCCGGAGTTGGTTTCTGCCGGAACACTCTGCTCCTTCGCCGCAGCCTCTTGGAGCAGTTTCTCCGCAAGTTCCTTTTGCCTGGCAGCCTCTTCGCGGGCCTCTTTCTCCAGCTTCATTACAGGAGACGCCTCCACCAGGAAAGTATCGACAATCTTGGCGTGAATCCAGCGAAGGCAGGTCAGGTCATTCTGGCCGGAATGGGCGACCACGATAGTGTCCGGTCCAACAAAGTTCCAGAGGGCTCGCCTAGCGGCTGCAATGCCCAGCAGACAGTCACCCTTCGACTTGGCCTGCATCATCTGCTTAAAAGTGACGCCAGAGAAGCGAGTGTTGTAGTTGAGGATTTTCTCATCGGGGAAGACCAGCTGGTCGACAAGCACCTCGGCGGTGAAGTAATCGACGGCGCTGACTCGGATGCAAATAGACTCGTTGCGAATGCTGGTTCCCATCTCACAATCAACTGATCTACAGTCAGTGAGATCTTCTCGATTTGTTTGCGCCAAGCACTGGAGTGTTGGCATTGATGCAGGGTTGCAGCATGGTGACTCACTCGCCACTGCCCGGCGGACAGCAGATCCAGGCGCTTCAGCAGGAGTACGATGGTACCGATACTGGCCTTCCAGTTCTCCTGGCTTGTATTCAACAACCTCATGATCGTCGGCAGTCGTGCACGGCTGGTTCCATGCACCGCCACCGCAACAGCCCCAAGTCTAGGACAGAGGCACGAAATGTGTCAGCAAGGGAGATGCAGGCTAAAAGGCCGCAGAGGGGGACTGAAAACTCACGCGACCATTGAAGTGTCCGCTGTGGTACCTGCAGTCCTTCTTGGATCCGTTCTTGGATCCGTTCGCAGGAGGCTGTTTGGAACGGCCGCCGCGACTGGCCGCGTTGCCAACGGCGTCCGTGGACGAAGATGCGACAACAGCACCGCTGCCTTGCTTTGGCTCTCCATCGAGGGTATGCTTGAACGCCTTCTTGAAGACGACTGCCAAGTAGGTTAGAAAGATGGAGTATACCTTTGGAGGCATGGTGCATTGCCTGAGGGACTCACATTTGTGGCATCTCGCGCACTTCTTCTTCTGACCAAGCTCGAACTGTGTCAAGGGTTGCACCACGTAACCAGCCTTCTCCAGCGTCTCACTGCTGTGCACCAGCTTCTGGAGCCGCTTCATGTAGGCATCCTGGGTCTGACCTGGGTCGAGGACGAGGGCGCCAGAGGCAGATATCTTGACTGGGATGAAGGCAGGCGCAGCCACAGCTGGCGAGCCATCGCGATGGGGTGAGGCAATCAGTGGCTCCATTGGGGCTGCAAAACCATTGCAGGCTTGCAGGGTGTGAGTGTGGGTGTTGAAGGGAAGGTGTGGTGGTGATCAGTGCGATGTTGCAAGTTCAGAATGGCCTGGGAGTTTCAAGGTGGACCTAGAAGAGGGCGGCGGGCCAGGGCAGGGGAGGGCTCAAACGAGTTTGGTCGATTTTACGGCAGCTTGCACCAGGCACGTATCATCTAAGGAGGCCACAGGCAGCATGCAAACCGAAACAGTCACACAGCTAAATTCACCTTGACTTCCAACCAGCCCTTCCAAAACTTCTGTTTGACTGCTTCTGTTGCGACCTCGGCCGTTGACCTCAGCCGCCCCCACGCGCATGAAAGTTTAATTAATAAGCGATCTGAACGAGCGTCGCTCGCAGTTCCCTAGAGCCTCATCCTCGCGCCAAGCAATAATTGTTTCCTGAATCCATCAAATAAGTCAACCCTGGGAAGCTCATTGTAGCATTGCAAAACTTGTGAACAACTGCTCATATGCAACGACTCAAAGTCCAAAACAGCCAAGTGGTTGAACCCTAGTGAGTGATGTGCTTAGAATGGCACAAACGTATTCTGAACACTTCAGCATTCATTGCTTTACCCTTGAGGTGCTTTGACTGATCATGTGAATTTGCACTGCAAATACAGGCGTATGCCAAACGGGAGCAAGGCTATGAAGCAGGCCGTCTGTTGAGGCAGGCCAGTCAATGCATAAAGCGCCTACACTTCCAAGGTTATTACAGCCAAGCCGCATTCCAATTAGTTATAGGTTTTTAGGGTATTTCCAGCGGCCTTTTCTTGTCACAAGACAAGTTCTTTAGGGAATGACAGGTAGAATTCGAACATCACAAAAGCAGCTTACTCATGGACAAATATTTTCCACACTCCTTGACCCCAAGCCTCAAGTGCCTGCTTTGAAGAAGCTTCATACCTAGGAGGCGGTCTTGTCTCTATAGGAGCAGCCACTGGCCCCCGGATGCTAGGCTCGATTATCTGGAGCCGAGAGGCTGCACAATGCGCTTGTCGAATCTTGGTTGACAATCAGCCCATTTTGTTAGACGCAGGCGTGCGGCGGGGCAATGGCTGAAGGGTTTGACAGAGCCAGCGGGGTGTGACCGACTGGAACTGGGTGTCTGTTTAGCGAAGGCATTCAGTAAGCGTGTGCCTTCCGTGCCCGCTTAACATAGAAAGGGGTTGTAAGCCATACATATGCACATTTGCAGCCAACTGGCCAAGTGCCAAGCAACCTGGTCATGCTGAGAGAGTGGGCAGCCGTCTGTTCTGCTCTCTTCTTGTCTACTTCCTCCTCGGTCAAGTATCTTTCGTACCATGGACTCCCTTGAGGCCTTTGAAAGAGGCCGAGATCTTCCTCCGGAGGCCCTCGGCCCGCCCATCAATCCGTTCAAATGACGATAACCCCCCTCAGAATTGATCCTTCATTTGCCCATGTCTGGCAGGGGTTCAACCGCTCAGATGTCTTCTTCCTGGATGACAGAATCGTGGTTAAAGCCCAGCAGCAGTATCACGTTCCCAGTGTTTCCTTACCGGGAGATCGTTTTCTCCTAGACCTCGGGCTCGCGAACTTTGAGGGCACGCAGCTTGAGCGACAGGTCTTCACTAAGCTGCGATCTTCGCCACATCCTAACTTAGTTCGTTGTCTTCATATGAGCGGAGATGATACTGCAGACCATATGGAGGGTGTGATGTTCTTTGAGAGGCTTGATCCATTGAGCCCAGCCTGGGCTAAGTCGAGTCCGGCCTCTCGACGTCGCTGGGCAATTGAGCTCGCTTCTGTATTTTCGCATTTGGAGCTCCTGGGGCTCATACCTTTGAAAACATACGTCCGTGACCTTGCGATCGACAAGTAAGCCACTACATTGCACAACTTACACCTCACATTAACCTTAGCACCCTCCTATATTTTTTCTGGTATTCATGCATGCTTGATAGCGCATTCACACACTGATTGCACTGGAGGTCTATCGACCTATCGTGGGCGACTAACTCGAAGTTATAGGGATGGCCGGCTCAAGCTGACTGGGTTCGGCGCATCGCCACGCCATTTTGATGCAGAGACAAGGCAAGGAGAAAGCACGGAAGACTACCATCATGAGCGCATCCGGAGCAACGAGGGCGCGCGAGAATTTCAAGGAGTTGCACACCAACGCCTTGCGTCCTGTCTGCACTATATCCTCACCGGTGTCGACCCGGACGAGCAAGCTCGGGATATAGGCCACGCACGTCACAGCCGGGAAGATCGAATCCAGTGGCGCGAAAAGGTTCGGCGCGGCGAGTACCCTATCTCCGCTGGCGCGGAGCCCATCGCGGATATACTCCATGATGCCTGGAGTCTGAACACCGTCACAGGGCCTGAAGTTACATCTTTCGCAGCGGTGGAACAGAAGGTTCGGGATGCCCTTGGCCCCTTGAGTATTGATGACGAAGAGGATTTACACCTAGACGATGAGGATGACTTCGGAATCCTTGAGGAGAAATGCCGTGCGTGGCTTAGAGTACAAGAGCGAGAGCCAAGGTGGTTGGGACATCGGGAGTATGAAGAAGCAGTCAGAGAGGCCATTGCCGACTTCAATGCTTCAGTTATAAGGAAAGGCGCTGCATGATCCTTCGAGCTCAACCTCCTGTGGTAGTAAGACTTGATACTACTAAATGGGCACCACGAATCGAACTCAACAGTTTTAATCTGCGGCCAACCCGCCGGCAGCTAAATGATGGATGTTTTCATCATCATGGGATGCAACACGGTGGGAACGTGGGAACTGGTTGGTCGAGCTTTGACGTTTCCGTGAATACAGCAAGTTTTAACTTGAGAGACCACCAAGACCGTTAAAAGAACCGCATATTTACACGAATATGTGGCGAGAGCTCCCCAAAGAAAGAAGTTGGCTGCGTTGTCAGGATTGAGGAATGGCTCCAGAGACGGAAAAAAAACACGTACTTACATATTCCGAAGTAAAATTGATAACAAGAGCAACTGTGATTATCAGATTTCCACAAGACTCAACTTCTCGTCTGAATCATGTTGTATTTTTGGAAAAGATGGTAACGGGCGTCTGGCCTCAGCTCATGATCGTGAAGCAGGCGGGGGGTCCACCGCAAAGGGCGGTCTGGACATGCCCCTTTTCATAGGAAGCAGAGGAACAATCAAAGTAACAGACAACATCCTTATTCGAGACGAAACAGCCCTCAGAGGTGGCAGGACCTTGAGAACCATTGAAAAATTCCTTGAATCAGAGGCAATGGACCTGCCCCATATTTTTAGCTTAAGCATTTATCCGCTTATAAATACTATGGCAAGATTCCGAACATCCCGCTGTCCTTTGCCAAGCATTGGCAACTCGTGAATTTCTACACGCCATGTGGTTCCACCGATGGAGAATTACAAGTACTTTTTATCAACGACGGAATTTTAACTTTTCGTATGTTGTACTATGACCAGGTCGCTATGTTCTGGCTTAATAATATCATGTGTGGGCCCGGTTCGGCTTTAGGGACCATTCTACCCTCCGACAAAGTGATCCATAAGTTAAGGTAACCTCCCTACATCTAAATTACCCCTTAATTCAAACCACTTTTTCTATTAAAACACATACTATTTATAAATACCTATTTCTCTATACACTAATTTTTATAATATATATAATAATTTAATAATAATAAAAATAATATATATATATATATTAATTAATAATTTTAAATTATATTCTTAATTAAATTTATATAAAAAAATAAAAGAAATTATATTAAAAATAATTAATTATTTATAATTATTAACTAAGTTTAATAAAAATTTATTATAATTATTATATTAATACTTTTTTATAAAAATAAATTAATTTAAATATAAATTTAATTAAAAACTTTTAAATTTTTAAAAATAAAAAATATTATTATATTATTATATTATTATTAAATAAAAATATATAAAATTATTAATATTAATAGAAGTATTTTATTTATAAATTTTTATAAATTTATATATTATTATAAAATTAAAAAGTATTATTTTATTTATAAAAATTATTTAATTAATATAAAAACTATTTTAAACTTTTTAAAATTTTATATATTTTATTTAAAATATAAATAATATTATTTGTAATATTAATATAAAACTATTATTATATATATATATATATATAAGTTATTATTAATATAATATTTTATATAATATTATAATAATATTAATAAATATTTAAAATTAAAATAAATTTTTATAAATATTTAAATATTTAAATATATTTAATAAAATATTTTAAAATTATATTAATTTTAAATTAATCTATTCTAATTTTTATTTTATATAAATTTAATATTTAATATTTAAAAATAATATAATATAAATAATTTTAATTTTATATATTATTTATATTTATAAATATTTATATACTTTTTAAGATATTTTTTAATTTTATTTAACTTTTATAATTCTAAGTCTATATTAGTAGATAAAAGTAAGTATATTATAGTATAATTAGGTAATTTAAATTAGGGGGTGGTCCGGATGTAGGTGGATCACCTTATTAGTAATATACCTGCGCACCTTCCTTGTTCACCAGTACGCCTAGTCAAGTAGTAATCCACAATGAATAAGGTTTCGGGACCGGCTGTTGCACCGATTGAATCGTTTTAGCTCCCGTGTGATGAAAGACCGGACACAACCCGGGGCAGATGTGATGAGCCAAAGTGAGAGTCAAAGTTACAAGTATATATAATATAGGCAGGACCAAGCTACAAGAAGTATTGTTTTGACCACACGCTTCCACTGTTCACCAACTAAGACTTCCCGTCGTTGAACACAGAAAAACTTCCCATCACTCATAAAACAATCAATCTTCCGCCATGACCAAGTCTCACAACACCAGTGTCCCAGGTTTGCCCCTGCTGGGAAAAGTCGCAATCGTCACTGGGGCCGCTCGCGGAATCGGCGCAGAGATTGCGTATAAGCTCGCTTCAGACGGTGCCTCTGTAAGTTCAAATATATGCCCCCTCCCTCCCCACCGAGATGCACTACAAACAGAGGTTCTGAAATCATCTTTAGGTGTTTCTTGGCTACACCTCTGATTCTAGCGCCGTCAAGGTCGCAGATGTCATCAAGAGAATCCAGGCCTTGCCACATGAGCCAAAGGCGCACGCCATCAAGGCCAACCTTGGCCAGCTCGACGGGCCTGACAACTTCGTTGCCCAGTTGAAGAGTCTGAGCGGCGGTGAGCCCAAGGTTGACATCCTCGTCAACAATGCCGGTGTCACCTCAATCACACCTTTGGCCGAGATCACCTCGAAGCAATACGATGAAGTCTTCAACGTGAACGTCAGGGGGTTGCTGCTTCTGACAGTGGCTATTCGGCCGTTCATCCAGCCCCGCGGCCGCATCATCAATCTCTCATCCGTGGCGGCGCGCGCCACACTGTCCGCCTCCTGCATCTACTCAGCTTCCAAGGCGGCAGTTGAGGGTTTCACGAGGGCCTGGGCTGCTGAAATCGGCGGCAACGGCACGACTGTGAATGCCGTGTCGCCAGGTCCTGTCCCCTCTGACATGATGGAAACTTCCCTGGACAAGCAGATTCTTCAGTATATCAAGTCCCAGACGGCGATCGAGAACCGTATCGCGACTGAGCAAGAGATTCCGAACATTGTGGCATGGCTAGCCTCGCCTGCGTCGAGTTGGGTTACTGGTCAATGCATTAATGCTACTGGAGGTTTCCAGATGATTTAAACAGCTACACACATGGCTGATGCATTATTTAGACATAGAATTTCAGAGTATTAGCAGTGTCATTACAATTTCTCGGTGCTACTTCTCCTCATCTCCTTGGTTTTCTCAGGATCCCTTGATTCAAAGCCATACACTGACACAGTAGTAAATGCCAGCTTGAATTTCCAGCTTCAAACTTTCTCTAAGTGCTTATTTATTCATCTCCCGTCCTTAAATATACATCAAAGTTCTATTATCACTACAATTTAGTGATTACTACCTCCTCCCCATGTATGGTTCTGAAGACCTCCCAGGTGGGAGTTGTGACCGCATCGTTGAAATCAACAACACCAACCCTTTGGTAACTATTTTCCTCAATCCTAGTTAGCACCAGGATATTCCGATCTCGCTTTCCGTTATCCAATAGGTATGTATGTATATAGCACGGTGTATATAATTAGCTAGTATAGTTTATCTATAATATTATCTATATTAAAAGCTATTAAAGGTAGAATTAACGTTATTCTAATATACTTAAATATCTTATATAAAATAATTATATTAAGTTATTATATAACTTTATTATTACTATAATTTATTTTATTAATAATTTTATTAATATATAATTTTACTTTTATTTTATATATATTTAAGATTTAATATTTTAAAAAATATAATATTTATTAATAGGTTTATTTATATATAAAAAGTAATTAAGTTAAGTGGTATATATTTATATTAATTAAAAGTTTATTTAATTAAATATAAAATATTTAATTAAATTAATTAAATTTATTAACTAAACTTAATTTATATATAAATATAAACTTACTAATTTTCTAACTTTACTTATAGTAATTAATTTATTATAACTTACTATTTTTATTTTAATACCTTTTAATCTTTTAAAATCTTCCTTCCTTTTATTTAATTAAAAGTTTTATTTATTAATAAAGTAATTTTTAATTAAATTATTAAATTACTTAAAATTATTATTAAGTATATAATTATAATTTACTTAATTTAAACATTTTAAAAACGTTTAAAATTAATATTTTATAAATTACTTAAATTATTTCAATTTAAATTATTTTAATAAATAAAATTAAGTTTAAATTACTTAATTATTTATTAAACTATTTATTAAATAGTTATTAATTATAATTATATTTAATTAATTAATCTTTTTAATAGTTTTTTATAATTAATAAAATACTTTAAATTAACGTTTTTAATTATTTAATTATTAATTACTTAATTATTAATTACTTATTAAGTTATTATTAATTATTTATTAATTATAATTAATTAATTAATTAATTTATAATTATTAATTAATTTAATTAATCCTTTTAATAATTTTCTTTTCTTTTATAACTTAATTAATTAAAGTACTTTAATATATATTAAGTAAACTTCCTTTAATTAAAATAGTAATTATTAAAATTATAATTATATAATTATTTAAATAAAAGTTTAATTAATTAATTAAATAAATTAATATACTAAATATACTTTAAGAAGTTATTATTAATATAGTTAATTATAATTATATTATTATTAAATATAAAGTTATTTATTAATAGTTTAAGTAAGGTTTAATTATAGCTTACTTTATTAATTAAGTAGCTATATATTCCTCTTTATAAATATTACTAATATATTTCTTTAACTTAATTTTTAACTTAAACTTCTTTTTATAATATAGATAGGAGTGTTAATATATACTTATAGTAGCTATAAATAATTTTATTTTTAAAGAGGACTTAGGACTATAGTAATTATAATATTAGAGTGCTTCTACTTAAATATTATAAGAGAGAAAAAGAAGTTAAGGGTGTAAAAGTCGCTAAATTAATTATTTAAGTAATATAGGGTAGGTTAGTAAGGTAGTCTACTAAATATATTAGTTAGTAAGTAGTTAAATAAAGGTTAGTAAATAAGTAATTAAGTATTAATTTAAGGGTTTTAAAGGTAAGCTTAAATTATTAATTTATAAAAAAAAGAGAAAGTTATTATAAAAATATATAAAAGTTATTTATTTAATTAATTAATTAAATAATATAAAATAAGTTAGTAAGGCGTTAAATAGGTTATTAAATAGAGTAATATATATATAATTAAATATTAGTTTAAAAGTATCTTAATATATTAACTTAAAAGAAGTATATAAAGTTATTATTTATTATAAAGGTTTAATTAGTTTAAAAGTTATATTAGTATAGATTATTATATATATATATATAAAGAGTGGTTTAATTAATTAAGTTAAATTATATAGGAGGGAGGAAGCTAGGCCTAAAGAGCTAGCTGCAAGTCCCTCACTATAGTCTACTAATTAGAGTTATATAACCTAAACTATCTACTAGTTATAATTACCTCTATTCCTATATATTAAATATAAAGACTAAATTTTACTATAAAAGTATAGTAAATAATTAATTTATAATAAATTTATTATTAAATAATAGTTTATTATAAATTTATAATAAATTTATAAACTATTATAATAAATACTTAAAGTATTTATTTTTAATATAATAAAATTAATTTTTATAATATAAAAGTTTATAAAATAAAATAAGTAATATAATATTATTAAAAACTATAATTTTATTATAAAATTATTTATAATATAATATTAAATTTAATAATTAAAAATTTTATTATTTTAAGTTAATTAATATAATTAATAAAATTAATAAAAAATTTAAAATATAATATTTATAAAGTTAAAAGAATAAAATAATTAAAATTATAAGTTTCTTTTAAATTAAAATCTATAAATTTAAAAATTATATTAATTATTAAATAAATTTCTTTTAAACTTATAAAATTTAATTTTTAATTATAAAATATATAAAGATTATTATAATTATAAAAGGTATTATTTTTAAATTATTAATAAATTTAATAATAATATTAAAAGTTAAAATTATTTAAAAAATAATAAAATTAATAATAAATATTTAATTTTATTAATATTAACTTTAAGCTTTATAATTTCAATTTATAAGAATATAAATAATTTAAATTAAAATATAAAAAAGTAAATTATAGTTTAAAATTTAAGAAATAAATAATATAAATTATTAATTTAATATATAAATTAATATATTATATTTTAAGAAAACTTTTAGAATAATATAAATTTATAATAAAAATATAGATAATTATAATTAAATAATATATTAAAAATAAAAATATATATAAAAATATTTTTAAATTATTATAAAGTTTAAAGAATATTATACTTTAAGTAAATTAATAAGAAATTATTATAATAAAACTATTTAATAAGGAATAATAAAGGTAAAATAATTTATTATTTAGGTTTATAATTTATTATAAGTTTTATAAAAATATTATTAATATAAATAATTATATTTAAATAAATATAAAAGTAAAAATTATAAATAAAAGCTTTATATATTATAATATTAAAACTTTTCTTAAAAGAGTTATAAATTTTAAATATATAAAATAAATTTATAAAACTATAAAAGGAGTATAAATAATTATTTATAATAGCTTAAAAATTATAATAATAAAAGAATATTTATATTATTAAGAAAGGAATTTTAATTGATAAAATATAAATAAATTATATAAATTTTATATAAATTAAAAATATAATTAATTTAAAATAAAAATCTATTAATTTATATAAGGTATATATTAAGAATTATACTTTTATAAATTATTATTATATTTTTTTAAAAGTTTTAAAAGTTTTAAGAAAAATAAAATTATTAAAAAAGTATATAAATTTTTAAAAATAATATAAATTTATAAATAAAGATTTAAATTATAAAAAGCTTAAAGTTAAAATTTAAATTAAAATATTATAACTTTTAAAAGGAATTAATTAAAGAAATTAAAAATAACTTTTAAAGTATTATATAGTTAATATAAAAATAAAGAAGCTTTTATTATAAATATAAAAATATTTTTAAAATATTTAATTATATTAAATTTAATAAATATAATATTAATTATAAATAATTATAAAAGCTATTTAATTTAAAATTAATTATATATAATAATTATTTATAAATAAATAATTAATAACTTTTATTATAATATATAATATAATATTAATTTATATTAAAATTTTATTTTATAAATAAAAATATTATTTTATATTTAAAGATTTTAATTATATTAATATTTTAAAATAATTTTAAAAGGTATTTTTAAAATAATAAAATAAATTTAATTATATTAAAAATAAGATAAAATAATCTTTTATAAATTTATAAATATTTATAAATAATATATTATTAAATATTTAAATTATAAATTAAAGATTATATTTAATATTTAAAGGAAAAATATATAATATTTATTAAAAAATTATTAATAAGTAAAGCTTTTATAATATAAATAATTTAAATATTTTAAATTTAAAGTATTAAAATATTTAATAAATATTTTTAAAGTATAAATTTATAAATTAATAATAATTAAGTATAAAGTATATATTTTAATTAAGATTATAAAGTAAATTTATTATTTACTAAAAGAAATTTTAAATAAAAGGTAAAAATAATATTAAATTTTATAACTATAAGTTAAAAATTTATAATTATAATTTATAATTATTATTTATATATAAAGTTTTAAATATATATAGAATTATTATATAATAAGTTGAAATAATAAAATAATATTTAAAATATTTAAATTTTTTTAAAATAATAGAATTTTAATATAATATAAAATTAAAATTATTAAATATAATAATAAAATATTTAATTAAAAATAAATTATTAAAAACTATTTTAAATTAAAATATATTAAAATTCAGTTTTTATATTTAATATATAAATATAAAACAATAAAGTAAAGTATTTAAAGGGTATAATTAAATAAAAGATATAAATTTTATAAATAAGTTTAAAACTCTTAACTTTCTTTTAATTAAAAATTAAATAAATAATTATTTATTTTAATAATTAAATATTATTTTATAATTTAAATTAATAAATATTATATTATTAATTTTTCTTTATTATTATTAAAAGGTAAAAATTTTAATATTAAATTTAAAATTTAATTAAATTTATTTAAAATATTTAACTATAAAGTTTATATAATAATTATAAATATTTAACTTAAAAGAAAAGATATTAATATTTAAAATTATAAGTTTAAATTAATTATTTTATAAAATATTAATTATTAAATATTTATTAAATATAAATTCCTTTTATTAAAAATAATTAATATATAAAATATAATTTTAATAAATATTAAATATTTAATAATAATTAAAAGGTTTTATTAATAAACTTCTTATTATAAATATTAAATAACTAATAAATTAAATAAAAAAATATACTCTTAAATAATAATAAAATATTAAAATTAAAAAAGATTTTCTTAAAATTAAAAATCTAAAAACCTAATAAAGAAAGAATTTAAAAATATAAAGAAAATAAAAATATATAACTTAAAATAAATTAATAAACTAACCTTTATATAAATATTAAATTTATATTACTCTTTATACTATTTTAATTACTATTATTAATACTGCTAATATATATTATATAAATATAATTAAATAAAAGAAATTCTATTAATTATTAAATCTTTAATAAATTTATTATAATAAATTATATTTATAATTAAAATAAAAGTAATATTTATAATAAAGTTAAATAATAATATTTTAATAAAGTTTAAATTAAAAGATATTTATATTAAAAATAAAAATATTAAAAAGTAACTTTTAAAACTATTAAAATAATATAAAAATTTAATAAACTATTTATTTAATAATTTATTTAAATAAACTAAAATTAATTATTTATAAAGTTATATTAAAATAAAATTTTAAACTAAACTTTAAAAGAATACTTATATAATAGAAAATAAATCTTAAATTATATATAAATATATATTTATAAATTTAATAAATATAATATTTTAAAAATATAAAATATAACTTATTATTAAAAAATTAATAAATATAAAAATAAATATAAAAATTTATATTATAATTTTAATAAAATAATTATTATTATTATTAAATTTAATTTTAAGTTAATTTAATATAATATAATAAATATATTTATTTATATTTTAATTAATTAAAATATTTTATAAAAATACCTTATAATTATAAAAAAGAATATTATTTTAATATTTAATAAGGTATTATATAAACTATAAATTTTATTATTATTATAATAAAAAATTTATAAAAATACTTATTAAATTTAAATATTAATAAATACTATATAAACTCTACTATTATAAAAATAATATTTTAATCTTCTTTTATATTAATAATATTATTATAATATATTAAAAGAATTAATAAAATAAATTAATAAATTTATTTAATAACTTTAAAAAATATAAAATTAATAAAAGGAATTTAATTTAATAATTCCTAAATATAAAAATTTATAAAACCATTTAAATTACTAAATTTAATTAACTTAAACTATATATATAAAAAAATTATTAAAATAACTAATAAAAGAAATGTTTTCTATAAAATTCTATAATAACTAAAAACTAAAATTATAAATTAATATTATAAAATTTATTAAAATTAACTTATATTAATAAAAATTAAATTTATATTATTTATTATAATATCTATAAAATTAAATATTATATTTATTATATTAAAGTTTATATAATTCTTTATAAATTTAAATTAAAAATATTAAAATATTATAAATTAAATATTCCTTTATCTTAAAAATATTAAATACTTTACTCTTTACTTTATAAATATAAATAATTTTATAATAATAAGTAACTCTTTCTTTATTAATAATACTATAAATTAAAAAGTTTTAAATATTTATAATAAAGTTATTTAAAGAAATAATTAAAAAAACTAATAAATAAAATATAATTATAATATTAATAATTAAAATAAAACTTTTATTTTAATATAAATAATAAAAGAAATATTATTTATAAATAATTTTTAAAACTATTAATAAATTTAAATAAAAAATTAAAATTAAATATAATAATATATAAATTATAAATTTAATAAATTTTAAAATTACTTAATTTAAAATAAAATTATAATATATAAATATTTATAACTATTAATTATAATAAAAGATTTAAAATAATACTATTAATATAAAATATATTTTATTAATATAGATAATAATAAATAGATTAATTAAAGCTTTACTAATTAAAAATAAAATAGATTTCTTTAATAATTAAATTTAAAAATATTAATAACTAATAAAAACTAAAACCTATTAAAAGATTTTATAAAGTATAAATAAAAGTAGTAGAAGAAAGTTAAATTCTAATCTATTATAATATACTAATTTAAAAATATATTAAATATAAAGACTAAAGTTTATTATAAAAGTATAATAAATAATTAATTTATAATAAATTTATTATTAAATAATAGTTTATTATAAATTTATAATAGATTTATAAACTATTATAATAAATACTTAAAGTATTTATTTTTAATATAATAAAACTAACCTTTATAATATAGGAAGTTTATAAGATAAAATAAGTAATATAATATTATTAAAAACTATAATTTTACTATAAAATTACTTATAATATAGTATTAAATTTAATACTATAAGTTAATTTATTTAATAAAAAAGTTAAAAATAATTATATATAATAAATATAATTATAATTATATAGTTTTATATATTTTAAAGACTATATAATTATAATTTAATTTTTATAATAAAGTTTTAAATATTTTAAAAACTTTATTATAATTAATTATAATATAAGTATTATTATTTATAAAGAAAGTTTTAAATATTTTAAAACTTTTTTATAATAGTAATATTAACTTATTTCTTTTAAAAAATACTATTAAATATTTTAATAAGTATCCTTTTAATAAATAAAAATAATACTTTATTATTAAAAGTTATTAATAATTAATTAATATTAATAAACTTATTTATATATAAGAAGTAATTAAGTTAAGTAGTATATATTTATATTAATTAAAAGTTTATTTAATTAAATATAAAAGCATTTAATTAAATTAGTTAAACTTATTAATTAAACTTAATTTATATATAAATATAAACTTATTAATTTTTAACTTTATTTATAATAATTAATCTATTATAACTTATTATTTTCATAATATTAATTATATAAATAAATTATATTATAAAAGTTTAATTTAAAATTATTTTTTATATATTTTATAATAAAACTTTTATTAAATAAATATTATAATTTTATTTAAATATATAATAATTAATTTTAAAAATAAAAATAAATTTATAATATATTACTTTTAAAACTTTTATAATAAAATAATAAATTTTTTAAAATAAAATTTAAAAATAATTTATAAAAAAATAAAAAAAATATAATAAAGTTATTTTCTTTTAATTTTATATTTTTATTATTAATAAATATTAATTTTTTAATAATATAAAATATAATAAAAATAAAAAAGATTTAAAATTCCTTTATAAAAAGATTATAAAGATATATATAAAGTTATTAAAGACTTTATATATAAGCTTTAAGGGGAAGAAATATATAGTTATATAGTGTAAAGGAAAAATATAGTGTGGCCGAAGCCTGATTCCATTAATGCAGGCGAGAAATCCGACACCTTGCCCACACGCACAATAGCCAGCGATCCTTTGACCTTGATGCCCCCGCCGGTATCGTCGACACCCGAGGAGAACTGATCTGGAGCGTCTGCAGCGACTCGCACAGTATCGAAGAGGTAGGAGTCGCCAGTGAGCGGAAACCGTATGACCCCATCCAAGGATGTCCAAGCCCATGAATAGCAAACACTAATGGGCGAGTAGCGAGGTTCACATCCAAATAATCGTTTATCGTGGTATTCGCCCGCCCATTTGTCAACTTTCGTGACATTGATAGGGTTTGGTCTGTTGCAGTCCACCAGTTCAAGGCGTAGGTCGTATTACGTATAGACTCGGAATTGTTGCTTTTTGCTTCTCTTTTCATAGAAGATCAGCTTTCGACCATTATTGCATTCCCCTTTCCACTTCCATTCCGGCATGGCAGTGAAATCCAAAAAAAAAAAAAAAAAAAAGAATTGTGCCCATACCACCAGGCGTAATTATTTCTTTTCCTTTTTGGAACAGAACAGCATAAGTTTGAGACCATCACCAAAACCACAAAGCAGGTAGAAATCAGACCTGATGGTAACGCAGACTCATGTTACGCCTTTGCAACCAGTTGTGATGAGTAGGTGCGCGTAAGTGAGTTCAGATAATGTTAGTTTTAAATTTCGGGGCGTGTAGGGTGCAGCGAAATGGTACGTCCGTGTCTTCTACTTCTCAGTTGTTGTGTGTGTGTCAAGGCACCTACTAATATTGTTGTGACGTGCAACATATGACCACTTTGAAAGTTTGGATATCGATATGAAAATGGTGTGCCGTGTGGAATTATGTCGGAAACTTGCGGTCCGTCCGCACATGTAGCACATACCACCATATTATAGAGATTGAGACTGTCATGATGCGTGTCATGATGCGTAGTAGTAATAGTTTTGTAATTGACTTCTGCCTCGGAAGTAAGATGCCTCAAAAGGCAGGGCAGGATCGCCGTTAGAGCTTCAAACCGTGACCAGCAGCCTGGTTCATGAAGAAGTCCTTCAGAGGTCTCATAGCGTTGACAGCGCTTAGACCCCAGGAACGGAGAGGAACAAGAGGTCCGCTCCCGACAGAATACAGCTTGTGAAGCTTGTCGCAGACACCTAATACTACATGGTTGGCGGCGTACCTTTCGGCATTGTACGTTTCCAGGGACATCTGGGTCCCTATGTCTTGCCCGTGGCTGACGGCGTACTCGATGGTCCTGGCCAGGCTCTGGATATCCCCTTGTCCCTGGTTGAGGCCCTGACCAGCCAGTGGGTGGATGGTGTGGGCTGCGTCTCCGACAAGTGCGACCCGCTCGCCGATGTAAGTGTCTGCGTGACGCAGCTTGAGAGGGAACGATGCCACTGTTCCTTCTTGAACATCGACTACGGGCTGAGGGATGGACTTTGGCTGGACAGAAGTGTGCTGCAAGCGCCACGAGACCTCTTCCGCCTGCCCAGAAGCTTGGCTGTGCAGGTAGTCCAGGTCGACAGGGCTCAGGCGGAAGGCGGCGTTGACCGTGGCAACAAAGTCCGCCGCGGACATGCTCTTGAGCCTTGAAGCTCGGTCCGGAGTCGTCGACCATACGAGTGTCGAGTAGTTCCCAGGCATTGGCAGCATGGCCACAGGCCCTGTAGGGAGGAACCGTTGGTACGCGATCTTGGTGCCCTCGCCGCCCCAGCCCTCACCCTCAAGCTGCAGTGTCGCAACAACGCCGTGTCTTCCGTAGTCCCAGCCCCGAGCTTGAATATCGGCGAACGATCGGACAGGGCTATTGGCACCATCGGCACCAACCAACAGCCTCGCCCAGAGCCGCTGACCGTTGGCCAGCTGGATGACGGGCCATTCGGACAGGTTCAGCCCGTCCTTGTCCTCGCCGAACGCGATGCCCTCCACCCTGGCATTGTCGTACACAGACACGCCACCCAGCTCGTCAAGACGACTGAGGAGACCGGACGTTATGTTCAGGTTCTCGATCATGTAGGCGATGGTCTGCCCCTGGCCTCCGGCCCAGTCGAACTCGATGCGCGCGTCCGAGACGCCATCCCATACCTGCATCTCGTGGTACGGCTGTATTCTTTCCTGCTTGAAGTGCCTCCATGCCCCAATGCCCTCGAAGAAGTCGGCGGACGTCGGTGTCAAGGAGCTGCACCGGTTCGAGAAGCGATCCGGCGGGAGCTTCCACTGGCGGGTTTTTGAGAGGTCCTGCGCCTCGACGAGGGCCACTCGGAGGCCGGATGTGACGGGATTCGCGCCTATGGCGGTAAGGTCAGCAAGAGGGGCTCCAAAGGGTTGATCCTGCACCGCAGCCTTGTCCTTACGCAGAGCAGTGAGCAGACTCAGGCCTGCAGGGCCACCTCCCACGCACACTACATCGTAGATGTCCGGCTGCCCGGCAGTGCTGGCGTAGGAACGCCTGAGAGACCTGCCGACCTGCCATGAGCAGCGTCGACAGACGTAGCCGGAAGAAGCCCGTCGAAAAAGCGCGTCCATGTCGTTTGGGGAAAGGCAGGGTGGTGGCCTGCGAATTACACGATACAGATTCAATCTGCCATTGATCTGACGATGATGGAATTGATTTAAGCTCATGCAAGGGTCAAGCTACCCTTGTACTGCCCCTGGCCAAAGCTTGGCCCGTGCGCCCAATTTGCGTCTGTTCGAGACTCGTCTCACAACATGGACCCATATTTACCCTCACATCGAACATAGTACACTACATTAGTAGGTGGAACAAATACAAATTCATCGAACAACTCTTCAATTAGATATTGGTTTGGCCTTGATCTGTGTCATAGTAACTTGATTCGCAACGAGCATCCTATAAACATGGTGTTATGATCTTTCCATGACTGCACTTAGTGAGTTCTGTTTCTCGATTCGGCTTGCTGTGGTCCGACAGAAAATGAATATCCCAACCGACCTCGAGCCCAAAAACGTTTACCCATCGCTGACCATATTCCCAACCAAGACAATCAAAGCACAGGGCAAACTCGTACAAAACAATCAGACCGTTGCTAAAATAATACTCACCAAGATATCCCATTCTTCCCGCGCTCCTTAGGCAAAATGTTATCTGCGCATGCCAAACCAGGCCACTGCTATCTCTGGTGGTGCCTCTAGCCACCCACGAAACTGACAGGGCTGCCAGCCATCACTATGGTGCTCCCATCAAGCTGCCGATGCGGTGACTGTGCTTCGATCTCAGCGCCTGACCATCCTCGGCGGTGCCCGTGGACACCTTCGGTGATTTTGCTCCAACTCCCACGGCGTACTCCTCTCTGCGCGGATGCGGGCTCACCTTGAGGCTGGGCGGTCGAAGTGGTGTCTGCCACCTCACCACCCGCGGTTCCAGAAACGTTCTGTGCAATTCCACCGTGCGTGGCCTCCCTGGGACTCAGCTCCCCACCACTCGAGAACGTCGGGCTGCTGAGCTCGGTGGGCGCCTTTTGCTCGTGGGACGTTCGTTGCTGGGAGGAGCCTAGCTGTTGGTCTTCGGGCTCTGGCTGCCAATCTCGGAGGTCATCTTCAGCGTCGTTCAGGATCTGGCGTGCCTGGGCGCTGTGGGTGTAGGGCTGGCGTTCGTCGCCTGGCACTACAGCGTGGTCATCCAGGAGCTGGAGCAGGCGGCGGCCGTGGCGGGCGAGGATGATCTGCTTCTCGGCACGCTCGATCGTGGCGAGGAATTCGGCGTCGTAGGATTCCTTGAGCTTCTGACGGGTCTAAGACAGCCGGAGGTTGCGGGCATTAGCTCATTGGCACTCCACGACGGAGGCCACCACCACGGTTTGCGATAGGAACCGACGCGAAACAAGGCGCACCACTTACGATATTCGTCAGCTGAGCCTCAGCAACCAGATTCTCCGCCTCGGCCCTGACAAGCTCCTGCTCAAGAACAACAAGCTTGGTGCTTTCGGGCTCCTTGGACTTGATCTTGGCAATCTCATCAGCGACCTTGCGCTTCCCGTCGCGGCTGGGCTGGACGCTCTTCTCGGTGTTGCGGATCTGCTTCATGAGACCCCTCGCGTCGTCGAGGGCATGTGCATAATTGTCCTCCTGCTCGCCGATCTCGCTGAGGATGACGCCGACCTTGTCGCTGACGTCGCTGATGGCCTCGTCGCCCATCTGCTCGCCCCACTCGGACAGCTGGGTTGCGATGTTGACGCGCTCGCGGCCGGCGGACTCGTGTGCGGACACGACGTTGTTGGAGGTCTTGATGAGTTTGTACAGCTTGCGTGAGAGTTCCGGCTGGATCGAGCCCCGCAGGGAGGACAGCGAGAGGCCGACGCGGTGGGACCCTCCGGACGAGCCGGTGCCGCCGGTGGTCTTGCCGGAGCGGATGGAGAGATTGCGGTGCCTGTTGTTGTTCAGTACACGGGTGGCCTACACAATTTCTGAAAAGCCTCACATTTTGCCTGTTGATCGGGTGTTCTGGCCGGATTAGGGAGGGACTGTTGTTGGACCACTCTGAGCTGGCAGTACGTCCTGTTACTGATGAGGGTCTCAAAGAGGAAGCGAAGGAGTCACGATGTGATCACGTCGTGTTGGAAGGGCAAAGGGCAGGTGGGGTTCAGAGTGCCTTAAGCTAGGGCTAGCAAGATGTCGAACCACAGACTCGGGACAGTGACGAAAGATGGCAGGCACATGTTGAAGGTAGACCTGTCAAATTTCTCGAGGCACCGATGGCATTGATGTGCAAAAGCGGGAAGCGGCAAGCGGCCATGCAGCCGTCATCACTGACATTGCTGTCTTAGATCAGCCCCTCCCTCCCCGACTCCCCTTCAACGTGTCTCTCGACGATAGCGGCATCGTTCCACGATGGTCTGGTCGACGTTGACCGAATCGAGCAAAGTCCAGAGAAAGCGTCCACAGAGGCGTCAAGCCACTGACGTCACGCAGGGAACCCTACAGCTGTCAGGAGGGGTCCCCCTGTTCCCGCCTCCCCTGCCGCTCGCTCGCTCCTGCCGCTCCTGCCCTCCTTTATCATTGTCCCAATCCAATGTCCTGGGGAATATGGCCGGTAGAATTTAGAAGAATTCTACCATTTGACTGATTACTATCCAACTGTGCGAGGACCAGACAGCAACGGGATCCTAAGGCCCGAGGAAGCAACAAGATCCTTGTGTCATCCAACTTCTGGCTCCAGATGTCACTCGGGCCCGGTCTTGCAGTGTGGAAAAACAACGAGGAAGATAGCATGATCTTTTTCTTCAAAATAAAACGCCCATCGTATTTTAAACACTGTATTAAAATTGTACGCTTTTTGGGCGCTGGGCCTTGAGCGTTCACTACTGTATGAAGGCGCCGTGTATGTTCTTGCACGATTGCGGAATAGAAGCGAAACCAGTCAAACTAAAACGCATCCCCCCAGTCCCCCCCCCCCAAAAAAAAAGAAGAAAAGAAAAGACCAGGTTGCCTAGGTATTCTGCTGACCGTTTTCATCAAACTCCGTCAGGTGCCAAGAAAAACCTGAAAGGTATGAAATCCAAGGTTGTCGCGGGGAGGTGACAAGATTGTGTGACCTCAGATGAGGGTTGGAGCCCCGGGGCCCTCGCGTCCCTTTTACTCCTGGGCTCCCCAGGGCCACGCAATGCAATGAATGTATCCGTGCTTGAGCCTTGTCCCAAGCGCGACTGCATCCTGAACATTGTAGTCCGAGCAAAAAAGAGACGTGCAAAATTGCCAGTGGAGAATTGTGTCGCTGTTTGGCTTTGTCCCGCAACTGTGAGGCGATGAGACCATACAGCCGCCATGGTTCTTGAGGCTGCGCCATAGCTCGTGACACACGGAACTGATCTCATTGGCATCTTTGAACCCGGGGAGTCGTACGTCCCAGCCGGTCCTGAGCATTAAACCCTGCCTTGTGCAATATGGACCGTTGGCTCTGTCGATCGGGTCGCCCTGGGTGACATTGGCCGGTGCGTCGCGGGCTTCCATGGCCGATCGGTCCCCAGTGGCCATGGCCATGGCCATGGAGCAGCCGAGAGGATACAGGGAGGTGATGAGGGCGAGCGGTCGCATGACGGGCGGTGTTCAGGAGCTCTCAGACAAGTAGATGATTCAATGTGGCCTCGGAGCATAGGAGTGTTGATGGAATGGGCGATAAATGACTCCAAGTGCCCATCTCGTGAAAGTGAAAGCATACAGGGACCATGAGCCGTTTAGTACGTATTCTACTAACTTATAAGCTATACGTTTGATGTGACCAACGCCGAGGGTGCAAGCATATATAACACTGAATGATTCATTACTTGCGCTTTGATGATAGTCCGGTATTCACTTGAGCGGCGGAATCTGTCAATATCAGGACGGACCGGCCAAAAGCTTCGTCCGTTCGCATGGCTATAACTAGGCCACCAAGAACAGTTTTCCTCTCTAGCTCCTATTGCCTGGTGACTCGACTTCAGGTCCCAGATATCTTGAAAAGCATGAGAACTAGCTTGATCCAAAGGCGGCGGGAAGAAGGCACAGAGGTTGAAAGGATAAGAGTTGTGTACGTATGCCCGCCGGTAAAGGAGTATGGATTGATAATTTGTGCGTGTCGCGGGAGAAAATCCCCTCCCCTTTAAATACCCTGCCGTTGGTCTATCGTACCTTCCAGTCCACAGCCCACAAGGCCCTCAATGTGGGCCGGGAATTGGCGAGTAATGTCAACTTCTGCCTCTATTAGCTCGAACAACACACGTACGAATAGTTCTTGAGCCCTGCGTTTCCTAGAGAAGTCACTCCTAGCCTTCTCTAGCTGATATACGACTGCTTGCCCGGTTTGTAGCTGTGGACTTGAAGAGCAAGGCTGCCACGATCGTGGTCGATTCTTCGTTTATCTCTCTCTGGTTTCACTTCTATTCCGTATACGTCCGAGGACATAGTGACTTGATATGGTGGGAGACGCTTAAGGCCTAGAGTTTGAAAAAAAGTAAAATATCAACAATAGTAGTGAAAATACGATAGGTGAACGCGTGGCCTTAGCCTTGCGACGCACAGACAAGGCTAAGGGGCACCGTCTTGACCTAGGCACCTATACATCATTGATGACGGTCGTGGACAGGTGCATCTCAGTCATTGCGGGGTGGGTTGATCGCGAAAAGTCTCTGTGCCATCCGTCGAATTACTTCGCCTTGAAGTACTGAATAATATTGTTCTAACAATTGGTGATTATACACTTATAAACTCGATTAAGAAATTTCGCGATACGCCATGCCTTCTTTTATGACCAAGTCGCCGTCGAAATCATCATCGAATAACTTCACTCATAGCCCATGTAGTCTTGAAAGGTCTCGTACAAAGCTGCTGCCGCTGCCCTGATGCATGGGCCCCTCCCATGACTGAGACCACTTCCAGTCGGAGTAAATGTGAGGCCATGCTTTCTCTGTGCACCGCCAACATCCCGAGGTCCAGACGGAATCATCCAGGATGTGCACCGAGGTAAACCACGTGGGCATTATCATCAGTGGCCGTATTGCTCGTTTCGATGATGCTGCACCATGCTCAAAGGCAGAGGTGTTTTATAGCATCAAGTTTGTTGTCGTTTGGTCCGGGTCTCATATGTATCGCCGGGACGTGCGCTTTTCGTACACAACAGGGCCGCTGTGGTGGCTGTGGTAGCTAGCCCGCGGGCTGTGGCCGTAATGCGAGTGTCGCGAGGTGTGGCTGTGGTAACTTGCTCTTGCCGGGTGGTGGTGGTGACTATGGTGGTGGTGATATCTTGTCGCTGGTACTACCTCTTCTCGGTAGTAGTAGTCCCTTTTCTTCTGTGGCGTAATACCGAAACACATTTTGAATGGGCTTGATTGAGTATGAATTTGTGGTTGGGTGATTAAGCGAGACCTCGAGGGGAATGAATGGGTTCGCAAAGTAGCACGAGGAGAAGGAGGGTGTAATATGGCAGAACGGGACAGCGTGGGTCTTGTGAGTATGACAGGCGAGGATGTGGATCATATTTATGAACAAGAGATACCTCATCGAATACTCGAAGAGGCAGCACTTGAGCAGCGGCCGCTGGCCGCTGGCTATGCCGGGCGACGCAAGGCCAAGACAAGGACGATCCGGCCGAATGCACCACAAAACCAGGTTTAATCCATGCGAACGCCTACGATGCACACCACCGGAACAGCCTCTTCCCCGTGTGATTGGCGGCCCCTGCTGACCGAACAGCCACTCGGCACATACCTAGACCCATATCCACACACACACACACAATACGTTGTACGTTGTCGGGAGGAACGCGGCCTGGACCCTGGATCCTTCAGCTATGACGACGAATGTGAGGCTCTCAGGATGGACAGGAATAGCCGGTTGAACAGTAGGCCTGAGGGCCTGTTACATGATTCGATGGGCCCCAAGTGCTCACGAGATGAGGCAGAAACGGCACTTTTGCCCCCCTCGTGTGAGTGAAGAATGATTGATGCCGGCCGGACTTGCGACATGCGACGCTGCAGGGCAATCGGGGCATCCGACGACCAAACTCTAAACGAGCCTCCCTGCCTCCGTCCGCATGTCTCTGGTCGGACCCAGATGTAGTCAGGTAGCCAGCCCGGTAGTCAGATAGTGGGCGCGTGCAGGCTTGTTTTTGACGTCGTAGCAGCTTCTTGAATGACACCCTTGAGCAGGGCGGGTGGGTCGCCGCCCGTCCATTTTTAGTGTCGACAGACTCGACACGAGGTGTGTGTGGCGACGTCACCCTGCAGAAACCAAGCACGACTAACAAGAGGCTGCTTGCGAGGCGGCCTGGCGGGCCTGGCGGGCCTGGCGGGCCTGGCGGGCCTGGCGGTCCTGAAGGAGGACCTATTCCGACGTTGACGTGATCTGAAAGACGATGGATGTATTTGACAGGTGACAGCTGAGATAAGGTTCGCGAAAAGAGATGCTTTAGCAGCCGGTAGTTGGAATTTGGGGTACGGAGGACGTGGATGCCTCTTTGGGGACTCCTCAAGCTTCGAGGCTGCTGATGTACAGCAACTCAACTGAACCAAATAGTTAGGCAGGCATGCAATGCATGGTAGGGGACGGATCTCGGTTCCAAATCGGGGCGATGTGGGCCTGAGACCCAGGTCGCGTGGCTGTCCCAGCTGGCTCTTCCTCAGGCGCTGTTGGCGGAGCTTTGGCCGACCCAGACCCTGAAAACGCATGTTGCTACTTGCGTGCCCAAGTGTACGATCTGTACATACCCTTCCTTATTAGGAACGGCGGCCAGGCGGGGATCACACCAAACCACGATCCGAGCCGCGCATATCGAAGATGGCGTTGAAGCACCTCATTACCTGCATTGTGGCAGGTATTGACTACCTTGTGCATCCTCAAATCCTTGTATGTATGATCTTCAGCCTTACTTCCGCCGTACCCAGTCCACAACACCGCTAATAGACGGCAGGGCAGCGTCGAGGAGAGCGTGAGGGCTGACCAGGTCATCCCCGTCGTCGTCCTGAGCGAGGACCAGGTCAACGCCGGCCCCGAGGAGCTTGGCAGGACCCTGCAGTTCCTCGTTGACAACGATGATGTCTGCACAGATGAATTCACAGGCATCATAGTCGTCAAGCCCTCCTCCGCCTCCGCCTCGGAGCTGCGTGGGTCTTGTCCTGGTACATCCGATGCGACTGCCTCGATAGGTTGCCCTTTCACTGTCTATCACATGGCAGATGGCATTGGCACATCCGAAGAAAAGAACTTGTTACCGTCTGGGCCCTATTTCTTGAGCGGGCAGAATCTACACCAGGCATGGCGGCTTTATCCTGACCACCTCGATGCCTTCACTTTCGGCCTACTGCCAGATGACCCTTTCGACCCACAAAGGTATCATCCTTGCAACTGCCCCGTGTGGATTACAAACCTGGCATCTGACAACCCTTATTAGCTTTCAAGCCGTGGCACCGCTATCTTCAGACGGCGTCTCCAAAACAATCCCGTCCCCCAGCCGCTTCTACCACAGTCCTAGCTCGAGCAAACCGCTAGCAGGAAAGCGAGTTGCGCTCACAGACACCTTCGACGTTCAAGGGGCAAAGACCACCCTCTCCAGCCGCGCGTGGACACAGCTGTACCCAGCAGCCGAGAACTCCGCGGCTTACGTCAAGAAGCTGCTCGACCTAGGCGCCGTCGTCGTGGGCAAGACGAAGACGGCCCAGTTCTCCACCGGCCTTCAGTGGGTCGATCACCATTCTCCCGTGAACCCTAGGGGTGATCGGTACCACGAGGCTTCTGGTAGCTCTGCGGGAGCGGCCGCATCCCTCGCGGGTTATCTGTGGCTTGACTTTACTGTCGGGGGAGATTGTGAGTGCCATTGGCCCCCAATGGTATTCATTGTACTAGCTGTGCCATGCTGATATTCCTCCTCCTTGAATAGCCGATGGAGGCGTCCGGGATCCAGCTGCAGACCATGGGCTGCATGCTCTCCGGTCATCCCACGACTCAGCGTCATTGGAGGGTGTCAAGATCAGTTCAGAGTGAGTGTGGCCTAGCCTCCAGAGTAAATCAACCAAGTAGACAACTGAACAGCTATGGGACCAGGAGATACGATACTGTTGGGCTTTTCAGCCGTCGCCTGGAGGACCTGGTCTCTGCAGCGAAACACAGCCTTCAAGTCTCTGACAGAAGTGTCGAGATGCCTCGTCGCATTTTCTACCCAACCGACTACTTTCCTCTCGCTGATGACAAACATCAGAAGTTGATAGAACAGTTTGTCCAGAACTTGGAGTCTCATCTGGATGCCCAAAGGGTCGAGGTGAACATAGCCCAACTATGGCAGGACCATCCCCCTTCTCCATCTCCAACAGCAAGATTGCCCTTGCAGCAATACCTGAGCAAGGCAAGTGTCATGGATACGTATGCAACGCCCTTCGGCAAATACCGCGCTGACTTTTCCACAGGCACCTTTCTGGTCATTATGCCATGACTATTACCATAGGTATGACGAGTTTAGGGCTGATTATAATGATGCTATTGGCCGTGAGCCATTCGTTGAGACATCTCCCCGGTACCGATGGTATGTCTGCCTTGCCATTTCCTTGAGGATGGCCATTCGGGTAGACTGTCGCGCTTACTTTGTCTGATAGGAAAATTGGAGAAAGTGTGACAAACGATGACTATGAAGAGTATCTCACTCGGCTCGACACGTTCAGGGCATGGTTCGATAAGACCATAATGTCCCTAAGCAGCGAGTCCGATGATATCATGGTACTGCCAGCTATCATTGCTGCGCAGAAATACCGAGATGAGTCGCCGAGGTACGTTGGATTCCACGCGACATCGACTGACTGGAGGGTCATTGGGTTATTCGTGGCCGAGAGTCTCATTCCGACGTTCTAATTACTGTCCAGTGAGCCCGAGCCATTAGAGGGCATTGATACCAGACTCCTTTCACCGATCCTTGGAACCCCACAGATAGTTGTGCCGTGTAAGTGCTGTGAGAAGTGTGATCTGACTGAATTCTGTAACTGAAAATGTCTTGCACAGTCGCACAGCTTCCTTATAAGTCCCGTGTGACCGAATCGCTGGAATACAGGCCCGTGAGCGCCTCGTTGATGGGTGCCAGAGGTACGTCCGACACTAGGCAGGAGAAAGCCTCTACTATGCTGATCGTGAATATAGGGAGCGATCTGGCTCTTCTGCGTTTGGTAGAGGAAGCCACGCAGGCCTCCGGGTGGCGGACAAATGTCGACACTGGAAGACGTGCTTTTCCCGTTGGCAAGAATATACGGCACGTGCGGGATCTTGGAGATGATGGCCTCGGAGGCGAACTGTACATTCAATCGAATGGTGCTGGCGTTGAGAGCGGCTCGACTTCGGTCCCAGACGAATTGTAGATCAAGAAACTACCAACAGCGGTCTATGATATGGTGTGGTCACGCATCACCTAGGGCCCTGTTCCCTATCACAATACAGGGATCTCTCAGGGGCACGTGTAAATTTGTTCATAACGAGCTTGATATCATCAACAACCTGATCGCGGTGAAATGATCTCGGCATAATCGGTCCTTCTTTAGCTCTCGTGCGCTTGACTCAACGTTTTGACAGCCGGAGACCGCCTCACGGCGAGGACAGTCGATACCCGGCCAGTCTTGGGATACCTAGGCACTTGTGCTGACGGGCTTTCCCACCGCTACATTTGGTCTGAATTAGCCTTGTCTGTGCGGCTGTCATGGGGCCATTGCAAGCCTGATTTTATTTTTGGGGAAAGCGAGACAAATCCGGATGTTTGAAATTTGCTGTTACCAGCGTTTTAGAGGCGTAACGCTATGCCTTGAGTGTTTACTATTATTGTATGAAGGGTGCCCCTGTAGATGTGTTGGAGTATGTGCACATGGGGGGGGGGAAGACGACTGTCCATGTTGCGGACCAAACAATCCCTTTGATTTTTTTAAGCCATAACACGGGCACAGCAGCGACCGTGTTAGCATTCTGAGGCAGCTTCAAACAATTTATCTTACGAGATATGTAAGGCCAGACTGCCCAGCTACTAATAAGCTGCTATCATGTACCAACACGATTACATGTCCCATCAATCATACTACATCAGTCGAGCCACCAAGACGCTTTGGGCGGGTCGGTGCTGGCGAAAGATATGTAGTCAGCGCGCTGGTAGAGAACCGGTCTGCAGCGGACGAATCTGGCTCAGAGCCCGTATCCCAGGTGGCCATGGTCCTCCTCGTTTCCTGGGCGGATCTCTGGAACGCTGGCGCAGGTGCTGCCGGTACGAACAGGTCCGAGTCGGCCGCAGCGGTTTGCCCAATGGATTGGGCTGATGGTGGGCGCCAGGGGTGGGTGGTTCGCCACGACGTGGAATTGATAGGCGCCAGGTCTGCTTCCTGTCCATTAACATTAGGATCAAAACTGGCTCTTCTCGCCTGGGCCATGCCCGCGGCGCCTTGGACCAAGGATCCCTGGACACCGGGTGTCTGTGGTTGTGAGCCAGCGGTCGCTCTTGTACGGGCAGTTCCCCGCCGCCAGCAGAGATATAGGCCTCCGAGAACTAGGGCGAACGCAGAGAGTGCCGCAACTGTTTAAATATTTAGTGTTGGTTCTGATCGGGCTAATTTCGCTAGGGACCGTACTTGCTATGCCGGCTTTCGCACCTGCGGAGAGCTCTGAGCTGGATATGGCCGGGCTGCTCCCTTGTGTATTTGAAGTTGATGGCGGTGTCGGAACGACTGTCGTCGGTAGTGCCGAGCTGGTAAATGAGGATTCTGCCGGTGATGAGGATGAAGGTGGAACCGAATCCGTAGAAGGAATCGTGAGACTTGTGGGAGTAAAACCTCCTGTCTGCGTAGTGATGGTCGAGATTGTTGATATTTCCGTGGTTGTGAGAATGGAAGTGAATGTCGATGAAGGAATTATGACTGTTGTGGGAGTCTCGATGGAGATTATAGTTGTGGTAAACGAAGGAGGCGGTCCCGGTGAACTCGAGTGATCCGATGGCTTTTTCCTGCCGCCATTGTCCTTGTCGCCATCTGAATACATCCGAGTAAATCACACCAGACCAGACCTCATCTCATATCATCTTAGGGGCACCTACTATTGTTGTTATTATTATTATTGTCTCCGTTGTTGTTATTGTTGTCGCCGTTTCCTCTGTTTCTGCCGCCACCTTGTTCTTCGGCCCTATTGTCACCTCTTCTTCCACCATTGATCCTGTTGCGATCACCACCATTGCCATTCGTGATGCCCTTATCTCTGCGTCGTTCGAGTGGGGATGAGCGATGACGCGTAGTTTCTGAGGCTGCTTGATACCGACAGCTAGCTCGTGGGTCTAGATTTCGTGTTGTCCAATTGCGTAACCAGCCCATCATGTCTGTCGGCCGGTGATAAAGGAGCAGACTGTCCTAGGCCACCTGGGCTGGGCAGAGATGGGACAAGGTAACGCGCTGAGCCATGACACGACGTGAAGTGGTAATCACGGAGAGGGCGAGAAGACAACCATTCTGCTACGCACTCGGACCCCCACTGTCAGCATATGGGCTGGAGCAGCTCAACGGCTCAAAGAGAATCGAGCTGCTTACCTTATTCGGTATACTCTCCCGAACGAGGAAGAACCAAAGCAGGATCGAAGCCAGGGGTCATGAGTCGAGGTCAAGAGCAGCACATGCAACAAGTCTGCATCTGATAATACCCACCATCTCAACTCACGGCCGTTCGATCTCGAGGCTGCATAATGGAACTGCCTGCCTGTTGTCGATTTACCCACACAGGTGTGGGTAGCCGGCCCGCGGATGCCAATCCAAAGTGTCCAAATCCACTTACACCTGGGGGTAATGACCGGGATGTGGCTTATCACGCGCATGTCAGAGAAGGATGAAACCGTGGCGTCTCATGTTCCACAAACCGCCACGGCAGATGGGGCAACCCCAAGAACTGCTGGTAAAAGCTCACCGGCTTGGCAGCAGGGTCGGAGACTCGCCCTCGTCACAAAAATATCATCTGAACTTCTACGGCCCGGCTGATAGGCCACACCGCAAGTGTCTTGGCTACCGAGCCCGTCTGGTGACCGATATGGCAGGTGCTAATCAAGCTCAAGGGGTCGAAACAGCTCCTAGTCACACAATGACAATAGCGTACACAGCGAGCGGATATGCGCACATAAGATTTGCTCCACAGCCTGACACTTTGGCGATTGAACAGTCGTGCGACCACTTCGTGACACTTGCTAATGGATACGCCCTTTCATATAGTCGTTCTCGTCACTCTCACGGCAGTTCGGAGACAGTGAACGAGTCGCATCATTACTGTGTTAGAAGCCTTACCTGTGATTTGGATGCTTCAGCGCTTCTTCCAGTGATGCAATTCTCTTTCTTTCGGGAGGGGTGGAGATCGGGGGCGAATCGTTCAGAGCAGTATCTCCAGTTCTACGCCATTCAATGTTAGACACGTTAAACGGCAGCCTCGGACTGGCTTGGTCCCAATTTTGACGGTTCTAGCACAGAATAGTCCGACAATTTCTGCTAAAAGGCTAGGGGAACCGGAAGAAAAGTACTCATTACCTAGGTAGTTATTTTTCCACGCCATCGACTCGATCTGACCATTTGAAAGACAATAATGATTCAATCTGTCGTGTATTAGGTGTGAAGGTACATTTTGAAATACACCCTCTGATTATAAGCCTCTGAGAAGACACGACAGTCAAGCTCCGTGCGACCTCTCTGGTGCCGTCTTCAGTGATGAGCTTCCTGAAAGTCGACAATCTGAGCATATTCGCCCGCTGCCTGTGACCAGTTCAGACCTTTTCAGAAGGTGTGGAACATACTTTTCATAAGAGATCATAAGCTGCTTCCCACACGACTACTCAGGCTAGGGGAGGGATCTTGAGGCGACACTTTGCTCATAGAAAGTAGCAACGATTGGAACCTATGGGCTCCATGCTTGACGTTGATGTTGTAATGATTAGCATCGCTCCGCCTCTCACTCTGAGCTTTATTACTCGAAGTTTCTTAACATATCGCTCCACATATCTTCAGAAGGCTTGAGGACGAACCATCTAGTCAGACAACCCGTCGTCCTTGCATATCATAGCTTATATTAGTACCTAGGTATGCGGCCTAGTTAGAAACCTTTGTGGGCGGTAGGGTATGAAGAAAGGCGCAGCAAAAGAATTATCTAAGTATACCTAGTCCTCACGGCCTCGTGAAATAACTATGATCACGAGCAACAAACATGCCTTGAATTTTATAGCCAACATGGCATTTGCTCTTGATGAGATTTGTTTTCTGCATGGTTCCTATAGAACCTGTGACCCAAGTAGTAAGTATTAGATGTTATCGCTGTCAAATCCGAAGATTCTTTCTGATGGAGAAAAGATGTACATAGGTCATACTGTGTCTCTGCAGGTTTGTACGACAGTGAGTCAGTCGCCTTCGAAGGATTTAATTAGCAATACTCTTAAGTGTAACTCATTCTATTATTTGAGCAAGTCCATGGATCTGAATTGTCTCTCGGAGCTTCGACGGCACGAATTCGCACTTGCATCATAATCCCATGAATTTGAAGTTTCTTGTTCAAGGGATGATGGTGTTGAGTATGGAAGAGGATAATTGTACCTTTGGTGTCTAAGCTAACCAGATAGTTTCCTGAAAGAACCGTATGCCTCCATCATTCAACGCCTCACCGTCCATAATACCATGGACATAACAGTCGCCAATTAGGCTCAAGCAGTCTTGCTTACCGACGCCTGGAATGTCAATAGCTTTATGTTTATCGATTCTGCGGGTAACAAAGGGTGTGTGCCCCCCAGCCATGATTTGCACCAAGTCTCCTTCAGCCATTGCAGCAGGTCCTAGACCCAAGTAACCTTTCTCTGTTGTGAAGAGCCTACGGCCCTTGATTGCCGATGTAATGGCGAAATCGACCGCGACGTAGGCCATTGCGTCCTGCTCCTCTATCATTTCAGGGCAGTTTGTGTGTGGGATCATGTTTTCATTCATCCACAGTCGCATGGATTTAGCTACGTAGTCTGGTGGACAGCGCGTATAACGATGATGCTGAGTCCACGACCACGACTTAGTCTCCTCTCTGCGCATCGCTCGGACTGTGTCGACGCAAAGGGTGCGCCAGTATGCTGCCATCCGGGTCTCTCCAGTCGGATAGAGAGTAGTTAGTGGAATACTTCCATTCGAGGTGATGAAAGCCCGCCATTCAGCCAACACGGTCAGCATTTTTCCCACCCCGTTTCCACGCACCCAACAAGGTGATACCTCCGCCACTTTGTCGAAGCAACCACCTTTTAGTCCCAGAAACCCGTTCCCGACAAATTGCGAGCTCTCTCCGATGTCTGAAGATGCATTATACAACTCCATACGCTCCAACCGCTCACCCTCGAATGGCGACAGTGGCTTGAAGCACCAGTCAGGCACCCACGTGGGAAGGTCCATGTGCGCTGCCGTCTTCTCCACACTGCCGGAAAGGATGAGCAGCGACTTGTCGACTGAAAAGATCTGTTCTACCGTGGCACGGTAAAGCTCTTGCGTCTCGGATCGGTAGTCCAACAATTTGGCTTCCGTGCCCCGCCCGTCATTCACCAGCGTCAGTAGACCAAAGATCTTGTCCTTGGCATCCGTAACATCACGCGAGCGAAACCTCCAGAGGAGCTGCCGCAATGATATACTGGCGTCTTTTGGCGTGAGCTGGTCGCCTGCCTCTCGAACTCTCACTACTGACCTTCGCCATTGCAGCCGTAGGTCATCCAGTTCCACGACAGAACGCGAGAACGCCTCGAGGGCCTTTGTGTGTTCGTAGTTGAGTGCGGTATACAGATCGGTACAGCAAACGCGACGGTGTTCCTCGAAGTTGCGCGCAGCGTGAGCGAACATGTCCCATGGCGCTACGAAGCGGCCGTAGTAAACCGTAGCCCGCGGCGGCACCACAACCTCCTGAATCACCCACTCGCGCTGCCACCACGGTCTTTTCATGAGCTCAGATATTGCCGCAGCAACTCGCTGGAAAGCATCAGCATTCGAAAGGATTGTGATCTCGCTGCTGTTGACATGTTTGTTTTGGGCGAGCAGACTCATGAAACAATATGCCCACAGGGTGCTGTCGATATGGATGCCGTGCCGGAGTGCGAAAGGAAGCCGATAATATAGTTTCATTTGGCCATTTGAATCTGAGATTCTCTCTGTGTCTTCTTTGTCGACGGTGAAAGCTGTAGGCAAGACCGTAAAGTCTGTGTTCCAAAAGCATGGGGCCACGGCGTCGGACTCTGTGGGTTCTTCGCCATTTATGCCGCCAAGCCAAATCAACACACCTTGACAAGTAGCATATATGTCCCTCATGAGTCCCACTTGCTTATTGCGCTCTGAGATAGCGCTCTGATCAATGCATATCGCATCCGCCCATAATACCCTAGCTACCCTCTGACTCCGGAGGTGTCTTAAAGCTGAGTAAAGGTTTATTCCTACACGAAACTCATGACCGTCGAGTCTGATGGCCTTCAAGCCGGCTTCCTCTTGACTACCCCAGACGTATGAGATTGCTTCATAAGCAGGGGCTGGTTTTGAATCCAGGTCGACGACCTCGAGCTTGCAGCGGATCTCGTCTCGCCACTCTGCAGGTTCAAGGTGGAGGACCCTTGTCTCTCGCTGGTGGACCAGCGGCCGACTGAGATATACACTTTGCCGTTCGCCATGCTCGTTCATTTTTCACGCTTGGTGAATGCCGACGGTTGGCTGCTATTCAAGAATGGAAACCGATATCAATGAAGCCCCCAGTGGTGATTTTGAGCTGCTCTTCGTCGATAAGTGGGAAGGAAAGCAATTCAAATACTGCTCCGATTCACAATGTATGTAGTGCTGCACACCAAGTAGGCAAATGTGGTGGACGACCGGCTGTGATTGCAGCCTAAGACTTTCCCCTCCTGATCAAAATCTGCAACGGTTGACAGCGCACTCTGAGTGGAACTTACCGGCTGAGCCCTGCAGGCGACACTCCCCTAGATAAGAGAACGGAGATTCATATACCCAAAATCGGAAGGCGCGTACACTCCGCTGACTAAGAAAGTATTCTATGTGGTTTCGCTTCTATTCCGTATACGTCCGAGGACATACATGGCGCCTTTATACGGTGGTAAGCACTCAAGACCTAAGAAAGTATTCTATATAATACTTCTCTCGAAAGGGCCGGCTAGGGCGAAGGGGGTGAGCCCTAGAGCGTGAAATATAGCGGAGGGCTGCAAGTAGGGCCGGTAGGTACGACCTAAGTTCCTAGAGGACTAACCCACCCTATTATAGCCCTTAAAATCATGAAGAACACTTATTTATTGAAGTTATAAGGACTTTAAGGCTCTGTCCTCTGATTGGCCGAATAGCTGGGAGGGTACGCGCCTTCCGACTTTAGGTATGTGAATTTCCAATCTCCTAGATAATCCCTCAAGGCAAGCTCACTTCTTGTGTCACCCCAGCAAGCTACCCCGAAGCTCATCTAAAAAGGGAATATTAACTCCAAGAACTGGTAGAGTTGGATGAATTCACAAAAGCCCGGCTTTAACTACTGTTCAGCTGTCATACTGGGTCTTCCTTTTCATTTATCTACATGCTAGTGCTGCTCAGCTTTCTAAGGACATTCACTAAAACTTTCATAACAAACCCAATTTAACTTGGACTTGAAACGTCTTAGAAATATCTCCTTAACTAGAAAAAGTATTTCACCAATCCAACAACACACTTTGATAAATCTGGTCTCCTAGTCTATCTGGTTGAACGCCAGGTTCTTACCATGAAAAAGGAATATTTGCGTTTTGCGGGGTCTGCTAGCTTACAGTTGATGCTATTTAAGCGTATCAACCAGTACAATACTAGGTCTATCACTCCTCTGGAATTATTGTTTCGCGCTTAGTTGCTAGTGAAGCCTCGGACTGGCCTTGCCTGGGAATGTGGCAGTTCAAGGCTGAAGGGCTGAAGCCATAGCTTCAAGGAAAGGAGGATGATCCATGTCAGGGAATGTTCTGGCCCAACCGCCAAGAAAGGGAAGGCCTGTGCCGGCGTACAACCCTCGTACTAACGTCAACTTGTGGCACCTTGGGGTTCTGATACCTCTGTATTTAGGACGCCCTCAGACGGAACGTGCGCATAAAAGAAATGATGATAAGTCGCAAGTCTTCCGATGCCAAACGCCTTATAAACCAGGGCTCTCACCCTTTTATAATTGGTACAATTATCTCTACCTAAAGGTTTTGGAGTACTGCTCGGTCATTGCCAGCGAGACCTTGTGGATTCCAGCAAGGATAAGATCGGAAAGATCCTACTCGGTATCACTCGTTTCTTGACAACAAATACGCTGACAGAATGCCTCTAAATGCTATCACCACCGAATTCGGGCACTCCCTACCACCTGAGGGGCCCCACACAATCACTTTCCACATCCCCGGGTGGAACACCGCGATGAGGTTTCGTGATGGCGACCCCGCCGTCTTCGGACAAATGAAGTCCATGTATCCTCGGTTCTCCCCCTTTGGACCAATCCGCCAGCTCGCCGCGACCGTTGCCCACAGACTGGCCCTGCCTGAGCTGACTGCAGTCCTACTATACACGGACCCGGCGGCGTTTTTCGTCCACAAAGAGCACTCGCAGTTGCCGCAGAGGAAAGGAAACCGGCTTTCAGAAGGGGATTTGTCCTTCAGGATAGTAGAGATCCATGGGGTTAGGTTGTACTGTACCATCTGTCCAGTGGCAAAAACCAAGGGAATCATTGGAGTGTGGCAGAATACGGGGACAGGCATACTTACTCGCCCAGCCCAGGAATTGCTGAAGTTTGTGGACACAGAGTTCAAGGAGGTGTATTGGCAGGGTGACCTTGAAAATATCCCACCCCCAACCTACTACCCGGAATCCGAAGCACACGGGAAGTTGCGAAACCGAATCTGCGAGCTGCTACACAGAGCTCCTCTGGACCCCGAGAAAGTGGAAATCCAACCGGACGACATCTACTTGTACCAGACCGGCATGGCCGCCATCTATAGGCTCAACGAAGCTCTCGTAAAACGGTGCGCCGGAACCATTCTCGTCCTCGGGTCTGTGTTTCATTCCACCTGGCATCTATTCGACGAGACCCCAGGCGGCATGAAGCACTTTGGTGAGGCCAGAAACGATGCGTGGGATGATATCGAAAGATATCTGGAGACGCTCTACAAAGATGGCAAGACCGTGAGCTACGCGTTTGTCGAGTTCCCGAGCAACCCTCTCCTGGTAAGCACCAAGCTCGAGCGCCTGCGCCAGATAGCCGACAAGTATCACTTCCCTGTCGTGGTTGACGACACGGTTGGATCATTCTGCAACATCGACATCGTCCCCGTGACAGACTTCCTCACGACATCTTGCACAAAGTCGTTCAGCGGATATGCAGACGTAATGGCTGGAAGCGTCGTGTTGAACCCCCTGTCCCGCTTCTATTCAGACGTCAAACAAATCGTGGCCAGCACGTTCCACAACGAACTCTTCGCCGCGGACGCGGAGGCTCTCCTCGCGAACAGTAACAACTACCTTTCCCGCTCCACGATCTTGAACCGCAATGCTGCGGCGCTGGCAGACTATCTCACCAACCAGGCGGCAGAGACGGACTCTCCCATCAGGCAGATATTATACCCGACCACGAGCGACACGCGGGAAAACTACGAGGCGTTCATGCGCAAGGCCACGCCAGAGTTCACGCCGGGCTATGGGTGCCTCCTCGCTGTGGAATTCAGAGATCTCACGGCGGCGCAGGCCTTTTATGATAACCTCCAGCTGCACTGCGGCCCGCACCTGGGCGCCCATCTGACCTTGGCCTTACCGTTCAATGCCCTTGCCAATGGAAAGACTCCGGAGGAGGCTGAGTACCACGCCAGTGTAAGTCACGACGAGGAATCGCTTTCCACCTGGGCGATTTAGGAACTCAAAGAAATCTGTGTCCTGCACGTAATGATGATTTGCCATTGAGTCGATTCACTGACACAGTTCCCAGTACGGTGCAAGGCCTGAGCAAATCCGCTTTAGCGTAGGGTTGGAGGATCAGGAAGACATTATAGCAGCAGTCGAAGAGGCGCTGGTTAAAGCAAAGGAGTTACGGAAGGGTAGCAATGCCATTGGTAGTGTGGATGGAGACATAAAGATGTAATTACATATGTACTTAAGTAGGCACAAATTGTAAACAGCCACGAAGCACACTTGAAAAGCAAAGCCCACACAGCAACTCAATTCCGAGATCCACGACCTTTTTGCCAGTAATGAGACGCCCAGCAGGCCAGCTGAAGGTACTGTAGCATTCAGGCTAACACAGCACCATCCGGCCCTCTTCTTCCCCACATTGCGTCACCGTGATTGGCGGCGTCTAGGTGCCCCGACTATCCCGTTCCGGTACTTATATCAACCTCACCCACTCAACCTTATAATACTCACTGCACGACAAAAGGGCAACAAACCTGTCAAGTAAACAATCGACCACCTCGGACCTGTAGTCCCAGCAACAGCTAGACAAAATGCCCTCAAAAAAGTCCAAGATAGTAATAGCCTTCGACCTCTACGGCACGATCCTCTCCACCGACTCCATCACAAAGGACCTGGCGACCCACCTCAACACCAACAAGTCCAAGGCCCAGGCCGTGGCGGCCAAGTGGCGCCAGTACCAGCTCGAGTACACGTGGCGCGTCACCGCCATGGGCACCTACAAGCCCTTCGACAAGATCACGCGGGCCGCGCTGCGCCACGCGGCCGCCGAGGTCCTGGACGGGGTCGACGTCCCGGACGAGGCGGCGGAGCGCCTCATGGCCGCCTACGACGCGCTGGCCGTGTTCCCGGACGTGCCCGCCGGGCTGAGGGCCATCCAGAAGCACCAGAAGCACCAGCAGGGCGGCCGGCCGGCCGTCGAGGCCGTCGTGTTCAGCAACGGCACCGAGAGGATGCTGAGCACCTCGGTGTGGTCGTCGCCGGACCTGAGGCCGTTTGTGAGCGGGGGCGGCGGCGACGGGCTGTTCAGGAAGCTCGTCTCCGTCGACGAGGTGCGCACGTACAAGCCCACGGCCCAGGCGTACAGCCACCTGCAGGCGGAGGCGGACGAGGACAACGATGCCGTGGTGTGGCTTGTTAGTGCGAACCCGTTCGACGTCGCCGGGGCGCGGAGCGTCGGGCTGAGGAGCGCGTGGGTCGACCGGGCTGGCACCGGGTGGGTCGACCGGCTCGGGGAGGCCATCTTCGGGGTCGGGGATGACGTGCGGAAGCGGCGGGCGAGGCCCACTGTCATCGCAAAGGGTGTGGATCAGGCGGTCGAGGAGATATTGAAGATTGGTATATGATGAGGGCGAGTGCACTCGGGTTTTTGTTTGGACATACTATTTACTTTACCTGACCTTATAATAGATAAGACTGCTGGCAACAACACTATTTTCCGCCCAGTCCAGTTAAAAAGCACCCATCAGGAGACCCCGATCCAGGAAAATGCAGTATTGCGACAAGAATAAACACGTGAGCCACGCCAGATAAATGCAGAGTTTACCACCAATGCCGCTCATATCCCTCAAAGGCGAAATTCGCAATGACAGCCAGCACCAGTGCCGAGCACAAAAGAGTAGGTCCCCACCAGTCGTAAAACTTGGCCGCCTTACGGGCACGAATCGAACGGCTGCGGTAGATGTACGTCGCAACCGAGTACAGTAGAGCCGCGATGGCCACAAGGGTGAACATCCCCGAGACAATAAACGAGATCTTACTCGGCTTGTCGCCGAAGTTGAGAAGAGTCGTGGCGATGGTGCCAATGTAGATGGAGAACTCGAGCTGTGAACGGTCAGCATGTACATCTTGACTAAAAAGAGTCAGGGCGAGGTAATGTGAATGTCTGGACATACCCAGTTGAGGAAGGTCCTCTCAGCCGCAAAGTACACCTTGGGCTCCACCCTCACAGGGACGTAGATCTTCTTGCCGGGCGGTGCCACGAACTTCTTGTTCTGCACCTGGGTTGTCCCGTACAGCGCGATCGTCCTTTCATGCACCGGGATCTCACTCCCAGACCTTAAGCTGTTCACAACGCCACCTAGCTTGGACAGACCACGACCAGCAGCCTTGGCCTTGCTCTGAACCAGCGTGGAGGCGTATGTAAGGCCACCAACTCTTCTCGCTTCTTCCAGCCTCTCTTGCTCCTCCTCCTCCTCGTCCGATTCGTAGAGCTCATAAGCGTCGTCATTCGCGGGTAGAAGTCGCGTCTGATCTTCTATATCCGTAGAGCCATCGGCTTGTGCCTGGCGCAACCTGTGTGCTACCGCAGCCCCGTGCGCGCCCGTCTCTGATGATGCCCCGTTGGTTGTGCCACCATTGTTAACATTTTCCTGGCCGCGCGGCGCGCTTCTCGCCTCCTCGTCGTCCGAGTCGAAGTCGTCGTCTTCGTCCTCCGAAGTGCCCGTAGTACCGGAGTGACCAACCCGCTGGATACCGAAATTGTGTGTAGCGGGCTTGCGGATATCGACATCCATCTGGGGCGTCCAGAACGGGAGCAACTTGATCCGATCGGGGAACAAGGTAGCACAACCGTGAATGAACTTGGAGAACTTGGGTACAGCCTCCACAAGGTGACTGGCCACAAGTTGGCGCACCCATTCCGGAGCCTGCTGACCAGCCTGTGTCTGAAGCTTAACCTCCAGCACCGCATAAGGAAACCGGCAGATGTCTTCGGGTGGCAGCTGGGAGAAGGGGTAGTCCACGCCAATATCCATCCGGCGCCAGTTGTCGCCACTCCTCTTCCGACCATTCAAGTTATCTTCGCGGATCAATGTTAGGTCCGAGTCAAGTGAGATACGGACTCTGGCGTCAGCCGGCAGTTGAAAGGCAGTTCGGTGGTAGAAACTCCGGCATACCGGCACATAGCCTTTCTTCAGAACCTCCCATTGCACCTCCTGCGCCAGCTTCTCGTCCTCGTCGTAGGCAGATTGCGGCTTCTTGCCCGACTTGCGTTGCTTCTCCATCACAGCGGCCGGGAGCATCTCGCCCTTCATGTACGGGTTGACCTGCTTCTCGCGCACCTCGAAACGAGCCTTGACAGACTTTTCGCCGGTCCAATCCTCGCGGTGAGTCTTCCTCTCGACGTATATCTTATCGGTGCTCATGCCGCCGTACCACCGCAGACGGATGGCCTCGGCTCCTTCTGTCTTCTTCAGACGGCCCTCGTACAGCTCCCAGGTATCAGGGTTGTCGTAGTAGATGGAGGTGATGGCGGAATCGTCCGGGTGGAATTCCTTGTTGGCGTTGAAGACGAGCACCGGCAAGTGCTTGAGGATAATGAGCTTCACCTCGGTAACATTGTCCGGGTGTACCCAGTACTTTGTCGTGTTACGAACAAAATTTGCCTGGCTTCCACCCGCGGCGCTGTCACCCTTGATGGGGTTACCTCTGGTGCGGACAATGTCGTAGAGCTTGGACAGATCGACCAACAGCTCGTCGTGGTTGTCCTTGTAAAAGGGCTTCGCCTTCATGCGGGCCTCGAACACGGGCCGAATGTGCCAGCCGGTGATCTTGTCGTGCTTCTTCATAATCTTGTAGAACCCGGTGTAATTCAACTGGATGAACTTGGCCAAGTCATTAACATCGGCGATAATGTCGCTCAGATCCTCTTCAAGCACCATGAACTCCTCCTCGGACGGGCCGTCCTCGCCGGCGCGGCGCTCGTTCAGCCTCGAGACAATGTCGTTGACATCGCGCTCGCTGGCCTGGATGCGACGCTGGATCTCGATGGTCTTGAGCTGTTGCTTCTGGTATACCTTCTGCAGCTCGCCCTCGAGCCGGTATACGAAGCGACTCTCGTCATCCTCGGTCCACTGGCGCTTGGCCTTTCCCTTGCCCTTCCTGGCCCCCTTCGCGGCGTCGCCCTGGGCATCTTGTTCGACCACAGGGCCGCTGGACTTCTTAAGGTCGGCCTTGAGCCCCTCGTAGTCGATATAGTACCACTGATACTCCTTTATGGCGCTGGAGCGCAGCTGCTCCCCGAACTTCATGACGACGACGCCGGGCGGGATGCGACTATAGGGCCTGGAATAGGTCGAGGTCGAGTGGAGGCGTCTGGACTGCCAGGTGGTTCTGCTTGTCTTCAGGTCGCGGATAATCAGCATGGGCGCATGGTGGTACGGCAGAAGATTATAGGTTATACGAGGTCGTCCGCAATTGAGATCTATCGCACAGCAATGGTGGCTGGATTCGAAAGAGAGCCGTGGGGTACAGGGAAAGAGAAATGGTGTGAATAGAGTTGGGCTGACGGGTTGAATGCGTGATGACAATCCAATGGCATTCCTTACCTCGAGGAAAAGCGAAAAAACGAAAGACAGGCCAGGCGATCGGCTGGAGGAATTCGGGGAAAGGCAAACCCAGTCCAGTAAAAGCAATGTCCCTCACGTTATAAGAACCTCGGAACTTGCATGGCACCAGCTCGATCGGCCCCAAAAACTTGTCGGCAGCAGTGTTAGTGGGAATTCCTGGCTGGCGTAGAGCTTAAGAGGACATGGCGCGAGATTGACGGTTGGATGATTTGAGGCTCCTGCGGGCTCCAGCCCAGATGGACGCAGCAACCAGCAACCAGCAACCAGCAACTGGAGGCCCGCCCCATGTGACGCTGGCTTGGCTGGGTCGGAGGTGGCCCCCACTTTGGTCGGGCACGTTGTGGCCGGTGTTGTTGCAATTGGCCAATGGTTACAAGCTCCCCTGTCCCTGGGTACTGTTCCCTGTCAGCCTGTGCACTAGCAGACTAGTACACTAGTACTGTGCAGCGCGGGTTTCCACATCGACTCCAGCAGAGCGCGGGTGGCCCAGCCGAGTAGGGCGAAAAAGTTGGAGGGGCAGCTCCGCAGATCTCTTCTGCTGTGGTACAGTCTGAGTCTCTTTGCGGCTGCTGGTTGTATTTGTGCTCGCGTGCTTGTGTTTGTGAGACACCGACAAAAACCAGTTTTCGACAGCTGCTAGGCTGAGCCGTTCTCAGGCCATTCTCATCTCAACGAGCATCGTTTCTGCCGTCCGTATCACTCAACCGCCCCATCGCGACCATGGCCTCCTCCACAGAGCCCTTCGACGAGTCCATCTCCGCCCGCATAACCCCCGAGTCCCCAATCGAAACCTCCGAGATCCTCCTGCGCGCCTGGCAGCACGACACCCCGGCCATCAAGAAGCTGCTCGACGCCCCGGGCAAGGCCTCCGTCCAGGACCCAAAGACGGGCGAGACGCCCCTGCACGCGGCCATCCGGTCCTGCGGGCCCGCGTCCGACCCCGAGGCCAGCAAGGAGGCCGTCGAGAAGGCCAAGGAGACGGTGCAGGAGCTCATGCTCTGGGGCGGCATATGGAACGACGTCGACGACCACAACGAGACGCCCGGCTGCGTCGCGCTGCGCCTGGGCCAGACCGAGCTGTACGAGCTGTGCGTCCAGGCCGGCGTGCGCGCCGAGCTCCTGTTCGGCCTGCTCGATGGCTATGAGGAGCTGAGCTCTGGGTCCGAGGCCGACGACGAGGATATGGCGGATGCAGAGGCAGAGGCAGAGGGGGAAGAGGGCGACGAGCCAGCCCACGTCGAGGTCGAGTACGACGGCCCCACCGGCCCGCCCGAGGACGGTGACGACGCGCCCGAGCTGGTCGAGGCCGCGGAGCCCAAGAAGTTCGATCCACCCAGGCCCGACGCCGAGACGGACGTCAAGAGCGAGAAGTACCTGCGCTCCAAGCTGACCTACTCGGACGGGAAGCTGGTGGACGACGACGGCAACGGCGTGATGATGGCCTGGGAGACGGACATCATGCGCCGCAGCGTCGACGCCCTCCTGCCCGGGAAGGCCCCCGGGAAGAGGATCCTGAATGTTGGGTTCGGAATGGGCATCATTGACAGCATGTTCGCCGAGACGAAACCCGCGCGGCACCACATCATCGAGGCGCACGAGGAGGTCCTCGAGCATACCTCGTCGCCCGGGTCGAGCTTCGGCGCCGGGTGGGAGGCGAGCGGCCCGGAGGAGGGCGCCTACAAGATCCACAGGGGCCGCTGGCAGGACATCGTGCCCATTCTGCTGGAGCACGGCGAGGTGTACGATGCGGTCTACTTCGACACCTTCGGCGAGGACTACAGCCAGCTCCGCAAGTTCTTCACCGAGTATATCCCTGGCCTGCTGGACCAGGATGGTATCTTTGGCTTCTTCAACGGCCTCGGCGCGGATAGGCGGGTCTGTTACGACGTCTACACCAAAGTCGTAGAGATGCACATGGCCGACGCCGGCATGGATGTTGAGTGGAATGAGATTGACGTAGACTTGAAGGGATTGGAGGAGGCCGGCAAGGGCGAGTGGGAGGGTGTCAAGAGGAGGTATTGGACACTGGACAGTAAGTTTCAACAGTTACGCTTGCCAAGAACTTTTTTTTGTTTTGATTCGGCCGGCATCTCTAACACAGCTCTATCTCAGAATATCGACTGCCTGTCTGCACCTTTTTGGGCTGAAGCACTCCTGGCTCAACTCGCACGCTGAAACTGCCTTTAACCCAACAACTTGCGCCCTCCTAGGTCCTTTCGACTGATACGCAGAAATGCACCAGCAACGGCAGGGAAAGAGAAGGCCTCATGAAACGCAGATCCGTCTAGGTGAAGTTCTCAGGGTGCAGGATACCAGCAAGGTTGCCCTGGTTGACCCGCTTCAGGGTCAGCGCAGCAATGAGGGCGGCACCGACACCGGAACCATCTTCGGCAGCGAGGATCTCGATGGGGTCCTCCTCGTTCTTGTTGGCCTTGGCGGGCCAGTCGAGGATCTCACGGAGGGCCTGGGCGCCACGGGCCTTGAAGTGAGGGTACTTGTTGAAGACGGAGCCGTCAGCGCCAACATGGCAGGACTGGTAGCCCTTCTTCTTGCAGATGGCGGCGACACCACATGCGGACAGGCGGGCAGCACGTGTTCCAATGAGCTCAGCCGTCCTGCGGACAAGCTCAAGCTCGGGGCCGTTGGGCTTGATGTCCAGCTTGTCAAGGAAGAGGTCAAAGGTCTCCTGGAGGTTCTCGTACGGGTCACTGGGGATAGCTGTCAGCATATGGGATAAATAGTGGAGACCAAAGGGCCGATACGTACTCCTCAATGGTAGAAAGGAAAGACGAGTCCAAGCTGTAAGCCCTGCGGAGCTTTGCGATGTCCTGGCCGGCAAAGATGTGGGTCTCGTGGTTGTCGTGCAGATCAACAAGGATCAGACGGAAGATCTCGCCCAGGTAGAGACCGGCAATCATCTTCTCGAAGGCCTGCTGGCCGGGACGAGGAGAGTCCTTGTCGACAATGATGTCGTACTTGGTCCGAGGCAGGACCTTGTGCTCGTTGTCGAAGGCGCCCCACTCGCAGTTGATGGCCATGGGGGCATCGGCAGGCAGGTTCATGTGGGCCAGCTTGGGAATGGAGCCACAGTTCTCCATGTAGGCGGCATTGCAGCCAGTACCGAAGATACAGCCAATCTTCATCTTGGTATCAGTGTAGGCAGAAGCAATCAGTGTACCAGTGGTGTCGTTGATCAAGGCCGACAGCTTGATAGGCACTCCCTTTCTCGACGCGTTAGTATGCGCAGCCTGGCAATATGAGGGAATCGGACTCACCCGGTCAGCCAGGGCCTTCTCGAACATGGGAACGACATTCTTGCCCTCGACGCCAGCAATGTCGAAACCCTTTGTCCAGCGCTGGAGGATACCCTCGTCGATGTAGTTCTGGGTGGCAGGGTAGGAGAATGTGAAACCCAGAGGAAGCTGCTTCTCGAGCTTGACGCCGCCGTGGTGGGTCTCGATGAACTGCTGCAGGCAGTCTGCAATGTACTCCCACAGCTCCTCAGAGGTACCAGTCTTGAGCTCCTCGGGCATGCGGTACTTGGACTGGATGATGTCGAACTCGGACTTCTGGTCGGTCAGGGTGATCTCACAAACACGCAGGTTGGTGCCACCCATGTCCAGAGCGAGGTAGGTGCCTGTCTCGTAGCCATCGGGGAAGGCCATGACCCAGGTGGGGTTCATGGGCTGTCTGTCTGTTAGTTTCGAAAATGGTGGGCTCATGAGTACAAGTAGGGTCAGTGTAAGCTCACAATGCTGCCGCCCTCGACACTCAGACCTGTTCCGAACGAGTTAGCAGAGGATCCTGTACGTAATCTCAGTCTTTGTATTAGCTTACCCTTCTCGAGTTCATTCACGAAGTGGTCCGTAATAGCCTTCAGCTTGTCGGTAGGGACTGTCAGCTGCTCCTCCAGAGCCTTGATCTCAGCCAGGAGGCTCTTGGGGACATCCATCATGGAGCCTGTAGTGTTGGGCGAATCACAACTGAAGTCAGCTCCCATGCTAGCCAGTAATATGCAGAAAGTCGCGAGAGATCTTAAAATGTGCCAACAGCGAACGAACTTGTAGAAGAGTGTCTGTGGTGGTGGAAGAAGTGGCCTGCCTTGGTCCTGGGTGACAGGGCCTTGTCGTGGATGGGAAGAGGTGGCATATGGCTCTCTAGCGCCATTTTGCCGGTGATTCTGGCCTGAAAATGAACAATGTGAAATGTTTGGGTCGAGTGAATAGTTCGGACGAGTTCCTAGGAATCAAACGAGGGAAGAATGGACGAATTGGTGAACCGGTGCAAACGATCTTATCGAGCGTGGGGTTGCTTGATATAGGACATGAGGTAGGACGGATGGGCATGGGTGAAGAAGGCCAAAAGCTGTTCTAGGAGAGCAATGTGGGCTTCTCTTCTCATCATTCCAGACATGATAAGGCTCACCAGCAACCCCAAGAGTGTCTCTCTCTGAGACCACCGGTCAGAGAGCCGAATCACAGCTCCGTCTGGGCTACGTGCTCCTTCCCACTTGGGAGCAGGGCATCCCGCCCGATGACCTTCTCCCTGCTCTTTGGGTGCTGCCGGGGCTTTGCGGCCGTCATTGGTCTCCATATCCATCACCAAACGCCCCAAAGAGCCTCACGAGCACAATCGATCATTTTCATGTTCCACCACGCATATGCTCCTCATTTGCGATTGATATTGACTGCAGACCCGGACAGGGCGGGCAAGGAAAGCACGAGGTGTGACGTACCGGTTCCCTTGCGGGATGGCGGCTTCTTGGGACCCAGTCCGACCATCTTGACTCCTTCTGTCTTATAATGATATCTTTTAAAGAAAAGAAAACCGTGAGGCTGTATGTAGTCTGGGTGGAAATGTGAAGAGATGTGTTGATATCCAAAAAGGGACCAAGAGCCGAGGGGTATATGGTCTGAGGCTTATTTATGGCGGCGAGAAGACGAGGTTGGGTGCAGGCCGAGTCGATTGGAGCTCAGTCAGGTTCAAGTAGTCTGGGGCCTGGGCAGGGAGGGCGGTCAGAGTGGATCCCCGAGCTCTTGGTGAAGTAACCCTGACTTGGGGGCTCAGATTCTGATGGGAGATGTCACAAAATATGGACCTTTCTGAGATGCAGAAAGATTGTCACCCGAGGACCCAATTACGTATATAAGTATGCTTGCAGATGCATGTGAGTTCACGTGTCAAGGAAGAGTGCATCTATGCCGAATCTCTCCTTTCCATGTCTTCATTCCTCTCCTCTCGAAAGCCACCCACGGCATGTCCGAATGATGGATATCCGAAGGTTTCCTCTGGTTCCTGCGGTACACAGGCCCCCAGGGTGAGCTTGGCCCGCTCTACCCCGACTGGCCCATTGGGCTCTCCATTGGTGCCAAACCCGGCGAGGCGTTGGACGAGGACTCAGCTTCGACAAGCTTCCAATCCATAGCCCTGCTGCAGCCGGCAGTAAGCTCAGACCACCTGCCGACTGGGTGCCTTGCCTACACTAGGTGCCTGTACCTAGTAGGCTGGTAGGTTCCCGTGGAAAAGGCGTTGTCACTACCGGAGCCTCCCGGGGACTGGTCTTGCCTGCCAGTGCATGGCCAGCAGATGAAGCGAAAACAACACCTTGCTTGCCTATTGTCGCTGGATTTACGGCTTCTTTTATAATTGCCGGAGAAATGGAAGAGCTTATAATGCAACATAGTTTATATTCTCAACCAAATCCTCAGGAATTCCAGCCTGTCAAGCTGAGACCGGCCCAGGTTGTTGGGACTCGCAGGACTCACAGTAGCATGCATGAGTGCGAGGGTGTCTTGGAGCCGGAGAGGTAGTAGGAGGCGACAAACATTGACGAAAGATGCCCTGGGTGGTGTGACCCTGCTCAGGTCCTCGCAGCGAATGGACTTATGGTGGTCTGGCAATCTGGATTGTTGAGTTTTTGAGACCCCGCCATGCCATGCCATGCCATCTCAATTGCTCGCTGAATTGGGTCAGTAATCCCCCCTCCCCCACCTTGTCTCTTTTCGGCTCGGCTCTCACTCCTTGGCACGACAAGAGGGAGGGATTGCAGTCTACGGAGTCAAGCTATGTCATCCCACTTGGAATCGCCTGGCCAGCCACTGCCTGCCGGGCACCAGCTTATCATTCTTATCATCACGTGTGGGCAGCGTTAGCTCCCGGCTTGGCGTCCGTCGCAACGGGCCAGGAGCTGCTGCGACCAGCCTGCCAGCAGAGCAACGTAATCTTTTGGGGGAGCTCCAACGGCGAGCTGTCCTTTGGTTTCCCGTCGCAGAGCCCAGGGTCGATACTCCGAACAAGGTGGTCAACCAAAAGGTGGTGAAGGAGATAAACACGCCGTTATCAATGACCAATTGATACCACTGCTTTCAAGTTCCTTTCCTTCTTTTTTCTACGGGCTGCTCCACCTCATGAGCACTCAATCTGCGTTTCTAAGATGAAGTTCTCAGCACTGCTGCCAGCGCTGGCCTCGTGCCTGTCGCTGGTGTCTGCCGCATCCACCACAACTTCAAAGGTCAACCTGCCCGCCACCTTCAAGCCTCCACAGGTCTTCAAGAATGCCAATCTCGTCCACATTCTCCAGCTGGAGAAGAACTACGCCAAGGAGTTGATCAACGTCAAGGTCGAGAACACGGCCAAGGAGCCCCAGGACGAGTACTTCCTGCCGTTCACACCAGACCAGATGTCAAGGGTCGGAGGATTCGAGGTGAAGGATAAGAAGAACACCGAAGCTGGCCCTTTCACGGTTGAGGCTGTGGACTTTGACCCGGAAAGGTGAGACAATGCTGGAATCCACCATGCCCCCAAAACCGTTCTCAAGCAGCTGACTTGTTTCGTCCGCCCGCACAGCACCGTCCAGTACTACCGCATCAAGTTCCCCGAGCCCCTGAAGGCCGGCGGCGAGCAGACCCTCTCCATATCATACTACTACACCTCCGCATACCGGCCCCTCCCGGCCTCCATCGCCCAAGACGAGAAGCAATTCCTGCTGTACAAGTCGTCCGCCTATGCGCCTTCCGCCTACACAACGTCCAAGCAAAAGACAGAGATTAAGCTTCCCTCGTCCAACGTGCCCGACTACACCAAGCTCCCAGGCAGCGGCGGCGGCGCGTCCGAGTTCCCCGAGAAGCAGGGCTCGAAGCTGACCTACGGGCCCTTCGAGAACATCCCCGCCGGCGCCGAGCTCCCCATCGAGGTCCGCTTCGAGTTCTCCAAGCCCGTCACCCACGTCTCGGACCTGGAGCGCGACGTCGAGGTCAGCCACTGGGGCGGCAACGTCGCCTTCGAGGAGCGCTACACCCTCTTCCACCGCGGCGCCAACCTGTCCTCGCTCTTCAACCGCGTCAAGTGGCAGCAGGCGCAGCACTTCAACCCAAACACCTGGGCCCTGAGCGAGCTCGCCTTCCCGCTCGCCGCGGGCAGCCTCGACCCTTACTACTACGACGTCATCGGCAACGTGTCCACCTCCAGGTTCCGCAGCAACAAGCGCGAGTCCCTGCTCACCACCAAGCCCCGCTACCCCATCTTTGGCGGCTGGAAGTACCCCTTCACCATCGGCTGGAACGCGGATGCCAAGAACTACCTGCGCAAGACCGCCGAGGGTGGCTTCGTGCTCAACGTGCCCTTCCTCGAGGGCCCCAAGCAGGCCGAGGGCGTCGAGTACGAGAACGTGGTCGTCCGCGTCATCCTGCCCGAGGGGGCTGAGTAAGTCCACATGTCCTTCCCTCTGCTGTGCTTGCTATAGCCCAGATTCTAACCCTGCTCCACAGGAACGTCAAGTACTACACCACCGTCCCACCCTCCTCCATCAACAGCGCCGACGTCGAGATCCACAAGACCTTCCTGGACACCATCGGGCGCACGGCACTGATCATCAAGGCTCGCAACCTGGTGGACGACTTCCGCGGCCGCGAGCTGATTGTCTCCTACGACCTCCCCTTCCTGGTCAGCATCCGCAAGCCCCTGGTGGTCTTTGGCAGCATGGTGGCCACATTCGTCGCGGCGTACGTCATCGGAGGCGTGGAGTTGAAGTTCTCGAGCAAGTCTGTGTAGGGCCGGCGCACCGTAGACGTAGGCGTAGGGGGGCGGAAATAGAACGCGCTATTCCCTAAGACCTCGTCGAGGATGAACAGTAACACGGGGCAGATAAAGCTAGCAGGTCATATTCAAAATGAAGCGTGGAGACTCAACAGGACAGCACGAGTCTCACGAATAAAATGTATTTTAAGGCATCGTCTCATTGATCGCGTTCCCGGTCGCAAGATTACAGCGGTATATGAAAAATGACCAACCAGAACATCCAAAACGCCAATTGTTGAAGAAAGCACCAACACATCTAGACAAGCCGGCCACAAACCATGCTTAAACAACAGCGGTGACCCTCCTGATGCTCTTCCTGGCGCCCTCACCTGATACAGTAATGGACCCATCCATCTCCAACGCGCGCACGCACTCGGCAAAATCACTCGGCTCAACAGGCACGCCCGTGTTCTCGCTCAGTTTCCTGGCGACCTCGGCATACTTGACGGTCTGGCCGCCGGCCGTCAGCTCGTCGAGCAGCTGCAGCACCGCGTTCTTCATGTCCTCCTTCCTCTGGCGGTCGGCAGAGCTCGTTCCCTCGGTCAGGAGGGACATGTCGATGCGGCCCTGGCTGTCGGTGGCCGCTGTCTTGAGGGCAGACTTGATCAGCCGGTTGGCCTCCTGGACATCCTCGCGAGTGACCTCGGTGGACAGGCGCATCTTGGCGTGGGCCTCCGCAAGTCGGATCATGGACTCGAGCTGACGGGTGGTCGCGGTGATGCGCTTCTCGGCGGCGCGCACGTCCTGTCCAAGCTTGCGCATCTCGATGTACGCGTCAACCAGCTCTTTCGCTGCAGGCCGAGTGATGGTGGGCTGGATGTTGGCGCGGGCGTACGAGATATAGGATGTGAGGAATTCCACGGGCTAACAAGGTCAGTTCGATGTAGGCTCAGGGATTCGCGGGACATTAGAACTCACCAGAATATCATTCTTGGACTGAGCAGAGTGAGGTGTATCTTCGAGATACATGGACATCAAATGCTTGGCCAGTCGCCTATCGTTCTTCTCATCCACCCGATCGAGAATCAGGTACACAAGATCGAAACGAGACAGAAGCGTTGGGGGAAGGTCGATGTTTTGCGGAACGGGCAAGTCGGGGTTGTATCGACTGCCGATCGGATTGGCTGATGCCAGAATACTCGTGCGAGCATTCAGAGTGGTGATAATACCAGCCTTGGCAACAGACACAGTCTGCTGCTCCATGACTTCGTGCAACACGGAGCGAGTGGACTCGGACATCTTGTCAAACTCGTCAATGCAGCAGACACCACCATCTGACAAGACAAGGGCGCCCGACTCGAGCACTAGTGATCGTGTCTCGGGATCGCGTGTGATGTATGCTGTAAGACCGACGGCAGAAGATCCCTTGCCGCTGGTGTACACGCCGCGAGGTGCAATGCGGTGCACGTACGACAGGATCTGAGATTTGGAGGTGGATGGGTCACCGCAAAGCAGGACATTGATGTCACCACGGTACTTAGGGCTGCCACCCTTCTCGAAGCTCTTGTTGGTACCGCCAAAGAGTTGCAACAGAATACCCTTCTTGACATCGTCCATTTCATAGACTGAGGGCGCGAGGGAACGCGACAGAAGCTCGTAGATGTCATCACGAGCGGCGGTCTCCTTGATCTTCTCTTCCTCTTCTGGCGTCACCTTGCGCGATTCATCCATTCCGGAAGGATTGTCGGTCTGGAGCTCGTCCTCGTCGTCCAGCTCAAGGGTAGTCGTGTCGGCCCCCATGCGCTTGCGATCGACCTTTTGCACGTGCAAGACATCGACGTATGTCTTGTGAACGCTCTTGATGGCCCTCTGGCGTGGGTTCACACGAACGGGGCTGACACGGAAGATACCAGTGATTTGCACCCTGTCACCAGCTTTGCAGAAGTCCACCAGATCGTCGTACACGCAGACAGAAACCGAATGCGGGGTCTGACCGGCTGGCACAGCGTCTGGAGTCTCTTGCAATTTGATCACTTGCTTGTCTGCAAAGTTGCAGCGGTTATGAACAATTTGCATAGAGTTCTTGGAGCCGCAGCGTTGTCGGGGGCACTCTGTGGGCTCTCGGATCTTGCCTCGGTCGAGAGTGACAAGCAGGCCATGGTTGCAGACACTGCACTTGAAGAATGCGTCCTTCATGTCTGGAATCACGGGGGTGGTCCTGATGACGAGACCCTTTATTTGGATCATCCTGTCCATGTCCGAGGGGTTCAGATCTCGGAGGTTGGTGGTCTTGTCCATTCCGTAGGGGCGCACCATGTAAATAGTCTCAGCGACCTGATCCTCGAGAGTTGCCTCTCTCTGTGCCGCGGGACGAGGTGTTGGTGCGTCCTCAGGACGGTCCGAGCTGGGAATAGCAGGCTCGGAGCTCTGCGACGCCTGTGGTGCGGAAGTGGTCTGGCTGCGCTGTCTGGCCATCTCAATGCGCGCAAGCTCAATCATCATGTCATGAACAGACTGATCCATGATGGGAACCAATTCCTGCGGGTAGGCCTGGAGTTGGTACCACAGCTTCTCGGTCTCGGGGTAGGCCTTCAGATCGTGAACATCCAAGTACAACTTGCTTGTACCAAGGGCCAGCATCGTCTCCAGGGCCTCCCAGTAGCATCTTGTTTGGTTTTCCGGGGCATTGACGACGTCATCCGGCTGGTTCTCCTTGATGAGGCGGTACTTGATCTTGTAATTCCTCAAAAAGTTCTTGAAGGCGTTGAATGTGTCGTCGATGGCAATGGTAGTACCCCATACCAAGCTCTGGCTTTGTCCACCTAGGGCATCAGCATCTGATGTGCCCGGGTTGTTGTTGGAAAATGTGGCAGCGTCGGAAACTGGCGCGTCCTGTACAACCCTGCCGTCGGAGCCAAGAACAATGCGGCGCGGGGCCACGGGCGTCCTGTTGGAATACTCTGAGTGAATATCACCTCGTCGTGATCGAGGAGCCCTTCTGGAAGAGTCGACGAAGAGACCGCTGCTCTCGCTTCGCAGATCGGTCTGGGGGTGGCCAGGACTTGAGCTGGGGTCATAGCGGACGGGCGAAGAGTCTGCAACTATATTAGTACCGACAAGTTCCTAGTTCTGTCGATTCAGGGGCAGTCCTACCGCCGATACGCATGCCGCTTGCTCGTGGTGTGCGTTCGCCATCGTTGATAGTCTGGGATTCGGTCTGCTGGCGCAATGGGGAGCTTGGGGCGGGACCATTGTCAGTAGTCTGGGTGTTGCTCATCTGCCGCAAAGGCGAGGAGGGTGCAGCAGCATTGCCGCTGCCATTGGCGGGAGAGGACTCGAAGAACATGGGGCTCGATGCGAGCTGCGATGCGCGCGTCCGACGAGGAGTCTCTGCCTCGGCAGCAGGCGCGGCAGGAGTGCCAGCCTGGGAGCTCCGCGTGTTGCGGGCAGGAGTCCCCGCCTGCGAGCTGCGAGTTGATCGCCTTGCTGGAGACGACATGGTGGTGGTGATGTAGTATTGTTGATGATGTAGGCTGGATAAACAAGGGATCACCAGTGCAACGGAGGAGGGGGAGAATTGGGGGTTTGTATTAAGAGTGGTGGAGGTGGAGGGGGAGCGTGTCTCAGCAACAAGAAATCTAAAGGGCAAGAGAGTCCATTTTTGGTACAAATCTTTGGGCGGCGCGTCGGACGCGAGTTCCCAGCGCCAGACGCGACTTCCTCGCGTCGCCCATTAAACAACTGACAGGGATCTAAATAGGCACTTTCAGACCCGTCGACTTGGCCCCTGCGCCCCAGGGGCTCGTGCTTCGGGCGAGAATAATAAGAAGTACTGTGTAAAAGCCATCCGGCGGATGCATTAACGATGGGACAACCTTGAGAGTTTCCAATGATTTCACCCTGGACATGTGATAATCATTTCTCATCGAAGCAATCGGACAGAGTTTGCCGTCAACTCAACAAGATTTCTGCCCCCGCAACGACTGTGAAGCTCCTGGTGCTGCAGCGCTCTACCTACGCACGTAGTAGGAGGCCCCGCGTTACAGGCATCTCTTTATCGGCCGTTATCAGCTGTCAAGCCACAAATTTCAGGCACTGCACAGCCACAAGGAGCCGGCCGGTCAATCGGTCTTGACACGGAGCATTGAACTCGAACACGGGGGAGCTGTCTACGCTCTGTTCCGTAGCCTCACTTGCGACTCGCCTCATTGCCATCTTGTCAACACCGTGCCCAGCGTCGCAAACAGTCAACATGGCTCCTGGAATGTCGCTCTACTCAGTCAATGCCATCCTCATCCTGTCGGTTGTAAGTGGACACCTGTTCCATCCAGTGCAGCGCATACCTCGACGATCCCATCGCTCGGAGCTTCCTGCGCCCGCAACAAGCAGCTCAGCGTGTCACTGGTTGCTCTCCCGCTGACCGAAGCTGTCATGTCTTAGGAGGACGGCTCCAGACTATACGCCAAGGTAAGCATGTTCCTCTGATCGCACACAAACAGTTGTCGCCGAATCTCGAAGCTCACTTTTATATCCTAGTATTACGACTCACCGCACCAAGCCGCGCCTGCACCAGGGCAGACTGCCCGTATGCTCTCTCCAGACGCCTTCCTGGTGACACAGCCCGATTGCTGACCTCTCGAAGCCTCCAAGAACCCATACCCCGACGTCAAGTCCCAGAAAGCATTCGAGAAGGCCCTCCTGGACAAGACAGCGAAGCAGACCGGCGACATCCTGCTGTTCGACGGCCGGATCGTCCTGTACAAGTCGGAAAGCGACGTCATGCTCTACCTGGTCGGCAGCGTCGACGAGAACGAGGTCCTGCTGTACAACGCCATCCTCGCCCTGCGCGACTCCCTCCACCTCCTGTTCAAGGCCTCGGTCGACAAGCGCACCATCATCGAGAGCTACGACCTCGTCTCCCTGGCCGTGGACGAGATCGTCGACGACGGCATCATCCTCGAGACCGACCCCACCATCATCGTCCAGAGGGTCAGCAAGGCGCCCACGCAGGACGTCGACCTCCGCCGCATCGACCCCTTCAGCGAGCAGGGCGTCAACAACCTGGCGCAATTAGGAAAGGCCAAGCTGACGGACTGGCTGAGGCAAGGGCTGTGATGCGGCGGTGGACGAGCAGTGTTTTAGGGGCGTCTAAACTTTTTAGAGGAGTCAAGGGGTCACTTTGCTTTTTGGGAATCTCCAAAGGACCATGCAAAACGTCTGAGAATAATGACATTATTATCTCTTTGGTGATTGGGCGCAAGTCTATATGCCGGGCGCGCTTCTGTCTATATCGCCATCGCCCTCTATGCTCTAATCTCCGAGGCCGCCTTGCGCAGGCGGTTCATGACGGCTGCCGCGATGTCGTCCTTGTCCTCGATGCCCTCGATGAAGATGACGTCCGCCCCTTTCCTGTCCAGCTCCCTCAGCGCCGAGAACAGGCCCTGGGCGACTGTCCTGCTGTCGGGCCCAAGCCCGATGTCCAAGACCCGCGACGCGTCAACGACAGACGTGTGTATCTCGTAGCTCAGGTCGGCGTCCCCATCCGTGTCTCCCTCCTCTGCGCCGACCTCACGCCCCGGTAGCCTCTCCCACCGATGCGTGCGGACAACGCCAACCACATCCCTGCGCCCCTCCACCCCCTCCAACTCCCGCAGCACCTCCTCGCTCCGCGTCCCCGTCCGGGCCTCGAACAGGACCACCCTCGCCCGGGGGCTGTAATGCTTGTACTTCATCCCCGGCGCGCGGGGGCCCGCGCCGTCCTCCCCGACCTCGCTGGCGTCCTTGTACGCCTTGACGACGCCCCCCCACCCCTCCACGCGCCTCAGCTCCTCCATGCTCACGCCGCCGGGCCGCAGCACCACGGGCGGGTCGCACATTCCGTCGACGACGGTGCTCTCGACGCCGACGCCGCAGACCCCGCCGTCGAGCACCAGCTCCAGCCGGCCGTCCAGGTCGTCCACGACGTGCCGCGCCGCGGTGGGGCTGGGCTTGGTGCTCGCGTTGGCCGAGGGCCCCGCGAGGGGCGCCCCCGCCAGCGCGATCAGGCTGCGCGCCAGCGCCGAGGCCGGCATCCGGGCCCCGAAGGTCGGCAGCCCCGCCGTCACCTCGGGCGCGAGGGCCGAGCCCGCCGGGTTGGGGAGGAGGACCGTGAGGGGGCCCGGCCAGAACCGGCGCAGGAGGGGCCTGTAGATCTGCGGGATCGGGTCCTCGTCTTCCTGGCCCTGGCCCGAGTGGCCATTAGTAGTAGCTGTGGCAGTGGTGCTTGTGCCGTTTGTGTTGCCGCCGTTGGCGGGCCGCAGCAGGCGGCGGAGCATGTCGAGGTCGCAGACGTGCACGATGAGCGGGTTGTCCGAGGGCCGGCCCTTGGCGGCGTAGATGCCCTTGACGGCAGCGCTGCGCGTTGCATCTGCGCCGAGGCCGTAGACTGTTTCTGTGGGGAATGCGACGGGGATATCGCTCTGCTGGAGGAGGGTTGCTGCCTCGCGCAGGGGCGCGATGGTGTCGTGCACGGATGGGTCTGACGAGACCTCCCAGGTGTCGATGCTGTCTGGTGATGTGAACTGCCCGGGGTCTCTGCCCCGGGGTACATGCAGTATCCTTGTCTTCATTGTTGTGGGTTTTGAGGCGGTGGTGGTGTAAAAGGTTCTCGGTTTTGGTGGTGAGGATGAGGCCGATGAGGCGGGCTGGAATACCAGCCGTGGCGTTGTGCAAGATACTGCCCGAAATCGAGTTGGCAGTTGAGGCCGACTTACTCTTAAATATATCATCAATAAGAAACACTTTGAAGTGAAATGGGATACTACGGTGAATGGGAAATGCAGTTGGCGCAAGCTGATAATCGCTGTTCTACATCCCGGACGAATTTTCACTTGAGTCATCTAAGTCTTCAATTTTTGAGGTGCGAAGCTAGGTACATAAGTGAGGTGGCAAGCTCCGGGTCGGCCCAAACCACCACCAGAACAGCGTCGCAACAACAGCAGATCTCGTGCATTCGAATTTCAGATGGACAAGAACGAGTCGATGGATGCATTCAAAGTCATTAGTCTCATATATATATATAAAAAAAAATAATCCAATTGCAGCCATTGCAGCAAGGCAGCGCTCATCCATCCGACAGCTCATGAAACCAACCAGCCAATCCCAACATCACTGAACATCCTTCATAACGTTCTCGCTTGCCTCCCTGAAATTCCATCAAGTATCCATGCATGCTCTGTTTCCTAAATTCCAAATCCGCATTGCCCATAAAAGTCAAATAAAGTCATACACATCACATCACACTAAAATAATCATACAGAACCTTTCCCTTGGAGACAGCCTTACTGTCCATTTTGAGTCTCTTGTCCCCGCCCAGATTTCCTGGTCGGAAGATTCCCCACGAACTCCCCCGTGAAGCTGAGGTGGCTGGTCATGCCCTCGAGCAATTTCAGGAACTCATCCCTCATGAGCTCACCTCCCTCGCCCATCATCACCCTCTCCGAAGGCGGTGCCGGCAATGGTGGCAGCAGGCTGCCATCACTCGCACTCGCCATGCCGTCTCTCTGGTAGGCAGAGTTTAACGACGACATGGACGGTGTCCTGACTGTGGACCCCGTCATGGTGTAGTCGGAATCCCCGCTGGGGCCTCGGCCGTGCTGGTAGCTGGCCTGAGAGCGGGTCGCCGTCGAGGATCCCGTCATCATGTAGTCCTCGCTGCCGTTGTATTCGTCCCCGGAGTAGAGATGTGCGTCGTCGATGAAAGCGCCCGTGTGCCGCCTCTGCCGTTCGTCTACTTCCGGAATTCCGCCCATCATATTGATGCTTCTCGTCTGTCGGTGGCCCGCTAGCCCCGCAAAATCCGACTCGTCCGAGATGTAGATGGATGGCTCGCGGTTTGTGGAGGGCAGAGGATAATATGACGCATGCTTCTCCAAGTCAAAGGCGCCACCTATCTCGGACCCGACGTCCGAGTTGGCAGTTGATGGGCGTATTATGTCTGCCGGTGCGATAGGATCCGGGAGACTCTCATCCAGGTCTATTAGACTGCTGACCGACGCGCGGTTCTCCATCTGCGAGGCTGCCCTGGGAACCAGGAGGCTCTCGTTGTAGCTTGGCGAGGAGCCTAATGGCTCCGTGGGGTGGTGCAACAATGGTGGCCGACTGCCAGGGTCAGGAAACTTCCACTCGCTGGCCGAGGCAGGTTGGTAATCAGCAGGCGCCGGGAATTTCCAGTCGCTTGCTGAGTCCGGGTTGCTATTCCGATCCTCGTTCAAGGGGAAATGAGACATGTCCGCGCTCGCGGATGCTGGGGGTACCATGGCTGGGAATTTCCAGTCTTGCGTCTTCCGGTTGCTTGCAGCGAGCACTATTTCCGGGTCGCTGTTCGGGGCTCTGCTATAATCCTCTCCGAAATCGTACTCGTTTGATCGTCGCATACTCGCCCTCACCGTGTTCATATCGGCAAACCTCGAGAGGTCGCTGCCGTGAAGTGAGGCGTCGAGGTCGATCAGTGATTCCCTCAATGTCGCGTTGTGCGAGCTATCTCTTAGCGGCAGATCTGACGTGAAGTCTGCGGTAGGAGGTGATGGGGGCTTCCCGTAGTACTTTCGAGCATTCTCGTTATAGCTCGTTATGGTGTTAGGATCGAATATCTTCTCTAGCGGTGCCCTCATCACAGGAAGATTTGGCGGCGGCCTTCGCCTTTTCGACCTGTACGGCTGTGGCGTGGCCTCCATCAGGTCCACATTAGACCCATAGACGTCATAAACAGCCTGGGCATCCGTGCTGTTCATGACGCGTTGGTCAAAGGCGAGTGTTGTGCTGAAATTCCATTCGTCATTAGACATGGCTGTTGATGATAGGTCTGGTCCTGACGGTCCTTGGGCTCCGCCAAAGGCGAACAATGATTTCCGACTCCCGCCTTGGGACTCCCAGACTCTGAAAGCCCTGACCAGCATTGCCAGGGATGAGGTAGGGTGTGAGGAGCTAGTATTGTGCAGATATGGATGACGCTGCACATCGTTGATGGTAGGTCTTTGCGCGGGGTCTTCCACCAGGCAGAATGAGACGAGATCCTTGAGCTTTTCTGAGTATTTGTTTCCTTCGAGTCTCGGCGTGTTCTGCTTCAGATAGCCGCCAAGCTGCGTGATATCTATACCAGCCATGACGTTGGGTGGCAGGCCTGAGGCGATTTCGAAGACCATCGAACCAAAAGCCCAAATGTCCACCTCGACACCGTATGAGGCCGAAGGGTCGAAAAGTTCCGGTGCCATCCAGTGTGGTGTTCCTATGAAGGTAGACCGCTTGTCGAACTTTGTCTCGATCACGCCCGAAACGCCAAAATCGCAGAGTTGGACACCACCTGCCTCAGTGATGAGCACATTGGCACACTTGATGTCTCTGTGTATGATACCGGCTTTGTGAACCCAGTGAACGGCTTCGGCGACTTCTCTTAGGATCGGGATGATCCACTTCTCTTGGAGACCTCCAGGAGCTGTCGGCTTCATCAAGGTGGCCACACTCCCTCCGGCGCAGTATTCGGTGACCATCCACATGGACTGGCCGACGGGCAGGGCGTCCAACACATGATTAATGTTCTTGGCTCCGCCCTCGTTGAGCAGTTTGAGTGCATTGATCTCCTTCAGGAACTCAGAGTAGGTGTCGGCGAGTTTCGGGTTGAGGGTGTCGGACTCCTCGATGTCAATGATCTTGACTGCGACCAACTGGCTCGTTTTGAGGTCTGTGGCCTTGTACACCCGGCCGAAGCTACCTTTGCCAATCAGCTCTCTGAGCAGGTACGGGGGCACTTCTTGTTCCGCTTTGTTGCACTCGTCCTCAACCACAACCTGCATCTTCTTTGCATCCTCGATCGCCTTCTTCTTGGTCACCGAGAAGTCGGCACCATAGGTAGATAGATGAGCCATGACGAAGGTGCTGAAAGTCCAGAGCCTGCCCGGCTAGGTTAGAGGCCTCAAACAGGATGTCGGCAGAAGTCCAGAGGGCCAGAGAACGGTTTATTATGCCTGAGGGGGGTGGCTTCAGGGGAGACAGAGAACTAGAGACAGGAGCAAACTCCGAGTGGCGTGGCTTCTCGGAGCCGCACAATCCACCGCGACTAGGGAGGAGCTGATGTCTCAGATTGTCAAGCAGTGACGACCATAACAATAGTGGTTGGGTGGCTTGTCGGCGTCAGCTTTCAGGAATGAAGGGGGGGAGATTACAGATAAGCATTCATGAACAGCATGACGATGGTATGCAAAACTCGTGTCCACGGAAGGGCTGGCCCCAGGCATGAAGGTAGGTGGGGGACAAGAGAGATTCGGCCCTGGTGTAAACATGACAGGGTCTAGTGTAACGGACATACACATTATACAACACTTACAAGAAGATGAATTGTGGGAAGATCACTGCACTCTCGACATGTCTGCAGCCGCATGTGCACTTGCTGGATGGTTCGCTGAAGCACCGACCCAGGTGTTTCATGAGCTGGCCAGTTTGCGCCCGGGATCCGGCTCGGGCATTTGGACAGCCGCCGAAGAGACGTCCTCGCAGGCCAAGGTCGAGATTTCAATGTTCGGATCTGCCGGTATAGAGTTTGTGGGGTATATTGTCTGTCATACGTGCTTGTCCATTGATGTGGGCTTGATGTACTCGAAGGTTTGAGTGGAGCGGGATTGTGGATGGAGGATGACGGATCCTCAGGGGTTGTCACTGATGTTGCAGTCTCAGCCCTGCCCAGAGGTGGGTGGCGCGGCTCCACGGCCACGCTACTGTCCTATCTCTGGCTCCGGATCCGAGAGCAAAACCACGCTAACAGATTGCCGAAGAGCACGGACCAAGTCCCTCAACTTTCTTCTCTGGTTCCAAAGTTTTGCAGCAACCTTCAACTTCACCTCGGAGCAAACTGGATGTCATGGACCTTGAGGTCACCGAGGCACCAATTTCGAATCGTACGAGAGTTCAAGATGTCAGGATATGTGCTGATAAAAACAAAGGACTGTTTGCTACCAGGAAAATCCCAATCCGAGACGGTCAACCTTCAACCGATATCTTGTATTATATTATCCTATCTCACTAACGCTCGCTGGATTCAACTATGCTCAACTGCCTGATGCCTCTATCTCAGCCTCATTACCAAATTAGCAATCCTCCGAGGGTTCTGGCGACTGAGCGGAGCAGTGGGACCGTTGCCTGATCTAGACCGATTTTTCCAGTTCAACTGGCATGACCCACCCACGTGCATCAAACAGCAAGCAAAGCGGATGCACGTCCTCAAGTATCCATTTAGGTCATCTATCACCTGAGTTCCAGCAGTGGGCAAGGTGTTCCGGTCAAAACAACATCTGGAGAGGGGTGTACAGGCGACCTTGTCCATGGGGCCGACGTTGCTTTCGCAGTCACTCCAGCGCCCTCAAGTGCTCACACCTAGGGCCGAATTCACCGTGAGCTAAGTCCGTAGAAATTTGAGGCGGTCAAGACGTAATCGATTAGATTGTATCTATGCCGTGGCAAATGCGGCAGACTGTGAGGTCGATGGCACGCTACAGACATCAGACAGGCCTCCCACAATCCCCGCATTCTGACCACAATAGACACCTCTGTAATGTGAGAATTATGATCTCTTAAAATTACGGAGATCATTTCCAGACAACGCAAGAATCAGCTGAGCGTGCCGTGGTCTAGTTTCTTGAGACAATGGCTTCAGTAAACTGTCTTGGTCTTGCCCTGCCTACAGTGAAAATGGTCCTTGTTCGGTTCGCGTCGAGTTTGGGCAGAAGGGCCGGGAACAAATACATCACGATAATCCGTAGACCCTCTTATTTGACCATTGGAATCTGAAGATACTTCAAAATGGGTTGAAAGCAACAAGGTTACCAAAAGTCTGTATCGATGAAGTTGGGGTTTCACTGAGCGCGTGATCCGAAGCTTTCACCATGACGTCGCAGCGCATGATGGGGGGATTAGGGCCTGATCTGGCAATTGGTTGCCGAACATAATGCAGGGCCAATACTTCTCATGTTGATTGCCTAGTACCAATAACGCAACCCGTAAAAGACAAAAGGAAGCAGCCAGTGTATTTGCATGAAGCGGCTTCTACAAAAACAAGACATCTTCCATTTCAGGTCATCTTCAATGGGTATTTCGTGTCAGGAGTCTCCGAACCGTTCCCACCATGCTCCAGTCTGTGTTCGCCACTTCGATCTCAACACGGGCAGTTTATTGCACCGTCGGAACGTTTCGAAGCCCGACATCGTGTCCACAAAGCCTTAACTTGGCGTGGAGTTGACCAAATGCAGAACCTGAGATTCTGGCCGTCACCTGGGCATTGAGCTATAGGTGAAACAAGAAATATGGGATCTGCTCCGGCCAAGAGAGAACAAACGGTCGAGGCGCCAGAAACGAAGCCCCTAGTGTGGGGAAAGCAAATGATCAGGACTGGGAGGTTGCTGAATAATGACATCGTAGGAGTGGGTGGTTTGTGTTGATCTCATTATAATTCCTCGTCCTTGACTGGCTGTTCAAGGGATGGAGCCACAAATCTCGGGTGAACCCAGATTGACTCGAGGACTAAAAGGCAAAGAATGTTTCTAGCGCCAGGGGGCCTGCGGGACAGTGGAGCCAAGACCTCGGGACTCCGGGGTACTACTGAGAGAAGAAGAAACACGACACAGCGTAGATCCATCTGGGCTCTGGTTTGGCAGGCCAAGCAGACCTCGAACGCCTGAAAATAGCCAGGGGATGTCAGTCCGTCGATCCCGTGGTTGGGGGATAGAGTATAAGTAATGAAAGTAGCCCGACTCAAAAATCAGTTGTTTTAAGTCTTGTTCGCCAGCCAAGAATCCGCAAACAGACCCTTGTTCGACTCAGCGGTCCGACAGACAAAATGCGCTGCTCAATACTGTCCCTCAACTTCCTGGCCCTGGCCGTTTCCGCCTACCCGTATCCACCGGCCTTGATAGACCAACATGAGTATCGGGCACCAAGCGCTAACGACAGTGAGTTGGGCCGTTGATACACAGCATTGTACAACTCAACTAAACAGCACGCAGGCCGGTCTCCTTGCCCCATGATGAATACTCTGGCAAACCACGGCTACGTGGCCCGCAACGGCAGGAACATCTCCCTCGCCGACATGCAGGCCGGCTTCGAGGCAGCCATCAACCTGGAACCGAGCTTCTCCATCGGCCCCTTTGGCGTCGCCGTGACCGCCTCGACCACCGGCCGCAATGACACGTTTAACCTGCACGACCTGTTGAAGCACAACCTGATCGAGCACGATCTGAGCTTGAGCCGCAAAGATGCCTTCTTAGGCGACGCGCTGAACTTTGACGAGGAAGTTTGGGCAGGCACTTCTGCCGTCTGGAGGAACACCAACGCCACTACCGTCTCGATCGAGGCTGCGGCCAAGGGCAGACTTGCAAGGATGGCGATAGACAAGGTTGAGAACCCCGCGTATAACCTTACGGCGGCTGGCGAGGCTGCTGGCCTTGGCGAGACCGGGTTGTTTCTGGTTGTCATGGGTGACAAGGTCGAGGGTAACGCGAGGGTGGACTGGGTCGACATCTTCTTCCGCGAGTCTAGGCTTCCGTTCGCCGAGGGGTGGACGAGATCAACAGAGGTGATCACCTCGGAGCATGTCGCCAACATGAAGGCGAAGATTGTCGAGTTCTCTAGCTAAGAAAGGCAAAACGGACATACCCATAGAATGTATATAGAAAAGTCTACAGCCCGTGCTTTATGAGATACACGATCAGTCGGTCGGCATGAATTGTGCAATGTGATAGGTTTTCATATTTGTATGCCCGGTATCCATTCTATAACGACTCCGTGCCCAGTCACTTCTATGCGGTCAACGACAACCTGGGCAGGGCCGCCCGTATTCTGGTAGAAATCGAAGTGTCCCAACCTTGAATGTAGCATCATGCGGCAGCTTTCGCGTCGTTCTGGAGTCGCTCCAACATCTTGGCGTGGATTTTACCCCCTGTCGAGACATCAGTCAGTTCTGGGGGGAAACGTGTGTCTGGAAAATGCAAGCTCGACTTCTCTCGGTAAAACGTAATAGACTATGAATTGCAAGAGACACTCACATCCAGCCTCACAACGGCCCTTGACCAGCGACATCAATGGCTTTGTGCAACTGATTTCTGCAGCCTGGACCAAGTCCAGCTTGCCACCCTCGGCCTCCTTGATCTCCCAGAGGGTATCAATACGCACTCCAAGAGGACTCTTGACGCGTGAGAACACGCCGTTTTCGATGTTCGTGAACTCATATGTAGAGACGACAGTAGAGCCCCAAATGCCCTTGGGTATGTTCTCAACCTGGTCTGTCACCTCATAAGACCTTGTGGGGCCATGTGCGTTTACACCTGCAGGGATTTGTGGCTCGGTCACTTCGCCCTTGGCCTCATACTTGTTCAGGTGAGGGTCGCACGAGAGGAAGAACTCGTTGTCCTGCAGCATCACGACGCCTAGCTGTCTACTGACGCCGTCCGGCAGCTGAGAATGCGGCTCCATTGTGCTGGTGGCGTTGAGGACTGCAGCGAGGGTTAGGACTTGTAGATATTCCAGACATCTTGTAGCAGGGTGCGCCCCGGCGGCTAAGGGGGAAGGCGATCACACGCGTGAAATAAAGAGCTTACATGACATTCTGTTGATCAAATTGGACAAATTTGTACGCAATCTCACAAAGCTGCCAATATTGGAAGAAAACCAGTCCACAAGTGTGGTACTTGCTTTTCAACAGAGCAAACTCCACGTTAAGTATCTCATTCCCTTCCAGCAGCATGAAATGCCATTTCCCTCTGACATCTTCTGTTTCATCTGCAACCGCTGAACCCATCTCCGCCATTCACATGTGCTCCGTCATCCCGCCAATGATGGCTGTTCCAACAATTTGTATAACCGGACGGATACGATTCCGCCACGGCCGCTTACACATTTTCGCCTCATCACGGACGCATGGGTGCTGCAATAATAGCATTTTGTGGTGCCAATGTATTAGTGTGATTTGCTCAGGGGAATTGGCGGACAAGGCAAAATTTCACCCGTTTTCAGACTCGCACGCGGACTACCCGCCTCATTCATATGTTGAATGAAGACACCAAATTCGCTTACAGTGACCACCACAATGTGTGGCATTTGCAAATTCCATGTTGACATAGAAACACTTAATTGCAAATTTGCTGTCCAACTCACAACTTGAAGCATTATATTTCAGGCTGGTACTACCTCTGTAAACATAAAAACCAGTTGTGTTTCTATTCCGTGTACGTCCAAAGACATAAATAGCGTCACCATTAAGCGTAGCGAGGGGGCTTTTTATGCGAAGCGTAAAAACACCGACGAGCGGAGCTCTCTCTACTACTGTAAATGATGTCCATCATTTCTATCCACGCTCAATTATGTGGGTAAAAAAGATATATCAAAAAGCCCGTGGGACAGGTGTTCTCACTCGTCTCAGTTACTAAGTACAATCACCAACTTGAACGTCGCAGTCTCAAACTCCATTTTGCGCCACTAAGTTATAAACCACTCGCCCAAGCCGTGCGACGTCTTGCGCATTCTAAGAAAAGGAAGGGAGAAAAAAAGGGGGGCACGCTTTACTCTACACTATGCACGATCTTCTAAGCCCAGAACCTCAGTAGGCCCGTCTTAACGACAAAAGGAATAGCGTAGAGTGCCGGGAGCCATCCTAGCGTGTACATATGGAAAGTCATGCGGTCGGCTTTGGCAGTCCTGTAGAGCATCAGGCGGGCGGCGACAAAACCTCCACTGACAAGTGGCCACAGGAACTCGAGGACTCTGGCCTCCCAGTAGATAGGTAGCGCAATCGAGAAAAGGAGGATGACCACGGCTGTCACGACACGAGACCAGCTGTCGCCCAGAACGAGCGGGACTGTTCGCCTGCCGCGGATCTTGTCACCCTCCTGATCCCTGAAGTCCTGGATCTGGACGGTACCTAGGTAAGGAGTGTGTTGAGGCCAAGGAGTGCGCACCACTCGTAGCCCACGTGGCTCATAGATGTGGACTTTATGGCGGCCACCCGCGTGGTACCGAGCTGACCTGTCGTGTAGAAGAGGGCGTTGATAATGTTCTTGCCCCACCACGAGCTGGCACCAACGTAGTCGTAGACTCAGGTCTCCGCCATGAAGCACAGCGCCTCCGGGAACCCGCCGAGCAGCAGGCTGGCGGTCAGCAGCATGCACGTGGCGACTACATACCACTTCTGAGCGGCCTCGATGGTGAGCCTGCCCGACGGGATCGCACGCCAGGGTTTGTTGAGCTTGTCCTCCTCGATGGATCCGGGGTCCTTCTGGTTGCTCAGGTCGAAATGGAAGACATACAGCCAGATGTAAGTCAGCGCCCTAGGAAATGCCGTGACGACGTCGTACCAGCTCGGCGCGGTGGTGGTGACTCCCCCAGATGCCAGGCTCAGCATGGAGAAGAGCGCGACGGGTAGCACATAGGCCTTGATGTTGCTTTCCGTGATGAGGTTGGCGAGGGAGATGGTGCCCTGAATCTTGGACAAGATCGTGGGTTCAATGCCTTGGTGGCCATTTTGTCTGTGAACTTTGGCGGATCAAATGGGAAAGGTGTTATTGGTCCAAAGGTGAACGGTATTACACAGGATTGTCAGAAGTCGGAGCGAGCACAAACGAAACAAAATTCGAACCGAGCCGTCTTTAAAGCTTGAAAAGTCGAATGATACATCGAAGGTTGGACTGAAAGCTCCCTAAAGGCTCAAACCCCCAAGTACGGGATAACTTCCAAAATCGAGTTGTTTTCCTACAGCAATAGGAACCTCTGTATCGCATAAGGAGCGGCATTGATTTTGGCGGGATCCACTCGAGGGCGGGTGCTTTCCTGCATTGTAAGTCGCGAATGTCGGGCATTCTCCCAGAGCTGTACGAGGGACCGCCGTGGAAGGCTGCTCCCGGCCGGCGACTAGTATCCTGATCTTGCGATGGCATGCATGGTGACCCGTATTGTCCCAAAGATCCAACCGAAGATGTTGTCAACGTATCGGTGTGATCGGCTGGTACCAACAGCTCAGCCCACACTTCCCTCTAGAGCTTTGCGCTCAGGGGAAGCCCTGCAGAGCAACGGAGATAGCCCCTTGTTGCCCGAAGAAACGGACAAGTCATCCTAGGAGCAAGAGCACACATTTAAAGTACAAAACATTTACAAAACGTGACATTGTAGGGGGGTCCCGGTCGAGTTTCTCTTCTCCAACTCACCCATTGACCCGTGAGCACCGCTGCAAAACTATCGAGGGAGATCTTGTTTCCGGAGCTTCCTCAAGGAGTCCTGCGTCTTGCCCGCGGCGACAGAACTTGCAATTCGGTTTCGATATGCCTTGAGTTGGTCATTGTGAATTCTCGATGGTGTTTCACGGAGTGCAAGTATTATCATTGCTTGTAAACCAAGGCCCTTGAGAAGGTCACGAATTCTTTCTAAGTGAGACCAACAGTGAAAAGAGACCTTCATCAATAGGGCAGTTTTGCGTAGGTCAAAACATCGATAGAGTGTGATTTCACTGGCAACTTGAAGGTTCGGAAACCCAGGGAAGCCGGAACGGTGATGGCAGCTTCCGCTACAAGAACTATTTTTGCCACGTGAGACAAACCTTACCCATCTCCCGAACGATAGCACCAGCTTCCAAGTTTGAGCTTGGACCGTTCGCTGTTGATGTCCCAATATCACCACCCCAAATCTCGGTATGCAGGGGGGCCGATTATTATTATGGGATTGTTGCGCTCCACCCAGTCAATCCATCTGTCGGCAGCGGCAAGGCAGCGGCATGGCAGCGTCTGAGGTCGCCTCAGATGACGCCTTTTGTGTCGGTCCCTCGAATTCCTTGTCAAACATATATGCAATGGCATGACCGACTGTAGGTAGTGCAGGGGATTCGGTGGTTTCACTGATTGCCACCAGGAGTAAGGTTTACTCGGAGACCTTGTTCAGGCCGGCACTCAGCCCCTAAATTATAGAGAAAGTTTTGAATTTTATAAATATGAAAGTGGCTAATGCACAGAAAGGAAAATCTTCCGTCTGCAGGTACCGAATGCAAAGGAGAGTCACGCTTTCATCATTTGTGCCGGTCCTATGTAACGCAAAGTCGTGTCTCTTTCCATCATCACTCAAAACAAAGCAGTGGCACAGACAGCTATTTTTGACTGCTCTGAACTTTACGGCAAGCTTGTCATACAGGACCTTCAGTACTGTTGTGTCGTGCATTTCAAACGCGCATATCAAGAGGTAGTCGGGATAATATTGCTGTATTCAGCTTGAAATGATCGGTGCTTAGCAAGGCTTTGCTCAATTGACAATTGCCTCGTTGAATACTGTATGTGAAATCTGGGATCCAGCCTTTTTTCAAGTTCAAAATAGTCCTATCAGTTTGCTGTCTCGCACTGCATCTATGGACGTTGGCGTGAGGGCGAGGGATGTAGTCAAGCCAATTCCAGTCTAGTCCACATTGGGACTCTCACTGTCTTGTGACAAGCGAACATTGGAAGTGATTCCCCCCTGGCTCAATTAGGGGTTTCGTTTCTATTCCCCATACATGTAAAACATATATGGCGCCTTCATACAGTGGTGAACGCTCAAGACCTAGTGTTTAAGAAGAGACAATGCCACATATGCAATACCAATGCAGAGAGAATACAATACATCTGAGGAACCCAGACTCGTCTTGACTTGCGTATCTAGGTACTTGGGTAATCAAGAGCACACTGAGTGCAAACACCGCCTTGTGAAACACACTGTAAATCAAGACAAAGCCCTGCGGAGACGGCTGATCTCAGAACATCTCTTCAAAATCCATTTGTGCTGATCCTCACCGACAATGTTGGCTTGTTGCAATAATTTAAAGAAATTCCAGAGTAAAAATGTGAACGAGGACATGGGGAGCACCGCCTGTACAGAATCCTGACGTGCTGGAGCGAAAGCAATTACGTATCATGGAGACAATGTAATTTGAACTCTTTACTCAGAGAGACCACTCAGGTATACATACCTACCTAGGTACTTGGGAACTAAGCACGTAGTTCTGGAACAGGCCTCGGCCATTCCTCACAAGTGCAACAAGACAAACTGCCAGTGGTGACAGGTTTTTCCGACTACCCTCATCGCATGCTCACATGAAGTGCAAGTGAACCTTGAAACAAAGCCACCGCCCGCAGATGGTCATGCTGATAACATGTCGGATTCAATTGCTATCTTGTCTAGATGGGCTCTTTGTTCCAAGCTTCTGACAACGTTGAAGCAACTCTAAAACTCTACGGCATATTATGAAATCAAGCCACCGCACAAGCAAAGCAGCGCAGACATCTACAGATAAGAGCAAGCAAATGTGTGTCACGTTTCGCTAAATGGCTGGGATACGTAGAATCAAATACCGTGTGTGGGCCAGACAATGGACTATAGCCCATTGTTCGCTGCCCAGGTGAGCCTGCCATTGTCTCCTTCCCCCTGTGTCGGTAGCTGCAGGAGCAACGAGCTCTAAATGCCCCCCAATTGTGTTTTGACGTCTAAAATGATTCACTCCCGCCAGATCCATAGCTCCTTCCCGACCCTGTCTGACTGATTTCAAGACCATCGCCCTCGTCTTCACCTCTGTGACTACTCTTTCCAACTGCCTCACCTGTACAACATTTTTCTCGAACAACAGCACCAGGCAACGTTGAATTCGCATCTTCATCTTCTTCGGATAGACTCCTCGCCATCAATAATTGCGTCGACAACATGGCCGCCAGAAACACTGGTCTCCCAATCCACACCCGCCATTTCCGCCCTAGAGAGGAGTAGGTCCAGCAGCAAGCACTGCACCGACACCCGTGTAGCTACGCTGACTGGCGACTTGCAGGCGCACCATCATTTTCAAGGTCGCCGGAGGCGACTTCTACCACGTACCCGTGTCCCAGGTTGGGAAGATCTGCCCTGAGCTCGAGGCCATTACCAATCGCGCCGTTGAGAATGGAAAAGTGAGCGGGCCTTAAGCCCTCCCAGAGCTATCTGCAGGAGCCTCTAAATTGACCCTCGCCAATTCCACAGGTAAGGGACCATGTCTTCGACGTGCCCCGAGAGCTAGAGGGCCACTGGAAGAACTGGTGGCTCATCAACGACTACATTGTCCGAGGCAAGTACAACCCAGCGCGAGAATCTTGAAAGACGGAGAGCAAGTGACAACATTCCACCACACGTCAGAGACACAGTCGCTAACAAGGACACCCACAACGCACGCAGGCCGCGAGCTCTATACCTTCGAGCCGCTCTCCTCCTTCCTGACCGACGCCAACGTGTACATCCTCGCGACGCGCTGCAACTACCCCGCCGCCGCCGACGCAGCAGTAGCCGCGACGGAGGACCGCGCCGCCGACATCATCGACTGCTTCACCGACGCCGGGTGCACCTTTGACCATCACGTCGCGCTGTTCGATCTCCTGTCGCTCGTCGCGGCCACCCGCCTCGCGTGTGGTGGCTGGGGCACCGCTGCTGCTCAACAACAAGACTCTGACTCTGCCACTTCAAGTGCCACTTCAAGTGCCACTTCAAGTGCCACCTCGGAATCAACAGAGGGAGGCGGGGAGGAAGATGGCCGGGCGGGTCTCCGCGCCATGGTCTCGGCCGCGTGCGCCACGCTGGCCCCGCTGCTCGCCGAGCTACCCACGCTCCGGACTGAGGTGTTCGAGGACGCTGAGTTTGCGGCGCTGTGGGAGGGCGTCGGCCGTGATGGGCTGGCGCCAGACTGGCTCACGCCTATGGTGAGGGACAGAATACGGAGGGTCGTTGAGGGTCGTGATATTGTGGCGGTATATCCTGAATCCGGGTGAGGCCCAGGCGTGCTGTCTGGGGACAAAGAAAACCCAAATAAGCTCGAGGCAACTCTTGCGCCAGCTTCAACAAGTTTGAGATGTGGGAAGGGACAGTAAATCAAGACTAGGCGAACAGGTCATATCAAACAGCGCTTTCTACACTTGAGCGGTTGAATACGACGAGTTTAAATGAGGGCTTGGGGAGAATGCTCATTTCCCATTTAAGCTGCGCCATCCTCCGCATGCTGTGCTCACCCAGGTGCATCCAGCGTATACCACGTGAGAAAACCGGGGGTGTGGTATCACCAAGCCCCGGACAACTTCTGGCGTGAAAACACCTCGTTCCGGGCGACGTAGACTGGTGTTGGACACGTGATGTTCAACAGACAAGCAAGATGCCGCAGAGAATGAGATTCAACATGGGAAGAAGAACTCTCAAAAGGCGGCAACCTTGTTGACGGAGAAGATTCGTACTTATCCCCCACTGCCCAAAACCAAGGTCTACGTGTTCGTTCACACGGCAACTACGCCGCTCACCTACTTGTTGATACCGACTTGGCCACAACTACGGAGTACCTTTTGGGGGCTAGAACGGCAGTTCACGCTCCAGATTGTAGACTTCAGAGCTCATGGGAATTAGCAGACAGGAGAACCCCCCCCCCTTTCCCCCGGACGAGAACGCAGGACCGAAAGCCCGACGGCGACGGGGAAGCGGTTGCAGTTGGATGAGGATACCCTCACTCTCTCAGACGTGTCGTGCTGTCAGCAACGAAATTGAAACACCCCATCCAAACCCTTCTCCCTCAGAACCGGGGAAACTATTGGGGGAGGGTGGGCCAAAACTCCCGTGGAGAAGGGGGAGGGGGGTTGTGTGGGTGGGAAGCTCCGCGCGGGTTGCGGGAATCACTTCTGGATTTGGGGCATTGAAACACCCTCAGAAATGGTGGCGATGACGGGGCAATAGATCTTCGGTAATCCGCCCAAAACCCCCTAGCAAGGTGGTGATAGGTAGCTCTGTGCCGGGTGATAAGCATGCGAACACAACAAAATGTACACAAGCACGGAGAGGTCAAACATCACGCGGCACGCATACGCCGAATAAGAATCGTGGGTGGAGGGAGCAGCCCAAAGACCGCTGTATGTCTGAATTTCCTTATGACTCCTTTGCAGTAATAGCCATGACCCGTCGTCTACCGTCAACGTGGTCTCATTCAAGCCATATTGGATGTCATAGACAAGTCCTCCTCCCCTCCCCGTGAACGACTGAAATAATAAGAACTGAACACCTTCTTTGCGCCATTTTGGAAGATTGCCTCCTCCTGTTGTCCCAAAGCGACATAAATCAAAGCTGCCACCCGCCAGTGGAATGAAATCGGGACTGTCACAAGTGACACCCCGGATCTCATCGGGGGGAAGCTAGTACACTACCGTGCTCCCCCCAAAGGCAGCCCCTGAAGTTTTTGGTAAAGAGGTAACTTCAAGGTATCCCCTGCCGTCGACCATGGGTCGATTTGAATGTGGAAAAAAGTTCCATCCCTCTTCATCGTTTGGTATCATATATGATCGTACTTGTGAAACCGCGTCAAGGGTTGGGTGATTGAAGAGAATTTGCTGAAGAGGTGATAAGAATCGAAAGCCCAAGACGCACTCAACCAGGAGCTGTTTGGATGGATTGTGGCCAGTGGGTGGACAACCGACTACAGCGAGGCGAAGCGCTCCTCCATGCTGCCGAAGAAGACGACGGGCCTTGGCTCGAGGATCTTGAGCTCGGAGCCGAAGGCCTTGTGCTCCTCCTCCAGGTCCACGATTGAGGGCTGGCGGAAGATCATGCTGTTGATGGACGAAGCAGCGGACGCCGAGGAAGTGTTTGAGGCGTAAGAGTTCCGGCTGGAGCTGGTCGATGTCCTGCGGTAGGAGAAGCGCGCCCGCGAACCCGCGGAAGGGGTGAAGCGGGTGGCGACTGGCTGGAAACCGAAAGAGTCCATTTTGGTGGTTGGTAGAGCAAGAGCGGTGAGTGCAGGTGGTTGATGCTGGTCAAGTGTGGAGCTTTCCGTGTATTTAGTTGAAGCTGTGCAGATGGGATGGTTGCGGTGCGACAACGGGTTCGACTCTTTTGAAAAGGAGTTGAAGGATTATTAAGAGAGGTGAGTGACGCAAGAAGGCTCAGCCTGAGGGTATATATGTGTTTAATGCCACGTCGGTGGAAGCGAGAGTCTTGGGTGAAGCTAGATTTTGTCTAGCGGAAGCGAGTGAACGATCTGGTCCGTGTGTAGATCAAAAGAAGTGGGCTTTGGTGGGTTCCAGAGCCAGGGGGCGCGGAGAGATAGAGAGTCGTCGTCAACGGACACACACACTAAACTGCGCACGACGGGATGGGGCTGGGAGCTTGGAGCTGCTGGAGGTAGATTGAACGGAAACCGAATCGACGTCCAGGGTCAGAGATGCCAGGCTTGAGGCTTTAAGTATTATATGAAGCCAGGAGTGAGGGAAGGGCGCGGAAGGGAGGGGTGGGCTGTCCAACAGCAGACAAGGGCGGCAGGGGTCGATGTGGGTGCGACGAGCGACTTGCGACCTGACAAGGAGGGCCGGGTTAGCCAGGTTAGCCAGGGGAAAGTCGATGGTCCTCAAACCGAGGGAAAGTGGAACTTGTCGGGTCCCTGGGCTAGACCCGAAATAGCAGCCAGGAACCACGGACGACCCGGACAGGCGATAGGAGATGCCGCAGAAGCTGCAGCCACGGGGTATCTCTTGCTGGCGGGCCTGGGGCCATCCGGGGATGGCTTGTTCCACAGTCGCCTGGCAACCTGTTGCAAGTTGCAACCTGCTGCGTACAATAGCAGGCAGGAGGCAAGCAGGGCTGGCAGGCTGGGCCAGAGGTCGTCTGCCTGGTGCATTCAGAGACACTTGGACACGCCTGACACGGTAGGTTGAGGCAGGTCCGGCCCTCAGTATAACCCGCCCGCCCGCCCGCAGCCCGCCCTGAAGTTGACCGCGCGCGGGAGTGACGGCGGTGGTACTGCACTAATAATTGCATTGGCAGTGCAATAGTATTGGCGTGGTGGGCTTTTTTGGTGGCCCGCTTCTGGTCAGGGGGCCATGGTGTGTGATGACACAGGGAGGAGACGAGTTGATGGGGTGCATGCGAGGCGAGGCGAAGCGAAGCAAGCGAAGCAATGGCCGCACGCCCGCGCGACGAACCCGTTCGACGTCGACTAGTGCGTTGCCATGTTGGGCCGATAGATCAATGCGGATGATGCCACCACCCTCACCACAGTGACCACACGCAGACACGCTGCATCGAGAGCGGCCTGTTCTGCCCTGTCTGCCTGTCTCACTGCGTTAGGAAGGGAACCACCCGAGACCAGGGCTTCGACGGCTAATGTGTCGCAGCCATCCAGCCATCCCAAGCCACGCATGCCATACCTGCAGCACCTTTATTATCGATCTGCAAGCACCGCAGGTACGGCATTGTCGCCACAGCATTGTGTGCACGGTAATAGACACAGGCGCAGACAGTTCTGAGATTCAGGCGCCAGATAAATGTGTGGCAGCCGAAACAGGCCCGGGACAGGCTTGCCGGGCTGATTGACTGACTGACTTGCTGACTGACTGACTGAGTGAATTGTTTACGGTTACATAACCGCATACGAAGATGCACCATGCACCCATCCCATGCGTTTCGATGTGTGGTCGACAGGTGGATGCAAAATTGTGGACCAGAGAGCGCGCTCGACAGGCAAGGGCCGCTGGGCCGGTCGTCCTGTTTGAGCGGCAGTGAAACAAGCTCTCGTCTGGCCCGGGTTCGAGATGCCTGCTGTGGTGAGTTTCTGATCTCCTCGTATCTGGCAGTCTGGCACCCGCCGTTTCTGCGGGCGCCCGCATTATTCTGGGGTATCTTTGGGTATCTTTGTCTTCGTCTCGTCTCGTGTCGTTCGTCCAGTTTGTCGACCACATCTTGCCCCTTCCCGGCATGCGGTTGTCTCAACTACCGGCGATGGTGATGAATGAGCAGGTAAGATGGCCGGGTGTGGTATCAGTCAGTGTCAAGCCGTGTTGGAGGCCCGAGAGGTTGACTGGAGCTTTGGCAGTCTGGCAGCTGTCTGGACGGTTATCTGGGTGGCTGTGTGGGTGACGAGAGAGGCCTGGGACAGGTCCCGCCAGAGTGCAGGTGCATGATCGCCAGCCAGCCCAGGCCCTGGTTGTGATGCTCCGTACTGTCTACCTGCATCCTACGTGAGAAACCGGTGCGGGCAAGTGTACCCGCAACTTTGAGCTGCGGGCCCCGCGATCAGGAACCGTGGTAGAAATTGGCAAGCATGGCGGCCGCCACCCCTCCTTGGCCTCTGTTTCACCTTGACTGCAGGTCCAGTGCAGGACCGCAACCTGCAGGAGAGCTGCAGGGAAGGCGCGACTCCCATTCGCGGTCTGCCGCACTAGAAGCCTTCTGGAACTATTTGACACCCCCAGAACTCCGATGCTCCCTGCTCCCTCGTCCATGCGGACCATGCCTCCTGGCCTCATGATGCCCTCAGACATCCCCGGCCCATCACCATCGGTCCAAAGTTTCTGTTCTTCGGCACATCGCGATTGTCCGTCGAGGCACACTTCAACCACATATCAGCAGCCGTACGGGGTAGTTATCGCCATATTCGCTTCGCTCCTTCAACAGCGCTCCAGCCTCGTAGCACTAGCCCTGCCAAATCGGCTGCGGATCGCGCCATCAGCGGCCACCCGGTCGTAAAATGCCCGGATATTGATTGTTGGTCTGACGAGCCTGAATCAACTCGCCTCGGGCTGGTATCATGTGGCTGCCACCACATTAACACAACCTCATAACACAACCCCGCCGTACTCAACCCGGCTGCCTCGCCGCCTTCGTCTCCCCAATGCGGCCCCATGGCTGGCAGATCTGTCCCGTCGCACCTCACGTATTAGCCGTGCCCTTCTCGAACGCGGTTGGCTCCTCGTCTGCCCAAGCATCCAAGAGTCTGGACGTTATCTGCTCGATCTTCACCAGGGTAATGGGTTGGCATCCTCGACCCCGGTGTAATTCTGTTTTAGACCGAGCAGGATAAAAAAAACGCACTCAGCCATCATGGAGTTGGTTAGCCTTTGTCTCAAACGAGCAACGGCTCCGAGTTACTTCAGATGGTTTAGTACCCTCTTGCCGCGATTTGCTCACCATTCCCCTTCCTAAGCCTTCCTCTTGTCCGCCGCCAACAGGATACGAGATCATCGATCCTCGATCCTCAACCGACGGCCCGCCTCGGTATGTTCATGCAGGACATCAAACAAGTATCGCCGGCCAAGACAGCGACGCAAGGCCGACTCGGGCTTGCAATTATTTTGGAATCTCGCTCTTCCAGAGCGGCGACGGTCCGTGGCAGCTGAAGATGCCCAGAGCCAGCAGATGCCCAGAGCCAGCATTCGTTCGGCGATCCCCATTGCCTGGTGGAAAAGCTTATCCCCTGACCCATCACCGTCCCTTGATGGTGAATGAAACTTTGACAGATTAGAGATCGCCTCTGTCCCCTCCCAGGAGTCCAGGACGAACAGGCGGAAACCCCGGAAGCCTGACTCCCTCGAAGCTTGGGGGTTTTCGGGCTTTTTTCACCCTCTCTCTGTCCCTCGATACTCTGCCTGTGGGACTGCCTTTCTGCAGGGCCGTCCGCAAAAGCATACCTGAAATAGTAGCAGCCAGCCACAACGGAATGCACGAACGTACGTGCGCACGACAAGCTAATAAGAAGTCTAAACTGCAGGCCCACGGACGCACACGCAACCCCAGTCTCGAACGACCGATCCCAACACTACTGCGCTGCTACCGCGGCGCACCAGGTGCTCGGAACAAGGTGACAGCTGGGGTTGACGCGCAGATGAGACTTGTTTGTGGGACTTGGCACTGTGCAGGCTTGCTTCGAGAGGGAGAAGGGGCGAGTCCGCCACAGACGCAATGCAACCCCAAGCTCTGATCACCTCCCAGCTGATCGCGGGGGATAGCCAAGGCTGACATACACTCAGACGCTATCTTGGGTATCTATCGATCAGATTGATATACCACCCCCGTGTTAGCCACTAATTTCCGACTACAGTACTACTACAGCACGCACGACAGTTCTCCTGCGGGCGTCGAATCAGCCGGGAACTGCGCATGAACTACATGCCCCGCCCCGCCCCGCCACCCCTCGATTCCACGGGCTCAGCTCGGCATTGTATAAGAGATAGACGATGATGCCAGCCCGCAATTGGCCTACGCGTACATGCGTGCGTATGTAAAGGGGGCAACTAGAAGCCTCAAACCAATCGGTCTGCTTGGACACCCACTTCCAAGGTTCAATGTTGCCAGCTTGAGTCGGCCGGCCCATTCGTCCCACCGACGAACCGTATGGGATAGATTGAACAAGGCTGAAAGCGGCCCCATTCTCCTCCCCGCCCAGTCGGGCCTTGTTAATGAACAAATGTTTCGCCGCTGGATACTGGGGTTTAGATACGTACACATTCAAACGCTTCTAGAAATAGAAAAACGTTGGAATCCTGGAACCCGCAATGGCAGTTTTCGCCCGAGTCAAGGTGGCGAGGATTTTTTTAAGAAATGGTGCTTTATATGCCGCAGCGTGTACGCATATGGGAAGGGGCGGTTTTCTTGTTATAGCAGCAAAAACATACCAAGGGACCGGCGAAACAAAGCCGACTCCATCCGATCATGTTTGCCAAGGTTTGTTTGACATGACAAGGCGGGAAACTCAAAATAAAAAAAATAAAAACAATAAAAAATAAATCGCGCTTGCGCATGAGAGTCTGACTGACCGGTAGCAGCTGGCACACAACTGGCTTACGCCGTCGGTACCAAGAAGGGGCCACCGACGAGTGCGGCCTGGGTGAGGTAAGTGGATGAGTTTTCACAGAGAGAGGATGCCTGGGAAGGGAGAAATGAATCACAACCATGGAGCCTGATGCCCCCACCCATGTCATTTGTTTATCACTGAATGTCTCGAGGAACCTGTTCAAGACCTGAACACACCCCCGACCACGGTGTCTAGGCAGATATCTACAACCTTTCCGAACCCAAACAACTTCACCACCCCACCCATTCGTGGTAATATGGACAACCAGTATGCTCGCTTCGCTTCGCACAGATTAGGCAGGACAGTAATAAAAAAGATGATGGAAACGCCGCCAGAATAGAGGGAGAACTTCTTCCTCCCACTTCCAGATAGCCGCCGTGAACGCCGGTGTAGTTAGTCCCTGCAATTCCCTTTCTCGCAATGCAATGAATGGCGTATAGCGGTTGGTAGCCAGCAGCCGGCCTCGTCTCCTTTATCCCATGTCCCAGATGTGCATCCCCTCCATTTGTCTTCCCGATCGTTAATCCCATTAGTCCCTCTCCCAAGTGAGATTGGATAGATGAATCTTGCCATCCTTGATTACCACCCCGGCTTCCTCTTCATCGTGGCGCTCCGCCGGATGCTCGCCATCCAGATGGAGTCGTCGAGGATCTGGCTCATCTGGATCGGGCTGACGGCGCTGTTGCTCCTGCTGTTGCGCCTGCTGTTGGCCGCGGAGCTGTTGCCCGACCCGGGCTGCAGCTCGAAGCTGAAGGCCGAGTGCGTCGACTGATGCGCGTCGCTCCTGGCCGAGCTGGCCTCGCCCGCCCGCGGCATGCTCAGCGGGTGCGCGCCGCCCCCGCTGTCGAAGCTGGTCTGCAGCGTGAGGTCCGCGCTCGTGCCGGACCACGTCTTCTGGTTGGCCGTGAGCCCGCCCGCGCCGCCGCTGTTCCTGGCCTCGTTGGGGCTCAGGAACCCGCCGTCCGTGCCTGGCGAGCGCAGGCCCGCCGAGCCGGGGGTCGATGGGCTCTGTTGCCCGTATGGGTTCTGCAGCCGTGCTGACGCGGACGTCTTCCTCCTTTCGCGCTCTTCTTCGTCGTCCACTAGAATGTCCGGCAGGTCGAGCTGAGGTATTGCCGTCATACGCGCGGACCTCTTGCGATCCATGTGCCGCTTGAACTGTCGTGCATAGTACCTATCGATGATTTGTCAGCGCCTATGTCCAGCCGCAGTCGCAGCTATAATGACTTACATGGTGTCGAAGAAGCCGACGACCACACGACGGCGAACCTCCTCCTCGACACGTTGCAGGCGTGCCCGACGACGCAAGAATTCCTCAAGCCTGTTGCGCAGTTGTTAGTCAGCCAGATTCCGGCAGTTTTATTCCACATGTGTCACTCACCGAAGACTCTTGCTGTCGTTGATAATGTTGTAGTGAGCCAAGATCATGAGCACTGTAGTGAACGAGATCCCCCTGTCCGGATCCGCCGAGACCATGACTTCTTCATAGAAGATGTTGTACCTCCTGCGCCTCTCCCGCACCGCTTGGATGTCAATTTGGTTCAGCCGTTCGTTCAGCTTCTTGAGATTGGCACCGCCGTAGACGCTTGATGATGAGATGGACTGGTGGCGGGCAGATGGCACTTCGTTTCCAACATCATGAAGAATCGACCCCACGGAATCGTCATGTGAGTAGATACGCATCTCAAACACACCAGACAGCTCTCCCAGCAGGCGTGGGAAGGCTTCCTTGCTGATGTATCCAGTGCCACGGGGGTCGACTGATCTCCAGGCCTCCTTGAAGCGGCGGATCTCGTCGCGGTCGACGGCAGACAACCCGCTTGAGCGCTGGTACACGTACGAGAAACTCTCGTAAATGAGCGACACGAACAAGTTGACGAAGATATACATGCTGAGGATGTTCCACAATATGAATAACACCCGGGCCCATGCAGCGCTTCCGCAGTCACTAGAATAGAAGTTGTCGCTCTCCACGCACAGAGGCGGCTCGATGCAGGCGTAATCTTCCATGATCTCGTTCCAACCCTCACCGACAGACATACGGAACAGCAGGATGAGTGCGTTGGGCACCGTGCGGAAGTTGATTTGAGTAGTCTCCTCGCCACCGAATCGCGTCAAGCTGAACGTCTGCGTAAGGGCGATGGCAAAGACGAGGAAGAAGACCAGCCATGTTGCCAACAGATTGCCGATAGTCGTCAGACTAGCCGCCGCCGTCTTGAAGAGCTGGTCCAGGGCGTCATTGCGGGGAATGAGCAGGAACACGATGGCAACGAGGAAGAACTTGTGCAACTGGACGAAAGTGTCTTGCGAGGGGAAGATGAGGAAGAGTATCGTAGTCAGGAACGCGCCGATCACAACGACGAGCGAGTACATGTCCCATGAACTCTTCCTGAATCGTGGCCAGCCCAGACCAAACATGCGAATTGCAGTGTTCGCCATGTAGATCAGTGTGAACAAGAAGAATATTGCGTCTCTCGTATTGGTCCACCACCTGGGCTCCTCATAGAACTCGAGGAGCAGAAGCAGCAGATGGAGGCCCAGCACGGCCGTGATGCTGACGTACCACTTGCCCTTCTTCTCGATTGCGCGCTTGTGACACCACTTCTTCCAGCTCTGCCCAGAGTCATCATAAGACGTCTTGGAAGGCGAAATTTGGCGGAGACGTTTGCGCAATTCGAGCCACGACCGTTGCTCTGTCGTCAGATATGCCACACCAGTCTGCTCCGTGTAGTTTCGCATGAAGACGGAGATGAACAGCGTAAGCACGAAGACTGTGCCCAAGAGATTGTAGATGATGAAGAAGACGGCATTGCCTTGGGCGACTCCATCCTGCGGCTGCCTGCCGACCCCTGTGACCGCCTGCGCCGCAAACGAGACATCAATCCAGCCTTCTTGACTGACAACCTGGAACAGAATGAACAGGGAGGAGCCAAAGTCGTCGAAGCTGAAGAATGGGTTGGCGGCCACTCGGGGAGCCAGCACTTCCCAGTTGTATGGAGTACTGTTGAATTCACCAAAGCAGTCATAGAGGAACTCGCCCGCGCTGTCGTCATTACAGGTGACCATCTTGCCCATGAACAAGTTGGTCCCGTAGATGGCGAATGGGATAATCAGCGAAAGCGACACGAAGGCCGCGCTGGCAATCTTCCACCAACCGATGACAATCAACGAGTGAAATGTGTCACGGGCGCTGTCACTGACGTTGAGCAGCCGGAGAGCCCTGAGGGCTTTGAAGGCGCCCACAGCGCGGGACACGGCTCCAGCATTTGTGAAGAGCGTGATAACGTTAATCCAAAGAGTGATCAAGACCACAGCATCAATGATACCCCAGGAGCTGCGGAAGTACGCATTCGGGGTCCAGAAGAACCCATCTGCGATGACCTTGATGAGAGCTTCTGCGGTGAACAGAGTGGCGAAAGCCATGTCGGTCCAGACGAACCAGTTCTCCACGCTGAATTCATGGGTCTCGAAGTATTCCTTCTGGTAAAGTGGCGTTGTAACACAGGCCAAGATCACCATGGCGACAATAGCGGCATAGATGAAGGCCGAAAACGAGTACCACGCAATCTTGTGGGGCTCTACGCCATCAAAACGCTCATTCCCCCGACCAGGACCAACGATTCGTTGGCAAAGGCGGCGGATAGGGTTTCGGGGGGTGAATATGAACAAGGAATTGTTGTAAGTGGGGTGTCGGGCCAGGTACGCGCGCTGGGCCTTGCGTCGCTCCGCAGAGGCAGAAACAGCTTGACGAGCCATTTGCCGCGGGTCCTGGGTCTCATTACGAGATTCGAAGGTGCGATTCGAGTAGAAAGGATTTGGGTCTTTGCTGCTGAACGACGTGACCACTTTGCCCCACACCATGGACATGAATCCAGGCTTCACATTACCAGCCTTTGCAGTAGCGTCGTCTGGAGGTGATTGGCTGCCACTGCCAGGTGTCTCCTGCACGGTCTCGACTGCATCGTCCAGGAAGTCTTTGACAACAGCCTCTTTGAGCAGCATTTCCATGGTAGCCGGGCCGTAATCCAGAGGGTCCTTCTTCTTCCTAGTCTTGCCGAGGGAGAAGATGGTCGAAAGGGCGAGATTGCTCGAACTGCCACCCAGCTCTTTCCGCTGCAAGAATGCGCGGACTTGTTCAAGCCGCTTGACATCCTCGCCGACATCGAAATTTTCTTGGATGACAGCAATGAACATATTTATGAGAATCATGAACGCCAAAATAAACCACCCAACAAGAAACATGGCACCAATCCACGCGGTATGCCATTGCACTGTGTAGCCGGTGACTGTGTACAGAACAGTCGTCCAATTCTCACTGGATAAGATTTGGAACATGGCCTGGAATGAATTCCAGATTGTCGAGAAGTTCATTTTGATGCCCTCCCCGCCTTCGTCCTCCAAAGGTATTTCTCCGCGGAATAGCTGCGAGGCGAAAATTGCCATAAGGAGCGTCATCAGGTAGACAAACAGCATCAGGTTGCTGATACCAGTGGAATCACCTAACACTAGGACGATCAAGTCTCGAGTCATTGGCACCGCAAGGACAACACGGTAGACCCTCATGATCTGAAAAAAAGTCAACCAGGCGTAAACCGTTTCGTGCGATTGGATCGGAGGCAGAAGGATGACGGATGTGATAACGGCGAGTCCTAGATCCACAAGGTTCCGAGTATGGTGACGGAACCCTCTAAAGTCCGCGACTATTCGTAGGATTATTTCGATGTCGAGTAGAAGCGTAATCACAATTTCCACATTGTCGATGAAGGCCTTGCGGTCATTTGACATCTCGGCGCTCTTACATGCTTGTGCAAGCAAGTCGAAAGCGATACAAAGAACCCAGAACAGCCTCGACTTGTTGTATATCCGTTGTATGGAAGATAGCCGTTTGGGTGGCTCCTCCGTAGGACCGTCCACAAATTTGTCCTCGCTGTCGGTGAAAGCACTGGCCCTGCTCTCCTCACGGATGACCTGAAATGATGATGTAATGACAGCGATCAGCAAGTTGACCAGCCATAACAGCATGATCATAATTCCAGCGCCGAAGAAGAGTGCTGCTGGTGTGTAATCCGAATCGATCGTGTAGTACATGAGGTCGGAGAAGGTATTCGCACTCATGACAACGAATACCATCTCGAGTGAGTGTAGAATGTCGTCAAAGTGCATGGTGTCATTGTACGGATTGCCCTGCTGGAGACAGAGCGACCCCCTGGGACAAATATAGCCCTTAGCGTTAGCTGTCCCGGGGCTGAGGTTGTTCAAGTTGTCTGGCGGCTCAGCAATAACCCATGGCAAGTCTTTGCCAGTGGTTTGGTTCTTGTAGCCACCACAGAATTGGAAGTCATTGACAAACGCCGCAGAGATGTTTAACGGGTCTTCCGGATCGATCCAGACACACTGCCGTCTAAGACTTCCCTGGAAACTTTGCACACCAATAATGGCAAAGACCAACCAGAAGAAACCGATCAGGAACGAGACTCGCATCAGTAGAGGTGCCGCTCTTTTCAGACTTCGCAGAATAACCTGTTCTCATATATGAGTATTTCAAAATTCACCATGGCCGGGCACAACTTACCGCGTTACCCTTGGTCAGGGCCAGCAGCCTCACGATCCGGAGACAGCTTAGCATTCTGAACACGTAGAGATGGTGGCGATTCTCGGCGCCTGTGATTCCGATCACAAAGGATATCCAGAATGAGACAACAGCAACGAAATCGAGTCGGTTGAAACCATGCCTCAAGAAAGCTCGCCGGGCCAACTGAAACCTCTGCTGCTCTTCTATGGTCTGAGGGAGTTGATGGCCGCCAAAAAATGTGACAGAACGCTGGAAAGTTGACGGGCCGAAGTCTTGTGGTGGCTTCTTTACCGACTTTTGCCTCTGGGGTTGAAAGACATTCCGATACCTGTCGACGACAGCCGCCTTGACGCCGCGTTTGCGGTCGATGGTGCTATATTCGGAGGCGTTGAGAATGAAACCAGAGACGATTATCCTGGCGATGATCTCTATTGTAAATATGACAAACAGGCAGAAAATGGCCCAGTCGATCGAGGTGCTACCCCATCTGTCTGGCCTGCCTTCGCCGTCGTCGAAAACATTTGGTGCAGCCTCGACACAGAGGAGGATCATTTGGAGCACGATCAATATGAGAAGCAGAGGCTCTGTCCACGGCTGTACCAGGATATCGCAAAGGCGCTTTCGTAGAGGATTCTCAGGACCGAAGATGCCCAGCGTCTTTCCTTTCAGAGGGTTGGCCATGCGGCCGTGTATCGAGGGGGCCGGGGACAGGGGGCCGGGGTCTGAGGGAAAGACGTATTCGGCCTGTCCCTTCTTCTCTATGGGGCTCTGACTTCCATAGAGCTGCGACTTGTACGCGGTATCGATCTCGGGCACCTGGGGCATAGACTTGCGCGGTCCATCTCGGCTCGGCGAACGGGACCGGCGCCTCTGGTTCTCAAGAACCTCGTCACCACTGATGTTCACGACACGCTGGGACATGGCCCGCATGATGGAGCCAGCCTTGAGCAATGCGCCTTGTGTCGATGGCGAGCGGGACCGCCGGTTCCCGTCGGGAGTCAAGTTCTTGCCAAAGCTCTTGTGCTTCTGGGAGCCAATCCCAGACTCCAAGTCGAAGCCCAGCCTGTCCTCATTTCGCACCTGGCTCGGGCCAGTATCTAGATCGCGCACCGTCTGGAAGCTATCCCTTGGCTGTGCGTCGCCGGCAACGCTGAGACCATCGATCGGCTGAGCAGTCTGCGTAAGAGGCACCCTGTCCGACTCTGGGGCGTTGTGATCTTCGAAGTACGACGGTGCCTCGTAGGCCGCGTTCGGAGTAGAGCCGATCTCTGAGAGAGGACGTGGCGACAGCTGCTCGGTATTAGAGAAATCGGGTGGGAGGGCATACGCAAATGCGGTGGGATCCAGGGGCGACTCGGGCCCCAGGTGCCTCGAGGGCTGTTGTGTTTGTAGTGACAATCCCTGGGGTGGCTGCTGCTGCTGCTGCTGATATGGGTTGTCCCAGTACGTGGTTATGCTGGGCAGGTTCGCGGCCATCTGGGCGGTAGTTGGCGATAACCTCTCGTATCGCTGCGGTTGTGATTGTGACTGCGCCTGTGCCCCGAACGGCTGGGCGCCTCCAGCGCCGGAAGTGGACCTGCCTCTCCCATATTCGCCGGGCGGGCCACCAAGGCCGTCCAAGGGTATTGAGGAAGGCGGGGGCGCCCTATTCCCTTGCCGCGGAGGGGATCTCGAAGGGTCTGCCATGGTGGGCCGGGGTATGCGGCGACGGAGAGGATTCGAGTGAGAAGGCGAGGGTGATGAGGTGACTGGTCAATCGCTGCAGTGAGTGGGCAGCAACTTGATCAATCACACAAGGGCTCGAGATGCGCGCTGAGCGCTCTCGGTTCGCAGGAGGCGGCGATCAGGGCGCGAACATGGCCTGGCCGGGAGGGCTGGTTGCAGAGGCAGAGGCAGAGGCAGAGGCAGAGAGCAAACAGATACGCAGGCGATGTCGAGCTGCTCAATTCTAGCTGGGTGTGTTGGTGGTGGGTGGTGGGCTGGTGGGCTGGCGTGTTGGGTTCGCGTGTGGTCTTCCAGCTGAACCTTGGCGTGGGAGAGTCGAGGAATGCGCACAAGGTATGTAGGGTACTCGGATGGACTGGTCAGGATTGGATGGAATGGGGTAATTGATTGAAGTGGTCGATTGATTGATTGCTGACACAGCGAGAGAAGGGCGGGCGGCTGGTGGCGTGTAGTGCAGTCAGACTGCTCGGCGGGGAAGAAGACGACCTTTGGTTGGGGTGGGGGTCAATCTGTTCGGTTGTTTTCTTTGTGTGTCGGCGGTATCGTATCGTATCGTGATGTCTGGTTTGTGCAGTCGAGTTCAGCAGGAATCCCGAGCGAGCCTCGTCCCCCTTCCGCTTCACATGTTCAAAAGCCGTGGGTCCCTTGGGTCCCTTTGGTCACTGCAAGCATGCGGGCACAGGCGTTCCCAGGTCCCCCCAGCAGCCCCAGGTGGTTCCCAATCGCATCTCGCATCCCCTGCATGGAGGTGGGTCAGAGCGTGCCTTGTCTGGCTGCTTCTGCCACTGCCTGCTCGTGTCTCAGTGTGTCAGTGTGTGTCAGATGCTAGCGCAGAAACCAACCCTGTGGGTTCCCTCAGCTTCAGCTGAAGCCTTCAGCTACCTGCCCGTTCCCGTGAAACTGACTACTACCTAGGTACCTAGGTACTCCGTACTTGCCTACACTATGTATCCGCCCCTCTGGGCCGCCACGGGCGAATCAGAGCTTGCCTGGGTCTGCATACTAACCACTTCAGTATCTGCTTGATAGCTTACAAGGCATGGTATATACACGCACTCGCAGACTGTCACTGTGTACACACACAGCAGGTATAGACCGCGGAGAGGAAAGGGCACACACGAGAGAAAAAGGGACCTGTCAACTGAGCCCCAGCGGCGCCCACTTCCAAGGCGATCCGGCTGGACCGGCTGTGCTCATCAAACTGTCCACGCCAAAAACCCCCCGATGTCTCCATTGTCCCACAAGCCTGGCCCCATCTGCCCAGCACTCACGCTTACGATACGACATGTCCATTGCGTGCCAAGCAGCCCAACGGCCGAAGCCGTGCTGCAGTTTGAGGTTAGCCAAAAGCAGCGTAGCACCTTATTCTGGACTGAGCTGAGGTGAACGACGACAACCTGCCAGCTGGCCAGCCTAGGAAATAAGTAACCCACAAAAAGACAGCCCGTGGCTGCGAGATGAAAGTTGCCACTTTTATAAATATCATAATATCATAATGTGTGCGCACTGTGTATTTGTCCGCAGACACAATTGCCAAGAAACCATGTAGATACTTCCAAGATAAATAACTCCTAGGCAATCCCACAAAACCCTGGGCCACCCTTACTCCCAGTCTACACACTGTAGCTCTTATCCACCGACCGCTCCACTCCTCGCGCTGACCAGGTCGCCGACGCTCGCGATGCCGAGCGGGCACTCAGGCAGTCCGCCCATCATGGCAAACACAGCCACAGCCGCGCCGGACTCCCGCCCGATCCAGTGACCCAGTTCCTCAGCTCCACCGCCATCAGCGAGTCCACCCCGTTCGCGGAAACCGGCTTCCCGGGCTCCACGTCCTCCTCGGGCGGGATGGGTGGACATTGCCCGCTGCCCTCTCGCCTGGCGTCGTCTCCCGCCTGGTCTGCCGTCTCTGCCGAGGACTGGCCACTTCCTGCTGCCGCTTGCGATCCGCCGCCCCCGGAGATGAACGAGAAGCCCGCGAAGAAAAGGGGCTGGTAAGGGGTTCTCCGGGTCGCAGGCCAGAGCCAGCACAGCGAGCTGCCTTGTGCCGTCGATCGGACTGATGTCGTTGAGCGAATGCCCGCATTGCGCATCCAACCAATATCCAGCGAGATGGCGCGCCGGCGGGCCAGCCACACCGGCGAGTGGCTCGAGGAGGGTGAAGAAGTCCAGATCCTTGCCGAAAGGACGGTGCAAGTCCCGTGAGGTCTACACCTTGACCCCCATGGCAAGCTCCCACTGCGCAAACGTCATGTTCGGCGTGATCGCCTCTTGGAGCACCGTAGCTCCGTTGATGCAGCCCTTTGTGGGCGGCATGGTCATGGAGCATTCCTCCAAAGGCTGGACAGGCTGGTTGCGTCGGACACATCGCACTTGAGCGCGACGACGGCGACACCGCGGACCTGTAGCTGCGTGGCCACGTCCGTGGCGGCTTTGGGCGAGGCACCTGAGCGAGAAGGAACGATCAAGTGCTTTGCTCCTCGATCTGCCATACAGCACTTGGGTTCAGGGTCGCTCGGCCCAGACCACCGGAGCCTCCAACGATCAGATATGGCGCGTTCTCGTCGAACGTTCAAGATCAACGTTCCTGGATGAATTACTAAATCGGGATGTGTCAGCATATGAGCTTGGATGTGATGAGGCTTATAGTCGTGGCAGATTTGAACTCGCCGGGCCGACGTCGTCAGGCTTGGGAGCCACAATAACGCGGCCCAAGCTATTGCCGCTCTGTAATTGCTTCAACGCCTCCTCGATCTCAGACGCGTCGAACACTCGCACAGGTCGTAGCTGCTTGGTTTGTCCTCTTCCATCAATTGCGTGGTCTTCTTCAAGAGCCTAGTGGCAGCCCCGGGCTCAGCTTCGTGGCATCAACGGCGCAGAAAGTGCCATTCCTAGCCAACAACGCGATCGGCCAGTACCAATAGCTGCACAGCCTCGATGTCCATGATCACCATTTCCGCCCCCGGGTGAACCACAGTGTCACTGATCACATACTTAAGTAGTGGCATGCAGAAGGTATTGACAATTATCAATACTCAAAAAGTATCCTCCACCGGAGCCCCAACTCGTTCCAATCTGAAACACAAACGCCCACAGCTTCTGCTTTCATTGTGCCGCGCAGTCTGTAGTCACAGGATATCGGGATTCGCCAAATTCGTATAGGAGCGGTCGGAAGGGTTCTCAGGGGAGTCGACCAGGAACGCTAGCTTTCCATCCGTAGGCGAGACCGAAACCCAATGACCATAGCAATATAATGAACCATGCTCGGAGTAGTTTGAATGGGTGGTCACAACCTGTGCAGACTTCTCAGTGATGGACGTGTCATCGGGGTCGCTGGCTTGGTCTTCGCAGTCTGGCTTCCGGCGTCTGCAGCGTGCCCATCTGTGATAAATGATCATCAGCGATGGCCAGCATCGACAGTCAATGGTAAGAAACCCCACTCTTAAGATTCTGCGCAAAGATACCGATCTTGTCGGCTTGGGCCTTCACTGCGTCGATGGATGCCTCGGGACCGAACAGGATATAGTGCAGAAGGCTGTTGATACAATCCACGCAGACATGTGTCGCCTTAGTAGTTTCTAAAAAAAGAATTGTTGGAACTCAGCTTTCTGCGATTTTCATGGATATAATCGCTCTGAAACAGGCGGCGTTGGCGCTGCTCAGCTTCAATGTTATCAACAAACTGCCGTCGATAATGTGATACTTTGCAGGCCGAGACCGAGACTAGCACCCCAGTAGCATACCTGTCATCCAGAAAGTCCTTACAGATGTTCAAGTTCAAGTCAAAGTATACCAAATAATCAATGGGCTTACGAAGCAGCAATTTCTCCGGACGAGTGGCCTGTCACAGCTTTTGGGGCTTACTCCGAAGCTCTACAAGAGCTCAACCAGGGCTATATGTACCGCCGTAGACAATGATCGTGCCCATTCAGGTTTTTTAATGTTCTCAAAACTGATTAACCCATCCAGAACAAATGCGAAGATGTCAGTCGTGGCAACCTTGAGGAACGGGAGCAAGAAAGAATAGCAGACCCGGAGGACAAGAACATACTATTCCCTGACCAGCTCCGCTCCTTTGCATACTCAAGACTCAAATGAACGTACAATTGGGTAGGAAACATCTCCTTGACCCGCAAATTTTCGTGTGCACGAAGTAGCCTGGAGTCTCGAGAATTGCGAAAATCCGCCCATGCAGCCCCCAATAGCAACCCTGTGAGAGGTATCGTTAAATCTAGAATATCAGGATTCAAACCAGTAGAACTACAAACATATGCAAGAACCACCGGGACTAGATTGAATATCGAGATGTGGAGAGCGAAAGCCAGCGCCGGGGTTCGTGATCAAAGGGGTGGCTGTCCGGCTGCTTGCATGCAAGGGAAGAGTGGACTTGCGTATCACTGCCGACTTATCAAGAACAAGGTGCTCCGGTCAGAGAAGAGGAAATGCTCTTGACGGCGACAGTTGTGTCACTTTTGTGCGAGACCCCTGATGATAGCACCCCTCCTGACGGGGCTTGATCACATTATGAGCACTGTCGTGGCCCTCACTCCCGCCCCCCCCTCCGGCCCTCGGCCTCAACCTGAACCTTCAAAACCTCGCGGCCACGAAGGTACAAAATGCGATCTGTGTGATCCTGCCTGGAGCGAACTCATGGGACTCGTAGGCAAAGCACCCTGGAAATCCCCGGAATTTGCCCTTGCACGGCCAGGCATTTCTGACTCCACCGTGCCCTAGACTGGACTGCCAGGGGTATTATGAACGTTGTGGCCCATCGAGATGTCACCTTCAACTCATCATTTGTCAGAAACACGTTGGTTGACGTCAGCTGCTGCTGTTTATCCTAGACCCGGCAGGATACTGGCCAGCTTTGCCTCAATGTCGTGAGACCAATCGGCTCGGCTCGTGCAACATGATCGTTCCCTTCACAAGCTGGCCACATGCTTCTTTGGACACCACCAGCACATGTCCATGGGAACATCAGCCGAGATATCCCCCACAAAGTCAAAAGCGCCGGGGTGTAACATGGTAACAGTCGCAGCCGTGGCATGTACTGCGGTCCCATTTGCCGGTAGTCTGCACGACTGCGACTGATCACGAAGGATTGCAGGTTGTCCGACAGTAGAACCGAGGAGGCAGATTCGATCCTTGCCGTAGAGAGTCGGACCAGGCGACCAGACAAGCAGACTGGCAGTCTACAATGCTCGATCACTCAGGAGAGTTGTGGGTAGAGCTGTGGGTATTTGCATCACCAGGAATGGAGATGAGAGGTGGTTTATCAAGCAGTTGGGATCGTCGGGAGGAGCGGGTACATCTGACCACAATCCCGGGCCGCACCGCCCCACATCAAGCCCTGTGGGGCTGATAGGGCCTCGGAAGCGTAGGGGTTGCGCCTGAGCTCGGCTGCTGAGTGGCCGGACAGGCTGTGGTGTATGTGATAATAATTATTTAAATAATACTAAATAAAATTAAACTAATACAATTACTATTATTTTAATTTTAAGAATTTTAATAAAAATAAATTAAAATATTCTTTTATAAAAGTAAATTAAATAATTATATATACTTATTTTATAAAGTATATTTCCTAATAACTTTAACATACTTACTATTATTTTAATAAAATAGAGGAACTTAAAGAATATAAATAATACACCCGTTAGCTCCTACGGGATATGCGCAACATGGTTGACTCGGCAATCAATTGCAAGCGGTGACAATGGCCGGGCCATGTTCCAATCAAGAGAGATAGCGCCCTATGCTTGCAGTCGCCTCGGTGCTTTTACGGCCTGCTATCGCACGTTTTTACGCCAGCCCGATTGCTATAGCTCGGAGCACTATGCTACCTTGCCCCCCCCCCCCTTCTACTATATGTGTTTCTGTTTAAAAAGAAGGCTAAATGTCGAGAAGTTCCCCTGAAATACATGTAAGTAAACTATAAATAAACCTACTCCGGTGCAATGCCGATGAGTATGCCATTCGGCGATGGATTGTGGGTCCGCTCCTGTTGAGATTAAATTCATGCACTTTATCTAATGCTTAAACTTCCAAGGTTCAGTACCCCGTGACTCAAGGCGCTCTACACAGCCCTATGGAACCTACTAGTGCTACGTATCATCCCTGCGACTATTACCGCATCGCTGCTACGTTTCTACTCGTACGATCTATCAAATGAGCTTTAAGAAGGTTTCATCGTATGTTCAAGCCCTGATTTAAAGTGGACAAGATCCTCCGGCTCTAGTGCATGTTCTCTCTTCTGCTTCCTTTTTCGGAACTATAGCCGTGGTACGCGTGTTCGTACGAAGTTGTGCCGTGCGGAGACATTTGAGGTAAATATCATCCTGGGTCTCCAGGCTGGGTAATTGAAAGTCCGGAAAGGGGCATTCCCCAAGTATATAACGATTGGCTGGCACACTATATCCAGCCTGTTCAAGTTAGAGCCCATCCAGACAAGCTTCTGTCAGTCATCTTCAAAATGCAATTCAACATTAACACCATCCTCTTTGCCATGACCCTCGCCAGCGGCGCCCAGGCCTTTTCCTGCTGGGTTAGCGAGTTTGCCTGCACCAACGCCTGCACCGACTGCGTTCCCAACACTGGCCAGGGTGGTGCCGAGCTTCCCCCCGACCAGTTCCCCTACTGCTCCGAGTGCAACGGCGCTTAAGTGGCTGCTTTTCAATGATGACCGGAACTCCATCTCTCGGTACGTGTTGTCAGCTTGGGAATTCAGGGGGATTGTTACTCACATCTGCCAACAGCACGCAAGTCCTCGGCCTTGACTTCCCCGCCCGAAAGTGTGCCTCTCTGAGGTGGACCAGTTGGCTTCTCTGCAGGGTCACATAACAAGGACGTCGTGGAAACTTTGGAATGTGGTCAGACCACGATTGCAGGGTTATAGTCCCGAACTTCATCATTATATATTAGACTACGATCTATATAAAGTACTGTACGACAGTGGAATATATTGTCTATTTTGTGCTTTACTTTCACTTTCGAGATACAAACCTCCACATAGGGTACATATTAAATATTGCTGACTTCATGACTATGCTTTGTCGTATGGACGGGGACTGATCATGGCTGGTTTGCGTACCTACGTGAGCCACAGCTAGAGTGCCTACCTAAGTACTTGGCAGCCACGGGATCTGTGTGATGATTCCGTGAGGCCGCGAGCCCACCCTTCAGGATAGGCCCACGGCAGTCGTGAACAATGTACTCTGTAAGGCTAGTGCGGAGTGGCGCAGAGCAAAATGGGTCTTTTCTAGGCGTATAAAAGTGTAGTTGAGGCACGAGGGCTCCCTTAGGACGTTGTCGCACTTTTCGTAGGCCCCCACTTCTACCCGTGGACGCCACCAGATGTGCCCAGCCGGATATGGCGCCAAGGGCTCGGATCTGTTGGACAATCCTTCCGAACACAAACCCGGGGTTGTGCATCTGACCATAAGTTTTGACAGCTTGGCAAGGATTTCATAGGTCCGGAGTAACTATCCACAAGCCTGTATTCACCACACCATCTCCTATTAGATTTACTCTTATTTACAGCCTTGTACTATAGAGGAGCTCCTCGCGAGGCTAGATACTCTCTATACCTAGATATAACTTTTAAGACTATTAAGCTATAGATATATTTTTTAATCTATTTTAAAATTAAATATATAAAAGTTATAATTCTAATAATAAGTTAAAAGCTTTAATTAAACTAATTATTATAATAATTTCTCTCTTTATTTAAATTTAATATTCTTTTCTTATACTATTTATCTTAAAAAAGTTTTAATACTATTATATAAACTTATATTATTAGTATAAGCTCTCTAGGATCTCCTTAAGTATCTTTATCCTATTTACCCACAGTAGGGCAAAGAACGCAATAGCAGTGGACCTCACCCAAGTTCGGAGGTTGGCACTCTCCTGACGTTACGAGATATGCACTGCCTCTTGTTCACTAAGATCTTGCAGCCTGGCATCTTTAGTAATTAATGTGGATCTTTAGCAATTTATGTGGTCCGGACTCCTCGACCGGGGTCCGGTACCATACATCTTGGACTGGGCTACGAAGTACTGCATCAATATGGCTGATCTCCTTCCCTTAGCAGCCATGTATCAGGCGATCAAGACAACGGTCTCCGGTACTGTCTCCATCTTAAATACCTCGCTCTCCACACAGGACGCGATGGATAATCCAATATTTTCCACTCGATGATGTTCTCGAGGAATGCTCTCGAGGGGTCGAGGCAAGGGGTGGAGCCTTGTCTTGCGGGTCCTGGTGGTGGTTGACATCTGGACCCAGCCAGCTCCGGTCCAGTTCCTGTTCTAGTGGTGACCATATCTGCGCGGTACACCAGGACTGTTCTCTTTCGTGCTGGTCCAGACGAGTACGGAAATACTACTGCGCCTTCTCTTGACTCGAAATACGACACCGTGAATCCCCTGCCCAAACTACCATCTGCCATGCCTAAGCAAGAAGTGTTTCACCTCCACCCATACGGGTGGGAGAACGATCCCGAGGAGGAGAGGTTCAAGGTCAGCACCCTGGACTACCTCACGGTCTGCACGTACAACAACTATGCCCTCTTCTTCAAGCTTGAAGATGCAGACAAGCCAAGGGCTGTCGAGATTCTAAAGGCTGGTCTGGAGCGAACAATTGCCCAGGCCAGACACTATGCCGGCATCATCGAGAAGGACCCTGACATTGGCCACTCGTTTGTCAAAAAGAAGGATAGCACAGTCCGTCTCTTTGTGCAGTATCTTGATGATCCCAGACATAGGTATCCCACTTTCCAGGACTTTGAGGAGTCCAACTTCTCGGCCGTCACCATGGGTGACCTCAAGCTGTGGAGTGTTGAGCCCATGACCTACGGCGAGAAGCCCGAGGCTCACCCCAACAACAGGCCAGTTGCCTCGGCCTTCAAAGCAAACTTGATACCAGGAGGCATGGTCTTGCACATCCACCATCACCACTACTCGAATGATGTAATGGGATGGGCGGGTTTTGTTCACCAGCTTGCCGAGAACTGCTATGCCGTCGCGAACAAGACCTCCTTCCCGCCATGGGACCACAAGAACCTGGACCTCTCCTGGTTCTGCAGGCCGGACCCGCCAGAGGCGTCCAAGGTGGACGGTCCTCCTTTGCAGAGCCGACACCCAGCCCACACCACCGGCCAGTCTCTCCTCTTCCACCTGCCCAAGAGCAAGGGCGCCGAGCTGAAGAAGCTAGCCACCCCCGAGGACGGCACCTGGATCTCGACCTACGATGCCTTCTCCGCATTCATCTGGCGCACCCTGAGCCGCGTCCGCGCCCCGGTCTTCAACACCGACCTCTCCTCAAAGCTGTTCTGGGCCGAGGCCATCGATATGCGGCGGCGCATGGAGGTGCCCTTCCGCATCCAGCACAATGTCATGTTCGCCGCCCTGTCCTCCACCGCGCCGGTCGAGCAGCCCACCGCCGGCGAGGTCATCTCGGAGTGGCCGCTGTGGAAGGTGGCGCGGTACGTGCGGCAGCTGACCGACAGCGTGACCGCTGACAGCCTCTCGCAGACCCTCGACGTGGTGGCCACCGTGCGCGACAAGACAACCCTCAACACCCAGATCGACGCGAAACCCCCGCTCTCCATCCTCCAAACGGACCACCGCGACGCAAGGATCACAGAGACAAACTGGGGCTTCGCCCGGCCCACCACCTACCGCCATGTCATCGACAACGTCGGCGTCGGCGTCATCGTCATCTATCCGCCCCGCGACCCTTCGGCCGAGTCCGACGAGGGACCCGAGTTCGCCATCTTCTACGAGAAAAGGTTGGCCCAAGACCTCATCGATGACCCGGAGTGGAACAAGTACTTTGAGTACCGCGGCGTTGATGCTGAGGACGCTTCGGCCGCCGATCAGGTCAAGTGCGACCCGGTCGTGGTATAATTGTACTTAATTACACATCGCTAGTGTCACTAGCGATGCCCAGAAAAGATGAATAAAGGACAATAAAAAAAGATGAAGTCCTGGTAATACAGTTAGAGAGTTTGCATTATGTGCTTGTGAATGATATATCCCAGTGTTGCAAGGACGACGTGCCGCCTCTCACGTCGTTATTGTCCATCTGCGCAGCAGTTGATCGACACCTGGGAAAAGTCCGGGATTCGGTTGTGTTGCTCCTTGCTCCTGCTGCAAGCTCAGTCGCGAACGACCCAATATATCCTCCTGAACCATAAATCTGCAAGAAACCAGTCGTCGCCATGGCGCTTCCAGGTCTCATGGTAATGGCCTCCACCTGTCCCGTGGCCCTTAGGATCCGTTGATCCCTTTGGGCCGACGTGGTAGATGACAGTAAAAATCGCCTTGACCTCGTTAGGGCCGGTTTGTTCAATCTCACCTGGTCCAACTGAATGGATCTGCCATAGGGTCAGCAATCCATGTACAAAAGGATGGCGGTCTTCTTGATAGGATTCGCAGGGACTGGCGACTACCACCGAGCCGACCCGATGAGAAACCACTTACAACCTGCTGTGTCTCGAGTGCCTTGGTGAATGAGGTGCAGAAGGTCTCCAGATCCTCCCAGGAATAAACGATGCCGTTCTCGTTGAGCACCTCGCCGTCCGGGCCGGCAAACTTGAAGGTTGCGTTGGGGAGTGCGATCTTCTCAAACAGATGGAATTGGTTTGTATCAGCGAAGCGGCAGTACTGCGTCTTCTTAGTACGGATGACCTCCGCGACTTCCGGAGAGACCGTCATGTTTCAAGAGGCAGTCGATGTACGCTGCTGAGATCGTGAAGAATGAAATGTAAATAGTCAACGTCAAGCACGGGAACGCAGGCACGGTGCAGCAGCTAGGATAACAGGAGGCCAGAAGGACTCCAACCAGGTGTGAACCATTTCTCAGATTTGCCTTGAGGAACCCAGAATATTTATATTCGAATGTGTACTGCATGAGCTGCCCAAGTGGGGGGCCACGACATCTCCGACACGAGGGCCATTTGTGGGATTAATGTCTGGATGAATTGTCGAGATCCAGTCATTTGATGGGAGTAAGTGGATAAATTCTGCAATGGGGGACATATCAACCGCAGGTGATGGGTCGACTGTTGGAGCGGGGAAGGGGAGGGGCTGAGATGGCATTTGCCGTTGCCGGTTGTGAACTCATCACCTCACGATCGAACCAGTGGCATACTAACAGCACACGGGCAGGGACTGGGTGGGGGTGCCTTTGAACTCCCGGGGCCCTGCATTGCATGTCAAGCTTTATGCAAGCTCTTAGGTACCTGGGTACCTTAGTAGCCAACGAATGGTCAGATCGCGGTATGGGGAAGGGTACAAGCTGTTGTGCCACCTGCTAAGAGCTATCAACACCCAAGGTCGCGTCCCAGTCTCGTGTTTGACAGCTCTGAACACATCAGGCGCTTGCGCATAACGCGTTTGGGGCTAGGGACCAGGGATCGGAGACACGGAAACGCCTAACCCTGAGGCTCTCGCACCGCGCCCGGCTGACAGGGGCTAACGAGGGACCACTCAAGGCCCGGCCAGAAAAGTGGCAGCGGTCGCGTCTTCTGGACCGCGTGCACTGTTCATTTGCATCATCGTCGCCCATCCAGACAACCTCCCTGCCGCACGTTTCTCGGGCTGCCCGAGCTCACTTCCGTTTCCAAGCCAGCGTCACCCACCAACCGCGATACGACCGACAACTGTGATGACAGTTACTGGCGGCATTTCGATCTTGTTGCCCCTCATCCCTTGTCAGCCATAAGCGCGTTTGTTGTCGCCTGCACCGCCCTCACCAGCAACGTTTTGCCCACAATGAGCTCGAGAAAGCGCAACCTGCGCGAGGCAAACATCGCGTCTCCGCACGAGACCCAGGAGGAATCCTTGATACACCAGCTCAGAAACTCGTTCTACTTCGCAAACCTGTACCAATGGATCTGCATATTCGGCAAGGTGGTCAAGATCGACGACAATCTCGACATCGAGGTGCGCGCCTCTTGTGGCCTCCAGATCCTAGCTATGCTGCCCCGGCTGTGTGATGCTGATTACCAGGGCCACAGGATCTCGAGACCGAATGTCTGAAGCCCGGCTCGATGGCCCTGCAAGATATTGGCCTCTCCATGCTGAAGCACCTCTCGTCGCACCGCGGGCTGACGTATGTTAACCGATCGCATCGGCTCCCTAGCCTGCGCTAACCTCGGCCAGACACGAGCTCTTTGACGAATATACACGACGACAATTCGCTGCAAAAATGCCAAACAAGAAGAACCCTTTCGGAGAAGGAGAGGTCACCAAAAAATTTGCAGACTTCGATCTATTCAAGAAAGTCCGTCTTAGTCCCACCACTCTCCGGCCTTCGGCGCAAACTGACCTAGGCAATACATGCAGCTTCGCACGCTATGGCAAATGACACAGCTCATTATGATGAAACCCGAGACTATTCGACCCAACATGGACGAGCAACGAGTCGATGACCAGACTGGCTGGGTTGGTCCCTTACCATTGTCAGCTATCGAATTTGCGCTGGAGCTGACGTGATCGCAGAGAATCGAGCCGTACGGATGGGACCGCAAAGATCGCGAATACTACGTGTTGGACGACAACCGAATGTACCGTCTCACGGCCGCTGCCCCCCCTGCGGCTCCTCCCAAGAAAAACTCCCAGAAGGCCAGAGCAGCAGCCCGCGCCGCCAAGCGCAGACGTCTTGTGGCTTCTGCAGATGACACAAGCAACAACGGCGACGACGACACGGCCAGCGTTTCCGAAATCAACGAACAGAATGATCACGTCGACGAAGATCCCATGGGCGGGGCTACGTGGGAGTGCATCGCCATCACCCTTGACGAGGTTCGCAGATGTATCGAGCCGTTCAAAAAGACGAAGGACCCCAATGAGAGGATCTTGCGGGAGCAGATCGAGGGACACCTCGTGCCCATACTTGAGAAGCAAGAAGAGTCTCGGAAGCGCAAGATGATACAGCGAGAAAAGGAGCTCCTGAGCCTGCAGAAGATGGCTCACGCGAAGAGATCAAGTCGCCTGGCCGGCAAGGCCGAGCAGCGCAGACATGAAGAGGTTGAGCGCGAAGAGCGCGAGAAGCGCCAGGCGGAGGAGGCGGCTGCCCGCAAGGCTGAAGAGGAGAGGATCAAGATGGAGAAGGAGCGTGGCCATCGGATGATGTCCAGAGAGCAGCGGGTTCGTGACCGCGAGGCCCGACGCATCCAGCACGAGGAAGAGCTGGCTCAGCTCTCAGAGGGAAGCAAGGGTCCTGAAGCCGGACGCCTGTCTGAGCGTCGCCTGAAGGCGGAAATCGAGAAAAATAAGCAGGCACTCAAGGAGTTGGAAGAGGAGGAGGAGGAGTGGACCTTCGACTGCGTCTGTGGCCTGCATGGGCAGGTCGATGATGGCGAGCACTCGGTTGCCTGCGAGCGATGCAATGTCTGGCTGCATAGTAAGTGTCTCGGCATTGCTGAGGAGGAAGCAGAGCGAGACGATTTCCACTTCATCTGCAGCCACTGCCAGCAAACCGAGCGAGAGAGGAAGGAGAAGCAACAACAGCAGAAGCACCCGCAAAAGATCAAGGTCAAGACTAAGGAGCCGTCCTCGACTACCTCAACGCCCGGCGCCAAACTCATTTCTACGACGCCAATTCCGCTGCCGCAGATACCGGGCATGAACTCGAACCCTCACACCGACGTCAGGTCGAAGCAATCTCCACACACCGGTGGAGCACAGCTGAATGGGGTGTCGCTGCCTTCCGCCAGCGCTTCTACCATCGCGAAACCTCCAGAGCCATCTCCACAGAAGCACTCTTCGCCTCCAGCCGACAGCGCTACTGCCGCACAGACGTCTTCAACTGCGCTTCCTCAGCCGCCGTGGGCGTTGCCTGCGCGGAAGTTGTCGCTCAACGGGGTGGCGCACAACCCCTTTTCCTCACCACACCCAAGTCTACTGCCTCCAGACCAGTCACCCAACAAGTCTCGTGCTTATGGCAGCATTTTCAACTCATCCAGCCCAGCGGCCCAGAAAGAGCTAGACACGGACCTATCACTTGGCGATCGCCCGGTCCTACATCCGACCGCAAACGGTGCCGTGCCTAGTTCCGGGACGCCTTCCAAGGGAACAAAGGAGCTCTTAACTGCTTCCCCACAAAAGCCGTCACAGACTCCACTGAGCTCCGCGAGCAACTCAAAAGTCCTGGATCAGGTGTTGTCCTCACCAACATCAATGACAACGCCACGGCTGAGCCCCAGTCGCCCAGAGGACAGTGATCCCCTTCCGCCCTCCCGCGGCGGACTGTCTCCTACAAAGAACTCCCCATCCCTGTCGGCCGTCAAGTCCAGCCCGGCAAATGCTCGGCTGCCACCCGTCGAATCGCTGTCACCCTCGCCCCAGCAGGTGGATTTGACGCCTCCTGTCAAGCATGATGGTGAGCGTTCTCGCCCCGTGTCGCAGCATGGCACGGGGGCTTCGTGATTCTTGGTGGCTGTTGTGTGCCACACGCTAGCTTCGAAGCTCTGCCGCGTATTTACCCAGGAATTCAAACGAGAGATTAGCAAGCCTGTTACCAGCTGGGTCGATGAATTGGCACAGATGAAGGGGCCACTTGCCTGCCTCGTTCCCTCTAGATGGGATTACATGTAGCAAGTGACCAGTGAGAATTGGATAGCTCGGTGCGCCTGGAGATGAGATGGCGCTCGTGAAAAGCCTGGAATTGGTGGTCCCTGGCGCAGAGCAGGAGCATATCGGGGCCGAGATTTCGGACAAGTCATGATTGGTTCAGGAAAGATACCAGTATAGAGGTCATGAACACATCACGAGCTTAGATTTAGACGGTAGTCCAGCATCTCATAAACAAATCAAGCAAGCATGATATTCATCCGGATGACGGTGCCAAGTTTAGCAATCTCAGCTCTCCATGCTCAGCAACCGAAGATCTACTACTTGTATTTTCTTCTCTGTGCGCCCCCAAAAGCGCCTCGCAGGTTTTGCCCACCTCGGAATGCGCTCGTGACCGTGTACGGCTGCACGTATGAAGTGTCGTCGACACGCGTGCGCGCGATGAGAGCAAGGACGGAGCAGAACAACAAGCTCCCATCGCAAAAGCTTCGTGATGAGACTTGCACAATATCGGCAACAATGCCAAGGCGCCGCCTCAAAGCTCGGCCGTAGTCCATCCCAGCCTGGACATCAGCTTACTAGTCAACCGCTCGATTCGGCGGTCCTCAGCCATCGCAAACCCCCAAGCCACCACACCGAGCCCCGGGCCGGGATCTAGACGGCAATCTCCATATAGTGATCGGTGGCGGCCAGCCACACCGCACGAGAGAGGGCTAGGTTGGTCACCCGGCGCCATGGGAAACAGCCTCGTCGATCCACCACGACCTGGCCTCAACCGTTCGTTCCCCTCTCACCAACCTCACGCTTACAAATCAAACGACTCCAAGATATCGAGGATCTCGGCTCAGGCGCTTCCCGGACTTGGTTCCTCTGTCTGCCCGTTCCGCCTCAAATCACACAATCCCCTATACATTGGTGAGGCGGACATTGAACGAATGACGCAAAGGCACGTGGGAGACCCTGCTCGTCCACCATCAATCACCCTGCGACACATCTCATCCCTCTCATCTCAGATACACACAACACAGGAACAAAGAGGTGACAGATGAAACTCGTCCCGTCAGGTGACAGCTCTCACCGACTACTTTCGGGCTGTCATCATTCTCCTGCTGCTCGCTGTCACCGACTGTCATAATAAAAAAAAAGGAAAAAAGAAAAGAGAGGCGCCGCCGCACACGGCGTCTAGAATCAACTGGCATCAGCGCCCGAGAGCGCCACCTTTCCTGTCATCGATCGTGAAAGTGAAAAAAAAAAAAGATGGCAATCTGCAAATCAGATAGATAACCCCTGTGGGAGGGTCCCACCATCTCAAAAGTTTCCGTCTCTCCTCCCGCCCAGGGTTCCCATGTGATGCGATTCTGATCTGATGACCAGATGAACCCTGTTCTTTTGTAGTGTCAAGCTCAAGCCTGTCCATCCCGGGCGGCAAGCAAGCAAGCAATGTCAGGTTTTATTTTCGGGCCTGACGTTGCGAACGGGCCTGATCGCCTGGTTGGTAACTTGATGAAGAGATAGCTAGATACGAGTTATATGCCCCAGAAGGGACATTGCATGACATCGCGAGTCGACTCAACAAGGACAGACAGTCTCGCGGTCTGACTCGGGTGCGAGGCCCGATCAACGACGGCCAGCTGGGGCACGGGGGGTGGGGGACCATAGGAAGGAGACTAAATACAAGGCTCACGGGCCGTGGCCGACAGCTGACGAAAAGAGGTTGGCGGGGGTGGGCAGAGGAGGGAAAGTGCTCCCACCCCATGAGCAAGTGCTTGGACCCGTAGGTCAGGCAGAGGACGCCAGGCCCGACTCATCCAGAGAGAGGCCATTCCAGACCCACACGCTATGTGACTCGTCGGAGAGCATCTCACTAGCCGTATGGACACACGCCCCGCGTGGTACGAACCGTTGGTCAGAGCGCATAGGAAGGAGGCTGGAGACTGAGCTGAGACAGCTGGGAACGCGGACATGTGCGGCGAACGCCTGGGGAAGAGACACAGGCACGAGCGGACAGGGGATGGGAGTATGGAAGCAAGAAGAGAGACACTTTTGGCCCACGTTTTGTTGGTTAGAGCGTGATGGTCATGGTGATGCGTTTGTGGTGGGTTGGATGCCCCGGGGGTTGGTCTCGAGGTGTGTGTGGAACCACATCGGGTTGGTTGTGAGACAACAAGATAGCTAGACAAGCGGTTGAGGCGGCTATGTCTTGTCCAGCCGACGGGGACAGAGGGTACGTATACGGCAAGCAACGGGAGACGAAGAAACGGACATATTGGTGCGGCGTGGTCGAGAAATGATCATAGATTTCTTTGGCAACAGAGATAGCCCCAGAGCCATCTCGCGGCCCATCTCGAGAATCTTTGATCGTCTGCTCGTTAGGGGCCTTTGATATTGGCTAGTGACGGCGGTGATGGAGGAGGTTGTGCGAGAGCCTTTGACGCTCGACTCGCTTGACACGATCGACGTTGTTCTGTGACCCAGAGCGCATCCTTTGAAGGCCTCTTTATCCTGAGATGAAAGCAAAGCACGCATGTATAAAGGTGCAGGGCAATCAACTGTGAGGCCCGTCTGGGGCATCGCGAGAAACGTAGGACCACCACCACACCGGCATTTCTGCGACTAGCAGCAGCAGCGGTGCATTCCAAGCACAGCCAGAGGAGAGGGAGAGACCCGCACATCGCCTGCAGGGGACTTGGGCCAATCCGTTCTCCTGCCTAGCCCAAGCTTGGACTGAAGCAAAGATGGCGATGGACTCAGCCAACGCCATGATGAGCAACTTACCTCGCCTTACCTGCCCTACCGTCCGCATCGGCGGCTCCCGGGCGAGTGCGAGCAACCCCGTCCAGCCTGCCCGAGCATGATGAATCAATCAGGTCAGTCTCCTCCCACTTTCCTCCCCGCCACTAGACTCCTGCTCCTCCTCCGTCCTGTGCGACTGCTGTTCAAACAGACCGGCGCTAATGCAGCCACCCGTTAAGGCGTGCAGGGATGCAGCTGTCTGGTCCAGCACAACAGTGGCCATCTGCAGGTCCAGGCCGCAGCTTGCAGCTGAACGAACACCGCTCCATGAGGGGACGCATCTGCGAAACAGCTTCCCAAACCACCATAGCACAGCAGCCTGTGCGGCCTAGCCTGACACTTGACAGCCTTGTGCCGCTCGACTGTTCGGGACGGCAGAGAGATTGAGCTGCCAAGAGGGCGATAAGGCGGATGTCGCGGCGGAACGGTGGATCGGATGGGAGGAAAGCGACGGCGCACCCCCGGACCGCATTTAGGATTACCAGGCCGTTGCAACTAGCTCACTGCCCCCTGATCTCAAAGGAATGCGGGAGAGGCTCGCCTGTGCGGCCAATCACGGCCCAGGGACGCTTCCGGCAACCAACCAGTGCCACACGGTGGCTCATTCCAACAGACAACAGCGAGCATGAGGCAAGCTGCGGGTGTCTCAGGTACCATCTTGCAGCCAGGCACGCTGTTCAGGTACCGCTATGCCTGGCTCCTCTCGTCTCCAGCGGCGGATGCCCGGCTCTGTTGGTGCTGACGCGAGTTGAACCTGACCTGGAATGGAAAGGATAGAATGGCAACGAGCCTGCTCAGGTGGTTACACCCGTGCCCCAAGGACCAACTCGAGTCTTTCCCACCCCCCTAATCCCCTCCATCACCTGGTCTAGGCGACGGGGAATCGGATCAGTTGATCCAATAACCGAAGCTTGCCTCGGGGGGGTCTCACGGCTGGGCGCGCGAACAGGTGGAGCGAGCAGCAGTGTTGCCCATGCCCATGCCCATGCCCATGCCCACGCCCGCGCCCAAGCACATGCTCATGCTCATGCCCATGCCCATGCCCGAACTTGCAGCCCAAGTACAAACTGGAACCAGTTGACCGTGTGTTGTTTGCAGGCGACCCAACGCCCTTCACTCCAGACCAGTTGGGCCGTCCAGGTGCTACACGCCGAGTTGGTCCCCCCAGCCGACGAGGCGAGTGGCGCGGCTCGTTGGAGGCGCCCCTGGCCTAGACTGCTGAGGAGGAAAGCTCTTTGCCAATTGCATCGTGACAGGACGGAATCTCGTCCGCACATGTGAGCTCCAGTGATGGGGATTTCCCAGCTGTCAGCCCGCAGACGGTCAAAAGTACAAAGTCTGCCGCTGAGGGCCGTCGACCCCAGCTCTTTTGGCGTGGTGTGCGCGCCCTGGGTGCCCGTTAGCAGGATGTGTCCGTGGGCAAAGAGCTAGAGCCCGGCCGAATGCGGTAATCGGCAGCACCGCTACCAGCACATGGCCTTCCAAACGTCCCGCCCACCGGAGGCGATTCAAACCGAGTGAATATACATACACAGGTTCCCTCATAATCTTGCCAAACCCCCCTCTTTCCCAATTGGAAAGTTCCTTTCTTCCAAAAGGATTGCCCAACAAAGGCAACACGGAGTGCCCTTTGCCTCTTGCCAGAACACCCTGGCTGTGTCCCATGTCCGGATTTCGCAAAGGACGAACAAAGAACCAAAAATAACCCGCCAGCCTTGCGGGACATAGCCAAGGCAGCACACGTCTACTAGGACAGGCTTGTAGGAGGGAGCATCCGCTGTCCTTGCGGAGCGAATCTTGTTCTGCCGACCTCATCGTCAGACCAAGGGCGGTATACCCCTGCCACCCGGCTCGTTGCAACAGGTTCGTACCAAACATTTGAAGCCGCATGCTGCTGCTGTCACCGCATCTGCTGCTTCTGCCTTCCATGCTGCCAGTCGTCGGCAAGAGACAAACCAACTCCTGACCATTTCTCAGCCGCACACAGGACACAGAAGAGGATCCACTAGGATAGCGTAGCAAATACACCCTGCTGCAGCACTTGCCACAAAACCCAGGAATCAGACAAGTCAGTCAGTAGAGAGCTTCCAGAAGGCCTGGCGTCTCGGACTGTTTAAGAATTTGCCCCCCCCTGCCACCAAGCCCTACCCAGTGCCTTCGGGTCTGAGCACTCTCCAGGCCCGTCAGCCTGAACTTGGACCGAGCTTTCAACAGGTTTATCAACCAAGGCTCGCGTCGTCTCAATCCTTCCAGGGAGGTGAGAGGAGAGGGGGTCCAGAAGGCAAGCGTGCAAGCAGGCCACTGTCAACCAGCCTTGGACACCGGTCCGAACCCCTTTCCCCTACCTTGCAGTGTCCCAAATCCCCGGTCTCGCAGCCTAAGGCTCTCAGGCCTGCCAGGCCATTCATTCCTCTTAAGAAGAACTGGGATCAGCCTCAGCCACTGCAGCTGCCGCCAATATGATCCAATCTGAGAAATCACCCGACGCGATGGGGACCATGCCCCTCTCCCCCAATTCGGTGGATGACCAACTTCCACACGGATTCTGTGAATTGGTACAACACAACAACTCCGAAGAAGTTCCACGAGAGCAAGATTCAGCAGAACCCGCAAGCGTCCCCGACTCCTCTTATCCACCGTCGAGGCTCTCAACCCCAGGGCCACAAGCGGGGATGAGTCCCCACCTTGAACAACTCGGTGTGCATCAATACGCTCCTCAGGGGACGTACAATCCGCAGTTCTTCCAGCACACGTATGGACATGACGCAAGTGCATATCCATCGCTGCCCGAGGAGTCGGTAAGCAAAAGGAGCGGGCGCGTCGCATGCGCGCAGTGATTAACAGGAGTCAGGTACAACCGGGATACACAACCCCAGCATCCTCTCCATCACAAAGGTCGGACGTGATAAGCCTGCGAAATGGAGCCGTACCCAGATCGTCCAGCATGCGCCCGATCGCGTCCAAAAGTCGTTCAGATAGACCGCCGACCAAGAAGGCGCGCGCTAAGGCGGCCAGGAAGACACCCAAGATCACCACGCCGCTCAGCGAGTCAACGAAACACCTGAGTGTGCCCATGATCGATATCGAGGCGTATGTGAACCGGTCGGAAGCCGAACGAAAGCACGAGGTCGAAACAAGCAAGACTCCAGGCAAGATCAAGCGTCCCATGAATGCTTTCATGTTGTACCGAAAAGCATACCAGGGCCGGACCAAAGAACACTGCACACAGAACAACCATCAACTGGTATCGCAGGTCTGCGGTGACAGCTGGCCACTGGAGCCCGAACAGATACGGAATCAGTTCACCGAGTGGGCCAGGATCGAGCGCGAGAATCACGCGAAGACGTGGCCGGAGTACAAATTTGCGCCGAAGAAGCCAAAGGACCTGAAGCGTAAGATGGAGGAAGAGGAGGGAGAGGACGAGCTGCCTCTCGAGGATTATGACCACGAGACAGGTCGGGTGATCAAGAGGCCGCGTTCGAATCGGACAACGCCTGTCCCGGAGGCGGACCACGTGTACGGACAACAGGTTCCGTACTACACGCAGTACTCGCCGCAACAGCCTGGGATGATGGTGACGGGGCGCGGACAGATGCAAATGTCGGCGTATGAGTGGAGCAACCCAAACAAGCCCATGCCGGCGCCATACAACCACATATCCATGCAGCAACCGACACATTACTTGGCGTCGCAGGCCATGCCGTCCCGACACTCCCAACTGAGGGGCTTCGGGGTGGAGGATGTCGCGTTCCACAAGGCAGCTGCACCAGGAAATCCATACCACTCGCCACAGCAGGCCATGATGGATCAGTACGGGACGGGTTCGCAGCCACAACAGCCAATGGAGCAGAAGGGGCACGCCGACCAGTTGTTCAGCAATGTCCAGTACAGCCAATTCGAAAACCCATTCGACCAGGAGCAGTTCAACCTGCTGTATCAGAACGCGGGCGACGGCGGGTTCGACCAGAACAACCCGCTTCTCCTGCAGCCAAACTCGATAGAAAGCTTCATGGAGAGCCAGGGTGGCCCGGTGACGAGCGAGGGGTTCGGCATGGGGCCCACACCTGCAAACTACGACGGGCAGCTGGAGGGACAGTTGCGTGACCTGTTGACATCGACGAGCACCGATGACTGGCACATCCAGCCAGTGTCTGAGGCGCAGTCTGACAGTCAGTTTGACGTGAACTGGGCGGGGTCTCTGGACCCTTCGCTGTCCGAGCCATACAATGCGCAGTCGGAGCCATACAGCGCGCAGGACTGAGGGTCCATTACAGTGGACATATTTGGCTTTCTGAACGTGGCTTGTAAATTGATGCCCAACCTGCACATTCGATGCTTGGGGCGTTGTTGGATTGATGGGGGTTGGAAGGAAGCCATGGCTGCCTTCGTGTGGACACTAGGGAAGGAAGAGGGAGGTTTCAGTCAGGGGTTCAGGCAAGGCAGGGTGTTGGCGGCTTACATGCGTGCAAATTGATATCTTGCTAACTTAAATGGGTCCAAGACTGAAATGAGAACCTGATAACATGATACGTGATGCAAAAATGCAAAGGGTCCTTCGTGGTCGCCGCCCTGATGAGCCGGTTGCCAGTCGCCCTCGGGGTGGTGGCTCTTATCGCAAGTGCAATCAATCAATGAGCGTGGGTGGACTCGAACACAATGCGATTGTCTTGTGAGTGCAGACACGGCCCTTGCAATGAGTAACGCGTCAAGCCATTGCAGCGAGTGTGGTGAAACGATGTCTGAAATGAATTGCGTAGCGCAACGTGTTTGAGTACCTATGTGATATAGATCTGAATACAGGCTGAGTCGAGAGGGAGTGATGAGTGTGAGTGGAAGAGAAGATTGGCCGGATCACTGGTGGCTGCGAGGTCAACGTGATAGTCGACCTGTGGTCTCTGCCTCCTCGGTAATTGCATACCCGCTGAGCCCAGCCCAAGTCTTACACAGTACGGATGCTGTGCTTGGCCCAAGCTCCTACCTACCACCTAGCTCGCCTACCGACAACACACTGGGCCTGCCACGTCCCCAAGCACAACCGCAAAGAGTCGACCGGCGAATCGTGCAATTGCCACAATGACCTGGATTTCAAAGGCCATCACAACCTTTGGTCTGGTGCTCGTAGCACATGCGTAAGTTGCCCACAGGTGCCACGCCAGGCACACCCAAAAGAGAAGTCCGTCCCTGGCTGACGCAACCTGCGAATAGCTGCTACTCGGCCCAGGAGCACTCGGCGCTGCAATCCCTCCGGGCCACCAGCGCCGCCCTATCGTCCACGCCCGCGTCCACATCACTACCCATCGATATATCCATCGAGACCATAGTCGGGCTGTTCGTCACGGTGCTGGGGCTTGTCGCTGGCACGCCGACCCTGAGGCCGATCCAGTGGCGCGTGTGGGCGGGCAAGGTCGAGCGCGAGGGCGAGCAAGGGTTCCTGAGGAGCAACGGCGAGGTGGAGAAGGACTTTGTCGGGAATCCCTTCCGTGTGCTGGAGACGAGGCCCGGCTTCGTCGACATCCGCACGCAGAGGAAGGAGTTTGCCGAGTGGGTGCGAGCTGGCGGCAAACAATAGACGGGCGGGCTTCAGTTGGCTTAACCTGCATGGGCTCACCGTACGCACGAATGACTGGTTGGGCTGTGAGCATGGGTGGAAAGACTAGGACACACAAACGTGCACCTGTTGTGGTGGCAGCGGATAGCTCGCGTCAGAGCCCAAGGGAGCAAGCATCGTGGGCTATTGAAGACGTGCCCCTCTGCCTAGGCCACCACAAGGTCAGCGGGTGCAGAGCAAGATAGGATGTGGCCTTGACGGATTTGCAAATCTGCACCACAATCTGGGCGTATTTGGGCTACTCGACCTCGGGAGTGAGGACTGACTGCCCTTTGGAGGCTCCCCGAGAATCTCGAGAATGCCTGTGCCGAGCCGGAGGGAAGGGGCGACATGTACGATAACAGACCAGCACAGGAAGTCTAGCACGTACCTACCTACCATGGTAACCTAGGTCGGCACCTACCCACCAAACTTGGAAGTAGACACCGCCTGACCCAGGGAATTCGCAGAGAGTTCTGATCTCGGTTCACCATCTGCAACCCGTGCACCGTCCAGTCGTTTCGGGTCTCAGATGCAAATATGTCACAATCCACACAGAGGCGACCGACTCCGGCCGTGCGGACACCCTCTGTCCCGTCCTCGACGTCCTCCATGCGGCATGCCATGCCTAGCAGCACTCCAACCCGCCGCACCAGCTCACCTCGATTCATCCAGCCCCGTTCCACCCCTCCAATCTTCTCCTCGCCGTCGTTGCCCCCTCACCCGCGGCCAAGACTAGACCGACTGTCTCTCCCTCCCCGGTTGTCGGCAACGCCCTCCACAATACCGGCCGATGGTCATGGCAGAGACGACGTTTCTCGTCCCAGCGACTTCCCCGATAGCGATGAATCAGACACCGTGAACGAGGTCATCATGGCCATCGATATGAAGGACAACGGCACCGTGGGCTGTGCCTACTATGTTGCCATCGACGAGGCGCTCTTCCTCCAAGAAGATATCCCACTGGCCGGCATCGACCTGGTCGAGACCCTTCTCATCCATGCCGAGCCAACGACTGTCCTTATATCCATCCGCAGCCCAGACAACCTGGTTTGGTTCATAGAATCTGGAGCTCAAGACTTTCAGGGGAATCGCAACCAAGAAGAAGGCTAGAAGCTTCCACTCAAGCCTGTCCAATATCATGCTGATAACTTGATCAGGTGGATTCCATGGTGCCTATATACTGCGCACCTTAGGTTCAATCGAATTCAACTATGAAAATGCCAAAGGCCATCTACTCAATCTGGACCTGTCTTCTCTACATCGCCGGACCATGCATTTCAACACCGTAGCCGGCGGCGAAGCTGACGGCGGAATTGACATGGACGATGACAGGCACGCTAGGCTGATGCAGTTGGCCACCTGGATCAATCTGGACAGTCGTTTCTCTGTAAGTGGCATTCTTCATTTCGACCGCTTCCCGTTTCGCTCACTGGAAAAAGGTCGGCTGTGCAGGAGCAGTTCTCGGCGACATACAGCGCAGAAAAGCTGCCGAATACTTGTCCAACGACCCAGATGCCAATTCCGCATTCCGGATCCGCTCCATTGAGATGTTTACCCTCAGAGACTCCCTCTTTGTCAACGCTGACACTTTGGCGTCTCTCCAAATTCTGGGCTCTGAAAACCATCCAAACTCCATGAATCAAGGGCCTGATAGGTCCAAATCAGAGGCAAAAGAGAGTTTGTCTCTATACGGTCTATTCCATGTGCTGGCACACACGGCACAAGGCAAGACACAGCTACGGCAGATGTTTTTGCGGCCGAGCACTGACCTGGAGCTGATTCAGGAGCGTCAGAAAAGCATCTCGGTTCTGCTTCGCCCTGAGAATGGGGCCAATGTTGACGGAATAGGAAAACTACTGCGCAAGATCAAAAATATCAAGCACAACCTTATGCAGTTGAAGAAAGGAATCAGTCTCCCATCCGGACGTGCTTCGGTTGAAAGAGGCACGTGGGCATCATTGCAGGCTTTCTGTGCCTTTACTACTGAGCTTCGAGAGGCAGTGCAGAAGCTCCAAGGTGCAGAAAGTCTCTCTATCACGACGAGGGCAGGTTTTTCGTAGCCTTGAGTTGCGTTTATTGGCTGACCTCAGGGGTTCAGGTCGTTCATGGAATTCGTCAGAGTGATCTTATCTCGGTTGGAGAGCTTATAGCCGGGACTGTCGACTTCCAGCAGTCCGAGGAGGCTCGGAGAACCTGTGTCATCCAGGGAATGAATGCAGAGCTGGACGAGCTCAAGCGCAATTACGACGGCCTTGAATATCTATTGGATGAAATCGCCGGACGCCTGATCAAAGAGATTCCGGAATGGGCTCGACAGTACGTCAAGAACTGTATATTCTACCCTCAGATCGGCTTCTTGACAGTTGTGAGCCTCAACCTGGACACCGGACGCGGAGACTACGAGGGAGAGGGCCTCAATGATGACGACTGGGAGCGTATGTTCGTAAGCGAGGGGAACATCTACTACAAGAATCGATGCATGAGAGAGCTTGATGGGCAGTATGGGGACCTGTACTGCATGATTGTTGGTAAGTCCCACTTGGCCAACGACCATGGTGAGCATTATTCTGACCAACCATTGGTAGACAAGGAGATCGAGATCATTCATGAGCTCAGCGTCAGTGTTCTTGATCACGAGGAAGCTCTGCTAGAAGCATGCGACCTTTGCGGAGAGCTTGACAGTCTTCTCGCCCTAGCACTCGGCGCCGACAAATACAAACTGACAGCGCCACAATTGACCTCGACCAATATGATCCAGATCCAAGGCGGGAGACATCCGCTTCAGGAGCTTGTGGTCCCTTCGTTCATACCCAACGATACGCTCCTCCTTGGAGGCTCTGGTGGCGGCACTGCGGATGAGACGATCGTCTCTGATGCCATGGGCGAGGTACCAAGTATCCTGGTTATGACAGGGCCAAACCATTCTGGAAAAAGCATCTACCTCAAGCAGGTCGCCTTGATTGTCTACCTCGCACACATTGGAAGCTATGTGCCCGCCGAACAGGCGTGTATTGGCCTGACAGACCGGATACTAACCCGTATTGCCACGAGGGAGAGCGTATCGCGAAATGAGAGCGCTTTCGCCATCGATCTAAAACAAGCTGCTTTCTCCATAAACTTCGCAACACGGCGAAGCCTGATACTAATTGACGAGTTCGGCAAGGGCACCAATGTCATGGACGGTGCTGGGCTTGTGACTGCACTTCTTGAACATTTCCTCGGCCTTGGCGAGAATGCGCCGAGGGTCCTCGCAGCGACGCATTTCCACGAGATCTTTGAGAACAAGCTTCTTCCGAACACACCGAGGCTTTCTTTCGCACACATGGACGTCCGCGTCGATCTCGAAGCCGACAGTGTAGATGATCAAGTCACCTTCCTCTTCCGACTCGTGCCCCGTCGGAGTGCATCGAGCTTCGGCAGCAGATGTGCAGCCCTGAATGGGGTAGAGGCTGCCGTGGTCGAAAGGTCAGAGGCGCTGGTCCTCCTCCTGGCGCGCGGGGAGGACTTGCGGGCCGCGTGTGCAAGGCTGTCTGATCGCGAGACAGTGACACTGGAGGAGGCGGAATCTGTTGCCCGGGAATTCCTCAAGATGGACCTCGATGATGGAGAGGGAGGTTCCGCAAGGGACAGGCTGCGGGATCTGGTGAGTGGCTCGAGCTCGACTGAGCTCGAAGACGTTTCGCTTCTTGGGGACGGAGAATGAGCCTTGGAATGTCGGCTTACATAGCCAATCTGGTCGCATGTTTTGGCGTTTCACAAGTGTTTGTGGGCTTTCTCGTCAATTGAGTTTTGACATGATATCTATATATGTATGAGATCGAGGAAGTCGGTGAGAGCTCGTCACAAATTCCTATGTGTCTCATACATCAAGTAGCTTTAGCCAGCCAGCCTTGCCGACAGTGTCTGTTCATAGAATGTCGAGGTTTGAAATTCAAAGTGACTTTCTCCCTTTGTGCAACTGGCGAGCAAGGATATCTCCTTAATCCCTGCGCCTCTTTTCCAAGTGCTCTCCACTGCATTGCCAGCATTCATGAGCAGGAAATGAATTTGCAAAAGTCATCACAAAGACTATAAACTAAGTCAAGGAAAAAAGTCGCTCCGCTTAGTATTCAAATATTCCTGTCGCCAGGGGCTCCAGATGATAAGTAAAGGTAAAGGTTTTATACTTTTCCGGCACAGTCTTCCGGATCATGGATCGAGATAGAAACAGGCGTCGTCTTTTGGCTTGCCTCCTGATCCGACAGTATCATCTCCTCCGACTCGTTTTCAAAATGCCGTCGTCCCCCGCTCGCAGCAGCCGTACTCTTGAGCCGGCTGTTGTACATTTCGATGTCGTTGCCCTTGTTCTTCGTGGCGTGAGCCACACTATCAATGTTCCCGATGTATTTGTTGTTTGTCCTGGGGCTGAGGATTGATGACCCTCCGAGGATGGCCCTAAATAGGGGCTTGAGGCTGGGGATGGAGGCTGCTATTATGGCTGTGCATATCTCGACTGTCGTCCTGTTTGGAGGATCGAGGTCAATAAAGACAAACTGGGGGAAGTGAAAAGGAGGGGCGTCGCGGCAATGATATCTCTGACTCACCATATAGTAATATCTGTACTGTCCCAGAGGAAATCCCCATGGGAGCCGTAGCTGGATAGGTAGGTCATCTTGACCACAGCTGCTACTGACGCACTTTACTTTGTTCAGCTTCGCATCCTCCCACGCGCGAGAACGAGACTTACAAAATACCCAGGGCAAGCACAGCGCTGACAGCAAGTTTAACTTTCCAGTTAAGCTGAACCGACCACAAGATGGGGACCGGCAGCAGTGCAAAGACCAGATCGGTTAGGAGTGAGACGCCTGAATTAAAAAAGGCCGCGAACTTGAGGTCCCGCGCCGGGATACACTTTCCGCCCACCACCGAGTGGTCCCAGGTGAATTCGAGAGGCGTGCACTGAAAGAAGACGGTCACTTTGCTCGTCAGCACGGGGAGATTCACAATTAACACAACCAACCAGATGGCAGGCACCACAGCCGCGCACCATTGATCCAAGCAAGCAAGCAAGCAAGAAAGAAAGAAACTCACAGAAGTTCCCAGCAGCAGACAGCACAGTGAAGACAATAACGCCGCGGATGAACCACACGAAGCGGGCGCTGGGCTTGAGCCTCAGCAGGAACAGGCCCACGCTGACCTTGGCGAGGCACAGGCTGGCGAGGCACAGCGGCTGGGTGACAAAGTTGAGGTGCAGGCCGGCGACGACGTCCGAGGGCGGGTCGATGTACTGGACGTGGCGCCCGGCGCCGCGGCGCACCTCGGGCACGATGACGCACATCTCGGCGAGCATGACGGCGGCCGACGCGGCGATCAGGCTGTCGTCCCAGCCGATCTGCCTCGTTATGGTGGCGCGGACCCAGACGCGCAGGGACACGGCCGCCACGGCGAGGCCGACCATCGTGCCGCAGACGGCGAGGATCTGGGGCCCGCGGTTTATGTCTGGGGGTGCTGCTGTTGCTGTTGCTGTCGTTGTCGTGGCGGCTGGGTCTGCCATCGTGCGGGCTGTGTTGCCTACCCTGTGGGAGGGACGTTATGGTATGTACGTGGGCGGATATAGAGTAGGGTTGCCTGTACGGTATGATACGGGGTCTGTCTGGTAGGCGGGTGAGGGTGAATGCGGAACTCTGAAAAGTTGGGAGACCCCAGGTGGGATTCCTGACCTCGGAATTGCGAGAGGGAGATCACGTCTTTATTTTCTCGACACCTCATATACTTGAATCCTCAGCACACAAAGAACAGAAACAATACAGCCAGCTCTCTCAGCTGGCCCCCAGAGGGCTTGGTCTGCGGGCGTCGAAGCACTCCCCGGTCCGCAAGGAGATTGTGCGTGCACACACGGGGCGTGGTTGGTCCCAAGAGCCCGGTCGAAACCAAGCCTGGCAGCTGGCTCTCTCCCCCATCACGGATACTGTGAGGCCCGACGCGCAGGAAGCTCTGGCCGTGACATTGCGCAAGTGGAAATGCTGCCCGAGGAGGTCAAAGCAGGTCCCCCGTGCGGCGCTGACACGGGATGGCTCATCTCGCCAACCCGGGGGCGTGGGAGGCGTGGGAGACTGGCCGGTGTGTTTTGGTAAGCTACTGGGGGATCTAGGTAGATCCAGGACTAGGCCTTAGGCGACCCTGCAGTCTGGTAAAGCCATGGGGGATTGTGGCGGCGTGGCTTGACACTTCCGAGGTCAGAACTCTATAGCTGAACCCCATCATCCTGTCCTAAGCTTGACTGGCGTATGGTTGCAGGGGCGCGCCAATAGGAATCCTAAAAGATCGCCTGCGCTTACCATTATAGACGACCGCATAGCCATATCTGCATAAGCCTGTTTTCATGTGATTTCGATGTAGGCAACAGCCACTTGCACCGGCCGACTAGGTGACGTTGCGTTGGGCGTTGCGGCCTGCATTTAAGCATTTACCCGGTAAGAGGAATGAAGATTGGGCGGACGCTGATCCCCATGATGGGGTTCGCTAGGTCGCGGGCCAGTATCCGGGGGCTGCCTTCCTTCCTTCCTCTTGCCTATAAGTATCTGAAGCTTGACCCATGTGTTGTTGTGGTGATGCCCTGTCGCATGCATCGTGTAGTATGCTGAAGCGTGACTGAGTCCAGAGAGCCCAGAGATCTTGGGCTCAGTAAGGGGTCAGTTATGTACTCAAGGGATTGTATTGATGCAATGAGAGCTGGTAGTTGGCAAGTTGGCACAGGGCGCTGTTCGTCAAGGATACCAGCAGGAAGCAGCACATTACCCAGGTTCCTGTTGGCTCTGTACCTGAGACGGCATCTTCCGTCAATTGGCAGGGCCCACGGTTTTGTTCTGACAGCCAACAGTTCCCCATGGTCAGGCCCTGTAACCTCGTAATATCCCGGGATAGCATGCATAGGCCGCTGGGCCGTCGAGGCCGGGCAGGATCTAGCGGAGAGCCGGGAAGACGCCGCTGATCTGGGTGGCCCCCGGCCGAGACGTATTCGCTTATAACGGCAAAAGGCCTTGGCCAGGGTGGCGAAGAGCTCTGGTCCCTGGAGCTTGCAAGCCACATGATGTAACGGTGCTCGGAGATCCTAGGCGGGCCGCGTTAATAAGCGTGCAGATCGACACCATGGGAGCCCAAGAACCTGGACTCTCGGCATCGAAAGAGTATTTGTCTTGATGGTAACCTTATATCTTGGCTGGTGTCCTCGGCTGTGCTTCCGTTGAACTAGAAATGAGATGGAACGGTACAATGTTGAGTGTCAGTGCGTGTGGGGAAGATAATGGTGACAGGGAGGAAGCGAGGCGTACGGGGAAAGAGCAAGGCCAGCTCCAACCCACGTACTTGAAATGCAGCCCACCGCCTTGGTGCTGCCCTTGCAGGCCTGGCAGGAGGCAGGGAGGCTTGAAGGGGGCCTACACAGTAGCAGCTGCCTAGCATCGGACGGCTTGAGATCGATCTGCAGGACGAAACCAGAACAGCAAAGGCCTGGCTTGCTTCGTAGTTGTTGTTCCTGAAGGGGGGGGGGGGCAAGGGGGGCCGAATCAAGTGTACAAGGGTCTTGCTGGGGCCCCATGCTACCGGACCCTGCCGCGATTGGCCGAAGCGCCTGATAGAATTTCCCGACGGAACGGCACGCCCTGGTCCCTGTCCCTGCCCTGCCTGCAGAGAGCCAGAATGCTACTGTGCTGGGCAGTCTGGCGAACCAGCAACCTTGTTCTCAACTCAACCACCACTAAAACCCCAAGGACCCCCAGGAGCCTGCATCTCGCCAGTAGCACCTATTCCTGCAGTCTCAATCCCTCCCTCCACTTCCTCTCCCTCCCCTCTCCTTGGCGTGAGACCGGACTGCTGACGGAGGGGCGTACGTGCTGGGAAAGGTCAATGAATGATGCAGGACACTTGTCTTGGATGGCCACATCTGGGGCTTGTGTGTGAGCGGGTGTGTGGCGACGTGAGGGCCATCTACCCGCGAGAAGCGATGAGACTCTCTTAAGATGATATCCTCGTGGCCAGGCTGTACCTAGACTAATTCTCGTCGTCTTCTCCCCACAACACAACACACCAAACGTGGGTGTAAATGACTGTGTGATTCCTTCCAGATTCCCACCCACTCGAGTCACCAGCCCCCCTCGAGTGTGGCTTGCGCACCCTGTCTCAACACAGAGTGAGGCTTGCTTATCTGCTTGCTTGCTGCCCAACATGAAGCCCACTGCGCCCGTGCCATACGTTTCAGCGCTGCTCCTGACGTGCGTCGCGCCGATCCTATGCCTCCCGAGCAGCAGCAGCATCAGCATCAGCAGCAGGTCCCAGCGCCCGCAGCACGGCGACCGCGACAGGGAGCACGTCACCCGGCTCATCAGCTCCATCACGGCCGACTTTGCGAGCAAATTGGATGCCTCCGCGGGCGCGCCCTGCGACGAAGGTGGTCCCATCGCGCCCACCTGCACGCCGGATACTATCGTCTACCGCAGGGAATAGTGAGTTTCTCTGGGGCATGTCTGTGCTCGGGCTTTCAGCTTGGGGGCTGAGGGTGGTATGAATGGATAGTTGGGTAGATGGAGGAGCTGATTGATATATCTCTTCCCAGCGGCTCGCTCTCCAAGGCTGAGAGGCTAGACTGTATGCATATACTCCTGCTTCCTTCTGTTACATGTTGCAACCACACCGTTCATGCGCCTTTGAGGGCTTTATCGACCCCTTTTTCTGTTATGTGACAAGCTACTAACGATGGCCGCATCACAGACGTCAATGCAGTCAAGTGTCTCCAGCGCCTACCGGCTCGCACGCCGGCCAGCGTGGCTCCTGGCGCGAGGTCAAGAGTATGTCCAACACTGATCTGTCTGTCTATCTGCCCGCCCATGAGCAGCGTGCTGACACCTGATATCCGCTAGTTCGACGACTTTGTTGCCGTCCACATCAGCCAGACGCTGACGCTACACTTCACCGGCAACTTTATGCCATGGCATCGCTGGTTTGTCCATGTCTACGAGACTGCTCTCCGGGAGGAGTGCGGCTACCGCGGTTACCAACCTGTTAGTCTTTCCCTCCGTGCCCTCTTCCCCGTCTTCATCGATCGCATGAAGAGGTGTCTGTCTGTGTAATACTCACATGACCTAGTACTGGGACTGGCCAAAATACATGCACGCGCCCCAGGACTCGCCCATCTTCAACGGTGACCCATACAGTCTGGGCGGCAACGGGCAGTATGTTCCGCACAACGGCTCCGTCATAACGCCGCCCGAAGGTGTATCTGGAGGTAACATCCAGCTGCCGGCTGGCCTGGGCGGTGGCTACGTCGTGACGGGGCCGTTCGCCAACATGACCATCAACCTGGGCCCCTTCGGCGGGACCTTTGGGACTGAACCGGGCCCTGACGGGGGCTTGGGTTATAACCCGCGCGGCCTCAAGAGGGATGTTGGGCCGGGGGTAAATGAGAGGTATTGCAATTATACCACCGTGCTTGGTAAGTTGTTGGGACATTTCTTTCTTTCGTAGTATTTGTACCTCCTCCATACTGACCCCATGTCCAGACCTGCTAGAAAAGCCGACCATCAACGATTACCGTTTACTCTCCGAGGGTGTGCCGTATACAGTCGAGATCGGCCCACACGGTGGAGGACACTATGTGATCAAGTAAGCGAGCCTGTGTAAAGAGCCACCGGACCGTGCAGATCGGGATGCTGACACAGCCACAGTGGTGACCCTGGTGGTGACCTATTCACCTCGCCAGGCGACCCAGCCTTCTGGGTGCACCACGGGCAGATGGACCGCTTATGGGCACTGTGGTACGTGTATCCACCCTATTCCGAACCTTTTCTGCCCGAGATCCTTCCCGAAAGGAAGAAGGGGGAGATAGAGGACAAAAACTCACCAGGCCCAAATAGGCAAACACGCGACCCCTCGACCAGATACACTCAGCTGGACAACGGGACTTATGGCCACATCACGTGGGCCAACGAACCCGCCTCGCGCCTCACCGAGCTTGACGACATCATCGACATGGGCTATGCGGGGCCGTCGGTCAGGATACGAGATGTGATGTCGACCACGTCTGGTCCGTTTTGCTATTTTTACGCAGAGTCACGGTAAAGGTGCAGGGCTTGAGCCGCCCGAGGTCGGCACGAAGGCGATCAGGAAGTGGGAGGGGCGTCGAGGAGCACTGATGACTGTATTGCTGTATTGCTGTCACCGTGAGTTCTAAGGTTGTCGTGGTAGGCACGGTCCTGAAACCACCATTGGGCGGCAGGATCGGCTTGGAATATGCAGACAACCTCTAATGTCACCATCGTATCGGTTGGTGCCAGTATTCTGGTGCGACCAGCTGACATGGATGTTCTCGCCGAGATGCAGAGAGCTGTGCCGCCGGGTGTGAAAAAAGCCCGCGTGTTCTCAAGGTGGCCGTCGAAACGAGGCAGGATCGGTCTCATGTACTTCTGCACCGTTGGGTCGGCGGGACTGTAGAAAATTGGACGGTGGATAAAATCGTATGAGAGGCGAGACAGCCGGGTCCTCGGACGCCCGTAGCCGCCGTGCCAGTGCATCTCGGGTGGTTGTCATTGTCATCAAGATTTCCCTTCGCAGCAGCCAAGGCCATGGTTCCTGAGATCCTAGGAGAAGGCGGCCAGATATGGTAACTGGAGCTGTAGATGGTCGCGTGGTGGGCCCACTAGCCCACTTTCGCTGTCGCAAGAAATAGGCCGTGTCCAGATGTGCCCTCCCTTGTCCTGCAGCATGTCATGTCAAGTTGACGATCTTGGGAAGGGACCTTGCGGCGGGTTCGGTTGAGATCCGACCATGTCGTCCCATGTTGCAACTTGCAGTAGTGCTTGGTCCTCGGGCGCACAAGCGCCTCAATCAAGATGCGGCTCTCGTGGTCTCTCCAAATCTTGTTGAAGGATTCTGTGGGCGTGGGGGAGGATCCGTCCAAGACCCCTTGAATTCCGACCTTTCCCACGAGCAGCCTGCCCAAGAAAAGCCCAGGCTCTGTGGCCCACTGGCCCACTTGCCTATTGAATATTATGGAATGTGGGCGCGCGTGCGGGCGCGCGTGTGGGTCCCGACCAGTAAGAAACCCTTGTCGATGTTTGTTTCAAACACCGATTGTCAAAGACACGATGTTTCCCACCCGCATCCTGGCTGGCAGACTGGCTTGAAAAGGGTTATCGGGGAGCCCAGAATGGCTCTTCGGAGAATTTTCCAAACGCTGCCGAGCACCAGGGCGCCGCTCAAAGTGGCAACCAATGTCCGCACGCGCAGGAGCCGTCGCGATAATCAAAAAGTCATCACCTGCATGGGACACATGACGGCAACATGACAGAAACATGGCAGCAGCGCACGGCCTTGGCCCCCAAACCAGACCCCCTTTCCGCGCAGGGAGTCAAGACAGGAGCAGGAGCAGGAGGAGCACGGGGTACGGAGCACGGGGTAGGAGGCAGGAGGTCGACGACGGTGCAAGGAGGAGGATGGAAAGTTCGAGGATGAGGTAGTAGGCTTCACCCGAGCGGGTGGACCCCCCTACCCGGCCAAAGAAAGCATGGCAAGCATGGCAAGCATGGCAAGCAAGGGTTTCGCAAATCCGAAGACCGGTACCGTTCCCATGGTTGTTCAAAACTCGGGACGAATCTGAGATCTCCCGTCCGCACAACCTCAAGCGAGTTGTGACGCCAAGCATCTTCATTCTTTCCCTTTCCCTTTCCCTCCTCCCGTGCCTGTTGATCGCAGCGCCTCAGCAGTGCTTCGCTACGGCTGCTGGCCAGCGCTTCTCTCTCTCCTTCGTTTACGTGACGAGATCTCTGTCGCTCTTTGACGCCATCCTTCCAGCCAGTCCTTCGTTTTCAGCTGGGAGAGTAAAGGAAAAAACAAAAGTCTAAAAACAAAAAACAAAAAAAATCAAAGGTCGAGCAAGATGCTCCCTATCACGCTGCGCAACGCGCTTCTGTCCCTCGCAGTCGTCCTCCCGACCCATGTCCTCGCAGACGGCGATGTCAGCTCTTCTGCCGTCACGTTCCAGTTCTCAGCTTGCGTGAGCACATGTCTGGGGAGTTCAGGCTACAGCATAGACGGAGAAGACAACCAGAAGGAAATGTGCAAGGCCTCCCGGGATGGCCTGCTGGAGGCCATCATCGCCTGTGCAGTATCAAATTGTGTGGGGGAGCTCGTGTCCGTCGAGGCAACTCTTCTGCAGCCCATGCAGGCCGGTTGCAAGGAGCTCGAGAAGCCAGTCTCGGACGACGAGATCGAGGCCGCCGTGGGTGCCGCCCTCGACATCCAGGCCACGCTCGCCATCAGCACGAGTGCGAGTGCGAGTGCCACATCGACCTCTTCGACCTCTTCGACCCAGCTGGCGGCCATGACGCCGACTGGCGGAGGCTTCCGGCCATTCGGAGTCGAGACCGAGACTTCGACAACAGCGGAAGTACCCGCGATCCCCATGCCCACCGAGCAAACCCTGACGGCGATCGACTCGGCAGCAGAGACGACCATGCTGATCCCGACGGGCCCCCTCACGGTGGTCGGGACGACCACTTCTGAGGCCGTCGTCCCGGCCGAGACGCCCTCGGCAACCCCGGAGCCGGTGATTGCTTCCGAAGCACAGCCACCGCCGGAGCCAGTCACTTCCGCTGAGGAGCCAAGCCAAACTTCCTCCGAGGCGGCGGCGATAGTCCCCGTGGCCCAGGCCACCCAGCCGTCAGCCGAGCAGGCGGTCCCAGAGGCCACGACTGTGTCAGAGCCTCCACCATCTCCAACCCCAGACACTCCCCCAGCGCCGCAGCCAACACCAACACATGGCGGACACCAAGCAAGCCAGGTCCAGCCTGAGCCCATCCCGGCGACGACACTAGCCACCACAATGACCATGCCCACCAGCACCAACAACGCCGCCGACACGCAGCCCCAGCACACGCCAGCGGCCCACGAGCAGCCCCCCAACGACAACAACAACAACAGCCCAGTCGCCGGCGCCGGCACGACTACCACCAGCACCGAAGCCTCCAAGACCGAGGGTTCTGCCCCGTCCAAGGCAACCCACACGGCCGACGCCAGCAAGGACTCAGACTCAGACTCAGACTCAGACTCAGACGACGACACCCTAGCGACCGCGACGGGCAGCGCGACGCCCGACATCAGCGGCGAGCTGGTGCTGGCGACGGGCACGCCGACCGCCACCCCAGCATCGTGGTCCGGCTTCGCCACCTCCGTGACGGCCGTGACGGCGACCCCGTCGGCGTCCGGGACCCAGGCGGCCGACTCGGGCGAGGACCGCGGGCTGGGCGGGGGCAGTCCCTTCAGCGTCGTGACGTCCTCTATGGCGCCGGGCACCACGAGGTGTCTGTTGGCCCCTCTGGGTGTTGTGTTTGGTGTTTTCGTGTCCCTGATGATGTTGTGAGCGTCTTGTGTGTGTACTTTTTTTTTTTTTTGGCTGTTGTGACGAGAGTGATACCTACCTACCTATCCTGTGCTGTGTGTTCTGATGTGTCGAGTGCGGACTGACTATTATGATGGAATGTAAAAAACTGGGAAAATCGTGTGATATCTTTTCGATTCTACTGTACGATTTCTTTTTTAGAGTGTATTATAACCTCGTTGTAATGTATATATTACTCACACGACGAATATGTTTGCTCGGTATCTGTGACCCTTGCAAGTGACTGTCAGATTCGTTCCCAAGCAGGCTTTAGAACTGAAGCGTCTAAGAGCATCAGCATGAAACTGCAGGAGTACATGGTCCCAGATCTTGTTTACTCGATGCAGTCCAAGATCCCATTAGGATATCGAAACATGCGAACACGAATAGATTACACCAGAGGACCACTCGGTGTCTCCTGGAGGGTACCTAGATTGCATCTAGCGAAACGCTCTGAAGATGTTTGGAAACTCATGTCTGAACACAGTTCGGTGAAGCACATTGCATGCTTCAACTAAGTGATTCGCATCATAAAATTGCTGGTATCTTATAATTCATGACACTCCTCGGTACTCCATGCAGAAACAGCATCCTCACATGAAAAGCACAAACGTAACCCCCAGCCCAGCAACAGTCACCAGCCCGCCACTGCCAGCAGCCCAGGCAGGTGTCCTCACGGCAACCCCGCCGTTAGAGACCACCGCCGTGGCCGAAGCCGAGGCAGAAGAAGCCGCACCGCTCCCGCCGCCACGGCCACCACCAGAGGGCGATCCCGTCCTGCTCGGCCGGGAGTTGCTGCCCGTGGCCGTGGCCGTGTGCTGCCGGCCGCCAGCACCACCCGTCGTCCTCGGGGCCGTGCCGTTACCGTTACCACCACCACCCCGAACCGCGCCGCCGCTAGGGCCGGCCGCGAGACTGCCCGCTGATCGAGAACCACCACTGCCGCCGGCCCCCTTTCCCGACCGCCCCTCGCCGCTCCCCGCCTGCCCTGGGCTCGACGACCCCGACCCCGAGCCTGAGCCCTGGCCGCCCGGCAGGAAGCCGCCCGGCGTCTGGGACGGCTGCGCACCCCCCGCTGGCGAGGATGCTTTCTGAGGGCTGTTTGGTGATCCCGGACCTTGTTCTGGTTGAGGGTCCTGTGGCTGTTTTCAGGGAGGGTGTTTGTTAGTTCTCTGTCTTGTTTCTTTGGCTTCTAATATGGGGGTGTGTCGGGGTGGTGTATAGGCACATATATAGACTCTAGTAAAGGGGGGCACGGACTCACTTGTGCTGATGCTATTGTGGTGAGGGGGAGGATGATGAATGTGGACAACTTCATTGTGGATGAATGGTGTGTAAGTTATGGAGAAGGTATGTAGATGCAAACTCGAACTCAATGTTGTTGATTGTGACCACTTTTGATCCGAGAATGCACTAGGGTATTACTGAAGAAGAGGAGAGGCCTTGGAGACGTAAAGCTTGATTTGAGAAGTGCTTGGCCAAGGTGAACAAGATAGACAAGACGGTGAAGTTCTCATGATTCTTATACATCGTCCATCCAGAGGCATCAACAAGGACTCCTCCTCACGCCTCAGAAGGCTCCCCCCCCCCACCTGCCGCGAGGCCCTCACCAATGTGGAAGAAACGCTTTGTGAACCGCGTATACAGTACACCAGCCGTGACATGTTTTGGGTAGACATTCGTACGCCCGTTTCAGACATGAATGAAACAACCTGCCAATGAACTCGATGAGAACCCCAGACGGCGGCCTGCGACAGGTGCACGCAAGAGACGCAAAGACGCAAGCTTCGTCAATCTGCGCCCAGCCGCATATCGGACGGTCCAGTCTGACGTGTCCTGGCAGAACCGCGGGCCGAGAGAACGACTCGTCTGGCCTGGGAGGGCCCAGGGCCCCTGTTCCTGCGAATACTGTAAGGCTGAGCTGATCGCGGCTGGACGATCAATGCTTGATGTGGCCCTATAAAAGGCTGGGCTATAGCAGAATATTGCCCCTCTCGGAGGCCCAGACATGTCAACCCATGCCGTGCATGAACGAACCGGCTTGACCCTGGCGGAGATCATTAGCCCGCCACAGGTTTCAGACGATGGAACGCGTACGCACTGATGCAAATACCTGAATACACAGTTTGGTGTGCTGATCCAGGCCAAAGAAAAATGGCGCAGTACTTTGCGTAATGGTAGTATGGCAACTGGCTGCAGAAGAGGGAATCTACTGTTGTCAATTCATGATTGACGAGCAAAGCTCGGGTGTCTGCTACACGACCACAGCATTCATAACCCTACTACCCAACCTCTTACAGAAAAGAAATTATCGGACAATATCTTGTAGAAAAGCTTCTTATAGAACGACCTCTTGTAGGGGGGTTTCCTATTAGAGGATGTCCTATCAGAGGTTGTCTTATAGGACGGCCTCTTATTGGATAGTGTCCTAATCCCCTATAAGAAGCTGTACATGATGACTTCCAAGGTTAAGCCACATCCCACCGAACACATGAACTCCACCGCAGTACGAACTCAGCATCTCTTAAGACTGTTTGGCCTCCCCCGCCCTTGACTCCATCACACATCGACCAGCGCGGGCGTCGGTGAGCGCGACGACGCATTTCTGGAACGGCCCCAGCTCCAGCTCCACCAGGCATCCCAGGTTGAACATGAAGCCGATCCAGGAGGCGACCCTGAAGACGTCCATGATGCTCGCTGCAGCAGGGAGGAAACAGAGGGTGTAGGCGAAGACGAACGCAGCGCCGCATCCCGCGTGGGAGACCAGTGGGTGAGTCGGCTTCTCTTTGCGGTAGTCGAAAATTTGGACCACGAGAGCCATCTGCACAATAGCATCGGCGGCGAAGAGGATGCTGGTGAGGATGTAGATGATAATATCGTCGTCTTCCGTCTTCTTTTGGGTAACGACCACGACCGCGTAGAGGCTGCGCCAGAACATCTTGATGCAGACTTGGGTGAGGAACAAGGAGTAGCGAAGGGCATCGTCCTCTCTGCTTGTGTCCGCAGGTGCCTTAACACCGCCAGGTTGAGTCAGACCACTTCTGGCGGCATTTCCCTCGGTGTTTCCTGCCATCTCTGTTGCTCGGGGATTTTGAGTTTGTTCGGTTGGACGGGCCTGTGATGGTAGAGACGTTGGAGGTTGATGATTCTTGGACGTGGTACATAGCACGGAGTAAGGGCAGGCATTTATCAAGGGCCTTTAGACTTTGTGGGAAAGCTGGCGTCGTCAATGAAGGCGCGGCTTCTCCACCAAGAATAACCAAGTTCCATTTAGGGTGTCTGCATGGAGACGGTGGGTGGGCGAAGCCCGCTATCATCTCGCGGCCCAAGTGCTTATGCCTAGGCTTGCGGCGGTCTGAGATGGTCCATAGGGCAAGAGCACTCAGGGTAGGTACCTAGGTAAGAACAAAGGTCTTGACTTCCTCCTGACGAGCCTCCGCCACAGCCTGACCCTCCATGATGCCAAGCACGAACGCCTCGCCCACGAACTCGCACCTTATCCTTGCGGACCCGGCCTTCCCAGCTGCGCCATCACTGCCTCCCTCGGGCGCCCCAGGGGGCTCTCTCAGCACGAACGGCACAGTCCCTCCCTGCAGCACCGTGATCTTGTCGCCCACTCGGGTCTTGAAGGGCGCAACCCCAATATATCCTCTCTTGGTGATCACAAAGGATCGGCCGTGACACCGAGAGATACAGCAATCGGTGAAGGGCTTGACAAAGGTCCTGCGGATCTCCACCTCGTCGTCCACCCCCGCGCTGCTGTTCCCCATGGCATAAGCAGCATCGACATCCGCGCGGCCGAGCCACGCATCGAAATACCGCCTGTGTCCCAACGAGGTCACCTTGCGGTCGTCCCAGTCGCGGTCCCACATCAGCGCCATCCAGAAGGCGTCATACCGGTCCGCGGTGGCGCCGTATGGGAACCCGTCCCGCCGCCACTTGTCCTGCACGGCCTGCTCCCACACCAGCACGTTGTCCCTCGTCTGCGAGTTGCGCGCCCTGATGTTCTCCATCCTCTCGGCGAGCACGTGCCCCGTGTAATGCCCCATGAACGGGTTGGGCCCGACGTACTCGACGGCGTCCAAGTCGAGGCCGCGGAGGTGGAGCTCCGCCCATGACGCGGTCGGGAAGATGCCGTTCATGGGCAGCTTGGTCGGCCCCCAGCACGACAAGCCGCTCGCGAAATAAGCGTCGTTACGGGTCGCTCTGATGGGCGTGTAGCCGCGCTGTGGCCAGTCCGGCTCTGATGAGTAGTCCGGGCACCACGACGGCAGGCCATGCTTGGGGTTCTTGTTGTCATTGTCGAATTGCAGCCACATGAGGTCCTGGTACTGGATGATGAAGCGTGCCGTGGCGCGCGTGTCTGCGGCTCCGTCAGTCTAGTGGACGTTTCGAGCCTCTCGCAACCAAGGCCATGTTCAGTGATTCACTTGAGCCCATGACGACCGCAACCCCCCCCCCCCCCACACACACACACACCCGGCCGCCAGGTAGCGACATAAACAAGCAAGTTGAACACAAATCATCCGGTGAGGTGGCCCATTTGGGTAGGCGTCAGGTTTCGACTTGTGCCGATGGTCCCAAGTTCAAGCCGAGCCGGCAACCAGTAAAATATCAGCGACGGTCCGCAAAAGACAGAGGTATTTTCTGACTCTTCGGAGGGTCTTTTTGCCCCTCTGATCTCTTTTGCTTCCCAGCCGCGCAAGTATTTATTTGTTCATACCTGACTGACTGATCTTTTGCCCCACGTCCTTGATTCCCTCCCTCTCTGATATGCGCACCATGACCTCCCACACACAAACGGATGCGAAAGTCTCCGGCCAGGCAACTCATTACAAAAGGAAAGGGACTTACAAACAGAAGCAACGCTTTGCGAGTAATCAGGTGCAAGGAACTGCATGTCCGCAGGCGTCGCCAGCCCCAGGAGACCGTAGATCTTGTCCCGCGCATCTGTAGCCTGGAACACATCACACAAGCTTACATATTCAGCCAGCGGCGTGACGCCCGCCCCGGCCGTCAGTTTCGACTCGGGGTAGTCCGTGAGGATGTGCCGGAAGGTATTCGCCTGGATGAGGAAGCGAGTCCTGCCCTCCGCATTGTCGAGCTCACGCTTCTCGGGGCGGACCCAGCCCCGCCGGATGTCGTCGAGCTGGACGAACGCTTCGATGGGGAGCGCTGCGCTGCCGCATCTCATGACTGGTTTGGATGACAGCATCGCCTCTGTTGGAAGAATAAATGGTGTCAACACATGAGCTCCTCACAGGATTATATCGAGCTGACGAGAGAAGCAGGGCGACGTACCCTGAACGACCCAGATCCGAGACCACCACTCCCTTTCCATCAGTGCATTGATCGCCTGGATCTGCGCCTCCGAAAGGGCATCATCATCAGGGAGCACATACGTCCCTGCCGCATACAGCTCCCCAATCGTTCTCATGGCCAAGTCGCTATCGCCCTCCTCCGGGCCGAGCCACACACACGTCTCCTCAGCCTTGCTGTACACGTCTTTCATCAGCATGATCTGGGTGGACTTCTCGGCCGTGTCCGTCTGGTTGATACACAGCGCGTCGACCCAGAGCGTGAAGGTGGACCTCTGCTGCTGCTGCTGCTGCTTATCATTACCATCTCCACCGCCACCAGAAGCAGCAGCATCGGAGCACAGCTGTTGCAGCACCGCCTGGAGGTTCCTCGTTATGGGCAGCCGTTTGGCATGCTCGGGCCCGCGCAGCGTTATGCCCGCGCCGCTGGGGTACTCTGTGCCCCACGTGTACGAGAGTGCTGTGTATTTCGGGTCATCGTCGAGTGAGACCGTCTCCAGCACCGCGCTGAGGTTGGCTGGGTCCGGCTCGACGCGGAGGAGGCGGATCTGCCTGAGAGACGGGTCGAGCGGGCTGAACGGCGAGCCTGCTGGGGTTGATGCTTCTGCCATTTTGTTGGTCAGAATAGTTTGGTCAGATTGTACGTGCTACTTACGCTGGTGTTGAAGTGAAGACAAAAGTTGTCCTGGGGTGGGGGAGACGGTACGTCTCTTATATACTGCTGAGGAGTAACCAATTGGTGGATTTGGTTATTATGGTCTTTTAGCTAGGTGGTCTATGGCGAGGGACTTAGCAGTATTGCCTAATCGTTGCAGCGAGGGCTATTCACGATGTTCGACGTTCCGGCACGATAGAGGCTTCAGCCGCACTCCACAAGCGCCACGCGCACGAGGGCACCCGAATAGGGCCAAGCCTCCGGGGCTGCATGTCAATAGTGTCCATTGCGATGAGTTGCACGCTGCTCAATGGTCCGCATACGCAGGGAACCAAATCCACCGGGTATTCTATTCAGTCTTCTTGTCACCCAAGGCACTAATGATACAGTTGTTAATGCCCACCGATAGCACTATTCGAGGAATCAGCAAAAGCCCCTTCAATCCTCCGAGTTCTCAACGGCTTCTTCCTCAACCTCGTCCATGCCGCCGGAAGCTCCCTTCTTCGCCGTGCCGTCGGCCTCGTGTCCTGACCCCTGCCGGAGGCTGTTGGTCCTCTGCCTCCTGCTGATCATGCCCGGGTAGATGCGCGGCTCGCTGCCCGACAGGGATGCGTCCATCATGGGGTCGATGGGCCACGACGCCGCGGACTGGACGGCACCAGGCCCCGGCGGCGCGGGCGCGGACGTCGGCTGCTGCTGCATGGAGCCTGTGGTGGGGGAGGACGTCGGCGCCACCCTCATTGCGTGCGCGTGCGCGTGCGTTGGCGCCTGCCCTTCCGGGTTGAGGCTGGTCTTCATGATCGTGGCCGGCGACTTGGGTACAGCTGAGGCCGCACCGCTGGGTGCAGCCGTGGCTGACTCGGCCGGGGTCTCTGCCGCGTACGAGGTGTACATCTCGACCCTACGAGTTGTTCCTGGTCAGCCTTGGGGTCATCGCGGACCGCGTCATGTTGAGTGAGAATAAACTTACATCTGTTGTTCCTCGAGCAGGGTGCGGTATCGGAACTCCTCTCTCCTGTCAGGGACGTTGGTCTTGACCATGGTGTTGCCCCTGAACCCGGGCCTCAGGAAGTTGGGGCCGAGCCAGTGCTGCTTGATCGAGTGCTCGAAACCGCTCTGCTTCACCGAGTTCTTGGCGAGCTCGCACATGTCGATGGCGCTGAGCTTGTAGATCTGCGCCGCCACGGCGTATTCCTCCATCAGCGGCTCCTTGGTGTAGGCGAACTGCAGGGGATCGTCCGTGGACAGCGACACGTTCAGGCCGCGCTTGAAGTACTGGTGGAATGGGTTCCGCTCCAGGGCCAGGAACAGCGCGTTGTTGCTGAGCGGAGACATGGCCACGCCAATCTGCTCGAGGTAGAAGATGTACTGTAGCAGAGGCACCTTGCGCAGCAGCAGGCCGTGGCTGATGCTATGGGCGCATTGGGCAGCCACTGCCAGATGCTCCACGTCACCGGCCTCGCCGCAGTGCGGCCGGATGACGAACGTGTTGAAGCCGCGCTGCTTTCTCCAGAAGTTGAGAGAAGTGATATTGGCAAAAATATAATAAATCCAGTAGCTGTAGGGCGGGTTCTGCTTCGTGTCCCAGACCCGGGGCACGGGGTATTTCCTGAACAGGCGTCGCTCGACCTTGCTCTCGTCGTCGACACTGTCGATGCCGACCACCCTCTGCAGGAAGACATGAAGCTTAGGGTGGCTCTGGGGGTCTTTGGTGACCTCGAAGAGCGGCTCGAATATGTTCTTGACGATCTGCTCAAATGTCTCCATGGTACCGCTCGCCTTGTACACGTCATACAGGCGGGGAATCTGGATGAGCCAGCGGACGTTGTGAGAGTAGAGCTTGTTGTCGACAACCCATGCGGCTAGCTTGTCCCACTCATCCATCGACCGCCCATAAATCGAAATACGCCACTCCACAACCTGGTACTTACTCGACTCCAGATCCGCGATGACCTCCTTGGTAATTTCTGCAAGGTAGCGGCCCTTGATCAGGTTGTCCGTCTTCAAAAATATGGTACGCAGGCGGGATTCTCCGATGGGGTTGTATTTCAGATTGAACTTGTCAAATCGATGGAACGAGTCGGTATGGGCGTGCATGTCTAGAGTATCGATACTGAGATCGTATGCCGTCAAGTTGATACTCTCAAAGACCTCTCGCAGGGTGAGGTATTTGCCGTCACGGTGCAGCACCACCTCATCTGGTGACTTCTTCATCTTGCTCTTGATGAAGCGGAGGAGATGTTTCTGGTTCATGCAGGCCGAGTGGTGCACGTGAGTGTCGACCTTTCGGACGTTGTAAAAATCACGGTGAGGCACCTTTTTGGTGTCGGCAGTCTCTTGATACTCGTTCAGGAGGGCATACAGGTTGTATTTGCCCTCCAGGTACTGCAGCCGGCGGAAGGCAAAGCTCTTTGACGGCCCATCAGACGACACTGACAAGATCACATCCAGGTCGATATAATATTCCTTGATAGTTGGAACATTGATGGCCGGCGTGTTGGCTGCTTGAGCTGCCTCATTCTCGAAGACCTGGTACACTCCGTTGGGATCGAGACCAAATGTCATCTCGCTTGGGCCGGGCAGAGGCTCTAGGTCAGCCATGTCGAAGTCCGAACCGATGTCCTCGCCGAGCTTGCGTCTCTTCTTAGGAGTGTGGGCTGCTGCTGGATCGGCCGGCAAAGTCGTACTATTCGTCATGCTATTTGGTCCATTGCTTCCGTGAGCGGCCCTGTCCTGGTCGCCCACCCAGACTGGCTGGGGCGGAGGCGGGTAGATTTGCCAGTTCGGATCGTCCTTAGGGTTGTCTGTCGGGCCCTGGAGGGAGAGGCGGATGTACTTGTGACGGATGTCGAGGATCTTCTGGACGTTTTTCAGGATAGCGCTTAGTTCGGCTGTGACTGAGGCATCAGCGCCGACATAGGAGGCACTACCAATCCCGTGAGGAGCCCCCGTGCTCATTTCCAACTGAGCCTGGTACACCGCATCCTGGGCACTGACACCCAGTGCACTGGGAACCCTGTGGAACTCCTGGTAGCCCTCGGGATGGCTGCGGTTACTGGGCATGGAGAAGTGGGTGGTGTCTTTCTTAGAGCCACTACCAAACACACTCTCACCGCCAACAGGCGAGCCATTCTGAGGCCACGCAGCGGCCGGCAGGTCATACGAAGAGCCGAGGGCCCGCTCGAGTGCCGCTCCCGCTCCGCCGTGGGAGATGACCGGGCTGCCATGGAGGCTGCCTTCATACACCGAGGAACCCCATGGCGGGCCGGCACCCTTCTGTTGGTCGAGCTGGCTGCGCTGGTAGAAGAGTTTTGCGTCGTGCTGTGTCATCTGGCGCTCTGCCACCGGGTCGTAGAAGGCCGTCTTCTTGGGCATGTCTCGAGGGAGCAGGCCGTCTTCGTCTTCTGCCTCTTCTCCGTCCGGGGTGCTCTTGGAAGTTGCGTGTCCGGGGTTGCCCTCGTCTGAGTCTGGGCTGGCGCTCTGGAATGTAGCAGTGTCATCCTCTCCGTCAGAATCTTGGGCGAGAGGCATGGCGGTGGAGTTGAGCTTAGGAGACGTCGAGGCCGAGGTGGGGTCCTCGATAAAAGAGTGGTCTGAGACACGGATGCGTGTAATTGATCAGTCATTGGCATACATGGCAAGGTGGTCGGTCTGACGAGCCGCTGGGCGAGACATACCGGCCATCTTCTCTCCCTCTGCGACTTTCTGTCGGCGCTTGAAAACGTAGAAAGAGAGGGACGGCCAGCACAGTTTGGGCTAGCCGCACGTGGGTGACTCGATGGGGTTATAAATGGTCGAGGGTAGCAGTGCCGCGCCTCTGCGTCGCGGAGTCCCCCGCTGGAATTTTGGAGGGAAGCCTCGAGCCTGTCGGTAGTACCCAGCTGCATCCCAGTCAGAAGCACCTGAGTGCAGGGGTCTGGCCGTATGACGCACCGCGCCTACGCGCGGGTATCGGCCGAACCAATCGCACCCCGAGTCACTTCAGGGGCCGCCTGGCCATTCCCACTGTGTGCCCCCACAGGATCTGCCACGGCCTGCAGGCGCGTTTGGGCATCTCTTGGAGTTTAAATGTCCATGTGCCAGCCACTGCATAATTTAGTGCTAGGCCCTTGTGACAAGAACGGGGACGGCACTAATTGGCAGAATTGGCAGACACCTAGTGTGGAATATGCTGGTGATCAGCTGGACAGGGTGACTTGTTTGCACTCGTGAGGACGAGACTTAGTAGTCGAGGAACCCAAAGATATGTGTATTTCCATATTGGGCCTGGATACGAGAGGCCGAGGTTTCTCTCAAGCGCTAGCTATATTAGCCCAGCTCCCAAGACTCTCGCCGCGGCACCATCTTGGGAGACACGTCAACCAATCTTGGTCGTCCTGGGCTTCGGGGCCACCTTCTTGCCCGAGTCGAGCGAGTACAGCCCCCCAGCAAAGAACACGATGCAAGCACCAAGCAGCGTGCCCGTGGCCAGCTGGTTCCCAAAGAGCCAGATGCTGAGCAGAAGGCTGACCAGCTTGCGGATGTTCAGGACGATCGTCACGGTTAGTGCAGTGGACGCGGCCGCGAGGAGGTTGACGCCGCGGATGCAGGCATACTGCGTCAGGACGTTCATAGCCAGGTAGAATACTTGACTTGGGATATAAATCCTGTCGATGCCGCGTTGCACGTGCTCCGGTATCTTGTCAACGCCAAAGATATCCGCAATCGGAAGGGGCAGCGGCGGGCTGTTTGCCAGCTTCTTGTACTGCCTCCACATGGACGGCATGAACGGGAGAAAGAGCGGCAAGGAGAGTAGGTGCGAGTAGAACAGGTTCTCTTTCCACTGCGGACCGTACTTCCGGTATGTGTCCTCGGTATACAGACCCATGATGGCGGAGGCGACCTGGGCGGCGAAGAGGATGGCGAGGCCGGTGTTGAAGCTCTGTGAGCTTCCTGCTTTCTCTTCCGTGCTTCCCTGTGGCCAACGTGTCAGCTCGGCTGTAAAATGCGGCCCCGTCGTGCTGCACCACTTCTCCTACCTTAGTCTGCGCGTCTGACCAGGCGGCGGTTATGACGCCGACCGTGAGAAGCATGACAGCTATGACCTGTATGCGAGAATATCTCTTGCCCCAAAGGCTTCCCGCGATCATGGTCGTTATGCTTCCTCCGGACCTGAGGATGATGTGGACGGGAACGGAGATATCGTAGCTGAAGGCATGGTTGTTCAACGTATTGATGCTGAAGAAGAGCACGATGTTGATCAGCCAGCGCCGTATTGGCACCTTGTTCGGTCGTAGGAAGAACGGAGGCCGAGTCTCGTCGAACTGAGAGATGTAACCGGTGACGGCGACGAAGAGGAACTGGACAAAGGTCAAGAGAGTGCCACTGGCGGGCTCAACCCTAGGCAAGAGAACAAGACTCAGGTCAGCAACCCGGTTCTAGCGGGCGGCGCGGCAAGAACTGACTTGACGATAGCCTCCAGGGCAAAGACGTTGGAACAGCAACCCCCAAAGATCAGGAGCAGCATGGCACCGACGGTGAGCCATTGGGGAATGGTCTCGATGAAGATGCGGCCCAGCATGCCCATGATCTTGGAGGACATTGGACGCTGGTCGTCAATGCCATGGATTTGGGCCTTCTCCAGCGAGGGAGCGGCGTTGATCACTCGGGGGCTCATGGGCGCGGAGGCAGCCGCATGATGCTGGGCTTTCTGGAGGGAGGTTTGTCGTCGTCGAGGTGGGCGGGAGGTCGTCATTTACACGGTTGCGAGGGTGGCACACCTTTTTTTCTCTCCGCGACGGGCCGGGAAGAAAAAGAGAAACGCGAAACGTGTCCTGTCAAAACTCTTCCAAGGGGGCGTTGCCCAGAAGCATCAGAGTCACTCAGAGCTGTCGCGGCTGAGAGGCATGCGCTGATCAATGCAAGTAAGGAGCACGCTTGGGAGCTGTAAGGCCGGTGCCTGTTGTGGCGTCGGTCGATCAGTGTACCGTGTGTATACGTGGCGCGATGCGAGCAGCAAGGGAGTCGGTCAGTCTGGGTTGTGGCCGCGAAGGATAAGTAGAGTAGTACCCTTGGCCCTGAAAGACAGTTATACAAGAAAGTTAGTAAAGAGATTAGGCCCCAGACAATAGTACAAGCACGAGGCGTGGGCTCCCACCGAAAGTCTCCGACTGGATCTGGCCTGATTTGAGCGCAGTGAAGCTAGCTCTGGCTGAGTTCCGAGAGATCCAGAGGTCCTGGGGACTTTCGCGATTTGATCTTGAGGCTCACCCCCCCCCCCCCCATGTCGTCAATGCATGTTCTGGCCTCTTCCAGGGCCAAGAAAATCGTAATGCCGCTAATCGCCCAGGGGCCCAGGGGTCTTCCCGCCTTGCCGCTTCCCACCTGCCCGCCCACCTGCCCGTCTTCCGGCCAGCCAGCCAGCCCGCCTTGTGCCCCGCAGCCACACCCACACCAGAGGGGACCAAACGGGTGTTCCTGCCGAAACCAACAGCCTAAGGGACAACCCTTAATATTAGCAAGGTTCGGCCGTCCCTGGGCTAGAAGGACGCGGGTACCTGCAAATGCATCTCCCCCAAGATGGGACGAAGCGATGAAACGGGCAGGCAGACTATTATCGACACACACATTGTGGTCCTGCCTGCCTGTATCGTGCAAGCTCTGGGGGCTGGCGACTATCAAGACACACGTTCTCTTATTCTCTCCAGTATTACATATCTGACCGAGTGCCGGGCCTGGAGTCATATGGGAACAACGAGGACCAGGCACCTCCATTCGTGTTTCTCACGCACCTCGTCTGATTTGTTGGCCATTGGCCACTCAATATGGTGTCACCTACTCTAGGAACTCGATCTCTTCGGAGACGGGCAGTATTGTATACTTAGACCACGTACCGCAGCCAAGAACATGAGACAACTTGACGGGTAGGAACGCCTTCGGAATACCTCTTTGAATTTGAGGGGTCCTCCGTCTCTTTCCATCTCGCTGAATCACATGGATCCATGTTATTCCGTCCCTCTCAGAGCTTCTCCCAAGCACAGCGCTGTTCTAGACGGCAAGACGGAGCGCACTGCCTCAAGCCCACATTGGGGATTCAAGTCTGGGGCCCATTTCCGTGGTATACTGCGGGGCCAAGCTTTGAAACCCAGATTGCCTAGCATTCCAGCGACAAGGGAGGTGCATTTTGTGTCAGGCGGCCCACAGACTTCCTACTCGTCCAGCTGGTACGCACTGTAATGTGCCCAGCAGGTGGTGGTGGTGGGCAGCGGGGCTCGGGCCGGGCCGAGGGGAAGAACTCCTCTGCTGCAAGAACTCCCAGACACCCCAGGCCCAGACCGGGGCGGGGGCACGCACACACACACACACACACAACATTCTCTTCCCCTTCTAGAACGTCAATTTAACTCCACACTACCCGCGTACCTTGGAGAGCCTGGTCCCGCGTAGCCGACAGACAACGCCTGCGTGGTACTTGTTGGACCCTGGATGGACCAACCGTCTTGCTCTTGGTCTGTACGCGTAACGCAGAGGATAAGACACCCCGCAGACGTCATTTGTGTATATCGAGAACATATAGATAGGCATTCAGCCACTGCCCAGCGTACAGCTTTACATACACGGTTCGTGTTGTTCCGCGGGATAGGACTCCATGCCCTTCCTTGCCCCTTGCCAGTACCGTCAATCGTTTGAAAACCATCCTCTGATTCTTGAGGAAACATTACCTGCCCGACTGTGTCCAGGTGCCACGAGAGCACTGGAAGCTCCCGCAGCTCGGCACTACACCTTGTGAAGCAAGCCTCTCTGCGACCTCGTGCTAGATGATTTTGGGTAAGCACACAAATATTGCTCATAGCAATAATGTTGAAGACACTCCGGCCTTGACAGATCGCCGAGTGGTCATCTGATGATGGTTTCAAATCTGTCTCTCAAACCAATACTGCGCCCCCCCCCGCCTCTCCAGTAGGCTCAGTGCCTTGCCTGCCACTGGCCTTGCTCATCAAAAATGAAGACGTTGTACTCAGACTCCATCTTGATATCAGCAGAGGTAAAATCTTCTACAAAAACCACTGGCATCATCCTCTCACCACCGCTATGCATATTTTCAATGCCCCTAAAGCTTACATCACTGTATTCTGTTGACATCCCTCCCTAGGCACTCCAGCTATTGGTACCGCATGCCTAGGGTCGAGTTGCCCATTTGAGCTTTGCATGATTGCTTCCATTGGCTTTATTATCTCTTCTCCTAGAACGAGGAGGACACAAGTCCCTTTAAATGCTACTGAACAAAACCACATTCTGCACAGAAAGCACGGCTTTGATCACAAGAGAAAATTGTCCTTCTCAATCTAATCATGTCTCTTATCTGTCTGGGCTGAGGGTGGTCTCTATGCCAAACAACTTGTTTGCCTTCCCTCCACTCTAATGCATTTATCTCGACATCCTCACCCACCACCACCACACTTGTCCCATGGTGTCCCGCCGGCTCGCCTCCAAAGCGCCCTCCCAAGCTCAACGACCAGAGGTGTCCCCACCTCTGCCGAGTCCTCCACAGTTGGTGGTGTCTGACACGAACCCGACCGGGACGGCCCAAGCCACCGCCAAGCTCGAGTCCTCCTGCCGCAAGACTCATGAATGCTTGCGGCCCAAGTGCGTCGTGAAGTCGGGACGCCAAAATGCGAGGATATCCCTGTAAGAGCCCCAAAGAGCAGGAAACAACCAGGGTGGATGCCAGGCCCACACGACAGCTGCCCTTGACGACGATGATTATGTGTGGTAACCGTCTAAAGGGCCGAGAACACGAACAGCTGCGTTGACATGTCAGTGAAGGGCTCGCCCACGTCAAACACGGGGGTCAGGCTTACATTGTTGGTGGCCGCAATGGCGATGCTGTCCTCAAATGGATGCCAGCTCATGTGCAAGATCTTCTTGTTGAAGTCGATCTGGTCCGCGTCCGTCTCCTTGCGCATCCTCTGTCCTGCTCCAGCGGGGCTGCCAGCTCGGGACCCGTTCTTCTTACCGCCATTAGCGGTAGGGCTCGTAGACGAGTTGATCGGCGTTGGCACGCCTACTTTCTTAGCCTTGAATGCCGACTTGTCTGCTTGTAATACGACCTCGACTTCCTTCTCCGGGTCGGACGGGTAGATCATGAAGTTGTTGTTGTAGCTTCCAGTCATGACGTTCTTGGAGTCGCCCGAGAACACAACCTCGAACTTGTCGAAGATGCTATCGTTCTCGTAGGTATCGCACAGCCTAGGTCGGAGGTGCTCGTGGATGGGGATCGTCTTGACCGGCTGCCTCTCCATGTTGACGTCCCAGATCTTGACCGTCAGGTAGTCTCTTGACAGGATGTACCGGCCATCGTATGAAAACCTAACGTCTGAGATCGAGGAGATGATTTCCGAGAAGAACGACCTGGCGGAAGGATCCTCCTCTTGCTCGAACACTGCGCAGCGTATGTTAGTCAATCTGCTGCACCGTCCCGAGACCCACGGAGAGCGGAGACTTACGTTTGGCGTGTTGGTCGCAGAGGGCACTCTCGCGCATATCTGCCAGCTTGATCGTGCCCTTGGAACTAGCGTACATGAACCAGTTGCAGCTCATCGGGTGGAATTCGGCGGCTGTGATGACCTCGGTGAGCTCTTCCATATTCGCAGGCTTGATATCCACAATGTTGAAGCTTTGGTCTTGGATGTTGAGGTTCCAGAGGTTTATGCGGAGATCGTCACTGCTGATAAATGTCTCGCCATCGCTGTTGACCGATATGCTGTTGATGTGGTAGGCGTGCGCGTTGGCATAAGTCTTGCGCGGCACGGCAGCCACTACTGTGTCGTGGTGAGTGAGGCGAGGCAGCTTGAGGTCGGACGCATTCTTGATGACACTTGGCAGGGCCCGGGGGCCGCCACCGCCGCCGGCGATGTTCCCGGGGGTGGCCTCGTTGGACAAGTTGTTCTCGGCCACCACCTTAAGGGACTTCTCGAAAACCTTCCACAGCTTGATCGTCTTGTCATTCGTAGAGAGGAGGTAGTGGGAGGCATTTTGTCGTCGACACCACTTGATCTTGTTGATCTTCTCTTCGATTTCGAGGGACTTGAGGTAATCGAACTCCGGCTCATGGGATTGGAACTCGGTGTGGAATTTGTACTCGCAAGTTTTTTTCTGATCGGCAAGTCAGGCACGTCCCGCAGCCGCACTTTGACTGTGCCCAGGCACCAGGGCCGGGCTACTCACTGTTTCGTTGCGCTCGAACAGGACGACTCGTCCACCCTTATCACCGGTTGCCAGGTAGTTACCTGTATGGTCGAACTCAACGGTAGATATGATGTCGGCTGGCTTGAGGTCAGCATGGTCACCATGGGAGGCAGCGAAGGGTTTGTTCGCCGAGGAGTGCCCATACCCTCCGTAATATCCTCAACATCCCCCTTGTCTCCGAAGCACCTGGCGGGCAAGCTACGTCAGCAACGTGGTTATCTCACCATCCGCGGGTCAAGCGGTGGGTGGCGAGGGCGGCCAGCAGCCGGACCCGGGACTGGGCACAGGGCAGGATGCTGCCAGCAGAGCGGGGCGGCGGCGGTGCGGATCAGAACATACTGGGTGAACTTCCATGTCGGCGAGCCTGGTTCAGCATCTACCATCGTTGCGAGTCGAGGAGGTGTAGGCGAAGGTCGGCCTTCACGCTACGACGGGAGGATGGCAGAGGGTGGCCACGATACGTGTGGGCGGGGTCAGGTTCGTGGTATAGATTAGGTGGATGGGAGGGTCGTCTGTGTGGATACTGGATGCAATTGTTGAGCCGATATGGTGGTCGAGATGGAGGGCAAGGATGGGGCCGATGCTAGGTGTAGAGCTAAGGTAGGTGAGTATGGAAGTGCAGAAAGAGCCTCAAGGTCGGTCAGGGCAGGGCAGGCAGGGCAGGGCAGCGACTGTGGAGGAAGCAGACAAGCTCCTGCTGGGCTTGGCTGACAAGGTGTCCAAGGGCCCCGGCGGAGGCAGAGAGGGCAGCGAGAGCTACTGTTAGGGTTGCGGTAAGACGCAAGGTGGGTGCGTCCGTGGTGCTGCTGTTGTTTGCTGGCGGTGGTGCTGGTCGTGGTGCTGCTGCTGCTACACGCGACACAACGGTCTCTTGTTGCGTGTTGCTTGTTGCGGCGGTCACAAAGAAGGGGAGCGGCGACTGGGGGTGCAGGCAGAGAAAGTGGGCAAGGCAGTCGGGCGGGCAGAGCCTGAGGCGAGGGCAAGGTTGAGGAAGAGGCGAGGCGAGGCGAGGCAAAGGAAATGTGACACCCACCATAGACAAGAGACGGGCCCAGGGCGACTGCAAGATGCGACAACCAACCTTGGAAGCAATCAGGATGGTTTGGTGACGATGATGCGGGGTATCTGAGAAGGGATTGTGATGAAAAGGAGGCGAAGATGTCACCGAGGAAGGGCTTTGAAGCGGACGGTGGCGCTTTTGCTCTAAGCTGCTTTGCTGTACCGTGCTGCTTGCTCTGTGTGGTGTGGTGTGCTGGGCCTTGGGTCCTGTGGGGGGATGGATGGTGGGCTGGGTGGGTGGTTGCTGGCAGTGGGCAATAGGCAATGGTGTTGGCCCCCTTCGAGGTGGGCCTTTTTCCCTAGGCCGGGTTTTTCAGACAACAGCGGTGGGTGACTACTACCCCTCCTCCCTCTTCCCCAGGACCTGACCTTGTCGGGCCTCAGCTGTCTCGGTGGCCCTGGACACACCTGGGCAGTTCATGGGCGATCACCCAGGTGGTCCAAGTCAGCCCCCAAAGATTTCCGAGGTTCAACCCGTGTCCAGTACAACAGTAACTGCATGTAATGCACCCACCGCACTTTTCTCCTACGTGACATGCATGGATTTCTGTCCGGTGCTGAGACCAGAGCGCCGGGTCAAGATCCAGCCTAGCAAGCACAAGCAGCGACAGTGCAGTGAGGACAGAACAGTCTAGATTGACTGCCTCGCCCTCAGCCATTCAACCGAGGATATAGATGCCTCCAGAGCCCGGCTATGCGGACAATACGGGTGCCTAGGCAGACAAAGGACGCCTGTCCCACATTCCCTGCCTCTGCAAGCCAGAGATGCATGGCAATGATATGCATATTTGACCCTGGCCTGGAACCAAACCTTACATGCTTGCATTCATCTTGTGTGTTGCTGCCAGTCAGCCAGCCAGCCCACTTCGACAGCTCGCACATGTCACTTGCTCGTGAAGCACCCTTGTCACCCAACCAATATAACCTACTTCCCCCAACCTCAACTCTTTGCTCTCTTGTCAGGTGACATCCAGAAACTGGGAAAGTTGTCAACCACTTTGACTCATTTCAGTCTGCTCAATTTGTTACCATCATATCAAGTCAACTCGAGAAGTAGCTCTGCTCTCAAAACTGATTCCTGGTCTCGTGTGCATGATGGAGGCTGGGGCTGGAGCTGGAGCTGGTGGGAAGCATGGAGCCGGTGACCCTGGCACGGAACCAGGCAGAGGGAAAGAGAAGGGGAAAGACGCGGTCAGGAGCGAAACGGGCCAGGATCAGGAGTCAGAGACCTCAAGGTCTCCCGAGGCGGATTCGATTGTGTCCCGTGTTGGCAGGTCGGCCGTGAGTCTGTCACAAAGCGTACTGCATGGCAAACCAAAAGCGAGTGATGTTGCAGGACTCTCGTCGTCAGGCAAAGCTGGGCCATCGTCAAGCAGCAAGTCTTCGGCCCTAGGTGAGACATCCTTCCCTTCATCGACAGCGGGCACGTCTGGGAATACCGGTGGGTTTCGGTCGGCCGATGCAGATGCTCACGCCGCGGCTGGAGAGGCTGCCTTCTCCGACTTCTTGGATGGCACACCTGCATTCGTCGCGACGCAACCGGTAGGTCTGGATGAGGCATGGCAGCGAGCCGGTGGTCGTGCTGCAGAAGCTGCAGAAATGCCCGGGACGCATGGTGCGCCCATTCTCGCGGGTGCGCATTCGGTTGCCGCGCAGCAGGCTCAAGACGGCGTGGAAGTGGTGCGGTTGCTCTCACAGGTCACAGAGGAGGCCCCAGACTTGGAGCAAGGTCCCACGATTTCCGATGAGGAGATGAGGAACCTGAGGCAGGCCCTCTTCGAGGAGGGAGGCTCGGGCCAGATGTCGGCTACCGACTGGAACAACATGCTCAACTTTGTGCCAGACTTCTTGCTGGGCGGGACTGCTGGCTCTGGTCCAGGGGCAACTGAGAACAGCCACATGAACCTTGGTGTGACAGAGCCGGCAGAGGCAGGTCAGATATGGCTGGAGCAGTGGAACAGGGTCCTGACGGGCTACACAGACGAGGTCTGGGGCGACCTGGGCTCGTTGGTGGACGAGGCCCGCACAGAGGTGGCGCAGATCAAAGATTCCAAAGACCAGCAGGCGACGAGCGCACCAGCAGTACGGCAGCTGCGAACCATCCTCACCCGCGTGCGAGCCCGTTTATAGAATGCGAAACGGAAACGGCCTAGGGCCCACGAGGCGGCACGGGGTGGCTGCTGGAGGGTGCAGGCACGCCAGGCGGTCAGCAGATCCAGGCACGAGGGCACACCTTCTGGCCGTGTCTTCCAGGCGCGCCAGGACGTGTCGTCCATCTTCACATGCTCGTCCTCTGCCGTGTGGACCACTGCCCGTCACGGGAGTCCAGGCATCCTGACATCCCACGACCAGACGGACCGTGTCCAGCGTGTCTGCCAATCTGCGTGTCAAACCCTACCCCACGCCAGTCACATTGAGGGCTCCACCCCAGGCAGCCCCAGGGCGGGTAGCGATTGATGCCAATTGACAAATGCGGGGTTGGGCCAGAGCTGTCAGGTTGCTCTGCCGACTGCGATGACATCACAACAATACCTCGACCTAGTGTGCAAGGGTCTTGCTCCCGGCCGAGAGAAGCCCAACCAACACCAACACTTATCCGAGGCTCTGGGTGGGTGTCCAAGTACCTCGAAGCAGGCTCGATGGCGTGTGAGAGCAGGGAGCTCTGGGGGGCTGGTTTTCAGTGAAGCACGTTCAGCTCGAGGAGCTCAAAATCTAAAGGCCGCTCCGTGGGCGGGGTGCATCGCTTACCCCAGCCCGCCAGCCCTGCCAGCCCTTGGCTGTAAGTCGTGAGGAAGGTACGGAGTATCGCTGCACACCCAGCCACCTCATTCGACATCGACCAGCCAGCCATCTTTGGGGTTGCTCGCCTCACATCTCACTCACCTCGACATTTCTCGTGTCCATCTGAACCTTTACTCTGCCTCTGGTCCTTCCACATCGACCAATACTAACTCGCCAATCGAGTCATCTGCATCATTATCGGCATTGATTTCATCTCAGCCAAGCTGAAAGACAAAACTGGTGATACCAATAAGCACCAGATAAGCACCAGGCCTCGGGACTCACCTTTTAAGCTCCTCAACTCGTCCGTGTGCCACACACGGCCTAATTAGTCTGCACTGCGAACCGCCGATCACCTCGTCTTTTCGAACGTCCGATCTCTCGACAACTCAGACCCGATTTTCGACTTGGGTCTGTCCCCAGGGGACCCCTCAGATCACGATGAGACGAAGACAGATCCTCTCATTACCCCTCTTCACCACCTCCCTCCTCCTCTTCCTGCCCGCAGTCGCCGCCGAGCCGCAGCCCTTCCTCCCAGCCGAGACAGCCACACCCACGGTGGGAGGCCGGCTCCGAGCCGCACACCCGGTCCACGAGCTCCTCGCCCGCCAGACGGACACGGACGGCTGCATCGCGGGGACGAGCAGCTGCGCGGACCAAGGGTCCGCCTTCGCCGGGATCTGCTGCGCCGACGGGCAGCGGTGCGCCCTCGACGCCGACAACTCCCCGGCGTGCTGCCCCGCCGGCGCCGTGTGCACGGGGACCGCGCCCTCGAGCTTCCGGCCCCCGACCACCACCGCCGTTAGCTACGTGCCCAACGCCTACTTCAGCTTCCCCTACATCGCGACGAGCTTCTCCAACGCGGGCGCCTGCTCCCGCGCCGTCTCGCAGTGCAGCGCCAACTACGAGGCCTGCACGGCGGACCTCGAGGGCGGCGGCGGCGGCGGCGCCGTCACGATCGTCGTGCCGGCCGGGAACGGCGGCACCACCACCATCGGTGCCAACGCGGGGGCCACCTTGCCCACGGCCAGCGCCACGAGCGTCTGCTCCAGCCTGAGTAGTGTTGCCTGCCACTCGATCCAGGGCTCCTACTGCGAGGCTGGCTCGACGGCCGGGTTCACCGTGGGCAGTGCCAACGCGGCGCCGACGCATATGCCTTGTATGGGCGTCGTGGCTGGAGTTGCGGCCGGTGTTGGGTTTGGCATCATGGGCATGTGAGGCGTGGTTCTGTCTTTTATTGGCCAGATGAGATAATGATGGCGGCCCGGGGAGGGGGTTTGCATGGGGACCCGGCACGATATGAGATAGATGACATTGATGGGCCCTGAATCTCACGAGTTACGAGATTTTCTTTTTTTTTCTACGGATGTCTTCTTTCTACTAATGTTTACTTATCCGCAAGTCTGTTCTCAGCAGAAGCAGACTCGTCACAGCGGCATGGATTCAAGTTGTACATGATGGGAGCGAAGGGCTGTTGATATTCCGTGAACGTGAACATAGATATCTGTCCATGTTAGAAATTTAAACTCCGTTGAATGGCCGGCTGCGTACACTGGAATGGTCTCGACTAGAAGTTTGCATCAAAATATCATATATTCCTTGGCTTGAAACCTCAAGTGCTGGGTATTAATTTCGACAAAGCACATCAAACCTCCCAACGCCCTTGCATGTATGCTCCTAGAATTACAACAGTAACGCCACAGCCCTTCGGATCAATCCCTTCCAGCTACAAGCTTCCCTTCCAGTCCAACCACGTGCATGCTCACGGCGGATGTTGGACGCCACCCACAATTGACCAAAACTAGTCGTCATCTAATCGTTTCTCGTCGCTATCCTCGTCTCCCGTTCGCCGTTTGTTCTTCGTCGTGACCCCGCTGGCCACCGTCTTCATCGTCCTCCACGTGCCCTTCTGCATGTTGTTCAGCTTCTCGTCCAGCACGTCAGAGACTATCATCAGCAGCCGGCTGAAGAAGAACAGGCTCATGAAAGACAGCGTGGCAATCACCGCGAAGCTAATCCAGTACGTCCTTCCAGTCCAAGTCTCGCTCTATATTTGGAGAAAAGAGTCAGCCTTTATATGTAAAACGTGTACATAGATGTCTTTCTCCCAAAGTGACGCTGAAGTGATCAAGATGGGAGTTTTTTTGGGGGGACTTACCAGCTCGGGGATCTCTACCGAGAAGTAGGACGTCATGAACGATATGGGGAGGAAGAAGACAGAGAGCTTGGCAAGCAGGGAGGCCGAGCGGTTGAGCTTGGCCGTCGCTTGCGAGTCCTTGAGCGCGAGGAGGTTGAAGTACGTGTTGGACAGCGACGACTTCTCCTCCAGGTACTCGTCAATCGTGTCCATCATGAGAAGCTTGAGGCGGTCGTTGAGCCGTGCGAATCGATCATACGCTTTCTGTGACAGCTTGACACCCCTTGCCGGCGTCCCGTTTAAGTTGGCCGTTGAGTTGTTCACCGGGTCCCTGTCCTCGCTTCCTGTGTCGGTGCCTAGGTCCATGATCCCCTTGAAGAGCTTTTCGTAGCTCTCGAACAGGTGCTTCAGTTGACGCAGGTCTTTGCTTCTCGCGTAGAGGATCTTGATGATGTATGAAGAGTCCCTGTCCTTGTTGTGTCGATCCTACCAGGTGTCAGTGGATATTCTCGCCCGGTGACATGGTCAGCCAATTGGACTGTATTGGAACCACTCACGGTTATTTGAAGTACTTCGTCGGTCTGCAGGAAGTTCAATCAGCATACACACGGAACGATGATTAGTTTAGTAACAGTCTCCTTACCAGCCTGCTTAAGGTCGAGCTAGAATCCTTGAGAATTGAAATGCCGGCAGAGTAGTCTTCAAAAAGGTAAAAGAATAGGTTGGCTGAACCATCGACGTCGGCCTCTGACTCCTTCACGGTGGTCCTGGCATGGGGGACAGCACCGCGCTCGGCCCTGGGCTTCAGATCGGACCGAACACCCTTTTGGGAAGAAATCTTGCGCAAATACTTGAGGATTCCTATCGAGGACAGCTGGGACAGAAGAGCCCTTGTGTTTTTGCGCATACTCTGCAATTCCTCCATGCGCAGCTTTGATTGGTCGACCTTGATACTCTTTGGTATCTCGAGGTATACCGGGCTTTCTTGGATTGATATGACAGTGTCTGAATCCATCAGTAATACGTTGGCAAGGCAGTGCAATGTGAGGACTCACGGTCGCTTGTGAGGATGTACCAAGCCCAGTGCTTCGGAGGCACTAATTCAGCAGATGCTTCATAGACGTTAACCAGTTCTGGTGACAGGAGTTGCTTGGGTCTCTCATGCAACCAGTTGGCTCCTATGCAAATGACTTGGGCACGGTTAGTTTGGGAGACCCTTTGTCTTTTCTGAGCGCAAACCACCTACATTCTGTGCCATGGTCGACGGTCGTGTAATTGTAGGTGCCCTGCAAGAGCTTGAACATGTCCAGATCCTCGTCATTGAGCCTCGGGGTGCTAGAGGTATTTTGCTGTGCTGCCGTTGGGTCGTCTCTGACACCCTGCTCCGGGTCAGACGTCCGCAATGCCGTGGTTCTCGCCCGGAGGCGCCGCCAATGATCCTGCTTGACAGGTCCAGCAGGGGACGATCTTTCTGCCAATTGCTGTCTCGCATCGTCCCATGTCAGGATTGAGTAGGTCAAGCGGGTTGAGAACTTGTAGCGCCCGGCAAGCCGCCGGATGACATCAACATTCTTATTGACGGACCAAAGATTACTGAGGGTCACCGATTAGCCACACAGCCTACAGCCAGGAAGAGCGGTTGCACGTACATCCAAGTCACGGGCAGTTCCTTGTCCCCCTTCCCCGGTGCTGTCTGGTGGATGAGGGCGTCGATATCTTGGTCTGTGAGATTAGTGGCGATCCTGGACTTTTTCTCGCCAAAGCGAACGACGAAGTTGGAGGTGAAGCGGCTTGTAGCCTTTTCCATGTACTCCTCATAAGTGTCCGGGTCGTCGAAGTCGTGAAACTGCTCATGGTAGTTGTTGAAGACCTCATTGACAGGAATTGGCTCCTTCTGAGAGGCGTGAGCGGCAGCCGTTGGCGTATCTGGAGCGTCCATGGCGGGAATGTCCTTGAAGGCAACCGCGTGAACTGTTGTCGGAGGCGACTTCTCCATGATGGCGGGCGGCAGTCCAGATAAAAAGAGGTGGATGGACGTTGAAGGAATGCGCAGCTTACAGGAACGCGCCGGTACGCTATTGTGCCGCACAGCTGCAGGTGGCTTTCTTACCTGCGCTCGACTGCTCCGTACAGGGTCGCGGCCACACAGCCAAGGTGCCTACCGAGGTGGGTGACAGTGTGAGTCTGTGACCGGTCCCCAAGACCAGGGTGAGCTGCACGAGGATCGCGCAGCTGAGGCTGTCAGTCGCCAAGTAACACAGGCATGTTTGCCGCGCCTAGGGGCGGCCTTTCTAAGGTTCGTTAAGCGCCGTGAGTGAACATGCGGCCTCTATTGTACGTAAGTCCCACCGACAGCAATACCAGACAAGGTAGTCTGCTTGTGCATTGTATTGTATCGATGTACTACTGCAAATGTGCTTGTCAACCGAGCGGAGCCCAGGTCTGCGGGACGGGTCCTCCCCCTTAGCGGGAAACATGGGGCACGAGGCTGGCAGCTACCGGGATCAACGATGGCGGGTGAGAGGGCGGTAGGAGCTGTGTGGGAGCTGCTAGTACCTAGGTACTCCGTACTCGAGTATGCTTCAGGGACTGACGCAACTAGCTCCAGGTGGCATGCCGCTGCCATGAAAGTGGAACAGGTTCCCAGAAAGCCGGGTCGCACCACGAGAGGATGCCACTGCAAGAGTCAACATTCATCTCAGTTGTTAAGAGTACCCAAAGAGATGAGTGACGTCTTTTCTGGGGCATATTCCAGTCGACGCCTCCATCCTGAAAGCTTGGCCGGGCGGCTGGCCATAGTGCGCTTGCGCTCTAAGTATAGAAGCGCCGTAGTACTCCGCAAGGGCCGTGGCTCATCCAGGCCAACTGGTGCGGACGCCTGCACAGTGCACACAGCATCAGCATCGGCAAGGAGAAGGAAAAAGCACCCAAGATAGCAAAAGCCCGCATCCTACAGGCTTTGCTCTGCAGTGTCACCCTTCCTTCACGCTGTCTGGGCCACTGTAGGGAACAAGCTCCCAGCATGCATGTGATACGCTCGGCAGGGATGCCGCCCTGGGATGAACATGTCGCACGCAGGTTGGCAGGGTGCACAACTCTGACCAAGAGTCAGAATATCCATTGACTCTCATTATAAGCGTGCCACGGCGAGATCTGGGGAGGATGGATGTGAGATGATCCAGAAACAATGAAACAATCCGTGCAGGACAGTCAGAACAAATTGTTGTTTCCCGTCGAATGCACGCATGGGCTGGTTCATGTGTTGCTGGGGCGGCTTGGAGATTGCAACACTGCCTAATTGTTGATGAACAATCAGAAGCAGTCTTCGCACGTGGTGATAATATACCAATGCAAGGCAACATGACAACAGCACAGTACAGTACGAAGGGGAGGGAAGGGGGGTGGCGTCGTTCGAGGGTTGGTAACCCTCCTGCCCTCCCGCCTGCCCAGTTAGTCGAAATGAGCAATTGGAGAACCTTGGAACCTGGGAACCTTGGGAGAATGCTGGCAGACAGGCCAGGCCAGATGCATTGGCGTTGACCTCATCTCCTCGCCTGCATGCGCACAACTGCCTACCTAGACTACCTAAGCTTTCCTCCAACTCACTTGCATGTGTGCCTTTTTCCTATCGGCCTGAAGCTTTCAATTTCCTGCCGTCTTGCCGTCTTGCCGTCTTTTTCTCCCCTGGTGGCTCGCCAATCTGACATCGGGGCGTTAGTGCCCGACTTCCAAGGTTGACCTGCCTCTTGCTCCATCTTAATCAGCGGCCTTGCCGTTCCCTATCCGCCTCCTTTTGAAACACTCGAGCTGCCATCTCGGATGCCGTGCATGACGCCGCATGACGACCGACTCCCCGCCGCATCGCAGTCTATGAATGCGCCTTTTGCTCCTCGCATCAGTGCCTCAACCAGCCGATCTGCTCTTGCCATCCCGTTCCCTCCCAGCCGATCGACCAGAGGCCCACAGTGTGACGGTCCATCCGGCCGACAAGCTCCAACGGCCAGCTCAGCCCAGCCACTCGGAACTGCAACCAGAGCCACCCCGGCTCGTCCTGCCGACACCGATACCTGAGATCCACAGCGCATTTCGGTCTGCCTCACATAGGGGCATCGCTTGACCTCGTCCTTATTTACTTTTTTCCAGCATAGCCTTTGATTGCTCCTCTTGCAGCCGACAACTGTACAAGGGGTCTCTTCGGGTCCGGCCTTCTTGCTATCATGGGCTTCCTCGGCGTCTACAGAGCCTTATACGATTACGCTCCTCAGTCTGAGGGCGAGCTGCAGATCACCGAAGGTGACTTGCTATATCTTCTCGAACAAAGCTCCGAGGATGACTGGTGGAAGGTCAAGAAGAAGGCCAGCGTGGAGGATGAGGACGAGCCCGACGGCCTGGTCCCGAGCAATTATGTAGAGCAGGTGAGTGTGCTCTTCCATCCTACCCTGGGGTCCATCCAAGTCTTGCCGAGGTTGCTGATGGTCGGTGATCCAGGCACAACCCATCGACAGCGCGCGTGCCCTCTACGAGTATACGAGACAGACCGACGAGGAGCTATCCTTCACCGAGGATGCCGTGCTCGAGGTTTTCGACACGTCAGACCCCGATTGGATCCTGGTTGGCTTCAATGGTGACTATGGCTTCGTACCCGCCAATTACATAGACATGACCGGCGGCGCCGGGAACGACCAGCCTTCGCCCGTTCCAGAGCCAGAGCCTGCGGCAGTACCTGCTCCTCCTAGCTTGCCCTCGAGGCCTGCCGCCCCTCCGGCGCCGTACGCCGAAGACGAGCCCAGCCCGCCTCTCCCAGCGAGAAATATCCCTCCAGAGCCAAGCAGTCCCGCCGCTCCAAACCCGGCCGCAGCCCTCGCCAACGTCATGGGCGCCAGGGCATCGGCGCCTCCGTCCGTCCCTCGCGAGACCCCCCCTCCTCCCGCACTCAACATCCCGCCGGCTCCCAGACACGAAGAACAGTACGAGGAGGAGATATCACCACCTCTGCCGGCGCGGACTCGAACTTCCACGATCCAGTCTACCATGTCCAATGACCGCACGGATAGCTTGTCACCACCTGTGAGGCAGTCTACGTACCGTGACCCATTCCCGCAGTACGAACAACAGCCAAGGCGACAGACCTCCGTCGGGGGCCGCGAGTATGAACCGAGGCCTCAGGACCTGTCGCCCGGTGGATTCCACATGTACAATATTAATGAGATGATATCTATCATGGGCAAGAAGAAGAAGATGCCGACGACCCTGGGTATTAACCTTAAGACGGGTATTATCCTGATCGCTCCAGAGCATGCACAAGACGGCCCGTCGCTCGAGTGGACTGGAGACAAAATGACGCATTATTCTCGGGAAGGCAAGCATGTATTCATTGAACTTGTGAAGCCCAGCAAAAGTGTGGATTTCCACGCCGGCGCGAAGGATACGGCCGAAGAGATTGTTGCTGCGCTGGGTGAACTGGCTGGAGCAATCCGTGCAGAGGGCCTTCGAGAGGTTATTATGGCTGGCACCGGCAGGGAGCAAAGGAAGGGCAAAATGCTTTACGATTTCATGGCCCAGGGCGAAGACGAAGTCACGGTAGCCGACGGCGATGAGGTCATTATCCTCGACGACATGAAGAGCGAAGACTGGTGGCAGGTCCGAAGAGTCAAGAACGGCAAGGAGGGTGTTGTACCGAGCAGTTACGTGGAGATTACAGGCACAGCGCCGGCCCAACCGGCTTCTATGACGGGCGTCAACGCGGGACGGTCTACGGTCGCCCAGAACCGGTTGGAGGAGGAGCGCTTGACCAAGGAGGCCGTCAAGGCAGCTCGTAAAGAGGAAGAGAAACGTGCATCAGAGGTAGGGCCTGGAATGCGTTTGCCAGAACGAGGCAGCAGCTTGTCAGCAAGAGGACAGAATGGTAACGCCTCATCACAGCGGAAGCGCGAGAACGGCCACAGTGGAAGCTCCTCGCGGTCCGGCAAGTCTAGTAAGTATCCAGGTTGCGTTTGCTGGGAATCGACTGACCGGCCTCAAACAGAACCCGATCCGTCCAAAGTGCGAACATGGACAGACAGGTCCAAGTCCTTCAGCGTCGAGGCACAGTTCCTCGGCATGAAGGACGGCAAGCTGAACCTCCACAAAGTCAACGGTGTCAAGATTGCGGTCCCCATAGTGAAGATGTCGATCGAGGATCTTGAGTATGTAGAGCGGGTAACCGGTATTTCACTCGACGAAGACAAGCCTCTGTCAGAGGTCAAGAGAGCCAGATCCCAGCGGCAAAGCGCTCCAGCCGTCGGCGCCAGTATCGAGCAGCCCAAGAAGCCCGAGTACGATTGGTTCCAGTTCTTCCTCGACTGTGAGATCCAGCCTGGGCTTTGCGAAAGGTACACGCAAGCATTTTCAAGGGATAATATGGACCAATCTGTTCTTCCAGACGTCGATGCTTCTGTTCTCCGAACGCTGGGTCTGCGAGAAGGCGACATCATAAAGGTAATGCGATATCTGGATAACAAGTTTGGACGCAAGAAGAAGGGTGATGACGCTCAGGGTGAGGGCGGCCTGTTCTCTGGGCCGGGAGGTGCTCTCAAGAACAACACTGGCAGAGCCCGTCCCGAAGCGAACAGGTCGGCCAGCGATGTTGTCGACGGCAAGGCTCTTGGTGGGAGCGAAGCCTCATCTCCTGCAGTGCTTACACCTGCTACGACCACGTCTGCGGTATCAACAGGAAAGGCGGGCGGCTTTGACGACGATGCCTGGGACGTCAAGCCAGCGAAGTCGCAACCTGCGGCACCAACAGCACCTGAGGCAACACAACCGGCCCCGGCGCCAGCCCCGGCGCCCGCCCAACCTGAGCCCATCAGGCCGGCTCTGACACCGGGAATGCAGGAGCTCTCACTCTTGACGGAGCCCTTACAGCCTACGAAGACAGCCACCCCTGTTCAGACCTCGCCCATGATCACACAACCACCACCCCAAGCTCCCGCCCCTGCGCAGGCCCCGCAGCCTACCGGAGCCACGCCGGGCTTCTTCGCCGGGCTGCCCAATGGTCAGCAGCAACCGGCCACCCCTCTGTCACAGCAATTGTCGCTCGCGAGACAGAGGCCAACTCCACCGACAGGTGTTCAGGGCCAGGCTGGGATACTCCCGCCCCCTGCGCGGCCGATCTCTGCACCTCAGTCGGCACAGCCCAGCCAGTTCAACCTTCCTCCGATGGCACCACAGGTGACTGGCCAGGTCGCTCCCCCGGGACAAAGCTTGCAGGAGATCAACCAGCAACGTATGCAGCAACAGTATATGCAGCAGATGCAGGCCCAGATGACTGGCTTCCCTCAGCAGCAGCAGCCCGGCATGTATCCTATGCAGACGGGCATGCAACCGCAGCAGACAGGCTTTGGCCAGCCTCAGTTCATGCAACAGCCCATGATGACCGGGCAACAGATGGGCCAGAGCCCCTTCGTCGACCCAAGAGCGGCACAACAGTTCGGAGGCATGCAAGCCCAGCCCACTGGCTTCCCAGGGCAATTTGGCCAGCCTGGCCAGCAGCAATTTGGAGTTAACCCAACGGGCGGCATCAACTCATACCTGCCCCCAGCGCTTGAGCCTCAGAGGACAGGGATGCAGCCCATGCAGCCCATGCAGCCGCAGCCAACAGGAATGAGCTTCACACAAGGCTTTGGAAACCACGGCATGCAACAGAATGGTCCGACAGTGCAGCCTCCCGCCCCGCTGATGCCACAACAGACAGGACCGGCACCACCAGTTCGCTTCGGTGTTGATCCTGCAGCCAAGAAGATGATGCCACAGCCAACGGGTCGTCGTGCGAACCTCTCTGCTGCTAGTAAGTGCTCACCGCCGCACCCCCTTTTCAAACTTATTGCAAGCCTCGGGTCGTGATAACGAGAAGCTAACAATTTGATAAGCACCCGACAACCCATTCGGTTTCTAGAATATCACCGCGTACATACGTAAACATTTAATACATAAGCAATTGCTGGACATAGTTTGAAGTGTGCATGCGCGAGTGAAGCATCGCATTACTTTACGGCTTACAGTTCTTGTCCTCACACCGTCCAGGTGCTTGGTCTTCCCTTGGTCATGTGGTTGCGGTGTGACAAACAAAGCTGCTTTCCTGTGCCTGAGTGTGGTGACAAATATCACATGCATTATTGCCGTCTCACTGCCACGCCTTCTAAATGTAAGGCAACTATGCCGTATGCCTTCCACCAGAGGCCGCTCTGAAGAGGCTCTCCCCAAGGACCCCGGAAGGCTGTCTTGTAGGAGGCTGCCCTATAGTAGGGTTTCCTGTCGGAGGTTGGGGCGGATAGATGCTTGGCGAAACCCCGGGAGCCCATATTCCTTTTAGTGTTTGCATACCAGAACGGTTACTTAGTTGGGTTTTCAAAGTGGGCCAACAAGCGTGTACATGTGCCACAAGTATTACAGAAGTGGGAAGAGTCAACCCACTCTTGTTCCCAAGTTGAAGCAAGTAAGTTTTGGAGTTCCTTCCGGGACTGCAGGGACTTGTCCGAGATAGCTGATGGGTATTTGGTACAGTGTAAATGTAAAGGAGGGGATTTTGAGGATCATAATACACTTTTTTGCAGGCTGTATACCATTTACTTGGGACTTATGGAGCGAAGGCCCTCCCCGCCTGCAGATTGAGTTGATGGGTCACTTACACTTGAAGTGGGCCTCTCTGTGCCTCTGCGGTCCCATATGTGTTGATGCCGCTTTTGAATCCATTGTTTTCTTCCTGGTATCTGGTAGTCTTTGCAAATTGTCAAGATCTTTCGGATCTCATAACAAGCCAAGCAGCTGCAGCAATGATGTTTACACATAATGTTCGCCCTCAAACTCAAGGAGGCAGCCCCGGTCCCTTACCCCCCCCCCCTTCAAGGGCTCCACCTCAACCAGATGTAGATGTCGATACCCCAGTCACAAGCGTCAGGAACAGCCCCCTGGTAGCCCGATTGAAGCTGTCGCCGTTTCGGAACTCGAACATCACTGCCCTTCGATCGACAACGCTTAGCCAAAACTGACAGGACCGAATGCTGATGACACGCGAGTCGGGAAGATTATCGATTGTCGCTCTCCTCTGTTTGCCGTGCCCCTCCTCCACCCGTCAAGAGGCGGGCTGAGTGAGAGCAAGCAAGCACCAGTGCTGCAAGCCTTTGTCCCCAAGTGCCGCGGCGGAGATCTTGTTTCGGGAATCCGTCGATCATCCTACCCAAACGTGAGCATCGGTATTTCCCATGAGACAGACTGAACCCTTATTCTGTCTGTGAGTAGCGAATCAAAAAAGAAAGATCTGCATCTCCCAGCTATTGTAGTGTATCTCGGAGGCCTGCCATGGCATGCAGCTGCCATGTGGGAAGAGTCAGTTGAATGTTGAACACGGCTGCGCGCCCAGCCAGGCAGGCGGGCTGCAAAAAAAACCGTATATAGCCAATTTTTCTCCTTACACACCACCTATTACCATTAAAATAAACAAACTTTAACTATATTTTATTTAATAATTATATAATATGTAGTAGTATTTTCTTTAATAAATTAATTTATAATTAATTACTTTATTTAATAATATTATTTTCTTAATATTTTAATTATTATAAGTAATAAGATTAACTAAATTTATTATAATACTTTAAAATATATTAAAATATATAAAGTTTATAAATTCCTTTAAAAATTTAAACTCTTTAACTATTAAAAGAGTTAAATTATTAAGTATAAATCTTTAAATACTTTAATATTAATTTTAAATAAAGTTAATAAATTATTAAATATTATTTTAATAATAATAATCTTAAATTTATTCCCTTTAACTTTAAAGTTATTAAAAGTAATTTTAATATTTAAATACTTATTAATAACCCTTACTTTTAAAAGTATTAAAAATATTTATATAAACTTATTAATATTAATATTATTAAAGTTAAGAAATACTTTAAATATTTAATTAAAAGAATTTAAAGATTATATAAAAATTATTTATTAATTAATTTTAAAAGTATAACTAATATTAATATAAATTTTAAAATCTATTTAACTATATTTTTTATTAATTTAATAACTTTAAATAATATACTTAAATAAAAATAATTAAATTTAATAATAACTTTTAATTAAAGAAGTTTATTATTATTATATTATATAAAAATCTACTTTAATTAATAATAGAACTTTAAATAATATCTTTATATATATTATATAAATAAATAATACTTTAACTTTTATATTAAGTAATAAAGATTTATTTTATAAATTATATTATAAAGAGACTTTATATTTAGTTAAAGATTTATTACTTTAATAAAACTTAAATATTTAAAACTTAAATAATTATAACTTTAAAACTTTTATTATTTAAGTAAATTCTATACTTAAAAGTAGAAATAGTAAAGGAAAAGTATTTTATTAAACTTTTACTATAAAGTAAAAATATTTATATTATAATTATTATTAATTAAAAATATTAAGTAATATATTTTATAAAATAGTAATTAATAATAATAGAAGAATAAATATTATTATATATAAATCTATATATAAATAAATTATAAATTATACTTAAAATTATTATAAAAGAGTATAGATTTAAAGATATTATTTTATAAGAAAATAATAATAATAATTATATTATAATTAAAACTTTTAAATAAAAAAGTTAAAAAGTATTATAGTTATTATTAATATTTATAACTATTTAAAAATTAATTTAATTAAAGATATTAATATAGTTAATAAAGTTAAATAATATATATATAAATATCTTTATTATATATTAAAGAACCTTTAAAAGTTAATATAAAAAGTTTTATTACTATATATAAAGAAGTAATTTAAAGTATTTATAAAAATATACTCTGAGAATAATTAGATTTAAAGTTAATATATAGTTAATAAATTAATTAATAAATATTTTTTTAATATAATTACTATATAAACTGTTAATTTATAGTGGTGGTTAGGTTTAGCGAGATATTCGGCTTAGCCTGGCTGTGTCGGTTTTTTTTTGCAGCTACCCTGTCGGGCTGTTCGTCTAAGTGGTCCTGTCAGTCCCACACAGTCCCGCATGCCGATCATCCTCCCCTTCTGGCGCATCACCGGGGATGGTGTCCTGGGTACTGTTGGTTAGAAACTGTCCCGATGCACCAAGGCTGCGGAACCAGCCAGGGTGACCCACCGGATCGGACAGTGAGATGGAGACTACGGGATGGGGGGCAGATATGCGGGTGTTTGGATGGTCGTATGTTGCGACGAGGGGAAGAGGTCGATACGTATGTACGCATGTACTTCATTCTCACGCGTATATATATCTGTGTAAACGTCCACCATCTAGAATTGACATGTTGTTTGTTCTTCATTCACACTTTCTTCCATCACCCTTACATATCCCTTATTCGAAAGCCAGATCTTTCTAATTCATTCATTCCGAGTCTGAGACTTGTGCCTCTACATCCTTAAATCAAACACACGCTCTCTATTTATCTATCTCTTTATATCTCAACACAATAAACAAGATGTATGCCAACATTGTCCTCATCGCTGCCCTCGCCGCCGCCGCCGTGGCAGCACCCGTCAACGTGCAGGAGCGCCAGCTCGATGCCGTCGGCAACCTTGCCGATGGCCTCACTGGCGGCCTTACCGGCGGCCTTCTCGGAGGCGGTGCCACAGGGACGGACGGTGCCGCCGGTGCCTCGGCATCTGGCTCAGCGGGCGGTTCGGCAGGTCTTTTGGACCCCGTGGTAAGTCCTTTCGCCGCTCTCTTGACATGACCCAATTCAGACCTTGGTCATCTGTGCTGATATCTGATCTCTTGAAAGACTGGCCTCGTCGGAGGGCTCACAGGCGGGCTCACAGGCGGCCAAAAGAGTCAGCTTGGTGGCCTTCTCGGCGGTGCCACGGGCACAGACAGTGCCTCTGGTGCTTCGTCCTCTGGAGGCGCAGGTCTCCTGGACCCTGTGGTACGTGTTGTCCCTACAGTCCTGCCGTCGTGAACGATGGGGGGTTTGAATGTTGTGCTGATATTGGGCCTTAGACTGGTCTTGTTGGCGGTGCCGCCAATGCTGCTGGTGGCGTGGTGGACGGAGTCGGTAACACCGTTGGCAACACAGTTGGGGGTGTCGTTGATGGCGGTGAGTAAACAATCCTCGTCCACTCAAGGGATCTTGCACTGACTTCCATCGCAGCTGAGGGTGTAGTCGGGAACACTGTCGGGGGCATCCTCAAGGAATAGGAGCGGTTTTGGCCTCGTTGGGTGTCGGTTTATGAACTTTCGCCTTTAATGACAATTTCACATTGGATAATGGTGCTTCGAGTAGTTGTCACTATCATCTGTCACTCCAATTCGCCTCGCTATGTTTCGCTGTTGGTGTCACACTAGTGTACCCAAAATCCTTCCTTCTTTGTATATACAAAGACCCTTAATAAGTCTGCAGTGCCGGCAGACTGATGCCAATGCCGTTCGAGTGAGACTGTGCAATGAATCGCAGTTGTTGGGGAAATGCATACAATAGAGTGAACGGTCGTATTAAGTCTGGTTTGGATTGGCAAGGTCGTGACTCGAGAGTAAACCAGCGTTGGCAATGCCGAAGAGATTCGCTGCGATCGGCGCTTGTATTCAGGTGACCATTCCAATCAGCAAGATAGACATGGGGGCAAGTGTATCTACTGCATCGCCCCGAGATCATCCTCGATTTCTGGCACGGGAATATTGTGGCGTCTCCTAACCTCGTCGGCCTTGTCCACAATCGAAGAAGCCCTAGCCACACCGTCGACAGGCTTTCCCTCTTGCTTCGACTCTTCCGCGGGGGTGTCGAATCGCTTGCGAATGGCCTTGATCATCTTCCCGAACCAGATGAAATTCAGGGTTGTGAGAGCAAGGTTGCTGACCAGGTAGATGGCAACCAGCCAATATGGGAGAGGGCCAGCTTCCTTCGCGTACATCATAATATCCTCGGTGCCCGGCAACGTCTCATCGGCTGGTGTGACCGACATGAATTCGGTGTTGGGCGCGGTGAACAGGGCGCGGTACATGTCATACCATACGACAAAAGATTGCCCGACACCCCAGATAAGGCGGGCAGAAAAGAAGGTAACAAGGAGTATGATGCCGTTGTATAGCTGCGCCTTGCTTCCCGTCATGCCCATCTTGTCGAAGAACCAGTGAATGTTGAGGAACGGGGTCGAGAGCTCGTAGAGAATGAAGACGTTGGCGTAGTAGTTTAGAAAGGGTCTCTTCAGGGGCGGTCAGCACACGGCATGGACCCCAGCACAAAGGGTAGGCCATCACTTACATATCCGAACGAGTAGACAAGTAGGGCGCTGGTGGCATGAACAAGGACACCGATACCGAAGACATCGACGAAACAGATGGTTATGATGAAGTCCCAGACGAAATACCCCGCCACGAGGGATTGTATCATGCCGCTGGCACCGGTATAGCCCCATATGCGCTGCTGCCAGTCGAAGGTCTTGCGCTCCTCATCGGCGAACATACACCATAGGGCGAGGATGTTGATGAGGGTGCTCTGGAACAGAGAGACGACATGTGAGTCCCAGCTCGCCCTCTTCCCGCGGTGGGTCGGGTACTGCTTCGGTGCGTACTTCATGGAAAGCCATGGCGATATGACGAGGTGGACGAAGGTGTACATGATGGCAGCGAAAACCACCTCGTGTATATGCTGGGGAAGCACAACGAGGTTAAACCTCTCAGCGAATGGGCGGACCCATTCGCTCAGGGCCGGAATGGGCGCTATTGGGAAGGGATCCTTCATGGCTACTGTGCCGCCGCCGAGGCTTTTTCGAGCTCGAGGATTGGAATGTGAGTATGGGCGATGGTTTGCAGCGGCGGTGAGAGACGGAGACGGAGACGTCCACGGCGCGCACACACGGCGCAGGGCGGAGGTTATAAGGGACCTGAAGCCAAGTGTCACATTCGGGGACTCCGTAAAGCCTCGGAAGCAGTCGTGAGTCTGGGCAGGCACACGACCAAGTCACCCAGGTCGGAAACGATGTGCGTCCAGAGGCTGAGAATCCGTTGGGAATTGCACGCGACTGTGGATGTCAGGGTTGCAGCGGCTTGAGGCCCGTACTGTGCTGTCGTTCTGGGGTGATCAGGAGGCCCAAGAGATGCAGGACGAGTCTCTAAAATCCAAGACAGACGGTATCGGGTCACGCAAGCATGCTGACGTCGTGTGCCACCTCGAAATGGGCTGAAGACGGCGGTCCGCCGGAAAGTTGTCCGTCAAAGAGCTGCATCTTATCAAAGGGTCGACTTGACAGGGACCCTGAATTTGTTGGGATTCTTGGCTCATGTAGCAGGTACCTTGGTGTCCCTGAAAGATACTTTAGTAGATGCGGAGCTGCGGGCAAGATGCAGGGTACTTTTCGGGAGCTCTCATGTCTGCAATTCTTAATGGTAGATGGAGTCTGCACAGACACTACGTATATACAGTATCAGAAGAGCGGCCAGGCAAGTCATGCAAGAACGTGCTGTTCTACTCCGTATGCCAGATATGTTCAGCATGAGGTTATACATTTATCTAATTGTCATATGGGACCTTTTAAGTTGTATGAATCCCACGTACAGGAAGCAGACCGCACTGGTAGACAGGTAGGCCGAGGCCTAGGACGGCATACTGTGATACGCTTGGATGCTTAACATCCCTGCAGACTGTGGTAGTCTAGCGTCCACCTCTCAGCCTTGTGCTGCGGGTGCTGCACGCCAGCTGCCAAGTACCTTGTGCCTGAGTTGCAGCCGAGCTTGAGGTCACGCTGGCCCAATTTACCCAGGCTTGCTTGCAGACCAAGTGTCACCTCCTGCCAGCCGCCGCCTGACGCCATCACAAGGCCGAGGCAAGGCAAGGCAAGGCTAGGCAAATCCAACATCCCGGGGAGCCTCGCTCGGTTTGAGTACCTCAATTCGCACCAGCCCAGCACCCGCTCACTCAGCTGGTGACATCTGGCCGGGCTGCCGCCCACGAGACCAAGCAAGCACGCGGTGACAGGATGGCGGACCTGCTATACGATCTGCTGGCGTCGCAGCCAGGAGCCGACCTGGCAAGGACTCCTGCTGACACCAGCACTCTGGAGTACCTCGACCACCTGGCGTCTCAACCGCTCTCTTCGCTAGACAGCAGCGAGCCCCAGTCCTTGTCCCAATCATCACACCTGTTACTCCGTTCGTTGCAAGGGCTCTCAAAGAAGTCATACCAGCCCATCATCGACTCTGCATCTCATCATGCCTCTCTACAGACCGCACTGCCTGCCCTGGCAGCGAGTACGGCAGAATTGCGACATGCAATTCCCAGGCTGGACAACGAGGCCGTCAAGTTCTCCAGCACCTACAACAAAGCCAGCGAGAATGATGTCTTGGCCAGGAGAAAGCGAGCCCTGCTCCTGTCAAGGAATGTCGAGCGTCTCGTTGATGTGCTGGAACTGCCAACCCTCCTGAACTCGGCCATCTCCGCTTCTCCTCCCAATTACTCGTCGGCGTTGGACCTCAATGGCCACATACGCAGGCTGCACTCTCTTTATCCGGATTCGCCCCTGATCGCATCGATATCGGCACAGGCGGACGAGGCGATGAGGACTATGGCAGCCAACCTCGTGCTCTCCCTCAAGGCCCCGGGGCTGAAACTCGCCGCCTCACTACGGACCATCAGCTGGCTGAGACGAGTCTTACCGGATCTCGAGTCCGCTGGCTCTCAGGAGAAGGGGCACGGCTCACAGGACAGGGCGCTGGGTGCTCTCTTCCTGGTGTGCCGGCTGGCGACGCTCATGCACATGCTTAATGCCTTGGATCCCCTAAAGGAGCTGGCCGACCAGGAGAAATCCAGGCAAAAGTCCATCGGAAGTGGAAACGCATGGTCGGGAGGACAGCAGACGGAGAGGTTTCTGAAGCGGTACGTCGAGATTTTTAGGGAACAGAGTTTCGCTATAGTCTCGATGTACAGGAGTATCTTTCCGCCTTCGGCAGAAGCCTCGCCCGCAGCAGGGACACCACAAAGTGATCCCTTGGAGCCGCTCCCTTCAACACTATCGACGTTTCCCTTATATCTCGTCGACATGCTTCTTGAGACGCTACGGCTCTATCTACCAACCGTCAGGGACCAAGCGTCTAGGGACAGCTTGTTGACCCAAGTACTGTACTGCGCGGGTAGTCTCGGACGCTTGGGAGGTGACTTCGGGCTGTTCCTGGCCGACATGGATCTTGGCAGCGAGGCAGAGGAAGAATGGGTCGAGGTGGTGAGACGACATCGGCTTCTGGCGGGGCGTTTGGAGTCGATAGTCGGAGATCAGAAGGAAAAGGTATCCAGATAATAGAGCAAGTTGAGAGCAGCAGGAGAAGGAATGAGACATGACCACTACAACGAGAATTGTGTGAGACGCTCACCCCGAGTAGTGAGCAGATAGAGCAATGCTAGATACCCTGACGTCGACCAACTCGCTGCTAATGGGGACGTGTCAACCGCCTTCATGTGTCAAAAATAGCCCATATTTTACGATCCATTCAAAAAGCTCACAGCAGGACCCAAGGTCTACCTGTTTAACGCATCGGGTGCCTCCTGGGTGTTCTCGGGAGTGCCCTGCATGAGAGGACCCGGTGCTCTGCGGCCTGCCGAACCGGCGCCGGGTCAGCCGGCGAAATTCAATGCGCCGGCCAAAAAGTGGACAAACTAAAATCGTCTCCGTCATTCTCCCTGAACTTACTTTCCGCCCACTCGGCTCATGACACACGAATCTGCATATTCTGCATATTCTGCACTTGTTCCTCTTCACACAACATGGCCCGCCTTGCGACCTGAGCAAACGTCTGTCGACCGATCTTCGAAGCAAGCCTGAACCCAGGAAGCGATGCTCGAGCTCGCGCAGGTCCACGGGAACGAACCTAGACAGCCACCACCTCCCCGTGCCACTCGAGAATAGGCCCGCGAAATGAGCAGCGATGGCGCCCCCAAGGCCAAGTCCAAGTCGAGTAAGCTCTGACGAGCCTCCAATGCTATTGCTAGGCAGACGGTGTCCGCTGATCACCCACGCTCTCAAGTCTTCCACTTCGTAGCTGGCCTCGGCTCAGGGCTCCTCTCGGCCGTCCTGCTGCAGCCCATCGACCTCCTCAAGACCCGCGTCCAGCAGTCTGGGCATCACTCTCTGACTGCCGCATTCCGCGAGATCCGGGCCCAGCCGCGCTTCCTGCCGGCACTATGGAGGGGCGCGACACCTTCTGCCCTGCGCACCGGCTTCGGTAGCGCCCTCTACTTCACCAGCCTCAACGCGATCCGGAACAATGTATCGCGCGTGCCCTTCCTCGCAGCCGACGGCCAAGGGAGGCACCACTCTTCCTCGCTGGTCAAGCTGTCCAACACGGGCAACCTGCTGGCCGGCGCGGTGGCACGCACCTTCGCCGGCATGGTGCTGATGCCGCTCACGGTGATCAAGGTGCGGTATGAGTCCAATCTATACTCGTACGGGTCCATCGCCTCAGCGGGGCGCGACATATTCCGGACCGAGGGGCTGCGTGGGTTCTTCTCTGGCTTTGGTGCGACGGCAATGCGCGATGCGCCCTACGCCGGCCTGTACGTGCTGTTCTACGAGCAGAGCAAGAAGCGCCTGAGCTCCTTGACAGGTGGTGGTGGTGGCGACGGCGCCGATACTCAGAACCCCGCCAGCACCAGCAGGGCCAAGATCCATGTCCCCGCGATGGGAGTCTCCACCGCCGCGACCATCAACTTCGGCTCTGGCGTCATCGCCGGCGCCGCCTGCTCAGCCATCTCCAACCCATTCGACGCCGTCAAGACACGCATCCAGCTGCAGCCCGGGGTATACCGCAACACATTCCACGCGGCGCGCATGATGGTGACCCACGAGGGTCTTCGCAGCCTGGCCGACGGGCTGGCACTGCGTATGAGTCGCAAGGCCATGAGCTCGGCGCTGGCGTGGACTGTGTACGAGGAGCTCATACGGCGAGTCGAGGTCACGCTGAACCCCAAGAAAAGGAAGGAGAGTGTATTGTAATGTGGATTATGGTAAGGATCAGTTGTATGCTATGTGACTGGTTGGCAGTGTTCATCTATTCATGTTTGGGCGTTTCTGGTCGGGGAAAAATAGGGACAAGATACCACGCCATTCAATGAAATGTTTAAAAGACGTTACCTGCTCGCAATTCCCTTCATGGTTCGGGTATGGTGTCTCGGTTGTGGTTGTTCGTCTATTACCGAAACTGCGATCACACTTATGTAATGTGTATGCACGGTTCTTGGAATTGCCGTACGTTCTGAGTAGCCGGGAAGCCTTCCAAGCTTCCAGGCTTCCAGGCTGCCAGCTACCAACAAATATGGAGTCACCCCGAGGATGCACCAGCAATTACTGCCCCCTTCACCTCGACGACTTCTTCTTCGGCTTGGCACCGCCCTTCTTCTTCCCAATCTTCTGCTTCAGATCCTTTGGTTTGGCGTCGCGGGAGCTTGCGCGCCGTCCCTCAAACACGAAGTCCTCCGGCTTCTTGAACCCAGCGGCGCCAACGCCCGCGCCCGCGCCCGCGCCCGCCCCATCTTTCGTATCCTTGCCAAACATCTTCGCCCGTCTGATCGCCCGATCACGCGGCTTCCCACCTGTCTTCGATTTGCGAGCCTGTGCAGCGGCGGAACGACCAAGTAGCTTGCTCGCCCGGCCGGCCATGCTCTGCTCCTCTGCGGTCAGCTTTGGCACATACTTCGTGCCCTTGTTGCCCTTTCCGCTTGCTGCAAGTGCGGCGCCTCTATCTGCGTTCTTCTTCTCCATGGCCCTGGCTGTCTTGTGAGGCGCCTTGCAACGGCTCACACGCAGCTCTCGTGGCAGCATGGGCGGGAACTTCTTGCCGTTCAGGAGGAGAGCGGACTCCACCGAGTTCCCGTCCTGTGTTGCGCCCAAGTCAGCGACTTTGCACCTCAGTCACTGTCCATAGCTAGGGTTGCACTTACATAGAATTGCACATAGGCGATTCCCTTTCCGACTCTCGTCTTGTCGTCCCTGATAACACGCACACTCTCAACTTTTCCAGCGTGCTCGCCAAATTTTCGCCAGAGACCTTCCTCGACGTCCATGGGCACCTTGGTCCGCTTGCGCTTTTCGGTTTGCTCCTTGCCCTCTTCATCCACTTTGACGTTGAGCACTGTCTCATCATCCACGAAACCAAGGTTTCCCACGAAGACACAGCGCCGGTGATCAACAGGAGCAGGATGCGCAACACTGTCCACTCGCAGGTGCCTGTCTAGCACAACCGTGCCGTTGAGCTTTTTGCAGGCTGCGCGGGCAACCTCTGCGCTGCTGTACACTACGTATGCATTGACAGACTGCGTGGTGGCTTCCATGAGGCTCTTGGTAGCAAAAGCCGCACGCTTCGGCATCGATCCTGTCGAAAATGGGAGGGATCGGAACCGGAGCGACTCCAGCTTCTGAGGCGGCGAGGTGGTTTTGTCGAGGAACGAAGACAGGTGCCCCGTGAGGATTTTCTTCGCCTTCTTGGAGCTAGCTGCCTCGATGGAGACATTCGAGAGGAAAACAGTTCGTGCAGCCTTCTCGATCTCATCAACCTCCTTTTTCTGAGTAAGAGATTCGTGTACGGGTATGTCGCTGTCCGACTCGTCCTCGGCGTCTTTGGTCTTGGAAGCTCCAGGCTCGGCTTCAGACTTCCTCTTCTTGCTGGCAGGCGGCTCATCGTCGCCGAGCTTGTCGAAGTATTTGCTTTCCAAGTCATGGAATTCGTCGTGCTTCCGCTTCTTTTTTTGCTTGCGCTCGTGTGCCTGCGCCTCGGCGAGGATTTGGGCCGCGATTTCACGCTCATCGTCATCGCTTGCCCCCGGCGCAGAAGCATCGCTCAATTCGTTGCCATCTGTACCTTCCGCCGCGGCCTGATCCTCGTCGCTGGCATCAGACAGACCCGCACCGTCCTCGTCGCCACTTGAGAGCTCTGAAAGCTCTTCATCGTCTTCCTCCTCGTTCTCAATTTCTGCCTCGTGTCTGGCTTTTGAGGCAGCTAACTCGGAATATCGCGACTTCGGCGGGGCCTGCACCGGCCCTGAGCTCGTTGAGAAAAGGGCGTCGAGAGCAGGGTCGATCTTCTTGGAAGAAGCCGACAGCACGGCGTTCCTGTTCCAATTAGAAATATTCTCAGGAATGTTGGGCTACCTGATTCCAGTAACTTACTTGTTCTTCCCCATGGCTACGATGAACGAGTGAGAGGGTCGCGCAGCGTGTTCGACTGCACTTGGTTTGCTGAACCGGGATCGCCTTCCAATTTTCCTGCTCCGGCCAAAAGCAGCAAAAATGGGAGATCGAGAAGTTCTCTATCTTTCTTATCGCAGCTATCGATTGGCCGCTAGTGCGTCCCGCGGCAGGCAGCCCGCGCCCACGCCTGTGCGCTCTCTCCTCTCTGTCTCTCAGTCAGGTTGGAGGGAAACTAACTGGGCGCGAGTAGCCAGCGCTCAGCAGAGAGAGCACTGCAGTTCCCTGCCGCCGCCGTTCTTGATTTCCTCCTCCCCTCGACCATGCACCACCCACCACCCCTCTCCCACACCACCAGGTTGGCTCAAAACACTCGACACGACCAGATGTGATCCGACATAGCTTCATGAAACCGAGACGGGTCACGAATCATTCATACATCGTCTGTACTGCCCTCTCTCCTCTGCTCACCGTCATCGTCCGTCCCCGAGCCGTCGACCTGGTCCCTCGTCACCTCGGTTCTCCGCGAGTGCGCCGACACCACCTTGCACACAACACACCCTTCTACAAAGAAAAAACCCTCGTTTCGAGCTTCCCGAGGAGGCGTCATTTCTTCAACAGCCATGGCAACAGGCGGTACGGCGCCGCCCATAACAATGGCCAATCACCCACACTCGCTCCTCGACCAGGACAGCACCGTGTCCAGCCCTCTCAGTGAGGTCGAAGACAAGGATGCGGAGCCAGATGACATGGATATCGACATGAATAGCAATCATTCCGACGGTGACGAGGCTCCAAATACCGAAAATGGTCCCGCGCACAACCCCGCCGTCCAGCCACCACACGACTCCTCCGACTCCAACCTCTCAGAAATCGAAACGAACGACTCCGAGGCCGAGACAGAGCGTCTCTACGACACTCCGCGCAAGAATAACACACACCTGGCCGATCCAATTCCAAATGCGAAAATTGACAAAAGGCGATCGCCTGAGAAACCTGCCCGCACATTTCAAAGGAACTCAAGCAAGTTGCAGGCCAAGACACAGGGTGACGAGTCCGGAGGTGACGACAACGACGCTCTCTCGGACGACCGCCATGATGCCGACGACGAAGATAAGGGCTCCACTGTCGACAGCGAAGTGGATTCTGAAAAAGAGGAGGCAGTAACACGGGCAAAGGGCTCGCAAAACCAGCGTACCAGGTCGCAAGAGTCTCACATCATTGCAAGCTCTACGCTTGCTGGCAGTGGCAGTGACAATTCCTTGGCAGACTCGAAGAAACGCAAAAGATCGCCTGTGGCATCACGGGCCGACTCCAATCAGCCACTTCGGAAAAGGACTGCCTCAATTCCAGAGCCAGGCGATGAATCGTCTTCCCTCTCAAAGATCGAGTCAGAAGACGTTGCTTTAAGCAACATCACGGGCAACAAAAGTGCTGAGCATACTGCCGACGAGGACGATGATGAGACGGCTGCTAAGAACGCAGGAGACATCGCAGACTCTGTGGAGAGGCCGACGAATGAGATTACAAAGCCAAAGAAGTCTAAGCGCAGCACGAAGAAGCGAAAAGCCTCGTCTGAGACAGCCGAGGAGACACACGAGGGAGAAGAGCCCACCGCAACACCGATCCAGACTGTCGAGGATGAGCAGGCCGAAGCGGGAATTGACGAGGAGGCCGAAGCCGTGCATAAAAACGAGGAAGAACGTAAGGATCAGTGTTTATTTACCCGTCTTTTAACTTGCTTCTTGTGACTGACCAGTCGGCTGCAGTGGAGAAGAAACGCAGTGCATTTGACCAGCTTTCCTCAATTGAGAAGAACTTTGCTGTACTAAGGGATCGGTAAGTTGAACAGGGAAAGGATTAAGGCCAATGGAAGGCGACACTGACACGATCATGGCAGACTGTACGAAGAACGCCTCGCGCAGCTCAACGAAGAAGAAGCGATGCTGACAAGCGACAACCCGACGCACCCCGAATATCTGGCTATGATGCATTGTATCGATAGCCGCCGAGATGACAGGGTGAGAGTCGTTGATCTCGAGTACAAATTTAACATGGAAGCTCTGGACCGTTGGGCTGTGGCTCGACGGGCACAAATTCTCTCTCAATTCTACCAAAGCGCACGCGAATTGAGGGAATTTTACGTAGATGAGCTCGGCAGACAATGGTACGAGATTCAACACGAGCGCCGGCGAAACGCCAATCCTATACCAGACTATGGTTTCCGATTTCCCAAGACGAAGGCGGAACAGAAGAGGCACGCGATCGCGCAAGGAAAGGAAACGTCAATACTAGCTGGCATCGCCCAGCACCACGGATTCCCAGCGGCGCCAGATATGCGGGGTGCATCGTCGACAGAGGTCGAAGATGACTTTGAAGCAATGGCTGTAGGTGTCACGAAACCCTGAATTCGTCTGACCGGCGAGCTGACTGTGATGACAGCGAGCGCGACAAGGGGCGCATCCGAGCGCGTCGCAGCGCCTGCAGCCGGCTTTGCATGATTATGCTGCCGCGGCTCAGTTTGGACAACAACTTGGGCCTGCGGGCCAAGAGTACATCGAAAGCCACCCGTGGGCGAATCCAAAACACCCTTCTCATGGCGCGACCTCCAGGCGTCAGTCACACGGTGCTGCATATGCCGGTCCTCCCGCCTTGATGGGCCACGGGAGGGCGTCGCATCAACCTTCGGGTGGAATGTGGTTCGCCAATGGCCAGATGAACGGCGATACCAACCACCGACATCTCACTGCCACAGCCGATCCTGAGCCAACGCACCCCAGAAGAATAGTCGAGACGGTCAAATCCAAGCGCGAGGCGGTCGCATGACAAGAGGCTGGGGAGATGGGCGAGCCGATCGCGGTAGCCCATCTCATCCGCGTCTAATTACATCTTACTTGGACTCGTCGGGCCTCTTGAATCGCCCGTCAGGGCTCTGCAGGAGACGGTCGTATGGGACAATCCCAGCGACAGACCTGCGAATGGCAGTGGCGAAACCGTCTCACGATTATGGCTTACGCAGAGAAGCCCTCTCAATTTGCTCTAGGAAACAAGTGTGTGCTCTGGCTCACCTTGCCTCGAGTTTGGAGTGGACTAGCGCTTGGGGTGGCGAAGGCGTCGTTGCTTTTTTTCTCTCGGATTTCACGATACCCGTGGCTCAAAGGCTCCCTGTTGCTTCATCTTGGAACAGGCGTACTACTGTCTTGTGTCGCATGTGACATTGGCATGTCGGCTTGCTTTCACAACTCCAGGATTTGCCGGGCAGGCCCGTTCGGACACGACCTGACGGGCGGTCTTGGACTTTTGTCGAGGAGAAGTTTTGCATTTTTGTTCTATCATCGACCCGCTTCGGGCAGATCTTGGGGATCGGCGTTGGGGGCACTATCGGAATATAGGCCGGCACCGGGACGAGCTCCCATGTTGTTTTGGGACCCTGTAGATACGTTTTGGTACTTTGTACGTGCGCCTAGTCAACGACACACTGCTAGACGCATCAAGCATCAAACATTCCAGCGAACACACAGAATTAATCCATCTGACCGTCCGTTGTTCCCACCTTCATTTTCTCAGCAAGTGACTCGAGCTGCTTCGCAAGTACCGCCTGTGGGGCTCTTGCACGATGGGGCGTCTAGGATGATGGGCGCTGCTCGGCCTCATTTCTTTGGTTTGTTGGTCTCCTGTGCCTGGTGTATTGGGACTTCGGGAACCTTGACATCCTCGAACTCATCCTGGCCTACTGCCGTGATCGTGTACCAGTCTGGTTCGGTGGTGGAGGAAGCATTAGCCTTTCCGGCACAATTGAAGAATAGGAATTGGGTCCTGGTCGTCGGACGTACAGATTCCCGCAGCGACTCCGGTAATCGCAAGGCCGGTCACGGCATTCTTGACCAGGTATGGGCGGCGCGCGCGGAGGAGGGCGGCGGACTGGGCGTTCTTCCGGGTATAGTAGCTCGAGTGGTCGATGCTGCGGCCGGCCGGCGATGGTCAGTCAGTCTCCTTGTGGAGCTGGAGAAGGGAGACGCATGACTTTGTTGGGGTCGCAAAGAGACAAACTACCTACCCTGCCATGGTGACGAGTGTGAGCTTCTGAAAAGCAATACGTAGAGACTCTGCAGGCGAGGAACGAGAGCTGGGAACATGCGACGACACTCGAAATAGTAGGCCACGGAGAATCAGATGTTCGTCTCCCGTACGAAAATATGGGGTTACATAAGCCTTCTCCAGCACCGGCCGGTGATCTCATGCAGGCAGGCAGGGTGGGTAATAACCAGCAGCACGGCCCAATTACGTAGCTCTCTCCAAACGCGCCGTGCTCCACGACCCGCGCGACCTGGCGACCTGGGCGCTTGGGGCCGCATTAGGGAAGCACCCCGGTAGCTACCCTTCTGATTTTCTGCGGCCGCTGGCCAAGGTACCTTCCCCCCCAGGTGCCAGGCAAGCCAGGCTAACTAACCTACCCAGACCCGACCTGGACTACATACATGGCATTTCATCAAACTGCGAGCTCACATGCAGCCTCACTCCACTCATCCACCCAATCCACCACCACATTCAACCTCGAGGACCTGGGCCACGTCTTGATGGGTTCCCGGTGCAGACTGCCGCGAGAACAAGCTCAAACTCTCTCGCCTTGCCCCGGCCTTTGAGGCCATCCCTCCTCAACCCAGCAACGGCGCAACCATCCCTTTGAAACCCGTCAAAAATAATGCGCCGCCGCTATCCTGGCCAATATCAGCATCGCACCGTACCGCACCGCATTGCATCGCGACACTGTCGACAGCTACTTGCGCAGAGAAACAACTGACCACGCCCCGGCCCTTGTCCTACTCACTCCCACTCACGCGTACCCCTCGCAAACTTGAATGGAATCACACTGACTGGCTCTCTTCTCGCCTGTCCACGCGACCACCTCTTGCATCTCTGGCTGGACAGCTGGGAGGCTTCTTGGGACTTCCCCCTTTCACTTCGTAGAGTAGAGGCGCTTTGAGGCCCGCCGACTTTTGTCTGCCTTCCCTTTGACGCACACATCTCAGAAGAGAAGCAGGCCATCGTTGCCTCCCCCAGCTGCAGCTGCCCATCATGGCCGCCGACACTGTGCAGTCCGTGGGCGAGCAGCTCAAGCAATTGAATGACGCCCGCAAGGCCATACTCGTCGACCCGACCTACTACAAGTCGATCATGAACGGCATCCTGCCACTTGCCGCCCCAAACTCCACGCTCGAGCTGCGCCGCTGGGCTGTTGACTTCATCGCCGAGGCATTCGCGACTCCGACCCTCCCTAATAAGGACAAGGAGGTCATGAGCTTCCAGGTATTGCCGGTGCTGAGGAGTCTTCTGGAAAGCCCCAAGGAGGATACATACGTGCTCAGGAGCGTCATTGCTGCCTCGGCCAGCATCTTCCCACATGTCTTGAGATGGATGTATGTTGGAGTGTTTCCCTTCTTGCAAGGCCGCCCAAAGACGCGCGGTCGCCAATGCTTGTGACGGTGCTGATGACCATGTCCTCCTGCTGCCTGTCCAGCCAGACTGTCTAGGAGCAGGCGCCTCCCCCAGTACTCGCTCGCTTTTGCTGACCTATTGCCCCTTTGCAGAATACACAACCCATACGAGCGATCCCCGTGGGACGATATGATCTCGATCAAGCAGAGAATACTACGGATCTGGGACGACGCCGCCTCGTCCGTCAAGCTGAGCTGCATCAAATTCGCACAGCGTGTAGTGCTCGCTCAGACGACAGCGACCAGCATGGAAAAGGTGCGAGCGAGCCTATTAAATTACAATGTCGTCTTGTTGGAATGGATATTGATCTTGAACAGCGCTTGAATGGCCTTGAGATCTCCTTGGGGATGATCCCGCCTGGCCACGCATTTCTCGACCCCAGACAGCTCGAGGCAGAGGCGACAGGTCTCCTTGACAGGATGCTGAACGTTCTTCAGGACAACAGCAGGTATGTTTATGGGCAATGGTGACAATGACCCGTGTGGCCCATACTGATCCAAATCGCCGTCCTATAGTGATGCACTGATAGTAGATGGCACGCTGAACTGTCTGCCTATCCTTGTTCGCACGCGGCCGTCCACTTCCAATCGTATTCTCAATGCTGTCATGAGCTTTAACCCGCTCAAACTGGCCAACTCACCACTGACCCCAAAGACCCGAGTGCTGGCCAAGTCAATGGAGAAGACGACGCGCATGCTGCTGATCCACCTCTTGAAGCGGTACGTACCCCCATCAAACTAGCAATACAGCGCCACTCTGACTGGTCTTAGGGATCCACACGGCCCGAATGCTCCTCGAATACAGCAACATGTCGAGAGGCTTATGCGCTCTCGAGCAGAGATCATTGACGACAACGGACGGAAACGAGCTCTCGCTGAACAGCAAGCCGCATATGCAGGTGGCGATGCGAAGCGGCAAAAGATTGCCCCTCAACATGTGGTCCCGCAGGTCAACCCGAATGCCCCCGGGCCAAATAGTCTTGCAGCCATCTACACTCTCACAGACAACGTGGGCCTACAAGGCTTCGATGCCACACACGTACCAGCGCACATGACGAACAGAGTCGTTGTATCAACCCTCGCCAGGGTTGATCTTCAAGCCCTTCAAGGGGCTATCCAAGCTGTGCGTGCTCGTCTGGCAATCAAGGAAGCTGCTCGCCAGCCCGCCCTTAACCCAGAGACGGCGCCACTTGATGTAGAAGAGGATGATGATGACTACGAGCCTGATTTCACCATGGCAGAAGACGAGGAGCAGATCAAGAACAAGCTCGACGGCAAGCCCCGCGAGGAAGAGCAACCCCAGATCGATGCTGCGTCTTTGACATTAGGTACCTACAAGCTACCAGCGCCGCCACCGCTCAACCCCGGCAGCGCATCAGCAGCTGGTCAGATGGTCGTAGCGCGCGTCTTTGACGCACTACGGGTCCTGGAGGAGCCTGCCACAAGGAAGATACGCGGAGGTATAAACCGGCTGGCCGCGAGCTCGTACGACAAGGAGTCGATATTGACGTTCATTACGCGACTGGGAACGCGTGCCATGGCTGGCATAGAGGATGTCGAGGTCAAGGACGAGAACAGCTCCGCCCTTGTTGGCCCGTCACAACCGAGCAGCGACGTGATTCGCGAGCGCCTTTACTCATATGTCCTGGAGGACTTCCGCCGGCGCATCGACATTGGCGTCTCGTGGCTGAACGAGGAGTGGTACTGCGACCGCATACAGAAGAAGCAGAATAGCGACGCACCCATGCATTACCCCAAGTGGGCCGCGAGACTGGTCGGAGGCTTCTTTCCCTACCTGAACCCGCAGGATAAGGTGCTCACACGTTTCCTCGGCGAGATGCCGGAGCTCAATCCCGCCATCCTCGGCAAGGTAAAGACCCTCTGCGGTGACCCGTCCATGGTGGAGCTTGCTCTCAAAAGTCTTGTCTACCTGGTAATGATGAAGCCGCCGGTGAGGGACCTGGCCTTGGACACTGTCCAGGACATCTGGGTCGAGTGTAAGTTGAACCCGATAGCCCCCCTACCTTGGCGATACGAGATTGCTGACGGCGCAAACAGACGAGGATGCCAGGCCGATGGCAGCCAAATACCTCTCAAAATGGCGTCCTGGCTTCGTCGAGTCTCGGAGTGCCGGTGGCGGCGGTGACGACGCGCCATACGTGCCCTCAGTAACCGCTTGAGCATCGCTGGCGAATTCATGTTCAGGAGCTCGTTACCGAGCACTGTTATTAGAGACAAGGATTACAGGAACATCCCCAGGCCGGAACTACGGTAGCATTAGCACGGAGTATTGCAGGGAGGGAAAAATTCAGTACCATTGAGCAAGGACGTGTGTCCGGATGGCACCGCTGTCTCTTTTGTGTCCTAAACGGCATATGACATGTGGGAAGGGTTGAGAGCCGGCACAATCTTAGGATCAAGCGCTACACCGTCTGTCTGTCTTGTCGCATTGGAGCGGGATACAGGGTGGATGGCAGAGGACTATATGACATGGTTCAGAATAAGCGTAGTTGACTGCTCTTCCGTCCTGATGATTAGGCGGAGGGCCACAAGTCATGATCTTCCAAAGTAGTGGCGGGCACTGCCATCTGTACAGATTATACCCCTGTCTTCAACTTATCTCCTACCCGGTGCCTCGATTGTGTTGGGGGTATATTGTTGTTCAATTATTCCCAAGGTATTGATTTGGACGTGACAATGGGGTGATGCTTTCCTTTTCCTGTGTTCCCATATGAGCCAGTGGCCAGTTAGTTAGTTGACTGTGCTTGTACCCGCTTCACTGCCAGGGACAAATCATGTAAACCAACCAGTCCGGCGTGTTTCTAGATAGAGAACAACAAAGATTCTATAGCTGGATAGGTGGTGTGCGCACTTCACCGTGGAGACCGACCATTAAGACTACAAGTCCGCAAGTTCACTGATAGGATGAAGACAAACTATTCATAAAATAAAAAAAAAAAAAAAAAAAAAAAACACCCGTGTGAGTCGAGAAATGCACGGGCAAGGAGAAACTTTGGGTTCGTACCCCTAAAGTTTCTCATATGAGTGAGTACAAGCGCGAAATCCTACATTTTCAAGGCCTTGCCTCCACGATGGCTACTTGAGAGAAGGAGAAGCTGGTCCGAGTGACTAGCAATAGCAGGACCCAGAGTTGATCATATTATCATATCACGATGCTGAGATGATCTTCCCGATAGTGCCCCACTGGAAGATCAATGATTGATTATAAGACTCATCTTTGCTTCCCGCTCCGCCTACTCACTTGGTTCCGCCCCGAGTCCGCTCATGGGCAAATCATGTACAGTACACAATACCGATTATCATCGATGGATGCCTTCCCTTGTTTCCCATACTAAGACCGGCCAGTAGGTCATCCTGAATTTCAAAACGCTAATGGGAGGTAAATATACTTAGATATAAATGGCGTAGGTCTGTTCTCATGATGCCGGACACCACCAATGCAATGCACCGACTTTCTATGCCACGCATGCAAAACCAGTCCCCAACGGTCCATCCAACAACAATTATACGAACCAATGCCCGAGACGCCGTGATATAATCCGTGAGCCTCTGCTCGTCATCACGTCGTGGCACACGGATTATTTCCCTTTCCGCCCGCTCTCATAGCTCAGGTCCAGGCTCCAGAGCGAGTCCCATATAACGCTCTTCCTCTTGGTCTTATTAGGAGGTGGGCTGCTGCCCGAAGCTTCTGCTGAGCCGCCATTCGGCTGCTGCTGCTGCGTCAACGGTCTCTGTTGCTGGCGTGCTTGCGCCAGGGTAGGAAGCCGGAGTCGGCGGCCCTGCTAGGAGAAAAGAGAGGGTTTTCATCAGCCAAAATGGTTGGCCTTACTTAGGGCCCGAGCAGGTCATCAATCTTATTGTTGCGCACCTCGGTGCCCGCGGCTGCGCTGTCTAGCAGCGGCCGCTGCCCCTGTTGATCCGCTTCCGCAGCGGTAGCACCTTCAACCTGAGCTTGTTCCTGTGCCTGGTCTTCGCCCCCGCCATTAGTCTGCTCTGTGGTGGTTTGTGCTTGCTGGCCGCTGCCCTCAGCAGGAGGGTCGGGCGAGTCTGCCGGTGCGGCCCGTATGGAATTGGCTTCGCTCGCGAGCCCACTAGCCTTCCCGCCCGCGCCAATGCCGAAGGGAAGGGCCTTCTTAGAACTCGTGCTGGAGCGGCGACTCTCGAGGCTCTTAGAAAGAGTCTTGCTCACCCCGTCGATCCCAGTTGGGCCGCGGCCCCCCAGCCCGAGGCCCTTGCCAGATGCTGACCGGACCTGCGCCCGCTCTGCCACCGCGTCGACCTTATTAGCAGCGACCGTGCTCTTCCCAAGCCCCGGGGTTGAGGGTGCACCGGGCTTGTCCTCGTGGGCATCTATGAGATACCATCGCAGACCATCCGAAAGATCGAAGGGGTTATCATTCTCATCGTCAACAGAGTCTGTCTCGGCGGCGCCATTGCCCGAGGCCTGGTTACTCAGACTCTTGGATAGGTCCACGACTCGTTCTTGGATGCGACTAATGCGGGCGAGCAGCCACTCTCTGTTGCGCAGCCTATGCGCTTCTTGCTCGCGGAGGAAATAATGTGGGAACCCAATGTTGAAAGCCGCCCAAGCTCCGGTCATCTGATTTCGAGTCGGCAGAAACAAGGCCAGGTCGCCATCCTTGAAATTTTTGAAGGCGATCTTGTCATGCGCGTCCTTTTGATGGGCGTGGGCTTTGTCGCGGTAAGATCGAGCATCGCGCTGTAGCTTCCGAGCCATGTGCTCAATGTCCTTGACCCGCTTGTAGATGGTCTCTACAAACGCATCCATGTCGAAGCCGCCAAGCTCCGACATGAAGGCCTGATATTTCTCCGCCTCGGTGTCCGCGTCTGAGTTGTTCATCCAGTACAGCAACTCGAGATCACTGCTATCTGGGGTCTGCGCGAGGGTCCCTGACCGGCGGAGAGAGGCGCCAGGATCCACAGAATCATTGAGATTCTGTACAGACCGCTCTGCGCGGGGAATCTTTTGGATAACCATGTTGCCGTCCTGTCGCTTGACCGAGAAACCAAGTCTTTCCAACAGACGCTTGAGACGATCATTTTGAGTGTAGAGCTTCTGGGTGAGGTCTTTGGCATGCTCTGTTCGCGCCACGAATCGGTCGCTGAGCACAGCCAGTTTGCGCTGCGACTCGTCAAGCTTGCTTTTGAACAGGTGAAGCTCCTCCTCAAGGCTTCCGACATGGGATTGTTTCGACGCAAGATCTTCCGTCATTGTTGTGATCTTTCTCTCGTCCTCTTCGAGCCTCTTTCGTAGGCTCTCCGAGCCGGTCTCCCCGTCTGCGATCTTGACTCGGAGGACGTTGAGCTGGTTGCGCGTTTCGTCGAGCTCGCCTTCAACTGCCGCTACACGAGCTTTCTCTTCGCCAAGCTCCTCTCGCAGTTGCATTGTTGAGCCTTCCTCTTTAGCTAAAGACTCCTTGGCTGTCAATATCTCGGCGCGAAGATCCTTGACGGTGACCTCGGCTGAGTGCAGTTCTGAATGTACCAGGGTAAGGTTGGCCTCTACATCTTGAGCCTTAGTGAGAACATCAGAGCACTTATTAGCCAGACTTTCGACGAGTTCTTCTGGGTCCTCTGGAATGGGTCCTCCGGGATCGAGTTGTCGATGCAAGTCCTGCAACACTCGTAGTTGAGATTCTGCAGCCTTTCTGGCGGCCTCCAGTTGCTGACTGTGGTCCTTGTTCTCGTCTTGCACCGCTTGGTTCCGTTTCTCCAGTTCCTCGACCTGTTCCCGCTGAAGTTTGGACTCTTTCCTGAGAAAGTCGACTTGTCCCTGGTACTTCAGCTCTTCGTCGCGTCTCTCCTTGGTCAGCTGCGCTATCTCATCCTCCAGGGCTTGGACCGTGCCATCGTAACCCGCTTTCTCATGTTCTCGGGATTCGCCGGCCTGCTCCATCTCGTCTTCGGTGTCCTCAAGTCGCGCTTTGAGGTTCTTGATCTCGTCTTCGAGGGATTTGCGCTCTTCGACAGACTCCCTCTTCAAAGCCTCCATGTTCTCCAGGAGATCCTTCTTGGTAGCATTGGCTTCTTCTATTTGGTCCTTGAAGGTCTCGTGCTGGTTTGTGCGAGCATTCAGGTCCTTCTCGAAAGCAGCAGATTTCTGCTTCTCAGCACTCAGCTCGCTTTCAAGCTGCTGGATGCGCTGCATAAGACCCTCTGGAAAGTCCGATGATGAGCGCCTTCGGTCCTCGGCTGCTCTCTGCACGGAGGCGCTTGAGCCGCTTCGCTCGGGAAGTTGCTGGCTTGGGGATTGAAACATGTTTCCAAACGTTGGCCTGGAAGCCTGGCTCTGCCTGTGAAGTAAGTCCTCTAAGCGTCGCACACGGCTCTCCGCGGTCTTGAGTTTGTTTTCGACACGCTGCTTTTCTTCCTGTAGCGATCGGAGAACATCCTCGTCGCCCCGAATCAGCAGACCACTCCTGCCCAAGGACGCTTCGTGGATGCTCCCGTTCTTGAAGGCTTTCAACCTTTTCGATTGCTGCTTTGTCGGATTGTTCAGGTCCACAATCAGTTTGCCAATGTCATCGAGTAGATCCTGTTCGGCCTTCTGCTTCTGGAGAGCCTCGTAGAAGGCTGTCAATTCCTGCTTGTTCATGGTTGGCCACTCTTCCTCCTGCCCTAATAGGTTGACCTCCAGGCCAGCAATATTGCCTTCGCCAGAAGTCGTTTGTGGGCCGTAAAGATTTTCGACAGTCTTGAGCCACTTTTTCCGGCGTTTGATCTCCTCGTCCTGGAACAGAGACATTTCATTTGCCAGAGTAGACGCATCCACCTTGACCTTCTCGTACCAGTCGCCTCGCTTCAAGGCTTCCGCGGTGAAGGACGCGTACATGAAGGGAACTTGCTGGATAAGTCTCAAGTAGTCGAAAGTAGCCAGCTCTTCCTCCGAACTGAGTACGTTAATCTGGGACTTGACGGTGGTCGTGAGAGACGTTATGTCGGTGATACTACGCATGAAGTCTACGGACTCCAAGGCAAGGTTATTCCGCTGTTGGGCTGCGTACCGAAGCATCTCATCCATCTCAAGGGCTCTAGCGCGGATACTTGGTAACAACCGCTCCGTGTGAGTCGCGGCAAGCTTTGAAGCCTGCAGGAGATCTCGTGGGGTGTTTGTGAGCTCCATGGTCGTCTCATGGTCGGCATCCACCTTCTTGGCCACAGCCGCAATATCCTCAAGTAGCTGTGCGGCCTCGCCATCGTGAGACATGGCAGAGCGTTCTATGAGTCGCTCGAAATCCCGAGTGACGTCCTGGCAGTTTTTGACCATGCGTGCGGCCGTCTTTTCCAAGTCGCTGAGGCGCTGGTTGAATTTCCGCAGGGCCTGTGGCGCCCGTTGCCCCGTCATCCTCGTGGTATCCAAGTCCAGGAGATCCTCCAAGGTAGGCTGCCGGACAGCGCCGTTTTTGGAGCTGAAGTTTCGGCCTGTCATGAATGAAGCCATGCCGGGATTTATGGGTATACTGCGGGCCAGACTCAGATATGACTGCCAGTTCTTGACAAGTGTGTTGTACTCGGACTTGGCCGGGTCGGCCCACTTCCTGAGCTCCTGATACTTAGGCTCTACCGTCTTGACAACGGACTCGAGGTTTGCGACGGCAGCATCAAGGCAGCGCATCATGACATCCATCTCGCCGTACCGGTCTCTTGCGGCCTGCGCCATCGAGGCACAGTCGTCCATCGCCCTCGCAGCCCATGCCCGGCGCGACCTGAACAGCTCTTGCCATGATTGTAGTGACTTGGTGTCGTTGATCCGGTTTGGAGGCTCGGGTAAGCTGTAAGGCTTTGGAAGCCCGATCTCGACGCTGACAGAGGACGGACTGCCCGGGGCTGCAGGTTGAGATATTCGGATATCGTAAATATAGATTTCTGGTGTCTGCTCCCTCGGCGATGTCCGTTAATCAGTGACCACAACTCAGAGTCCGGAGCTGTTGCACCAGCTTCCGGGGGGCGGGGAACCCTACCTCGGACGACAGGTCCTGTTGTTTCAGCGGTTTCCCTTGGGGCGTGAGTGCGATGAGGTACTGCGCGGGAATGGAGCTGTTTTTGGACACGGCAGTTTTGAAGTCATCGATCCTGCGTAGAAACCGTGGTCAGCTGGGCGAGACAAAGCAGTGCAACGGCGGCGGCGGGCGAGGGGTCGAACGAACGTTGCGAGATTGGAGGTATCGAGTTGCAGCTGCTGCCCCGAGCTTGAGAAGTAGAGGGTCGCCATCGTCCATGGTAAAGACTGAGCGCATCGCCAGAAAGACAGAAGTATGCAGATATGTCGCCGCCCGGAATCAGGGGGAGGAAAGGTTATGGTCGGTCATTAGGTGCGAGGTAACAAGGTGGAATTAGGTCGATAGACGGACTGCTGTAGAAGAAAGCGGTTGCCGCGCGTGACCTGGGGCGGCTAGTTGTGACTTAGCAGGCAACCCGCCCTTGTTGTGCACGCGCTGCGGCAGGCGCACTGCAGCACAGAATAAAGAGTCAGATGTGCTCGCCCGTCATGGCAGGCTGGCAGGATGACCTCACACCGGAACCACCACTCAGACTCCGTGTGCTTGGCCCTTATCGTCATGTCACTTTAGGTTGTCACGAGTCAGTCTAGAAAGCAGCCCATATTTTCCTCTTAACCAAGAGGGGTGAGGCCTTGTAATGAGAGATAGCAGAATATCCACCATACGAACTATACATTGCTGTAGATACTAGATACTCCGTACAGTCGCGTGTTAGTGACAGAAAAGCACAGTAGCAGCCCAGCTCCAACTCTCCCAACCCGCACTCACCACTCCCCATGTCGGAGCCACCACATTCCACACCAAGGTCCAACGCTCGCTCTTGTGTATATCTGATCATCATCAGAAAGTTTCACATCCAGTCACTGCAGCCACATTGACGCGTCTCCCGTGGCACACGCGTCGCATCGTCCTCGCTCCCGTAGGACATCGACGTCACGCCCGCCCACAATGACGGACCTCCAGATGCAGGATGTAGCTGACGAGGTGGACATCAGCAACGGCCCCTCGTTCTCTGACGAGGAGAAGGAGATCCTGGGACTCTACGACCAAGTACAGAAATTGGAGCTGGAGCTTGCTCTGGCGAAGGCCAGGACGCGCCTCGCTGGTGAGTTCTCGACAGACCTGCCAACGCTGCCGAGTGAGCTAGCCCTGACGGAACGACAGAAGAGGCCGAGAAGGGAGGGGCCGACGACGACGATCGGGAAGAGGACGACCCGAATGAGGTCGAGGAGGCCAGGAACCAGCTCCTCGAGGCAATGTCGCTGTACACCCTCCGCAACGGCGTGGTCAATAATGTCCTGATCACCAACCCGCTGCTCAAGGGAATCCACGGCAGCACGGCCGCGTCCCCCATAGAGCAGGACATCCTCCCCTGGGTCCAAGCCCGCGACAGCGCCTCCCGCGACGTGGCGAAGCAGTCCGCAGCCGCGAAGCAGGTCCTCGCCCAGCTGACCGATGCCGAGAGCGAGGCCCTGCGCGCGGCGCGCCGTAACCGCGAGCTGGCGGCCGAGGTGCTTCGCCTCGCGAGGGAGGCCGACCGTGGCAGGGCCGGAGGTGCTGCGGGACCTGGCGGCGGCGGCGACCCGGCCGCTGAGGCGCAGATTGCCGAGCTGGAGGGGAGGCTCGCGGCCAGCCGGCGCAAATGGAGGGTCATGAAGGGCACGGCCAGCGGCATCGTGGCCGGGAGCGGGGTGAACTGGGCGGCTGACCCGGTGCTGAGGGATGTGGTGCTGGACCCGGAGTAGCAGCGTCTCCGGCGTTGCTGATACGCCTAATGACTGTCGTGCCAGACTTGATTCTGGCTGAGGCATAGCTGGCTCTCATTGCGGCTCTCTACTATGCTGGTCCAGCAGCATTCAACGAGGGACAGGTCACTACTGAAGCTGCAAGGAACAAAATCCGGCGACTTCAACAAAATTTTCACCTACTCGGAGGCCTACTCATGCCTTGAAGAAGGTTGGTCCACGCCGGATGCCAAAGTAAGTCTGCTTCCGCAATGACCGACCAGTGGACATACTCAGTATGTTGACTCGTGTTTGCCAGGTACAGAACGCGTCAGAAAAACTCGAGGAACATGCACAAGTCCATCCTCAGGGCAACCGGTGCATGAAGCTATAACAAACCAAGGTCACTACCGACAACAGTGAAATAATCATGATCGCGTGCTGGCAGCTAGTCATGAGAGTCGCGACTGGAGAAGCCTACTGCCTATAGCACGCGAAGGAAAAGTAGCCCGAGGACACCGGACAACACCCGGACAACCCAACCAGTATGACTTGTGGGCCGTTGTGCGTAAATCACACCAAGTCTTGTAGTCGGACGCCGTGAGAGAACCAGGTCGCGGTAGCAACAACGGGTCCGTTGCCGTCGCGACGCCGGTATCAGATCAGCAGTGCACACCCGCCTCCCCGCGAGCTTGACCACCTGGGCAGCAAGATGCGAGACCGAGGCGGGGTCGATTTGAGATTTTACCCCGGATTCCGAGCTGTCGGATCCTCCAGAAAAAGAGAAGACCCTTATTATGAGATTGGCGAGTTGACCAACAATAGATGATGCCTGCAAAAGAGACCCTTGGCATGTTTGTTACAGTGAGATGTTGTTATCACGTCTTGTAACGGGTCTCGTCTTAGCTCGTGCCAAGACCAGCTGATTCAGCTTCACGTTGGAGCTTGATGGGGGCGAGGCTTTGCAAGCAAGCTCTCCCTCTCGCCTGGCCTCGGCTCGGGAAGAGAAGCTTCTAGGGTTAGTCAGTCCCACGGGTCGCGAGCACAGTGCCCGTGCCGAGTGGAGTGGTGAGCACAGATTGGTCTCATCATTCAGTCATTCCATTCCGTCACGCCGGCTGTGCTGTGGAACTGAAGGTGGGTGGAGGCGAGAGACAGTGCAGCCCGCTCCGTCTCTGTGTGCACACTGCGCATACAAGCAGACACGCTCATCATCTCACACACACGAGTACTGTGTACTGGCCTGGCCCCTAGGGTGACATGTTCTGGAAAGACGCGTCCTACAGTAATGATTTTCTACATTTGTACCTTTCGTGCCCACTACGCTGCCGACAGTTGTAGTTGGTTTGAATTAGTCAGAATATGATCATAGATCATAGAATGGGCGGGGCCCTGCTCCCAATGTCATAAACATATAGACAGACACATTAAGTGAGTGGGTGAGACTGGGTGATAAATGTGGTGATGGAAATGCGCGTCTTGCTCGACCACAACAATGGGGTTTCGCCCACTTCGTCTTATGTGGTATCACTCGATTGAGGATGCAAGGAGGACTGTGATGGAGCACAGAGGGAGACAGGTGTGGTGGAAGCTCGCAGCGGTGCAGGAGTCGCTGCTGGTCCTGGTAGTCGCACAGCAAAGACTGGGCACTGTCCACGGTGCTGTTTGGCGGGATTTGGTGATGATGCCGCTTGCGGGTGAGAATTGTTGTAGCACGGAGGAAGAAGGCGGGTGCTGGGTGGAGAGCTGGTTTTGAGGCAGCGCTAAGGGGGCGCTGGGGGCTGGCTGATTCGAATCCCACGGGCTGGCCTCCCCAAGGAGCCTTGCCCTGCTCACCCATCTCGCTCCGGTGTGCGTGTGCGTCTTCCTGCGCTTGCTCGCTCGCTCGCTCTCCAATTTCTGGTTGCAGGCGACGGGGTTGGGCAAGAGTACGTTGGGTGGGTGTACCTTGGAAGAGTCAGGTAGTGTGACCTCTGCAGCGCATGGGCGCGGCCAATGTACCGGTACGTGGGGAAAAGCGCATGAAAATACATGCCGGTGTCGCATGAAGAGGCGAGGACCCTGCCCAGGTGCCTGGGTGCGCAGAGAAAGGAGGAGCTTGGGCTCGCCCGCCCGCCCAGCCAGCCAGCCAGCCAACCAGCCAGCCAGCCCAGCCAACCACGCACACCCCTCCCTCCACACGCCTGGTCCAGGTCGGCCCAGCTCCCCAAACCTTGGGTGGCCCGCAGACAGGAGGAGCAGGGAGAGCTGTGTGGGCTGGGCAGTGGGCGTCAATGTACCACGATATGGCCCGGTGGGTGGACTGCTTTTTGCTTCCCACTCCCACACCCATCAAAGCAACAGGCTGGATGAAACGCACCTTGTCTCCCTGAGCCTGCCCCGATCTGCCCAATAAAGCGTGGCAGGGCATCTCGAGCATCAGCCAACCCCAGCCGGAAAGGGGGGCAAGAAAGGGCAGGGCGGGCAGGACGGGCAGGACGGGATGGGCAGTTGACTGACTGCAAAAACAGTTGCCCGCACGGCTCGCTGGCTCGCGGGCTGGCTGAGCTGCGTGGAGCCGGCGAGCAACGGCACTACTAGCCCACCCCTGCCATTTGAATCGCGAGCCAGCCAGCCTGCCTGCCTGCCTACCAGCCAGCCTGCTTATCCGGTAATTCGTGTTGTGCTAGCGGTTTGCAGCACCTTGAGACGTCGTCACTCGTGTGTGCTTCGGAAGCAGCACTACTTCTGGCCAGAAACAGCCACGCAGCTGCCATGGGCACGTCTACCAGCAGCCCCAGCAGGAAGCCTGGCAGCATCACTGCGATCTCCGAGCAACGGTGCCCACTGCTTCGAGCAAATCAACAACAATTTCAAAAATAACTAGATACTCATGTCAGCCGTCGGTGGGAGCAAGCAGCAGTGCAGTGTATGTACGCCATACTCGGCTTAGCGTGAGAGCGCGTTGTGTGTTGTGTGTTGTGGGTGTGTGCGAGAGTGAAGGGGTCAGGGCAGGGGGGCAGGGGGTGGGCACTTAGATAGCGCCGGGGGCGAGGGAGATAGTGAACGCTAACATAGGATAGCGAGATACCTCTCTGCCTTGGCCACAGTCTCAGACCCAGACTTGTGACGGTGAGAAGTAGCACCAGTTACGCCCCTTCAGCTGATGGAAGTCCAGGGAAAAAACATACAATGCGCACGGCGCTCTTTCCCGCAAGGCTGCTGTTTTTTCACCCATCGCAGCTGGCCAGATTTGGTGCGGTGAGATCAGGTGGAGTTGAGGGCCGTCCAAGGTGAGAGACAGCAGGGACGGGAGGCTGGATGTCATCCGGCCGCGCATACCAAGCGGGAAGCATCAGGCTGTCTGGCTGTGTGGCAAGTACCGTGTACTATGGGTACGCACCATACGGTGCTTGCTCGTCAATACTCCATGGCCGTGCCTCCAACAATTCTGAGCCGGGGAGCACAAGGATGCTACCCATTCTGTCAGTTGCCATTGGCAGCGCCAAACCCAGACATGCTTTTGTTAGGGGCTTCCTGGAGCTTCCCTTGCCCTTTTCTGGCCCGAGTCCGGCGGCCGGGGCACTGCTGCTCTCCTGGTCGTTGCTGTTCCCCGTGACTTGGTACTTGTTCGAACCTGGCGCCCCTCACTGCATCTGGTCACCAAAACATGAACATTATGGTCCAACCCGTAGATCGTTCGAGTGATGTGTTACCTCTGCGAGCTGTGTGTTTTGCTTTGTTTTGTACCCCCATGGGCTTTTTGGGTAGTAAGCACAGCAGGGGGCAGATGGAGGGGTGCAGCTGCTTGTGGTATGGGGTATGGATGTATGGATGGATGGATGGGTGCGAATATGGATTTGGAGATCAGCTCAACACGGCGCGCTCTCTCGCTCACACGCGCACACATTATAATCAAAGCACACAGCCAGCACCCAAAAGGGGATGGAACAAGGTGGGATGGTAACAGGTAGTCAAGGTAACAGGGTGCAAGGGAAAGTACCCAGGTGTGCAGCAGGCAAGCAAGGTATGGGCAGGTTGGAAGGAAGGTGCAAGCAAGCAAGCAAGCAGGCAAGGTGGAAGGGACGGACGGGCGCAGTGTGGCAGTCCAGGTGTGTGCAATGTGCATGCACCCTTCTCCCAGGCACTAGGCCTGTTCGACTTGCCCTCGACCAGCTTGATGCGCAGACGGGCTGAGATGGATGCGACCGACTGACTGCACTGGCTGGCTGGCTGGCTGGGACTGAATGTGGGAAGGAACGGGATGACTGCGCGACCAGGCACCGTGACTGACTGGCTGGACTGACTGGCTGGACTGGCTGGCTTGCCTTGACTGACCTGACCAGACCTCGTTGAGAGGGCGAGGCGAGAGGAGGCCGACTGACTGACTGACTGGGGGGATGGGGTAAGGAAAGGACCAGTTGACCAGGAAGGACGGCTGGGCTGGGCTGGGCTGGGCCCTGCCTACCTAACCATAACGGCGCTGTGCTGCACCGCACCGTACTGTACCGTACCTAGCTGGGGGGGGGAGGGTGGCAGACAGACGGACTTGTAGGGTAGGTACCTCTGGCCCTGGTTACTTTGGAGGTCCCCGCATAATTCGCGCCTGAGACTTGGAGGGACGGGGAGTAGGAGTGGGAGGGACTGCGACGGACTGCGAGCAGATCAGCAACGGGTAGTAAAAGGGTCGCCCACACACTGCCCCCATACCATTTTCCCTGCTCTCTCTCTCGTCTCTTTGCACTCACTCACCTCACAGCCAAACCACTTCTCTACGAGAGCGTCACCAAACACCCGCAATCCACAGTGAGTACCTTGCTCGCCGCCCATCCCATCACCAAAACAAAAGTCACTACACTCGCCTTTGCGTGCACCTTTTCCCACCGCTCTCCACGCATCATTTTGGCCTCAAAATCACTGCAGAACCCTTTTCCCCTCTTGTCTGGAGCTCACTTTGGCCCTTTGGAGTGGTGCATCGTGAAGCCTGGCTGGACTCGTCGGTCGCCGTTCTGCTTCACCATCCCTCACCCATCATCCACGCTGCAGCTCGCACCGCGTACTGCCCACCACATAAACCACCGCCACCCTGCCCTGCTCCTTATTACTAGATCAACGCACCCAACGCAACCGCAGAGCTGCCCATACACGAGCAAAACTAACAGTCTTGCGCGACCCGCAGTCAATCAACAACACCTTTTCTTACCCAAACCAAAACACTTCACAAGTATGTATCACGCTCTCCAGCACCAGTCTCCCATTTTCAATCGCGTTTTGGCCCGCGGGTGCTGCTTCAATTGCGTTTGCGACCGCCCGACACGTCTCTTGGCAACGAGGTCCCCGCCGACGCGATCAGTCGCGTCGGCCGACAGCTCATCCCGAGCTCCCCTGGAGCTCCGTCGAGCTCTGCCATCTGCCCGACCGCGACGCTCTCACAGCACCAGTCCCGGAAGCGCCACCACAACAATACCCTCAAGCCCTCAACCGCACCACCAGCCAGCCCCCCTGAGCACTTTTTTTTTTCGCGCCACGTCCCATTTTAAAATTGACGCGTTTGATTGTTCCTAAGCTGACAGCTCTCCCAGTTCATCATGCCTAAGGCTGCATCTAAGCGAGGAGCTGGTACCCGCACCAAGCGGGCGAAGAAGGGTGAGTCGGCCCCGGTCCCAGAGACGCGTTTTCCAAAGCGCGGGATGGATCGAAGTGAATCTAACCAAGTACGACAGACCCCAACGCGCCCAAGCGTGGTCTCTCCGCCTACATGTTCTTCGCCAACGAGCAGCGTGAGAACGTCCGCGAGGAGAACCCTGGTATCACCTTTGGACAGGTCGGCAAGCTTCTGGGAGAGCGCTGGAAGGCTCTTAACGAGAAGCAACGTGCTCCTTACGAGGCTAAGGCCGCCGCCGACAAGAAGAGATACGAGGATGAGAAGCAGGCTTACAACGTAAGTGACTCGTGAACTTCTGACACGGCCACCTCGGGCAGCCAGAAGCTAATCAGGCCCCGCCTGCAGGCTGAGGAGGAGGAGGAGGAGTAAAGCAGCACGATCAATCATGCTGTGACTTCACCGACACATTGAGCACCTCATACCCCGGGATGTCGCCCAGCCATCACTCGGTGGCAGTGGCCGTCCGCGCTCTTTTCATTTTCTATCTCTCTGGATGGGTTCGGTGTTCGGCTTGGCAGGGAAGGCGACCATTTGCTTTGATGACGGCACTGGAAGGCATGCATCATGTTTGATGACGATGCCCATGTATGATTAGTTAGGCCCTCTGATGGGCTTGAGTCGAGTCGCTTCTGGGAAGAGTCTAGTCGAACACACGACGTAAATGAGAAAGCAGTCTGCGCTCCGATCTTAAAATGACTTTGGCGGTCCAGTATTGGTTGTATCTACCTGGCCACCACAACATGGTGGACACTCCCTTGGCGGGTCGTGTCCCTAACCCCCGGCCCTGTGATCGACAAGATCTAGACGGGGTTGGTGATCTGACATGGCGTTTCTCAGGGTCCATCCGACAGCACCGCTCTGCAACCTGCCCAAACACCACAGTACAGCCATATCAGTCCTTGGCTCCGATCAGCCAGGCAATGTACCCCGTACCCCGTAGGGATCAACTCACGAGAGTCTCCACTCTCAATCTGCGGTAGCGACGAGGGGTTTTCTATGCCGTTGCACCCACCGGGGAAGAACCCATGTTATTATCAACAAATCCGACCTGTACCGATAGCCACTGCCGACGGGAATTGCTCGTGCAGCGTGACAAGTCATGTCCTGCCACCGGACCCGGCCAGTCTCTGTAAGTCACCAAGCCATTGTGACGAGGGCCGCTTTGCAGGAGGAGGCTATCACCGCCATGGCGCATTCCATCTCCTATTTCTCACCTACCGACATCCCGCGAATCCCAAACTCTTAATTCTCGTTGAGAAACGTCGCACAAGACAGCGACCACGGTAGGAAATACTATGGCCGAAAGCCAATCCCGAAGCACAGGGCCACTCGGCTCGTTCCAGACCTCCCTTCTCGTCAGCGTCGAAACGGGTGGGTGACCGGGGGCGTTTCCTTCCTCTCCCAGACCTGCGGGCCAATGCGACCCGGCCCTTGTTGAGCGGCGGCGCAAGCGATTCGCCCGCCGAAGCACTCGCCCGCATTGGGAGAGCTGCAGGATAGAGTTCGTCCGTCTCGCTCGGGTGCGCGTGAACCCTCTTACCTCTGCTCTCAGGCCAGGGTCTCGACCGTGCTCCCCCATCACGGGACGCACGCACACTTGCCTCGTGTGTGTTGGCTCACCCTCGGGGCTGCCAGACGGATTGTTGTATCTGTGTCTGTGTACTTGTGCTGTATAAGTCAGTTGACTTGCCAAGGCTAGCTTCCCCGTCGTCGCCAATGTTCATCTCACGATACACGACAGTCAAGCTGTGGCGCTTGTCCAGATAATTTTCTCTTGGCTTGTTGGTTCCAAATCGGTGATGTAATCATTGGCCGATGTGAGGCCATTCGCGGAAGACCTGGCGGCAAGTATAACGCACACACGGCCACACGCGCGCCGTCAGCCAGCCAACCACCACACATGCCGCTGCCGCTGCCGGTCTTGGGAAAGCAGCTCACGCAACAATGAGCGCCGCCTGCAGATAGTATGCCCTCTCGACTGTCGGCCGATTGACACGTCAGAGCACAGCAGAGCCGCACAGCAATGACCTTGGGCGACCTCCCGCATTCCCTTCCCCACAAATATGTACCTCGTGCTGCTGGCTTGCTGCCCCTCCGCCGAATGTGCTTATTCAGTGTCGTTATGACCAGCCTTTATCGTCACATCATCACATCGGGCTCACTGGCATTGCTGCAGCATCTTGCTCACTCATAACACGCCTCTGAATAATCAAACAAGTCTTGTATCAGCCTCATTTTCCCTGCAGTCGGGCAAGAGCCGAGTCTCCCACCCCGTGATTAGCAACCTCGGTCAACACCTCGTCGTCGAAGCGGGAAAGGACCACCTCCCAGAAAAGAAGCATCTAGGGACAAGCCTCGCTTCCAGCAAAGATACAAGGGGCAGGGGGGAATTTCCAAGGATCTTTTTCAGCATCTTTGACTCGAAATCCATCACCATGAAAGCCAGACGGCGTCCTCCTTGCCATTGAGTTGTCATTCTGGAAGCGCCCGATTAGCCCGCCCTCGCCATCCTACATGATATGAGCCCCCACCGCGGCCGTATTCTAGCTCAGTGAAACGACAATACATATTCGACGACCAGCAATGGACTGGGACTTCCTTGTCGGGGCGCCAATGCCCCCTCAGAGCCAACTGCTCCATGGGTGTTTTCTCGAGGCCGACAGGGCAGATCGGGTTGCCCAAGGTATGCCCAAACCAGGAGAAACCATCAAAATGAAGAAGGAAAATAATATCAGGAACAAAGACACTGACAAGATCCCAGGCCTCGATGCTCTCCGCCAGTCCCTGGCTCACTCTTTCCACGGGCCCATGATCCTGCTCGCCGAAGAGATCTGGCAGTCCGGGCGGGTGCTCCGCGAGCTCGCCGACCGCGGCCACGTGCACGCGTCCCGGGCGGCCGCCGTCGCGAACCACCTCAACGTCGTCCTGCCGGGGCTGTCCAAGTCGCTCCGGGACATCGCGGGCCACTACGACGACAAGACGGTGACGCGCGAGCTGCGGTGGCGCAGGATGTACCACGAGATGAAGAAGGAGGCCGACGGCATGGAGCTCCTGCACCGGTTCCAGCTGTACAACCGCTTCCTGTCGCTGCTGGTGGGCATGCTGGTCCGGGGCGGCGGCGACAAGGCTGCGCCGGGGGTACCGGCGGTGGCGCCGCAGGACCGCGTCCAGGCCGACGTCCTCCGCGCCAAAATCATGGCCCTGCGCGACAGGCAGGGCCTCCCCGCGCCGACGCAGTCGCCCGTCGCCGAGCAGCACATGGCCGTGGTCCCGCTGTCGGCGCGCGAGAGGCCGCACTGGGCCGAGCGCGTCTTTGCACACCCGCCCAGCTCGCACACCGACATGCACGAGCCGCAGCGCTCCCAGGCCCGGGGGCCCTTCATACCTGCCGCCGCCGCCGTAGGTGGGGCTGGGCCCGGTGCTCCCCGGCTGCCCGACGCCGCGAGGATACTGCTCCGGAGGTCCTTCGACGGGGACAGCCTGGGCCTGCTGCTCATCATCAACTCGGCCGACGGCGGGCCGTATTTCGTGCTGCGGGTGTACGCCGGCGGCCAGCAGCTGTTCTCGTACCGCGGCATACACGAGATATGTGTGGAGCAGGCCGGGAGCACGCTCAGGCTCAAGAGGTGGAGCCATTCTATCCAGGGGCCTAAGCTGTGGGCTGTTCTGAGCTTCGTCACCTGGGAAGGTAGGATCATGCCATGGGTGCGATGAAGCAAAGAGGGATAAGTGCTGACCTGGTCTTGTGTCTTTTCCAGAACTGGTCCTGTTCCACTGCACCTTCATCGCCCTGAAAGCTCGAAACAACCTGACCGTCAGCATGGATCCAAGGGAATACAGATTCCCCAATGAGACGCGGCTGTTCCAAGCGTATGTGCTCAAGCCCTCTCCCACATGGCTGTTTCGTATATCAGTCGTCCCAGCTGACAGACGCGCAGACAAATCATCGACGACGACTACCAGCATTCCTTGGTGGTCTACAAAGACGACCGGACGCGAGGGATGCGTCTCCACGCCGCGGTATGGGACGGCGAGTTGAGGGCTTGCCCTGTGTGGACTGCTTTCGGTATGGCTGTTGAATCCCACGCCGTCGTCGTGACCCGGTCGTCGGGAAATATACCTACTGACCACCTCAATCTTCCAGTGACCCACCAGTCCACCTCTAGCCGCTGGCTCACCCGAAAGTCCAAGCACTGCGTCTGGATCAACGAGATCAAGCTGTACGTCTTCTGCGACAAGTACAAGGAGGCCAACATGCGGCGCAACAAGGTCGGCGCGTTCGAGATTCGTTTCGTCAGCGACGAAGGTACGTCTTAGGCGCGCCCCATATCCTCACGTCCTCTCCCATCTCTGTTCCCCAGGGCTCGCCCGCTAAAGCAAAGAGCACAAATTACAGCCGCCGGGCGCTTCAAGGAGGTCTTCTACCCGGCGGCCGCCTCTGAGCCTCCGGGCGACGGCGAGTGAACCACCGAAACCCCTCGCCTAAACAAATCCCCTCTAGCACAATACCTCTTGGGCCGGGGGCTGCTCTTCCCCCGTCCACTGTGCATATTCCCCAAAACCAGGGTGGTCAACCGAAGCCACCCCCTGACGATGATCTGCTTACGATGATGTATGATGCATGATGAACGACTGAGCCAGCGTTTGTGATTCACTCTGTTTACGGTGATTTTCATGATTACGATTATGATTTTGTTCCGAGCGAGGCGCTAGGGACTTACAAAAGAGAAGAGTCCAGAATTTCCAACTCGAAGGGCGAGTCACAGATTGCATGATACCCTACTCAATTGTTTTGGATCTGTCTCGCCTCAATTGCTCTATTTGCAGCCGAACAATGAGGCTTTGTCTTCCGTCTCTAGCTCTTGGAGATACGAGTCCGCATGAGGTGACGTTGTGTGGGACTTGAAAATCCCAAAGGATCATTAAGGTTTTGTAAGGATCCATATTTCGGGGGAGGGGCTGAAAATGTATGAGGTCTCTTTCTACAACCAAACACTTTTAGTTGTCGTTTTCAAATTCACGCGAGATGGCTTGCAAGTGAACAGTGTCATGCCTAACCAATTATGCCTTTGAAACTAATTGTATTTTGTGGTCTCTTACTACTTTGAAAAGGCTGTACTAATGCATCGTCTCGTTATCCTTCGATTTGGGATATTTTGATGTCTGGAGCCATGATGGTGATCCCTGTTTTCCAACCTCTTACGTCTTGACGTCAGGCTCGTCACGGCCAACGTACTCCTTGAACTTCAGCAGCTCTGTGGCCATCTGGATCTCTGGCTTCAGGAAGTCCTGGGCATCCTGGTCATATGTCGAAGGGTCAGAGCTGTGCTGCTCGATGTACAGACGGATGGTAGCACCGGCAGAGCCTGTGCCAGACAGGCGGACGATAATGCGGCTTCCCGAGGAGAATGTGGCGTACAGGCCCTGGTTGGAGGACACGGAGCCGTCAAGATCGGTGTAGGAGAAGTTGCCGGCGCCGGTGACGGTGCGGTCGCCAATCTTGCTGCCAATGAAGCTCTTGTCGTTGACGAGGCTGCTCAGCGTGCCAACGACCTTGTTGGCACCATCTGAGTCGACGTTCTCGTAGTCGTACCGCGTGAAGAAGGTGCGGCCGTAAATGTTCCAGAAGTCCTTCTGGATCTGCTTGATGCTGGGCGTGACGCCTGGGTTGGCAACACCAAGACCGGCAATGATGTTCAACCAGGCGACAACGGCCCAGAGACCATCCTTCTCACGGACGTGGTTGGAACCGGTGCCGAAGGACTCCTCGCCACAGATCGACAGCTTGTCGGCGTCGAAGAGGGCGCAGAAGAACTTCCAGCCGGTTGGCACCTCGTAGCAGTTCAGACCCTGCTTCTTGGCAACAAGGTCGACCGCACCAGATGTGGGCATGGATCGGGCCAGGCCAAAGACACCCTGCTTCTTGAAGTAAGGGATGAGCTGTGCGTGGTGGGCAATGATGGCCAAGCTGTCACCGGGGGAGACGAAGGCGCCGGTGCCGTAGATCATGTTACGGTCACCATCACCGTCAGAGGCCGCGCCGAAGGGGATCTTGTTCTTCTCAACCTCCTCGACAAGGCTGTGTGCGTAGGTGAGGTTAGGGTCTGGGTGACCGCCGTTGAAGTCAGGCGAGGGCACGCAGTTCTGGGTGGAGCCGGTGAGGCCAAGCTCCTCCTCGAAGATGGCCTTGCCGTAAGGTCCCGTGACACCGTGGAGGGCGTCGAAGAGGACCTTGAAGTCAGGGTGCTCGGTGAAGAACTTCTTGATCAGGGGGAAATCGAAGATGTCCTTCAGCATCTCAACGTAGTCGGCGGTGCTGTCGATGATCTCGACCTCCAGAGAGCCATAGGTCTTGGTGCCGATGGTGGAAATGTCGACATCAGGGATATCGGCAATCTTGTAGGAGGAAAGGGTCTTGGAGACCTCGTAGATCTTGTTGGTCACGGACTCGGGAGCTGGGCCACCGTTGGCCAGGTTGTACTTGATGCCGAAGTCGTTCGTGGGGCCTAGCGAAGGTCGAGGTCAGCGGGCCCGTAGATGAAAGATGCAAATGCTGTAGGATATATGGGGAGCTACTTACCACCAGGGTTGTGGCTGGCAGTCAGGAGGATACCGCCAGTGGCCTTCCTCTTGCGGATGACATGGCTGGCGGCGGGTGTGGACAGAATGCCGTTCTGGCCAACGAGCAGCTTCTTGACACCGTATGCGGCACCGATCTTTGCGATCAACTGGACGACCTCAGGGTTCCAGTACCGGCCATCACCACCAACGACCAAGAAGGAGCCTATTTTGTGTGTCAGCCGTTGCCGGACGTTGGTAGTTCTACTGCCAAGGGGGTGGGGGGAGATCAGGCTTACCCTCTACACCTTCTGGGATAGACAGGAGGATGCTGGTGACAAAGGATTCACTGTAGTGTGGCTGTTGGAAGACAGTAGTCCTCTTTCGAAGACCAGATCTTTGCGAACATCAGCAACGTGTCTGGCATGCGGTGGAAAGGCCAGCTTGGAGTGGAATGGCGTGGGCCAAGCGCAAGCGCAAGAGCAAGAGCACAGCAAGGGCGACACGCAGTGGTGCGGGGTGAAGCTGTTGACAATCCCAACTTACGTTCCGGGCTTCTGGTCCGTGAAGGACGCGAACTGAACCTCCTTGATGCTCATACTGGCAGGATTGAATCTAGGTATTTGGTCTGTTGGGTAAGGAACAGAATGGGCAATCAATGGGCGATCGACGAGAAGGAAGTGGGACAGCAGTGGGAGGGCGTTGGGCGATAAATAGGAGAGGCGGTATGCCAGTATGCTTGTTCACTTCAGGAGCTTACGGTCTGGCCGATGAGCTCCCCCCCAATGGAAGGTGGGGTCTGCGCCGGGACGTCATTGCCACACACTTAAAGTGCCCAATTAGACAGGTCGAGGGGCGGACGTGGCGTGGGGCAGAATGGCATTCGGGGGGGTATTGGACAGGGGGGTTAAGCTCCCTGTTCCCTCATCACTGCACCGTTTTGCTGGCTTCATGTCATACTGTAAGGAGTGAGTGTTAAGATGTTTAGGCACTTCACGCATAAGCCTCCATTTACACAGTATATGGGCCATGTGTCTCTATGCATTTATGTCTCTTCAGTCGGCCAAGTAATCTAACAAATCAGCGTGCTGTGCGTGGTTGAGCAGCTCGCCCAAAACGCACGGATGCACGACCCGCGTTGAACTGTATGTAACAAGCATGCACCGCACACCGTGGGAATTGCCGGATGCTCGCACATGCGACTTCGTATTTCAGAGATTAACTCGGCGGGAGTAACCCATCTAAACATTGAATTCACCATCCCAAACGTTGGGATGCTGTGAGAGACTTCCAACATGAGTCTTTTGTTGGTGGCGCCTGGGATATTTCGCGATTGTGTTGCAGTCGGCCTAGTGGTCGCTCCATTTCTCGTCGCGTTGGAGAAACAGGCCTGTCGGCCGCTACGACTCTGGTTGTATCCGGCCATTTGGACCCTGTTGATCCTTCCTCTCAGTCAGAGTCCTGGCCGCCATGCCGCCCTAGTCCCCCACCATGATAGATATTCAGGTACGATAAGAGACAAAGAAATCCTTTATCCTTTATCAGCCCTTGCTGAGAAGGGCCCTTTTCGGCCTTGAAGGTAGGTTGGTCACTGATCTCGGCGTGCAGCTTACGCCTTCCTCTCAAAGATGGCCTCCTTGTAGAACCTGGCCTCCTCGATGCTCTCCAGAATATCGTCCTTGGCCTTGTGCAGCACCTTCTTTTTTGGTGCATTCTCCGTCACACGCGGCAACCATCTCCTCGACGCCTCCTTCAGGCTGCTGATGTCGAGGATCCGGTAGTGCAGGTGGTCCAAAATCTTGCGGTACGGCCCCCGGTTCAGAAATGCGCGGTCCATGTGGACGCTGTTGCCAGCGAGGATGGCGGTGCGTGGTTCGGGGACATGCTGCTTGACGTAGGCCAGCAGCCCGTCGGCGGCCTGCTCTGGGGTGACGGTGGAGGCGATGACGGCCGCTGTGAGTCCCGTCTGGGCGTGAGTCCGCGTGCACCAGTCGTCCATGCGAGCCATGCGCTCCGTGGACTGGTGGACGACTGTGCCCCAGCCCTCGTTCTCGGCCAGTTCCAGGTTGCCGTTGGTGATCAAGCAATATATCTCGATGATCTCGTCGTTGTCATAGTCCAGACCGGTCATCTGCAGGCTTGGTCAGTTTCTGATGCTGCCAAGAACGTGGCAATACGAGCCATTGCACGGCAGACGGTGTTGTCTCTACCTCGCAGTCAATCCAGACCAATGGCGCAGAGTTCTGCTGCGCCATCCTCCTCCTCAAAGCGCTTCTCTGCCTCCAAGAGGGCACCGCGCTATGCTGACCAGACAGGTAACGGGCCTCTCCAGGCTGGCGGTGGGGCGTATGCTTGCTCGGAAGCGGCTGAGGACCAAGCAATGTTGTATGAGCCGACACCCTGCACCATGGACGATGTGCTCTGGCAACTGAGCTGGCAGCTGAGCTCCTTGGGCAGGCTTTGAGAATGTGCTGGCCGGCGACGGTGACTGGAGTGACCGTGGTGAAGGCCATGAATCCTCAGTACAGGTCCCTCACATGCAAGGCTGAAGAATGAGAGGCGAATCAGGAAGCTTGTATTCCTGCTTAAAACATGGGATGGGACCGGAACCTAAAACCGATCCGTCTTGTACCGCTCGTGTCGGAAAGCCCATCTTACGCCCAGGCCTGGCCCCAGGACTACGGATTGGAAAAGCGGGCCGGGAGGATAAAACACCTGCCGACCGACCAGCTAATCAGCTACCTACTTAAGTAGGTAGTCTAGGCCTTGTTGCAGTTATCTGTCCCGGCTGCGTGGGTGACCGTTGGGACGCGATCGACTAACTAACCACGCGGACACAGACGGGCTGCTACCACCCTCTGGGGATAGGTCGGTGGCACTTCCTTCCTCTCAGATACGAAGAATGTCTTCCTCTCACTTCTCTCACGTCCCTTATATACCTACCTAGCTGAACTACTGTCTCTTTCGGTTTTTCTTTTTTTTTTTCCCTCCTTGGCGAAGCCTCACATATAGAACAGAGTGAGAAGCCTCACTCGCCTCTTCGCCCCCTCCACACTCCCTCCGCCCTTCCCTTCGTATCCATTCGTTCCAAGACTCTCTCCACCATGGGCAAGCAGGAGGACTCACCGCCCATGCGGCCAGTGCTCCCCGAGCCCGGCCCCGTCGTCGTGACCGACAAGGAAGTCACCATCCAGCCCCCAGCCCCCCCGCCTCCCTCCGTCTCCCCACCGCGGCTGTTGGTCGTCGGCGGCGGGTCCCGGGGCTCCGTCTACGCCCACTTCACCAAGCTCGCCACCAACGGCGTAGTCGCCGCCGTCGCCGAGCCCCACGCCTTCAAGCGCGCCCAGTTCGGCCAGAAGTACATCTGGGGCAACCATCGTGCCCCGGCTGAGGGCGAGGAATTCGAGTCATGGACCGACTTCATCACCTACGAGAAGGAGCGGAGGCGGCGCGCGGCTGCGGGCGAGGCTGGCGTGCCCCCGGGCGTCGATGGTGTTTATGTCTGCGTCCTGGACGAGATGCACAGGGAGGTCGTCATCGCCCTGGCTGAGCTGCGCGGCTTGCATATAATGTGTGAGAAGCCGCTGGCCACGAGGTTGGACGACTGTGTCGAGATGTACCGGGCCCTGAGGGACAACGTCGACGAGGCCGGCGAGCGCCGCGTCTTCTCCATTGGCCACGTGCTCCGCTACAGCCCCCACAACATGGTGCTTCGGAAGCTGCTGCTCGAGGACAGGGTCATCGGCGACGTGCTCTCGGTCGTCCATACCGAGCCCATTGGCTGGTGGCACTTCACGCACAGCTATGTGAGGGGCAATTGGAGGAGAGAAGACACCTCGGCCCCCAGTCTGCTCACCAAGAGTTGCCACGACATCGATGTGCTGCTCTGGCTGCTGTGCTCACCAGTCAAGTACGAGGATGGCGGCGAGAAGGCGCTGCCACACCTGCCGTCGACGGTAACAAGCAGTGGAAGGCTGCAGTACTTTCGGAAGAATCGCAAGCCAGTAGGCGCTGGCGATGCGACAAACTGTCTCAAGTGCCCAGTGGAGGAGACCTGCAAGTACTCCGCCAAGCGCATCTACACGGGCGACAAACCCTTCATGGGCCTGGACACGGGAAACACCGCCTGGCCAGTCAACGTTGTACTGCCCGAGATAGAGGATCTGGGGGCTAGCGATAAGGTGCGCGGGGCGCTAATGGCGAGATTGGCTGAAGATTACGGCCCGGATATGCAGGACTCGGAGATTGCGAAGCGCAATTGGTTCGGGAGGTGCGTCTACGAGAGCGACAACGACGTTGCCGACGAACAGGTCGTGACCATCACCTGGGACGACGACCCTGCCTCGCCGCAGGACGGCGCCAGCCCAATGGCTGACCAGCTGGGAGGCCGGGGTTCCAAGCAGGCAACATTTCACATGGTAGCCCAGACAAAGCGCCAGTGTGAACGTTTCACTAGGATCTACGGCACCCACGGAGAGATATATGCGGACTCGTACACCATCACGGTCGAAGACTTCAACACGGGCAAGACCACAACTCACACCCCGCGCATGGAGAGCCTGGGTCACGGGGGCGGCGACCTAGGTCTGACGAGGAAGTTTGTGGAGGCCATTGACCTGGCCAAGAACCACAGAGACGAGGGATGGACCTGTGAGAAGGCCCAGCAGGAGGTCATCAGGTGTACCCTGGATGAGGTTATCAGAAGCCATGCGATGGTCTTCTGTGCTGAGGAGGCCAAGACAGGGAGGAAGGTCGTAGACTGGGCCAAGTGGTGGGCCGAAGAGGTCGAAGGCAAACTCGGGGGGAAGTAATATAGATACTGGCGGGCGGCATTGGTCTGTTGAATTATGCTACGAATGATGACACTTAGCACACACAGCCTTAGGCGCAGGTGGAATTGGCACACAAACTCACCTAGGTAGTAACCTAGTCTACCCGATACTCGTAGTAACGGATTTTCCAGCAATCTTTTGGTCCCAGTCAAAATTCGTGTGCAACACTTCTGCGCTCCCAGCGCAGCTTTAAACCCGGCGTTTCACTCCGCACTCTGACACTTGGGCCTACATTCGCGCTTGCGCATATGTGAGGAACCGTATCAATTCAAACAAAATCATGAATCTCGAGTCGTATTCGTTTCTTATCAGCTTTGTCTCGGATGAAGCATCTCGCATATGTTTCAATAAACTCAAACCACGTGAAAGAATGAATGACTACCTAGTACTCATAAAGTATAAAACGCGTCAAAGCAGCCCGTCACATCCCGAAACATAGCCGCCGTCATCAGTGCCGAGTTTCCATAGACATTGATCTCAAAAAAAGCGATTTGTTTCCTCGAAGGTCTCGACTCACCCTGCCTAAACATCCAAGAGAAAAGCAATTGCATGTGAACCCCGACCTTCCTTTTTATCCATGACATATTGATGCCGATGGGCTTGCAATAGGAGTCGGAAACCTCCGTCCGCAGACGGCCTTGTAGGAGCCCAAACCCGAGGGCTCGTCAAAGCAGTTATCAGGGAGCTGGGGCAGAATGGTCTCGTTCAACGAGCAATGCGCATCCCTGTACACGTACACTTATGTTCCCCAACATGGTCAGCACCGCAGGCGGACTAAGCAGTAATAGGTATCCCATCGCCCAGGAGAAAAAGGAACTTACCAACGCAGCCGTGTATTATTTTCGTGGTGACGGCTGACTGTATATTGGTTGGGAAGGGAGGAGTAAACACGTAGCAGCTGCTCTCTTCGGTCTGCACCAAGGTGAAGTTCTTCTGCGAGTTTTGGGAACAGCCAGGCAGTCCATATGCGGCAAAGTTGGCGATGGGAGGGTCGTTGTTAGGCCAGTCGTTAGTTCCGGCCCTGGTGCAAACGGTGAGGGCTCCGGCGAGGAACAGCTTGTAGAACTTCATGATGTCGATAGTCCGGATGGGCAAGTATGGTATAATTCCTTGCGTAGAGATCAATGCGTCTCTCCTCGGGTCCTGCGTAGACTTAAGAACAAGTTCCGAAGGTGGTATTCTAGAAATGGTTCGGTCTCAGCTCAAGTGGTCAATTCACTTCAAGCTATTTATATTTTTATCCACACATCATGAGCAGGCATGGACAAGCTTGATTTCGCGCCAGACTTATGGGTGTGATACACTCCTCTAACTGACATACAGTGGAAGGCCAATCTTGAATCGACGACGCTTTACGTATGTGACCGAGTTTTCGGTTTCAAGGTGACAATCTGCGATCTGGAAAGTTCTCGGCTCCCTCTCGCTCAAGCGCTTTGTCACGTTGAACGGGTAGATAGGAAACACATCGTGGAGCACTTGCAGATCACCGGCAACTTGCATATACACGAAAGCCAGATCCACGGGTTCTCTTTGCTCCCAAGTCAGATCAGCTTACTTACAGCTACACATTAATCACCTCAGAGCTGGGCTGTGAGGCCTCCACCATCCTTACTGGCAGCTCATCTCAGTGCTGTGCTTCCCACACTACTTCCGCGTCCGTCTCTCAGGGTTGCAAATGCTATGACATATCAGCTCCCACCAAGCTGAGTGTCACTCGTTGACCATCACCGTACGCTGAGTCTCTGTGGGCGGATCCAGTGGCGTTGTTTATGGGTGTGCAAGCGTCGCACAATAATGCACTCAAGCAACCGTGCCTACGCGTAAAAGTAGTACGGTCCTCCTGCTCACGTTCAAGCCATGATACCGAAGGATATCACCTGAACAGGGTCAGCCTCATTCGCGAACCGGCATGATCTTGTGTGGATTGATCGATCCGGAGCCTCCAGTCTGTCGTCATCCTGGGGCTCTGTTCCGGGGTGTTTTAGTCGGCCAGTGAATTGCCGAGGATGTTTCCAAACATGTTGATAACATCCCGGGGCCCATTCCGTCTCCGCCGCATCGTCTACGGAAACAGATTGCGAGGGAATCGCCACTGGAGGAAGCGAGCGTACCAGGAATGACTTCACAGCACCATCAGTATAGCCAAATCGTGACAGCGATGAATGTAAGATCGATGCCCAGCTGACCCGAAACATGGGGGTCCGAATCGGGGGGGCCCAAATCTGGCCAGCGACGGTGTCCAATTCAGCCAGAATTTGTGTGTATTGAGCTACCTCTACGTGCGCACACACACACAAGGCCGACGTGTGAAACTAGCACCATAATCTACAGAGGTACAATGGCATCCACCTAGGCAGCGACGACCTCGACGGTCCTCCTGACGGGTTCGACCTTGTCCCGCCCGACGTGCGTCCTGATCTCGATCTGGAAGCTGCCCACCTTCTCGACCTTGTCGACGCCCTCGGCGAGCCCAACGATGCTGATCTCCTCGGGCTGGACGTGGATCCGCGAGGCCTCCGGGTCCAGCAGCATCTTGTCCTTGATGTAGGACGCCACGTCGCGCACCGACACGGACCCGTAGATCTCCTTGGCCCTCTCAGCCTCCTCCTCGGCGCGGATGCGCTCCCTCTCTGCCTCGGCCTCCTCGGCCCTGCGCTCCGCCTCGGCCTCCTCGGGCGTCTTCTCTGGCTGGGGTCCCTTCTGGGCCTCGAGCATCTTGGCCCGGCGCCTCTCGAGGGGCGTGAGGACCTTGGGCTGCTCTGGCTCTTTGCTCTGTGGTTGGGTGGTGGTGTTGCCGGGGCTGGTGTTTGACGGGAGGTGTTTCAGGTGCCGTTCGATGATGATGGGGTCGGGGATCATGGTGGTGAGGAGTTCGAGGGCGCGGTTGGGCTGTAGATAGAAAGTCGTTTAGCTAGATGCCACCCAGGGGCGAAAGCCAAACACCCTTCGCGGGTGACCATGGTCCCGGGGGGGGGGGGGACACTCACAGCAACATGCTCAATCTCCACAGCTGGCGCAGGGCTAGGTGACTCGAGTGCAGGTTGTCCAGCCGCAGAGCCGAGGGGAATTGCGCCGCGAGGGAGGCCGGCGACCGCCTCGACGGCGTCGTCGATGAGCTCCTCCTCAAACTCGAGCTGCATTCCGAACATGGGATCGCGCTGGCCGACGTCGTCCTTGGTCAGACCAAGCTGCTTCATGCGGGTGTCTGTCATGAACTCGGCCTTCTTGGTCGGGTACCAGAGGTTGCGCATGATGCCTCGTTGTATGCGGAAGATGGAGCCTGTGGGAGATGGGCATTCAGTACAGGCTGTGCCGGGGCCGGGCTGCGAATGCGCATGGTGCTGCTGCTCACTGACCTTGCTTGCCATAGCCCTTCATGTCGACCAGCAGTCGCACGATGATGCCGGTGTTCTTGTTTGGCTTGTTGCTCTTCTTCCGCATCTGCCTGAAGAAGGGGGTGACAGATGCGTTGCCCACCTGTGTTATCCTCCTGAGGCACACCAGGCATGGTGCCCGGTTTAATAATGGCGACGCCATGGCAGAGGGGTTGTCGAGACGCGGGTGTGTCTCTGCCCAGCAATCAATCCAATTAGCGATCCGCCAGAGTGGTCGCCCGTAAGTCGCGCGATGAATATTTTGGAGTCGAGCTCCCGACAGCTCGAATTGGGCGAATCGGCACCTTTGCCGAGACTCCACTCCAGAACCTTAATCCCTGAGCCGCAGTCTAACGTCTTTCAGATCCCAATTGATGACAGTACCCGTGCGAAAATGAACAACAACCACAAGCTAATCCTGCCTTGTGATCTCGTAACTGCCACGGGCTGTGGATGAAGGGTGACAAACCAATGGTCCAATGTGGATGGGGTATACGAAGGATGCGCAACGTACCATAACATCATTTACTTACTCCTTGTTGCCAGCCCCATTACTTATTAGAAATTATTAAGATATTATCTACCAGATATGGTAATCCTCTCGAGCTGTCGTATGCATGGCGAGATGCCAGCACTTACTAGAATGATGTCAAGATACTGACTTCTTGTTCTCGACTATGCCAAAGCTGCCATTGACCTGGAACGTCTCCAGCCACCTGGTCAAATCCTCGACTACACCATCGATCATCGCATCTTCAATGACACCGCCTTGCCAGTTCAGAGTCATGGTGGCTTCGCCCCTTTCCACCCCAGTGACATTGATCGCAAACCCAGGGCCAGCGAGGAAGGCGGGCTGGGTGAAGAATGACCTCCGAATATCCCAGACCGCCAGGCTGCTATGGCCGGCGGATTCGGGACTGATGAGCCCGATGTTGGAAACCTCCCACGTGGCGCCGCGCCGTTTCCCGATCTTGCCCTCCCACCACTTCTGCCAGTCCGTCACATAGTCCATCAGGCCGCAGACGTCGTCATTTGGCAGTGAGGCGAGCTTCTTCTTCATCTCGACTCGCCACGTCGCCGCCAGGGGCCACATCAGGCCTTCCTCCAGGCCCTGGTCTTGCTCGCTGAGTCTGCGCCGCAGGTCTGCGACAGTCTCTGCGTCCCATACTTTGCTGGAGCTGGTGGTGAGAACCGAGAGTACCCTTGTGATATCTTCTATCTCGCTACCAGGTGGTAGTTCCGCCCAAGGTATCAAAGAAATCGGTGTGTCGCTGGAAAATGCAGCCGCAGCTTGAGCGGGGACTCGCTTGGCGACAGAAATCAGAACGAGTACGTGGATTATTGCGGTGAATGTGGCGCCATGAGACCTGCATGCTGTGACGAGCTTCGGAACGACCTCTTTATCGATGGGAATGAGACGCAGGTTGAGCTTGTGTGGCTCGAGTGTGATGGCCTTCCCAGTCCATGGCTCAACCGGCGGCGTCGGTTTGAGCCAAGAAGGTGCGAATTCTTGCCAAAGAGTTTTGAGGAAGAATACCCAGCCTATCCGGAACTTTACGAGCTCCTGCTGGGGCGGGGCGAGGACGGGGGCCCTGTCAAAGCTGAGGACGTGGTTCTTCAACTCGGCCGGCGGACCAGAGCCGCTGTCGGTGGGGCAGTAGTTGAGCTCCCGCAGCAATTCGGTGTGGAATACCATGGTGCTCTTCCCGTCCGAGAGGGCGTGGTGTGTCACAAAGACCATGTCGAGCCTCAGCTGACCCCAATCCTTGGTGCAATTCTGGACGACGAGGAGCCTCCACGGCGGGCGGGTCGCGACGTCCTGCCACAGCTGCTCGAGCCTGGTCTTGGTCACGTCCAGGACGCGCGCGTCAAATTGCGCCTGGCTGCCCTCCTTGACGGTTTCCCACTCGATGAAATCCCTCAGGTCCATGGATGGCACGCTGACGAAGCTGGCCTGGTTGGTGTGCTCCTTGGTGATGCCGACCCTCAGCCCGGCCATGCGGACGATCATGCGGGCCAACGCGACTTCCACAAGGGACTGTGCCGAGTCATAACTTAGGTGGGAGTCGGAGACCACATATCGGCAACAGTTTGCAATTGCTGTGTAAATGCCGATCGCGTGCCTCGAGGTGGACCAATGCTCACTTGGAGTGGTTAGTCGTGGATCACCACCAGTTGACAGGAGCGACGAGGGTTTCACCTACATCGTACCACATTGCCTAACCACCTTCGACTGCATTTTTTTTTTTTTTTTGGTGTTGAGCTTTGATCAGAGGTCACTTAAATTAACACCACCAGAGTCGAAATAAACATACAGCGCGTCTTAAAATTTCCGTGTACCGAGTGCATGTTGGTGATTGGACTTGGCGACTCGGAGCAGCTGAGGGATGCAAACTAACCCGGAACAGGCAACCCTGTGCTTAGATGCGTCCACCAACCTTCCGCTTGGACCCACGTTTTTGTTCCTGGAAACTGGCAAATCGATTCCTAGAATGGAAGCATATCGATCCAGGCGGCCGGGACACCGTTTGCTTTGCTCCTCGGTTCGCATTTCTTGGGCTGTGGTTCAATATCTAGGCTGATGCTAGCGAAATCATCACATTTGCTCGGGTGCGAGTTTCTCTAGAAACACAAGCATTCGATACAATAGGACTTGTTACCATAATGAAACTTGGAACTATGTGGGAGTTGTCAAGCAGGGGTCTCATATCTAAGACCTGTCGTCGGGAACTTGCTGTAGATAGGGATGGTATTCGATCTTATTGATTGCTGGAATCTCGCTGGGGGTCTCGAGGATTGTCTCGATGTGGTTGCGTTGCATGTTAGAGACGCCAATGGCCCTGGCCTTTCCGGAGGCCTTCATCGTCTAAAGGCCCTTCCAGGCGTTCTGGAGATAATGGGCAGTCGGAATGACATACTGGTTGTGCAATAGTGCCTTGAAATATCGGAATAAGATTTCATCTCGGCAGGGCGCCGGTGGTGGGAAACGACTAACAGGTCTATGTAATCGAGCTCCAGATTCTTCAGGCTCTTGCCCATGGCGGCAGGAACGTCGGCCCACCCGTCTTGGACTTTGGTGGTTTTGAACAGGCTCTCCCGCGGCAATCCGCTCGCCTTGATGGCGGCCGCGAGCTCCCGCTCCGTCCCATACGAGTTCGCACAGTCTGGGTGCACATAGTGTTTCACGAGAGCTGTGGTCAAGATGTTGACCAAGGCCGGGTTGAAGGGATTCTCGGGCTAGTCTTTGTACCATGCGGTGCCAGTGACGAAACCAATCCGAACAAGGAGCGAAAGTGGTTAATGCGGGCTCAATTGTTTGCATGCTGGCATGGCCGAGCGGAGCAAAGGGTATTTACTGACCGGAGGAATGGCGACGCCGCCCTTTAGGGGAAGAGTTGGTAGCTCCATCGTGCTGTTGGAAGGGAACAAAGAGGTCTGAAGACAGGATATATGAGCGAGATTGGACCGAACCAAGGTCGGGATAGACAGATGGGCAGGAACGACTGGCAACACAGTGGAAAGAGTCCGCAGCCAACGGCGCGCTGTTAGAGAGAAGGGAAACTCTGAGAGGTTCCACAGCTTTGCAGCTTGTATCTGGACACAGTCCTGAGGTCTGGCAGATTGCTTTCGAGAGCTTGGATGTGGATGGCCAACCTGAGGCAGACGCTACGAAGCTATTCAGTCTCTTCTGCTTTGTGGTCCCGGAGGCCATCCCAGAACTTTTCCAGCCGGAAGACTTGGAACTCCCGGATGACTGGGGCTTTCTTGGTGATGAAGATAGGTCGGTCCACATGCGCAGGCTTCTGGATCTCAGATGATCAGATACTGACCTGCGGTGCCTTGGTAGATTTGAGCATGCGCAGTTAAAGCTGCGTGACATGTCTTTGATCAAGGTGAACGCTGACACTGAACTCATGTCTATTCACCGCTTGATTCAACAAGCTTATTTTGATCGGATTTCCCACGAGGTGCGATGCTCAGCTTTCGAGATAATGTTTCATCTTCTGCGCAAAGCGTATCCCGCCCGTGATGGAAAGACGCACCTCTTTTGCCGGTGGACTAGGTGTCAACAACTGGAACAACATGTTGAGGCCATACACAGGCGCTACAAGTCTCTGAAGGAGGATGGGATGGAAGAGGCAGGGTGCCAATACAGGCAGCTGATTAGAGACAATGCTTGGTGAGTTGCTTTACCCATTCGCAGGACGGTGGGCGTGTGGCGGCGTCGCTTACAAAAGACCTGCGCAGGTTTTTGCTTGAGATACAGCGATTTACAGACCCAGAGGAGCTTTTGTTGGATCTCATTCCGGAGATCGAGAAAGATTCGATCGAATACGCAGACAACACCCAAGACCTCATGGGCATTTACGAGAGAACGGGGCGCAGCAACAAGGCCGTCACATGCGCCAAGACAGAGCTGGACGTTTTTATGAAGCATGATAGTCCTGAAGAGAATGGCCTCGCAAATGTGTACAGCGATGTTGGCTATACTCTATGCTCCGCCTTCAAAGCCGCAGAAGCCCTTCCCTACTTGGACAAAGCGATCTCGATCGCTAAAAGCTTCCCGGACCATGTTCGTGACAGGAAATTCAATATGGACCGATTCTTACGAAACCACGCACGGATTCAGCAACAGCTTGGGAAATTCTCGGGGGCTCTGAATGACTTGGACAAGGCTGAGGCATATCACCATCTCCTGATCATGTCATCTGGTTTCGTTCCGTTCTCTCTGTTTGTGTCATTTCGTGTTGGTGGGCCCGGATTCCATGCTCGCTTTCGCACATTTATTTCACAGCCGTAACTTTTCCTGCACCTTTTCCCCTGTTTCCCTGCAACGATTTCTCTCAAACTCCCTTCTAATTAGTCGCACCTGGGATCTCCTCTATTTTTCCCTTGCTGCCATTGCCGTAATGATATTGCGTCCAGCGATAGCCCTGAGTCACCTGGGCCCCTGCATTGAGGGTGTGGCAGGCGAAGAGGAGATAATTCTTAGGGGTAACGGCCAGAGAGTAACGCATAAAAGTAAAAGCGTAGACTGTAAGGGCGCCTGTCATAGTACCGGATATCCTAAGTATACGAGCAACGGTATTAATCTCACATGTACGTATATTTTCATAAGAGGCTTTTGCTGCTGTGTTCGTTCTGGTCATTGCTGTGAGGTCTCATCTTACATGTCGGGACTTTTGTAGGTATCAAGAATGGCCGCAATAGGAATCCCAAAGTTGGATGCTGGGCCCCAGAAGTCTGCGTCTTGTAAGCGCAGCCCGACACCGGAGGTCAACTTTTCCCACCAAGGGATAGTAAACCGATAATAATTGGATTGTCAACATACGGGTAGAGCAGAAATAATCGGTCACCTTGTTCGACCTTATCTTCTGATTCAAGGCTCTGATGAATGCAAATGCTCTCGACATGGCTGGGATTTCGGTGTATCGTGCTAGTGACTTTCAACCTGCTTTTCGAGGCGTCGAAGCTGAATGAATGAATGAATGCGAGAGAACGAGATCGTGTTGGGAGTCGAGATCTTGGCGGGATGTCCCACTTTAAATAATTATGACTGGGTCGAAGCGGTACGGCGGGATGTACTTGACAATTATGTTCTCCATGGATATGATATGTGATATTTTTACTGTACTTGATCCCCGTTCCAACTGATTGGATTGCGACTAGTGCTGACCAAACGGAGATAATGAGTTCTCTTTGTACCCCGAGACTGGATGGACTGTCCTGACCAATTGGGCTGGATTTACCGGAAGAGAGTGGAACACAGTCTCCTGGTGTCACCTGTCCGGAGGATCATTCCGCAGCCTGCACAGAATTTTCGAAGCGAGCAGGCAGTTTTTCGCAAAGACCTAACTGATACAGCGAATCTGGACTCGCTCAGGAAGTTTGTTTAATTGACTGACGACAGAAAAATGACGAAGTTAACGGTTGTCCGGCAGAGCAATGCTGCTTTCGCAGCCGATCGCCCCCAGTCCTCGGGGCTAGTTTGTGTCTTCACTGGTGCCACCAGTGGGATTGGTGCTAGCACCCTCGAGGTCATAGCATCGATGCTCCATGATTCCACCATTTACGTATTGGGAAGATCTGCTGCGAAGTTCGCAGGCCAAAGAGAAAGAATTGCGGCTTTGAGTCCGTCTTGTCGACTAGAATTCATCGAGTGCGATGTATCGCTTCTTTCCCACGTCGACACCGCATGTAAGCAGATTTCGCCTGAGAAGATCGACCTTCTCTACATGAGCCAAGGACTTGTCCCACTGAATGGAGCCGAATGTAAGTTTTTCTTTTCCCCGGTGTGGATGTCCTTGCCAGCTTGCCTGCTTCGAAGTATCTGAAACTGACCCTGTTATCTTCGGTAAGACACCTCGGAAGGCCTAGAAATCTGCTTCGCACTCTCCTACTACTCTCGCATCCGGCTTCTCACGAACCTGCTCCCGCTATTGAGGAAATCGCCTCGGCCTCGCGTCTTAAGCGTGCTCAATGGGGGTAAGGAGAAGGCCATTCTCGAGGAAGACCTCGGCCTCGAGAACGAGGGGAACTGGTCGACGACGGCAGTCGTCAACCACACGACCACCAGCATGAGTCTCGCCCTGGACTATTTGGCAGAGGACCCGGGGAACAAGAACCTGACCCTCATGCACGCATTTCCCGGCCTGGTGCGCACTGATATCTTTGCGAAGCTGAGAGCGCCCCCGTCCTCGAGCATCTTTTGGCGCATCGGGCTAGCCTTGATCCGAAATGTGGTAGGGTTCTTGATGATGGTTCAAGGTATCAGTCCCCACGAAAGTGGTGAGCGCCACGCATACCACTTGACTAGTCAAGCCTGGACCCGCGGAACGGGCATGCACTTGATCAATGAATCGAGCGAAGAGGTACCAGGAAACGCGACCTTGCAGGGGTATAGGGAGGGAGGACTGGCCAAGAAGATATGGGAACACACGATGCGAGTGTTCGAGAAGGCTCTCGGCCGAAATTTGTCTTCGTAGGAGTCTGAAGAAGCTGGTATGTGGTTTCGCTTCTATTCTGTATACGTCCGAGGAGGACATACATGGCGCCTTCATACGGTGGTAAGAGCTCAAGACCCAGCGCTTGAAAAGGACACGATATCAATAACTATGGTTATAATACGATAGGTCAAATTGAGTTTATATCTCATTAAAACTCGTACAATAAATGTTGACCACTTCCCCACACTCCCGGTATGTAGTCCAGAAGCGTGAGAACGATGCGTGCCGATAGGCGCGACTGAGAAAGACTGTCCAGTGTTGAGTGATACCTGACCTCCTGCAGCTTCAATCGCGGGAGGCGAACGTCCATTTCCTTTGGATCGTCCACAGACCACTCGAGCGTCAAATTTGTCCGCTTCACATCCCTGAAAATTGCCTGACAATTGATCATGATGGGCCTTACAGCATCGAACGCGATCTCTCCCGATGGAAAGTGAGCCGAGACGCGTCTCAACAAATCCTCTCCATCGTCCTGAGAGAGGTACATGGACAGGCCCTCGAAGATGACGAATGTCGGTCTGTCAACCGGCACGTCTTTGAGCCAAGTATCATCGGTCACGGGCGCCTCGATCAGTTTGTAGTCGCCCTCTGGCGTGGGCAGCAGCTTTCGGCGCAGTTCTAAAGTTCTGCCAGTGCAACATCCGGAAGTTCGAAGTCGATCCAGCACACTTTGGGCCCCCAATTCAGTCGTAGATATCAGCTGTCCAGCCCGCATGCCAGGGACACCATGGTCGCGCGCTCCTGGGCGTGTTTGTCAAGGAATGCCGTGGTCCAAGCATCAAGGGACCGCGTGCGAAGAGCGACGAAAGGGGTCAGCAGACTGTCAGGATTAACTGGTGGTCAGTCTTGCCTCAAGGCTTCTAAAAAAAAAAAAAGAAACTGGCTCTAAATTTCGGTTTCCTGCTTTTGAGAAATTCCTAATACAACGGGATCCCTTCTCCAGAAGAACATACTGGCCGTATGTGCTTGGAGAGAGACTAGAGCGCATTATATATTAATATTTGTTTCCGAGTGGGAAAATAAGATCAATATAACCATCGGGCAGGTGTATTGATTTGTGAATACTATTTTCTCATTCTAAAAACCTAAAGATCGTGACCGTGCTCCATAAATTGCCTTGGTAGGTCCAGTCGAATGGATGATATGCGTATTGCGAAATGACCATGTCGGGCTACCCTAGGGTATGCGCCTTCGCTGTGCCACATTCTATGTCGCATGCTCGAGAAGTGATCATCAAAAATTATTGTTTTCTATCTAATTCATACTTGTCTATATTCTACCAGATTGGTGCGACGCGGTTTGCGGCAAATTACATTCTAGGGTCATTTACACATTAAACGTTGAAATCGTCACGGCCTCCCGAACTCAACTAACCATAACACAAACACCAAGCTCCAGGACCCCAAACCCAAACCCAAACACATTACCATCACAAGACTCTTCAAGCTCCTCAAACACAAATTCCATATTTTCTCCTCATGGTATTCGCCTGACCGCGGTTCGGTAGGTATGGTCCCTGCCTAGGTGCTTGAATAGTGGTGTCTGTGCCAATGCGTAGTTAGCACAGCGTTATGGCTATGGACCTCCACGCCCATGACTTTCTTTTGAAGACCTACACGCCGCCTGCGTCATCTTAGACAAGAAATCCCACAACAGCTGCATTTTGCTGTCGTGACCTTGTTCCTGTCACGGTAATACCCACACTCCCGAGGTCATCAAGGAAATCATATACGCCAGCGGTCCAAAATCGGGCATACCGTCGCACCCGCGCTGCTCTTGGAAGACAATCCTGCACAGCCCACACACGTCTCCAGTATACTATCATCAAAAAGGAGCTGATGATTCTCTTCCCATCCCTCTCAGGGCCGGCCGTTCCTGCTCATTTATGTGCTTGTATCGTTTGCTGAGAGCTTGGAGGCACTCGAGATGCTGCGTCTGCCATTCAAGTTGTCTCCACAGTCGCGAAGGCATCCCCCAACTGGGTTACGCTGCGAGCATTGGCCCCAGCCATGTCAACCCTTCTCTAGCTTGGGAAAATATCTTCTCTATCTGTGGCAGTTGTTGCCTCAATTCCTCGGCGGCCCCCTGATTTAAGCACAGAGAGTCCGTCCGGATGAGGAGCAGGGCTGAAGTGCCCTGTGCAGGCTCCAGACATCCACCAGGATCAAGGTGTCGCCGCCGAATCTCGCGAAGAAACTGCCACAAGTGTGCAAAGGACGAAGGCATTTGTCTTGCATGAAAGGTCTCTGAGATAGATTTGCTTCGTCAATCTCGGGTTCTGGGTCTTGAGCGTTTACCACTGTATGAAGGCGCCGCATAATACGTGTTATACTATGTATGGGGATTAGAAACGAGACCACCTTTCACTCCTGTGTTTGTTTCATTTGTGGCACTGGTCTAGGGCAGAAGACTTTGCAAACTGGAGAATCTGCCTTCATTTGGCGATGTCTTTACTCCGAAATATGTGGAGAGGATCCTGCGGGCATGTGTGCAGGAAGGCCATAATATGTACAAGTAAACTCGCGCCCCCCCCCCCACCATCACCGTGACGCCTCATAAGCCTGGCTGGGTTCAGGCACGGGCCATGCGAGACCGGGATGACCAGCCCATCACGGAACGCTTGCTCATCTGGCTAACAGACTCGGCGTAGTCGCTAGTTCCGTTGTCGGGGTCGGCATCGCTGGGAGAGCAGGTAGGGTTGGTCCCGGCAGAGCCGAGCGCGCCGTCGACGGCATAGTAGTGGTACTTGTAGTCGGCAGCGGTGGCGTCGACCATGTTCTTAGCGGCGTCCTCAGTCCAGCCCATGATGCTGCACATGGTTTTTAGCACTTGTCGAATGATTACGCGGCTCCAATGAGGGAGGGAGGAAACTCACAAGTCACCGTGGCTAGACCAGGCATTGCCGCTGGCCAGCTTGATGGGCGCGGTGCCGCTCCACCCGTCGGGCAGGACCTTGCGCAGGTCGTAGCGGATGGAGAAACGCAGCTGGGGCATGGACTTGGAGCCCTCGGGGCACCAGTTGTCGGTGCCGTAGTCGCGGCTCTTGTAGGCCGTCTCGAGCGTGTCCTCGTTGACACACTGGGGGAAGTACAGCAGCGTCTGCAGGTGGGTGCTGCAGGTGGAGCTGGGGAACCCGTTTTCGTCGGCCGAGATACCGTCGTCGCCCTCGCACATCCACTCGACCTTGGCGTCCGCGGGGGAGTCGCCGGCGGTGGTGGCTGAGGCCGAACCCGCGACCATTCTTAGGTCCTGTGGGATGGGGATCTCGGCAGGACTCTCGCCCAGGTTGTAGTAGGCTGAGAAACGCATGACGGGGACGTAGTCGTACGTCTTGCCGTTGTCGTTGGTATACAATAGGGAAGGGACCCCTTGAGATGAGCCAGATCAGTATGAAAACGAGCCAGAAGCAACTGTAACATGACTGAATTGGGATCTTACAGTAGACGGAGAAGTCGTTGGGGTTGTCAGTGGTTGTGCACCCCTTCTGCAGCTCGGCGCTGGTCTTGGTTGAGGCAGTTACGGCATCAGAGCCAAAGAATGAGTGCATGTGTGATTTGCCATATTCGCCGGGGAACACGATAGGATCGACGTTCTTGTACATGAAAGGCGAGGCAACGTTGGCCTGGGTGTACGCATATGCGGCTGGCGCAATAGTGCTGCCCACGAGGGCGGCGCGGAGAAGAGAAGGCATCCTGTGCGATCAACGAAGGTATAAAAATTGAAGAGAGAATGAGAGAACGCCTGCAGGTCGGAAAGACACAGACAGACAGACGGAGAGAAAGATAAATATTAAAAACCACGAGCGAACTACTGAACAGAAGCTTGAAATATCTTGTTACTATCTGGGGGCAAGGCTTCACTTATATTGACGTTCGATGCCCGTCCGTCGCGCTCGCCCTGTCCCCTGCCAGCCCATCCTTCGGGGCAAGATTCGCTTCGACATCATTTGTGGTAACCGATCCAGGGATTGCATAGAAATTCAATCTCTATTCTCTTGGCAAGGTTCCGACCTGTCCCACTTTACTTCCTGATCCTGCTTAGAAGGGAGAAAGAGCCGCTTGCTCCTCGCGGGAGAAAAGCGGAGCTAGCCAGACTGCACAGAGCTTGAGGGAAGAAATACGGGATTTTTTTGGGCACCTGCCGGGGTTGTACCGAGGTGTGAACGTGGAATCTGTAGGTTGTAGCATTGCTAACAATCGTTTCGAAACATAGGGGGGTGGAGCGCGGCTACATCTTGCCAGGGGAGGCGGCATGCTTGACGGCTCGCTTCGGACGATCCTTCGAGTCCGAAGATCCTCATCGACCGTAAGGGTCCGAGTCCCGACCTGCTTCTCATCTCGGACGGGGAATTCTTATACACTAAGGCACCACGGAACTTTGTCATTTCCCCGAAAACCCAGATACAGGCAGGCATATGCGCGACTTCGCTTGTCTTGTTGATGATCGCCGCATATCTGCATTTTCGATGCTGAATTTCAGGACTGCTCACATTTGAACACCTTGAATCAATCCTGTGAGTGTCCAACAGCCTCCAGGTGACAACCCGGGAGCGGCTGCAGCATCTGAAACGGAGGGGGCCATCAGCCGCTAGCAAGTCCTCTCATTTTGATAACACACTGGGGACTCTGTTTGGCAAAAAGAGAACAAGCGCCAACACAACGCAGGGCCCCCTGGCGCTCAAGTCCGTAAAGAGAATGGGCAGCAAAAAGGTGGGCCCCAGAGGAAACACCAAACGGAAGCGAGGGGATCGCGGCAACAGCCCCGGAGAAGAATGGGACGAACCCAGACACGTTGTCTAGCACTATTGATTCCTCGCGCGGGCTACACAACCGAGAGGTGGGCGGCTCCTCCGGCTTCGAGGGGGAAATGACGTCCCCATCTTCCCAAAGGGGGGACGTCACATTGGCAACAGACCAGTCCATTGGCTGTGAACTCCGTCAACTCAATTGTCCTTGACCATAGGAGAAGGCTTAGACCGGTGCACAAGTAGTTGTGTCCGTAGAGCTGCGATATCTAACGAGCCATGATGCGAGCAGAAACGGAATGATGGAGCGACAGAGTCGAGATGTTCAGAATTGATGCTGAGTTTCAAGCCAGACATGTGGCCTGCAGTCAGCCAGCAGTAGCAAGGAATGAGGCATTCAGAGAGCTCCCGTCCCTTGCTCTTATGGGCGACAATATGGGGGATCCAAGAGGCAGAGAAGATGGGATGAGGTCTGAACCAGCCCTAAATGGATATCGCATTGTATTATAGTCTAAGTCGACGTTGCTTCCAAGATTGAGGCTGAAAAGAATGGGCTAAAATGGCCCCATCATGCTGCGTTCCAGTTAGGTACCTAGGTACCTGACAGACCTCAACTGAACATGGCCCGTGCGTCCCGGCCGACCCCGCCAAGTAGTGGGTCTGTAAAGATGGCATGAACCCTGCCCAACCGCGCAGCAGTCGGGCGCGAGTTGAATGTGAGAGATGCAGCCTTCTGGTATAGGATTGGAGACATCCCAAGAAGCGCTAAATCGGCAGCCCAACAACGCTCCTTCATGTTTGCATACACTCTCAGCTGACCTGAGGCCCGCCTCTCATCCTATCATACGACAGCCGCCGGCCTTTTCCGATTCCGAATCTTCGAATTGACCATAGCCGTATCATCTGCGACGCAACGCACGTCCGAATCGCGACCTAGTATGACGCGACGCGACAACCACCACGACAATCACCACCACCATCACATCGCAGAAGTCACGGCTGCCCGCGCTCCCGCTTGATCGAGTCGCAACACAAATCACCTGTCCCGTTCTGGGATGAATGGTGGGGGAGACAAGGCAGGCAAGGCGCCCATTCCAGGTGCTCGCGCCAACGGAAGAATATTCTTGCCATCGTTTGCTCTCAACGCCCCTGCCGACGCGACAAGCAACACCAACGGCGTGGCAGACAACGAGAAAACACAAGCAGCCATGGCCAGTGGCGCGCATTCGCGCAAACACAGCCAAGGCTCGCTCCCCGATGCCCCCGACTCCTCGCGCATCCCCCGACCGTCCTCTCGCGCGAGTCCTCAAACGCGTCGACCCTTCACCATCACTGAAGCCACCGACTGGGCCAAGTCCCGATTAGCTCAAGGCTCACCCAGCCCGGCACCCCGGCCCGCGCGCCCAGGCTCTGTCAACTCGGACCACAGGCCTTTACCAAGCTTGTTTACTCAGAGGCCGATAGATTTGGGCCGTCTCGGCACCAGGCGACCTCCACCACGCCGCGATGGGACCTCCGTCTCCAAGGACACTTTCGGGTCTTCGTCGCACAAGGGAGACGTGTCGGACGATGAGCTCGACCGCAAGCTTAAGCAGTATGAAGAGGACGAGAAAATCATCCAATCTATGAAGGAAGACAAGAAAGGCCTGTTCAACAAGCCCAAATTTGGACTGAATGGCACTGGGACCTACACCAAGCCAAGTAATGCCACAAGCAACGGCGGTTCTGGTGACGGTGGCCCGGGCGGCAAGGACCCTCGCCAGTCATGGGTTTTCGCTGAGACAGGGCATGCCAGACCCGATTGGATTAAGCAATTCAAATCGGAAGAGCAGGCCTTGGATTTCGCCCCGGGCAGGCAGTCAAGGATACAAGGATTCTCGAGCTTTGGAAACCGCGTGCCGGGCTCCAAGAGGATATCGACAAGTCAGAGTCGACCAGAGAGCAAAGAACCGGCCTCGGCGATTCCACGCCCAGCCACAGTGGCGCCGATCCAGTCCCCAAACAAGAGTTACGCCTGGCAAGTTGATGAAGACTTCACAGCTGGGGACTTGCAGGTTTCAAATAGCCCCCCTGTGAGCTATGGCCGTACCAACACCAGGTTGGACGAGATCCGGAGGCTAGAGATTGATGCCGAGCTCGATTATCCCATTGAGAACCATCGCTTCGTGCCCCAGCGCACGAATACAAAACTCGACGAGATTTTGCAACGAGAGAAAGATGCGGAGCGCAAGTACCCCGTTCCCAGGATCGAAGAGCCAAGCGCGGAACCGGCTGGTGAGCTGTTTACGGGCGTCGAAACGAAGAAAGCAACTACAACACCAAGTTTGGCAGAGGCTGGAGGAGGATCCCAACGTTCGCCAGGAAATGATGACCCTCCCAAAGAGCCTCTTCCGTCAACACGACTGAACGGGATCATGGAGCGAGGAATCTTCCGGGCGCCTTCCCCCAAGCCTGAACTGAGGGACGACTTCGGGCGACCACACCAGACCACCTCGCATGTGAGCCACGATTCCAAGACGCAACCCCAAAAGCACGACTACAATGGTATGGACGGCGAGAAGGTCCCGAACACGCCCGTCACAATATACAGGAACAGGTCCCCGACTCAGCCCATTGATGAGCATAACGGCCCTAATCCAAGCACAACCTCCACCACTGTAGAACATGCCACAGCTGTGCCTCGAGCCAAAGAAGACTCTCATGATCTTCTTCGAAGATTATCTAGGGTTTCGAGCAATAGCCCCATTGCCAGTCCTGAAAACGCAGGGACGCACAAGGCCAAGGAAGAGGACAGAGCTGCGTTGTCGAATACGGGTAGAGCAGAAACAGCCGGAGGAGGACTCCATATCACGGAAAAGGCGGATCAGAAATTCCCAACATCGCTAGGAACGGGCAAATCGAATGCTCTAAGCAAGCCCACAATTGGATTTGCAGGTCTCTCTCGGACGCCATCTACTAAGAGTATGTCGTCAACGCAGAGCCGAGCATCAGCAGATCCAACTGCACGAATCGAGGGCGAGATGAAACTCTTCGCGCTCATGGACAACATGTCGGAACGCGGTTCAGTCCGGGCCCCGTCACCTCGACCGGATATCGAATCCGAACCTGAGGATGACGCGGGCAAGGCAGACGAGACACCTCGTGCCCCCAAGTTCGATCCTCTATCCATGCCTACTCCGCAGGTAACGGGCGCTTACGTCGAGACCCCAGTGACTGTCAAGACCGGACCAGTCCAGATCAAAGAGGAGCCGACCGCATCGACTCGAGAGCCAGAGAAGAAAGCCATTTCACAGGCTCGAGAGATAAGCACCTCGCCACGCTCAACGAAATCAGATGGACCGCGATCACACGGGCGATCTACCTCGTTTTCGAAATCACGGCGGTCAAGGTCCACTCCGCGCAAGCGCTTCCCGTTAAGGAATTCAGTCAAGCCGCCCACTGTGGAGGAAGACCTGAAGCAGATCCACTTGAGCAACAACATAGACGAATCTACGACAGATGACTTTGATGACTTCGTGCTTGCTTCCATAAAATCTGAGGAGGCTGGAAACGGAGTCTCCGACTCCGAGGATGCGGATGCCATGCCGCAGGAAAAGGACTTGAAGAGGATGGAACACATGGGCAAGGCTTTGAGCACTGGTCTTGCTTCCATCCGGCAGGCCAAGAAGGGCATCGGGCGTCTCGAAGATCGGGTTGCACAGTCCGAGCAAGCTCCCCGTCCTACCAAAAACGACACCACGGGTCACGAGGCTCATGTTTCGAGTTGCCTTGAATGCGCTGCCGGTCAACATAGCAGTGGCTTGTCAGCTCATGTGGCTCTGCCAGTTCCTTCATTGTGGCGCACACAGCCTAAATTCAAAATCACTTGGCTGGGGAAGCTGTTGCTCCTGCTGACCTTCTGGTACGTCGTGGAGAATAACTTTTACGATCACTGGGGAAGGCAGTATGTGTGCTACCGTGGTTCGCCGTGCAGGTCGTCCCCCGACAATCCCGATTACGGCTACGTGGTGCCTGTGAAGCTCGACGAGTGGCTCACTGGTGGCATGGTCCGCCCGCACGCAGCCTACTGGCTGCAGGAAGCCTGGGACCTATACGCGGATGTTGAGGACTGGTGGACGGGAACAGACCTCCGCGATGTCAGATACGGGGCCATCTCGGACCCATTCAAGAGAGAGCAGTACTTCCGACGCATTCAAAAGAAGGGCCTGCAAGAGCCGTGGACACCAAAACCAGCATACCGGGCCCTATTCGAGGCTTATGGGCGGGAGGCACTGGCGGAGAAAGAGGCTGAGGACCGTGGCGAGCCACGGCCCCCGGTGGACGAGAGGATGGGCAAGGACGATGTACTGCCCAAGACCTCGGAGGACCAGGAGCCGCCACGAATAATCTGGTTCTGATGCGAAGTCTGATTTTTCGCACGGCCAGTCGAGTCGATTTCAAGAGCCCGTTCACCAAGATTCTACCGCTCTGGAACACAACATATTTGGACGAAACCATCCAGGAACGGATACTCAATCCAGTGTCACATCACTTGTACAAAAACCGCAGACTCGTTGCTTTTGATATTTACGCCATGAAGGGAATGGGACTCATGTTATGGCGTTGTCTGGCTTCCATCATGCGTGGAGTTGGCGGTCTAGCCCTGGAATCTTATTCATTCACTCCGAAGATGGTACATAATTTTTCTTGCCGGCCATACACCGGATGGAAAGGAACGGGAGGCGGGAGGAAATGCGCTGGCATGCGCGCCGGAGAGAGAGGGCTTCATGTCCTTAGTGTATCACATCACACAAGACGCTCGCCGATTAGGGAACAACATCAGCAAGTACTCCATGTCATTTCGATCTTTCGGACGATTTGACTTCCTTTATTGCTTAGCTGTCTAGAGCAGCGAAGCGATATACAGGATATGTCTCAGGGGCGGGCTTGATGGATGTTCATGGGGGGAGTACATCAGCCCCCGAGCCCTTCTGTTGTTTCGCTGTCTGGGTCAGCGAGACTCGGCGAGTGGTTTTCAGTGGGCCAAGTGGTGGGCTATCGCTCCGTGTCGAAGCTGCTCTAGCTGTGACAATGAGAAGACTTTGGGCTATGAATATGGCTTGGGGTCGTTGTTGCTCAATAGCTGGAGCTCGCTTGACCGGTCACTGTATTTAGTATCCTAGATATGATTGTATAAAAGGAATAAGATGGCATACATAGCCTGACAGATGCTCTTCTATTATCTTGATAAATGGTCCTAAAAATAAAATACTATTAAATATATAATTTAATAGTTAAATAACTATTATTATAGTCTTAATTAGATACTTATTTTAAAAAATAATATTATTATGAGAAAACTAACTCTATTTTCTCATTTATTTATTTAAGGGAGATAAAAAATGAGGGCAGGAGGGTAGGAGGGAGGAGGAGGGAGGCGGAGGGAGGAGGAGGGAGGCGGAGGGAGGAGGAGGGAGGCGGAGGGAGGAGGAGGGGTGAGGTAGGTAGAATTATATCAGGGAGTCGGTGTAATGGCCAAAAACGTAATGTGACAATCATTCAGCTATAAATGCTGTAGTTGACCCAGCCCGCCAAGTCCAATGCTTCAGCCCAAAACTCCATGCTTCGCGTTGATAAAGCGGCAGAAGAAATAGCACGATCCCGAACGCCAAACATCACCTCCCATCACGCATCACGTCTTCTTGTCTTTCGCCGCGCCGGCAGTGCCCCCACTTTCCTTGCGCCCTGCCTCCTCAGCAGCACTGCGATCCATGTGGTCCCTAGCACGGGCGCGCTGCCGCTCCCACGCGACGATCCCCACATCGGGCCAGTTGATCTGTAGCCAGTCTGTGACCCTGTCGACATCCAGCACGTCCTTGCTGTCGCGCAGCTTGGGAGGTGCAACACCGTCGAAAGAATCGTCGTCGTCGACGATGATCTTCTGCAGCGCCGAGATCAGCACGCTGCGCCACTGCCTCTCGATCGCGACCAGCCTGGCGCCCTTGTCGCCGTCGCGATCACTGGGCTCTGGGAGGTAGGACTTGAGGTCTTTGGGGAGAAACGTCGCCTCCTTGATGATCGTGTTCTTGACCTTGATACGCTTCTCCTCCTTCTTCCAGTCGGTCAGCCTGGCGTCGTACTCGGCCTCCTTGCCAGGGAAGGTCTTAAATGCCTCCTTGCGGACTTCCTCGCGGACTTCCTCGCGGACGGTCTTCCAGGTGCGTTCCTCCGGATTGGGGACCAAGAAACGGCCTTTTGCGCGGCAGGCGGGTTTGAACTCGTCGACCCAGCGGGCAAAGACCGGGCGCTGTTCCTTCTGTGTTCCTTCCTTTTTCTTGTCCGAGGGCGGCTTTTTCTCCTTGTCGGACCCATCCTTGGCGTTGTCCTCAACGTCCTCGTCGCTAGGCCACAACATGAACCATCTGCAACTCGCAGCGCATTCGAACAGGTCGTTTAGAGAGCGGAACTCCTTATTCCAACCGCCGTTTGGCCATTTGAGCCCGAGGAAGGCGCTCGCTTGCTCCGGGTCGCTGGTCAGGAGCACACGGGCTTTCTTCCTGTTCTGCTCCTCAAATTCAGGAATGCGGATGTGCAGGCCAACTTCGTCAGCAGTGAGACCGAAGGGGCGGATGGTCTGGCCGATCATGTTCCAAAGGTCCCCATGGTTGTGCTTGCTGCGTCAATGTCAGCACATTGATTTTCACTTGCTGGCGATGCAGTGAAGGAGATAGGGTATGTTGGATGCTGCACCGATGAAAGGCAAGGAACACGTCACGACGAAGCCGTCAATTGACGCCTTGGCATAGGATGTTCAGCACTTACTATAGACGCCACTCCATCTCACTCTGGGTATCGCACAAGCGAACATCAACCTGGACATAGCGAGGAGTTGGTTCCGCCCCGAGCTCTCTCTTTTGCCCGGCCGGGTTCGAGGCAAACTGGAGAGGCCAATCGATAGCAAAGCTCATGCTGTCAAAGATGCGCTTCTTGCCCGGGCCGGTTGTATAAAACTGCATGCTGCGCTTAGCACCCAGGGACTTCGCAACCCGGTCCCAATCAGGATTTGTAAAATCGGCAGCTGTGGGAGGAAAGGGGACGCTCTTTCCCTCGAGGCACACAAGGATGTCCACATCGCCAAAAGTCTCTTTCTCCGGGGTCTCGATGGGGCTTGCGACGCGGGAGAACTTCAGCTCCTCGAGAGCAAGTTGGGCCTGTCGCTTGACGACGTCGTAGACGGTTGGGGGCATGCGAGGGATGTTGAGAGCGTCATCGCCCTTGGAGAAAACTTTACCACCCATGAGCGCCGAGTGCGTCGAGACAACAGATGCTTTCAGCCAAACGAATTTGGGATCCTGGTAATGGCCGTTGGGCAAGCAAATGATGAGGCTTTGCGAAGGTGCGACGATGGAAGAGCAGGAGTTGGGGTTTTCGGTGTGAGAAGTTGCGAAAATCGCGCTGAGAACAGAGCTAATTGATTGGTGGGAGTAAGCAATGTGAAGAAAGATGCTGAAAAGATGCTAAAGGGGAGGCAATCAGGGTGTTTAAATAATGGAAAAGGAAAATAATTACAAGACAGATGGTTGGACCTGTTTGTAAGTGGCCTTGTTAGGTTGGATTATGACTCTTTCGGTGGGGTTACAGCATGTGATAGCTAAATAAGTACTACTAGTATATACATTTATACTACTATAGAGTCCAGTATAAAGAAACCACATGCAGCTAGATACTAGATTGATAAATAAGTTTTTTTTTAAAGAATTATTATATTCCTAAAGTAAAAGATTACTTTATATTAATTATAAGTTTTAATTTTATTTTAAACTACTTATTTAAATAATATAAATATTATTTTAAATAATAATAGTATATAAATTAAATAAAAAATAAGAAAAAAAGAATAGAAAAAAGAGGATAGGAAAAAGAGGATAGGAAAAAGAGGATAGGAAAAAGAGGATAGGAAAAAGAGGATAGGAAAAAGAGGATAGGAAAAAGAGGATAGGAAAAGGAGGATAGGAAAAGGAGGAAGGCAAAAAAGCGGAAGGATCCTAAGTTAGAATCACACCCAGAGAGTTAGTTAATTACTTAAAAAGTGATGTGGTACTAACTTAGCAATGACATGCCGTAAAAGGAAGTAGCTTATCGGCCGTTTGTCACCTTGAACGTAATGCTAAAATGGTACAATTTGACAGTAGACATCAGCCCAAGCATATATCTGATGTGATCAGAAAGGTCTGCATGGTGGTTCAAGTGCAAACATAAGCATAGCCAACGCATTCAGTAAAGTACAAGCAAGAGAGTCAATCATCCTTGAACTTGGTTGTATTATGGGTCTCCTATGGTGTTTTCTCTTCCGATCCTATTTGTCTCACTTGCCTCGTCGCCGGATCTTCGGCTAGGTTTGAGTGCAGTAGTAGGAGTAAGACTGACTTGGCCCTTGCCAGCTTAGACCGAGCGTCCACACCCAATGCCCATATGTGGTGAGGTATGGTAGCTGCATTTCGGTCTCATATCACGCAACGTGGATTGGGTGTGAGCCTCGGCGGACATCCGATCTGTCTCGCGGCATGCATGTGCCTCATGTGATGTTCTTGGCATGTGGTGTAGATTCACGTCGCCGTCCGCCGCTCACTCGCCGTTGGCCTTGACACTGTATGGCTTGAGGTAGTCTGGGTTGTTCTCGATCTCCTCCTTGACCTAAGTAGAACAGTAAGCATGGAGTCCTGGTTTGCAAAAGACCTGGAGCGCAAACTTACGATATCCAAACCGCCCACCAGCTCCCCATCGATCCATAGTTGCGGGTACGTGGGCCAGTCTGCGAACTCCTTCAAGCCCTGCCGTACCTCGTCATCGGCCAGGATGTTAAAGAAGCCGTACTTGACCGAGTTCTCCCGCAGCAGCGCCACCATCTGCCTGGAGAAGCCGCACTGCGGCCCGCTGGGGGTGCCCTTCATGAACAGCATGACGGACGCCGCCTTGACCAGCTCCTCTAGCCGCTTGTTGAGCTCCTCCTTCGCCTTCGCCGGGTCCGTCTCCGCAGGCTCGTCAACCGTGGCCGTGGCCGTGGCGCCGGCCGAAGCCCCGTTGGTGCCGGTGGCCGCGGCGCCGGGCTTGCCGGCGTGCGCCTCGATGGCGTTGCGCACCTTGACGGCGCTGCTGCCGCTGACGGTCTCGAGGACCTTTGCATCCTTGGAGAGGACGAGGAAGGGGACAGCGGTGACGTCGTACTTCTCGCTGATGTCGGAGAGCTCCTCTGCGTTCAGGGAGACCCACGAGGTCGAGCCGTCGGCGGGGTATTCGGAGGCGAGGGTGCTGAGGACGGTGGCCATCTGGGCGCATGGCGCGGCCCACGGGGCGTGGAAGGAAACGATGAGCAGTGTGGTCGGTGGCAGGGACGCCAGGTGGGCGTCCCACTCGGAGTAGCTGGTGATCTCCTTGATCGTGGCCATGTTGGCGGTCTGGTCGTGGGCTTGGGCGAGCGAACCCGGAGTGGAAAGTCTGGGTTTGGCTGGTTGGCAGATTGAGAAGAGCTCGTAGGTAGGGTGCGACTAGTGCGAAGGGAAGAGGAAGGTTCCTGGAGGAACACGAGATATTACGCTTTCGTCGAGTTGGGCTGCTGCGTCAGTAGAGTTAGTCACTGGCGGTTGTCGAACGAAGCAGCTCCGATTCAGGTCGAGATGCCGCTGCAGTGTTTGCCCCGCCATCTTGGGTCAAGAGAGACTGATAAGCTCTGATTGGCCACATGGTTCTTGCGTCATGGCCTTATTGCTGTTGTAGACTAAATTGTTACGGCGCCGAGTGCTTGGGTAGCATCCAGTCTGGGGGTACATATGTTATGGATGAGTGGTCTACCGCCTACATGCCCAGGAATGGGAATCGTTGTAGTGAAGCAATTTTCTTGCGGCAGCATTTCGAGTGCACAATACACCATCCTCTGGACCCCGGATGGATGAGGGCGAGGGCGAGGGCGAGGTTGCTTGCTATGCGCTGGGGCGGGAACTCCCGCTGCTGTCTCTTGCGAGCTGCTGGTTCTTGAGCCGTTCTAGAAGGGCAGGGGTGATATGCACGATGGACCGATCTGCATCAGACCCTGGGGACAGGACGGTCGTACTGCAATCTTGTCATGTGTGGTGGCATGAGTCGACTTGGATCAGGGGCAGGACGGCAGGAAGGCTGGCAAGCTGGATGGGACAGCAACTGTTTTTTTGCGACTTCGTGCCCCTTGCGGTTGAGTGTCTCTCTGCTGCACCGGGGCAAAATCATGATGCTCCAAAAAGGATCTTCGCCAAGTACAAGAGGGGCCCGCAATGCACTCGCTTCTGCGCCGAGCCTGCGAGACCGACGGGTTGTGGTGGCTGTGTCGAGGAAAAAGAATGGGCACAGGCCAATGAAGGCTCGAGCAGCCGGCCAACCTGTGCCGGTCTGGGAGCGACGCGCAGCTCGACGAAGCACGAGTGTCTCGAGTGTCTCGAGTGTCAGAGTGCCCTGAGTGCCAGAGTGCCAGAGTGCCTGGCTTGCCTGGACGAGCACTGCCACCCCAGACCACCTGCACACCAACCAAATCTCTCTGCCCTCGACTCTCTGACTCCGTATTGTTTGCCTGTTTGCCTCTGAACTAGTACGCAGCTAAGTACCTAGCAAGGCCGACGTCGGCCAGCTTCACCCGCCCATGAGCCTCTCACACGCCTGCTGGCCTGCCGGCGTGTTTCCCGTGGCACCCTAATTCCAGACAGATTGCGCAACAGGGAGTGGCTATGCAGTAGCATTCTGCCGCAGCCATCACGCCCTGCACGCCAGCACGCCTGCACGCCTGCACGCTCGCGTCCAGTGGCAGGCTGGCAGGGCGGCTGATGCACATGCCTGGCTAGCACTGTACCGCGGCGAATGGACGGCGAGCAGAGCCACACCCGATGCGTGGTATGGGGGCACGGTGGTACTTACCCAGGTACTTGACCCACAAGCCAAGTGAGGTGCAGTGGTCAGGACGCCGTCTTAGCCGACCCAACCTATCGCCCAGTCGCCCAGCCAGTCGCCCCATTCACTGTCGGCCAGCTGTTTATCGACCTGCAGCACTCAGTATCAAGGCCCGGCCAGTAGTAGTAATAATAAGTACTCGGTAGTCCCTCAGTCCCTGGACTCATCAACCCAGTCCTGGGATGCTTACCCGCGCCCCACCTCATGTGCAGAGGTTCCCAGACATCATTTGACCTTGTGCCTTGCCAACGCTGATCCCGGTTCCTGGGGCAGTCGCAGAACTTAAAGCCTACCGACGCACCTCTCGTCGCCTCTTCCCTCCTCCCCTTCTCCTTGTCTGGCCTGGCTATTGAAGTTTCATTTCTCGGCACCTCCATTCAGCCCTACCACTGCATTTCTCCCTGCCAAGTCGAGACGAGCCCACTTCCAGGCTTTTTTCCTTCTCGACATCACCGCCCAACTGCTCGATTTTCGCCATACACTCTGCAGACCAGTCTACGACTCATCTCGCAATCTCGAGAAACCACCACAATGTCCGCCAACGATTACTATCAGGGCCCGCCTCAGCAGGGCTATGGCCCTCCCCAGCCGGGCTACGGTCCCCAGTACCCGCAACAGGTAAACAGACCCACAATGCTTTCATTCTGGCCTCACCGCGTCGAGCTGCCACCCCCTTGTTCAAGACGCTGACCGTCTCGCGAACAGGCCTACGGTCCCCCACAAGGCTACCAGCAGCCGCCTCCTATGCAGCAGCCGCAATACCAACAGCCACAACAGCAGCAGGACAGTGGCGGCGGTGGATGTCTGAAGGGCTTCTTCGCGGCGCTGTGCTGTTGCTGCTTGTGCGAATCGTGTTGTGATTGCGCCGAACTGTGTTGCTGATCGAGCTGACGGACGGATTGAGCGCATGCCTTTCACCATGGCGCTGCTGCGATGATGGGGTCCAAGACCAGGGGAAAATCATGGCGGATTGTTCGTCATGACTCCCGGAGTTTGGAAGCGTTGGGGATTCACTGCAGGGCGGAAGAGCAGTACATTCGACGTGACACACGCAATACACACAACACATACCACGCAACACAACGATTGACGGATATCATATGGGGCGATTGATTGTGGTCTGCTCTAGAGGCCAGGGTGCATTGTACAAATAATAATGAGTCTCGCTAGTTACTAGGGCGACTTGGGGAATCTGGACTTTTAAAGGGTCATTGACGCCCACTTCAAATTCAACTGCTTCTGCGCAGTCCACATCCTATACCACGCATTTGTTACCTGATTCATGTTTGTGACATGTCTTGTATAGCCGGTGTTGATGAGACCGCGATACAAACGCGGTGTCTGGAAAGCCAAAGCAGTCCGCTACATCGTATGCAAGGTGCTGTGTAGGACGGAGGGCAGTGCTTCTTCTGATCCTCAGCCATGTCGGGCGGGTTCGTGTGTAATTTCCAGAGGCAAACTTTCGTGATGATCAGGAGCTTAATCCTCCTGCAATTGAGAGGCGCGCATATCAAATTGCCCATCGCCATCTGCGTGATTGGGCATTTCCAAGTAGATCCGGATCTGTTCTGTCCGGGTACTGTGCTCGCCTGTGGTGGCTGGCCTTGGGTTTGGGGAAGCAGCCAGACTCACAGTGCGACATGACTGACGGTAACACAGCTGTGGTTGGCACTCGCACCAATGTCACACTGTATAGGCTATGACCTCAGCTGCAGCCCAACGGTGCCTTCCCCTTTCCCCGGTGGGCCCGCCCCTCAGCCATGTCAGTCAGTCCGTCAGTGAGTGAGTGAGTGACCACCCAGGCAGCTCCTGCCAGCCTGCCATGCCAGCCTGCTTGCCTGCGGACTAACTACCTCATCGTCTCTCTCGGTTGCTCAGCCCCTTCGGCATTGCGCATCTTTAATTACGACTCGGTCTGCGAACCAAGCAGTAACCCTTCCCTTGCACTCTACCATCATACAGGCAGACCTCAGCTTTTACCACCCCTCCTCCTGATGCCCTACGCTGCTTAGAACCGACGTCATGGCATCGCTCAACCTGTCCATCAACGGCCCCTCCATCAAGAGTAGCTACCAGGGGGTCGTCAACGGCCAGCTACCCAAGTCAGACTCCCCGACCTACGCCCAATGGGCCTTGTTCACGGTCCAGGCTCCCCTACTCAACGCCTTCCAAGATGGCGGCGCCAAGGAGAGCATTCTCAAGGTCGAAACCAAAGGGGGTGAGCTTCATCCCATCTCCCCTCCCCGAGACCCCCGTGCGCCCTCATCCTGCTGACAGGCACCTGCGCTCCTCAAGAGGGTGAGCTTGCCGACCTGATCGAAGACTTCAGCGAGGGCCGGATCCAATTCGCATTCGTAAAGGTCAAAGATCCCAACACCGCCCTGCCAAAGAATGTCCTCATTGCTTGGTGCGGGGGCGGCGTCCCCGAACGAACGAAAGGCTACTTCACCAGCCACACAGCCGCCGTCGCCAAAATCCTCCATGGCTACCACGTCCAGATTACCGCTCGTTCAGACAGCGATCTCGAACCCGCCGCCATTATACAGAAGGTCTCGGATGCTTCTGGCGCCAAGTACACCGCAGGTGGCTCCGCACCCATGCCCTCGGCGGCGCCCCCTCCGGTCGCCAAGAAGCCCGTCTTCACCCCCACAACGAGCACCGGAGGCTCCGTGAACCCCCTCGTGGCCGCACGCAACCGAAGAGATGACAATGTCGACGAGGATGGCTGGGGCGCCGATGCGCCACCAGTGACGAGGACAAAGCTGGAAAAGGTGGACTCAGCCTACAAGCCTACCAAGGTGAACATAGCAGACCTAGTTAAGAACCAGGAACCGGCCAGGTTCAATGGCTCTAGCCGACAAGACGACGCGCCTAGTGATGTCGTCAAGGGTGGATACCAGCCCGTTGGAAAGGTTGACATCGCTGCACTCCGAGCGCAAGCCAAAAACCAAGAAGATCTCCGGCCGACTCCCGTCAAGGGCTCGTACGAGCCCGTGGGCAAGGTCGACATTGCCGCCATCAGGTCCCGCGCACAGAAACCCGCCGAGTCGGCTGAAGAAGAGGCACCCCGCCCCTCAGTCTCGGAACGAACATCAGCCTTCAGCCAGCCAGCGCAGTCTGAACGCCTCACCACTCTACCAAAGCCCAAGGTTGCCAAGAAGTTTGGAGGAGCGAGCGCTTTCACCGGCACAAAAGCTCCCACTCCTGGTGGGCTGGGTTTCGGCGCACCTGCTGTCCCTGCGGCCGCTCCTGTCGGTGCTGCTAGTCGCACCTTCGCAGACCAGGGAGGCAAGACTCCAGCCCAGCTGTGGGCGGAGAAGAAGGCCCGAGAGAGAGGCGCTTCGGGCTCGGGCGCGGACCTGCCACCTCCAGCCACGTCCCCTGTGACTGCTCAGAAGAGCGGAGGCGAGTGGAAGAGTGGGTACAGTGGCAAAACCTGGGGTGCTGTCCAGACCGGAGCGTACGGCCGAGGCATCCCCGGACAGAAGACAGGTGACACTGTGGGATCGAACGAGCCGGAGCAACCCGCTTCTCCGTCTGGTGGTGTTTCTGCCCTCAAGGATCGATTCAAGGGAGCAGCACCTATGGGCGCTGCTGCGCCCGCAATCCCTCGGGCCGCTACGGGTGCCAGTGACAGCGCCCCGCCGCCGCCGCCCCCAGAGGCGAGCCGACCTTCGGGAGGATTCGCGTTGCCAGGCCTGCCCTCGCGACCTGCGGCGGATGAAGAGGAGGCTGAAGAGGAGCCGGAGCGGGAGACGTCGCCGATCCGAGTCGCTGCCCCCGTCCCACGTGTTCCTGAGCCGGAGATCGAACCAGCACCTCAGCAACTTCCATCGCGCCCTATACCTGTTCCCGAGGAAGTACCCCAAGAGCGGGATCTACCCGAGGAGCAGCCCGCTCACGACCTGGCCCGTGGGGCGGCAACTGCTGTCGCGGAAGAGGCCTTTGGTCACGATCAAGTACAAGAGACCCAAGCCGGCTCTTCCGGTGGCAAGCGCGCCATCATCGAGTACGACTACGAAAAGGCCGAGGAGAACGAACTCGAGCTCAGGGAAGGAGAATATGTGACAAACATCGATATGGTCGATGATGACTGGTGGATGGGTACGAACTCGAGGGGCGAGAGCGGCTTGTTCCCAAGCAACTACGTCACATTGGTCGAAGACGATGATGCCACGGCTGGAGCTGGGCAGGCTGCCGCGCCTCCCCCGCCCCCCGCTGCTGCTGCCGCTCCGGCCGAGCCCCAACCCGCAGCGGGCGGAGGTGCCGTCGCAACGGCCCTCTTTGATTACGAAGCAGCTGAGGACAATGGTATGTACAGACGCGAAAGCACTCTTGTGACTGGCCCTAACGGTTTTTACAGAATTGAGCTTTGCGGAAGGTGACAAGATCACAAACCTGGAGTTCCCAGACGACGACTGGTGGTTCGGTCACCTCGGGGCCAAGTCCGGGCTCTTCCCAGCCAACTATGTCGAGCTTGATGCTTAAAGTCTCGAGTAGTGGGTGCGTTTTGTGGTGGGGCGGTGATAGCAATCCAACTAGCCTAGAGAACAGAGAAGAATGAAGCGAAGAATGTGTCCAAACCCAGATTCCACCAAAAGCAAGCGGGTGAATGACTGCATTTGCCCGATCGAACGCTGGGTGCCACTTGGAAATCGTTGGTTTTGTCAAGTGGTGCTCAATAGTTGTTAGAATATGTATATTGATGTGTTAGTAAAATCTGGCCTGGCTTTCCGCGTCACCTCAATTAATAACAGGTTGTGTGATGTGATTGGCAAGAAAGTGGGCAACGCAACAACAGTCTCGAGAGCTGTTCGACTGGCCGAACGGGGACCGAGCGCCTTTCCCACGTCACTTGAGAAATGATTCAGAGACCAAATAATGCCTTTGTCTGTGACCATGGTGCAATGAGTTTCTGGCGGCTAAACCTGCGTGGGTAAATGCAATGGGGTCTCGGCCAGTCAGCCGAGGCCTGCTGTGACTTATACGGGTTCAGTCAGCGTCTGTCTCCCTTGCTCTTGAGTGGATTCCAGCTTGTCCGAGGACATCTGGAGTCGCTGTGGCGGGAGCGGAGAAATAGCGTGGACACGAGGGCACTTGCCGAGGCAGCTGACATCAGTCGAACTCAATCCTTCGCTTCGGTCCTATAGATCACCGCTGGGCAAACTTAGTACTTTTCAATGATTCCATCATCAACATATACTGCGAAGGGAAACACACAATGGCGGGATCGGACGACAGCGGCGAGGACCGCCCCCCCTTTGGAGACTACCAGTTGGAGCTTTACAGGAATGGTGTTCTGTTAGGAGAGCCCCCGGTGGTCACGACGAATCCAAACAGGCTCGAGGCTCAGGCTCGGAAGGCCATGGAGCCAGGCCCCTTCAACTATATCTACGGCGGGGCCGGGGAACAGGCGACGATGGAGGCAAACCGGTTGGCGTTCCGGCAGTGGAAGATCATCCCCCGCGTGCTGAGGCCAACCATACCTAGGGATCTCAGCGTGGAGCTGTTTGGCAAGAAATACCGTGGGTCCTCGGCCGCCGCCCCTCCCCGAATCTACAGGGACCCTGGATGCTGACAAGAAGGCTAGCCAGCCCCGTGGTGATGGCCCCGATCGGCGTCCAGGGAGCATACCACCAAGACCGCGAGCTGGGGGTGGCCGAGGCATGCGCAGAGCTAGGCGTGCCCTTCACGCTGAGCACGGCGAGCAACACCACCATCGAGGAGCTCGCGGACGCAGCGCGGGCGCGCGAGCCGCAGCCAGACCGGTGGTTCCAGCTGTACTGGCCGCAGGACGACCAGATCACGGCGTCGCTGCTGCGGCGGGCGCGGGCGGGCGGCTACTCGGTGCTGGTGGTGACGCTCGACACGTTCACGATGGCGTGGCGGCCGCTGGACCTGGACGCGGGGTTCCTGCCGTTCGTGCAGGGCAGCGGGGTCGAGGTGGGGCTGAGCGACCCGGCGTTCCGGCGCAAGTTCGCGGCGGCGCACGACGGCGAGACGCCCGAGGACAACCCGCTGCTGGCGGCGCAGGCGTGGACCGGCGAGGCGTTCTCGGGGCACGCGCACGCGTGGGAGGACCTGGCGCTGCTGCGGCGGCACTGGGACGGGCCGATCGTGCTCAAGGGGATCCTGAGCGCCGAGGACGCGCGCACGGCGGCGCGGCACGGGGTGGACGGGATCGTGGTGTCGAACCACGGCGGGCGGCAGCTGGACGGGGCGGTGCCGGCGCTCGAGGTGCTGCCCGAGATCGTCGACGCGGTCGGCGGGGAGGTCACGGTGCTGTTCGACTCGGGCATCCGCACCGGCGCCGACGTCGTCAAGGCGCTCTGCCTGGGCGCCAGGGCGGTGCTGGTGGGCCGGCCGGTCATGTACGGGCTGGGCATCGCGGGCAAGGAGGGCGCCAGGCATGTGCTCGCCGGGCTGCTGGCCGAGCTGGACCAGACGCTGGGCCTGTGCTGCGTGAGGAGCGTGGCAGAGCTCAACAGGGGCATGCTGAGGAGGCTGGCCTATGGCGGCGACGTGAAGTCGTCTCTGTGAGTAGTCTACAGATACTGTTGATAGATGAGGCACGTACCTCCGTACCTCCGTACCTCTGTACCGTGCACGAGTCCGTCCCGTCTTTAGCCCCTCTGCGGGCACGCCAGATGCCCCACCATACCTTGCCGCGGTTCGTCACTCCGAGGCGGGAAGTGCGGGCAGGTACGTACCCAGGTGCCCAGCCCGTAGCCCGGCAGGTGGTCTAAGGGACTGTAGTCGACACTACATTATTATTGACGCGTTTCCCTTTTCCCACATGCATCATCGTCACAGCCTCTCGTGGACAGCCTTCCCCTTCCTCCGCCGTGCATCACCGCCAGGCATTGATTGACCCGACCAAGTACAGTGCCCCCACGTGTCGGTTTTGGTCTGGGGCTTCGTTCTTGTCAACCGAAGCCTTTGTCCAAGGTCCTCTTGGAGCTGGCTGTTCCAACAGTTTTAACATCCACTCCACCCTGCGTCACCGACCCGAACCAGACCAGAGCCTGATCCTGATTTTGGACACAATCAGTTCTCCCCTCCTACCATCATCCAAGAACTTGGGCAGGTTTCGCTTTTGCAAACATGCGTCTTCATCGTCCTTGACCCTCTGCACCACATCATCGATCCCTTTGGTCCCCCGAGGCCGTCTTGTGCAAGACCTGGTCCAACATCTGCTTTCCGAGCGGGCAGCTTGATTGACCGTCTTGCGAAGCCTCCCACTGCGACAACGGCCTGGACCGTTGTCGCGTCTTGCCCTGCTTCATCCCTCGTCCAATATCCCCAGTCCATACCGTTCAGTGCTTGACAAGTGTTGCTGGGCTGTTTCTCCTTCCTGCCGTCTGATGAGCTGCTTCCCGGCAGCTCGTCTGGCCCAACCCTCTCCCTTTTCTGTTTCGTTTGGAGCACAGGTGCGGCCATTGTGATCCCGACGCAATGGCTGAAGGCAGTCGGTATCCCGCGGCAGTCGACGTCGCCGCTGCTGATCCCGACGCTTCCGCGACTGACTTCCTCCCGCTGGATGATAGCGACAGCAGCAACTCCCAGCCGTCGCCGATGCAGGGCCCGGACGGCAATGGCAATGGCAATGGCCATGACTCCCCGTCCGATGTGTCCATGGAGGCCCAGTCCGAAGATGAAGACGACGCGATCATCCCAACACCTCATACACATACGGTCCTCACTGATGCCGCTGTCTCCACGACCTCCCAACCCGTGCTCGATAGCCAGCCGGCCGGGAGTGTGTCCAAGAAACGCAAGTCCCCAGAGGATACCTCGCAGCCCGAAACTAGCCCCAACACCTTGGATTCGGTTAAAAAGTTGAGGTTGGAGCAGTCTGAGGAAGATTCACAAGGTGACCAACGCTCTGGCTCCGTGGCTGATAGGTCCGCTCTGCCCGCCGAGATCTGGCATCGCATCTTCACTTTCTGTCCTCCTAGAATTCTAGGAAGACTACTCTGTGTCAACCGCCTGTTCAACGTGTATCTTGATTCTTCGTCCAAGATACGCTGCGATCGGCCCAAGTCACCTCCCCGCAGCGCTGTCTCTCCTTTGCAGCCTACTGCGATATGGCAGGCCTCAAGACGCCGTTTCTGGCCCAGCATGCCCAGTCCTCTGCAAGACAAGACTGAGGTCGCCATGTGGCAGTTGTCTGTCCCTACCACATGCCAACATTGCCGTAAGCAAGGTACAGTGCACCAAAAGGACTTGAAGGACTTGCCCGATCCATGGCAGTCCGGCCCGGGAAACGACGGCGTTGCCATCGTTTGGGCATTCGCAACTCGATCCTGTGGCGCTTGTCTCCTGAAAGAGTCAATCAAGGTTTGTGGATATATGCATTGGTCGACCATATGCAACGCCTCCTCTCTAACTAACGTGGCCATAGGAGATCGATATCCTGCTGTCATCGTCTTTTCCCAGCACCCTGGCCGCAGCTCTACCCTTCGTATTCGTCACGCAGGAGCTGAATGTCATCCCGCCAGCCACGGTCGAACGGGCTCAAACACCACCGAGCACCTCGCTAACTAAAATCTTTTGGTCTGAGCATGTTGAGGCTTTGAAGCAAGAATTCCTCAGTGTGAAAGCTCTGGGCGCTGCTACCGTAGAGGAATGGTTGAAAGGTCTAGAAGGCCGTGGCCACGAACGCCGCAGCGACGCCCTTAGGTGGGAGAACTGGGCTGGCTCTGGTGGATTGACCCAGATGAGAAATATCTTATATCCGGGCTACCGACCTTGGGCGCCTGTCACTCTGCGCGCAGCTGCCGGCCCCAAGACGACAGCAGGCCATGGATCCATGGTTCAGATCCCCGGGCTAAACTCCGCTGGCAGTCACAGCCGCACAGCGACCCCCTCGATAAGCTCAAGTCAACGGAACGGCATCACCCCAGATCCCTTCCGTCGCTCCTCAACTGGGACTGCCTCGTCGTTTCCGCCAGGCCGCCCTGAGAGGACAAAGGAGGAAGTTGCCGAGCTCAAGGCTGCTCGGAAAGCCGAGATAGAGCGACGAGCGCTCGCGCTTGATCCGCCTTTGGAGCCGAGCGTCCTGGCTCACATACCTTCCTTTCAAGCTGCTCTCCAGATCATCACACCGTTGGATGAGCAAGCGTGGGAGCTGCTCAAGTCGCGCCTTCTAGCTCAGAGAGCTGAGGCCGAGCAGAGGGAGAAGGAAAATTCTGCTCAGGCGCTGCGGCAACAGGAAATTGATGACAAGCGTAACCTCGCCGCCGCCGCCAACAAGGAAGCTCGAGAAGCCGTGGACGCTGACTGGGACGAAGTCCAGGCACCAGTGCGAGCGCGCATCGCCGGCTTTGCTGATGAGATTATCCGTGATGGCTGGGAGAACGGTGACAAGGTCGACAAGCCCAGCTGTTCCAAGTTCGCGGTGGAGGTTTTGACCTACATTCGCAAGCGCTTCTATGCGGAAGTCGCCAAGGACGCAGCAGCAGCTCGAGCATCCGGGGCCACGCCTGTTATCGACCCACCGCAAGGCCCGTTTACTCAGAAGTTGACGCTGGAGAACATGAAGTGGATTTTCGACATGAAGATCAAACCACACACTGAACGACATCGGAAGGAAATCTTCCTCTGCAACGGTTGTGAGGTCACCGTGAGGTACTATGGCTTCGAAGGCGTCATCCAGCACTATGCTGCCAAGCACACGACATCTTTGAGCATCGGAAACGTAGTCGTGCATTGGAGAGCGGAGTGGCCAGAGCAACCACCATTCACCTCAGAGCCAAGGACTGCGAAGAATAACTTTTATCAAGGCCAGCAACACCCCGCCCACAATGCGTACCATCACGGTCTACCAGCAGCTCCTTCTCAGCCATTCCAAACCCACCCGAAACCTCCAGCACCGGTCTATGGAACAGCTCCGCCCTACAGTGAAGGCTATGGACAGAGCTCGCACACCTCTTATCCAGCCCAGGGCTATGGGACACAACCCTACCCTGCCCCAGATGTATACCAGCCTCAACCTTATCCTCCTGCTCCAGGGAACCCGCCAGGCTTTTCGGGTCCTCCTCCTGCGCCCCCAGGCCCGCCAGGGCTCCAAGCACCGCCTGCACCCTACAATTACAATTTTGGGGCGTACCAGGCCAATGGACAGATTAACTATCAAGCAGTCCAAACGTCGACATTTTCTCCACAGCATCGGGCCCAGCTAGAGGACATGGCGCGCATGGCCCGGGAACTCTGGAATGCAACTTCCAATATGAAGGATACCCTGTCGATTGTCAGGGTCCAAGTCGTGATCCATCATCTTGCAAAGCGCTTCCACGCAAGATTTGGTCTTCCATTGCCTCTGGCGACTTTCATCGAAGGCTTGTCCGACCACAAGGATATGAGACCGGTTCGTAACGTCAACGGTTTGGTATGCAGGGTCTGCCATCAGGGCGTAGGTGGCTATGTCGCCTCTGAGCAAGAACGCAGGTCATATTCCCTGCCACAGCTGACGGCCCATTTCCAAAGCAAGCATGTGGAACCTTTTGTGCAAATGGGCCAATATGGCCACCCACCTGAGTGGACGGTCGACATGGTGTTGTTGCCAGAACCCACAGCGGTTACCAACCTACGCTCGGCTGTGAGCATGGATAGCCAGAAGTTCCACCTGGTGAACGAGGCGGTTCCACATCTCTTGGGACCAGTCAACATGCCGGATCCCGTACCAAACGTGGCGCAAGCCTACCCGAGCCAGACTGAACATCGTCAAGGTTACCAGAACGCGCCTCCGAGTGATCATGCCGCATACTACGGACATGCTCAGGCAAGCGGCTCCTCAGAAAACGGCGGCGCAGGCTTGTATCAGCATGCGCCAGCGCCTACTACACAGTATCCCCACCAGCCACCTGGTACTTATGACCATGGCGTGTCTTCTCTAGTCGGAGTCAACTCGCTTGGTCCTAATGGTCCAGCCCTCCCAGAACCCCCGGCTCCCGTCGCACAACCTGTGCCTGTACCTGTGCCTGTGCATGCGGCTGCAGCTGTACACACGGCGCTGGGTCGAGAAAATGAGCGGCGTTCATCTCAAGGCTTCCGCCAACGCGAGCAGAATGCTCGTCAAAATAAGAAGAAGAATAGGAAGGGTGCCCAAGGTAATGATGGAGATCTATTGAAACGGAATGAGGAGGAGGAAAAAATGGCCGAAGAAGAAGCGGAGCGTGAAGGGGATGCTATTCGAGCAATGTGGGCAGCTGATAGGGCCCAAACTGCCAGGCGAAGTGCCATTCCAGAGGGCGACAAGGTCGAGAAGCCGGCGACAGAGAACACACCCTCCCGCCGTAACACACCCGGCAATGCCTCAGCTCACAATCCTCCCCAGGCCAAAGGATCCCAGCGCAACGCTCACGGTGGCAGCGCTCAACGGCCCAAACATGGCTCGAAACCAGGCACGCCTCAGCAGCGCCAGCGAGTCTATTCTAGACCTCGAGACTCACCGAGCACAGACGCAGCATCTCCCCGTGCTGGCTCAGTTGCGCCTAACCCAAGGGACGCAGCCTATCGTGGCCATCAGCATCGGCTCTCCAACGTCATATATATGGATGGTAACCGCGATGAGCCGGAGGACTATGGACAGTACAAGGAACCGCCCGTCCGGGATGTTCAACCTCGCAGATCCCGTTCCCCGGTCTACACGAACTACCGCCCACCTCCAGCACAGCAATATCGCCAGAGGAGCCCAGCTCGTCCAGAGCACGAATACCAACACATGCCTCCAGCGCCTCCCAGGGACGATCCTCGCTATGACAGACCTCCGCCACGTGATGATTACGACTATCGCGGATATCCCGAGGGGCCAATTCCAAGGCAACCTCCCCAAGAATATGTCGAAATCGAGGTTATCGAATACCGAAGACCGGACGGGACCACGTGGATCGAGGAGCGCCCTCTGCGCCGCATCCCCAACCCCGAAGCTGAAAGGTATTATCGCGACGTGCCACCACCTGCAGCACCCTATGATCGTGGGGACCCTTATGCCCCCGGGCCCCCACGGCGTGAACAGCTCCCACCTCCGCCTGCACAGATGCTCGGGGACCCGTACCGCCCACCATACGAGAGGGGATATTCTCGCGCGCCTGAGGGTCCTCCTCCGCCCCAGCCTGCCGCCGCAGACAGCTATGACCCCCGGCATCCTTCTGACGCGGCCCCAAGGCACTTCCAGCCCCCATCTCGGGTCCCGCCCCAAGGCCCCCCGCCGCCGCCGCGGAATGATGCGGCTTTCTACGAAGAGGAGTATGACCCCCGCTATCCAGCTGGGGTGCCTCCGCCCGCGAGTGCTCCAATCCCCACTGGTTCGAGACTGGCCAGGTATCAATAATGTCGATGGCGCTATGTAAGGTGGCGGGTCTGCGTCCTGCGTTGACCCCCCGGGAGAAGTGTATGTGAAACTTGGCGGGAATATAGTGTAGCTAAAAACAAAATGAATTCATCAAGTCTGACCTAAAGCCCTGAATAGTTATATGCCTCTTTATATGCATTAGTACACTACGTAGTAGGTAAATCAACATGTCCGAAGCCAAACTAGGTTTGACCTTACAATCATCTCAGAAGTTAGGGTCAGCTGGCTCAGACACGGGTAACATCAGTCTCACGGTATTGTCTTAAGAGACGAGTCAACTGGACAGAGGTGTGCTGCGATCTCATAATTGCTTCAAAGCACGTCTTGTTGCTCGAACGCGTGAATCTTGAAAAGACAAAAAAGTCGTCCCAGTCCCGTGTCTGCCTGCCTGCCTGCCTGTTCTATATACAGACGACCTCCCCCCCTCCTGTGTAGGCGGTGTTTTCCTCTGCGCGAACAGATGCTGTGTGGTGTGGTGTGGTGTGGTTTGTGTAGTGTGGAGTTGGTTGTTGTTATGTGGTCCCGCCCAGTTCATGAATGGGCGGGCGGGTGAAGATTGGATGGATGGGTTATGAGTGTGATGGGAGTAGAGTACATAGAAGTACAATTGACACCAGTTTCCGTCTTTCCATGACCTGACCTGCCTTCATCTATCATCATCTGTTCGTCTCTTCGTTCCGTTTCGCCTCGAGGGTGCGTGCGGGCAGCTCTCATCCCTTGGCTGCCCCCTGGGCCCTCCTTCTTTTTTCTTCTCTTCTTTCTGCGCTGCCCTTGTCACTCTGGCCTCTACACCACCTCGCCGATGATCTTGGCCGCCTCCCTATAGGTCTGCAGCAGCTTCTCGCACTTCTCGCGCTCCTTCTTGACGCCGTCGTCCTCGTACAGGAGCTCCTCGAACATCGACTCCTTGTACAGCTCGCTGACGAGGCGGTTCTGGACCTCGTCGCGGCAGTGGTTGACCAGCAGGTGCATGATGGCCTTGGGGACCTGGTCGGCGATCGACTCACGGACTATGTTGAAGTACGACGAGATCAGGGCCCGGATGAGCTCCGTCTCCATCTGCTCGCGCTCCGTCATGGCAGGCTCGCCGGTAGCACCCTGTTGAGCTTGGTTAGCACCATGACATGGCGTGATGCCCGGGGTGAAGGGGTTCCAATTCGACCATACATCATTCGCGCTGGGATCGCTGGGAGGACTCACAAAGTCTGCACCACGGGGCACGGATGAGCCAAAGACGAAGTCATCATCGTGGGAGACGGGTGCGGCGGTTTGAATGGGAGAGCGTAGCACGGGCTCCTGGTGCCTGAAGCTCTGGCTGATGGACGGCTCTGAGCCCTGGCTTACGTGCCGTCCAATGTTTGCGTTGGGCGCCGGTGGCGGGAATGCTGGTGGCATGCCATCCTTTCCAAAGAAGTAGTTCAGGAAAGAATCCTTCGCACCGCCAGCAGCTTGAGAGTTTTGCATCATGGGAGAAGCGGAGCGCGCTCCGTTCAGCGCGGCCGTGAGACCGCCGGCGCCGTTTTCCCTCACTGCAGGTGACATGCTGCGCGCACCCTTGCCCTGAGCCTTGCGGATAGACGCATGCTCCGCCTTTTCGGTGCCGGCATGATCATCTTCCTCGGCCTCCTCCGTGCCATTCGCCCCAAGCTCTTTCGCGCGTCTTCTTTCCCTTCGCTCGCGCTCCTCCTGAATGAGGCGCTTGCGTTCTCTCTCCTGCTTGGCACTGACTACGTTGCTCATGGCGTTGGCAGCACCAAGGAAATTTGGGTGGTTTGTGTTGATGTAAGCGCGCTGTATCGAGATCAGGGACTCGACGTAGCCGGACGCAGGTCCCAACCGTTCTCGCAGAAGGTCCGATACAACTTCAATGAGCTTGGCTTGTAACCTCGGGAAACGCGACAGTTCAATGTTCCCACACGTATGGCAAATCTTGATAAGCTCCTCATAGACAAGCTCAACGCAACGTTGGCTTGGAACCTCCAATAGCTTGATCTGTGGCTTCACGAGAAGATCAAATGCCATCTCAGGAACAAACAAGCTCGGCCGAGGACCAGTCGAGTTCCTGATTGCTGTGCGGATGTCGGACGCAGAAAGGTTGGAGGTCGGGTCGATCGTGTCTAACGAGCTACCAAACACGGAGTTGAAAATGTAGTATATCCTGGCGCCTCCGCACAGCTCCTTGGTGGAAATCTCTGTCGAGGTACCGTCAATCGATGACATAAATGAGGCGGCAAAGCGTGTCATGAGTTGCAGAATCAGAGAACCCCGGTGCTCCCTGCCGCTGAACTGGTTGTTACCGTAGCTCGCGAGTTCTTGCTGGGTCTGCCCCATTAGTGTGTTCAGCCGAGCCTTGATATCAGGCAGGCGATCCCTGATGTGTCCCATCAAAGTAGTGTTCAAGGTCCTGGCCAGGAATCGTGTGCCGCACTTCATGGCGATATTCCTGTAGGCTGGGTGCAGCTTGAAGAAGCTCTCCTCGTCCTTCAGGGCCTCTTCCATCGGCTTGTTACCCTGAATATCCTGCTGCGATCGGTTGACGACACCGATCCACCCCAGCTTCAAGGGGTAGACCCGTCCGGACAGGATGTCCAGGGCATTGGTGCCATGGTCCATGAGATCCACCTTGGTCAGAACACCAATAGTCCTCCGACCCAGGGGGTCGACATGGCGGGCAAGCTTGAGAGCCTCCGAGTTTACAATATCGACGTTGGCTGGAGAGACGGCAAGGATGATACTATTTGGCTTTGCGATGAACTCGGAGATGAGGTTGCGAGTCTGCTTTTCGATGTCGGGGGGCTGATCACCAATAGGAACCTACGCAGAGGCAATTAGCTTAGCACCGAATCCGTTTAGTACGCGCAAGCACACCTACTTTTGTGAGACCTGGGAGATCGACCAGGGTGAGGTTTAGAACGTGTGGAGAATAGATCTTTAGATTGATGGGCTGGCGGGTGATGCCCTTGTTGTTGCCGGCGACGCGGGCTGTCTCATTCTCGATCTCGCGCTTGACGTCGCCAAAGTCAGTGTAGCGCCTGTTGGGGATATGGTTGAACTCGGCCCATTCGCCAGGGCGCGCAACATTTGCATTGTACTGGGAAGGGTGCGCAGGGTTTTGCGAGATGTCGGCGGAGTCGTCAGGGACGTTGATGAGCTGGAGGATTAACGGCCGACGTGTGACGATGCCGCTGCCGCGGGGCAGAAAGTCGCGGCCAACAATGTTCTCGAGGACAGACGACTTTCCGGCAGACTGAGAGCCAACAACGACCTGCAGGATGGTGGTTAGCCTTTTGGGTGGGTAAAGATATTGCTGCAGGTCAGGCGTACAATCTGGGGCAGGTCGAGGGAGTCGTTTCCGATTGTGTTGAAGACCAGGTCCTGGAGCTTGTTGACCGTGGACAAGAGGTCGTCTCCGAGTGCAGCCATTGTAGCTCGTTTGTTGTTGAGCAGGGAGAGCAGTAGGGGCGCGGAGCTTGGACGAGTCAATCACCAGGACTCGGAGGAGCAGTGACAAGGCGTCGAGGTGAGTCCGACAGGCAGGGAGAGGGCTCGATAGCGCGGTGCCGGGGCAAAATCTGCGACCAAAGCGCCCGACTCCTTGAGGCAACAAGAGCCGCTTTCGAAACAGACGAGGACAGCTCTGGGGACAGCAGGATGGACAGGGCACGCTGGACAGGAAACAGGAGGTGGTGAAGCAGCCACCGGGATCAGAAATGCATGCTGTTGTTTTCCCTTTTTCGCCGCGGTTGCGAGTACAGATTGCTGGACAAATTTTGGAGCGTGGTGGAGGGGAGCCGGGTTGAATACAATGTGTCTGTCTGCCCGTCGCGTCTCCGTCATTTTCCAACTTCATGCACGGCATTGCCCCCTGCCTCTGCTTCCGCCAGCACAGCACCGGTCCCCACCTGCATGGGCAGTTGGCCTGTTAGCTTGGCTGCCTCAGGCAATCGAGCACCTGTCGTGTGCCGCCCAGGTACCTGGCAGACCGTTCACGTACCCTGCAAGCCCCAGTACCCGGCGTGTGGTGCGCGTCCCAACGGGTACCCCAGGCGGGCCAGGCTTACTATGTATTAGTCGACTAGACCACATAGTAGCTTCCCGCCACAGCTTCCGTCTGCGATCCATGCCCCATCACATGCCTCGCCGCACAAGCACCTGCTGTGCATACAGCCAGTAAGCAAGTCGCACCCAGGTCAGCAAGGCACAGATGCGGACGAACTGTTGTCGGTGATCTCAGCGATAAGACGGCCCTGGTTCAGCCCGGATCGGATATACGACGTTTGCTCGCCTCTGGCTTCGTCAGAGAAGGATCTTTCATCATGAGTGGTTACGGCCCTGGCGGAGGCCAGATGTACACCAAGCCTGTACCGTACGACTTTCTTTCTTTCCTTCTTTCCCAGGGGCACCTCTCCTTCTCAAGCCGATGCTAACGGCATGGCAGACCACAGAGAGGCAGCTTCCCACTTGACCACGATGGTATGTAGTGTGCACATGCCCGCCCTTACTGCATGCTGCAATATCAGCCCAGCTGACCCGAGTTTGATCTGATTCGCCCACCAGGCGAGTGCAAACATGTCATGAAAAGTTATCTGGCATGCATCAAGAAGGTCAAGGGCGTCAATGAGAACCAGTGTCGGGAGCTTGCGAAGGCATATCTCTCATGTCGCATGGACCGGTAAGTACCAACGTGCATCCCTCCCAAAGGGCTCAGACCTGGCCAAGCAATCCTGCGTCTAACATGCCATGTCATCATAGTGATCTGATGGCGAAGGACGATTTCAAGAATCTTGGCTTCCAAAATGCTGCCGAGGATGCTGCCTCAAGCAAGGCAGCCGGTGGAAGCGACACTCAAGCTAAGCCGGCGTAGCACGACGGCTGCCCTGGGAGACCACGAGCTTCGGGAGCCTCTTTGCACGTGTGTCCGAGGCGCACTCCAGCTTGGTGATCTCATGCAGACTTAAATCACCATCCTCTGCGCATTACAACTGTGCCGTGGCTGGTACTAGCGGCTCTCCTGCCATTCTACGGCGTTGGTCTCGGGCGCGCAGCTGGCGAGGCTACTATGCAGGCACCACAATTATGATAAGAATGTGCAAGGAAAGTACCTACCTAGGTAGTGACGCACAAGAGCACAGGAACTGCCTTCGGCCTGACGCTCTTTCCTTCGTTAGGGTCACCCTTGTCAACAATAAAGGTCGTCTACGAGCCGCTCGGCTTCGCTGAGACTTAAGCACCACCAAACATACTTCTGTCTCACCATCATTCACACCAACAGTGTCTCCCCGTTCTAATATTGTCTTCTGAACCTCTGGCCTTCGGGTTCATGGTCTTCTCGGGTCGTTGTGAAGAACCAGTTTCTAGCGCACTGGCAATGGCTCCTTCCATCCTCGCCAATCTGCAACACTATGCAGCATCTTGGAGCCTCCTGAAAGTTGGCGAAGCCATCCTAGTTGGGAGTCTATGGGCTTACGCCGTTGTCATGGTCTAGGCGTTCGTCTGGCTGGCCATACACCCCAACCAAATAGGAGGGATGTACGAACCTCCACGCCAATACATACCGCTTTTATTTTGGATTTTCTCATTCCCACCTTACTTCGTCTTTGACCTCTTGAGGCAGAGACATCATGGCCGGATGGACCTTGACCAGAGAGAGCATGCACCAAAGAACCGTGGGCGGAGGAACCTTGGGCGGAGGGACCGTGAACGGAGGGCGCTAGATCTGTGGGCACCTGAACATCAGGAGCCAGGGCATCAGGAGCCAGGGCATCAGGAACCGGAACAAGAGGGCTTTCAATGGGGCCATCTTGTTGATCCCTTTCTGGCTCCCTGGCAAATGATGATTCGCCGTCGCCGACACAACAATGAGCGCGAGCAGGAGGAACCAGAACAAGACGAGCCTGGACAGGTGCAGCTTGAAGCGCCGGAGTTTGTACCGAGGGATCCTGACCTTGATTGGTGGAACAGGATCATTCGCTATTTTGAGGACAATAGGGAGATCCCCATGATGCAACACCAATTGATTCCGGGGCCCGCAGACGGCGAGGCCGCCCCTGCCGCCTAAGTGTCAACCGTTGAATTACAAACACCAAGGTTCACAGGGAGGTGTCGGATATGGAGGCACTCACTGTCGAACAAAAGCGTCGCCTTTGTGAGGATATTGTTATGAATTGGTCTGGTTGAGCACCGGGCACTTGCGGGGAACATTTGGAATGAGCCACAGGCTCCAGGTGCCTACACCACCAGCGTCAAGCAGCGATTGCAGGTATTTTAGCAATAAGTACGAGCATCAACCTCATCACACGCAATGGGTCGATCATATCCCCGGATCTTAGATTCTAGGTGATCTCAATTTCTCTGTGGTGCCATGCATAGTCTTGTACATGGCCACAGAAACACCACCACATGCACACCTTCAAAACGCTTGTCTGAATGAAGCCCCTACATTAATTGTCATTTACCTAGTCCATTATCCTCATACCACAGGGGCTTTCCAGTTGAAATTTTACACGGAGTCACTCTAGAATCATTATTCTACAAGATGCACTAAAAGGAGGTTGAATGTTGGAGGGGGGGGGGTTGCTCATTTGATCTATGGTATCAGATACCTAGATAGGTGTTCGTGCTGTCGCCGCGCACCCGAGGAAAGCCTACGGGTAGGCTTGCTCTTTCCCATGGACCATGACGGGTAATTTGGGCAGAAATCAATGACACAACTCTCACATCAAACCCATATTCTATGAGTTCCAAGATTCCTATCATTACCCGCAAAATCAGAGGGTGTAGTCTGGCTGCTTTCCTTTCAAGTCGGCTATATGCTCCACTTGCAAATGCATCTTCCTGATTTAGCGCCCACCAGCCACATCACCTGTAGGATTGATTTGCAAATGAAGCCAGCTGGCCGGCTTTTCGAACTGCAGTCAACAGCGACATCGCAAGTTCTCAGGGCAATACCCTACTCTACATAAGTACGAGCATTGATTTCAGTAACCTTGTCCTCTGACATAAACCTGCAGGCAAGCCCTCAACCACTGTATTCAATGAGGTCGTCCGTGTCGGCGATCTTGTTCCCTCACACAGGATGCAGTCCGCCGTAAGGTCAAGCCTGCGTTCAGCAAGCAGATCGAGGTATCATATGCATCATGGCCACGGCCTCACAACCACACGCCGACTCTTTGGCTCCTCAAGCTGCCGCCAAAACTACGCCGCCACGCTGGGAAATCTCCGCATTGGCTCCAAGACACGCGTTATCTTCCAGGGCTTCACAGGCCGCCAGGCCACCGCCAATGCTCAGGAATCCATCGCATGGGGCACCAACATCGTGGGTGGCGTGACGCCGGGCAAGGAGAGCGAGCACCTCGGGCTTCCCGTCCTGCCGTCGGTCCGGAGGGCCATGGAGGAGCTCAGGCCCGACGCCACGGGGATCTACGTCCCCGCGTCCATGGCGACGCCGGCCATCGAGGAGGCCATCGAGGCCGAGGTCCCCCTCATCGTGGCCGTGGCGGAACATATTCCACTGCACGACATGCTGAGGATCCACAGCATGCTCAAGACACAGAGCAAGTCGAGGCTGGTGGGGCCCAACTCGCCGGGCATCATCTCGAGCGCCAAGGGGGAGAGATGCAGGATCGGGTTCCAGCCGCTGCCTTGCTTCAGCGATGGCTGTGTTGGAATAGCTGCCAAGTCGGGGACGCTGTCCTACGAGGCTGTGGCCTCCACGACGAGGGCGGGTCTGGGCCAGAGTCTCTGCATTGGCGTGGGAGGGGATATTCTGCCAGGGACGGACCTTGTGGAGGCCCTGCAGGTGCTGGAGCACGATCCTAACACCAAGGGCATCGCGCTCATCGGGGAGATCGGCGGAGACGGTGAGATCCTCGCTGCGCAGTGGATTACAGACTATCACGCCAGGACGCCGGTGGCCCAGAGAAAGCCCATTGTGGCTCTCGTCGCGGGACAGCTGGCGCCTCTGGACCGAGTGATGGGCCACGCTGGCGCGTTTTGGTCGCCCGGTGAGCCGTCACCCAAGCACAAGGTCGCAGCTCTTGAAGGAGCTGGAGTGACGATTGTGAATCATCCTGCAAAGATCGGGGTGGCGCTGAGGAGGCTCATGGAGGGTGAGGGTGTGCAACCCCCCGCGGGTGAGATCGAGGACGGGGCTGTTTTCAAGTCCGCGGATGATTTTACCATGGCAGTATCAGGAGGCTCTCCTCCGCAGCAGAGGCGTGGTCTACATACTTCCGCCCGGAGGCCCTCCGGGAACTCCATGCCCAGCAGGTCACGCCTCAAGACGTCGTCACAGCAGACTCGGGGCCTCCATCTCGACACCAAAGCCAGCCATCAGCTCCTCAAGGAAGCCCGACTCGGCGTAGACCTTCATTTCCACCACCAGCCCACCCGCTACCTTGGCCTCGGCATCGACCGAGCCACCCGGTCACAGTGTCTGATGACAGGAATCCATATATACCCAAAGAGCAAATACCAGCCGTCCCGCTATGACAAGATCATGCTGCCTCCCAGCGCGGCGGACGTCCTGGCCCTGGATGGCACCGAGCTGTGGGACGAGATCGTGGCAACGCTGATGGCCAAGTTGAAGCTGAACGAACCAGGCCAGCCCGTGTCGGTTGCCACCCGCCTGGGCAATCTGCTGCGGGACCTGGCCCGCGTCTTCCGGGACAAGGAGGCGAAGCGCGTGGGGTTGCAGTTCGGCGTGCGCAACGTGCGAGGCCGAGAACCAAAGACCGTGTTCCCGGTCTACGACCTGCGCATCGAGCTGGACGACGCCGCGGCCCGCAGCGCGGGGAGGCTCGCGGACGTGCACTACAAGTACTCGGCGAAGGAGGCGCGGGACCCGGGCGCGAGGGAGGCCGAGGCGGAGGGGATCGTGTACCACCGGCTCTCCCCGGGGGAGAGGGCGCACAATATCGGCACGCTGGTCAACGGGGCCGGGCTCGCGATGAACACGGTGGACGCGCTGGCGGACCACGGCGGCCTGGCGGCCAACTTCCTCGACACGGGCGGCAAGGCGACGAGTGAGACGGTGAAGCGGTCGTTCGAGATCATCTTGAAGGACGACAGGGTCAAGGTCGTGTTCGTCAACATCTTTGGAGGCCTGACTCTGGGCGACATGATCGCGCGGGGAATCGTGCTCGCGTACAAGGAGGTCGACATCAGGGTACCCGTCGTCGTCCGGATCCGCGGCACCAACGAGGAGGAGGGCCAGAGGATCATTGCGGAGAGTGGGCTGCCGCTGTACGCGTTCGACGACTTCGAGGAGGCCGCGGAGAAGGCTGTTGAGCTCGCGAGCGGGATGTCTGCTGCGGAGAGGAGGGTGCGCCGGGCGGTTAAGGAGAGCGAGAAGAAGACCGCTGAGCTCAAGAAGTCTATCCAGCTCGCTGCGGAGGTGATGCTGAGGGAAAGGGGGCCCGATGGTGCCGAGGAGGCTGCAGCGCCAGCCGAGTAGACCGCTGACATTACAAGTGGCAGGACCAGTGAGTCTACGGACGATGCTCCTGCACAAAGTGATGTGGCACAGGAGCATACTGGCAGGCCGCAGGACTCTGCAAAGCCTGGGGTCGCTGATACAGTACGGACCCCGGGTGGTGATCATGTTGCCTGAACCATATCGCTATGCTTTCACTGCGCTATGTAGAGATCACGTATGCATGACATAGAATATGTACATTTAATCATATGACAGCGGTAATACTTGCCCCCTCACGATTATTCACACTTTGGTGAGAGAAAAACAAGCTTTCACGGCGAACGCCATTGAAACTGACCTGTGGCCAGCAGGCGAGACCTGAGTTGCCGCCCCGACGGCATCCCGGCTCCGGCCATCTCTCTCTCTCTCCTCCTTGTCCAGCTTGGAGATCTCCATGCAGTGAAGCTTCCATATCCGCAGTGCCCAGACTACATTTGACAATGTCAGCACACGGCTTTTCTAAGGCGGTACAAAGCAGCATGAGTGGGGAAACAGTGCGACTTACGAGCAGCAAATGCCGTGACGAACATCGCCCCAGTGTACACCTGTACATGCAGGTACCCGTCTTTGCCAGGCTCCACGAGGCTGAGGCCAATGACCTCTGCGAACGTCGCAGGTAGTACCAACACGAGCCAGGTGATGGACATGACAGAGGGGAGCAGCTGCAGCCCCACCACTTCCACCGCCACGGGGGCTATGCACGGCCAAATACAGCCCGCGAATGCGCCAAACAAGGCGTAGACGATGGCACCAGCAAAGAACTTGCCCGCAAAAATCCAGAGAAAGAAGGCTGCCACCCCGGCGGTCAGGGTGCTCAGGGCTGCAATGTTGATCCGGCCAACCCTATCGCTGAATAAACCGATTACAGGTCTTCCCAAGCCCTGAGACACTGTTGAATGTATTGGTTAGGATAATTGTACGTGATGAGATGGGGATTGGACCAACTCACAGTTGAAAATAGCCGCTATAATAGAGCCTTGGTTTGCCGTGAACCCAACTGCTGAGGCGTATGATGCCAGCGAGAAGACGACAACGATGTAGCCCAGGATCGAGAAGAATCCCCAGGCCAAGTACAGATACAGCTCGAACTTCTTGAAGAGGTCCTTGTGAAACGCCTGGTGGATCGCACCGACCTCCTTGTTCCTGTCCCGCGCCAGGAAGCTACAGACGCCGTTGACCACAAAAGCTAGGATGGCTAGGATCCTGAAGGCCCATGAAAGGCCGAGGTTCTCAATCATCGCATGCGCGGCCAACGAGTATGTCAAGCCGCCAAAGCCAGATCCAGCAGTACCTATCGAGTTCGCGAGAGAGCGCTTCTCGTGGAACCACTGCGGGATCAGGCCGACCGAGGCGGTGAAGAGGAACCCCATTCCGGCGCCAAAAGCAATTCCCTGGCTAAGAACAAGGTGCCAGATTTCGTGGGTGAAGGATGCGCCGATGAACGCAGCTGTCTCTAGGACCACGCCTATCTGGAGACAAGTACGAGTGCCATACTTGCGTATGCAGATGGTCGCCAGCGGTGCGAGGAGTAAAGCTGAGGGGGCATAGAATTAGCGATGACACGATGAGAGCTTCACATGGATACTTACCTATCGAAATAGACAAGCCACCGACGAAGGCAAATGCAATTTTGCTTGATCCCGGAAAGGCGTTAGAGTTCAGGTAGTAGGCTAAGAACACCGCATATGCCTAGCAAGAAGGTTAGAGCAATGGATCTGAGAATCATTCACAACTGCTGCAACTTACAGAGTTCATACCCCAGGTATGGAAGTTGATCAGAAAAACAACCATAACGACGACCCTGAACTGTGGGTCAGTATATTGGCGACCAGATACGTCTCGATGTGCATGCGTCTTACCAGCCATATCCACCTTCCTTGAACTCTGTTGGAGTCTGCTCATGGTCGCTGGACCCTGAGTCGACCGCAGCATTGTCCTGATTGCGCTTCTCGTCCATGTCCACGGCCTGATCCTGACGAGTATTCGTTTCCAAGATGCCATGCTCGTCAACAATGGTCTCCTTAGACGTTGCGGGTGAGCCCGCATTCGAGAGGGCTGCCATGGCACGCCAGCGACTAGCTGCGTCTGCCGTGGGACTGAAACTACGTCAGGACCCGAGTCCACGTGAATAGCCTCAACCAAGCAGACGATTCACCTGCCCGCGCGAGACAACAAGACAACACAGCACCGAGTTGAGAGAGGCCCGGGCATTACGACGGCTACGGTTGGTTTCGCATGAGGATTCTGCGATGGCGATTGCCGAGATGGCAAAACGGGCACCCAGGCAAAGAATTCCATGACTAAGTGGAACATCCTGACCGACATCGCCAGAACTACAGTACACACAAAAGACCCGGCCCGGCCGGTCGGAAATACGGCGGGAAAAAGAATCGGTGGCGGTAAAGCGCAGGTACAGGGAGAGGCCGAAGAGACGGAAGGGCGTAGTCCCAAAGACGGATAGTCCCTAGCCCCTTTCGACATAGGTAGACTTGGTAGAGAACAACGCCGAGGCTATAGCCGGGGACACAGGCAGACTGGCAGACAGGCTTGACAGGCAGACAGGGTGCCGCGTGACTCTCGGGGGCAACAGGCGTGGTTGTTGTTGTTGATCGCAGACTGAGTCATCCTTTCGAGCTTGTCCAACTTTAGAAAGCGCCTTCGACTCCCCCGGTTGGCTGCCTCGGGATGCGGAGATGCATGGCGGTTGATCGATTTCACAGTCGTCTCATAACCTAGCGGACCCATCTGCAGTACCCTGCTTGTTTGGTATGAGAAGCGTTGCCAGGTGGTTGGGTGACTTGAGCTGCTCGAGCGATGCCAGCCGTTGTCGAGGCCCGAGAACCGGGGTCTGCTGCGGCAAGGTCGGCGCCGATCCGCTGGGACCTGACTTGTGACGAGTCCCCTACATGATAATAGAGGTGGCCGGTCTGCCGGTCTGCTGGTCTGCTGTTGCAAAGAGGCTTCTGGAAACACCGGGGCTGGCTGGCTGGCTGGGCCAGAATCTGCAAAGCCAACACGGCTGCTGGCCAGGTCATCATGCTGTATTCTACGGAGTACAACAGAGTACACACACAGTACTGTGCAGCACTTCTCTCGGTTTAGGGGACGGCCCCACGATGCATTCTGGCCCAGCGAGGCTACCCCTAAATGCTGCTCCATGCACTCCTTTTCCGTGACAGTGCATCTGGCTGACACGAATGCCCGTGCGAAAGCCCAGCCAAGAGTATGACGGCGTGGTGTGCTTTGTTTCGAAGACGGGGGTGGGGCATCTGGCCAAGTACCGCCGTGAAGAGCTGTGCAATCTCCTCCTGAGCTGAGGGCATAGCATCAGCGAATGTTTGTTGGCGTTGCTCTACCCCATCCAAGAGGATGCACCACGGCGTTTTCCGGATGCTCCATCATAAGGCGGCTGCGAGGCATCGAGAGAGGCTCTTGACCAGTTGTCCAGCTGTCCAGTCGTCGTCGTCGTTGTCGTCGTCGCCGCAGCCACCGCTGGTGATATGTCTTGGATAGTCGCCCGTTGTCTCGGTGTCAGAGCTCGGGGGGTGCGACTGGGAGCTCAAGCTCAAGCTCCCGTGGAACCTTCCAGGGTTGTAGCGTGCGGGTGCATCACACGGGCTACCTGGTGGGTACGTGCGGAGTGGCTGGTGCAGGGAGGAGGACAAGGTCACACGCTGGTACAGTATGTTCTGCAGGTGTGCAGCTCAGGGCGCAGTAGCGCGCTGACTACATTGAGGCGGCGAGCAGTTTGGCAGGCCAGTGCTGCGGCAACCAGCGTGGCAGGTCGAGTAAACAAGACTCACCATGGCCGCCCAACAAATCCATCTGGGAAATACGGACAGCAAAGAACAGCACAGCTCGCATATAAGGTGACAACTGAAAGCAGGGCAGTGGGTATGATGGGTATGATTCACACACTTCATCGTTCATGCATGGCTGCCAGACAGCCAGAGCCCTCTCTCTGCTTCTGCCCAGCAACCCAGCGTTAGTGGTTGCGTCTGCTTAAACTTCTGCTCTGCTAGCCCGTAATAATAAACACTCGTTATCGCCCGCTACAACCATCAGTACTTATTACTTCATGCGCCTCTCTCCTTGTCCATCTCCGAGCCCAAGGCCACTCCCTCCTCCCCTCATTTACCAGACAAGACCATCTACATAATCTGATCATCGTCATCTTCTCCATCACCAGTCGCAAAAGTGCTCCTGCATCCTGCCCTGCCTTACAATCTCCGTCTCCTGTATCCGACCGTCGCGGCTTACTGCTGGATTCGGTACTGTGATCCTGACCAGCCCCCGGCGCCCGCAGCCCCAAACTCAACCCAACACACGACTCACGGAGCTTCAATTCCCACTGTGACGAGCAATCTCCACTTCTTGTCGCCCACCCAGCTAGCTGCCTGCTCCCCCGGCCTCAGCTCACCGGCTCACCGGACGGACCACCTCCCAAACGAGCAGCCTGTGCAATTTTATAAACGGGTCTTCACCTCTCGGCCCCCAGGGCCATCTTGGCTCTTCCTTCCTCTGCAACCGTTCTCATTGCATTTGCAACGGGACACAGATTTCTCATCCCAACTCACCACCTTCCGGTCTATTCGGCCTGATTGTGCAAGATCTCTGGAGTCATGTTCGACCGTGGCAGACCCAAGGAATCGGGGCCGTCTTCTCCCGACAAGAAGCCGGCCTCCTCCCAGGGCAGCCACATGAACAATGAGCAGTTCGGTTTGTCTCACCTCCCGCACTGCATCTCCACCGCTCTCCCTGTCGTCCCCGCGCCTTGCTAACCAGTAGTCTTCAACTCTTGCAGCTGCGTACCTCAGAGATCTTCGCAACAATCGTGTCCAGAGGCCTGGTGGTGCAAGGCCTCAACCCCCAGGATCGAGCCGGGCAGACTCTTTTCGCCAGTCGATTGACGGCCGCCCTTCACTGGGTGCAGCTGCTCGTTCATCATTCGGCTCGACTGCTCGGTCTTCCACTGGAACGCCACCCCCGCTGTCTGAGCCATCGCCAGCTCTTTCTCAGTCCTACTCGCCTCCAAAGGTGGACCACCGGGACTTCTCTTCCAGGCCCAGCCTTGCTCCCAGCGTGGGATCCAGATACTCGACCACGAGTGGACAAGGCCGGGACTACTACCCCGACAAGCCAGTAGCTCCGCTGAGGCCTGGACAGGTCGTCCCCAGTTCCACCTACATCGAGAGGGGCCAGAGATGGATGGAGAAAGAAGAGGCTGTTTCGCTCAGGCAGGCTATGGAAGACAAGGCTGCTAGGGACAGCCCTCCGCCAACCTCACCTACCTCGGACGACGGCCGGCTCTACGAGGCTGCCTTGGATGAGGCATCTGAGCTCGTGTGGCAGCACCAGCACGGTGTCAAGCCACCAGAGCCGGGGACCCCATACAGATACAAACCACACATGCGCAGGCAGAGCTATGCACACGCTCGTACTGCCAGTGCTGGCATGTACGGCGACGAGATCGAACCGAGCGGCCTCGCACGAGACCACTCCACACGATCCATGTCAGGTAGTTCTAGCTCCAGCGACGGCTTTGGCTCGTCCCGCAGTCGTCTGTCCTATGCATCTATGAGCGGTCCCCGGAAAAGCCCCAGCCCCCCTGCGCAGTCACGGTCTGCATCGCCACCTAAAGTGTCTAAGCCGTACACGGGCTTGTCTAGCACCTCACGCGGTTCCCTCGCTCAACGGAGGCGCAGCAGCACCAAGCGCAGTGGCAGTGGCGGCAGGCCTTTCTCGGGCGACCAGATCTGGGAAGAGCCTGAGGGTGCTTCAAGCAAGAGGACATCATCGCCGACCAAGGATGAGCCTGCCGCTGTTGATGCCCTACGGACGAAGCCCAAGGGCCCGCTCAACCGCGTCTCGTTCGCCCCCGAGAGACCATCATCCTCTGACTCCCAGGCACAGCCCGCGCCCAAGCTGCACAAGTTCGAGATCCACCGCAACCCACCGTCACAGTCTCGAGACCCGCAGTACACTTCGAACTCGCCGGCTCAGAGCCCCGTTCGCGAAGATGTGCCAAAGAAGCATGGTGTGGAGCTCAGAAGTGAAGAGATTCGCCAGGCAACCTCTATGAGGCTGAAGGATCGCAGTCCCAAACTCCCCACCCCAACTGCTGTGAGCGACCGTCTGGGACGACCCATCGTAAGCTTTGACAAAAACTGGAAGGCTCCGGACGAGGCAACTGATGAGAAGCCAGACACCACAAAAGGTCGTCCGCTCGGGGCCTTCCAGGCCCGACAAGACCACCGCCGCCTCCCAGAAACCCCGCCGATCCCTTCTATCGCTGTTGCGGAGACTCGCGAGCCGCCGGCGTTCCCGAAGCCACGCGGTCGCCCCTTACCCTCTATCCAGGTAGACGGTTCCGGGGCGAAGCCAAGCCAACCGATCCCCAGCATCGCCGTAAACGATGCCAAGCCATCAATCCCAACCATCGCTGTCAGCGACGGAAGCCCGGCAGTCCCGTCTATCGTGCTTCCTGGCGATGACAATGGTGACGACAACAGCCCCAGCGTTCCTATCATCGTGACCCCTGACGACCCCACAAACCAGCCCACCAGCAAACCCACCAGCCGCCCACTCCCGACCCCACAAAAGAACGCCCCACGAATCCGCCACGGTGGAAGGCCGCAAACGCACTGGTCTCCATCTCCTGGGAGCCAGGCTGGCCATCGGGCCACAGCCCGCTGTCATGAGTGCAATTACCCCATCGAGGGGCGTTTCGTTGCCCTCGCGGGTACCAGTGAGCGGTTCCACCCACAATGCTTCACTTGCTACTCCTGTGGCACCTCGCTGGAGGCGCTTGAAATCAGCCCCGAGCCTGATGCTAGCCGTGCTGCCCGATTGGATCGCATCCGCCGTCGAGCTGCAGGGGAGGCCCTAGAGGAGAAGCCTGGAGAGACAATGGCCGAGGACGGTGATGAGCGTCTTAGGTTCTATTGTCATCTCGATTGGCACGAGCTCTTCGCTCCCCGATGCAAGCACTGCACAACCCCAATCCTTGGCGAACACATCGTTGCACTCGGAGAGCATTGGCACTACGGGCACTTCTTCTGTGCCGAGTGTGGCGACCCCTTCGAACAAGGGATGACGCATATCGAGAAGGACGGCTACGCATGGTGCATCAACTGTCAGACAAAGCGCACGGAGCGACGAGCTCCCAAATGCAGGAAATGCAGCAAGGCTGTCATCGGGCAGTACATTCGGGCTTTGGGCGGGGAGTGGCATGACGAATGTTTCCGGTGTGCCACATGCCAGAACGGCTTCGACGATGGGCAAATCTTCCCCAAGGACATCGGGAACGACATGATGCTGGTGCTCTGCACAAGGTGCCGTCAGAGGGAGCTCAAGGGCTAGGAGCCTGGACGTCCATTCATCTGATGACGGTGGCAAGGGTCGTTTGCACGATTTAGTGTGATCGAGGGTGGTGACAAGGTAAGTGGGATCTACCTGCCAGCTCTTCTTCGCAGGAGGATGGTACGGTAGAACCATGCTTACGAAGGTTTATGCGCGATGTGCCCTGCGGGCTTTGATTGCATTGCTTTTGGATCAGTTTGGAGTTCGGTCTGCTTTTGATCTTCCAGGGGAAACGAAACCAGAATGCGTGCTTGCTTGCTTGCTTGCTTGCTTTCGGTTTAATTCGACGGGCTCTGGCCTGCCTCATGTTGTCCGGACACACTGTACAAATATTTGGGCTTCGAGCATCGGTTTGCGTGCATACTGCATTTGATCTGGCTAGAGCGAGCCAGCTGGAGACTTAATTCGAAACAACACATTGCTTTTCCCACATTAGATGCTCCCCGTGCTTCCGTGACTGGTATGCAATACGTGACCTTGTCGCCTTCGTAGCTACAATTACTTGCGTCTGGGAAAGCAGCAGTGGTCTTCTTCAGTCCTGATCTTGACCCAGCCACGGGCAGAATTCTCCGGGTTTACACCTGTAAAATTTAGCAACTGCAAGGTAGGTAGACAGTGAGACTGGTAGCCAAGCGATTATACTAAGTCCTGCTATTCCTGGTGAAATGAATCCCAGAGGTTGTACGACTCCTCCACGTCCCCTCGTGACGGCTTGTGAGGACTGTTACGCCGTATCACCAGCATACATGGAGGATTTGGTTAGGCGCTGCTCGGTGTCCTCACGCGGCAAGTCAGAAACCCGAGTGCTGAGGCTGCAGCCTTGTTTACGTCAGTGTGAAGGGCACCAAAGCCGGTCGTCCGCATGGGCTGGGAGGACGGTTGGAGCCTAATCTGTCAGCATAGTCAGTGTAAAACCGCCCAACGGGTGTGGGCATCGTGGTCGTTTTCAAGAGCACATGGTAGGTAGTTGAAAAGCAAAGCGCAAGACTGTATCATTAGTTGGAATGGGCATATTTCATTCGTTGGAAAGTTCATGATCGCCCATAGACATCTCCTCTTGGCCGCCTCTGAAGATTAGACAGGCCATGTCGCCGATTCGGCGCGCATAGAGAGAATCATAACCAGATGGTGTATTGCTGCCCCCCCTCCTTAAAAAAAGAAAAACATGATTATCCCTTTTCCCTGTCAAACTCCTTGAATGAGAAAAGTTCCTCTGCGGAATATTGAGAGAATCAGACCAAGCGCAAAAGAGGGGGGCGCCAGAAAATTCAAAGCTGGGTAGGTAGGTGGCGTCCGAAACCGAAAAGCAGTGATCCCCCAAACCCGTGGCATCCAACCCAACGAGGCCCTAGAGCAGTCCGCTGCCGCCAACCTGCTCCTGGTGAACTTCAAGGGTGTCGCCGTCTTGCATCTCGAGCTGGAATCAATGTTAGCCAAGGAGCGTGGTTGCGACAACGCGATGACGCGGCGACGCGCAGACTGCGCGATGCGTCTTCTCGCGAGGCTTCACGCGGCGGCGGCTGCAGCAGCAGCACCGAGCTGAGCAAGGGAGGAGAGGGAAAAGCTTACCGTGTCAGGCGTGTCGTTTGGCTGCACTCGTTGGCCCTCGAAAAGGAAGCGCACGGAGTTGACAGTCTTGCCTTGGCGCTCGCAAAAGGCGCCCATCAGCTTCTCCAATTTGGTAGACTTCTTTATCTTGAAGAAGACCTCGTTGTTGTTGTCGGTGACCTTGATATTAAGGTGCTCGGTCTGGGCGGGCGCCTCCTGGCGCTCCGCTGGCGACCCGTTCTCGTGTTGCTCGCTCGACATTGTCACGGGCCTGGAGGCGGTTGAAGATGGAATCGCAACCGTAAAAGAGGAGGAGAAAGGTGAGGATAGGGACCAAGAAACCGAGAAAGAGACTGAAGATAGAATTAGCATCCCATGGGACGACGTCCATGTCGTGCTCAGACGCAATAGCAGTCCTCATTTTGTTGTTCTCTGGAACTGGGTGGTTTCTGGTGATGGTGATGATGTTTGATGCGAATGGGAGGAAGGCTGCGCCATGTTTTGAAATGAACTTACCAGGCAGTGGCTTTGGGCAGGGCTAATCTGCACACTTCGGGGTCGGGGTTGCTGTCGTCGACTGAAGCTGGGGGGGGGGTGCAGAGTGGTCACGATGATCCGAGTGGTGTCGTGGTTCGAGGAGAGCGACTATGATAAAAGGCTGTGGAAGAGCCGCGTTGGGGGAATGGTGGGGCTCTTTCGTCTGAGGGGCGGTCCAGCTTGCACGCACGGGCCACTTTCTGGACACCCAGCTTGACCAGCACCTTCTCCGCTGCTGTGCTTTGGCAAAGTACCAGTGGCTCTTTTGAACTGATTGTTTGACCTCGGGCAAAGAAATTGGCCCTTAAAGGCCACTGTAAATGATTGAATTAGGCAGCAGTATTCAGATGAGCATGGTACATCGATTGGACCGTGGGAAGCTGGGAGATGTGAATCAACCCGGAGAAAGACGGGGTTAATGTGCAGAACGCCCGGATCTTGACAAATCAGTCACTGCCGTAGTATACCCGTCTCTGCATCGTTGGAGTGCAAGTCGCTGGCGGCTGTGTTGGGCGGGCTGGGAGCCCGTGGTTTCCAGTCACGTTCAAATTGACATCATCCAGAACGAAGCGGCGACCAGGGCTCGTAATCTGGGGGTGCTAGGCGGCGGGAGCTACTGTGGACACTGGGACAGAATAAAACACGGGCCAAATTCAGTCCCAACTCACCCAACCCATTCTCATCAGCAGGGTTTTCATTGCCGACCGAGTTCATCCGACCCAAAGATCAAAAAGTGACCATGGTGAGGAAGCACCGTGCATACGGAATCTTGGTCTACCGCGATTTGATCTGACTGACGATGCTGTCGTCCGCAGGGGCTGGAAGAAGATTTGCAGGCGAAGCCTCCGTGCCATCCACGAGCAGTCTGTCATCTCCGAGCACCCGTACCGTTATTGTTGGTGGACGGAGCGGCTGACATTTATTCTAGTGTGCAATTCAAGGTGAGGGCATAGGCCATCTCCACTCCGACACAGCGTCCAGCTAAGACTCGTGGCAGACTGCCTCAAGCGGAACACGTACAAGGAGGACAGGTGCCAAGGAGTTATCGACGCCCTCTACGACTGCTGCCAGGCCTTCTATGATCGCAACGGGGAGGGCGCCAGCGCCGCCAGCTGCCCCAAGCCAGACCTGCTGAAGCTGAAGCTCAAGATGAGGAAAAAGAAAGAGTCCAACTCCCAATGAACTCTCAGGCCGTTAGGCGGCTGGCTGTCCGTCGGGAGCCGTGGGAGCCGCCCTACTTGGGAGTCCTGGATGAGGTGGTGTATCACTGATCGATCAAACGTATGCCCAAATCGAATTTTGAATTCGGGCAACTTGGAACGATAGCGAAATTAATCTTGGCAACCATTAGCGCGCAAAGGGGCCCGTAGACCCAGGACATCATTGATGATTGACGTCCTCGTGACTCTAAATAGGGTTGCCAAATTCGGTTGAAGAAGAAAAAACTCAGGAAAGTGAGTTCGCAAAGATGGTGAGGCTGGTTTTGTATCCCGATCAGACCGGCAGCCGGCCAGGATTTTCCCGGGCCCCACGCGGTGGAAGGCCCGTGCCCCGCCGGCTTATCTTATCCGGGGACCGAGGTCTCCATCGATTCCTCGTCGTGGTCACCCAGCACTCAGAGCTCCCAAACGACACCATCTTCATCCTTCAACTTCTCCCCTTTACTTCTTCCCTTAACTACAGTATTTTATAGCTCAATAAGTACCAACTCTATTTTTTTACTATACTTACCCTTAATTTTTATAACTTAGGATTTATACCTTAGTTTATAACTATAAGTTAAAGTAATTAACTCTAACTTTAAATTAATCTCTCTACTCTCCCTCCCTCTCTTCCTCCCCCCTCCCCCTCTCTCTATTTTCTTTCTTTTTTTTTATTTATTTATTTTATTTATTTTATTTATTTTATTTATTTTATTTATTTTATTTATTTTATTTATTTTATTTATTTTATTTATTTTATTTATTTTATTTATTTTATTTATTTTATTTATTTTATTTATTTTATTTATTTTATTTATTTTATTTATTTTATTTATTTTATTTATTTTATTTATTTTATTTATTTTATTTATTTTATTTATTTTATTTATTTTATTTATTTTATTTATTTTATTTATTTTATTTATTTTATTTTATTTTATTTATTTTATTTATTTTATTTATTTTATTTATTTTATTTATTTTATTTATTTATTTATTTATTTTATTTATTTTATTTATTTTATTTATTTTATTTATTTTATTTATTTTATTTATTTTATTTATTTTATTTATTTTATAATTATATATTTATATTAAAATTAATTTTAATTTTATAATTATTTATTATTAAAAATAATTAAGTTTAATTAAATTAATTTATTTAAATATAAATATATAATTAAAATAATATTTTTAAAATAATTTTTATATTTTATAATATTTATAAAATAAAATATTTAAATAATTTAAAATAATATATAATTAAAATTAAATTAAAGTTTTTAAAATAATAATAAAATAAAATTTAATATATTTTATATTTTTAATTTATTTAATTTATTAATTTTAAAATATTATTTTATTATTATAATATATTTAAATATTTTTAATATTTTTAATTAAATTTAAATTATTTTTAATTATTATTATTAAAATTTAAATATTATAAACTTTTATTAAATATAAATAAATTTAATTATATATATAAATAATTATTAATTTTATTAATTTAATTTATTATAATTTAATTTAATATTAAAATTATAAAATAATAAATTATAATAAATTAATTATTATAAATAATAATAAATTTATATTTATATATAAATTAAATTTAATTAATAAAATTTAATTAATTTAATTAAATATTTTATTATTTAATTAAATAAATTTTTAATTATTAATAATTTATTTTATTTAATAATTATTAATTAATTTTTAATAATAAAATAAATTATTTAAATTATTTAAATATTAAATTATTTTATAAAAATAAATTAATAAAATTATTTTATTATTATAATTTTTAATAAAAGTTTTATTATTATTATTATTATAATTTAAATAAAAATATATTATTTAAATTATTTAAATATAAATTTAATAATTAAATAAAATCTTTTATAAAATAAATTTTATAATTATTTTATTTTATTATAATATATTAAAAAATTATTTAATTATTTAATTAATTAAATAAATAATTTTTATTTATTTTTTAATTTTTTTATAATTATTAATATAAATTATTTTAATAATATAATTATTATAATTTTAAATTTCTTTTAAAAATAAATTATTTATAATTATTATAAATATATATTATTAATATATTTATTTATATTATTTTAATAAAAAATTATTTAAATTAAAATAAAAATAAAAATAAATTAAAAATATTTATAAAAATATATTATTATTAATTTTATTTTTAATTTATATTATTTTAAAAAACTTTTAATATTTTTATAAAGTTTTAAATATTAAAATAATTAATTTAAATAAATTAAATTAAAATTTTTAAAATTTTTATAATAATTTTTATTTAAATATTTTATTTAAATATTTTTTTAAATAAAATAAATATTTTAATTATTTATATATTTATTAAAAAATTATTAAAAAAGTTTATAAAAAATTATTAAAAATATTATTAAAAATATTATTAAAAAATTATTAAAAAATTATTAAAAAATTATTAAAATAATTTATTAATTAATTTATTAATTAAATATTAATAATTAATATTATTTAATAAATAAATAATTAATTAATAATTTAAATTTAATTTAATTTATTAAAATAATTTAAATTTAAATAATTTAAATAATAAATAAAATATTAATTTAAAATATTTTAAATATTTAAATTAAATAAATTATAATTATATTTTTAATAATAATTTTAAATAATTTAATAATTTAATTTAAAATTTATTTTATTAATAAAATAAAATTTTTAATTAATTAAAAATTTTAAAAATAAAAATTATTAATATAAAAATAATAAATTTATATTTATATATAAATTATATTTAATTAATAAAATTTAATTAATTTAATTAAATATTTTATTTTAATTAAATAAATTTTTAATTATTATTAATTTATTTTATTTAATAATTATTTTATAAATAAATAAATAAATAAATAAATAAATAAATAAATAAATAAATAAATAAATAAATAAATAAATAAATAAATAAATAAATAAATAAATAAATAAATAAATAAATAAATAAATAAATAAATAAATAAATAAATAAATAAATAAATAAATAAATAAATAAATAATAAATAAAAGTTTTAATTAATAAATTATAATTAAATTAAAAATTTATATATATTAACTTTTTAAAAATTATTTAATTTTTTTATTAATAATTTAATTAATATAAATTAAATTATATTATATAAATATAAAGTAAATATAAATTAATTATAAGTAATTACTTTATAAAATTTTATTTAAATATTTATAAAATATTTTTTTAATATTTAAAAAGATTTAAAATTATTTATAAAATTTATATTAAAAGGTTTTTTAATTACTTTTATTTATTAAATTTTTAAAAAATATTTTTAATATACTTTTTTAATTAAAACTATAAATAATATTCTTTAAAATTTTATATATAATTTTAATAAAATAAAAGTATTTTTATTTTATAATTTAAATAAACTTTAAACTTTTAATATATATTCTTTATTAAAAATATTATATATAAATTAAAGTTAAAAACTTTATAAGTTTTATAAACTATTTATTTAATTATAATCTTTTTATTTATATAATAAATTTTTAAATATTAAATTATTATTTATTAATTAAAACTTTTTTATAAATAATATTAAATTAAATTAAAAATTTAATAATTAATTAAATATTTTATAAATTTAAATAAATTAAATAAAATTTAATAAATATAAAAACTTTATTTAAAATTTTTAATAAAATTATTATTTTATTTTTATTAAAATATTAAATAAAGTTATATTTAAATTTTTAATTTTTAAATTATTTTATTATTAACTTTCTTTTTTATATTTTATAAATTTAATAATTTTTATTATTCTTTTAAATATTAAAAATAATATTTATATTAATATAAAAATATAAAGTTAATAATAAATATAAAAATATATATTTAATAATATTAATTAAAATAATATTATAATTAATAATAATAACTTTTAAATTTATAACTTTATACTTTATTAATAATAATTTAACTTATTTTAAAAATTATTAAAATCTATTTTTTATTTTATTAATAATACTTTAAAATAAAATAAATTTTTTTATATATATTATAATTATATTTTAAAATATAATATTTTTTATTATTAATTATATAAATATAATTAAAAATAAATTATTATAAAAATATTACTTTTAAATCTATATAATTTATTACCTTTTATATTAAAAATATTAATAATATTTCTTTTTTATTTTAAACTTAATAATATTAATAATTTTACTTTTAAAGTTAATTTAATATTATTTATATTAATATATAAATACCTTACTTTTTTTTATTTTATTAATTAAAACTTTATTATATTAAGTTTTAATATAATTATAAAATATTTTTATTAAAATATAAATTTAAGTTTTTAACTTTATTATAAAAAATTATAAATAATTTAAAAAAATTTATATTAATTTATAATTAATTTTATTTAACTTTATTCTACTTTAAATACTATTTAAAACTTATAATAAATATATTTCCTTTTAAATTATAAACTTTTATTTATTTATTATAATTTTAATTATATAAATAATTTTTATTAAAATAATTAATTTTAATTATAATAATATTATAAATAATTAAAGTTAAAAATTATTATATATTATAATTATAAAATAAAACTCTTTAATTTATTTTAAAATTATAAATAACTATTAATTAATTAATTAATTTTATAACTTTATTTAATTTAACTTTAAACTTTATAAATATTATATTTATTATTAAAAGTTTTAAAATATAAAAAATTAAAAATATTAAAAATAATAATTAATAATAATAATATTATAATTCTAATTATAATAATTAATTTATTATTATAACTTAAACTTAAAGTAATTTAATACTTATATTATTAATTATAATATTTAAAAATAATATTTAAATAAATATAATAAAAATTTAATCTTTAATTAATAATTTTTATTATTTAAATAATTAATTTAATTTATAATTAAATAATAATTAATAAATATTATTAAATAAAAAGATTTTATTAAGTATATTAAATAGGATATAAAAATACTACTTAAATAATATAATAAGGTGGAATAAAGCTCTCTAATTAGTTAGAAACTATTTAGTTAAAAATAAATATATACCTTTTAATTTTTAATATATAAATTTCTATTCTTCTCTTTAAAGGTATAATAGATTATAAATAATTATATATAAATTTTATACTTTCTTTTTTATAAGTTTATATTTTATATATAATACTAAAATAATATTTTACTTTTCTAATATTATTATATTATAAGATAATTGATGAAGAAGAGAGGAAAAAGTCTGCCGGAGGCGCGCTCCAAGCCAGCCTTTTTATGAGCAGCCGTGGCCTGGCTTGGTGGAGCACCGGTTGCACGGGCGTCCCTGGCAGCCCGTTGATATGATTGGCTGGGTCGTCCCGCACTAAGCTAGGAGGGCAGCCCGACTGGAAATGCACGAATCTGCCCTTGAAAAACCGCCAGGACTGCAGTGTGACTGGGAGATTGGAACATTATGTCCTTCCTCATCACTGCGATTCACTTGCAAGACGAGACCTGTCTGGGCGCAAGCTCAAGTTCCATTTGCTAAACTAAACCAAGTCAAGGTCTTCTTGCTGCTGCCCTCACGTATTCAATGTTGGCTCGGACCAATCCATTGATTGGTTCTAGATGTTTGTGCCGCTGTCATGAAAGTCGCCAGGGAATTCATCTAGCAAGCCTGGGGTAATACTCCATGAGCAACAATTCCTACATATGAAAGATCCATACGTTGAAAGGCGGGGCGCCACTTGTTTATGAGAGTCAGGCTTCTTGCAGGCCCAGTTTGATCAAATCACTGCAAAGGATGTGGTGCGTCTGGTAAGGCTGGGAGCGTGCAGCAGCTGCCGAGTACGATGGGACGTTCGCCATAGTCACTGTTGCCTCGGCGATTTGCTGTGGAGTGAGTGGTCTGTCCCGTCCAGCATTGGTCGCTTATTACACAGTACAGGAGGTGACAGGGTAAGGCTATCGATCATATTGGATCCTGTCTTATAAACGGGATGCGGGTAGCTCTCAAGAGCGAGTTGTCGGCTAGAGAAAATGCAGCGAACGAGATGCTTTAGAGGAGGCGTTTATAGTACTTCAATTCATCCTACGCAGGCAGTCCCGTCGTGAGGACGTCCTGGGAGTATGCATGCCACTTCTGTTGGTAGACCATTAATACAGAAGGGTCAGGAGCAAGGGAGGGAGACTTGCGCTAAAAACTTCAGTACCTGGGTACAAAGCTGACTGACCCTTGTCTCTGATCCGCGACTTCCCTTCGCGTTGTTGGCTGCTGTATTCAGGCGCATTCCCAGATTCGCCCACGTCAACTCCGTTTCCCTGTCCCACAGACATCGTGGATGGAGCTTGGATAGGGGCACACATGCAGTCGCGGCCGCTCCATTCACCTCACAGCGCCCAAAACAAACGCGCTCAGCTTTCTGCGGGCCCATTCGACCCAACGCCAATCAGATCAGCGCCCTGCTAGGACCCTCCACCATGGTACGTACTACCGCGTGCAGTGCACAAGCTGCAAGCTTATCAAAAGCTTGGAGGCCCAGGAGCAGTGGAACCTGCCTCCCGATTAAGTTTTGGTGGCTCACACACACACCTGCTTGCTAGGACTTCCTCTCTCCCAAGCGTCGTAGTCTGATTTACGGGTACGACAGCGACGAAGGTTTGTTCGACCAACACAGGCATGACGGCGCGCCCATGCCCGCTTGTCCCTGGGCCTTGACTGACGACGCGCAAAATGTTAGATGAGGATATGGCTCGCCTCGAAGACACGTACCGGCAGAGCCGCATCCAAGCTGGACCCGAGGTAGAGGAGTTTGGAAGATGGCTGGACGAGTGCGGCCTGACCCACGCGACACCCGACCAGAAACGCGAGCGCATACTCAAACTTGTCGCCCGCTACAATGACTACACACAAGAAAAGGCGTCTGTGCTGGCTGAGCGACGGCGGCTGGAAAAGCTGGCCAGAAGCCGGGGATGGGACCCCAACCAGTCCAGCGACGACGCCAACGACTTGGAAATGGACGAGGCAGATGGCCCCGAACGCGTCGACGACGTCGACGAGGCCGCCAAATGGTCGTCAGAGGCACATACCTGGGGGCTCTTGTCCCGCCTACTACCACTGCGACACCCAGACCCTACGGCCAAGCCACCCAGATCGAACCCCGCTCCGCAATCACGCAAGGAATACTGGGACGAGTTCATCCTGTCGGACTCGGTGGCTCAGGAACGTAAGGCTGTTCTGGAGTGGCTGCAGTCCACCGCAAGCACCGGCCCGGATATCGACGAGCTTGTCCACGAGTTCCAGCAAAAGGCAGACAGGGGGGACCTCGTGGCGCATGGCTGGCTACACACCCGGGAGGCAATAAAGCTGCACAAGAGTGTCAACGTTATTCCCCACGTTCTCGAACCCGGCTCAACTATGTCCGACTTTTCCTACGTCACCCAGCTGGATCCGGATGCCACGACGAGACAGGGCCGGAAGCTGGAGCCACACGATGGATATTTCGAGAGGGCAATCTGGGTCGGCTGCTACCATCTCCTGCGGAGGGGAGCTACCTTGGATGAGATCCGCGACTGGTGCTTGGAGAGGACAGAGGTGTGGCGGGCGGCAACAATTTCCGCACTGCCATTAGCAACACTGGGTGACGAGGACTTGCCGGATTTCAACCTGCCCTCTTTCATCCTGTGGAGGCGCATGTGCTACGCTCTGGTGAAATCTGGCGGCACAGACGACTGGGAGCGAGCGACCTATGGCATACTCTCTGGCGACATCGAGAGCGTGCTTGCTGTGTGCAAGACTTGGGATGACTACGTTTTTGCACACTACAACGCGCTTCTCCGGACGCAATTCGATTCATACCTGATCAAGGAGTGTCGCTCAGGTCTCGCATCCTCACAGTTCTTGCCCTCCTTTGATGCTGTACAATACCTCGGCGAAGGTCCAAACATTGCCAGAAAGTTGATCAGCCAACTCGAGTCAGAAGATTCCCATTTCAAGCAGATCAACAAAGAGGCCAACACAGCTGCCAAAGCACTGCAAGGAGCCATCATCGCCAACACGCTTGATTCCTACATATACCAACAGGGTCTTGCATTGTCCGCCGAAGCCAACCAGGAAGGAAAGTCGTACCTGATCCCAGATTACGGGTATGGCTCCTCAGAAGGCAACATCCTGAAATACAACAAGATGTCAGAACACGACGGACTGCGAGTCATCACACACGTCGTTATTATGATCAACGCCCTAGAGTCTATCGCTCAGAGAGGCAAGGACTTCCTACCAGGCCGCCGTATCGTCGGGGAGCATGCCATCGCGGCATACGTCAGCTTCCTGCGCCTCGCACAGCTCGAGCTTTTGATTCCCCTCTATTGTGCTCAACTTTCTGAAAGCCGGCAATACGAGACCTTGAGTCTGAACATCATCCACGTGAGGGATCGAGAGGAACAGCTGGCGCTGCTCAACCAAATCCGAAGGGTTGGCATGGATATCAAGACGTTCCTTCGGGAACAGCCACAACACTTCCTCAAACAGCTTGAGGATTCCCAGGATGGCCCTGCCAGGAGCGAGTTCCGGATTCTTAAGCATAGCGCGCCACAACTTCTCGACGGCCGTGGCATCGTACCGGACTTCATAGGTGATGACGGGCGAAACGAGGTAGTGCATGAGAATTTGATCCGATCCATGGAGTGGCTGTTTGCTGGCGAGGGTAACCTCCTCGAGGCCTGCGAGTTCGGTGTTAAGATTTACAAGTATTTCTTGAGTGAGTTCGCAACCCGTTCTTTCTTCCTTCCCTGCCAGACGCGGCACTAACAGTCATCTTAGAGCACAAACACTTGGGAGCCGCTCGCGACTTTTACGAGAGAGTGAGAGTAGAGGATCTTGTCCAGGTTTTGGCGAACCGAGATATCGCCGGCTCGGTGGAGGACTTCGTCCAAGATCTCCTGACTAATGAGCATGCGCTCCTGGGAGAAGTCCAAGAAGACGAAGTCGAAGATCTCGGCGTAACTCAGACAAGGCTGGCTTTGGCCATCAAGAATATGTGGGAGCTTCAGAGTTTTGTTATGGCCCTCGATGGTATCGAGACGGTGGGAACCTTGGCACAGCTTGCTCAGGAGTAAGTCATCTTGACCCCCCGGGCTTTGTCATATTAAAAGAGTACTAATCAAACCTAGGCCTGAGACGAGCAACCCGCCCAACAGGGAGTACTTCGAAAATCTCGGAACGGCCATTCGCACGGCAAAGACCGGCATGAAGCCAATCCTCAAGGGCTGGCTGGTGGAAACAAACACCAAGGACGAAGATTTCACACAGTTGCGGGAGACATATCTTCCAGAGACTATTATCGCGTTTGTGGCCGCTCTGCAGTACACCGGCGGTACCCTCACCCGTGACAACATGCTCGAGGCGATGGAGCTGGCAGCAACCATCGCGGGCAATGACTCAGATATCGCCGCCCTGTTGGTGAAGACGGGACGCATGAAGGAACTTGTCGAAGCGTTCGCGTCGTGCAGCAAGGCGCTGGCGATTCAATCTGCCGACCACAAGAAGGGAACACACACGAGCGCCAAGAAGATGCGCGAGATGGGATGGTCGAGGGAGCTGTGGACGGTGAAGCCTCCCTCTTGAGGATGTGATAGCATTGCATGGCGAGACAAAAAAGGATCGGCCTGAGGCGGCGCAAATGTACACTTATTGATTTGGCGTTGAGCCACAGGATAGGGATGAAGCAAAAGAATTCATAATGATGATACCTAGAAAGACTGGGGAAGGCGTTGCCTATGAAGTCCCATTAACTCTTCCACTCAATGATGCTGGGCTTTTGAGCAAGAACGTTTCCACGTCAAGAGGCTGTAGCGAAAGATTCTCCTAGATTTATGACTTATAGTGGGCGTCGCATTAGCTGGCCCTTCAAGCTCAAGCGATGTGTGATCACAAATCTCAAGAAACAATAGAGCCATCAAATGTCATGTGCTGGTGAATCCTCTGTTATTGACCAGAGGCAAATCAGAGCAAATCGGTCAAGTGACTGGATAATGTTGAGCCTCAACCAACGCGGCATCAGAAATCTGACCGGTGTTCACTCTCTGCAAATCAAATTCATCAATTTGTGCCGTATACTCGACGATGCTGCTTTGCGCCTGGAAGTTTCACAGCGGCTTCAAGCAAGCTTCCAGTATTTGAAACCCTACAACAGTCACAAAACTCGTCAGCGACCTGGTAGGAGTGAGTATATTGAGTTTGGTTCGCCTATGCTGTTATATGGCTTTACGTGGATATTTTATAAGCTGGGGTTGTCCATCAACCCCCAAATGAACCATCTAGAGCTCACGCAGGAGCCCTTCCACATGAGACCTCAGGCTCTCGAGCGGCACCAAGTCTTTATGACCGAGCCTCCTACACTGCACTTCTACCCGCCCAGACGCCTTCCATTCCCTACCGAGTACCACGATCACAGGATACCCAACGAGGTCGGCATCCTTCAGTTTCCACCCCAAGCTGGCATCCTGGCGGTCATCGATGATGGCATCGACATCATGCTCCCGTCCGCCGGCTACCAGCTGGTCGTACACGTCCGCCGCGTCGCCCGCAAGCTTCGTGTCCTTGGTATGGAAGATGACCACGACCTGGTACGGCGCGATGACGCGCGGCCAATTGAGGCCCCTCTCGTCGGCGAGGTGGTCCGCCACCGCTCCGATGATGCGCGATATCCCGATGCCGTGGCAGCCCATCTGAATATGCACCATGGTGGTTTCGTCTCCGCCGGCCTGCTGGCTGCCGCTGTTCTCGGGCAGCAGCCGGGCGGGCACGCTGACGCTCGCGCCGAGAGGCTCCGAGTACCGCGTCCCGAGGTGGAAGGTGTGGCCCAGCTCAATAGCCTTCTGCACCTTGAGCTTGCCGTCGTCGCAATGGGGGCACGCGTCGCCTTCTTTGATGCGAAAGGGGTTGGGGATGCTTTGTTCGTGGTTGACTACTGGGACGCGCTTCAGGTCGGCAGGGTCGTTCTCGTCGAGAGTCGGTTGTGACCTCATTTCCTTGGGCAGCCTGTCGTCGAATAGGTTGACGACGCGGACCTGGGAGTCCTGGCCGGCCGTGAACTCCTTGATCGCGGCAGCCCAGAATGGCTCGGGATCCTCGACCCCAGAATCGAGGTCGGGGAAAGCCTGCTTCACGGCGTGGGTGCTGATGTCCTCCGCGGAAAACTGGTCAGAGTTGAACCAGACCCGCACGAGGGTCTTGCGGTCCTTGGAAACCCCATGCCATGCTTTCGGGTGGCAGGCACCGTCCACGAAGACGGCGGCGGCCGGACGGCTCTCAGCCAGCTCCTCGTTGGCAACGTAGCCGCAGCTGTGGCAGCTCATAACATGATCCTCGCCGAGCGCGGTGGCGATATGATATTCATGGCTCAAGCTGCCGCCCATGTCGCCAGAGCTCGCCTGGGCCACGAGCACGGGGAGCTTCATCTCTTGTATGAATATCTGCGAATAAGCCTTCCGTACTTCCTCGTAGGTCTCCAGTGCCGCTTCGTTGGAGTAGTCAAATGTGTACAAGTCCTTCATGTAGAACTCGCGGCCTCGAAGAAGGCCTTGACGAGGGCGCAGCTCATCTCGGTACTTCTGCGCTGGTGTATGGTTAGGCATGCAAATATGTAGACAAGAATTGTCAAGGCCCAGGTCTCACTTATTTGGTACAGCCTCAAGGGCAGGTGTTTGTATGACTTTGCAGAGCGGGCCACCAGGGCTGTGATCTCTTCTTCGTGGGTAGGTGCCAGCAGATACTTCCCTTCTTTTCGATCGCTGAACCGGAAAAGCTGGAGCCTTGTTAGAGGATATCAAATAGACAGGACCATATTTTGGAGCAGCATGCCTCAGAGCCGATCTTGCTTAGGCGGCCACTCTGCTCCCACAGGGCCTCGGATGATATTGTTGATAGCTGGACTCGTGATGCTCCTGAATAAACTCTGTCAGAGTCCTGTCAAGCGAAACAGTGCGTTTTGCGAGCCCCTGTGCACATACCTAGGCCGCGCATGTAGCGATCAACGAGACTGACAACCTTGTCATGTACTCTAAGCCCAAGAGGTAGAAGGTGGAAAATGCCGGAATGAGACTATCGCATCGTGAGCCACCGCCCTATACGCACATACGAGGTGGGCTGCAACCTGTCGCAGAAATCCAGCACGGATTAATTTTGAATGCGAATCTGAGTGGTGTTACTATTTTCATGGCCCATGAAGCTGGCAGTGACAGTGGCCCAAGGCATACCTTCGTTCTCACTTGCGGCTATGCCTCCCGATGGGGCCCACTCATTCGACAACCGCACTCTTCCATCAACATGAAGTCTCTGAAGGTGGACCAATGGGGCTCTGCTTTGCGATCGCCATCTCTGCCATGTCAAGCCGTTTCTCTGCGTCAGTGTCGGTCGCGCCGTGACCAGCCTCACGCCATGCGGCATCGTCGGAAAAGAAGCACCTTCAAATCAACACTGCCCCTCAATTGGTCATCAAAACATTCACTTCTATTCATCCATGTAATGAAAGAGGGACTGAGGAAAGTACTGGTGGAGACATCCTTTGAAGAGTTCAAGATGTCAACCTGAACATGAGTTGTTTCTATCTCAGGGTCCAGGACTCTTATCAAGCTACCCCTGTCCAAAGCGGCAGGTGCCCCACAATAAAGTTGGACGGGCTTGCGGCGGGCCAGAAATTTCCCAAAACTTCGCATCGCCAGACCGACAGAGGGCTACGATCACTGTGCAGCGACACCGTTTCTGTACATGCTCACGTCTTCCTGTTGGTCCTTTGGAGAACGGTACAATTCCACACACACAAACTCGTGGCTACCAACTCCATTCCAAAGGAACATTTCAGACCGACACGACAATGGGGAAGAAGAGAACCAAGGCTCAGAACGGGGCGAAGCCTGCGTTTGACGAAGCGGCCCTGTCCAAGTTGACAGCCAAGATCGAAACAGACCTGGCCAACCCCAAGCCCAAACCGAAGCCCAAGGATCAGCAGAAGGACGAGCGCCCTACAAAGAGAAAGCGCAACGAGAACGACGCCAAAGATGCGACCCCAAACAAGAGGCAAGCCCAAGAATCCAAGAGCAGGCCTGCCAAGCCATCAAAGAAGAGCGCAAAGGAGGGGAAGACACCCAAAGACAAGAAGGCCGAGCTACTAGAGGAGATTTTGGCTCTTGGTGGGGACGAGGATGATTTGGACATTATTGCTGGCGTCGATTCCGATGTCGAGGAAGGCCAGCAGTCAAAGCCAAAGGAGGCTCCCGCAGAGATGGACAAGGCGCTGAAGAAGGAACTGGCGAAATTCGCCGCCGGTCTTGGCTTCGAGAAGGTCCGGGACGAAGACGCCGCCACCGACGACGAGGAAGAACAAGTCGAAAAGGAGTCAGAAGTAGACGAGGAGGAGGAAGGAGATGCGGAAGGAGATGACTGGGAAGACGAAGATGAGCCAGAACAACAAGAAGAAGAAGAAGAAGAAGAAGAAGAAGAGACAAAAGCACCGGCTGTTGAGAAGCAAAGTCGCTCCGCAGCTGGTAAGTTGGTCAGTATGCGCCATCCTGGACAGACGAAGCAGCCAAGCACCCGCGACTAACTCGTAGCAGATATTCGAGCCAAGGCCTGATTGGCACGCTATCGGCCAGGACAAACTTCCAGCTCCTTCAGAAGATGATATCCGGAATTTCTCGTCAACGATCAACAGCCTGCACGAATACGCCAAGACCCTGATGGAGACTGATGCGGCTGCGTACAACACTTCCGTGGCGGCATCGTCAACTCGGAAGTTCATGCACACCATCATGACTTCGGGTACCATGTCGGATAAGGTGTCTGCCCTGACTCTGGCAGTTCAGGAGTCCCCAGTACATAACATCAAGGCGTTGGAGAACTTGATGAATCTAGCAGGGAAGAAGAGCCGTGATCAGGCCATCGCCGCCCTCGGCGCTTTGGTCGATCTCCTCGGAAACGGTGTGGTCTTGCCCAACGACCGGCGCCTGCGCCTATTCCGTTTGCAGCCAGGACTCCTTGGAACTTTGCAGAAACACTCTGTTACGGCTTGGAAACCCGAGAAGCCGCTGCCTGGGAAGATCACCAAGGAGCATCTGATCATGTGGGCATACGAAGACTGGTTGAAAGACACCTATTTCAAAATCATCCAGCTTCTGGAACTCTGGTCTGCGGACGAGATTGAGTACACCAGGCAAAGGTCGCTTGACTACATATACGGGCTTTTGAAAGAGAAGCCCGAGCAAGAGGCCAATCTGATGCGCTTGCTGGTAAATAAGCTTGGAGATCGGGAGCGCAAGATCGCTTCCAGGGCATCATATCTCCTATTACAACTCCTTCTGATCCATCCAGGAATGAAGCCTATTGTCATCAGTACCATCGAGCAGGAAGCCCTCCTTCGTCCAGGTCAGACTATCCGGACAAAGTACTACGCCATCATCACCCTCAACCAGACAATCCTGAGCAACAAGGAGCCGCAGATTGCGGATACACTGGTCAGGATATACTTCGATCTTTTCGTGGCCCTGCTCAAGATGGGAGCTCTGGGCCAATCTGGTTCTCCTGACACGAAGAAAGACCAAAAAGCGACCGGTCCCAACAAAGAACCGGTCTCCAAGAAGGGCCAGGCCAAGACGGCTCCTGTCAAAGTCGCCGATGTGCCAGACACGGAGACTGCAGAAAAGCTGGTCTCTGCCATACTGACGGGTGTCAATCGTGCCGTGCCCTTCTGCACTGCGGATGAGGAGACATTAGAAAAGCATCTCGATACTCTGTTCCGCATCACACACTCTGCCAACTTCAACACCAGCATTCAAGCGCTCAAGCTGGTACAGCAGCTCTCAATCACCAAGCAAATCGCCACGGATCGGTTCTATAGGACCCTATATGAATCCCTATTGGACCCCCGGCTTATTCACTCATCCAAGCAGGCGGATTACCTCAACCTTCTCTATCGGTCACTGAACAACGACATTGATGTCCGCCGTGTCAAGGCCTTCGTCAAGCGAATGCTGCAAATCTGCTATCTTCACCAACCTTCGTTTGTCTGCGGAATATTGTTCCTCGTAGCACAACTGGAGGACAAGTTCCCAGATCTCAAGACACTCCTGAATGAACCAGAAGCGGACGCCGATGAGGAGGAAGTGTATAGGGATGCCCCTGAAGAGGGGCAGGACGGAGACGTCCCGACTGCCGATACGACCCAGAGGAAGACGCCCGTGTACGATGGACGCAAAAGAGACCCGCAGTACAGCAATGCCGACAAGAGCTGCCTGTGGGAGGTTGTGCCCTACTTCACGCATTTTCACCCATCTGTATCCGTCTTCGCGGCGAACCTCCTCGTGCGGCAGAAAACCCTGCCCAAGCCAGAACTTGCCAACCACACGCTCATGCACTTCCTGGACAAGTTCGTCTACAAGAACCCTAAGGCCGCGGACAGCAAGCGTGGTGGCTCGATCATGCAGCCGGTGCTCGCAGCAGGCAGCTCGGCGCATGTTGTCGTGCCCGGCAAGTCGAGCGCCAAGCAGCAGCCCACTGTGAACTCGGCTGCGTTCTGGAACATGAAGCAGCAGGACGTTGCGGCGGAGGATGTCTTCTTCCACACGTACTTCTCTCAGATCGGCAAGGCTGGGCAGGCGGAGAAGGGCAAGAAGTCCAAGAAGGCCGCCGCAGGTGGGGAGGATGAGGAGGAGGCTGACGAGGAGGAGATCTGGGATGCTCTCATCAACTCGCGGCCCGAGGTTGGTGGGGAGGATGAGGACGATGTCGACCTGGACATGGGCAGCGACGATGAGGATGACCTCGGCTCGTTGCTTGAGGACATGTCGGACGACGATGATGAGGACGAGGAAATGGATTCGGGCGGTGAGGGTGTAGAGTTTGGCGAGGGCGATATGCCAGGGGAGGAAGACGGCTGGGTCAACGGTGCCGATCTTGTCGAGGAGAGCGACGAAGAGCCTGCCGGAAAGAAGGGCAAGGATAGCAAGGGCAGGATGAGGAAGCGCGAGCTGAAGAAGCTGCCCATGTTCGCCACGGCCGACGACTACGCGGCGCTCCTGGGGCAGGAGGATGACGAGGAGTAGTGGGACGGTCATGGTGCGGATATCAATGTCACGATTTGACTGCATCAAAAGCATTGCTTGGCCCATAAGGGTATCAATTCATATTCACATTCATAAACACTCAGGCGTGTTTGACTTGACTATTCATTCAGCGCAATAGGAGGGCGAGACCAGCACACCTGGGTTGGGTTTACTCATTGAACCACTCAAGGGGATCATCCTTGGTGAAGATGGCGCGGTACTTCTTGCCGCCATTCTCCGTGTCCTCAGCCTCCTCGGTATGGAAGCTGTGAAACTTGGCCTCCTCATCCTTGCCCGTGTCGAAGCAGCGGAAGAAGATGTAGCAGGGGCCGTCCGCTGGCAGCTCAGGGATCCTCACGCGGCCGAAGAGGTGATAGCCATAGGCCGACATGCCGACGCGGACCTCCTCGAAGTTCTCGAGGGTGAAGCTCGTGAGTTCGTGGTCACTCAGATGGGCCTAGACGCGGGGGGTGGTGAGCAATGGCCAGGGGTATGTCGCATGATGAGGTGGGGTGGAGGCGGGGATATACTTACGACGGCCTGGAAGTACTCCTTCTCGTGCTTGTCGTGCTCATGGCGGAGGTGGACAAGCTCCTTCTTGAGGGTGTGCTCCAGCTCCTTGAAGGACTTGATGGACTCGTCCTTGGGAGCGTGAGGGGGGGAGAGGTCGACGGTCTCAGCGGTGGCCTATGTGTGTGTGTGTGTGTGAATTAGCTTTTTGCACTTGTCCGTGGTGTCTGGGAGCCCAGCCAGGGTTCAGCTTGTGACATGTGAGATGCATACCATTTTGAATTCAGGATTGCGATGCCAAGTTTTGTATGAGGATTGGCTCTGAAGCTTGCTTGTTTTGGTATTATGGTGAGGATTCTTGGTTTGTGGATATGGACCGAGAACTATAGTGACAGCGACGTTGAATATAAAGAGAGCTCACACCGCTGTGAGGGCTGAGCTCCCCTGGCCAAGAGGCACTGGAGCTCCGCTGGATGCGAAACGATCGTGGTCGAGCCAATGCGCAAGCTTGGGAGGGCGCAGGGGAGGGGCGTTGCACCCCGCAGCGAAGCCAGCCAAAGGGGTCCAGATTGGCGGTTGGAATTGGAACATGCAAGTAAGTACCAGTGCCACCACTATGTTCTGTGTGTGTACTAGTACGTGCTTGGGTGCATACGTCACTTGTCAAGCACAGGCGCAACGGCTGTTCGCATGTGGCCTCCTTGCCTGCACGACAAAAATAGAGCAGCCAGAACTGCCAGACTGCCAGACTCGGCTTGCCAGACTGCCAGATAGAGCCTGACAGGCCAAGGGTTCCCTAGGCACTAGAAGAACTAGACGCCGACTCGCCTCCGGTACCTCGGCATGTCCCAGGAATTTTCCCTACCCGCCCGCCCTGCCCGCCTGGTGGCAGTCGATAATACACAGTACAATACCCGTCAAATTGACGCGATTCGAATCCGTCTTGGACCCAACAAGCTGGGCCCCTTGTCTATCCGCAGAGATAGATGCCTCGGTTTCAGTGAACTCGCCACCCCTGTCCCCCAATAAAGAGGCGCGCATCCAGCCCCAATGTCTCGCTCTCTGCAGTCCGTGACTCCTTTCGCGCGCCAGATATCACGACGCCCTCACTTTAGATCAGCACCACGCCTTGCCATACGCTCAATTGTAACAGCACATGGTATGTCGCACTGGTCTCGCCGTCAGGATGAGTAAGACTCATCCTGAGGCGGCATGACCTGCGCTCTCGAAGTGGTTATCGCATGCTGACAGCCTCATCCTCCAAGAATCCGCCCCGCCACCAAGACCGTCCAGACTCCGCCGCGCGTTCAAATACTCCCTCTGGGCCCTCGGCTTCACCATCATCGGAACCGCAATGGCCGTGTCTCCCGCCTACCAGACCGTCTCGGGCTACATGACCCCCGTGTCCGACGAGGAAACGCTGCAGATGTGGACGCCCGAGGACCCCGAGACCCAGGCCCTCGAGGACCAGCTCAACGCCAACCCCTACGTGCGCTCCCTGCGCGAGAACCCGGCCTTCAACGAGCACAGGCCGCACCTCAAGATCCCCCCCGCCTGGAGGGTGCACAACCTGACCGGCGGCACGCTCATGGGGCCCGGCAAGGTCCCCATGCCGCCGCTGGCCTTCTTTGATACTGCCGGCGACAAGAAGGAGTACATCCAGATTAGCTATGTGGGCGCGGACCTCTGCGGCCACCCGGGGATCGTGCACGGCGGCTACCTGGCCACCGTCCTCGACGAGGGCGTCGCGAGGCCTGCCTTCGAGGTCCTGCCGCACCGCGTCGGCATGACGGCCAACCTGAACGTCAACTACAGGGCGCCCTGCAAGGCGAACCAGTTTATCGTCCTGAAGGCGCACGTCACCAAGTCGGAGGGCCGCAAGGCCTGGGTCGAGGGTAGGATCGAGACACTGCCGCTGGGCGACGAGGAGCCCGTCGAGCTGGCGAATGCCACGGCGCTCTATATCGAGCCCAAGCAGGCTGCGGTAGGTTTACCCTAGCGACTGACACCAGGTTACGTTATGCAGAGCTGGTCCGCTGACATGTTTGATCCCTTTCCTCAGGCCCTGCGCGCCGCCGCACCCGTCGCATAAGGGGCCTTTAATAAAGTTTGTGGCTTAGGAGTATTGACAGGGCAAACGGCATAGATTTGGCATTTTAAACATTGGGGCTAGACTATTATGACACCTCTTGATTGTGTGAGCGACCTTGGGGCGAAGTATTGATACCGTGTAGATGATAGATACTTCACACTGGCACCCGCTTTGGGAAATACTACCGCGCTGATCCGAGACCGTTAATGGCATAAATTGTGGTCAAACATTTTAAACAGAAAGAAAGACAAGCGGCAATTTGCGACAGACCTTTTATCACCCTAACAAGCCTGGGAACTTGAAGTTATACATCTTAGAATTTAACCAAGTCCTACACGTAACCAAGTCTTTCACAGTGTCACTTGACTCGAATACAGACACCCTACATATGTAGCTGTGCAACTAGTAAAAAGGATAACCACTAAGGTACCGACGCAAAGTGAATTAGTCCTTTTCCAGTGCCTAGGTGATGAATACTCTTATTCGGTAACTCTATCAAGTGTTATTTGCTGAATCTAAAGAGATGTGTGTAATAAATTCAAGCCGTAGCTATATCACTCATACCCTAATCAACATCAGTGTCAAGTTTGGCGAAGTTCATGCATAGTGAATATACCCAATCCCTGGCAACTATTATCATCTAGTTTCGCTTCTATTCCATATATATCCGAAGACAGACATGGAACTATTGTTATGTTAGTGTATCGCAGACCTTAAAGACCTCGGGACATTATTCAAGGTTACCACTGCAATATCTACTTAAGTCGGGGCTCGAGAATTTACATAGTATTGCTCAAGTTACTAGACAGAGGATGAGCGCAATCAACACGTCGCTGCTAGCTCATAGCATGGAGACACGTGCGTATGGGTACCTAGGTATTGGGCTATTTCGATGTACATATTGAATATTGATAAACATTGTCGTGGGTAGTCACAAGCCTTCCAATAATCCCTGTAACGCAATGTTGGGTATATAATCGATCGTTAAGTTGGCTAATCATCAACGCTCGTGTGGATACAATATATTGTATCGTGTGACTACCCAGGAGCATTGCGAAGATCACCCGGTTCCCATGCTTAAGAGATCCGATAATTGGCCATTCGTCAGTATACACTGGGAAATACCATAAAAAAAAAAAAGTACGGATAAGAACGAGTGGCCTTGGCAAATACACTGGCGATAAAAAAACGGGGGGAGAAAACCAATAAGCTGAAGGGGCTGGAAAAGGGAAAGGGAGCTGGGGTAGGAGGGTGCTAGGCAAAGGCTTTTGAGAGAAACTTCACACCTTCGCACGAATAGTTGTGGAAGGATTCTGGGGGCTGCAAGTGCTGGCAGGGCTGTGGGACCAGTGATATCTCATCGGAATTTCAGTTTTCGATCTAGATGGCCGGATCTGCAAGATTGTGACCGACCAGATGCCGCACTGCTGCAGGCTGCAGTGGAAGACACTCGAGCGTCTAAATTAGGAAGTAGGCCTTTCATCATCCCTGACTCGGCTCTCTCCCTATGGAGTTGTTACATAGCTAATATAATTCTATGATATTGAGAGTAAGTACGCTTTTAGCATACTCTTCATGTTCAGTCATACCTAGGCAAAATGACTCTCATTTATCCTGTCTGAGCTTGGTGTCCATTTGTCCACACAGTTGAAATTTCCATCTTCCTTGCTTTGACCTTACTGTGTGCACAGCAACGATAGAAAAGAGTTCCAGATGAGTCCGAGGCTGACCTGTTGGGGCCCACTGCCGACAGGGCTGCAGCTGAACCAATGGAATCTCTCGTGCATGCGCCCAGGCTTCCTCCTCTGCTCCTCATTTCAGGCTCATGCTGTTGGCTGGTCGCACTCGAGGTCTTCCAGTCTCGCTCGACCGCCGCCCACGCCTGCCACGCTGCTGCGCCATGTGTAACTGAGTACTTAAGTAAGTAAGTACCTAGGTAAGTAGTAGCCTTGTGATCTGGAGCTACAGCAGCCAGGACTGCCAGGGCTAACCTTACCCAGGCAAGGGAACTGCCCGAACTACCCGCTAACTTAAGATGTTTCGGCACTTTAACGGGTTGAATCAAGCTCATATGCACGCCCCCACGGGCCAAAAGGTACCAACATAGATCTGATCGGCCGGGCGTCTACGGCGAGGCATGATGACTCGCCGGTAGGGTGAAATGCCCCACGCGCTCGGCGGGCTTTATTAATTTTGTTTCTGAGTGAGCCTCCTTCTCGCATATGTACATAGCTTCGGTTCCGTTCACACCCCTCTCCTCTCCTTTCCTTTCCTTTCCTTTCCTTTCCTTTCCTTTCCTTTCCTATCCTATCCTCATCATACTCCCTGCGTTTTCCTTTGTTTTTCTCGCGGGCGTGGAGCGTCGGCCATAAACCAGCCACAAGTCGACTCGAGTCTCGGGGCTGGCCATCACCAAGCAGACTGCTTTGTCTGCCCAGGCCTGACTGACAAACTGAGTGGGTCCGCCCTCTGCTCGACCACCCAACGACCCCTTCTCCTGATGGAGAAGAACCACAGCGTCACTGGCATGTCCTGGCTCCGGGCTTGCCGCATCCCGTCGCTGAGGAACATTGCCATCATAAGCGTTGTCCTTCTGCTGCTCTACCACTTCCGCACGTGGAGCTTGAGCTACGAGGCCAGCCCGACGCCCGTGCTGTCCGAAGAGCCACCAGTGACAACATCCCCCGAGTCACAACCTCCGCCCTCGCCGCCGCCGCCCACGGACAAGGCGGAACAGCCTCCGCCCCCACCCCCGCCCCCGCCCCCGTCTCCGTCTCCAACCCCTGAGCCCACTGGGATCCCCAAAAAGATATGGTACAAGCTCGGGCCCAAGGGGCTCAGCGACGATGCCCGTGGCTGGACAAACACATGTATCTCGCAGAACCCCGAGTATCACCCAGAATTCTTCACCGATCAGTCTGCAGATGCCTTTGTCCTGGAGAGATACAAGGACCGTCCTGATATCGTGGATACATATTTCGCCCTGACCGTACCCATCCTGAAGGTCGATCTGTTCCGCTATCTCCTTCTCTATTCCGAGGGCGGCATCTGGTTCGACCTAGATGCAACCTGCGAGGGCATCCCGATCGACAAATGGGTCCCCGACGGTGTTGACCCCGCCCTGGTTGTCGGCTGGGAATTCGACGGCGGCTACCACTTTGAGTTCGACAGGCAGTTCACGACCTGGACAATCCTCGCCAAGAAGGGCGTGCGCAAGCTGCTGACCGTGGCAGAGGATGTCGTCAAGGGAGTGGCCGAGTTGGCGGCCGCGAACAATGTCACCATCTCGGGGCTGAACATGGAGATGGTGGGCGATGTCGTGGAGTTCACCGGCCCAAAGAGATTCGCCAAGAGCGTCATGAAGAGTATAGTGGACGAGGAAAGTGCCAAAGAGGCCGGGTGGGGAGGATGGGAGCCGTACCACGAGATCCTGGAACCGAAGCTCGCTGGTGATGTCCTGATCCTTCCGGGCTACGCGCTGGCTGCATCATATAACGAGTACGAACCGGAGGACCAAGACAGAGTCGGCCCTTCATTGGTGGTCCATCACTACGCCGGGACCTGGAAGAATGAGCACGGCGGAGAGACGGCAGAAGGCGAGGGGAAATCCTCATGAGAAACGTCTATAGAAATGCGATGGGCGATCCTAGATAATAATGGCATGCACCAACTTTTCCTTCTCTTGGTAGCCGCTCCCTAGGATGCTAAAATGTGATGATCTATTCAGCTATCACAGGTTGCTTGTGTGAATGCTCACTTGCCACTCCCATGTGTAGCCAATCCAGATATCAGGTCATGTAAGAACATGAATGAAGCTATGTCACTAGATACAAATACATTTTGCCCCTTCAGCCGATCATAAACATTTTTTGACTGTTGCTTGAACTTGCGGACGTTACCCTCTGGCCACGCTGATCAAAAATCCAAGAATGGGAAAGGAAGGAAAATAGGAAACCAGGTATTCTTCCAAGGCCGCCCCTCGCCAAGCTTTCCCACCCAGTAAGTACTTATACCCAATTTACGGGTATCGACCTCCAAAGGAATGACAGTGTCCCATACAAGCAGCTCAAGGTCGATCTCGTCAGGAACCCGACTGACTGCACCCGGCTCCCCGTTCGCAGTCTCCTTGGTGTCCGCTGTCAGTTTCTTTTGAAACTCCCCACACTCACGTACGACGATCCAAGCGACTGCCTGTACAAGAATCGAGTCGATGGCTTCTTGCGCAGAAACCGCCGGCGAGGAGCTACCTTTAGGGGGCCTCAGCTCGGCTTCGACCGCAGCCCAGACCTTCCACCTCTGCGGCTTTGAAATGTCAATGGCGTACCGCATGTTGTGGAAGCCAACCTTGTCGGCGCTGCACTGGCAGTCTTCAGGACGTTGCTGACCACGCTGTGGACTCCTGGAGACGTGTGTGTTGCTTCTGAGTTTCAGGGCGCCCCCGGGGCTCTTGAACTCCAGCCCGTCTGGCCCGCCGTTGTTGGCGGCAAAGCGGCGTGCCACGTCGAAGAAGACGTGCTGCTTCTGTTCTGGGCCTTTGATGGAGAGTGCCTGGTCTAGTACGGCCTTCAGGTCTCGGTCGACGCGCCTCCGCCCGAGGAAAGGCACCGCGTTGAACAGAGAGAGGGGGCGGAGCTGCTGAGGCTGGCGTGCGGCGGGGGCCAATCTCTGGCCCAGGAGTAGTCGTGGATGAGCCAGTGTTCTCATCGATGGCTGGACTGTCGCACGGGCAAGCGTCCGGATCATGGTTGGTCTATACATTTTGAGTATGATGGTTTGCGACTGAAGTGTTGGAATAATTGTTCTGAGCTCTCTCGCTCGATACCAACAGGTCCCAACGACATGCTCCGTGACCAGGTGGCAGCAATTTTTTCCTTCTCCCTTTTCATGTTGGTCTCTATTGGAGCCGTGAGTGGCTGGGATGCTGCATGCTGCATCACATCACACAGGGGATTGCAGTGTCCAGAAAGAGCAACTGCCCCATCCCCCCTTGCTTTGCACGGTTGGCAATTTGTTGGACAGAGCGACACATTCAACTCACAAAAGTAGGCATTGATTTGGAGAGAATATGTGAATATGTATGCTGGCCAGACCTGACCCGGAGGCTGACTTCCAAGGCTGCCGAACCAGGTAATTCTGAAAATACATCAACATTTGTTGTAAGTACGATTCGGACAATCCACACTGTTGTACAAAGAGTTGGTCTTGAGGCTTCTTGGTAAAATATCCGTCTTCGGACGCGTTATCATCGAAATGTTCGTGTGACAAATGTGAGTCCACGTTCACCAGCACACGCAGGAGTTGATGAATTCAATTTTGTCCCAAGACCAAACTAAAATCTTTATGTCAGTGTCCCCTAAAAAGTCTTAATCGCCTAAAACAAGCCAGGAATGGAATGAGTTATCTAAGTGCTGGTTGCTTAAAGAGGAATAAATGGCTTAAGGAGCGGGAGAGGTCGAGGGCGAATATGTCTTCGCACATTTTATAGAGCAAGTTTTCCCAAAGACTCATGGACGGAAACTTCTAACTAGCGTATCTGTCTTGGCTTGTTTCTCTTTCCTCATATTTATCAACAAACAGATGCGGAAGGATTGTTGTGGAAAAAGCAGCAAATCTCATTTAACGAATCTACCGTAACGCACTTAGGAACGATTTTGGCCAATTTTGTTTATACTTGCTTTACGTCTTTGACTTGTGATGATTGTGTTTGGACCACCAAGACTCTTCTCACAATTAATTGGGCTCCACCAAGCATTGCTGCCCCCAAGAGCCCAAGGATGCAATAGGTCCGAGTTTCCAAATCATTGCATGCAACGGGAATGAGGAAATACGCATCGGCTGTGGTATTTGTATGCGGCTGCCAGACTGACACGGTCCGAGCTGGCTGACTCTGCTTACACGTGAGCCACTACATGACCTGGCGCGGCGGATGCAGCTGGCCCACGCAGCAGTGGCACATCCGTGGGGGAAACCTCGATTGAGAAATGCAAGGGAGGCACAATATAATCACGTATACCCACCCTCCTATGGAATGGCAGGCCAGTGAGGAGGGTTTGTTCCCACTTGTCGGGACTCGGCGACCCTCCCAAAAGGGGCCCCGCTTCCAACTCTGTCGTCATGAGCGGATACGCTCGCAATGGGCCTTCGAATGGGGGTCTCAGGTAGACTGGACTAATGGATGGGCATCAAGGAGGGCAAGAAATGCAACTGTGGTCAGAAGTACTCGAGACAATCAAACCTGAAGCCAAAGGGACTGTCTTGAATGTAGTGTAGGTACTCACCTACCATTGGCTCCAAAGCAGTCCACTACTCCGCTGTCGGCTCCCGTCGTGTTGCAAGTAGGTCATAAAATAAAATTGACGGGTTTGGCGCAAGCACGTCAAGTCAGGTAGGTAGTCAGCCCTCGGTCATACTAGACGCTCTTCTCCCATTGTACATATTTTTCCCTCTCCCTGGCTTCTGCAGCTCTTCGAGGTCTGACCAACTTGCCCAGATCTTCAGATTGTCCAGCTCCCGTCATCCCAACATGGCTACGTGAGTCAATATTGACCATCCCTCCCCTCTCCCACCACTTACCTGGGTACCCCGCGGTTGCCCCAACTAACCCTTCTCCCACCCGCGACAGCAACATCACCTGGCACCCCTCCCTCTCGCGCAAGGAGCGCGAGAGCTTCCGCAAGCAGAAGGGCTTCACTATCTGGTTCACGGGCCTGTCGGCGTCGGGCAAGTCGACTGTCGCCACGGCTCTGGAGCAGCACCTGCTGCACCTGGGCCTGGCCGCCTACCGCCTGGACGGCGACAACGTGCGCTTCGGCCTGAACAAGGACCTGGGCTTCAGCGAGAAGGACCGCAACGAGAACATCCGCCGCATCGCAGAGGTCGCCAAGCTCTTCGCCGACAGCTCCACCGTCGCCCTGACCTCCTTCATCAGCCCCTACCGGGCCGACCGCCAGGTCGCGCGTGAGCTGCACGCCGCCAGCGGCGCCCAGGGCGACGAGCCCCTCGCCTTCATCGAGGTCTACGTCGACATCCCCATCGAGGTCGCCGAGCAGCGCGACCCCAAGGGCCTCTACAAGAAGGCCCGCGCCGGCGAGATCAAGGACTTCACCGGCATCTCTGCCCCCTACGAGGCCCCCCTTGAGCCCGAGATCACCATCCGCACCCACGAGAACAGCGTCGAGGAGTGCGTCGCGCAGATCACAAAGTACCTGCAGGAGAAGGGTCTGATCGGTGCTTCGGCTTAGGGTGTATGAGGCATGTGCGCAAAATTGAAAGTAGAAGCACCGCCTCCTGGTTGGTCATGCTATAGAAATTACAGCCTTGTCATGTCAAGTGTCGACGGTCGTAAACCTGACTCTTGTGTTGAGTGCCAGAAAAGTTACATGCTGCTCATGCATACAGACAGCTCCGAGAATGCGCCGTCGTGTCTGTCTAGGGAAATTCAAACTCATAGTACACATATGCCGTATATTCGTTGCCCTCGCCAACGCCCAGGCCAGCTGCTGCCATCTCCGAGCTCAGGGCGGCGTCATCCTTGACGACCTTGCCCTTCTTGTCTCTGCCAAAGGCATTTCCGCCCAGGTACGAGTATGACGAGTCCAGAGAGGTCTTGACCTTCTTTGCCAACTTGGGGGTTGTCTGCCCTGGAGTTAGTGAACCAGTCATGCCGTGCCGTTCCTGAACAGATAGATACTCACCTTGATCAAGGCGCTGACATATTCCAATGGCAGACCGTAGCGCAGGACCGTCTCGACAAACACGCGGAGCGTCAGGACATGAGCCCACACCATGACGGCCTCGCTCCAGCCCGTCCGCCCCAGCCTGAGGGCCTCCCCCCACACCTTCTTCTCCTCCCGCGCCACACGGTCCAGCTCCTTCTGCTCCTCCTCCTTGCCGCCCTCGACGTACTTGTACTGCCGGGGTGTCCACTTTGACTCACGGCACTTCTGGAGGAACTCGTTGCTGTGCTTCTTGAAGGTCGTCACCGCGTACAGGACGAACTCTTCGTCCTTGGCCAGCTCAACGGCTGATCTCGGGACGACCATGGGCGCGATTGACTCGTAGCTCTTGAGGAAGTCTTTTCGGTTGTTCGCTGGGACGACAATGAGGTGCGTTTCGAGGTACTCGGAGTCTGTGATTAATTGTTCGGGATTCACAATGGGCGTGAGCGACTTGGTGGTCAGGTTTCCGCTGCTCATCGTCAGTGCTGCCCTCGTCCTCGGGCTTTGTGGCTGTAACTCACGTCTGTCTTCGGTGCAGAGCCGCGAGGTTTGTCTTGACCGAGTTGTACTGGTTGAACTTGCCCTTGACGTCGTTGTCGACGTTGACGAGCTCCTGTGAGGGTTCGTGAGCAGGTTTGACGGCATGAGCATAGCAGCAACAAGGTATAATACCTTTTGCAGGTTCTCGATCAGCTCACCGAGCGGCCGATCCGCTCGGTACCTGACCTTGTTCCAGCTGAACGTCCGCAAGTACTGGTCCGTAGGCTCTGTGAGGGGATTAGCCACAGATGCTCCCAGCATGGCGCCCGGTCACTCTGTCCTTACTGTCGTTGACCATCTTGTTTTGTGAGATCTTCTCCTCGTCCCCATCAAGGATCGTCTTCAGAGAGTCAGACACCCTCTGGACAACGCCCTCGCAGCCGGCGTGGAGCTTGGCGAGCTCGTCTGCCTGCTGCACCAGCGCATCGAGGGTGCCGATCTTGAAAGCAGGTATGGGGAAGCCTGTCACGGTGCCATTATCGCTGCCGACGGTCGCGCTCAGGGCCTGGATGGCCTCGTCCTTGTCGCCGGTGTCGAATGTCCTCAGCGGCAGGGACAGAGCAATGTAGCTATTCGGTGACGGCATCGTGCCCGGTCTACCGCACGCGGCGGCCTGGAGGATAGTCGGGGTGACGTTTGAAACAGCCGAGTGTGCTGCCGGAAGTGGTCTGGTGCGAAGCAAGCTGTTGGTTCACCGAACTGCGTCACCGAGTTGCTGGAGAGTGCACTGATTAGCCGAAGTCGCCCTCCCACTTGACTCGTCTTCCGGGAGCCAGATCGCCAGCCACAGGAGCTCCCTCTGCTGTGAGTGCAGCTGTTATGATGGGCTGGGCCGCTGCGTGGAATACTGGAGTGCGGGTCGTGAGGACATACACAATGGGATTGGCTCGAAGACCAAGCCGGCGAGGTTGGTGATCCTGGGCGGACAATAGGCAGAGCTTATTAGGATCTGGGTAATAAGCGAGTGGTAGTCCAAGGCCGTGCAGCAGCTGAGGGTGCGAGTGACGCCTGTCGGCCAGTGGGGTAGGTTCAGCCAGCTTGCTGCTTGCCAGCCCAGGTAGCTAGGCCTCTGGGCGACGCCAGATGGCCAAGCCAGGAGCCCCCGGTCAGCCAGCAGCCCGCCCGAGGAACTGATCCTCGACGATCAATCTGAGGGTCACCTCGTGCTGTAAGCCGCCGTCGACGCTACAACAGCTAGACCACGCCCCTCAGCGGTGAGTCCCATCTTCGACCACGGGCACGCCTGAGACGGGCCACGGAGATCCAGTCTCTTCGCCGTGACGAGCCTGAGCCTGAGCCTAAGCTCGACAGTCTGCAGTCTGCAGTCCACAGCCGACAGCCCACCGCCCACAGTCCTTCGGGGCTCGATCACGGGCTACGGAAATCGGATTACGGATACGGAGTACGGGTTCCAGGTCCCATCCCACGTCGACCGTGAGATCAGCAGCCACCCTCGCGAGCGCCCGACGCCCAGGTTGCAGCAGCAGCTGTCCTGGCAAGCCTGGCAAGACAGAACCTGCGCGCGACTGGGTAACGTCGCGCCAACTGGCGGTCGCTTTCCAACAATTGATTCATTGGTTCACGGCCGCACTCGCTCTTTGCCGTAGGCCGCCTAGATCAAATCAAGCCCCCGGGTTCCACCTGTGTGAGCACTGCTGTTTGTGTGGGAGACGGTCGACTGGCGACGCCCACCAGAAATTCGACCCAACGCGTCTGTCTCTTCCAGCAAGACCTCGCCCGTCCTGCATCGGTTTTGACGCCCCCCGCCCAGGCTCGCCGGGCACCAGACAGCCCTTTGGACTCGGTCGGAGACACCGTAATCTGCGCATGGGCCCGTCAAATTGGACAACTCATTCGGGATGCCATTGAATCGTCCATGTTGACGCACCCGCCGACGTCGTGCCGCCGGCCGCTTGATCCTTGTCCACACCGCGACCGCAACATCCCCCCTTGGTAGACAATCCCCTTTGGCGGAGTGGGAATACAAGAGAGTTCTGTGGACGCCAGGCCCAGTTGCAAGAATGGCCCCAGGCACAGGTGTGTTATGCCACCGCATCAATGCCTGCGGTTTTCCTCTTTTATCACTGTGCGAGCTGATCGTGACCATGTCCTTCCACAGCTCCCAAGGCCGCAAGGGCTCATGCCCTCAGCGCCGCCAACGTCACGTCAAAGGCCACCTCTGCCCAGGCAGCTTACAACCTGGCCAGGGTTGGTGCTGGGGGGCAGCCTGTGCTCTCGAACCCGAATGCTCACACAACAGCCCAGCTCGTGCCCACCGAAGACCCCACCCCGAGCGAACCACCAGAGGCCAACGGCTCCCCCGAGTTGCAGTATACGAGCATGTCACAGTCTGACTATGCCGACCCCAAGGAGCTTGCGGGGCAGCCCTATAAGGATGGGCGGATAAGAAACCCAGTCCCCAGCAAGCTCAAGGGGAAGACGAGCAACTCCTCAGGCAGTTTTGGTGTGATGCACATGGACATCAAGGGCAAGGACCTCGCAACGGACAGGGACGCCGCTGCGAAACGGACGAGCGAGAACACGGCCCTAGCGGCCAAGATGGCTTATCAGAGCGGATACCAACCGCACCGGAAATCGAATTGGATGAGGATACCCGAGGAGACGCCCGAGCCCGGTGTCCCTTTCACGGGGACTACTCCATACGATCACGCCCTGTACGGTCTGAAACAACCAGCCTCGAATCCTCCAAGAGAGACGACTGTGACGCCGGTGGCACCCGCGACCTCAGCAGCACCAACCGCACCAATGGTACCAGTAGCGCAAGAAGGGGGAGGAACGGCGACGTACGAGATTCAGCCCTTGACTCCTGGCGAGACGAAGGAACAGCAGGCGCGGTTACTCACACTGCTTCGCACCCTGCAACCTGTCGCCGTCGTCGACCAGCTCTGCAAGGCGTTGGCATATTTTGGCGGCGTCCCTGAAGCCCCACCGCCACAGGACGGAAAGTTCCCTGAGAGCGCTGAGGCCAATGGCTCGGGTGCCGTCTTCGTTGGATGGGTTGCAGAGATCTTTCCCGACCTTGATGCCCAAGGAAGACGCAAGACCAGGGCGCCACGAGTTGTCGAGCATCCTGTCGCTCCCGTCACTCCTGCCGCTGCTGCCACAGCCACCCCACCCGTACAGACAGTCGAAAAGCGAGGGCGTGGCAGACCCAAAGGTAGCAAGGCCAGCAAATTCAGGAGTGACAAGGGTGTGAAGAAAGGTCCTAAGAAGTCATCAGCTGGCGAGGGCGTGGAAACCAACGGCGGCGAGAACGACGACAGCTGGGTAGATGCAGATGACACTGCTATCGGGGACCAAGAGGTTGTCCTAACGGGCGAACAGGCGCGGCAGAACCCACCAGCGCCTCAAACGATCCCCGCCGAAGCAGAAGTGACTTCAAGCGCCAGGAAAAGGGGCAGGCCAAAGGGCTCAAAAGGCAAGCCCAAGGACGGAAACCCTGTGACAGAGAATGGCTCGAGCAACAATCTACAGCCACTTTCTGCGTTATTCAGTCTGGGGAAGAAGGCGAGCCGGCCAAAGGGCTCGAAGCCTCGGCCCAAAGAGGGTGCAGGCAACCCTTCTGCTTCAACGGCCGCGGCTGGGACCACACAGATGTTGGCTACGAATGCCCAGAACGCTGCAGTTCCGGAACCACAACAACAGGGAGAGCCTGAATTTGCGCTGGCTGCTCTGCAAGCCTTCAACGAGTCGCATGCAGTTGATGCAGGACAGCAGCAGCCAGGCTCATTCCAGGCAGTGAACAATTCTGCGCCATCTGTGCCTGCTGCGCCCGGGGTGCAACCGAAGGCCAAGAAGGCCAATGCTTCTAAGAGCGGCGAAAAGGCCCAGCCAGCCAAGAAGCGCAAGAGGAATGCGAAGGACAGCGACGCTACTCACAACCAGGCATTGCCGGGCAGTGTCCAAGCCACGAGCGATGAGGCACCACCTAGCAATGCAGCCCCGATTTCTGTCAACGGAAATGGGGTTCATGAGAGTGCCATTGCTGAGCCAACATTGACGGCCCCGCCAGCTCCAAAACGACAGCGGAAGTCGAAGGCGAAGTCGTTAGCCAACGCTGCAGCAAAAGCCGCGCCCGTTGCCGACCAGAATGCAGCAGCATCGAGTACGCCACAGGTATCTCACACTCCTGTGCCTCCTGTGCAGGCAGCTCAACCGCCTGCCGACGCTCAGGGATACACCAGCCCGACTATAGAAGAACTCACGGCCCAGCTCGATGAACATGAGGAGCAAAACTTTCGCGCCCCGGAGATCACTACCATGCGAGCTCCTACAAGGCAAGCCCACTCATCACAATCTGACCAAGCCCAAGCCCTAGCCCAGCCTCAAGCCCAGCCTCAACTGCCCCAACGGCCCACTCAGCAGGCTCAACCGCAGCAAGTTCAGCAACCAAAGGCTGTTAATTCCGGCCAAGCGATGGGCGATCAGCAACAGAGGCAAGCTGCCATGGCGCGTCAGAGGCAACAATACCATCAGCAGCAACAACAGCAGGCACAGCAGCAGGCACAGCAACAATCCGGGGCACGGACGGCTTCACCTAGTGTCAACAACATCCCTACAGCCTCGCCACATCTGAGTGTCCAGTCTGTTTCTCCCAATCTCAACCCAGCCCACTCGGTATCCCCAAGCCTACATCAGCAGCGCGTCTCTAACTCCCAGACGCCAACGTCCGTGGCCTCACAAGTCCAGAGCCAGCAAGCACGGAACTCGCAAGCCTACTACACACAACAAAATCCTTCGACGCAGTCGCAGTATGGTCAGCAGCAAGCCCAGCAGTATGCGACAGCACAGCCCAAACAGCAGTACAACTTGCAGCAATCCCAACAGCAGAGTTACTCGACACAGTCACCGTCGCAGCAGCCGCAAAGCTTCAGTGCCCAACAGACACAACCACAGTACGCGCAGCAGAAGCAGCAATCTTATGCGGCGCAGCAACCCCAGCAACAGTACGGCCAGGAGTCACAGCAGTACTCGACCCAGCAACGTGTTCAGCAGCCGCAATACACCGCCACCTCGACTGCGACACCGTCTCAGACGATGGCTTCGCAGTCACCACAGTACGGTGCTTCTGCCACACCAGCATATAACTCCAACGATGGCGCGTTCCGGGCTAGCTCCTCGACGGGCTTGAGTTTTGCAACCTCCGCATATGGGACGAGCCAGTCGTCGAATACGCCGAGATCCAATAACCTGTACCAGTCACCCGCCACAAACACCTACAGCAGCCCGAACCAGCAGACCTCATCCTACGCCACAAGCCGCCGACCTCAGTCGACAAGCGCCTCACAGCAGACTCCCGTGCAGAACGTGCAGAGCCTGCCGCAAAATATCGGTGGCTTCTCTGATTTTGGCGGCCTTGGGTTTGACATGGCGGGCCTGGACAACTCTGCGGCTAGCCACAACAGCCTGGGCCTCAACCCTGCGCCTTACAACATGAGTGCCGCAAACGTGTCGGGGAGGTCCTCGGCTGGCGCGACCAACTTCTCGTCCATGAACAGCTTCGACTCGACCATCCGCAACGACGCCTATTCTGGCTACGGGCTGCCGGGTCGGAGATAGTCCGAACACAGAGTTATTCGTTTGACCCAACACTTTACAGGGAGCCACGTCGATTTCAGCCTCTGACAGTTGGGCAGCCATTTCCGAGCCCTTCCTACAATCTGGTCCCCTTTGCGCTTCGAAGTGACATTGAGCGGGCGTCGCTTCCAATGATGTATATCGTATCTGTACTCTCATGCTCTCAACAGGGTTCATCTGCCAGCGATTTATGACACGGCCTCGGGCCAAAACATTGGCCCCATTGTTTTTCTATTCAGCAGCATGTCCTGGTTCAGTTGATACCTCTTTTTAACAAAAAGAAAAACCCATTTTCTACAAGCGTGGCTTGCTACTGGCTAGGGATATGGCGCGGAGTTGATGAGGCCCTTCTTTCTTTTCTTTTTTTTGGTTTTCTATACTGAACATGAGCGCTTATGACCACGATACTTTTCTTTTTCGGGTAGTAGCGGGTTTCTTGCATGAATGAGGCCCTCGGCTTAGCTAGGGATCAAAAAGACGGTGTTTTGATGACTTGGGCGGACGTGGGAGGCCGAATGGGTCAAGCTTTTTGTATTCTTGGGTGGGCCTCGTGTCTCGTACGCTTCTCATACAGAAGCGATGATCTGAAAGTGTAGGAAGCCCCTCGCCCCTCGGTTGACCATTGATCGACTTGCTACTGTTATGCTCCGGGCATCCTGTCCAGCTTGTGATTCGGGTGGGATTTGCAACCGCTTGTGTAGTCACCGGGTCTCGGCTAAAGTCAGTAAACAAGTGTGGATGGAGTATCAAGGTCACTGGCTCAAGCCGTGTGGGAAGTTTGAGCGGGTTATCAAGTAGAAACTTGTTGATGATTGATGGTATGATGATATATGTAGTAGAAGATTTCGACAAGACTGACTAGCCCGTTCCTCGCGCCGTTTGCGCTTGTGTGTGCGTATGTGTGTGTGTTGCACACCCCCCAAAGTATTGTTTGCAGAAGAACGCCTCTGAATGCTTGGCCCCCGCAGATGACATAGGAAAGATGTCCGTCAGATGATGACAAAAAAATCGCTAGATGAGCAAAACAAAACCCGCTCCCTTCGTCGGCTCAAAAATGGTATTTCCTCCACCTCTATTCCTCAAGCAAAGAAAACTTTGTGAATCTTCCTCCTCTTGACTGCTCTCTGTTTTGTTCGGTTCATTCGAGAGTGTCTTCCTCAATGGCCTCCTTGGGCGGCTGAATATTCTCATACCACCAGAAGTCCTCGCCCTCGCCGCCGTCTTCCTTGATCAGGTCCAGCATCACCTGGGCGTTGCGCTTGATGTCCACAGATCTCTCGACGATCTTACGGTCCAGAATCATGGCCTCGGCGGTCGACAGCCACAGTTTCTGTAGCACGGGTAGGTCTGGAAGGAGCAGCCTGTACTGATCCTGCTCGAGCCAGTCCATCGGCATCCCTGCCGCAAGACTTGTGTGGAAGACAAGGCTCGGCTGCGTCGCCGTCGATCTCCTTGTCCCCGCGTGGTCCAGCGATCCGCGGTTGGGCAGTTCCGGAACGTCGTCGGCCTGCGACCTCGCGGCATCTCGTACCTGCCAGGTGGACTTCCTCCGTCCCAAGCCCATTATCCCGCGCCTTGATTTCGTCTCTTTGCTGACCTCGGGGCTCCTCGGTGGCTCTTTGGCGTCCTGGATGGCGCTGTACCACGTGTCCACAGCTCCTCTCCGCGTGTTGTAGCCGCGGACTTCCCATAGCCTCAACACCTGCCTCAGGCCGCCCAGACATAGCACCGCCGTGTGAACTTCGTCGGCTGGTTTCTCCCTAAGATAACCCCTTACTGTCCGTTCCACACGACCGACGTACGATGGCGGCCGCAAGCGCCTACAAAAGGAAGCCACGACAAGCGGGAAGACCTGGTGGACTTGTAATAGTGTCCGATCGTCGTACATATTCATGATTTGGACTTCGATCGGGTTAAGGGTGTAGGGAGTCCGTTCGACACCGTGGCCGTGTTCCTGGACGTATTGTAGGTGTAGTTTGCGGTAATTCTCAAAGAAGTGGAAGATGGTAAAAAGTAATGGTATGAGTCGTCGGTACATCCTTTCTCTTTGAGACGCGAAGGATGCTATTTGGTCCTTGGTTGTCTTCAAGAAGATTTCCTTGGTGCACCAGTCGCACATTAGCCCCGATAATTTAGCCGCAACATGTAGCCGATGCCACAAGCCGCACAGATAGTGGAGGTTGTAGTCAGAGGGACCCGAGATGGGGTAGAGTCGCTTTGCATAGGCAGGTATCTCATGCTCGAGCTGGCGCCGGACGATGGGATACTCATTCAGAGTGACCATGCTGTGCCATGACTTTGATGCCCTGCGCAGATTGAGGATATCTGACAAGGGGAGATAGGAGATGATTTGAATCTGCAACTCGGTCGGCAGATTCAGGAAGAGGTGTTCGAAGGGTAGACTGGGTTCAAGGTCAGTAAATTGCTAGCTCCTGGAGTCTTGAGATCAACAAGTCCATACCTCCTAGGCCGGGTGGCAGCGCCATCTGCTACAGAGCTTGGTGAAACCTCGGTCACTATCGACTGGCGTCTGAACGTTGGGGCCGGCACTTCGGGCGCAGAGGCGGCTGGCTTCGAAGATCGTAATCGTCCAAACCCAAATAGACTCCGCCTCTCCTTCTCTCTTTCCTTCTCCTGTTTGATATGGTCCACATGCCTTGCCTGCGGGTCGTAACCTTGCTCGGCTCCTCGGATTGGGAGAATGAACCTGGACGAGGACGTTTCGACGACGGTGCCGTCACTATAGTGCTGTTGGGCTGGCTGGTGGTCCTTGGGAAGCTGGTTTATCTTCTCGAAGTAGCGCTTGGACGCGAATTCGGTGATGTGTGGAGGATCCATGGCTGGCAGTGGTGAGCGAGCGATCCGCGTGTCGCGCCCCTGTCGCCTCTCAGGAACCGCGGTGGTTGCCTATGTCCGAACAAAGCTGTCGACTCGAAGTGTTGGCACATCAATCATGGCTGAAACATGGGTATCGACGGTGATTGAAAACGAGTGACTCGTCGGATGTGCACAAGCGCGGGTCGCCTGGCAGGTCAGATTGAGTTGCTTCGAGTTATCGAGGTGCCGGCGGGAGCGGTGATCAGAAGGCGAGATGGGTGCCCAGTAGATGAGGGGAGACTAGGTGTCGACCCAGCAAAAGACTGACACAAGTGTGTGTCGTGCACTGCGATTGACGGGCGGCGGGGACACCCAAGTCGCGGAGTCGGAGACGTCGAGGTATTTCGGCGGCTTATCTTGGACAAGAAAGCGCCAGAAACTGCGGAGGTAGGCTGACGGAGGTTGACCGAAGAGAGCGATAACGGCAGATGGTCGAAGACGGATGTCACCAGTGGTGTTCTGGGTCGAGATGAACTTGTGTTGGCTGAGCGATCCCAATGGGCGACGATACAGGGCGATTTGGCCGGGGGTTTGTGCTTGAGATGCAGCGACGTTTTCGTTGCGGGGGCGCGGTTGCCAATTGGGGGGGCGTCAACGGGCCCTTGTAGAGAAACGGGGTCGAAAAGCCCCGAGACGCAGCCGGAGGGCGATGGATGGATACGAGAGTAATTTGCTGGCGATTTGTCGGGGGGCCGAGACGAAGTTGTTTCTGTTGCTAGGTTCTGATGGGAAGTCTCGAGAGCGGAGAGGGAGAGAGCGACGGGGCTCGGCTTGGCTACACAGGGAAGGGCAGCTGCCGGCAATAAGACTGCGGCCCGACGCAGTTAGTAGGAGATGGGATGTGTCGGCCGGTCCCAGGGCAGCACAGCGCAGTCACAGCGCAGTCACAGCAGCAGCACCACACCACAGTACAGCACAGACAGCAGCACCACAGGGCGAGACAAGGCAGAGAGAGAGAGAGAGAGAGAGACTGTTGGACGGCGTGGTGGAATGAACCAAATCAAGCAATAGTACCAGCAACGTCTGGGTGACACACGGTTTGGACTGGCAGGTGGAATACAGTAAATCGTGATCGGGGCTGGGGACGCTGCAGAGAGCTCGTCACAGGGAGAAAGACTGGAGAATGGGGTGGAGAGTCTTGTGCAGGGCACACGCACAGGGCGCCAAGAGCAACAGCAAAACGGCTGGCGAGGCAAGAGGGAATGGGTCGAAGTCGATATGGATCCGGATGGACCACGGCGTTTTGGCTCGGCGAAATAGTGGAGGGCCATCGGGCCAGAGTCCACTGATTCGAGCGGCACCCCAGAACCTTCGCAGCGTTGGACCGCCCGTGTCAGTGGTGCAAGGTGGTGGTAGCCGTGTACGGGTCGTGATGCGGGGAAGAGTTGCATTGCCCAGGTACCCCTCTACGGCGGCCCTTTGTCGACCCCCCCATGTCCCCCCATGTCCCCCCGGGACTGGGGCTTCTCTGCTGCTTCTGTCGCCAATTCGGGCCTATCTATCTGCTTGTGGTGAGATGAGCGGCCACCAGAAGGCCACGGCCCGCCAAGTTACCATGCTCAGAGTACGGCCGAGATCTGCTCCGACGGATCTTCCTCGCCTGCGACAGGGCTGCATTGGCCGCCGGCTACATGGTAACAACGTTGATAGCAACCATCGACTCTGATCTTGCATGACATTAGAGACTCTGCCACTGCAGTAGTCAACATTCTTGTCATGACATGGTCTTCAGAGAGAAAGACTCGAAGCTGCAGCATCGACCGCATTACTGCAGGCCGCATGAAGCAACAAGAAAAATGAGAGAGAGAAAACGGAGGAGTTGCAGCTGAGGCTCATTTAGCCGGGGCCAATGAGACAGAAACGCCCAGAACCGGTTGAAAGCCAGGGTGTCTCGCTACCCCCGTGGAGCAAAGATGCGAGCAAAATGGCGAGCTCACCCCCAAGTCCCCTTCTCACGATGCTTCTTCGGCCCAGGCGTCACAAGCGTTACGTTACGCCTTTTGCGCAGATTCTTCTCTTCTGACAACCTCCTGCGCTGCTGGGCCGTCTTGTGCATTCGGCCCAGAGAGGGTCAGACGTTACGGTACCACCGCCGTGGTGGGCCCGTCCAGTGATTCTGCAGCACCTGTGCCTTAGTTCCGTCATGTCTCTGATGATGTCTCTGCTGTGGTCTGGGGTGCAGTCTCCCTGTTTGTCTACTCTGGGCTACCAAAGCCATCAGCACTTTAGAAGCGCCTTATAGTTCTTGCTCTAAGCAAGACTTGTCCGAGTTAAATCATCCCAGATGCTGATGATGTGTGCTTGTACAGACTAATGGTCCATCATATTCCGATGATGCCGCTCCCCGCCAACTAGTGGACGGCTATGGTTCAGCCAAAAGACCCAGGAATCAACACATCCTCTCCTTAGCTCAGCTGGCAGAGCGGTAGACTGTAAACGTATGCAAGATTATCTATAGGTCCTCGGTTCAAATCCGAGAGGGGAGACGTCTTCTTTTGCTCTTTTTTGCGATATCAGGTTGGCAGATGGCCAATCAAGAGAGCCCGGGAAGTTGAGGTACCCACAGTTGCTCAGACGTCAAGTAGATCGATCCACTAGGTGGTCAGACCAGCGAACCACAAAATTGTCTTGGACAAAGCCCTAGTAGAATACCGCCGTTCGCGCATCCCTTTTGTGACAGTCTACGCTTGCTATTGTGTTCACTATATTTGCCTGTCTGCCAGTCTGTCTGTGTGACACATTGTCAGCAGTTTACTTTAATGGCTGTTGCATCTCAGACTGCATCTCGCTGCCTCCGCAATGATCCCGGGAATGCGTTGGATGGTGCCATGCAGGCTGGCAGGGTGGTATCGCGCCGGACGGTGGAGATTCTGATGTGATATCACTGTCAACCACTGGGCGGCTTGATTCGCCTGACCAGAGAGACGACCATGCTGTCGTTGCATCGAATTGGGATGGAAACGTCTCCCCTTCTCGTGATAATTTTACACGACCCAAGCATTCGGTGAGCAAGACGAGAGCTTGTCTTGAAGCTGATCTTGCTAGCTGATCTTGCTCGGCTCTGCCAGATGATTGACAGGTTATCTTTGACTAATCAGTACTGATGAGTGAAGTGGAAGAGGGGGGAGCCTAAAGGTGTGTGATGCAACCAGCCCTGAACCATCTTCGGCAGTTGCTTGTTCACATGGGCATGGGGATGGCAGCTCGACACGATCCAGAACCCGGTCCTTTTCTCGAAAAATCCCAGATGGGCCAGACGGGCCAGACGAGTCGTTGTCGTTGCCACCACCAGTACGCGACGACCGGACGGACTAATTACCCATCCAGCCAAGCCATCCACGCCTGATGAGACCCTCGCGAAGCTTGTCTCAAAGCTTCACATATACATACAATTCTGGACACTGACCGGGCGTTCATCTCGTAATGTTGCTTGCTACGTTGCCAACATGCTCATCAGAGATGCACAAGCCCTGAGAAGAAACAAGCCGCAGAGCAATCTGGGGCCGGGGCTATCGGGAAGCCAGAGTCAGTGTCCCGGGCACTCAGGTCCCAAGAGGACCCGCGCCCCGGCCCTTCTCCGGCGTCTTTCGTGCATCTGAGATGCGCCACTGCTGATTGGCCACGCCTATCGGCACCCTTCCCCTGGCGGGTGGTCCACCGATTGTCTTCACTTGACCGTTTGACCGTTCGGTAGGAAGGACGTCAGAGGGGGGAATGGACATGATCGAACCCTTCCGTGCCGTGAGCCGCCAACGACCGGCGCGGTGGCCTGTTCGAAGCGAACATACTGTACAGTCTGGCAGTGTGGTCCTCCTCCCTCGCGACAGGCGATGCCGAGCAGGAAGGCGAGCGGGACACACAGCGATGCGAGTGGAGGGAGATGTATCACCAACGCCGGCCGAGGATTCGCGGGCGCCCATCTCCATCTGTCTGTAACGTCTGACATGACAGCTCAGAACCGGAGGCTCGATCGAGGTCTGCGCGTCGCATGCCAGCGTAGATCTGAGCCGGCAGCAGCGCCTCCAGGCGACTCGCACGGCACGTTACACCCTGCACGCCATGCTTCGCAGTGCTGACTCGGGCTGCGGTGTGCCGAAAGGACGGGCCGGCTGGCCATGGCTGCTGCTGCAGTGATGTGTGCAGGACGCACTCTGTACGGTACTCCGTACAGGAGGCATTGGATGTGGTCGGTCGCTGTTCACGCGAGCCGTGAGACACTCGTGGCCCGGCTGGGGCAGGCAAACAAGGCACCCTGCCGCGTCGGAGAGGCAGAGAGGCTTGGCCTCGCGACGGAGACAGGATACAGGTGATTGTCGACGACTGTCTCATGAGGCATGCAGCCGTCGTCAGTCCACATCCACCTCCGGATGGAGTCACGCGCAAGGAAGACGGATACGAGATGGCATATGCGTCTGAGGTCAGCAGCACCTGTGAGGTGAAGTCACAGTCAGGGCACTTTGGGCGGGTGGAAACTGGGGAACTGGACCCTGTTCGCTGGGACCGATGGTCCTGGCGGGCCCAGCGGGCCTGGGGGCCTGGGGAGCTGGGGAAACAGGGAATTCTTGTGGGGAAAGGTAAAGGTTCAGGCTGGGAAAGGTCTTCCTTGCACCCTTCCCTTCCCTTCCCTTCCCTTTCCTTCCCGGGAGTGGGGGGCGGGACGCTGCGAAGCCTGGCAACCTGGGTGGCCGGGGATCAACGGCGCTTGGCCTCCGTCTTCGCTCCTGCCTCGGCTACCTTTGGGGCCGGGAAGGCGGCATACAGCTTACCATCCGACCTGCCTTGGACGGGGCTGAAGATGCTCTCAAACAGCGACTGGAAAACATGGTGGTACCATTATTATTCACGGTGTTTTCAGTTCCCGGCTGTCGTCTCATACAGCGCGCGCCCGTGACTCCCTCGGCCAAATTCATTCTCAACGATTGTGCTTGTGAGAAGTAGAGTTACAGCTGACACAATCAGTGGACGGAAAATTGTGGGTTTGGTGGGGTTTTTTTTTCACCTGTGATCAGCATCTCTTTTTTTTCTTCTTTTTTTTCAACCTCCTCATCATTTGAGCGCTGACTACTGTATGAAGAGCGCATATACGCCCTCGGATATAAGTGGGTCAAGAAACCACCTAACAGATGGAATGGTCCGGGATGGGATATCATCTCCCAACTATCACTCACATTATTTCATGATCTCGCACCAGAACCTCTGTGGGAAGCTGTGATGTTGCCCTTATGTAGAGAGGTCTCCCTCAGTAGGCTCTCCCCTTTGGATATTGACAGTCATTTTCCCTTAGAGACCTTCCCAGAGGATGTTGCCCTCTAGGAGGCCAGCCTACAAGACATTGTGTTGTAGGAGCTAAAGACGGCGTGTATGCGTGGCGGACACCCGAGCAGAGCTTTCAAACAAATCTTAGATCGGCATTACCTGCTGCTCTACGGAGCTGCCGTGCTCAGCTGCGCGAGGCCAGAGGGAGCTCGCGATCTCGCACCAAAAACCCTGGCGTGCTGCCTCATCTCCCGAGGCCGTCTATGCGACCAACTCCTGCATTGGTTTCATGATGGGGCACTATACTCCGTACATGAGGTGGTCTCGCTGATGTATACTGCACCGGGCAGCGGCTATCGAGTGCACCCGGCAGAAGCTCCCAGATCCCAGGATTCCCACGTGTAACATGGACTGCACCCTGCATGCTACTGTGTACGGTGTAACGGCCTGCCTGCCTGCTCGAGGACGACCTCCTACGGCATAGTTTCATATAGCTTTTATTGAATAATGCGTGGGTTGAAAGGATTCCAAAGCAGACTGCCCTGGCCGCCTGACTGCTTGACTGCTTGTATCACAGCATTCTGTCGGTCGCGTCGGTTCCCTGCTGCGTGCCTGGAGCCCCTGCGTTGACCCTTGAGAGCCTTCGTGCTTCCATTGGGCGGCGGTACGACTGCAGCCAGCTCCAGACCAACGACACCTTATTTCAAGAGGTATGTATGTAGTGTATGTATACCTTACCTGTCGTTTTTCCCATCTCCATCTCGTCTGAGGTCACCCTGAGACACCCATGAGCGACGCACTAGAGCATGCGGGTCGGGTCGGATCTGACCCGTTCCTGCAAGGAGTGGGAGGACAGACTGCTGGCAAGCACCTTGGTGCTTGGCTGGCCTCGCTGACTTGCAGCCTCTGGTGTTGCCTCGTGGAGAGAAGGGAGAAGTTAAGAAGAAGAAGAAATAGGAAATAAGAACCATTCTCGAAGGCGGGAGAGCTATCACGGCGTGTGGGTGCGGGCAACCAACGCCTGTGGTGTGAAGGCGGCACAGTCCCCGGCACGGTACGAATGTGGCAGTCTGTGCTCCCTGGTCACTGTGCTGTTCCTGTCCGGCCTCGTGGGATGGGCTGCTATTTTTAGGTCCTCACCCCCCCTTCCCATCTTGCCATCCACAGTAGCGTGCCCAGTCCCGAGCTCTCGGATGGGGAGGAACGCCACACGCTGATTGCCGCGCTCTGATTCGACCAGTGGTGCGATTCGCTGCCCACCTGCTTTTCAAAGGGCTTTGAAGGTCTGCTCTCCCAGTCTCTGCGGGTTTGGTGAGCTGTCCAGCCAGCCCAGCCTGTCCCTCCCGGAGTATCTCGCATGGCCAACAAGGAGACAGGAAATCTTTGCTACACTAGCTGCGCTCGCCCCTCCCACGCCGTTCTCGAGTCATCAGAGGCGACCCGAGGCCGCCGTCGACCCGGGCATTGATTGCTTCTTCCTGCATGCTGTCTCAGATGCTGACAGCTGCACGCACGCACGCCGCACGATGCAGGCTGGCAGCAGACGTCGACTGTTGTCGCTGCCCGAGGCTGCCGGGCATCCTTGCGACGATATAGCTCGCAACCCTTGGTATCCCAGGCCAGGCTGTCGGTACAGCGGTGGTCCCGTCCTTACCGAGGCTCCGATATAGGGTCTCTCCACCCGGCTGCGAGTCTGCGACGAGGGCGAGGGCGCGCGGACGTCGTCTCGACGTGCCATGGCGGTACACAGTACTTGTGCGCCTGCACTGGCGCTGCATAGGATGCCGTGTGTGCTATGCCGTGAAGTCCTGATCCTCCAGCTCCTGGCGTTGTCCACTTTATATTAAAATTGACATGCGAACCACCTGCCCGGGGCCTGCCCGGCCCTGCATTTACCCCTTCCCCTATTTGATCCCGCCTCCCGCCTCCCGCCACTTCAATAAGCCAGGTGCTCTGGCAATCTGGTACTGTCTGGCCGTGTGTACCGAGTACTGGATACCAAGACTTGCAACACTCTGCCCCAGGCGCATCATCCTTATGCATATGTCGCCGAGCTACCAGTGAGGTGGCGGCGCTGCGCTTGTTGGTCCCAAGCCGACCCAAGTCGAGCCCCAGAGCCCCGCCCTCAGTCATCCACCTCCCGGATCCCAGCCCCAGCGCGCATCACTTTAAGTATTACGTCTGCTTCCCTCTCCCGGGAGCCTGCATCCTGCGCTCGTGTGGTTGCCGTTGAGTGTGCCTGCGTGCCTGCGTGAGAGCCTGCCAACCTGCCTCAACAAACCCACCCTCCCCTCGCAACACACAATTATACATCCGGCCTACCTGCCACCCTCCTCCTCCGACCGACAACACCACCACCACCCCCTGTTGCCAGCCGCGCGCCTATACCTGCCTGCAAGCGCCCCGAGGTGACCCCACGCACACAGGCCCTCGATAATAGAAAAAAAAAGGGGGGATCTCAAATAAATAAATTAAATCAAAAAAAGAAAGAAAGAAAAAGAGAAGAAAAAGAAGAGGGAGACAGACCATGGCGAGCCCGGAGCAGCCAACCGTCGCTCCGCCCGCCGACATTGGCGCGGTCAACGTGGTCGAGACGCCGACGTCACCCTCGTCGGCGTTCACGCTGTCTCGGTTCGAGTTCGAGGCGGGCACCAAGGGCAACGAGGGGACCAAGATCCTCATGGTGGAGTGGGATGCGCGCGCCGCCATCGACGCCGCGGCAGGGCCGGGCGGGGCGGACCGGGACGGCGAGCTGGCCCAGGACGGGTGCGACGACGACGACTGGGATGTGACGTGGGAGGGCAAGGGCCCCGACGGGGGCAGCAAGGAGGACTTCACGGTGCTGCCCATCCGCGACACGGACGCCCCCGAGGGCACGCGCCGCGTCTACTTCCTGCTGCCGCCGGGCGCGCCCATCCCCACGCTCGTGACCATCGCCAGGCGCACGGGGCTGACGGGGCTGACGAGGCTGACGGAGCTGCGCACCAAGCCGCTGCCCGCCATCTTCCCCGACGGCCTGGTCAGCGAGAGCGAGGGCAAGGGCACCCGCGGCGTGCTGCACACCATCTGGGCCAAGCGGAGGCTGCGCGAGCTCGACGCCGAGGTCGCCGCCGAGATGAGGGACAACAGCGAGAGCGTCGGCCTCGAGATGGTCCTGCAGGAGCGCCAGTGGATCGTCGACCACTTTGGCCTCGAGATCGACACCTCCAGCGAGGGCGCCATCGCCCCCGTGCCCCAGAACCCGGACAGCTCCAGCCCCGTGAGCCCCAGGAGCCCCGTCGGCGGCAGGCTGGGCGAGAGGCTCAGGGGCCTGAAGCTGGCGACGTCGCCCGCCGAGCTTGCCGCGGCCAAGGAGGGTAAGCCGTGTTTTTGCTTTTTTTTTTGGTCTCCCCATTTGGTCTCCCCATCTCCGAGCCGGGCCGTGAGAGAAATATATTAACAACAACCCCCACACAGCAAGCCACAACGAGGCAAAGAACTCGGCAGCAGCTGAGCGCAAGATCACCGCCTTCACCCCGGCTTCAGGAGGCGCAGGCCTGGCACGGCCGGCCGGCCCAGGAGGCATCGCGTCGCTGGGCGCCGTCATTGAGGGCGGCGCACCAGCCCCAGAGAGGAGCGTCGACACAGAAGAGGACCTGTTCGCGCTGCCCATGAGCCCACGGAGCCCTGAGGAGGCCAAGAGCCCCTTCAGCATGCTGAAATGTTAGCGGGTTGCGCCTTTACTATATCATAGTCCTCCTCTACTTCTTCTTCTGCTCTTCTCACCTCACTACTCTACGCGTCACCACCCCTGAAAAAGTATAATCCCATACTTTCGTCAAGGGCCTTGATACTTCCGCGGACATACATTTTTACTTTTTTTTTATACGACGACTCAGACTTCAGCCGATAGCATCTTTGGTTCGGACGCCCATCATACCTTGTTCGATTCCTTTCAGCCGGCATTTGAAAACTGGTTGTCCTGAGCGTGCAAGGCTCGTTCTATAGTATAGCATCTAGATACCTATTCCCCCGGGAAACCCCAATTTCTTCTTGGCCTACTCCTTGGCCCCTTTCTCAGTTCACGCCCGGCATTCTTGTATTCACTCGCCATGTGACATGAATGGATGAAGCCTATGCTTTCCTGTACACGATGTGTCCATCTACCTACCTTGGAGGCGGGCCGGGCGAGTGGTGTGTAATGCACCGGGCAAGACTGCTTCAGTGCGATACACTTCATGAGCCTGTCGTGCAGGAGGGCATCAGAGCAGCGCGGCGGTAGTCCATGACTGTAGAGCATCCCGGCCCGAGCCGGACAAGCATCCAATCTGTAAGAGCCTCTCGGCTCACAGGGCCGGGCACTGCTCATCTCCAACCGCCCACGCGCCCCTCGTCCCACCTCTCCTTCCTCTCCTGGCGGAGGTAATGCAGCTTCTTGGCCTCCCTGTACCGCCGGACCCAGTCGAGCGTCTCCCTCTCGGTGGCCGCGGCCCCGTCGTCGCCCTCGCCCTCGAGGAAGCTCTCCTCCAGCGCCGCGCACACCTGCCCCTGCTCCGCGACGCCCGCGCCCAGCCGCTGGTACAGGCTCGCCGGCGCGAACGGGCTCAGCGCGTGGTCCATCTCGCTCTGCTTGGCGCGCCACGCCCGCTCCGACGCGTGCGTGCTGAGGAGCAGCGCCTGCGCCGACCCGCGCGCGTGCGCGAGCCGCGACTCGAGCTCGAGGAGGTGCGTTGCGAGGTCGATGTTGGCCGAGAGGCTCGACGAGAGGGCCTCGGAGCTGGTTGTCAGGGAGGGGTGGGCTGTCGAGGGGCCGTGGGTCAGGCCTGAGAGGAGGGCGGGGGTGGAGAGGATCTCGGCGAGGTCTTGTTTCCTAAGCCACGGGGGAGATGGTCAGAATGCCGCCCGTCCTGGTTTCAACTGGGGAGAGATACGGTTGGGGCAACGGACGACTTGTCTTCAAGGAAATGGGGCAGCCATTGGTCGCCAGGGTCTTGTATTGCTTGCGGCCGAGTGACCTGTGCTTGTTGCGACGCCGGTATTCCTGCGGGTTCTGGGAGGTCGGAATGTTGCTGCTGATCTGGAAGTGGTGATGGCCCGGGTGGTTGTGTATTAATGGGCGTGCTCATGCGGGAGACATCGTGGCTGCCCGGCTTGGGTGGAGGAGCGGGCGGTGTGTTGGAGTAAATGGCCTCAAACCTGTCCATCTTCGGTCCGTTGCCAACCTCTGTGACTGTCTGTACTCGTTTATCGCGTCTCTGGCCCCGAGCCGTGGTCCGAGACGTCTGGAGGCCTGAGAAATGGTAACGGATAAGGGGAGGCTGACTGCTCCAGCGGGAGTTGCATGACGTGGGGTTATCTTATCGGGCAGCTGGAGGTGCCCACACATGGTCCTGGGCAGCTGTGCCACAGCAGCACCCCGGCCACTTGGCTAGTTGCCGCCTGTACTTGCTTGCTCCAGGGGTCAGTCACCACAGCATGAGCAGAACTTGATAATCCACTGTTGAACAACATCACACCAGAAGTGATTGCTCAACATGTCGGGAGGAGCGCAGCAACAAGGAGGTGAGTTCAGACTGCCATGGACTCATAAATCAAATCTTTTCACCCTGCTGACAGTCGCCACAGTGAGCCTCGACCAGCTGAGCGCCCAACAGCTCACGGCCGTCAAGAAGCAGCTGGACGAGGAGGTCGAGCACCTTACCACATCGTTTGCACAACTCCAGGCTGCACAGATCAAGTTCAAGGACTGCTTGCGTTGTGTGAAGACCCAGGGCAGCACCCAAGGTGAGAAGCCCAAGGCTCGAGGAGTGTCAACATTTGTCCGCTTAACGTAAATTATGCTGAACATTATCTGTCGCACAGACAAGAAAGAGATTCTGGTGCCCCTGACGAACTCTTTGTACGTCAAGGGCAGTATCTCAACCCCTGACCGAGTACTGGTGGATATAGGCACAGGGTTCTATGTAGAAAAGGTTGGTTTCAATGTTACAGGACAGATTGACCGACATCTCTTCTAATGCCTTGTAGGATGTGAAGAGTGCTTCCGAGTTTTACGAGGGCAAGATCAAGGATCTCTCTGGCAACATCACAGACTTGGAGTCCATCATTCAGAACAAATCAAGTTCATTGAGGGCTGTCGAGGAAGGTAAAGTTCCAAAGCCATTACCTGCATGTCCTCGAAACTTTTCTGACCTTGTTGCCCTTAGTCCTCAAGCAAAAGATTCTTGCACAACCACAGCAGCCTTCGTCATAAGGCTCACAACCACAGGTCGTGGACCAAGGCAACAACTAAAGTCTTGTAGTGCCCCTATCATTTTGGGCTGCCTGAATCCCCACACCCTAACCTTATTCTTTTCTTCCCCAGGGAAGACGCAAGAGCTTCATCAGAGCAGTGAGCTGTAGATGGAGCCGTTAGTACCAGTGAAAAAAGAAATGTGAAGCTGAGTAGACTCACCCTATGCTTTGGTCGAGTTTTCAGGGCCTGGAACTGGCTCAGACCAGTCCTTGTCCTGATTCATTGGCCAAATCTGTGAAATCATGTAGGCGCTGGATTTGCTGCAAGAAGTGTTCGATTCCGGTGTTGTATTCTTCACTGTCAAACAGTTCAGGGAATCCATTGACGAAATCTGCCTGTCGTTCTTTTCCCGGCTTGTTCATGCCTCGCATCTTGTGGTCCCAGTCGTGTCCATAGATCGAAACTCCGCACGATTTGATCGGATGAGGGACCGCGGCAGTATTCAGAGCCTTCCAAGGGTAGACAGGTTTGGATGTCTCGAGTAAAGCACCACCCCACTCATGATAGACTGCCACCTCAAGGTAGTAGGGCGTTTCTGCAGTCTGAAAGGTCCAGAAGACCTTGCAGGCAACGTTGTCAATGCTTGCGGCACGAAGTAGGTAGTTGTTCATCTCCGTAACCAAGAAATCGTCGTTGATTCCCGTCTCCTTTGAGACTGGAGGCTTGAACCTCAGGCCGTAGTGGATGAATTCTAGCACCTCCGCAGGGATTTGGCTCTTTGGGATTTCAGCTTCGACCGACAAGTGCCAGTCAAACATCCTGTTGGGGCAGGCAACTGCAACCTCTGCAACCTTGTCTCGCTTGAATGAGAATGCTCGCACACTACCGACGTGAGGGTGGGAGTGATACTTTGGGTCATATGTGATGTCGACCTCGATCTTGAGGTCTTTCGCAAACAGCACCAAGGTGAAGTTGGGCTTCATGTCTCGAATGGAGACCTCCGAAGCGTCAGCCACGTAGAATTGGGCGGCGGCTGGGTTGTTGGGGTCTTCGGTCTTGTAGATGGTCTCGAGCATGCGGGCAGCCCAGGACTGGTCGCCGAGCTTGTGGTGAACATAAATGAAGCCTCTTTCGGCTCCCATGTCGAGAAACTTCTTGAGGGCATCGTCGGACTCGTACTTGTCCGTCTTTTTCTGCCGCTTCTTGACCGTGAAAATCCCCATGTGCGCTCTCACCCTCAATTCGCCAGCAGCAGGCCGAAGACGCTTGCCAGTCTCATGAACGGCCACTCGGAATTGATTCACGATGTTGCCGATGTCAGAACCGGAAGCGATTTCGAGGACTTGCCCACCCAAGCCGTCGAGGGCATTGCTTCCATCCTCACTGTCAGAGAAGCAGATAAGATCCTCTTCAATCGTCTTCAGGGCCACAGGCCGATACAAGGGGTTGTCTTGGCCGATTGGTTTGATATGGACCGCATCCTGGGTTGCTGTACTGGGGCGGTGGGTCAGGATGATCATTCGGTTTTGAACCTCTTGGTTAATCCCGACTAGGAAAAGTCGCAGCGCGTCCTTAGCCAAGTTCAGGCTTTGAATATTGTCACCAGAGAGTGTGACAAAGGGGTCTCCACGGTTAATCTTGACCCAGACATTGTGTTTGGACCTGATCTCTGCAAGAATCTTGGTTGTAGTAAGGTCGGTCTCGTCAATGAAGCTTTCAGCCACGCCGTTGTGAGGCAAAGCCAATCGGCATTCCTATACTTTGTCAGCCAAGCTTGTCTGTTACACGTCTAGGCACACATGGATGGCTTACTTTCGCGGTGTTCGGGGCAACACCCAGAAACTTTGTCTTCTGGACCTTCTTGACCTTGGTTCCCCGATTTGCGAACAAGCCGTAACGAGGATCACCACGGTTCGTCAACCGTGGATCCATTGATGGATGTGCCAACATCCTGGACGATTTTGACCCGTGGGAAGATGGGTTTGGATAGCTGGTGATGGTGACTAAACAAAACAGGTAAAGTGACTGGAAAGTGAGAATGCCGTTTAAGAGACACTGAGAGGTTCAATCGGTGCTTGTAAAGCGTTGATTGCAAGTTGGACGAAGGGTGACGTTGGTGATCTTGTGTGGCAAGGCTCCTGCGAATCCGCTCAGGTGAAGAAGAGCAGAGGGAGAAGGAAGAGGCCTCGTGGGGTTTTGTATCCGAAAACCCAGACATTAATTAGCTTGGCCGTAGGTCCTGCTGTTTATCCAGGAGCATTCGGACGATTGCCCAAACAGAAAGCACAATACAGTAGCCTCCATTTGGAAAGCGCGCAGCCATTGTCTTTTATGCAAGTCCCCATTGTGCATTTTGTTTGCCTCAGCAGGACTGCAATGCCCCACAATTTACCTATTGTCTCAATAGATTTGCAAATTGTCAGAGTATTTGAGCTGCTTGAATAGAGATTCTTTCCCTCCTTCGACAGTAACTTCCAGCGAGGAGGAGTCGAGCAACTTCGAGGCTGGCCTCTTGATATTGTGTTAGCAAGATAACCCCGCTTGTTGCATAATTCGGGGCGACGTCATAAGCCGCGTGTAAGTTGCCCTTGCATGACAGGGATTCGCGTGCTGCCGCGTCTGGGGTCCAGGGACCACTTTACGCGCCTTCCCGAGAAGCGAACAAGCGCACGGCAGGTTTTCGAGGACGGCGGCCTGCATCCAAACTGACCGCCTCGCTGTGTGAAGTCTCCCAAGGCGATAGCGACACAGCGAAGAAATAACCATGCCCTCAGTAACCTCATCAAGGCCGTCGAGGAGGAGCAGGCAGGCAGTGTTGCCGGGCATCGCCAGGGAAGACTCGGACGATGAGTTAGGCGTTGACGACCACCCTTGGGAATGGATCCATGCCGACATTCGGGAAGCCTCGCCGGCCGGCACACCATCACGGAAGAGGAAGCGGGCCATGTTGGATGACGAGCCGAGGATCGTCGGCGCAAGGATGGGCTCATTTGTGTGTCGAGTGGGTGACATTGTGCTTCTCAAGGCAGAGACAACCGGAGAGGCCTGGGTTGCCATCATTCGTGACTTCCTCGAGGATGAGGATGGTGAGATGGCTGCCGATTTCCTGTGGTTTTCATCCGAAAAGGAAATCCGGAATAAGCACAAGAAAAGGACAGACTTTCTGTGGGTGAGTTAATCTTGGAGACTGCCAAGAAGAAGAAGACTCTGGTAACCGATGGGGGGCTGACGCTTCTCGCAGAACGAGCTGTACATTACCCCAAACTCAGACCTGAACCCACTGGCAGCTATCAATGGGAGGGCAAAGGTCATGTCGGCGGAAGCTTTTCAGAAACTCTACCCCAGTGGGAAGGTGCCAAGGAGCGCAAAAGACCATGGCAAGATCTTTGTTTGCCGGCGAGGTTGTAATACGAGGACCGCCACATATACTGATGAGTTTGTGTGGGAAGACGTCTATCAGGGCGCTGACGATATCCACGCCCTGGAGGAGTTGGTCGAAGGCGGGACAAAGGCGACGAAACAACGCAGGCCAGCAAGGCAACGAACTCCGGATGACCTTTATGATGGTAATGGTGATGGCGACGAGGAAGGAAGGGGTGAAAAACGAACGCCACGGAAGCCGTCCAGCCACCTTGGCACACCGAAGAAACCACGGTCTGCGAGCAAACCAGTGACTCCGTCATCTCATCGAAAGTAAGTAACCTACATGTTCGCCAGAGTGCACGGAAGCTGATAGTACAAAAGGGTGGTGCTGAAGAAACACCTCGAGTTCACTCCTTTGGCAACCCGCGTCCTTTCACCGAGTCACCACCAAGCCTCTCCATTCCAGTTGGCCCGAGCCAACCTTCACGTTGCTTCTGTTCCGACCAGCCTTCCTTGCCGAGAGGCCGAGTTCAGCCTAGTTTACTCTCACCTCGAGGCTGCCATCGCCGATGGCATGGGCACCTGCATTTACATATCTGGGACGCCTGGAACGGGAAAGACCGCGACAGTGAGGGAGGTGGTTTCCCGGCTGGATGAGTCAGTGAGGTCGGACGAGCTCGACGACTTCATCTTTGTCGAGATCAACGGCATGAAGATCACAGATCCACATCAGGCATACTCACTCCTGTGGGAGGCGCTTAAGGGGCAACGAGTAAGCCCGGCGCAGGCTCTGGATCTTTTAGAAAGGGAGTTTAGCCACCCGAGCCCTCGTCGGGTGCCATGTGTTGTGTTGATGGATGAGCTGGACCAGCTGGTCACCAAAAACCAGGGAGTCATGTACAACTTCTTCAACTGGCCTGGCTTGAGACATAGCCGACTTATCGTGCTGGCTGTGGCGAACACCATGGACCTGCCGGAGAGGACACTGAGCAACAAGATCAGCAGTCGCTTGGGGCTTACTCGAATAACCTTCCCTGGATACAACCACGAGCAACTCATGAAAATTGTGCAGTCGAGACTCGAAGGCGTCCCTGGAAACATCGTCGAGCCAGACGCCATTCAGTTCGCAAGCCGCAAAGTCGCAGCAGTCAGCGGAGATGCCAGACGGGCGCTTGATATTTGCAGGAGGGCGGTGGAATTGGCGGAGGTCGAGGCAAAGTCAGTCGACCCAACGTCGGCGCCCTCGACGCCGAGCAAGAGGCAGAGAGAGAAGGAAGCCAAAGGCGAAACCCCGAGCAAGAAGAAGAATCTCGGTAGGGTCACCATCGATACCGTGCGGAGGGCTATCAACGAGGCCACGAGCAGCCCCTTGCAACAATACCTGCGCACCCTACCTTTCGCTTCAAGACTGTTGTTGTCGGCGCTCTTGGCAAGGACACAGAGGACGGGCCTCGCAGAGAGCACGTATGGGGACGTGCTCGAGGAGATGCAGCGCTCGCTGAAGCTCGCCGCCGACAGCCGGCAGCTGGAGCTACTGGAGAAGAAAGCACGCCCGGCCGGTGGCAATGCGTGGGACAACAAGACACGCCGTGACGTGAAGGGGGTCCGACTCGCCGGCCTTGGGGCCGCCGCTGTTGATCTCACGGGTGCTGGTATCATCAATCTGGAGGCACAGAAGGCTGAGCGGCCGAGCAAGATCCGCCTCGCGGTTGGGGACGAGGAGGTCCGGCTCGCGTTCCGAGATGACCCTGAAATTAAGGCGATGAGCCTCATCATATAGGCTATGTGCCGTCAGACTTGATAGGCAGACAACGATGACCAAAATTCATCCACACCGGGGCCAATTTGCCCAAGACCAGACATGGTGAACATCTAACAATGGTTGTCTAGACTCCCACAACTATGAACCTCTCACAAGGCCAATTTCTTACACATAATCTCATTCCTAAGCCGATTCACAGTAACGGGTCACGTCGAATTGAGTAAAACGATATTGCCTTCTTTACACAGGGCTTCTCGTGCCACAGATTTATATTACGTCCCCATGCCTATCTGAGTGCCCCAATCAATGGAGGGGCCATCCATCTACGGCGTTGAAACACCACCTCAGCTCGGCTTTCAGAACCGCCGCCTGTGCATGGTGGGTTTCCAATCGATAGGGTGAGTCTCTGGTGTCGCATCGTCGTCCGGACGCCATATCTTGATTGTCTTGTCCGCCTCACCGCAAATGAGCCGCAGCCCTGAGTGGTCGAACGTGGAGCAGAACACACCATTCTCGGCGTCGAGCGAGCCTGGTTGTGCGATGGTGTCCATGGCTTGATAACGGTACCCGGATTTCCAGTCCTGATGTTGACTTGTGTTAGTTGGGTTCAGCCACAAAAATGCGTACTGGGTGACACTGCACTTACCCAGAAACTCATGGAGCCATTGTCGCCTCCGGAGAACAGGACGTTATCGTTGTTCACAGAGAGCGTGTTGATGATGGCATTGTGGCCCTCGAAGTTCTGCATGAAAGCTCCCTCGGGGCACTTCCACTGCTTGATGCTGGAAGTGCTACCGGTGGCAAACGTGAACTCGGACGGATGCGACGCCAGTGCTCGGATGCCTTTCTTGTGGTGAGTCAGGACGCCCATGGTCTTGCCCGCGGCGAGATCCCACATCCTGCATTGGCTGTCGAGAGAACCCGTTATGACCTGAGGGTCGGCCTCCTGGCAGACCACGCTGCTGACTGTGGCGGTGTGGCCGCTGAGGACGTGGATATTGCTCCTGGTCCGCATATCCCACACTCTTGCGACGCCGTCTCTTCCGCCCGTGACCAACACGTCCAGAGTGGGGTGTAGTGCCAGAGTGTAGACACCAGAGAGATGGCCGTGGTAGTGTCGAATGACCTTGTTCGTCTCCAGATCCCAGCACTTGACCATCTTGTCCTCGCCGCAAGAGAACAAGTAAGGATGCCTTGGCGACACTGCCAGGCCCCGAACTGTGCTGATGTGCCCCGTCAATGTCAGCCGCAGCTGCCCAGACGCCAGATCCCACACCTTGATCGTCCTGTCGCCGCTGCCTGTCACGAACCACTTGTTGTCGGGCTCGACGGCGACGCTACGCACCCACCCCAGATGGCCCGAGATGACCTTGTGCAGCTTCCATGGCTTGTGCCACTCTGGTTTTGGTTGCGAGTTCACCGCTTCCGACAAGCGCATCAGGCTCGTCGTCTGCGAACCACCCTGGCCTCTGTCACCGGCACCGCCTGCCCCAGGCGCACCCGGCGTCCGGCGCACGAGCGCGTTGGACTGCGGCCCAGCCCCCGGCTTCCCATTTGGCGCCTTTGCCGGGATCCCCTCTATCAGCTTCCTCGTGTTCTCCTCGGCTGGAGTTGGCGCTGCCTCCCCTGCTGGCTTCTTCGCTCTCTTTCTTGCGCCGGCGGCGGCAGCCTGTTTTGCAGCCAGCGGTGCGGGCAGTTCTAGGACATCGTTATACTCGGCGTGCAGGCGTATCGAGATGGCGTCCTTGTCAGCCTCTGGCTCGGGGTCGGCTGAGGGGTCGAGGCGTATCCGCTTGCGACCTGTTGAATCTGCATAGGCGAGCCTCGTGGCCTTCGCGTTCTTCAAGATGAGGGACTCCAGGCCTGTCGTCGAGACGTCGGCTGCCATCGCCGCTGTGAAGTTGTTACGGACAGGTCTTCGATGTCAGTGTGGGGAGGGGTTTCGATTCTGCTGAGTGGAGCCGTGTGTGCGCAGGATCGTTGTAATGGAGGAGGCAGTCTTGTAGTGTGGTTGATGTAGAGGAGGCGTTGATTTGGGCGAGCTTGGAGACGCGGTCCCAAAAAATCGGGAGCTTAGCAAGGTACCGCCGCTGATGGTGGTCTTTGCGCAGTGAGACGGGAGCTTGGGATTAAAGCGGGGCTGCCTGAATTGGGGTCTGCAAGGAGGGCGAGGCGTAATTAATGTCAGCAAACTGGAATGAATATGTGAATTAAGCCCTGGGAGTCGAAGAGAGGCTTGTAGATGAAGTTTCTGCAGTTTTTTCCTTTGTTGGTAATATGTCTTTTCTGCTCATGGGAAGCCCCAGAGCAGGGGCTATCTATCTAGCAAGATACAATCATGTACGGAGTACGGCAGCCCAGTAGAAGGCCAGCCAGAGGGATACGTCTGTCGGGGCTAAGCTTTTATGACACTTTACATATATATTTTGAGTCTCCATTCCTGGAACATGGACAACGACAGGTCTCATGCCGTCTCAGATACCTGCAAAGCCTCAAGGTTGAGGGCAAAAGCGTGCTCGGAAGGAGTGGGTGGGTCTGGTTTTAGTGTCCGGGAGTTTGCAGGCAAACCCTGGTCCTCCACTCACTTACAGGCAACACTTACAAACGCAGCTCACTCTGAAGCAGCAACTGCTCACAGAAGACATTCTCCACCATCCCAAGAGACTACAATCCTGAACTCCCGAGGGCCTCCCATAATTATCTCATAAATCCGGGCCGAAGGCATTAGACCAAAGAAGATGGATGCCGAATCCAAATTCGCCATCCATGCTGCTTGCAGAGAGGGCAAGCGTGAGTCTCATTTCCATCAGCACCCATGCAGCTGGTACGGGTTGCATGCTCACTAACACCCCGCAGTCTCAACCGTCCAGTCCCTCTTGAACGTGAGTCTGTTTGGAAGCGAGTGAATGTCTATGAGAGAAGGAACCCAAAGCTGAACAAGTGTGTCTTCGCCCCCCAGGCCGAGCCAACACTCGCCAAACGCAAGGACGATGACGGCCGGCTGCCGGTCCACTGGGCAGCCTCCGCAAACCAACTAGACATCACCCAGTTGCTGGCGGAGCAGAAGGGTTTCGATGTCGACGTCCAGGTACGACAGTGGAGCTGGGAGAGTCCTGTGGTCTTGGAGGGCTCACATGCTAAAGCAAACCACGTCGCATTCAGGATGAGATAGGCTGGACGCCGCTCATGATCGCGGCCAGCGTAAAGGACAGCGAGAGGCTCGTCGAGTTCCTGCTGAGCAAGGGCGCAGACCCGAACGAGAAGAGTGAATGGAGCCCTCCCCCGTCTTCATTCCCACATGTATGATTCTTCCCGGCTGATCCCTCGCCACAGACAACACCGGTCAGACAGTCGTACACTTCGTAGCCTCCAAGAACAATATCGACATCGCCCGCAGGCTCTTTGAAAACCAACCGCCGGCATCAGCACGGATTCGGGACAAGAGAGGCCAGGTAATTCTACTTTGACCTTTGCAATTTGTTCAGGCAGACCCTTATTTCGGGAGACTATCTATGTCGTCGCTGGAGCAATAAGATAGATCTATCTATAAGGCCACGACTGACAGCGACACAGTACGCCCTCCACCGCGCCGCAGCGATAGGCTCAGTGCCCATGATAAACCTCCTCATAAAGAACAAGAGCCCGCTGAACGCTACCGACAGCGACGGGCAAACAGCCCTCCACCACGCCGTCGCCGAGGGCCACGGGGACGCCGCGGTGGCCCTCCTCAAGGCGGGAGCCGAGACGGACAAGCGGGACCTGGAAGGACACCTAGCGCTGGACCTGGCGCCCGACAAGGAGGTGCGGAAGTACATTGAGCGGATGGCAGAGAATGAAGGCATCGAGCTGTGAGATACGCGTTGGGGGCCGACGCTGCAAGAACCCTCGCAGGCCGATGAACTGGCTAGTGGAGGCCAGATAAAATCGTGAATATCATGACAAAAAATTGGGATTCTAAGCCCCGCTAGAACTTGATCTGTCTTGTTGCACATGTCTACACGACCAGACACTCTGGTTCCCTCATCTAAAACCCTGGCCGTGCGCCCCGTGCCTCACTTGATCGTCCTCTCGACCAGGTCCCTATACATGGCCTTGACGTCCTCCACGTCGGCCTTGAGCTCCTCCACCGCCTCGCTCTTCTCGCCCAGCAGCTCCAGCGTCGTCTCGTAGCGCTCGTTGACCTCGGCCACCTCGGCCCGCAGCCGCGTCACCTCCTCGGCCGCCTTCCTTCCGTTCTCCGTCTCCCTCATGAGCGCCACGATCTCGGCGCGCGCCTCGTCCCGCTGGCTCGAGATGCGCGTCAGCTCCTCCTTGGCCGCCACCTTCTCTGTCTCCAGCCGCCGGATCGCCGCGCTGAGCTTCTCCACTAGCTGCACCGACGGCCCCGCCGCCACCGTCGACACGGACACCATGTCCTGGATGATCTGCTTCGGCGACGAGGACAGCTCCGCGCTGTCAGATGTATCTTGCCTCTCTAGTGGGTGTATTGACGGTGCCGCTGGTAATGCTTCTATTGTGGGACTGAGTATTGGGGGTAGCGTGTTGGAATTAGTGGTGTGGAGTGATGGCCTGCTTGAGGGCTGCACCGATGTCCTTCGTGAAGTATAACGTTCCACGGGGTCCCCGTTGCTGGATGGCGCAGACTGCTTCCGGAACTTATTCGATAGTGATCCAAATCCGAGGAGTTCGGTGCTGTAGCTTCTCGCTGGCATAGAGATAGCAGGCGACTCTGGTCTGCTTCCGCCTTTGAATGGCGGAGCTGGCGGATCGTCCAACCACTGGCCTTGCCTCTCCTGCTCCTTCGCAGCCTTCGTCTCTGTCTTTTGCTGTTCTAGCTCTGCTTTTACGCCGGCCAACGCAGTCTCGGCCTGTTCGGCCCTGCTCTTCAGGGCTTCCACCTGCGACTCGAAGCTTTTCACGGATTCCAGTATCGTAGGGAGCTGCGTCTTGGTATCCTCGAGTTCTTCCTCGTGGCGCTTGGCGCGCAAGGCCTATCAAGCAGTCAGCAACCATAAAACTCGCCCGACAAGTCCCGGCAGTACCCACAGCTTCACGGGCTTTCTTCCTCATTTCCGACTCTCGGTGCTGCGCCTCGTCCCTCTCTTTCTCCAGGTTGGATATACGGGCAAGTAGCGTGCTTTCGATCCCTTGCCAGTTCTCAGTTGCGATGGCGTACTGCGTCTGTAGCGTCTCGACTTGTCGCAGAAGCTTGGCCTGAGAGTCACCCATGGCTCCTGAGGAGACTTCTTCGGCCATAACCCTCATAGATTCCATCTTGCTCTCCATGACCTGTATCTCGGCCTTCAGTTCAACTTCGACGGCACGAGCGCGCTCCGCGGCTCGTTCGGCCTTCTCCTGGAGTTCGTTCTCTCGCGCTTTGCTGCGATCGATCATCAGGTCCTTCTCCACCTTGAAATCAGAGACTTGTTCTTCCAGGTCTCGGACCCTCTTTCTCTCCTTGGCCAGTGCCTCTTCGTTGACCTTCTTGGAAAGAGCCTCCTTATCCTCGGCCGACTTTTGGAGTTGTGCTTTCAGATCCGCGATAGTCCTGTCCTTATTGGACCCTTCAGATTTGAGGGCGTCGATCTCCTTCTGAGACTGGCCGATCCGCTTGTGAAGCTCCTCTTGGTACTTCTCTAAGTCGTCTGCGCGCCTGGACTTCCTCCGCATGGCCTCCAATTCCTGCTCAACCTTGCCTTTTGAGGTCTTGACATTGCTGATTTCCTTCTCGTTCTCGCCTATCTTTGATCGCAGGCTCTTGATGATGGCGCGAAGCTTCTGTTCCGTGCTAGCCAGGTTTTTGCCCTCTTCCATCAGTCCAGCTATTTGTTGGTCCTTCTCGGCCAGCTTCTTCTCCAAGCCTCCGGCGGGCGCCTCTTTGGCCGCCTTTCTTGCCGAGTCAGTGGCTTCTCGGGCCAGGTACTGGAGTTTCGACTGCAGCGCGTCAATTTGCTCAACGTAGTTATGAGTTTCCTCCTGCTGCTGCGCCGCCAACTCCTCCAGGGCTTTTTCCAGCTGCTTGATGCGATCCTCCTGTAATTCCGTGACCGCACCGGAGGGCGGCTGGGCCGCACTGGAGCCGTCTGTCGGTTCAGCAGCGATCCCGTTGCTGGATTCTGTGTTGGGTACATCTTCAGATACCCGGGGCGCACTCGAGGTATCTGCCACGGCATGGTTCTCTACCTCGACTGACTTCCGCACATTGTCTTGCGAGGCTCGTGGCGACGAGGCTGGCTTGGGGCTCTCCTGCGCAGACGACACAGGCGCGGCGCTGTCCGTGGAGCTCCGATTCGGCACATCCAAGCTCTGCCGGGGGCTCGCTGTTGGGGTGGGCTTCGCGGATGACCCATCTCCTTTGGCTGCAGCCTGTTTTGCGGCGACCGCCCTTGCTAGTCTTTCCTGCAGCCTGTCGTTTGGTTTGCTCCTTGTGGAGTCGGATCTCGAGGGTGCTGTGCCACAGACAAGTCAGCTTGCGTTACGTGACAGCTGGCTGGATCGTTCAAGTTATGATGTCAAAGCATACCGGTGCTTGATTTTGACTGCTGGGAGGGCGTCGGGCTCGGGGCGGGCTTGGGCTGGTCTTCCTCAGCCAGGATTGTGTCGAGGCGGGCTTCGACGCCGGCGACGGCCTGCGAAAGAAGTGAGCCCCATCTCGACTTTGCTCCTCCTCCGCCTCCTTGAGCTGCCATGACTCCTCAGTAAGGAAAGCCAGAGAGTGACGTGGCCATCCAGTGGGTGGCAGGAAACGTGTCAGCTACAGGTTAGGGCGCTGTGCGTTGGAGGTTGGCATGCTGAGTGGGATGCCTGGCCCTGACGAGGGAGAAATTGGGAGCGCCGGGGATCGAATCGGTCGCGCGCGGTGTCTCGAAGCTTGTCTGGGCTTTACTGCAGGTGCGAAAGCGCAAGCGAAACGCTGTTGTTCTTGTGAATCATTACATGAGACCACAAATCTTGTTGGAGAGGAGCAAACACAAAGGTAAGGGGAGGAAGTTTATTATTGACTTGGAGTGTGACTTTGGACTATACTGGGGTGATGGCGACACGCACGCCAACGAGCACTACCGAGTACCCAGGTGCCTACCTAGGTATCCTTGTTGGTTAGAGCTCCAGTTGGCCGCACCCCGCCTCGCAGCGGTCATTCCAAGGATGCCTAACCCAGCCAATACGTGCCTGCGCTCTTGGTACGCGTGTAATCGCCCCTTCCAGTGCAACAACCGGTGGCAGAGGTAACAGGAATAGCTTGAAACCACACCGGGATCACTTAGACCGAGGGACGACCTTTCCAACAATGCACCTCGTCTCACAACGCTGTTGTACGATTACGTGTGTGAGACGTACGGTAACTGTAGTACAAAAATTGAAAACACAGGCCAAGGCTTGCTTTTGATTCCATCCCTACGTGATCGGCTGCCTGAGAAACAATCAGGCCCGAGCTCGGTTCCAGAACCTGACTTCTGCACGACATGTCATATACTAAGTACACAATGTAAATGGACACGCCGCCCATATTTTCGATAGCACCATCCGGCCTTGTTTGATGGCTGTTGCCAAGCCTTTTACGAGATGCACGTCAGGATCCGAGGGAGGATCAGGATCCGGGCCAGCTTGTGTCTACATATATGCATACCTAGATACCTAGATACCTAGATAATAAGTACCTGGTCACTCAACCCGTCTATCTCGTTGAGAATTCGGTCTAGGGAAGGGAGGGGAGCCAGCCACAGGCGATAGAACGGAGCTGCCCAGCTCCATGAAACCTTGACCTTGCCCAGCAGGCCGGAGCGCGGGGACAGCAGCAACGGGAACACCACAGGTTGCCACAGAGTGGGAGGGTGCGTCGCTGCAACCAAGGGAGGTCCCGCAACAGGGGAGCAGGTGGGGGTCCCCGCCGATGGGAGGGCTGGCAATTTATTCTGCAGGCCTTTGGCCTACGAGAGCCAAAAGTCCATACCTTGGTACTCGAGTAGGTCGCCTAGAGTGGCCAAAGTTCGGCCACGGCTGCCGGGACTGAAACTGACGGTAATGGTTGCTTTTGGCTATGCAATGCTATCTAGGGTCTTGCAAGTCTCAAGACTGAACTACACGAGATGCGCTCGAATCTCTATTTCTAGGTATGACTGCGTGGCTGACCATTTGCGCTCCCAGATACTACAAGACCTTCTTATGGGACCCGTTGACGCCATTGGCCTTGGTAGGAATGGACCGCGGGACGACCTTCGGGACCGAGGTGAAGGGAGATGGCCATTGCAGCATGAACTCGCGTTCACTACCATCGAGACATCGGGTCAGCCATACCCTCCAGATGATGAAATAGTAGGCCCCGAGTCCGGTGAAGATGTGCCACCAACCGTGACCCTCGAAGATGACGGCCCACGGCAGTAGGATGGAGTTCCGCAGGCTCCGGAGGTGCCCGCAGTAGATGTTGTCCATGTTCCAGATGAAGAAGCCAATCAGAAACAATGCAATGCCGGTGGCAGCCATCGCCCACATCTGCTTCATGATCTGGTCGGCGTGCGCTGGGGCCTCGCTCCTTTCCTTCAGAGCCGGGCGGAGGTGCGCTTCCATGACATACATGCCGCGGAAGACGACGGCGCATGTCAGCGAGGCGTAGGCGACCTGGTGGAATACCGGGTTCTGAGATAGGTGGTAGTACACAGTGATGAAGGCCGCGAGGGCAGCCAGCCCGACCCCGATCAGCAATGAAAGGCCTCTGGGCCTCGAATACGAGAATGTCGCGAAAGCCATGATGCAGGTGGTGTATATCATGGGCAGCTCATCTGCGAGCTGCATCGAGTCTGGAGAGCGCAGTCAGCAAAAGGCTCAAGGGGGCAAAGCCCGGGGTATGGCCAGACTGCGGAAGACACACATTTGAGGGTGGCATGGAACAGCATCGAACCGAGACCAACGATGATGTACCCCAGATAGGAGATGATGAAGACCCGGTCATGGCCGTAGCGCAGACAGTCGCGGATGCCCATAATCCCAAGATGTATGAAGATCACGTTGGTCACGGTGTTCACAAATTCAGCGCAGTAAGGCGTGATGTTGTCTACCGGCAGTGTCAATATACAGTCAGGGAACACCAACCATGAAGGAAACGAGCAACGTGGTAGCGGTCCGCTCATACGTACAGTCCTACGATCGACGGTCAGCATGTCGGGTATCCTTGGCAGCTGGTGATGATCCCGGGGCATCTTACTTCTTCGCACCAATTCAAGGTCGAGGTCTGAGGGCTCCAGAGGCCATCCCGGGACTCCCGGTAAGGCCATTGGAGGTTCAGAGGCATACTGGCGACGTTGGACCCAATGACCCGGTCCGCATAAAGCACCGTCGTCCGGGAAGCAGGCTAACAATGCCGGGGCGTGCTGGACTCCGGGTGGAGGGTGGTTGGGGGCCCTTGGAGGAGCGAGTTGTCGTTGAACAGTCGAGGCCCGATCAGACAGGAGGACCCCGGGCAGCGAATGCTTGTGTGCAACAATGTTATGAGTGGGCAAAAGCCAAAAGAATGAACACGATGCGTCTTGTTTTTATACAAAAGGGGAAATGACAACTCCACGAGGCTGACGATCAAAAAGACGACTCGGCCGACGTCATGCAGAAGTTGACACGAGGGTTATTTGATGCTCGCCAATGACGGGCGGTAGCAACATGAGGAACGCGTGGTTTGTTATAGCCGAGGAGCGAGAGTGGGATGTGTGGGTTTCGGGGGCGTGGGTGTGGAGGCGTTCCCACGACTCACGAGTGGGAAGTTGGTCAGGCTACCTGTCTGGACTCTGGAGCTTGCCAGCTGCCAAGTCAGGCAAGTACAGCTTCCCGCACGGGGCTGGATATCCGGCACCTGCGCCTTGCTGAGCCTCCGCTTGCATTCGCATCTGCATCTGCATCTGCATCTGCATCTGCATCTGCATCTGCATCCGCTGGCCAGCTTATTATGCAAGTACCGAGACAGGCTTGAAGATTAGACGGTTGCGTTCTCGGATACTACGGTAGATCCCCCGTTGGCGAGACCCCGGGCATGGACAGTCGATCTGTCTCGCCTCCGCACACCATCTCAAAGGCACTTGATCAGACAGTATAGTATTGATCGGCCCTGGAGAGTATCCTGCAAGCCAATACAGGGCTCCCATGTAGATGTGGTCTATATCTTGGACGCCAATTCAGTAACCTCTGCAGGCTCCACGGACTTCTGACAACCACATGAGCCACTCCAGATCCGTGGCCCGCCCATGACCAGCTCTGAAGAGGGCTGTCTTGCTCCTTGTCAAACATCCCTCGAGGCCGTCAACAGTGTTCGCTGACCAGAGTGCGGGAGCGGGCGTCCTTAATGCCCTTGGCCTCTATGTTAGCCAGCTGATACATCCAGGGACGACGAGGCCCAATGGCAGCAGGTGGAAGTCGTATGACACAACCTTGGCCGCAATGGAGGCCGGGCGCGCGCACATATTTAGGCCTTTGAGCGGATGATGTCGGTCAACTTCCCCTTGCCCTCGTCGCCCCACTGCCACTCCAGAATTATTTGGCTCATGTCCGTTGGTCTCGCAGGACGTACACACGCAATGCCCGTAGAATCACAAGTGCAAAAAGCCCAATAAATCCGGCCGGAGGCTCTCGGGACACCGGCACTTGGCATGTGCATGCTTGGCCTGCCTCGATCTTCGGCCCGCATGGTGGGGCACAAGGGACCCGGCCAGTCGGTGCGAACGAGAGCGAGCTTCTGCAGGAATTCTTTGATTGATGCCAAGTAAGATCTGACCACGTCCCATGTTACAATTCCGTGTCCCTGTGGGACTTCCAAGGGGACGCTCCGAGCCGTGCTTACCACGGGGATGCCGAGTGTCGCCAGTGCTCATGGTGCTGGTGACGGTTCACAGGATGGGAATAAGCTCTACAGACTCGATTACTTGTACACGTCTAATAGGACTTAGCATTCCTATCTTTTGAAGGTCACTTACCGATTTTGGCCAGGTAAAAAAAAAATAGTCTTGCGGATGGAATAAGATCCCAAGAGTTCACTTGGCCTCATTTAGTCTAGGCAGGAATACAACCGACATATTCTCAATGGTAAAAGTGTGATCAACTCACGGGTCCTTCATTCCTATATTTACTTTGGTTTCCCAATCTCCCACCTTACCAACTGTTGATTGCGGATGCAAATCAAGTAGCGAACACCCTCATCAAGGCCTTTAAGTTGGTTGACAGGGTGTCGAGCGTTAGTTTGCAACTTGACTAGTTTCTCGTTGGGAGGACATATAAATTGACATTCAGTTTTGGGAGTCTCTTTGTCCAATAATTTTATATTAGACGAACCTAGGCCCATAACACACCGAAATACCCGAGACACTTTACGCTTGTGGCATTTTGGTTGAGAAGGACGTAGAGCGCCGGTTCGAAGTACATGTGTCGCAGGTACACCTGCAATTTGGGACTGAGTGAGGGTAAGGGTTCATTGAGCTCTGGCCATATTTCCGTGTCATCATGTTCGCGTCTGTGACTTGAAATGCAAATAAAGTGTTTTTAAGTTTGGACAGATGTTATCAATTTTGTAATACTCGGTGCTTCTATTTCTTCCTTACACATTGCTTCTAGAGAAGTGGTGTCTTGTCGCTATTTGGCGAGGTGAGCCGCGTTCCATTGTGAACGGCCAACGTTGCTGCCAGTGGCTCGAATTTTACTGGGTGGCACCTGGACAGGATCGCCCCCTTTCGACCTTCCAACATCAATAAGCCAGATTTGCCATCGACGTCAACGGCCACGAAACTCGAACCAACCCGCTTCCACCAAAGCTTCACCTGAGGTATCGATTCGGTTGCCTGAACGCCCCCTGAGCACAGCCAGAATGTCGATATCAAACGAGGCGCTGCAGAAGGTGAGTATGCCCGTCAGCCAGACTTGCTCACGCACTGATTGCTAACATGTGTCAACACAGCTGTTGCGGGAGATCGAGGCCAACCACGTCAAGTCACAGCAGGATATCAGCCTTGCACGATCCCAGTTGGCATCCAAGCAGCGTGAGAAGCGACTCGCGCAGCTCACCAGCACCGAGATCGCGTCGCTCAACCCTGGCACCCCTCTGTATGAGGGAGTCGGCAAGATGTGAGTGGCTTTTCCTGGCATCTAGGCGCTTGTGTCCTGTGTCATCTCGACGGAAAGATGAGTGCATCAAACTTCGTGAACGGGGTCATTGACGGAAACTGGATCAGGTTCGTGTTGATACCAGCTCCTGAGCTGAAGAACAAGCTGGAGTCGCAGACGAAGCAGGTCGACAGCGACATTGATGGCCTCACAAAGAGGCTGCACTACTTGGAGACAACGGCAAAGAACAGTCAGGAGCACATTGAGGCGATGCTCAGGCGAGGCGCTGCGAGCGCCTCATGAGGAGGCTATCACCGCGAGGCCTCGGAACTGAGATTTCAGGCAGGTCTTGGACATCTGCACTGCGCCCTCACGACTTTTGGAACTATTGACCGCGATTTGCTGAAGATGTAGCCAAGGCTCGCCGCCGCTACTGGACCTCCATCTCAGCGTCCGGTACTGCTGATGCAGGTCGGCGCCACAGCACGGCCCAGACAAACCTCATTCAGTAAACACTTGATTCTGAGCTAGGGCCTGTACAATCAGGTTCAGAGACTGCGTCGCCGATCTAGAGGACCATAGCAAATACCAACCTTCGCAGACTCAGGAATGCAGCACACACACAAAACTCGAGAGTGCCACGTAGTCAATGAAGCCTCTGCCCAGCGAAGGAAACTTCAATCCAACCTCTACAGCCCGTTTCAACTGCCGCTCGAGGCGACCCAGCCAACACAGGCGGCCAGGCCATTACCCTAGCAGCGCATCACGCTAGGTCTAGATGCTACGGGGAGATGCGACAGTCGGCTTAATAAATGTCCATTATCAGATAAAATACCATCCATCACATGACCCACCGCAACCACCGAGGCGCCAGAGCTGTTGCTTAGCTTCTCCAGCGAACTGGGATGTCTCGACTTGTTTCTGTGGAAGTCCTCGCCGAATCTCGGCGTCGGGCCGCTTCCCAGCCTGAGCGCAAGGAGAACCCCGCTTCCTGGAATAGGCTCGGCTGGGGCCCTGGGGCCCAGTGATCGTCCGAACGGGATGTCTGAGCGTCTGAACGTCTGAGTGTTTCCATCCCTACCACAGCCCTACTAGATAGACTAACAATCCATGGCACATTATTAGTACGTGCCGCCAGATCAAGGGTCCTGGGAGGCACAACAGCCAGCCTGCCGCTGTATTCTCAGCACGGCACACCAGGCGTGCCGAGTTCCAGAACATGGCGAGGCTCCCGACTAGCCGGCTTATTTCTGAGGTGCTCTTCTTATTGTGGCCTTGCTTGGTGAGCCGATCAGCGCTGCATGTGGCAGGTCTGACCTCGGAGGGTGCTATTTTGGGGCCACACTAGGATGAGTAGGATCCTCTCAGCTGGATCTCAGCCCTTCACCTTCATTTCCTCGGGCTAACGACTGGGCTCCTCCCGCTGGCATTTCACAACGTGTGATCAGCTTGGCACCCCCATGTCCAACGCCCGCCGAGGCTACTGTACACTTGCCAATCTAGTACCATGCAGCTGTTGGCGAGGTAAGCCGGCACCAGCCAACCATTTGCGGCCAAATCGGACGCAATGCGGTACTCTCCACCACGCCCTACCTTGTCTCCTTCAGCCTCCAGCCAATGCCCGGCATCGCAAGTCCTGTGTCTATGCGGCACAGCAACTCCTCAAACCACGCGCTTTCTTGGGCCGCTTTGGACTCGACGCTCCAGTCCCCCGTCTTCTTACCCTACCCGTCTCCTCCACAAGCTTATGGGAGCACAAGCGCCGCGCTATTCAGCTTTTCCCGCTGGGCCTGCTGCCAAATGGGTACTCCCTAGCTCCCAGGTCGGCTCGACACAATAAATGCTTACGGCCCCCGCCTCGTCTGCGGCGCGGTTCACTCCTCCCCTTTCTCATATGTTCTACAGTTGACGTGTATTTGCCTCTGGGTCTTATTTGTCAGCGCGAGGTTCTTTCGCAGCTTCTTTTACACTATACCACTATACCACTATACTATATTCACACCGTTTCCTAGACCACAGTGAAGGCCAGGACCCCTCTTGAACTGGCCTACACCACACTACACACGCGCACGCGCTTGCGATACAGCCTATCTGTTGCTCCAGATCGAGGCCGCAGAATTGGCCTGAACCACTCAAGATGAGCTACTACTCAGAGGAGGATTATGATTACCGCCGGTCCTATGACCGTCGGGGGCGCTCCCCCTCGCCGTCACCCGTACACTATGTCCACACGCGCCCAGAACGACCTCGCAGCCGGGGCTATCACCACGGTGTGGATTTCCTCAACCCAGGCGTGACGGAGCACACCATGGCCATCACCAGGGTCCGCGAGCGCTCCCGGGAACGGCGAAGCCCCCCAACGGCCCTCAGCCCGCCCGCGGCGGCGGTTGCGCCGGTGATTATCAAGCAGTACAACTCCAACGATCGCCACTCGTCGGACGACGAGAGCAGCCTCAGCAGCCACCATCATAGGGGCCGGGGCCGCTCGCACTCGCACGTCTCGATCAGGAGCTCTCACTCGCGGTCACGCGCCGGTTCGGACGCCTACATGACGGTCGAGAGGTACGAGCTGGAGCGCAAGCTGGAGGAGCAACGCAGGCAGCTCGAGGCGCTGCGCATGTCGGCCTCGTCGTCGGCCGCGCACACCGAGTCCGAGCGGTACGAGCTGGCGCGGCTGAAGCGGGAGCTGGATGAGCTGCGCATCAGGGAGGACCGCGACGCGCAGCGCGCCGAGGACGCCGAGAGGTGGGAGATGCGCAAGTCCAAACTCGAGCTGGAGGACCTCCGGGCGCGCGAGGCCCGTGAGGCCCGCGAGAAGGCGGACAGGGAGCGCCGGTCGGCTGACTACGAGTCGTACGAGCTGCAGCGCTCCAAAAAGGAGCTGCAGGACCTCAAGGCGCAGCAGCAGAGGGAAAAGGAGGCTATGGAGAAGATGAGGGAGGCGAGGACCCATGCTGAGCTGAGGGTGGCGAAAGAAGAGCTGGACAAGAGTAAGTCTCCTCGCATAAGAAAAACCCCCCAAAGACCCGCATGATGACGGCCGATGCCGAGATGCAGTCATCCGCCACACGACAGGTTTTCGTGTATGCTGACATGATGCGCCAGTCAAATTTGCCGAGGAGCAAGAGGCCGACGAGAAGAGGATCCGCAAGGAGATCGAGGCCAAGATGCTCGCGGAGAAGCTCAAGGCCGAGGAGGACAAGAAGCAGAGGGAGAAGGACGAGGCCGCCGCGGTGGAGCGGTGGAAGGCCAGGGAGGCCGAGAAGGCCGCCAAGGCGAAGCGCGAGAAGGAGGAGGCAGAGAAGGAGTTCGTCCACCGCCTGACGGACCAGCTGCGCGCGTCGGGCGTGCCCGAGAACCAGATCAAGGCCATCGTCGAGAAGAAGCGCATCGACCAGGGCTTCCCCGCCCACCCGAGGCCGTTCCCGGGCCCGCCGCCGCCGCCGCCCGTGATGCCGATGCCGATGCCGCATCAACAAATGTCGCAGCAGATGACGACCACCAAGACGACGTACACGAGGATGGCAAGGCGGCACCTGAGCCTGGAGTGCCTGAAGGTCAGGGGCATTGATTTTGAGCTCGACGCGGTAAGTCACGGCTTCAGTCACCTCCCCTCCCCCAACCACCACCACCACCACCACCTACACGATCAATCCTTCACACACCGCCCCCTTTCAGCCAAACCTGCGTATACGGACAATCAATCAAGCTGACAAGCCCCACCCAAATAACAGAACCCAGACTACGTGCTCATCAAGCGTTGGGTGCCGCCAGAGGAGCAGAAGGAGCTCTGGTCGCTGACCAAGGTGATCCGCGACGGGCGCGAGAAGGTGACGACGACGCTCGCCATCGAGGACCGCAGCCACCACCACCACCGCCACAAGTCGGGCGACAACCTGGTCGTCGTCAAGAAGACCAAGCGGGAGCGCTCCAGGTCCCCGAGCGTCTCCACGCTCATGTACCTGGCTGGCGCTAGATAATTCACCTACCGGGGGTTCACCTACCGGGGGGGAGGGCGGGCGTTGACTTGACGCCTCGCACTGGGGCCGATAAAACAGCAGGGGATCATGGGAGCATCATCTCCTGATAGGATACCAGCACACTTGACAGCATACCTATCCGCTCTATTTACTTCTTGCAGGAGTGCTGCTAAAGCTTCTCAGCAGCGCAGCTAGATCTTGGGGTTTGTTTGATTTTGCATTGGCATGTTTTACAACACTCACGTTAGCGGAAAACGCTTTGATGATGATGGATGAGGCAAGGAAAACATTTCGTAACGTAACTTCATTTCACTCCAATTCGGCGTAATACCACACCAAGAATTCTGCTCTTCCTAGAGGTCACCACAGTGTCTGTCAATGGTATTCAGAAAGAATCAAAATCGAGTTCCCGCGTCATGCAGATTAAAAAGTCTCCCCAAGCTTTGCCTTCACTTTCCTCCCGAGCTTGCTTTTCTTTTGCCTGCCAACTACAATAAAGGTGGTATCCCGTAGGTTTCCTCTAAACACGTGAACTCCGCTGCAAATCCTGTCCAATGGACAGCAAGCACCGCCTAGTATTCAACATCCTCATCAGGCTCGAACGAGTCGGCAGCGACCTCCTCGTAGTCCTTCTCCAGGGCAGCCAGGTCCTCGCGGGCCTCGCTGAACTCGCCTTCCTCCATACCCTCGCCGACGTACCAGTGGACAAAGGCACGCTTGCTGTACATGAGGTCGAACTTGTGGTCCAGGCGAGACCAAGCCTCGGCAATGGCCGTGGTGTTGGACAACATGGACACGGACCGGTCGACCGAGGCCAGGCCACCCTCGGCGGCGGGGACCGCCATGGGCTTCTGGTAGTTGATGCCGATCTTGAAACCAGTGGGGCACCACTCGACGAGGTTGAACGAAGACTTGGCCTTCAGGGCAGCAACAGCGGCGTTGCAGTCGCGAGGGACGACATCTCCGCGGTAGAGCAGTGCGACGGCCATGTACTTTCCATTCCGGGGGTCGCAGACCACCATCTGGTTGTTGGGCTCGAAGCCTAGGAGATAGTGTCAGCCAGATACATTCAGCGCCTCGGGGGGTTGATGCAGGGAGACGTACACTGGAAGGTGAGGTCTGAGGTCTTGAAGCTCTCGTGGGAGCTCTTGCTGGCCGAAATGACAGGGGCGTAGCTAATCAGAGGGTAGTGGATACGAGGGTAAGGGACCAGGTTGGTCTGGAACTCGTTCAGGTCGACATTAAGCGCACCGTCGAAACGCAGGGAAGAGGTGATGGAGCTGACGACCTGGGCAATCAGGCGGTTGAGGTGCTCGTAGCTGGGGCGAGAAATGTCCAGGCTGCGACGGCAGATGTCGTAGACAGCCTCGTTGTCGACGAGGAAAGTGCAGTCGGAGTTCTCGATCGTGCTGTGGGTCGACAGAACGGCGTTGTAGGGTTCGACGACGGCGGTAGAGACGCGAGGAGCAGGGTAGACGGCAAACTCCAGCTTGCACTTCTTGCCATACTCGGTGGAGAGGCGCTCAAGGAGGAGGGCACCGAAACCAGAGCCGGTACCACCACCGAAGGAGTGGAAGACCAGGAAACCTTGCAGAGAGCTGCAGTTGTCTGTTGATGCTCTTGTAAGCCACCGCCTGTGCGAGCGGGCGCGGCACCCTGTCCGTTGGGCGCAGCAGCAGACTACTCACCAGCAACACGTCGAATGCGGTCAATGACATTGTCGACCATCTCCTTGCCGATGGTGTAGTGGCCACGGGCATAGTTGTTGGCAGCATCTTCCTTGCCGCTGATCAGGAGCTCGGGGTGGTAGAGGTGACGGTAGCTTCCGGTGCGGATCTCATCGATGGGAGAGGGGTCGAGGTCGACAAAGATGGAACGGGGCACGTATTTTCCGTTGCTGGTCTCGGAGAAGAAAGTCTCGTAGGAGCCACCATTGGGGCCGTCCTTGAGGTTGGGGTCGGGACGACCATCAGGGCCAAGGCCGTGCTCGAGGAGGTAGCTGGAATGAAAGGTTAGCTAGCCCCAACAAGGCGGTGCACACACAGATCGGCGGTGTGGTCCTTACAGCTCCCAAGCACTGTTGCCCAGCTGGGTACCAGCCTGGCCGAGGTGGAGGTGAAGAACCTGCGGATGGAGGGTCAGTCTCGTACATCACGACAGGTCTCTGGCGCACTCCCGCGGCCGGGTTGCGCTCATGTCGAGCTGGCCGACGGGGCGAGCACAGCTGTGGTGGTGCGGGATGGGGCGGGTAAGGGGCACATCCAGCCTGCCGTCAACGGTGAGACAGGTCGCGGTTGGACCGTGTCATTGCCCAAGGCGTGGATTCAGGACATAGCGAGATGAGCAAAGTTGGTGACGGACGACGGACGACGGGCGCCGGTGGTAGTTGCGCTGCGCTCCCGTTGCGTTGCGACAGAGCTTCACCGAGGCTCGCTCCACGTGTGGAAATAGGGGTTCAATCGAACTCAATCGGGACTGGCTCCAGCCCCAGGTCAACTCACCTCTCCGTGCATGTTTGCTGTCTGGGGTGATTCTGGTGCGACTGAGGTTTCTGCGCGACTCGCGGGGGAGCAAGCTGGGCAAGATGATTCCTGGCCTTGGTTTGCGAGGTTCAATGAAGCAGAGTCCCGGGCAGAGCTGGGAGGTTGTGGGCGGGAGGTTGAGATGGCAGCCAGCAGGGGGGCGGGCGGGTGTGCGTGGGACGATTGGTCGAGCAGGGTCCACTGGTGTTTTCCCAAGGGGAAAGAAAGGAGGGGCAACCGCAGCCCGCAGCTGTGCAGAGTGCAGAGCTGCGGTCGCCGGTGGGTGGGCAGGTGGGGCGCGTCCCCAACCGTGTCTTGTTGATTGCAAACAGAGTGTCCTGCCCGCCACACGGCCGAGCACCAACCCGACCGATCTCCCAATTGGGAACACCTCCCCCAAGACAGACGGCCTTTGGGCCTCTCACCGCCCGCCCTGCATCCCGCCCCGGCGGCGCTGCCAGTTTCAGACATGGCGATTACACCTGTTATTGGAGGACTATTCTGTACGCATTGATCCCCACGTTAGAGGCACAATGTTAGCGCCCATCATCTTCATACTGTTCACATGTATATACATGTGTGAACACCACGATCCGTCTTCCTGTCCAGGTATATGCCACACGTCTGCCAACATCTTCTCGGTCCTTCAATGCTTCCTGGCCATCAAGACTGCTGGCAGGGCAATAGGGCGCTTCGAGTACCAACGCCAACACACCACAGACTTCATTGCCGCGGTACCTGGCCAGGCCGTACCAAGATCTGACTGCAAGACCTGTCCTCGCACCGGAGCTCCCAGGCGCTGCTGGCCGGACGTCGGGAGAACCTCCAAACAGTCAAGGGAGCGGTCCCTTGGTTTACTTGGCTGTGTCGTACCAGGATCGGGCTGGGAATGCCCACCGTCGTTCGCGCGAGGGTCTGGCGCTACTCACGAGTACCGTTGGCCGGATCTCTCATGGAAACCGTACCGAGAGTTGCGCCCTTGCTATATGTCGATGCGATTCCTACCGCCTGCCTCGTACCGCCCACCTGAGCAGTGCCATGAAGCATGATTAAACGTAAGCTTGTTCTGTGATTCCAGATCTGGAAGTGTCAACAGAGCTCTGAAGCAGAGGACAATCACAGAGCAGAAGTGGGACAATGGATTCGGCCTCAGATAATCCCATGCTGGGGCGATTGTTTTTCTTCCTAGCAGTGTGCACCCTTAACCCTCCTCGCAAATAGCAAAACGTCAACTTGCACAAACCCCTCTCGTCCCCACCTGCTAAGCCGCCCTCTGCACGACCAAATCACCTGTTGGGCAAGTCCATCGTTGAAAAAAGCAGTTATCCGTCGTCTCCTCGTGATATTAGAGCCACCGAGGTATGAAGGTGGCTAGTCGTAGTAAAGATGCATGGCTGGCTGAAAATCGGTACAAAGAAGCAGAGACAGGAGGTGCCCAGCGCAACGCGGTTGCGGCCTGCCACAGGCGGACAGCGTCCATGACTACCAGTCTCTTACAGCAGGTAGGCGAGGATGCCCATACCGGCGGCGAGGGCACCGGTACCCAGGTTCTGAATGTTGGCGGCGGCGGCGGCAGCAGATGGCGAGCTGGAAGCGCCGGCAGAGGACTCTGCAGTGGGGCTAGCAGTGCTGCTAGAGGTAGGCGAAGCTGTCGCTGAAGACTCCGAGCCGCCGGTAGAGGAGGGCGCGGCGGAGTAGTCGGCCGGGTCAAGCGTACCACACTGGTCCTGGATGCTCGTGGTGCAGTTCTTCTGGCCGTTGGCGTTGCCAACATTGGCATTGTTGCAGTCGGTGAACGCCTGCTGGCAGACGAACTGTATCACCGAATGTCAGCAGCTGGCTGGACGAGTGGGGCGAGACGGAGAGCTTACAGTATCGATAGTCTGAGTGTAGTACTGAAGACCGGGGGCGCTGCCGTTCTGGCAAGTGCAGGAGTACTCGAGTGTGGCCTTTCATCTTCACGTTAGTGCTGTTGCTTCACAGCGAGCATAGCCTGGTTATTGACTCACCACTTCGCAATCATTATCCACAGAGCTCTGGTCGCAGAGGGTGGTGCAGGTTTCCGTCTGGGCTCTGCACCATTGGCCTGTTTTCAAGGTCAGTCGATGTCAACGAGAGAAAGAATGGAGCAGGGGCACGCTTACCTCTGAGGCTGATGTCGACCTCGTTGGGGTCGATGTGGAAGGAGGAGTTCTGGGCGGAGACCAAGAGCGCGGAGAGCGCGGAGAGGACGATGAAAGAACGCATCGTGAGACCGCCGGTGGTGTTTGTTGGGCTGGTGAAGGCGAAGACACTGGCGGATGGCTCGGTAAGTGTACTGAGTGTGGCTGGACCGGGTCAATTGACTGTTGCTGGTATGGATGCGGACCGATCTGCTGTGCGGATGAAAGGGTTGGGCAGACGACAAAAGTGAAGGTTCTCGCGACGGGGATCGACGGGGAAAACAGAGGGGAGGCAGGTGTTTTAAGAGGGCAGGTGTGTGTTGGTGAGGTAGTTGCTCTTTCTAGCGGCTTTTATCGCCCAGGGGGGGGCTGTCGTACCACACCTCTCGAAGCAACTTTGAAATTCGGAGGAGGCAGGCGGCCGAGAGCAGGGCAGGGGGCCGGGGGTTGCAGTCACGATAGACAGGGGTGGCTGGCAGCTAGTCGACGAGTCTTGCAGCAGAAGGGGCAGGGATGGTGCGTCTCTGGTGGAGCAAAATCCGGACTCTCGGTCTAGCCCGGTTCTCAGGGCGAGTCTGGAGAGCAGAATTGAGCTCCATCATTGGCTGTCAGAGGTACCGCCCTGGCTGCTTGGGTACCCTAGGTACCAGTGACTACTGCAAAGTGCATCGGGCAGCTTGCGGGACTCGCTCCTGCTCGGCGCGTGGTTTTTCAGTGGAGCTGTCGTCGCTGCCAGGTGGATTATCCTGAGTTTCCTTTCCTTCCCCTTGCTCCCTCGCTCGAACCTCCCCCCTCTTCCCTGCCGTTTCAGCAAATCGCGGTTGCATGATGGCCACCAGGACGTGCCTGACAGTTTGATGCCTTGTGTCCGCCTCTCTGTCTGTTTGTCTTTCTTTCTACTAGTACTGCGTGTTTTGGGAGCGTCAGATGAGCAAGTGAACATGCCCCCGGGCGACAGGTCTCAACCATCCGCTCAGCTGTCGGTGGGAATTGGTGACAATCTCTATGTATATCCCAGGCGTGGCCGATGACTGGAATGGAACTCTGCAATTGTTTCACATAGAACCCTAGCTCAGGCTACCTATCTTTTCCACCACTGGCTATGCCGTACAATGCTTTGTTTTCTTGCGGTGGGGCCAAGTGCCATTGCCCTTGTCACGACCAATTTCATTACGGCTGCTCTTGTTATTATTTTTAATATTACTCTAGCTGTCGACGTGCCGGCTCTCACCAGGCGTAGCGCCGATGACTCCGTCAGATTGGTCTGGATGGAGTCGCAATCACCGAGGGGGGCCATCGCATGTGGCTCCTCAGTCTTGTCTGGGTTGAAAAGGGCAAAGGGCGGCGGCACCTAGTCTGAACATGGGCTCGACATGGAACAGGGGAGGAGACATGATCCAATTTAGGGAACATAAGAATGAGACCGGCAATTCACATACCTAAGTTCAGAAACCACACACCTATTTCTAACTAATTAATATCTTATCTAGTAATAAAGTTATATTTTATCTTATTATATTAATTTAATAATATTTTAATACTTTTAATATATAATAAATATAAAAGAATATAATTTAATTTTTAATTTAAATAATAAGTTAAGTAATAAGTTTAAATTTAAAATTAAAACTTTTATTATAATTATCTATAAATATAATTTAATAATTAATTAACTATATAATTATAAATATTTATAATTTAATAATATTTTATAATTTATATTATATTTAAAAGATTATAAATTTTATAAATAAATTAAAATATTATTTATTTATTTTTTAATTAATCTAACTATATAACTCTTCAAGTCTAAGGTTGTTAATGCTCTTAAAAAAATTCCGAACATGTTTGTTCCGAGTCTAATTTTTCTTTCTCTTTCTTCTGCTTTCTCAGCACCCTTTTTTGCTCGATTGTGGCAGCTGATGTCGCTTTGAGAGATTCTAAAAGTTCGGGAGCGGTTCGCGAAGCAGTGACCTGGGGATCAAACTCGGAAATCGCGATCCAGAATTGCCCATTGCCTGCCGAAGACCCGTTTGTCTGTTCGATGAATTGATCCAGCTCGTCGAGACTAGGAAGACAAACATAGCCTTCGTGCTTTGCTCTATGAATCCCGCTGGCCGATGGGCCGTATCTCGAGAAGGAATCAGCAATCTTCCGCATGTTAAAAGCCGACCCCCCGTTGAGTCTAATCCGTGCTCTAAATGGATAAGATTCTTTTGGTGTTGGCCGGCCTGAGAACTGATTCTGGGCCTTCTGGTGTCGACGTGCCACTCTGCCGGTGCCTCCCCACTTGCGCACCGGTCGCCGGTCGATCTCCAGTGTGACATCCGGCGAGAGGGCGAGCAAGTTGACGAGCAGGGCGATAATGCGGAGGGCATCGGTTCCAGCGCTGTGTGCCATATGTTTTGGTAGAATGGCTCGATTATCACCCTCAAATCCGAATGCGATGAGCGATTCGCGCATACTTGGACTGCAGTTGGTGCGCGTTGAGACATCCTTGATAATCTCCTGAAGGTCGACCCAAGATGAGATATGCTCTGTGATACCCAGATACGTGCTCGACATGACACGAAATTCGAAAGCCAGGTCGAAACCAATCAGAGTGAGGGAAGCCTGCGGACCCAGCGCATCGCGGAATGACTGGAATAGACGCTGCAGAGTCTCATGGACGGCGTCAGGCTCGACGATATGGGTTGGTCCAAAGATGAAGGATTCGCGCTTCCTTCCCCGGCCTTGTTCCCTGCCAGCAACCCGGATCTTACTCACTTGTATTGGGTATCGGGTCTGAAGCGAGTACAGGCTCCTAGGAGGGCCCTGCAGCGCCTCAATGTCGACAGGCGGGATGAATGCGATACCGATCTCGACAACATCAGTAAGGCTGTCGCCCCATGGCTCGGCGTCGATGGCAACAAACCCCGAGACCCCGGCTTGTTGTTTTAGCGAGCAGAGGTTGGGGATGTTGCTACGCCACAGGTTGTGCCAGCGGCTGACTTTGAGGAACGGACAGCCATCAGAATACTTCATTTCCGCCGTGCTGAGGGATGTGTATATAAGGGATGGGCGGTTATGGTTTCGTTTCTAATCCCCATACATATAAAATGTATAGGGTGCCTTGATATAGTCGTAAATGCTTATAATGTAGCTTCTTAAAAATAAAAATAAAAATGCTAATAACAGTATAGCGACAATACGTGGGCACGTGGCCTCGGCCTCGTGCCGCACAGATAAGGCTAGGAGGCATCGCTCCTAACGGCGCCACTGACTAGATCCGTCGACTGTATATAAGATTGATAGTGGATCATAGAAAGCTGCGGCGGGTCTTGTAGAAGAAAAAGATTAGTGCAATGAAGAAGCTAGTTACTATAAGATTAAATAAGTGCCTAGAGGAAAGAAACTATAGTTACTTTATATATTATTATAAATTATATAACTTTAATTATACTATATTTTTCTTTTATATAATAAAAATATTATATATATATTTAAATATATATAAAATAAAAGTATAATTATATAAATTATATTATAATTATTAATATTTTTAATTATTATAAAATATATATTAATTTATATTTATATTTTTAATTATTAAAAAATTTAATATAAGTATATATTAATATAAAGTAACTTTTAAAAAGTTTAATAAAAGAGTTCTACTTTATTTTTAACTATAATAAATTAAAAGGTATGCTTAGTTAAGAAGTGGTTAGGAGGAAGTAGTAAAGCTGCAATCTATTAGAGCTATACTCCGTACAAAATTAGGCCCTTCTCTTATCGCTGCTGGCGTCTCAGTTTGTTTCCCGTTTCCAACAGACCACCACTCATCACCCACCCTCACCCACTGCGCACTGCACAGCACTCTGCCTGACGTCTCGAGCCATGTTTGGCTCGGCCGTTACTCAGTCGCTTCGTCTGTCGCGTGACAAGTGTGTGTGCAAACTCATGCTGTGACCATCTCTTTTATGCATGCGCAGCATGATTATGCAGCACGCCGTGAGGACTATCTGAGTCTGAGTCTGAGTCTGAATGTCTCTTTCTACCACGGGCTCCCTGACGACAGACGGGCCATTGACGAGCAATGTATCGCTACTCCACCGTGTCTCTGCTGTACCTGCGTTGCGGTGGGTGTCGTCCGGGACAACGCGCTAATAGAGTTAAGTTAGCCTCTGTGGGTACCTGCCCCCCACAGATACCATGTTTGTACCCGGTACCTGCACCGCACACACCGAGGCCGCGTGGAAAGGTCACCCACCCCTGCCACCTTCTGGCACACCTCTGGCCGACCCGGCAACCTGCCGAGCCCAGCGAAACTGGCTGGCTGGCGGGCGGGCAGGGCAGGCTGGGCGTGTCCTGCACACTAGTCCAGATCGTTCACACGCGCCAAATGGCCCGGCGATCCGCGATCTACGGAGTACTGTACAATCTGCCAATCCAGGCTCCATGCCCCCTCTTCGGGACGCAGCCTAGCTCGTGTTGTTGCAAACCATCGACACCGAGACAACCTCGCCCGGCGCAGCAACCGGCCTGCACTGACGGCGCCGCCCATCCTTGCGGCATCGCCGCCGGTAGTACTCCGTATGGATGATTAGCAAGCCCGCGCCCTCTGTCTCGTATCAGGTGAGCGCACAGTCGACGTCACCGTCCAAACATGGGTGTCTCCGATATACTGCCATTTGCTCGCCTGACCGGCGGCGCAGCACTTCGGATAAACAAGACCAGTACTACTGTAAAGAAAGACCCGGCCAAAATACGCGGCCCGCCTCCAGCTCGCTACCGAGTGAACCATAGGCTGGCTTGTGCCGGCTGATCGCCCCCTCGCTCGAGCTGCTGCGTTGGGCCGTTGGCTCCTCTCGGCCGTTATCCGACTGCTCGGAGATGGAGCGGGTGGTGAGCTCAAGCTCAACTCGAGACGACTCCCTGCGACATTGCGTTCCCACACTGGCACCCATGTCGGTGATCCGTTTCCCAGGGTGAACCATAATATATTCCTTGATATGTCTGTATAAAAGGCTAGGTTGGATGATGAGCCCGACGCTCACGTAGTCAGCGCAGGCTGTGTGTACTTGAGCATAGAGGGAGGACGACTTGAGCATATCCCCTTGCCCGCCCCACCAAGAGCGCGTCAAGCAGCCACATGCGTCTCCACAATGTCAGCCTCTAAGATGCTCTTGGTCCCGACGCCATTTGCCACGCCCTCTTTCTCCCTCTCCTGATTCCACCGCCAGATCTGGTCGCAGACACCCTCTAGAGTGGTGCACAACCCCTTGTACCCGATGCCCCCGTCCTCGACCGACTTTCTCGCCTCCTTATCAACAACCATGATAAAGGCCGCCGGCGTGAACACCGACGGCTGCAGATCCCTCGCCGGCCCCGCGGGCTCGCGCAGGCCCAGCCTCGCGAGGAGCGGCACCGTCGCGAGCAGCAGCGACCAGCCCTCGACCAGGTGCGCAATGAGGTAGAGCGGCAGTGGCGGCACCCTCGTGACCTCCATCGGCGTGACGGCGAGCTTCTTGGCGGCGCGGAAGAAGTCCTCCCACTGTATCGCCGGCCCCGTGTCCGTGACGACGTACGGCCTCCCCGCGCACCTGGGCATCCCCGCCGCCGCGCCGCCGCCGCCGCCCGCCCGGGGCTCCAGGGCCGCCTCGAAGGCCAGGTGCGCGAGCGCCACGTTCCACCCGGCCACCAGGTTCTGGATGGTCTGGGGTGTGAAGGTGACGACCTTCTGCTGCCTCAGCATGCTCCCACAGATGACGTCCGTCGGCAGCCCGTAGATGCCGTTGCCCGGCCGGATGCACCCGGTCCGGAACGCGGCCGAGTTCGCCGAGCACACGTCCCGCTCCGCGATGGCCTTGGAGTAGGCGTAGTTGGAGAAGAACTCCCCGTGCGGCCTGAGCGGCCGGTCAAAGTCGCGCTCGTCGCAGACCTGGAAGTAGCCCTGCGGCGGCGTCGACCGCCACGGCGGGATGGGGAAGAAGCGCGCGGGCCGGATAGTTACCGAGGCGGACGAGGTGGCGACGAATATGTCGGCGCCCGCTGCTTTGGCGCCCGTGAGCATGATGCGCGTGCCGTCGATGTTGACGCGGCTCGTGCGCTCCCAGACGAGCAGCGACCGCTCGCCCGGGCGGATCGCGGCCACGGTGTGGAACACCGTCAGGGGGAGATGCGCGACGTCGCTGGGCCAGGGCTTGGCGAACGCCGCCTCGACCGACGCCGGGTCGGTGATGTCTGTCTTGACGTAGTCGACGGCGGCGGCCTCGCCATGGGCCATGTCAGACCTGGAGGGCCTGGCAAAGTCCAAAATGCGTACGGACGAGGGTGGCTGGCCCCGCGAGAGGAGGCTGAGCACAATGTCGCCGCCGACCAGGCCCGAGCCGCCGCACACCACGTACCTCCTGTCCATCTTCGGCGGCAGGGCTCTTGCGAAGTCGATGGGCTGACGGCTCATCCTGTCGTACGTCTCCTGGATCTCGGTTTCTGTCCACGGCTTGCTGTACCACGCCCATGCCTCTTCTGGTATTTTCTCCATGACCCCGTTCAACCTATAAAGGTAGAAAGATAGCAGGGCGGACACGGCGGTCGCCACGGCCACGGCCACAATAAAGCCCATGATCGCAGTACTGGAGGGTCAAGATAGTGTCTTTAGACAGACCAGCGCTAGACTGCGGGAGGGCGGGCAGCAAGGGTGAGCTTCTTATGGGCTGACTCGATTGTAGGCCCGGGCACGAAGGGACATATATCTAAGTTTGGAGAAGCGGAATGTGAGTTCGCAAGGTTCGTTTCCGAAGTACAGACAATTTCAATAATTGGAGAGGGGATCGATCGTCAATGCGGAGGTTTCAGGCATCCCCTGACAGAATACGCTCCAAGTCTGATCCAGCAACAGCCACCCCCGAAAGGAGGGCTACCTTTGATTCTGTTGATGTTGATAGTCTCAACCTCTGTTACTTTCAGACTGGATAAGTTTCCACTCAACTAGCAGAAGAGCCCAGCCCTATCGCAAACCTAATCATATCCTCTTGCCAAACTGCATTGTCCCCCCCACCCTTTTTTTTTTTTGCGATGCTCAATAGCCGTATTCTTTCTTTTGCGGTGCCTGGCACCTGCCTGTCGTCGTGCCTGAGCCGCGTCCCTTTGGCTGTTGGATGTCGCCAGTCTTGACGGTGCCGTGTCCTTTTAGATGCCGGTTGTTCCCGTTCTTGACGGGGCTGTGTCCCTTTGGATACCGCAAGTTGGCATGCTCAGACTGGAAAGGCTCGCTCGGGTCTTCAGAGATGATCGCTTTGCACCGAAGCGTCCCGACGAGGTCGTTCTCAACGACCGGCATCAGGCTGCCACCCTGCTCGATCACGCCCTTCTCTTTCAGCTCGTCCTCCAACTCGCACTGAAAATCAAAGTACTCGTTCATGATGTGGCCCTTGTCATCCTCCAGGCACTGGATGTGAAACCAGTTGCACTCCTCGTCCCACACGAAGCGTGCCTGCTCCTGTGCCATGTTAGCAAAACAAAGGTCACCTCGTGTAGTATCGATCTGGCGTTTTGGCCTTGTGGAAGGAGTAGAGTATACCAGCTCAAGACTCTCAAGGTGCTCGATGACGCGTTTGATGGTCTCTGGCAGTAAAGACCAGAGACTTGACAGGTAGAACTCGACAATATGCTGGTTGGACGATGTGTGGCTGGAAGACGTGGGGTTGGAAGTATGGGTGGATGACTCCTGGTCAGAGGATGTCGAAGCCATACTGTCCACTTGGTTTGAGCCGACAAAGACGGACGAGGTGTGATATTGGTTGATGTTGGTTTAAGAGCGATTACTGGAGACAGTGTGGGGATGGACGATGATGTGGTAGGGAGGAAGGAGCCAGCTCTCACTTAAGTGGGTAGTAGACGAAGATGGACAATTGGGGCAGGTGTAGGTGGCTGGGACAGTCGAGTTGACTCGCTTGATAGAGCTCAATACCGTCTGGACGTTTGCCGATGATTAGCTTACATTTTATGCGATTTCCATCGAAGAAGAAAGTCTGTTTCGACTGGACCAAAGACAATAGCAGAACAATGGGTAGTTGCAGATGGTGGTCGAGGCAACAATACTACTGCCAGCGTACCTAGGTCGCTCACCCCTGCCACATTTGTCTCTTTCCATGCATGCAACCGACACTTGCCAACTGTGATCTGGAATGGGCTTCCTGATACTAGGAGCAGAAAAGAGTCTTATTCATTGTCAACGAGGCACGTGTGTCACGGTGTCTATGTATCTAGGTACCCAGTTATCCTCCAAGCTCCCGTGGGACAACCTCATGCGGGATAGGCCCCCAGCTTACTTAGGGAGAGCTCTGGGGACATGGTCTACAGAACAACTTCTTGCAAGTAAGGTGGATGTAGGCCACAGAGGCTCTGATATGGTGTCATGCATTTTCTTTATGAACCCTTGGGAAGTTATGGTAGTGTTATGGTAATAGTGTGTGTGATTCGCCAGTGGTGCTTCGTGGTGTGAAAGTTGAGACGAACAATAAATAGTATGCAAGGAATGTGGAAGGTTTTGACATTCGAGCATATACAAGCATAATAGGCCAGGTGGTCGAATGGAGACGCAGCTGGAGAGACATAGATAGACCGCATTAAATGCATGGCAAGCAGCCAGTTGCTAGTCTCTCAACGGCCAGGAATTCAAAGATCGCTCGAGCAGATTTGGCCACCAGCTATGTACTTCTGATATGGTATAATTCTTCGTCAATTGTGATAGCCTCCTACGCCATCCTCTATAGTTTGCGTATCAAGTTTGACGAAGACTCGTGCCCAGTTAAGAGACAAGTGTAGAAACTATATGTATAAGAGGCTAAAAAGTCATCGTAACACATGGAAAGATGACCCTTCGTTGTGCAGTTTGGTCTTCAATAATTGGCACTCGTCTTTTTATATTGGGCAAAGCTCAACCAAGAGGGAACAACCTCCGACTCCCTATAACACCGTGATATGATGCGCCGCTGCGGACTGATGCCTTGGGGGAAATGATGGGGAGAATCGAAGAAATCAGGTCTACATGCAGTGCATATCTGCCTCTTTGCATGGCCGGCGAATTAAGGAGAGTTTCTTTAGTAAGTGTGCGGACCAAAAAGGCGATCTTCCTTTTTGTCCTTGTCGTAGAAGAGGGACAGTTCCCGGTATCAAGCGTTCGAAATAATGGGTATCTCCGTCTCCAAATTGCAGAGAAAGCAGGCAGGAAAGTCGTGAAGTAAAGTATTGAGATTGGGTCAACTCCCTACGAGAGGAGTGAAGGCCGTGGTCTGGACGTGACCTAGCTCATTTGGCCCACTTGACGTTTTCCTTGATGTTCAGCGCCCATCTCAGCTTGTCAAGTGTTTCCTTGGCCTCCCGCAGCATGCGTTCCTGGTCCGCTTCTGTCTTGGATGCGTTCGTCTTGATGTTCTGGAGCAGGGCCTCCTGCTCCTTCTTGTAGGCTTCGAATTGTCGCGTGAGGGCATCCTTCTGCTGTAACAAGTCTTTGATGTTTCCGTCTTGCTGGTCGCACAGTTCTCTCAGGGTGGTGATCTTCTCGTCGTCCTTCTTCCTCTCGGCTACCAGGCTCGCGACCTCCTTGCCCATCTTGGACGTGGCACGCTTGACCTCCTCGCCTTGATCCCTCCAGTGGCTGCTGATGGCGTTGTACCGGCCCTCCATCAGCGCCGCTTGAGTCGTGGCGTCCTCGACCTTTCTGGTCGTCTCGTCTCGCATCTTCTCCATTTCGTCTTTCCAGGTCCGTTCCCTACTCTGGGCATCGCTTGTCCGTTTCTTCTCGAGTTCTATAACACCCTGCAGGCCCTCGACCTGACGTTCTTTCCTGGCTAGCAGGGTCTTGGTGACGTTGGCTTCCAGCAGGCGACTCTCGTAATCTGCGACCATCCTCTCCATCTTGTCCTGGAGGAGCTTGGCCTCCCGCCTCGACTCCTCCGAGTTGAGCTTCTCGATTCGCAGATCTCGCTTCAGCGCCTCGTTCTCTGATATAAGCTTGTTCATGACTCGGCCGGTCTTTCCGAGTGCAGCCTTGCCGACCGCCGAGTCGAAACTGGGATCGTCCTGTCCATCTGGATTCGCCTTGGCCGCTGACCGCTCGGGGCCCCCAATGCTGCTCTCCCTCTGGGGTATCTCGACAGACCTTGGGGAGGGGGCGCGCCGGCTGCCATCGTGACTGGCATTCGCCAGATACTGTTGCGATATCTTGGGCCTCAGACGGCCCGCCGGTATCCTGTCCGAGGTGCCATTCGGCTCGTGTTGTCTCCTCTCCATTGTAGGCGACATTGCACTGGCGTTGCTGTTTGGGGAGCTCGAGAGCACAGAGTTTGAGCGACCGTTGGAAAGCGAAGGTGAGGCCTCTAGGGAGGAGTCGGCTGGGGGTGTAGGGCCGTCGTCGAAGCTGGTAACGTGACGGATCGATGCCATCCTCCGGGGCGTGCCGTTGGGGCCTTCAGGGGCAGCCAGGGCCGAGGACGGACGGCGTTGGGAAGGGGAGCTAGGTGGGGGCCTTAACTCCTGGGTTGCCAGGCTATCTATGGTGGTGGCGCCCTTGGAGTCGTTGGTGAGGTTGGAGGTAGAGCTAAAGCTTGGTCTGGGCGATTTGGGCGGCTCATCGATGGACAGCCTGGAAATGCTCGAGTCTGATGTCCCGGGTCGGCTAGAAGCGTCTTTGTCGCGGCGTGTCAGCTTGCTTGCTTTGGCTTTGGGGGAGAACATGAGCTTCCGCATCTTAGGCAAGGTTTTCCAACACGACTCTTGTCGTGGCCGGCCCTGGTCCCTGAAAGTGTGGTGTTTGAAAGACGGAAACAGACGTGCAGTAAACAAATCAGGGGCAATGTGCCGAGCCAAATGACAGACGGTGGAGCCTCGCTCGCTTTGGCCTGCGTGGCTGCATTTAGGTGTGGATGTTTCAGAAGCACTGACGTACCCTTGTTGTCCCGGTGGATCGCAAAGACAGGATTCCTCGAGGAATGGGGCCTCCTCGATGTGTTGAAAAAGAAATGGGGCATTTCTGTCTGGCAGAAGATGCCCGGTCTACGATCGGAAGCGAGGGGAGCCCACGGCAACCGCTCAGATGTGCGGGTGTGCGGGTGTGTCGTCGTATTGTGCGACTCTCAAGGTTTCCCTTTACTGGAGTCTAACACGATGCACGGGTCGAGGGTTTCCCCTGCCGCTATGCCGAGTAAGGGTCCTGGCGGCTAGCGGCGATGCAGAGGACGGCCCTGTGCTCAGATACACCAGAGGCAGATCAAGGACGACGTGAAAGAGACGTGGGTGCTCCCGATGATGCTTTCAGCAAAGTAATGCAGTCAAAGAAGTAGCGCAACGGGTATAGATACGGAGTACGAAGTACGGGACAGCTGAAGTGGCGGGCGAAATGCAGGGTTCAGTCAAAGAAATTAATACTCGTCGGATTGGAAATATCGACAGCGGTGTTTGTCGCTGGCGCGCTATCCTCAGTAGTTCTGACTGGCAAAGGCTGGAGGGGTGCCAGGCGTCATAGAATGAATATGTTTATTGACTGTCCTGGTTGAGGCCCATGAGGAGACCCTGATGATTGACGTGTCTAAGGCTGATGGTACGTACGGGAGACGCGACTGCCGCACGACTGGCGCCTTTCCACAGCAACCAGGAATCCAGGGAGGGGCTATCCTTGCAGCTCTCATTTCCCCTTCCAGAATGCCATTTGGGCAGCCCACTCGCTAAATGCCTGATCCCAAAATGCCATCTGCTCTACCACTGCAGCAGTCGTGTGCTCATTGCAACAACGGCAGACACGCCTGATGACAGATACCAGGTAGCTAGAGTCTGATATGATTTTCAGGGGATTCGTTCTGGCCCGTCGGCTATCTTTGGGCTGGAAGGCTGAGTGCCCCGATGGATCGCATGACAGAATGGATTAGGCCCGCCCTTTTAATATGAGATCGTGTATTTGCTGACCCATATATGACTTACACAGCCCTGTTAATCTCTTTGACACGGACTTGTGTGCACGCAGCCTACCAAGCATCGTTGGATTTTCCCAGTCTCATGAAACCTTTTGTCCGTCCTGGGGTTGCCGTTTTGAGGGTGGCTGCTGTACGGTGGTGCCCAGTAGACCAGGTGAACAGGGCAGACCACAACAAGGCAATAGTCTACCAAATTAAGTGTTATTTCACGCCCTGTATGAATGGCTTAGACTTATCTGTTCCAATATTTGGAAAGATATTGCGTGGGATTTGCAATGTGGCTAGAGTCAAGGGAGACGACAGAGCATCTGTGCAGGCATCTGGTCTCTCATCATAGACTAGTCGTCTTGGTGGTCTCGGGCTTCACGGCCGAGAGCCTTCAGCTGGCCGGCAGGTTCGGCAACCATCTCGGCCATTGGCTCTGAATGCATTTGAAGTATTGTTTACTGAGTGTTCCCACACAAACATGCACGCACACACACACATATATATGTGCCAAAGACTGTAACGGATGCGAGACTGATGCGCTGGCAGCCGGGTGCCTCAACGTCAGTACGGTACTGTGTCGTCAGCGCCAGGCGATGTGACGGACGGAAATCCAGTTGCATCTCAGGCAAGCTTGAAGCATACAAAGGGCTGGGGCACCCTCTTGCCAATTGCCAAAAGACCTCAATATTCTCCGGTCACATCCACCCCCTTGAATTCCATTATCGGTCTCGCAAGGCACGACTGGGTTTCGACAATGTCGTCATCTCGCGTTCAGGCTGGCACAAGCCCCAGGGAAGGTGGTCCATCCACGAAATGGACCACCATCTACCAGGTGAGAACAGTATTCCCGGCTCAGCGGGCTTGAAGAAAAGCTGACAAAATATCCAAGCTCGTCATGACACCCATCATCTTCGTATCCTTCCTAGTCTCGCTGGCCTGGGTTGATTTCCGCTACTCCATCATGCGCTCTCACAGCCACTCCGAGGAGCCCAGCCAGCTGCCCCGGTGGCTCCACCGCATTGCGTACCGGCAGGCGCCGTACAAGTACGTCAAGGTTAACGCGACAGATGCGAAGGCCGCGGCAGGCGACAGCGAGGGGACGAGATGGTACTATCACAGCAAGCAGCGGAAGCTCATGAAGATGGAGGCCGACGACGCTTTTCAGATCCGCGGGACCGTCCTCGTGGTTCTGGGCTTGCTCGCCGTGGCGGCCACATGGGCTGCTTCGTGGGCAGGATGGTGGCTCTGGGTCATGATGCGGGCGAGGCTCGACTGAAGTCAAGCACGAGGACTGGATTTTCTTTGCAGGTTGAGGGTATTGTTTCGCAGGTCTTGATGCCAAGTAGCCTTTGTTTTAAAATCTTCATTGCTCTTTACGGATCCCAGCCACGACTGGCCCACGGTGGATGTTTACTGCTGGCAGTCGGGCCCGCGCAAGTCACATGATCCTGTCTCGAGAGACCGTCAGGCTCAACTCGGGAGGTTGAACTTCGGAGAGTGTTGCAGCTATCGAATCTGCGGTGGGCTGAAGACATACACACAGCTTTGTGGGGCCACGTATGGGAGGCTGCAAGGTTCAGATTATTTGTCTTCAACCTAAGTAGGCATCTATGCTACATGGGACATATCTTGGCTCGCATGTTTTCGACCCGATAGTTGTCCGGAACAACTTCTTCTTCAAGGAAGTGCAATGGCCTCAAGCTCGACGTCTGCACCCTTAGGAAGGGTCTTGACAGCAACGCAGCTACGAGCAGGCTTGTGGGTGAACCACTTGGCGTACTCCTCGTTCATGGCCTAAGAGGGAATGTGAGGTCAGTTTGTTGGCCAAGTCACCGCCGGGGGGGGATGTTCGGGTTGTTCGGGGTTCCACGCACAGCAAAGTCATTCATGTCAGCGAGGAAGATGTTGACCTTGACAACCTTGTTGATGTCAGAGCCAGCAGCCACGAGGACAGCCTTGAGGTTGCGGATGCAAGTGGCGGTCTTCTCCTGGATGGTACCCCCAAGCAGGTTACCCTCGACATCAAAGTGAATCTGGCCCGAGCAGTAGATAGCCGTGGGGGTCTTGATGGCCTGGGACTAGAATAGGCAGGTGGTGTTAGTGAAGACGACCCTTCCCCTCCCTCCAAGTACTCAACGTACGTAAGGCCCAACAGCTGTTCCAGGAGTCAGTGAGCGCCAATTGAGAGGAACGCGAGGCGGGTTCACTCACGCTGGGGGGCATCCTTGGTGTAGACGACGTCCATGGTTGAGACTCGGCGGGTTGAGTGGCTGGAGTGGCTGAAGAATGGGGCGGCTCGAGGAGCTACTGTCAACGATCTCACAAAGGGGGATGAGAGTGGGATCCTGGTGAGTCGGCGCACTGGAAGCATTGGAGGAGAGGGGTTTGAGTCAAAATGTCTACAATTGATGCCGGGTCATGCGGTGTTTTGTCACTGGGAGGCACGCATCTCCCTCCGTCTTCGGACAGGAGGCCCAAACTGATAGCCCCAGCTGCACCGACCAAGCTTGCGGGTTGGCGCCTCGTACCCCCGGTGAGAATAGACGCTCTACTACTTACTTCAGTATCTTGGAACCCCCATTAGACTCGGAATAAGGCCTTTCTTCTTCTTTTCTCTTTACTAGTGAGATTTTCAGCTCCCAGATATCAGCCTGGGGTTGAAGATAGTCCACACAGTCATGCAGGTACGTGTGAATAAGTGTCGACCCTGAAATGAACCCCAAATTGTACTTGTGTGCAATGTGCATCCCTGGGCGCGGCATAGAGTGATGTACCTGGGTACTCCGTAGCTCCCTCTCCTCCCCCTTAGATAATCGGTGGAGCTTTGGCCCAGCACTTGTTTCAGGCGCTAGAGGGAGCTGACGACGGGCCAGATTGATGCCAAGCTGTCGTCTTCTCCTAAAATTAACAAGGTTGCGCTGCACTCAATTGACTTGGGACGCCTTCGAGCACTTCTCGCCAGATGAACTTCCTCCCCAGGGCAGGCTGTCTATAAACACCTTTACCTTCCTTGTTCCTCTCATGGTTCCTTGAGAGCTTCACTTCTACACGCTCATTAGTGGCACCACCTTACTGCCCCCCCTGTCGACCTGGTCAGCCCAGATACTGTAAGCCTCGCCCGCATATCCCTTGCTGTCTGCCTGCCTGCTGTTAGTCGGCCCCCTTGACGAGCCATTGGTTGGTCTGGGTGAGTGGTGTCTGGCCACCTTCCAGATCCTGCCAGCTGTTGTTGAGCTCCCCTGCGAACCTCAACCTTCTTTCTCAAGCGTCTTTGTACACGGGGATCCTCAAGTCCAAGAACTGACATTTTGTTTGTCCTCCAGACCCGCCAAACCCACAGGCCCATCATGGTCTCAAGCTCGGCCTCCAAGGAGGGCTTGCGCCAGAGAAATGTGGCCAGCTCCAAGAAGAACGGAGCAGCCTCAACAGGCGACGAAGTCGAAATTGACAAGCTTGTCAAGGCCAACACCCCTACCAACAACTCCGACCTGCAATACAAGATTGCCCTTGCAATCATCACCGCTCTCGCCTTCGTGACAAGGTTCTGGGGCATCAGCCACCCCAGCGAGGTCGTCTTTGACGAAGTCCACTTTGGAAAGGTATGATCATTTCAGCCTCAACCTGTCGTTGCGCTGCTGCAGAGTACTCTCACTGACGGTGTTTTGCCTGCAGTTTGCCTCGTATTACCTTGAGCGAACCTACTTCTTCGATGTGCACCCGCCTTTCGGAAAGCTTCTCTTCGCATTTATGGGATGGCTGGTTGGTTACGATGGGCACTTCCACTTCGAGAACATCGGCGACTCCTACGTTGCGAACAAAGTGCCATTCGTGGCGTTCCGTTCCCTGCCGGCCATCCTCGGTGCGCTGACAGTCTCCGTCACCTACATGATCATGTGGGAGTCGGGCTACAGCCTGCCTGCTTGCGTGGTCGCCGCTGGTCTTGTCCTCCTTGACAATGCCCACATCGGCCAGACGCGCTTGATCCTACTGGACGCTACGCTTGTCCTGGCAATGGCCTGCAGCCTGCTGGCATACATCAAGTTCTACAAGCTTCGACATGAGGCATTCTCCCGGAAGTGGTGGAAGTGGCTCATTCTCACAGGATTCGCCCTATCCTGCGATATTTCAACAAAATATGTTGGCCTCTTCGCATTTGTCACCATTGGTTCCGCTGTGGCCATTGATCTGTGGGATTTGTTGGATGTGAAGCGCCCCGGCGGAGCCCTGAGCATGCCCAACTTTGCAAAGCACTTCGCGGCACGAGCGTTTGGCCTCATTGTCATGCCCTTCATTTTCTACCTCTTCTGGTTCCAAGTTCACTTCGCCGTCCTCAACCGCTCTGGACCAGGCGACGACTTCATGACTCCCGAGTTCCAGGAGACACTGAGCGACAACGTCATGTTGTCAAACGCGGTCACCGTCAACTACTACGACTCGATCACCATCAAGCACAAGGAGACCAAGACATACCTGCACAGTCATGAGGACCACTACCCTCTGCGATACGACGACGGTAGGGTTTCCAGCCAAGGTCAGCAGGTCACAGGATACCCTTACAATGACACAAACAACTACTGGCAGATCCTCCCGGTGGAAGACGACCAGAAGTTGGGCCGTGCCGTTAAGAACCACGACCTTGTGCGACTCCGCCACATTGTCACCGATACTATTCTCCTGTCTCACGATGTTGCATCGCCGTACTTCCCTACCAACCAGGAGTTTACAACCGTCTCCCTGACGGATGCGTACGGCGATAGGTCACAGGATACCCTGTTCGAGATCCGCGTCGAAGGCGGAAAGAAGAACCAGGAGTTCAAGAGCATTTCGAGCCACTTCAAGTTCATCCACAACCCTAGTAAAGTTGCCATGTGGACCCACACGACGCCCCTACCGGAATGGGGTCACAAGCAGCAGGAGATCAACGGAAACAAGCAGATTGCGCCAAGTTCCAATGTTTGGCTGGTTGAGGATATCCCATCCCTGCCTCTCGATGACAAGCGGAGGGAGAAGCCTGAGCGCAAGGTGAAGACGTTGCCATTTTTGAGGAAGTGGTTCGAGCTGCAGCGCTCAATGTTCTGGCACAACAACCAGTTGACCAGCAGCCACCCGTATGCCTCGCAGCCCTACCAATGGCCATTCCTGCTGCGTGGTGTTAGTTTCTGGACCCAGAGCGACACCCGTCAGCAAATCTACTTCCTAGGCAACCCTGTGGGCTGGTGGATTGCAAGCAGCTTGCTCGCGGTCTACGCGGGCATCGTTGCTGCGGACCAATTCTCTCTCAGGCGTGGTGTTGATGCCCTGGATCACAGTGAGTTGTAGCCCCACATGAGCGTGTTGATCTTCTTGGCTGACCTGTGACAGGAACCCGATCTCGTCTCTACAACTCGACTGGTTTCTTCTTTTTGGCGTGGGCAACCCACTACTTCCCCTTCTACGTGATGGGTCGCCAACTGTTCCTGCACCATTATCTTCCAGCTCATTTGGCTTCCACGCTGGTCACGGGCGCCTTGCTCGAGTTCGTATTTAACGCGGATACCACCGAGGAGGTCGCCGAATCTGGCAAGAATGGCAAGAAGACTGGGCCAAGGAGGCATATCTCGGCTCGTGAGCGATTCGCTGGCCAGAGCATGCTCAGCGCATGGATTGCGTGTGTCGTCATTCTAGCGCTGGCAGCGTTCGGCTGGTACTTCTTCCTGCCTCTCACGTACGGCTACCCTGGCCTCAGTGTCGACCAGGTCCTGAGGCGGAAGTGGCTCGGTTACGATCTTCACTTTGCTAAATAGGCATTGAAAGATGGACATGATCTCAACCTCGGACGCGCTGGGAAGGTACTCAGAAAATGGGCGTCTTTGTAAAGATTTAAGCTGATGATTGGCCTTTGTGGTTCTCACAATCGGCACAGGACAAATGGAATTTCGAGGTTCCCGGCTGCAAGCGGCAACGCAGATTCAGGCGAACCTCTCTGCTTCAGTAAGACACCACGGGGTTGCTATGGTGCAATATAAGATACAGTATTTAGGATGCCGACGGTGCAGGGACAATCCATTGTAACCACATACCGCATAATCCTATGCTTAGTATTATGAACGTCACGCATTATCACGACAACCGTAAGCACGTGCAAAGATATACAAACTTGACTAACTTGCTGTGGGTGTGGCTTGGACGTGTTGGGTCTGCTCGCGGTGAGTCCACCAAGGAGATTCTGCACAACTGGTGCCCTCTGGGCAGAGCAAAGGCCTCTTCTGTCAACAACCCTTCTCACCTTAGATATTGAGAGTTACAAATCCAGGTCTCACACAACTAGGATTGCACACAGCAGGTGGACCCGACTATGAGGAAGAGCCTAGTATGGGGATAAGCGATCAGACATTACGAAGGAAGCGCTAGAAGCTGGTCAACAGAAATGGATTTCATGGCTAATCTACTGTCATTACTCACCAGCAAGGCATTTAGCCACCAGGCATACTTACTCACTAAATCGCATGGGCGAAGAAGAGACAAGTCGAGGAGGGTTGGGGGGCAATGGCACAGAGGGTGGACCAGACGGCGGACCCGCCAAACGACGAAATGACTGGGGCCGTTTTGTCTTTGGAGCCTCTGCGGCTGCTTTGGAACAGCCATTTTGAGCTTGAGTGGACCACCTTTGCTCGTCGGCAGCCTCTTCAGCCTTGAGCTTCGGGACCGCACTCATGGTCTCGACGCTTCCCGCCTCGTGCTTGCGGCTAAGGGTAACCAGCTGGGGCGTTCCCGGCCGCGTGGCGACCGCCGTAACCTCACAGACCGATTGCTCATCCACATCCTCTCCCCATAGGTGGGATTTGAAGGGAAAATCCACACTTTCCTCGTCTGACTCCTGGGCGGTCAGCTGTTCTTCGAGGCTTGGTGTGATACTTGCCCTTTGAGACTTTGGCAACGGCACGTTGGCTGTCTTTTCCGGCAAACTCTCGACCTTCTCGGGAGCAGGTGGATGAGTCGGGGGATGTTCAGAGGGCCTATGATAGACACTGCAGCCTTCAAAATCGCAGTAGACAAGTTTCCACTCCCAATGACCGCGGCAGGTCGTGGCAGTTGGGGTCTCGTCTATCTGTACAGATTGTCTGCTGCGCTGGCCATAGAGACCAAGAATGCCTTCCTGGAAGTCCACACCTATGAGCGACGCGTTAGAGAAGAAGAGCGAGCCGAACGTCCACGGCCTTGCCGCTCGTGATCGACGCTCGGCATGGGCTTGTTCCTTGGCCAGGCGACTGACGCCGTCCTCGGTATGGCCAACGAGCAGGTTGCTTGTGGCCACCGCCCCGTTGGAGTTGAGGTACGGCAGGCGAGCAGACGTAGCACCGGCACGATCGATGAGTTTGGTCAGGTCAGGGGCCGCGCTACTGTCGCCAGCAATAAGCCGCGAGCTCTCGACTTGACCGTGAGGGCTGGGGGTCCAGGATATTGGGCTCCTCGAGGTGGCCTTGGCCTCAAGGCGATCCTTGCCTCGTCTCTTGCCAGTACAAAAAGAAAAATACATGTCTTGCGGTCTTGGGTATGTTGTCAAGACTGTTGGTAACCCGTGAGTGGCGAGGCGAGGTGCGGTGTTGTTTCAAGCGGATAGATAGACCAAAGAAAACTATCGAGATTCCAGAAGTCAAGTAAATGGCAACGCCCGGGGTTTTCAATATCTCGAACTGAAAGACAAACTACAGGCCAGGGTTGAATTTCTTTGTGAATGATGAGGAGGACAAAAGGAGTGAGCCGCTCTCACGACAATACTCTTCTTCAACGAGTAGCTTGTGCCGTCGTCCTGCTGTCCGCGCGCCGTCCCATTTCCATTGAGCGCAGGAATATAGACTGCCTCCAACAAAGAACCCCTGCTCAATCTTTGCAACCAGCAAAACGTTACAAGGGGATCATATACAATGGCAAAGTCTCTCACAAAGTCCTTGTCTTCAATGGCAGTAAACAGACTAGATCCGACAGTGTACAAATATATGGCTATTTCCCCGTTGCATTTTCTGTATCGCACCCCATATAACCCAATCCGAGCAACCAGAAAGGTAAGAGAAGCAAGGCAAGTCAAGTCAAGTCAAGTCAAACCAAGTCAAATTGACCATCATGTGTACCGAAAAATCGTGGTACGGGGGTTGTGGGCACATTCACACCAGAGGTGTGATGTGTCAGAACAAGAAGAGCAGCTTTTTCTGTTTTTGGAGCAAGTCGAAGCCTTGCCGCGAGTTTCTACACCATTTCCCGAGAAACTTCTGTTATCAGTGTGTCGACTCGGGTCGTGACATGTTTCTGGCACAGCCGCCTGTGAGTAGCCAGGACCGCGGCAAAAGGGACTCGTATGTGGACGTGTCCGCCAACCGCGGGGTGGCCGAGCTCCCAAGCTACGCTTTCAACGACAACAGCACTTTCATTGTCCGAGACCCGCCAGCACCATCCCGCCCCCAGCAGCCGTCACGCTCGATGTCACATCAACCGGATCATCGGCTCGAGAGGTCCAACGCCCGCAGCTCTCGCCTCCAGGCAGAGAGGGCCAGCGCTCGTGACCGTCGCCCTCAGGGACCTCAGAGGGGCGAGAGCGCCCCCGTGTCCGTCAGCACGCGGCGCGGTGACTTGTTCGTTCCAACGTGGACCTCTCCTCCGGCCCATCTTAGGAACCCGACCATCGCACCTCCGGTCATGATGCAGCGCGGCCGATCGCTCACCACAAGGCACCGCGGTAATACTAACGACTCTATGGACTCTTTGGTCTCAGCTGTCTCCGCCGGTCCATTTGACGCTCGGTCTGTTTCACCGGACGACCTCGGCCGTAGAGCAAGTCAATTCAGACCGAGGAGATAGACGCCGTGATCCACTATCGCGCCGTTGTCCAACGTGTTCTTGAAAACACGCGAGCATAGGAAGATGCCATAGGTGAGTCTTTGGGCGCATAGGCTGACTACTTAGATTCGCATCTCGAGTGACGCAGCACGAAAGTTTTCACTTCTCTATTTTTATTTTTTATTCTTCTTCTTTCCCCTTTCCACCAAAAGGTGAGGGTATCGGAATTCTCTTTTTGGGCTGCGAAAAGCTTAGCCATAGGTAATGACAAAAGAAAAACAGTATCATACTGAACCCAATACCATGAAATCGTGACAAGCCTTGACAAACGTTAGGAAATTTCTTCTCGAGTCAGTCATGTAGAGCAAAACATGCATACGAAGATTACCACAGAACTCGAAACCCCGCGGCGTGTAGCCCTACAGCACATGATGCGATCTCCTCATCCTTAATTGGGCTGCCTGGCCAAGCAGGTCTGACAAGCCACCCGAGCCAGATGGCGGTTGGTTGTTTGGTCCACCTGAGACTGCACTTTTTTGCAGTCACACTGCAGCAACCTGGGGAACCGATACTGGAACCTAAAGGGGCGCCCACCTGAGACGGAGGGCCAGTCGGATCGACTCGAAATACTGGTACCTGATCAACGACACGCACCTCGGCGACCCGGCCGGCGGGCCAAGGCTGCCGCGTCGGGTCTGCTAGTGATGCAAGCCATGACGAGTTGAATACGTGCAGCCGTGCCCGCCCGCCGCAAAAATGTCGCAGCCTGTGGCCAGGCGACTTCAGATGGGCAACGTCGACATCTTGGCCCGTGGAATACACGTAACGCGAGACTCGTCGTCTTCATAGGCTGCCCGATTCTCTCGCACGTGAGTGGCCAGGCCGGGGGGTGTATCCAGTTTTAGGGTGGGGTGGGCGTGGTCTAGTCCACGACAGGTTGCAAGATACCTCGTAGGGCTGATAAGCAACGAACGGCTGCGTGGTGGTCTGTCTGCACTGGATTAGGATGGGATGGACGGGATAGATGGATGATGGATGGATGGATGGCCCGAGTTGCTCTGGTGCGTGCAGTGGGAGATTGCGGAGAAGTTGGCCTCCTGCGGGCCTTGGCGAGCTGGTTGGAATGCAGATGACGAGGCCCTGGTGCGAGTCGGGTAAGCTTGCTCCCTAAACAAAATGCTCACTCACCCCTTCTCCGGCTTCCCAAACTGGTGGGTGTGTGAAGCAGCCCTACCGGTGGAGCATGCAAGGCCCAGTCAGAAAACATTGATCATGACGCCCCGTCCGGACTGCAAAACAAGCAACCGGCTGGGACAAGCAAGAACGAGCGACTTGATACGAGTGCATGTCATGCGCCTCATACAACAAACACCTCAACTCATGACAGCCATGACCAAGCACGGTGAGTGAGGCCCAGGAGGATCCTGCGGGCGGGCTTCTGGGTTCTGCAGGGTTGTATCGGAGGGTTGGCAGGTGGCTCCAACTCCGTATTCCGGACAAATTGACTTGCGACCTGCCCTGCCTGCCCGCCTGCCCGCCTGCCCTTTGTCCTTCTGGGTCTTGGTGGGCGTGCTGAGCCGCAGGAGTGCAGTGGGCTAGGTGCGAAGAGTTTGACCAACACGCAGCGGCAGTTGTGCTGGCCGCTGCCATTGGGCGAGCATGACCAGAGCAGCACTGGCGGTAGACCTACCCTGGGGCAGGGCAGGCCACAGAAGTGGTCTGGCTGAGCACTCAGCAATAGGGGGCCGTGGCTGTCGGCCGGCCTTGCCCGTGTCACATTGATCACACTGATCAATTAACGCAACCGCAGTCCCCGTCCAGTCAGGTCCTACGAGACTCTGCAGCTGAGAGCCAAGCCAGGGAGGGAGACTGTCAGGACTGTCAGGAGTGTCTGGAAGATCGCAGGCTTGGCCCAGACCGACTGGCGACTGACAAGAAGTCCTGGAAGTGAGGGCAGGCCTGCAGTCGGATTCGCGAAGTAGATGAAATGTGGAAATGTGGAACTGTGGAAATGTACAAAAGGACCAACCTAAAGTGGACCCTCCAATACCCCAGCACTCCGGCACCCTGGCACAACAATCCCCAATGCTGCCCCAGACAAGATCGTTGATAGGTGACCCACGGGACGGCTGAGAGCAAGGGTCCCGTTTGATTGCGCACGGGCCTTTTCGCGCTCCCGCACGCCGGGTTGCTCATCAATGAGGAAGGTACCTCGTGCATGTATCCTGCAGTCAGCTCTGGCGTGTTGCATGCAAATCAGTCGAGTGGCTACCACTGCCACCCGAAATGATGCCATCCTGCCATCGCAAATGAGTGAATTGTGAGCGACCCTGGATCCCGGGAGGGGGGGTGTGCAACAAGACAAGATCATCGAGAAATGGAAATAATAAAAAGGGTTGTATTTTTCAACACGTAGCCGCCCTACACAGTAAATGTACACTATGGACCTGCATGGCTGATCAGGATCGTGATGGCTGGATGGGTGCTCAAGGTTTTTGGTTGTGGTCTAATGCAATGGTACCTAGGCAAGGTCAACCGTGTGCAAAACAAAATGACTCGAGATGGAGGGTTGGAATGCGAGAGTGCGCAAAGACAATGGGTTGGGGGGGGGGAGGCAAAAGCAGAGCAAAAGCAGAGCAAGAACAGAGCAAGAGCAGGAAAAGGGACGGCCGCGGGACAGAGACAAGAGACAACGTGTCAGTGTCTCCACAGCAGAGCCTCAAACTCGCTGACATGATGAGCTCAGTGTGACCAGGTGCGAGCCGTGCTGTGCTGACCGAAGAGTCGGGGAGCGGACCAACAGTCTCTCTGTCGCAGCGCGCTAGATCCTGACGGGGGCACTGCAAGCCGCGGCTGCCGCTCGTGATTGGGCAGGGTGGCTGGCCCCCAGCTCCGGATCCCTGCGAGGCGGAGTCTAAGGCATTCCAGGACTCATCCCATCGCAGGCCCACCGACCAGGGAGCTAGGCCCCATTGAGCCGGGTCAAGTCGCTGTTGCCTAAACTCGTGGTCCGTACGGTCCGCGTCGTCCCAGCAGCTCTCCAACGTCCAACCCCGTCCTGCCCGCCCGCTCCACCCGCGCTTCTTTCCTCCTCTTCAACCTCATTTCATCACGTCGCCTGCCCTTGTGATTTGCCAACCCTCTAAAAACCTTCTTTCGTCCTCCTGCTGCTGACCTCGACGACGTGTCCTGAGGCCACCGTGAAACCGAAAGCCCTGATTACCCATTATCCAACCTGCCCGAGGAGAGAGGAGAGCGGGAGAGAGACCACATAGACCCCCCTTACGGCCGAACCCCAGACAACTCCCGCCAACTCCCGCCGTCTCACACTAGAGCCTCGTTGGCCACCCGCCGCGTCGTCCTTCTGGCTGTCCATCTCTGCGCCCTTCTCCTCGTTTCCGGACGGCCTCAGTCTGTCCTTTATCTGGCCTCTTTCCCCGCCACCTTGCCCTTCCTTGCCCTTCCGAAGTGGCCTGGGTTAGCTCGCGGCATCTCACCTCGAGAGAGACGTCCGGACTCCAGACCTCGATTCACATCTGACACAAGAGGCCGTCAGCTTGGCCTCACCAGCCGCAGCCGTGTCCACACCAGCGTAAGGACTCCATTCTTCCTCTGTCCTCTGTCCTCGGTCCTCGCTGTCCTTGCGTGGGCATCCATCCAGTCCCCCCCGTTGTCCTCGTCCCCACGTCCCAAGCCCACTGAGTCGGCCGATCTTTGGCCTCAACCGTGTGTCGTCACAGACGAGACGAGATCGGGGCCACACAGCTGCACCCACCTACCTCCGCTCGTACTATCGACGCACCCGTGTGACTCACCCCCCACCGAACCATATCCCGCGCTCAGCCTTACATGCAAGACACTCGCTGACCCTGGCCGGCCTGCCACAGTCGACACAGTGTTCCGTCCATTGCCAGACGCCAGAACCATTAAGTCCTTAGCCAACCCCACACCCAGCCGGCTCAACATGTCCAACCCTCGTAGGACTCCGGCGACTCACCCGGACGGGGCCCTGTCCCTTAAGACCAACATGCCCCTCCGGAAAGGCCTCACCTTCCACTCTCCTACATCTCCTGGCTCAGACGTTTCCGCCTTCAGACCCCCGTCTCTGCCCCGTCGATCACAGACCAGCCTGGACGACGTGATCGATGCTCACAAGCGACGCATGCGTATCACCCTCGACTCCATCGACCAGACCTTGTCGGCCTCCAAGGACGAGTCCAAGACCCTTGTCGACAAGTCCTTCCCCTTCCCAGACGGCCTCCGCAAGCACTCGGTCGCCATGTTGGACGAGCCTGATAAGGAGCGTCGTGTGCTGCGCCCGCGGTCGACCCTTCGCCGCCCCGCGAGACATCACGATTCAGACAGCGGTCTCGGCACCTCTGTCGCGACATCCAAAGACAAAGCTACCGCCGACTCTGGCAAGAAGGGCAAGGCCTCATCCGTCAAGCCATCCACCATCACCCGGTCCGCGGCTGCGACCACCACCCTTCCTGGCCTGAGCAACCGGGCCACAAACAAAATCTGCGAGCATGTTCTGAAACCGCTACTTGCAAAGCCCGAACTCAAGACCTTCCACCCACTTGTCATTGATTGTCCCAGGAGGATCAAGGAGAAGGAAATTCTTTGTCTTCGAGACCTCGAGAAGACACTTCTTCTCATAGCACCTGTAAGTGAGATCCAAAGAGATCTTGGTATTCGTGGAGATACTTATCGGGCCCTGTTTTCAAAGGAGAGCAACAAATCCGCCGATCTGTGGCTTGACTTCTGCCTTACCACGGTCCACTGCATCCAAGCGACCGTCGAGTACCTCACCGACAGAGAACAAACTCGGCCTCGTGACCCTCCTTACGGAAGCGGATACTTCATCGACCTTGTGGAACAACTTCAAATCTACGCCAAACAAATCGCTGACGCCAAGGATAAGAAACCCTCCGGAGACAGCATGGACGTCAATGCGTACGCTCACCTTCCCATGACCCTTGGGCAGATTGTTGCTAACCGGACCGCCAGCTCCGATGAGATCAAACTGCATGGTGGCATCCACGTCAACGGCCGACCAGTACAGCTTGTACGTGTAAACAAGGACGGCAAGGCCATCTCACTGGCCACTGGTGAGCCTGTCGAGATGGACGACGACAACGATGGGCCTGTCAAGGTCAAGCGGTCTGCTTCTGAGGAGGCCGCCGATGAGGATGAGATCATGCGCTCCATGGCCAGGCGGAAGAAGAATGCCAGCCCAGAGGAGCTCGCGCCCAAGAAGTGTCGCGAGCCGGGCTGCACCAGGGAATTCAAGCGACCTTGTGACTTGACCAAGCACGAGAAGACTCACTCTCGCCCTTGGAAGTGCCCAATTGAGACCTGCAAGTACCACGACTATGGCTGGCCCACAGAGAAGGAGATGGATCGTCACTGTAACGACAAACACTCGATTGACCCACCGATGTACAAGTGCTTGTTCCCTCCTTGTCCCTACAAGTCCAAGCGGGAGTCCAACTGCAAGCAGCACATGGAGAAAGCCCATGGCTGGCAGTACGTGAGGACCAAGACAAACGGCGGCGGCAAGAAGACAGCAAGCAAGGCTGGCAGCGTCACCCACAGGACGCCCCAGATCCAGGGGCTGCCCACGCCCATCAGCAACCCCAGTGTTGGAATGGCAACGCCTCCCGAGGAGAGACTGCAATACCACCAGCCCAACAGCATTGACTTCCCTTCTTACGTCCCAGACGCGGAACCCTTTAACTTCAACACGTTGCCGCAGGAGATCCATTTGGACATGGACACGATGGACACGATGGACTACTCTGACTATTCGCCGGTCGACAACCCAACTCCCATCACAGACCCTGGCTTGGATAGCTCATCCATCACCTTCCAGGACCCGGCCACGACGGACTACCAGTGGGATGATATCTATAGCGCCAATCAGGCCCAAGTGCCGGCTCCGACATTTAACAAGGAGCTTGCCATGCAGTTCGCCGCTTTCTCAGAGGCGGAGCTCTGCAAGACGCAACTTGCGCCTCACATTTCCCCCATCGGGCAGGGCAACGCGATGCTGTACACTCCTCACTCTCTGGCAGATGTTGACGAGAGCTTCGATGACATGCCCGTGGGCATGAACGGCGGGGCAGACTTCCTCCTGTTCCCACCCACCACTGAGGCTAAGCCCATGACCTACAATGAACCCCCACTGTTCAACAACGAGATGCCTTCTGTGGCGGCCGGCTACTCGCAGCCAAACTCGCAGGAATTCTGGGACGTCGATTGGTCGGCCAACCAATATGGCGGATACTCTCAACACTAAAATTGTACCGGAACATCACAGCTCATACTGGCAGCCATTGGGCAAGCGGCAACCGTGTTTTACGATTTTAACGACAACGAGCGTTCAGAAGCTATGACAGCGACTGATGGCGACACCAGATTGGCAGCTGCGCCTTCACGAATGGGTTGGCTTGTGCAATTCTTGTAAACATACACTTCATCTGGGGAACGGGTTTTGTGGTTCTATTTGCTCTAGCGTCTCCTGCCTTATTTAGTCTTCATCTGTCGACGTCGGAAGCTTCGAAACAATTTTTGGGATGGGATCGGAGGGAAAACAAACCAACAACAAACAAAACAAAAAGACAAAAAAAAAAAAAGAATGCCGCAGATCCACATCTTACGAGGCCGGATTTGCTATACATACCAGGTTCTTGGGTAATTGATGGGAGCGGGTTGAGAACCAAGCGCGTGGTCGCATTCGATAGAACCTCGTCACAAACCAGACAAGACTATTCCACGTCACACATCATGATGATCATGTATTTCCCCTTTTCTGTGATGCAGATGCAGTGCTGCGCCTGTTCATTCTTGCAATGGGCCTTGGTTCTGTAGAGACAGACGTACATGACGCCAACGCCAACGAATGCAGCGTGACGGAGTTGAGAGAGGCAGTGCTTTGCTCACTGTCTGGGGTGGGTGGGACTTGCAGAAGGGCGGACGGGCAGTGCTGCCGCAAGCTGAGCAAGCCAGGGCAGGGGGTGCCTAGGGACCTAGCTGGCTGGCTGGCTGCGCATCGCGCTGTTTCTAGACCCGCTTTTTGAGGCTCAAAACCGACCAATTGCCCAATGGCTGCCACACCGAGCCCACACGTGATCACCCGCCGTCCTTTTGAAAGCTTTTCTCCAATGTTTTCCCTCCCACTCCCAACCAGTCCAAACCTCCTCCACCCCAAGCAACCATGCTGCGCAGCATCCTCGTGTCTGGTCTGATGCAGGCACAGCCATGTTTCAATCTGCCACCTAGTTGATGCGCGATCCAACGTCGCGCATCGCGCGCGCTGTCGTGCGATCGATGGGTACACGCCCCTCCTTTGCCTTTGCCCGCCTAGACTTGAGGCTCTGCTAGATTTTGACGCTGGAACGCGGTGTGATGTGTTGAGATCATGGACCGTCGCCAACCGACCGTCTGTCTCTCCCTCTCCCCCTGCCCCTCCTCCATCGGCGCCCTCTTGTCCAGGCGGGAGCAGCCAGCCCAGGTAAGCTCGACCTCTTCGCTCTCCTCCTCCACCGCGCGTTGTGGTCACCCGAACTCTTCCCCTTCACACATCTCCTCACCACCAACCAACTTGTTTTTATGATGAGTTTCAAATCCATTCTTAATGGTATTTGAGAACCCTCTACATCTTAATTAGGAAGAGCCGTCTGAGACTGTCCCCGGGTTGTTTGGCGAAAGCTGGGCAGCCCCTCGGCTTGCCTCCGCAGCATGTCGTCCCGCGAACCCTACCCTTCCTGTTGAGTTGGAACGCCCGCATCGTCATATGCTGTGCGGGGATCCGGGGCGGCGTGGTGTGGCGGAGGGGTGGGGACGGTAGTGCTTTAAAATCTGGGTTTCTGATAAAAAATTATTGGTTGTCTGCTCTTTGTTCTCTTGGCTGAGCTCAACTCGGGGGCTCATCTGTGCCGCAACGCTGCCTTTGAGAACTTGATCAAGCTAACATCTCTGCGGATATAGGTAAGCTGTGACACCAGTGGTCGAAGCTGCGCTTGTTCGATGGTCCAAGCCGTCTCTACCCCATGGGGTCAGATGTGGCTTTTCGCACGTCTGGCCTCATCTATGGTCTGGCTGGACTTCATCTGTCCAGTCAGTGCCTTACTTGAGGCGGGCGTTCCTTTAACTAGGCACCTAGATAGATATAACCAATCTCACATAGTTCTCTAAATCCTCTAGACTTGTTTCTTGTGGCTGTGCTTTGGAACCTACACTTAGGCTCAGTCTTGTCCCATCCTGGACCAAAATCCCAACTCAACTAATCGCGGCTACTCACAGGCCTCAACAACGCATGGCCCAGACTCTTATCTAGTTTGAAGTTGCTCCTGGGAAGTGGCAAGTAGGCATTCAAGATAGCGACGGCTTTGATAGTCACGGCGGGTGTGACACCTCATGATCAGACTCGTCTTCTCGAGCCAAAGACGCGCACGACGTTTGTTATACCCGAAACTTCTCGAGAATATGGGTGGTGCCAGCAAGCAGCACAGCAAAGTAACGCCCTAGATAATTTCGAGGATGTAGTGATGTTTGGGTTGCCGAGTGAAGCACACACGCCTCGCACAGCCTACGAGGGCATCCAGTTCCCCAGCCCAGCCAGTCCTGTTGCCCCCCACCCCCTCCTTCCCGTCGCAGTTTGGAGATGCCAGTAGCAGTGTTCTTGCGAGTCCATAGAGAGAATCAATCCGCTGAAGATGGGATTGGCTCTGGGGGGTCTCAACGGTGGGCGGGTATCGTTGTGCCATGTTCTCGAATTGGAGCCATCGGTAAGCTCTGGCTGTGGTGCAAACATGGAATACAACCAGTCCGCCCACAAGGTGAGACAACATAGAAGCGCCCTTGGGGTTATTGAACCTCAGAGCAGGAGATTTAGAGCGCAAAAGCAGTGTCGTCGAGGAGCCGGCCAAACTAATAAATGTTCCCAATGCGTTCGCTGGGTTGAGCACAGTGTTCAAAGAGCCCGAGAACATACATACTCGGACCGGACGCAAGTAGGATTGTGGTATGATTTTTGAATGTATTCACGTTCACGGACTACTCTAGCTTTTGTCGGTATCATACGCCAGGATACACAGATAGTCAGGTAGATCCACATGCACCCGAGTTTTGCACCCCAAATCGTCCCCTTGTTTCCCCCTCAACCGCCTCGCGCCCACGACGGCGATACCCCCTCTGACGTCGCGAGATGTCTAGCTCGAGGCGTGCTCATGCATATTATCTGACCACCGAGAATATTTCAACTTTCAGGAAACGGATAAGAAAAGGAAAAGTGCAACAACGCTTCCGAGATGATGTAGCTGTGCCGCCAGTCCGATCATTTGTATGCTGAGGACGTGGTTGCGTGGATATCATAGAGCATGAGCGAGTGTATGTATAGTTCGACTGGCCTAACCTGGGCCAACAACAGAGACATGACGTAAAAAAGATCGAGCCGTTCTAAATATGTGCAATGCGAATTGAAAGTTGTGATAGTACAAACACGCTTGACGCTGATCCGATGATGCGGTGATGCGGTGATGAACGAGATTCGGGGATGCCGACGTGTCTGCGGTGAGACTGATGCTGTGGCTGAAGGCGGCCTTGAAACCGACCAGGGCGCAAGTCGTCTTGGATTTTTAGCCATGGGCATTGGCGAGTAGCAGCGACACCGTGTGGCTCGGCTGGCATCGCACACTCTTTGTCGCCATCAGTTTCACCGCTGCCACCATCCCCTTTCTATAATGACAGAAAGCTCTATAGTATGCTTCCGCCTGATGAGGAATACGCGAAACCGCAGGTAACTCGAAGGGTTTATTCAAAGTGGGTGGGGTATGAGTGATTAATAAACCGTCAGTGTCGCAGTTGTTGGAGAGCGTGCAACGGGAATTAGTTGCGTTGTTGTTGTTGTTGTTGTTGTTGCTGCTGCTGCTGGCCAATGTTCAGCCAGCTCATGTCCGAAGTGTCTGCCCTGTCCAGTTGCGGTTGCTGGCTTATGCCACTGGGAACGTGTCGTGGCATCGGTGGCCGATGTTCGCTGGGAGTAGGAGGCATAGGAAAGGCATTGCTGTACATGCTGCTGGTGGCACGACCACCGGACCATGGTTTGGAGGCCGCGGTGGGGTCCCAACCGTCCTGTACACTTGCAGGTATGCCACTTGAATAGCCCGAGAACGAGTCCCGGCTGTCCCGGTCGCTGTATTCGGCACTCATATGCTGCTTGACGGCGGCGGGATAGTTGCTAACGGTCGGTGATCCAGAGTTGACCCGGTTGAAACGAGGCCTTCCATCGTCCACGTTTAGTGGCGGAACCGTTGCGCTGTCCTTTGTCATGCGGTAACGGGGGTCGATGCCAGGGCCGGTGTTAGAGTATTCCGAGGTTTCCGAGGCTACTGTGTTCCGATTCGTCTGTTGTCCGGTTCCGTAGCCCAGGATATTGAGAGCAGCACTGTCACCAGACCAGTAGCGGTTCCAACCGGAGCTTCGTCGTAGCCCATCCTGTTGATCGGCTGGTACCCGCAGACCTGGACGGGGCTCAGCTGTGTCGGCAGCGAAGGACACGCCCTTTTCGTCTCTCAGATCTGGCGCAAGGGCCGGGGCGGGACGCATAGGCGCCGTCTGACCCGTACCGCCCATCGTCTTCATCTGTTTGTTGCTGGAACCAGGCCTGGGTCCTCCTTCCATTGAACTCTTAGGTCCCTTGCCCATCAAGATTGCCATTGAAGAGAACGAGGCTGTCGAGGCCTTTGGCTGATGCGAGCGCATGAACGTCGGGTTTGTAGGAGAGCGAGGGTAGCTCTCCGTAACAACAGCCATGCCCTCCTTCTCCGGCCTCTCTGAAGCACCACTGGATCGTCTGGCGTGGCCGGCTTGGATAAAGTCTTGCGTTCTCTTCCGCTTTCGAATCTGGCAGTAGAGCAGAATAAGTAGAACCAGAGCACCACCAATTGAACCTAGAACAACACCGAGGATACCGTTGGTGCCCAGTCCGGATGACGAGCTCGAAGTCGTAGACGAATGGGTCGGGGTGGTCCCAGCTACCGCGGAGGTCTCCGGGGTTGCCGTAGGAGTCAGCGTGGCGAACAGGGTGCCGCTGGCTGTTGTGGAAGTAGCAGTGGCAGAGCTTGAAGACGAGGACGAGGAAGACACGGACAGGACCTTCTGAGTGTCGTCTTCCAAAAGCGCCGTGGCGTTTACCCAGCTGTTGGTCTTGGCGTTGAAGATACACAGGACGTCGTCTTCATTGCCACCCGAAAGCACAACCTGCCCATCATCTGACTCCGCTGCGGCAAAATTGCTGCGGACCGCGGTTGATGCATACGTGGAATTATAAGTTGGCCAGTTCTCTTGCGTCAGTGCGGATGTCTGCCGTCTGATTCCGTCCTGACCCGACCGCCTGCGTTCATCCGATCGTGTTGTGATAGCCGAGGCCTTCGTAACCGGGGCTCCGTGCTCATCGATCAAAACAGTGCGATTGGCGACATTAGGTGACACTGACATGTCAAAAGTAATAAGGTTCTTGGAACCATCGTCGCCGTCAACCAGAACGGCCTGCCACTGCTCAGTGCCTGTTTTCAGTGGCGATGCCAGAGTGGCTCCCGAGTTGGACCATCCAGCACCGACTGTGAAGAGCATGACCTGCGTGTTTGTAGCGCTGCCACCAACCATGGCGGCCTGTTGGTCTGACCATCCAAGCAAAATAGGCTTGGACGTCGGGGGGGCGCCTTCGTTCTGGTAAGCAAGCACAGAGTAAGGCTCGCTGGCGCTGATGCTGAAAGTCTGGGTCGAGGGGTTCGTGTCGCCGAGCTGACTGCCTGCGTAGACAACGATGGAATCGGAGCCCTCGAGATAGACGGCGCCATGGTCAGTTCTGTTCTGAGTGACAGGGACTACAGGAGCGATCGAGTCCCAGGTGCCGGTCTCGTAAGTATATCTTTGAAGGCCTGGGTAGTCCGCCGAGCCTCCAGTCCCGCCCACGACGTAAAATGCCGATTTCGAACTGACACAGGCAGCTCCGGAGACGCCTTCTCCCTGCTTCAAGGTCTTCCACTGGGACCCTTTCTCCAGGCTCAAGGATTGGAAAGCATCTGCTGAGTAAGTATACAGTGTGTTATTATATACGGCAGAGCATATGTTGTTAAGTGCAACCTTTGGCTTAGGCTGCCCCATGGGCTGGGACGACGACATGGTGAAATCTGGTAGACCGCAATCGAGAGGATCTTGCTTCAAGACGTAGGATTGGGCGACGTCTACACCAAAGGAAAGCCTCAAAGCGGATCAAGTAATCAACGCAATCGCATGACGACTTGAGCGAGCGGTAGGGTCGATCGAATTGAGTCGAATGGTCGACGAGGAGTTCGCGGGATCGATCGATTCGGTACGACGAAGTCGGCGTGGGACAGCAAAGTGTCGCGAAAAGGGGGGGGATCAATCCAGGCAGGTGGCGAAGAATTGCACAGCCATGCACAGCCGGTGGACAGGCGCAGACCGCAGACTGCAGGTCAGGTCAATGGAAGGAAGCCTGTGGAGGCCTTGGTCAAGTGATGCGATGGTTGGTCGATCAGAAATGGCCGGCTGTGGCCCCCGAATCGTAGCGAGAGTCAGTCGAGAAGTGAAGATTGACAAGATCAGGGCTGGGCGTGAAGCGGTCGGTGGAAGGATACACGGAATTGAGGACCAGTCCCCAGTTCGGAAAGGATAAGATGTGCTGGTAGAATGGAGATTTGGATTGTCGCCAGGGCCGGAGGAGAGCGATGAAGAGGCAGAGAGCGTGTGTGCGAGAGTTTGCCGGTAGGTCAAGGAGAGTGGGAGAAGGGAGGACAAGCACGACGGACGGTCTGGACACGGGAGAGGGTGTTGCAGGGCAAGGATAGGATCGGGGGCTTCTGCCTTTCTGGGATAATGGGCAAAGGAGTCGGCCGGTTGCTGCTCCACTTTTGCTGACCTCTGATGCACCGTTGTGGTTTGTTGCTGGACGGCAGGAGGCAGGAGGCAGGATGGCCCCTTGGACAATAGCTAGACTGGATTGGATGTCAGGATATTCGAATTCGAGTACGACGGGTACCGTGGCAAGGCACAAATCGGTACGGCGCGGGGAGGGGGCGGGCGAGGACAGAAGAGCGACGAGGAGGAGGAGGAGGAGGCACACGTACGGAGCAGATACAGGCACAGATTCAGGCACAGGCTCTGGCTCAGCCGGATGATGGGGCTCGCAGGTTGCCGATCACGACAGTGGAGACGCCTGTTCATGCAGCAGAAATGACAATGTCTAGGCGGCAAATAGTGTGGTTTTCCCGAGGGGGTAGTGTCAAATGTGCAGGCGACGTAGGAGAGTCGAGTCAGTATTTGCGTGTTGTGGTCACGAAGACTTCGGGCTCAATTTCATGGAGGGAGAGGCACAGAAGGACAGGAGAGGACGAGACTGTGTGCGATAGTGTCACGACGACCATGGCCGCAAAGACAAGACGACCTGAGGCGGCGAGAGCAGCGAACGGTGGGCAGGAAGAAGAGGGCGGCGGCGGAGTGCAGGAGCCCAGAGAGGTATCGATGCTCGCAGAGGAGGGAGTTTACGGTAGCAGTGTGGACCAAAGCGGAAAGGCGACCGGGCGGATCCACAGCGTGGGGCAGGGAGACCCCAGTCTTGCATCCTGCGTCCTCCCTGCTGGGGTCGAGTCCACTGCCAATCAAAGCTGCAGACGGGCCCGTCAGACCAGCGTGGACCGGCCAGGTACCTCTGACACCATGGCGAGTCTTAATGAAACGAGGTATCCGCCCGGTACTTTACCGGCTGCACCCAACTGCAGCAGCCGTATTGTGCCTGTGTGCCTCGCACCCCCTTGCAGCACACAAGTGAAGCCACCCCTGGGTAAATCAGATATTTTTGATTCCTGGCCCCTGCTGCAGCACAAGGGCAAAAGGGGGCGGGGGGTTGGAGAGACCTTGGATGAATGAGATGGAAACAATCCGCTGCCAGACCCAAGCACGAAGCAGCACAACAACAAGTGTATACACAGTATCTACACGCCGCTGCACAGACGACGCCAATGGGTTCGTGGCCCTCGCGGTGGCGGCCTCTCGAGGCACATCACGAGACCACGAGATGGATGGCTCGTCCCATCCCATGATTCCCATCCGGCTCACTGACTGCAAACTGCCATCCTTTCTTACTGCGCAACCTAATAATAAGCCTGCCTGCGCCGCCACGTTGCAGGCACATTAAAATCAAAGAGGGGCAAGGAGGAACACGTACATCCTCCCCCTCTCGAGCTGGGCCGGCTTAAGATGAGAAAGTTCTGCGCCATGTTCCAGATCCCCGCGCGGACAGAAGCCGCCAGACATGTTGGAAACAGGCGGGCACGGCACAGCCAGCGGGCACGGCTCTGGGCCTTTTGTCGACAGCCGCGAAGGATGCGGACGGGTTGCCGACGCTGATGCAGAGGCGAGATGATGGCCGTGGCAGAATTCTGGGCCAGGATCGCTGCCGTACTGTGTGTTGCCGTGGCCCCATTGTGCCGCAGAGTGAGCCCACGACGCATCATCATGCTGCCCCCGGAGCCGCGGGCAAATCACCCTCGGGACTGGGCTTGGTGCACTTGATGCATGTGTTGACGGACTCGTCGGCCCTGACTCTGTCGGACGGGCTGACGGGGGGGGGACGGCGGAGCACATGGGAGCAAGCATGGAAGCGTCTCCCGATGCTCCTCACCACGGCCCAACCTCTCAGCCCTCTTTGCATAGGACGGGCCTGACGGGTTGGACGGGCTGGACGGGCTTGACGGGCTTGTCTTCGATGCACGCGGCCTACTCGATTGGGAAACCTGATGGGTCCTGGTTGGGCACTAGTGTTTCGAAACGCCCCTGGGCTAACGCAAGCAATATGGGGGCAGGATCCAGTAAAATCAGGTACGGAGTCTGGGAGTCCAGTCTTGACAGTCTAGCACTGCGAGCAACGATCCGGCCCGTGCAGACATCCTGACCCCGGCCAGTAACGTCCCTCAGAGAGAGCGAGCCAAGACGACTCCATTAGGGCATCTTGGACCGCAGGGACCGTTGCACCCACCACGAGGCCTTCCACTACTGACATTCGGCACACGCTCTGACGTTTGCATGCAAATGACGAAGCCATTCAGGACGACATGCCCGCCCAGGGCCCGTCACAGCGACTGGAGGACAGAGGCCAGCCGAGATCCGGACTGGCGGTGTCCCCCGCTGCGTTTGGTCCTGACAGAGCCTCAAATATATTGAGTGCTCAAGGCCCCTGCAGGAACCTCGGACATTGTGGCTCGCTTTGGATTACCAGATGCTTGGGACCTCTATTTGTTACCTTGTGGTGATATGCCGTCGTCTCGGCGGCTCAAAGGGCCAATGCTAAGGACGAGGGGTCCTCCAGCGACCATCAATCTTGGTATTGTACACAATATACCGAAAGGGCCCTTGGGCGTGGCTCCATGACTACCGAAAAGCCGAAAAGCCTTGGGGATCTCATGCGCAACTTTACTACCCAGGTAGAGCTTTCAGTCTGTCGACGCCAACGTGGCTGCCAGCCCCTCAGCGACAGAGTCAGACTCGTCAAGCGCTGAGCTTCTTCGCCCAGCCTGATAGTTTGGACCTAGGCTTGCACACAGCAGATCATCAGCTGCAGCCACACCTAGTCCAGCCTGCTGCCCGCCGCCTCTTCCCTCGCCCTTCCATGCCATCTATTTCAATCCATCCGAGTGAACCGCCCAGGCCCCGCCCATGCCCAGATCAAGCTACCAAGCTCTCTCTCTCTCTCTCTCTCTCTCTCTCTCTCTGCCTTTGGTACCCCAGCATGCAGGCCCGGGCACGACAAGCTCGCACGACTCGTCCCGCACGTGGGCATTTTCTGGGGCGGACTGGACTGGCAACTGGGCTGACTGGGCAGCATTGAATGACACTCTGCTGAAGCGCCCAGCTTTTTGTCGAAGAACGAACCCCGGACCCACCCCCTCATGCGCAACCACACACAGAGGCTGGCAGGACAGTTTTCTGCTGCCCGGGACTTGCAGCAGGCGTGCTATTCGAGGAACCAGTTGCAGCGATCAGCTCACACTCCTGCCCAATCCGGGCCCTGGGGGTGGCATCGCAGCAGCGAGGTGGGCTGTGTGCAATAGGTGGCAGGGTGGCAAGCAGCATTCGCATGGGGGGGGGGGCATGGGGGCAATTGGGGTCGAGTGAGTACGTCGTAGGCACCACCAATCCAGTCCCTTTCTCCCACCATCGTAATGCTCCGAGCTATTCGGCCGGGCGGCTGGGCGGGCCACATGGCCTCATGCAGAATTGCCCAGCGAGTGATCGCCCGCCAACCGCCTTGCCCCGGCACCATCCTTCTAAAACCCTCCGCCGGGCTGGTGGGCTAGTCCAACTATGCGGTAGAACAAAACACAGTCTCAGAGTAAGAAACAAGTTCCGATAGAGCAAAAGAAACCACCAACGTGCTGTCTGCGTGGGCCCGGCCCGCGCGATAGTCCCGCCCCCCGTTCCTGCAAGATGAACGCATGCATGTCAGCGGCCGCGTCCCGAGATCTTGTCTTCCACCGTCCAGTCAATCAAGCCAGCCAGCCAGCCAGCCAGCCAGGCGGGAGGGCGTTAAGCGCCCATGAAGCCTGCCCGTGCTGCGAACACGGCATACTGTGACAGACCTTGTCTCTGTCTGTCTCTCTCTCTCTCTCAAATCCCCGCTGCCGCCGCTGCACGAGAATGGGCCATGTGCCTGTTGTGCGCTCGTGAGACCCCCACGGTGCAACGCGCGCGGCTTGTGATATTGCGGCGCCCACACGCTCGCCGACGCTATTGGGTCAATTGCCTCACTCGTCATCAACTTGCATACACCTTCATTTCACTTGCGAACTGGAGAAAACAATTGTGTGGTTTGGAGGCTTGCCTCATTTAGTGTTCCATTATTTTGTCTCGTGAAACCACCGCTGCTGCGGAGACCTGGGTCTGGGTCCATCTCTCGTCAATCTATCGACCACATGTCTCCATGATACCGATCTTCTTTCGTAGCCCTCCAGGGTCACCTGATCAATGCTGCTTAGTCCCTTTCAATTCAACGCAGCGCTTGGAGCGGTGCTCAAAAATTAAGCCAGTAACGCCTTCCAGCCTTCGCTGATGCTACTCCGTACAGCCAACATTCATGCCGTTTCTTCCGAGGCCTAACATCAAACTGCTCTTAGCTCATCCCCTCCCATCCCAATATCCACAGTGCCTCTGCAAATCCTGCTATGCTCGAAGTGGGACCTTGGTGGTTATCGATTGGAGTCTTGTGTGAACACCCATCGCCCGTGCGGGTAAAGGGTTTGCCTGAGGAAACTGAGAGCATCCACCATCTACGAGAGCGGCTCAAGAGATAAAGGCGTTTGCTGGGAGAACCGACTACCGATATGTTAGTCGCTGCCTTGGAAAGTATTGTGGATCCAAGGTGATTGTACTTACCCTCTTCTCCTCAAAGACAAGCAGCGCTTGGTCAAAGTTCCACTCGGCCGTCTCGAGACACATCTTCGAGAACTCAGGAACCATGTTTGTGCGTTTTGACAGCTCAACCACCATCAGCTGCTGTTGTTCCTCGGGAGACGGACCCTGTGCAGCCACGTTGACTAACGGAACAGCGTTCCAGGGTGTTATCGACAGCATGTCGCTGTTTACACGGATCGGGTTGCGGCCAGGCAGTCCAGGACCAATCACAAAAGTGCGCGAGAAGCTGCGTTTGCCCGTCTTCCCACTCGCCGCCTCGAGCTCCTCGAATTCCCCGTGCATGGTGATGATCATTCCATCTTCGCCTTCGGCCTTGTGATTGACGGGATCATGCAGACCTTTCATGGGATGACAGTCGATGATGTACTTCTCCAGGTTCGTTGCTAGATCGGGGTGATTCGTCGCTGGTAGCTTCTTCCAGATCTCTTGGATGTGAAGACCTTTCATGTAGCGTTGGAATCGACCCGTCTCTGTCGTGATCCGTTGATGGTTGCGGGAAAAAGTGAGGTAGGGCGCCCAAGGCAGAACAGGAACATTGGTGTCACGTGGTCCCCCTGTGTCTACAGACAACGTGAAAGTGCTGTGCTCGTCATAGTACGTCGATAGGAGGGCGTCGCGGTTTGTGTCGTACAGTGGGAAAAATTCCCGAATGAAATTCTCACCGAGCCCGGCAACGTCGCGAAAGTCGGTGCCTCGTTGCGGAATAAGACTCGCTTTGGCCTTTTCTTCCTGCGCGGCGACTTGCTCAGCGGTCCTGACCACATTGTTGTTCAAGTTCTGCAGCTTTGGGAACCACTCCATCACCTCCTTGGTGTAATTCGGCTCGACCTGGATGATGGGGTTGTTTTCCAGGACCAAGGTCTGAAGACGCTTGAAGCGACCGCGCCACCGGTTCAGTTGTTTCATGGATGTGAAGTTGTTGCTGCTGAGGTCGAGGTGCAGGAGATCAGGAAAGGTTTCGGCAAGATCAAAGACTGGGCCAACGTAGTCGAGGCTGTTGCTGGCGAGAGACACGCTTTCGATCGCTTGGCGCTTCGCTTCCGGAGTCTTGAAGAGGTCCTGGCAGATGACCATGAGCACCTTGAATGTCTTTTCGGCGGTATCCTTTGCCTGGAACAGTCCCATATCGGTGAGGACCGGGTCTTGACCGAGAGCTGACAGGTTGAGGAGTTTCATGTTCACATCATATCGGCGCTCCAAGACAGTGGTCAAGATCATCTTGTCCTGTTGCGCCTTGCTCGACAGTGTCGCGGCATCTGTTTGATCCGTCCGTGGCCAACCCTCCTCACTCTTAGTGATGGTCAATGGAGCTCCAGCGAACGTGAAATTGTTGACCTTTGTGATTTCCTCGGCGTCTTGATTGCTGGCCAGTATGTAGACCGAGTCACCCTTGGCAAGCGACTACTGGATGTTAGCAAGGTATGAAACCTTGGTGATGGCTAGGGATCACGGGAGAAGCAGGAGCGGCGATAGGCGGATGCGATTGTCTGCTCGTTCTGCGACGGTCAAGGCAGAATGACGAGGATGGATCCTAGGCGACGCTTCTTGTCCCCGTACCCCAGTTGGGATACCTTGACATACCTTCTTAATCGTGACTGGACGGCCAGCTCCCTTCAATTGTGTTGCCTTTCTCTCCAGGAACTGCAAGAGACTCTTCATTCCTCCATCGGGGTTGGCGACAGCCTTGCTCGACTTCAAGCCCACCACGATAAGTGTTGTGTTGTTCGCTGCCAGCTTGGCTGCGTTGGGTGCCTTCTTGAGGCTTGTTGGATCCGCGTCGAGGTGTTTGGCAAGGTTCTGCTGCAGTCTCGTATTTGATTTGGGCGCTCCGGACGACCTGTTGTTGCCGCGACGCGTCGACGAGCTCGAGGACTTGCTAATTCCGCCGCCAGACTTACTGGGCTTGCTGCCGGAATCCATGTCGACGTCTCCATCGCGATCACCTCGTGGACCAGACCCTCGACCGCGGCGCGCAATTCCACCTCGGGACGTGCGATTTGGGGCAGTCGACGACCGGGTCTGTCGGGTAGAGCTGGCGTTTCCGCCTCGAGGGCCTGTTGGTGGTGACATGATGACGGCGGTGATGGGCAAATTTGGTCGTGCGAAGCGCAAGAAATGTAAGGGGTCGGTCGCGCGAGGTACCTCGTCAGGTTCGTGTTGGTCGGGGAGTGCTGTGGGCAGTGATGGTGCCCGAAACCGAAAGGAGAGGGCTGCGTGAGGTTGGTCAAAGAAAGACGGCTGGAGGCGAGGACCGTCGTGGTCCCTGGGCCTTTAAGGAACCCAGCAGAGGGGCAGGGTGCAGAAAGCTGTGGGAGGGGCCCTAATGAATGGAGATTGAACGAGAGACAATGAGCTCAATCACTTGAGTCTGGCAAATAGGAAGCTTCCCCTAATGTCGGTGAAGTGAGCAGCAGAGGGGTTGGTTTAAGTCAAAATAGAGCTGAGGCTGGTTGGGATGAAGGAGGAAGGAGGAAAACTGATCGTTTTCGGCAGGCTACAAGTGACGGTGATGGACCCACTCCCACACCTGCCTCTGACGATCAGGCTGCCCCAGCTGGGCTCTTGAGCAGGGAGGCGCGATGAGTCAGCAGTGACGCCCGGTGCCTTGCAAGCGGCACCGATGTAAGGTACGGTACGGAGTGCTCTGATACTTTCTCCAGTTCTAGCGGGGTTGTCAGCGCCTTTCGGAACCAGCCAGTCCCAGCTGGAAGCTACCCTGCTGTGAGCCAGGTACAAAATGTACACTAGCTACCGCCTAGGTAGTGGCCGTGACTTGGTGTGAGAGTCGTGCTTGCCGTGGCTCCGATTATTGGTAACCCAGCCAGCAGGGGTTCGCGTCGCGTATCTGGACCTGCAGCATATAGTTTAATCGACTTGTTCCGGTGTTCGCAATGGGTTCAAGTCGCGGTGAGCGACATTTACGGAACCACTATCGCAGCAGTCACTGTCTGTATCTGAAATCGAGCAGGCTGGGATAAATACTTAAGCTGACTGTCCACTCAACCACTGATCCGTTTCTTGGATGACTTTCGCCGGCGGCGGGAGTACGAGCCATGATGGACTCCGACGACTTCGATGACTTTGACGACGACATCGCCGACGAGGACCTGGTCAATGTCCTCACTCAGGCTTCCGAGAATGCATCTGGGAGCCATTCGGGCACGGGTGGCAGGAATAGTGCGAACAAGGCCCCTTCTAGGACACCACGCAGCAACTCGAATGCAGTCATCGATCTGGACGGGCTAGACGAATTCCCATCCGACGCGATCGACAGCTCGCCCGTACAGTCTAGAACAGCTGGGCCGTATCACTCTTCTTTCCGCTCAACCAGGCCGACACAGGGTCAGAAAGCCAACGCGTCCCAGACTTACCGCCAGACCAACCTCTGGGGAGATGCGGTCAGAGAAACTGAGGCTCCGCAGTCTCAGGTCCCGTCGAGAAGAGTCTACCGGGTCGACATGCCTCCAGAAGCCCCGACTCACCATGCTCTGGATCATGAGGCCCTCAAGACCTGGGTCTATCCCACTAACCTGGGTCCGACTCGGGATTACCAATTCAGCATTGTCAAAAATGGCTTATTCAACAATACCCTCGTGGCTCTTCCCACAGGCCTGGGCAAAACTTTCATCGCGGCCACCATCATGCTCAACTACTTTCGCTGGACAAAGAATTCCAAGATCATTTTCGTGGCGCCAACCAAGCCCCTCGCTTCTCAACAGGTGGAAGCTTGCATGAACGTGGCCGGAATTCCCCGATCACAAGCAACGCTCTTGACCGGCGAGATCTCGCCAGCTCTACGTGAGGGCGAGTGGGAGAAGAGGAGGCTATTCTTCATGACACCACAAACCCTTCAGAACGATCTGTCCAAGGGATATGCTGATCCAAAAGCAGTGGTGCTCCTGGTCATTGACGAGGCACACCGCGCAACTGGTGACTACGCCTACGTTAAGGTTGTGGAATTCATTCGACGATTCAACCCCAGTTTCAGGATCCTCGCTTTGACAGCCACACCAGGCTCAACAGTCGAAGGCGTGCAGGCAGTCATTGACAGCCTGGGAATTTCGACTGTTGAGATTCGGATGGAAGAGTCGATCGATATTCGTCAGTATGTCCATTCTCGCGAAGTGGACCAGGTCATCCTAGAGCCGTCGGATGAAATGCTCCAAGTGCAAGATCTCTTCTCTAAAGCACTGAGGCCGCTGTGCAACAAACTCGCTCAGGCCAACAAGTGGGTAGCGCGAGATCCGATGTCGATGACAGTGATGGGACTACGAGAATCGGCCAGGCAGTGGAGCCTCGGAGCAGGAAAGCACGCAAACCCAGGCACTAAATTCATGATGATAGCCATCTTTACAATTATGCAGAGTCTGGCACATGCCATCAAGTTGCTGAACTTCCATGGAATCGCGCCATTCTACCACAAAATGATGGACTTCAGGTCAGAGACTGAAGAGAAGGGGGCAAAAGGTTCCAAATACAAACGGCAGATCCTCGAGGACGCCAATTTCCAGGAGATGATGGATACAATCGACAAGTGGCAGAGGTTGGATGGTTTTGTTGGCCACCCAAAACTGTCATACCTGTGCCAAAATCTTCTGAATCACTTCATGGATGCAGGCCGAGAGTCGAACACCAGGGCGATTGTTTTCAGTGAATACAGAGACAGCGCTGAAGAAATCGTTCGCACTTTGAACAAGCACAAGCCCATGATCAAAGCCACCATATTCGTCGGTCAAGCAGATTCGAAGCGAAGCGAGGGAATGAAACAAAAGCAACAGATAGAAACGATCGAAAAGTTCAGGACTGGAGAATTCAACGTCCTCGTCGCCACCTCGATTGGGGAGGAGGGCCTGGACATCGGCCAGGTCGACCTGATTGTTTGCTACGATGCTTCGGCGTCACCAATCCGTATGCTGCAACGTATGGGGCGGACTGGCAGGAAACGTGCCGGAAACATTACGCTGCTTCTGATGAAAGGTAGAGAGGAGGAACAATTCAGAAAAGCAAAGGACAACTATGAAAAGATGCAGAAATTCATCTGCGAAGGCACTCGGTTCAACTTTCGAGACGATCTCTCTTCGAGGATCATCCCACGGGACATCAAGCCACAAGTCGACATGCGCATGGTTGAAATTCCGATTGAAAACACCCAGAACCAGACACTGCCGGAGCCAAAACGGGCCTCCGCACCAAGGAAAAAGGCCACACAGAAAAAGTTCAATATGCCGGATGGAGTCATCACGGGGTTTGTGAAAGCTTCCAACTTTGGAAGCAACGCGTCTAAAACGAAACCTCGGCCATGGAAGCCTAGCGAGCTTGACACGCTGGCAGAAGTGCCTTCCCTCGAGGCAGTACTTCTAGATCCTGTCCAAACGGATGAGTTAGACGATACTTACCGTAACATGCCATCCAAACATGCATCGCAAGAGGATATCGCGGGACCTGATCTGACCGCACATCCTAGAGCACAGCGCAAACTTGGGCCCAATATCAGGCTTCAGCACGGAAGACATACGAGACGGTGTGTGAGCCTATTCAGAAGACTAGCCAATTCGCAGTCGCCTGTGGACTTGTACCACCAGCCTTATGGAGAAACCGATCAGTCACGTTACATCGAGCTCCCTATTCCTGACTTCGCAGATGATACCGATGGCGAGGCGGGGGGCCCTGCAGCACCCGAACCAACGTCGCAGAAGAGGGCCTTGCCTCCTATGGATTCAAGGAAGCCGACGGGTCCAAAGCGGAGGAAGTATGACTCCAAAGTCAATGGTGCACCGCGCCAGCAATCCAAGAGTGCCACACTAGTTGATTGTGACGCAGGAGATGATTTTGACAGCGATCCCTTCGCCGAGGAAGACGATGAAAACGACAGATGTCAACCGCTGCCTAAGAGACTAGCATCGAGGTCCAAACCAAAGGCTCGAGCGGGCAAGCCCTCAGCAAGTACTGATCTTGTCGAGGATTACGGAGACGACTGCACCAGGACCAGCCAATTACACGAAATGGATGACTCAGACGACGGTGCTGACCTGCTGGACTTTATCGTTGGCGACGATGATCCGATTTCAAGTGTGCGAGGCGGATCGACATCGCCGACCTCCACGCCACCGCGTCTCCCATCGCAGATGTCAGGGCCAAGGGGGAGGAAGGATGCTTCGTGTGAGGTTTTGCCAACATCGCAAAGCCAGGGTAGCGAGGACTTGCCGAGTATGAGTCAGATGGGTGGGCCGAAGAGGAGCAAGCGGGAGACCAGAGGACCGCTGCTGTCTGATTCCGATGAAGAAGACGACATTTGGACAAAACCAGCTGCGCACAAGAGAAGGCGGCGGACTGTCCAGGCCAGCGAGACAGAGAGTGAGTAGCAAGTTAGTAGCTTCATCAGTCTACCTTTTGCTGTAGATAACAACCGTTCGTTGCCTGGCATCTCACCGTGGCTCTCATCATCTAGGAGTGGCTGGGAGGCCTTGTTCGATGCGACGGCTGTTGAGTTGTTATTTAGGGCTCAATACAATGTCAAGGTCTCAAAAGTTCTGATCACATGCTTCAATAGAAAAGGATGACGCATAGTAGTTTATATTGCTGTAGAATGTGAGGGTGTATTTATAATCTAGTGCGCTTGTCATCTGAAAGCTATCAACTGCACGGGCGTCAATCTAGTTCGAGTCATTTGCAAAGCTCTTGTGCGGCATGAGGCTGAGGCTACGTGCCCATAGATGTCCACGGGTGTTGTATTCTCTCTGTACTGTAATTAACAATATATTCTTAAGAAAGAGAAGATTCACACCTAAAGAAACGGAGAGTATGTCCGTACAAGTGCACGCCTAATAGCCCCGGGAGTTCTAGCTAATTAGAGCCCTTAACTCAACTCCAATCAACCACCTACTATAGTACCCAGGTAATGTTGAATGTAGAGCTCTAATTGGCTTAGCGACGACGTAAACAAAGTATCCGTGTACCCTCCATTGCTACCTGCGCGAATCTCCAATCTCACAGTTGTGAAGTCCTTGCTGGCTCAACCCAATCTTGACAGGCATCTGGGCTACATCGGGCTGAAATGATGTGCATGTCGCGGCAGGGCCGCCTCTCTCACCGCAAGGCCAGCCCGCCACGAAAGTTTGGGGCCGGCGGCACGCTTACGACATGGACTGGTTGAGAACGTTCATGCTCCCTAGACTACTTAAGTACATAGACGAAAAGTCGGTAGATGGCACGGCTAGAATGGACATTGGCTACCGGCACTGTCTCGTCTGGCTCGGGTGGCAGTCGGGCGTGTGTGCGGCACACGAGTGGTTTGCGGCTCCAAGTCTGTGCGCCTGACCGGGTGGCAGGGAGGTTTTCGTGAGTCCTTATTAGCGGATAATCATAATCGTGGTACACTAGATGAGTCGCAAATCTTTCTAGCCTGTCCGATCTGTTGCATGGATTGACATTACCCTTGGCCCCTGGACCGGGAGCAACTGCATGCCCGGAACAGATGTCATACAGCCTACACACCCTACGAATAGGGGTTTCAGAAGAGCAGGACAGATGTGAGAAGCGTCCCTTGGGAGAATGTCATTATGGCTGGCCTGCCATTGTGGGTGGGTGCGTCAGGTGAGGCTCTTGTGATGTAAGCTTAGGATTTACGTGTGATCTCCATGTGCAGGCCCAGAAAGCTTCGATGCCCCCCACAGACGGCGGTCACTCGTGGGGGTTTTGTCATGTCAAGGCATGCCGGCTGAAAGTCTCGGTCTGCTAACCGAGCCACTGTGGTCGGGCTGGGCCAGGTGTGAATTTCGGGGCCGGGCCTGCGCACCTGGTGCACCATGACGAGCATATATTCTACCCGTACGGAGCACCTGGTAGTGAACCAGCCCCCCCCCCACGCGCTCCGAGGTGCAGACTGACGCCTCGCTCCTGAGCTTGGCGCTGATGTGCACTGCAGTCCTGGTTTGGAGGGGCAGGCAGGAGGAATACTGACTCAACAAGGGCAGCAAGCAATGGCCCTCTCGATGATGGGCCTGGATGCCGTGTACAGTGATCTTGCTGCTCTCCCAGGGGAAAAACGATGCTTGAATTCTGACCAGGAAGCATTCCCAGCTGCTGGGTCGGCAGCCAAAACTTCAGCACCGACTGGCTTCACCCTTGGTGCGAGATGCCCGCGCGAGATGAAGACCCGACTCGGAAGGACCTCGGGAGTCGGGGCATCCCATGCAAGGTTTAGCTTTGGGTATGGCGCGGCGGCCGTTCGAGTGTCGTCCTAGTCATGGATGGTCCTGGCGCCAGAGGAATTGTCCAGGCCCAAAAAGCTCAAAGTTTTGTGCGGATAAAAGCGACAAATTTCAACTCGAGGAGGAATCAAAAACCAGGTCAATGCTGCCATGCCATGGCACCTGGGTGCCGTGATATTACCAACAACATGTACGGAGTACACTAGCAAAGCTTACACACAAGTAGCCAGCCACTTCCTGGAAGTGCAGGCTGGGAAGAGACACAAGCAAAGCGGTGGCCAATCATAGTCCAAAAGCGGGATGGACTTGGTCGCGGCTGGTTGGGGTTGGCAACAAGCCTCAGGGTGGAGGCCCGCACTCGACCACCCTGCCACGCTGCTGGCTGCCACGCTGGAGCAGCTCGTGACGGCCAGGAATCGGGATACCTACCTAGAGCAACTAGAGGCACTCGAGTCCAGGCCGGTTTACATGGCGCAGCACGGGAATACCACATCTGGGCAGCACCTGTCACCCTGTCTGCCCGTACAGCCCCCACTCTGGAGCGAGAAAAGACCCTTGACATGCACCTCCCTGCTCCTGACCCGCCAGCCCGCCAGCCCGCCAGCCCACTGATGGATGCAACACACCTTCCGCTCTTGCCCTCACTTGTCCCCCGCCGTCTTCTTCCGACGATCCTCCCGCCGGCAGCTTTTTTGCTCTCTCACACTCACCGTTTTCTCCTCGCCCTCATCCTGTGTCCTGTGTCCTGCGTCGTGCGCCCACAGCCAGCCCGCCAGCCCGCCAGCCCGCCAGCTGGCCAACCTCTGCGCGCAACACAGGCTTCCCCATCATCCTAGAGCTGGCGGTGACACTTCAGCGTTGCGAGGCCCTGCTCCGCGTCGGGTCGAATCGATAAGACTTACTTACACCCACGCCCGCTCACTGGCCCAATGGGATAGCCTTTCAGTTACGCAACCTTGAGACTGCACCGCCAATCAGACCCTCGGTCCGCTCAGCAACATCGGGAAATCTCAGCACAATCCCAATTCCCCCACGCCCAGGGCATTGCGATAGTCGACACAAATCACAAATTCACAGGCTGCCTTTCGCCTGGAGGCGTTGCTCGTGGCGACGCACGGCGTGCTGGTTGACCGCGCCGACATCATCCTGCCGTCTGCCCGCTGCTGCCTCGCTCACCCCCTCTCGCCTCGCCCTCAATCCTGTTCGTCGCAGCTGCAGCGCAAGCCTGGCGCCCCTCCTGCGCCGCCCCGGCTTTTCTCCACCAGCGACGACAGCCAAGCCCAGGCCCCGACGGCAGGGGCTCTCCGCACGCCGTCGCCGCAATCGTCTGTAGGATATTTTTCCCTCCGACTGTCCTTTCTACACAGGACCCTCCCGAGGTCTGCCGTCACTCGCGCTCCCATTGCCAAAGCGCCGGGACCTGCCTGACGCTGTGATCATGATGGAGTCCGCAGGATGGAATGACCAGGGTCACTCCATGCACCCCAGCGCCGAAGATGACTTCCAGCAGTTCTTCAATGTGAATAGCATGGACAGTCTGTCGGAGGGCCTACAGTTTGACTTTGGCGATTTTCAGCATCCAGCCGGGGGAGGCATGATGCAAGTCGCACACCGCGAGACACTTGACACACCCATGAGTGGAACAGATGGCTCCGTTCTCATGTCGACAGCCATGCACAACCCGATGCATCCAATAACGACTGCCCCTTCGAATCCCGCCTTGCCGGCGAGCATGATGTCCACGGCCGCGTCTGTGAACGCCATCTCGGAAATCGATGCGCAGATTCAGTTCTTGCAACAACAGAAACTGCAGCAGCAACAGAGGCAGTTGGAGGAGCAGCAGGCCGCCTTTTTTGCCCAACAGCAGAGCCGCATGGTCCCTCCGACCCCACGAAGCCTCGAGATACAGGCTGGCAATCACCAGTTCTACACAGCTCAGCCGGACCGGGCCGCTCAGCAACATCAACAACAAGACATGTTTGAGCGTTTCCAGAGGATGAAGGAGCAGCAGCAGCAAGACGTCTGTACTACCTCATGAACTCCTTTTTGCTGTGCTCTGCTGACTAGTCTTTAGATGTCATTTACTCCTTTGGTATCTCCGGCCGTCACACCTCTTGAGAGCCAGTTTCCCATGGACCAAGCATTCACCGTACCCAACGCGTATTTCAGTCCCCTCACGTCGCCAGCACTGCATGCTCAGTCTGACCCAATGGCCATGTTCGAGCGTGGCCTATCCACGGCTACCACCACCAGCTCTCCCGAGGGTATGGACTTGGAGGCCAGTGCGCCTCCATCATCTGGACCAGTATCCACCGATTTGGCGAAGAAGGGAAGGAAGAGCACTGCTGCAAAGACACGAGCCAGAGCGAGCGTTGGGAAATCGCCCATCACGAAACCGCAACGGAAGAAGACCGGCGCGACACCACTCATGAACGCCCAAACCCTGAGCGAGCTCACTGAGCATGCCGATCAGCCCGCAGAGCCGCAGGCCCGGCCCTCGAAGAAAACGCGACAGACGGAGCCAAGTGGATTCGCCTCAAACTCATCCACCACAGGAATCACGGATTCGGAGAATGATTCCGTTTCTCCAGAGGCACTATCGGAGATGCCTCCTCCCCCTCTGCCAAAGACGAGATCAGCGAAACCCTCGCCGGCTATACAGCCACAAAACAATGCGACCCCGACTTTGGCCCCGACCACGGCGGCTCCTCAGCCGTCCGGGAAACCCTCACCTGCCACGCCGGCTTCTCTGATGAGGTTACCGTCGCCGGCCAATGCGAACAAATCAAACAACCCGGCCGGCTCAGATCATATGGCCGCGGAGAATATCGAGAACTTCGAGCTGCCAGAGTCGGTCAGCTCGAACTCGTTCAAGAAGCCGGCCCTGGCGCCTCTGACAACGCAGTCACCACAAATCCGCTCGCCGGCAGCTGAGACGCCAGGAACGGCCTCGTCTTTCCAGCCCTTGCCCTCCCCAGTGTTTGCAAAGCCTGGCGCAGCAGCCTCGGCAAGCCAAAGCCCTCAGCTCACACCAGGATCTTCAGCAACGACCCCGAACCCGAGGAAAACACCGCAGCTTGCACCACGGAGCGGCAAAAAGAGGGCTAGCATCAGTTCGTCGCACGTGTCGCCGGCGCTGCGGCCAAAGATCTCGCCCAGCATCAAGCCTCTGCTGCCTGGGGGGCTGAGGGCAGAGGACTCGGCCTCGCAGCTTCTCGCATCCAAGTCCAACTACCAGAACATCCTGGAGGGCAACATGGTGCCAGGAGTGTCGTACCCGAGCGAGTTGTCCACTAATCTGACCTCGAAGCGGACGTCACACAAGATTGCTGAGCAGGGCAGGCGGAACCGGATCAACTCGGCCCTGCAGGAAATAGCGACGTTGTTGCCGAATGGGGTCCTACCTGAAGGCAAGGACAGCGGAGCAGAGAGCGGCGACAAGAAAGACAAGGACTCGAAGGACTCCAAAAACGGCGGGGGGCCGAACAGCAAGGCGAGCACCGTCGAGCTTGCCATCGACTACATCAAACAGCTGAAGAAGGACCTCGAGGCAAAGGACAAGGAGATCGAAGCGGAAAGGAAGCGGGCCGAGCTGGCGGAGACAAAGCTAAAGGAGAAGGAAGGCGCGGTGTCGTCGTCTTGATAAGACGACTCAAGTTTTGATGTTTTGGCGTTTCGAAGGGTGCATAGAGCCCGCGGTAATTCAAGGGCTGGGCGGCAACTTGCGTGCGGCCTGTTGCTACTGCTGGGAGGCCCTGGTTCTCAGGTAATGTCCACAAAACACACGAAGAGGAGCGATAGGGAATGACTCTCATGGGAGAGTCAGTCTGGAGGTATAGGTCTAGCATTTACACCCGGGCGTGCTGGGGTTTGGGAGGCTGATTAGGCCTGCGCTCTAAAGCGAAGAGCGGAACGATTGCAAGTTCGGAACACTCTATATACCACGTAATAGTCTCGTCTTGTGATTGGTATATCGAGTCGGCAATGGCCATGTCCAATAACAACTAGATGAGATAATACGATAAGCAATAATCATGTATACATCTGAATACGCGTATTATACATTGGACACCATAGAAGCGAGTTCGTGGCCAGTGTACCACCGCCATCTATATGGTTACTCTCTCAGAAGTGTATTCTCCTGTAAAACTTTATCCTCGAGGGGATGGTCCTACATGAGGAAGGTCTTCTAGCATGCAAGGCATGGCGCACAAGATGGGAGGGACCCCGGCTCGGAGCCGAGCACCGAGCTCCGTTCCCGCCGACGGGGCACGGGGCATGGGGTATGGGGCTGGGCCTGGCTGGCCACAGCAGCTGTGGCGCATAACCCCACCTGCTGGGTGTAGGACTCGAGGAGAGACAAGAGAGAGAGACACACACACATGTGCCATATGACTCCTCGGTTGCGGCCGCGCGTACTACGGGGCCGCGTGGCGAGAGTGCCAGCAGCGCGGGCGGGCTTGGTCTTCCCTCTTTCCTGCACATTCTAGAATGTCCCAAACACTGCTTTGATTCTACCATTCTTGAGGGCGTTACGTATGCCTGGTCGCCTGTGATTGGGGAGGCTAGGGCGGGATGGGCTGTCACACACCCCTGGGCTGCCTGGGCTGCCTGTGGCGCGGCCACCTGGTTCGACCGTCTCACTATTATTCGCCCCCCAAACCTTTCCGTGTAAGTGAGTCTTGCATAGTGCAAGTGTTCCCCTTCCCTGCCACGGACTGTGACTGGTGGCGGGCCAGGCATGCCGTCGGGATGCGTATCTGTGTTACGCATTCAGTCTTGCCTTGAGCCGACTTCACATGCCTATGGGTTTGTATATATAATGGTGACGGATCTCTGGTCTTGCCTGTCCTTTGGTCTCCTCGTCATCATCACCATTCATCATCATTATCATCATTCATCCTGTCATTCGATCAATACAACCAACTTCCTGGATTCGGATACATCACCTCTCAACATAACAAGGGAAAGAACAGCAATATGGCTTGGCCAGGAAACTTCAACTGGAACATGCAAGATAATACCGGCGCCGGCATCGACCGCGCCCCCGGCGGCCCCTCCGGCCAGCCTCCCTTCACCAGCCCCGAGTTCTGGCAGCGCTGGGTGCAGTCGCGAGGCTGGGAGGACTGGAACCAAGACGCCTGGGGCCCTGGTGGCCACGGCCACGGCCACGGCCGTCATGGTCACGGCCACGGCGGACTTGGACGCAGGGGCAGAGGACATGGGCCCCGCGGTGGACGACACGACCGTCGCGGCTCTGACGCCCACACCCCTGAGGGTTCCGACAACGAGGCCTTCCCTCCCGAGTACATCACGGACGACGAGGTCGCGGCAGCCGTAGCAGAGGGCGAGAAGGCCAAGGAGCAGAAGGACAGCCCCGATACCATGGCGAGAGAGACGCCCGCTGCGGATGACCCGCCCGAGGAGGCCCCCGAAGATGCGCATGGCCGGCGGCACAGAGGAGGTTGTGGACACCGAGGCCGTCGGGGCCGTGGGGGCTTCGGGGGCTTCGGTCATCACGATCACCACCGCCGCGGCTCCCGCCACCGCGGACCGCCTCCACACCCATTCTTCGGCGGCTTCTTTGGTGGCCCACACGGGCCAGCACCTCCTTTCCCCCCCTTCCTCCAGGGGCTCTTCGGGCCTGGCCCCCACGGTCCTGGTCCCCACGGCCCCAACGCCCGCGATGGACAAGGTGGATCAGGCGCGCCGCTCGACTTGGGCCCCTGGGCAGCCGCATTTGCCGGCCACCCCTTCGCGCAGCGCATGCGTGAGTTCCTCGAGAGGGCCAACAACAACAATAATAACAACGACGACGACGGCTCATTTACGCCGCCGGTGGACCTCTTCGAGCAGCCCGACAGGTGGGTGCTGCACCTGGCGCTGCCCGGGGCCAAGAAGGAGGACGTGGGCGTCAACTGGGACGCGGACCGGTCGGTGCTCTCGGTCAGCGGCGTGGTTCACCGTCCCGGCGACGAGGACTTCATCAGCGGCATGGTGAGCGGCGAGAGGAGCGTCGGGCTCTTCTCGCGCGAGGTCGGCCTCCCACCTGCTGGTCAGGACAAGGGCGACAGCAAGGAGGAGGTCAATGCCGAGGGCATCGTTGCCAAGATGGAGGACGGCGTGCTTGTGGTCACCGTGCCCAAGGTGGAGCGAGGGTGGACTGAGGTGCGCAAGGTTGATATTGCCTAGGCGGCGGCGCCGTTTGTTTGCAGCCAGGGGAGGGACAGGCCACCAAGGCCGAGCACATGTATTTTACGGAACACACAGCGACGAATCATGACACTTTCACCATTCTCGATTTCTTTCACGGCAGGTATGTAAGGCATTATTGGACGGAGTGACACACGCGGTATCATGAGCAGTAATTCTCAGAAAAGGAGGGGAAAAGAAGAAAAAAAAGGGAATAAAAGAACAAAAGGTTGCCTTCTAGGCACCAACAACATAATTGCACCTCCCATTGTAGTCAAGTGACCAAGCCTGCCAGTTTGACAGGTTATGGATAATCATCGCAAAACTGCCACCTGTGGGAAATGAATATTAACTCTCCTGAGAAGCTGGTCCAATAGGAGGCTTCAGAGGCAGAGAGGCAGCATGTGATCGATTACATATTATCTAGGTAGTAAGAAATGAGAGAGACCTATGTCGACATGAGGCAGCCTGAGCGGCGGGAGCAAAAGTCGCCACTCCGCCCGGGGCTCGGGAGAGGGTGTGGCTTGACAGGTATGACTGCCAAGAGATCCAGCAGTCCTGGTCGCCACCCGGCCAACGACACGGAGCCTCGGGAAGCACCACTAATTACCACATGAGGACAGGCTTTATTTACCACTCCACCCAGCTCCACCTGCATTTTCTTCCTCTTACATCGCACACAACTTACTACTACGGACGGGCATAACCAGTCTGCCAGCCTGCCAGCCTGCCAGCCTGCCAGCCCAGCAGAGACAAGCATCTACATCCTGGCGCTGCAACCCTTCTTGAAGGCCTCGCTTTCTGCCTCGCTCCGCCGTCAACAAAGAAAGGGCTTGCTGGTTTCATCCTTATCACCAACCCAAAGCCGCCAGTCCGCGCTACGTGGTCCTTCCGCCCTATCGCACGGTCGCACCTGGCCCGCCCATGCCGTCATCCGCATCAAGCCTAGGCCACGCTTCAGCTGACAGATAGCACTCATCAGCCTGTCTACCCGCCCATCTTTTATCTGCTTCTGTCTGCACACGCACACGCACACGCATCTGTCCTAACCCACCCACCCCCCTCGACGTTTTCGGCACAACCGCCACACACGCCGCAGCCATGTCCGACACCGAGGTCGACTACCTGCAGCCCGACTTTGAGCCCTCCTCGGTCACCATCCCGCGCCTGCGCTCCATCCTCGTCAGCCAGAATGTCCCCTACCCCGCCACCGCGAAGAAGGCCCAGCTCGTCGAGATATTCAATGACACCGTCGCCCCACGCGCCAGGAAGCTGCTGGCCCAGCGCCAGAAGGCCAAGAGGTCCAGCATGGGCATCACCAACATAGACGGCTCGCAGGGCTACTCTGTTGCGAACCAGGACATGCCTCCGCCCCAGAGCGCCCGTCGGAGGGCCGCTTCTCCCCGAAAGGCCACCAGGAGCTTCAACCAGTCCTCCGAGGAGCCCGACCATGTCCCTGCCCAGCCTTCTTTGAGCCCGCGAAAACGCCAGGCGCGGTCAACCAGCAGGCAGCTGGCCCAGTCAGACACCGACACCGACAGCCACTACGAGGGCAGGCGCTCCACGCGCAAGACCTCCCGACAGCCGGAGCTGACGCCACAGCCAGAGGTCAAGAGGGAGTATTCTGACGACGACACGACCGTCTATGAGAGACAGTCTGCCGAGCCAGGAAACGTCTTCACCAGCGACAACCCCTTCCAGAGCGGTAGCTCTCCCGCCCCCATGGCCACGCCGTCAAACCGAAGGAGGACCGCCGGCCTGGACTCTACTGCGAAGAAGCCAGCCCCATCCTCCAGCAGGAGACGGACAGAGGGTCCCCGGGAAGAGATGATGCCCGAGCCCGTGGCTTACTCGAACTCGGTTGCCGCCCCCGTGAGGGCCATCTCGCGCCCAAAGACACCCGTGACGCCTCAGCCTGTGTTCGAGGAGGTCGAGGCTGGCGAGGAGTTCACACCCGACGAGCAACTCGAACTCGCGTCGGAGGATGCCATCAGGGCGCGGAATGCCATTGTGCCTGCTCCCCGGCCCAAGAGATCAACCAGTCTCACAACCCCCTTCTGGCTTCTATTCAGCGTCATGGTCGTGGCCTATGGGGCCTGGTACCGGCAGGAGAAGATCGCCGTTGGCTACTGTGGAGCTGGCAGACCTGCGCGCGAGGTCATCCCTAGGCAGCTGGAGTACAATGACTTCAAGTTCGACGTGCCGGAATGGACGTTCCAGTTTGCCGAGCCCGAATGCGAGCCTTGTCCGCCTCATGCCTACTGCTACGCCGACAACTCGGTGCGATGCGATGAGGGCTTCATCCTGAAGCCTCACCCCTTATCTGTCAACGGTCTCATTCCACTCCCACCTACTTGTGAGGCCGACAGCGAGAAGCTCCGTCGTGTCAAGGCTGTTGCGGACAAGGCTGTGGAGGAACTCCGAGAACGCAAGGCCAAGTTTGAGTGCGGCGAACTCGTCGACGAGAAAGGCCAGCAGCCCGAGAACCCCATGGTCGCAGCTGAGGAGCTGAAGGAGACGGTCAGCGAGAAGCGGAGCAAGAAGCTCAGCAAGAAGGAATTCGACGACTTGTGGGCTGCCGCGCTTGGAGAGATCGAGCAAAGGGAGGAGATCGTCGTGGAGAAGAAGGAGGAAGAGCCAGCAGCACCGTAAGTTCAATCCTTCTGCGCTCCCCATTTCCCGCCAGGCGCTGTCCCAGGCTTCGTCCCATGGACCTAGCAGGAGATTGGCTCCAAGATCAGATCACCCACCCTTTCCGTCCCCCTTCCATGTTTGCGGAAGTCCAAAAACAAATTGAAGATGCATCATTCTGACCAATCCCCCACTAACCAGACCTGTCTTCGATCCAGAACTTCTTCCAGTTCCGGAGCCGTTTCAAACACCTACCTGGCGTCCACCTCTCTCGCTCGCCTTCCGCTCGGGTGCGCAGCCCGCCGCTCCGTCCGCCTCGGACTGGAACGACATCGAGGAAGCATTGTTTCAGTAGTGTCCTGCATCCTGTTGGCGATCTGGGCCCGTTCCAAGTGGACAACGAGCCGCCGTATCAAGGCCATGGTCCCTTCTCTGGTCGACTTGGTACTGGACAGGCTGTCCGAACAGAAGGAGTTGGCGTATGGCGACGAAGACGGCGAGAATGACACGTTCCTGTTCCTTTCGAACATGCGAGATGATGCTTTGCGATCCTTGCACTCAGTCTCACAGCGCGAGCGGATCTGGAAGCAAGTCAAGGCGGTGATCGAGCAGAACTCCAATGTGCGAACCGGCCAGCGGGAGAGCGTCAACGGGGAGTTCGGCCTCGCGTGGGAGTGGATCGGTCCCGCGGCGGCTGTCGAGGCCGGTGGCCGGAAGAAGAGGATCGGACGGAGGTCCCAGAGCCCTTTGGATACAATTCAAGGAGATGGGACCCCATTTGTCGATAGATCTGCTGTCCATAACAAATGGGACGAGCCGGGCTCGAGACCGATATATTGAGGGAAGGCGTTGAGGACTGCAATTTGATGCGAATTAAGTCTCTTTTGTAATTAATTCCGGGATGGGCCTTTCTTTTCCTTGCAACATTGAGGTTCGGCTTGTGCTTTGCCCCTTTCTGGCATACCTATTTCGTGGTGTTCTGACGTTTTCTTCTTCTTCTTTCAGTTGATCGCTCTATTGAAAGAATGACTGTCGGTCAATCAGGAGGATGTTTCGTTTTGGCGTTGCTTGCACATACCCATGATAATTTCTTCTTGTACAGACACACAAGACAACCAGATTGATATTCCCAGTTTACGTACACTGCTGGGGCTTTGGATTGCAGTAATGACTCCCTGGCGTCGATGACGGCTGAACGGAGGCGGTTGGATCTTGTGGAGACTCAGCAAGTGGACGGGCAAGTAAGAGGCTATTCCTCTGGTTTTCTGGGCGTAGATAGATTATGCAGAAATTCCATCAGATGACATTAACAAGACTACTTTAACCCCATTACTGCGAAACGAAAGAAGAATATTACGGAGCCACCCTCGGCTCCAGTGAACCACCAAGACCACTGGATCATCCTGCCAAAGAGCTGTCTGGTTGAACTGACATGATCAGGACACACTTCTACATGCTGCCCTCCAGCATCTTGTATAATAAACTCTGTAACCACCGGGTCTAGGTTTTAGAAACACTTCGAGCCCAAAAATGGCAAGGCTCTCAAGTTGAGCCAGCCTCAAGATAACAAATGCCCGCCTGACATATAAATACCCCCATGTTAACCTGAAAAACAGACAATCGCAATGAGAGAACAAATGGGATCAATAAGAAACCCTTTCCAGTGACCACCGTACGCCTTGCTTTCCTATCTGACTCTATGCCCGACCCGGATAATCGCCCCTTCGCCCTGCGCATCTATTCTCGACTAGCGGCCTCACCAGGGTATCTAGTCCTTTCTCACAGAGGCTTTGCAAAAAAGAATCCGCGTCCTAGTAGCAAAAAAAAGCAAGAAAGGGCTAGTCTTGCTATCTATTTTCGAACCGTACACACTTTCGCTCACCAGTCAACGCCTATAAATGTAGATGAAGGGCACTGCGTAACTCAGGGCGTGTGCTTTAGCTTCCTCGTGGCCACGAAGGACGCGCACGCGGCGATGGCCCCGATGAAGAGGCAGACCGAGATGGCGTTGGGCCCGGAGGTGGGGTGATGCTCGCTGGGGTGGGCGTCGGCCGCCAGCTCGGGGCTCTTGCCCGGCTCGAGGATGCTGAAGACGACGGTGCTGATGAAGGATCCTATGAACTGCGGGATTGTTTGGTAGACTGTTGGGGCCCTTGTCAACAACACTTATCCCCATCCAAAGCTCAACGGGACAACAGATATTGCGAGCACGGCGAGATTACTCATGCCCACAAAAGACATGACTTACTGTTCAGGATGCCAAAGTAGATGCCAGACAGCTCTCCTGTGCTCCCGCTGCTGCCTTCGGCGCCCTCTTCGTGGGGGCCATGTTCGAGATTGATCGTCGAGAGCTGGACAGCGTCGGGGTCGGAGAGGCGCCGGTATGAGGTGTTCATGTCGGCGGTGCTTAGCTTGTTGACTTCCATGCCCATCGTCGCTGTTGGTGCCCAGGACACTATACTCCATGCTGCAATCGAGAAAGTGTTAGTAAAAGACCGCTATCTTCCAAGACGAACAAGAGAATCAGGGCAGGCCAAATGGAGAGAGGGGGGTTTCCTACGTATTCCACAGAAGACAACAAGAGCGGAGGCGAACCGGAAGCTCTTCGCGAAGGGAGCTAGAAACATGGCACACGCGAACATGACGTGTCCCACCTGCCAGACGGTGAGCAGGTCCGGCTTCATCTTGCTGAAGCCCTCCACCAGATGCGCAATGCTCTCGGGCGGGCGCGCGGTGAATTTCTCGTCCTCGGGGGCGCGCACGACCAGCGGCAGGAGCCAGGCGCCGGCGAAGGTCATGAAGGAGTAGATGGTGAGGGTGTAGCTGCCAATCCTGCCCATGTCACCAAGGGCGTCGGATGGTGCGGCCGTGCTGCCCGCTGCGGTTGCGGACGCGGGGGCGTCGTAGCGGAAGTAGGTCTCGCCGACCCAGGTGCTCCCGTAGAAGTGGAAGGGGAACCAGCCGATCCAGGCCCAGAACATGGACCAGCAGATGATCTGGATCCGTGGCGGGAGGTCAATCAGGGTCGACCAGATCTGGCGGATGACCTTGAAGCGGCCCTCGGACGAGCTGCTGGGGTCCTGCCGCACGGAGACGAGCACCCTCTCCGTCACTGCCCAGCAGGTCACCCCCGCGGTGAAGAGCATGCTCATCGAGGCGATCAGGGTGAGCTGCTTGAATTGTGTGTCGCCGAGGCGTGGGCCAAAGGTCCCGGGCAGGTCAATGGCTCCGACCGCATATCCCACGATATGTCCGAAGGAGCCCATCCTCCCTCCCCAAGCAGCACCAGTCTGTTGCTTGGAGATGGGAAGAGTGTCTACCAGAAGACTTCTTGAGCACGACATGACTAGCAGGATGCTGTGGTCAGCTGGAGTGTGGGGGCAGGATACTACTGTGGTGCGAGACTTACCTGCGTTGATGGCAAAGTCTGTTACATACAGAGCCAGCACGGCCAAGAAGACGGTAAACTTCCTTTTGAAGTCACTCTCGATGGGAAGCAGCCATGCAACGATCTCCCTTGTCCACCCCAGTACCAAAAGTGATGCGGAGACGATGATCGTTGCGACGAAGATGTACGGCCTCCTCCGTCCCCATCTTGACTTGTTGGAATCCGCCAGAACGCCGACAATTGGTTGCGTGATGATGCCGCTTAGTGGCCCTGCAATCCACACCACCGATGTTTGGCTCTTTGTCAGCCCGAGGTTCAGAAGATATGGCGTGCAATATGTCATCTCGACTCCCCTTGGCTCGCAGTTAGCAAGATGATTCTGTGGCATCCGATGTAGCTTGATAGAGGGTGGGGGGACCCAGAAGCTTCCACTGTCACTCCTCAGACGGGGTCATTGTCCTTCGGGGTCCTTCGGGGTGCCGTTTGGTCGGCATGAGGGCACCTCTCAAGGACGACAGTCGTCGCTAGTTCTCCAGGGAGTACGTCGATGTACGCAAGACGGGCGAAATAACCATTGAAAAGCCATACCATGTAAATGTGATGCCGAAATGGATAGCACATAATAACATCATGCGAATGGACTCAGTCCTGCCCTTGACGCTGGGCTGCCCCGTGAAGGAGGACATCTTGTCCCGGCTGATTGCTGGCCCACCCCGCCCCTCCAGCAATTCTGGTCCTTCTCCGTATCGATTCGATCTGACTGCAATGTCCGGCGGGTGTTCGTCTCGATGCTCGTGGAGTGCCTCTCGCTGGTTGGGTTCCTCCAGGTATCTGCGATGCTCGGCTAGGGAGTGGTCGTGGGAGCTGTCACAAGTTGCTGGAGAGCTCTTGGTCAGCGTTTTATTCCTTGCGCCGTCCTCTCTCGTGGTATTTCTGTCGTTTGCCTGCTTTTGTTTGGGCATCTTGGGCTTCGAGCAGTAGGGAAACAGCTATGGTGTGCAAAGGGGGGGGGCGCAGCAGTCCGTTCGGCCACGCAGGCGCTCACTTACTTCCTGGGCTTCTGTGTCAGATCGGGTCTGGGTAGTTAAGCTTTTCGTTGGGAGATCTAGCTCCTCACGAATGAGACAGTGAGGGCAGGGAGAGTCAATGCCATACCACTGCGGATTGAACGGAGGGAGTGCAGGTAAGAGAGAAGGTTGTTGAAATGAGACATGTGTTAAGTGTCGGGCAGGGATGAGGGAGGGAGATAAGATCATCTTACAGAGGGGTGACGTACCAAGGTACATTCTTAGCGGCCAGGGGACCCTGAGCCTGTGCCTGTTCCTGTCACTATTATTAGGCGCCTTAGTGCGTGCGGCCCGCGTCAGATCGCTGTGATATAGCGGGGTTGGTCCAGATCCTCGGGACAACGGTGGCGATAATACTACCATGTATAACGGCTTTCCTTTTGCGCACGAATACCGATGTCGCTCTAAGAAAACGCAAGGTTCATTCTCTATGAGTGTGCTGGTGTGTCCTACACATGGTATAACAGATCAAAAAAGTCTCAGTGAAAGTCTCAGCTTGAGCTGACCATGCTCCATCTACCGTGCTCGCACGAATATGCTGTGGATGCAACGTGGGTGTTGAGGATTCTTCCCACCAGTTAGCGGCCCTCAATTCAGGCCCCTCTTACCAAGCTCATGTCCCATTCCGACACCCAAATGGTCAAGATTCAGCCCACTGTGTAGGCTCTAGCATCAGCCTTTGGCCGAGTCGCCAGGCCTTCCCTTCCGTATTTTGACTGCGACAGCATCGAAATAGAGACCGACTCATGATTCTGAGACGATGCAGTCCCCATAAAGAGCCCTAGAGACCTCCCGTCGCAGTGGATGTCTTCTGATTTCGTCTTTCTTTCTCTCGTTCTTTCCTTTTTGTCTTTTCAACAAATTCGTTCCTTTGTCTTTTTGTGTTGCAGAATTCGACTTGAGGCCCAGCACATACGTGCCCGGGGCCAAGTAAAATCATGCCTCTCCTGTGCACTTGTTTGCCCACTTGTCTGAAATACTGGCATCGTCCTCCATCACCGCCGCCATCACGTCGCGTCGCCAAGCGGCGACAATATGCAGAGCCTGGTGGATAGATTCGTTGCTGGCAGAGAGGCCCTCGAGGAGAGTCGTGCAGAGGCTGTGTTCCTCTATGGCATGCTGCAGAGTCAACTTGTCAAAGCCCTCCGCGGTCTCTTCGTCAGACTCAACCTTTGGTATGCGTGCACCGAGCACAATCTGGTCGCCAATGTTGAGCTTGCGGCGCAGGCTGTCCCGTATGTGTATGCTCTTGTCAAGTCTGGTCTTAGCATCCGCTCTTCCCTGATCATCCTTCTCCTGGAGGCTGTGGAAGATATTGTGGCCCTCGTGGACCACCTCAATGATCTTCCTTGCGTTGTTAGCGCGGCACTCGATTCGATCGACGGGGTTCATGGCTGCTGTGCCCAAATACTCGATGTCTGATGAAACACGCCTGCCCCGAGGCACAGATACTCCATCTGACATCTGTCCCTGGCGGATGAGCTTGTTGATTACATCATCCCTGTAGTGTGAAATACGCAGTTGCAATGCCGCGTCGTCCGGAAAGAAAGCCCCCAGGAGCAGGTGCCTCCAGAAGGTCCAGTCGATCACTTCGGGGAGCGGACGGCCACCAACTGCATACATCGCTCCCATGCATATTGCTATACCGCTGTCCTGTTCACAGAAGAGCTCAGGGCAGACACAGTATTGCATTTCCCAAAGGGTCGGATTAAGATCCTGGTCGGGAAGAACATGAGCCAGCAGTGGTGCGAGCTTCATGGCTGGGGCGTACGCGGCTGCTGAATCCTCTTCTGGTGGCCCGCAAGGATCGTAATATCGCATAACGCCCGTGCCTAGCTTTCCTCGAGTGTTGAGCTCTACAACCACCAGTAACCGCTGTCCGGCATCAAGTTTCAGCGGGACAAGTAGAGAGCCTCTCCTCCCGGCTTCTCCGGTAAGTTGCTTTCGTGTGCTAGCATCTTTGTGACTCAAGCCATCAACCACAACATAGTCTGGGTGGCCGGTGGATTCTAGTTGGTGGAGGATGGCGAGCACTGTCTCATCATCCCACTCCCATCCGCTACCCAAAAGAGAACTCCTTGTATGTGTAGTTTTCGGGCGCTTTCTTCCTTCTTCGGAGGTGACAGTCTGCTCATTTTCCTGTATCTGCAAAGGTCGCTTCGATCTGGCTTGGCTCATGGGCGAAGCACAGTAGACGGTGGACCCTGCTCTGGCCTGTCGCAGCTCGCCGTTGGATCCAGTGGCCCCCGACTTCGAAGAAGGTGTGGCTTTGACCACAAGGCTCACATTATTCTCATCATCGTCGACTGAAGCCTCTCCGATTTCAGTGGCAACGATCCCAAAGTCGATTTTTCCCGGCCTACCCTTACGTGGCGGGTTTCGACGGCTGCCAATGTCTCTGGGTGGGTCCGAACTGGTCGTCGAAGAGACCGAGGGAAGGAAGTTTTGCTGTCCTTCAGATTCAGAACGAAGGGATTTCGGTCCTGTTCCTGTATCCCGTGGCCCAGCAAGGTTGGGTTGACTATCAGGTATATTAAACTCGATCGATGGCTTAATAGTCTCGCCGCCTGCAGGCGCAATATCTTCGGACACGCCATTCCCGATTTCCTGGGTACTGGCAGTGCCTCCTGGTTTCTTTTTCTTCGCCTGGGTGACTCCTTGTTTTCGAACGCTTCTATTTTGGTCGGTGTCAACGTGGCTGGCGTCTTGGCCCTTGACCTGCAAGCTGCCAGTTTCGCAGCCCGTCTTTCGCGGAGGTAGGTCGAACTCAGGGTTTGCCGAGGCCATAGCGGTCAAATCAGGACTGGTGAATACCCGGATTGCGTTCAGAGTGGCGATTGATGTAGTGTCCAGCGAAATCTTGGTTCGTCTGGCATGAGCCCGTAAGACCCTCATGTATGCAGGCTTGAAGTTCGAGGTTCCGGTGACTGGGTCTCTGTTAAACACGCGAAGTCGTTTCCTGACCTTTCCAAGGAGTGACTCGGAGAACATGGACGCGCCAAAGAAGAGGAGCATATTCCACACTGTCGTGTTTGCTTTCGTAGCTGTGCTCCTGAGAAGAGTGATGTGGTTGCACTGGGCCAGCTCTTTGCGGAACACCAGACAGAGAACTCGCTCGATTGCGCTTTCTCTCAGGTTGTCTGCAGCCCAAAGTCCAAAAGGCTCTTCAATGTGTTGCGCTGAGTGGGCGGAGACCTTCGCGTTGAATTTGTTCCTATAGTCGTGGAGCAAGGTCTCCCAAGCCTGCTGTATGGAACGGTCGTCGGATGCCACATTGTCCACTACGTCTTTAAAGGTAGCAAGGGACTTCTTCCATTCTTCATCGCTCATCTTTGGCTTCTTGGGTGGCCGATGTCCTCGAGAGCTGTGGCCTGGCCGGCGGCCGCTGGACGAACTCATGACTGATGAAGTAGCCAGTGGTAAGAGGCTAAGACTCTTCGGGTCGATTAATATGAATGATTGAGATTAAATTTTGCACTGGAAGATCGCAATCCGATTTCCTGTGTGCGACCACTTCCTTCTGTTGAAGAATGTGGAAGACTTCCGAATCGACGAGAGAGCTTCATATGAGCAAACAATGGTAACGGAAACTGCAGTTGCGACCACCGAGTGATAGCGATTATCTTCTCGAGAACACCTTGACGTATGCTGAGAGATGTGTTCCGTGAGCAAGCTGGTCTGACACACAACACACAACTTCCTCCCGGCGTGATGTGGATAAGACGTGTAGCTTCAAATGATATGCAATAGCATAGCGCCTTCAGTGTGTTGTGATTGGGTTCGACGGTCGACGTAGTCGTAACAACGATGAACCAAAATGTGGTTAGCCAGACAAGCAGCTGAGTTGTGCGGATATCAGCAGGATGTGGGCGAGGGGTGAATGGCGCTCAAGGCACATGTCCTGCCAGATCCAGTGGTTTCCTGTTGTAGAAGGCTGGTCTGAGTTTTGAGTGTTTGCATGGAGAGGGGCCGACTAAAGCCAAGGGCTGATGTCTGCGGTAGATAAGACGATGATCGATGACGAGGAGAAGGTACCTTGTTGGATGACAAACGCGGCTCCCGTTCGGCTTCTAAGATCGTGGAAACTTTCCGCTCACTGGGAGCTTCGAAGTCTTGGAAGACGTCGAGTATGACCCTGAAGACCAGGAGGAGGAGGACCAGGAGCAGTAGGACCAGGAGCAGTAGGACCAGGAGCAGTAGGGCCAGGACCAGGAGGACCAGGAGGACCAGGAGCAGGGGGCCCACGGGGGGCAGGAGTAGAGGCAAATCCAGAGAAAGCGGAATTGGAAGACCTAGAAAGGTGAGTCGGAAGGAGAAGAATTATTTTTCGATTAGGGGCGGACGAAAACGGTGCCCAAGCCTGCCAGGGAATTGTTGTCCTGGTACGTACTATGCTTTCTTGAGGACGTACTTGGCCCCACGTTCGATTCTATGTTGGCCAGGGCGTGTCTGCTCAACATGTAGCCATTGGCATTGAATAAATGAGTACGTCATACTTCTCTTGTTTGACGGAACTGAGTGACCGGCAGTGTGATCTGAGTGTTTGACACCCGATCGGACGACGATGTGTTGATGTGGACCCAAGAAGGAACAGACACAACAACCTCTGACAGCAATCCAAAGGAGTATGATGTTGCTTCAACAAGTCAATTCTGGGATTTCGACATTTTGTTCACCGTAAGACTCGACTGGACTAGAGAAGCACTCATTGATATTTGAGGCCGGAAACAATACCACTACGCAGGCCACATTGTGGCCAGGAACCTGATCGCAGCTGCCTCGTAAGTCCCCCAAGCAGGCCAGTATTAGGAGTTTCAAGTTGAATCATGGATATGAGACTGAAAATGTGAGTGACATAAGAACAATGATTTATAAGACAAAATATAAGTATTTAATATAGGAAAGGTATAGTTAAAAGTATTTTAATAAAGTAGAAATTATTTATATTAATATTATAATTATAATAATATATTTATTAGTATTATAAAATTTACTATAGTTTTAAATTTTAATGAAAAATATTATAATAGTTAAAAGTAAGTAATTTAGGTAGTAAATAAATTAAGCAACCTATTTTACCACATAACAGAGAAATAGTCTGATAACTCCGTTTTATGGAGACACAAGCTTCACTTCACTACGGCTAGCAACTCATGCTTGTGTGTGCCGACCGAGAGACCATTATAGCAAATCTGCGGATCGATTGGTTACCTAGGCATTGAGAGCTTTGCAATACAGCCACACCTTCTCAAAGACCATACTACATCCAAAGGCACCCACACCTACCAGCCCCAGTAGTTGTGTACATACTGCAGGTCATGCTAATAAATGTGCCGGTATCCCTGATCAATGCTGCAGGCGCCAGACCGTAACGGGCTCTAGTGCTGCAAATCATTTCGCTCGCCTATCTGCAGTGCCCCGCCAGTCCAAGTTTGACAATTGACCTGCTAAGAGGGAGGGCCGTTGAGAAGCTCCGGTACAGGAACGTGCATCCATCCTATCTATCACCGTACCGAGAAAACTTTCGTGACACCATTTGGGAGCAACGACGAGACCACCGTCGCTTTTTACAGTCCCCAAATAGATAATTCCCGATAGCACATCTAATGTTCACTTAAGGTACGTCCAATTGGGTTGTGAGACTGCAGAATCACACGGCTGCCATCTTGGGTGACGCCCTGGCCATCCGCGTTTCTGCCCCTCTATTGACTTTGTGGATGCCATTCCCGAGCTTGACTCATCCCACCTGCGCCCAACCAGTCCTCTGCTGCCATACACAGGACTCACAACTGACCGCTTGGTAGCTGCCGGCGATCAACCAGACACCCACGACTTTCAATTCTTTGCCTGACTGGAGCTGGAACATCCTCAGCCATGGATCTGGTCAACCAGTATGCTCCAAACCCCCGTCCAAACCTGGCCCTGCGGGGCGCCCACCGCCCACCCAGTGTGCATGGGAAGAGGCTGTGACGACAGCTGACAATGGTCGAATTCGCGAAGCCTAGAAGGCCGGCTGCTCTTCGCCGTTCCCAAGAGTACGTTTACGATCCGACAGCCCAACCCCTGAACCCGCGAGGCCCCAGGGCGCCCACCCGCTGACACAATATCCCACGCGCAGAGGGCCGGCTGCAACAGGCCACGCTTAACCTGCTCGAGGGCGCCGACATCCAGTTCCGCCGGGAGAACCGACTCGACATCGCCCTCGTCAAGAACCTACCCATCGCGCTCATCTTCCTCCCCGCGGCCGACATCCCCACCTTCATCGGCGAGGGCCAGGTCGACCTGGGCATCACGGGCTACGACCAGGTGCAGGAGTACGAGGCCGGGTACAGGAGCTCGGCGCGGGCCCGGCGCATGTCCGGGGACCTGACGCCCGCCGACGGCAAGCCCCGCGGCTGCGAGACGGTCCTGGACCTCGGCTTCGGGGCCTGCAAGCTGCAGGTCCAGGTCCCCGTCAAGGGCAGCTACGCCCACGGCCGCGACCTGATCGGCAAGAACATCGGCACCAGCTTCGTCCACCTCGCCCAGGAGTACTTTGCCCGCCTCGAGCTCGAGCAGGACGGCGAGCAAGCCAACGGCGACTCGTGGGAGCCCCCGCGGAAGCTCAAGACCAAGATCATCGAGCTGAGCGGCAGCGTGGAGGCGGCGTGCGCCCTGGGCGTCGCGGACGGCATTGTGGATCTCGTTGGTCAGTACCCGCTTTCTGTTGACAAACAATTCCCCTCCCACGTTTGTTCCGTTCTACCAAGCAGTGCCCTTGCTAACCAATCTGTACAGAATCCGGCGAGACGATGAGGGCTGCAGGGCTCCAGGCAATAGACACGGTGGTCGAGTCCTCCTCGATCCTGATCAAGTCAAAAGCCCCCTCACAACCAGAGCTGGTCGAGCTGATCGCCTCGCGCATCCGCGGCGTCATCACCGCCCAGAGGTATGTGCTCTGCCAGTACAACATACCCCGTAGCCAGCTCAGCCAGGCTACCGCCGTCACGCCCGGCAAGCGTGCCCCCACGATAACGCAGCTCGAGGAGGAGGGTTGGGTGGCCGTCAGCGCCATGGTAGAGAAGAAGAAGATCGCCCCCACGATGGACGAGCTCGCTAAGGTCGGCGCTACGGACATTCTGGTTATCGACATTCACAACTCTCGATCCAACTGAACATGGCCTTGAAAGCCGCAGGGAGAAGGGGTTCGAGCTCGGTTCAGTCTTGTATATAGGCTTGAAGCTTCTGGATCGACAAGCCTGTACAGTGTGCATGCAAACCTGCGCCTAACATACTCTTCTATGCGTGCCAAAAAAGGTTGGGCAGAAGGTCCAAAATGTGGAGCAAATCCGAGTTACCTTACCCTTTACTTCCCACTGGCACCGCGCTCTTCATCATGGAATATGTGATTCTCGAAATGTGGCGTGGAAATATAATTGCAGTGGGTATGATTGCCAAAGGGCAAGTAGACAATGGCATGGTTGTCTATTTGGTATCACAGTAAGCCGATTTACCACTACAAGCCAGACGGGGCTTGACGCGCCAGCCCGGCAGTATCCCCGCCAGACACAACTCAGCACCGACGTGGGGTCCAAGGCCCTGCTACTCCAGATCGAAGAGCTTCTTCAGCTCCTCCATCGTCTGCTCGGGACCGTTCACCGAGTGCCCGACCGTCCTGGGGTCCTCGTAAATCTCGTAGTCGTTGCCGCCCTTGAAGGTCTTGTCGCCGAAGAAGTGGACCGTTGTGTATGGTATGCCTCCCGTCTTCTTGGCCTCGTTCTCGAGGTGTTGCAGGCAGTAGGTCTTGTCCCAGCCGGTGGGGAAGACGTCGAAGGAGATCTGGCCGCCGATGGAGAAGCTGCATGCAAGGGAGTTTCGTGTCAGTCGAGGGGCAAATGACTGAACATTGGGACGAGAGGGTTGGGGGTAAACAGAAAGGGCAAGCAGAGAGACTCACGTCAGGCCAAGGTGGCCGAAGCGCTCGCGCAGCTTCTCGACAAACTTCTCGCGCACGTGGTGCTCCTTGTCGTACTTCTCGTAGTCGTTGCGCTCCTGGACGCTGGCGTTACGGCCGATGGGGCTGATGTTGACCATGCCGTTGCGGAACTCGACAAAGGTGCCGCGCTTGACGGGGATGTCGAGGTCGGCGACGTAGTGCAGGCAGAAGCTGACGAGCTCCTTGTACTGGGCCTCGCCCAGCCAGCGGATGAAGCTGTTGGAGGGCAGCTGCTCGCCGTTCTTGAAGGCGGTCAGGCCGTTCTCGGCGAAGCAGAAGTCGAACAGGGTGGTGACAGCGACGTCCGGGGTGCCCAGCTGCTCCTGCTGCTTGACCAGGTCGCTGCCGCCCACGAAGCCGATGGCGCACTTCTGGCGCAGGCGAGCGAGCAGGTTCAGCATCTCGGCCGAGACGCCGCGGCGTGCGGGCGTGAGGGTGCCATCGACGTCGAAGAGGCAGATGGTGTTCTTGAGGGGCCGGTCCTCGAGCGGGGGGTATGCGACAACCATGGCGGTGGAGGGATGTTGGCTGCGGGGCTGGCTGGGGATCGTGTAAGGAGTGGAAGCGTCGGGGTTGGCGACGTGAAGAGGCGGGAGGGCGGTTGCGTGTTACGTGTACGTGTACGGGGAGAAAGATGATCTGCAACTGTGACTAGGGCAGCTGCGTAGTACAGATGTATTCCTCAATTGTTCTCCTCGTATCTCGTATCGAGTACAGGACAAGAGAGTGACCTCTTCTACGGACGCAACACTTATACGGTATTTGCCAATTGTGTTTGTTGGACCATCTGCTCCTGAAGCCGATGCGGGAGGGATCATTTTAATCAGTTGATGGGAGCAAGAAGTGAGGTGTACACGCACGTACCTGATAATCATCGCGCTCATGCAAGCTCCCTGCAATGGACGCGACTGCAAGTGCTAGCATCCTGGGGCCGACCCCTCACCCTACCTTCCCCCTTGGGGGTGGCAGCTGGGTGGCAGGGTGCGCAGGCAGGCTGGCAGGCAGGTCGCCGCGCACGGATCCGGCTGCTCAGCTGCTCCACCAGCTACACAGAAAGAGCTGAGACAGGGGTCTGTCTGCTCAGCGACGACAAGTTCAGGGTCCATGGATGAAGCTTGGAGGCACTTTGGGGGCCCATCCAGAAGAGAGTTCATCCCACGCTCGGGGAACAAGCTCTTGCTGCACCATGCGGATCCCACGGTGCGTCACATACGCACACACACATGTATGTATGTATGGATGGTCCGAGGGGGGCCAAGATGAGGAACCAGTGCGATCTGGCCGGCAGGAAGGACGAACCATTTTCTGTCGGATCGTGATGCAAAATCCCGAGCCCCCAGACCCCCCCGCAAACTATGGAAGAACGCAAAAGCAGCCCCCACCACCACAACCACATCGTCATCATAACACATCAACACATACCCACCACGTTGAACTCACGCACCCGCCCATAAGGTTTCTGCCCGCCCCAATCGGCCCCACCGGTGACTCCCTTCCCTTCCAACAGCTACTGTAGGTGACCTGCACAACAACCAAAACACCTGGTACTATATTCCGACGCGGCAGCCCCTTCCCCGGGCCGGGCCAACCAGCTGTTGAGGGCCGAGTCAGTCGCCGGCGCAAAACGAACCACCAACGCACACATGCGCTCACCGATACAATGTGTGTAGCACAGATATAGCCTCCGGCTGCAGAGACCCGGAGTATTTTTTTTTTTTTTTGTGTTTTGTTCTAAAACGGCTTAACACTGTATGTAGCCTGATCATGTCGTGTCGTGATCTCCGAGTGACGCATCATCTCGATCCGGCACGGGCGCACAAACACAAGACTTGCGCGCCGCGAGGTTGAGACATCCCGAGGGCAACAGTCATTCCCCGTCAATGGTTTTACCCTCACAGGCCCGTCTGTGTCACTCGGCGCGACGTCTGCACAGAAAAATAAGAACCGGAGGAGGGAAAGGAAGGCGTGGCCAGTTGTCCCCTAACGTTGCTTGTTGGATGAGATATGTGGTCAGATGAGATATAGCGAAAAGATTATATGTCGTCTCACCAGGTAGACATACTACTAATAAATATATGAACCAGAGTTGCCTGGTAGGAACGCTCGCTGTCCAACACCACCAGTCTTGCCATGATTGCTGTCCCCTACAACCTGACCACCATATGCACCCCACCCTCACTGCCCGTCTGTTTCCTCTCTTGCACATGAGGCTCCACTGTCCCATATTCGCGTCCGGAGCTCAGGTGGCGCCAAGAGACGATGTTGGTTGCTGTCAAAAGAAAATGCTCACTTGCGAACGGCGCGGTCCCGCAGATTTCCAAAGGGAAAAAAAGCGTGTTCAAAAAATGTTGTACCCAAATCAACTAACGCCGCCAAATGCCTTGCAACCCAGTGCCAAACAATGAACCCCGTTATAAACTGACATGTTACGTGAAGAAACTTGAACTCGTAAGGAGCCCCCGTGGTATCATAGCCGTAGCGACCTGGCCCTGCTGCTTGCTGCTGGCAAAAGAAATGATGTGTTTTGCTTTGCTTTGCTGCATCTGATCTGATTGACGAAGATCCGGCAAAATCGCGATTGTTCTCACTCCCCTCCCCCACTCGCGCTCTCTCCCCCCTCCTTGCTGGTGTACAGGACGGTGTGGTCAAGGTTTAACGAACAAGTGCTTCTACTGGCTGTTGGCTCGGAAGATGAGCTGTAGCAGGCCAAAAAAAGTAAAGTTAGCTAACGCTTGCGCTTTTGCCCGGCGGGAGGAGCGGAGAGGCTGTTACGTGCTCTTGCCAATGGGTCCTCCTGGTCAGCTGACACCAAAGCAGGGCTGTCCATCCGGCCTTTGACGATGTCCGAGCCGTGTGATTGCAGGCCCGGCCTCTGCGGCCGTAGGTAGTTTCCCGATGGGTCGATGGGGATCCGGGCACCCGCGGCCTTGGCATCGGCCTGTCGTGTTATATCCCGGTCACGGTTTCCAGCCAGGGCACCGCCAAGCGTCGCGCACTTGAGAATGGTCTGTATGAGGTGGTTTTGTTGCAGAGGCTTGGACAGGTACTCGTCCATCTGCGCCTGGATGCATCGTTCCCTATCGCCCATCATGGCATGGGCTGTGAGGGCGATGATGGGCGTCCGTTGGGAACCCAGGCTGCGCTCATATTCTCGGATCTTGCCAGTGGCCTCGAAGCCGCCCTGTAGATGCCAAGGTTAGTAATTGTTTTCACACTAGTCAAACTCAGAGTACAGGGAATCTTACCATTACTGGCATTTGCACGTCCATGAGAATAACGTCGAACTTCTTCTTCTGCACAGCATGGACCGCCTCCTCACCATTGCCCACGACTGTGACAACATGGTGGTACTTTTCTAGAATCTTGACAGCGAGCTTTTGGTTGACTGCGTTGTCTTCAGCCAGGAGGATTTCGAAAGACCTCGTGTTGTCGGCCAGCGAAGGCGCGGCTCTGTTCTCCAGTGCGGGGATCATGCCGTTGCCGAGATCAATCAGTTTGCATGGCGTCGTCATGTACGATGTAATTCCCAAGTCAAGGCACGACTTCAGATTGACATGTACGACAGGCGCTAGCAGGACGATGGGGAGGTATTTGAAGTCGTCAATGGCCCTTAGCCTCCTTGCAGTATCCAGGTCATCCACGATGATGACGTCGTAGGGCGTGGTGCCCTTCTCGCGTTGCTTCACCAGAAGGGGATTCTTCTCCGACTCCACGATCGAGGGCATTAGGCCTAGGCCTCGGAGCATATCCCTTATGCCCGTTCCATGACCAGTGTTGCCCTTGTCGATGAAGAGGACCTCATGTCCCTTGTAGGGATTCAGCGACTTTGCAATGTATGAGACGTCGTCGACGGCTGATCGGACAACGCAGGTGAAGAAGAAGGCACTGCCGTGTCCTAATTCACTCTCCACTCGTATGTCACCTCCCATCAGGTTGACCAGTCTCTTCGAAATGGACAGCCCGAGACCCGTGCCGCCAAATTTCCGAGTCATTGACCCGTCAGCTTGCTGGAAGGTGTCGAAGATGAGGTCGAGCTTGTCAGACGGTATACCGATACCCGTGTCACTGACCACGAACTCAATTGCGTACTCGTCCCTCTTGACTGTCAGATTCGACTTCTGAATCTGCAGGCTGACTTTGCCGTTCTCGGTGAACTTGATGGCGTTTCCGACCAGGTTGAGGATAATCTGCCTCAGCCTGAACGAGTCGCCAACAACATGATCAGGGACGGAGCTGTCGACCTGGTATGTGAGTTCAAGATTCTTCTCGTTCGCCTTGACTGCTAACGTTTTCAGAGCATTGAAGACTGTGCCCCGTAACGTATAAGGAATCTCTTCAATGACCATGCGTCGGGCTTCAATCTTGGACAGGTCAAGGATGTCGTCGATGATGATGAGCAAGCTATTAGCCAGGCTGTTGACTATGTTCAGCATCTCTCGCTGGTATTGCGTCAGGTCGGTATCGAGGGTCAATTGTGTCATTCCGATGATACCGTTCATCGGGGTCCGGATCTCGTGCGACATGTTTGCCAGGAATTCGGATTTCGTCTTGTTGGCCAACTCGGCAGCCTCTCGAGCCTGCGTGTTTCTCTGGATACTGTCCCTGAGATTGAACACCATTTGGTTGATCTTCCGCTTCAGCTCATCCATCTCGCCGGATGCCTCAACCTCTACTATCTTGGTAAAGTTTCCGTCGGTGGCAGCATTGGTTATGTCCCCAAAGGCGCGCACTTGGGCCGTCTAAAGGACTTGATTAGTACACGAAGTGCCTTGGCGCATCAGTGGCCTCGCAAAACTTACCAAGTTATTGGCCATTGTGTTAACATCTGTCGTGATCTCCTTCCATCTGCCCTTGAGCCCCGCAACGTCTGCCTGGCCTCCAAGGATACCGTCGATGCCGACATCCCTGGCCACTCGCTGTACTTCATTACAGAAGCTGTTGAGTCGGTCAACCATGTCATTGATGGTGTCCTTGAGGATGAGTATCTCGCCCCTAGCCTCGACGTCGATTTTACGGCTCATGTCACCGTTCGCGATAGCTTGTGTAACACTGGAGATGCCCCTCACCTGTAACGAGACTCAGCAAGGGCTCGAATGACGCGTTTGAAAAGGGGATCATGAGTGTTGGTGCTTGCTTACCTGAGTGGTCAAGTTCAAAGCCATGACGTTGACGTTCTCAGTGAGATCTTTCCACTTGCCCTCGACATTTTCAACCTGGGCCTGGCCACCGAGTGTTCCGTCCGTTCCGACTTCTCGCGCGACCTTCGACACTTCGAACGCAAATGTAGACAGACGGTCCACCATGGTGTTGATAGTGTTTTTGAGATCCAATATTTCACCCTGGGCTTCGACGCTGATTCGTTTGCTCAGATCACCCCGCGCGACAGCAGTTGTAACCGTTGCTATTTCCCTGACCTGTGTCGTGAGGTTCATGGCCATGCCGTTGACATTTTGTGTGAGGTCCTTCCAGGTTCCTTCCACGTCGTGCACGGTGGCTTGGCCGCCCAAACGTCCCTCGGTCCCGACCTCCTTTGCGATTTTCGTGACTTCCCGGGCGAATTGTTGCAATTGTTCCACCATGGAATTGATCGTGTTCTTCAGCTCGAAGATTTCTCCCTTGCACTGAGCCTCGATTTTCTGCGTGAGATCTCCCTTTGCGATTGCAGTTGTAACCTTGATGATGTCGCGTACTTGTGTCGTGAGATTGTCGGCCATGGCATTGACATTGACGGTCAAGTCATTCCACATGCCTTTCACACCATTCACATCGGCTTGTCCTCCTAGTTTGCCTTCTGTTCCGACGTCCTTGGCCACTCTCGTGACCTCGGAAGCAAAAGTCCGAAGCTGGTCAACCATGGTGTTGATGGTCTGTTGCAATTGGAAGATTTCGCCTCTGGCAGGCCGCTCAATCTTCTTGGTAAGGTCTCCATGGGCTACACTAGTCGTTACAGTCGCAATTTCTCTCACTATATATAATCAGCACCCGTTCATGCTTCGCGTACAAGCGCCCGGCTTACCTTGATCGGTCAAATTTTGGGCCATTATGTTCACTAGGAATTATCAAGTCAGTAGATGAACAAGTAAGGTGATTGTCCTTCACATACCATTATCGGTCAATTCTTTCCAGGTACCAGCGACGCCTTCGATCTGAGCCTGGCCGCCCAGAATACCTTCCGTGCCGACCTCACGAGCCACACGGGACACTTCCGAGGAGAAGTCTCCGAGCTGGTCCATCATTGTGTTTATCGTCCGTTTGAATGTGGTGATTTCGGGGTCCATTTCTACGGTGTTGAGGCGCACTCGCTTGGAGAGATCACCACGAGCCACAGCGGTCAGGATGTCGCCGATCTCGCGAAGGGCTTTTTGGAAGGCCTCGTTGGCCTTCTGGTGTTTCCATAGCTCTCGTTCGAGGGTCGCAACGCGTTCTTGTTCTATTATCGCGAGGGCCCTCTCTTGCAGCTGCTCCTGTTGTATGAGCTGGGCCTTCACGCCGGCGAGCTCTTGTCGCTGGCTGTCTAGAAGCTTTGACTGGTCGTCGACGTGCTCACGCAGGCCCTCGAGCGCCTCGTCTGTCAGGGGGACAGCCTTCTCGATGATGTTTCCGTTCCGCCCTATGCTTCCGGGTCTCGACTTGGAAGCGTCACGACCGATGCCTGAGGGTGACGATGCTGCATCGTCACCAAACACCGAATCAGCGGTTTCATTAGGCGTGTCGGGGAAGTTGGCGATACCGGTGGAGTGAGCTCTCGTCTCGAGTTGGTGGACCCGTGACACGAGGGCGGCGAGCTCCCGCTCCAGCTGGTGCTTCTCGAATGTGTCTGCACCGGGGAGCTCGACGGGCTTCCCTGCAACCCGATTTGTGGAGGAAGGCGCGTGAGAGTCTGTCGCCAGGCTCTTCACGATGGCGGCGGCGGCCGCCAAGGCCGAGTTGTCGGCCATGGGAGACTGGAGATGCCGAGGATTCAGGGTCGGGGCGTAGGGGTAGGGGACTAAGGAGCGAAAAGAATCCAGGATCAAGGGCGTTTGAGTGCTAGGCTGTGGCTGGCGACTTCATGGGCGGTTTTCTGAATTGGGCCGTGGTGTTAATGAGCGAAGACGAGCAAGTGGGAAGTAGGCAGATGGGTTGATTCTGATCGGAAGAGGTGAGGAACAGAATCAGCGGCAGCGACAGCGGCTACGAGGAAGCCCACATGCGCTGTGGAGCCGGGGGTGTGGGCGAAGGCGCCGAGGGGTGGGATGGAGGAGGAGGAGGAGGAGGTGAGAAGCCCAACCTTGGGGTAAGGATGGGAGGGAGCAAAAGTTGGGATGGGAGGGGGGGGGAAAGGAGGTTCTCACGCAGGTAGGTGCTGCAGGGCGGTCGACGAGGTCAAGGCCAGGAAAGCAGTCGAGGTTGAGGAGAGACAGACTGGCGTGGTGGAATTACCTGTCGGCTCTTCTGCGCGAGTCGAAGACGGACAGAAAAAAGGTGGTGCCAGAGGAGAGGCTAGAGACGAGAGCCAGTAGAGGCGCAGTTCCAGTCCCAGTTACGGTTCCCAGTCCCAGTTCCTGGTCTGGTCTGGTCTCTGTGGATGGATGGCAGGTCGGTAGGACTTGACTTGACTGGACGGACTGGGCAAAGGGCTGGGGACTCGGTACGGCGGGCAGGTGGTAGGGTAGGTAGGTATGGTCCGGCACGGGCAGAAGGCGGAGAAAGGATGGATGTCAAGGGGACAGGGGCGAGGGTGGTTCGTCTTGGGACACGCTGCCCGCTTGCAAGCCCTGCAGCCTTTGATAGGTTTAGGCCGGTGTCGAGTGTTGACCAAGACCAGACCGCAACGTTTTCCCTCCCTGGAATACGACGGCTGGACCAGACTACATACAGCACAGAATGCGCGGTATGAACTGCACCGCATGGCTAGTTCCCCTGCTAGGGCCCTCCTGCCTCCTCGTGTGCGAGGCGACAGGTAAGGGATGTGACAGTGTTCCTGTAAGCCCTATATTCATTCTCCCAATTCCCCTTTCCTCTCGGTCTTGGCCAGGTAGGAAGGTACCCGAGATATTCTGGCGGCCCAGCAGACAGGCTGGGTATACCCCAACCAGCTTGACGGTGTTGTCGGCTCGGGGGCCGCACTGGGTAGGCAACAAAAATCAAGTGGGTGGTGGCAACCGTGACAGCTGGGGCCCGAGGAGACGGATACCCAGGTACCTACCTGAACCAAGGCAGGCAGGTAACTCCCGAGGTCCCTAGGTCCCTGGTAAGGTTCCCGTTCCTGCCTGCCAGAGTAGCACGAGTAGATAGGTGCCGGTTTTCCCTCTTTTGCCGCTGGCCTTGGCCTGTCCATGCTCTCCATGCTCCACATGGCCATTCCGTATTTTCAACGGTCTCTCCGCACGCCCGCCCTGGCCCGGACTGCCCAACCGACCGAATTGTTGTGTATTTCGTGACAGCAAGAAATGCACCGGTGCTCCTCCTTGAAGTTGCCCTTGCTGCCTTCTTGCCGTCCGTGACCCTCTGATCAGCCCTCCAGCCCTCGCTCCAGCCTGGCACCCAGGGCATCTGGCAGCCCTGGTTCATTGCATTTTGACGGCACATCGCATCGATGTAACCTTGCGCATGGACTCGGCGGCGTCAGACAGGGCGGAAGGAGCGCCAACGGCACGTCTAGCCACGTTGGAGACGGGTCTCCTGAGGCTTCTGCAACCACGGATTCCCAAGAACCTGGGTTCTGGAATCTGGAATCTGGGTTCTCGAACCTCGACCCTCGACCCTCAAGTCTGGAACCTGGAATCTGGAATCTGGAGGTTGGGAGCGTCCCCTGTGGCAAATGCCCCCGGGATAGCAGCTGTCACGGTAGCAGATTTCCGTCAAGGAGAGCGGCGGCTCTGCTGGCTGTCTGGCAGTACTACGCAGTATGGGCCTCAGGACCTCCATTTCACCTCCGTCAGCTCTGGCTGGCACGCTGCATGGCACACCATAGTCTAGGTACTCCGTAGCCAAGTAGCGACAGGGCTCTCTGTTATGGTCTTTGCAAATGCAGGCTGTAGAGGCAGAGAGGGTGGGAAAGACTGGAAAGCTCAACCATTGGGGCCGAGGTCACACGTGCCGCTCAGTCCGTACTCGGTACGACGATAGAACTACAGCTGCATGGAGCGTGGGCGGATGTGCCAACACCTGTTTTGCATCCTCAGTCTAGCGATAAGGCTCCACGCGTGCGTGAGCCCAGCAGTATGCACCAGTGCAGCCAGCCATGCACGCTAGCCATGTTGGCCGTCCCGCGCACACCACCCCCTAGTCGATGCAGAGTTGCCACTGCAGACTACGGTGGTACAGTACTAATAAGTATCGGTACAGCACGGTCAGGCGCTACCAAAGACCCAATGCTCCAGTACTGTGTACACCTGAAGTCTCCAGCCCGGATATGTGTGCTTTGCAGCGAGTGTCCTACCAACAGCACTCACCACCACCATAGTATGTGCTGCAAGTAGAAATTGAGCCCTTTTGCAGGGCATAATATCATGTGCACAATATGCATCCGAGACTGCACAAAAAGGACGGTGCACAACGGCTTGCAGCCACCCACGTCTACCCAAGGCTCTTTGAGCCCACGGACAGTACAGATAAATTACCCAGGCAAGCAGGGACTCCGCGCACCAGGTGGCACGAGACCAGAAGCAGGCGGCTTGACCCGGGCGGATTGGTTGACCCATCACGACTCCTCAACCGCGTCGTCGGCGGCGTTCCTTGTCGTGGCGCGAGCAGAGAGGAAAGAGTGCCAGGCTGCCAGGATGCCAGGATGCCTAGGAGGGTTCGGGACTTGGGAGGGGTGGCACAACACGGACCATTATCATTTTGTCATTTGCCCATGCTTAGCGCGGCTCAGGGTAAACAGCCACACGCCTCGTCAATTTCCAATTGGCCTTTTGCGTGATGGATCGATCTCTCGCGTCTTGTGCACATGCCCACTGTGGGCTGACTGCCATGCCTGCCTGCTTGCCAACCACGGCACACGGTAGCATAGTAGATGCTGGCAAGGCAAGCAAATGTGCACCAAGCACTCGTCCTGGATATCTGCAGGAGCTTTCAACAGCCTGCACCCTGCACCCTGCAGCCAGTCGCTCACTCGTCACGCCTCACCATCCAGCCATTCTTACCATAACCAAGGCTTAACCATCACCCATGCCATGCCATACATTTTGAAGTATCCGCAGATGGCTTGTAGATGGCCTCTCGAGGTGTGCTGCCGCCCCAGCAGGCTGCCTACCTTCCAAGGTTGGTGTACTCTTTGGGTCAGGCATCTACGAGCCCCCCCAATCTATCCATCTCTGATGCCTTCCTGTCGCGTCATGCCCAATGCAGCATTGACCGTCATGACTACCTTGGCCCATTCTATACTAATTTACTTAACACCACCATACTTGGACGTCTTATCTTCCTGGCAGTATTATAATATACACCGCCATCGCCGTGGCCCACAGCCCATGGCGTTAAATGTCATCCATCCATCCATCCATCCTTCCTAGCTGTCCCCTATACGCCATCCCAATCTCGTTGTTCTGTGCACTGGGGGCACCAGGCGCACCAGGGTGACAGCTCATCTCATCAGATCAAAGCAAAAAATACGTCGCCCGCATGATCTTGGCCCCTCTCCTCGTGGGACCTCAGCCGCCAAGGTTGCTGGCGCGCCAACAGCACGACGCGGGATAATAGATAGCTCGCTGCCTTGGTATCTTTTGTAGTACTCGTAACGTTAAAGTGCATGGGGACACGAGGCCGGCGGATGCTATCAAGGACCCTCGGCCATCTCAGTCTTGCAGTCCTGCAGTCAGGCTGGACCCCTATTTCCATAAGGCCTAGGGGCAACCCTACTTCTAGCTGACACAGTGGTCCCCAGCGCGATGGGACGTACGATGTCATTCACCCGGAGCGCAGCCCGAATCCGGGGTCCAACTCTGCCTGTCGATCCTCACTGCCCAACGAGCAGACGAGCCAACGAGCCAACGAGCACAGCCTGCAGTCCATCGTCTCAACTCGACGCCATGCCGAGAAGCCCTTCCCCTATTCGGGCAGTTCTAACTGGGGACTTCCCAAGATGGTACTCCGTACTCCGGACTATACCGCAGTACTAGGAGTCTCCTCTAGGCAGCAGGCAGCATTGAAATACTGCAGCCAGATACTGCCATTGGATATGCATGGGCGGTGCTCGGGTGTGGACACCCAAGCCCTTGGGCGGGTTACCCGTAGCACCCTGTACCAGCGCCAAGTCCTGTCTACACCAATCAATGTGCCTGTACTGTGGTACACAGTACTCCGTACAATGCACAAGCAACAAGGGAGCCACTGAAAAAGATCGAAAGTTGCGATCCCACCTGGCCAGCAGCACAGTGGGATGCGGTGGCAAGGTGGCCAATCAGGCCCTGCCCTCCCACGGACCCGCAAGTCATCCCCATTCTCTGCGGATGCCCTCGTGGCCTTTGACGTCTCTTGGCTTGCTTAGCTAACTGTCGACCGTGTCCATGTTGAACTCTTTGCCCGGCTTGAGCGGCTCGCAGGACGCCGGCTGGACTGTGCCACAGATGAGGCAGATCTCTGCTCCGGGTGCTCCCAAATATCACTTCTCACAGTGGATACTTGGACCGTCTCGCACATGCACGCACATTCGGCTGTCATGACGAAACTGTCCAACTGTCGGGCGTGCCTCCAGCTCGCCGGGCCGGCTTACAAGAGTGATACAGGCACATCACAAAGGTCGCACGGCACGACAAAGACCAGTTCGGTGCATCGCGAGACAATCTCACCCTCCCAGCCCTCCTCGTTTCGGTAATATCATCGAAACAATGCCAAATTCTACCGTTGCGGCGATCCTCGTTCTATCCCGCGCAGACTGCTTATCTCAAATCTAACACAGAGCGCCCACTTACACCCGCGTCCCAGACCCGTGATTGTAGGGAGGGATCGGCTGGCCGTCAGGGAAGATCCCATCAGCTATCCCGCACGTCAAAGGGCACGATGCGACCGAGACGTCGTAATGACTGTGGGCTCCAAGCGAAAGCCTATTGGTCCTACGGCCCAGTCGGCCAGTGCTGCTGCATGGTGCACCGCGGCTGCGCGGGCATGTCCAGCATTCCGCTCCACTGGATCTCTGTCGCTGCATTTTGGGATCAACCCGACGTTGCTCAGCATTGCCGCTCGGCGCTACACGCGACCAGCCGATCCTCATCAAAGGATTTGTTTCAGATCAGAAGTCAACTTAGTCACGTCCGACCGATCCTCCGCAGCCATCGCAAAGAGGGAAGTGACCGACCGGCACAGAGACATCTCATCTCACCTCGGCAATCTTCCTCAATTTGAAGATCAGGAGTTGGCTGCCTCTGGTTCCTACGGCTCCGAATAGCTGCTTTCCATCTCGACACCTTTCTTTCCTATGATGAGCCGCCTGGAGTACCAATGGGCCTCTGCCCAACCTCGGAAATATCCCGTGGCCTTCCCGCATCCGCCCGCACGCCCACCAAACAACACCCCGGCGCCAGCCGTATAGTGATCTTCTCAGCGGAACCAAGCCAGGCCTATTGTTTGCGTGCCATGTTTTACTGCCATGCTTATTATTATTATGCACGATATTCGGGACGCCCCTGCCTTTGTCCAGACGCTATCTCGTTTTCCCCTTGAGGCCAGTCAGAGTGCTGACACGCTGTCGCGGGACCGTTGATGATGGACGGACGCATGAACGCTACACTGGGCGACGGGATCTGTTGGGGGCGGCAGCCCAATGTCCCCGGAACTCCCCTCAGTCACGTCAAATCCGCTCCGCTGTTGCCAAGAGGGGAGGGGAGGGGGGTCGGACATGGCATGCTTCACATTTCTCAAGACCCCGTCCCCTCATGATCATCAAAGTCAATTTTGAGAGCTCAGACTGGCTTGGGTCAGGGCTGGGATATGACATTATGTCAGGAAAGAAGCTCGTGGATACCAGTGCGTGGGCGGAGAATGACCCTGAAGGTTTATTAGACTTTGCGGGCTCCAGTAAGTGTGTTGCAACTGAAGTCTATATCCTCAAAGCTAAGCCGATATCAGCTTCCGGCCAACGCGAGGGGAAGCATGTCGGAAGGAAGCACAGGCGACTTGGTTGCCGGGATGGAGCCAGCCGACGGTATGGCCTGACTTTCTCGACAAGTGTCTGATAGTCTCGCGCTTGTTGTGTGAACTCGGGCTTATTGCACGCTGCTACGCTGAGCCTCTGACCTCGCTCGCTCCGAATCCCACCTTGCGAACAGCCAAGACGGGGCCATTCATCTGGCCCTCTTCTGTTTCTGTCGATATGGAAACACCACACACTGGCAGAGACTACGATCATGAGTCTCGATGATACATGACACCGATCGCTGTGCGATTTTGGCATCGCCAAATTTGCCCAACCCCCACTTCATCGTGATCTTGGCTACAAAATATCCGAACCTTGGCATTCTCCAAGCCCGCGCAATCTGCGACGGCTCACTGAAGTACAGAGAGAGACGGGGACGACGTGGGTGTTGAAAACGATCAAAAGCGTGTCAGGCGCTGGTTCGTCAAGCGGATGACCCGTCGATTGGGCTTCTCGGCGGAGTCATCACGATTTTTTCGCTTTTTTCATGCGGCTTGTCACGCCGGGCCAGGGGCTGCCTCCCTCGTTGGACGGCCGGCCACGGGACCCCGGAGGTCCAGCGCGCGCTGTCGGCGAGGTGAGCTTGGCGTCCGGGAAGTAATGGGACGCGCAAAGCGCAGTGCCTGGTTCGCGCTGATGAGCTGGCCGAAGGTGCTGGATCATTCACTTGAGTGGTCATTTACTATCCCGTAGACCAGGGACACGTCGTCGTCGTGCCAGGTCCGCGAGTCGTAGCGGTTGCCAGATTAGCTGCACATCGGTTGCCCGACTGCCGTGCGCTGCATGACTTTGACGCTAAGGAGATTGTAAGCTTCCGCGTTTGCTGGCATCTTCGTCATCTTGCTGGCAGCGGACGGCTTGGCCCGTTGTCGGCGCCTTAGTTGACTCTTGACGAACTGCTGCTGCGTCAGGCACTGGCTTCCGGCATGGCGCTGGCGCGAGCTAGCTTAAGTTGCCCGCGGTCGGTTAGAGGCGTTGGTCCAGAAGGGAGATTGTCATCTCCTGCGAATTTTACACTACGACGCCGCGCTAGACGAGGCTTGTACGCGCGCTCCAGATGAGCTTGCCGCGACTGGGTTGGCGTTGCTCGACCCGTTGCTCATCTTATAGTTCTCATGACGTGGAAAGCGGAAGCCAATGTTATACGAACTTCGGCCTGAATCCCAACGGGCGCATTAAGTTTGGTCAACGGGCGGATGATGCTGCGACTTGAAAGTACTGAGCGCCACGGCGTCGACAGGCTCGGCGTAAACTGAGAGCACGAGGCTCAAGTTCCAGGCCTACGTGTATGGTCATTGTTGCTCAAACCACCAAGACCGATTCGGAAGTCTTGTCACAGAAGCGGCTTGAGGTTTAGTCACGCTGGCAGGAAGTAGCCCCGCGACCCGCTTAGTCCATTCCTGCATGCCATGAATTATGACTGTGAAAAGTAAAAGGCCCAAAGCACAGGACTGTAAAAACATCACTAACTTCCCAGAGCAACTCGTCCTGAACACGCCTGGCCCCCATTCCCACAGACCGTCACTCGACCATTTGCGTCCAAGGCCACGCGTCTGAACCGCCCCAGAGCCAGACAGCGTGTGCTCTTCCTTCCACAGGTCCTCCACCTCCGCGCAACCGCCTTGCTCGAAATCACTCCTCCACCCCGCCCCAACCGATGACCTCAACCCTCCCAGCTCCGCGCGAGTCCCCGAGCTCCGCGCAAAAGTCCCGCCCCGCCCGGCACGCCGCGTAGAACCCCTTCCCCGGGTCCCCTTCCCACTCGGACGCATCGTAGAGGACCACGGCCTCCGCACACCCGACCAAGAGGCCCATCCTGCGCAACGCGGCGGCCTCGGCACCCAGGACGTCCCCGCGGTCCCGGCATGCCCGGCGCCAGAGGAGCTCGCAGATGTGTGACGTGTTCTGGAGCAGCGAGTTCGTGGGAGCGGGTATGGGGCAGGCAGGCTGCATGTGCTGGTCGCCCTGTCGATGACCACTCCTCGCCCCGTCTTCGTCCCGTTCACGCAGGCGGCTTACTAGCTCCAGCCCGCTGTTTTCGCTGAGCGCCCGCCTTTTCCGCCGCGGGGATGGGTACGGCGAGTCGCGTGCGCATGCACGGTCACGTAGGCGCCTGGTCGGTCCCGCGTGCCCCGACTGGATCAGGATCTCGTTCCCCTGGCGGAGCTCCCAGTTCACGCTGAGCGACTCGAGATGTCTCTGAGTGGCGGCGAGGCAGATGTTGTGGATCTCGACGATGGCCTCCTCCAGTGGCCGGGGAGACACGCCGCCGGCATGGGCCTTAGGAGACGCCGTAGAGGATGATGCCGTTGTGGAGCTGTCGTTGGGGTATACGGTAGACATGTCGTCTCCTCCGTGGCCCGAACTAGAAGCGGGTTGGCCTTCCTCGTCAGACGCGGGAACATGTCTCGCGTAATTGAGGCGTTGAGGCTGCAGGCCAGCATTGCTTGGCGGACTGTATGATGGGACGCGAATGGTGTTGGATCCATGCATAGGGTGTTGGACAAGGACTGGAAGAGGCGCGGCTATGGCTCCTCGTGACGAGAACATCATGCTAACGGGCCTCTCAGCAGGAGAGGGTCTCAGATCATTCCCGGGGTCCGAGAAATATAGCGGTGGCGGTGCCATGTGCGCAGGGGGGGCAGAGAGCTGTCGGGCTCGTCTTGGGGTTTGAGCATCCTGATAAGCATGCAGGAGACTATTGACATGGTGTTGGGATGAGCCATTACTCGTCATGATCATATGATTATTTTCGCATGGGATTTGTTCCAGCCGTTGTGTGGGTAAATGCCGTAGCTGATGATCCTGATATGGGACTGTAGTCCGAGGTGACACCCGCTCATCTGATAAATATCCAGTGGAGATGTTCCTGGAATGTTGGTGTGAGGCCGGTGCTGAGAAGCCTTGAAAGTAGGTAAATGAAGGGACGTGTTGGAAGGCATGCTGCTGCTCAACAGCTGGATGGGGGAACGAGTCAAATGCCTCGGGGCACTCTGACTGGCGGTTGGCATAGAAGCGGGCGCTGGGTGAATGTGGTCGATCCGTAACGGCATCCATGTCTTCGTTGGCCAAGGAGACGGACCTAGAGACACGAGTCTTCCTCAGACGGGTTGTTTAATAATTGTGCCTGGGCTTATTTTAGCGATGCAAAAGCCAATATAAATACACTGAAACCGCTCTGCAGTCAGAACAGCAATGACCAGTCATATTGCACACTTAAAAGGCAGGAGGAGTGCATGCGCCACTCTGGAGTCAGGGCTGAAACCACATGAGGCTCAGGCAATTTCTGATTAAAGAACGAGTACAAAGATGCTGAATGATTTATCGACTCTTGATTGTGATGTCCCTTGTGGGCTAATCTAGGTATGCCAGATGACGACCCTTCCGTCAACTCCGGTCGCTGGATATGAATGTTAGCACTCAAACATGCCATAAAAGGAGCTTTGGCTGGCGGGTGGACTCACAGCTGAACTTGGTGACAGAGCCCCCAGAAGACTCATACGGGCGGATCATTGTTATGGTGTTCTGATGGACCGTGGAGAGTTTCGTGTCATCCTTTACCTTGCCCTTCAGATCCATCTGCTTGAACATGTTCAAAGCAGACTCTTCCCGGTCATCGCCCATGCCTGGCCTGCCCTTGGATTCCAGGGAGCCAGCCAGTCGCCAGCCCGTCTCGCCACCCTGGAAGCGGAATGCCTCGCAGTCGTAACCAGCAGCGATGATCTCGGACTCGCTGGACCAGAGCAAGCTCTGGAAGGGAAGCAGCTGGGTCGTGACGCTGAGGACTGCCTTGGGGGGCTGGTCAGGAGCACTGGGGTAGACAACAGTGATGCTGCTGTCGTGAGCAGCGAAGGCCAGGGCGTCGCCGCTAGGAGAGAACGCCACAGAGTGCACCCAGCCAGCGGAGTTGTTCAGGAACTCTCCGCAGACGGTGTTGAACGGAAGCCTCTCACCCCAAGCGCTGGGTTCGGGGCGCTGGTCCACTGACTTGATGAAACTGGAGAAGACTCGGGCGTGGGCATCGGTGGAGCCAGCGGCGAGCAGCACGGAGTTGGGGTGCCATGCTACCGAGGTGATGGTGCTCCGGATGGGCTTCTTGAGATGCTTGGAAACCCACCAGTCGTTCTCTTCCTCGAAGTAGCAGATGGCGATCACACGGTCACCGGAGCCGACGGCGAACTTGGTCTCGGAGGGGGACCAACGGACGAAGGTAGCAGCCCGGTTGATTCGCAGCAGGACAAGCGTTGGCTTGTAGCCCTGAGGCGATGGTTCCCAGACGAGTGCGTTCCGGTCTGCATCCCAAGTCAGCACGATTCGCTCGGCACATACACCACTCGTCCTCGTTTGATTGAGACCCACCCTGGGAGCACGACACAATACGGCCGGAGTTTGGCGCAATGTCGAGACTGGTGACAGTCTTGTCATGCCCCTTCAGCTCGTCCTGCAGCCTGAAGGCATTGCCAGCCTTGCCATACAGCTCGACGGTCGAATCTCGTGCGATGGCCAGGGTCGACCGGTCGGCGGAGAAGGAGTGGTCGGCGATGGGGTTGTGGAAGAGGTGGTGGACCTCCGGTGCAGCCATCTTGATGTTGGTAGTTCAGACTACGTGATAGGAGTAGCTCTCTACTATCACGGCGATTCGATGCGTTGTTTACGTTGGTAGCATGGGACCTTGAGAGGTGTTGTGTTGTCAGGGGAGGCAGGACAGGGGAAGGCCGAAGTGGGAGGAAGCTCCCCTGAGAGTGAAGTGGGTGGTGGGGGTAGAGCACGTCACTCCCCAAGCGATGCATAACCCCGATAGTGAGATATACCTAGGTACGGACCAAGCTGCCAGGGATGCTGCAGCAATTAGGCTGGTCAGCTCCAAAAAAATGCTGGAGAAGCTTAACGCGACACGCCAACAACCAGACCGATTCCGCCCTTCGATGTCCGCCCGACCTGGAATTCTTCTATCATTAGAGTAGCACCTGCTCATCCTCCCACTCATTTCTTGTCGGCCGCATACTCCAGTCCACACGAGTCGCAACCATGGCTCCGGCAGTCGCGAAAGCAGCACCGCCGGGCTCAGGCATTCCGCCCAAGCCCCAGTCGATCCCTCCTAACCAGACGCTCTACGTGCGCGGCGTTCCGTCGGCCAAGATCCAGAAGGAGGACCTACGGACAGCTCTCTACCTGCTCTTCTCAACATACGGGCCCGTCCTTGATGTGGTCGCGCTCAAGACCCATAGCATGAGGGGCCAGGCGCATATTGTCTACCGCGACATACAAACTGCGACACAGGCCATGAGGGCACTGGATGGGTTCAATTTCCTGGGACACGAGATGGTTCGTTTCCTTCTCGCTATCTATGATCTAGTAGTCCGGGGTATGATGCTAAAGTGTCCAATAGAAAGTGTCGTACGCCAAGTCCAAGTCCAACGTGGTTGCGAAACTCGACGGGACTTTCAAGATCCCAACATCTGCCAACCAACAGGCCGAGATGACCGACCTGCAGCAGAGTATATTCAACGCACCACCTCCGGGCTCAGCGGCCGCTGCACCACCCGGCCCATCAGGTCTGCCAATAAAACCACCCGCCGCGGCCGGTCAGCCAACAGCCAGCGCGGACGACGCAGAGAACAGGGGACAGAAACGGCCGCGGGAGGACGAGGACGAGGACGAGGACAGCGACGTGGCGATGGAGGAGGACAGCGACGATGACTGATAGCGTATTGCGTGGTCGATTGGGAACGTCTCGTGGCAGGGTTGAAAGTCAGAACGCTCTGGGTCGACGGTGACTCAGTCCATGGCCATTTCCTTCGGCACCCACAGGCCAACGCAGCCCCCGACGAGGCCTAGCCACACCATGAGGTAATTCTCCTTGGAACAGTCGAAGATCGACACCTGATCGCCGAGGAGACATGGATGTACGAAGAAGCTGGGGACACCCGTGAGAGGGTGGTACTGTTTGTTGGTGTGTTAGTATTATGGACACCTGGATACCGCAAAAGGACCAATAGTTGACTTATTGGCAGCAAAAGCAAACACATACATCCGCTGATATGCCGCCAATTCCGCCTAGCTTTCGAAGCCCGTCCTTGTACTGGTCTGGAACCAGACGGCGGAAGACGGTGTCGATGTTGAAGGCCGGTTCGTCTGATGGTAGGCCATGCAGACTGAACCAGAGGCAAGGCACTTGATACGTCGGATGAAGATGAATCTCATAAGTGACATATCCAAAGTCTGGTGGCTTTCGCACCGGGTGTATTGCTGCCTGATTTTATATAAGCATCAGACTTGTAATCGGAACAACAACTTTAGCCATACTGAATCTGCCTGCTCTGCCTCGGCCATCTCGTGATCCTCCGTGCTTGTCATGTCCTTGTCTCCGTCGCCGAACGAGAAATTGTCTAGGCATGATGACAGGTCGCCATCATCCAGCTCGCCATCAAGAGGCCGGATGATCTGCACGTAAGTGGCGTACTCGGCCGAGGTGGAGAAAGACACATCGAGTGCCCTACAGACCCTCAGCTTCCACCTGCGCCTCACAGGCCCCAGAGTCGCTTGGGTGTAACGCCGATCGATGTGATGGCAGACCTCTGCGAACTCATCGGCGTCTAGGTTCGGGTAGTTCCTGAAGTCGGCGCCGATCTTGTGCGGCGCAGCCATCGCTGGCTACAAGGCCGTCTGGACTTTGACAGCGCGGGGGTGAATTGCGGCTCCAAAGTCAATCGGCGAGAAGGTGGCCCACATGAGATGAAAGCATATTTGTGGTGGATTGAGTGACACTGGGTTAGTGGGTTTGGTGACGCTTTGTCTGCTTGTCTGACCCCTGGAGGCCGGCCCCGAAGCCGAGCTGCAAGGGCACGCCAAGACTCGAGGCCCTGCGGCTCTCGGGGGCAGGGTGGCCAGCTGTCCAACTAGCTGCCGTGCTCAGGTATGCCCAGGTCTGCCCGCTGCGGTGAAGCGTGCTGGAACTCCAAATGCGGAATTCGAGCCGGCATTCCCGGTGCTGATCTGTTCTCTTTTGCTCCCTTGGGGCCACTGTCAACACTAATAAGGCTAATAGGCTGCATACAAAGTACTGTGGTGGGCAGTCAGCAAGCAATAGGCCTCCTGCTGCCTTTCTCTCCCTTACACGCAGCTGGCGACTTCAGGACTCGACTGTCTTGAGCCCTGACGGGAGAGCTGCCCACTGTGCCAGCCAGCCAGCCAGCCCACCCCTGCATTGGATGCCCCAAAGTTTCAAGTCAAGCTCTTGCCTTGCCTCGCACCCACGTCCATCCGCGTCTCTGCTTTGACTTCATGTCCAAGGATAGTAGCCGGGCCCCCCTGGACTGCTATGTGGACAGATTGAGTCCCCGCGGTACGGATCCCTCCAGATGAACAACAACCTCCGCGACCCCTTCAACCTCCGAAGGAACCTCATCAACAACCGCGTCCCCACTGCCGCAGCTGCCCTGACCCAGCTGAGCCTCCTGCGCGCCACCGCCACCGAGGTTGCCACCCAGGTTACCGAGAAGGTTCAAGAGACCGCGGCTGAGGCCATCGAGCGTGGCAGGCAGGCCGTCGAGGACCTCAACACCAACCTGCGCGAGCGGGAACTGCGCGAACAGCAGGCCGCCGGCAAGAAAGACGAGGACATGTCGTTCGCGGTGCCGAAAAATGTCCCCTCCTTCAACAACCCCCAGCGAGCATTAGAGGACCGAGTGTGGGGATCGACCGGTGTGACCGCGAGGACGGCTGGGAACCGTGGTGGGGCGGTTGGGGGGCTTGTAGGGGACGGCCTCGGAAAAGTAGAGAACCTCTTCAATCCGAACAGAAACTCGCTTCCCCTGTACAAGGACAAGCCCTACGGATACCCTGCCAGCCACCGGAAGAGGCCCTTCTACCGGCGCAAGACCTGCATGGCGATAGCACTGTTCCTGGTGGTCCTGGTGGCCTACTGGTTTGGCATCTTCGGCGACGACCCATACGAGAGGCTGCCATCGCTGAAGACGACAGACTGGCTGAAGGCAGATGAGAAGGCGGCGGCCAGGGGTAGAGTCGACTGGCTGGAGCGAAGACAGAGGGTGGTCGAAGCCTTCGAGCTGAGTTGGGATGATTACAAACGTTATGGCTGGGGTACGTACCGAGCCACCACCCGGCCCAGGGTTGATATTGAACCGAGTGAGCATTGTCCTGACTGACATGGATCAAAACCAGGCTGGGACGAGTACCACCCAATATCGAAAAGCGGGAAATACATGGCCAAGAAGGGCCTGGGCTGGATCATCGTCGATGCGCTCGATACCATGATCCTCATGAACCTGACCAGTCGTGTTACTGATGCGAGGGAGTGGATATCGACGAAGCTTACCTACGACCAGGACCAAGATGTAAACACTTTTGAGACCACCATCCGAATGATGGGTGGCCTGCTATCAGCACACTACCTGTCAACCCAATACCCTGAGCTGGCGGCAATAAAAGACGACGACGAAGGGCAGGCAGGAGAGGACCTGTACCTTGAGAAGGCAAAGGACCTGGCGGACCGCCTGATACCAGCCTTTGATTCCCAATCCGGAGTCCCGTACGCGAGTGTGAACCTGGGCAAGTACGAGGGTCTGCCATCCCACGACGACGGGGGTGCATCATCCACGGCGGAGGCCGCCACCTTGCAGCTGGAATTCAAGTACCTGGCCAAGTTGACAGGGGAAAAGATGTTCTGGGACAAGGCCGAGAAGGTCATGCAGGTTCTCGACGACAATGGCCCCAAGGATGGTCTCGTTCCGATCTATGTATACGCTGACACGGGCAAGTTCCGCGGCAATAACATTCGCCTGGGCAGCCGCGGAGATTCGTACTACGAGTATCTGATCAAGCAGTATCTGCAGACCAACAAGGGGGAGCCCATCTATCTGGACATGTGGGAGCAAGCGATGCGGGGTGTGCGGAAGAACCTGGTCACTTACACCGAGCACTCGCAGTTCACCATCATCGGCGAGAAAGTCAACGGCGTCGACGGTGAGCTCAGCCCGAAGATGGACCACCTCGTATGTTTCATGCCTGGGACCATCGCCCTGGGCGCGACGGACGGCCTGACGGAGGCGGAGGCCAGGAAGCTGCCGACGTGGAACGCCCAGAAGGAGAAGGATATGCAGCTCGCGCGGGAGCTGATGCAGACGTGCTGGGGCACGTACAAGTACATGGCAACTGGTCTGGCGGCGGAGATTACATTCTTCAAGATCCCATCGCCAGCCCCGGCAGAAGGATCCGCGCACAAGGCGCCGGCGGAGTTTGACCCAGACCCCGAGGCGGAGTGGCGCAAGGACTTTGTGGTCAAGAGCCAGGACACGCACAACCTGCAGCGGCCCGAGACGGTTGAGTCGCTCTTTTACATGTGGCGGATCACGGGCGACCAGCGGTACCGCGACTGGGGCTGGGAGATGTTCAAGAGCTTCATGGCGCACACGGCGGTGCCCGAGGGCGGCGGGTTCACGTCGCTGTCCAACGCCAACATGGTGCCGCCCGCGACGCGCGACAACATGGAGAGCTTCTGGCTGGCCGAGACGCTCAAGTACTTCTACCTGCTCTTCTCGCCCAACGACCTGCTCCCGCTCGACAAGATCGTCATCAACACCGAGGCGCACCCGCTGCCTAGGTTCGACATGGGCCAGCTGTTCTCAACGGGCTGGAAGCGGAAGCCTAGGGACGAGGACGGGCACATCTTGGAGACGACGAGTGAGGAGGCCAAGGCCGAGGAGGTCAAGAAGGACTGAGTTGTTGTTTGTCCCACCGTACTAGTTTATAATGCATCACCCTACCAGGACTCGAAAACATTGGGCGGCGTTTATACCAAAAGGAATATCAGCGGCATATGAAGATTGTCGTTTGCTCAGAAAGCTTGGAGAATTTTGAGCGACCAGTTCTTGTCGATATCTATTGTGCGATAGCAATGGAAAGCACATGTATCAGAGTCAAGGTGCAAAGGGATGCCCGCAGATGCTGACCGAGTATTTCCTGCCGCGTGTGATACAAGCCGGTGTGCATGTCTAACAAACGGCGCTCCTGTGTTGGGATGTACGCAAGAAGGCTGGATGAATGTACAGCAAAGACTACGCACGAGTTCCGCTACAGATGCTGTGGCCCTTATAGCAGGAGCAAGCTCATAGTCTTGTTCAGACAGTGGCTGGCAAGATGGCCCGCTAGAGGTGTAGATATTTTGTCAAGGGTGTTACTGGGCACTTCGCCAGCAGGGCTTTATATACTACCCATGATTTCCAACGACACGGTGCCGCCAATCTTGGTCTTCAACATTGCGAAGACATGAGCGCATGTCCACCGGATATCCGTGGAGTGAGCTGCGCGCGTAAGGCTGCGATTGTGCTCTAGTTCGAGTCATCAGGATGCGCGATTGGTGCTGATTTTGATTTGTCCCCTTATTATTGGCTAAAGGGTGTTTGCATATGCTTTGGTGTCGTGCCACTGTTGAACCTTGGGGTGGCAGGGCAAAACTCTTTGCTCAGAGAGAGGGTTGCGGAAGGAAGTATGTACTCCCCCTATCAAACATTTGTGTCGACAGGCCAGGACCAATAGCCACCTGGGCATATACCATGTCCGCATTACACTTGCAAACGACCGAGACACGCAGCAAGGCATCCGCAACATGTGCGACCTCAGCTCGTCTCCAGTCCAAGACAGCAAAGAAGGGCTTGCCCCCATTGGAGTGTTGTGATGCACAGTATCGATGGAGAGGAATATGAGTGGGTACGAATCTGGCTGTGGTGGATACAGTGCCTCAATAAGGTTTGCAGGACGGAGCCCGAGGTTGGAGTTGGTGCTCATCGGATGGTAATCTGATCTGCAATGCAGCAAGAACGGCGGGCTGGCAGGATGGATGGACCCTGCCTCGACCCGACTGTTCCAGCGCCTCGGGCCATGCTAGGCGGCCTGGGGAAGGAGCCACCCACACCACAACCCAAGTCAGCCTACCACATGCTAGCTGGGCGTTGCTCAAGATAAGAGTAGGGCCGCGCTGGGGTTGACCGACCACTTGCGCCTCAGCTTGGCCGGTCAGGGAAGGCCGTGGCAGCGCCATCACGCCTGCATGCCTGCAAGCCTGCACGCCCACCCCCGAGTGAGTGGGCAGGGCAGCTGGGCAGGTGGGCTGTTCCGACAACCTAGCCGTGCCGATCTACTCTCGTCCATTCTACACACTACTCCGTACCACGCTTCTCCTTGTCCATCTTCCTCTTCCCTGTCTCCTCAAATTTTGACCCTTTCTACTGTATTCTCTCGGCGTTTTTGTCTCCTTCTTGCACAGAGCCCAGCCTGCTGCCCCATCTCAGATCTGTGACCCCTCTAGATTAACTCCAACTCAACATCAGCTCTGCCAGACGCGGATCGCGGATCGCGGAGCCGCGGAACCCCGTGCCATAGGATACTTTACGAGCGCGCTTTCCCGACTCGACATCCTATCTGGATTTTTGATTGACGACTGGGAAAAGAACGGCACCCGGCGGTACCAGGTACTCAACCGGGTCATGCTTGCGATCCTTAGAACATTGCGATAATGCTTTCACGGCCGAGGCGCATGCTCCCACCGCGGTGACGTCCCTCTTGCCCTCTGGGCGACCGAGCAGCCTTCTCTATCCGGGGGACATTGAAAACGAGGCGAGGGAGACTGGTTGAAAGTTGGGGTAGGGACGGCAGGACGACGACGAACTCAGCTGGGACTGTCTCGACAGCGAGCCTTACGCGGCACGCAATCCACACTGCCACCATCCGAGGTGTGACAGACCCCGAACCCGACCGACCGCGCCGCCGAGGAAGCAAGCCATGGCCGGGAACGGGAACCAAGCAGAACGCGATATCGAGCTAAACATCCTGAACTTCAAGGAGGACTACAGCCTCGCCAACGGCGAGTCGTACCTGACCCGGGAGCCCACATACGAGATGCCCCGCCGGCTGTCGAGGGCCGGCCCGGACAGGTGGCGCCGATGGGTAGACTCGTTCCGCCGGGATCCTCATAGCAGGATGACCCCCAAGCACGCATTTACCGCCAACACGGCCTGGCCGGGCATCGGACACGGTCCCGCTGTCTCTGGGCCAGACGATGACGACGACGATGACGATGGGCACCACGCCGGCCGCAACTACTATGACGTTCGCGCGGCTAATTACCGCACCGCGCACTCGCTGCTCGCGAGGGAGCTCAAGGGGAGGCACCTGCAGATGATTGCAATTGGTGGTTCCATTGGTGAGTGGCGCCTGCGCATGCCCGTCTTCTGAAATACTTCTGTCCAAGTGCCAGTGGCATACCAGTGCGACCGTTGCGCATTCTCCCCCTGAATTGACTTTGCGGTCGAGTCTCGACTACAACGTCGCGCACGGCCTCGACAGTCAAGATACCCAGGTGCTAGCCTGGTCTCAATCGCGCCACCTACACCATCTATACATGTTCGCGTTCAGCAATCTGTTGCTGTTTTGAATCGCTTGAGCCTAGCTGACAGCTCAATGCAGGAACTGGACTGTTCATATCCTCGGGGTCTGCTCTAAATACTGGCGGGCCTGCATCAGTCCTGCTCGCCTATATGATTGTCGGTTTGATGCTTTACTGCGTTATGCAGGCTCTCGGCGAGCTTGCGGTAGTCTTCCCCATCGCCGGGTCATTTTCTGCCTACTCAACCAGATTCCTCGACCCAGCATGGGGTTTCGCCATGGGATGGAAGTAGGTCAAGGCCCTGTTAGGAAATCAGATGGCGTGGTGCTAATCGTGTCACAACAGCTATGCCCTTCAATGGTTAATAGTGTTGCCATTGGAAATAATAGCGGCATCCATCACGATATCATATTGGAATGCCGGCATTAACAAGGCCGTATTCGTCACAGTCTTCCTTGCCGTCATCGTAGCCATCAACTTGTGTGGCGTCAAAGGCTACGGTGAAGCCGAGTTCGTCTTCGCCATTATCAAAGTGTCGGCCGTAATAGGCTTCATGTGAGTACACTTGGCTTAGCACCCTTGATCTTCAGTCTTTCGACTTGTGCTGATGATAAAAAGATTGCTTGGGATTGTCATCAACATTGGGGGCACACAGGACAGTGGTTACATAGGTGGTACCTACTGGCAGCATCCTGGCTCCTTCAACAACGGCTTCAAAGGTCTCTGCAGCGTCTTCGTGACCGCGGCCTTTGCCTTCGCCGGCACTGAAATGGTCGGCCTCGCAGCAGCCGAGACGGCCAACCCGCGCAAGTCCCTGCCCACGGCCATCAAGCAGGTATTTTGGCGCATCAGCCTCTTCTATATTCTGGCCCTCACACTCGTCGGGTTGCTGGTCCCCTACGACGACGAAAGACTCCTGGGCGCCAAATCGGTGGCCGATACGAGTGCTAGTCCCTTTGTGATCGCCATCCAGGACGCGGGAATCCAGGTTCTCCCTAGCATTATGAACGTTGTCATCCTCGTCGCCGTGATGAGCGTCGGCAACTCCTCGGTCTTTGGGTCGAGCCGCACGTTGGCCGCGCTCGCCGACCAGGGCCAGGCGCCGGCGTGGCTGTCGTACATCGACCGGCGCGGGCGGCCACTGATGGCCATCTTGTGCGCGTCCCTGTTCGGCTTCCTCGCATACCTGGCGGACATCCCGGAGCAGGGCGAGGTGCTGGACTGGCTGCTCGCCATCTCGGCGCTGTCGTCCATCTTCACGTGGGCGTCCATCTGCCTGGCGCACATCCGCTTCCGCATGGCATGGAGCGCCCACGGCCGCTCGCTCGACGAGCTCGCCTTCCGCGCCCAGGCGGGCATCGGCGGCTCCTGGCTAGGTCTCATCCTCAACATCCTCATCCTCGCCGCACAGTTCTGGACCGGCGCCTGGCCCGTTAACTACGGCGAGTACAGCGTCAAGGCCAACGTGCAGACATTCTTCCTCAACTACACCGCCGCCCCCGTCGTCATAATAATGTACGTCGGCTACAAGCTATGGTTCCGCACGCGCATCGTGCGCAACAGCGAGATGGACATCGACACCGGCCGGCGCGACTTCAACCTCTCGGTACTCCTGGCGCAGGAGATGGAGGAGAAGCGGAGCTGGCCCAAGTGGAAGAAATGGTATAAATTCTTCTGCTGACCTGGGAGGCAGCGGTCCCCGGAGGCTTAGTCTATACAAGATAATTTACTCGTGATACCACTACTACTGTGTAAACAGTTTCCTGTTAGCCTTCGAGCGCACACTGGCGCTCTAGATTCCACCTATCGCATGGGCATGTTTTGCTGGGCTGTGGCTGTGGCTGTGGCTGTGGCTGTGGCTGTGGCTGACTTATTCTGATATCCCGGTGGATCGGCACCCACGGACGGGCACAGGATCATGGGAATACTATCGCAAACATGGGGCGTTCATAAGGACAGGGCTTAGATCAGAGGACCATCATCCGAATCGGGAAACAGTGCACGGTCAGGGGTGATTGCGGATCTGATCAACTCATGGGATGGGTGCATTTATGATGTCTGCGCTCAGCAGCCGCGGGGGCCTATGTTTAGATATTGAATACCCAGCGTGTTTCAAACGTTTCATCCGGCGGCCATATAGCGCTTCTTCTCACGCAGCACTCAGCCCCGTCTGTCATATTCTGCTTGCTGGCTTCCGGACTTGGGCGAGCATGGCTGTGTGAAAAATTAGAGAGGTTAAGACCGGCCTCTGTTTTAACGTGAGGTGATTTGGTGCAGAGCGGCTGGACTTGTTTCGAGTGGATTTACTTGTGCGACCCTGGCTTCGAGCACTAGTTACGCCCCCGAGGGTGTTGGCGTATCTATTTTCCTTTGTACGTCACTGGGATTGCTATGGCCGTTGTATGCCATGAGACAGGTAAGGAGGCACATTCCACAAAGATCACTTGAAAAGCCGCGTGTATGCGCACCGCTATGTCGGGATGCTACAGACTCTGATAAACCATATACTATGGACAGAAGCCTCCAGAATCCTTGCTGGACCAATTCCTTTTTAAAGCTTCGTATACCAAAAGTTCTGGCTCCAGATGGGATTTTTGCTCCGAAGGACTGGTATCTATCCGTTTCCATTCCAATGTACTGCACCTTCGTTTCTGTAGCTCCGAACACACGCAACAGCCTGCTCCGATCGCCGTGTGGGTACGGAAAGACCAGTCAGTGCGGTTGCGGTGGAAAGAACGACAATTATTTTTGGGATTTCCTGGCAAGGCTGAGTGCATAGACATATACTCGTCAAAGGCCGTTTCCAACATATCATCTCCCTCTCCAGCCCGGGTATCATTCACATTGTCTTGGCGGTCATATCGACCCGTCAAGGGTTCCTCTTGCTGCCGCGTGGGCTGTGGTCAGCTTGCGGGTACGGCCTCTAGTGATCCCAGAAGCTGTTCGCCGCCTTCTGAGCGGCGCCCTTTCTGCCCGGGACCGCGGCGGGCTTCTCCTCCTCGTCGGAGTCGTCTCCAAGCGACCATCCCCTGCCTCCCTTGCGATTGCCCATGCCGTCTCCTCCGAGCCTGATACGGTGGTCGGCACTATTCTCCTTCAGAACTGGCTTGTTTGGTGCGGTGGCCTGGGTCGGGGACTCGTCCTTCATTTCGAAGTGGGGGGCAAAAGTCTTGGAACGGTCCTTGAGGTTGGTGATGTTGCCCAGCGCGCGCGGGTCTGGGGATTGAACGGGCTCCGAGTCATCGTCGGTGGTCAGATGGTTGTTGTACAGGCCCAGTCCGCTGTTGTGCATCGTACCGCGGGGGCGAGGCGCGGGACGAGGCTTTGTTGGCGGGAACCCATCGTCCTCCATCTCAAAGTGCTTCTCTGCGTCGCGTCGCGGCTTGCCAGCAGCCTTGGCCGGTGACTCCTCAATGTTGTCCTTGTCAGTGCCGGTGCCCCAATGCCTGATTTCCTGGGTGCGAAGCGTCTTCTTGACAGGCTTGAACTTCTGGGGCGTAACAAAGTCTTCAAAATCCCACTGGCTTCGGTGCTTGCCCTTGATAGAGTCGATGGGAACGCCAGCCTTGGGCGCATCCTGAGGGTCAGACCCATCAGCAAAGTCAAAATGGTTGTACTTCTTGGGGTGCGGCCTCATAAAACGCTCTGGAGACTTTCCATCCTCGGGGCTGTCCGGCTCGGGAGGGGCGTCCTCGGGCTTGTCGAACAGGCGCGATGGCTGGAAGTTCTTGCCGGCGCCAATCTTGGGTGCGACAACCTTGCTTGGGGACCTCTCGCGCTCGGGCGATTCGTAGGGGTTGGGCTCGTCCCCGAGGATCTCCTCAAAGGTACGCTGGCGCGGTCGTGTGCCACCATAAGGCGACACGACGGCGGGAAGAGGCTCGTCCTTGGGACGGGCGTCGCGCAAGGTACCCGAGGAGTTGGTCCGAGCGCGGGTCGCAGCATCCGATGTAGCGAGGTCGGCCGGCTTCCCAGATGTTTTTGCGATCAGCTTGATCTGTTCCTGGGCGTCGCGGATGGGCCAGTTGCGACCAGTCTTGCCGATGACGTCCAGCTGCTTGAGGAGAGCTCCCTGATCCCAGCTCTGCTGGATAGTGGTGATCAAGCCATCGCTATCGAACTTGACGAAGTGGGACTAGAGGGGAGCCAAGGAGGACAGGGTCAGTCGACGGGAGCTGGGTTGGGGAGGGACCAGTGGTGATTCAAATATCACGGGTGGAGGAGCTTACGACAGGCAGGTAGACAGTGCGGTCGGAGAGGAACTGGTCATCCAGACCAGGCAGGTAAGGACCACCTTCGTCCTGGAACTCGAGGGTCAGCTCGGCCTGGACGGCCAGGGCGTTCTGGCCCTCGACGACGTTGATGAGGTCCTCCTTGTTCTTCTTGATCTGGTTGCGGGTGGAGTTGAGGTGCTTGATGATGTCTGTGGGGCCGTAGAAGCTGGTGAGGGTGGTAACGTAGTGCAGGGACGCGTTCTGGGCCAGCGCCGAAGAGTTTGGCGCGGCTAGAAATTGCCTGTACACGGCTTGCAACGCCATGTCGATCTGGGGACGGGCTTGAGCTTGGGGCGGGGGTTGGGCGAGGCGAGGCGAGGCAGGATGACGCGGTTTCGTCGACACGACGAGCCCGAGGTTGCGGCGCGGTTCGGGCAAAGTGGTTGCAGTATCAGATCTGGTGACGTGACAGTGCTCGCATGCGCGGTCGCATTTGCGTTGGCGGTGTCGCAAATACAGATCTTTTCGGGGGGGGGGGGGAGTTGGGATGGGAGGAAGGGGAGAGAGAGGACAGACACTTTGACACTGTTACAGCGACAAACACTAGACACAAACACAAACAACCGTGACCGAACGGGCAGGACAGGACGGGATCAATGCGATCTGTGGTGCCCCCAAGTTTTGAGCAGGGGTCGTTGCGGGCGGGAATGGCTGCTCGCACCAGACCTTCCTGGGAAGGCAGGCAGAGACATCAGGGGGCCCGCAGAATGCAATGGTTGCCGTGCCAGACTGGCCTGCAGGCGGGCAGGTGTTTACTATCTATCTCTTGCCGGTTGGGGAAACCCACCAGTAGCAGTCAGCCACCAGCGGGCAACAGCAAGCAACCTGGAACGCCCGTTGGTGATATCGGCATTCCACTATAACTCTATGAGACTCGATACGACATTATTGGTGTGGACCGAAATATATCAGCAACGGATTACACAGTATTCAACCAACGGTCATCGTCTGTTCAACAAGAGACAGACGGCCTCACGTAAATGAACAGCCCACCCCACTTTTCCAGGAACAGCAAGGGCGGGCTGCCATCTGGTGGTGCATGGCATGAGGATCACAATCTCAGCAAGCAGCCACGCAAAAGCTTGTCGGTCTTGACAGTCTGGCTGCGTCATTGCCCAGGTGGTGTCTTGCGAGGGCAGGAGATCTTGCGAGGGCAGGAGGGCAGGAGGGGTTAGCGACGAGAATAAGGAAGCACTCTAGTTCCAACCAGCACGGTCCCACCCTCGCCGTCTCCAAACCGCCAAGCAGGCCGCGTTGTCCGATGTTTCTGAATGGCCTCGCACTGATGACAAGTTGATGGCTGGAAAATAGTTGTGCCTCGAAACAATGCGGTGGTGCGCCGGTGAGCCCACCTCCGCCGTCTGTCTGGCTCCAAGCTGGGTTGGCTGGGCTGGCTGGCAGTAAACTGTTGATTGCACTTGTTTTCAGTCCAGTCCTGCCCCACGAACCATATTTAGCCTTGTTTCAGGTGCCCACTGCGAAAAGGTACAGTCCCGCCGTCTGGCTTCCCAATCCGGAAACCACTCCTCAGCCTGCTCCCCCTACCAAATTTCCGTTGGTCACGATTGCACGCAACGCTCCCTCCGCACCCTAGGGTACTCCGTACCTATACCAGGTTGACAGCAGGCGTAGCAGGCGGCCAGCCTGCCCGCCAGCCCGCCCACCAGCCCGCCCACACCTTGCATGCGCGCTACTGCGGTTGGCGGGAAGTAATTCAGCCTCACCGGGAAAACTGACGACGGTAGGCCTGGGGAAGCAATCAAAAAAACGAGATCAGTTAGATTTCCTCCGAACCTTGTGCCAGAGTTTTCCTTATGCCCCGCCAGATCTGGCGGTAGTCTGTGCAGTGCTGCAGCGTGCACAAACACAACATCCACTGCAGGTTCATTCATGTCCATCACGAGACGAATCGAAACGGTGTTTACTCACGTGCAGGCAGAAAGGTAGGTAGGTTTCTTGCACACGCACACACCTACGCACGCATTGTACGCGTTCCCACTGGCGGGCCCCAGATCGTTTGGTTTCTCTCCTCTCCCCTCCCCCCCTGCTGGAGATCAGATCGCCGTGGTCCCCTCTTCTTTTTTGCTCGACCTCTCCTATTTTGAGCCCAAAGGGGCAGCTACGGGCAGGACGGGACAGGGACAGGCACGCCTCGAGCGACTCGGGCGAGCATCAGCACTCGACCAGACGGGCGGAAATGACACTTCATGCGCCGTCGCAGCACAAGAAACAAAACACTCGTCCGGTTGGCCCAGCCTGGGCGATCGTTTAACCCACGACGGCTCCTGCTAGGGCGTCTGGTTTCAGGTCGCTACACACGCGCAGGCGCTGCACAGCCAGCCAGCCGCCAGCCCGACTGTTGCTATGTACGGAACATGCCTGACATGGCAAGCCTTTGCCCTATGGGGTACTGCCCGTGACTGACTCCCTCGCATGCCTCGCCGTCCACCGCGCGTCCACCGCAGTCTCCGCACTCGCCGACGCCCCGTCACCGCTCCATATTACCTGCTCATCCCATCCAGCCATCCTGGCCCTTCTTGCCCATCCCGAGGCTCCTGCTGGGGCCCAGGGCCAAGGGCCTTGTTCCCTGCTGGGCCCATCATCCCATCCACAGTCAACCCCGATTGGGAATGCTGTGCTGCCTCGCTGCCTCGTCGCCCTCTCTCTCGCTTCGCTTCCCTCCCCCAATCCTGGCCCCCATCCAAGAGCCTGGTCCAAACAGCCTTGTGGGTCCTGCCACAGACAGATGAACTGTTGGATGACAGCTTTTATGCCGTAGCGGCTGTTGAAGATCTGCCCAGATGGATAAATACCATCGCCCATCTTACGTTGTCACATGAGGCTCTGAGCTTACAGAGCCGCATCCTCTCATATATCAGCCCACGCTCAAACACACAAGACCCCCAGCTGTGTTTCTCGTGTCTTAGCATCTGAGCACAACAGTCGATCTGTTTGCTTGTCATTCCTTTCTATATCCTGCCTCCGCCGCACTATCCTTTAACCCTGCTTGAAATCTGTTCTGTTCTTCCTCAAGGCACATCCAGAGCCAGAGAATAATCTAAACACATCTATCGATTTTATTTCCAACAGCAGAATCCAAAAGAAAACGACGAGGAAAAAACAACGAAAAAATGCATATCCAGATCGCCTACCAGCCCCAGCCCGATGAGTGTCGCTCCAGGCAGGCACCTACCGTCTCGAGGAAGACGCCGGCACGTTCTACCATAGACGCAGCACACCGTCAACAACTCCTCCAACAACTCCAACGCCAACATCAACAAGCAAAGCAGCAAAAGCAAGAGGAGGAGGAGGAGGAGAAGAGGCAACGGCAACAGCAACAGCAACAACAACAAACAAGCTCTGCCATCAAGCCTCTCAAGCCCCAGTTCCACTCGCGCAAGTGCCACCACACATACAACGCAACACGCCACCTCCCACAGGCAGTCTGGATCCGCTCGGCACGCCTCAGCAAGGACGAAAACGACAAGCCAACCGTCGTCTACGAGGTCGTCCTCTGCCACGAGCACAACCGGGCCTGCATCGTCAACCGCACCTGGGAGGACTTCGAGAAGCTCAAGTCCGGCCTGGGAAGCTGGCGCAACGCCCCCGCCTACTCCTCGCCGCGTGACGTCGACGGCCTGCAGCAGTTCCTGTGCGAGGCCATCAGCAAGAAGGGCCGTGAGATCGCCATGGAGTTCTTTCTCCGCCGGAGGATGGATGATTGTGGGGGTTCCTAAAGGGATCGACAAAGCATTTGGGCTCCGACGTGGCCTGTCTTTACACCAGTTCCGTTTCATCTTTAGCTCGCAAGGGCCGGAACCACTACACTTTTATTGGATACCCCTACATTCCATTCCATCTTCCTTTCTTTTTCATCTCCTTTCCCAGTCTTTGATAACTGCGGAAGCGAATGAATCTCTGAGGGCCATTTGGCGGTTTCTCCCCACCCTTTTTTTTTTTTTACTCCTTGTCGGCAAGAGCGCCGGCAAGGGGATGATGCATGTATCACGAATAGCAAGGCGCACACTTGAGGGCGGCGATGTACATAAAGCGCTTGGAATTACATTGCTTGGTTGTCTCGGCAGATGCTGGCACGATTTATTGGGGGCTGGCGGACTGTACATAACATTAATCCGATCTCATGCTCCATAACCGATCTTGATCATGCAGGAAACGTGCTTGCCCTGCTTGGATGAAATATCCCTGTCTCAACGTGTTTTGTCTCTGCCAAATCAATCGTAGACGATCTTGGAAACCTAAAAAATGCTAAAAATGCTCCCGCTAGGGGAGCCCCCCAGGCGGGTGATGCAGATCGGGGCTGCTTGTATCTTGGCTTTTGGGGTAAACCGTTAACGACAAATTGGTATTGAAACTTGTGTCACCTCACGTCAAGAAAATGTATTTATGCTGCTAGCCAAATGCAGAAACATCATCAGGGACAGGTCGTCTACCGCCTGGCTGTCTGGGGGAATATGTGTCAAACCAAATACGCAGCAGAATGTAAATAGAATCGTAAAAAAAGAAGAAAAAGACCTTGTCTGTCAAACGGCCAGCCCCCATGTCCAAACTCCATATGTCCTTCTGTAATAACTTCGTCGCCACGAGCAGGCCAATTGGGCACTGGCCATCGAGCAAGCAATAAATCCGTCACCTGGCAGTGCGGAGGGAGGGGAGGAGGGAGAGAGGGGGCGCGCTCGCTCAGTGTCCAAACTCCAGGTGCGGCACGATGACGGGGCCGTACTTGGTCGGCATGGTGAACTGCCCGTCGCCCTGCACGACAAAGTCGACAGCAAGACTGAGCTTGCTGAGGCCCGCCGACGACCCGCCCGCGCTGCCGCCGCTGCCGCTGCCGGCGATGCTGTGCGCGTAGTTGCTGGCCGCCCCGCCGGGCACCCCGCCGGCCCCGCCGTTGAGCGTGTCCGGGTCGTACACCACGCAGGCGGCGTAGTTTCGGCGGCCGATGAGCTTCTTCAGCTCGCGGGCCGCGCCCGACGCGTCCGTGTGGAAGATCTCCATCATGTCCTCCTTGGTGTCGGACACCTCGTGCGTCGACTTGTGCCCGTTGGCCGGCACGTAGAGCAGCTTGTTGTTGTGCAGCATCTTGAGGATGTAGCTGCTCGACGGCGACGCCACGATGGGCGACGTGATGATCTGGTACATGGTCTTGTGGTCTGACGGGTGCGACGGGTCGTGCACCAGGCCTGCCCCGGCCGAGTTGACGTCTGGGGAATGGGTGTGAGCACAACAAAATGAGAGCCTGGAGTGGTTGGGCGAGGATCGCAAGAGCAGATTTGAACTTACCTCCGGAGAAGAATGTCATCCGAATGCCCTTCTGCTGGGAGATGCCTTGTAGTGTCCTTATGAAGTATGTTCTCTCGAGGTCCTTGGATTCATGTGTCCACAGGTCCCGGAGCTCATCGGCGAGCTCAAAGTCACCAAATTGGTTCAAAACATTACCCATCAGTCCAGTCTTGCCGACCGCCTTCTTCACCTGTGTAAATCCCTGGGAAACTACCTCTTTGCCACCAATAATGCCCGCAACAGACGAGGTTGCTTTGCCGAGAAGGTTGTATGTGGAGTTGACAGCCTTCTTACCCGTGGCGAACGTGTTTGCCAGCGTCTCAACCGTGTCAAGTCGTGGGTAAACGACCGGGACAGAGAGCATCCAAATACAATGCTGTACAGAGGGGGGTAGCATGGCGACCTTGGGGAATATCCCCTGGTACGTTGGCCCAGCCATGACGCGATTCTGGTTCCTCTCCGACCGCAGATCCGGTCCTACTACGACGACGGATGGGCCGAGATACTTGACAAAATGCCAGCCCGTACCCGTGATAGTGAAGAGATCTAGATCGTGGTTGACGTTGCGGAGAATCTCGATGGTAGTGTGGTGCTGGAAGAGCAAGTACATCTCAATAGCTATCCGTCCGATGTTCTTGAAAATGGCTGACTGTTGCATATATGCAGGATACGAACCGAAGCCATCGAAACTGCATCATGTTAGAGAGCGTCTGCCTTCGGGCTGTGGGAGTTTTACTTACATGTCGTGATCATCAATCTGCAGGATGTGAGGAATTTGCGCAAACGCCTCGCGAAGGAAAGGCTGGTCGAAGTGGCTTGTATAGTAGTGGAAATACGCATGGGAAACGTCTTCCTCATGCCGCGCCGTCCACTGCGCATTCTTGCGGTTTTCCCTGCCTTGCATGGAGAGCCACTGCTTCAGCAGAGGGACCTCCTTCCACAGCCGATCTCCGTAGATCTGATCTCCAAGTCCGAGCTGGACATGGAAGCCGCCACATTCGACGTTTTTCTGCAGTACGTCTTTCCACATGAGACCCGCTCCACCTAGTTTTGCCCGCTCATTTTGTGACGTGCTCACAGCGAAATCATTGCCCGAGTGCGCGATGAACCGCCAGCCATTCTCGTGTCGGCCAGCAACGATGAACTCATATCTTGTACATCCCAGGTGTGATGTGATCGCATAAGTCCATCGCTCAGAGCCGCTCTCACCCATTGGTATGTCGATTTCGTACTTATAGAACGTCCAACGTTGGTGGGTATATATTGACTGAGGTATTAGTTGCCGTGGATTCGGAGACAGATCCACACTCAAATGCAAATGGATTGTGGGAGGTTGCGGAGCATCTGTGACGAGCATAATGCTGCCAAGCCATTGCCCTTTTTCGACGTCCATGTTGGTATATCGAAGATATGGCCCAAAGTAAACACCGTTGGTGGGCGCAATCTTGTACATGTCGACACCTGCGCTGGGCGGGGGACCTGAGAAGCCTGCTGCTGACGGTGTAGCTGTTGCGACACTCATGATGCTCTCCGCATACCCTGGGGTGGATGGTGGGTAAAGCCCAGGGGAGGCCAGGGACTGCTTGCCACCTAAGAAAGGAGATGCCAGCGGGTTACCGTATGTTGAACCCACAGGGGAGAGAGGCGCCACGTCTTGTGACATTGGGGTTGGGCCTTTGGGGAACTCCCATTGTGTCGCCTGCGTTGCAAGATGGATGTAGTAGTACTGGCCCGAGTTTTGATCCAAATGTGCGATCCACCCCTCTGGTAGCGGAGGGGGAGACTGGGCCTGGGTGAGCACGGAAGGCGTGTGCTGTAAGGCTGGATGGCCATTCTGCCCGCTTGCCGGTCTTGGGTCATTGGCGAAAGCAGGGTGATTCGCATTGTGTGGCGCTGTCACGGGAGAAGCCAGACCGGCGGCGGCGACAGACGAGGTGGAAATCTGCGGCCTCTTGGGGTCATTTGAGCCAGCAGAAGCACTCTGCGCGGTAGGGGCAGCGGAAGCTGCTGATTGCTGGGGAGCTGCCGTGGCAGAGCTCGCACTGCTTTGTCTCCCTGCCGTAGGTCGCTGCTTCTCTGCTGGGTAGCCCGATCCACCATGACTCACACTGGTGTACGCAGGGGGCGGTGTTGAGGCTTGCATGCGTTGAAAGTCCTGCTCCAACACGCTCACTTGGAGGGCCGGTCCATCGCCGCCTGAGGCACTCGGGCGAGCTTGAGCAGGATGGGCAGCTTGCGGCGGACTGCCCACCGGCGCAGATCCTTGGTATACGGTGGGAGCATCGTGGGTGTTTTGGTGGTCGGTAGGAGTCCAGGGACGCGTGGGCTGGGGCTGCTGGGGCTGCTGGCCCCCATATTGAGCCAGGCGCTGCGAGGCAGCAGCACTCTGCGCCTGCTGCGCTTGCAGGGCGTTCAGAGTCGCTGTGCCAGATATACCAGCAGCTGCATACCGAGCTTCGATACCACCGCCTGGTATGTTCCCTGGCTCGACGATTGGAGTCTCAGGTGGGGGAGGCGAGCCCCTGCTGGCCTTGGTTGTAGAGTTTGAGGCGGTGGACGGGAATCGGTTCATCCCATCAGATGTTATGCCCAGGTGGTTGGAGTCCTGGCGCTGGGCATATGCATTCGCATTTGCGGTATGAGAGCTCGAACCCGAGCCGGAGGAGGTGGTGCTCTCGGGAGGTGGGTAGTACGGCTTGTTCTGCCACGTTGAAGATATCTTCTGCTGGCTCTTTATAGGTTTTGCGAAGAGCTCATCCTTATCGCCACCTGGACTTGTAGGGCTCGTTATGGGCTTGGGGGCAGTGCCTCTCCTCTCAGCGAGCCCGGGACGGCCGTCGCTGACAGGGCTGAGGTTGAGCCGAGGCGATATATCGTTGTAGCTCCCAGGTGCGGGGCTTGGGGTACCTCCTGAGCCGTACACCCGGCCTGACGCAGCTGAGGACTTGCGACTGTCTGCGGTGTACGTCGGACGACTAGGCTGGGAGGTGAATCGGTCGTCGTCCTCTTCGGGATAGGGCAAGGGCGCAGCAGAGCTGGATGCGCCGGGTGGCAAGGGGAACATTGGCTTCGAGGAGGACGATGAGCCCGCAGAAGAGGTCGGAACAGGGTAGGGGTACTTGAAGCGGTCGGTCTGCTTGTCTGCGGCCGGCTTGGGGCTCTGAGGTTTGAAGATTCTCAGGGGTTCGATGGTAGGGCTATCGCCGTCGTCCCGTGCAGGGCGGCTCATAAAGAGCTCCTCCTCCGGGATGCCACGACCGCGGTCAGACATGTTGGGCTGTGGGCTGAGGGTGGATTCCACTTGGCAGCAGAGTCAGGAGCTTGCGCAAGCACACAGCTATGGAGCGCGTCACCAGGGTATGGCGCGCCGTAAAGAGGGATTTGTCGCGCCCGTGTCGGAAGCCTGCCTGGGTGAGTTCTGCGTATCTCTATACGCCGTCGTCACTGGTCGACGATAGGGCTGGTTGGTGGGGGCGTAGTGGGCTACTGAGGCCGCATAACAGGCCGACCCTCGGAGAAAAACTGGGCTTCTGGTCAGTCTGTGAGAGACGGGCACTCGAGTCGTTGAGTGAGGAGAGAACAAAGTTTCAGACACGCAAGGAGATGTTCAATAAGCAGGCAGGCGTGGGAGGCAAAATGTCAGAGGTGAAACGCCATGATCAAGTACCGGAAGTCGTACAGAACCAGTCAGACTATCGAGGCCAGTGCCCGCGCATGCAGGCGAGTCCAGGAACAGGGAAAGGTGAGGTACTGTAAATATGGGGCTATGCTAGGCGGCGGGAGGAAGCAGCAGCAATGCAGGACCGGCAGGGACAGGCACGACGAGAGCTGCTTGGATGCTGGCTTGCGGCGGCGGCGGCATCTGGCTCACCTTGACAGGCTCGTTCAGCGAGGGCGAGGGTCGTGGACTCGCGGAGACCAGCCGGGTGGAGTGGAGTGGAGGGGCCACTGCCCCATGCCCTCCTCTCCCCATCCCCTCTTTGGGTCTCTGGGAGCTGCCTCGATTGGGCCCCGCCAAGGAACATCGCTGGCCTGCTTGGTGATTGGTGCCGTAGGCCGGGCGCTTAGAAGAGATGGTGTAGCAAATAACAGCCGGCGGAGCACCTCAGGTGTCATTTCTTGCAAGCGCCCACACAACCTTGTCGTCTCTGAGCCTCCTGAGCCGCAGTGCCGAGAGACTATGCCGCTGGGTCGCCCAGTGTCTGCCCCAGTGCCTATCTCGTCGAAATAACCCATCCCATCGAGTTCTGGATTATACATGCGAGTTTTGCTCACGGGTGTGCTTCGCCGGAAGCTGGCTGGGATATGCTGAGGGGCACGAATCAATATTTAGCCGCCCGCCTCCCTTGGTGTGTATCCCTGTTGGGGCCCAATGCCTGGCATTGATTGCTCCACCTCACCTTTAAATCTGGCCGCAAGAGAGCCAGACGGGAGGAGCTTGGGCCACGCTCAACTGAAGAATCTCGGCTTCCCGAGAGCTTTACCCCTGTGCACGTCGTCAGGCCTTTTTCTGGACGTTCGCCGTAGCGGGTGATTGGCAGTAGCCTCCCAGCTGCCAGCTGCCAGCCCCACGCTCGATGGCTCATGGCATAATGCACAGTCGGATTTGCCCAAAGACGGGCTGGGCTGTTCGTGGAGTCCCCCTTGTCCATGACATTGGGCCAGATTACGTAGGGCCACTCGCGCATACAGTCGCAAGCAAAGTGGCTCAGGACGGCGGCCGGGGCCTGCATGCTCGGCCCACCATGCAATGCAGCCGCTTTCCATCACCGGGTGCTTTGCAGCCCGCGTGGCTTGGGCCGGGACAGCAGGCGGCCCGATTCCAGGTGCGGGCAGAAGTCGGCTGAGTTTGGAACGGTCTCAAAGTGTTGCAGCTCGCACACTTCAACAGCTTCCACCACGAAGGGCCGGCAAGTTTGTTGAGACGGGTAGTTGTCAAGCTTGTGCTGTTGTGATTCCCACATCCGATGAAACTCAAGCAGGGAAACAGTCTCGTTCGAGGGACGTGGAAGAACCCAACATTGAGTCTGGCAGGCCCGTCGTTGGCCATTGGCGAACCGCCTCGGGCACAGTATCTTCAACCAGGAATGGCTTTGCCCGTGCGAAAGCGTGCCTGTCTTTTGCGCAGACAGGGGCTTCTGTTCGACTTATGTTCGCTGACGTGTATGTCGGCTTCTAGGATCCGGGCTGATGGAGTGTAAGAGTGGTCTCCCACACTCCCCAGGTTCGTTACCCCAGGGTGGACTTGACTTTTAGTCGAGCCACAGTTGTACGAGCAGCATCCTCGTGAGCATCGACCGACGTCTCAACCAGTCGGAGGAGAGGCAGGCCTTGGCGGTGGCACCCAAGACTGAGCCACCTGGGCAGCAAGGACCTTAACAGGCCGAGTGTTGGTCGCCCGACCACGCCAGCTGGTAAAAGCTAGAATGTGCAGGCCATTTGTGTGTATGTAATTGTGATGCTCTCCATTGTTAGTGCATGGCCTGACTATTGTACTTGCAAGTATCCAAATTTCGTGTGGGCTGCGGAACGGTCCGGTTGATCATCAAATGGGACGGCAGGGTAAGAATGGGTCTCCACAGCTAGGATCCTCTGGGTGACCACAGCGCGGCAGAACAATCCAAACACATGCCTTCCGTGTATTGGATGCATAGGTGTTGAATGCGTAGGTGTTGATCCCACAGGGTCAGAGACGCGGAGTGGCCTGCTCAAGTGCCGCAGGATTGTTGGCGTCGGATCTGCTGGTCTGGTACACCCGCAGGATACCTGTGGGGGTCTGTCTCTGCGAGCGACGACCCCGCGGCCGCGGTGACACGGCGGCGCTGAGTTCTGCATATATACGGTACACAGACACAGACGCGGTCAGTTCTTAAAGAGAAAGAAGTTTGAGGAGGCATGAGAGCGATATACACTCGCACAACCCTCAAGCTTGCGTCAAGTGCACAATGGGGTGACAGGAAGCCTCGAAGGCCAGATAAATCTTGCTTGCTGTTGCAAATCTTTCTCGGCCGCGGAGGTCGCCGCCGTGCCGGCCGAATCCTTGCGTTGAAGCGAAGAGGCCGCTGATCGGGATGGGCGAGAGCGGCCACTAGACCTAGTCAAAAACTTCAAATGCCCCGCGGACGAAGGAATCGCAATCTAGCAAACGTTGCATCTGCATCGAGCAGAATTTTTCTTTCTCCTGTCGTGGGGGCGGGGTCGCTGATATCCAGGCACTGCATGTTCAGTTGGTTCCGTCGTCGGATGAGGAGCTTCTCTGCACTGCTGGGCGTGGCAAGTACACAGCAGCAGGTGACAGGTGAGATTCTTGACTGGGGCCTGCGTCGGGGGGCCACGGCCATTGAGCATCGTCCAAGACCAATTTACATGCCCTGGGCAAATCCCACAGCTCATAGCTCATTGAAAACAAAATAGGCATGCTTTCTTCAAAGTCTCGATCTGTTATCATCAAGCAGGATCTCATTGTCTTGGTTCAGCGTCGGACCTTTTATTAGGGAGTACAGATTTGGAGAAGGAGGCGGACGTCTGTGTCGTTCATGCTGGCTACCCCGAATTGAGCAGTCATGGGGCCCCATTGTCCAATCATGAGGGGTAGAACTTGGCTCAGAACCCCACCCATTACGTGACTTGTGCATAGGAAAACGGACATTGTCATGGAGAACCGATCACCTGCACCATTTTCTCGACAGCCGTAAATGACCCGAGGAAATCCACCTACTACAGTACGCGTGTATATCTTTCTTTCTCCTCCTCCCTATTTCTAATTCCTTGGACCAGTCGGTTCTCTGCTTTGCTACATCCTCATACCCCCCTCCCCCCCTCCTCCACGCAGCTTCAGGGCAGGCTGCATCCAAAATGTCCCTGAATCGAGTATCCTCACTCGAGTCCTTCTCGCATCTATCAGTCGAAGGCCATCGCAGATCCCCTTCGCCCAGCAGCCGCGATAGACGCCTCAGTTTTAATCCCCTGCCCGAGTCCTGGGACCCCCCGGCGAGCAAGCCTGGGTACCTCGAGTCCGTGGGTGCATTTGAAGTCCCGAAATGGAAGAGAGTCTGTAAGTCATAATGCACCCCTTCACCCTTCCCCAATTCCACGCAGGGACCACCACCACTAACGTCGCATGTCTCACGCACACAGTGCAGGTGTTTGCGGCTGTCATTTACTGCCTCTTTGCAGCAGGTATCGTTTTTGGATATGCAGCCCTCAAGCCGGTCCTCAAACAAGAGGGGGCCTACCAGGATGTGTGCGGTGCCGGCGACTCGAGTGCCAGCCCCGATGACATCGACACATGTGTCGAGATCCGACTGAACCTCATGTTCACCGTTGCCGCCGTCTCCACCAATGTTGCTGCTCTTCCAGTAGGCACGATCCTCGACCATTTCGGCCCCCGTGTGTGCGGCCTCTCTGGGGCCTGCTTCCTAACCGTTGGGTCCCTTTTGATGGCATTCGAGGCTAGCCTGCCTTTTGATGGCCTCCTTGTCGGTTATCTGTTCCTCGCTCTCGGCGGGCCCTTCACGTATATATCGTCCTTCCAGCTTTCAAACGCCTTCCCGAAGCATTCTGGGCTTATACTTGCCCTCTTAACCGGTGCCTTTGATGCTTCCAGCGCACTGTTCTTGATCTACCGCATCATATTTGAGAAAACAGGTGGTTCTTTTGGCCACCACAAGTTCTTCCTCGCATACCTTGTCGTGCCAGCCATCATTGCTGTGCTGCAGCTCCTTCTGCTACCAAGACACTCATACAAGACAATTGGTGAGATGATCGAGCAGGTCGATCAACCAATGCCCGAGGTGGTGGAAGACCAGGTGGATGAGCACACTGCACTCCTGCAACAGGAAAGAATAGAGCACAGAGATGCCATGGCGGCGGACTTTGAAGACCTGATCGGGTCCAAGAGGGTTGACGAGCAACAGCAAAGGGAGGAGAAGAAGAACGACATCTCCGGCGTATGGGGCGTAATGCACGCTTACACCGCCTGGCAGCAGATCAGATCTCCTTGGTTCATCCTGATATGTGCTTTTACAGGTATGCATGGAACCCAACCCTCGCACAACAGACATATGAGACCGTCTTTGCTGATCATCCTCAAAGTCATCCAAATGACAAGGATCAACTATTTCGTTGCCACCATCCGGCCACAATACGAGGCCCTCCTGGGCTCGCACGATCGGGCCGTTCAAGTCAACAACTTTTTCGACCTGGCGCTGCCAATCGGCGGTATCCTTTCCATCCCCTTCATCGGCCTACTCCTCGATCACTTCTCCACCGTCACGGTCCTTTTCTGGCTGGTGGCTGTGACGACTGCCATCGGTGTCTTCGGTGTCATTCCCGAGATGTGGGCTGCGTACGCCAACATCATCCTCTTTGTCCTCTACAGGCCATTCTATTACACCGCAGTCTCAGACTACAGCGCAAAGGTCTTCGGGTTCAAGACATTTGGGACCGTTTATGGCACAATCATCTGCCTGTCGGGCTTGTTCAACTTCTCACAGTCTGGTCTAGACTATCTGCTCCATCAGACATTTGAGGGTGACCCCGTACCTGTCAATCTCATCCTCTTGTCATTAGGGTTAGTTATAGGGGTTAGTATGGTCTTGTACGTCGGCTATCGATCTAGGGGCTTGAAAAGGAAAATGGTTGAGATGGAGGCAGAAAGAGCGGTCGGGATGTATAATTGAAATGCGGAGGTTACTGCGACTGCATGTTCGGAAAATCGATTGACTATTGAATCTCTTCTGATCGCACTAGCGCTGAAGGAGAATACAAGCAGCACAAATAATTCAACCTTTTTTTTCATGAACAATAGTGTCTGTTGTCAATAAGCTTTGCGTGGTTCCACGGGTAAACTCACGTAGGATATATTTCTAAGTGATAGCCCCATCACATATTGACTAGCCTCCCTAGGAGAGTATCCACGTAGATCCCAGAATAGGGCTCCGCTATAACGTGTTGTCATACTCGAGGGTATGGTGCTTTTACTGGTTATACTCTGTACAAGCCATGACTCATCCAATGTCTAAACGACGCTGTTTTTACATACCGTCAAACAAACAGCGGGATCTCCAGCATGAGGCAGTGAGTCTGTTAGTGACTATCTATATAGGTCTCGGATGTAATAGAGCCCCAAACTGCTTTTCTCCAGAGTAGTTGCAGATAAATACCCACCCATTCAATATTCCATCATGGTCCCCACGCCTTCCTCGCGTAACCTCCTTAATTCGTTGTCCTTCTCCTCCATCTCCTCCTTGATCCTCGCCTCCACATCGTCCCGGATGCCGCCCAGGTCGGGCGGTATCGTGCTCATCTGCACGCTGGGGGCGGCGTTGACGAAGCGCAGCTGCTCGCTGATGTGCATCTTGATCTCCTCCAGGCGCTTGGGGGAATTCTTATTCGGCTTAGGAACTTCGAGGATCTGCTCGAGCGTGGGGAACAGCGTGTCCTGGCGGAAGTGCTCCCGCCAGGGGGCGTGCATCGGGAGCGTGGGGTCGATCTTGCTCGCGGCGTCGATGGCGATGCTGGTCTCGTGGGTCCAGGCGCGCGCCACGTTGCGCGGGGTGTAACCACCGCCTCCGAACAGGATCATGGGGATGTTCTGCTGCTTGCAGAACTCGACACACTGGCCGTGGCCTTGCACTTGCAGGTTGAACTTGCCGAGTCGGTCGCCGGCGAGTGAGTCGGCGCCACACTGCAAAGCGATGGCTGATGGACGGAACTTGGCAATGACCTCGCCGATAACCTGCCTGAAGAGAGCGCCGTATTGCTCGTCGGTGACGCCATCTTGAAGGGGCACGTTGAGGGCGTGGTGCGCGCCGGGGTTGTGCTCGCTTTGCGGCCCGTTGTCGGTGAGGGCACCAGTCCCCGGGAAGAAGTTGGTAGGGTCATACTTGTGGAAGGACACAGTCATGACCCTGTCGGTGGACAAGAATGCCTCCTCGACACCATCACCGTGGTGCACATCAATGTCGATGTACAGGACGCGGGGAAAGCAGCGCAGGAGCTGCAATATCGCAATGACAATATCGTTGATGTAGCAGAAGCCCGACGCCTCGGTCTTCTTGGCGTGGTGGAGGCCGCCACCCCATGCGATTGCGATGTCCGACTGGCCGGAGCATATTTTCCGGGCGGCGTCCAGCGAGCTGCCGGCAGACATGGAGCAGTAGTCATACAGACCCTCGAACAGAGGGCAATCCGACCCGCCCAGGTTGAACTTGAGCTCTGTGCCGGGGTTCTCGATGTCCTTTGGTATGGGCTCGGGAGCAACAGTGGCCAGGAAGTCCAGGTAGTCGGAGGAGTGAAAAGAGTTGAGCTCCTCGTAGGTGGCGGTCCTGGAGACGTAGTTGTCCATGGCAAAGTTCATGCCATAGGACATGATGAGGCTCTTGGCCAGGGTCAGGCGCCACGGTTTCATGGGATGTGTCTGGCCGAAGTGGTGCTTCTCCATCTCGGGGTTCACGTGGAACGAGACCGTGTGGCCCTTTGGGCGGGTAATGTTGTACTTCTCGGCAGCGCGCTTGCACTTGGCGAAGAAGAGGGCATTCTCGGCATCGGTCGCAGAGCCCAGTGGAACATATTCCTGTACTATGCGCTCGTCCAGGTCGTCGGTCTTCTTATGTGGCAAGTAGTTTGTCCGCGGGGGACGCCAGACGTATGGATTCCCATCCATCGTCATGATGCCTCCTCAAATAGAATGTGCAGATAACCAAAAATTGATGACGACTTGGGCCAGTACTGCAGGTGGTTGATTTCTCGGCCGTGGGGCCACCTGGTCCTGGCTGTTCAGCGCAGAGCGAGGGTGAGGCGAGGGTAGCGCGAGGGGCCGAGAAAGTTGCAGGTTGTCCAGCGAGGATGGAAACAGCGGCCCAAGATACGAAACCAGGTGGTGGAAGGGTCAATATCGTCGTCAGGTTCGTCGAGAGCACTTGCATTCAGGCGTACAACACTTGACAGCTCCGGGATTTGTGAAGGAGACAAGTTTGAAGCTGGCCATGAACGGGACTGAGGCTTGAATGTGGATCTTGAATCGCGGGCGGCTGGGGGGCGTCCGCAGGCACATGGGTCCCCTATCGAGCTAGCCAGACGGCCAAGCACCAGGGGCCACAGTGCCTGGCTTTGCACCTGCAGGAAGTACCCGAGACTTGGAAACGGGACGTTCTTTAGCCAGCCAAGGCTGTACCTCGATACCTCGATGGTTTTGCCTCAGGAAGCCCGCCGTCTGGGAGGCTGATGATGAAGGTGAAGAAACGAGCCTGCTACAGCCAGCTAGCCTGCCTGCCCTGCCTGCCTGCCTGCCTGGTTTGCTTGTCCAACTCCTCCCAGCTCCCAGAGGCTCGGCTGACACAGCAGACACAAGACAGGCAGGCGTGCAGGCCGCCTTCCCATCATTTCCGTGCCGGATCATATCTATCTACAGTGTGTCGCATGCTTCATCAACCACCCTCTTCTCCACACCCGTGCCTGACGCAGCACCTACCTCTGGGAACTGGGCCTCACCTCCACCCTTTTCAACGACTATATCGCCGTCCCGTCGGGCCCCCCTTCAACCAGCGAACAGCCAGCCAGCCAGCCAGCCAGCCAGCCAGCCAGCCAGCCAGCCAGCCGGAGCCTAGCCCCTCCTTGTCTCCCATCGCAGTGCAGCGCAGCACTCGGTCGTCGGCAAGCAGCAGCAGATGCTCGGAACCGGCCAAGGGGTGCACGTGCAAGGGGGCCATCCAGACCTCTGACTGACATTCTCCATAAAAATTTCACCATCCACCAGATCCAACGCCATCACCACTTATTTTCCTCTTTTGTTATATCGCAGGCCGCCTTCCGCCCTTTCCTCCCATCTCCTCCCGACCTGGTCGTCAAACCCACCCGAGGTGAGCTGGACCTTCCGTCCCAGTCTCCAGCCATCTAATATGTTGCCCCTCCACCGAGACTAGCCTTCTGTCATCCTTCACTTTATCCCCCTTCCGTCCCTTCCCATCTGCTCTACTTCGCCTGGCCTGCTGTTGTTCGAGTCATCCTCGTCTCTCTCTTACCTCTCTGTCTGCCCACAACCCCGCCCCCGTCGCCCCGTGTCCTTCTGTCACGTCTCCGCCTTGAAAGCCCCACCGCGGCGCAATGTCATGAGCACACCACACACACACGCGCATAGGATTAAACCCATTGACTACAAACACGACTACGGTTAACATCATGCCTAGAGACGACCTCTCAATCGACTTCGTCAAGGGCAACATGCCTGCGCCCGAAGCCCTCGACCCCGCCCTCATCCTCGACGAGTGGACAAACCGCGTACAGAACTTACCCGAGGAGATCAAGTTCATCCACGACGAGATCACCGCCAAGGATCTCGAGTTGGCAAAGTGCCTCCGAATCATTGACGACAAGGACTCCAAGATACAGAAATGGATCAAGGCCAATGGAGCTGCTGAGCCCAATCCTAAGGAGGAGAAGGACTACAGGCCTGCCATCCGTGAGGCTTACAAGAAGGCGGAGGAGCTCCAGAGCGAGAAGGAGAAATTGACACAGCGTCTCCAAATAACAATGGATAGGCACCTCAAGTGGCTGGACAAGCAGATCAAGATTCTCTACGATCGCAACGAGCCCGGCTTCACCGAGCCCGACACTCTACCTTCCACCCTTCGACCAAGCGCCGCCAACAACTCCGCACCCTCTGTGCGCGCCGTGACTTCGTCAACGAACCCAGTCACAGCAGCCCTCAGCACACTGGCGAACCCAGCCAGTACTACCGGACCCAAGACCAGCAACTCCTCGGTTCGGAGTGCTCAGGCTTCGCAGCACGTATCCTCCTCCGCACCGACATCCCCCGCAGCTACCATGATTATGAAGCGCGCCGCACGAGAAGGGTCGGCCGGCCCAACAACCTCCCTTCACAAGGCCCCCCGTATCAATACCAGCCTGGGCAGCCTGCCTAATCCGTCAAGCGGCCTGGCGCGGCACTCGTCCCTCGGGCCAGGCACACCGAAGGGCCACACACCAACCGGCGTGCAAAGGGCAGGTAGCGCCGGACCACGGACCATGCTTAAGGGCGCTGTGGTCCCGGGCCGCAAGGGCACGCCATCAGGGGGGGTTGGCCGCAGCAGCAAGAAGGGTACGCCAGCCGGCGGGCCCAAGTCCGGCCTGCAGCGCGTGAGGAAAACCGCAAAGAACTCGCCCTCTTCTACCGCCGACAGCGAACTCTCCGACGCCGACAGCGGCGCCAGTGGCGAAGAGTCGGACGCACGCACGGGGGGTCGCGGGACGCCGGCGCGCACCGAGGGCGTCTCGAGCGGCCGGGCGGAAGGCACGGGCCATGCGCCACGGACGAAGCGGGAGGACGAGGACATCTACATGGATGACGACGAAGGCAGCGACGACCGTAAGTACTGTCTCTGCCAGAAGGTCAGCTTTGGGGACATGATCGCCTGCGACAACGACGACTGTCCGTACGAGTGGTTCCACTGGTCCTGCGTGGGGCTCAAGAGCGAGCCGCAGCAGGGCGGGACGTGGTTCTGTCCCGTGTGTTCGGAGGCCATGAAGAAGAAAGGAAAGTGAGATAGAGGTTGTGTGTGGCCGTCTGGAGCCGGCATTAGGGGTCGGCTCTCGCTTAGCTACGTACGACCTGTCGTAGTATCTTGCGTCGACAGAATGGTTGGTTTTTGGTCAAGTTATGACAAAACCAGCATGTGGCAGTTAAGATGCCGTTTTAGATACCCATAAGTTCTCGAGAAAATCGAACATAGTTAAAAAAAAGTTTTGAATTATTTCCTGAATTCAGGGCTTTTGGTTTGCCTCTGTAACCGTCATCTTCAGACATTACACAAAGTGCAGCAATCCAACCAGGCTTTGGTCTTGATCCTTGACTTCTTGAAAGTCATGTCTTTGCCATTTTAGTTCACAGTGGTAGCGATGGGCACATGAAGCTATTTAACTTTCTTGAATTAGGAGCTCTTTTGTACTACTGTTTAAAAAAGGATAATGCTGCGCAGCAGAGAAACTCCATCTCGCACTATGAATCCCTGTTTTATTCCACCGGCGAAGCAAAATAGTCCAGCCAGGAAGAAGGAAGGCCCAAATGCAATTAGGCATCACAAATGCGAACGACAGGACACAGGCAGCCTGACACAAAGCAGAACAGAGAGCAGCTTAATGCTCGAGCAGGCGCAAGCTACCCTGGACGACGACGTTCTCCAGGATGGATCCTGGGGGGATGTCGATAGTGCTGCCCTCAGTGGCAACAATAATAACGGTGCCCTTGAGCGTAACGCCACGACCCAGGTTGACGGCACCGGTGATAGTCAGGTGGTCCAGCTCGATGATCCTGGGGATGGAGGGAATGTGCTTCTGGAAGTCGGAGACCTTCTTGAAGTCGGAGCCCAGCTTGATCAGGGGCGCGTCGCCGAAGCGGCTGGCGCTCATTTGCAGCTGGCCGTGCTTAACGGCGTACAGGTCGGACTTGACCAGCATCAGGTCGGAGCAAGTCTTGACGGGCAGGAAACGGCGGCGGGGCACGTTGACACCGTGGGCGTTGCCAAAGTGGCGGATAGCGGCGCCGACGGCAGTCTCGAGCTGGACGATGCTGATGTCGCTCTCGCCCTTCTTGTCGCCGGGGATGGACTTGCCGTTGGGGATGATTTCCATCTCGAGCTCGTTGTTCTCGACAACGCGCTTGATGGCCTTGATGTTCATCCAGATGTTGTTGGTGTTGAAGTACTTGAACTTCTTGATGGACTTGAACTCGTTGACGTGCTCCTTGGGGACCTGGGCGATCTCCAGCAGGCGCACAGAGCCCTCGTAGTCAATGATGGTACCACCCTTGACGTCAGCCTTGGTCTTGTTGGTCAACTCCATGATGTACTCGGACTTGCTCTCGAACATGTGCTGCAGGATGCGCAGGTCGACGACAGCGCCCAGGTTGTCGACGTTGGACAGGAAGATGACCTCGATTCCGCGCTCAATAAGCTTGTCGAGGATTCCGGAGTTGTACAGGGACTCGAAGACGTCACCGTGTCCGGGAGGGTACCACTCGTTAATAGGAGAGTCAAAGCTCTTGGGCACGGGCAGCAGGGAGTCCTTGTGGATTCTGGGGTATCGGGACTGGTTGAATGTGAGGATGTCGACATTGTGACCCTCATACTTCTTGATAATGGCGGCGGTGTCGTCGTTGGTGTTGAACGAGTTCATCAGGATGAAAGGCACGTTGGTGCCGTATGTGCGGTTCAGGTACTCGACCTGACGGACCGAGAGGTCCAGGAAGGACATGCCGTCACGGACCTCAATGACGGACTTGGGACCAACACAACCCATAGAGGTACCCAGACCACCGTTCAGCTTGAGGACAGCAAGCTTGTTGAGGAACTCGACTGAGTCGGTGTTAGCCAGAGCCTCGTAGTCGACCACCTGGCCCTCGGCGGGGGGCGCAATGCGGTCCCAGTCGACAGCGTTGCCCTTGGCCTTGTCGTTGAGGTAACGGCGGAACAGGGAGAAGAAGTTGTCCATCTCGGTCTCGAACAGCTGTAAAACGGGTTAGTTTTCAAAAAACTTGGTCCCCTGGGGTATCATGCCTGCTCACCTTCTTCTCCTCGGGGTCCTTGACGGTCTCGCTGAGGCCGGTCAGCGCATTGCGCATCTGTGCCGCAGCAATGTTGGTGGAGGTGTTCTCGAAAGCCTGTTTGATTCCGTTAGTCTCATTCTTTTACCAGCGCGGAACTGGATGCAGAGAAGCCCAGCCACAGCCTCGTTTTGGGGAAAGTGTATGGGTTTAGCTAGATATGGTGGAGCGCCCTTGGCGCGGGACGATGATGGGGGCATTTAGCTGAAAGAGCGGTGGGGCTTGGCGAATGCCTGCATCTGAATGGTGCGAGAGAGACTTCAAAATGAAGAAGAAAGGCTGTTTCATGGGCACTGTGGATTGGAAGAGGAGGAGTGCTAAGATCTGCATAAAGTACTAACCATGTGGGATCGAGTCTTGCCATGGTGCTTGCCGGCAAACTCAGTCTCGTCGCCGTTGCCAGTGGCATTGCCTGGCTTGAGGTGAGAGGGCAGAGCACTCTTGATTGCTGAGGCCATCTTGATTGGTTTCTGCTGAGGAAGTGGTTCTGATCTGGGGGAAGGAAGGGCGGGCTGTCTCGAAATCACCAGATGTTGGTGGAAGGATCGAGGCGGTTGTTTTTGGGAGGGAGCGACGTGTTGATATCGAAAGTTAAATGGCGGGGAAGCTCCGAAGATGACCCTCGAAGTCTCTGTGACAGAAGAAATGATTAGCGTGGGTTGACGTAATTTGGAGATTGCCCCCTTTGCAGTGCCTACTGCTGTAGGCGCTGCTCATGCTGTGCTTCTGCCGCCTGCCATTGCTTGTCACTGCCCTCCACGTTGCCGCCATGTTGCCGCTAGACATTGTAGCTCACAGGCAGCCAATCTTAAGATTGGCTTGCCCGCCGCGGCCGGAAAGGTGGACACTCCCAATGTAAGGGGGCGCCCGCCATATTCCGTCTGGATCATGGGGCAGATAAGCTCGGAGCAGTGTCTCTGAAGCAAGAACTGTCTGTGAGGCTAGGGCACAGGCTGGCAGCAGTGGCAGGACGGACAGCTTGTGAGGTAGCAAGCATGGCATGACGGTGAGGCGTTGTTTGGGGCCGTGGTGTGGTTGGACTTACATGTCTACACTCGGGGGAGTCTGGGTATCTCGACTGACAGTTCTAAGGAGGACTTGCAGGCCAAGGACAAGGAGGAAAAGAAGAGGACAACAACAGGCCGGCAGAGGTGGACGACGTGGACAAGGACAACTTTAAAGATGAATTCCCAGTGGGTCCCTCTGGTGCTCTGGTCCAGGGGTCGGGCAAAGAAAGGAGGCAGCTCTGCTGAGATTCAATTATACATAATAGTACATGCTCTAGTACCTGTGTATGGACAAGCTGGGCAAGCCACACTGTCGTCCCTCCCGGTCCTTTGTTGGTGCTGTGGTGGGGAAGCGGTCAAGTACTGTTAGTGCACAATGTATCCTGTGGCGGACACGACCCAATGGACCATGGGCCGTGATGGAGGGGGGCAGGCAGGGGGGTAGGTGTTCTCGTCCTCCCTGCCTCTCACCCAGGCTCCTTTTCTCGCTGCTTGTAAACAAGCTTTGGGGGACTTCAATGGAGGGGATGCCTGTCAAATTCCCATCCAGCAGGCCGATCATTGACCAGAACAACTACCCCGGGTCCTGGCCTTGCAAGACTTCCCATCCTCTGGCAGACCAAGCTGCTGTTCCGTTCAACTCTTATCGGCTCTTTCCCCCCCACGAAAAACCACGACGTGACATTGGAGATGGTTGAGGGGGCGAAAACGGCGAAGCTTTTAGCGTTGCTGTCATTAAGTCTTCCCAACACTGGCACTTGGCTGCAACCACACACTCCCAGAAGCTATCCCAATTTTTCGCTCATTTTGCCTTCCCTCCAAGGCGGGCTTACCGATGGGGAGGGGGGGTTAGCCGTCCACACTTAAAGTAGCCCTGGCAGCAGGGTCGGGTGGCTTCGTCCAGATGGGCGAGAATCTTACGGGACGATGATCGTCGCCAGGCTGCAAGAGGTCAATCCTGTGGCCATGGCCAGACGACTCTATCGATCCTCTGCGGAGGTGATCCATCTGGCCCATCGTCGGACTTTTGAGTATTGACAAGGCAGATCCCAAAGATCCCAAATGGCATGAGACGACGCTGGCGGAGCTTTGCTCTCGTCCGAGATGTTTCGAACAAGAATCAACGACAAAGACATGCGTGCGCTGCACACGGGAGGCGAGTACATCTTTCACTAACGCTTCGCTGATCAACACCTGGCAGCTTGAAGCGTCGCCCGATTGGGACCCCCCATGCTGTCCAACGGGAGCTAAAAACAACCTTGGAGCATGTCGAGGGGGCCACGATGCCCGACAAGGGCGCCCGGTGGGTGGGCTGGGTGGGACAGGGAAATTTAGGCGACTCATTCGTCTTGTTGGAGTGCAGCGGACAAGCAGAGCAGCAGGGTCTCGTACACGGTAATCATCACAAAAGTCAAGCCCCCTCTGTTGTCACAGTGACGATACCGCCAGGCTCACAGGTTCACAGGCTCCCAGGTTCCCAGGAAATGAGCATCCATTGTAAATAGGCAGCCTGTCCTGGCTGTCCCGGTAACAGCCACTCTCGCACGCAGCCCGGGCATCGTTAAATTTGGGACGCTGCAAATGGGGCTATGACGGGTGCTCGGTCGGGTTAGGCGCCACTTGTGCGCAGGGCCCCTGGGCCCCCAGACCCCTCGGGAAGCTCCAACCAAGCAGGCGGATCCGAACCCAATCGGCTGCAGCTGCAACGACCAGAGGGTGGCGTTTGACAACAACAGAGCTCCGGCACGCAAATCCGGTCTTGCTCTGCCAGCCAGGACTCGGTATGCATGCACATCAACAGGTTCTCGTGTTGTTTCGGAGGCGGGCGCGGGCGCGGGCGGCCCGTGGTCGAGCATCGCGATCCACCACGCATTGTTGCATGTATCCATGTGTATGTACTGTAGGTACTACTGCTACTCAGTACAGAGTACTGTGTGTGGCATATGGTCGTGGCAGTGGTCAACTCATGCCCCTGGCCCCTAAAAAGCCCCACGTGGGGAGCCCATGCTTCGCTAGGCCATGCCCACCGGGCCACCACGAAGGGGCGGCCGACCTGCCGACACATCCACGTCCAACTCCCGGACGCAACCAGCGGTGGGCCCCCTTCTAGTCCCCTTCGGCCGGGCAGTTGAGGGTACCATTCCGAGCTGCTTCGCCAACGGTCAATAGCTTCTAGAATGTCTCCATGGACTGGGCCCGCCCCGACAGGGGCCCATCCGTTCTCGTATGAATTAGATTGACCATGCCCAGGAGACAGGAGGGGGTGTGTCACTCCCTCAACGCTACCGTCGGATAACCGTCTCTGACATGACATTGCTAATGCGCCACATTGTGAAGCTGGTAGAAGCTATTCGCTGCGAGGCAAGCTACGGTGGGGTCCAAGTGAGAGCTGGACACGTAGCTTCACAGCTGAGAAGGTGATGCATTGCACTAAGATATGTGAGCACAGACGAAGTCAGCCGCAGTAAGATGGTATGAGATAGGACTAGGAGACCTATTACATGAGGTGAGACAGACCGGATGGAATAATAAACAAGGCGACGAGGAGAGCCTCAGGATGCGTGTGGTGTGGAGCTTCGGCCGCTTTGGGGCTGTAAGTAAGCCACTGACAAGAGCTGTAAGAGCTCAAAAAGCCCGTAATGCAACTGCAATACGCATGGCCACACTGAGATTTGACTATTCCATATCACAAGAGAGATCATTAGCGCTTGTCTACCAGCCTGCCTGCCATCGTTCTGTTCTGCCAAGTGACCAGGGACCTAGGTGGGAAGCCGGGCTGGATTCACCACCCGTGATCACAGTCCTGCAACAAACACGTCGCACATGCAACTTAGAAGATATGCGTCAAGAGGGTATTGAGGTGTCCGGATTGGATCCCAGAGTGGGTGGTCGTGCGGTCCTCACCCCACATTGCCCTGCTGCACATGTGCTCTGTATGGCTTGGATCACCCTTCTGAGTGTTGCCACTTGGGGGAGACCCTGCATCGAAAGATTATGACAGCATACAACTGAAGCGAAGATGTTCAGGCACTGAAGGAGCCCTATTGGGGTTGGCATATACATATGCGCCTATCATGGATAATTTCATTCTGGGTCAACTCGGCATTCACACAGAAAAGGACATTCTGGTTGTTAGCTTGATAACTAGCTCGGGACGCATGAAAGACTGTCCCAAGGACACGATCGATTTTGGCAAGAGACCCCCAGAATATGATGACTTCGAATACTTTCACTGCCCAGGTGGATGTGAAAACTCAAATCCATGAACCCCTCAGAGAGAAGCCGCATCAACGAGAGATATTTGTGGACTTCTACCCCATCAGCCGCTGGATGGGGACCCATGTGAGGATGGCCTCAGTCTCGAGCTCATTCAGACCGATTCAGGCGGGAAGCCCTTTTACATCATCGAGCTCACAGTGTGAGTGTCCCAGGTAGACTCCATGTTGTGGGCTATTTCACTTTCAGAGCTAGTATTCTTTGATGGATCAATCAATACAAGCATTTGGAGCAGGTGACCGACAACTACGGTGTGATTCACAGGTGTAAAGAAGCATCATGACGTTCGTAAGATCAAAAGCGTTCCCGAAGCGATTTTGAATCATTACTAGGTGAATAATCATCACTGGTGTCAGTCATTGCTTGCTGCTTCACATTTCCGGATGCCGTTGCCGTCCTGTAACTACTACTGTCCCTCCCCCAAAGACTGAGAACCGAGACGTGAAATTCCCAACGCTTGGTGTTTTAAGGCCCATGCCTGTCACCAGCGCAGATTTCTTGCACGACTCCATCCATGTCTTTGGGCACAGACCCTACCCAGAAGTGACGCGACCGACTTGTCCCCGAATAAGGGGCACACGGTGTAATCACACAACATTCTGCATGCCACAGGGTAGGAAAGGACGCGTTCTCAGGTTGGTTGCTAGCTGTCTGCGGGAGGAGCTAGGCTGCTGGGCTCCGAAGGAGCCGGAGGTGTGAGAAGAGGGCTCATACTGTGGATACGAGGTGGTCGGAGGAAGAAAACAATAACAATGGAGAGAGACAGGTCTCGAGAAAGTCTTGACCTGGCAAGGCTCAGGGCATTCTGACCCAACTAAAGACGTGTCAGCCTTATTTAATTATGATAATTAAGAACTGAATGTATCAACAATTCTGCATTCTTGAAGCTTTCCTATGTCACAGTACAGGATGGCTTACATGTGAATAAAACAAAAGTGCATGCTGGTACACAAAACATGACGGATATCTTCCTTGACATAGATAACCAAATCACCCACACAATTACAAAACCTTACAAGGTGTTACACCAGAGTCCTTGTGGATTTGCTATGCATGGTCTGTTACTCTGTATAAAGCTGGCCCCTAGAAATATCCACAAGTCTCAAGTGCTCACTGAAAAGAATATTTCTCAAGAGATTGGAGATTATCCTGTCAGAGATGTATTATATGTCTATTACATGTAAGACTATGGGAGGTTTCCCATAGGAGGTTGTCATACAAGGGCGTTGGAAACAGTAATGCCGGGCCGCCCGCATAGAGGACACCCGAGCAGAGTTTGAAACCTTGGAATCATGGATTGCCTAGATACCTTGGTACTTAAATAGTCCTGATCTGCCACATTGAAGATTTGAACACACAAAAACAGTTTTTGAACGGAACCAGTGGTCCTGACTCTATCGCATTATTGATGCAATAGTTTATTCACTTGTATTGCAACTCTTCCAGGCTTCACGTGCCATGAATAGCAGAAGCAATTGCCCAATACGGCTCACAACACCTACATTTGCTGGGAGAGCCACTTCCGATGCTAAACGCTGTTCAAGCAACAGGGCGTCTAGCTGAGCGTTGCAATTCCTCCTCTGTGCAGCGGTAGCCTAGGTAGGGATAGAAAACCCCATGCATGTTCAGCATGTTCACAGTGGTGAAGACGTGGAAGAGATGGACAGAGAAGTGAAACACTGGTGTGTTTACGTAAAGTGTGTGGAGATTTAATAATATAGGATGAGATGAGATTGATGGGGTAAATGAAGTGATATCGTGGGAATGAGATGAGATCTATTAGACCAGGTACTTAAGTAGGTACTTGAGTACCTGTGTAGGACAGACAAGGTGGAATAAATGAGTTTGATTGTAGTACACCAGAAACAGCAAGCAATCAGAGGCCAAGCTCTCGTTCCGCCAAGACCCAGCCCAGTGCGAGACTTCCCGCAAGCCCCCTCTAGAGCCTCCCAAAACTGCTTGGCCGCCGCCGTTGAGTGGTACTGACCTCTGTCTGCTGCAGTGTGTCCACCCCCACGGTACCTGGGCACAAAGCACTACTGCAGGCCATTTTACAGGGGGGCAGGTTGGCGCAGTTGTCTCTCAACACCATCCAAAACCGCACATGCACGATACGGTGATGTTTCGTGAAACTTCATATCCTGTGCTGATAGCTACCTGATAGCAGGCCAACCAGCCAGCCAGCCCATCGGGTTTCTCGCCCCTCCACCCACCCACCAGCTGCCGGGTCTCCCCAGGCAACCGGGCAGGTATCGTTGGGTGATCGGCAAGCCAATAATGCAAACCGCTTTGCTGTCCACGTCCCATGCGTAATCTCTGGGCCGCTCGTCTCGTTGTCCTTCCACACCGATGCTCCTCCACCACGTGGGGAACCATTCTCTTTCGAACCTAATCCTCCCTTTTCCCTTCCCCTTCGTCCTATGCTAGGTGAATGAACAATCAGTTACCTATCTCCCGCAGCCCAGGTTGGCAAGTGCCTCTTTCCACGTCCGGGCGAGTTTCGCGGGGGCCGACGCCCCCTTTTGACATGACCGCTTTGTTTTGGGTAACGAGGCTGCTCCGTGGCAGCACTCCGCACAATCACCTCGAGTGATATTCCGCATTCACTGACTTGATCACCCTGCCCATTTACTGTTGTCGGAGCACGTTGGTTCAGGGCAAACAATAAGGGGCAGTCGGGCCAAGACACAACTTGCTTATCTCTACAGGTTGAGAATTATCTCCTTCCATTACTATCCCTACCTGCGGAGACCGCTTTGTTTGAGAATTTCTTCAAGAGACAGCCCCCATCTCATATCCCACAATGGGTAGCTACTCACACCCTGAACAGCTGCCTTACTGGCAAGTCAACATCGCACCAGAGGACCGCGAGGATGAATGTCCAGAATTCCTGCGTGGTGCCAGCAACAAGGATGTCCGCATCATCGGAACACCCGACGATGAGTATCGCGTGCAAACCTGGCCACAGGTGGTGGATATCATTCGTACGGGAAGGCTTGCTGATTTCCAAAGATGGCCATCTGACCTGCGAAAATATCGCAAGTACACCTGGCAGCTGAAGCGCGACCACGGAAGTGTCATGAACTTCATGTTGAGAAAGAGGCTGCGCTGGAGCGAGCCAGTCACGCCCCTGGGAAGCAAGCTATTCGAATGCCAGGATGACTTCAAAATTCTGATGAACGACTGGCCCTATGGACTCGATAAACGTATCGTTCATCTGGTGGTCTGGACCAAGTTTGACTTGCCTGACGACCACAAAACTGAGGCCGAGATAGAGGCCTTCGTGGACAAGACTTTCTCGCCCGGTGTGTGCCAAAACAAGGTCAGTGATGCTGTGCCTCTGGCGGGAGAAGAGCACGAGCTGACATAGACCATAGCGCATATGGTTCAAGAACCCGCCGAGCCTCAAGTCGATCCATGCCGTGGAGCACTTTCATGTCATGCTGTTCAACCCCGATCCGGACTTTGTGCAGCGAGTCACTAAAGGTGACATCCCTCGCTGTCAGAGAGGCATGCCGACGAGCGATGAGGGAGATGAATATGATTCGCCCGGTCGGGTGGGGTGATGCGATTTTGGCCTGCTTAGAATCATGGGCTGGCCCCATCAGGCTTTTGGTACACTTCCAGTCTAGCGGTGTGACCTGGTGCCGTTCATGACCGCTGCTGAAGCTCGGACTTCAACGACCGGGCAATCGGCAAAGGGAACGGCGGTGGGCTTCTCCATGCTGACCTTCACCTGCCAGCCCTCCTCGCCGGTGAAGAGCTCGTCAGGCTTGGGCTTGAAGTCTCTCACGATGGTGCTTGTCAGGTGGGCACCAAGAGCCTCTAGCGTCTCAAAAGAAGACTTCTCCAGTGACTAGAAGACGGTCAACATGAGGAGTAATTTCCATAGAGGGCACACAGTCGAAGACTTGGACAGAAAGAGGAGGGTACAGTACCTGGACTACAATCTTCTCCAGCTCGCAGTAGATGTCTGGATAATAATCAAGCTTGTCGACTTCCACGTCGACGACCACAAACTGCTTGGCCTGCCTCTCGTTGTTGTTGACCCCCACCAGAGTAGGCACCCTGATCCTGTGAAGCTTGAGGCAGAGACCGTACATGGACAGGGCGGAGGGCCCAACGGAGAAGGGAGCATAGACGTTGGAGGCAGTCAAGCTGACGGCCTCACCCAAGAGCGAGGCCTTGGGCAAGGAGACGGTCAATGAGATGAACCTGAGGCGGGAGCGGTCCAGAAGGGGGGCAGCCTCCGGCTCGGCATCTGTCCCGTCGATATTACGGCCGGTGAGGACGATCCAGATCATCTCGAGCAGGACGCGCAGGTCGATGTTGGGGGCGCCCTCGAGGGAGGCGTGGTCGTTGGAGCGGTCGGCGCAGGCCAGGATCAGCTTGCTCAGCTCGCCGTAGTGGACCGTGTCGCCGCTGGTGACATTGTCGGCGGCCACGGCGGCGCCAAAGGGGCGGGTGAAGTGCAGCTCGGCGGACACGAGCAGAGGCTGCTGCAGTTTGGCGCGGCCCCAGGCGTCCTGCGGCCCCACGACGGTGGTCTGGAGGTTGCGCACGCGCACAACGGCCAGTGGCTCACCGGCGGCGTGGCGGACCGTCCAAGAGGAGCGGAGGCTCATGATGTGGATGAGGGAGGGCGAAGTGGGTTGAGGTTGAGGTGGGCGATGTGGCGCTCCGCGAGCGAGAACCAATCCGGGGCAAGGCGCTTACGAACGCGGGAGCCTTGAACCTGGAACAGCCTCGGTCAACCGCGACGGACAATACATACAATCCTGCCAATATGGGCGGAAAGACTATGTTTCTTCCAAGACGGCTGAATGTCGATCTCAGAGGAGGCTGGTGACCCGTGAGTGTGCTGGTGCTGGCCAGGGATGGCAGGATGGATCGATGATCCTTGAGATGCTCCTGGCTCAGGGTTCAGGGGTGAGTGGGGACCTGCCTGGTGTATGTAGGGTGCGCATTGGCCAAATCGCTTGTCTCCTGCTCAGGAACCTCTCAGGCTGTCAGGCTGTCAGGGACGCTTTTTCCACGCGCAGGTAATTTTCCCGGAGGCGAGGATCATTTCCCATTTCATATTTCCCCAGGGTTTGCTCAACGATACAAACTCGTGGATTTCCACGGTCATCCAGCAGCCTCGCAAATGATCACCTCCGGCTCGCATTGCCCGGTGTGCCGTGCCACCTCGGGCTAATAAGGAGTCCTATTTGCTTCACCGTGCCACCGACAAGATGCATACCTGCGTCTCGAGACATGTACGCGGCCGCTGCCAAGCGGGGCAGCAAACCAGCCAGCACAGGCACACTGTGGTGAAATGCTGCATCCTTGGCAGACACAAACATTCAGTCTCGAACGGTCTTGAGCCTCTTCATCTATCACGCTGGGCACAGTGCTTAGCAGCAGATCACCAAGAGGCCCAGAAGCTGATCTCGTTGCAAAAATCTTCACTCATGGGCAGCCGCTGGGCAGCTCGGCAGGCAGCTCGGCACAGGTCTTGGTGACTACAAGCTCATCAATATCAAGGCTTGTCTCAGAGACATTGTGGCGTGTTGCATGGCGCCGGCAGACCCCAGATTTTATCGACTGGGGATTTGCGGGACGACAGGCCCATCCCATGCACGAGACCACCGACATGCGAGTGTTTCCTCTTTAGCCTGGCCTTGGCGGACGGCTACTGACGTTTCAAGTGGGCACTGCGCGGTAATGGGCACTCGACCTATTCGGGCAATGTTTATATGGCGGATGACTTCTCGGTCCTATGCCTCCGAGCCGCTTAATCTATCTCGCCTTGGACTCCCAGGCCCTACTCATATGATCGGCAATGCATGCGCCCTCGAGGGACTCTCCCTCCAATCGCAATCGTCCCAGCTCCTCCATCCGGCCAAACCCACGCAGAGTCTCATTCCACTGCCATATGGATCGTTTACCACTGCAATTTGCGCCAGGCTGTCCCTCATGGGATGTCACCCACTAGCCGCCTACCTGGGCCTTAATACTTCCCAGCCGGTGGGGGCCTCGCTGCTGCTACCGCGTCTTCGGCGTCATCGTGGGCAAGTCGCGGGCCACGGGAGACCATGCATCCTCGCGCCGGCCAACGGCTGTGGCTGCGCTTTCTCCACATCCTCGACGACCTCCTCGACGGGGTAGCTTTCCGTTACTTGCGGGGATCGACAGCTGACAGAGTTGGCTGGGCAGTTTAACCTTCGGAACAGAAGGGCCATGAGCCGGTTCAACCTCGAGGGAAAGGGGTCGACGGGGGTGTGGTCGCCAGCTGCTCACAGCTATATAAGAAGGGCATCATAGCTTTGAGTTTGGATATGTTGGTTGTTGGCACATCACCAGTCCACTCCCTGAGCTTCTTCTCTTGTTCAATTCTCTGTGTGCTTCGCTTCCACCGTCGTTACATCACGATGTATCGATCAGCTGCGGCTCTCTCCTTTGCCTCGGTCGTCCTCGGCCAGCAAGGTAAGCCACCCACAAATAACCACCGAATTGGCCCTCTGAGACATATACTGATTTCCAACAGCTGGCACCAACACGCCTGAGGTTCACCCTTCTCTGCCCATCTCAACCTGTACTGAGTCTGGCTGCACCACGGAGGACACCACTGCCGTACTTGACGCCAACTGGCGATGGGCTCACAGCCTCGAGGGCTACACCAACTGCTACACAGGCAACAAATGGGACGCAACCCTGTGCCCTGATGGAGCGACATGTGCAAAGAACTGCGCGATTGATGGTGCTGACTACGAGGCCACCTATGGGATCACCACCCCGGAGTCCGGTGCCCTTAAGCTGTCTTTCGTCAAGACGAACAGCAACGGCAAGAACGTCGGTTCCCGTATGTACCTGCTCGAGTCTGAGACCGAGTACAAGATGTTCAACCTGCTGAACAAGGAGTTCACCTTCGACGTTGACGTGTCAAACCTGCCTTGCGGGCTCAACGGTGCTGTCTACTTCGCTCAGATGTCCGCCGATGGTGGTCTGTCTGCGTACGAGACCAACAAGGCCGGCGCCAAGTACGGAACAGGCTACTGTGATGCCCAGTGCCCCCAGGATGTCAAGTTCATCAACGGCGAGGCCAATAGCCAGGGATGGAACGGAACCGATGAGAACTCGGGCACAGGCCAATACGGTAAGCAGATATGACCCTGCCCCCTCAACCCCCCCGGACTCTCCTGATGGCTGACCCGAATACACAGGTTCGTGCTGCCCCGAGATGGATATCTGGGAGGCCAACCTCGTCTCAACTGCATATACCCCCCACCCGTGCTCTGTCGACGGGCAAACGAGGTGCGAGAGCGAGGTGGACTGCGGCGCAGGTGACAACCGGTATGCCGGTGTGTGTGACAAGGATGGTTGCGACTTCAACTCTTTCCGTATGGGCGACGAGACCTTCTACGGCACGGGCCTGACCGTCGATACGTCTAAGCCAATCACCGTCGTTACTCAATTCATCACTGATGACGGCACCGACGCCGGCACCCTGGCCGATATCAAGCGATTCTACGTCCAGGACGGCAAGACCATTCCCAACTCGATGTCGAGCATTGCCGGAGTCGACCCAACTAACTCGATCACGGACGGATTCTGCAAAGCTCAGAAGACCGCCTTCGGAGACAACAACTACTTCGCCGAAAGTACGTACAAATCTCCCCTTTAAAGATCTGATGTAGGTCGCTAACACATACTTTTAGAGGGAGGTCTGGCCAAGATGGGTGAGGCTCTTAAGAGCATGGTCCTCGTTCTTTCTATCGTGAGTAACCCCCAAAATCCAGAGTTCTTTCTACTAGTCTCTACAAATGCTAATATAATAACGCAGTGGGACGATCACGCGGTCTCGATGAACTGGCTTGACAGCAGCTACCCCCCTGACAAGAGCGGCCCTGGTGTTGCTCGTGGAACTTGTGACCCAGCCGCCGGCCTGCCCGAGACCGTCGAGGCAGCCCACCCGGACGCCAGCGTTGTGTACAGCAACATCAAGTTCGGCACCCTGAACTCCACCTTCACGGCTTAGAGAGGTTTCAGACTCAATCATGTGAGTGAGCGGAGAAGATGATAGACTCAGCTTCATAGAGATCCGGGTACGGGCGCGCGGAGAAACTTAGAGATATACACGTGGACAAGAGGCTTCTTCTAGAGGAAGGTGATAGACTTGATGTCTCTGCTGCATCTGGACACACTTTTCCTTCTTGTATATAGTTGGACCCTTTTCATTATTCCTGACTGAATATAAAAATGCACATATGCTTTTCTCGAATGACGAGTTCTGCCAGGTGTCCCTGTGGTGGTGATAGTATGTGTAAAGAGGTAACGCCCCGGACTGTCTTGCCCAAAGACAGGACTTATTGCATGAAAGCAATGATGGCGGGCGAAGAAACATTCACCAACCACAATGTGGCTCTTGAGCTCAACAGCCCAGTTGGTGACGTAGGTCATCCGCCAAGCCTTCCTCACGGTCTCCAAGAGACAGCACCTACCTATCTACACACCGTGGGCGAATTCAACGATTGGACACCCTTCTTACAAGTGCTCAAAAAGATACGGTAATAGGTCGGCTAATTGTAAGCCCAAAGCCAACCGTAAGCAAGTCGCTAACTATAAGCGGTTCCAAACTATGAAAAGGCTTCTAATTAGTTAGAACTTCATCAACATATAGGCCTTCATACCTTCCTTCTCTTTAACCACCTAGATATAAAAAATAATATACTAGTAGGAATAAAATATTACTTTTAAAGAAGAAGTTTAAAAGAAGTTTAATATTAAAAAGATATTTATAGAAACTTTATATTAAAATAATTATAATAATATTTTAATTAGTAACCTTTATAATAATAATATTTAAAGTAGTAATACTAACTTTAACTTTAATTATACTCTTTATTTACTTAACTTAAATAGCTTGTAGAGCTGCCTAGATAGTTGTATTTTCGGATATTAGTTATTGTTAAGGCACAGTCTATGGTAGAGCCCAAACCATCACTCAACCCCTTTAATACAACAGAATGAATAAAATACTTATAAATATATCTACTTGTGCTCTTGTTGAACCCCTTCAAGCCACTGCACCCCATATCCCCGTAGCCTCTACAATGACATTGATAATTGTGCTCACAGTCCACAGTGTAATCAAGATGATACCAATCTTCCTGGTCATCATCCACTTATTTGTTGGGACCAAGATGAGGAGCATGACCAGTGTCACCAGTACCGTGAGGGCGGATATGAACAAGGTGCCCGTGACCTCTATATGGTACGATTTATAGTGCAGGGGCTCATCCGGATGTTTCTTGTGATGGTGTTTTGCGCCCTGTATGCTCATGTACGTTCCTCCAAGTCCGATGCCAAGGAGAATATTTAGCATGGGGCCGCCGAAGCAGGCAGATCTGGAGTTTGTCAGCAAATTAAAACATGCAAGATGCAGCCGGCGACGTGAGAGGGACATACAAAGCCATGACAGGATAGCCTAAACGCGCGACAGTGATGTCGGCAACCAGGTCACCGACCGAGTTACCCACGGCGAAGACAGTCAAGCCGAGGATGGCCTCGGACATACCGAGGATGACGCCAGCCGCTTTGAGGACTCCGACGACTTCTTCAGCGATCGTTGAAATCCACGCTATCGAGATGATGAAGCCCAGGAAGCAGAAGAGGAAATGATAGCGTGGCTTCTTGTCCGGGGTAGTGGAAAGAAGTAACACAGCAAGAAGTATGAGCGAAAAGAGGAGGGAATATAGTACCATCTTCACCAAGGTCTTCATCGGTGAATTCATGTACTTAGCCCAGATTATGAACATCGTGAACAGTGGGCCTGTGAATAGCTGAAGCGCAAGGAGCCACCTGTTCCAACCGCCAGGCTCATCATCAAGTGTTGTGGGCTCTGAACCCGGGCCGTCTACCGCAATTGGTGGCACGGTTTGCGCGCTTGACGACGGAGGTCGGAGGCCTGGGAATTCCTGTAGATGTGCTAATTCGGGAGTAACACCAGCACTCAAGGCGTATCTTGAAGCACTTGATGATCGAGACCTCGTGGACCGTGCGCGTCTGCGGTACTCTTGCCACTCAGTTTCTGGCTGTATCGCTGCTTGGTTCTCGACAGAGATAGCAGGAGGATTAAGACCCAGACCACTGGGGGTCTGGGCCGACGAGACACCGGCCTCCGCGGGCAGATCGTCGCAGTGATCTTCGGTCTCAACCACTGGGAGCGTAGCCACCAGAAAGAAGACTGTCGGTGTCGAGAAGACGCTGAACAACTTATCCCAGATGCTCTTCTCTCGCCAACCCTGCAGAGTCGGCAACATGGTTCGCCAGAGAACATGCGGGGGTGGCAACACGTTGTAAGGCCACCATCTAACAGGCCTTGGCGATTCAGGAAGATCAAGGCCCGGGATATGGTCATCTTCCAGTGTCGGATGTGGCAGCAACATCGAATGTGGCCGCCCACGCTGGGGAGAACGTCGGCCATCCTGCACGGGCGAGTCGTGATAGCCTGGAAAAGGCGATAAGGAGGGCGAAGATGCTTGACTTGGCCCCAGCTTTGGGCTGGGTATCTGTAAAGAAAGCGCCGGGGTGGATGCCTTCGTCCTCGTGGGTTCTGACTGCTCTGGACCCAGCTCCGGAGACTGCGCGGGTAGCCGCTGGTGAATGTCGGGCGGAGCAAGGCGGCCATCTCTCGTGGTCGTGACTGCAGGGCTGGGCGTTCTTTCCCTTCCGCCATCCCCAGGCGCACGAGGATCCATTGGGACGAGCAGGCTGCCTTCGCGCGTACGTGTAGTTGACATCGATGGACTTCTGGTTGTCGGCCCTTGCGTTGCATGTCCAGGCTGTTGTAGTGTCTCCTCCGACGCCGAGGTGGTTTTGACTAGCGGTGGTGACAGTATATTTTCATTCTGGAAATTACGAGGCGCATCCCCCGAAGACAAGGCTCTGTCCCTTGTCAGTGACGGCTGTGCTGTGGGTGCTGGGTGGTCCTGTGCTCCAAATTGTAGCAAATCCTCTGTGTTCCTTCGAACCAAAATTCCGGCAGAGTTATAGTCAGAATAGCCTCTATTCAGTGGAGCCATGCGCATTTTGCGAGACCTCTGTAAGGAGGACAATATGGACCGGAACTCAAGTGCGCCCACCAAGCTCGGCCTGATAGGCGTGATTGTGGTGTGGCTTCTTCTGCCGCGGGGCCGGTTGACACGCATGCTGCTCGTCATCTCGGAAGCAATGTGCCGCTTCTGCTCGTCGTCGTCGTCATCCTGCGACGACCCGTCCGCGTCGATCCGGGGGCCATTCTCTAAAGCGCTGATGTCTGGTGGGCGGGTGGAGCCCCGGCGTGAACCCACTGTTCCGTCGTCCTCGTCCTCGTCTGGATCATCATGATAGGGCTCGATTTCGTCCCCAACATGGATAGAGGCACCCGAATAGTGGTTGTGGGCAACCACCTGCTTAGCGCGCCGCTTCTGCCTTGATGAGGTGACCAGGTGCCACCCAAACACAAAGCAGACGTAGAAGCCGTAAAAGCCGATCATGAAGGCGCACTCCCACAGATGCATCTTACCATCGGTGAGGAACACCATGGTGAAGCTCACAGCGAGGATAAAGAAGATAATGTCGCGCACGAATGTCTTTCTGCTGACCTTGAACTCGCGGACCAGGGCCATGGAGCCAGCAACAACGGCGGTGATAAAACCAGCGGCGCCAATCAACTCGCCTATGGCCATGCTACCACTGTTAGAGTTCATGGCAGCAAAGGTGCTGAAGACGTCGGGAGACCCATTCCCGAAGGCCAGAAAGGTGACACCAGCCAGGCTCTCGGGCAGGCCGAGGACACTGGCGATGGTGCTGAGGTTGATGCTGAAGAAGTCGCTGGCGGCAATGCCGATGGTGGAGAAGAGTAGGCCGAGCCAGAGAGCCAAAAGAGAAAAGGCAATGGGTTTCACCTTGCCAAGGCTACAATAGTAGAAAGTGAGATAGGAGACCAGGCCAGGCTCGTCGTCGAGGCAATGCGCGCGCACGAAGGCACACTGGTCCTGGGCCTGGTGAACATCGTCGCAGACATCCTCGGCATCCCTTGCAAACAGGCTAGCTGGTGCGGCCGGATCTGGAGTCCAGTCTTTTATGAAGAGGGAGTAGGTGGCCAGCAGGGTCATGAGGAAGACAGTGGCGCATAACGGCCTCGGATTGAGCCGTAGCCGTCCATTCTTTGGTTTCGCCATACTGTTGCCGTCTGACAGGGCGAGCACATGGTGGACCTGGCTGTGAAAGCCGGAATCAGGCCGCCTTGAGCATCCACAGGCGCGCACGCGAGCTCTGGCGATGTTAGGAGGTGGTGGACGTTTCGGATGTAAGCGTCGTTGGAGTAGCGAGGCAAAAAGCTGAGTGGCCTAGGTAGAAGACGAGAGCCCGGCGGCCAGCGAGGTAATCTAACAAATGAACGGATGAACGAGATGGATTCTAGGGGCGATAAATGCAACGGAGCAAGGACGGAGGCCAACCAGTCGGTTGCAGGTGGTTCTGGCGATGCCTAGGGCAGGGAAATGATTGGGCTTGAGTGGTGGTGTCGGTGATGGCGCGGCAGTCCCAAACAGGTAGGTTCCTGGGCCGGCCGAATGCAGTATGTAGCTGTGACTGACGTATGCAGGTGGGATGGGGGTCGGTTTGGGTGGCGGAAGGTCAGCCGCGACGGGATGCAGGTTTGCGGACACACAGTATTAATAACAGCAAGAGGAAGTAGAAGGGGCCGGGGCAAATGGGCGACTATATCTGATTCTGGACAGGACCACAGGACCACAGCACCCAGGGGGTTCAAACGCCATGCTTTCCTCCCAAAGCTTACCGTCTCGGAGTCTCGAGAAGGCCTCTCTTATCTCGCGGGGGAGCGGTGGGCTGTGCTCTCACAGCACCGGCATCAGAATTGGCATCGGCATGGGGAAGCGTGGGACTCGCTAGTAGCAGCACTGCTTGAGACTAAAATATCGATCCGAGCAGGCATTCTGGGCTGGCGGGCAGGCGGGATGACCATCCATCCATCCAACCCCAGAGCCCAGCACTGCGGTACGGGCTGGACAGCACGAAATCCATGACCATGCCATGCAACGGCTGCAAGTGGAGCGTGGTATCGAGCGACTTCCACGCGTGGGTCCGGATTGAAGGGGGACTGTGCAGCTGAGGGCTCCAACCCGCCACCGTCCCAGCGTCCCCGTTTCGAGTTGCACCGTCCAAAGGTGAGGCCTGGCGGGTTTTGGCGGGCCTGGCGGGTCAGGCGGGCAGGGCGGGCAAGGCGGGCTCGCTCTGGGCTGAGGGGAAGCTGCAGCCGAATGGGGCCCCGTCACCATACCCGCGAGCTCGGTTAACATATACGGAGTACACCACTGGCAACGTGCACGGTCCAGGTACTTGGGTACAAAGGCCATGCCCCTCTCTCCTTGCCTTAGGTAAGCCTGGCCTCCGCGGGCCAGACGCGTTTCTCCGACAACAAATCGCTGCAGCTGTTTGAATTCAGACTGCGACCGCCCGGCGGCTCTGGTTGACATCGATCCGACCCCCATCACGTCGACCACCACAGTCGCTACACCCGCGACAACCCCGCGACCATGCCTCGACCTGCTCAGAACCCCCGTGGGAGCAGCGTGAGCCGTGCTGGAAGCAGGGTCACCTCTGGTTCCATGCAGAATTCCCCCTTCAAATCACCCGTCAAGTAAGTCCGCCCATGGTAAACAAACCAGCCGCCGCGCCTCAGGCTCACCGCCAAACCCTTGTAACATAGGATCCCCCTCAACGACGATGCCGAGGAGAAGGCGCGCCGGGCCCACTCGCGCCAGGCACTCCAGGAGGCCCAAGTCAACAAACTGAAGGCCGCTGCCACCACCCCGCTGCGCAAGGCAAGTGTCAACTTGAATGACCTCGAGAACGAGACGCCCGGCTCGCCTCCCCAACGACAAAAGACACCACGCGCCAGGCAGCGGGGCACTCCAGGCGCCAGCGCCAGTGCCGGTGCGGCTGCCGGTGTAGATGACGACGATGTCGTGGTCTCCGGCTCGGCGGTGACGCCTATGAAGCGTTTACCAATATTGGCCAACTTTGAGGAATGGATGAAGATGGCCACCGACAACAAGATCAACGCCACAAACTCGTGGAACTTCGCATTGATTGACTACTTCCACGACATGTCACTGCTGAAGGAGGGCGACGGCGTCAACTTCCAAAAGGCCAGTTGCACATTAGACGGCTGCGTCAAGATTTACACCAGCAGAGTCGACAGCGTTGCTACCGAGACCGGTAAGCTTCTCAGTGGCCTGGCCGACAGTAGGGACAGCAAGAAGAAGAAGGACGATGGCGAGGACGGCGAGGGCGATGAGACCGACGAAGAGGAACTGGATGAAGATGGCAATGTCCGCAAGAAGCCGAAGCGCAAGGTCAGTCGACAAAATCTTCCACATACGACCAGCATCAATCGGGCATGTGCATGACTGACCTCTAAGCAGACTCAGCGATCGTCTGAGGCAACACTGGCGCCATCATTTGCTTCTTTGCAGCTCAAGAAGTTCGAACTGGAGTTTGCAGTCGATCCCTTGTTCAAAAAGGCCTCGGCGGACTTCGACGAAGGTGGAGCAAAGGGCCTGCTGCTAAATCATCTGATGATTGACTCCAAGGGCCGAATCGTCTTCGACAGCAGTGATGACTCGGCGGACTCTTCTGAGACCAAGAAGAAGCGAAAGAGACAGGGTGAGGACGAAGAAGATATCGACGATGACGAAGACGAAGACGACGAGGACGAGGAGGAGTCGGCGGATGCCACCATGAAGACAGTCGAACAACAGGAGGAAGACGAAGATATCGAGATCGATCTGGCCCCTCTTGCGGCACGATTCTTCCCTGATATATCCCGCCTGGATCAGATGGATGTCTGTCCTTCGCTCAAGACGTTCGAGATTGGAGACCCATCCGGGTCGCTGGATATTCCCTTCTTGAAAGCTCCTGATGACTGGCGTGAAGAGCAGGAGAGGGGCGCTGACGAGGCTGGGTATGGCAACAAGACCGGCATGGACCTCGATGACAACGGCCTCGGATTTGACGATGACGAAGGCCTTGGTAATTTTTCCATGGGAGGAGATGTCGCCTTTGGCGAAGGGGGTGAGGCCTGGGCGAAGGAAGCCGCGCTGGAACCGCAAATGCGTGTCTTTGATGCCGGGCTTGGCGACGACGGTGGGGAAGAGGGCGATGGAGATGACATGATGGACAATGACGGGAATGACGACTTCAATGTCTCCTTGATGCATCCGCAGAAACCAGACAGGATGCACGAAGACATTCTGGCATACTTCGACCAAGCACTGCAGAAGAACTGGGCAAGTGCTGAGCACTGGCGAATAAGGAAGATCAAGGATGTCAACAAGCCTGTGCAAACGAAGCAGCGCAAAGAGAAGGAGCCGTTTGAGATCGACTTTATGTCTCCTCTCGATGCTTCTCTTGCCGACACTCTCTACACACAAGCGTCATCCAACGCCACAATATCATTACCAAAGAAGGACTGGAAGTCCAAGACCAGGAACCTCCTCCCTGACGACAAGCATTTCAACTCGAAACAACTCCTCAGCCTCTTCCTCAAGCCCAAAGCCCGTATGGGTCGCCGGCGGAACTTTGGCCGGCGGCATGGGGGATTCGGCAACGCGGACGCCAATGCGAACGTGCCTGAAGGCGAGATGGACGAGGCATTCTGGGCGCGACAGAAAGCGCCTATGCAGAGCATCGAGGACGGTGATCAAGATATGGGGCTTCCACAAGGCGACTACGACGCGAATTTCTTCCAGGACGACGGACTGCCCTTTGCCGGCGGCCTCGATGACGACGATGATATTGACGAGTTTGCCGACGCGCGTGAGCAATTCTCGCCCGAGAGGGCCATGGAGACCATCGGTGCTACGGGCGCTTTCAATGGTCTCACGGTTACTAACCCTGCGGACCTGGCGTTTGGTACTATGCTGGTGACCCAGAACAGGCGGGTGCGGCCCGAGTACGTCAACTACGCACGGGTGGCAAAGAAGGTGGATGTGAGGAGGCTAAAGGAGGAGCTTTGGAAGGGAATGGACATGGAGAAGCTTGACTCGGTAAGTGCCCCATCACGCCGTAAAATTGACTTCAGCACAGTTATTAACACATCGCTCAGGTACCTCCGCCGTCTGCACCAGAGGAGGGCAGCGTGGAGCCTCCGCCACCCTCGGCTGAGAACCCTACGCTAAAGTTCACCGAGGTCATGAACGGCCTGCAAAAGGTCTATTCCAAGCCAGTGATGGATGATATCTCGACCAGTTTCTGTTTTATCTGCCTCTTGCACCTGGCCAACGAGAAGGGCCTGGTCATCGAGAAGACTGATGAGCTGACGGAGCTGGAGATCCGGAAAGACTGGACCGCGCAGGTTGTTGAGGGCGATATCTGACGAGGTTGCTTTGCTTTTTCTGTCAAGGGAAATTCAAAATCAGCGGATGGGGCGAGGCGTCCCCCTCCCAGGCCAGTGTGTATTGGTGGACGGGGACTTTACGTGTACGAGGGCACAAGAATAACTACAGGACGCGCATACACCGCATGAAAAGGAGTGGTGTATAGGATCCGGGATGGCCAGCGTTCGTTCTTTTTCTGGGAAGTCGGTTGTTCCCTTTGTATAATGATCAGGCCACGGGCTGCCAAGGGCTGGCTCTCTGCTGTACTTGGATGTTTGGATGGGCTCAACAAAGGCGGTATGGGAATGGCGGGCTGCCAACCACCGACAAGGATATAGTGCAGCTTTTTTCTTCTAACGAGCCGATTGATCACGGATGCGGCCCCTGACCGACCGACCACTCTTGTGCACGTACCCTTCGGCCCGAACAAGAAGCAGTGAACCGTGATAAGTCTGTTGTCTCGCGTGTCGTTACCGGTCAGGGATGACATTGAGACCCCCACGGGGCGCTGTGTGTTCGGGCGCATGCGCATACACAAAAGCATTGCGCACCATCCCGTGTTCCGCGCCGTGAACCAATTGCCTCGGGGGACTATTTGCTCCGTTGGCAAATGGGCGCACCGCCATCAGATGAGACTCTGTCGAATCAGCAGCAAGACCTAGGCGATGATCCAGTCGCTCTATTAGGCCCCCTTCGGCGTCCCTTGCTTTTCTTTCTCCCTGGGTGTCCCGCACAGGGCGGCTGCCTACTTCGCCTACTTTGTGATGTAGCCGCAGAAGACCTCCGCGTACCATACTGCCAGACTTGTCCTGCTGTATTACCCCTACCCTGCTTCCTCCCCGGAAATACAACATTGAATCAGCAGACCGTTGCTGACCGAAATGAACTGAGGCATGAAGTGGTTGCCGGATCCGTTTCCAACAGGGCCCAGCCATTATTGAGACTTGACCCCTCTCCCCTCCTCGAAGCTCATCGAGGTTCCGCGTTGATCTGATACTGGCCTTACCCTGAGGGGCCTGAGGGGATGGCCGAATGCTGCCCACTCTGGCTCCTGCGTGAGCCCATACCTTTCCCAAATTATATCGGATCGACCGTACCTGACCTCATATCGTCCTCACATTGGGAGATGGGTGGAGCAAACCCTCGACACGGTTCTTTTCCCAAATTTGCCTGACATCAACGCGTATAGATATATACGCAAGTGCTAAGTATTGACGTCACGGTGCTGCAATTTTGACAAATGGAAGTTCACCCAGGTGGACTTCTTGAGGGCGGGGGGCGATGCTCTTGTCACTTCTCATGTTGATATTCAGAGACAGAGTCACTGAGTTTCTTTACTCGAGTCTATCGCCACCAACCACGCCAGGCCTGGCACGCACAAGCTCACTTGTTCGACGCGTGCTGGCTACCACCACCCCCAGCTGATCCACTTGTACCGGTACCGTTGGCGCTTCCCGCCGGTGGCAACTCACCGGCCACGCGCTCGAAGGACGCAAGGAGCTCATCAATCTTGCCCTCCAAGGCTGTCAGGTTGTTCTCGAGCGCTGTTGCCGCATTCTCGCCGCTGTGTAGTCCCAGATTGTCTGTTAGCGAAGGACTAGTTTACAAGAATGCCGTGTAGTAAGTAGTATGATCGTCATCTCTGCTTCTTGCCCAGGGGTTTCTGGCATACCGATGCAATCTACTCAACAAGGGAGCCAGGGGGTAGAGGACGATAGGAGGAAAGGTTCCGCGCTGTCACAGCGTAGCGCAGCTAGGACTTTTTCGCAGGTTCGACTGTGATGAGGTGGCACGGGGCGAAATCCGCGTGAGACGGCATGTTCCAGACCCAGCGCGATGCGGTGGCGGCGACGGCGGCGACCCAAGTGATCGAGACTCTTGTGGATGGCAAAGACAAAGCGGGGACTTATGGACACAGCGTCGGACATCAAATCAATGCACATCTCAGGGGACAGATGCTAATGCGCTGGCAAAAGCCATCGGACCAAAGATGCAATTGTGGCCGAGGATGGGAAACCGGAGAATGCCACCTGGAATTCCAACGCCAAGGTACCATCGGGACTGACAAGAGACTGGTCTAGATTTCAAGCTGGTGCGTGCACTTGCTACGAGGGCATATCTGACGGCGCTTGTCCTGGGCTGGCAGTGTTCTGGATGGATGGATGGATGGATGGGTGGATGACTGACTGACTGACTGACACTGACTGGATTGCAATACGGATTTGCCTGCCACTTGGCGCATCCAGGGCCGGTAGAGGCCAGCCAGCAAGAGGTTCTAGATTCTCCAGATTGATAATTGATAAAGAATGAAGCAGCTGCTAGCGCGCCACCAAGTCGGGACAGTTCCGGCCAGGCCAGGCCAGGCCAGGCACCTGGCAGCCCATGTGACTTTGACGGCGCGTTGATCTTGCAGACTTGCAGAACGCGGATCAAACCCAACCAAGGGGAGGTTGGGAGGGAGGACAAGCTGAAAGTTAAAGTAAAACAACATGAACAACAACAATGATAAACAATCAAAAGGGTTCCTCACCGGGCGAGATCCTTGAAGGCCTAGACTGGCTGTTAGCAAGGGGTCTATACAAGAATGCACACTGGCATAGATAGCAGCACATGATATGTGCGGGGGGCGGGGCCACGGTATGTGATGGGCATCAGGCGACTCGAGAGCCGTCCAGGCGCGACTCTCTGTGCAGTACTCCGTACTCGGCAACTCGGTACTGTGATTCACCTCGTGCGGATGCAGGGTCGGACATGGGTGCAGGATGCAAGCAGAACTCAGGGTCTTGGGACAGGTCGGAAGGGGCCCATGAACTGGGGGTCTGAGTCGTCAGAGTCCCCCAACTTTGGGAGATGCGAACGAACACGTGGTTTGGGAAAAATAGCCGAGTGCGACGGGGTCGACTGTGCTGCTTTTTGCCTGGTGCGGTGCGTGGCGGGCTTTGCATACCTGGGCCAGTTCCTGCTCTGTCCTCGGTGGGCTTGTTGCTCCAGCTCCCTGCGCATCCTGGGCCTGACGGTCCGCTGGTGAGCCTGAGGATGGGCCGGGGGACGGGCTCGAGCCGGCTTCTTGTGAGGGCATCTTGGGTTGCTGACGGCCCAACGGACTGACGGCCAACGACCAGGTCGGTTGCGGGGGTCCAGGCCACAGTTAACGGCGGGTTGATATTGACACGAGGGATACAGCCTCGAACTCAATGCCTTGGACAGAGTTGTCTGAGATCTTGGAAGTGCCAGCCGATCTGGTTTGTTGTCACAGCGTAGACACCGGGCAGGAATCTGAAGGGTGCTGCGACCATCTGACAAGAGACACAGGACACCGCAGGGCGCGCACTATTTGGACCCTGTTTGCCTGTTTGGCCAGGATCAGCCAAACCTTGTTGCCGCCCATCGGCCCAGAACCTGTCAGATACAGCGGGCTGCGGCACAGCAGTGGGCTGCCCAAGTACCTCTGTCCCTGGGGCTGCCAGGGGCCTCCCTGGGTATACCCAGGTAGCTTCATCAGTGTGCGAGGCCACTTGAGGGAAAAGCTCTGCAGGGCCCGCCCGGCCTGGGCCAGCCCCATCGCCGGCAGCAGCCATGATTGGACGCCCGGCCAGGGCCCCGACAACACCAGAGCCGACGGTCCACAAATTCCCACGCTGCAACCTCGCCATGCGCATCGAATTTGGGGGAGGCATCGGATCGGCATGGGCCTGTTGTGCCTGTGAGGTGAGAGTGTGATGCTGACCACCACAGCCACCACCACCCGGGGCGGGCAGGTATGTAGGTACGTAGGTACCACAGTATCTGCGTACCGAGCAGCCGGCAGCAGGTGGGAGATGACACTGTGGGGGTGTAGGTATTCTCCAGCTTAGCACTGCTTTTGCCGTTGCTTCTTTGATCGTCTCTTGTCTCGCCCCATCTCTGCATGCACAGGTTAGAAGCTGCACAGGCGCGTCGTTCGGCAGGAGCGAGCGACACAGCCAAAAAAAGCACTTGTTTTGCATACAAGGCGTTGCAGCCGGCACTGCGTTAGCTCCTAGCCGAACTAGTTGACGTCGGCCCCAACAACGGTGTATCTGTACAAGCATGAGCTTGTACGCATGCAGTTAGGCACATCTACCTCGCCCTGGGTACTGAGTTCCTGCCCGGCAATATGCAGTCTGATTTTATAGAAAACAAAGAATGAACCATACTTCCTGTACCGCACCTCAACGTACATACAACCCTGGAATACACGGATACACGGCAAGTATTCGCTCATGTCTTGTACAGTGAGTCTTGCATGGAAGGATGCAAAACATGTGGTGGCTCCTTCCAACCTTCCAGGGGATCCATTTCGTATCAGGTAAGCAGATCTATGCACAATGGGCAATACTGCTGCTTTAGGAAGTGTTGTGTGTGAGCCCCCCCCCTTTAATTATTCTTGCCTTCTTCCATCCTCTTTCCTTCTCTTTCCTCGGCCTGCCCGTCGTGCCTTCGACTGCATGCACAAATGCATCGATGTATTCGCAGATCATGACGCAAGGCTGACATCGGCAAGGCGTAAAGCTGCACACCTCCCAACACGTCTGCTATCAAAACCCCGTCCGTTCTATATGGCATTTGTTAATCTGGTTCGACAATCCGATGGTCCACAGTCCATGGTCCATGGCCGGACGTCTAGGTCGATAAGCACTGGCCGCCACTGCAGTGAGTGGTCTAGACCATCAGCCTGCTAGCCCCTAGTGGATGGGTAAGTGTACTTCTCGCATCCCGTCACATCGAGATCTCAACAGTGGCATGTTTGACCCAAATTGCAACTGCACTCTCTCAACCCACTCCGTACTCCTCGACCTGTCGCAACCTCAGCCGACCCGGCGACCGACGGATGTTTAGGTGAAGATTTGCAGTGTACAGATGCACCAAGGCTTCTGATTACTGATCAAATCCCTGTGCTGTCGCAGAGACGTGCGTGCCCGGCAGGTGCAGGTCTTTGCTTTTGCCCAAAGGATTCCTTTTCATCTGCACCGAGCCTTGGGCCCTGCCTTACCACCCTACGTACGGTTGCATCTTTTTGCATGGCGCATGCATGTCCACCTGCAAGCCTATTATGTGCCTACGGCCTACGGCCTATGGCCTATGGCCTACGGGACAACCGCGGCAGACATGAACCGCGTCTCCTGATGTGGGGGATGAACAAGGGATGGGATGGGATGGGATGGGAAGGGATGGACACCAGTGCTCAGTGCGACGCGAGTCGGCAGCCACCTGTCTCTGCCCGGCTCTCGCAATTCCGCGTTTCCGCTCTCCGTCGCGTAAGTCAGATTTGGAAACATTGCAGAAGACGATATCTGTGTCCAAATACGCGTATTGAGCCCTGCCCGTGGGATGATCCCCAAGTCTCGGGGGGGGGGGGGTTATGTCTCTGCACTCAAGTGCTCCGCCCTGACCCGGGAGAGCCGTGGCTAGGTGGCCATGGAAACATGTTGAACCTCAGTGCTGTACTGCCACCTCCAAATAGAATTATTATGGGCAGCAACATACATCTGACAACAATGCAGGCAAAGGCCGAAGCTGGGAGAGCCCGTCCACTCTGATGCTGGCGATGAGATGCTCCCGATGGGATGCTCCCTTTTCTGCCCACCTGCCTGCCTACCTATTCCGTGCCAGTTCCGGGGCAGCGCCTCTGTCCCGGCGTCAAACAATGCCTACTACTAGTACTATAACGTCGACAGGAGCGCGCTGCATTATACGGCCAGCCCATGAGTATGCACAGAGTTAGTGCCGTCTTGCAATGCCGGCTGCATCTATCCAGACTAGGACAGGGATATCCAGTTCCACGATCGCCTCGATAGATTCGATGCTCACCCGCGAGGTGCTGGGGTTCAAAGAGGCCCTTGCAATCGCCAAATCTTACACTCATCGAAGACCCTCATCGCGAGTAATACACTTGGTCAAGCTATACTGTACATTCGCCGGGCGCCGGGCGCCTCTACACAGTGTACTCCATACCTCGGGTGCGCTCTCGCATGCCTAGCTACCGTGACATCGAGCTGCGAAACAACCCCCACCTCCTGGGGCTCCGGCTAAGTCAGCCTCGGTGGCCTTCCTCCATCACCAGACGAAGGCCACAAGGTTCGGAGAACAAGTTTATTGCATCATCTGTTGTATGAGCGCAGACCACCACCATCGATCGCAGTCCCCAGGCTCCGGCGTCATTGGCAAAAATAGCCATGGGTGATTGGTCTAGGGACAATGAATTCGCATCCTGACCACCCCTCCACCCGTGAATTCTGCATTGCCATTCCCATAGCACTCGTACGTTTTCTCTATGCCGTTGCGGGCGGATCGAGATCTGGCCTGGACACGCCATGCTCTTAGCCTCTCTCTCCCGGACCTGAGGTCTCGTCCATGTACTGGAGACATCGCCCAACCTTCAAGCACCAGACAGCGCTGGGCGGGCCGTGATGCTGCTGTCTTCTTTGCGCCTGGCCTAGGAAATACGTCCCTGTTCAACTTGCTCACAATTTCCATGGCTTTACTGTGTGTTCTTCCAGCACGGCCCCATGCCCCCTCCCCGGCGCCCGGCTGCCCGGCCATACAGTAGAGGCCCGCCGACTTGTCCAGGCCAGGCTTGTTGTGCAAGGTTTGAAACCAATTGGCGTCCTGTCTTTTTTTTTTTCTTTGCAAGCCTTGCGAGCCTCCTATTACTGTGCGGGATCACTGCCGTTCACTGCTCGACGGGCTGTCCCTGCATGAGGGGCACCATGCCCGGCGACGGCCGTGATATACACTATCAGGAGCGCCCACAACATGTGCAGATGGTCGGTAGCGTGCAATCTGGGATGGTCAAGGTCTACAAATTGGCCGAGCACAACGGTGGTGATGACGACGGCTATGATTCGTGTAGTCCATCCGGCCAGATCCACCTGCAGCAAAGGAAGCGCGAGCCACAAAGGTGTGGTGCGTGCAGCAATGGGTGTGTTATAGGTGTTACTGGCGCTGTGCAGCACGAGCCTGGCGGCACGGATGTCTCACAGCCGTCTTGCATGACCGGTCGTTGCGACCTGTCGCTATCGAAGGCCCATAGCCAACCAGGAGGGAGGCCAGGGGCCACCTGCTCCGGTTCTAGACGATCTCCCATTATCATTATTATTTCTTCCACTCCCTGTCTTGTACCATCTCTGCCGCCCTTGAAGAAGAAGGAGGAGGAGGAGGAGGAGAAGAGAATGAATGAAGGAGAGGAAGATGAAGGAGAAGAAGGCGACCGAGACGGACAGGCAGGCAGGCAGACGCAGTACCCAAGCAGCAGTCAGGCGACGCCGCAAAGTGCCTGTCGTCCCCGGGTGGTCGAGGTATACTTCTCAAAGTGGTCAAGCGTCATCTGGAGTCGAGGTACCTCTGACATAATGGTACTTGTGCCCCGGTTTTCTGTCTAAGATCGCGATGGGCTGCCCTCGTCCTCCCACAGCCACCTGTTGTTCTTTTTTCGCACAACCAGGCACCCGGGGACTTGGGCCTTGGACATTTTTCTGGTTTACCTTTTGGTCCAGGATCAGGATTGTCCACGCCCACGCCAGAGAGCAAGTAGTGTGCCAAGGCTGGATATTACGACATACTGCCCTCCGCGCGTGGCAGACGCTTCTGACGATTTCGATCCGGCCTGGGTTCATGGTTGTCCTTGCCTGTCCCTGCCTGGCCTGCCCCAGCCCGACCGACCGTTTGCCCAGTCAACCCACTCAAGTGCGGCTATTAGGCCCCTCTCCCGTGTTTTTCAACGTTGTGAGGCGAGGTCTCCATCACCGAGGGTACCTGACTCTCTGGATCCCGTTTTTACTTTGGCAGGTCCTCCGTCACCACGACAGGTGACCCACGACGTGCCTGGCCTTACACCGTCTGTGCAGACTGCCCTGTCCTTTTTACCAACCAAGGCCCGCGCCCCCGGCCTCGCTGCTCGCTCGCTCAACGTGCTACGTCGTTATGGTTCCCAGACTCCTCGACAGTCCGGCCGACGTCCAAGTGTAGCAACCCTCTCGCCCACAGCCCACAGCATCTCGATCCGAGAGCATCCTCTTGTCCCTCGTGCCACTCCCCCCCCCCGGGCTTGAGTAAAAGAAGAACCCAAAAGGTCTCTTTTGGAATTGCTCCCCACAGGCGCAGGCTCTCCGGAACTGATCGACGGAAAAGCCATTTTCGATGTATGTGGCCTAGCAGCAGGCACCTTGCCCATACCCTGGAGCAGCACACTTGAAGCTTTCCCATCTTGTGCCACACCTTCTGTCATCGAGATCCTCGACATCCGGCCCACTCTAATTAGTGTGTCATATGCCGTGAGCCCCCATGTTCAGCCCTTCTAATATTCTCATCAGGAGCGCCATACTTTCCCATACAGCTCTCAACTCTTCAACCTAGCACCGCCGCCCCCAGGCCACCACTCCCCACTGCGGAAGAGCACCGAACACCCGGGACCATACCACCTCAATACTTCGCCTACCACGGAGACAGTACGACGGTTCCCGACGACACGCACGTTCATTCCTGACTCGACCGAACAGCATGCCCGCCCCCCTCGCATAGCATCGCATACGAACAACAGCTGACGCGACTGCCCTGTATACTCGCATTCGAAGCTGACGTTGTGGAGACTTTCGCTCCGGTTTGTTGGGACTGGGAAGCACCCGAGCAGGGCTCTCCCACAACAGGCGCCCGTGCCCGAGTATCGTGACCGTCCTCCGAACCTTGAGCGACAGCTTTTGCTACTCTTGGACCTGCTTCATCGACAGTCAACAGCGCCGGCCTCACGAGGCCTTGACCGCACACACTAATTCTATGCCGAGGCGATAACCCGCCTTCTGCATGTCGCCGAAATTACAAGAGGTGTTTGGGGAGCTGGGCATCTCGCAATACCTCGATGTCTTTCTCGACCAGGGCTTTGATACGTGGGAAACGATCCTCGACATTACCGAATCGGACCTGTGAGTGCAGACTGTGGGAAGAAAAGATACCTGATACGGAGCAACCGATCTGACCTTGGCCGTGGCTGACAGAGACGCACTTGGGGTGAAACTTGGTCATCGACGGGTAAGTTCAGAGAACACCACCCCTTGAAGCTAGTCAGTAGGCCAGGGGCGGCATTGACAGAGAATGATAGAAATTGCAAAGAAGGATTGCCAATGCCAGAGGGGTAGCACCTGACGTGGCATTGGCCTCGCCGACGAGGGCAAGTGCCGAGGACGTCCGCGCCGGCACCGAGGTGCAGAAGCCGGAAGCCCCTGCGCTGCCGTCCACAGACTCCCGAGAAAATGTCAATGGTGTGGTCCAGAAGCGCAAATATCGGCGGCATCCCAAGGTACGTTGAGCAAGTGCACTCTTCGAGGGCCCTTTAGCAGGCGCAGTTGTGACGTTCACTCGCGCACACCTCTGTTGGCCTGACCCCTTCCCGCTTCCTCCCTGGACTTGGACCATTTGTATTGGCCATGACGGTGGACAGAATAATCAACTAATGACGGAGCCTCTCACAGCCGGACGAGAATGCACCAGAGCGCGCACCTTCGGCATACGTTTTATTCTCCAATAGTGAGTGCACTTCTAGACGCACACGCCGAACCCGTATTACGGTCGTTTCATGACCCCTTGCCATACCCATGCGGCACCGCTTGCTCTTGTCTATTTGTTGAACCCACGTCCTTGACAAGCAATGGTTTTTGGTTTTGAGCGGACCTTGCGTTGGTATAAGCAAAGAAAATGGTAGCGACTAACGACATCTCTTGCTGGCAGAGATGAGAGAAGATCTCAAGGGTCAAAATTTAACCTTCACTGAGATTGCCAAACTGGTCGGTGAGAACTGGCAGGCGCTAACTCAGGCCGAAAAGGAGCCCTATGAACGGGATGCCCAAGCGGCCAAGGAGAAGTATAACCGGGATCTGGCCGAATACAAGAAAACGCCAAACTACAAGAAATATCTCCAGTATTTGCAAGAATTCAAAGCCAAACATGCTAATCACCCCCAAGGTGAGTGAGGGTGGTGTCGGTTGACCGCTTCAAACGCTACTCAAATCGAGTCTGACCTGACGGGAATTTATAGATAAAGAGGTATCCAAGAGAGTGAGGCTGTCCGATCCAAACATTGGGGAATCAGCGGCTGTCAATGGCCACTCAGGCCGGGTTGTGAGGGCGGGGAGCATTGGCGATCACAACGGCGAACCGGCAGCAAGACGGCAAAGAATTGGGTCAATTGTTTCTAATGGCGAATCGTATTACGCACCATCCGTCGCCTCGATCTCCCAGCGCACGCCAGGTGAGGAGTCCGTCCTGACCTCACCAGCCGCAAGCTACTTTGACCGCCGCTTCGACCGCCGGCGAGAGCAATCGCCCGGCCTCGCCGGCAGCCCCAGGGACAGCTGCGCCCATCCACCAGCCCCGCCGCGACGCGATCCCGTACACGTGGACGGGCCACGTGCCGACGGTCCCCCCATGTCGCGCAGCCTCCCTCCATTATCCGACGTGTTTGAAGGCCGGCCCATGCTGAACGGCACCAGCCATTCCAGCGAGGCTCCCATGCAAAATATGGCGCTGCTTCCGAGGGGTCTTCAGACCGCTAGCCCAGCAACCACACCGAGCCTAAGCGGCGGCGAATCCAGGCCGCCGTCTTTGAAGAAGGAACAGTCCTCTGCGGGCAGCATGTCGTCAGCAAGCTCGGCATATAGCAGCTTTCCACGGACTCCCGTTGAGGGACCACTGCCGATACACGCCCTCCTGTCAGGCGGGAAACCGTTCCCTCCGTACGACGTTTCCTTTGCAGCAAACTCGGCCATCCATGGCCGGTCAATGTCACCCGATGATAGGCCTGCCATCTACCCATTGGAGCGACCACCCAGCGATCCAACCCCTAGTAACCATGCCCTGCCACACATAAATGGTTTGTTCGAGTCCCTTCCACCAGCGGCCTGTGAATACGGTCAGACTGACCGATTTCTCACAGGCTACACCAAGGGGCATGCTCCTGTCATGAGTCAAAACCACACACCAGTCGGCCGCCCCTCATATTCCCCTGCATACAATGAGGCGCGGTTGGCGCCGGTTGCCACACCAGTGCCCCCGCCAGCACCGGCACAGGGACCACCGCCGCGACTGGTTGGGACGAATGAACCTGGTATGGATGGTATTAGTGCCCTCCTCCAAGCGGACAAACTAGCCGACCGCCGCGCAGCATGAGCAAACGACAAGGGTGTAGTTGAGACTGGGCTGAGGCGAGAAGAGCCTGGATTCACAGAGGTTGAGATACCGCACACCTCATTGGGAAGCCCTTCACATCCGCGGACTCGGATTGCCACATTTTGCGACATGTTGGCCACAGTTCGTCGCAGCGAAGCCCGATTGTGAGAAATCCCGCTCCCTCGCTACGTATGGACTGTGCGCATCGAATTTTTAAACGAATACTTGCCAAAATGGTGAAGCAAACCTGCAAGGAGGCACGCGCAGAATATCAAGGGAAGACCGGGCGGAGGTGTTTGTTGCGCCGGCGTTTATTGGATCCGAGTCCATGGGATCTTGTTTGAAGGCCGCAATAGCGAACGGGGGAAGGAAGCGACTCCAACAATCTGGACATTAGGGACTCTTTTCTTGGACCGAGATGCATCATACCACACACCGGTCCTCCACAGCCAGCGTTCAGCCGGCAGTACGATGCCGAAAGATTGGGAAAGGACGGTGGTGAATGAAGGGAGAACCCGCAGGTGACAGTCTCATTTTCATGTGCGCGCGAGACGAGCTGTGAGTTGGAAACAGCAAAAGTCTGTCCGTCCCACTGTGCGATTATTGTATCCACTGAACACCAGGGTCAGTCGGTGTGGCCGTGGATGGAGCAAGAAGTGAGCGCGCCGTCACCACGGCACACGTATAAGTCAGTACCAGTAGCCTCGCCTATGGGCACTGCTGAGAATCAAGGCTCGTGACGAGCTGGGTTCAACCATATATCCACTGTATTGTGTGTGTACTTGAGTCTAGAAGCGAAGGCACCGTGGGCCTGGCGCAGAGTCAATGCTCGGCAACTCTGTTGATAATCTCGTCTCGTCTTGATAAGGTGTATGTATAAAATAGAGTTGTCGTCGGTACGGGCCGTTCTTGACCAAGGTTTTATCGCAGTCTGTGATTTGATTGAAGATCCGGATCGGCGGTCCAGGCGCATTCTGGGTGCATGGCTTGTACGACCTTGTGCCCCGCGTGTGCCGTCCGCAGTCGGTGCCGCACTCGACAAAGAATGTTTGGGTTCATGGGAGGGAGGGTCGGGTTGTCGGGATAAGCCTAACAAGGCCTGTGAGTGTGCCAGGCATCTTCCTCGTTTTGCCTCGAGCACATGGCAGCGATTGGTCTTGTTTTGGCGGGCAGAAAGATGGGCAGAATAATTGGTCGGCCAGCCAACGAATCCTGGTGGCCGTTTTCCGGGTTAGCGCCGCAGGCCTGCAGGACATGTGCAGAGCAAACCGAGTGAAGTTGCAGCAGCACCAGCTGCCCAGCCCCCCTCATCTCTCGCCCTCTCTCACCCCCCCCTCTCTCTCTGTCTCCAGCCAGCGTCACACCATGTGCAAGTTGGGTTCGCCTCGTGGAGTAGTCTGACTGGAGCCGCCCGCCCAAGCAGCCCAAGCCTGCAGGCCCAAACGAGAAGTGCCCTGACCGCCGTGGCGCCCAAGCTCTTTCTTGTTGCGGCTGATGAGCTCCAGTCCTTCCTTGTCCGCTCCATCCTGCCCCATACTTTGATTCCCAGCCTTCCCCATACTAGGATGGGACCTATACACCAACCCCCCAGTACATAAACAATTGATTGCACTTGCACTTGCACTTGCAGTACACAATTGTTATTATTACTTCAGCACTGCATTTCGACATCCACAACAGACAGAGGTGACACTGGCTGGTGATTTAATGGAGACATGATAGTAAAACCCCGATGATAGCGACAGCATAGAAATCCTCTCCTCCCCCCCTACCCCGCCGAAGCTGTCTGTCGAGACCATGAGCGACCGCCGTCGCCGCTGGAGCCCGGAGAGCTCACGGCGCAGGCGCAAGGCCAAGCGGGACTCGAGAGAGCAGCTCGTCCTAGACGAAGCTTCCTCCATGGCCCCTGACCCCAGGCCCGTGCCCACCGCGACAGAGAGCACATTCGCAAGCTCATATTCCTATGCCTACCCGGGGGCACCTCAGAGCCACGTGCCCTCGTCCTCATTCCAGTACCAACCCGCCCAGGGCCCGGACCAGCAGCCCCTCCCCGGTGCCACGGGAGGGCCCATTACCATGAGGAGCAACGATGACATACGGTCCTCGGCACCGTTGCCCATGCCCGGCCCGTCTCGTGGCTATGACCACGAGCGCGGTCGCCGGCAGACACGGAGAAGTCGCCACGGCTCGCCCTCGAGCTCCGATGCACTGTCGCTGTCCTCGTCCGGCAGCTCATCCTCCTACCTGGACATATCACGATGGTATCCGAGCTACGGGCGGTCGGGGGGCGTCCTCAACGCGTTCTTCAAGACGCCCTCGGAGCGGAGGCAGCGCGCACGACGCCGCCGGAGCCTGAAAAAGAAGAACAGGGGCATATTTGCGTTCGGCAACAACTCGTCGTCCTCCAGCGTCAACTCGGACATGGCGTACGGCATGGGCTTCGTGAGGAAGCCCAAGAGCCGCGCCTTTAGCCCCCGCCGCGAGCGCGCCGCCACCCTGGACAAACTGGAGGGGAGGCCGCCGCAGGTCCAGCGGCGCCAGACCGACGAGGAGATACTCGAGATCGGGCGGAAGCTGGCCAAGGTCGCGAGGGACTCCAACAAGGAGGATCTGCGCGCCATGGGAAAGAGGCCGTCGAGTCAGTTCTCGGCTGCGCAGGACACCTGGGACAGGTACGCGCGCCAGACCGGCGCTGGGTATGCCGCCTCGAGCCGCGGAATTGCACCTTCAAAACACGGCCGACACTCTTCATCCTCGTCCGATGACGAGTGGGAGTCGGCGTCCGAGGGCGAGTACAGCAGTGACGAGAGCAACTCCGGGCTGGCCTATGGCGCTGCGGTGGACCTTGGCAGGCCGTCGCCCCCACCAAAGTCCTCGGTGAGCAGGCACTCCGCGGTGCTATCGGCCCGGCCACCAGAAGATATCAGACCGCCCGGCCGTAAGTCGTCGGCCGTTGACCCTAGGCTGTTCGGCCCGGTCAACTCGCTACGCGGGCTTATCAGCACACCGTGCGGGTATGGTGACAGGAACAGCGTCTATACCATTCCCGGGCCCGCAGAGCAGAGGTATGCAGGTTCTGCGGGCACAGCGGAGAGCGCCTCGATCGAGGCCCGGCCGATGCAGACAGTGTACCCCGTGCAAACGTCGGACCCTTCGAGGATAGACGCCGCGAGAGCCTCAGGCTCGCTCGTGTCGTCACAGCCCGGTTTCTCGGCTCTGTCGCGTGAGCCATCCCACTCGTCACGGCGTCCTGAGCCAATACCAATCCAGGCCCCAAAACCTATTGCTCCGGTCCCGACTAGCATGTACGATGAGCAGCGGATCCGTGACCCAGAACAGACTTCTCCACGGGCATCTCGGATCAGGCCAAGCGAGAACAAGACATTTGCCGAGACAGCCTTGGTGGGTGCAGGTGTTGCGGCGCTCGGCGCAGCAATCATGGCCGGCCGTGACAAGGGCAAGGGCAAGGAGAAAGAGAGGGATTCTGAATCGAGGCATGGGCGCCATGAGAGATACGGTCATGAGGATCATCGTGAGGATGAAACCGTTGTGCAGGACTCACGTCGCGCCAAGGAGCTTGCCCTCGAGAAGGAAATCGCGAGGCTCGAGAGAGCCCTTTCGGAGCGCAACAAGGCTCGAGAGCAGCGGAAACGTGATTCGAAACGGGACAGTGCACCCGAGCTATCTGGTGGCCGGGGAGCCGATGCGGACGCGGAGGGTGATTATGAGAAGAGGCGCCGCGACCGCGACTCAAGATACAGTGAACCCGACTACAGCTACGAACGACCAGAACCAAGCAGAAGGGTTAGTGAGCCTGGCGAGCGGCCAGCCCTTGCTAAGACCGGCCAAACCCGCGGCACTGAACTCCCGGCCGTCCCCTCGTCGAGCGGTGTTGACGTTTTCCAGTTTCAGGTCCCCGACGATGCGTTCAGAGCCAGGGATAGTCCGCTCAGAGCGGCTTCTCCCGTCATTATCGATGTAACACCAGCACCCTCGCCTCCTCTGGAAGAAGAGCACAGAAAGAGCCGGCGTGAATCATTCGAGGATGAGCTGCGTGACGCCAAACACATCTACGAGGAGTCTATGCATTCTACGGCCCCTATCTCGGCTGTCGACATGGCCGCCGCTATCGCAGCCACCGAACGGGCCCGGCATCGCGATGAGCCTGAACGTGGCCGCACGCTGACCAAGACACAAGATCTTGTCCAGGAGAATGCCAACGCCTATTACCACGCCCGCCGGATGGCCGAGAGGGAGGTCAGCTCCCGCAGCCGCAGCAAGTCAGATGAGCGCTCTGTGATTGAGAAGTACGACAAGGAAGTGGAGAATGAGGCCAGCGGCCATGAAATCATTCGCATTGTCACCCCGCCAGAGATGCAGCAGAAGCCGCAGAAGCACAAGTACAGCGAGCCCAACGCCGATTTCAGGTTCGACAATCTGATGAGCCCCAAGGACCTCGATCACTTCAGACCTCATGAGTACCTGGTGCGCGACCCGTCTGCGGAACGCCCACGGCCTCTTCTGAACCTGGTCATTCCGACACCTGTGCCTACACCCACCCCGGAGAGCCAGAAGAAGAAGTCTGAATCGCCAAGATCGATCGAGCCGGTGGCCAAAGAGCCCGCGAAGGAAGAGGTTCCTGATGTTGTCATCTCGCCTAGGGGAGAGGTCGTTGAAGCACCGCAGACCCCGTCATCCAAGCGTGTCTCTTGGGGACCCAGTGAGACCCAGCAGTACGAGGTCGAGAGCCCAGAAAGATCGTTGGAGCGCAGATCCCGCTCCCATGAAAGGGAGAGATCACCAAGCAGGAGCAGCGGTTGGGGCGCCACGGCCGCTGCTGTTGCCGGCATTGCCGCAGCTGCAGCGCTATCGAAGGACGATGAGCCCGAGTCATCGAGCCGTGATCGCCGCGTTAGGGACTCTGTGGGCTCAAAGTCATCAGAAGGCTCGCGCTCCCCGCCCAGCCGCAAGGTCCTGCCCAAGGGCACCGCACCGTCTCGGGTCCTGGACGATGAACCCGAAGACGTCCCGCCTGCGCCCGGCCCAAAGCCTGCCAGCCCGCGCAGCTCACAAATGCCCGGCGCGTTCGCGGATGACCTTGACTTCGCAGCGACGCTGGCTGCTGGGTTGCAAGATACCGGTTTCGACCCCAACATTGTCATTGAGGACGCTGCGTACCGCAGACGCGACTCACCCCCTGGCTCAAATGAGCATACAGGTGTGTATATGCAGCCTTACTCCGAGACCGTGACCGACCTTGGTGTAATTGATCTTGGAGATGGGTCTCGATCAGGACGAGAATCTGGTTATGTCATCGGTGAGCTGGCAGATACGCCCGCCAGTGAGAGGGGATCCGCATTTGAGCCGGCCGAGAGATCTTCCCGTCGACAGTCAAGGTCAGAGGAGACGCGATCCATCGGCAGTGACAATATTGAAGTGATCCAAGACCCAGAAGAGGGGTCTCGAAAGCTCAGTAAGAAGGAGCAGCGGAAGCTCGAGAAGGCCGCCCGCTCTGCGAAGCTCGCTGAGGAAGAAGAGCGGACGTCTCAGCCAGCAGAGGCCGGCGATGATGACTGGGAGGAGGCGTCTACTTCTCGGAAATCCAAGAGATCTTCTAAAAAGTCAAAACGAATGAGTGGTGGCTGGGATGACGCGGATACGCCTGTGAATGATAGGCGTGTCTCTGTCCCAGTGGATGCTTATGACGACCTGGACGACACCAAGCAGGGAAACACCGTTTGGGAAGAACCGCAGAAGACAAGCAAGTCGAAGCGCGACTCCAGGGGTTACGACATCGTGGAGGACTCTACTGATCGGCGGGAGAGGCGCCGGGAAGAGAGAAGAAGATCTGATTTCTACGAGCCGCTCGATAGGGATGTCACCTCTGTGGTATCTGATTCCAGGCACGAGGACCGATCGAATGGTCATCAACTCGACGATGACAGATCTGTGGTTTCCGCTCCAGACGGCAAGAGAGACAGCAAATCCGACAAGAGGAGTAGCAAGGAGGACAAACGCAGCAGCGGTGGCTTCTGGGGCCTATTGAAGGGTTCCAACAGCGTCGACGGCGAAAATCAGTCAAAAAAAGATAACGCCGGCACTCTTGGCGCGGGTGCCGGCGTAGCGGGAGCCGTAGCAGCACTGTCCTCTCTCGTAGCAGACAGCCTCGCTTCGCGCTCTGATGCCGCCGAAGCTCCCCTGGAACAAGAGGAGACCCAGTACACCATAGTTGATGTCGAACATCCCTCGGAGCGGCGTGCAGACAGCCCTAGTAGAGGCATCGATGTCTTCGATTTCCAAGACCCGGAGATCACGCCTCGGGTCATCAAACCTGCCATTGATCCCCAGTATGGCGACCTCCTCCCGCTCCCACCGAGTCCTAGCGAGGAACAGAAACTCGACTTCGAAGTCGGCGAGGACCTACCCTCCCTGCCAGATAGCAGACCTGCTACGCCCCCTGGCCAAGAGAAGCTGCCGCGGCGGGAAAAGCGTGACAGCAGCCAGAAACGACCCGGCTTCCCTACACACTCCCGTCGCAGAAGCGCCTACGACATGCCCCTCAAGTCTCCAAGCCACACAGCGATCCCTATTGCATTCCGCATGGGCCAGCGGTCTTCAATTCCAGTCACACCTAGAGTCGTCAGCAACCCTACCTCGGCACAACAATCGCCTTCGGTGCAGTCCAATGAGACTTTCAGCCCCTCCACACGAAGGTCGCCTCGGCCGCCATCTTGGGATAGACCTACATCATGGGAGAGCACCCGGGAGATCAAACCGCTCTACCTGATCGAGCGGTCGGCTCATGCGGATCAGGACGCTGGTGATCATGTCCGTGATGACGCGGCTGAGAACACACCGTTGCCCCCGAGCAGAGACTCTGAAACGCCTGCGCCTGATTTCGAAGACCGTGGCGATACCAAAACAGAAGACCGTAGTCTTGAATCTGCACCGTTATTCGTCGACACAGCGGCGGCGAGGGCTGCTCCGCTGGGGTCCCAAGAACCTACGCCTAAGGGGCCGAACCAGACCGATTCTGGGCTTCCAGATTCAGCTCGAGAGCTTGACGTGGTTCCAAAGGATGTGAGCGGCCCCAGTCACATTGACTCTGGCTTGCCTCACTCAGCCAAGGACGTCGATACACAATTCATGGCGGAAACGCACCCGAGCTCTCGGCTGGAATCGAGCTACGCCACACCGACCGGGTCCCCAAACATTCAGGCCCAGGCACGGCCTGAATTTCAGCGTGATGAATCTACAGAGTCAGTCTCGGACTTCCAGGACGCTCTGGATAGACCCGCGCTTGTCGAGGACGTCGATAGCGGTCGTTTGGAGGAGATCAGCCGCAGAGTCGAGGAGGAGCAGCGTCCTCACCAAGTGGAGGCTACTTCTGAAGACAAGAAAGACAAGCCAGGCTTCTTCTCGGCCGCCCTGTCGATGTTACCTGTTGCAGGTCTAGCTGGTGCCGGAACTCTACTGGCACGTGGATCACGCGACGACGCAGCAGCAAGCGTGGATGACCACCCCACCAAGAGCACTCAAGAACCTACTTCAAAGTCAATCGATCAGCCGGGCGAGGCCAGCGTTGTTCCCGAAGTCGAGGGAGGGCATGTCGCTGTGACCAGCGATCAAAAACAAACTCCGCCAACTGCAGGTGACGGCAAATCGGGTGAAGACACACCTTTGGACACTCTTGGGGATGCTGACGTCTTGGCGCCCAACGACTCATCTGCAACACACATGCGCCCTGAAGAGCCCATTGCCATCGATGACGCAAACGTCACTTCGTCTCCGCCGTCAACTAAACTATCTGAAAATGAGCCTAGCACAGGCCTGACACAAAGCTCAAAAGACATGGAGACGATTCCAGAGACACCCATTGATACAGTTGAATGGCCCGAGGAGAGTACGTCCAAGAAGAAGAAGGGCAAGAAGGGCAAGAAGAAGAAGAATAGTGTCGGCGCCGCTTCTCTTCCGGTGGCGTCCGCGCCAAGCGTAGTACCTTCTTCAGACGTGCAGCAAGACACTCCCGTCCAGGAGGAATCGATCTCAAAGCTCATTGAAGAGCCTACATCTTTGCCGCATGGCACAGCGGTCTCACCGGACCCCATATTCCAAGCGGGCGCCGCGCCTCATGTTGAGCCTGGCACTGGCCTCAGTTTCGAGGAGAGCCCACCAACGGCCGGCGAGACAGATGTCTCATCCTCGCCTCGCCAAATCATTGAGGAAGGCCAAAATCTGAGGGACGAACCACAGCATTTGCCCAACCCAGATGAGACTTCTACAACCTGGGGCGCTATTTCTCATCCCCAAGGCCAAGATGACGAGCCCCAAGTTGGCAACCACAGTCGCAGATTGTCATGGGACGGGACAAGGTTGCGATCGTCGCGCCGCAGCTCATCAGCGCGTGACCCAGCTGTCCGGGATGGATCACCGGATATCTTCTACAGCGGTGATGAAGCGCCAACATCTATTCACGCCTCTGCCGGGCAGCAGTACGAGAAGACTAGGCCTCTGCCATCGTCCCAAAGGTCGTCCTTGGCCTCTGCACACGGCTCCGAACGGGGTGATGAGCCTCGGTCCGGTGACGCTGTTACCTCTGAGCAACCTGATACCAGTTCTGATGGACATGAAAAAATGCGAGACGTCCAGCAAGGTCTACCAGGACAGAATGTGGGCATCGAAGAACTCATCGAGAGCCCGCCGGGAGTTGTGGGACAACGTGTCTCTAGCCCATTGACTATCATTGGGGAGAGCAGCTCTGCACCTGAGTTCCATGACGAGTCCGAAGGGAAGTCATCTGGCATAGTTGACGAATCTCCCTTTGTACAGCCGCATCCTTTCACGGACCAAGTTCAGCGCATTGGAAGCCCGACTTTTGAAGCCCCACGACGAGGAATTGAAGCCATCGAGAGCCATTCGCAAGAATCCAGCGCAGCAATCATGGAGCTTACCTCGCCAACTTCACCTTCAAGGGCGGAGGAACGAAGCAGAGAAGGGCTTGCACTTGAGCCACTCGACGAGACTCCCGGTGCGACTGTGCCACGCTTACTCCATGACCCGCCAATTACAAGCGATGAAGCTCTTCTTTCCCCGAGTGATTCTGTTTTGCAGCAGAATGTGCCAGACGAGCTCCCGACAGATACAACCGGTGGAAAATCACAGATCTACGAGCCGGAACTCGCTGTACAAGATGACTCGCAACAAAAAATTGAATCCGTGGTCCCTACTACACAGATAGAGCAGACTGAGGAGGTATCTAGCCGCGCCATCGAGGAAGAAGCCAAGGGAGACATTCCCAGCTCGCCCCCGCGCCAATCTCAGGAATCTAGCGAGCTAGAGCACTCTGCTGCCCAAGACCTTCCTAGGTCAGTGCTACAAGAGACAGACCCGATTCTAGCTTCAGGGGAGGAAGACGACAACACTTTCGCCGTGAACACGTCCAAGAAAAAGGAGAAGCGGAAGAGCAGCACGATCATTGGTCAAGCCTTTGTATCTTCTGACCCAGCAACGCTAGAAGCGTTCGATCCCAGCGTGGAGTCAGCCGAATCAACCTTCGAGACTTTCACAGGTCATCGAGATGAGATTGGCTTGAAAGATTCGTCCTCTGCGGTCAAAGAAATGCCCTTGGAGCCCGAACAGCAGTCTATACACGCGGAATCCGCTCTTTTGCAGGAGCCGAGCAAAGAAATGGACCCCGAGGGTGTTGACAGCGGACTGGTCAAGCCAACGATTCCTCTGAGCGTGGACAAAGTCCCTGTCGAGTCCCTCGACATCGCGGGTCCAACCGTCCTTCGAGTCTCGGATGATGTTCCCGAAGAGATCCCAATCTCAGACCTAGAGAAGCCTGGCCTTGAAATACAAGAGAAGCCCGCCGAGCTCCTTGATGCAGACGAGATAGCACGCCGCGAGGCCGAGGCTGATCTCATCCGCGACGAGGAGGCTGAAATGTCCAGGTTGCAATCGAAAAAGAAGCTGAAACCCAAGGAAAAGACACGTCTCAGGCAGTTGAAGGCAAATGCCGACAGACGTGCTGAAGAGGCCACAGCCTTGGAGAAACCAACGCCTCCCCTCGAAGACATATCTGGAGCTCAACCGCTCGACAGTCCGCTTCCAAGAACGGCGGAAGAGGAGACTACTTCCACGGTAGTGGAGGAACCGATTCTCAGCAAGCATGAATCCATCACTGATTCGAGTACGCTCATTACGGAACCGACACAGTCTCAGCCAATTTCTGAGCCTGAAGAAGCTGTTCCAACCAGCTCGGACAGTATCATTCCATCTGAGCAGGTCTCTCAGCAGGATCAAGAAGTTACCAGAATTAGCCCTACATCTGGGGAAGTTCTCCACCAACTGGACGAGTCCATCCAACAGGGAGACCTTGAACCAGCAATGGAAGCGTCGGCGCCCAAGGACGCTGAAGATCTTGCTCGTATTGAGGCTGAAGCCGCACTGGTCCGAGATGAGGCAGCTGAATTGTCCAGACTCGAGAACAAGAAGAAGCCCAACAAGAAGGACAAAGCGCGCATAAAACATTTGAGATCCAACTCCGAACGACGCGCTCAGGAAGCAGAGTCTGCTGCCCAGTCAGAAAATGTGGGTCGAGACACAGCAGACCTGGAAGTGCCTGTTCTTGAAGACCAACCACTGGGTGGTAGCTCGCAGTTGCAGGAGGAAGACAGCACTTACGAGCCCGCAAGTCAACAAACGCGTGAAATCGGTGACCCACAGCCCTCGGGAGACGTGACCCAAGCTCCAGATCAAATCAGCGCCAGCGCCTACCCACATATCGACACCGATTCCAGTCCTTTGGAGAGTGGCTCGGGGACAGCAGACATCGGGCGAAGCCTTGAGGTGCAGCCACAGGGACAAGAATTGGCCCAAAAACAGGCGGTGACCTCGCCAGAAGAGGCAACAGCTGACACTGAGCCATTGTCGTTCGAGGAAAGTCTGCCTGGACTGCTGGAACAGCAGGCCAAACTAGAAAACACCCAGGCAGACGGCGCTCAGGCACCCCAAATTTTGGTCGAAGACACAAGCTCGCCAGACCAGCTTTCTAATGAGAAGAGCGCTGTGGACACACTTCAGGCGGAATCCATATTGGGTAATCAGCCACAAGTCGGAGAATCTGTCTCGGAGTCTCTTGAAGCGCAACCTGCGGGGGGAATTGTTGATATGCCTGGAAGTCACATTGAGAGCACAAGCGAAGCTCGAGATGACAGCCAACTTTCTGGAGTCCAAAAGCACGTCCTCGCGACTGAGATCGATCCTGAGCAAGCCAGTCAAACCACAGCTCAGGAGCCTGTACTTGTGTCAGACATCCCCGAGACTGACCGAGGAACAGACATCAGCGGTTCATTTGGTGAATCTGGGCAGCCTGCCGTCACTGTAACCGAACTGCCCCAAGATTCAGAGTCGGGATGGCCAGTCACGACCAAGAAATCCAAGAAGGACAAGAAAAAGAAGCGCAAAGGCACTCTCTCCGAAGGCAGTGGCCAGAACTCTGGCACGGTGACACCATTCTATGATGCTAGTGAGCAATCACCAGTCGTCGAATCTCGCAATTTGTCTGAGACAGTGCCAGACGACGGAGACGTACCTCAGCCGGGCTCATCCGAGCCAGAAGTCGTCGGAGAGGGCCAGCAGCCTAGGGCCAGCCCCGCCTTGGACGACAACACCGTCAAAGACCTGCAAATGCGGGAGACTGTTACAGACCAGCCGCTCGAAATCAGCGCCTCCAATCAGCAAGAAACGAGCCTAGACGCCAGGGAATTCATCCCAGCACACGCTTTCAGTGATGAGATTGCAGCTAGGGACTTGCCAGAAACGAGTACAGGTGGCCCAACGTTGGAGAGCACTGTCCGACAGCCTCCTCAAGCGGAGCCAGAGCAAGCCGTTTTCGACGAAGAGCCTGAATTCAAAATTGTGCCCAAGAACTCGAAGAAAGACAAGAAAAAGAAGCGCAAGAGCACGATCTCAGATGACGCCTCATTAGCTTCAGGCTCAGCAACCCCAATTGTGGATGAAGCACCGCAGCAGCCTTCCAGCCTCGCGGAGACACCAGTCGATTTGGCGGACGAACAAGCCACCACACAACGCTCCTCCATGCCAATGGGCTTGGCCACAGAGGCAGCTACGATTCTACCCACAACTGAAGAGACTTCGGGCGTAAAGTCGCCGGTGTTGGAGGGAGCACAACCTGTTGAGGAGCAGTTCTTGCCTCGCAACGTCAGCGGTGAGGGACCGTCGATGTCACCCACGCTGCAAGGGACCTCTGCAGGTATTTTATGGCTGGAGCCAGAGCCAGCGTCAGATCAGCTCACGCAGGCCGGACCCGAGCATGACAAGCGCAAGAACTCGCCTTCCGGGTCTCTCACCCGCGCAAGATCACCTTCTGAACCTCGCGTGGTCGATGAGATCGACCTCGGAAGCACCCAACAGCCGAGTTCGCCGCTTGCGCAACCTTCTGAGCCGGAGATCATTGCCTCTCATGACTTCGCTGAGAGCCATCCCATAGCCACTGAGCGAAAGGAAGTGCTCTCTTCGGTACACGTGCCAGAAACGGAGGGAATACGCTCCACTTCTCCGGTTGGCTTCGAATCTGGAAAGCCGCCAGTCGAGCCGGATCAAGCTACCAAGTCCGCTCGAAAGAGTGACGGCTGGGGCTTCCTCGCGGGTGCTATCGCTGGCGCCGGCGCGGCTACCCAGTTCCATGAGGGCCGCGAGAGATCACCCGAGCGTGACGCACCCCTAAGGGAGATCCCAGCTGATCACAGCCCTGTTCAAAGCGCGCCTCGCCATAGCCTCGGTTTTGCGGATATCGTTGAAACTGCCTCTACGTCCGGTCCCAAGGACCGAGAGCAATTCCGAGCCCCAGACATTAGCGAGACCCAAGTCCAGAGCGTACCCTTCACGGTTGGACACAGCAGTCAGTCGGATGATGCTACTCAAGAGCCGAGACTAATCAAGGAAGACACTTTGGATACAAATATCTTGCCCGAGGACGTTAACGAACAAACTCAAGAAAACGAGCCTGCTGGCCCCAGCTCCGATGTACCGGGTATCACTTCTCCCAGTACTCAAATTCCCACGGACAAGGACAACAAATTGGAGGAAGCGCTCCCCTCCGCCCACCTTGCCAAAGACTCTGGCAACTTGGAGGGAATAGCTGCCGGTATTCAAAGCCTGCCACAAAACGAGCTAACTACAACTTCTGAGCCTCCACCTCAATTTGACGACTGGACACAATCCTCTTCTTCCAAGAAAAAGAAGAAGAAAGATAAGAAGAGGAAGAACTCCAGCATGGCATGGTCAGAAGCCGAAAGCGGAGCCCAAACGCCTGTCGCCGAGGCATCAAGCGAGGCCCAGGAAAGCATGATCGATACGAATGTGCGCGCAACGAGCTTGGATACTGTTGAAGTCACTACGCCCCAGGAAAGTTTGGTGCAACAACCAGAGCCAGAGCAAGAGTTCAGGGCAACTGAGAAGTTGGACACTGCCCCTATCCCAGGCAACGAAATTGGCGAAACAGTGTCCTGGGAAGGCGTACCGCAACATACGAATACAGACCTTGCTAGGGACACACCAGCTTCGCCAGGCTTGCACAGCATAGGTGGCGAACGAGGCGTTCCTTCCGTGATAGCAGTGGATCAAGTCCTTGATGACCCTGACGAGAAAATTAGCAGCCCAGTTCTGGACCCCAAAGTTGACGAGAGGAGCGAACAAACAGTACGGTCAACTTCGCCTGATGATGAGATGCTCGTCTCTGCCGGACAGGCGCAAGAATCGTTAGATCGCGAGGCTGAAGAGCACGAGAGCCTGACTCCAAAGATCAGTTCCGCATCGACAGAAGCCTTCGCAACTCCGTTGCAAATGCCGACCGCAGCGCAAGAAGTTGGCACTGGGGCTTCTTCAATCAATGAACAACCCCTAGACCTTGCTGTCGCGAGGTACTCTGGCAATGATGACACTGGATCCGGTACTGATTTCGGCCGGTCACTTGAATCCGAACCTGATATGTCCACTACGGTGCAACAAAACATCGCAGAACCAGAAGCTACATCGGCGGAGAACACAGCAGAGCCCTCGGCTGAAGACTTGTGGGCGCCTGTACCGAGAAAATTGTCCAAAAAGGAAAAGCGCAAAGCCAAGAAAGGCTCTCTGTCAACCAACGCGCTAGAACCCACGACAACGACCCTTGAAGATGACAGTGAGCGGATCTCCAAGGAGCCAGCGACCGATGTACCTGATGCTTCTTCTCAGCAAAAGTCCCCAGTCCTTGGGCAAGCAGGCGACACTATGGCGCAAGATGTGGACAAGATCGACCTGGATCGCTCGCTTGAGCCAATTAGTGAGCCATTTTCTCCGCAAACACGGGATGAACCACCATCCTGGATCCAGGAGACCCCAGCGCAAGAGACACCCGTTCTTTCTCGCAAAATGTCGAAGAAGGAAAAGAGGAAAGCCAAGAAGGCGTCGCCCCTTTCTGCCTGCGAAGACGACATCGCGGAGCCAGAGCCAGTGGAGCCTAGCCAGTCCCAAACTCCAATCACCATGGAGAGTCAAACCCAAGATATACCGACCACTTCCAGTCCCACCTTGGATCCGGATTTAGGGCAAAAGGAGGCGACTCAACTATCCCTTGCTGATGAATCACAGCTGGAGCAAGAGGTCTCTGAAGACAAGAGTGCTTCTGTTGCAAAGGATACCACAGCCGAGGAGGAATGGGCCGCGCCAATATCGCGTAAGAAATCGAAGAAAGACAAGAAGAAGAAGGGCAAACAGCTTTCTTCGGGATCGGTTTCGGGCATTCAGACACCTGCAGTCGTGGAGGAGCCCATCGTGCATGACGTGAAAGCCGTCGAGAGCGGCCAGCCCGTTCCAGAGTACTCTACCAATCCCGTTGGACCTTCGGAAGATCTTGGTGGGACCGAGAACCTCAGTGATATCCGGCCTTCAGAGACGATCACCTCTGTACCTGAAAATGACGCCAGCGAAGACAGGGTGTCTGATCGAGAAATTAACGACACCAGCCCCCCTCAAGGACGCAAAGATCATCGATCTGCGGAACTGTACCTGCCTCTGGAAGGTGCTAATGACCAGACGCTCATTGGATCTAGCAGAGACGCCAGCATACCGTCTCATCACAGCGATCATCGGTCTGCGGAGTTTTATGTCCCTGGAGCTGAGCGTAGCCCTGATGTACAGCAGCCAATCATAATTGAGGATGATTGGGATCTTGCGAGCGACGACCAATCCAAGGATAACAACAAGGCCGGCAGGTCTTGGACCGGCAAGGCACCGACTATCAGCACGCCCAGGATTGGAGTTCATCACACTGACAGAGACCTTGACGAAGAGCCCAGCAAAGAAGCTGAGAATTCAAAATTCCTTAGGTCGCCTGGCGGCCGTGGCAAGGAATTAGAGAAGATGCAACCCAGCCCAGACCTGTGGGACGACGAGGATTATTTCAAGCCAAAGCCTGCTGGTTTCCCAGAGGCTGACCAGGAGCCTTTCACCAAGTTTGACATCCACCCAGCAGTCACTCACGGTCTCAACACCAGCCCAGACAGACGTGGGGAAGAGCGGCCCCTGGTCGGTCTCGGACTGATCCACCGTCACTCTTCGATTTTCAGGGAAGACGATGGCCATGTGCCTAAACTGCTCACGATGACCAGTGACAATATCTCAACGGATTCAGTGGCAGTCCAAGAGACAGAAGAAGCACAATCGGGCGAATCTTCGCAGCTAGGTGGACTGTCAAGGAGTGACACCGTTCCCGCACGCCCTGGCAGCAGCCGATCTTACGACGAGGGACTGAGTCCTGGTGTACCGCAGAAGAACAACAAGCAATGGTTTACATTCGAAACAGGCCCTGCACACGGAGCCAATGTCCCCTTAGCCCGAAGTGTATCTCCTGACAGTCTCAGACCAGTATCGCCAGGCTTGCCAAGATCGCCGCAGTTCCCGCCGCCTAGATCACCACAGCTCTCACCACAACCATCACCTAGGTCACCGCATTTCCCACCACCGTCGCCCAGGCCGCCGAAGTATTCCCCGCGGAATTCCTCGAGTTTCGAAGCCGCCAGAGACCCGTCCAAGAAGGGCAGCGTAGCCGCGCTGGCTCAGAAATTTGGAGGTGCCACGAAAGCCACCGGTAAGACACCATTAGTTTCTGATCATGTCGACAATCACACCGTCCAGGAGGATGACCTTTCCTATGAACCTGCCATGCGGGACGGGGCCAAAGACAATCCCCTCCAAGGCTCCCGCTTGGACGTGGATTCAGGTGACTCCTGGGCCGTCCCTAACACGAACTTTGACGAAGAACAATCAGATCCTGACTTGCAAGATTCAGGGCAGGGAGCAGCAGCGACCTCGCACGGTAGGGAGCCAACTACACCCGGCAGCGACAATGTGAGTGAACCATGCTCACAGCCTGACATAGATGCCGGAAAGTTTACGCCTCAAATCCCAGACCAACAAAGCCGAGAAGCGGAAGTCCCTCTGGAATCTGTGGTCGTAGAGAGCCCAGTCCTCGGCTCCCAGCATTCTGTCGACTTCCCTATGGACGAGGAGCAACCCACGGCCATGTCACCGCGCGCATCACCCGCCACTAGTCAAGAAGGCCTACCCGAAATCAGAGAAGCGACCTTGCACGATTTTGCAGATGAACCTCAAATCCCACCTGTCTATCTAGCCCGGGACTTTGATGAAACTGGAAGTGATGACGGGCAAGTAACTAGGCACTCGATGGTTGACTACAGCCGCTCTTCGCCGGGCGGCCTCCCCTCTGTACAGGAAGAACCCCAGGAGGAAGAAGCCGAGATCAGTGGGCCTATTCTTGCTGCGCAGCCCCGATCAGTGACGCCAGACATCAACCGTGACAGCGGTGTTGTAACAGGCTCACCAGTACCGCCTCGAGTGCAACAGTTCGAGAGCGCTCAGCAGCAACGGGACAGCGGTGTTCATATGCGAGAGGCGACTGAGGCATCACCAAGACTCCTGGGCTCGCGTGCGTTCAGCCCGCAGCCTACACGCTTGTCACACTCGAGCATCGAGGACGAAGGTGCCAGTGCCGAGGAAAAGTCGCCCAAGCGGACGCCTGTAGAAAGCGAGACACATCGCCGCTTTAGGGAGGCAACCCCAGTCCTGGAGGCCCAAGACGCGCCAGTCACTCCTGAGCCGCGAAAGAACAAAGCCAAAGCGCGCAAGTATCCAGACCTCGGGCCGAGCCCAGGGAAGAAGGCAGCAGCCGCGGCGCTCGCAGGAGGCGGCGCCCTTCTTGCAACAGGGGCGACGAGATCTCGGTCGCCGTCCCCGTCGCCATCGCCGTCGCCATCGCCATCGCCAGCAGCCAGCCAGAGAAGCGTTTCCGACAATACAGATGAGCTCCGATCATCTGCACTGCCAAGGCAGCGGCGGGCAGCATCGTCCAACACGGGCATCTCTCGCTCCAGGACGCCTGAGCCGCTCAACATGCGGGCCGAGAGCCCGTCGCTGCTGCGGCACTCTGGCACACCGCCGCTTCGGTCCCGACGGACCAGGAGTGGAGACCTTCGGTCGCTCAGCCAATTAAGCAACAGGTCGCACAGCGATCTTGGCGCCCAAGCTACCAGCTCCCCAGCCTCCGCAGTCTCGGCAGCAAACAAAGCCCCTGCTCACCTGCCCAAAACAAGCACCCCAGCCCCAGCCTCGGGCGACCTGAGGAGAGCGACAACTCCAGCCGCTGTTGCCCAAGGAACCACCAGCAGCGCCCCCACTGCCAATGAAGGCCGTGTCCGCTCCAAGGACATGGCCGATGTCTACGTAAGCCGATCCTTCAATTGAATCCACCCTGGTTTTTTGGTTTTTGTCATTTATTCAACAAGGAACGATCGACTGACCTACATTCCCGTGCAGGACGGCGTCGGCGAGGGCCGCCTGGGCTCACCCCGCTCTCCAACCCGACCACACAGCATGCGTCGCCGCCAGAGCATGCAGGTTCTCGAGCTCGAGTCGCGAGTAGAGCAACTCATTGCCGAGAATCGTGCCCTGCAAGATGCAAGGGCTCAGGCAGAGCTCCACACCAGCCACCGTGCCAGCAGCACCCTCGCTGAGCGCGATACCGAGATCGAGGCCCTAAAACAGTCGCTCGACTTTATGCGCAAGGAGGTGCAGCGCCTGACCGAGGTCAACGAGGGCCTCAACAGCGCTATCCAACAACATGCCGTCCAGCACGACGACAGATACCGCCTTCTCGAAAACCAGCATGCTGAGGCGACCAAGGAGCTGCTCGAGCACCGAGACCGCCACGGCTCCTACTCTCAGACAATAGAGGAGAAGGACGAGGAGATCAAGAGCCTGCGTGAGCAGCTCGAAGCCACAAAGGAGCAGATCCGTGAGATGCAAAAGCAGATCCTGGCCACCAAGCCAGCAGACAGCGATTTCCTGCGCATCAAGGACGTCGACTATTTCGACCACCGCTGTCAGCAACTCTGCTCCCACGTACAGCAATGGGTGCTGCGTTTCTCCAAGTTCTCAGACATGCGCGCCTGTCGTTTGACCACAGAGTTGAATGACGAAAAGATCATTGACCGTCTGGACAATGCAGTCCTCGACGGGTCCAACGTCGACCACTATCTCAACGACAGGGTCAGACGTCGCGACGTCTTCATGTCGGTCACCATGACCATGATTTGGGAGTTTGTCTTTACTCGCTACCTGTTCGGCATGGACCGCGAACAGAGGCAAAAACTTAAGAATCTCGAGAAGCTACTCTTGGAGGTTGGGCCTCCACAGGCAGTGCGCCAGTGGCGTGCTGTGACCTTGACACTCCTTTCCAAGAGGGAGACCTTCAAGGACCAGCGCGACCAAGACACCGAGGCCGTCGTCCAGGCTGTCTTCCAGACACTGTCCATGATCCTCCCCCCTCCGTCAAACCTGGAGGATCAGATCCAGGGCCAACTCCGCAAGGTCATGCGCGAGGCTGTAGACCTCAGCATCGAGATGCGAACCCAGCGCGCAGAGTACATGATGCTGCCTCCGCTGCAGCCCGACTACGACGCCAACGGCGACCTGGCCGAGCCCCACCCCTTCAACTCGGCCCTCATGAACGAGCGCTCGGGCGAAAAGAACGCAACCCCCGATAACGAGGCGCTCGAGGCCCAAGGTGCTGTCGTCCGCGTCGTTCTGTTCCCGCTCGTTGTCAAGAAGGGCGACGATGACGGCGTGGGCGACGATGAGATTGTTGTCTGCCCTGCCCAGGTCATCGTCGCGAGACCCAGGAGTAAGAGCCGGCAATCGTACCGGGCTCCGTCCTCGGACGCCGGCGGCGTGAGCCTGCTGAGGGGAGCGAGCCCCAGCACGGCTCCAAACAGGAGCAACGTGAGCATGACGGATGCTCCAGGTATGGAGGGGGCCATTTGATGAATCTTATGAATGAATGACATGGGATCGGACCGAGATTTCTATGGTGGAGAGGGAAAATAGCAGATGAAAGGTCAGTGGTCGGCAACGGCCGGTATATGACGGGTGGAATTCATGAGGCACGCAACGAATTGCGAGATATCAGGAGTCTGGGGAATGCTTTTTTTAGGGTTGGTTTGGTTTTTAGTCGATTTCTTTTATCACCGTGATCACGGGCATGGCATCTATCCATTTCTCTTGACGACTGTTTACATTCTGGGAAGAGAAAATGGGACAGTCCTGAATACATAATGTAGAAGTATAATAATGACTGAACGAAGATTTCAAACCCCTTTTCGTGGACTCCAAGTGACGGGTGTTTGGGCAAGGCCACCAAAGAATCCAGAGATTCAGTTGTACCCGCCCCTGCTTGTCCTGCCATCATTTTGGATCTGCACTTGACTCTGGGCCTGCTGGGCCCAGCTATTACTATTAATGCCCATCGTGATCGGGTCGCCGAAGCCCGCAAAGCTGCCGGTTTGAGGGTCGAAGGGGAACAGGGCGTTGATAGCCTCCTCCTGGTAAGTTGACTATTTTGGCACCGCCCGTCTCGTTAGTGAATCAATTCATGGACGGTAGTGTGACCAAAAAGAGGAGGAGAGGAGGTAGGACTGACCCATTCATTTTCCAAGTGACCCGTTGCGCCCATGCTCCCGCCACCGGCCACCATCGACGCAACCATTCCGGCCGTGTTCCCCGGTCTTGGGTCGCTGCCAGTTGCTATGGAGCCAGTCTCGCTGCTCGAGTTTTCTGGGCTTTCGGAGTCCAGCAGATGCTGTGTGGGCGCGCTAGAGTGAGTCCAAGGCCCCGCCATGTTGGGATTCGGCCCATTTACATCCTTCTGGTGCTGTGGTTGAGGGGGAGCCGGCGTTGCTGGACCTTGTGATCCAGTCCGCACCGCTGGGAAATTTTGCTGCTGCTGACATCGCATTGATGCTGGTGGAATCGATGAACTATCGCCATTTACTTCGTCTCTCAAAGCGGACAGTGGGACGCTATGGTTGTATGCTGAGCCGAGACCGGGGGCCATTCGTTGCGAATGCTGCTGCGCTGACGGTGCCATCGCCGCCGGCGCGGGTGCGGATCTCGCAGCAGATCTCGCAGCAGAAGTAGAATCAGAAGCGCTGCCACCACCATCAGCACTGGCTTCCCTCACAGGCTGTTGAGATGGACTCGCGGCCGCAGTCCATGTCGGCGCCCTCATCTTCCGCATGCTCATGTACGCCCCCATCTTGGTCATGATCTCCGAGAGCACCTGTTTGCCCTTTTCCTCGTTTGTCAGATGTTGATCTAAGCCAAAGACATAATCAAGACACGCCCATATCCTGTTTGCGTCCCTGTGGGCTGGGTGGTAGAACATCTCCGTCGCCAGGATCAGCGCCGCCTGGTACTGCTGATACGCCCCGTTGTACCATCTCCACAATTGAAAGGCCGGGCTGGTGTCGAGCTGGATGGCGATCTCGATGATGGTGACGGCGCTCGTGATCAAGACGGAGCGCAGGCGCTGCGGCATAGGGCTGGCCGTGTTGGCGTAGTAGGGGTGGAGGACCATGACGTGCAGCCGGTACATGAGCAGGTGCATGACGAGCTTGGCATACCGCTGGATGGGGACGCGCTCGTCGAGGAGGTGGTTGTAGCTGTCAAACATGCGCTTGCGGAAGTTCTCGATCTTGGTGAGGACCTGCGTGAGGGTGATCTTGCGCGCCTCGAGCTTGCGCCTGTCAGCCCATATGATGCGCATCATCTCGTTGACCTCGAAGCGGATCAGCGGGAAAAGCATCGTCGTCCAGTTGCCGGCCACGCACAGCTGCCGCGTCAGACCTGACAGCTGCTCTTCCTCGCAATTGTCCGGCAGCCAGGTGTCATAGTCCTCCCTCCTGATGGCCGGCTTAGGACCCTGGGCCTCGCACGTCCGGATGTCCAAGAAGCACAGCTGGTGCCATATCAGGCGCCGGACGTGTGTCTCCAAGGCGTTGAGGTTGTACGCTCTGCTTCCGTCTCGGTGTAGGCCCATACACTCTGCCATCCGGACTGCCGCGCCGACAAGCACGGAATGAGCTCGTGAGACCTCCTCCCGGCAGAGAGGGATCTTGGGACAGGTCAGCACGAAACTCCCGCGTCGCCAAAAGACCACATGGCAGGACTACTAACCATGTACATCACAAATGCCTGTAAGGTCTCCACCCTCGTGGTCCTGAGGAAGTTGGACTTGCTCAGTGCAACCTCGGTCCCGACCTTCATATTCTCGACCAGGTTGGCCTTGGTCAAGCCGAATTCTCGGTTGATTGCCGTCTCGTCCAGTGCGACGGCGGCACTCAACCACGCGGAAAACACCACAGCCTGAGCTGAGGCTCGCGGTTCATAGCCATCCGCCGCCTCCTCCCAGAAAGTGGCATATTGAACTTCGAATGAAGGTCTATGAACGCACCGGGCAATGGGATGCACACTCTCGAAGTAGTACTGAATTAGGCGGTCACCAGCTGGTTTTGTGGGGAGAAAGGTCAACAGACTCGGTGACTGGACCACTTTGCCAAAGAAGACGCCGCTCGTTGGCGGTATGTACGACGTGCCAGGGCGCAAAAATTCGGGCATAGATTGCTCGCCGCCCGTTGAATCGGAGAAAGTGCCTGGTTGGCCCGGCGGCAAGGGCACATTCGGCGGGAATGAGCCACTATCGGGGTGTTGCACGCCACCGGAAAGACCTGCTCGGATCTGAGGAACTGTCAGCCACTTGTTGTTGGTTACCGACGTGACTCGATACCTGGCGAGCCAGCCGAAGCACTTACCTCCTCCGATATCCTCGGCCTGTTCAGACCACCGATTTTCTCTGTAAGCCGCATCTTGCCCACCTGCACACCCAAGTCCATAACGTCGTCCGTTCCATCGGCGTCGTCCTCGTACGTGAGGTCGAGCGCCACCATGGGGGTGATCTCAAGACCCCGCTCCTCGTCGAACTCGCCCTCTACATCGTCGGCAAGTATTCTTTGCTGGTAAAAGCCACGGGATCCGGATTTTGCCACATCTCTCTCCAGTTGGCGCTCCAGGGAGCCGACCTTCTCCTTGATCTCTGTGAGCCGCAGCTGGCTCGCCTCGTCAAGCTTAGGTCCCAGGTACAGGCAATCGCGGGAGAACTTGAGGCAATTGGTGCACGGGTTTGATTTGTTGCACTTCAGCTTGCGCCGCCGACATTCAAGACATGATGTGATCATTCGCATCCTCCGGCGAATCGGCTTTGGGGGGCCAGCCGTGGCGCCGGTGGCGGTGGCAGAGAAGCCTGGCTGCGCTTGCTGCTGCTGTTGGACCCCAGGCATATGCTGTGATGACTGCTGGCGCAATTGCTCCAAGTCCTGTTGATAAACCTGCATCATGTCTGTTGACTCCAGCTCCATGGTCGTTCCAGTCTCGGGCCTCATGCCCATCAAAGGGGAGCCTCCAGCGCCCCGGCTGCCATCTATTGTCATGGACCCAACCAGAGAGCCGTATCCACCTTCATAAACATGGCTTCGACTGCCACTGGCACCATAATTCGCTACAGCTGGGCCAGGAAGATAAGGCAGCGGTCGTGATGGTGGAGAAGGGTCGCGTTCGTGTCCTGAAGATCGATCGGTACCTTCCATTGAAGCTTCTGACCACCCAGCATAAGTGACGATAAAGGAATTAGACAAGGCTGTGGTATCAGCGGAAGACACAATACACAAAGATTAAGCGAGATCAAATCAGGTAGAGGCTGGTGCCCGACAATGAAGTAGTCTCGCTCGTTCCGCCGTGACGGTATGATGCCACTGGTTGACGCACAGCGGTTAGCATAACCTCGGACCAATATTACCTGTAATCAGATTGTGGCCACCGGTGGGCTCGGGACTTGCCCTGGTTCGAAGATCGAGAAAGTGTGGCTTGCACTTGAGATCGATCTGAATTGCCGGCTATGTGCCTCGTCTATCTTGGTATCCAGCTGGCAGGATCTGTGCCACGTTGACAGCCGCCCGAGAACAAGAAATGCCAGCCAAGCTCACGAGGCAGAGCGAACAAGTCTGGTTCTGAGGCTGGTATGGTTAATACGGCCGACGAAGACGAGTTCATACGGCCGTACTGCTGACCTCGATATTGATAGATATCATACCCTTGCTTGTCTGTATGTGCAGGAGAGCATATGGCTTATTATCAAGACGGTATCTGGCAGTGGGATGGCTGTTGGCTTAGATGTGCTTCGATATCGGTCTTCTGCAGAGTGGCTTTGATGTCCCCTGCTCCTTGATCACTCCGGTTGGCATATCCCGACCTGGGGTTTTGGCACAGCACGCAAGAGCTTCACGATGAGAGGAGGAGGGTGTGTGTAGTAACAAAGCGGAAGGAGATTTTCAATACAAGGGTGTTGAGGACGTGGAAATCAGTTGATGTTTTGCGTCTAAGGTCGTCGGGACAGATTCCTGGGGCTGGATATTCATAGACAGGGCAGGAACAAGTTGGCGCACCGAGAGTCGTCGGCACAACAGGAGATGGAGCCTCTCCAGCTGCGCTCCAAAACTGACGTTCCCTATTCTCTTCCTGCCTTGATACCAACAGGAGCACCTGACTCGGTAAAACAAGATGCTGCGCCGAGTCTCGCGTTGCACAAGATCCAGTCCTTGAGAATGGCTAGGGGTGAACCTCTTTCCAGGAAGTTATGCCATGACCCCGGCCATGCGTGTAGTTCCACCAGGCCAAACAACACAACATTGCTGCCACAGGATCCCTGACGCATTTGGAGCAGCCTGGAACGAGAATTGCGGCCTCCTCTACAGCAGAAAATAACCATTCCACTCAGTGATACAGCTTCGCAGAGACTTGTGTTACTCCAGGGGGTGAACGTGTGGCACTGATCAGCGCGGCGCCCGAGGGCGAGGCAGCGAGGCTGTAGACGTGTGGGAGGACACATCGGTGGCGTCCACCGCAAAGGCACCAGGCCAGAGCCTCGAACCAACGGTCGGTGTCGATCGGAACACAACGGCATCTGACCCCAGCAAATAGACAGTCCGCACCATCTAAGATAAGGTGAAGGGGGCGTCCCGTCCTGCGGCCAACCAGGTCGATGTGGCATTTCGTGCTTGCATCGTCTCTCAGGCGGGAAAGATTTCCTGCAAGGCAGTTGGCCACACATTAGCGAGCCGGGTACAAGCCCATGTGGAGAGGGCGCGAGAGGCCGGGAGGATCTAAGGCCTGCGCTTCCCGTGCGACACAAATGACTCTGTGTGCCCTGCCCTGTCACCTCCCACTCCACATCCCCCCCTCTCAACACCTTGCCCTTGTTTCGATGACCTGAATTGCGCAGCTCCAAGTCAGGTTGTTCGTGGACTAGGGCGTGGTGTTTGTTCACATAGATCCAGTGCAGCCGGTAACATTTCGCCAACTGTGTGAGATTTGAGTGTATGGCCATCTAGAGCGAGGGATACATGTAGCAAACTGGATGAGATCAACCAAGCAGAGACGATCAAAAATGGTGGGCCCGATTGTATTGATTGACATTATTCCCACCTAGAAATTGGCCGCAGGATGATACTCCGGTCGGTGTGACTCTTCACAGAGCATGTCAAAAGCATCGCCGTTGAGAGAAGGCTGAACCGCGGCCTTGCTATTCCGCACCCTACGTCGAGCCTTTGCTTCCTTCTTTCCGACCCTGCGCAACTCGTCCCTCTGCCGGTTCTTGGGGAGATGATACCTCCACAAGGGCCAGGTTCTGCCTTGATGTGGCCCTTCGTAGGACTGTCGATGAAAGCTTGATATAATGTGTCGAGTTACTTCTGGTCCTTCAGGGTGCTTGACCCCAGCGGCCAGCTGTCGTCCGTTCCATTCGCGGCGGCGTTTCAACATCATCCCGACCCTAACGCATGCTTCCTCACCCAGCTGCTTGAGAATGATTCCCAAATACCACCGCATTCTCTGTGTACTGCCGCCCTCGCCTCGCTTTAAGACCTCTGTAATTATTCCTGTTAGGCTTGCCAAATCTCGAGCTGTGAGGAATCCTTGAACGTTGGCCAAGTATTTCGTGAAGGCTGCCGTGTGGCGGAATTTTTGTCTTTGTGTCAGGGAAGGAGCAGTAGCGACGATTTTGATGCTCTCTTTGATCCTCATACGCTGGCGGTGCTTCCGTTCTACAACTTCGTCCGGATCCTGCGCCTGCTTGTCGGCCTCCTGGCAGTCTGCCTCCACTGGTACAGTCGAGCTCAGCAGTTTCTCGACAAGGACGGCGGGGTTGATGAGACTGTATTTGGATCTTGTCATGTGCTGTGTAACAAACTTCTCCCAGAAAGCCGGGCCCCAAGAGTTTGTGTCTTTGCCGGTCTGCTTGACGAGTATATCATGCAGCATGAGCGCAGTACGATGATCCGCTGATGTCCAGGCCAACCTTTTCAGAAACCCGTTGCTGAGGTCCTGGGTTTTCGAGAACGTCAGCAATTGGTGAATGAAGGCCTTCGTGCCAACCCGGCGTTGAACGAAGTTCCATAAGCTCCAAAAAATGGCTGTGCATTTCTCGGGGGTGTGTTTCGCGTTGATCGCAAAAGCCAGAGAAGCCAGGGGTGTTTTGTCGTCTTGGTCCATGAACCGTTTCCAGATTCTACGCGTGCTCCGAAGATCAATCAACATCCCTTTGCTTTCCCAATGAAGGAGTAGCAGGTCGCCAAGCTCGGTGTGTGATAATGCTCCACTCCCACGTTTCTCGCATTGCTCCAGCATGCTCTTTAACCGGGACTCCGGGAGGTTGGGCAATCGGGCAAGTATCTGGAGCCAATTGTAGCCCACTCGGGACCACTTTCCTTGATCTCCGCCCTGGAGTCTTGTTGCAATGACAAACATGGACCGATGAATCCTCGGATGGAGGGTCTGCAGGCCCTTCGCTAGATACCCTATCAAGTGCCTGTCGTCAGAGAGCAAGTAGGCGGCCTTGGATATGAAACGTGATGCTTTGCCATGGCATTTTTCAGCAGTCGCCAAACAGTTTCTGGCCGCTCTGAGGTCTCTCCGTCTTTTGTTTTGCTTAGAGACTCTGCGTCGCATGGCACTTTTCCCTGCCAGTCTTAACCTCGCGTTCTGCATGCATGCGTCTGCTCGTCCAGCCCAGGTGGCAGACAATTGCAAGGCCTTGGCTACCTCGGTCTCAACACCCTCTGGTGCATTGCCATGGATCAATGTATCTTGCCAGATTCTGAAGTAAGCGCTGAGTAGATTCAGAATTGCGCCTCTGGTTTTGAAGCGACACATGGGCGGCATGCTTTCCATGAGCAAGGCAAACAATTTGGCTGATTTGACGTTGGCGTCCTGGCGCGCCAGATGCTTTATGAGAATTGCCCATTGTTGAGGACGGGAGCGCAAAAAGCCGGGATTCACCTTTTCAATGGCGTTTATGCCTACTATAACAGAAGAAAGAAGAGGCTGCAGTGAAGGCCTCGTAATTTGTGGCCATACTTGGTGGGCACGTACAAGTGCGCGTCTGCCCAGGTCGTAAACTTCGAAGATTTGAGGTCCCCGTAGTCGGCCGCCCGAGATCTCTTTCTGGAGGGATTTGGTAAAGTCTCGAAACCTTCTTGTAAAAGCTCGAGCAGTCGAAAACGTGTCGTTGAAGAGGGCCTGCAGCTCGAGGCCTATCTGCGGGGTCGTTTCCGCCAGTGTTTGCAGCATTATCTGCTCTCCAGCTGTCACTGTCTCCCTTGAGTCCAGTATTGCCGGAGCCTCTGGTATGACGGCGGGCTCGGTCTGGGGTTCTGGCTCCGCGAGCATAGGGCCAATGTCATCTTCGGCGTCGACCTCAGCGTCGAGCTCGATCCCCGGGATTTTGGGCCAGAATGATGGAGGTTTCGGTGGCTGCCATTGCCATTTTGTCATGTCCGGGGCATTAGGAAGAGCCCACACGGGTATTGAGCCGGCCGACTGGAACGAGTTGAGCTCGGTCATGCGCCGCCTTCCAAGCCGTTGGCGATGATACAGCGGGCCAGGTGCTGAACTGACTGCGCGTTTCCTGGGCGCGGTGGCGTGTACATATTGCTGAAATGCTCGGCTGAGCACATCATCTGTCATCCAGACCGCCTCAATGGGCGCGTGGTGCTGGGCTCGAGTCGCTCGGCAGCATCGTGCGGTCGGTCTCGGAGGCATGGGTTGGCGTGCGAAAAATACCTGGAAGCATTACGCCCAGGCGGTTAAGTCGCGTCAAGTCCTGCACCTTCATCGAATATGGCTTTGGTGCGGATCAATTGGACCTTTGATAAACGGACCAAGGCTGTGGTTGTGGTTGTGGTTGCGGGTGCGGCGACGGTTGCTTTGCTTCAAAATTGACACTCCCACCAGATGAGCGAGCTTTCCCTGTGGTCAGCTCCAATAGCACCGCATTGGCTGGAAGCACGACGCAAGGCGGGCTGGGAGCTGCCGCGGTAGGGTGGCAGCTGCCCCACCATCGAGACCCCTGCGCCGGAGCTCGGTTCGAGCACTGATGCTGTTTACGTCTTACAACGGAATCCACGGATCGAGTTGGAGATTCTCACTGCGGATTTACCCAAATTCACGGCCTCTTCCACAACCAAAAAAAGCCAACATGGGGCAATTCGAGCCACTGCAGAATGATCTGATCCTCAGGACAGCAAGGGGCAAGTTGTTGCCCTACAAGTCTGATCTTTGACCACTGGCGCGAGCAACAACTGACGTCGTCGGTTCACAGGCGAGAAGGTCGAGCGGCCGCCCGTATGGGTGATGCGCCAAGGTACAAAACCCACGACCCCAAGCATCTATGCTGCCCATGGATGAAGCCCGACCATCTTGGCTGATTCCCATGATTGTGAACAGCCGGCCGGTACCTCCCTGAATACCACGAGGCCAAGGGCAGCCGCGACTTCTTCGAGTGCTGCCGCGACCCCGAGGTCGCCTCGACCCTGACCCTCCAGCCCGTCGAGCGCTTCGCCGGGCTCCTCGACGCCGCCATCATCTTCTCCGATATCCTCGTCATACCCCAGGCCATGGGCATGGTCGTCGAGATGGTGGACAAGAAGGGCCCGCACTTCCCGGACCCGCTGAGGTCGCCCGACGACAAGCAGTACGCCGAGGTGTTGCAGCGCCAGGTCGACGTCACAAAGGAGCTCGACTATGTCTACAAGGCCATCACCCTGACGAGGAAGAAGCTGCAGGGCCGCGTCCCCCTCCTTGGTTTCTGCGGCGCCCCGTGGACGCTGCTCTGCTACATGGTGGAGGGCGGCGGCACCAAGATGTTCAAGGAGAGCAAGACGTGGATCTACAAGTACCCAGAGCAGTCAAAGCTGCTGCTACAGAAGATTGCCGAGTTGTGTGTAGACCATCTCGCCCATCAGGTCGAGGCCGGTGCACAGGTATGTTTGCAACAGCTTTGCAAGGCGCGTGCACATTTGACACGGCTGACCGGCGACTCAGATGGTGCAAGTCTTCGATTCATGGGCCGGGGAGCACTCTCCGGCCACTTTCAAGGAGTTCTCAGAGCCGTACCTGAGGTACATAGCGGAGAACCTGCCCAAGAAGCTGAAGTCCCTGGACCTGGAGCCAGTTCCCATGATCGTCTACCCCAAGGGGGCTTGGTATGCCCTGGACGCAATGTGTGATTCGGATTACGATGTCGTCGGCCTGGACTGGCTTCACGACCCTGCAGATGCCGCCACGGTCCGGGGCGACCGAAAGATTGTGCTCCAGGGCAATGCCGACCCTGGTGTCTTGTATGGCTCTCGTGAGGCCATAACGAAGACGGTGAAGAACATGGTGGATGGCTTTGGCTGGGCAGAGAGGAAGCAGGGCTGGATTGTGAACCTTGGACACGGCATAACGCCATTCGTGAAGCCAGATGATCTCAAGTTCTTCTTCCAGGAAGTTCACCGCCTGACACTTGCTGCGTGAGAATCAGTTCCTCGTGACGGAGGCATTGCCCTGCCGCACATAGGTCTATGAATTACATCTTGAAATAGATGGGGACCAAACCTCGCTCAGATAGCTGGCTATAAATCAACAGCAAAGTGCAGCAAAGTGCAGAAAGGCCCTCAGCCCACGAACCTGAATACCACCCTATGGTATACTGTCGAGATCGACGACAGTCCTTTGTGATGTTCGTCAGTCAAACAGAGAAGACTTTTAGCCCATACGGAATGCCAGACACTCACCAACAATTCTTCCAGCCCTTCTCACCGCCAAGGGCTTTACACACACCCTGGCTCTGAGCATTGTCAACGTGCACATCGGCCGATCCTGAAGACGACATTAACATATCACGCACGTCTGGGAGATAGACTGTCACCATCACTTACCCCAACCATCATCACCAAAGCTGTGTTCTCGCAGTACCTTCGTAGCCACCGCCTTTGCCATCCCCTTTCCGCGGTATGGTTCCTGCAATAGTCAGCATTTCGTAGGAAGAAAAGAAAACGGAAAATGCCTCGCCCACGAGCACTCCACCCTCGTACCTCAACATGCAACGTGGACAAAGTCCCAGCAACCCCAACAAACCCCCAAGCAACCAGCGTCCCCTCGGCATCCCGAACAGCCACGCTCGGCTCGCTCATAAGCGTAGCCTCGATCTTGGGGATATAAGTCCGCGACGCAATAAGCGGGACATCCTCACGCCGCACAACATCCCACCTGAGGCCCTCGTGCGCCCCGGGCGGCCCGCCACCTGCCGCCGCCGACGACGACGGCTGCGCCGGGGGCAGCCTCTCGAGGCGGAACAGCCACGCGTCGTGCGGGTTCCAGTAGCTGCTCGTGAGGCCCCTCCTCGCGCACAGCAGCTCGTACGTCGGCTGGTGCAGCCCGCCGACGAGGAACCCGCCGGGCCCGCGGGCGAGCTTGAAGGGCGCGCCCGGCCGCAGCGCCTCCTCGGCCGCGAGCTTGCCGCGCCGGAGGAGCGAGACGGCGAGGTCCAGCACGCGCTCGACCTCGGAGTCGGGCAGCGCGGACGGGTCTGGGGCGTCCTCGAGGGTTGTGTACAGATACATCTCCGTCTCGGGGCCCTTGGAAAGGTCTAGGTAGCAAGCGGCGAAGTGATGCTTGCTTGGTGGTGGTGGTGGTGGTGGCTGCTGGGCCTGGCCTTCTCCGCTGTCGATGGAGCCATCGCTGTCGGTTGCGATGAGATAGCGGGCGTGCTCGGTGGTTCCCTGCGGAAAGTGGGTGAATTGTATGCGTCGGAGGAGGGGCAGTGATTGCGGCAGGTGGTCTCTGAGTCTGCCGAATTCTGTCTCCGGGACTGGAGTTGTGATTTCGGTAACCACAGGCGCCATCCTAGGGGGTTGCTGCTCAATTCACGTTCAATATACCGTTATCTATCTCACGTTGGTCGGGATGAGGCCAAAATCGTCACTAGAGGTGGGGGGGGGGCCAAAATGATGGTATTTGATTTAGGGGTCAATAGGTCACTGGTGACTCAATCATCGTCCTCTGAATAATTTATACTGCCCGTTTTTGATTACCTGCAGCTGCGGTCCAAATCCATGTAAGGTAGCGCTGCATCAGAAGCCAACATGAGAGAATATCCACTCCGGCAAACATCAGGACCGAGACTGTCATTTATCATCATCGTCCCGCAACGCCAAACCTGTTAACGCGGGTATAAGAGAACCAACTCATCATCCTCTTCATTATAACCTCCTTCTCCAAAGTTTTTTTGTCCCAATCGCCAAGCTCACTTTGGCACACCTACCCCCCTCCAAATTGTCTATTCTGCCATCGCTGCGTCCAGTTCTCTGGCTTAGGACTTGGTCACCTGTTGCTTGTCGTTCTTCTTACCGAGCCCCAGAAAGTTCATGCCCTTCTGCGCCAGACTCTCGGGCTGCTTGTCCTCGATGGCGCTTTCGTTCAAGGCGTTCTTTGCTTGCTCGGCCTCCCCGTCCTTGAAGACGTTGCCGGCACCCTGTGGCACCAAGACATTAATTAGCATTTGTTGCGAAAAGGTCTCGGGCACGGCGTGGAAATCCGGGACCACGCTTTGTCTCCACTACGGCGCTCCAAGCCCCATGGTACATCCTATATCGTTCAACTTACACCACGGCCGGAGTGCTGAGCGCCCTGGCTTTCGCGACGGACGACACTAAAAAGAAGCTTTGGTCAGCACAGAGTCGACCATGTCATGGGGCAGCGCATGGCGGAATGACTTGTGGAATGACTTACGGGTTCACGTCCTGGCGAGCACGGGTTTCCGCCGGGTCGACGTTGGCCGCCATATTACCAGCGCCCTAAATGCACAGAATTTAGCAGGCGCTTGCAGGAAGCAGACCAGGCGCACTTACACCCCTGCCAGTGGTCACCAGGTTTGTCTTCAGGGTAGGGGTCTCAAGGTCGGCGGGCTGGATCTTGGGGCTCTTTGTCGAGTCGACGAAGTTGCCGGCGCCCTGCACAATTGTGAGTCAACAAGTGTTATTCGCATATAGGCCGGACCCAAGAGGGCTGGCCACTATTCCGCCGTGTATTTGCGACCTGGGATAGGAAACACGGGTAGTCCTCAAGCGCTGAGATTTTCACTCACTCCACGTCCGCTAGAAACATTGTGTTGTCCTCCGCTCATTTTGTTGTCGTTGCAAGCAAACAATTCGTTGTCTTTGTTGCGAATGCGGACGAGATGTTGCTGTGGACCCTGGTTCTCGTGGGTGGTCTTTTAAGGGACTTCAGGTTCTCTCTCGAAAGGCAAGCCAGGCAGGCGCGAGATTGACACAACGGGCGGGATTCTGACGTCAAGGCAAGTCGATATGAACAGAGATAAGCGAACAAAGAGAGGGTCGCGAACGGGCCGGGACCAGCTTGTTTTTAAGACAAATGAGTCGTGGAATGCGGCCGTGTGTCTTTGGTGCGAGGGACAATCTCCTGAGGCCAGAGAAAACCAAGTCCGTCGCAAGGCTACGCGGGCTTGGCGAACGATGGACCTGGCTGGCCTGGGTTGGCAAACCTGATCACAAGGGGCGGGCAGAGAGAAATTTGATCGCGCAGGTGTGACCTAGGCCGGTTTTTTTTTTCGACTCTTCTCTTTTTCCGGGAAGGAGGTGGACGGACGAGACGAACTGGGGGAGGCAACCTGGGACAAGGCACCAACGCCCAACCCGCGCTGGCTGGGAAGAATCGTTGGTGCCCTGCCCTTTGTTATATCATGATGATTACTCCCAGGGTAAGCAGGACGGTGCCTCATTAGGGTGGTTTGAGTTTCCCGCCCGAGTGAATGCCATTCTTGTGACCACGAGATGCGACAGTTGGACGCCGACCCCAGGCTTGGCCGGGTTGTCATCAACAAACCAAAACGTAATGGAAATGGCTCTCCGGGGTCCAGCCTGACCCAGCAGTGCGGGCGCTGCCGCCGTCCAGACTCGTCCCAGCTAGGGGCGACACGCTGCCTAGTAGACATGATCAATCAATCTGCCGAACCTGCATCCTTTGGGGCCAGCTAATAAGGAACCGGTTGACATGCTCGCCTGCGGAGATGGTGTCATTGTCTCGAACGTGAGCCTCCGGGACGGTGAGCCACACTTGACTAGCATCCATCGCCTTGACATGACTGGTGACAGAAGTTCCAAGGATTCATACCGGTCCATCACGACAGCCTGTACTACACAAGCGTGCGAGAGCATGCGGGGCCGAGGAATGAGAGGAAGAAGAGTCCATTACAATCACAAGTCTATGTCTCCATACTAGGTCAGATTTACTATGGCTGACCCAACACCACGTGCATGAGTGGCCTTTTCCCCTCCATGTCAGAGCCAAGAAGCGCCTAGGTACCTAGGTACCTAGGTATGCTTGCGAGACAACTCCGGTTGCAAACCCAAACCCATGCGCTCGGGTGCGTTCCCAAGTGACATTCCTCCCAGCTGGCCCCAGTGCAGCCCACCCTTCCCTTTTGCCCCACTGATGTCTCGCAGTTGGGTGGCCCGTCCGTACCCTTCCCACCACATCTTGATCAGTTGCCCCTTCTCTTTTTTTTTTCCTTTTTCCTAGCTTGAGCTTGACCTCAGTGAGCTGTGGCCAACAAGCAACAGCCCCGGCACGGATCCAGGCGCTCGGTTACGCCCCGCCCGTTCGTCCTTTTGACTCCTCGGCATCGTCCTTGGCTCCTCCTGCCCCTCGCGATACAACCACACTGTGGTGTGGTGCAGAGGAGTCACTCCTACGGCATGCAGGTCCGTGGATTTGTGAGAATTGACAAAATATCAACGGGCTGAGACCTAGACAGCATGTTAGACGTGCATATAAAGACTTTCGCGATGCTACTTCACTTCCAATGGATCCAATGTTATTATTAGTTGTGTGGGGGATGCACACATGCGCATATAGTATACAAAATACTGCACAAAAAAAAACCAGAATCATATTTGCAGTCGCGGACTAGTCATGTCGCGCCTCCATTACTTCACCTACCCAGGCTTTGGGGGATTCGTAATGGAGCACACGCATTACAACCAAGCGGTACGGGTAGGCGTGCCTTTTTTCAGTTTTCAGACAGCTTAGGTTGTGTAGTCTGTGTCTAGATGATCGCCTCGAGGGTGTCACTATCCCGCAGAGGCTTCTGGAGTCTGGCATGGTGTGCTGTGTTGGTTCTGGGCCATTTCCGGCAGGTGTGCAAAAGAACTCTCTTATTCCCAAGTATTTCTCTCTATAATACTCCATGGCCTATCCCAAGGACGGAATCGCATCACATGACGTCTATATTAATTGACACTGTGCTAATCGCTGCTTGTGTCTTCTCTTACATTCACGCTGATTCATTCCCTCTTGGAACCGTGGATCAGCCTAAGCCGCTTGGTCTCCTGAGATTGGCTTCATAGAAAACGGCCAAGATGCCGGCATCACTCGTCCCTAAAGCCATCAACTGTGTTTGGAGACTTGTAGCAGCCGCACGTCTCGTCCGTACCGAGACAGAGCATTGTTGAAGATTAGCGTTGAAATTTAGCTGACTGTCTCCAATGACTCCTAGAGCAATGCAAAATGTTTCCCGATTTTCTTCGCCAATCCTATGCCTGGCGTCAGCCAAAATACTACTCAATCCAACCGACGGTTGGCAGGGTGATATGGCAAGTTTACCTTGCACCGAAAACAGGTGCTTACACTCCAAGAGACCAGCACGCATGTACCCAGCATTCGGGTGGTCGAATCCGCCCCGTGCAAGGGTAGATAGAGCCTATCGCCCTGGTGGAATTCGGACAAAGGTTGATGCAAATCGGCGTAGAGCTCTCACATTAATGGTATCCAGTTGGTAAGTTGGTGAGGATCTTTCGAGCGCCCCGAGACCAGATCCTAGAACTGGGACAAGACCGAGAGAGGGTAGACCAAGACAAGTGAGCCGCCCTCTCGGTCTCGGCACAGTATCTAAGGACTGATACAGAACTCTCTTGAGGGGCTAATACCCCTTTCTGGGACGACTAGGTGGGTGATGCGGGCGACGACTACTCGTCGTCGTCGTCGTCATCACCTCCACCCCCTTTGCCACCTTCCTTCCTGATTGGAATCTTGATACCCTGGGTCGCGAAACACTTGCTGAGATCCGTGCTGTCACATACACCTGGAAATTTCTTGGCCGAGTACACCTGGAAGACGTCGCTGAACACTGAAGCCAAGATCGGCGCCCTGCCACTCTTCACAGGGACATCGTCCTTTTGGTTGGCCGTCGGTTTGACGTCGACAAAGGAGAATCGGAGCCTGATATCCTGGTTAGAAAGACGGAAAGAAGAGAAACCTCCAACTTAGACGCCCACACGGCTCTTGCGTACCTGAAGGAGCCCTCGGTCCTGACACTCAAGTCCTGCATGACGAACCAGATTCCAATTCTTTCCTTGGTGTCGTGTAGCCTAAAGGCGCTGCCCGCACAGTTCCCGATCAGGTTCCTGGTAAACATGCCCTGAATGCTCGAGCCAGGCGCTCCTCCAATCGATAATCTTTGGCCGCCACCCATACCAGGCTCGAAGACCTGAGGAGGCCGGTACATGGGTGCAAACTCATTAGAATACCCGTAGCCGGGCTGGCCGAATCCATTAGATGCGGGTGGCTGCTGATAAGATTGCACTGCAGATATGGTCAGCCTGGGCAGACAAGAAATCCAGAAGGCGGTATTTGCAGTCAACAAATACCTCGCCATGCGAGCCACCTACCTGGGTTATACTGGTTAGGAGCATAGGGGTTGACGGGTGTTTGGTGCTGCTGGCTGTACAGAGTCATTTGGCTGGGATGAGGGGCGGGATAAGGGGCGATGTTAGCTGCCGCCCGGTACGGCATGGTCTCAATGTTGTTGAAAGACTCGTGGATCGTGGATGATATCGCAGGAGTGGCGGTCGTACTTCTGACAAGGTTCACCTCCCGCGTGCCTGATTCGTCCCAGAGGTCGACGGTCACAACATATTGCGCGAAGTCGATGGAGCTTGGCCAAACGTTAGCACCGAGGCTTGGTGTGCGCTCCGTTCCTTCTCCCGATACTTACTTGACATCGACCTCTCGGCCGGTTTGGACATCTGTGACGACCAGTCTGAGAGCTGGTGGTGGTGTAAGTGGTCTCCGGTCCTGCCGTCACCGTCAGTCCCGGGTCTGAGGGGCCGCGGGGTAGATCATTGGATTGGGTTACCTTGTCACCGAAGCCACACATGCGGGCGCGGATGGGTTGTTGTTCCACCTCGAGACTGTGTGGGCGCGGCGAACATCAGCCTCAGACATCAGGACGAGAATCAGTTGCACAACATGGCCGAGGCCCTGGGTTGTCGAAATGGAAGCAGGTGAGCCCAGATTATAGCTCGGGATTGAGACTTACGCATATCTGCGGTTTCCAACCACTGTGGAAACGGCCTCTAACCTGGTGGTGCCCACCTCGCCAGCCGTGGGCGGGGGTTGCTGCTGGATAGGTGAGGTGGAGGCGGGGCTCGAGTGGGCGTTCTGTTGCTGCTGGTGCTGGTGCTGGTGCTGGTGAGCAGATGGCGGGGGTGGCTGCTGGTATGGCTGCTGTTGATGCTGGGGAGGCTGTTGCTGGTTTTGCTGTGGCTGTTGCTGCTGGTGGTGAGGCGGCTGGTTTTGGTAGGGCGATGGGTGATGTTGATAAGATTGTTGCGGCTGACTGTAGCCGGGCGCGCCACCGTACGAGGGACTGCCGTTGCTCGGAGGTGCCATTGACGGCAGCGGCTGTGGCCGGTGGTAGCTGCTGCCGTGCTGATGAGAGGGGGCTGGCAGCTGGTGAGCGTAGCTGGGAGGCACCGAGCCGTTGGGCGTTCTTGTGAACGAGGCCATGGTGGATGCCCTCGACCCTCGGCGCAGGAGTTCTGGCGACCAAGGCGGCCGTCGCAGTCGGAGTAATGCACGGAAGGACGAGGCCGGTGGCAAGAGACGATGGCTGGCTAGGAGGGAGGCAAGTGGAGGGCCCAAATGTGTATCGTCTCGTGCGGGAGTGTGAGAGCGTCGTGTTGGGAGCGGGCGAGGTGGGTGGGGGGTTCAGTCAGTGTCTGGGATGTGGTTGACGGCGCGCGTATGAGACGATGATTACACAAGAGTCAAGGTCTTCAAAATCGGGAGCTGTGCCCACGAGACAGCTGCGGGATCAGAGCACCAGTACCAGTGCCGAGGGAGGCACAAGTGCAGTGTAGCGTGTGGACCAGTGCGGTCCGGCGGCGACATAAAAGGAACCGCGCAGGTGGCGGCGCGAGAGCTTGAACAAGGCTTTGGAGTTGGGGCCCAGGGTCGCAGGGTCGCTGACAGATGGGGTGGGTTACTCGGCGCGCTGCATGACGGGATTGTGCGGTACAATCAAATCACTGTTGCGAAATGGCGCGCGGAGACAAAGGCGAAGGCGGAGGTGACACTGTCGGCCACCCTCAGGCTGGTCGGGCTGGTCGGGCTGGTGATATGCAGCAGAGCGTACCGCGAGCACGGCAAGGCAGGCAGAAAGAGGGCCGTGAGTTGTAAGCGTGGACGTGAGAGCGGGTGCGAGTGTGAGGTTGAACGTGCAGCGTGCAGCCACTCAGTGTGTGGGTGGGTGTGGGTGTGGGTGTGCGGGCAGGTCGCAGGTCGCAGGTCGCAGATGCTCAGCCTGGAGGTCAGTCAGACAGACAGACAGACAGACATCGGTTTAGATGGCGTAGGGGAGGGTAGTGGTAATGGGCATTTGACAGGCGCCAGATGCGTAGGGCCAACGAACGGCAGCTACGGAGTACCTAATGAGAGGCAGGCCAGGAGACTGACATGTAGGAGACCAGGAGACTTGATGCCTGGCTCTAAATAAGTCTCTCTCTTCTTGTGTCGCGCACCTCTCTCTGCCCCTGCTCCCCTGTTGTTCTCCCTCCTGCCTCTTTATTATTATTATTGCCCAGCAGCAGAGACTAGAAGATGGGATGAGAAGAGACCAGGGCCGGCCCATCACATGTGCCGTTGGGCAGGCCTGGCACGGTACTGTGTGGTACGTGGATACCTAGGTACCTACCTACGAATATGGTATGCTGGCACAAGACGCTCTGGCGGGAAAGGGGGCTGCTGCTGGTGCTGCCGCCGCTCTGCTGCGAGGCGGATGGTTTTGGGGGCGGCACCGGTGGAGTGGATTGGAGGTACGGAAGTACGGAGTCATCTGTACCTGCCCTGCCACCGTGCTGGGTGCGCACACAGCTACGGTGCCGGGATGCCTACTCCGTACCGTGGGGTAGCACCACCACAGCAGCAGAGCACCACAGCCTGCCTGGCCTGCACAGGTGGTGCTAGGATGGCCCAAGCTACGCTACCTTGTCCGTGAGCGAGACGATCTTGGACGCAACCACGACGGCAGCCGGGGCTAGGCCTGATTTGGGCGTGCTTTCCACGGATGGGCGAAATAAGTAATGGCAGGAACGGCTAGCCCTGGGGAGGTACCACATGTGCCCACTCTGGCGCGGACCGGTACCTCGCCCTGCTCACCCGGCCAGCTCCCAGTTGCCCAGTTGGCCCGTCAGCTCGAGCCTGTGTGCTTGTGCGCACCCACCCGTACCGTCCTTTTGTCGCGCCCGTTCCATCGCGCTGGTGGGGAAGTGGGAGAGTCTCTGGGCGGTACGAGGTTGTTGGAGTCGAGTAATATCACCACCTGGGCTGCCAGATGGATCTGCGAGATGCCAGGGTGCCCAGCCCAGCCCACGACACTACACCTCACGCCCCAGTCCCAGTCGCCGTCCACCGTCCACCGCAGCCGCAACCGCAACCGCAACCGCAACCGCAACCCGTAACCCGTAACCCGTAACCCGTAACCCGTAACCCTCATCTGGCGGCGCGCATCCGGCCCCACCATCAAGGACGACGACACATGCTTGACCCTGGCTCGGCGGGCGGGTGTATAAGAAATGACTGGCATAATTCCGGATTCATTCATTTGCTAAACAGTCCAATACCTGGGCTGCCACCCTGTGAGCAGGAGCCATGTAACCTGCGGGCCTCGGACAAAACTCGCAGCCGTGCCAACACCCTGCTGCCACCGCCTGCTCGCCCTCGACCTGCTCAAGTTGAGGGCCAGCGCGGTGCAGTGTGCAGTGTGCAGTACGCAGTAGGCAGCACGCAGCACGCAGCACGCAGTACTCCGTACATTAGAGCCTCTCTGCAACATCATCCCAGGGGCTGGCAATCAGACGACGGATGTGTTCCAGAAGTCTTCGGCAAACCTCGTCTCGTGAGCGCCGAACTCCGCGGGATGACACCCTGTCAGCCTGTGTCCTAACCTTACCGGCCTGGGCCCAAGCCTGGCAAGTCTGGTAATAAACGTGGACGCGAAACCACCACCACCAAGAGACAACCCCACCACCGCCACCTCTCGATCCAACACGGCAACACCCTGGCTCAATGGCAACCAAAGACAAGCAGCTATCCCTGTCGCGGCATGGACTGCCAGACTGTATGGCCGAGGACGATCTGTGTGCTCTGCCAGTCAACCAGTTGTTTTAACACACACACACACACACACAGAAAACATTCACAGAAAACCATTCCAGGGGGCAGAAGGGGACAGAAGGGGGGCGCGCTCCCAACCAGGACTCGCCTCTCTCTCTTGTCCAAGAGCCCCGGGCCCATCCCACCGGTTACTGCTAGCGAAAGGGGACGACGTCGTATCACGTCGCATACACGTCAAGGCTCCTTTCCCATTCGTCACAAAACACCCCGTCCCGCGTCTGCATCTGCAAGCCACCTCTCTGACATAGTATTCAATCAGCACTCGTCCACGCAGCTAGGCCAGTGCTAATCTTCTTTGCCATGTCTCGTCGCAGCAGACCGGCAGCTGACAGGCTGGCAGCGCAGCAGGGCTACGGCAACCCTGTCCGGGCCAAGGCGCTGACACGATCCGCCATCTCACCTCACCACTAGTACGCTACCAATGCCGTTCCGGAGTCAACGGCCGTGTTAAACGCGTATCACGATGAGTACCAGCCTATTTGCACTTCAATTCCTAGCTCGACAGACGCACTGCTCGGAGGTTTCAGCGACTCATGAAACTCTGGCTCAATGCCCGGTGTTCTGACCAGTCGCACCAAAAATAACTGTAGTTGTTGACATGAACGGAACAAGGATGTCTGAACCACCATGCTTTGATCATTCCCTCGCCCACCACCCGTCAGCGCCTTTTTCGTCTGATATGGGCAAAGGCACTCAGGCGGTAGACCCTTGCATGACACGTCCTTGTTGTTGGCCCATTTGCCGACTTCTACTTCCCCGGCTCGGCCCCGAGAACCGGGGAAGGGTTGGTACAACCAAATACATTCCAATCCCCCTTGTACGGAGGACAGCAGTCAGGACGTTTTCAACGCCGCCCAGACCGGTCGTGAACTGGCATATATGGGCCGGATCCGGCTGCCTAATCTCGAACTCCCCCTTCTCTCTCCGCTTCTCTTCCCTTTTCTCGGTCATCTCATAATACTTCGCATTATAAGAGTAGCTGGTCAGACCGGGATCGACATTGCATCAGTTGCCAGTTATTCCAGCAGGGATAGTTCCTCACTGAAACTCCACCGGGCTCGGCAGTCAGACGGCTGCACCCGCTGTCGTCATCTTCCTTGCCCTGATTTGCTCATAATACACATCATATGGACACTTTTTTCTTCTCTTTTTGCTGTCGTTCCGATAGTTATTCCTACGTGCTCGATGCAGTCTGGATGATCGAATTCTCTCGGTAGACTCGGTAGAGCATACTCTGGACTACCAGTGTGAGGGCAAGCTTTCTTTCATGTCTCGGGATTCCACATCCACAGCGGAATTACCGGGTGTGGTCTGCCGTGACAGGCTTGGTGAATGTATCTCTCTCGTTGGCATCTGGCGGCGACGGAATCAATTTTGACATGCGACCTCAGTCGATGCCATTAATGAAACTAGTCTGCCTTGAGTGCTGGCGTCTCGTGGGATCGCTGTGCATGTGCTTCGTCTCGTCCCAAGTTGGGTGGATCCTCACCGGTCTTAAACCATGGGAATATAGGGGCTTCTGATTTTGTTTTCATGTTCATTCAGCGCACGATCTACCCCCAAAATCGTCTGTGCAACCTCCAAGGCACTAGGTATCACTATGATTCCCGCACGTGATGATTCCCAAAAGCAGCAGCTCATGGTTTGATCTACTGCAGATTCCCGTGACATGTGCTTAGTGTACGTATCTGGGTGAGTTCGCACGAGGTGGGCTGAAATCTGTCTAAAGCCTTTCTTTCCATCCTGACGGATGAGGGACCTCGCCTCTGAGCTCTCGGCTGTCATTGCCCTTGTGCCTGAGGAGACTACAACCAAATTCAGGTATTGGATAGTAGTATGCCGATCATGCGGCTGCCTCTGGGGTCTCATGGGTCGGGGGGGATCATATACATCTGTTGGTTATCATATACATGGTGTAAAGGCTCTCCCAGTTCAGACTCAGGCGATTGGCCGGTCATATTTATCAAGTATATAGGCCTTGGCCTTGACCCCTCCCCCAAAACGTTCGCTCTCATAAAACTCGCGAGGCCATTTACTTAGGTTCGCCCCCACCCTCGTCTTTATGGGACCGGTCTGAGACCTAGAGCATCTTGCCATTTTGAGCCAAAGTTTGGCAGCGGTGCTTGACCTGAAGATGCGCAGAGGGGAGCAGTCAACGAAAAAGGGGTCTGAATTTTGCATGATAGAGTGCTGAGAGAACATAGGTTTTCCTCCGCAGCCGTACACGTCTGGGGATGCCATACTGAAGCCCTGGATTCTTGGGAGCAACTTGCTCTTGTCTGGCCAGTCTCAGCAAGGAATGAGATAGAACCTTCAAATTATCAGATCAAGATGCCGATTTGCTTCTGTTCTTCCACTTTAAGTTGGGAAGATGTGAAGAAGCCCACCCCGACAAAACCACTTACCAGACATTGCCTGGTCGCATATACCTACCTAGGTAACTTGACGATCCCTATACTCAATACGGTTTGCCAAGGACCTGCAACCAACGGTTTGCGCCCCGGTTTGCGTATGTGGGATTTGAATTACCGAACACTACCCTTCCTTTTATGCCCCGGGGACCGCATCAGGACGCATACCCAGGTAGCAAGGCGAGCGAATGGCGGGGCCTGGAGGTATTTGCGAAGAATGACATGCAAGGGCATGCATAACGGACAGCTTGGCATGTAGTACTCCCACAGCTCGGCGGCGGGGTTGGAGTGGATGAGTCCGTTGGTTGTCTGCGGGTGTTCTGGTGATGCCGCCCCATAGCGGCCAGCTTGTCGCCGGGGACGGACAGGTCGCGGTGGGAGCACGCACCGACATGCTGCAATTTTTCGGATCAGCTGATTCCGCATTTGATGACAAATGCGCACAGCTACATCTGATCGGGTTGTTTTCCAAAGATTTGGACCAGAGAGTGGTCGACTGTTTCGATCAAACACAGTATTTGGAAACAATACCCTCAGCACAGTGCTCTTTGGGAGAGGGAGAACCTTATCTACGCCCCCTCCCCGGCTTTTAACAGGCCTCATCTGTTCAGAACTGCTTCTAGGTGGCTTACAGATTTGAACTAGGAATCTATACGTGATTAATGTTGACGAAAACGGGCCACAAAAGCGTCCAGGGTACGGATCGCAAGCGACAGTCGACCAATTTTCCCAAGTAATGATTTTCCCAACTTCAGCAAACCGATACATTCCTTGAATACTTGTGCAATGGCAACACGCGGGTCATCCGCCAGTGTGGTATGAAGCCTCAGTTCGAATTAAGCAGAGACACAAGACACCCATTTCTTGGTCTATTGCCTGAGGTGATTTGCCAGGCGGATGTTACGAGTGAGGTTCTTGCAGGAGGTGGATACCTTCTCAAGGTCTTCTGTGTTCGGGGACACAAACTCGAGGCGTTGGGTGGGTTGCCCTCAAAAGCAGCCCAGTGTGGTGTTCTGCTCGCACATCTTGTCATCGCCCAAGACCATTTGAAGGCATTTCTCACCTCGATCCAATTCGAGTAAACATACTGAATGATTTCGGCTACAGCTTTCAAGCTACTATACTTCTGACGGAGGCTCTTTATGGTCCTGGCTGGGTCCGACCTGTAATTCAACAGGCTCAACTGCTATTGAACCATTATTCAATATTTCAGAGACAGCTAGGAGGGGTGCTACTGGGTACCTCTCGACACTAGCACTTGTAGTAATATATATATTCATACCGTATATCGCTTTACACGCAGCGATTAGTGCAAGTCCCTGGCGAGGGTGGTTGACTGCGTCATTGACGCGGCGGAGCAGAAGGAGGCATGCAGCGCAGAGGGGCGCGACGCAGATACTCATTTCCGTCGCTGCATAAGAATGGCCCGCAACGGCGTTGGGCAGAGATGGAAGGAGTAATATGTTCCCCAGTCACTGGCAATGCTGTCGACTAAAGATGACTGGGAGTGTCTGCGCTCCATCCACATTGCAGTGGGCACTTGCATTTGGACATGCATGCCGTGCATGCTGACATCAAAAAAGACTGTTCGCGTCTGCATCCGGATGGAGCATGCCACGAAACTGCGGGATAGACATTAATCCCAACGGGGGAAGCCCGAGGAATAGCTACTCAACTAGACACGACATGAATTCTCCACATGTGGTGAGATTCACGGCAGCCACTCTACTCCCTGGCGATCACGAGCTTTGTGTTTCGCCGCCAGTTCTGCTGCTTGCTCTTCCAACCACTGCAACACAGCACCAAACCTGGCCTGCTTCCTTCCCAGCACTGAACGGAATGCCCGTAGGCCTGCGGCTCTCACCTGCGTTTTTGAGAGCTTACATTCGTACTGAGGATGCCTTAGCCTCCTCGACGGACTGGTCAGCAACAAGTACGCGACATCGAGAAGTCTGGAGATGGATTCTGTGATGAGTCTTGGGCCGGGTAGCTTTCCTGACGGAAGACAACGCAGGTATGCCCACGCCTTGGCAGCTGACTCTATGAATGCTTCGTAGAGATTGCGTAGGACGGTGAGCATTGTGTTGTGCCGCGTGTCATAGAACATCATGTTTGACTGAATCTTGAATGTGTTGATGAGTTTCCGCCCAAAGTTCTGGCCTGGGTGTCGGCTGAACTCGACAGTGAGTGAGTTTGAAATCGCGGAGTCTCTGAGCGGCGCGGCGGAACTTGATCCTCTATCTTTGGTGATATCAAGAGTGTGACAGTCGATCTGGATACCACAGTAAGGAAAAGCTTGGCGGCCTTCCTGGATCCTGGGCACTGGCAGGCCGTCCAGAGACATATCGAAGTTGACGAGGGTTTTACCGGGACTGACCGAGACGCCGTATTGCGGCATGCCTCGCACCATGACTCTCACGAATTCGGATGCCTTGTTCTTGTCTGTGGTTATTAGGAGGAAATCGTCAATGAGTCGGAGAAGTAGGCAGTCTTCTACTTCCAAAAACGGCAGTTCTTTCTTTTCCAAGTCCGCATAGAAATAGTTGCAGAGCAACGAGGAGATGACAGATCCTTGAGGGATGCCATTTTTCTGGCGGTAGTACTTCTTGCCGATCTTGACAAGATTATCCCGAATGTGCGAGTCTATCAGCGCGAGTAGATCATGAGTGCTGTGCGCCATCCGGTAGACACTGTCAACATATACTGCGTTCTTTTTGCTGTGGATGGTACCACGCGAGATTAGTTGCAAGAATGTCGACTTATCACCACCCGCTCTAGCTGAAATGTGCCATCTTTTCATGACCTTTGACTTGGCCAGGATCCCACTCTCGTTGGGTCGTATTTCAAAATGCTTGACCATGTCGTATTTGCCCTGCGTCGGGACTGATCTAATCAGTGAAATGACAGCAGCTTGGGGTATCGTATCAAAGGCAGCCTGCACATCGAGTTTGGCGAAATACAAAGGCTGGTCGTTGTGTCCTAAACGCTGCTTGAACCTGTCAACGCGCTTGTAGATGTCCCCCACAGAGAACATGGACGAGCCAAGCCGGTTTGCATGAAGGGCCTATTCGGTTTCCTCAGTTTATGAGCAAGCGTAATCATAATGGCATTGACTTACTGTCTCCAGCTTCAGCATGCTATGGGCAGGGCCCATGACAGTATTGATACTCTGGCCCAGAACCTTCTTGCCGTTGGTCATCAGCATCCTCCGTCGCAAATTCGTGATTGGCCGGACCGAGGCTTGCTTCGGGAGCAACCTGACTTGGCTGTATCCCAGTCGCCGAGATTCAAGCTTCTTCAGAGCCTCATCGGACTTGACTTCCTCGAACAACTTGACCTTGAGCTCGGCCATGGCTGGCTCCGCAATAGATCTCCAGATGTCATGCCGATAGAAAAATACGCGATTGCGATGTTTATTCGACTCCGTGACATAGAAGTTGCTCCGGACCAAGGGTATTATTATCGAATCGAAAATGTAGTAGAGGAGTTCGTACAGAATCTCGCTCCGCTTGCGGAAATCAGTCAGGCTACATTTGCGGTTTTTCGGCCCGGGAGGCTCCAACCACTCAATTTGTGTGACCTGGAAAGGATTCAGCTCTGTGATTTGAAATAATGAAGGACTGGTATGTGTTGCTTCCTCCTACCTTTACGCCTTGCATGACCTCATGGAGTGACATTGTTTCAAAACGCCTCAGCTTGACAAACCTGTCAACGTTTTTGAGAAACATGCCTCGGTTGTGAGCCTGGACATCACCATGACCCCAGAACTCGTGGGGAATGATTTTCGATAGGACAGCTTGACAAAATGCCGAGACCTGGGATATGGGGGTTGCAAGGTCCGTCATGGACGAGAATGTCAAGGGGTTCGCGGAGGAAGGTGTCAACCGAGACTTCCTAGGATCCCTCGGAGCCTTCCCCGAAAGCTTGCTCGCCGCGGAAGCGGTCTTAGCGCGACCGCGTTGACGGCTTGCATGGCCATCGGGTGTCTTCCGATGAACCTAAGACTCGTAAGTTTTCAAGTTGTAATAAAGCCTCACTCCTGGCTGAGGCCATATGCGTACCGGGCAGTAGTGTTGTAGCAATTCCACATAAGAACATCGGGCGTGCAAGGTTTGCAGACGCCGCACCAGGTGCTCAGGCGTGCCTCTAAGTCGTCTGGGAACTCGCACATCAAGAGCATTGATGCAACCCTCCCTTTTGCGAAACTTGTTGAGTATTTCTTCCTCTCGCAGGGTGTAGTCCTGAAATTTCTGGGCTGTCTGTGTCGAATCGACATGAGACGTGAATACATTATGCAGCCCGAATTGACGAGGAAACATGTACATCATCATTCGAACCGTATTATCGGCTGCTGGGGGCTCTCTTTCGTCATCTCGCGGAGAGGGGGGACCCCCGCTGGACTTGGACAGAGGAAATCTATTCAAAGCATCTTGAACATGTGAGTTTACAATCTCGCTGACTGTCAGGCTCACGCAGGGACCGAACTCACGGATATGTTTCAACCCAAAGCGGACCTGTCCTCGGGCATTGAGTGTGGCTCTGGCATACAGCATGCGGCTTCTCACGAAATGGATGTCTGTGGGCTTCCGTTCGGATGCTGTTGTGTTGTCAGCCCTCTTTATCGGGGTGGCCACGATCTGAGGCGGAATGGATTCGGATTCGAAGATGGGAGATCCTGCCTCGCGCGTCAGATAGCCATCGTGATATTATAAGAAGGCGTCTCTAACCGCTCAATTGATAGTAATTGTTTTGCCCGACCTCAACGGGAAGAAAAACCGCACACTCTACCAGGATATTGATCATGATTTTCGGACCAGCCTTGCCCAACAGCAGAAGCAGCTGCGGCCATGGTGCCTGTTTCAGAGCCGCAACCCGTTCATTGGGAGCGGTGATGTACACGCCCGGGATTGAGCATGACTGCTGCCTCGGGCCAGCTTGTCTGCAGAAACCGTCGCACAGCAAGTGACGGGGCTTTGCCCTGGGTATGGCCTTTTTGTCGAAGAGTACCCAGATGATGTGCTCGACTAGCTGCAGACTCCCGTCAGCTACTGGCGCACAAGGTATCGCAGCGAGTACCAATGGCCCCTCAGGCTTCTCGAAGGGCAGAAATTGACTGAACCAACCTCAGCCTGAGAACATTCTTGACTAGCAGCAACGCCAGAGAGCGCCGCATGAGAATTGCCGCCCCTTTTTGAGAACTCGGTCAATTTTTGGGAGTGGCCATCCGGGTGTGCCTCTTTGAAGGCTGTGGGATAGCTGTGAGCAGCGACCAAAGTCGTGTCTAGCAGTCTGGCCAGGTCCTTTTCAGAATCCTGTGTTCCTGCTTGTGCGTCTCCAGCTGCAGCTTTGTCGGCCTCGCCTATCGCAACGATCTTCTTGCGTCGGATCTTTGACGTTGCTGGCAGGCTCTCGAGCACGTACTGCCGCAAGGTCAAGGTGACGGGGTAATACTGGGCCAGCAAAGCATGCTTCACGACGGCGGCGGGTTGCAGGTTTCCGGCAGTGCCTTTCAGCTGCTTGACGGGTCGACTGCTCTCAGACAGCCCGGTTTGGGCATCTTGCCCCGAGCCTCTGTTCCTCTTCCTCTTCCTGTTCCTAGGGGCTCTGGAGTTTGGCTCTGGCCCATGCGTTGCGGCTGCTTGTGGATGCATGGTGACTAGAGGCCTGTTGTGGATGCCGACCCGGCCTAGCCTGAGACGCGGTATGGCATTAGTCTTGAAAGTGGCCCTTTGACCATGCCAGGTCCTTGGCCCCGCCCACAGGTGGTGATCCACAAGCTGTTCCGCACGCGCTGTGATGCGCGGCCTAGCAAGGGGAAGAAATGCCAGGGACTGCCGAAATAATCAACTGCCGAAGTTGAATGGGGGCGTATTGATGGGCTTGTGGGCTTATGGGCTTGTGGGCGGGTTGAGTTTTATCGGACGACTCGAACTGGGAATTGTGTTGTGGTGATGCTTAGGGAGTGGAACAGGTGCGTAGCGCGCCGGACGCGTATCGATGCTCCGCCCAAGTACAAGTGTCTCGGCGCCCTGCAAATACGGAGTACGACAACAGGGGCGTCGGAGATTTCGCCCTGTGGCACGTTCGACGCTTGGGCCACAATGGAGCGGTATCCACAGAGGGACCTGTACTACTACTATGTAAGGAGGTGGTGCCTTGCGGGACGTCCTCGCATGTGTTGTTTACAGTAGTTTGTAGTACTAGTACGGAGTGTGTGTGTATATTCTGTCTAGGGCTGTGACGGTGGTCTGGCCGCCTGGCCGCCTGATGATCAGATGGCTGCTGCTGGGATGGCACCAATGGACCCCGGGGGCTGGGACGGGTCCAGTCCAATGTCTCGTCTGCGAGATGGGCAAGTTTTGAGCATTATAACCCTCGACTAGACTGGATGCTACTGCACATTTGCAATCACCTCATGGCCGACATCGAGGCGGGACCCGGGAACTTGCGATGGTAGTCATCCGAGACGGGCTAACGGGCAAAATAAAAAAGTAAAAAAAAGTCAAATGGAGGCGGTAGTCCTGGTAGATACTCATTCTGATACCAGGTTGACCAGGCCACAGGATGGTGGCACAGGTAAGGGTCTGGAATCCCCAGAGTGGTGGATCAACAAGCTCCTCCCATGTCCGGGCCCGCCTCAATCCGCTCCAGGGGTCATTACGGCCGTCATGCGACCGTATCATAGCGACGGCACCCGTGAACAGCAGGCCCCCAGCTCGTAATATAATTGTGTACGGTGGTGATTCATTTGGACCCGACGCGGAACGAGAGCACGCGTGCTCGGAATCACCAAGAAGCTGAGCACAGGCAGGACTCGAGAGCGGTGGTGGTCCAATTTACCAAACCTCGAACTCTGAACTCGAGTCCCTTGAACTCTGGACCCGGCCCGTCAGGCTCCCAGCAGTATTAGCATGGAGGATATAGCAGCCAAGCCAGACTCTAAACACGAGGTTATTCTGTCCTCGAAACGTTGACGACAGACCGAAACAAAAAGCATGGTGTCCATGTTGGTTCATCCCTTGCATCCCCGTGTGCTCAGCCCGTTCCCCGATTGGGAAGCACAACAGGTACTGCACGTCGTTGCACGTCCAGAACCAGTTGTTTGCACGGTCAGAGTAGCCGTCAGCAAGCCAGCCCAGCCCAACCGTTCGTCCCCTTTGCGACTCCCTCCCAAAACGTCGGCATGGTCTGGAAGGTAGACGGTAGCACAAGAGCCTGACTGGGCAGATGGCGTGTGATCTGTATCATCCTCATGGCAGCCCTGCCAGCCAGCCAGCCTGCCAGCCTGCCTGCATTGTCCTCGGTCGGCACCTGCTCAGCCATTTCACCTTCATTCCATGCCGCGCTGCAGATCCACAAGGTCATTTCCTCTGCATTTGTTGACCACGGGCCCTGGGGCCCTGGGCCACACAGGCCACACAGGCCACACAGGCCACACAGGCCACACTGATCCGATCCGATCTGCCTCTGGTCGTGGCGGCCAATCCTTGTAGCACTGCGCGGCGCAGTGAGAGGGGAGTTGGGGAGGGCGTGAGAAGACGTGCAGACGTGGTAAGCTGCAGGTGTTAGATTGGGCGTGCTGCGGCGACCAGGGCGAGCAGGCGACCAAAGAAGCCACGACACCGAGGGACGACGTGCAGTAGCGAGCTGCGCCGCCGGGGGGCTGTTGGCTACTTATCAATCGGGGCTGCACCAATGCCAGACTGACAGAGCAGCAACTGTCGGCTGATGATAAAGTGTGCTGCATTCCTGGTTTCTGGTGTTAGTCCCAGAACTACTCGCGACCTCGCACCCCGGTCCCCACGCTGCATTGTCACCCAACGGCCAAGTCTGGCGTGTAATCGGGGAGCAAGGCAGACAGGGCAGAATCATAAGCGAGCCGGGGTGGAGGGCCACGATAGGACACGATACGCTGCAGCCCTTGTGATAGCAGCTGGCGAGCACAGCACAGGACTGAGTGCCCCCGTATGTCTCCGTACAGAACCGACTGCATGTTCGTCAGTCCGCCAGAGTGGTCAGGATTGTGTGGGATTGAGGACGGGAGGCACCGTTTCCCAGACGCCGGGCGAGCTGGCAGGCTGGCTGGCTGGCAGGCTGGCGGGCCAGTCAACATTGGACGGGCTCCCTTGCGATATCCCGTCCACCCACCACCACCCACCCTCCACCCTCCTCCACCCTCCACCAGCGTGTACCAGGGGGCAGCCTGGTCGCCGTTTGGGCCAACCTAAACCTTCAAACAACCATCACCCACTCACGTTGCACGCCAGCCCGTCAATGCTCCCGAGCCCTGACAGCCCATTTCCCCCGACCTTTCTGCGCTGAGCACTGCATGGTTTCCTGACGTTCCCTGGCCTCCACTCGATCCAGAGTTGCGTCAACACGCACGCCCACAGCCACTGCCCGGCGGCGCCCATCCGTTTCACCCGCCCAGGAGCCCGGCAGAGAGTGGACGAGCCCGAGCTCATTTGCCCCAGAAGGGATGTTCAGGCCAAAATGGACGGAGGCAATCGAGAAGAGGAGGGTCCTCGCCATATGCAAGGCCCTGGCCTGGCGGTAGCTTCTTCTTCCCAGTCGCCCTACCCGCCCTATGCCCACGACAACGGCGACCTCGCAGCCCACCTCGCTCCCTCCCGCCAGCACCACGACCACTTCGACCACCTCGACCACTGCGACCCCCACGACGATCATCACAGCCCGACCGCCGACTCCCATCACGCCCTGCTGCACGAGTCTCCCACCTCCATCTCCGCCACGACTTATGCCGCCCGCAACTTCCACGCTGTAGCTGCAAATGCTGCTTTCCCCGCCCAGGGAGGAGCGTTTGGCAGCCCAGACGATTTCTACCGCAGTTATCGAGGCGTCGACATCGCCAACGACTCACTGTCCCATGACCCAATGGCCTCGGCCGTGCCCAACGCCCGCCCGCCCCCAGCATCACGGTCAAACAGCAATGCCGCCTCCTCCAAGCCCCCGCCTGCACCAGGCACCCGCGTCGGCACCAGGCCCATGTATCGCTCAGCGTCCAACCCTGTCGACGACAGGTTCGCCGCCGCCGACGCGCCCAGGATGCGGTCGGCCACCGGCACCGGCAGCACCCTCCCGGCCTCTACTGCCAGGGCAAGCGTAAAAGACATGAAGAAGAAGTTCGAGCAGAAGGGGCCACAGCCCTCGCCTGACCCACGGCGAGCCGCATCGCGGACTAACACCAATGCCAAGGATGGCGCTGTAAATGGGGCAAATGGGCGTGCCGCGGTTGGAACTGCACAGTCATATTCATCATTACGTACGTCCGGGGCGAACCCATCCAGGTCCAGCTCGTCTCGCGGCACACAGAGGACGAAATTCCTCGCCGAGGACCAAGTCTCGACGAATTCCCAATCCTTTGCGAGCCGCATCAATAGACCAAAGGGCGCCGCCGCGTCCACTGCGCATGGTTCGAGGTCCATGACTCACTCACCACCCACGACGTCGCCGGTTCAACAACCGAACCCTTTCCCCGCTGACTCGGAGGGGCCTCTCCTGTTTGGTGAGATACGACAGGGCGACCTCGACGCGGAAACGCCTGGATACGGCATAGGGAGCCTCCCAGACTCGACGGCGGATGCCCCCATGTGGCAACACCAGCGTACTCAATCAGATGCTGTGGCAGAGCCTGCATCACCGACCGACTGGTACCGTGGGGCCACCTCTCCCCAGAAGAACGGTCTGCCCGACCTGGACAGCCCTGGAAAGTCCCATGGCAGGTCGCAAAGTGACCTGGCGGGGGCCAAACTACCCCCAATCAACACTAATCCACAGTCTCGAAGACATCTAGATCAGTCACCATCACCCCACGCATCGGGCTCCTCTCGCCTGCCTGTCTCGGTCAAAAAGCTGAACTCGAACTCAAACTCTGCAAGTCCTGCTTCCACGCGGTCTAACTCGCCGGCCGGTTCAAGGCGACTGCAACCTAGTGGTAGGACATCACGGCAACAAGGCACGCCAACATCGCGCGCCAAGACCCCAGTTACCCGGTCAAAGACACCGACCGCCAGCACGCCCTCCGCCCGAAAGACAGCAACGCCCACGCCAGGCTCGAACAATGCACGGCTGGCGGCCAACCTATCACCGGCGCCGAAAAATTCTCCTCCCCTCCGAAGTTCCAGGCCCCGTCAGCCAGTGTCTGAGGCTACAACGGCAGCCTCTAGGCTGAAAGCCGTTGGCCGGTCCAAGTCTCCTCACAAGAATGCGGTACGGCCAACGGCCAGGCCCGAATCGAGGCAAGAAACACCATCAAGTCGAAGGAGAAAGCTGTCTTTGGGCGGCCCAGTCGACTTTGCCGAGCGACGAGAGACAATCAAGCTCAAGTACAGCAAGTCAATCCGTGAGACCGAGGCCAAGCAGGCACGAGAAGCCGCCGCGGAGAGGAGGAGGAAGGAGCTGGAAGCTGCTGCGAAGGCCAAAGCGCGCGCGCAAGCTAGAGCTCAGGCACAAGCTGCCGCGGCCGAGGCTGCAGCTGCCTCTGCCCAAGCCAAGGAGAAGGAGCGGGTGAAGCCCACCGAACCTCTAGAGCGCGAAGACCCACAGGCCGCACCACGAACTGCACCAACGAGCGAACCGTCCTTAACGGTCGATGTCAAGACACCACCGAGTCCTGCCCGTGCGAACCCACCTGCCTTGGTGCTCGATTCGCCGACTCTAGGGCTCCCAGGCACTTTTCCGAGCTTTGGCTCACCGCCCCTGGACCACGACGAGGCGCCTCCATCCGCTGTGTCGGAAACAAGTGCAATTACTGAGTTTGATAATGAAGCGCAGACAGAACCACCCGTGCCCGAACAATCAGTGCATGTGCCCGGCCCGCAGGGTTGGTCATGTGTCAGCAGTACTGAGGTTGGGGAGCAGCCTCCCCCGCAGCTAACGCCAGCCTACAAGAGAGCAACGTACCGTGACCCGTTTGAGGACATTGTGGATCATGAGACTGTCTCCATCAAAATATCACTGGATCCTTCGTCGCCTCGCACCTCGATACAGGAACCGGCACCTCTGAACGGGTTCGAAGCTGAACCTCCTATACCTGGCGCATTTGGAGATGACTTCGAAAATGAACCAGAGCCCGGCCCTCAGCAATATCTCGATGACAGAGCAGAAGCAGATCCTGAGCCCGAGCCCCAAGCCCAGCCGCAGCCTGAGCCTGCAGGCGAGCACTTGACTGAGCCAAGCACTGAGCAGCGTGCGCCGGCTGGTCGAGGGGAGGACGAATACGAACCTCAGCCGTACGTTGCACAACCGTACCAGACGACAACTGTGACTATCATCAGTCGCGATGCTGGTTTCGGGCCTCCAACCTACGCTGAGCAAGCCGCACGGAACATGGCCACCCCGCAGGAGCCACGGATGGACTCTCTTGAGGAGTTCTATACCGGGCCACGGCTGAACGATAACATATCCAGTCTCAGGGATTCCACCTTCACAGCTTCCGATGCGGGCACTTCGGAGGGACCCTCGGGGTCTGCTGATGCACATAATACTCCTGATACGTCCAACAGCCTCAACGTTCCTTCCATGACGACGCCAGCCAATAGGTCCAGCCAACAGTCGATATGGACCGATATCTCATACAGTAGTCGAGACTCCATGACCCGGCGTCTTGAGTACCTTGACGAACAGAGACACAGCGGCGCTGATGAATCACGTCCTCAGTCAGTGAGGGATGATGATGCGATATACCATCATCGATACTTCGCGGGCGGCTTCCATCACGACAGAGATGACGACACGTCATCGGACCGACACCGTCACCCACAGCTACCCCATCTTGACACGGGATCAGGAGCATCAGCAAACTATGACACTGAGAATGAGCATGCATCGTACGTTCCAAGATTGCCGGATCACTCTCCACCCCCGCCCCCGGAGGACGCTTCACGGCCCACAAGCGGATATTATGACGGACACAGCGACGCTCACAGACCTGACAGTGCTTTGACAAGGGATGACCACGGGTCCATCACCTTCCCACTGTCTCGAAGGGACAGTGAGGAGTTCCACAATCAATCCTCGACTTCACAGTCGCCGGACGGACGGTCGTTAGCCACAGATGGCATGACACCTGCTCAAACTCCTATAGATGGCGACGGTAAAGCATCTGTGAATGCAGACGACAAAAATGAATCTTCAGGCAAGGGAAAGAACCGCCTACATCAGCGATCCATGGTCATCAAAGAGCTCGTGGACACCGAGGCGGTGTTTGTGAGGGATATGAACGTCATCGAGGAGATCTACAAGGGCACGGCAGAGGCGTGTCCGCAGCTCGACGACAAGACGATCAAGCTGATCTTCCGTAACACGGATGAGATTATAAACTTCCATACGACATTTTTGAGCGAGCTCAAGGACGGCGTCACCAGCGTGTATGTGCCGAAAGGTCGACGGTCTCCTGTCATGAAGGACGACACAACTATGTCAGATGCCACTACCATACGATCGGTCGCTTCGACGGCCCCGTCTGCTGTGCCCTCAACTGCAGCCTCGTCGACGACGGCGGTTTCTCTCTCTGGCGCCACCGCTGTAAATGGGGACACCGAAGACGCCAAGGACCGACAAACTATCATTGGACCGGCCTTCATCCGCAATATAGAGCAGATGAAAGCAGCACACGAGGGGTTTCTCCGGACCAGCGATGTTGCGAACAAGCGTCTGATCGATATCCAACAGGATCCCACCGTCAAGGTTTGGTTGAACGAGTGCAATGAAGTCGCAAAGGACTTGACAGCGGCTTGGAACTTGGATTCTCTCTTGATCAAGCCGATGCAGAGAATCACTAAATATCCGAACCTGATATCCCAATTGCTCCACTATACTCCTGAGGACCATCCCGATCGAGAGGGGCTCCTGAACGCGAGGGCAACCGTTGAGAACGCGATCTTGGAAATCAACAAGACGAAAAAGAACTTCGAGCTTGTTGGACAAATTGTGGGGAGGAAGCGCAAAGAGTCTGATGTGAAAGCCGGGTTTGCCAGGGCCTTTGGCAAGAGAGTCGACAAGCTGCAGACCTCGAGCAACAGGCCACCCGAAGATCCCGACTACCTCAAGTACAACGAAAAGTTTAGCGACGACTACCTGCGCCTCCAGGTTGTCCTGCGAGACGTCGAGTTCTACACGAGGCAGGTCTCCACCTACGTTCAAACATTTTTGGACTATTTGTCGGCCATTGAGCTCGTGACTCGCCTGCAGCCAGGTCCGTATCCAGAACTCGAGAGCAAGTGGGTCCAGTTCAATGTCTCTATGAGAGACATTAAGAAGGTGGCCCTGGATCAGCATGTAGGTAACTCCGTTTGGGCGTGTACCTGTTTAGTCGCTAATCCCGTGGCAGCTGGTACAAATTCGGAAACACGTCATTGAGCCGTTTGAGCTTGTCATTAGAAGCTACCAGAACCCTCTCTTGGCGATGAAGAAGCGGAACAAGAGGAGGCTCGACTACGAGAAATCTGTCCAGCTCAAGAAAAGCGGCAAGAAGCTGGATAAGCAGCTCACGGAACTAGTGGAGCATTACGAGGCTTTGAACGACACCTTGAAGAAAGAACTACCCCAATTGTCTGCGCTCACGGAGAAGGTCGGCAACATCTGTCTCGAAAACATGATCAACATCCAGGCGAAGTGGTGGCAGATATGGGAGGGAAAGATCCGCGCTGTAGCCTCCATTTTTGACCAGCCGGAGATCAGCGAGATAGTGAGCACCTTCAACCGCGACTTCAGAGACATGGAGGAGCAGATCATGGGTCTGGGTATCCTCAACCCGACCGTGAAGACCAGGACGTCACAGTCAACAAATGACGACCACCCAGTGCCCAAGATCAAGTCAAGGCCCTCTGACCTCGGGGGAGCGCCTCGTGGTCGCGGCATGTCAGTCACGAGTGACCAGGCGCCGACTTTACCAGCACCGGATTTCGTCAGGCAACAACACAGTGGGAACCTGGCAAGGTCGCCCTCGGCTGCCGCGGCCAGCTCCAGTTACTTCTACCGCGATTACTACCATGGTCTCAACTCGCGCGGCCCGGCCTCACCCACATCATCTGATTTCTCGAACCCCCCGCGCTCCTTCCCGGCCATGACGCCACGTCCGAGCACTGGACGCAGCTTTGACTCTGCGGGAGTTCCAAGACCAAGCATCGATTCAGCAGCGGCTCCTGTGCATGTGCGGCGCGACTCAAGCTCGACAGGCAATGCGCCAACGTCTGCCTCTGATGGACGTCGGGGATCGGGAATATTCCACTCGGCCATGCCATTGGCGGAGAGCACAGAAGAACTGCAGCGCAACTCATCACGGGCATCCTCCCGCGAGCGCTACATCTCGAAGGGCTACAATGTTCTATGGCTTGCCGCATCGCTTTTTGAATTCAATATCGAGACTACAAAGCACGAGGCTGGTTACCCCTATCTGACATACCAAGCCGGCGAAGTAAGTATCTGTCCCGCCTGGTTCAGCGCACCAAAAGCTAACCGTGGACTACTAGATCTTCGATGTCATTGCCGAGAAGGGCGAGCTGTGGCTAGCCAAGAACCAGGACGACCCCAGTGACCTCGTGGGCTGGATCTGGTCCAAGCATTTTGCAAAATTAGCAGACTCTTGAACTACAGCACTTGATCCACGGCCGCACTTTGCGGCCGGTGAGACAGGGCTTGGAGAACATTGGTGGTACGATATTCGGCGCGGCGTTCTAAACGGACGGAATTTTCGACTTCTCGACTTGTCACCCTCTTCGTCAGAAGTGGCTCCGCTTGATTTTATTGGGCTTCTTCTCATGTGTAATATGCATCACGACTGATACAAAAGGGACGGAAAGAAAGAGGGCGGGCATCATGCGATATATCCGAAAGGGTTAATGTTACGACAAAAAGCGGCCTGCAAAAAGATACCATAGGATGGGTGGGACCAGGGGAGGGCGGGCGTTTTCAAGCTTTTCAATTTCTTCTGCATGAGGCTGGCTTCACGGCGGGACAACTTGATGGGAACTAATGCTGCAAGGCCCACGGGGGTACGACACCCCCTTTTGCACTTCATGTCCCCATTTCCTTTGTGTTGGAATTGTTTCTCCATCTGCGTGTCCTAGCAGGCGTCGGACACGACCACAGGCAGGAGAGACGGAACTGCAAGAGCGGGTCGGGATAACGGGAGGGAACAACAATACTACCTACCTACCTTTGCTACCTTGACCACCTTTCCACCTAGCATTTTGACTTTTCTACTTCCTCATGCAGACCTAGCTATCCATCTGTATTAGCATTTTCTTCCCTTTCCTTCTTCAATTTCTCTCCCACTGCCTGGCTATCTCTGGCTTCAGCGCCCAGCAGACAGAGTGGGGGTTGTTTGTAGAGTGCCTCTGGTGTCTTGAAGGGGCATCTCAGGCCTGGAAGCGCTGAGAGAATCCAATGACAGAGATCAGTGCTGCTAGATTGCCGTATCTGCGCTACACAACCATGTGATGATTAAAAGGAAACTGCACTTCGACTTGAACAGTGCCATTATGTATGACCTCGGCAAAATCGGAAATCAACTGTATCATCTATCTAGGTAGTCAGTGTGATCGCTTCGAATTCAATACGAGTTGTCGGAGAGTGGATAAAAGGGAGGCGTGGCAGATACTGCAGTGTGAAGACAATCTGAAACGACTCGAGGTTTCTATAAACACATTTATATGTATATAAATCAAGCCTGTAGATGCACAACGCCTCGCCTCCTGCCTGCTTTGCCAGGAAAGAAGAGAAAAAGAATGCACTGAAATGCCGAACAGTCATCATGAAACAAACATCCAGAGAGAAGCAAAGACATTGACATCTCACAGCGCAACCCCGCCATCCCACCAGTGCTGCCCAGCGTGGAGCCGAGGCAGCTCATCCCAGGTCCACCTAAGCCAGTGGTCCCCGGGCTCCCCAAGCCCGAGGGCGCGGAACAGCGACGCGGGGACGGGCTCGAGCAGCCATATGCCCGAGCGCGCGATGTCGTCGAGCATCCAGTACTGCGTGCTGCCGAGCCAGAGGGACACAAACACAAAGTTGCCCGCCCTCGTCGCCCAGGTGGGGAGTCTGGGCGTGATGCCGGCCCGGCGCATGGCCCCGCACGCCGCCGACTGCAGCAGGATGCCTACCCACGACAGCATGAAGAAGACGGGCGGGGCCCAGGGCCTGGACGGCGGGAGGCAGCTCGCGGACCCCAGGGCGTGGAGGAAGCCCGACTGCGCGAAGGCGAAGAGGCCCGCCAGCGTCTTGCTCACCTGGCGGCGGCGCCCGTCGCCGGCAGGGGAGGCCATCCACGCGGCCGGGGCGCCAAACGCGACGCGGAAGGTCTGGTGCCACCAGGCGCCCCAGTAGCCGGCGAGCCCCCTGTCGAGGACGTTGTGCGTGAAGCCGCCCATCAGGGTCGGGTAGTGCCAGAGCTCCGCCCGGGTGCCGAGGAGCGGGCGGAGGGCAAAGGCGCAGATGAGCTGCCAGAGCTTCATGACCATGGAGATGGCGGCGAGGACGCCGGAGAAGGAGACCAGGCAGCGGTAGGTGAAGAGGAGCCAGGGGGGCAGGGCGGCGAGGAGGCCGGGCAAGGGGACGGGGACGGGGACGGCCGAGCGCGTGTACTCGGGCCCCAGGATGAAGTAGGGGTCCTTCATCATCAGGACGCTGAGGGCGTCGAGGGCCAGGTAGCCGATGGCGAAGCTGCCCACCTCGGCGCGGAGCCAGGCCCGCCGCGTGGTGTAGCGGCGGTAGCCATGGGGCGTGGACTCGGGGATGGATGCCAGGTCGACGGGCGAGCCGGACTGGGGTCGCTCTGGCTTGGAGAAGTGCGGTGCCACGGGGATGAACCAGTTCCAGCCGGTGCCGCGGAACGAGGTGACGAGGTCGAAGGACCAGTCGAGCCTGGTCAGCCACGGGTCCTGCTCTGGGTACGACTGCCAGTAGTATTCATACCCCTCGGCAAGGCTCCTTGCCACGTCCTCATCGGGCACATGGTCGGCTATGGTGTGTCCGGCGTGCAGCGACTCTTGGGTCTGCGCTGGTGGTGCCTTTGAGTTGCCATTTACGCCGGTAACGACGTGCCCGTTGCTGCTGTTCTGCACCGGCCGCACGTTGTCGTCAGCGCCTGAAGCCCGGGCATCTCCGTTTGAGGACCCATTTACTCGTGCCGCGTGGCCGTTGGCAGACGGCCTTGCTCTGCGTTTCTCAACCCTCTCGGCGTCGAACTGCGGCTTCATAAATACAAGCAAGGTCATGTTCCAGATGATGCCCCAGGCCTGCATGAGACCAACAGCATAGCCCATGGCGAAGTTAGGGCTGGTGGTGACGAAGGACTCGCGGGCATTGTACAGGACTATGAACAACATGAGCAGGTAGCGAGCCCTGAACAGCCATGGCCGGTTCCGGTGGGGTATGGTGAAGTACAGGATGGGGAGGCCGAAGGTCACGAGGACAGACTGGGGGATGATCAAGGGCTTGACGGTCCCCAGGGCGAACTCGTGGGCAAAGTGACGGCGGTAGAGCACGCGGGCGTACTCACCGAGGTTGGCGGGCAGCGGGTCGGGCAACTCCAGGGGCATTGTAAGTCGGAGGGAGCGCCCTGACGTGAACAGCAGCCTGTCGGCGGCCGGCCACATGGTTGCAGTGTTGACAGCCTTGCCGATATGTTTATATAGTATCTTGGCACCACTCTGGAGAGGAACGAGCCTCGGCACGCAGGGTGGGGCTGGCAGCCCGACAAGATGAGTTGTGGTGTGGTGTGGTCCTGGGCCGGTGGTGTTTCGGTGGTGTTTGCTTGTGGTGGACTGGGCTGAACGTGAGCCGAGGCGACTGTGTGGTGTGGCGTGGGCGATGGCGTGTGCTGGCTGACTGCCTGCCTGACATGGGATGGATGGATATTACTTGGCCAGGCGCTGAATGAAGTACCTAGGTAGCTAGCAGTTGTCGCCAGGCCGCTGCAGCATCGTGCTCCTCTTGTCTACCTGGTTGCGTGCGAGCATGAATATGAGTGTGGTGAGAGAACCAACGACGGAAACAGAAAACCTTATGCACCTGCAGTGTGGACTGACATCTGCCAGATCTGGCCGCCAAGGATCGAGAATGATCCAAAATCGATGCGCCTGCCGCCCCCAGTGATGGGATCGCCTGACGTCAGCGACTCGGAACCCTGAACCGGCAGCTCGGGACCCGCACGGGGCTCTGGCCACTGGGATCACTCACCTGTGGCCGGAGGGGTGCGGCAGGGGCCGTCCACGTCGATGCAATGTGCCCGTCCATCCCGTTTTAAGCTTACAGAGATCTACACGACCCTAGGCCGCCATCCGGCCGCCCCCACCCCCATTCACCACCACCCATCACCACCCACCACCGCCACCATCTCAGATGCAGGATATTACTACCACTGCACCTGCAATGCCGTGCATGCTCACACACACACACACACTTCACACATTTCACACATGACATGCATGCGCGCCCCCCAAAGATCGTGTGTATTCTGTGCAGATCCACACAGAGAGAGCACCGTCCCTCGCGACCACTGCCGCTTCACATTAATCCTCGATTGCAATCAAGTTTCAATCATGGCTTTTGATTCTTGGCTGTCCTATAGAGCCAAGTCTTGCTTGCCACCCGTATACAGAATCCACCCTCGAGCACCCATTTGTATTCCATCGGGCACCGATTTGACCGTCCCCTTTGACGAGGTGTTGAAAACAACCCCCATTTGGCACAACTGCTGGCCCTTGCTTGTAGGCCTGATTCCCAAAACACGGGGCCTCCGACAACCCAGTCCGTCGTCTAATAAGTGCCCAGGCCCCGCTCCCCTACTCCTTTCCCTCGCTCCCAGCACCCCGAGGCCCAGACCCCGCTCCCCGCCCAAGCTCTTTGTGCTCCCCGTAATTTGATGATATATTCCAGCTTGATGTTCCAAAAAAAGAAAAAGAAAAAAAAAGTGCCGCCCGTGTTAATTGTGCTGCTCCGTGGGAGCTATCGTACATTATAGACGACAGGGGAATAAGGGGGAAGAGAAAGAAAATATAGAAAACAAGGTCCGTTCCAGGGCAGTGAGTTTAAACCAGTAAGTATATAGGCGCTTGCCACACAATTCCCAAACATAGAAGCGCGCCGCACCGGACCGCACCGCACCAAACCGACAGGGCATATGACCAAACCAATCCCACACCGCCGTCCCACAATTTTGGCTCAACACAAACAAAGGAAGGGGTATTATAAGAGGCATATGCAAGATAAGTAGATCCATCCCCCGGCCAAGGAGCCGAGGTCACAGGCCATAAGCAAGATACGGGTTGGGCTGCCATGACCCTTGCGGCACAAACCAGACTCATTCCTACTCCGTATCACTGCCCGACAAGTCTTGGACCGGCGCCATCTAGTCGAGCTCGCCAAATCGGTCCTTGTATCTTTGCAGCTCCAGCATCGACTCGGCTATGATGTCCAGCACGTTGGTCATGGGCGCCCGCAGGTCATCAAGCTTCGAGATCTGACCGCCACCCGCGGCGAGGTGTCGCATGGTCAGTGTGGAGATGCACGTCTGTACCCAGTGTTAGTCCTCTGTCTGGCCTCTTGTTGCTTCTGAACAACATACCTCTATGCGGCTGACTTGGTGTTCCATGAAGTTGACCAAGAACCGTTCCGTGACCTCGCCGCCCCTCTGCTTCATGCGGTCCAGTAACTCTGTCTCGGGAGGCTGCAGGCCGCGGTCCGAACCCTCCTCGAGAGTACTGCAGAGCATCTCGAGCCGGAGACTAACCCGCCACAGCGCCCATATCACCTCGGGGTCGAACGCGAGCTCCCCGCCCTGTGCCACAGTCGCCGGGAGGGTCTTCTCTACCTCTCCGGATACCTGCTTTTCGTGGAGCAGATGCTGGTCGATACGGCCGGCTAGCGCGTGCGGGTACAGCGAGTACACCACCTCCGGGTTCTCGAGGCCCTTGAGCTTCTTTTCACCCATCTCCTTGACCTCAAAGCCTTGCGAGCTCAGAGAGCGTAGCTCCTTGCGCACTGCCAGCGCAAAGCTGTCATCCTCGAGCGTGTCTTCTACGCCGTTGGACGGCTCTTGGTACGTCTCCAGGCATCTCTGTATCTCCGAGATGAAGTCGGACGAAACCGTGATCTGCCCGCCATCCGCGCAGGCAGATACACGCGAGGCTTTGTTTACAATAGGCCCGTAGTAGTCCATCCGCCGGGTGATAGGGTCGACCTCGCAGAGAGGCTCGCCCCAGTGCGTCCCCATCCTCACTGACAGACCCCGGAAGATCAGGTTGTTGTCCTTGTCGTAAAGCGGCTGGCATGAGACCGAGTTGAGCATCTCTTGAGGCCAGTTAATGTCAAGGAGCTGCATCTGTACGGAGAAGCACCAGAGCAGGGCAGACGTCGCTGTCGGGAACGAGACCATGAAGGCATCACCTTCAGTCTTGACCTCGTACCCGCCGATGCGGCGCAGCTGCCGCCTCATGACATCGTTGTGCAGTTTGATGGCAGACCTCATGGCTGCCGGGTACGTCTCCCATAGGTTGGTCGAGTTCTTGATGTCAGTGAAGACTATGGCAATCAGGCCCGTCGGCGCAGGTACTTCGGGCTCCAGCCGTCGTAGGTCAGAATCCAGGACATCGTTCTTGCCCGTCCGTTTCGGCTTCCTCGGCTCCCGAGGCAGAATGTCGTCCGTGATGCCGGATGGGTACAAAGACATGCTCTGACCGCGGTGCAGGCGCGATCTCTCGTTGCGCTTCTTGAGGTCCGCGATGCTCATCATCATGACCATGATCTTGCCAGTCGCCCCGTACGCCATGGCGAGGTCTCGAAGCTTTTGAGACGCTCGCATGAGGTCATGGCGTTCGCCTCGTGCGATGTCTGCAACGAGCTCCGGCGGCAGGTATTCCCAGACTTCCTTGGTGGCTATCAGGATGATTTCGTCTTGCTCCTTGACAGTCATATGTGAAACATGTGGCGCGGCCTGTACTGCGGGCATCAGGTCAACATAGCCGAAGGCACGGGATACTTCGAGCAAGTCATTCAACCTCCCGTTTCGAGACACCCAGCCACCGGCGTCCCTGATACGAGATCTCTCGCTGGGCTCGGCTGGATCGTGTTTGCGGGTCAGGAACTTGTTTGAACCATCAGACTGAATCAGCATGGCCTGCACGTCGCCCACGTTGGCAATGTAAAGTTCTTGCCCTTGGAGGTACACCACAGTGGCCACGCCACCAGAATTGAGGTCCTCTTTACTAAGCACAACCGGCTGCGCCGACCCACGGTGGGCCGTCACTGGCCGGTCCTCCGTGTGTTGGATTGCGATGGTCACCAAGTCCTTGTTGAGTGACAAGAACGCCCGTCGCATCGCATCGACAGGTGTTTCGTTCAGCCGAGTTTTCAAGGCTTTCAGCTCCATCGAAAAAATGTGGCCAAAGTTTTCGTGCAGATATTTAGCGATCTTAGAGCCACCACTGGAAAGTGCTTGGCCATCAAAAAGACCAAGTAAAGTTTCCGTGTCTGCCGAGTTGAAGCGAGGCACAACCAGATCGATGGTTGACAGATGCTCATTCCTGCCAAGAGTGTCTGCCATGCCGTAGGGCAAGAATCCGGCCAAGGATCCTGACGTTCGGACTCGACGATCCTCACTCTGGTCAGGAATGCTTGGCTGGATCAGAGTGACATCCATCAAACCAAGGACTCGAAGATTGAGTAGTCGACTGAAATCGGTATACTGTTCGCGGTTCGCATTCGCGGCGCCGAAGACAGTCTGCTTGATCTCCAGGCGCCTATTTCCGGAGAGGTTCAGGAATCTGAGGTTCGGGTTGAGATTCCAGTTCCAATCGTATGGCACATTTGAAATGTTGTATTTCAAGTAATTACTTCCGCAGTCCAGCACCGCAAGCTTTTTCGCCTTCGAGATATCGGCAGGCAGGTTTGTGAACTTGTTGCTATTGATATGTAAAACCTGAAGGGAGTTGAACTCTTCCAGATCGTCGGCGGGTATCGTCGTAAGCTCATTTCCAGAGAGGTACAGTTCCACGAGCTGTGGCCAGCTCTTGATCGACCTCTGGGGCATGTCGCTCAGGTCATTGTAGGAAAGATTGAGAAGTCGCAATTCGCTCAGCAACGTTATCTGGTCAAAGACATCATCGTCAAGCTGGTTGTCCGCCAGGTAGAGGTATCTCAAGGACCCTGCGAAAGTATTCGTCAATCGAGAGGACAGTCCGGAGTCCTTCCGGGAAGTCGGCATTGGAGGTTGCGGGCTGTTGTTATTGTTGTTGTTTTGGCCCGTCGGAGCCCTTGACATGACAGACGTCTTGCGGCCGCCTTTGCCATACACCGACACCACTGAACTTTTACGATCCGGACCTGCAGGTACAGGGGAGGGGCCAACACTCAGGAGCGTACTGGACGCTTGGCTCGGCCGCCTAGTCCCATCCGGCAGCAGGTCATCCGCGCTGGGAGAGGGGCTCAGGCCTCCGGAGGAACTGGGCTTCAGAGTAATGGAAGGAGCAGTAGATGCTGTTTCGCCAGGAGGCTGCGGTGGTCGAGAGGCAGGCTTGGGGAACGACTCGAGCACGTTTGAGGACGCGTTCAGCGTTTCCAGCTTGTTTGCCCACCAAATGTCCATGGGTAGCTTCCTCATGTTGTTCCCACGGACATCGAGCACCCTCAGCTCTTGAAGACAACCGATTTCGGGCGGAAGCTCTCCAATGGAATTTTTTGCAATGCTGAAATGTTCCAGGCGGCGCAGATTACCGATCTGTGGAGGGAGCGACACAAAATAGTTCCGGTCGAGAACGAGCCTTTCCAGGTTGAGGATATTCTGAAATGAATCGTCGACGCTGGCAAGTTGCGCGTTGGATAGGTTCAGAAGCTTCAATGTGGGTACAGGAGAGGTGATCTCGAATTTTGTGATCGGGTTTGCGTTCAGCTTCAGGCTCCGCAATCTCTCGAAGTTCCCGATGAACTGCGAGATCGCATTGTGATCCGCCGTCATGATCTCCAGCTTCGGGAGCTCGGATATGACATCGATGGCGGAAATAGCGTTGTATTTGACGTCGAGCTCGCGCAGACTCAGCAGATTCTTGAATGAATCGGGAAGCGCACCGGAGAGTCTGTTATTGGTAATGACGAGGCGTTCTAAGGACTTGAGGCTGCCAATGTTGGCAGGGAAGTTCATAATTAGGTTGAAACTCATGTCTAGGTCCACCAAGCTCTCCAGATCGCAGAGGAAGCTGGGGAACTTTTCGAGGAAATTCGAAGAGATGTTCAGGGTCCGCAGCTGGCGGTAAGCTCCGAAGTAGGGTGGCAGATGCTTGAGCCTATTGTTGGCCAAATTCAATTTCAACAGTCCCGTGAGCCCGTTGAGTTCCGCGTGCTCGAGTTGCTCCAGTCGATTGTTCGAGACGTCGAGGTACGTGAGTTTGTTGGCACGGCTGAAGCTGAGCGGCAGCTTGCGGGCTTCGTTGTTGTTGTACTTGATGTCACGAAGATTCACGCAGGAGTGGATGAAGTCTCTTGGGAGGTCCAGTGACAGGTTTCGCGACAGGTTCAGGGAAATGATCTCCGCAGCTTTCGAGTACAGCGAGATAGGGATGGTGATGAGGTTTCGGCCTGCCAAATCGATGTGGTTGAATTTCTGCATCCGACCGAAGCCAAGGTCGTGAGTCTTTGCGTGGAAATCACTCTCCTTGGCGGAGAGGAAGAGGAATCGACACAAATAGCTGTTGTCTTCTCGGCCAATGTCCTCGATCCTATCGCGTTCCTCGTAGCCGACTTGCTGGAGGAGCCTCTTTTGTATAAGAAGGGGCCGCTCAACTTGGTTGAGAACACGGACCAAATCATGCTTCTTCAGGACGATGTGGTAGTTGTCGAGGCTCTCCGTGACATATGACTTCTTGATGATCTGGCCAATGAGGTCTTGCACGGAGGAGTCCAGGGCCATCTGCAGAGTTGCAAAAGTACCGTCCGACCTAAAGACTCGGATGCAGTACGGCGTGAGTTTTTCTTCGGGTCTGGGGGGATTCCCAATGTCCTCAAGCTCCGCCGCATGAGACGGCACGTCCTGCTCGGTCTTTCTGACTGCCCAGCTGTCTGGCGCGTTCCACACACCGTTGACGCCATTCTTCGACTGTGCTTGGACTTTTTCGACTTCGTTGTTCGGTATGACACCAGGGGCCATCGGCGTGAGGGGCGCGTGTCGGGTCACGATGCCTGACATATCGTCGAGGTCGGTGTCGAGCTTGAAGTAGGTTCCCTTCTCGTTTGAGCGGTCAGTCGGGCCGATATAATCTTCGCCGTCGTCGAACTGCTTGTTGGGTCGGCCCTTCTTGGAGAAGGGAAACTTGTTGTTGAAAGTCGCCTGTCGCCCGTTATCTGGCCGCGCGCGCTGCTGAGGCTCGTTGGGCAGCTCCTGGCCGATGGCGGACCATCTCTCACCGTATGGTAAGGGGCCGTCGTCCTTGGTCACGTCCTGGCGCGATATCGATGGCCTGGGCATCCAAGTCGACCCCAGCGACTGCGTAGAAGTTGAGAGTTTCTTGCTGAGCGGTGGCCCCAGCTCGTCCTTTTCTGGCTTTTTGCCCCTTAATCTGTTGAAGAGCCCCTTTTTCTGGTGCGTGTGTCCTGGCGATGCAGGCCCGTCGAAGCCTCCGTTCTTCATCCCGACACTACTGTGGCCACTGGGCGTGGGGCTCTGCGCTCGAGATCGGGAGCCGTACATTGCGTTTGCAGCCCCCTTGGACGGGTTGGCGGCGCCGGCCTGGGACTCTTCCCTGCTTATCGATGGACGCAGGGCTCGAGGGTCATCATTGCTCCTGTTGTGTCGATGTGAGGATCCTTGGCCGCCCTGGACTATCGAATGGCCAGAGCGGTTGGATGAGGATGTCTTTGGGGGGTTCTGGGCGCCGTTCTCCGCGGCGTATCGTTCACGGTCGGGGCCGGCGAGGACACCTCTGACGGGTGCTTCGCCGTAGCGCGCGATATCCTGCAGTCGCATTTGTTAGGTGACTGGGCAGCAGACAGAAAGAGGCCAATCATGACGTTGTGGGAGAGGAAGGAACGTCCAGGCCGGGATGGAGGTGCAATTGTATTGATTAGGCAAGGGCCCCGAGTTATATGAAGTGGATTGGAGAAATTAAGTTACAGGGTGGAGATAGGGTTCCGGGATATGAGGTAGGTGCAGAGGGGGGGGCGGACGCACCTCGGCCTCCTGATACAGGAACGGCACGACTTCTGGTGCTGGCACTGGTGTCCTGGGCCTGGACGAGGACGGGGAGGCATCCCGGGTATGATCTGTGGCGTTTGAGTAGTTGCGGTCGCGATGGGGACGAGATGCGTGGCTGTACGAGTGGGAGCGGGTCTCCTTTCCAGCAAAGGAAGGCGGTAGGGAGGTCTCTGAAGAGTCTCGACCGGGAAACTCCTCGCCAAAGAAACCCTGGAGTTTCCTCAGGCCGCCTCCCCTCTGCCCGCTGTTCTTGGACGCCTGGCTGCTGGCGGTTGTGGTGACGCTGGCGATGGAGGGCCTCCTTTCGTCGTTGTAGTATGCGGATGATGCAGACTCCGCCGGGGGCGACTCGCTGCCGGGGGGGTTGTGCGTGGGGCGCGCCGCACTGACCGATGCGGACCGAAAGGCAGGAGACATTTGCGAGGCGGACGAGAGGTTGTCGCTGGAGTCATTGTAGAAGGTGGTGGCCATGGCGCCGGAGCCGTTGGCCGGAGGGGAGACGGAGGGGTTGTTGCCATTACTGCTGCCTCCTCCTACCATCCACGGCGCGACCTGCTGCATGAAAGAAGAGGCCGTCGACGGGGGGTTGTGTACGATCTGTGGGGCGCGACTGCCGGCGGGCTCGAGAACGGCTAGGTCGCGGCGGTAATTGACAAAATCGCTCATCCTGTGTACGGCATTGGAAGACGAGGAAGGGCCTGACAAAGAAGCACGGGCAAAGGGGGCGTTGGGCTGCCTGGATGTCGGCGAGATCTGCGGCTGAGACTCGGCGTCTCTGGAGTCTTTGAGGGACCTGTTACGCAGCGCAGACACAGTGGCATGTTAGTCCTTCACGCTTTGTGCGGGTGTGCAGATGCTTGGGAGGCAAGGCGACACTTGGGACAAGGGCCTCAGACGGGCAAGCAGGCTGAGGCATTGACAGACACGCGGGTGTTTCTGTTTCTGGTGGATCACAATCATGATGCATTGGCGACAAAAGGCGCAGTCGCGGACGCCGGCCACTTACTTGACTAGGTTCCCATTCTCGTCTGTCCTTAGCCTCGGGGCGGCCTTGCGCAGGCCCTTGTGGGAGGGGGAGGAGGAGGAGGCGGCGGCGGCGGCGGCGGAGAAGGCTTTCGTGGTTGGTTGGGCATTTCCTTTGTCTCTGCTCTTGTCCTTAGTCCTTGGGATAGCGGGCAGTGGCTTGACGGTGAAGTCGGAGGCGGTGCTGTCGGTGCTCGCGCTCGTCACTGAGCTGAATCGCGAGGACTCATCTCTCGTCATTGTCAGGTTGCCTTCTTGGTGTCAAGAAGGCAATAGAGCCATGCCTCTTCTTGGGCGTATTATCGAGCTCGCATGGGGAGCATATGGATGGGGTGGGGACGGAACCTCGAGCGATAGAGCAAGGTGAGTACAGATGCAGGCTGTGGGGTCTGGCGCGGTCCCGTATTATGACAGGGCGTGGGCGTTGCGCGAGGGTGGGCGTATGCGCAAAGGGCGTGCGTGATGAGAGAGCTGCTTGTAGGTGTGGGTTTGGGAGTGGGTGTGTATGATTGTATGATCTCAGATGTATGGGCGGGCGGGCGAGTGTTTGGCACGGTTGGCTGGATGGTGGGATCGATGAGACCGAGCGAGCGCAGCAGGACAAGGTAGGCGATGCGAGGCGACAGGCGACAGGCGACAGACAGGTGGGCAAGAGCATACAAGGTAAGCTATTGGGCTGCGAGTCGCAGAGTGCAGAGTGCAGAGTGCAGAGTGCAGAGTGCAGAGCGCAGAGTGCAGGTTGCAGGTCGCAGAATGCAGAATGCAGAATGCAGAATGCAGGTAGCAAGTAGCAGGTTGCAGGATGGAATGACGGCAGGAGGGAACAGAGCACATGGGAGTGATGGGACGGATGAGACAGACACGCTCGAGATGCATGCGCAGCAGCACCTGGACCAGACCTGAGCTCGTCTCCAGATCCAATTCTAACTCCAACCCCAACCGCGACTACGACTGCGACTACGACTGCAACAGCAGGGCGCACCGGCAACCAGGAATCAGCTACTAGCATCCAAGCAAACTAGTAGAGGGCAAACCACCCGACCGCAGGACCGTGCCGTCAGGACGGGTTGGTGGACCTCTGCCAGTCGGAGGCTGGCGAGTGTGACCTGAGACTGCGCCGGAGCAGCTCCCACTCATCACCGCTGCCGTCGCCGTTACACCTGCTCGTTACTGGCCGGGCCAACCTTGAACTGGCAGACTGGCAGACTGGCAGTCTGGGAATCAGCCTGCTTGTTGGCTTTCCCCATTTATTACGCCGCAGTCTCTGTTCGTTGCCGCTGCCCGCCGCCCCTCATCGAGGGGTTTTCCGGGGCGCGGATGCGACGGTACCTGTGGGGACCCTGGGAGCAGAGGTACATATGTATTATGTATCCAGGTACCCGAATGGCACGGATACCCACGCAGCACACAGCACACACAGCACAGGCAGCACGCCTCCACCTCCCGCATACGGGATAAGAACTGAGAGGTTCCCAGGGCATGTACTCGGTACAACGTGCATACAACATGACGACTGCCCGTCCCTCAGGCAGAGCCTCGAGGTCTTAGCGCCCAGCGCCAGCTCGCCCTGCAGCTCGCGCCGTCGCTTGTGGGACTGCTCGCTGGTGTCATATTGCCAGGCGGTGCCAGGAGCAGAGAAGTGCCGAGGACGACCAAGGGGAAAAAAGAGATAGCCCTGCTTCCCAGGTGCCCAGGTGCCCAGGTGCCCAGGTGCCCTGTCATCGGAGGCATTGTCATCGGCCCGCCAGCTGGGTTCCAACGCCGCCCGCCTCTCACCCGCCACCACCCCAGCTTGTTTATGAGCCCGTTGAGCCCAATTACACCCCTGGCGCATACTCCGTACAGCTTCAGCTTCAGCTTCAGCTTGGGTTCGGGGGGGATACACCTGCCTAAAACCGTCTGAGCTTGCAGCCCCAAGGGCAACCACGCTGCCAGGCTTGTCGACACCAAGGTAACGTTCACTTGCTGTATCTGCATCTGCATCTGTATCTGTATTTGTCTCTCACTCTCTCTTTTCCTCTCAGGCAGCTGGCCAATTGCGCCGTGCAGGCATCCTCCGTACACCGCAGCCCGGTAAATCTTGTCGTCAGGAAAGTAGATGCGTCCGCCAGGGCCAGAACCAGGGCCAGGGTCAGGGAGAGAGAGAGAGAGAGATGGCTAGCTAGGGCCCGCAGCTAATCTGTCATTCTGACACGGTACCGTGTGGTCAGGCAATACTTTCGATCTGGTAACAAGCATGAGGCTCAGCTCATGACATGGTGCTATGCTGTGTCGCAGCTGCACTCATATGCCCATATGCCCATATGCCCATATGCTGATATGCTGATATGCTCATATGAAAGTGCGCCCTATGTGCCGTGCCGTGAGACCCACTGGGGGCTCAGCTAGCACCACGCTGTGCCCCTTGCGGCGATCAGTAATGTGTACGGAGTAATCATGCTGTAAGTTCAGTGTACATTCTTAGGCCGGTACACAAGGGCTCAGGGCACAGGGCACAGGGCACACAGACTCCCCACAGTATTCTGCCAGATCGTACTGTGCACATGCTGTAGTACACACTGCCCTCCTCATCAGGGACTCGGTGTTTCTTTGGATGAGACTGAACATCACTCTACTACATCAAAGCACTCACTGGTGGTATAATAGATCGTGCAGAGGTAGGGATCCATGGGGCAGACGGGGCGTGCCATGTGACAAGCCCTTCCTCAATAAGTCCCCGGGCGCACTGCCCAGCCCGCCCGCTTTCTGTGCTCTGGTTGATTATGCTCATTACATCACATTAGCTTGTGGATTGCTCCCAAGGCTCCTCCTCCCTTTCCCCTAGAGCCCTGATAGTGGGGTCGGTCGCACCCTAGTGCCCGCGCTTGCAATTGCCCATGGAAGATGGGAAGATGGGCCCCCTCCCCCCATCTCCATCTCGTGCTCCTTGAAGCAGTTTCAATGTTCAGGGCGTCTCCAGCCTCTGCTACCGTGGTATCAAACGGTCCCAGCCTTTCTCCCTCGTGCGTGCCCAACCGGCCTCCCAGCTTCCCAGCTTCCCCGGGCAGCCCGGGCCAGACGGGGACGAGTATTTCGACTCATGTGCCTATGTTTCAAGGCTCTCTGACTACCGGGCCAAGCCTTATCTTGGCGCTCCAGGCGGGCGGCACATCCAGGACATGCACACAGAGCTCAGGGTCTCAGCACTCGGTGGGTCACCCTGGACTCGGGTCGCGGACGAGGACAGGGAGTCAAGCTTGGGCTCTGCTGTGTGTGGTGTTGTAGTCTGCCAGTCTGCACAGCACTCAACAGCAGCAGCAGGATATCGGCAATCCGGTTCGTCCTTGCCCTTCCCTTCCCTCCCCAGGAACGCTCATACCGGTATCCCAAGGCCTGTTGTTTGCGTAAATCCTGTCCGACGTGTCCGCACAAGACACGACCCAATGGTGCCTTCGAGGCAACCAACCAGCCCGGCAATCCGATGGGCAACAGCAGCTGCTCCACTCGAGGGTGGAAACATGTTTCCGCCCTTGGTCATCGGCGGTGGAACTCAGCATCATCGCCTACGTCAGGAGCAACGAGTGTCCTGAGTTAACCTCCAACACCCGTCCTCCAGCGCGACGGCTCCAGCACGACGGCCATGTGCGCCGCTCTCCTGGCAGGCAGTCGCAGCCTATGGCATTGGTCCTCCACAGCCGCTCGAGGTCTGGGCCTGCCCTGTCGCATTGCGGATCGATGTGCAGGCCGATGCTTCCAAATAACCCCCCTACTTCTACGGCCGCCTCAAAGTGAATTTCGGGAGCTCACATCCCATATCGTACCCGTCTGCACGATTCGCGGCCCCCAATACCAATCCCCAGGGCCAAGACAGCCCGTCCAAATGTTGTCTGCCCGCCATCAGCACGCCAGCACAAACAAGCCTCAATGGGTGCGCATAATGACGCCTCGATGGGGTGATCGCTCTGCGGCCGGGCCCCGGGGCCAGCCAACCAGGAACCGTGCATTGGCCGATGCCGACCACGATCCTACCAGTGCCGCCCATCGCTTTATCCTCCGGTCTTCTCTCCCTCCGCACCCGAGCACTTGCACGTTGCGCAAGCTTTCAAACTGGTGTCATGGACAATCATCTGAGAATCCTCATTTAAGCTTTTGCTCGCCGGGACCTGGCCCGAACGCGACCAGCCACTCTGTGATGGTGGTGACATTCTCGAAGCCTTCGTCACTGCCTCTGGGCCTCCTCCACGCGCAGATTGTCCTTGTCCCCCCACCGCAAATGTGCAGCATGCACGAGCACATGCATACATAAAATGCCTGGGCGCAACGGCAAGATCTGGCCCCCAAAATGTGGCCAGACCGGACCGGGAAGCATTTAATCTTGATTTTAATCTTCGTTGGGTGCCACTGTCAAGACATGTGTGTGTGCATGTAGGCAGGTACTCAAGTACTCTTATCTCCGCGCCCGCCGTAATTATAAGCGCCCCCATCAATATCACTCGCTCGAGCAACACACCGACATGCACAACTCAATATGGATCCTTACCTTACACGTGTGTATTGCAACCAGGCAGCTGCCAGGTACTTGATGTACCTCCTACACCACAGACCTTACTAAGGCATGCATCATGCACAGCTGATGCCTGGGCAGAAAAAATTAGGTACTTCAAGGTATGATCGCGTTCATGGCCGGCAACAGGAATGCTCCCCCGAGGTTAGATGGGAGAGAAGACGCGTGCAGGGCGGCTTCCTTGCCATGAACGACAACAGAACCCTAACTTATAAACGCCCGGGATGTCGTGCCATGCGATCCGGCCGGCCTTTTGAGGTTGTTCCAGAGCCCCACGGACTACTCGTGTTTCGGGGTAAAAAGAAAGGATGGCAAAGTGAGACCCCCAGAAGGAATTGGATCCTAGGCCTTGCCTGCCACTGCGCAAACCACACTCGGTGCGACTCCAGTCTATGTCCAGACTTCAGACACAGTAGAACCGGTCGCACATGTGACACCAAGTCAACTTGCCGTGCTAACGCGCTTTGCATTTGTAGCCAGTGAGACATATATCGTGTAATCCGCAGACTACGCCTAGCCTAGCCTTCCTTGTGAGGAAGATGGGGGACACCGGGGCCAAGTCCGACCCCGGCACGTTCTACGTACCCAGGTAGGGCAACGGATGCTATAGAAAAGACCGAAGGAAAAACAAAAGCCAATTAGCCCTCCAGCGAGGCCTTCTGCCTGCCTCATCAGAGTTTATCCAGCGATACGAGGCTTGACAAGTCAGAGTCGCTGTCGTCAACCACGTCCCTCCCCGGCGCTATGGGCTCCTCCTTCTGGCCCAACGAGAGCAGCCTGCGCGGGTCTGAGTCGCCGCCGCCGTGCCTTGCCTTCCTATTGGCCTTGGGCCCGTGACCACCCAGCGATGGAAGACTAGACTCATCGGCATCACTGTCGTCGACTCGCTGGATCCTGAGGTCTACCTCATCATCGTCATCACTCGCGCTGTCCGTGCCAACACCGTTGTGACTGATTCCCGAGGCATCGTCCCCGTTCTTCTCGCTGCCAGACCCGGCCTGCTCCTGGGTGTAGGCCTGGGCAACCACGCGTGGCCGCTCGCCCTTCTCGTCGTTGAGCTTGACCCCGACGTCCCTGCTCTCGTGCATCACTGCTCGCGCCTCGCCGTCAGTCGCGAGCCCCATGTCCTCCTTGATCAACCTCGCGCCGAGCTCCGGCACCAGCACGGACTGCACGAAGCCCGTGTACCCGCGCGCAGAGATGAGCTTGTCGATGGGCGCCCTCGCGCGCAGAAGCGACGAGAAGGCGTCGATGATGCTCTCCGTCATGATGCTCATCCCCCTCAGGCCGTAATACCCCGGTACCGGGTACTCGTCCGTCGTGAAGAGGGTGCGGTTCTTGCCTGCCTTGATCTTGTCGCCGAGCTGCTTGCCAAAGTGCGACGAGGCGCCGTTGATGACAGATTCGAGGTGAGAGTGGTGCTCCGCGATGCGCGCCTCCAGGCCCTTCCAGTCAATCTTCGGGTATCCCTTGGTCTCCCACAGCTCCTCGGCGGCCCGCCTCTTGTGCTGATGGCAGAACTTGGCCTGCCGCGCGATGCTCATGCGCTGGCCCTTGGAAAACTCCTCGAGCAACTCCTTGTCGACTGGTTCATCGCACATGGGGCACGGTGCCTGGTCTGGGCCCAGGTTTGCGTTTCTGTCGTCCGTCGCTGTGTCCTCGTAGAGGGGCATGTCAATGCCTGCCCGGTCAATCGCTGAAGCAAAATCATTGTAGCCCTCAGGCATTCTGAATTCTGGCTGCTGTGATACTTCCTCGTCCGCAGAGAGCTCCTGGGGCTTGTGCTTCGCGGCCTTTTCAGGAAAGCGCCTGGTATCCTTCTTCCGTTGCTGTTTTGGATTTTGCTTCGACTTTTGTGGCTTTCCCAACCCCGTGTCTGGTCGAGGCGGGTCCGATAATACATCATCAGAGTCAGTATCGGAAAGGCTTGGGGGCCGTCCTTTTTTGGAAGCTGCCGACGCCTTCAGGGCTCTCGGCTTTCTAAATGGAGATGAAGCCTCGGATCCTGGGCTCAATATATTGAAGGTCCTTGTCACCTGTGGGCTCACAGATTCCGACATGCTCTTCACGCGTTCAAATTTTCGGTTTGGCGTTGATTCGCGGGAGATGCTGGTCTTTGCTGCCTTGGCTGCCTTCCTCCCATAACCTGGCTTCGCTCGCTTGACCTTCCCATCCACGAGAAACCCATCGCCCATGTGGCTGCCGAGAGACGATGGAACAGATGAATCGCTAGTCTTCGCCCTTTTCTTAGCAGACGACACACCATTCTCGTCCGCGTCCGGGTCTTCGGCAATCTCTTTAGCTCTTTTCCTGTCTGGACGCGCTGAGTGGCGCTTGGGGCCATCATTGTCCCGAGCATCAAGAGTTGTTCCGCCTCGAGGAGCTATACTGGGCTTTTGTGAGGCCGAATTTGGCTTGAAGTCAGACCTGCCGATGTCACCTCTCACTGGCTCGTCATCTGAAGAATCGTAACGAGGATCGGGATCCCCAAAGTCCGCCTCATCAGTCTTCTCTTCATCACTGTCAATTGGTGGTGCTGTGACATCTTCTGGTTCCTCCATTGCTTTGACGTCCATGTTTCGTTGCTTGCCATTGACACGTTTCAGCAGTGGCCTTATATTATTCCGTGACAACTGAACTGGGGGCATGATTACCTGATCCCACGATAGCCCAGCTATGTAAGACCAGCAGTCATGACCTGAATGGGTTCTGCAAGCTTTGTCGCGAAATCACAGGTGATTGGCCTGGGAACCACGAGTTCGAGGTTGGCCGCCTTGGGCAGTTGACATGGACTCGACGTTTCGCGGGTGAGCGCGTGCCCTGCTGCTAAAAATCCGATCTCAGGATGGGTCAAGGGGAAACAAAACAATAAATTCCGGGTTGCAAATATAGTGGTTCGCATCTGTTATCCTGCACATCTGTTCCCGTCCAACTCATGTCGCATCGGACCGTTCAGTGAGCGTTCGCAGGGTGCGCATACGTGCATTGAGACGCGTCCGTTCCCGTGTCGAGACTAGATTAGTCACAGCATCCCACGGTTCGGGCACGGTCCAGGTCTACTTGAGTACCCCGTACTCACGTTGCCTTCCGCAAGCAGCGCCTTCCTCGAGAATTAATTCATGGATGATGTTCTTGATAAGGCAATGCGGCACAAAAGGCACTGGCAAGAACGTTCCACCGCCGACCGAAGTCCTCTCTGACAGTTGCAGAGCTTGATCCGCACGTTCTTATTCTCGTTCTCTTCTGGCTCTTGTCGAACTATCACGGGTATCATCACTTCGAACACAATCAATCATCAATGAGCAGAACGACATCATCGTCATGACAACTTCGCCATCTTTGCCTCCAGGTCTTTCACCCATCCATCGACAGTCTTCATGTTGTTGCCCATGGACAACTCTCCCTCCTGCATCGCCGTCTCGATCTTCTCCAGGCCTTCTCTCCACTGCTTGATATCAGAAGCCATGTCTGCCTGCCTCTTTTCGATGCGTTCCAATGTCTCGCCGGCAGTGGCCGCATCGGCATGAATCTCTCTCAGTGACCTGAGCCGATCCAGCAATGGAGGCAGGAGGGGCGTCAGGCTCTCTATTGTCGGCAGTGTGCTGTAGAGGGCATTGATCTTGGTCGTCTGCTCCGAATCCTCCGAATCTGGGGTGCTAGGAGAGGATGAGCCAGTGCCGGTCGAGGCGAGCGCCTCTTTGGCCTGCTTGGCCTGCTTTCGGGACTTCTCAAGCTGCTCGGCCTCCTGCGTCAGCTGTCGCACCTTGCGACTAATGGTGTCCAATGAAGACGACGACGCCTCGGACAATGTCGAGACCTGCTTCTGTAGTTTCTCCAAGGTCGGCACAATTGCCCTGGGTAAGCCGCTCGAGTCCAGCTCCGGCAAGGCTGACGATCCGATGCCAATGGCTTTCTCTAAAAGCGCAAGACGTCCATCGAAGTCTGCAGCCTTGGCGAGAGCATGCGTCTGTTCGTAAGCCGGCGCGTATGTGACGGTGTAGGTGGCCGAATCTCCGCCCGCAGGCTCGCCCGCGATGGTGTCTTGCTTTGGCTCCCTGGCAGGTAATGGCCCGACTCTGACTGGCCGGAAACCAGGACCTTGTGCCAGATCCTCTGGGCGCCTCGAAATCTCATCCAGCACCTGGCTGAGAGATGCCAATTCTTCTTCCTGGTTAGCCTCTCCTTCAACAGGTTGGGCACCCGCTGCATCATTCTGTGACTTCTGCCGGCCATACTCCTCCTTAGCCTCCTCAATCTCGCGCTTCAGTCTCGCAAGTTTCCGAGCCAAGCTCTCGGCCTCATCTTCGTCGCTTAGATCACCCAGCTCCTCAGCGCCATCCTCCAGGATCCTGTGCCGGCGGCTGGAGGTCTTATAAGACTTTCGCTTTCCGTTGACGCGGTCTGAGAAGTCGACCTCCTTCGCGTCGACTTGGGAGGGCATGAAACGCGACCGGGCTTGATCTATTCGTAGTTTGGACCGGGAAATCCCCGGCCCGTCTGCCTCGTCATCGTCGAATTCGGTGTCTGAAGAGGACCGTAGCGTAGTCTGTAGCAGATTATCAGCCCGCGATCAGGTAGCTTGAGGGGCTTCAGTGATACTCACAGGCACTGTGGAGGTATCGTCTGTGAGCTCTGGCGTCTCGTAGATGTCTGGCGCAGAGTCCTGGTAGCTGCATTAGCTGGGGGTGTTCGCGGAGAGGCGGACCGAGGCCGGGCTCACAAGATCGGGCAACGCTGCGTATTTCCTATTTAGGGACATTTTGAGCCGTGTCAAGTGGCAATAGCCTCGTTGATTTGAAGGTCGGTAACGCGATTGCCGCTACAGCGACCTTGTTCGGATTTGTATGGCGGTGTTGGAAAGCTGGCCCGTCGCCGGTTTCGACCGCCCTGGTTGCACCTTGGGTGGAACGCGGCTTTGAGCAGGTGGGCAATCTAACGCGCCGTTGGCCATCCCTGGCCCGCTTGGTTGCAAGTGGGGGCCCACTAATAAAGCCCACCCACCTCTCCAGCTACAAAACTCGAAAATTTCCTCGCCGCCAACTTCGAAACCCTCTTCAGCAACCTTCGACGGCAGCAAAAAACAACAAAACGTGAGTCCACCTGACACTTCCTTTCCAACTGGTTACGTGATGATCATAATAAGCATGTATTACCTGACATTTTGTGATGTTCTCATTATCACCAAGATCTCTGAAAAGCCCAAACACCATTACTTCAACACCTCGCTTCTCCACTGCAAAAACTCATTGCTGACCAAGACCAATGCGTTCAGGTAGAGGCAGTCATGTCTGCAGCTCCAAAGCCCCCGAGCGGGCACTTCAACCTGCTCTACTTTGCAAGTGCCAGCACATTCACAGGAAAGCAGTATGAGGTGCTGCCCGCGCCTCTTCCCCTGCGGAAGCTGTTTGCGACGCTCGAGGAGCGATACACCGGCATCAAGCCCAAGGTGCTCGAGTCCTCTCTAGTGACCATCAACTTGAACTACGTCGACGTCCCTGAGGATAGCAATGAGGGTGGCGCCGACGAGATTATGATTCAAGAGGGTGACGAGGTCGCGATCATTCCTCCCGTCAGCTCCGGCTGAGACCTGGGACGGACCGTCTGATCATCAATCGTGTCTCCCTTGGCGCCTCATGGCCTTAGTAGGGGATCCTGTTCTCCGGCCACCTCGCCGCTGCTTCCAGGTTCAGGTTCAGGTTCCGCATGTGTCGTCCACGGAAATCGCTTAACCTTCCAGAACCTCCACCATCCTGGCTCCGCTTGCTTATGATGCCTGCGCAGCCGAAAGAAGGCCCGTGTGAGGAGCAAAATGATAATTAGGACGACCAGTGTCGAGGCGATTGAGACGATGGAGGTCAAGCTGGTGATGGTCGAGACCTGACACCCCAACGGCCGTGTTCGGAGCTCCCATCTCTCTGCCCAGTGCGGGCACACGTTCTCATCATAGGCTGGGGCGAGCGATTGGATGGTGTGATTGTTTGGCACACATGACCATGACTTCCAAGATTGATTTGTGTCAGCACCGGGCACGGCACAGAAGATCGGGTCAACCTACGAATGGGCACCAGCTACATCGATCCTCGTGCAAGCAGCCCCTACAGTCCTGATGTCTCCAGCAACGAAGCAAGTGCACGTCGCTGGGGTCTTTGGCGGCCATTACTATTAGTAAAGAACTAGGCAGTAGCTTAATAAACGCAATCAATTGACGCTCGTTATGACGGATCCGCTGGTGACTGATTCGCGATCAGGAGAGTGCGCTTTCCCTGTCATGGCAGTGCTAGTGATGGAGGGGAAGGATGACCTAATCCAGCTCAGACACCTTGCAACCTCCATGGTCACCTCACCTCCACGTTCTGTTGACCTCGCATAGCACAGCACACCATTGCTGTCCGCTTACAACAATGGCTCTCGTGACCATACGGAATCTCGATGGTCCGCGCCTTGTGTCTACGGACCTCGTATAAATGTTGCTCAGGAGTCGTTAAGTAATTCAGCCCAATACGGCTTTCACTATGACGTTAGACCACGCTACTTCGCTCTTCTACCCAGGCACTCTGACCCCGCCCCTGCTTGAATCGAATCGATTCAGGTTGCCGGCTGGGTGACAGTATAACGGCGTTCCTAGCATAATCCGTCTATGCTCTCGCGAATTGTCTCGATGCCCACCATTACATCGTCCAAGGTGTCTTCAGGCTGCAGGCACCGCAGATGTCCTTCTCCGTGCCGTCCTCCAAAACGGGGTTGAGGAGCACAAGGTAACTTGGGTGCGCCATCTCGACGCACCACGGCCTCGCATCGCCTGAACGCGGATGGCGATCTTCGGATTGGGCCAGTTGGGTGACCCGGGCTGTCAACTGATAATCGCAGTCCACACAGAGATTCTAGGTGCCTTAGTCCTGCGGTACTTAGCCATAGGAACAGTCTTGTGGCATGGACTTCAAGAACTCGGGGGTTCTGGCACAGGTTAGCATCGACCATCGGCTCGCTCTTTGAGGGTAACAGCCTACGGTGTCCCCGGCGAAAACCACGCCCGTCTTTCCTGCCGTTGAATTCAGCCAAACGCGAAGGCAGATGGCTTCTCTGGGCCAAGCAAGGGATACATATTCCCTTCTTGCTCTTCGACTCGCGAAATGAAGCAGGCTTTGGCCTCCCGCGATGGGACGCTCAGCCAAAAGTGTTTCCCGACTCAGACAGCACCAACCAGAATGCCGCCGCCGAACCTCCACCCTAACTCTGGCTCCAACTCACCCCTGAGACCAGGATAAAACTCATTGGACGCATCGACACTCCTCAGGTTAACCCTGAGGTGCTCCTGCGCAGTGTGAGTAAGATCGCTGCCGCCTCATATACCGACCAATCCTGATGAGAACCTACGTTCAGGTCCCTCTCAACTTGTTCCCGCTCTTCGTGCCTCAGATACCCAAAGTCCGCCAGCACCGCGGCGAACCTGTGGCTGAATCTCGCTGCCACTTTCGCGTCCATCCCACTGCCGACGGTCGCCGGTGCTCGATTCGAAGCTTTTGTTGTCTTCCGTTTCCGACCAGTCTCCTGCTCCACGAAGTTGTCTGGAACCCGGCTCGCATTGACACCACATATGTTCACAACAAAATTCCTTATAAGCTGAGCACCCTTCGGCGTGTGTGGGACCTCGGGGTGGAATTGGACGCCGTATATCGGGTGCGTATCGTGCGCGATGGCCGCGGGCTCAGAGGTCTCGGTCGTTGCTATTGCGTGAAAGCCTTCGGGGAGCTTGGCCAGTCTATCACCGTGAGACATCCATGCCTTCATGGGGCCTTCGATGCAGTGGAAGAGAGGGTCGAAGCGAGCGTTGGTGATCTGTGCCGTGACCTCTGCCAGGGCGTACTCTCCGGGGACCCCGGCCACGACGTTGGTACGGTCTAGTCGGTACGCGAGCTCGGAGAGGCCATAGCCTATTCCGAGTATGGGTATGCCGAGATGTAGGTAGGCTGGATCAAAATGTGGCGCACCGTCATCGTAGACGGAGTATGGACCTCCGCTGAGGATTAATCCAGCAGGCTTGAACCTGAGCTCGGCGAGTCGCGTGGTGCAAGGGAGTAGTTCGGAGTAGACGTTGAGCTCTCGGAGGCGACGGATAATGCTGGATGCAGTCTGATCAGCACGGTGACAGTCCGACCGTAATCGATTTCAGACTTAAATCGAGGAACTTCGGATCAGACTTACAGGTGGGTATGTTGACTGCTGCATTTTCGACTCGGGTTAGAGAATGGACATCAGCCGAGCGGGCTGTGCGGATGAAGTTTCTTACCCGAAATCCAAGACCAGAATAGTTGGGTAAACCTCTTGAGGCTCTGCAATAGTGTCCAATCTGGCCATTCTGATGGTGAGGGTTGTTCTATAGGGCTGGGGGTTATTTCAAGAGTATGTTTGACGGCACGTCGTCTTAGTTCGTACTATCTTGAATTTTCCATTCGCATCAAAACCACAGGTGCTCCGCTAAGGGTCCATTCCGATGCAGGGACATGGGTCGATGATAAGGATAGACTGGCAGGGGTACTGATGGTGTGGTGGATAGCCCCGGAGGCACCTAGGTACCTAGGTACCTAGTAAAACCTAGATTTATAATACTTATTAGAGTAAGTACCAAGGTATATTATTATAACACTAGATAATTCTAGTGAATATATATATTATATATTTCTCTCTTTTTTTCCTTTTTTTTATATATATTAAATATAAAATATTTTATATAATAATTTATTTTTAAAATATTAACTTTTATAATATTAAATTTATAAAAAACTACTAGTAGTTTTGATATAATAAGTGAAAGATAGGAGTATAGAAGGACTCACTCAATTAATGGATTAATTGTTGCTTGATTAACACCTGGACTAATGAAAGGTTTAGCATGTGCATGACTGGTGCTGACCACCTGCTCACCAACACACTTAGATAACATAATTAATTGATACCTGCAGGGCTCTTTCATGGCTTTGCATTGTGTATTGATTGTCCAGTTCTAGGTCATCAGGCTAGTCGCACCTTAGGATTCCTGAGGTTACAGTGGATTGGATCAATGTGGAGCCATCCCAGGCTGGTGTACTCCGTAGTGGTATTTATTTTGCGAACCAACAAGCACAAGGACCTCCTTGACCCCTTCTTTACCTTCCGAGCTGGCGCAACCTCCTAATTTGACAACACGATTGAAAAAATGGGTGACAATGCAGGCTCAATTCTCATAACCGGCGCCAACGGTGGGCTCGGTAGTGCTGTGGCCTCACAAATCGCGACAAACCCAAGCCTTCAAGGGTATTATGGCATTTACACAATTCGTGATGCCGCATCCACACCAGCGCTGGACGCCGCGCTTTCGGGAGGACAAGGCGGCACCTCAACCTCAGCACACAATTTCGAAAAAGTATCCCTTGACCTCTCCCGTCTCAATGACGTCCGTCAAGTTGCTACAGACATCAAAGCTCGAATTGAGTCCGGCCAGATCCCTCCAATCCGTGCTCTTGTGCTCAATGCTGGTGTTGAGGAGTTTACAACCCAGACTTGGACTGATGAGGGACTTGATAAAACTTTTGCGACCAATTATCTGGGCCACTGGCTCCTCACTATGATCCTTCTTGGAAGCATGGATCGCGAGAAAGGGCGTATCATCTGGATCACGAGCTGGTCACACAAGTATGTCAATCCAACGGTCGACTTGATGCTCAGATATATTGGCCCGCTGACAGTTGCACCATGCCAGCCCTCAGCACCAGCAGAACATAATGAATGGGGCTTATGAAGATGATAAATACAAACAATTCATCGTGGATGATCTTGAAGCGATTGCCAAAGGTACTTGGAGTGCAAATCAAGATGACTCAACAGGCTGGGCGGCGGGCTACCGCCGGTATGGTGCATCTAAGCTCTGTGGTGTCATGATGATGTAGGCTCTTCATTCTCCACGACATGTCATTGTAATCACGGTGGCTAACGAATTCGATCAAAGCCATGAGCTTCAGCGTCGCCTCGACCAAGACACCCGACTACACAACATCTCAGTCCTGGCCCTCGACCCTGGTGCAATGCCGACCGATATTGTGCGTCGGAGCCCCTCTTGGTTTGTGCGAGTTCTGATGTTCCAGGTTATCCTGCCCGTACTGGGGACGGTGACCACCCGCTTGTGGCCAAATGGGTCGTTCCGTACTTTGCAGAAGTCGGCCAGCGACGTGCTTAGTGCAGCCCTTGACTCTGGCCCACGTCCGCTCAGTGAGCACCCGAAGGGCCTGTTCCTCAACGGCTCAGAGCTGAGTGACTACAACAGCGAGGCCAAAGATCCCGTGAAGTGCGAGATTGTGTGGAAAGGCAGCTTGCACTACGCAAAGTTGGAGGACGGCCAGACGCTCCTTCAGAACTGGAAGTGAAACAGGGATCAACTAGCTCCCGGACTCGATACCTCGAGCAAGCAGACCATGCCAGATTCACCTCTCAATTTAAAGCCCAGGTTGTCCAGGCCATGAAGCCTGGCATCTTGATGGGAATAAATCCGGCATATTTTGCATTCTTTATGGCGCTACGCATTGAGCTCCGGGCTGGATGGTATAGCATTGTTTTTCTGGAAATGAATCAACTACATGTGTCTAGTACATAATTAGATCTATTAAGTTTGAATGAATGCTTCCGCTTCTCGATCCATACTGTGATTCAGTTGAATTTGTTTCTACCTTCATGTCTGCCCACATGAATTTGAGTCACCAAGCACTGCCTTCCCAGTCTTAATCAATGGGTATTAGCCGTGCTCCTCACACGGTGAGTGAGGGCAGCCATACGCATGCACGGCAAATCTCGATGGACCACACGAGAGAACCCCTCGATTCTGCGAACCTGTATGTAGAACAAGATAATGGGCTCTTTGTGAGATGTTGGTGCCTGTGCCGCATGACCGGAAATGCCTCTAGTAATAAATGCATTCCCCGAAACCGCCTAGCACTTGAGAAGACTGTGGGTCGGTCACGCCACTCGCACTCGCTCACCCATCCGTACGGCGGTCCTCAGAGGCCGTGATTTTGATGCCTAGGATCGGCCTCATTTGATTCAGCAGTCTGTCACGAGTGATCACTTTGGCGATTGGGGCCAGTGTCTTCAGTCAACAATACACCAAGGCTCGCTGCTCAGTGAGAGGCAATTCGTCCGGAATCTCCGGATCGCAGTGCGAATGGCTGCGACTGTATAAACCCAGAAGCTCACGGAAATACTGTGCAGCAGCGACTAGCATCATGGGACAGACAAGCTGTGTTACCACCTACAGTGCCTCAAATCGTGGTGAAGGAATCGCGGCCCCACCGACATCGACCGCGACGATGTAACCAACAGGCGCACATTTCCTTCATAGTGATTTTAATCTGCCTAGCGTCAACTGGTATTATTCAAAGGTGGAAACCGTCGATTGTCGGCCTTCCTTGCCCGATTCATCTACAGTTCTGCCACCAACTTTGGGGACTGTGTCGTTCCAAAATGCTTGGGTAGTAATACTGTGCACACTAGTCACCAACGCTCAAAAGCGAGGACGTAATAGTAGTGCGGGTCCCGGTTCAACAATGCCTTCGCTCGGAACCAGTCAAATCTACTCTTTCCAACCAACAGTCAAGAACAGTCCATGTTCTCGCCCGTCGGATGAAACGTCCGAGCGGAAACGATAGAAGGATGGAAATCCTGGCCTGCGTACTGGTATGCCCAACCATGATATCCACTATACAGGCACAAGATCCAACACCGAGGTGCAAGCGAAGGACAATTGCAACCTAGATTACAGTTGGCGCCTAATGAGATCCCTGCTCCAAAGCCGTCAGCTGTCCCCCCCGACTCATGAGTTTGTCAAATTGGTCCATCATGTGTGCTCTTTCAATGAGAATGTATAGAGGATATAGTATGTCTGTGGGCACGTGGCCTCAGCCTCATGCCGCACACATATATCAGGAGGAAAGGTACTACTAACTAACTTGATACACTTACAAGGAAATTTTCAGAATGCGCAGGTGCTTGTGTGCTGTAGTATCGCACTTCTTGGTTATAGAGCGCAATACACAGTATTCATGTGTCACTCAAGAATGAAGGACCAGGTGCTTAAGGGTGTGTATTCCGGCTAACTACTTCTCTCGAATTAAACGATATAAAACAATGCAACCGAACTTCTCCAACTCATCCAGCTCAAGTGCTTGCCTTCCAATCCTGTTTGATGAAATCGGCACATCTTTCCGCAATCATCATTACTGGAATCATCGTGTGGCTGGTGGGAACGCGAGGAAATACGCTTGCATCAGCGATCCTCAGGTTCTTGAAGCCGTGAACTCGAAGCTTTTGGTTCACGACGCCCGAACTCTCATCGTTTGACATGGGACATGTGCATACAGGATGCAAACTGGTATGGCTGACCCTCTTGACGTAATCATCAATCTCACCATCCGTGACGGTTTTCCATGTCTTACCGTCGTTTGAATTCTCGCTTGTGGGTGGGCTTGTAGTCTTTGTTGTGGTTCCAGTGGGCTTCGGTGCACTCCATTCATCACCGGTTTCCTCCCACTCTCGCAACAAGTCCGGTCTGTTGCCGGGAGCGAATGCGAATGGGGCAGGATATGGGTAGCCCGAGGCCTGGAATTCAGCTGCCACACGCATGGTAAACCGTACGGCAAGCCTTGCAGCTGCGAGATCTCGCTCATCGGTGAACATGGGGTACACAATGCGGGGGTTGTCGAGCGCATTTTTGCTTTTCTGGCCTTGATGTCAGCTCGATCCGATCTGAGGATACTTCAAGGTGAAAGGCTTTACTGACCAAGGTGATTGAGCCTGTTGCATAAGGCTGGATTATAGTTGGATGCAAATTGAACAATGCATGGCCTGGAACGTGACGCTCTAAACCATTGATTGGCATCACCATGATTTCAACATCCGGTCTGTTAGCTGGATGAGACGAGTCCAGGTTATCCGTGCCGTCCTCCTGGCGTGTCTTGACAGACATTGTCTCGGGATTAATGGCTCCAGTGCGGAGGTAGGCAGCCGAGGCCATTGCAGTTCGAGCAAAGAGACCTTTGCCGACAAACAACCAGAGCAGCATGTGCCACAGACCCCAAATCGATTCCAGTACATGGAATGTCTCCTTTTTTGGCAGCTCCAGCATGATTGGGAAGCTGTAGTGGTCAGAGAACATCGTGCCAACGGCCGGCAGCTCCTTGATGAGAGGAATGTCGAGACTGTCATTGGTCTCCGACGCCAGTGTTGTCGGCCCAATTCCACTGAGCAGAAGAATTTGGGGTGTGCAAATGGCACCAGAGCACAGGATAACCTCTCTTCGCGCCTTGACTGAGAACTTGTCCGTTTGATTGCCTTGAGACGACTGGATGTGGACACCGTTGACGAGTCCCGCAGGACCGTCAATGTCCAATCGTGAGACAACAACCCCCGTGCCTGTTGTTCGATTAGAGCTGCCCAACACATTGTGGTTTAGGCCAAACTTCAAACTTACAGATTGTGAGGCGGCCAGATCTCTCTTTGGCGAGCTTTTTGCCAAGAAACGCCTGCAGGGCAGAGATCCTTCTACCGTGCTTGTCGATGGCAGCCTCGAGGTTGAACAGCCCCATTGCAGGAGCGTCCGGGCCATTGCAGTCTCCTCCCAGAGGCAGGCCAAGCTTTTGGAAAGACTTCTCAATGCTGCGTCGAGAGTGGTCAGTCCCGAGGTCATGAAGCTGTCGTGAAGACATTCCTGTCCAGTGGGTGAACTTACTATGGGACCCATTTGAATGGCATCTTGGCGGCACGTCCTTCGACGGGGCCTGTCAGGGAAAATGTTGTTAGCTTTATTATGGAGACAAGAAAACAAATCAATCTTGAACCGTCTTACCATCGTGACCCCGTGCCTTAGACTCTGGATGATCGACCGCATTTTCGATCTTGCGGAAGTAAGGCTCAACCTGCTCCCACCCCCAGTCTGACAGCCCCAATTCGTTCGACCACGCAACATAGTCAGCTCGGCAACCTCTTGTCATGAGCATGGCATTGATACGTGTCGCACCACCAATACCCTCCGACGTCCAGATCCTTGTTCTGCGCCCATTTGCTTCGGGGATGGGCTCAGACCAACGAGTACTCTGCACTTGCAAGGGGTCACCGAGGAACATATTCTGGCTAAGCAGCGGCATCCGCGAGACAAGATTATCTTTCACGTGGCCCTTTTCGAGCACGAGAACACTAACATCAGTGTCCTCAGACAACCGTGCCGCCAGAACACATCCGGCTGTCCCGCCTAAACACATTCAAAAATCTCGATCAGCACATACATCAACCGCTGCGTTCGCAATGTAGCAATGCACACTAACCTCCGACAATTATGTAATCATAAGTTTTCCCGTCAACCTGGGATGGGGTGCTTGTAGGATAGGATGACGACCACATCATGTTAACCTATACAGAATCTCTTCAGTGTTTGTTCCCAAGTCCTTCGTGGCACATGGTCCGTAGAACAGGTAGGCATCAGTGTGGACTCACGTTTGGACTTAAACGATGGGGGAAAAGGAAATTATGCTCTGACAACAGCTAGAACAAGTTCTCGCAGGAGAGATGGATGGAAGACTGCACACTCGGGCACAGTTGGGAAGTACTATTGATAGGTGAAGAAGGAGGAGGATGGGGGCCAGGCTGACCCCGGAAAACTGGACGTTGAGGAAAATCAAGCGACTGCCCAGGGACTAATGCTGAATGAGACTGTTGGTTGCTGAACCCACTAGAACGACCAATCATGGCTAGTCTACAACTTGCGGGATTCACTCGGTGACATGGGGCCATCTGGCCATTGAGCCGCACTAATAATGGGTTGCGTTATTAGCGCCGAAGCACCGAGGGTGTAAGCGCGTACGCACAGTGTTGCATTGAATGCTTGTACACATAACAATCCATGTGCATGCAAATAATTGCACGGCCTAGCTCAATCGGGCTCCACTTTCGTAATTAGATATCACGCCGTTCAACGTTGCGTCCAGCATGGTGGAGGTGTGAGTGGTTACAGAACATCAAAAGCATTTTACAAATGTATCATGTACTTGTCGGGCGAGTATCACAAACTATGTCCACCTGCAAGATAGTGAGAATGGTAACTTCAACTCGACTTGACCTGCTTGTTCCTGTCACACAAATACCACGGCGCATTGCTACGGCACCCACTTTAGATCACATGGCTAATTGGTCAGCATGATGAGATTTATGTTCACGGTGCCTCATTTACTCTTTTCGGAAAGATCCAACCTGTTGGAGACTGAGCCTCGAAATGTGTCTGGGCGCTCGGGATCTCAGCAAGGCTCCAGTGCGGAAAAAAGGAGGAAAGAGGAGCCAAAGATTCTCCAGGGACTGGGTAATGTCCAGTTCTGTAGAGCGGCTGCTTTTCCTCTTGTTCTCCGCTTTCATTTAATTTATAAAACAGTCTGGCCTCCACGCGTTGAAGGCCGTGCCTCATCGAACAAAGAGGTATCACTAATCGTCTCCTACTGTTGAATCGAATAGACCAACATTAAAGGAAGATGGCTTTCAATACTCTCATCCTGTCTGCGGGTGTACTTATCTTTGTTTACGTGGGCCTGTTTATACTGCAGGAATGGACACAATCCAAGGAGGAGCCTCATATGGCCGAAGCTGCTGTTCCATTTTTCGGATCGATCCTGCAGATGATGACGCAGAAGACAGCGTTCTATCTACAGATGAAGTAAGTCCACGGTTGTCTTCCTTGTTTCATTTCCCTGCCTTTAATCATCAATGATAATATGACCTTACAAACGTCACTGGAATCTTCATTTGTTAATGTGATTGTTGCAGAGCCAAGTATCGGTTTCCTATCTACACTTTACGCATGCCCTGGGCGAGGATCTATGTCGTCAATGATGCATCTCTCATTTCCGCTGCCCAGAGGCAATTCCGTGCTCTCAATTTCCCAGTTATCATGGGCAAGGCCATAGGAAAAATCGCAGGCACAAGCCCGGCGACCAACGAGATCATGAACCGTGACTTGGCAACTGACAACGGCTTTCTTGTCGGGTTCAACAAAGCAATTCATTACACTGTCTCCGCTGGCCCAGAACTCGACAGACTGAATCGAGATGCTATACATTCATTTGCAACATCGATCGACAGGTTTAGCGCAGGCGGCCCGCGCAGCGTTTCCCTCTTCTCTTGGGTTCGGTCTGAGGTTCTCCTCGGCACGACAGACGCAGTGTACGGACCCTTCAACCCATTCCGAGACCCAAAAATTGAAAGTGATTGGTAGTAAGTGCTTTTATTATCTGCCCAATGTTTAATTCGGCATGCTGATTGATGCAGCACCTTTGAGCCTGGGGTGACGACTCTGGCCTTGAAGTTCATTCCGAACTTCTTGAATGGCAGGACTATCCAGGCAAGGGAGCGAATAGTCGAGGCCTTTCTTGTATATTTCCGAGGCGGAAAACACGAGTCAGCGTCTGGATTGGTCAAGGCTCGCTACGATTATATCGTGAAAAAGCATGAGATCCATGATCTCGTAGACGTTGCGAGGTTGGAAGTGGCCGGGGCGTTTGGCACCATATCAAACAGCTCCCCTGCCGCATTCTGGTTGCTGTACCACCTGTTCGCCAATCCGCATATCCTCGAAGACTGCAGACGCGAGCTTTCTACCCTTGTGGAGGAGCGGGATGGCACATGCTATCTCGATGCGAACGGAATTCCAAAAGAATGCCCTACCATTCTATCCTCATTCAATGAGGTTCTTCGTTACCACGGTGTTCAGGTCTCCTTGCGCAAGGTCGTTGAGGACCACGCATTGGAAGACAAATACCTCCTGAAGAGAGGGAGTGCCCTCATGATGCCCGCCACCGTACAACATTTCGACCATGAAATATGGGGCCCAAACTCGAGAGAGTTTGACCACAAGCGTTTCATGCCGCTTGGAAATGACGGATATAGGAAAGGGGCCCAGCGGGCAGCATTCCGGGGCTTCGGCGGAGGACATCACCTTTGTCCAGGACGACACTTTGCAACAACAGAGATAGTGGCTTTCGCTGCCTTGATTGTTCTTCGCTTCGATATGGAGCCAGTAACAGGGACATGGACTAAGCTGAAAACGGACAAATTGAGCTCTAAGGGCTCAGCAGTCACGTTGCCGGACAACGATTTGGAGGTGATGGTAAAACCAAGGGATACAAATATTTAGGTCATATCTAGAAATTCAATATAATTAATATATTGAACTAAGTTCACTATATAATTCTATTAGGAATATTACTTTAAGTACTTTTAATTTATATATAACTTAATATATAAATTATAAGTTAAATAAAATAAATATATTACTTTTAAATTAATATAATTAATATAATTAATATAATTAATTATTAAAATATATATAAATTATAAATATATATATATAAGTAATTAAAAGTTTTATTAATTATTTATTTATTTAATTATTTAATATAATATATTTATTTATATTTTTAAAATTTAAACTTTTTTATAATTTTTAAACTTTTCTTTATATAAAATAATATTATTTTAATTTAAATTAATATATTAAAATAATTATTTTATTTTAAATTTCTTTTATAATATAAATTTTTAAATATTTATAAATTTAAATATATAAAATATATTTTATATTTAATTTTAAAACTTTAAAAATATATTTTTAAATATAAAAAATAAAAATATTAATAATAATATAATTTCTATATATTATTAAAAATAATTAAAATTAATTAATTAAATAAATTATTATAATTTTTAAATTAAATAAAAAATATATATTTAATAATTATATTTTTATTATAATAATTAATTTAATTAAAAGTTTTATTTAATTTTAATTATATTTTTAAAACGTTTTTATTAAAAGAAATTTAATTAAATTATTAAAGTTTTATATTTATAAATTATTATTTAAAGTTTTTAAATTTTTATAAATATATAAATTAATTTAAAAATATAATTTTATTTTTAAATATTTAAAGCTTTAATTATTTTTAAAATAATAATAATTATAAATTAATTAAATAATTATTTATTTAAATAAAATTAAAATTTTTAAAATAATAATTTTATTTTTATTTATTTTAATTAATTTATTTAAATTATATAATAATTTTAATATTTATATATAATATTTATTAAATTAAATTAAATAATTTATAATTTATAATAATTTTAATATTTAATAAATTAATAATATTAATTTAAATAAATTTAAATTAATATTATTAATATTAAAATAATTTTAAATAATAAATAATATTATAAATATAATAAAATATTTATAAAATACTTTAATTATTATAAAATAATTATTTTAAAATTATAATTTAAATATTTAAATAATTACTTTAATATATATATATATATATTTAAATTATTATTTATAAAGTATTATAAATAAATAATTAAATAATATTAATTAAATTTAAAATAATTATTTAAAAATAAAAATAAAAATTATTTTAAATTAAAAAGTAAAAATTAATTAAAAGAATTTTAAAACTTAAAAGTTTTATTATAAAAATTAAAATAAATAAATTTTATAATTAATTAAAATAAACTTTAAAATTTATATAAAAAATTATATAATTTTACTTTATATTAATTATTATTATTAAAAAATTATATAATTTTATTTTATATTAATTATTATTATTTAAAAATAAAATAATTTTTATAATTTAACTTTTAATATTAATATTTATTATAAAACTAATAATATAAATTTAAATTTAAAAGTTTAAAATTAAATAAAATAATTTTAAAAGTTTTATTTAAATTTAATATTTAAAAATTAGTTTTATTAATTTAATTTTTACTTTTAATATTATTATAAATTATATTATAAAAATTAAATAAAAATTATAATTTTATAATTATATTAATTTTTAATAAACTTTTATTTTTAATATAAATTAATTATTTTTATTTATTAAATTTAAATTAAAATAAATTCTTTATAATTTATATATTTTTATTTAAAATTAAATTAAAATATTAATTTTTAAATAATTTTAAAGTTTATTTTAATAAATATATTAATAAAATATTATTATTATAAATTTAATAAATTTAATAAATCTTTTATTATTTATATAATTAATAAAATATTATTATATTAATTATTAACTTTTAAATATAAAATTAAAAACTTATAATTATAATTTTTAATTAATTTTAATTTAATTATTTTATTATATTATAATTTAATTTAATTTAATTTAAACCTTTTTTAAACTTTATAAATACTTTTATTTTTATAAATATAAATATTAAATTAAAACTTTTAAATTTAAATTTAAAATTTTATAAATTTTAATTTTTTAAATTAAATTTATAATTTTTAATTTTTTAAAATATATTAATTATTTTAAGTATTAATAACTTTTTTAAAGTAAAAGTTTATTTTATAATAATAATATAAATCTTATATATTATTAAAAATAATTAATTAAATAAATTAATTATTAAAGTTTTTAATTAAATAGTTTATAATATATAGTTAATAATTATATCTTCTATTATAATAATTAATTTAATTAAAAGTATAGGTTTAAATCTTTATATTTAAAAGTTTTATTTAAACTTAAAAAGTTATAATTATACTATTAAAAGGTAGTATTTACTTTAAATAAAGTAACTTAATTAAATTATTAAAAACCTATACTATTTAAGATTTTAAGCCTTTTATAAGATTATAAGCTAATTTAATAATATATTATTTAAAAACTATTTAAACTCTCTCTATATACTTAAAGCTTTATAAAACCTTAAAAGAGTAATAATAATATAAGTTTTATATATTATTAAAAATAATTAATTAAATAAATTAATTATTAAAGTCTTTTAATTAAATAATTTATAATATATAATTAATAATTATACCTTTTATTATAATAATTAATTTAATTAAAGGTATAAGTTTAAATCTTTATATTTAAAAGTTTTATTTAAATTTAAAAAAATTATAATTATATTATTAAAAGGTAATATTTACTTTAAATAAAATAACTTAATTAAATTATTAAAAACTTATATTATTTAAAATTTTTAAGTCTTTTATAAAACTATAAATTAATTTAATAATATATTATTTAAAAACTATTTAAACTCTCTCTATATATACTTAAAGCTCTATAAAAGGCCTTTAAAGGAATAGTAATAATATAAATCTTATATACTATTAGGAATAGTTAATTAAATAGATTAATTATTAAAGTCTTTTAATTAAATAGTTTATAATATATAGCTAGTAATTATACTTTTATTATATTTATATAATTATAGATTTAATTATTAATAGCTATTTTTTTATAAAACTATTAAAACTATAAATTTAAATAATAAAGTATAATTACTTTATTTAAAGGTTATTTTTAGTTTAATTAAATAATTACTTTTAAATAGTTTTACTTATAAAGTTAATAATCTTTTAGATTTATTAAATAAATATTTATTTAAATAAAGTTAGAACTTATATATATTTTTAATTAAGAAAATAATAGCTTTATTTTTATTTATTTTAACTAATTTATTTAAATTATATAGTAAATTTAATATTTATATATAATACTTATTAATATTAAATTAGTTTATAATTTATAATAGTTTTAATTTTTAATAAATTAATTTATATTAAAGTTAATAATATTAGTTTAAATTAATATAATTTAATATATTTAAATAAAAAGTATCTTTTAATAATAAATAGTATTATAAATATAGATTATAAAGTTATTATAAAAGTTTTATATAATAAACTTAATTAAATTAATTTTTAAAAATATATTATATTTTATTAAAATATTTTATTAAAATATTTTATTAAAATATTTTATTAATAATTATTTTTAAAACTTTAAAATTAAAATTAAAAATAATAAAAATAAAAATAAAAATCTATTAAATAAATTTATTTTAAAAGTTTTATTTTTTATTAAATTTATAATATAATTTATTTATATATATATTTTTATAATATTTTATTATTTTATTATATTATTTTATATTATAAAAATATAAAATAATAAATTATAATAATTATTTTAAATAGTTTTATATAAATTAATATTTATTAATATTAGCTTTTATATATAAAGTTTATATAAATTTATATATTTAATTAAAATTTTTAAAACTTTTAATATTTTAAATATAAACTTTTTTAAACCTTTTAATATCTTTTAAACTACCTTTTAATATACCTTTTAATATACTTTTAAACTACCTTTTAAACTATTTAAATTATATATATTTAAGTATTAATTAAGTATTTAAATATTAATTAAATATTAAAAAGTTAAAAGTTTAAAATATTAAAAGATTAAAAGAATATTAAAAGATTAGAAAGAATATAATCTTTATATTTAAATATTTAATTAATATTTAAATATATATAGTTTAAATAACTTAAATAGCTTAAAAGTAGCTTAAAAGTATATTAAAAAGTATATTAAAAGGTAGTTTAAAAGATATATTAAAAGGGTTTATATTTAAAATATTAAAATTAAAAGAAATTATTTTATAAAATCTTTTATATTAATTTAAAAGTATTTATAAATATAAGGAGTTATTAAGAAAAATAAGTATTAAATAAGTTTATAAAAATTATTATGAAGTAAATATTAAAGTTAAATAAGTAAATATTAATTTTTTATATTTATAATAATAAAGTTTTTAAAAGAATAATTTTATATTAATTATTATAAATTAAATATATTTATATATAAAATTAATATATTTTATTTTTTTAAAAATATATTTTTAAATTTAAAAATTAAATTTAATTAAATTTAATTTAATTATTTATAAAATAAAATTTAAATTTAAAAAATAAAAATTTATTATATTTTATATAAATTATTTATATTTTTAATTTTATTATTAAATTAAAATAAATAATTAAAAGGGTTTAAAAATAAAAATTTAATTTTTATTTATTTTAACTAATTTATTTAAATTATATAATAATTTTATTCTTTTAAATATAAAGTTAAAAACTTATAATTATAAAGCTTTAATTAATTCTTATTTAATTATTTTATTATATTATAAATTAATTTAAATTTTAATTTAATTTAAACTTTTTAAGTTTTTAAATTTTTAAATTTAAATTTAAAATTTTATATATTTTAATATATTTTAAATTAAACTTATAACTTTTAACTTTTTAAAAATATATTAATTATTTTAAATATTAATAATTTTTTAAAAATAAAAGTTTATTTTATATAATTATAAATTTAATTATTAATAATTATTTCTTTTTTATTTATAATAAAATTATTAAAACTATAAAATTAAATATTATATATTATAAAAAGTATAATTACTTTATTTAAAATTATATTTTAATTTAAAATATAATAAAATTAATAAATAAATATTTATTTATAAAATAAAATTAAAACTTTAATTAAAGAAATAATAATTTTATTTTTATTTATTTTAATTAATTTATATTTATATTTAAATTATATAATAAATTTTAATATTTATATATAATATTTATTAATATTAAATTAAATAATTTATAATTTATAATAATTTTAACTTTTAATAAATTAATAATATTAATTTAAATTAATTAAATATAATTTAATATATTAATATAAAAATATCTTTTAATAATAAATAATATTATAAATAATTATAAAATAATTATAAAAGTTTTATATAATAAATTTAATTAAATTAAATTTTAAAATATATTTTAATTTATTTTTAAAACTTTAATTATTTATTTTAATTTAATAATAAAATTAAAAATATATATAATTTATAATAATTTTAATTTTTAATAAAGTTTATTTATATTAAAATTAATATTATTTAATATATTAATATAAAAATATTTTTAATAATAAATAATATTATAAATAATTATAAAATTATTATTAAAAGTTTTATATAATAAAATATATAAAGTTATAATTATTAAATATTTTTAAAATAAATAAATTATATATTACTTAAAATTTTAATTATTTAAATAAAATTAAAAACTTTATTTTTAATATTTTTTTATAATAATAATAATTATAAAATCTTTAAATTTATTAAAATTTTAAAAATATTTAAATATTTTAACTTTAATATAATTTTTAAATATTTAAAAGTAGTATATAATAATTAAATATATAAGTTTATATTAAAATAATAACCCTACTATTTTAAAATTTAATAATTATTTATAAATAACTATGCCCCACACTATTGTACTTACTCCTCTATAAAAGTTCCTTACATCTCGCCTACTGTAGCACACCAGCAGAAGACCATATAATACCCATCAATCCACTCGCTCCCAGGACCGCCGAACAAATCGAACCCACCACCAACCCCCCCTTCCCCCAACTCAAAAACCGAACCTACCCAAACAGCACCACAAAGCCAAACAAAAGATGGCCAGTCCCACCCAGCCCCAAGACATAACAGCGCCCATAACCCCAGCCCGCTTCGCCGCCGCGCTCAAGGACCTCTCGCCCGCCTCCCTACACCTGAAGGTGCTCGAGATCCGCAACAGCCTGGCGCACCTGGCGCACTCGAACGCGCAGCTGCGGCCCTTTGCCGAGGGGGCGGTGGCCGCGATCGGCGGGTCCCCGGGCGAGCCGGACGCCGACTGCGCCGAGGCGATCCGCGAGAACGAGGCCGTCATAGAGCGGATGAGGGGCCGCATCGAGCTCGTCCGCGCCGAGGTCGAGGGCAGGGGCATGAGCTGGAGGGAGTTTGAGGCCAAGGACGAGCTCGAGGACGACGAGCCTGGTGTCGGCGTGGCCCCCGCGGCTGCTGCTCCTCCTCCCGCGGCTGGGGTGCCCGGGGCGGCGGCTGTGAACGGGGCGAATGGCCATGCTGAGGGCGCCGCTCCGTCGAGGGGTGGTGGTGGTGGTGGTGGTAGCAACCCCTGGGAGGACGGGACGTTCCAGACTGGCGTCATCAGGAACGGCGAGATACATATGGATGCCACTCCCAACAGGCAGGGAAGCGGTGCGGCACCGATGCAGACGAACGGCGCCGGTGGTGGCAGCGGCGGCGGCGGGAGGCTCACGGACGAGGAGCTTCGTCGCAGGCTAGAGGAGCGGCTCGCGGAGGACGATGACGACGAGGACGGGGGCTTGCATTTGTGATAACCGGCAGGATCTATGATGAATGGTTTTTGTTCATGTTTGCTAGTCATAAGGGAGCATCATAGGCGTTTGAGGGGAAAAGCGAAGGAGGCCACGGTCTGGCCCCGACAGCTGGAGGGCAAATGGGAAATGTCGCGTTCGATACCCGGACAATGAGATCACAATACTATGGCCACAACTCTGGTCCACAACTAAGCTCGGTCTACCCAAGTCTGGGGTGAGATGCGCGTGTTCCATATTGAATGGCCTAGTTTGCTCAGATCAAGTAAATAGGCGTTTAGAGTCGATCGCCCAACGTTCATGAGGAACTGACTACCTAAGGCGGATGCGATGGATGCGAATGCGGTTATAGATACGGCCATGAAGACGAATGCAGGTCAAAGGAGGTTTTGTATTGCTTGAGCTTTTCTCTTTCCTCCCTTCTTCCACCCCTTCTCTATCCCCCAATCTCGTTCTGCTCCCGGTCCTAACATCTGCAGTTCGCACTTCTTCGCCAGCCGAGCATCTTCGAGCTACTTCTAATCTCTGGGCCATATAGCTCCTGGCCCCGTGCAGCTTGCTCCTCACTCCGGAAAGACATGATCGCCCCCACGACGCCTTGCAAAGTGATGTAAGAACAGCCTTGCCATGCAGTGCCAGCCAGCCATGCAGTAAAACGATGCAGAAATAACGAATCCCCTCCCCCAGCGACTGCAGCAGAGGGGCTCAAATATGCACAACGGAAGCGAATAAAGGAAAAGGTCCAAAATCTTGAAAAGAAAAAAAAAAAGCCCAAAACACCATAATGCAGGTAAAAATACGTCATGAGACTGTGCACCCGGGCACCTAAGCCATTGCGAGCCCACTATCTGCAGATGCGGTGGCGGGCTTGTTGTCCGCCAGAGGGGTTGCCACGGGCGAGGCAGGCGCAGGTGATTGGTTGGCGGTGTTGGTGATGTCTTCCAATGGGCCCTTAGACATGGGGCTCGGGGCCAAAGATGGCTCGCTCATCGGGGCCAATTTGGAGGGGCGCATGTTCTCGCTGTTGTCGGACTTCTTGCTGGCCAGGTCGGAGCTGGCGATGGTTTGCAGCTTTGGCCTCTGCGAGGCGCGTCGCTCAAGTCGACTCTGGTCCTCGGTGTCGGTCTCATTGTCGGCCTCTGAGCCAGCTTCCTCTGAGGCCTTCTGCTTGGCCAGTCTCCTCTTCCTGCGGCGCTCGTAGATTGTGTCCGAAGACTCAGAGCCCGTAGTGTTGCTTCGGCTCCTGGTGGAGCGTTGGCTGGGGATGCTGCTCATCGTAGACGCCGTCTTTGTCCTACGGCTGCTGTTAGGCCTTGGCCCGGTGATGACGGTCAGCTCTGCCTCGGAGGGCTTCTCCCCCTTGCGGATCTTATCCTTGACGAGCTTCTCCCCAAGCGCCTTGCCCAGCCCGAGCTCCTCCTTGCTGGCAAGCGAGGCCTGCGTCCTGCGGCTGTTGACGCTTGTCTTGGACCCGCTCCTGCTCACCGGCACCTTGCCCTCCATGACCTTGGCCGGTGGAGGCGGCTGCAGCATCCACCGGAACTCTCCCTTCAGCGCGGGCCTGCTGCTGACGACTGGTGGGTGGTAGTCGTTGACGGGCGGGTTCCTCGGTGCGCCGTAGTACTCGCCGTAGAACTGTTGTCGCTCCTCCTCGGTAATCTCGCGCTCGCGGCCGGTCCTGGTGTCGAACAGCCTGCCAGCCGTATCACGACCCTTTGTTATTACCTCGCGAAGTCGTTGGCCGGCCCGGTTGTACATCTGGTGGCCCCACAGCTCCTCGTCCTCTCTCTGGTATCTCTTGTGATTCCACTCCAGGTCCGCTGAGTCTGCCACGGACATGGACAGCGTCGTTCTCGCCTCGAGGTCGTCTGCGGCTACCACGGTAGGGCTTCCGGGGGTGTCGTTGCCTTGGAATGCTGCACTGCTGCCGTTGGTGAGCCCTCGTTCCAACTGGGATCCGTCCACGGCGGCACCCGCAGGCCCGGCACCGTTCATCTTTCCCTGGCTCTGATTCTTGCCGTTTGGGGTCTTCTTGGGCAGGCTTGGGCCCATCCTGATGTCCTCCATCCAGTACTCATTTGTGTTCTCGGGGTTTGGGTGTCTGTAGAGCCCGGGCTGTTCCATCTCCAAGCGCGCCTTCAGGCCCCTTTCTCGCGCTGCCTCCTTGCGGGTCTCGCGACGGTGGCCGACCTTCCTGCATGGTGTGCACGCTATATAGTAGAACCACACGGAACGCAGGGCGGCGACGAGACCGCCGTTATGATCGATGATGTGGTTATCATCGTGGTCGGACATTTTGATGGTGACGATTTGGGTGGAGGTCATGGGGGGTTGCGTAGAGTCGCGTGCCCCAGGTACGTGGTACAAGGTACCTGTACGAGCACCGCAAGAACCGCCTCAGATGTCGTAGGTGTGGATGATCCCAAAGTTCCCAACCCCCCGCTGGAGCGGATCGGCGTGTAAAGAAAGTCGGGACCAAGAGTGGTAGGGCATAGGGCTCAGTCAATCATGCATTGATGGCTCTCTGCAGGTTTTGGGAGAGGGAGGACAGGCCGGGTGCGCAGCATGGGTGGCGCGCGAGCGTGCCTCGGAACGGAATGCGGGCGGCACAGGGGATTGAGTAGTTGGAGTTGCTATAATACGCTGTGGGGCTGCTGGCATAAGGGAGATGACGGTTTCAATGCTGCATAGGAGGTGTTTCCCAGGAAAAGTTGAGTCAGGCCAAGAGGTCAGTTGGGCAACGAAATGGCGATGACCGTGGATCGGCGACAGACAAGCATGCGCCGTCTTGGTTCCCATGCAACAGGGCACAGTCTGTCGGGAAGGATCAATGGAGAGAGGGAGAGAACAGGCGGGAATGAGATCACTGAGACGGAGATTGGAACTGATGAAGACGGAGATGCGGCTGCACGAAAAGTAGCGCAGGAGCAGGTGCAGGTGCACGGGGGGAGCGAGTCGGAAAGTAAACAGTCGGCTCCGGGAATCGGCCGGCTGCGACTGATGAGGATAGGTGGCAAAATGCAGCGTGGTGTCGGTGGTGAGTTCTGTGTTTCGAAGTACGGGTTTCAAGAAATGCCGCTCGTGGCAATCTCGTACGCTTGGCCCTGCGTCGGTGAGTGGATGAGGGGACGGCGAGCCTGGCAGCCTGGAAGCCCGGGTCAGGAGACGAGAGTGACGAGGCAAATTGGTACGGGGTTGAGGCGCAGAGGCGACGGGCTTATTAGCCAGCCGGTAGGACGAGGAACAAGACCGAGAAGATAGAAGGCGGCGCCAGAGAGGCAGAGGGGAGAGAGATAACAGTAGATAATAATAAAAAAGGGGGCCAGGTAAATAGGGAAAGAGGGAAAGAGGGCACCGAGGGGACGGGGCTGCTTTCGCCTCCGAGTCTGGGCTAAGGGGCCGGGGACAGGGACTGGGCTGGGTGCTTCAGAAAGATGGCAGCGAAAGAGGGGAGGGGCGGGGACCCATAAATGGCAAAATGGCAGCAGAGGATAGATGCAGGAGAGGAATACGCCCGACCCGGGTTGTTGAGGTGATGTAGGTAACGTGAGCCCAGCCAGTAGGTTAATTTATTCAGTCGAGCGAGCAAGTGAGTTGGATTATCAGCGGCAGGTGACAGAGTTGCATGCTGAACGAATTGAGGGAATGAGACAAGACTAATAATGATAAGCAAGTACCCAGGGTAATAATAAGTGGACTACGTGGACAGATAACCAACCTCTCTATGGCAGGAACAACGAATGCGAATTCTGGCTGGGCAAACAAAAAAAAAGAGACCACGGGCCGGGTCTTTGAGAGTCTTGGTTCCCTTGCCCTCGCGCCGATCGCCCACCTAGGTAGACAGGTAGACTACCCTTTCTGGTAAGGGTACGGGGACGGAGTATACGGGCAGCACGACACAAGCAACCCGAATGAGACAGCCCAGCCCAGCCAGGGTATCTTCTAAATCCCCAACCTGTATTTTGAGTACATACTACTTCGTGCCCAGACCTTAAGCAACTACACCACCTAAATCTAATATAGAGCGTACTTAATAGATAGGAAGGATAAAGTACCTCTCTATTTATATTTTTAATACTATTACTAACTTTCTCATCCCTCTAAATATATAATTTCCCTTTTTTTTATTATTTATTTTTATTAACTAGCCTTAATATATTTAAAAATCTTTACTATTACTAAGAGATTACTTAGGGACTTTATATAGTAAGTAAGGTAGGAAGGCCTTAAAGTTAACTCCTATCTTTAACTTCCTCCTCTTCTCTTCTTTTTCTCCCACTAAAAAACATTAAAACCACTAAATTCTTTCTCTCTCTTTCTCTCTCTCTCCCTACTTCTCTCCTTAAGGGTACTAGTTATAGAGCAAATAACCTTAATAAGGGCTGTATAGCTATTAGTGACTAACCCTTTTAGGTAGAGCCCCTTTAATCTTTTAGCTAAAAATTATTACTTTAAAGTTAAGGTTGAATTTAAAATTGAATTTAAAGTTTATAGTAATGGTTGCTTAGGAGTAATATATTAGATACTTTTAAGTAAAAGTACCTTACTCCCTTGTTTGTTGTATTACACACCCTCGTATTCGTGTATAAGCGAGGGCCCATCGGGGATATAGAAGGGACCCCAGCCAGCCCAGCCCACACATGCAGGCCGTAGGCCGCAGGACGCAGGCCGCAGACCGCCCCAGATCTCACGTCAAGGACTCAAGGGTCCCAAGGGGGCAGGGGTAATGGCGGGTTGGGTGGTATCCAAAGTGTACCCAGAAGTTGCACTATAGTACCCGCAACTGCCCGTCCCCACCGGCGCAAAACAGCGCTCTACACACCACATAGTCCTGATAGTACCACAGTACAACGGGTGCACGGGCTGACGGGTTGCCAGGACCTGAGGGGTGCCTGCATCTGCAGCTAGGTGGGTTGGGCTGCCAGGGCTGCTGCCAGGGCCAAGCGCTGCCAATGGAGCTTCCCCGGGCCGACTCTTGCGGCCATGCCCATAATAAGCCCATCCGAGCTGCTGGGTCCATCTCCCATCACATCACCCATCCTGGGCCATCCATCACCCCTCACCCCTCATCCCTCACCCCTCATCCCTCACCCCTCCACCCACCCGCCTCCGCCCTCAACCAGCCACAAGCCCACCACACCACAAGTACCCTGTGACACCCACGCTGCCCACGCATGTGTATCCCACCCGTTGCTACAGCAGGTGCCGCCTCCACCGGATTGTTGCAGCAGGGTGCCTGGGGTTGATAGGCATCTGATCTGACAGACAGACAGACAGACAGACTGCATATGTTTCAGATGCTGCCGATTGCAATCAAACCATCTCCAAACTAACCAACCTGCCCAAACGCTAACACCTGTCTATCAGTTGTGCTAAAGCCCTAGTTTTATTGTCTGCTGAGAACAGACTTTTTCCCACAGCTGTCCTCGGCACCCGCTCCCAGTGCAGGGACGTGCAACGCCGTCCCGTCATTTCCACATCTTGCGCGCGCCTCCAACTTTACGAGGTCAGATGGTTGCCTCGTCGGTTGGGTTATCCGGACCAGAAACGCCAGCGCATGGGAATCTAGGTGGTCAGAAGCCAAAAACCCTCCCCGGCTGGATGGCTGCGCGTGCAGCCGCGCCCGATGACACCCAAGCATGCCAGGTTGGTTCTGGGACAAACCTCAGGCGACCAGGCGGCCCAAAAAGTGTCACGTCGGAAAAAGCATGGCACAGCCAGACAGCCAGACAGCTAGCCCAGATGCGGGGGATCGTCTAGGCTGCCTCCAATTGATTAGGGTGACCGATTAGGATGACCATTGTAACCACAGTAGCGCCGCATGCCCCGGTGCAACGAGGACACCGACGACCCCGTCAACGAGAGAGGCTGAGAGCCTGTCAGCCTGTTCCCACTGTTTCACTCCCGTCGGAAAGCCAAAATCCAGCTTGGGCTTCACATGACCATGCGACTACTGCAGGGCCAGTGCCGACTTACCCTTCTCCTTGCCTGTCACTGGAGCAACAAGAATGCCGGGCTGCGCGGGCATCTGCGTCCACTTCTGGCGCAGGCCACGGTCTTGCTCAAGAGAGCATCATCATTTGGCAGGGTCGCCATACATTATCAACTATGCTGATCACGGGCAGGGGACACCACGGATGATCATCCTTCGTCAGAACCTTGATTATCGGGGGCACTACGCACAACGGACCATATAGGATGATGATGCCCATGTTTTTCCAATCCGCTTGATCAGATGATGCTTGGCCATTGACCGACCGACTGACTATGACTATCTAATCCATTCCCTACTGTGCTACACAAAGCCCTTCGAATGCTGAAATCTTGCTGCTTGTCATCTTGAAGAGAAACCACTTTTCCAAAACCTGCCGCATAAAGTAGAATGAGAACGCGGACTCGAAACCAACCGCGGTCCAGTGAACAGGGTTGGGAAAAGAGAAACATCTGAAGCCGGCCAAAGTTTTTATCCTGAACATCCTTCGACCAACCAGAGAACCTACCATAAACAGCTGCCCAGAGAACTTGGTATCTCCTCCACCACGCCTAACGCCACCTGGTCGTGTGATAAACAAGGCCCACGGGGGCCGCGACCCATAACCCTTTGAAAACCCATATTTGTACAAAGAAGCCGCCGGGCGCCATTCTCGCCCGAGGATGCAATATCTAGCCCGTGCGGGTGCTGGTGCCTTCCTATGCCGAGACGGGGACGGCAGCTGAGCCGCTCTCCATTGCCGGCTGCGGCTGGTTCGGAGCCTGAGCCTCGTTCGCCTCAGCCTGCTCGTCCATCTCACCGCCGGCCTCGCGCTCTGCCCACGCACCCCACAGACCTCGCTTGCCTCTCACGCGGATGGCCCCGCCGAGAGATCCATCCGGCTGCTCGACTTTGATGGCGTCCTTGGTGGCAAGCACCAGGCACTCAAAGAACATCTTGGTCGCGTCTGCCTTGGTCGTCCTCTTCTCCGGCAAGAGCTCTTGGAATACGACGGATGCCTTCTTGCGCTTCTCTGCGCTTGTGGCGGCCTCATCGCCAAATAGGTCTCGTAGGATGTGCACGGCGTGCTTGGTGCCAACCGAGACTGGCCCGTTGTCTGCTGGGTGGACAATTGGCGCTGTCGTGTCGTCAAAGTTTGGCAGGGCAGATCCCTCGTCATCGTAGTTGGCCAAGTCGTCGTCACCCTCAATTTCAAGTATCGTGCCATCAGCTGCCACAGATTGGTTACCGAGATCCGTGGCACCAACTGCGAATGGGTCATCCTGATCAATCTCGAGCCGCGGCGACTTGGACGTGCCCTGCTCGCCGTCAACATCCATGTCTGCGATACCACTATCCCGCTTCCTCTTCAGGTCAGTGGGCGCACGAATCGCGTCCAATGAAAGCAGACCCTTCAGCTCTGGTGCCCAGGTCGCGCTCTGGCCGTCCATAATGACGTTGGAAACGAACCCGCCGTTTTTCTGCATCTCCATCAATGCCAGCAGGTAAGGGTCGCGAGGCAAGAACACCTGGGGCTTGAGGATGTTATCGTGCTTCGACTGTTGCTCCTTGATCACAGCCCCAGTGAGCATGGTTTGCTCGTCAGGCGCAATGATCTTTCTCTTCTTGGACCTCTGAGGCGCGTTCCGCACCATTGCCGACTCCTCGTCGTCGTTCGGTTCGTACATGTCCGTGTTGTTGGCGTGCCGACTGTACTCAATCTCGATTTCCTTAGCGAACTCCTCGTCAATGTCCGAGAGCGGTGACTCGGAGATTCGGGCTCGAGCCACCTCAGCTCCGCGGTCGTGCATGGCAGACTGGTCTCCAAGGTCCAGTCGGAAATCATCATCCCCCATCAAGATGTCTCCGTCATCGTCGTGAATGCGCACTCCGTTGTCGCCAAAACCAAGCGCAGTGGACTGGTCGTGGTCTCTATCCTTGGTGGGCTGGGGCAGGTCGAACTCGCTGAATATGTCGTCCTCGACACCACGAGCAGCGGGGGCCTCACGACCCATTTCCACGGTCATCCTGGTTGGACCCTCGTCGATGTCCATACCGAAGTCAAGGTCCAGGTCCAGGTCATCCACATTGGCCAAAGCCAGTCCGTCATCCTTTCCCAGTCCGTCCTGCAGAAACTGGCTGTTGTTGAAGTCCTCCTGCAGGTTGATGTCTCTGTTGCTAACGCGACCTTTGCGGCCTATAGGTTGAGAGCCGACATCAAGGTCTTGTGTGCTCAGCAGCAAGTCGACATCAGGAGCTGGGAGCAGGTCGAGGTTGTCATAGGGCGTAATACGATCAGGAAGCAAAAGAGACTCCCTGTTTGGTACCTGTAAGTTGGCAGGAATATCATTGTTTCCTGAAGAGCGGAAGGCCTGTGATGATGTCAGCTGGGCATGCAACGGCTATGTATTTGAGACTGATGGACCCACCATCTTGATCTTCATCAGGGCTTCGTTGCAGTCGTCGAGCAGGTATCGCGCCTTGCGGCTGTAAATCCTGACGACGCCGAGAAGCAGCTGACCCGTCAACCTCAGCGCCATGGGGGCCTGACTGGGTGTGATGATCTGCTCGACGCTCTCGGTGAGGTTTGACTGCAAGATATGTTGCTTGGACAGCTTGCGCTCCAGGTTGGCAGAGAGCCAGACGCGGGCCAGGGGCCCGGTCTTCTGGAGGAGGGTCTCGGAATAGAACATGGTCGCGACGGCGTCGCAGCGACGTCCAAGGGGGTCCGACGAGGACTGAAGCGATAGCAGGTGCTAAATTGTAACAGACGATGTTGAGCTAGTCGATAAATGCTTGACGCGCCGACGCGCAGGAAAGGTGGGTTCGCAGGGCAACAAGACGTCGCGTGTAGCCAGGCGCGTGAATCCGACCACACAAACGACCGGGCCTAGCAAAAACCGCGCAGCACGCGTATGATGTGGTTGAAAGATCGGGAAGCACGAAAGAGCGCCGCGATCAGCAATCAAGAGACGCTGGAGTGGGTTGCGACAGCTTTGGTGCGGACCGCTGGGGGGCGGCGGGATGGATAGCAATGAGGATTAGATGGAGAGGGGGAGGGAGACGGAGACTGGCGGTGTTGCGTGTTGTTCTTCCAGGTTAAGACCCTGCCTGCAAAATGGAAACGGCGGCTGGGCCCCTGCAAGAATTGAGTGGCTGGTCAACACTTCATCAAAGGATGCTACCCCAGGAGGGTACCACCATTGTGTCAGGGTTCGGGTTTGTTGTCCCAAACGGGGTGGCCGTCGCTGCCGGATGTCACATATCCTTGGCAGCATCGACTCGGTATCAAATGCCTGCAACAGCATGCAAGTCAACCCAAAGCCCAGGTCCTAAAAGCTAAAGTCAATCATGTACCTGGCAGGTAGTCTTCCTGTGGGGGGGTGTCTTGTTAGAGGTTATTCCAGAGGAATCATCACATAGTAGACAAATAAGGTGTTGAATCTTGTTGGAAGTGATCCCAAAGAGGGCCCCGTAACAGTTTGCTCTGTAGTATGTTGCCTCCTCTAGTTACTCTCATATATAGCAGGCGGATGGCCATCGATTATCCCATCAAGAACTGAAAGCGAACAATTCGCCCATAAAAGGTGAATGCGCTACCATGACGCGGGAATGGACGCACCACTTCAAACGCTGCCGAGCATCATGTTCCGTTCCGGTACCTGGCTGGATAGGTAGAGCAGCAACAAATGAGATCTGGAGTACAGTATGTATCAAATGTCGGTCGGGTGTGTAGATATTCATCCTGTTTTTGATGGCATGGCAGCGGTAGAGTCGAAATTGTTACTAGGCCGCATCTAGATGCATGTGCCTGGATCCCCCCCCCCCCCCCAGGTACCTATCAGTTTCCACTATTCTGGTCCTGCAGGCAACTCGAGCCTGCGCCGCGTTGCGCACTGACGTGCAAGAAGCTTAGGTGGATTCAGCCTCGACCCGACTCGGTTCGGATCGACTGGCCAGACTCCAGGATTCAAGAACCCTCCGCAAACGCTCAACATTACACGTCAGCGCCATCTCTTTCGACCTTCCTGTCCACAATAGCTCTGGAGCGGACCTTTTTTCCCCCTGCATTTGCGCGTGTTGGTGCCTACTCAGATTGCATTCGAGCCCTAGAAAATCCCGTCGAACAATGCCGCCCGCCCTGCGATACCTACACGTCTTTTAATGCGGCTGCCCCAGCATTGCAGCATTTTGGATCCCCAGTCGTGACCCGTGCCCGTCTCGAAAGGAAACTCCCCGAAGCCGATCGACTCGGCCGGCGAGGTCCCTCTCGAACCCTTCGGCGCAACCTTTGAGCTCCCCGGTCTTGATCTCGCGAGAACATGGACAGATTCACTGGAGACTCCCCAAGCCTGCCAATCTTCAACGAGTCGAGCAAATCCATCGAATTATCTCCCTGGGCCGACGCCGATCGGTCACGTTCCAGATCCCCAGGATATCCGCGCACAACGTCGGCGCAGTCTAGGGTTCGTCCTCGACAAAGCACACCTATCGCTTTGGTCTGAATTACAAGCTAACCCGGGTCTTGTACAGGGCGTCGCCGACGAGTTCTCCTGCCTGACTGCCGCCCAAAGTGCCTCGCGCCTCAGGACATCCCTGACAAATGGCCTCACGCCCGCAGAAGCCTTGTCGCGACTGAGAGACTTCGGACCCAATGAAATACCCCACGAGCCTCCCGAGCCGTTGTGGCTTCGATTCCTAGGTCAATTCAAAGAGCCCTTGATTCTTCTCCTCCTTGCTTCCGCCGGGGCTTCTGTTCTCGTGGGAAATGTGGACGATGCCGTCAGTATAACCATCGCTGTAACTATTGTTGTCAGCGTCGGGTTTGTGCAGGAATACCGGTCCGAAAAGTCCATCGAGGCCCTCAACCATCTTGTCCCGAACCATGCGCACTTGATCAGGAGCATGCCGGCCAAGACGGGCTCTGGCCCCAAGACACCGACATGGCAACCGGCTGGCGAAGATGGACTGGAAGAGGACGGGTCGTCAGGCGCCCCCACGCCAGCCGAAGAGGTTCTTGAAGCCACATCCTCCAAAGTCATGGCCGGGACCTTGGTACCAGGGGATCTGGTCATGTTCACGACGGGCGACCGCATCCCAGCCGATCTGCGCGTAACAAAAGCCGCCGACTTGACCGTCGATCTATCCAACCTCACTGGAGAGACCGAGCCGATCAAAGTGACTGCCGAGCCACGGTCCCGCGCTGCGGTGGCGTCGGTGGCTCAAGGAACGTCTACTCTGCAGCTGCCGGCTCCGACTTTTGCCAGCTCATCGGAAGGCTTGGTTGATAAACCCAGCCAGGACTCGAACGAAGCTCAGAATATTGCGTATATGGGGACCTTGGTGAAATCTGGTCACGGCCAGGGCGTGGTCTTCGCGACGGGCGGGGACACTCAATTGGGCACCATTGCCACGAGCGTTACCGACACCGAGAGCCCTCGCTCTCCTCTCCAGCTCTCCATGGATGAGCTTGGCTCGCAGCTGAGCAAGTTCTCATTCGTGGTCATAGGGCTGATATCCATCGCTGGCTGGTTTCAGGGTAAAAAGCTTCTTGACATATTCACCATCTCCATATCACTCGCCGTCGCCGCAATCCCCGAAGGACTACCGATCATTGTCACTGTTACGCTTGCTCTTGGTGTGCATCGGATGGCCCGTCACAACGCCATCGTTCGCAAAATGCCCAAAGTTGAGACGCTGGGGTCTGTGAACGTGGTCTGCTCAGACAAGACCGGTAAGTATGCCCTGCTCTCGATGAGAACATCTGGATTGACAGAGGACTAGGTACACTCACGATGAATCATATGACAAGTTCGAAGATGTGGTATTTTGGTGCGAAGGATGTCGTTGATGTCGACTCAGATGACGAAGTCACAGACGTCACTCCTGACGCCGCAACACTGCGCATTCTACGCATTGGCAACATCGCCAATGATGGGCGCCTAGCCAGGCGGTACACGGAGAACGGAGCTGCAGCCAAGGCCGTACTTTCTTCGACTCTAGGCCGGGATGAGCCTTCGACCTACACACGCTGGGTTGGCCAGCCCACCGACGTCGCTATGCTTGACTTGCTAGACAGGTTCCGTGAGCACGATGTACGCGAATCGATTGGAACTCGGACGTCAGAGACGCCCTTCAGCTCAGAGAGGAAATGGATGGGCGTCACAATTGGGTCTGACAAGAGCGAAAAGGAGTTCGCTTATATGAAGGGGGCTCTGGAACGAGTCCTAGAAGCATGTGACAGTTACATGTCGAAAGATGGCCGGGAATTTGTTCTGGATTCATCTCGCAAACAGGAGATCCAACAGGCTGCGGACGCCATGGCTGTGAAGGGGCTCCGGATCATCGCATTTGCCAGTGGACCTGTCAACAGGTCTGGCAGGAGCAAGTCCAACGGAGTACCCTCCAGGAGTGGGACTCCCGGGAATGATGGAAGCGCCAGCCCCCGGCTTCAAGAGGACGAGACTGTATACAAAAGTCTTACATTCGCCGGTTTGGTCGGCATGAGTGATCCACCGAGACCTGGCGTTGGCCGGTCCATCAGAAGACTCATGCGTGGAGGTGTCAAGGTGATCATGATCACAGGCGACGCGGAGACCACGGCAATGGCGATTGGCAAGCAACTCGGAATGGAGATTGCTGCCCCTCGGGAGCACGGCCCAGGCCAGGTCTCGGTCAAACCGGTCCTGACCGGCAGCGACGTGGACAAGTTGTCCGAGGAAGACCTTGCACAGGCGATGCAGAACACCACCATCTTCGCTCGTACTACTCCCGACCACAAACTCAAGATTATAAGGGCTCTCCAATCGCGCGGGGACATTGTTGCAATGACCGGGGACGGTGTCAATGACGCACCGGCGCTGAAGAAGGCGGACATTGGCATTGCGATGGGCAAGAACGGGACTGACGTGGCAAAGGAGGCCGCAGACATGATCTTGACCGACGACGACTTCTCCACCATCCTGAACGCCATCGAGGAGGGCAAGGGCATCTTCAACAACATCCAGAACTTCCTGACCTTCCAACTGAGCACAAGCGCAGCTGGCCTTTCCCTGGTCTTGATTTGCACCATTCTGGGATTCAAGTCCCCACTGAACGCGATGCAAATCCTCTGGATCAGTAAGTATCACCCGTAACCGACCACAGAAGCGCATGTGTGAGAGAAGGGCCTGCTGACAAACGGGCCAGATATCATCATGGATGGCCCTCCGGCGCAATCCTTGGGCGTCGAGCGCGTTGACCCCGATGTAATGAAGCGACCGCCGCGCCGGCGCGGCGCACCGGTACTGACGCGGGCGCTCATCCAACGGGTGGCGCAGGCAGCCTTCATCGTGATGCTGGGGACGATGCTGGTGTACACGCACGAGATGCTCGGGGACGGCGAGGTGACGCGGCGCGACACGACCATGACGTTCACATGTTTCGTGCTCTTCGACATGTTCAACGCGCTGGCGTGCCGGTCCGAGTCCAAATCTGTACTGCGCGGCGAGGTCGGGCTGTTCTCCAACACGCTCTTCAACTGGGCCGTGTCGATGAGCCTGGTGGGCCAGCTGCTCGTCATCTACTTCCCCTGGCTGCAGGAGGTGTTCCAGACCGAGGCCCTTGGCTTCTATGACCTGGTCGGCCTGGTCATGCTCTGCAGCACCGTCTTCTGGGCGGACGAGGCGAGAAAGTGGTGGAAGTACGGCAAGAAACGGCTCGGGACTGGATACAGCCAGGCTGTGTGAGAGGGGCGTTCACCCCCCTATTTAGTTGTACTATGCATGGCGTAGCGCTTGTATATACATTTTGTAGAGGCATTGTAATAGACCACATATGTACTATGTATTGTGGGGCTTGATTACTGGTCTACTATGTTAGCACCCGCGGCCAGTCTACAGGGCCACCCCTGCTGCCGTGGAGGGACCCCATAACCCCGTCAGCCCCAGCAGGTCGACCTACGTACGTAGCTTCTTTCCCTTGGCCAGTCCAAGCTCGTTCAACGCTCGTCCAGCATCCACCCCCAACGACAACTCACAGCCTCGCAGCCTCGCAGCTGATGGCAGCAACGGCTGTGACCTGAACATCTCCTCTACAGGCAGGCATGCAACGCCAACTGTCACGGCAACCTCAATGTCTGCCCTCAATGGCGTGTCCACAACCCCACAGGACCCGAGCCGAGCTCGGTCGGCCTCGCGCACCCTCACCATCAACACCAAGAACAGCCCGCCGCACTCTCCCTCGATAACCGCCCGCACCGCCGGCATCAACACCCACCTGAGCTCGACGGCCGAGCCAAGCCCCATCCGCGAAGCCACCAGCCCGGCCGACGTCCGCGCCGCCCTCGCCGCCCTCCACACCCGCGAGTCCGACCTCACCCGCCGCCTGCAGGCGAGCCTCGCCGCCCAGGCCGACCTGCGCCGGGACCTGGGGCGCCTGGACAACCTGCGCGCCGGGCTGGGCACCCAGGTCATCGCCACCCGCTCCATCAGCAACAACATGCTCGCCGGCGCCGCCCACACCGCCGGCCGCCTGTCCGGCCGCGTGCGCGAGCTCGACCTCGAGAAGCAGCGCGTCGAGGAGACCCTGCGCGTCGTCGAGCAGGTCGCAGAGCTCAAGGCCTGCGTCGGCGGTGTCGTCTGGAGCATGGGCGCCCCGCAGGACTGGGAGGCCGCCGCCGGCTACGTCGCCCGCGCCAGCAGGATACCAGAGGACATCATCCGCGGCGGCTTCGCCGCTGCCACCGTCCCCACGGTCGAGATCCCCGATGCGCCCTGGGTCACGCTCGAGAATGCGAGGGAGAGCCTGTGTGGGCTGTTTCTCAGGGAGTTTGAGAAGGCGGCCAAGGAGGGCGACGGCACAAAGGTCACGCGCTTCTTCAAGCTGTTCCCACTCATCGGTAGGGGCGACGTGGGGCTGGATGTCTACGGCCGATATGTCTGTCAGGGCGTGGCCGGGACGGCGAGACAGACCCTCAAGGCGGGCACCGGCGGCCATGGCGCACAGGACGGCTTCTTCTACGCGAATGCCATAACCAAACTGTTCGAGCATATTGCGCAGATCGTCGAGAGCCATGGAGGCTTGGTCGAGAGACATTACGGGTCCGGCAAGATGGTCAAGGTCATCGAGAGACTGCAGATGGAGGCGGACGTCCAAGGCGGCATCATCCTGGACTCGTGGAGTGACGACAGGGGCGTCGACAGGAAGCTGACAGACGTGAAGAGCTACCCCTTTTCATTCTTGGTGCAGAGCTTCTTGCCACAGCAGAAGGGGATGGCTGGAATATCAAGGGTGAACTCTCCAGCAGTGGGGGGCGGGACGAATGACCCGAGGAATAGTGAGGACGAGGGTGTCAACATGAAAGAAGTGGACGGGCTGTTGAACGAGATCGCTGTGATGCTGGGCAGATGGTCCCTTTACTCGCGCTTCATCGCCGGGAAATGCAAGGTAAATTGGTTGCTCCGAGGCATACCGCAACGTGGGAGTATCCTGCTGACAGACTTACTTCCAGGAGCCCGATTCACAACAAGATGCACCTCTTCATGTTCCAGACCTTTTGACCAAATCGAACCTGAGCCGCAAAGTCTCGGGAAAGCTTACCACACCCTACAATGTCATGAGCACGTTCTTCTTCAGAAGATCCGTGGAAAAGGCATTCCAGATAGACGAGATGCCCAGCGGGCTCTCACTCAGCGGGCACAAACAATTGGACGGCCAGCCTCCATTTGTAATTTCAGCCGTTGATGATGTTATGTACATCGTCAACACCGTCATCCAAAAGACACTATCCACACACCAGAGAGAGGCTGTCGGCTCCGTCTTGCCGACAGTCGGCCGGGTTCTGGGGTCAGATTTTGTTGGCATGGTGCAGAGAAAGATGCGAGACGAATCATATCCCAAACCGGTGGTGCAAGGAGGACTACCTCCAGAGGACAAGGTCATAGCTTTCATTGTCCTCATCAACAGCCTGGACATGGCCAATGAGTACCTGGAGAGGATCATATTCACCTTCCTCGGAAAGTCGACAGAACGAACCAACGGCGCAGGACCGCAGCCGGCGCTTGAGGACACATTCCCGTTCGAGCATGATGTCATCTTTGTCACGAATGCACTCAACGCGCTGCTGTCCAGCTTCACCTCGAAGACCACCGAGCTGCTGAGCGAGGGGTTGCAGGTCCTGGCCAACCAGGTGGCCAAGCCCCGGGTCCAACGGGTGCTTGCCGAAACGTTCCGCGAGGTGGACTACACGCTGAGCGAGGAGGAACTGGCGGACATAGCGGCGGCGGAGGACATAGACGAGGACGAGCTGCTGGACCAGGTGGCGCGGCGGTTCGAGCACGGGTGGGACGCGCTAATGAAGCCGATCGCGCGCATCATGACGCCCAAGACGTTCAGCACGCTGCTGGACCTGACAGCGAAGCACCTCGCGCGGGTGCTGGAGAAGCGGGCGTGGGGATACTCGGGGCGGGCGAACGCGTTCGGCGTGATCCGCATGGAGCGCGACTTCTCCGCCATCGTCAACGTGGTGTCCAAGGGCGGCAACTACAGCGTCAGGGAGCTGTTTGCCAAGGTGAGCCAGGTGCTGATGGTGGCCAACATGGAGGACGATGAGTGGGAGGAGATTATGAACGACCCCTCGGACGAGGGCATCCAGTGGGTGCTGAGCGAGGAGGAGAGGAGGAGGGCTCGCAGCTTTGTCAGGTCATGAGCTGCGATGGAGACCTATCGAGAAAGACACGCCAGGTTGAAGTAGCATTAGCGGGCACCTCAATTGCTGAAAAAATGTATATGGGATGTTAGGAGGGTAGAGATGTTCTCATTTGTCTGTCCGTGTCTGTGAATTAGTGTCAACAGTTGGTGGAACCGGCCTTCTTACAAGCCAGGGGATGTCTACTAAGTACCTAGGTACCTAGGTACTTAGATACCTTACAACACGTGGGACCCCTGCCTGTGGATCATGGCCCTTGGTGGGCGGCCCAGCGGCAGCGGCAGCGGCAGCGGCAGCGGCAGCGGCAGCGGCAGGCATTTTTCTCGAGTGGCCGTCAACCATCCGACATGGGAACCGTCCAGACAACCACCCAATTAGCAGAAACAACACCACCTCAGCCTGCGAGTCTGGCGCGCATTGTTTTGATGGAGGTGGATGCATGAGGGCGTGCCGTGATTGCGCACAACCTGCGGCGACATGAGCACCTTCCTCGGTGTCAACTGCGGCCTACGCGCCGCCCCGGGCCTGAGACTCAACCTGCAGAAGCACGCCCGGGCCGTGTGCTCCGGGGCATCCAGAGGAATTATCCCTGAGCCCGTCTCTGGACCAGCACGGCTATGTGCCTCGTTATGTATAAATGCGTGGCGTCAGGGCCCGGGAGAGCACGCCAGGAACCTCACACGACCCCAGTCCCAGCAACCATGGCGCAACTCGGCGCGGCGCATCGAGCACCAGAGGAGGACCTTCTTCGGCTCCTCGCGCGTGGTGACACACTACGTCGACCTGCCTCCCGGGTACGCGGACGAGGAGGGACTGCCCTTCGCCAAACAGGACCTGGACCGATCAGCCACAGTCGACATCTTCAGGAGCTCTGCGGACATGACGCCCCACCGGGCGAACAAGCTGCTCAGGATCCTGCACGGCCGCAGGGTCGCAGGCAGCCTTGAGGACCCGGAGGTGCAGGAAAACACCGCCAGCTACACGGGCCGGGAGATCAACCAGGGCCTCGAGTGGCTCCGCGCCAACGTGCCCGTCGACGAGATCACCAACGCCGGGCTGAGGGCCGAGGACGAGCTGCGGGTTCTGGAGAGCGCCGCCGAGTCGGAGGCCAACGAGGACGGCGCTGCCGGGAAAGACACCAGTGATGCCGGCAAGTCTAGCCCCTGGTCGCTCTATAAGAAGGCGGGCGACGACAACGTCTACGGGGAGAGCATCATCGACAAGATCCGCGCCCGCAACGTCGCACGGCGCGAGGCCGAGGAGAAGGCGCTGGAGGAGAAGCGCAAGCAGGAGGAAGAAGCCGGCCAGCAGAACTGGGGCGGCCTGTCCACCGAGACCGGCGGCGCCCGGCAGGTCGCCATGAGCGCCAAGGAGGAGGCCTACCGCGCCGAGGCGACGTCGGGCCTCGAGGCCCCGCCCGAGACACCCCGGTGGCGCCTCCTCCTGCCCACGACCGTCTTCGTGGCCGCGCTGGCCCCGCTGCTCTGGTGGGCGTCGGGCGGCTACAGCGCGCCGGCCGAGGACGCGCGGCTCCTCGCGCCCTGGCTGACGCAGGCGGACGCGACCGTTTACGGGCTGATGCTGCTGAACCTGGCCGTCTTCGTCGCGTGGCGGCGCATGGGCGCGTGGAAGTTCCTCAACAAGTACGCCATCATGGACATGGTGGCCCCGCGGCCCACGGGCGCCGTGGCCGCCATCTTCTCGCACCAGGCCTCCTCGCACCTCGTCGAGAACATGTTCGTGTTCTGGCTGCTGGGCGGGCTGCTCCTCCACGACGCCAACCGCGCCGAGTACCTGGCCGTCTTCCTGGGCTCGGGCGCCGTGGGCTTCCTCGCCTCGCTGTACAAGTGCGTCCTGACACGCCACCTGACATACGGCTTGGGGGCCTCCAGCGCCATCTTCGGCGTCATCTGCTGCTACTTCTGGATCCACCGCTTCGAGGGCTTCAAGATTCTGGACCTGCCGCCAGACCCTGCCAATGGTATACAGGGACTTGGCATCGTCGGGCTGATCATCGGTCTGAACCTGATCCCTCTGTTCAGGCAGCTGCCGGGTCAGAAGGACTGGATATCCCACCTGGCTGGTATTGCGACGGGGATCGGTTTCGCGAAATTGATCGAGGAAAGAAGAGAGCGTGAGAAGAAGAACGAGGGCCGAATTTCCGAGGGACAGGTCGTTGGAACCTAGCGGGAGAAGGCCAAGGGCATGCGGAAGTCCCGAGGTACCAGGGAACTCTTAGGCTCCAGGCCCTCCCGCAGATACATGTTGGGAAGAGCATGCCTAGGTATCATTGCGAGGCCCCCAGAAGAATACTGCATGCGCACTAGATAAGACGAAAATACACTCCAATCAACCTGTGCCAACCTGTGCGCAAATTTGCCTATTCGCAGGGTCAGACGAGACCACGCGTACCTAGGTATATAGAGCACTAGGTGGTCATGTGAAAAGAATATTAAATCGTATCAACTCCTAGGTAAACCAATGCTATTCCTGCTCCGTCCTGCTCGTCGCTCTCCCACTGATCGTGTACTCGTTATTCAGTTCCGCCCGCATCGACGATCTCGCGGTGATTAGCGGTGAGACCTGAGCGGCCGTGACAGAACGGGCGTGGTATCTCCCAGTCTTGCAACTTGCAAACCAAACCAAAAGCATATCCGTCTCCCTTATGCATCGGACACAAAAGTATCCGCAGAACGCCTTCTTCCACCTTGAAACCAGAAAGAAAAAGAAAAGCGAAGTCAGTCTGAGGTGTTAAGCTTTCTTCACTCGTCCCAGCCGACCCACCAAACCAGCCAGCTTCGATGCGGCGTGGTCGTATGTGGGCCTTGGTTCTGCTCGGCCTCTTCATGTCCCCTCGGCTCCAGTACTTGAGCAATTGCGCGTTTCAAATGGGTATAAACTCAATGAAATTCACCCACTAGGCGCTCACGAGTCTTCCCATGCCAGAGCCCCAGCGCCACCTTCTAAGCGTCCCGCTGCTGGTACTCCGAATCACTTCACCACCACAAGACGTCGTGTTTGCACCCGGGCTCATCGGTGCGCCTCCGCCACCTATGGTGTGAAGGATGTCCTGCCGGCCGACTTCGCGCCCAACAACGAAACCCGCACCAAATCCTACAACAGAGACCAGGAGTACAACACCGGTACCAAGCACCCATGTCAAGGTGGCAGGGCTTATCCACGTCACTGTGTTGTCGTCTACGCCTGTTGCAGATACCCTTTTCTTCTTGGCCGCGCGCTGGGATTTTGGCTGCGATGTCGAGGCGGCTCGCTTTCCTTTCTCCTCCTTGGACGAGACGGACACGGGGGCGCTAGAGTTGGACGTCGTCCGGGTCGCGGGCTGACGTATCCGCGACGTGTGTTTCGGCGCAGGGGACACGTGCACCGGCGAGGCCACCGGGCCCAGTTCCGACTCCTGCACCAGCCTCAACTCCATAGGCTGGCTGCCTGGCCCGACCCCTGCGCCCATGACCGGCTCCCCAGAAGTCGGCTCGGCGGCGACGTTTCGCCTGCCGGGCAGGTTTTTGGCTGCCGCGGCGCAGGAGAGAAGCGTCGTGAGGGATGCACGCAGGGCATCTTCGTTGTTCTGGTAGGCTGGGGACATGAAGCCGGCCCGGACGCGGTTGTGTGACCTGTGGGAGGAGGAGTAGGACTGGGTCCTGGCAGCGGGGTGGTGAGGTGGTATCGCTGAGCTCGTAGAATAGCTACGGTGGCTGAGGTGAGCAGGGGGGTGCGTAAAGGCGTTGGGCTGAGGGCGGAAGCCTTGTGCCGGTGATGGTCTGCCTAGAGCAGTGCCGTTGTCGTCGTCTGAGTCGGAGAGGTCGGCGCCAGGCCCGATAGCGGTCTGGGACCGCTGTAGTGTAGTATGTCCATTTCCCGTCCTCGCACCCATGTTCTCAGTAGACGAAGTCAATACGTGTTCGTCCTCGCTCTCACTCTCGGTGCACTCGTCCTGACTACTTGTGGCTGTCTGCACGGCAGCACGGCTTACGACATCTTGCTGCATGGACTGATAGTAGTGATGCTGCAAGCGCCGTCTTCGGTGTGGATGCGACTGTGCGCCGACTCGCAGACCGGTCGTAACGATCTCGTCACCTATGGAGGAGAGAGACGAGGAAGACGGCTGGGATGCGACCTCGACCCATGATTCTTGTGAGAAAGTGTCAGCACCGGGGACTGATATTGTGTATGGCATGTCTATCATGCCTGCTGTTGACTGACCGTCATTGCGTTGGGTTTGCGACGCTGATGTCGTTGGCGGACTCGTATCGGATCGCGCGATGCTCTCTGAAACTCTATCGGAGTTGGGGATGGAACGGCGGCTGGGGCGGCTGGGGCCTGGACGGCTGTACTGCTGCGAGGAAGCCATGGCGGATCCTCTAAGGGGCGAGACCGAATAGGAGAAAGAGAGGGAGGAGAGTCGTCAGTGGTCTCACGAACGGCTCTACCTGAGCAAATGCGGAGGAGAGGGAGGGGAGAGGAGAGAGTGTAGGAGAAATGAGGTGATGTCTGGCTGCGATTGTGGTTGCACTACGCAGCACGGCAGTGCACACAGGGAGACGTGGTGGTGTAAGTCGTAGATAGAAGGGGACCCCTCCTTGGGTGCCCTTGCCCAGCCCCCGGTCGGCGGGTTTAGTGGGTCCAAGCAGATCTGCAGTGCTTTATCGATATGGGCGGGGCGGTGGATGCCCAAGTGAGTGCAGTACTACTACACTAGGATGAGTAGGTACGGGTAGTAAGTGGACGCCTGGGCCACAGTGGATACGCACCAGATGCGGATCAGATGCAGATGCAGGTGAATCAGGGAATGCAGGCAGGCAGGGCAAGGGAGGAGGAAACGTGACGGGATTGGTCTCCTGCCCAGAATAGCAGCGGGCGGGAAAGAGGAGTTGTCGAGAAGGGTGACGGTGACGGTGACGGTGACGGGCCTGACGAGTCTGACGACTCTCTCAACAAAAGCACTGTACCCCGTACAGTTGGTTGTAGACCGCCTCCGATCACGCCTTGCGGGCTTGCAGGATAGCGTGCGCAGATAGGCCAGGCCAAGAAGGCTGGAATCCGTATGGGGGCAGAAGAGCCGTCCTGCCGTCGTGACCACCACCCCAAAATACGGTAGTCGTGCTTTGTCGTGTCTTTGTCGCTTGGGACGAGGCGGCGCTTGGTAGGATCACCCTAGAAGGACCTTTAGACAGAGACACATGGAGGGGCCCCTTGTCAAGTGGCCTATGGGGCGAGCTGGTCAAGTGCAAGTGCTGATCACCGCGCCCCCAAAAGTGCCCCCAAACATGCCGTACCCCGTCCACATGGCCCCGGCTGCCCCAGCAGTCTGACCTCGTGACTGGCAGACTGGCCGCAGCCGCTGGATGCGGCGTCACACGCGGGCCTGCAACACACCCCAATGACGCGACGCTTTCTTGCGCATGGAACATGCATACATGATCTTATGTTTCAACTATCTCTCACCATCAGTCACTCATGTTTAATGTCCGCTCTGGAAACCAAGTGGGCTGGGGTTGCGTTGAACTGACCAGGATAGCAAGCAGGCTTGAGGTTTCGCCTCTTTTGTTTTATCACAACCTTCACCACGTTCACACAGCCTTGATTACGTGAGAAATATCTTGTTCAAAACTCTCTTGTCGGTCGATCGATTAAGTGTGTACCACTGTCTATCGTAGCTTACAACTAACTAATTGCAAAAAAAAAAGCAGTAACTGGGTATTGGAAACAAAGTAACGACGTCTCGGCAGCGAGGAGATACTTACCGGCCCAATAGTCAACTAGAATCATGCGTCGATGAGATCTGCGTTGCCAGCCGGCATTGCCAAGGCGGCCATGATGCCCTCAGTTGCCCTCAGAAGCCCTCAGTATCCGTGTCGTGTACTAAATGCAAATCCCTTTTTTGATGCCCCAACGCCCACGAACCCTCAGTAGAGACCGGTCAAGAGACTTGATAGGATGCTCCCACAAGACATCCCAGTCTCAAAAGAAAGCCCACAGAAGCCCACAAGGTCAAGCAGGAAACTCATCACCTAAGTGATGCTCCCAAGAGCAAAGAGCAGACACCAGCGGCGTCTAGAGTGTGCAAAAGCACACGAGCCCACAGGTCAGGAACCAGCCCACAAGTCATGAATAAGCCCACAGGTATCGATGCCGAAAACCCACAAAGCCCTCTGAAATGCCACGAGCCCTCGGAACCAACTTGAGTGACAACACGTCTCACGACGCGGTCTTGTGCTTCTTGATACTCTTCTTCGCCTTCGTCTTGGCAGCGACGCCGCCGACCTTCGGGACTGCGGACGGACCAAGGTTCTCCTAGAATGTGATCTTCTTGCCTTGGAATGCGGTGCCTCCGCGACCACCACCGCGGCCACCGCGGTCACCGAATCCACCACGACCACCGCCTCGTCCGCCGCGTCCGCCACGGTCACCGAAACCACCGCGGCCTCCACGGCCACCTCCACGGCCGCCGAAGCCACCACGGCCGCCACCGCGACCTCCGCCGTTGTCCGGTCGGCCGCTGGCATAGTCCAGGCGGACACCACGGCCCTCAAGGTCCGCACCCTGGAGCTGCTCGACGGCCTTCTTGGCGTCCTCAACGGAGTGGAAGGTGACGTAACCGAAGCCCTTGAAGCGTCCGGTCTCCCTGGAGACGAGTTAGCATGATGCAGGCCACGTACTTGTTGTGGGCTCAACTTACTGCTCAGTAGGCAGACGAAGGCTCTTGATCTCGCCAATGTCGCCGAAGAAGGCAGAGACGGTCTCCTCGTCAACGTTAAAGGACAGGTTACCAACGAAGAGTGTGTCGCTCTCGGGGCTCATCTCATCGTTGAACTTCTTGGCGCGGTCGCCGGCGCGGGCAGCGGGGTCATTCTTGGGCTTGCCGCTGGAGATGTCCAGACGCATGTCACGACCGTCGAGGTAGGCACCGTGCTTCTCCTCCAGAGCAGCCTTGGCATTCTCAGGAGTGTCGAAGTCGACGTAGCCGAAGCCACGAGGGCGACCATCTTCCCGGCTGGTGATGATACGGGCGTTTGTGATACCCTTGCAGTTCTGGAACTCGTTGTAGAGGAGGTCGTCGTCGACCTTCCAGCTGAGGTTGCCAACGAACAGGGTGGAGCCCTCCGCGGGGGCATCCTCGGTCTTGCTCTTCTTAGCTGCGCTCTCAGCAGCCTCCTCAGCCTTGCGCTTCTTAGCAGCAAAGGGTGCCTCGGTTTCCTCAGCCTCCTCGCTGTCGGAATCGGAGGAATCGGAGGAATCGGAGGAGTCGTCGGAGTCGTCAGAGTCAGACTAAGCAGAGCTGTCAGCTGGGATCAAGTCTAAGGTCAATTTGTTGGATTTGTATCACTTACGTCCTCAGCCTTCTTGGCTGCCTTTGCGGCGGCAGGCTTAGCCGCCTTCTTGTCGCTGTCGCTGTCGCTGTCATCAGAGTCGGAGGAGTCGCTGTCGTCATCAGACTGCAGGGATATTGGTTAGTCAAAAACCACAGTGCAAGCTCCGTCGCCGGGTACCACTCACGCTATCGGCCTTCTTGGCAGCAGGAGGCTTCTCATCGCTCTCCTCGTCGTCGTCAGACGAGTCGGAAGAGTCAGAGTCGGAAGACTCCTCAGCAGCAGCAGCCTTCTTAGCAGCGGGGGAAGCGGCCTTGGCCTTGGCAGGCGTCTTCTTGTCGCTGTCGTCGCTGTCGTCCTCAGATGAGTCGGAAGAGTCCGAAGACTCTGCAGCCTTGGCCTTGCCGTTGACCTTTCCGTTGACCTTGCCGTTCACCTTGGGAGCGGGCTTTTCATCCTCGGACTCGGACTCAGAGGAGTCAGAGTCAGATGAGGAAGCAGAGTCGTCGGACTCGGCCTCAGACTCGGAGCTGGAGGACTCAGAAGAGGACTCCTGCTTCTTGGACTTCTTAGAAGTGGCCTTCTTGGCAATCTCTTGAGCTGCGGCCTTGGACTTGGCCTTGGGGGTTGATGTGGACTTGGTGACAGCGGCAGCCTTGACGGCCGAAGGCTTCTCGGCCTTGACCTTGCTGGACTTTGCCTCCTTGACCTTGCCCATGATGAAAAGAGTTGTTGGATAGACTGTTTTGAAGAAGAATGGGCGGGAAGTGGGAGAAGGATGAGGAAATGATGAAGATGAAAATTTCCAACGGTAGATGGGTAGGAGTAAGAGAGAGCTCGGGGACAGAATCTGAGATGAAAGTTTGCGACGGGGTTTCTTAAGAAGTCGGGTGGCAGGAGGACCCTTGGGCAAGAAAAACTTCAATTGCGGCAGAATTTGCACTTTTTTGGCGGCGAAGAGCTAGTGTGGGTCCGCTAACTCCACTTTCGACGCCCCGCGGCAGGCTTGCGATACGGGAGCGATAGGAGATGGGGAGTACGTACCTCCTCGTGCACGGTCCATGCTGGACATTGGCGAGAGAGCTGCTGCAGCGAGCGAGCCTCCGGCCGGCTGGCATAATTGGATATCGAAACAAGTCCATTCGTCGTTCAACTGTCGCGCGAGGGAAGCACCGACGCAACGCCCTCCGCCCTCCCAACACACGCATCCATCCAGCACCTAGTCGATTGCACCTGCCGCCTAACTCCACAGTCACCCGCAATGCCGACCCCCGAGTCCGAGGCTTTCCTGGCCAAGAAGCCGACCGTGCCACCAACCTTCGAAGGCGTCGACTACGATGACAACAAGCGCCTCAAGCAGGCCCAGGACGCCATCATCCGGGAGCAGTGGGTGCAGGTCATGATGGGACGGCTCGTCCGGGAGGAGCTGAGCAAGTGCTACTACCGGGAGGGCGTCAACCACCTGGAGAAGTGCGGCGCTTTGCGAGGTCAGTGTCATCGTCACCCGCCGTGGGCAGGACGTTCTTGGAAGCCCGAGCAGCAGGCACACATGAAGAGGATCCTTCATAAAGGCGTAACCGCGAGGTGCATTGGATTCCGCAGGCGAGCCTCCAGCTGACAATCTACAACAGAGCGGTATCTGCAGTTGCTTGAGAAGCACAGAGTTCGGGGTTACCTGTTTGAACAACAAAACCAGCAGGCGAAGAACGCATGAGGGGAACCGTTTTCCGGGCATCTTCAAATTCATCTACAAGCGATTCTCGTCGCAATTGGCCCAGGTAAATGGATGTTGAGAGAATCCCTCGAGTTGATCGGGCGGGAGACCTGCGGCTGGTCTACGGAAATGTGCATGCAATTGGAGCCACAGGCTCTTGCAATCTGTGCATCTAGACAGTGATTTGAAGACAGAAGAAAATATTCACCGACCAAATGCCATGTATACCCCACCATGGCAAAGCCATTGAACGAAAACGTTGCGTCCAATATGATGTTAGCTGTGGTGTGCCGTCTAGATACCCGCGCTCTCACGGCAAGGACCTGCCACTGCAGTCCCCGTTGCGGCCTGCCTGCCGAGAAATTTTGGAGCTCGGCACCTTTAGTACCACAACCACTGCCCTCTGAACGACTTCAACACGCCAAACTCCGCCACAAGTCGACAGCATGATCTGCAGAAGTTGTTTACAAAGGGCAACGGCCCTCGGCCAACGCTCTTTAATACAGAGAGCGCCAGTCCGGAGGACATTTAGCGCGATACCCTCAAGGCAATCCGCCGCCGCCTCAGCAGCTGCTGCTCCTGTGCCTGCGGAAGATGGCGCAACCGCAACCCCGGACGAGGCCTCGTCGCGGTCATCATGCCCTCCTGGCACGGTCCTCAACGGCCTGAACTACTTCAAGGGGAAGACGGATCCCGTGGCGCGGCCGGACAACGAGTACCCGGAGTGGCTGTGGTCGTGTCTGGATGTGACGAAGGGTTCAGCAGCGGAGGAGGATGCGGACGCCGGTGATGAATTCTGTATGTGCCCAACGCCGTGTTCTTTCCTTGCCGCCGCAGTTTGACACATACGCAAGTGGGATCTTTGCGCTAACCACCGCCCCTCCCACACAGCGAAATCCAAGAAGCAGCGCCGGATAGCAGCCAAGAGGCAGCGCGAGCTGGAGGCCAAGATACTGGCGACCGGAAACCTCGAGGCATTGGCGCCCAAGATACCCCTACAGCAACAGTCCATCAACCTACCTGGCAAGCCGGATGGCGACATCAAGGATGCGATCGAGGCCGTGGAGAAGCGGGAGGAGCTGAGGAGGGCGATGAGGAAGGAGAGGAAGGCCAAGATCAAGGAGAGCAATTACCTCAAGTCTATGTAAGCATTGGTTTTGGAGGAGACTATACCATTTATGCGCGGTGGTTGGGTCGCAAAAAGCTGTGCCTTGTTGATGTGTGGCATTATGTCTATATGTACATTATTGGGGGGTCTGGCTGGGGAATGCGGACTTCCGAGGCATTCTTGCCACATGGGACTGTGTTCATTGCACACAAACCACGGAGAAACATGTTTGAGCCACCTTTGGTCGCTCCAAACTCATTATGGATTCTGCTCATGCATGCTCTTCCCCACGACGCTCCGAGTGCCATCTTTGGTTTTCGGCACTGGTAATTCAGACAGGCAAAAGTGCTTGGCACCTTAGGTGATAAATTAACTTGCTTGATTAAAGCTAAAGCCCATTCAACCTCCAAGGGCCTGGGAAATGCGCCTCAAAACAGCGCAAGAAAGCCCAATAGCTGCTACTCACTCCGGCTTCATGGCATTCTGTGTTGCTGACAGACGACATGGTAGTCTGGGACTGACAATACTACTCACAGGGTAGGGTCAGGTGCTAACCTCAGTCCCGACATCTCAAACCCACTTCATAGGTTGCTCACTCGCCCTGGTCCTCATCCTCCGGTGGTACTTCCCCTATTGAAGCGAGTTTCAACTGCCGGTCTTCCATGTGACCTTTGATCCTGCCTTCTATACGTCTCCTCAACAACGGATTGGCATTTGTGGCCAGCTCCGCCTGTAAAGTCTTGATCTGCTTTTCGATGTCTCTGACATCCTCGCGCACACCTCGGATCTGTTCTCTGCGCTCCTTCTCCTCCTCGTTCACGTCATCATCGGAATCGTCATCGTCGTCATCGTAGTCCTCTCCACTCTCGCCTTCGATCGAGGCCTTGTCCCCATTCTCCAGATCTGCAGCCTCGGCACCAGCTGCTGGTGTCTCTGGGGCGAAGGCTGCCGGGGTAGCGCCTTCCTGAATCGGTGTCTCTGCCATTTCCGAACCGAGGTCGTTGAGTTCGGCCTCGAGTTGAGCCTCGATATCGGCATCAATCATATCCATATTGTTCGCGCCCATGTCCCAGGTATCGTCGACCTCGCCCTCTGCATCTTCTTCTCCTTCGGCATCTTGATCCATATCTGGCGTGCCCGCCTGCATGGTATCCCTCCGTTCATCGATCCACTCGTACCTTGTGCTAACGGCGTTCTTGTCTGCCTGGAGCAGCCTCTGTACTTCTTGTTCCTTATTAAGAATCTCACTTTTGTGCAAGCGCTTGCGGAACCTGCGATGGACGGCATCGTGCATGGGTGGCGTCAATCCGTGTGGCCACCTGTGCCCGTCGAAGATGACTTTGGGAAGTTCTGCTGTGCGTGCCGAGGCCTCGTCATCAACCCTAGCGAAAACCAGTAGCATTTGAGAGATATCCCCTGACTTGATCATGAGTTTCTTGTCCCACGTCTTCATTCCCTCCGTAATAGTCGGCATATCAACAAGCACAGCCGCGTACATCCGTCCTTGGACTGTCACGATCGCCCTCCGCTCATTGAGCCACCTCAATTTGAAGTCCATGCCGCCCGAAGGAAACTTTTTTGCGTCCAGGCACGAGTTGATATAGTCGCACTCAGGACCTTCCATCATGCGCAGCACAATTTGTTCCTCGATGACGGGATCCTCCTCGACGTCTTCCATTTCCGAGTCGTAGCCCGAGCCATTCTCACGGTAGAATGTCGACTTGTGAGAATCTTTGATAGCGATTCTGAATGACGAATTTCTCCGGGCGCTGGGAGCATCGGGGCCCGACTTCAACTTGATTGTTCTCATCTTCTTCTTCGCAGGTTCCTGGGCATTTCTGCTCGGCTGGGCCTCATCGCCACTATCGGCATCCGCCTTGGCGCGCTTCTTCGCTGTGGGTTTCGAGGTCCGCCCTGCCTTGGTCATAGTCAAAGGGGCTTGTGCCTCGCCCGCCGGCGGAGCGCCGGGCAGAGCAGTCCTGTTGGTTGGAAGAGGCTTTCTAGACACTGGTGGCGACTCGGAGACCGGGGTGGATGGCTGGCTCTTGTTGATAGATAGCCTGATCTTGTGTGTTTTATGTTCTGTTGGTGTTGCCGGTACTGCCGGTGGTGGCATGATAGCTGCGTCGGCTGAGGATGGAATATTGGGCGACATCTGGCCTGGTGTTGCGACAACATGTTGAGAAGAGCCGACAGCGCTGGATGGATTGGCAGACCCCGGACCGCTGCTGGACATGGACGGGGTCCGGCTGATCTTCAGCTTGAGCTTCTTCTTCTCGGGCACCTCCATGTTGTGCGTATATGGAAGCCAAATGGGGGGATTCTAGGCGTTGGTTGCAAGATGTTGGTGCAAGTGGGCGTGGTCAAGGGTTGTGACGAATGGTGTCTTGCGCGGTGTCGCGCTAGCTTCTGAAGTCGAGGGCTCAGCGAAATCGGGACGTGTTGGGATGGGATTATGTTGGCAAGCAAGTAGCATAGATCATTTTGCAATGACCACTCCGCTGGCCTATGGCGAAATCAGGCTCTTGTAAAGAATACCTGACGAAGAAGAGGGCGGCGGGGCGTGAGGGCAATAAAAACTGATTTCTGTTGCAGGAGGGAAGGGATTCGTGATGTGAACTTGGGTAGCTCCTCCACCGCGCATCTGGGGTCAACCGGTACCTAGGTACCCAGATCTCAAGGCAAATTATGGGTCGGGGTGGGGAAGCTCAGACTGGCCGACCCCTGCAAGTTTAGGCAAGCCGCACCCACCAGCTGCAGGCAGAGCAGGGAAGCTTGGAGGTGCGCTCTCTACCTCCAAGTGAATGTTTGCGCCGCCAATGTAACTTCCTACCTTTCGTCGACCAAATCGCAAACTCTCCGACAAAGCACTTCAACAGACTCGAAAACAATCATGCGCATAGCAGTAGCTCCATAACAACAGTCGAATACCCGAATCTTCCTCCGTCGGCTGCTCGACAACAGCCGCGGCGCTCTCGCTGTGGCCCGATCCCCAGAAAATGACACCTCCGCAGGCCGTTTTCCACGCGCTCCTGCGGCCTGCTATAATCCAAATCCTGCGCGCGACTGGCTTCCACTCCGCCAAACCAGCCGTGATCGACAGCCTCACAGACCTCGCAGCCAGGTACCTCAACATGCTGTGCGAGGAAACAGCGCGCAACGCGAGTGACAACACCGGCGAGTTCGACTACAATGGTGTCGCGGCGCCAACCATCGTGGATGTACGGCTCGCGCTGCAGAACGCTGGTGCCTTCTTACCCGAGCGAGATTTCGAGGAGCAAGACTACACAGGCAAGGAGGACACGAGAGGCGTGGACGAATTCGTGGCGTGGGCGACAGGCCCCAAGAATGAGAACATCAGGAGGATCGCGCTGGATGGGAGCGAGGAGGGCGTCACGGACTACCTCAGCGCCCTGAAGAAGAGACACAGCAAGACGGCCGACGACTCGAGATACGCTGGCACGCTACTAGGGAAGCCGCACGGCTCAGGTCTGGTCGTGGTCGAGGGCCACAGCGAGATCGACAGCATCCGGAGCTGGGTTGAGAGGCAACGTGGGCCAATCAAGACATCGCCCGACACAGACACCGAGTCCAGGCCTGCATCCAGTGGGCTCAGTTCCATCGGCACGATGGATGGGGAAATGGACCTGTCATAGGGGATGAAGCATTTGCCCGGACGAAGTCAATCAACGGAAACTCTGGGCCACATGGAATCATTAGCAGAGGAAAGCGAGGATCACGTCAAATTAGAGGATGATGAAAGTTGAGCTCTATACGGAAGCCACGGAAGCTCGACTCTTTAAGACGATGAGAGTAACAGGGGTGTTCACCGGACAATGAAGCCAACTACTCGTGAGCTCAATGTCCACAACTTTTCTTGAGAGGCGTATCTGACCAGCTGACAGGGCGTTTCGGGAACGTTGACTCATAGGCAACAGATGACTCTGTATCTGGAACCCTCTAGGAAAAGGACACTACAATGAGATGCCCAATCTGTTGAAGCCCACTCTATGGTGGATGTCATACATGGCACGATACTGTGGCTTTCGCACAACGACAACGGGTGTCTGCAATCAGGTGGCATCGGGAATTTCAAGAAGCAATATGCACCGCGCTGAAGCTTCGGCGCATCAGGCACACAGAGGGATTCATGGCAAGCTTACTGTCTTCTGTGCGACGCTCGAGCTGTTCCCAGACACACAAAGACATTGGATAACTCTAGTTTGTGTGGTCACAAAGGCCGGTTGTGCTACGCTCCCGAGGGCGATGGACAATATGTCATATTCGAGACGGCGAACATATCAAAATACATTAATTAATAATTGCCAAAGAGTTGACAAGTTGGGCGAACACCATCCGCAGTGCTGAACACGCGTGTGTAGGCTCGGGGACAAGGCTTTCCTGATGAAATCTACCTGCGTTTTACCAGCTGAGCTTCCCCATTTATCATAATCGATCTCGAACAACATTGGAAAACCCTCTAGTACCAGTACTGGTCATCATGCTCGAGCCTCGAAGGTACATGCATCAAGAGCTAGGACTGCTCCTACGTGCTGTGGCCCCGGGCTGGATCACTCCCTGCGAGACACAGCACCATGGTCTCTCGGCTTTTTAGGCAGCATGCGTTGCACAAGTCCTAGAACAGTTCTCCCAAAGGTCAGATAAAATTACTGCGTAGATATCTGACCGGGGGAAGATATTGTAAAGCCTTTTGGGTGCGGTACAGGGCTGCCCGGCGTGGCATAATGTACTCTCGGATAGTTTCTGTGAAGCTACGCCGCACGCACTAGAATACCCATTGATAGGTAGACTGCCTCAACACCGTCGCGCTTAAGCCCAGGAGCAGGTCCGACCTCCTCTACATCAAGCTCCATGGACCTGACCTGGTAAGGGTCTCTCGGGCGGCTTGTGGTACTGGAATCGTGTGCGTCTCCCTCCTAGAGACAACAGGTGCAAGCATCTCGACGGAATCCACTTTAGGCTGTCTTGCCTAGAGATACACCTTGAGGCAAGACTCGGCCCCTGAACGGTCAAGATACCATGAGCGAGCCGTGAGTGCTGCGCAAGTAGGATGACCCAGGCCGTTCACCGAGCGTTGAGTGATAAAGTCTCTCGGTTTCCATATGAATAACAACTCAGCAGGGTTTCTTAATGAGGCGATGAGCTCGGTATACCATGACATAACTATGTCGCGAGTTGAGCGTAACGGATGTAGTCCGATGGAGACCTCAAAATCGCCAAAAAAAAAAAAAAAAGATCTCCGATCATGGCAACAGTACGTCACTCTGTTTTCAGTTATGTGATTCAGATTGAGTTGGTCCCGAATCCCGTCCCTTTTTGAGACAGCTACGTTTATACTCGGTACCCCTTAGACTTTCCGCTGATACCATGCTTTGCCATCTGCTAATGTCGTCGTAAACGACGCACAATCAATATGAAGATGGAGGCACTATGGCCCGGTGACAAAGACAGGCGTTGAACGGTATATAGCATCAACACTGTGCCGTGTGATCCCTCCCGCAGTCGTGGGTCAATATATGTGAGCCTCGGCCTAGCCCGCACCCGAGCATATCCTACACCGCGGGTAATCATCCGAGTGAGCGATCCGAGCAATGTCGTGTTCGTCCGAAAAGGCGAAACTCGAGACACAGCCATCCGGACCAACGAAATAAGCTTATCACCGGTATGACGGATTTTGCACTCCCCTGCTTAAATATCGACTCGCTCCTCCCAAAGAAGCCTAGTCGGCCCCACCCAACTGCAACCTCAAATGCCAAGCCTCTCAGGTACTTAAAGGTACCTCAACCACTTTTAATCGGGGGGTCTGGGGGGTCCCCCCCAGTGGGGGCTTGGGGGCGAAGCCCCCATGGTTAGTGTTAGGGTTAGCGGTTAGGGTCAGGGTTAGCGGTTAGGGTCAGGGTTAGCGGCTAGGGTTCGGGTTAGTGGTTAGGGTCCTGGAATGTGAAAAAGAAGAGAAAGAAGGTACTAGTAAGTACTTTTTTGGATGTGAAAATTGAAGTCAGATTGATCTTTCCATTTTGGGAGGAGCGAGTCGATATTTAAGCAGGGGAGTGCAAAATTAGTCATATCGGCTTATCACGGTCAAAGGCGGGCCCGGCAATGCGGTATCGCGACGGTTGCACCGGTCCCGCCAGTGACACCGAGTCAGCCGTCTGGGATTGACGGCTGTAAGACACGATGCTGATAAACCCGAACACGTGAAGTCAGAACTGGAATGCTGAGCAGCGCGCCCACGCGGCATGACGCGACTGCATGAAGCCCCAAGGCGCCGTCAAGCTTTGCCCCGAAGGCCATGGCTAGAAATTCCCCGCCGTGTGCTCCGGTTCACACAGAGATCGATCCCGTACGTCACATGGGACGGGACCCAGCTAAGCTTCCGCTGCAGGAAGGACTGATGCCGTCAAGTGTGCACACACTGGCACACTGCCCAGGCCCGCTAGGCTTGCCGGCGTCAGCGCCTGCGCCAGCCCCCGATCCTGCCGGGACGGTAGCAAGGAACTGTAAGATGAGGATCACCGCGGTGGGTTGTGAAAACTCCCCGGGTGGCTGGAGCAGCAGGAGAAATAACCCAAAAAGCAAAAGCCCTTGACATCATAACAACACATCACCCGCCATGTTCCCCAGACTTTTTGCTCGGGGAGGCGATCAATGATTTGCACCCTGACTCGCTCGCCGTGCTCCGTGGCGGCGTGAGCGGGCGCGGCAGGCGGGCGGACGGGACAAGTCGGTCTGGAACCTCACAGCATGAGTGGAATGGATATGCTAATGAGCGGGGGCTGGTCTCGAACATGCGGTGTCGTGCCGTGCCGGCGTTCGAACACCAAGGCGAGACATGAGCACGAGGCGGCCATAGTGCCCATGCGTTGCATGCTCTGCACAAGTTCGACTCAGCCGAGCACGCTGGCAGTTGGCAGGGCGTCTAAGCTTCATGCGCGCTGGTAGCTGACCTGGCCAGAGCGGTCGCATGACCATTTGGGCATGGGAGGAGCCGTTCAGGCCTGCGCCGATGGTCAACGTCGATGACCACATGGCGACCAGCCAGGCGCGGCCCCCAAGCCACAGTGCAATGCGGACTAGTGGTCGGTAGTGCTGGCAGCCCGATCGGGGCTAGAAACGCGTCTAATCTTAGGGTATGGAAGGCACAAGGAACAATAAGGCGAGCCACTACTACCTTGCTACCCTGCCACTCCAGCTGTCCAGACACACAACAGAAAGCAGCAGCACGCCGTTAAGGTTTGGCCCTCGGCAAGCTCGCTGACATCATCATGTGGGCTGAGCTGGCTGGGTGGGTGCGAGACAAGACTTGTCGCGTGTGCTAGCCTGCATTCTGGCAGTCAGAAGTTGATGAATATGTCTTGAGAGTCCAAGAGCGGGCCGAACAGAGCCTAGAATGTCCGCGTGTCGCCCGCCGAGCAGGCCGTGGAGGAGAGCTGCGTCGTGAAGGAAAGTCTAATAAGTTAGATGCAACCAACCGAGAAGAGATAATAGTTGTGCGTTGTATAGGTAGCTAGGGTAGCAACGACAAAAAGTCAAGAGCAAGAGTCGAGCAAGAGTCGAACAAGGTTGTCATGCCATCCGGTCTGCCAGGATCCTCTCAGCTTCCTGGCTTCCTGCAGGCGCAAATCGGCAAAATCCAGGGTCTCCGGGGAAGCAGACGGGCAGGCAGGCCGGCCCACCACAACAGTAGCCGCAGTACCGCCACGCCACTTGCTGTGGTAAAGCTGGCAGGCCTGGCAGGCTGGCAGGGTGGGCTTTTGTTGCACAGTGCTGTGTAGACTATCCTTTTCCCGCTGGCCCAGGCGACGTGGCAGACGGCTCGGGCACATTGCGACCCAGAAGAGGGGAAGAGCCTGAGAGCTTGACCTGGCGGTGGAGCCCCGGGGTCCTCTTTGGGCCCCGGTGGCCCTTGCAGGACGCCTGCAGAGGAAGAGGAGAGAACGTTCGGTCCGGAAGTTTGGGCCCTGATGCTGCAAGAAATCTGGAAAATCCAGTCCAGGCCCTGCGAAGGCATCTCCACTTCGAGTTTGCAGGCGGTCAACCACCGAGTGGGGATCTTCAGTGATAGCCCGCCCGACGTGTCAGAGTGTCGGCGTGTCTGCTGTTAAAGTAGGCATTTATGCAAGACCCTGCAGGTATACCTGTGATATTCAGGGCGAATCTGTGGCTCTGGCAGGCTGGCAGGCTGGCAGGTTGGCGCTGGCTTCTGTTGCCCGTCCAGCCGTCACAACATCGGCTGGTTCGGGGTCGAGTTGGTCACGGGGGCAACAGACAGCCCTTTCACGTGGTGCACTGCTGACTGGTAGCCGGCGACGGGGATATGGGATGCCACAGTAGCAGAGGCAGATGGGACTGATGGGATAGATGGGCGGATAGATGGGCCAGCAAGGCAGCAAGGGCAGGGCGTGACACGGCGACAGCCAGAACAAGAAAAGAGTCTCAGGCGCCGCTGCAGTGCTGATCCTGACCCCGATTCCGCGCCTGGACCAGGGGGTCGCGTGTGGGCAGAGCCAATGGGCCGCCCGCAACGCCGTTGCCAAGAGCCTCACACCCTCGTCCTGTCTGGTCGTGCTTGTCTGGTCTTGTCAGGCTTGTCTGGCCTGGTCTTCCAAGGCTGGAGCCACGGACCACCGCCTAGGCCAGAGTTGTTGTTTGATGCGCCCGCGCTGACTGGCCACGCTCCCGCCAGGCCAGGAAACCCTTCCGACATTCGGTACCAAGCCTGCCAGAAGCTTGCAAGAAACAGACGCAAAACATCAGAAACACGCCAGCTAGGCCTGCCAGCCTGCCAGAACAGTCAGACAAGTCAACCATCTACACAGTATAGTGTAGGTACAGAATAGCCCTACACACTAAAGTGGGCGGGCGGGCGGGCAGGCGGTGGATCGCTGTACTTCCGATCGATCATCAGCCACCTGGAACTGGAAAGGTTCCTAGGCTCCCCCTCCAGACCAACCTTGACAGGCCGACTGTGCCCTGTGCCGTGGGCCTCGCGTGCTCATCAGCCCGATTAGCGACCGACCCCATAGTTACCGTCACCGTCGCCGTCGCCATCATCACCGCCATCGCCTGGGGGGGGCAGTTTGTTGCTGGTCACAGGCGCAGACTCTGGGCTTGATGGGGCACCGGTTGCCGGGCAGAGGAGCAAGGGAAACAAGGAAGTCGGTGCAAGGTTCCCCTTTCAGGGCTGGCGCCGCAGCGCTCGGGTGCTCTCCGTAAAGTGCCCCAGGGCTGCCCAGGCCCCAGGTGCGAGTGTGCCAGTGTGCTTTGGCAATGCCGTTTACTATACGCTATACGACTTAGTGCCTGCCTATATGCTCTTGGTACCGTGTACGTGTTCTTGCTCGCGCTGTGCCACTCTGCCCAGCGTACCTGGGTACCCCCATCCACCCGTGCTCCCGTGCCCCCGTGCCTGTCTTGCCCGCCTGCCCGCTCTGCCGCTGCAGCGTGCAGCGTGCAGCAAAGCAGGAGGACCCCAAGAAAGTCCTGCTGGATGCTGCTGACCTCGGGACGGCACCACCCACACAGTTCGCGCTCCACCGCCCACCGTCCTACCGTCCCACGGTCCACCAGCCCAAGTCCAGATGACGGGGGCCCCAATTTCTACATTACCATTGATAACCACTTTGCCTGGCCGTACTCGCCGTGTATAATGCCTTCTTCATCTCCTCCTCCTCCTCCTCCGCCCCCTCCCCTTTCCCCACCCCAGCCGCTCGTCGACTCTTCAAAGAACAATACTCCTCGTTTCGAGTCCACAGCTGCCTTCCCACGCCTCGCCATTGCCGCCCACTCCACATCGGCCGAGTCCTCACCCTCCAATTCGCCTCGATTCCCGCTTGCCGTCCCGCACGCGACCACTCCCGCCTCTACTTCCGCTTCAGGGGCTCTCGGAATCCTCCCCTCTCCCATCGCCGAGGGCTCCTCAACTGCTCGCGCGAGGAGGGCAACCGTCTCTGATGCCGTTGCTTCCTCCACTTCCACACACCTTTCCCACCCTACAGACATCGAGATGGACCCTATAACCCCAAACCCCGCCGGCCACCGCCGCCGACGGAGCAGCCTTATGTCCCCAGCCAGCAGCGCGCAGGGGCAGCCTTCCGGGAGAGGTGCTCACACAAGAGGCCCGTCCGTCTCTGGCCAGTTCCACACCGACGAGCCAAAGATATCAGAAGAGAGCCAGTCCACCATAAAGGACAAGAACGGCGTCATAAGGCATCCCGCCAACGTCGATTTCTCGGACGAGGATTTGCATGATGATGAGGAGACAGGGCTCACCACCAAGGAGAGGCGGAGGAAACAGAAGAAGAAGAGGCGGAACACGCTCCTTGACCAACGAATAGCACGGGACAACGTCACAGCAGAGGAGAAAAAGGAGGCAGACCAGACCGTCGTACGAAAACTGGCCGTCAATGGCACACTAATCGGTCTATGGTATCTCTTTTCGTTGGGCATTTCACTTGTAAGCCAGATTCTCGCTATTATGGTCCAATTCTTGGACAAGACTTTGGTCTGTGTTACTGACAGCAGAGCCAGTACAACAAGTGGATGTTCGACAGCTCCCGGCTCAACTTCCCCTTTCCGCTTTTCACCACATCAGTACACATGCTTGTGCAGTTTACACTGGCCTCTCTCGTCCTTTATTTCGTACCATCATTAAGACCACAAAATGCGCAAAGGAATATGCAGGAATTCCGTGATCCGACACAAGATTCGCAGCCGGAGAAACCGCTCATGACCAAGATGTTCTATCTTACTCGGATAGGACCTTGTGGTGCTGCCACGGGGCTTGATATCGGCTTGGGCAACACATCTCTCAAATTTATCACACTTACGTTTTACAGTAAGAACACGCCCCCATCCCCTTGGACAATGCCTGCGAATGTGAACCTTTACTGATCTCCGTTCTAGCAATGTGCAAGTCGTCCTCATTAGCATTCGTTCTCATCTTCGCCTTCATGTTCAGGCTCGAGTCGCCCACATGGAAGCTTGTGGGCATCATTGCCACCATGACTGCGGGAGTGGTCATGATGGTAGCCGGCGAGGTCGAATTCGACCTGGCCGGTTTTGTTCTCGTCATCTCTGCCGCCTTCTTCTCTGGCTTCCGCTGGGGACTCACGCAGATACTGTTGCTCCGAAACCCCGCCACCTCCAACCCGTTCTCCAGCATATTTTTCCTCGCTCCTGTCATGTTCCTCACGCTCATCTGCATCGCCATCCCCACCGAGGGTTTCTTTGAGCTGGTTGGAGGCATGAGGGGTCTAGTCGATGAATGGGGCTTTGCTGCACCCCTGCTTGTCCTGTTCCCAGGTACTATCGCCTTCCTCATGACGGCCTCTGAATTCGCTCTGTTGCAGCGCACCTCGGTCGTCACGCTCTCGATTGCAGGTATTTTTAAGGAGGTCGTAACAATCTCCACAGCAACACTCGTCTTCGACGACAAACTGACCCCCGTCAACATCTCCGGATTATTTATTACTATTGGCGCAATCTGCGCCTACAACTACATCAAGATCACCAAGATGCGAGCAGATGCGCAGACAGACGTGCATGGCAGGAGGCCCGACGAGGACGGCGATATGACCAGCCCGAGCTCGAGCGGAACCGATGTCGAAGACGAAGGAGGCGAAGAGACAGGCCTCTTGGCCGCAAGGCCCAGCGCCGAGGTAGAGCAGGGCGACCTCGTGACTGTGGACGGGGACTTTGTATTCCCGCCGAGACAACCACAGGGACCTGTGCGCGCTTCGATGGACGAGCGAGATAAGTCAGATCGACAAGATTGAAGGGCAACTCGAGTTGCTGCCCAACCACGCGGACTGAAAGCTAGGATAAAATCAAGGACTAGGGGAAAAAAGGATTCAAAGATACCCAGAATTTTCGACAATACATGCTCGACTAAAGCAGCAGCAAGCGAGCTTGTTAGCATATTATGCAGGATATACTGTACATTTTCAAAGCATACATTGGGAGGATTTACGGCACTGGAACATTTTGCTTGCGACTTGTGTTCTACCCCGAGCGGACTGCGTTGTGGCCGCCCGGGAACTACTTAGCACAAGCAGAGAAAACAAATATTGTATATTCATATAGCATCCACAGGGCGAGGTGGTCAATCAGATGTATATCCCAATGAGAGGGCATGATATCGAAAATTGCAACTACAAGAGGCAATGCCACTTCTGATTCTAGAGCTCAAGCCTTCAAGTGTCGTTAATGATTGCTGGTTCACTGGCAGACAATATTGACGTGACCGAGTACGAACATGTACTCGGTCATAAAGACAGGACGTGGAGAACACGTGCTGGCCCCAGGGTAACTATTTGATCGCGAGGCAGCATACGGGATATGTTCCAGACCACGGCACAGTTCACTGTCCTGTCAATTTTTTAAGCTTAATTCCCACACATACAAACCGCCACCATCCCCCCACCTTCTCTGACCACAGCCCTGGGACCTTGTTCCCTGGGGCTTTTGACACAGAGAGGACCGCAAATTCGTAGGCACACCGGCAATTGAACACACACGACCAAATGAATTCGCTGACTGCATGGATTCAGACCATGCAGCCCTGAAACGAAGGGGTGGAGGATATAGCTTGTGCCGACAGGTTTGTGCCCGTCTTGTTTCCGGTTGATAGACATATGCGTGTCGCCTACTATTTGTATGACGTTGTTCAATCAGTTGGAGACTACTCCGGGTCGAGTTGAGGTGATGCGGAGTGAGTCAATGAGTACAGTGGTCGGGGGGGTGGCACGCCCTGCAGATGTGCAGCTAGCCACAGCAGCCAGCGAGGCCTCCCAGCTGCGGAATCTCGGCAGACGGGGAGAAAGAGCTGCCCCGGCCGTGTGGGGCTCCTGCTCAACTCTATGCGCAAGGTGGTCCAAATCCGTACGGGTAATTCGCGACTCAGGATGCTCAAGCGCTACAATATCGACAGCAACCATGTTACCAAAATGCGGAAATGCGGAGACGGTTCAGTTGGGTCGAAAGTATGAATTACAATTAATACAACCTCGACTATGTTCCTGTACTTCCTTCCGCCACAGAAGTGAAGTGAATTGAATTAAAAAAAAACAAGTGTCGTTGCCCTAGAGGTATTCCGTAACGCCTGCCCGTCGTACTGTTACCGCGGCCGAGCTTCCCGTCCCGGAAGTACAGAGCGTAACATCAAGTCCGTCATTTTCCCGTCCCTAGGCCGCACAACATCGCTGTGTGCCCGCGCCTTCCGTCATCATTACTCTTCGATGTGAGCATGTCGCCCGCTTAGGACTTAGCAGGCGGCGGTCCCGCAGGCGGCTCGTAGACGTTATCTCCTCCGCGCGGGTAATACGACGAGGTCGGCTGCTGCAGCGGGATGTCATTGTTATTGTGATGGCCGTAGTAGCCCTCGTTCGAATTGAATGTCTGTCCCGTGTACTGCTGTGGCACGGGGCCCTGCGCGGGAGTGTACTGAGGCGGCGGGGGCTGTTGGTACTGCGGCTGGTTGCTGTTGTGCTTGTTGGAACCAAACCAGCCGTTGCCATACTGTGGCTGCGCCTGCTGGCCGTTTCCATACTGCCCAGGCATCATCCAGCCGGTGCCGTAGCGCGGGTTCATGCCCCTCCTCCTGCGGCGGCGGTTCGAGATACAGCTCCAGGTCAGGAAGAGGACGAGGAAAAAGACGATGACGACGGCGGCTAGGACCCAGCGGCCCCAGTAGGACCAGTTGCTGCGATAGCAGTACCCATTCCTGTAGTATTCGCCAGAGGCACAGCGGCCGCTACTGCTCTTGGTTAGCATGGTTGGTCCTACTGCAGACAGGTGTGTAGCACGCTTACTATTGTCTGGCGACGAGAGCTTCTCCCGTTTCAGGGATGATCATGACTGCTGGCGACTGATGTTTTTTCGTTTGCTGGCGTTTTGCTGCGATGGACTGGCTTATATAGTCTCTGGGCCAGATGAGTGGATAGCTCGGGGGTGTTTGGGTGTTTGTCCAAAGTCTGCGGTTGCGAGATAAAGCCGACAAGCAGTGGGGAACCAACCCTTAAGAACAACGGCGCCGGTGCAATGCGGAATGTGCTGGTCTCGTTACCTTAAATGAAGACGGGCGGCTGGGCAGTGCTGGTCTTGCCAGGATGACGAGCTCTGACGAGGGGACATGGATGACGTCCGCCCCAATCAATAGCAAGGTGGTCTGCTGCTGCCGGACTACCGGTTCGCCGCTTTCCAACCAAACCTTTCCTAACACTTGGGGACTTGGCAGGCCCCGACTTACAAGCGTGCTCTAGCAGCTTCTCAGGCACATCTGTGCGCCACTAACACCAACAGCAGGACGTTGACACCGTTATCTGATAAGACAGGCGGCACATGCTGATAAGCGGCTGCGCCAGCTTGGCGGGCGCCCAGGCCGCTTCACGTCGTCACCTTTCCCCATCCGAGGCCTAAAACAGTGTGATCACACTCCTCCTCTTGCTTGGCCTGCGACCGGGGCGGCCACCAACACCCCTCCTCTGAGCTGATCACAGGTGGCTGTGTCGCCGTGCGCCTGATCTGGACCCTCCAACTACTGACCGTAACGAGGGGTTTATTTGTTCCCCGTTAGTCAGCCGTCACGGCCTGTCGCAATCAATGCTGGCGCAGCACCGACAGGATTTGGAATGCCCTCAACCGCAGTCATAAACTAAAACTCGTGCTCCATTTGCTCCACTGTTTTGCTCAGTCGAAACGCCATGGCACGCTTGAGACGATAACACGCATGTACGCCTGTACGCCTGTACGACTGGACACCTGGACACCTATACGCCACCACATTCCTGTGCCCAGTCAGCCGAGTGTCAACCGCTCACGATATCGCCACTGCGCCTCCGATGCTGACTTAACCGGGTCTGCAAAAGGCCCACCACGTGCAAGATGTCTTCCACGACCAGACACGGAAATACGGAAGGTCCGTCGTCCACAACTCATGGTCTTCACGTGACTCGCGTCACGGCATTCCCTCGCCTCCACGGTCCGTCCGGTCGAAGCTTCCATGCCTCCCGGGAGAGCTTGACTTCGCATGAGGCCGCGACGTCTTCAAAACAAACTTTAGAAGTGGCATGGTCTTGACGGGTACCATGTTGTACCTGATCGCGCACTAGGACATGATCACTTGCAAGTACCCGGAATCGCCGCCTTTGTGGTCTGCCATCAAGCTTCGCGTCTGGTTTGCGGGCAGCCAGACTGCGTGTCAGCAACACGGTACCAACGCGGATGGGCGCCTATCGAGTTGCCTTGTCGCTACTGGAACGTCCTCACTCGCGATTCTGCCTGGTCGCCCTATGCCTGTGCGGGTCCCAGATGAGGCCCGGACCATTACTCACGGCGTGGGACTGGATGGTTTTATGCTCATCCATCCTGTGCTAATTAGCTACGAAATTTCCCAAGTATCATGATTGTATCACGGCCACACTTCCAGAAATACCACATTACAAGAGAGTTTCTGGGGCTAAAATACTTTCTAGGTCGCTACATGACACTATCTATACCATGGGATGTTATCCTACAGTCCCAAAACAGGTTGTCCCATGCAAGACCATCCGATAGAAGGTCATCCCATCGTCTTATGCAATGCAGTCCTATCGGACGTAGGGTGCTACCACATAGGCGACTAGCCCATGTGAGGTTGAGTAAAGATACGGTGACCGCGCAGCGGATACCATTGAGCTTCATCCAGCCGAGGACATTCTCCTGATCAGGGAGCCTAGCCCTGAGAAGGCGGACTACACGTTTCAGTGCAACGGTCGAGTGCTCAGGCGAAGGTATTCGCGGCAGTCTGCTTGGAAAGACTCATTGAAGTTTCGCATCAGGACCGGGTACTCACCGGATACGAGCCCATCGAACGGAGGAAATGTTCGAACTGAATGCCTGTCTCCAGAAAATCACATAAAGTGATTCAAGTCGGCACGTGCCTTGCTGTCGGAAGATAAAACCGCATCGCTGGTTCAGACGACTCGGAAGTGTGAGCCTCTCGCGCCAGTAGTTCCACGACATATTGCCTTTCGAAGCGATGATGCGATATCCCGAGCTGGACATCGAAACTCGATGCGGCGACAAAGCGCAGTCTCCGACCGTACAACTTTTCACCTCTACTCGTTCGAGCATGGCCATCTTCTCGATGCCTCCTCCCATTGTACCCGGATAGTCGGACATTTCTAGCGTCCCGTGGGCGTGGGTGCCGGGGCTTCCGCCGTCACAAGGGTTTTGGAGGCAGAGGAACGCCATGTCGCCGTGAACCGGCAGCTGGGCCACGGCTGGTTTGGCAGCCTGGCCACAGCCACCGCGTATACCTAGGTATTTTGGTTGAGCCGCCCCAACCTCATCCCGCCCAGGCGAATTCGAGCTTTCCGGGGGAACGCGACGCTCGGAACCTTGGGATCCTATTATCCTCACGATGCTGATCTACGGCATGGATCACCGCTACTTACTCGAGTTAGTATGTTGCACATGACCACCACTGGCAGGGCCTTACAGGTGCTGCAACTGCACTGTTCGAGTGTTTGTGTGCGTGATTTCGACGAGGGATCACCTTGCCCTTGAAAGATAGGAAAATTCCGAGGAGGGGATCACATTTTCACACTCAAGTGATACGGATGAAGAACCAACTGTGGGGAGGCTTGACTCGACGTTGTCGTATTGAGGCTCGTAGCGCGATTACAAAGGTGAAATAGGTATGCCAGCATCGGATATTCCCGGAGGTCCTATGCTTTGTATAACAGTAAGATACAAGCACAAGATAGCCTGCTCAAGTTTGGTTGCCATCGACGTGGCCGTGAAGCTGCACCCTTGAGCTGTACTGCGAGGCTTGTTTGTGGGCGGCTCTCTTCAGGTACAGTGCAATTTGGGCAGGCAAACGGTAAGTGATGCAACTTTCGGGCTAATAACTCTAAAACTTTCCTAGCCTATGGGGTACAGCTCCACAAATCCTGGAACGTCAAAGGTGAACATGGCAGGTGGCGCTGCAGTTTAGACTTCATTGATTACACCACTGATCTCCGGATCGTCGAACCCTTCGAAGCTTGAGGGCACGGGCGTCCCCAGGTGCCCACAATCTCTTCTCACAATGGTGCTTCGACCACCAAATCGGCGAGGGGTTTTGTTCGTGCGACACCTTGCGGGTGTACCCAAGCACTCCTCCCATGATAGCAATGACGATCGCCAGCCCATGCCAGGCACTATCGCCTGGGGTAGCCCACGAATTCTGTGACCAATGGACTCTGATGACCGGGCTTTGGCACCCGTTTGTCGCTGCCCTGATCGTTGGCCCCGACTTAATATCGGCCGACGATCTCTTGTCAACGAAACCCCAACGGGTGTAGCAGAGTGACAGCTCCTCCCCACGCGGTTGTCGCAACTCGTCGAGCGTCTTACTGATCGGCACTTGACAACAACGCGCCATGGCTCAGGCAAAAAGAAAGGCATGCCTCACATGACGAGATCTTGGGTAAGAACGCGCACGAGGTTGTAGAGCTCGCAGTCCTCCCAGGACCATCTTCCCCGTGCCCCAGCGTACCTCGCGCGTGCAGTTGAGCGGGGAACTTCGGTCTCATCTCGATGGCCATGAGCACGAGAGCCCCGGTCTTCTATTGACCCAGATGCAACGACTATGTGTCATGGCTGACAACGGAAGCCCTTCCGCTCGAGTCGAGATGTGTGGTAGAGCGACTATACCATGCCCCGCTTCCCTATAGTTATCCGCATTAACTGGAGTCCTCTGGCTAGGGAAATTATCAAGGACCGCAACCCATGGACACCTCCAACTGGGCGCCGCTTACCCGGCGGTACCTAGGTATTTCTCCTCAATAGTCCCAACCTCAAAGAGCTTACTGTGGTATGCTCTTATCAGCAGCCCGAGGACCGATAACCTAGGCGGGCGTATAAGCGAGCTGCCGATGGACACGGCGCGCGAGATTACCCGGCCTTCGACAGCGACCCTATCTCCGCCAGAAGCGGAGGTTGACGGGGAGCAGTAGTTCGCGTTCCACATGGACCTTGGCCGGAAAGCACACTCGGGGCCAGCAGGGGCTCGACGCTGTCTCGAAGACCCGAGCGCTTGGGGCCATGGGGCGATGTGATGGGAGTTGCAAGAGGAGCGCCTTTGGGCCCGGGACTGTTGGTGCCGATAGTACAGCAATACATGTATTCCTATCAGAGGAGAAGGCACGACGGCGGGCGACAATCCCCGTCAGCCACTCTATCTGCTTCGGAGATGGCACGTAAGGGATTTGGTACGATGTTGCATCACAATCCCTAGTACGCGGGATGGAACATGTTTCCTGCTGGTCATGCGCTAGCTTCCGCGCGTTAAGGTTTCGTCATTGGCAGTTGGATGGACGTGCAAAACGTGGAGGTGGAGGGACAATGTTGAGGCCCAGCAGGAGGAGAGCCTTGAGGGCGCCATATCTTTCGACAAGAGGAGCCCGTCCACTCCTGGGACCGGGATGATGCTTTTCTGTCAAACTCAACTGACTCCGGAATGTAGTCAACAACTGGGTCACAGGCCTGTGCAAGCCCAGTGCACAGAGCAGGACTAGTCTGGCGCCCGGCCGGAGATGTCATTTAGATTGATGAGGGGTCGAGCATGATGCCCTTGTGAGGATCACGAGGAAACCTTCGGTCATGCTGCGGGCTCGCCGCTGGTGGTGGTGAGCAACTTTAAGCGGCGCCTCGAGCTTTCTTCTTGCTCGACCAAGGCAGCGGCGTGAGGTCGCCGAGTTTGCGTTTGCCACAAATTCCCGCCAGCCATTGTCGAGCATCGTCACCGGAACCGTGCGAGGACATGTTCTTTCTCTGGTACCGGGTGCGGCCCTCGTAAAACATGTTGATTGAGAGTGGGAATTCCTGAACCCCGCCGATTCAATCGTTTTACTCGGGTGGTACCTACACGACAGAGGTGAGATGGTTAATCTGCCGATCCCCTGGATCTTCTATGCCATCCCGTCTAAGTCGGCTGTGCTAGTACGGATGGACAGGGCCTGGCTCGCCGAGTCCAGCCCATTCTGCCCATGTAAGCGGGAGGTGAGTGACTCCCTCGAAACCTCGGAGCCGGGAAGCCCCTCATGTTTTAAAACAACGGGGCTGGCTGGCAAGGGTGCATGGGCGTTCGCCCACCGGTCCAGGCGGTCCTGACAGGCATTGCAGGGAGGGAGGCGCCACAGGAAGCCATGCGTCGAGCTCAAACCCGACCAAGCATTCCAGGGTTTCTCCGGGGCTCGCAGCCGTGGGTGCTGGTGACATTATGACAAGCTTGTCAGCTATAGCCGCAGGCATATGAGTCCCTCACAGTCCCTCACCCGAGCTTCACCAGGCGGGAGAAGTGGGGTCGCGCCCGCGATAAGGGGGCTCCGTACCGCAGCGACAGAACCTCAGACACTCAGGAGGCAGGAGGCCCTTGGATTCAACCAGCCGCCCTGCCGCCTTGCCAGCTTGCCAGCTTGCCAGCTTGCACGGCCCTCGCCCTCCTCACGCCCTCTCTCTGGCAGTCTGGTCCTGCTCCACCCATGACAGCAGAGGTCATGCTCGAAACAAACAGATTGGCCAGTCCCGCCAGGGGCCTGTTTCCTGGTCCCGTCGTGATCGCTGCCCTGCTCCCTCCTCCCTCTGCCCTGGTTGCCTGGGCCCTGTCTTCGTCTCGTCTTCCCTGATGGCGAACTGGGATCGCATTCGATTGACTCGCCTCGGCGCTGATCCCCCGATCCAGAGGACTTGGCTTTGATATGAGCTCACCAAGGCATACATATGGGCTCACTCCCTCCTCCCCTCTCATGATGGGAAGCCTTGGGTGCCGCATCGAGTGCCTGTTTTTGACAAGCGCTACCGAGTATCATTGCACAAATCCGCACCATGGCCAGACGACACGACAACATGGCTTCATTGGGACCGTAAGCCACCTGCCCTACCCGTGTCACTCTACCGAGTAGCTTTGACTCCCCGCCCTGCCTCTGCTAACTCGAAGCTTTCCTAGTCTGCCTGGCGCTGAGGTGGTGCGTCTGCTGGTCGGCCCGACCCAAAGGGAATTTACAGTTCACAAGAAGCTCCTCTGTGCTTCCAGTTCCTTCTTCCGGTATAGCCTCGAGACTGTAGACTCGGTCCCAGGCTCACCCGACAGCGACCTGTCGGTGTCTTCCGGAGATCAGCCTGACCGCGTTCTCTGGCTTTCCGAGGAGTCCCCAGAAATGATGGACCTCTTCATCCTCTGGCTGTACCGCCGCAACTCGTTCCGATCTATAATGGACCAGATGATCTCCACCGTGGCCGTCCAGCTCACACCAGCCAACAAGGCCAAGATCCAGGCCAGCAGACGAGCAGTTCACTGGAACATTGTGAAGCTGCACCTGTTCGCTGCCGTCATAAAGCTATCCGCCCTCCAGGACATCACCATGGACGCCGTGCAGGACATGTACCTTAGGTGTGACTGGGATGTCTCTTATTCTTTTGTCCGCCACCTCTACGAGGAGTGCTCGCGCGAGCAGTCTTTCCGCCTCCGGAAGTGGTCCGTCGCAATGCTGGCCTGGACGCTGAGCAACGGCGGCGGCGACCCCCTGGCATTCAACGAGCTGTTCGACGAGTTTCCAGAGCTGGGCGTCGACTACACCAAGCACGTGGAGAAGATGGCCGACAGCAGAGCCAACGTCTGCATCAAGAACCCACAGCTGAGATTGCCCCGCAACAAACTCAAGAACGACGAGCGCAACTTTGGCTTCCGGCAATGCTCTTTCCACAGCCACCGGTCCTCCGTCGGAGAGGGAAGGTGCCCCTACGCTGTGGAACAGCATTCAGTGCTCAGCCCCAGGACGGGCGAGGGATTCGAGGGCCCGTCGCCGCAATCATCTCCTGTCGAATTGACAACCCCATCACCGTCCAGGACTCGCCCCTCACATCACCGGCTCAAGAGCAGCGTGTCCGCCATCTGGACTGTACCCGAAAGTGCCGACGAGACTTGAAGTGCTCCAAGGTAAGACACATACTCGTTACCGGTCCCTGACTACCTCTTCATCATGCTAACCCATCACAGCAGAGCCCTGGCACACTTTCAATCCGTCTTGTTCCACCGCCACGCGGAGCCGGAATACTTCCACTACATCACTGCAAACGATCTGCCCAGTAAACCACACTACGGATCGCCTTGAAAAAGAATCCTAGGTTCACTATCGTCGCTGTGTTGCCAACGACACTTCGTCCTATCCATCTCATCATGCCCCACATGCATGTTCCTTAATCACAGAACAATACGTGGTGGCCAACTGCTGAGCCTGACATGGCCAACCCGAGGCCTTCACCCTTCCAAAGGAAGTTGCACATTCTATCCCGCCCATTAGGCGGTGATCCACCAGGGCACATGCGCATGGTTCTCCACACCACCGCTGCTGTCTTTGCCCCCCTGTATGCTTTGAGCATTCTAAGCGAGCCTGACGGTTGGCCACCGGCCACCAAAGGCACTGCCAGACGGCATCGCTATGACGGAATAGCTCTTGCGACAACTATTACATGTATATTCAAGTCCTCTTGTGGCTTCTTCTTCTTCTCCCCCCCCCCCTTTAGGCTAGTGCTCTGAGAGTTGCCTCTTTTAGCAAATTTAACTACGGCGCTTTGAACAGCGTATTCTTAACACAATCTTCCATGTCCCTTTTGATGAATATTGAGTGATCTTTCCTCGCATGATATTATCCGAGGCTATCTGCCTAGAGTGCGAAGTGACTTCGATGTCATTTCTAAGAAAGCACCGATGACCGGGTTGGCCGGGCTTGACGGGGTGCCATCGATCTGCGGAAATAAACCGAGCACGTTTCCCAAAGCTCCCACATCGTAGCGTGTGTATCGGCCAAGATCTTGGGCCCAGTTAACAAAAATTTAGGAGTGGCACCTGTCAGACACAGCCTTAGCATACGGTATTCTCCGTGTAAGCTGCCTTATTTCCCCCGTGACAGCTATTTTGGAGCTCTGCCCGTTTCACTGGGTTGCATGAAAGAGCCCAGCATTCGCGATATCTGTTCCCCACACAACATTGATGGATACGATGATCAAGCGATACATTCATTTCCGGCACTCACCCGCAAACTGGGAGACATTCGAACTCATCGCTTACAAAGATGCAGTAGAGTAGTAGTTGTTGCTGACAGGGGGCGGGAAGCGAGTACTGGACCCACCAGGGACAGTCAGGCACACCAATCCTGGGATATGTCCAATTTATCCGCGGTCCCATCCTTCAGCGCTGACAGCGGTTTCAAAAAGGGGCCTTTTTAATCGGATATTCGGCACTTGCCAGCCCTCCCACAAAAGAAGGGCGACCACGCCGAACGAGATGAGGCACCTACGCCGAGGTCATTGATAAGCATCTAGGTCCCGCAGGCGGTGATTCGGCATGTAGTGTAAGACGGGCGCTGTACGTTTCAGTTCCGTGGATCTCATCTCATTCAAGGGACTACCTAAGTGCAGAACTCGACACAGCCAGGGAGACTAATGCCGACGGTTCCGGGGACGGAAACAATGGATCGATCGCTCTACCGCGGCACCACGATGTTTGGCAGCAATATCATCCACTATTGACCAGGCTGTGTGGCTTCAGACGGAACCGATATCTGTGGGCATGTTCTCCGTCCCCAGAAGCTGCTTCCACCCCCATCATAACCACAACCACAGACTGATGTCGAGAAGGTGGCACTTCTCTCGCAGTCACGCGCCATCATCCAGTGCCTCCTGTTGCTTACCATGTGACCAGAGACCGGCAGTCGGTTCCAGTGTCTACAGGTACAAGAGACCTTCAGAATCTGAACCAATCTCTATTTCGCCTGAGCTTGAAAGTGAATCTAATGAATTTACTTGTGGCTCATGGCAACAGCTAGGATTGAATTAGTACCGACAGACTGCCACTACCCTAAGGTATTGCTGAGAGCATGTGGGCATGCAATTGATACAAGTGTCGTTGATAACAAATCTCATCGCAGGATTATCAGAAACATGTGTATAATTGTATATTGTTCACTAGGAATCATATCCCGTATTTTTGCAGTAATATAGCATGCTCACTCATCAGACCCCGCAGCTGGGGTGACCAACGAAAGCGAGAACAGTTGTTGGCAGTTTGGCTTTTTTACATGATTCTCGAGCGTTTAGCACTGCATGAACGCGCGATGTGTGTCCTCGGAGGGACACGAAACAGAAGCGAAACCAGTTATACGCATCAAGGTCAGCGACTCTTGTATGTGAAAGCCTGCAAGGCCGGATTTAACTAGTAAGTCGATATCATGCAAGTAGCCGCGCAATTCGCATCCCAAAATTCCAGTAAAAACCTCAGCACCAAGAAACTCATGCCCTTCCAATCAGTCCTGACATGGTCTATGCTCTAAGGAAGGCCGCCAGGTGCTTCATATAACGCTCCCGCTGGTCGACATGGGAAAAGTGTGCAGCATTATCCAGCGTGATCCACTTGACCTTCTCGATGTTGTCAAAGAAGGGCTGGTTGGCCACATCCTGGGCCTCATCCTGTGCCCCGTTGATGATCAGGGTGGGAACCTTGATTTTGGATAGCTTGGGTATGCAAGTCCAGTTGCGAAGTGAACCGGATACGTATAACTCGCTTGGACCATACCTACACTTGTGATTAGCTCCTCGTGTTTGACCTTCCTGTGGGTGGGGAAGGAAGCGACATACATTGTTCCATAGACGGTCGGGTCCTTGGCAAACCAGTCAAGCGCAGACTGGACCTCTGGGGGCGGCCAGGGTCTGCTAAGACTGAGATGTCTCTTGTAGAAGACTTCAACGGCAGCCTCGTACTCGGGGCTTGTGAAGTCTTTGGTCTCCTCCGCGCGGTCCAGAGCCTCCTGGACATCTTTGGGCAGTTGCTTTCTCAACACGGTGACACCCTCATGGAAGATCTCCATGCTCGCAAGGCTGTTTGAGAGAACCAGGCGCCGGAGATTGGACGAGCTCGGTTGTGCTGCTGCCCACTCGGCCGCCAGCATCTACAAAATCTGGGGTCAGTCGCCAAAGAACCTATGAAAAGCCTTCGTCCCTGATTGACGAGGAGTGAGGTAGGAGGTGACCTCAGTTTGTCTCGGATCCTGCCCGCAAAGCCCCTGTCATAGACTAAAAATGGTATTTGTTTGTTGTTGCAGAAGGGGTAAAATTTGTAGATATCTGAGAGCTGCTTACCCCACCCCAAGACTGACCGTAGACATCAATGGGCCGGTCTTGAAGGCCAAGGTGCTTGATCAAATTATCGAGCTCATTCATGAAAAGCTCCACTGTCCAGAATTTCTCGTCGCCGTTCTTCCCGGGCAAATGGGTCGACCGGCCGTTTCCAAGCTGGTCGTAGAAGATGAGAGGGGTCTCAGGCGCGAGGTCAACCAAGGGCAGTAAGTAGTCGTGGCTGGCCCCAGGGCCACCATGGAGCAGGATCAAGGGCACTGCTGTTGTTCCGAGGTCCCCGAAGATCTTGTACCAGGTCTGGCAGGGCTCTGACAGACCTTCGACTGGAAATGGTGCTAGGCCCTCTGTCTCTAGTCCCTCGGTCATGGCTGCTAAGAAGGACGAGTGTGACTGAGAGCGATTGAGAAAAAAGGGTTGATTGTCATGGGGGACGAGGTGATATGCACTTGGAAATGTTAAAAACAGTGAGAAATGAGAAGATTATAAGAGTTGGTCAAAAATGTGATCCAAGCCAACAGAAGTACTGTTGGTGCAAACAGGGTTCTGCCTAGGTAGATGCGTTTGTCGTTGGTTCTCTGGCAATTCCACAAGGAGGGGAAACAACTGGCGATCCATGTTCAGATGAGATTATGTAAACAATCGAGCAACGATACCTAGTTGTAGGAACTCCTGTGCCCAATTTTTGAAGCTAGCTCAAATCATCAGTACTACTCTCAGATCTCACGTCAGCTCGCTATTCCGTACAAGGTTGTACTGCGTTGCAATGAGGCCCTGCGCATTTTCAACTTGTCAGGGGTATGTGGAGGCTCGGCAGATGCTTAGGTGCCTAGGTGATGTTTGACACGCGGTCCGAATGTATTTGAGTATGATGAACATCGAAGGTGCAATAGTTCGGATTTCCAAGGCTGGTCCAAATTTCCTGGTAGCCACAGGGACTCTGTTACAACATTGCATAACTTTTTGAAGATGTGGTGATATTACGGTAATGGTGTATGTGAAGGAGGATTCTAGTCACGGGGACGGTATCGACCTATCTGTCAGTAAGGCACCCAAACCTTGTGGCGCTTACGAAGGCTGTGTGGTAATCGAGCCAGCATAATTGCAAGATGGGCATGACTGGGGCCTTTCGCCGGTCGAGATAGGCGAACTTTAACACGACACTATGCATTTAATTTGCAATGTATACTCGACAACAAGGTATTATGTATATACAAGAAGGGCCCCAATAACAGCCGAAGTCTGACTTTGGCCCAGATCAACCTAAGCCGAAGCGACAGTAGCACCAGTCAGGGTGAAAGAGTAGTTCAGGCCCTCGTTGGCCTTGCTGCCCGCCAGCTCAAAGCCGTTGTACATGATGAGCTCCTTGGGCGTGTTGGCAACCACCAGGGTGGCCTCTTCTCCGCTGGCAACATCAGCCGAGCCGGAACCGTTGGCAAGAGGGACGTAGCGCACGGCATCGGCACCCTTGATGGCGAGCGTCGCCGTGAAGGCACCCGACGAGGTGACCTGGGCCTCGACCTTGCCGCCAGAAACGGTCAAGGGGATGATGTTGGCACCCATGTAGCGCGGGGCGCGGGCAGATTTGACGGTGTAGCCGTTGGCCGAGGCATCGACGTTGGCGTAGTTGAAGGTGGCCTTCTGCTCCTCGAAGGCGGCGGCGGCCTGCTGGTGGCCGATGTCGACGTAGGCCATGCGCGCCCAGTAGCGGCCCACGATCTCACCCGCGGTGGCGTTGCCGGCCACGCGCTGCAGAGTGTGCAGAGGCGTCTCGTCGCTGTTGGCCTCGTACTGCACCATCATCTGGAGCAATGTGTCTTTGCCAAGCCCGGCGAAGTTGTCCGGGTTGTTTGTCAGGTATGTAAGGAAAGGCCACTGCAGAATTCAGAGTCAGCTGCCAGACATGGACGAGACTCGGAGTGCGCAGGAAATAGACTGATGTCAGGTTCACTTACTGCCTGGTAGTAGTTGCCCGAGTCGACAGTGCCATCGACGATGACCTGGAACGAGTCACCAATGACCTTTTTGAGCTCGAGCTCACTGCGGCCCTCCTGCTGGTTATGCGCCTTCCTGGCGTCGGCGCACAGCGGGCTCGTTGAGTACGTATCGGCAAACCAGTTGGCCACCGTCTCCCACCAGGCACCGGTGTTTGTCTGGCCAACCCAAGTCTTCTGGTAGTAGTGCAGCGCGTGGCCGTACTCGTGGACCGTGACAGTCGGCGTGGCCAGGTAGTCGCTGACGACCTCAAGCCAGGCGGCACCAGGCTCAAATTCAGAGTGCATCAATCCGGCCGCGCCGCTCGAGATGCTGGCCACCGAGTAGGCGTTGACCTTGTAGTATGGTCCGGCGTCTGTCTCGTCGTTGAACGACAGCCCGCTCGACCTCCATCCCAGAGTGTTGACGAAGCACTCGTACGCTCCCTCAAGCATCTGCAACGCCGGGTCCGCATCGCTGCCTCCGTTGAACACTCGGAAGTGCGCCGAGTCCTTGAAGTCGCTGCCGCCCGGACCAGTACTGGGCTGAGGGCTGAAAGTCGCCGGCGGCTCGGCGGCCCTCTCGACGGGCGTTGAGCGTTGAGGCAGTGCGCTCACACCAACGGTGAGGGCGAGGAACACGGTGAAGAGATCTGTCCTGGCCATTCTGGTATTTCGTCTACGTGCTTACGTATATTTGTACAATTCTCAGCGTCCTGGAAAGAATCAATTGATGAAAAGAGATAGGTGGAAAGAATCTGTCACAACAAACAAGGTAATGAAAGAATGACACAGCCCATTGCTGCGAAGATGATGGATAGAGCTCGAGCAGGAGGCAGCTACTCTGTCGTGTTCAAGGGGGCTTCATCTCTTTTATTAACCGCAACGACTCCATCGCCAAGCCGGTGGTTGAGGACCTGGAGCCCTGTTCGGCGCATACGCGAAGAACAATTGCGGTGGGCTGTTGGCTTTCCTCGTGAATACATTGTGGCTTGGCATCTCCACCAGCCTTGCCAGGCGATTGTGGAGGAAGACCTCGTTTAGTTCGCATGCATCGACCATGCCGGTCACGTTGCGGGCGCCAGGGGCTCTCCGACAGCTCTTAATAGCGCGGCAGCTCCGAATCACAGAAGACGGCTACGAGGCACCTCAGTATTACCAGTGTATACGTTGCGTTGTCTGTAATCGGCTCAGGAAACAGAAGCGCCGTCCGGTCGACCCTGGGGATTCGCGGGACCACCAAACGGCGATCTGTTTCTAATAAAGTTCGGAGAAAGCGGGCTGCAATTTACTATGAAACAGCTGCGAGAAATCCCCAGCCACAGCCCCCGTCGAGCGTCATTCTTCATGAGTCGATCTACAGAGGACCTGCTAACTGCCAACGGGATGGTGAATTTGTACTACCCTGCAAAACTAAGGACTTGCTACATCCAAAGAGGTAAAATTCCCATCTAGGTACCTAAAGGGGAACAGCTCACTCTACTGCTAAGACACCCGTCTAGTAGGCATATGTATAGACTTTTCTTAGAGGGCTGCGAGTTGGGCTAGTAGGTATGATGCGAGCCTAGAACACCAATCTAGGTGTCTCAATTAGTTTCCTAAAACCTTCAGAGGAGTAGAATACTCGAAGCCTCCTGAAGTACATCTTCGGCTAAGATCTTGGCGGCTATGAGAGCTATCTCTCCCTGCGTGCAGCGAGTTCTTGGTTTCGTAGGGGAGTGCAGACTTCACCATCCCAGACTGCTGATTGATGGAAAAGAAGGTGAATTTGATCTTATCAAGAGTCAGCCCCGAAGAAGTTGCCAAGCAATGGCGAGTGGCGTTTCTAAAAATAAGGGATGACATAGTCTAGACTTGATGCTGCTGGAGCCACGACTCAACTGCTCTCAACATGACCTCAGGTGCCGTCAACAGGCCCATACTATGCATATAGCACAAAAATCCCCATGTCATCGTCTCGTACGACCCGCCAAGGCTGAAAGGGATGATTGACTAGCCGAACGGCCCGCACCTTTTCTATTACCCGTCTGCACCCCACGAGTGGAACTGGTGGATTGACGGCAATTTTAATCAAGCCTGGTCAATTTTAAGTCAGATCAAGAAGGCATACCAAGTTGACCTCTTAAACCTTACTGCGGCTGGGCCCGTGTTAGCCATGCTGCCGAAGAACATATTACTTTGTGTCTACCCGGGCAGTCGCAACAAGCTCAGACCAATGCTACCAAATTGACCCTTGTTTCCCTCTGCTGATTGCACAGTCGCGACCCTTTCTATCGATACGTGGGTCGATTTGTTGATCGAATTAGATTCGATTCTGTTTGGGCCAAACCGGCCGCAATCTGAAAGAGAACGGAGATTCGCAGGGCAAAAAACGGAGGGTACAGGGCAACGTGTACCCCCAGTGCGCCAACCTTAATTTGCACCACCACTCTCGTCGCTTCTACTTACCCACATTGCTTCTGCTTGCCCCTATCGCTTCTTCTACCCTAGTGGTTTGCTACTACTTTCCTCGTTATCGCTTAGGGCGCTCTGGTAAGTCCTTGAGTACTTAAATCTCCTAAGTCTCCTTCTCATAAAGGTCTGTAGGTTAGGGCGTAAAAAGCACTTGGTTGGGGTGGTGTGGGTAGTGAGGTAAGGTTGAATAAAGCCCTCTGATTGGCTGGCGGTACTTCTTGCCCTGTACCCTCCGTTTTTTGCCCTGCGAATCTCCGTTCTCATCTGAAAAGCCAAGTGAGCACACTTTCCTTGTGTACTGTCTATTTTAGACTATTGGCATTCTCTGAATTCCTCTGTTGAGTCGGAACGACAGTGCCAGTGATTGTCCTAAAAGGAGTGTCCTGTTTATATACAGTCATACCTGACTGAGTGAATTGTTAGAGAACGGATATTCGCACAGGAAGAAACGGCTGGTACACAGGTACAAATACCCCCCAGTGCGCCGACCTTAATTTACACCACCCACTCACCATACAAAACTGAAATTTACACTCATTAACTACACATTTCCTCATCAGCCCTCAATTTCTAATCCTCGTATTGTCACTTCTAGTCTAGTGGTTTGTTACTTCTTTCCTCCTAGGTCTCCTTGGGTGAGGTTGGTGAGAGAGTGTTGTTTGGTGGGTAAATTGGCAGGTCTGGGTGGGGGGTAAAAAGCACTTCGTTTGGGTGGTGTGTGTAGTTGTGGGAGGTTGAATAAAGCCCTCTGATTGGCTGTAGCCTAGAAGGAAATATTGTACCTGTGTACTAGCCGTTTTTTTCCTGTGCGAATATCCGTTCTCAATTGTTAATGCGTGAGCGGAGTTGTAAGAGTAGCTTTGATACAAATCTCGAACGCACAGGTCTCCATCTCTTGTCGGCTAAAGTGGTGAGGAAAAGCAGAACCTTGCTTCAGTGCACGTAAGAAATCACCTCTGCGGTCACTGAACCCCGAGACAGGTGGCAACTTGTTCGAAGCCTTGCTGATTGTGTCGCTAGTTCAAGCCCCACGGTAGAGAGATGCGGACCTGGTTCGAAAATTTGTAAAGGCGGCATTCCATGCCAGTGAGTCGCAATTGTAAATGTTTGGGACGCGCATCAGAAAGGACCAGAGACACGTGCCAGAACGAAACTCCAAGGAGATAAGGGAGTCTCGGCTTGTCGGGATCCTCGGGAGCGTGCCAGTGGTTAAATCGCCACGAAGGGCGCTCGGGTTTTTCTTGAGACGCATCCTGTAGTGCACAATCAATGTTGTGTGCTCAGATTGCTCTCTGAGTATCTTGCAGCATTTTGGAAGTCAACGAGTGGTCTAAGATGGTCGTTGTGAGTGGTTGGTGAATGATCACAAGGTTGTGGGGCAATATTGGGTTACTCAAGTGCTCTGAGTCAATTTGAGTGCTAGTAAGGTGATTTAAACGTGCTAATAGAAGTTTGAGAAGGGGACTATAGCCTGTTATTGTACAGGCGTGGATTTTCTGCGTTGATAACTTGATGAAATTGGGATGGCAAGATTGCACATGTATCGGAAGGGTCTGACTTGGATGAGGTGGCGCATTTGCTAGATGTAAGCTGTCTGTTCCTTGGCAGGGACGAAACGACTCCGATCAATCCACTGGCTGTGTCCGAATTGGCAGCTGCGTGAGTGTTGCTGGCCATAAATCAGGTGAGAAAGTCGAAATAGAAGCCATATTTAGTGGTGAAATCCTCTCTGGTTCCGATGGCCCTTGACCGTGAAGATTCACGGGGCAGATATGGTGCTTGCAGGCTAAACCAGGTCTGATATTGTCTCAAAATTCATCTGTCATTACAAGCTGTGGGGTGAAGTCGCCTTGTACACTGATAATGCTAATGTCTGACATGTATATGTGTGTACCTCTAAAGTAGCTTGTATTTCCTGAGCGCGAACATAGCTAGAAAAATTTGTTATGCTAGCCCCTGTCATAGCACTCTGTTTCTCTCCTATGGAGCTATGGGATGGATAGGGTACATGTCAAGCGGCGGTTACCTTGCAGACATGCTTCAGCAAGGGCTCACTCTGTCTGCTGTCTAAAGCTCCCACTACCCTAGGGTAGACAACACATCGCCTTCTTCGGGAAAAGACCACATCAAAGGTGGTCACTAGAACATTCTGAGCAAGCGTCAGTCACAACAGACAGTCTCGAGAATTGTTCGTTTCCACAACGTCCTATGGTGTCCAACTTGCGGTCCACGTTGGATGTTCCACGTTGGATGTTGAGCGCGCTTCCAACGGGTTTTGACTCTTCTTATCCATGAGCCCCGAGTTCCCCGAATCGCGGATTCTGCATTTTCCCCGAGGAGCGTCTCTGCACCAATTCAGCCTTGTGGAACGCTAAGCCGGAAGGAAGGACAAATAAGAAGAGGAGGGCGGTTTACGTTTCGTTTCTAGTATTTAGAAATAAACAATACGGGGGAAGTCGGCTGTCATTCCTCTTTCGGGTTAGGCTCGGAAAGCTTAATGAAGTCGCTTTGTGAGCTGTAGCCATGAGTGCTACTTGACGATGCCGAGCCCCTGAAAGGGACAGGATCTTCCTGGAAATTACAAATTGTAGGCGGCAGCTGTTTGTCAAGCTGCCCAAAAACCTGTTTCTTGTTGCATGGTGCCAGAGAACTCCTGAAGATATGCTCGAGGGCTGGTTCTGCATGTCGCGGTTATAGCGGACCGGAGAATTGTTTGCAGGTTACTAGGCTTCTTTAAGCTACCCGGGTACCTAGATAGTGGTGCTTGTGGTTCTACTACCGAAAGTCACGTTATTCTCCTCTTCTGCCAACAAAGCCAACTCCGTTTGCATTAATCAACTCCACCTGTGAGCGTTGCTCCTTCCAAATTAAGACAGGCTCCATGGTGAGTGGCATTGTTTACGGGCACTGTTGCTTTAAACATTTAGCCATGAACCTTCCCAACGGACTTGTTAACCTAAATAGATGGCTCTTGCTATTTCGAGACGTAAATCGCCGACCAAAATCACCTGGTGCTCGTTCCTTTTTCCATGCCCAGGTGGTTGAGACGTCACAAATCACATTGGGTTTCCGAGTAAAGGAGACGGCTTAGAAAATAGATGGTCTATAAAGGATGCTGGGTGTCCGTTGTTGTACATCTAACGTCACAAGACTCATTTTCTCTTCTCAAGCCTCCGAGATCGAGATCAGTTTCTAACTATCCATCGCTTTCTATCAATATCCTCAAAACCAAACCTTCAATATGAAGTTTCTTCTCGCTATCCTCTCCCTCCTCCCTTCCGCTTTCGCAGCCGATACCTGCGTCGCCGAGTCGGGCTGCGCGGGTTGCGGACAAGTCGCCAGCGCCAGTTTCGTCCAGAGCGGCAACGGGCAGGTAGCGAATGCTCCAGGCTGGGCCACAATGACTGTGTCAGACTCAACTATTGCGCTGGAGAACCTTTCTGGCAGCACTCTGACGGTATGCGTCTACGGCGTCGTCTGCTATTATATCAGCCCGAAGAGCGAGTGTACGGTCGGAGAGCCGAGCAACTTCAACACGCAGCTTGGCCTGCAGGTCTGGCAGCACCCTTAGGCGCAGATGAGGGAGAGAGTTGGAGCAGCGCCGAGGCGAAGTCATTCTTGGGTGAGATTGCAAGGGCAAGTGGGAACTTATGCTTGCACAGGGGATTGCAGACGTGAAGGAGGCGGTTGTAGTTCAAGAGAACCTGGTTCGTCGGAGAATGGCATACATCTCGAGTGCATGGCTATATGTATCAAGAAGGGTTGAGCAGTGGAGGTTTGATATAAGAGCCTGCAACTGTTTGGAAACTTGTCAATCCGTGGCCCAGAACCAAGCGTGCTTATCTTCTGACCAAATGGGATGCCCTGCTTATTGAGATTCTCATATCATGCTAATTTAGCCCGTGGAGTACAAAGCTATCATCCGATAGCTGCCATACTCTTGGGCTTATGGAGTCTATTCACAAAACTTAAAAAGCTATCATGATGTTGTTTAGCAGCTCCGCAGCTCTTACTTTCTTTCAGTTTGGTAATAAGGTGCTATAGACGTGGTAGTATTATAGGCAGATTCGGAAACGCAATCTTGAGCTAATTGTTGAAAACCCGTGCCACCATAGTGTCCGACAGCTTGATGGGCTAGGAATTTCCCTGCCTAGATAGCTCTAGAAATTGTTCCGAGATAATCTCCTTGACCCGGTGAAGAAATGGAAGGCAGATTTTGTATAGTTTCTAAAGAAGGCAGGGTAGAAAGTAGGATGCCAGATGAAGGGAACTGTTGGCACTATCTACGCGGTTGATATTCTTGGGGTGATACAAAGCTAAGAAATGTGGTTATTGACTTGAAGAATGATGTATGGCTGATCAATCTCCGGGGGTGTTTGGGTAGAAGGCTGTGTAGATGAGAACTTGCAGACTGCCGTGGAAGGGGAGTAGCGAGGAGTTAAGAGGATACTGAAAATCCTAGACGTGAACACCTTGAACATGTGAAGTAGGTTAGGAATTGCTCAGGCCACTTATAGTGGGTGAGTTAGATGGGTCTCTTCATCCGAAGGGAAAGGGAAGGGGCTGGGCAGATTTTAAAAGGCACAGCTCATTGCCCGGATCAAGCCTTTCAATTGACTACAAGCCCTGCTCGGTTGTCTGCTACGCGGCTTTAGCCTCTCAAGCGTTGCCCTTCCTCTAACCTACCAAAGAGCAAGATCCTATGGGACAACCTGATGGAGGTCAACCCCCTGTAGGATAACCTCCCAACCTCATATAGGATATATATATATATATATCAACACACCAGGGGTGAGCAAGCTATATGGACTCTGTTACGGTATTATAGGACCTCTTAAAGGTGTGGCGGTGTCATGTTAATAGTGTATGTGAAGTAGGTACCTGGTGGGATATACCTAGGCAGTTTAGATAAAGTAAGACAAATGTTCCAATATGCCGAATTGTGACTCCCAAGGTTGCTGCTATAAGTGGGTAGGTGGTGATGCTAAGCCTAGTTCGACCTGGCCCCTAGTGAAGTTGTGGGAGGCGCGAGTGACGCACATGCACAGCACTCAACCCCACCTTCAAGAGTCGTTGATGGTGGGGCAGGTACACATACCACGGAGGGGAGCAACCCCTCAATAGCCAACACTGTACGGTACATACAACGACTTGCATCAAAGCACAAGCTCCCCCCACCACGCGGCACCAGACCTCTCGACTCGGCGTTTTCTGCTTCGCCTCAAGGACCGTCTCTTCAATTCAACACCACTTGCTACCTAGGTATTGCTATGGCCGACGCCGAGACTGCACCGGCTGAGCCACAAGGTCTGAAGGTGCTGTATTGTGGTGGTATGTTCCTTCATTGCTCGCCCATCGCCCGTGTCGCCGCCTCCGTCCCCTCCATATAATGCCCCCCCCCCCGCCCACAGCTAACATGGCATGCTGTATAGTCTGCACCCTTCCACCAGAGTACTGCGAATATGGAGGCACGGTAAAGAAGTGCCAGGAATGGCTCCAGAAGAACCACAAGGACTTGTACGAAGCAATATGGTCAGCCGGTATGCACGAGAGACCCCTCCCCGACATCTGCTCCTGCCTTCGTCGCACAGCACACACAACAACAGCCACGCTGACCCAGCCACTCTCCCCAACCTGCAGAAGCCCTTGCCGCATCCACAGCCAACCTCTCAGTCGAGGCCCAGAAGCGAGCGGAGAAGGACGCGCTTAAGAAGACGGCCAAGGCCGAGGCCGCCGAGCAGAAGCAGGCCGACAAGCGTGCCGCGAGCGTCGTCACCATCAAGAGGATCGAGCGCAACAAGCGCAAGTACGTCACGTCCGTCTCCGGGCTCGAGGCCTTCGATCTGGAGTTGAAAAAGGTCGCCAAGGAGTTTGGCAAGAAGTTTGCTACGGGCTCCAGCGTGACCAAGACCCCATCGGGCGGCGAGGAAATCGTGGTGCAGGGCGACGTTAGCGACGAGATTGAGGAGTTCCTCAACGAGAAGTACAAGCAGATACCCGAGGACAACATCGAGCTTGTGGAGGATAAGAAGAAGAAGTCGGCGAGCGCTGCCTAGAGCAGCAAGCCAAGGAGATAGCTCGACTACGATGGGGGAGCGGGCACGCTGGGGAGGAAAAGCGGGATTCAACAAGTTCACAATGCACACTCGTGAAGCGTTATCCTGATGAGCATGACAGACGACGGTCTCATGTGTTGCTTGCTGAGAACTCATTACAGGTATTTGAAAAGCAGACCAGACTGCAGCGATAGCCTCAAACAAATTCAATGATGCAATGCCCTCCTGAACGCCCTGCTATTCCAGGTCATCCCATGACTATGAAAAAAAAAATGACTCCTGTGCGGTTACATCCATCTCCCGCCCGAGCATCTCGGTGACCCACTCACTCAACTCCTGTTCCTCAGCACCCTGCCCGTGGCCGTCGAAGCGGGCGTTTTGGCTGATTTTGCTGCCGCGGCTTTCTTGGACGCAGCACCAGCCACGCCCCTCCTGATCGTGCCCATCACGGTCCTCTTCGCAGGCGCGGCCTCTTTTGTCGTGGTCTGAGCCGCTTTTCCTGCCCCCTTCTTGACGACTGTCGACGTGCTGCTCTCGCTAGACTCGCTGATGCCACTAACTCTCCGCGCAGTCTTTGATGTCGCCTCACTTATGGTCGCAGTGGCCGCTGGTTTCCTCCCTCTTGCCGATCCACCGGTGGAACTGGCAGTGGTGGAGGTGGACGCCGCCTGCTTCCGTCCCGCGGCAGCTGTGCGTGTTGATCGAGCCTTCTCTGCGAGGTTGCTGAAGAGATTCGACGAGCTGTGTTGTTTTGAGGGCGATTTCGTGGGCGAAGATGGTCCGGCCACGGTGGCTAGACCAGGTCTGGACAACAACGGCTTGCCACCAGGCGTGGTACGAGGAAGAGTGCGAGTATTTGATGATGCCGGCGACAGGACCCTGGACGCCTTGGCCGAGTCCGCAGGAGGTGCCTGTTTTCGAGTCCTCTTCTTGGGCTGCTCTAGCTCTGCGGGCTCGGTTTCGTTCTCTTTGCCAGTCCCCGATATTTGATCACTTTGCAGGTCAGCGCAGATTCAACTACAAGGGAGGAAGGGAAGGCCATGTACCTAGTTCGCTTAGGTGGCCGACCAGGTCCCCGTTTAGGTGCCGTGGTGGTCTGAGAGGTCGCTTGCGAGATCGGGCGAGCCCCAGGGGTGTCTTTTGCTGGCACTGGAGGTGGACGAGAGACCGAAGATGAGAAAGCGGAAGGGGTGGGCTTCGACATTTGAGGATGCTGACCGTTCTTGTGCTTGTCTGCGAGCTCTCCCATCTTCGACTTCCTCAACGCCATAGGAATGCGATTGACGCGGATCTCGATGCGTGTTCGAAGACCCTGGGCCTGAAGATTGTACTGCGCGCGAAGTTTCCGGGCGCGTTCGGTGACTATTGACGCGTTAGAATCATGCCCGTGGGGTTGGCGGGTGAGAGGCGCGACTACGTACTTTCGAGCTGGAGGTTGTCGATGAGCGCCTGTTTTTGGCCCATTGTGATTCCAGCGGCCTTCCTCTTGCGCGGGCTTTCCTGAGCCGCAGAAGAGCTACCTGCCTCTGTCGCGATCCTTGGTTCCGGCGCGCCATGCGCGTTCTCGATCCGGTCGGCGGCAGATGCAGACTTATCCGACGGCTCCTTTGTGCGCTGAGAGGCTGTCATTCTGTGAGAACCCCAGAAATTTGAGTGGACATTAATGAAACAGCGGAACGAAGTTATGCGGGTTTGGCCGGAATGTTTGTCGTGTTGATGTCAACTGCGGGCTGGGGTTTTAGATGCTGGACTAGGAAACGAGTAAACAAAAGGCGTGGAGCTTAAGGTCAATCAGTCAACCCGCATTGGAGAAGGGACAGGGGAGCTGATGCGCTAAGAGAGCTGTGGGTCCGAGCTTGTCACTGCCTGCCGCTCCTTGACGCCGCCAGGCACCCCCAGGCTGACCTGTACTGACGAATTGATGGTCCAGCTTCCTTCCTCTACGCCGAAACCACATCCTATCACAGCTATCACAGATTCGGCCTTCCCTTGCGCACATCACCTACCTCGACGTCCATCATTGACTTTTGGTCCCATCCGCAGCCGTCTTGCCACCGAGAGACCCCCGACTACCACCCCTCCCCATCATCAGAACCTCGGCGTTGCTCCCCTCGCCGAACACGCAGTCAAGATGGTTCTCGAAGCGGTCATGATCGTTGTCGACAACAGCGAAAGCAGTCGCAACGGAGACTATGCGCCCAACCGATTTGGCGCGCAAAGAGACGCCGTCAACATCCTCTTCCAGTCCATCACGACGAGCAACCCGGAGTCCTCGGTCGGTCTCATGAGCATGGGTGGCAAGGGCCCCGAAGTGCTCAGCACATTGACCACGGAGCAAGGTCGCATTCTCGAGGGCCTGCACAGGACGCAGAAGAAGATCGGCGGGGAGGTCAACCTGGCAACAGGAATCCAAGTGGCTAGTGTATGTGCTGCCCATGTGCCCTGCCCCAGCTTCATCGGGGCTCTCACCGGGAACAAGCTAACCGCAGTCCATTACAGCTCGCACTGAAGCACAGGCAAAACAAGACCCAACGACAACGTATCGTCGCATTCGTCTGCTCGCCCGTCAAAGACTCGGAGAAGACCCTCACGACCCTGGCCAAGAAGCTCAAGAAGGTCAATACCTCGGTGGATTTTGTCTTGTTCGGCGAGCTGGAAGGCAGTGAGACACATGAGAAGCTCAACAAGTTCAACGAGCACGTAAAGTCCGGCGAGGGATCCCATCTCGTCACCATCCCCGCAGGCACCGGTCTCCTGAGCGACCAACTTGTCAGCTCGCCCATCATGCACGGAGAAGGTGCGGCAGGCGGGGCCGGAGCTAGTGGCGAGGGCGGCGGTGACTTTGGGGAGTTCGGCTTCGACCCCAACAACGATCCCGAACTGGCGCTTGCCCTGCGTATGTCCATGGAGGAGGAGCAGGCCCGCAGGGACAGACAAGCCCGAGAGGAAGCGGACGCGGCGCAGAAGGCTTCGCTGGACTCGGTGAAAGAGGAGGACGAGTCATCGAAGCCCCTGCTGGACAAGAATGGCGAGCCGAGTGGGAGCGGGAGTGGGTCAGGTTCCACGGACGACAAGAAGGACGGAGACAAGAGTGGCGATAAGATGGACACCTCTTAGTCTGCTCCCGGTGTTGTCAAAGTGGGCTTTCTTAGAGTACGGGCGCTTAGATCACGAGCCGACCGGCACGAGACGTGGACAGCAGCCAACGAGCTGGCAGATATGGATTATGGTCTGGGAAAGGTCGCATAGTGTCGTTACGACACAAAGCTCAAGACTAGACATGAATGAGAATTAATTCCTGCAGTGGGGGTATTCTGCCTCGGTTTGACCGGTAACAACAAAGTTCATTAATGCCACATATCACAGACTCCACAAACGCCGTTCCCATAGCCCTCGTGGCCTCTCCTATCTAGCCTGACAAGTCACCGGGCATTACCGGTTGTTGATCTCTCTGATGTACGAGTTCAGCTTCCGGTCGAACATCTCACACCGAATGGGCATCTCCAGCTGGTAGAAGGGGTTCTTCATGACGTAGTCCGAGTAAAGCTCGTAGATGCGTCTTGTGGTAACATCCACGTTCGCCTGGGTGTTGTCTGTGAACAAGAGGAATTTGGTGCCGGTCATGGTGTTGAAACACTGCAGGCGGAAGTTCTCGGTCTCCATAACCTCAAGCCCAGACGGAGGTTCCGGCCGGGTGGGGATCCCATTTGCAGATGGAGGAAGCGGTGGCTGCTTGACTGGGTTAAGGCGGGTTGTGATAGCGTGGACACTGTGGCACGGTCAGCGATCGTGCCTCGTGGTGTTCAGGAGCTCAAGCCGTCATACCCGTGGAAGGTTCCTGCTATTACCAGGTAATCGTTGGAGCTGAGCTGGTTGAGCCCGCCCTCCTGAAATGTGCGGTTGAAGATGAGGCCACCTGCCTTGTTGATGATCATGAGTGCGAAAACGGTCCTGGATACCATCAGTAAGTGAGTGAGTGAGTGTGAGGTGTCTTGCAGGATGTTCACATGTTGGGCAAATGGGTCCCCAGCCAGCCCTGAGCACGTAAATGAGGCTTCCGGACACCTGGCTCATGAAAGGGGGGCAATTGTTATCCCAACCTCGAGGTCTAGACTGCTCTTTTGAAGGGGGCTGTTGGCAGGTGGAAAGCTAAGAGGGTCCCTTGAGCAAGTCGGTGATAATGGCTCTATGAATTCATGAGAACAAGCAGATGGTAAGTGAGAGTGATAGCGAGAGTGCCAGCATTGTCAAGACAAGGCAAGTGCTTAGCAAGGTGTATTTCCACGGCCCAGACTCTAGGCGCGGTACCTCTCCCCAGGTACCCGGCATTCACTAACAGCGCGCTAAGTGCTCCCGCATTGAGCCTCAAATTCCCATTTTCCCCAGTCTGCTCTTGCTTCCTCGTCCACGGATGAAAGACAACCATCAACACCCCAAATGCGGCAGTGCTGAAAAAATAAAGGTCAACGCCTCACTAGTCGCCTGTATTCAAGCGTTGCATTAGCGATCAGGCTCCCACCACTTGGGCACCGAGGGTCTCCACCCGCTCCCACCCATCTGCCGACCGACCTTCGACCTCCCTTCCCACTCCATACCGCAATCGAGCTGCTCGCGCTTGCTTGCCGAGCCCGACATACCGGATCGCCCACCATGGAAAAGCATGCCCGAACCCGCCGCCAGCCGACGTCGCGGCCCAAGCCCATGCCGCCGGGAGAGGAGGACGTGAGCACGGACGTGATCCTGGGCGAGTTCCAGGACGTGGACACGCTGACGCTGTCCGAGGCGTCGCTCGTCATCAACGCCCTGGTCGCCAAGCGGCGCAACGACCGCAAGGGCTTCCAGGAGACCGAGATCCTCGCCCAGACCGTCGACTACCTCGACGCATTCGCGCGCTTCAAGCAGAAGGAGAACGTCGAGGCCGTCGAGCGCCTGCTCAGTTCGCACAAGAACCTGAACAAGTTCGAGCGGGCGCAGATCGGTACGGAGCCTTGAGCCAGCCCTTCCTCTTGGACCCCACGCGCCGTGGGACAAGGTGTTGACCAGGGTGTACGCTGTGTGCTGATCCGGTTTCGCCATCTAGGTTCGCTCTGCTGCGACAGCGCTGAGGAGGCCAAGACCCTGATCCCGTCCATCGCGAACAAGATCGACGATGATGTCCTTCAAGACCTGCTCGACCAGATGGCCAAGCTGCAAGGGTGAGCGCATTAGGTATAAGTGGGCTGGCTTGTGACTGTGCTTGAGACGACCTCTAGTCCGGGTTCTGCAGCGTGGGCGGGGGCACATCGTGGACAGAGAAGACCCGGAAGAGCCCGGAGAACCATGGGGGCACTCGCAGGTAGGATGCGAACGCTGTCAGACTCACTACAGCAAAGCAGGGCGGCCTAAGGCAGAAAGCCCGTGGGGCGCGGGCGATGCATGCGACAAAGGTACTAAAAAGAGGGCCACGAATACGGTAAGGAGGGAAAAGAGCAAGCAGCTAGACTGAACGACAGCGAGCTCGGCCTGGGTTTGAAGCATTAGCCGGCGTCATAGGTGAGGGAGGATCAAATCATTTACGGCTGTGTTTCTCCTTGAATTTCTCTTGTCATGTTCTATACCCCCGAGACGAGGTGGGAACGGGAAAGACCAAAATGGACCCTCGATCGATGAGCATCACAAACAAGAATCCATCGCGATATTCAAACTTCACAAATGTGCTGATTTCAGTTCGCAGTGACTTCTGGAATTTGTCAGTGTGCCCTCTCCTTGTCTGTAGAAATTCCTCCAACTTTTATGCAGTCTCATCTTGGTTATGGAACAGTGATTTATCCCTTTCAGACTGTCGTTTACCCAGTTCACTCTTTTGCGACTGACGTCTGGGGACTCTCTCATGCTTGCGCGATACTCGTCAAATGTTCGATAAACGTGGGTATCGTTATTTTTGGAGCTCAATGGCCCGATTAGGTTGGTATTTTGGTTGCCCCGGCTCTTACCACGAGGAGCATTATAGCGACCATTTTGGGCCTCGCCCCTTTCCTCCTTCCAACCACACGCCCTTTGTGAACACCTTACTCCAGGAAATGCTTAAACCCCAGTCTACCAGTCACTACCATGTGTGTACAACGGCGCGCTCACAGGACTTCTCTCCCACCACCCACCAGTCACACAGCCTTCACCCACCCTGATTGCTATTCGAGCCAGGCCGTGAGCCATCCCGACTCCGAGGCGGCGCAGACAGGCCGTAGAACGCCGCCGGGTCCCCCCTAAACAATGCCCACGAGGCGTCCATCTCCGCCGTTGTCCGCCTCTGGGGCACGTCGAAGATCGAGTCCACGGGCGACGACGACCTGCTCATCGGCCGCTGTGCCCTGCCCTGGGCCCTAACTGCCGCCGGCGCGGGTTCCCTGGGGGCGTCGCTCCTGCGCCTCCACACCGTCGGGGCTGGCGCCGCCTCATCGGTGTCCGTCGGGGCCGGCGCGGCCGTCACGATGGGGATATGTCGAGGGCTGGGCCTGCTGTCGCGCACGGCCTGCTGATCTGACAGGCCCGCCTCGGCGAATGACTGCCGCCACGGCCGGGCGGACGTCGGCGCTGGTGGGACTGGCTTGTCTGTGTTGGGCGAGGTCATGATGGGGGAGTTGAATGGCTGTTTCTGTGGCAGGTAGAACGCGGTGGCTCTGTGGCCCATCCTCGGGAGGATTGGATCCTCGTCGCACGGGTCCCTCGTCTGCCGGCGGCGCCAGAGCAGGTGGATCACTAGTACCAGCATGAGGGCGAGGACGGTGAAGCCGACAGTGAGGCCTACTATGAGGCCGACTGGGTTGAATTGTTTTGGAGAGGAGGAGTTCGAGGCGACTGAGGAGGAGCTTGGTGACGAGGATGGAGGCAGTGAGAAGATGGTTGAGACAGTTGCGGTCGTTGTCGTTGTTGGAGAGGACAGATGCGTTGTGGGGATGACAACCGTGACAACCCGAGAAGTCGAGAGGTTCGTGAAAGATGGGGTGTTCGTGGGAAATGATTGTGTTGTTGGCTCTGCAGTTGCTATGGGCACACTGGATGACGTCGAAGATGCTGGCGTATTTTCGAGAGGGCAGGCATTTGGCAGCCCACAAGGATCGGTGGAGCAGCAGCCTATGAAGTTGCTCGCCGCGCAAGCATAGAATCGATAGCCAATTGGACACTCCACGCCCAAGGCTGATGAACTGCGAACAAGCATGGACAAACCCATTGTCGAGTGTGCTACTGGGTGGCGGCGAGGTGGAGGTTCTTGGCGACAACGACGGGAGCACGCGTGATCGTGGAAGGGTCTTATAAGTGAAGCCCCTCAGTAGCTCCCACGGCGGAGAGCTTGGAGCTTGGGAGGGCAGTGCAACAGAGGTTCCAGAGGAGGTCCACGATGACATGCAATCAGCCATGAAGAATCGCGACTTAGTCCCAAAAAAGGAGTGACGAAACCCTAGATATCAGATGCCCGTCCAACTGAGGAGCATCCCAAGACATGTTCGTCCATGGGTCAGTTGCAAAATCAGGCCAAAGCCCGGCTGCCTCATAGATAGCAGAGATGAACGGCCCGAAAGGGCTTGTACATGAGAGGCAGGCAATCGTCAAATTGGGGGCAGTGCTGCTCGATCCCTTGGCACCATATGGCGTATCTCTTACTGAGAGGTTCAGTACGCGGTGTCGGACCCTTCTGTGATCTCTTTTGACAGTCCATCCTTGATCAGACGACAGTCGACTGGGGTGAATAACTCTGGTAGACGTCTTACCCGTCCCTTCGATTCGGGACCGGTCATGTATTTGCCAAAGCTCACTTGTTTCGAGCGCGGAAGATCCGAGCATTCAACGACTGATCTTGGTTGTACACGTCAGTCATCCATCTCGAATCATGTCAACCAGAGATGGAGAGGCGCAGACACGCAGACATGCAGGAGATCTTGCACGGGCACGGCCCTGTCACCACAGTTCTCATTTTGGAAGTGTGTTTAGGCTCATGCCGGTGAAAGGGAGACTAGCTCGCAACTGGCACTCTCAAAAAGGGTATTATCACGAGTCTTATATTCACCCGGGCAGCCAATTGGATACATGATCTGCCCCCCAAGTTCCCACGGTTCGCTGCTGGCTGATGATACGCATGTCGTGGTTTCATTACCCCAGGCCCGGGTCTGCGTCTTTGCTCGGGCCCCGGTCCCTGTGGTCCCCTCCGTCCGGTTGTCAGATCCGATCTAGCGAGCTCCCACATGGGTGAACCATGCCCCACCTTTCAGCCTCACCCCTTCCCTTTCTCGGAATGCCTTGCCGTCACAGTTACATCGCAGGGCCAGTCTTCGAACCAGTGTGACGAGCCGCCCCGAGTCGGACAGCTCGTTCGCCAACTCCCGACATCCCGGCCGGCTCTCATGCGTGTGCTCATGGTATAGTTGGGATGGAGGCCGCTCTAGTATATGATTTCCTGCCAAACTACCCCTGCATACACAGCTGCCGGACTGGGTGAAGAGAAATAAAGTTTCACAGCTTCTGGAGAAGTATCCGTGACCCTGAATTTCCAGTTGCTGGCGGCTTCTTCCCTTGTCGACCCTTCTTCTGCTTCCCTGCCCCTTGCTTCTCGGCATCGTTCCCCGCGTCTTCCTTGGTTACGGGAGTGGTCGCTGCCTTCTCGAGCTCCGCTTTGTTTTTCTTGAGCACCTTTCTGATCTTCTCCTTCTGGGAGAAGCTCTCCGATTCCAGCAGGGCAACGATAACAAAGGAGCTGCGCCCGGTGGACCAAGCCACTATGTGATCCTTGATGACCGGGTAGAGTACGTTCGCGAAGTCCAGAGGAGGCTCTACCAGCTTGATACTCTTGGTTGCCTTGTCAAATCGTCCGCCCTGGATTAATGTCTTGTACATCCTTTCCGCCCAAGCCGTCTGCGCTGGATGAGGGTACGCTGAGGAATACAGCTCTTCAGCGTCTTCCGACGGTGACGGGTCTCCCGCGGCTGCCTCAGCGACTGCCTGCAAGGCCGATGTCTTGTCTCCGACTGCGCCCAGCAGCACGTCTGCCACAAATTGGCAGCCGAAGGAGCTCGACACCAGGTCTTTGGCGGACACCGCGATGGCTTCTAATAAAGCTGGGGACATCGCAGTTACCAGCTCCTTGCGTCGAACCTCAGCATTCTTTTTGCTAGTGGACTGGCGGATCTCGTTGATCTCGTTGAGGATATCCAGGTCTCCTTGATGACTCAGAGGGAACAATGCCTTGGATGTGCCCTCAAAAGGATAAAGGAGGGTGATCCTCGCATTGAGGTCGTTGGCGCCAAAAATGACGTTATGTTTCTCCTCATTCTTGCCCAGTACCTCGGGAAATATCGTCTTGGATGTGAGCACAGTGTCGTCTACAACATCGTAGGCTGTGAGAATAACCCGGTGGCCGAATTGATCGCCAGCCATGGCCTCGTAGGTATCCTTGTAGAGTCGGAGATATTGCTTTCTGTCCTTGGCGTTTCCGTGAGCGAGAAGAAGGCAGGCAAGTCTCGAGCCAGATTTTGTGAATGCCATGTTCTTTAGTAGGTCTCCTGTTTCGTCGTCCTTGATCTTCTGGGTGAACTCCGTTTGCTCCTCACTGCCAGCCTTCAGGTTCAAGAAGCATTGCAGCATAGCGTCGTGAAGCATGGTGAAGCCGTTCATCTTTTTCTGGATCAGCTGGTCGATCATGCCCAGGAGGTGCTTGATGATGGGACCGCGTTTTTCGGGGTTCTCCTCCAGGATCTGAGCCAGCTCGGCCGTTTCGGTCTTGTCGCCGTCCTTCCTGAACAGGGAGAACTCAGGGCCGTACCACTCGCGCAGGATGATCGCCTTTTGCTCCTTGGTCGCAACACCACGGTAGATGTCGTCGAGAATCCAGCCTGCCTCGGGGTGGTTGATGAGCTTCCTGATTTTGCCGTAGAACTCAGGAATGATCATGTCCCGGATCTCTGGGTCGTTCTGGACCAGCATCTTGCCAATGAGGAATTTGGCATATCTGCTCTCGGCCAGCTGGGCGTAAGTACCCTGGAGCTCTTGCGTGATCACCTTTCGTTGTTCCGTCTTTGCGTATTTGAGTGCAGTCTGGACAGCCCGTACGGCGTCATGCTTGAGGACGAAGTCCTTGACGCGGCCGGTGATGATTTGGAACAACTCGTCGACCAATTGCTGCCTCTCCTCCTTTGGCACGTGGGACTTTCGCCGTAGTCGCTCCCAGATCTTCTTGGCCCTCTGCAGCTCATCTGCAAGAGGGCGGGCAGCCTTTCGCTCCTTGGCCAGCTGCTTCTGCTTGATGTGCGATTCTCTCGAGGTTTCGCCACCTGTCATGAATTCATTAACAACAGGAGACACAGGCACAAGGCGTCAAGATAAGGCCTACTTCGCTCGTGCTTCTTTTCTGTCACGTCGTTGTCTCCGGTTTTCTCTGCCCCTTTGGTCTGTTTCGCCTTCTTCTTTGCAGGAAGCTCGGCGCCGCCGTCCTCTCCATCGGACGAGTCGTCATCGCTGCCGTCGTCCGAAGCGTCTTCGTTCCTGAAGAGTTTCCGTGTTGAGTCAGGACGTTCCTTCTTCACTTCGAACTTCTTGACTTTCTTCTCAGGGGCCTCGACCGCGGCCTTGCGTTTGTCGCCAGCTTTTGCGCTTTTGGTGGCCATTGTTGTGTGCCGGTGTGGGTTACTTAGGCGGGTAACCGAGATGGTAAAGTTGTCGAAGGCTATAGGTAGATGGAAATTTTCTAGGGAGATGGCGATTCTGCCGTCGAGACCCTTGTTCGACAAATTTAGGCGGTGTGCTTATCAAACCCAAAGCCCCTCGATAACGCCCGGCCAGAACCCCACCACCGACCGCACGTCGTCAAGTCAACCCGGGCTCGTTAACTTACCTAGGTATCGTTGTTGCAAGGCTTGAGTGCAAACCATTTGACGTGCCACAGTCTGCCTCCCCTGGTCTCTCCGACCAAACCCGCGAAATGGGTCGCGAAGAGCAGATAGAGGAACGCGAGGTGCTCGACTCAATTTTCCCGGATGAGATCACAGGTAACAATCATGTCTCCATGGCTGCGCCGGCGAAAGTCCATATGTGCTGACCTGATCTCCTAGACATTTCCGAGACACAGTACCGTATAACAATAACGCTCGACATACCTGATGACGAAGAAAACGAGCAGCCCGTGATAGCACTCACGGTGCGATATCCGGAGGACTACCCAGACACAGCCCCGTACCTCGATCTCTCCAATGAAGACGGCGAGAACAAGCACCCGCTGTTCAACATCGCAGAATCAAAGGAAGAGCTTCTGAAGAGCTTGGAGCCAGTGATAGAAGAGAATCTCGGTATGGCGATGGTGTTCACACTTGTCACGTCACTGAAGGAGGAGGCGGAGCAGATAGCCATAAGGGCAAGAGAAGCTGCAGTCAAGGCCCACGAGGAGGCGGTCTTGGAGGCCGAAAGGAAGGAGAATGAGAAGTTTCAGGGCACGGCAGTGACGAGGGAGTCATTCCTCAGCTGGAGGGAGGGCTTCCTGAAGGAGATGGAGGAGAAGAGGCAGAAAGAGGAAGAGGAGAGACTGGCCGAGATGAAGAAGGCCAAGATAAAAGAGCCCACCAAGATGACAGGAAGGCAACTCTGGGAGAGTGGCCTTGCAAAGGGCGAGGAGATAGAGGATGGAGATGATGATGCGCCAGCAGAGGATATGGCCAAGCTGAAAGTATCAGCCTCATGACGGAAATGACACTTCAGTGAGTTCTCTGCTTGCCACCGTTGCTTTGCTGCCATCCTTTGATCGGGAGTTGTCTCTTCATGCTGTCGTTACCCTTTTGTGCGCATTGATTTCTGTTTAAACCTGGAAGATTTGGCTTTCTGCGTAATTCTTGCAAGAGGGCTCACATATATGCAAGGAAGGATGTTGAAGATGGCCCTCCAATGTCGCACACACATAACGAACCCCCAAGGCTGGCGTCGCTTTACGAATCTTCAGCAAGAACGCAAGAGCAAGGGGTAATGCTGGAAGGTGGCCAGGACGGAGAGAAAGAGAGAGCAGGGTAGCTGGGCATTGGGTGCCGAGGCCCTCAGTGTCCCCATGTCCCTTGGTGTCCTCTTGGTGTCCCCAAGTGCCGTGTCCGGCGGCTGGGGACCGCATTCACTAGAGGCCAACTCGAGCTTCATCCAAGCTTATAGTCCAGCACAACTCCCCATTGCCACGAGCGAGGTAGCATAGTCGGGGCAGTTGGCCGAGTGGTAACACCGCTGACAAAAAAATTAAAGAAACTATGCATTCATCCATCGACCTCCATACACAGTGCCAACCGCACCATGCCCTAGGTTGGATTACACTGAAAACAAATAGTCAACTCGAAAGAGGACCGCGCTGTAGCAGCTGGCAGGGCGTACCAACTTTTTTTTGGTCCTGCTTCTCTTGTTGGGCTCTCGCATTGCGCCATCCTCACAATGTGGCGATGCACTCCTCCCTTTCGCCTCGGGGGTCGACGTTCAATCCTTGCCTGAACCTAGACTTTTTTATTTTTTGTTTTGTTGTTGACAAGTCAGTGAAATCACTAATACCTCAACTGCAGTGTAATACAACCAAGTGTTTGTCTCCGTTTCCAACCTCACAGTCTCTCGTAAGACAAACTTATAAGCTCCCACAAGACAACCTCCCAGCCTCCAGATAACAATCTCCTAGAAGACAGTACTTTTAGTGTGTTACACGCTCTGCCAACCATTCCACCCTGGACAACAAAGCAACTCCATTACACCACAAGGCACCTGTATTTCCTTCCCGAAGCTACCATGAAGCCCCTAACTGAGACAGCTCTGAAGCCCTTGTTTTGGTGGAACCTCACGCAAAAATGGTACATTTCTCTCATGCTATGATGCCCATAGCGAACATTTCGAATGTCAGGGCAATTTTTGAGACAAGGCAACATGTCGAGTAAGCCATGATTGCAATGGCCAGTCATTCAACGTTAAGTGAATTGCCAGGATCTTGCACACCAATCACAGTATACATGAGGCGCTGCTTTCCAATTCGAGTGGTCTAAAAGCGTCCGCCAGCCAATGTCAGTGTTCTTGCTTTGATATCCATGTGTGGTATTGCCGATCAAGCCTGGTCCATGTCCTCGTCACCGTCTTCATCAACATCCTCCCAGCCAGCTCCGTCTTCACCGTCATCGTCATCGTCATCGTCCGGAAGGTCGCCCACCTCCGCATTCACCGTGGCGAGCAGCTCCTTGGCGTGCTCTCCTAGCCTCTCGTCCTCGTATTCCTGTGCCTCGAACAGCAGGAGACATTGTGACAGCCACTGCCGTGCTCTGACCCACTCCTTCTTCCAGCCGTCCTTCGGCTCTGCGCTCTTGTCGCCGTTCTGTGCACTGTTCGCTTCTAATTTGCCCTTCTCGCCCAGTGTGTAATGTGCCATTCCGCCGAGATACCAAGCCTCCACACTCCCGTCGTCGTCCAAGACCAGCCTGTCGCACACCTGCACCGCTTTTTGTTGCAAGTCGCACTCGATCAGCAGCCTCGTCAGGCTCACTCTGGATGGGAAAGGAGGCACTCCAGGGTCCTCGGGCTCCAGATCCGTCCATAGCGCCATGCTCCTCTCCAGCGCCGCCACCGCGTCGTCCCTCCTGCTCTGGCTGACTCTGACGTTCGCGACCGTCTGCCACGCGTCGGGCAGCTCGGGCGCCAGCATCGTCGCCTCGGTGATGAGCGCTTCGCACCGCGCCTCGGCGTCCTCTTCCCACGACAGGTCCGTCATGTACACCTCCGCGACGGCACAAAGAGTCTCGGAGAGCTTCTTCTTCTTTTCCGAAACGGCGTCCTCGATCTCCTTCACCGCCGTGCCATGCGCGCTCCCCTTCCGCCGCGCCTCGTCCGCCGCAGCGCCCAGCACCTGTATCTGCGCCCGGAGGCACGCCGCCGCCCGCTCGAACCAGCTCACCGAGTCGGCACCGCCATCCTCCGACAGCTGCGCCAGCCAGTTGAACTTCTCGGGCCCGCCGCCCAGCTCCTCGGACAGCGACCCGTCCTCGTCCAGCCGCGCCGCCTCGAGGAAGTGCGACCGCGCCGTGTCGATCTCGCCCAGCTCCACGTTGATCTCGCCCAGGAGCATATGCGCCGCGCAAGTGCGCGCGTCGTCGTTCTCGAGGGCGGCGTCGAGGGCGGCGCGCGCCGTGGTTACCGCGCCTGTCGCATCGCCCTGCTCGAGGAGTGCCGTCGCTTCGGCGAGTAGTTGTTTGGCTGGTTTTGTGGACGCTGCAGATGACTTTTTGGTGTGGCTTCGGTTCTTGGCTTTTGCCTTCTTGGATGGTCTCGTGGGCGCCATTTTGGACTTTGGATTGGTGGAAAAGGTTCCAGATTGTCGAATGCGAACACCAGTTGCTTTACCATTAGTTTGGGAAACTTTTTTGGTCCCAGATGCAATCAGCGATAAGATAAGAGCTCAACAGCCAGGGCACCCTTGCTCCATGATTTAGTCTGCAGGGGGCAGAAATTCTTTGGGTCGATTCTAGGAGCATTAATGTTGCCTGCAATTTCAGACGCCTGATATAATTAGTAGAGAACAGTTTGCGCACTAAACCTCTGATTCATGCCGTCTCTTCGGGGCCTCTCTTGTAGTCTCTTACTTTAGGGCCTCAAAACTTCCACAAGCGGCTCAGGCTGTCAACATCTCTCATAGTAGTGGATGCATGCATATAAGCGTTTGCTCGTAAATAGCAAAAAGAGCCGCGCACAAATGTGCAAAATAAATGTCCTCGGATACGGGGAATCGAACCCCGAGCTGGTGAGTGAGAGTCACCGATGTTAACCATTACACCATATCCGACTACGGTGTGAGGACCTGTTGATGACTTCCCTCCCCGCTGCGCGACTTATAATCCACCTCACCATGGCCAGATGCTTAGGTTTAAAATTTTGACCTGATCTAGCACCCTTGAATAAGGCGCTGTACTTTTGTATCATCTAAGTCTACTATGTAGTAGTGATGCCAGCGTGACGCTCAATACCAATGCCTGGGTCAAAGCTTGCTGCGCCTGACCTCCAGTTCATACTTTTCAAATTTCAAAGTGACTACGAACCCATTTACCATTATCCTGACGATGCGACCCGGTTATTGCTGTGTTCCCAGTCAACCCTTCCACCCCCACTAAGATGGCTTCAGGGCTTCCCAGCCTCCAACAGCGGCGCCGTCGTCACCTAGCAGATCCACCACAGGACTCCGGCCATTCAGAACAGGCTTCTTTGGAGCAGGTATAGGTGGTGATCGACCTGACGAGCTGGTCGGTGAAGGTGTGCCCGATCCTACCGGCTTCCTCGGCGGAATTGTTGGGCGGCCGTCCTTTGACAGTCCAACCAGGCCTACAGCGCCAGGCGGAGCCCAACCAGGTGCTGCATTTGCTACAGAAGCAGTGCCCGCCCGACGAGGCGGAGGCATTGGCGGTTGCTCCTGATTGCGGTTGTAAGTCTCCCTTGCCGACGCAGTGCGGTGCAGACTGTCACGTATCGCTGCGCGGGACACATTCTGCACGCTGCTCGAGGGCCGTCGGGGCGGTATGGGCTTGGCTTTGGTTTCAGTAGAGGGCGAGGTCTCTGAGTCTAGCCCAGTCGGTGAGGTAGAGAGAAGGTGTGCTGGTTTCCTGGCAACCGGCGGCGGGCCTTTAGCTGTCTTCTGTGAAGACGCAGAGATTATCGAAGCGGATCGGGGAGGTGGTGGCACCGGCGCCTGTCTCCTCACTTGATTGGTGATACCAGGAACAGGAGTCTGATTAGGTGGCGGAGGAAATGACGGCGTCTGGGTCAACGGCTTTCTAGCCGGTGGAGGTAATGGTGGTGTGGCTAACTTCTTGAATTGTAGTGGGTGCTGTTCTTCGTTTAGGGCAATTCTTCCTACTTTTGCGGGTAGGGCTGATGGGTCGTAAGGAGGGGGCAGTTTCCTCTGCGGAGGGGTGCTCGAAACAGAAGAAGCCAGCAAGGTAGAGTGGTTGATATGTTCGTAGGGCGACGTAGATATACTGGAAAAGGATGACAGCCTGGAGTCCGCGCGCGGAACTGTGACCCAGTCGGGCTCGTCCGATGGTACAAATGGGTTCGGGTGTCGGCTGGGATTTAGAATCGTCGACGTCGAGCCATCCATGGCTTTTGGAGGCGTGATTGAGGACTGTGCGAGTTTGCCGTTGTCCAGCCACCATTTCTGGCGATCAGAACTGGCTGGAGGAAGTCCAGGTTCTATAGCATCGTAGCCAATGAGGTCCTCATCTTCTGTATCTTCGGTATTGACATTTGCCGTGGCATCCCCCACCTCTGCCTTTCTTTTAAGGTAGATCTCACGGCTGATCTTATCTCGATGCGGCTCGTCAATGATGCTCACGTTGCAGTCGAAGAGGGCATAAACCGGCCGGTGATCCGAGAATCTGAGTGGTGCACAATTGTATGCCAGCTGCCGGAGGTTGGGGCCCTTGCGCAGGATGCGATCCGTCCACGCTGGGATACGAGCCTTTTCAGAGGAGTCATATGTATCCGTCCCAATGTCGAATTTGTATGTAGGCATGAACGTGATCCTTGCTTCCGAGTAAAAGGGAAATGATAGGCCAGCCACCATTTGGAGGTTCAGCTGGTCATTTTCGTAGAGTCGCTCCAAGTCGCGCCTTTGAACCAGTTCCATAGCTGTCTCCCATCCTAATCCAACTCGATAATTGAAATCACCGAGCCAGATGACGGTGTCTTTTCATCTCTGTTAGCCCTGTGATCTTCAAAATGACCGGCCTATCCATCTTACCGTGATCTTCGATGCTCCTGTTACGTTGGAACCGCAGTCCGTTGCTTATCGTGGCGTAGTCCTTGTTCCTCTCGTCGTAATTGGCAAAGCCGGCCGCCAAGTGAGCAGTGACGAAACATATTTGAGTGTTCGCGTAATCCAGCCTGATGGCTACTGCCCCTTTGTTGCCAGCCATGCCGGACATTCCTGTCTTCTTCACAGAGCCCTCGACGTTCTTGATGTTGGAGAGGACGGACTGTCTCACAAATATGCACAATGCCGCACCAACAAGCTGTCCACTTCGCAATACAACATATTTCTCGCCGCCGATTTTTTGAGCTCGGGTATTCAGACATGCCCGCACAGCTTGCTCCCAGAGTTGCTTCCTAGTGGGATCGCTGTTCATGATTTGCTGAGGGCTCAGCTCCACAATCTCTTGGAACCCAACCACAACGATCTCAGGTTGTGTGTCCCCAATCTCTTCCGGGCAGAGCCACGCAGACAGGTCCTCATCGATGCCGTTAGTGCGTCCGTTGAGGTTGAATGTGCCGACCAAGCTGTTGTCGGTCAGTATATCGCCATAAGCATGAGAACAACGACGACTAACATTCTGATGTTCTCCGTCGAAGAGAACTGTGCACTCCGCTTGTTGAGCTCGGCGTTGACGTAGTCGTTGATGGGGTCGTAAAGGGATACAGGTGACTGGCCCACGAGCCTGCCCAACAACGTGTCGATGGTATTTTGCCGCTGCTTATCTGTGAAATTGTTGATATACAACCTGGTTGCTGACTTCCGCGCATCAGCTATGGCACCAGCCAAAGACATCTTCCCATGCCGGGTAAAGGAGGACTTCAGAGCTCCAGTGCCAGCGTAAATCCGTGACAGCGCGTCACCATTGTCGGCCCACAGGTTCGAATGTCTCATCCAGAAGTCCGAGGAGGCATGCTCTCCGCGGTGGCCGAGGAACGACTCGACAGCCATTTGGGACACGAGGGTTTGTATCAGATTCGTGCGGTCAAGGCAGTCGAGACAATTTGTTCTGAAGACGCCTTCCTGTTGGAGCACAACCACATAGCGCCGATTAACGTGAGCTGTTCCATTCACGGTCTCACCCGGGGAATCTGTCTCCTCGGCGAGGTAGTAGGCAAAGCCATCTGCTGAGCCCTCAATGTACCGGCGTATTCCCCTAGCGGCCTCATAGCCCGTCGGCCCCTTGGTTTCGGCATGAAAGTCGTATTCCGTCGCCCTCAGGAGTGCGTGCTCATTGGAACGCTTTTCACCCGTGCGACTCAGAGGGCAATGCATTATGCCATTACGGTAGAGCTGGCTGAGCTCGACTTCGCCGGGCTTCGACTCGCTCAGCAGATTGACGACATGGACAGCGCCGTAATTGTGCTCGAGGTCTTGAAAATGCTTATTAAAAGCCGGCTGGGTGCCGTCAGGTGATCTCGTTATGGTGATCTTCTGCTGACCGGGCAGCAGCCCAGCAGCCTGCTCCCAGAACACAGGCACAGAACCGCGAACCTGCGCGTACGAGAACAGGACACCCGACGGGCTCCAATAAATCGTCTCTGTCTCCACAAAGTTGGCCACATTTCCATCGTCGTCTATGCCTCTCGAGTTGAAGCGGGTTCCAGCTCGAAGGCATGAAAGGCGTGATATTACAGTTAAATAGGACGGCATGCCCGACCTTGCGGGCTTCAAAGGCGCCACTAGTTGAGGGATGTTGATTGTCAGGCAAAATCCCCTGATAGCCGAAGTCAAAATTCGTGATGCGTCAAGAGTCTCCCTTTCGTGAGGCATCAGCCGCGATCGAAACTGTACGAGAGGACTGATCATGTACGAGTTCCACAGGAAGCCCTCATCAAAATTGTCGATGTCGAATGTATTCGCATCCGCAGGCCTGTCCTGCAGCCGGTTGGTCAGGTCGAAATCGGTGCTGTAGTAGAAGCTCCCATTGCTCAGGAGCTTCTGTACATCGACGCAAGGGTGTTCGACGCCTTCCCTCCTGGTGAGCGGCTGCCCGTACGTGGCTGCGGCATCCGACATCTCAAGCTCGTAGGGGTCGATGGCTGTGAACACATCGTCGTACTCGGAGGTGTTGAGGCCGTAGAACTCGACGGCCAGGATCCGTTCGATGGTCTCTCCGGGACGCAAGGTGGAGACGCGCGATGCGTGTGTAATGACGCAGAGGAAGACATCGCGGCCGACGGATATCAGCCCAAGTGTCCCATATATCGGCCGTGGTGTCAGGGGTCGGTAGTCGCTCAAGGTGTTCTTGGTAATCTGGGTGAATTCGACCATGCATTTCGAGGCAACGCCGTCGGTTGCGCTCATGCCGGTGCCGGCGCGGGGCCGAGCAGAAGGGATGGAGGAGAGGGAGCCATTGGCGATGGATTCGCTGGTGGTGGGGCTGTGACGGAAGATGAGGGCGTGGTCGTTGGAGACAATGGCAATGGCTCGGTGAGGGTATTCGCGGATCAGGAGCGAGCTCGACTTCTCAGGGGAGGGCGCCTGGCCGCTCCAGAGGGCCGAGTTGGGATAATTGGGATCCATGCCCGTACGGCAGTCGGCGGTTGGGAGGGCTTCAGCTTGATTCCGCCGCCAGTCTTGTAGACGGGACAGGTTACGTTATGCCAGGGGGCTGCCACATGTCCTGCCAGGCGAGGTGCCGTGATCAAAGGAGAGGCACGGCAAGGAGGGGCTAGAGGTGGAATTGGGGTTTGGCAGCTAGAGGCAAGAGGAACAGGTGGGCACTGCAGGATGGTATGGCAGGCCAGAGGTGAAAATCTCGGAAGCGACGACCGTGTCAGCTACCAGCGGCACTAACGAAGTTGCAGATGCAGATGCAGACGCAAGTTCCGAGCTTCCAAGCAGTGAATCACTGATGGCCAGTCGTTCGTTGGCCATTGGCGGTACTGCCCAAACCACTGCCCAAACCACCCGAGGGCTGCTATGACGCTGCCAGGCCCGAGCGTTCAGCCCTGTGGAGCCTGTTCCGAGGTCTTGGAAGGGACAGGGGCTAAAGGGGCAGGGTGCGGTTTGACAACCCATCAACCCTCGAGTGTCTTGGGTTGTGCCGTGTTCCTTTGGACATCTACTCCCTGCCTGCAACCAGTCCAACATTCCAACAGGTGCCCTGTCCCAGCTGTCCAGGTTTTTGTTTTTCCCCCGAAGATAAAGACAGGTTTCTTCCGTCATTGCGGGAAGAGGACTTCTGGTGGTAACCTTGGAGCAAGAGCCCCAAAGCAAGGTCCTGGACATGGCAGTCCACAGAGCAGTGTTAAATATTGTTTTCCAGGCCATGCATGTTGAGTGGGGGTTTTCATAGCCTGGTCTGACCCTTCAGTTTGTCAAGATTGAATCACAAGATTGTGTCTGAAATTCAACGCTCTCATAAAGAGTTGTCCCATGGAAGATAATTGCGAAACAAGTTGTCCAATAGGGGGTTGCTCTATAGGGGTTTATAGGATGTTTCCCGATAGGCGGCTGTACATTGGAGGGTTCCCCTACAGGTCAAGTCACATGTGAGGCATCACTATTGTGCATATCTGGTGTTCACACATTGAAGGCCTCAGGTGCAGTGCAGTATTGCAGCTTTCATGCATGCTTCTTCTCGAAAGAGTGACATAAGACATTTGTCTCCATTTCTGCTCTGTCAAGGCGACGGCGATGCTGTTGCAGGCCACTGTCAGCATTAACAGGAAAAGGGTGGGATCAAGGGAAAGTAGGCCACTTGGCTGAAAACAAGTCATGCTGGAGAACCAGAAATAAAGAAGGGTGAAGAGATGAGGAGCTTCAGATTTGGTACGTAGGGTGAGATCATACACGCCAAGGGCGGTGTTCATCCTCTTCCTATCATGTTTGTTTTGTGTAAATCATCACAAGCTCATGATTGTGGAAGGAGAGGAAGGAGAGGGCACGTCCAAAAAGTTGCTGGTTAGAGTTTTCGTGGTTCTGGTCCAGTATCTTACGTAAGACGCACCAGACCAATCAAGTGCAGCTAAGTCGACAGGCATTCGGGCATGATGTACAGTAGCACCGACAAGGGTTACCGCCTGCCTGGCGCAAACTCCTCAACTTGTAGGCGCATCTTCGAGCTTGCCGCTTTCTGCTCTCTGCATTCCGCCTTCCACCCCAACCCCCTTTTCTCTGGCCGAAACCATCAGCAAATCCCTCGCTACCTGCACAATCCCCGTGAATCCATCAGCCTTTCCGGGGCACATGGCAGTGATCATTGCCATCGACAAACCCAGATAGCACTGCGTTCACGCCTTCCAGCGAAGCCTTCCAACACAGCACCACCGCACCAGGCCAGGATGGGTGACTTCACAAGCTACGGAGGCTCTGACGAGGAGAATGCTGAGATTCGAAAGCTCAATGCTGAGGTTGTAAGTCACGCCCCATCACAATATCGTTGGTACCAATCAGTGCTCTATTGGCAGTGCTGACCGCGACCGTTGTCACAGGAAGCCGACCCTGACAGCTTCGAGGCTTGGGAGAAACTGGTGCGCGCAGTCGAGAGCCTCGAGGGCGGCCTCAACAGAAACTCCAGCCCCCAGTCCCTAGCCACACTGCGCGATGCCTATGATCGATTCCTCCTCAAATTCCCTCTTCTTTTCGGGTACTGGAAGAAGTATGCCGACCTCGAGTTCAACATTTCGGGCCCAGAGTCGGCCGAGATGGTCTACGAGCGGGGATGCGCCAGCATCACCAACTCGGTTGACCTCTGGACCGAGTACTGCTCCTTCAAGATGGAGACCACACATGTCGCGCACCTCGTGAGAGAGTAAGTTCACACGGCTGCTTTCCTTCCCCATAACCTTCCAGCCGTCGACGCGTCCACCAATCTGCGGGTCGTCGCAAAATCAACGGATCCCACCGAGATAAGATGACATTGACCGTATCGTCGGGCTCCGGTGAGAATTACCAAGAGCCACCACTTGTCGCTGGGATCGCGTCTCACAGAATCTACCAGGCACTGTTGTTTTCACAGCCACACATCACCACCATGATTCGCTCTGAACTTCCCCCACGCTTCCCCCCGTCGCACAGACGTTGAGCTGTTGTTCGATTAGTCGGGAGAAGGGCTTATTGTTACCACACCAATCCCTTCTTGTATTTGCAATCCTATCCATTCCTCCCCACCTGGTCCTATCCCCCCTGCATTGTCGATCCTCGCCCACTGACTTGCGATAGACTGTTCGAGCGGGCTGCGACCTACGTGGGACTCGATTTCCTTGCACACCCCTTCTGGGACAAGTACATCGAGTACGAGGAGCGCCAAGAAGCCCACGACAAGATCTATGCGATCCTCAAACGTGTTATCCACATACCCATGCACCAGTATGCGCGATACTACGAGAGATTCCGAACGCTGTCGCACTCCCGGCCGCTGGAAGAAGTGGTCGAGCCGGAGGTTCTGGCTCGTTTCCGAGCCGAGGTCGACGCCGAGGCCGCACCATTCGGTGTGGTCAAGTCGGAGCTCGAGGTTGAACGAGACATACGCGCGAAGATCGATGCCATGTTCTACGATGTCTTCCAGACGACTCAATCCGAGACGACAAAGCGTTGGACGTACGAATCGGAGATCAAGCGGCCGTACTTCCACGTGACGGAGCTAGACCACTCCCAGCTTGCAAACTGGCGCAAGTACCTGGACTTCGAGGAGTCTGAAGGTGACCTTCCGCGGGTCACCGCGCTGTACGAGAGATGCCTGGTCACATGTGCCTACTACGAGGAATTCTGGTTCCGATATGCCCGGTGGATGCAGGCGCAGCCCAACAAGGACGAAGAGGTCCGCAACATCTTCCTCCGCGCAGTCACGTTGTACGTGCCAATCAGCAGGCCTGGCATCCGATTGCAATTCGCCTACTTCGAAGAGACGTGCGGCCGTGTTGATGTAGCTCGAGCAGTGCACGAGGCTGTCCTGATCAAGATACCAAACTGCGTTGAGGCAATCATCTCATGGGCCAACCTACAGAGGCGGCAAAGCGGCCTCGATGCGGCCATTGATGTGTACAAGGCGCAGATTGATTCCCCTGGGGTTGATCTCTACACCAAGGCAGCCCTTGTCACGCAATGGGCCCATCTCCTGTGGAAGGTCAAGGGCTCGGTTGAGGAGGCGCGGACCGTCTTCCGCTCGAATGTGCAGTGGTACTCTGACAGCCGGGAGTTCTGGAGCAAGTGGCTGGACTTCGAGCTCGAGCAGCCGACCAACACTGAGCTGGAAGCTGAGCACGGCAAGCGCATCGAACACGTCATTGACGAAATGCGGGCGCGGAGTCGCATGTCTGTGCCTACCAAGAAGCAGCTGTGCGGCAAGTACTTGAATTACCTCCAGCAGCGTGGCGGCAAGGACGCCATGAAGAAATTCCTGCTGATCGATCGCGAGATGTTCGGGTGAGTCTGGGCCCCTGTAGCTTGGAGCATGAACAAGAAGCTAACGAAGCGGTTTTCCCAGCCCTCTGTCGATCTCCAAGGACAAGTTTGCGGCCAAGGACAACGGTGTTCCCCTGGGCGAGCTTGATGAGGCTACGCAGCAAAAGGCCGAGGCTTACTGCTTCAGCTTTTACGAACTTCATGTCGATGCGGATCCGAAAGCGACTGGCCTTGCTGATTTCCACTAAGTCCGATACCCATTTTCGCCTTTGCAAACACCTTGATAATTTCCTCGGTGACCACAACAAAAAAAAGATTACAAGAGCTTCTGCATTCTCGGCGCTCGTCCTTGTACACTAGGGGTTGAATTGGGGCTGAGTTGGATGTAGGTGGGCTTTACTTGCTTGTCAAAGTATACGGTCGGTGCACCATGCAATATCCTTCTATCCTTCTCGTCGAACAGAGAAGCGTGGCGGCTGAGGTGAGGAGGCATGGAATCTGTCAGACGATCAAATATAATGTACCATGCTCCCCGGTGTTACTCGCTCTTTATCTCGAACACGGCGCTGCACCGAACCCAGTTTGAGTTTTCATGTCCGACTGTTGTCTAGTGTAATGAGACATGTCTAATATAAGAGAGTTGCACGCTCTCAGCCTTGAATTTGACATTACTAGAAACATTCAAAATGCGAGCTCTGGATCACACCCGGGATGTTGGCTCGGCAAGGCTGCGACATGCATTTGGCTGAGTCACTCGAAAGCTTCTTGTCAGACGGCTGGAAGGACGGGATTTGGTCGGCGGTGCTGAGTGACGCAAGCGATGAAAAGCTTTGCGTAAGAATGATTTGAAATACCTGAGATTAATGGACAGAGCAAGACCTAGTGCCAGCCTGGACAAGGAGATATGCCAAAATGGTATCCTTGGCTGGATTAAGTTCCAGAATATTTTAGTTGCGCAGGCTGAGGACGTCGATTACCAAGCACTGAACCGAGATCGGGGGTGGCCGCCGGCCGCAATCTACACGTAGTCCAGTGACCCACCCGTCCAGCTACATATGCATTTGAATTCCGGCCCTTTTTCGATGGGTTTATTAGGGCGGTCAAAGTGAGGCCCTTGCCATGGTAGGACAGAATGCAGCAAACACCGAACCAAGGCTGCGGCACCCGGGGGGCAATAGCTTACCTAGGTACCTAGGTACTCTTTTCACGTTCCTTTTGCGACCGTTTTCATGTGTGTCTTGGCCGTTTGGCATTTTTAGACGGCGAGTCCCATCCGCCTGCCCGTCGTGCAGCTGCTCCGCGGGGACGCCCACTTTTCTTTCCCACGCGAGAGCCACCCAGCCCGGCCCGTTCTGATCTTCTGGAACCCAGGGGTCCGACTCAGGGCCCGTTCCGGTGGGCCCATTCTACGTCTTACACGGCGCCTGTGACCAATGGCAACTTGTCTATTACTCCTGCCGGCAGCCATGACCGAGGTCTTGGGCTCTCGCTCTCGTGTGGGCAGGTCCGGGGTCCTGGAATGGCAAGTACACGGTACTGTTAGCTCGCCCGCCATTCGGAGAGACAAGAGGCAGGCAGGCAGGGAGGCGTGGCTTCGGCGAACTTTGGGCAGGACGTACAGGTGCATACCTACCTACCTAGGTACCTAGGTAGGTAGATAATGTAAACGCCCAGGCTTCTACACGCTGTCCCCGATCCACTTGGTCCGGAATACCCTCGGGCTTTGGTGAATGACTGACTCTTCTTATCTTGCTCGCCCGCCCCAGCTGTCCGAATCGAGATTCCTGTCCTCCGACTGTTCTTAATCAACTAGACCCTTGTCTCCCAGATCACGCTCTAACTACGTCGAGGTAAGCTGTTCCTGGCCATATCGTTGAATATTTTGCTGGCTCGCCCGCTCTCCTTTCCACCACATCACTGCCGCCATCGCTGACCGTCCGTCCTCCTCACGCATCAAACAGATGGCTTCCACATCCCGCCAACTCGCCCGCACGGCGCTGCGGGCCACAGCTCGAAGCACCTTCGCAACAGCAGGCCCGCGCACATTCCGCCAGGGCGGTCGCCGCTTCTACTCCTCCGAAGCCCCCAAATCCTCGTCCAACCCCCTCCTCTGGGCTGCCGGTGCCGCCGCAGCTGGTGGCGCCGGTTACTACTTCTGGACCCAGAACGGCGCCTCTGCCACGCCCAAGGTCTTCAACCCCACCAAGGACGACTACCAGAAGGTGTACAACGAGATAGCCTCCAGGCTGGAGGAGAACGACCAGTACGACGACGGGTCTTACGGCCCAGTCCTCGTGCGTTTGGCCTGGCATGCCAGCGGAACCTATGACAAGGAGACCGGCACCGGCGGCAGCAACGGTGCTACCATGAGGTTCGCTCCCGAGAGCGACCATGGCGCGAATGCTGGTCTGAAGCACGCCAGAGACTTCCTGCAGCCTGTGAAGGGTTCGTGTCCCCTGGCTGCTGCTTGATCACGTCCAGAATGACTAACAGAAATCAGCCAAATTCCCATGGATTACCTACTCTGATCTCTGGATCCTCGGTGGTGTCTGCGCCATCCAGGAGATGCTGGGCCCCAAGATCCCCTACCGCCCCGGCCGTTCCGACAAGGACATGGCCGCCTGCACTCCTGACGGCCGCCTGCCCGACGCAACCAAGACACAGGACCATCTCCGCTCCATCTTCTACCGCATGGGTTTCAACGACCAGGAGATCGTCGCCCTCTCCGGAGCACATGCCCTCGGCCGCTGCCACACCGACCGCAGTGGTTTCGACGGGCCTTGGACCTTCTCCCCTACCGTCCTCACAAACGACTACTACAACTACCTGGTCAACACCAAGTGGGAGTACAAGAAGTGGGACGGCCCCAAGCAGTTTGTCGACAAGGAAACCAAGTCCATCATGATGCTGCCCGCCGACATGGCTCTCGTGCAGGACAAGAAGTTCATGCAGTACGTGCAGAAGTACGCCAAGGACAACGACGCCTTCTTCAACGACTTCAGGGACGTCGTCGTCAAGCTGTTCGAGCTCGGCGTCCCGTTCGCCGAAGGTACCGAGAACCAGCGCTGGGAGTTCAAGACATCGCAGGAGTAAGACAAAAGAACGGGTTTAGACCGGTAGAGCCAATGCCCTTGGCAGGTTGCGTGCAAAATGATACAGTCACCTAGATCTTAGATTAGAGCGAATGTCTTCTAGATTGGAGCAGGGGCCACGCCGCAGGGATGATGGTTTTGGACACTGGACACTCTGTCGCTGTCCCTCGATCTAGTGGCTCCGAGGTCCTTAGGGTACCTCAATGTATGATAGGAAAATGCAACGTTGATTTCGCAGCAGCATCAGGTAACGCCGCGTGTGTCGCTGATCTTGGGAAAGTGATCGTCGTGAGATTTGGTCCCCAAGGTCGGTCAGTGCCCAAAGTCGGGACGAGCTGTCGTTTAAACAAGAATGGAGGCTCATCGGGGACCAGGCACGCTCCTCCATCCTATTGAAACGCGCCCTGTTGCAACGCAGTAGCGTATACGGGGTACCGGGCCAGAGGTTGGCATCCTCGTTCCCCGCACTTCCCCAGGACCCTTGAGGCCCGGCGCTCCCCTTCTAGATATTCCGGTTAAGCCGGGGCCTATGCACGTGGGGGAGATCTCTGGGATTCTCCCAGGGATCTTCTCAAAATTCCCCATGGTCTGTGGCGAACGTTCCCAGGAGGAGGCTGTCACTCAATCACGGCCCGATCCTTTGGCACCAAGACTCAAGTGCCCAGGCTGGTTTGACAATGTTTGTACCATGCTATTGAGCGAGCCCTGAGTGACAGAGCGAGAGAAGAAGAGTGAGGCAGAAAACGAATTCCAACGGGAACTGCCAAGTCCAAGGAATTGAGCAGGGCACCTTTGAGGCACCGGCAACGACCGTAGAGCCTGCCCGGAACAGGGACCAATGAAGCTTCAACAGCTCAATGTTGTGCCACCAATACCTCACTCGGTGAAAATCAGATGACTTTGCTTCTTTACGAGGGCCTGGCGGGGGTGTGGGGTGGCGATATGAAGTACTCGTGTATTACTTACTATGACAGCATTAGGATATGAGCTTGCATAGACGCAACAGACTTTAGAGCTAGATTCCGGAGCTTAAACTCAGACTGCATTTAGATCTACCAAGAATCACAACAGGCACCATCCTACAACCCAAGCTAGTAATAAATGTTGTCACTATAGCCGTATGGTAGAAGCCAACATTTGAATCATTTAATATTAATTATACATCCATAGCCTTGCCCTCCAGAACAATATGGCCCTGGTTTTCGACCGCAGTGGGTGCAGTATAGCATGATGCAGAAGGAGGGGACCTAAGGACGAGCCCAAACGAGGCTCCCCGAGTTCCCAGCACAAACTTGAACAAAGGCCTGGAAATTTGTTTTCAGCTCAAATTGCTGGGCGACATGTGCTCCATAGCGAACCTGAACATGATATGAGGTTTAAGCATGAGTCACTTCCTTTGGGGCCTTGGAAGGGAGAGCTTTAGAATAGCATGTAATAGTATTCCGACACACTGTGCAAAGCATTTACAAACTTGAGAGCACTTTACAATTCAATTGCCACATCTCTCGAATTTCCAGCTCACTTTTCGATTTCCGTAGGCGTCCAAGTGCGCGACCGCCGACTGAACCGCTCTTCAGGATTGTCCAGTTCATGCTCAAGACTCCACTTCTTATCATACTTTTCGAGCTCGTCCCGGATATCCAAGCATTGCACGCGCACGACGCTGAGCAACTTTCCCTCGTCACTCTTCCATGTCGCAGCAGGAACAACGCCACAGTTCGTGCAGATGTAGAACTCCGCGGTGCCTGTCCCCATGCGATACCGATTGACCGAGCCGGAGGTTTTGATGGTGAGGGCGCCTGCAGCATCAGAGGTGAATGATGCGCGGTGCAGCCTGCAGAAGCTACACTGGCAGGCCCTGGATCCGAGCTCGGATGGTGTCTTCTGGGTTCTCAGGTGAACTTTAATTCCGCCGCAGTGACAGGCGCCGTGATAGTCTTTGTCTTTCGATTGAGAGTCTTTCTGCGGCACCGAAGTGTTATCCGCCATGTGGCGCTTCTGCGACACAACATTGGCGACCGGATTCCGGTAAGCATACTGTACCAGCCATGTTTGAAGAGCTGGTTTGAACTTGACGCTTGGACTCCGAACTTGGGCAGCCAGAAAACCTGCTCTCCGCAGCATCTTGCATATGCTCTGATGGTTAGGCTAGTGAGTACAGGCTCAAAGAGAAGAAATTTGCACAGTCGAGAAGCTATCTGACGAGGACGCGAAGATGGGAGAGATGCGGGGATGTTGTCACAGTGGATGGGGGGTAGAATGATTACGTCTTCCAAAGGGCTGTACAGGGTAGGTACTTACTTATGTATTTTCGACACCCTTCGGCAACAGAACCAACAATTGCGCCCTTTTGAACTCCCCCCCCCCCAACAGCTGTTATTAAAATCAAGATTGGGGATAAATTAAGTGACGTGATAGCCAAGCTGCAGGCCCACACCCAGTTGAGAAGAGTCTCGACTGAAGACACGGAACAATGACGAAAGCCATTTAATATACAGTGTGTTCCGTCCCGAACCTTTAAAGTTAATGTTTGGAGACTTGGATAGATCTTTGAATCAATCTCCTACCTAGGTACTTACAGTATCTACATGTCTCTTTTGTGGATGATTCGCCATTTTGATACCTGCAGAAACACCTACTACAACCCAGAAATATGGTCACGACCAAGAAGTCTGAATATCACAAGCTATCATAACAACATGCCCAGGTGGTATAAAACAGTGGTCACTACTAGTACGTGTTTATATAGTCCAAAAGAAAAAAGCGAATTCAACACAGCTATAGTGCTTTTGCACCTTGTCGTCTGCAAGTGGAAACCATGTGGTCTGACTGGTGTTGTGTGACTGTAGCCGTACATGTCGGCCACATACCCGCATCGGAATGGAGTTAGAACCCCGTGTCTATCTTCTACCAATAGGTGCGGTAGCATCGAGGTTCGCATGTGCAAGTATCCGCCGAGGAGACTGGCCTAGCTCTCATATAACTAGGAGGCACGAGACTCTCTATGTAATCGGACTTCAAGAAGCCTTAGCACTCGGCACTTGAGTGGGCCAAGTTTCAAGGACACATTCTCACCAACGGGCTATGTCTCCATATATCTGCATTCTCATCACAGGGCTACCCATATAAAACCGCTAAATCCCCATGGAAAGACATAAGACCCACACATATCGTATGATTTCTAGTGCTAGGAGAGACGTTGACCTCCAAAAAGGCTTAATCATACCTAGGTACCCACATCGGTCGCAAACTGAGCGGCGATTTATCACCTTGGGCCTCCCTCCGTCATTCCACCTTTCTTGTGTGAACTTTCAGGCAAGCTTCCGTCTTCCCTCATGGCTACCATCCGAAGGGCTACAGTACAGCCATATGGCAATAAGCGAGATGAGGTAGTTCAACTTGCAGACCTAGATGTTATTGAACCAAAGCTGTATGTTCACATAATCGAGGTCTTTTCCTTGCAGCCCAACGCAGACAAGCAACAAATACTCGAAAACCTGATCGAGGGCCTCTCTCGGACCCTCGCTGAGTACCCGATTCTGGTGGGCACACTGCACTTTGACAATGAAGCCAACCGGATTGTTGTGAAGAGGACACTAGCATCCTCAGTGACCTTGACAATCAAGGAGCCAGGTCCAGATGGCGTGAACGACCTCGAGTCCTTCGAGTTCCTTGACAGACACGACTTCCCAGTCCACCTGCTCGATGCAAGCAAGGTGCTTCCGTGCTCTGTGGTTGGAAAGTTGCCCATCCCGGCGCAGGATATTTCGACAGATGGTCCAGCAGTCTGCGCCTTCCAAGTCACCTTCATCGACAGAGGTATCATCCTGGCACTTGCCATTACCCACCAAGTCTCCGACGGCATGGGCTGTGAGGTGCTGCTGACAAGCTGGTCGCGCAACTCGTATGCTGTCTCCAATGGCACAGCCGGTGGCATCATAGACGCAGCCACGATGCCGGAGCGAACACTTCTGAGCGACAAAGGAGAGACCATTGCCTCGCCGGAGGAGCTAAAGAGGCTCGGGGACAAGTTCCCGACCTACAAGGCCAGGGACGGGCCCCCGGCGCCGCCACCAGCAGACTTCCAGATGCCGGTCGTTAAGACGCGAATATGGCACGTCCCGAAAAGCAAACTGAAGGAGCTGAAGGCACTGGCAATCAAGCAAGCGCCAGGCGGTGGCGAGGGCTGGGTGTCGACGTACGATGCGCTCCTCGCAATCCTATGGCGCGCCGTCGTCCGCGCAAAGCAACCACTGCTCAAGCCCGACCCAGCGGCGCCATCCAAGGCCATCCACGCCGTCAATGCGCGGGGACGCACCGAGCCCGCCATCCCTGAAAACTACATTGGCGTGGCCGTCACGCTGCCCCAATCTCCCGAGCTGACCGTCGCGCGCGTGCTCTCGCCCGACCTGGGCTCAACGCTGCCCCTCCTCGCCCGCGCCGTGCGCGCCGCGACGAGCCAAGTGGATCCAGAGTACGTGGCAGACCTGATCAGGTGGGCGGGCTCTTGTCCCAATCTGCGGTGGGTCGAGCTGGATATGCACTGGGTTCTGGGGTTGGACTGCATGGCTTTCGACTGGCATACAATGAAGTCGTATGAGATGCACGACTTTGGTTTTGGGATGCCCGCCGCGCTGAGGTGGCCGCACCCGCATTTCGAGGGCTTCTTCTTTGTCCTCCCGACCAGGACGACCAAGGACAACCCGGATGAGGGCTTGGAGATTTGTCTCGGGCTGGAGGAGAGCTGTTATGCGAATCTTCAGACGGACGAGGAGTTCTTGAGGTTTGCCGAGGAGAGGGGAAAGGACGTTTGAAAACAATATATGCAGTATATTTGAATAAGGTTCTGGTGTGCTGCCTAGGTAATGTCACCAGGTGAAGATCTTTGTTGAGGCATGCCATGTTGCTTCTCTCAAGATATAGGTCAACTGTCCTGTGGCTAACTGAATACTGGAGAATTGAAGGTTAAAGGCCAAGCCACCACTGTGTCTGTCAGAGCGGAGACTGAGAAGCTCGTAAAGCGCTGGGGTTGTGAGATTTTCCAAGTAGACACTGGCAGTGTTACCGTCAGCGGTGTTGCCATGCTCTCTCTTCACTACTGCATAAGATCTAACATAGCCGTCGCATGCAGGACTGCGGCATTATTTAAAGCTTCAGTAAAATAAAGCCTCCACAGCGGCTGCTTATTCGGAGGACCGTTGGTTGCATCCTTCCTGATGCTTTGGTCAGGCCATTCGCCAAGTAAATAAAGGTGCATGGCATTGTGCCAGGGAGTTCTCATAGCGTATCCTCAAGCATGGCATAGCTCCATGTCCAATTCGGTCCGTGATATCAAGTAATTAACAGAAAACAAGTTGAAAAAAGAATGGTAAGCATCGTGTCTGAACCCGCGCCCTCGTCAGAGACAAGAACTGTGCAAGGTATCGCTCCCTCAACAGCAATAGTTAGTCCCTGCTGGCAAATCGAAGTCGAACATCAGTACCATGAAGGCATACACGCCGAATAAGTGGGTCGTATGGTTTTACAGTGAGTAGAAGCAGGGGTTTATATGGCGGAGGCCAACCGCGATGTCTGCTACACCGTGACCATCAACTTGCCGCCTTCGCTCCAAATGTCCGCAATAACCACGAGAGCAATGAACGACGATTATAAGGACGGTGAGAAGATTCAATTTCCCAAGGAATCTGTACAAAATGGCCCGGAAAATTGAACCGGGGTGTATGAAGGGGATTAATTTAGACTGTAACACACGATTTCATTGATTACTGCCGCAAGTGACGTGGGCCAGTGTCCTTTCTTAAGCTGTGGTCCATGAATTGTCGCATCATTGGTGGTATCATTGTACTCTTCCCACCCTACTTGGCAATGGCGATATTTATGTGTAGTGCTCAGCGCTGAATCCGCACTTGTTTCGTCTTCTTTGAACGGAATGTAGAATGGCTTTTGACTCATAATTGTTGTCTTTTTGCATATTCATGATATTGTATTATCTTTTAACCAGTGTGTCGACCAAGAACCGCAGACTTATCTCTTATGAATTGATCATTTCAGCCATTACTTCTCTTATAGTGTCCTAAAGGATAGGAGCAGCTTGATATGGAGGCGCAGAGACGTTTCTTGAGATTCTGGAGCCCGGGTATTGAAGAGAAGATAGCGAGAAGTTTTTAAGATCAATGAAAGATTGTTTGGCAGTGGTAATTGGCCACGTGAATGTGCTGGTGGTTTATTAGGGAATGTGCTGCATGCAATTGGAGTTGAGCTTCAAGGTGAGTGGGTCTTGCAGCTTCAGCACTTATGTAAGCAACCAAGTTTGACGTCAGTCTGCACCAACTGAAGATCGGGCTTGAGCATCAATTCTCTCCCCTTCACCCTCCAAAGGTTGGCTCGATTCGATCTGGGGACAGAAATGGCCTCCACAGGAATACCAGCGCTGCGGAACCTGTTCGGCGGCCAACTGCGCTCGCTGCGCGCCTCCAACCAGCGGCGCTGGGCCCAAGTCCACGATGTGCGATTCCTCGCCACCACGCAGGCGTCCCGCAACGTCCTCGAGAAGTACCGCGAGAAGCTCGACGCAAAGGCCCGCCAGGAGGGCCATGCCGACATCCAGGACCTGAAGAAGGCCTATGCCGACAAGATACAAGAGATCCGAAAGAAAGATGCTACGATACCAGGCATTCCTCCCCTGGACCAACCTCCAGCTCCCACAAACGGCGCCACCACCGCTGCTCCTTCTGTTCCTCCTCCTCCCAAAGGCCAATTGACACCCGAGGCCGCCGCCGCCCACCAGACGGCAAAACCAACCAGCTACCCGAACAAATCAGGCGTCAAGTCGCTCGACCAGATCCTGGACCTGCCCAAGGCGCGCACGCTGCCCGTCCCCGAGCTGACGGCAATCTGGCGGCTGCGGCACGCGAGCAGCCCGCAGAACCTGTGCGCGGTGGTGCCGCAGCACACGTACGAGGCGATGGAGGCCGAGGCGCGCAAGCACCCCCAGTTCGTGCTGCCGCTGCCCCACCCGGAACAGGGCGCCGAGATGCACTTCCTGCAGTGGACCTTCGACCCGGCCACGCACACGAGCACCGTACTCTTCACGCAGCTGGCCGAGTACAAGACGCGCGGCGAGTTTGCCGTCCCGCACACCACCATCACGCACCACCTCGACCTGGTCGCTGAAAAGCGCGTCGTGCTCATGCAGGGCACCGTCGTTGCGGACCGCGGGGTGAAGCCTGACGATGCGAGGTGGTTGGTCATGTGCCTGCAGAGGTTCTACGGCGGCTGGGACGGCGAGAAGAACGACGCGCTTGGAAAGGAGAGGGCCGACGAGAGGAAGAGGCTGCTTGAGTGGTTCGGCAAGGGTGACTCCAGGTTCAGCGTTGAGAAGTTGCTGGAGGAGGCCGAGAGGCTGCCATGACGAGATGGGGCGAACTAGACTTTTCCTACCACGCAACGGGATATACCATAGTAAGGACCACACATAGCAAGCAATATAGCTTGACTGCTGTAAAATAGACAGGAATGTATAAACAGCCATTTTTAGTCAGTCTGACCATGCTGTGAAACCTTTTTTTTTTTCTACCTGGAGCATGGCATCGACAACAGCGCGGAACAAAATCCCCGAGTCTGGAACAGGATGCCCGGAGCTGTTTCCTACAAAGTACAAGCTACAACTTCGGTCCAGCAAGCCTCTCGTCCTGCTTGACCTTATCCCGCAGCAACCTTCTAAGGATCTTGCCACTCGGGGACTTGGGTACTACATCGATAAAAAAGACACCGCCACGGAGTCTCTTGTGGGGGGCCGTCTTGGCTGCCATCCAGTCTGCGATCTCCTTCGCCTTGGCTGCATCCTGCGCCACGCCCGCCTTGAGCGTCACGTAGGCCCGCGGGAGCTCCGTCGCCTGGGCAGGGTCGTAGAGCCCGATGACACACGCGTCCGTGACGTCCGGGTGGCCGACCACCAGGCCTTCCAGCTCGGCTGGGGCGACCTGGAAACCCTCTGTGGAATGCTGTGTTAGTTGTCCGCTGCGCTGGTGCTCAAAAAGGGCCGGGTGGAGATGGACTCACTGTATTTGATCAGTTCCTTGAGTCGATCTACGCAGTAGTAGTTGCCGTACTTGTCCATCTTGAAAACGTCGCCTGTCCTCAGCCAGCCATCTGCGGAGAATGCGTCCTTTGTCTTTTCTTCGTTATTCAAATAACCTCCGAATACATTGGGGCCCTTCAGCCAGAGCTCACCAGGCTGTAGTGATCATATGCTCATGTCAGTGCACTGATTGTGTAACACGTCTTTGACCAAGAACTGCAGGATACATACCTCTCCGAGGGCCACCTCATTGCCCTCCGTATCAACAATTTTAGACTCCATGTTCGGTACCAGCTTGCCAACCGAGGTCATAAACTTGGCCCACTCATCAGGCTGCTGCACATGAGAGACAGGACTAGCCTCAGACAGCCCATATCCCTGTTTCACTGGGACCTTGAGGCGGTTCCATACCACCTCGATCAGTTCACTGGTGATGGGCGCCGCGCCGCAGTGGAGCATCTTGAGGGACGTCAGGTCATATTTGTCGACCACCGACTCCTTGCTGAGAGCTAAGACCACCGGAGGTGGGATGTAGGCGAATGTGAGTCTAAAGTCCTGGATGAGCCGACAGGCCTTCTCGAGGTCGAAACGTGAGAGCACTACTAATTGCCATCCGGAGTACATGCTCATAAACACGTTGTTCACCAGGCCCTGTGGTTTACGGTCAGCCTGCATAACTCTCTGTGCGCTCGTGGTGTTCATCGCCAGCGGGACCAGCCTACATATATGTGGAAAAATGGAATCACACCGAGGAGCCGATCGCCTCCGTTTCCAGGCCCGCCAGAGGGCTTCAGATAGACCCCTTCGAGAGCCTCCATCTGGAACAGGTTGGAGATAACATTGTAGTGCGTCAGGCACACGCCCTTGGGCAGGCCCGTCGTGCCAGAGCTGTAGACAAGGAATGCCAGGTCTTTCTTGGGCGTCACCTTGGGTTTTTCATAGCGGCTGTGGTACGCAGCAGCAGCAGGCTTGATACTGCTCCAGTGGCGGATCTTGCCCTCTGGGTCGCGCTCCTCGCCCAGCAGGATGATCCTGTCCCCAGGGATGCCGGCCCTGGCAGCGGCCTGCTTGGCGGTGGGAAGGAATTGCAGCTGGGTGACGAGGGCCTTGGCGCCGCTGTTGGTCAGCTGGAAGGTCAGCTCGTCGAGGGTGTAAAGCGGGTTGGCGGGTGAGGCGCAACCGCCGGCCCAGAGGACGCCGCAGGTCAGGGCAGGCGTGTCGACATCATTTGGCGTGTAGAAGGCGAGGACGTCGCCGCGCTCCCAGCCCCAGAGGGCCTGGAGTCCCTTTCCAAACCCTGTGGCAGCGTTGCGCAGCTGCGCGAGGGTGTAGGAGCGGGAGGGTCGCTCGCCGTCGGTGAGAATCTCCTTGGTATCGGGGAAGGGCCTGGACGGCCGCGAGAATAACAAGGTGAAGATGTCGACGTCAGGAATAGAGACGTCGGCGTAGAGAGACTTGTGGGGCATGTTGACGGCACGGGGATTCTGGCATGGGCGAGCACAATGATGTTGAGACTGGGACTGGGACCACTATCTGTATTCTGCAGGAATTGGCAAAAATATCTAAGTAGATATAAACGGGCACCTGGAGGCCGACCCGTCGGCAATGTTGCGATAAACAACGGCGCGGGGTTGCCGGCGCGGTAAGCTGCGGCATAGGCACGATGCCCGCCTGCTGTACAGATTACCCCAACGGCGGTTCATCCTGGATCTGCAGCCAAGTCATACCATCATACCAGGGCGAGTCTGGTCTGTAGGAAGAAAGTCGGAATAGCTTCATCTTGTAGTAGTCCCACGAGACATTGCTCGTACTACCCAGGTAGTGTTCTACTCCGTACACCTAGAATAGTCTTGTACAGATAACGATGCAGCATGGGCCGTCCCCCGGCATGATGTTGCTGACCACAGTTCGGGTCGCACGTACCGAGTACCACTACAGCAGGATCTCCAGAACTGCGGGGTAGGAACATCAAACCTGGTAAACATGCTCGGCAAGAGCCATTCCCGTTTGCACAGGATATCTTTTCTCTGCAGCCGTGGGCCATGCGTGTAAGATGATTGGATGGTCTTGTGGCTTTGGTATCCACCTTGAGCAATAAGCCGAGGGCTACTATCGAACCTGCACTCTGCTCATCATACGCATTAGAACCTATTCTTGAAGACGGCCAAGGGCGGGGATTGGAGGGAAAAAAGATGCCTGTCGTCCAGTGTCGTACCAATCGATGAGGCTCAAGTCGTGGTGGGCACGCCTTGCAACCTTAAACCGAAGCTTGACTCCCTGACACACGGGGGCGTCTTTACCGAATGCAGACAGGGGCTGGCCAATTTGCTGGCTTCGTCCAGGCTGGCGTTTAATCCCATCTCTTGAGAGATGCACGCCATCTCTCGCAGGGAAATGAAGGGATGTTCATGCTTCGCCGGCGCATGTCACCTTCAAATCATGGTCATGCAGCCCGCCCGCGTTCAACGATGAGAAAGGGGCCCTCGGAGAAGCGAGCTGCCTCGCACGTCGCAGCAGCCACCCCAGAGCCCCACACCTCAAACAGCCCTCACCCCGGCATCCCGGCTGAGATCACACACAAAGTGCGACACCAACGAGACGACCGACCAACTCAAGCCATTGCCGCCCTCGTCCCAACAACCACTACCCGCCAACATCAGGCCAAGATGTGCCTGCCGATCATTTAAGCTTGTCCGAGCTTGTCTGGTCTTGACTATTCCTGGGCGTCCGCCCTGTAGGAAACGGATCCTCATTGGGTCCGTGGTACTGGCCGTCGATCTGCGAACACGCGAACATCATGTCGTTTGCCGCGCCCACGCCTTTGTTGCATCTGGCTCTGCCTCATCCGCTGCCATCCCTGCCGAGGGGTACGTCCCGTCGTGTCTCGTCAAGGGCCGCCTGCTGGACGAACCACTCCCAGGTCATGCCCTTCCCTCATGCCTGTCGTGCTCGGTAACGGACCGGCCGCATTATTGCGGCTCTGCAGTAATTGTGGACTTCAGGTCTTGGCCATGTTCTCGACATGAGGCATAGGACAATTCCTGAGAAGCGTCTCTGCACCCCCTTCCTGCCCCCTCCCCTGGTCCACCCCGGCGTCAAGCTCGGAACAGTCTCGAGAGTTTGAAGGACTAGCTCGCCAAGCTCTCGACGACGTCGCCTGACAACCTTCGCGAACGACTATAAGATCTTCCTCTCATCCGGCGGTACAACAGGACATCTATCACCCCGCAACTCACTCATCCAAACATCCTCTCAACCGTTCATCCCGTCTCTTTTCTTCAACACAGCTGTGCTGTTTAATTTCATCTGTTCGATTTCCACTCGTTTATCCGTCTCTCATACGACAAAACCACCTTCCTTCACATCAGCCAACATGTATATGAAGACTGCCATTCTCTTCCTCGCCGCCTCGGTCGTGGCTCTGCCCACCGCCCAGGATGGCAACCACAAGCGTGCCGCGGTCCTGACCAAGCAGAGCTACGCCGACTTCCAGGTCAGCGACGGAGTTGCTGGAAACGCACTCGCCGAGGTCCAGGCCAAGTTCCCTGTAAGTCCGACAACACCCACCGCACGCCCCGGTCACTGCACACACACACACACACACACACACACAACCGCTTACACACCTGCTATTAGATTGACGAGAATGACCTGGCAAACGTCGACCCCGCCGACGCCCAGATCATCAGCGACGCCCGGGAGGTAGCCGAGAGCGCAGAGGTCGACACCGGTGGCTTCAACGACGCCATCGCTGCCGCCAGCGGCGCCGACGCAGACGCCCTGCAGGTGGGAAAGATCAAGAACAAGGTCCTGAAGCTCAAACTCGAGGTCCTCGATCTCCAGATCCAGCAGGCCCAGGGCGGCAAGGACAACACAGACAAGATCGCCCAGGAGCAGAAGAAGCTCGACAACAACATCGCTACCGACAAGAAGTCCGCCGGTGACGCGAGCCAGGCGGTCGACTTCCAGGGTTAAGAGGGATCATTGGGATGGGTTATTAGACACTCCTTGGGAGTGTGGTCTCTTTCATGAAGTTCCAGAAAGGCTTCTTTGGGATACGAGGATTGGTTTTTAGGATCTCTTCTCTATGACTTAGTAATGATGACGGTTGAGGGTTTGATACCCCAAGTAATGTGATCAAATCAAGCATATTATGCTCAAACTTCTTTCGTACCTAAGCTGCGTCCACCGTTGATGGCGTGGTAGCCCATTGCTTGAAGTTTGAGGCTATGTATGTACTACAGGGTGAGCCCCTTCATTGCAAGCGTTGTTGTCAGGAAAAAAAGAAATGCGCTCTACAGGTACGTTCAACAACCAGTAGTTGCTCCCTCGGTGTTCACCCTATCCAAGAGAATTTTAGGATGACGTCGATCCAGTCATTTACCTCGGCAGGGTATCATCACTGGTGAGATGCTCAGGTGGCGTTGAGGCCTTCTTGAGCTACAGATTTGAGTGTTTCCTCGTCCCTTGCTGTGCACATATACGATTTACTAGATGACCCCTGAGAAATGCCATTAGAGATGGTTGTTGGCTGTAGTAATTGACAGCAAAATTTGACCTCATGAACAATCTCGGAAGCCAAGATGAAATGAAGATAATGTCAATTACCAGGCACACAAGAATGATTCGGGCGCAATGCATACGAAGATGTACATCTCACCCTTCATTTTAACAGCCATAATGATCATACAACTCCCCTGAGATCCGCTAATAAAGCTTCTTGATTACCAAGTCCACCCTTGCGCCTCAAGATGACGAACATCCAGAGCGACGCGTAGGGGGAGAGGGCGAGCATAATACCCATTTGAATCTCAATCAAAATAGCCTTCCCAACATCGACCTTCTCAATGTACCATAGAGTGATTCCAAGGAGAAACGCGAGAATCGACCAGTCCAGGAAGATTATAGGCGTCCATATAAAGCAAATAATCCCTCATCAAAACCATCTCAACTGTCTCAAAGGTGAACAGCAGCATGGCTGATAGCAGGATTGAAGTGACGGCCGCAATCGCGCAGCTTGCAAACAGCGCCTCGGATGCGCGATACTAGAGAGTGGTAGTGGTCGGATGAAACTCTTCGAAAGTCAAGGCTCCGACCGAAGCGGCGGCTGTCAACGATGAGACGATGTTGGTTATGGGGAGCGTCTTGAGTATCCGCCTGAAGATGATGAAACGTCTGCTGCTAATATGTGGTTTCGCTTCTATTCCGTATACGTCCAAGGACATATATAGCGCCTTCATACGGTGGTAAGCACTCAAGACCTAGCGCTTAGAAAGAATATAATACTAATAATAATAGTTATAATATGATAGGTGCTTGTGGCCTCAGCCTTGCAATGTATAGATAAGGCTAAGGGGTACCGTCTTAATGACGGCGTTAACTAGAACGCCGTAAAGGAGTTATACGGTGAGATTAGGTCTGAAAATGGTCGCTATATAAATGAATCGCACCGAGGCTGCTAATATACTTTCCGGATTCTTTCCTGCGACCAGCGCTCTTCGAATGATCTTAGAGCTTCAGGCCACATACCTTTAGTGTCAGGACACAAGATACTACTGGTAGTAGATTCCGTTGGCACAGATTTTGGAGGCATTGCGGCATTCGGCGACGTAATATCCAGTTGGTGCTTCATAGACATATGTAGATATTTATAACATTTCGAAATCATTGGAATCCCCCTGTGGCGGCGGCTTCGTGCGTCTGAAATACAACGGACAAGGTGTCGTTGTAGGACATGAACCACGGCCGTGGCCTGTTGTCTGCATTTCAGCTCGAGCTGCAGTGCAACAACACTTCAGGGTTTTATGTTGATTATGTTTGGTATTACTTGTTTTGGCCCCCAGGTAAAAATACGGCAAGGTACTATCTACGTAGCTAATCATTTCTTTTCGGGGCTCTTGTTAGTTCACGCTAGGTAGCAACTAACAACTTGAAATTCCTCATCGATTAGGCCTACTCGTACTTTACAGACCGACACTTAGAGATATTAAGTTCCTAGAGCATTCTAATAGTATGGCTATAGTCAACTGGGGATTCAAGTGTTTACTAATGTATAAGGGTCGCATACCCATAGCATGTGTACGGATTAACGGGGCCAACTGGGGGCTGATGTTATTCAATGTGGGGGTTCGATGTGGATTCAGCTCAGAAAAACTGCATTATATTACATATTACCAGATCCTTTGGTTAAATGCTCACAAATCATGCACCTCACCCTTGAAATCGACCAGAAGACTCAATCCTGCCTTTTAAAAATCTGAAGGGTATCTTGCTCAAATCAGCACACCCTTGTTCTGCTTCCTATCAACATTATAGTTCTTCCAAACCACAATAGAGGGAATAGCAAGAACCAAAATGGAGGTGGCCGCGATGCAGCTCTGCTTCTGGTAGTTGCCCCACGCATAATTGATTGCGGTGCGGACTGCGCTGCCCACGGGGTACGTTTTCTGTGTGAGGTAACCGCCGGTGACGATGTCCATGTACCCGGCCTTGGCATCGGCGGGCAGCGCCCTGAGCAGCGCCTGGGGGAACGTGTTGTTGAAAATGGCCCCTGTGGTCGCCAGGCCGATGGCTCCCCCTATGTTGGAGGCAAGGCCTATCAGCGACAGCATCATGGGCACGCCGTCGCGGTCGGATGCGGCCATGACAGCCATGTCCTGGCTGATGACGAGGGTGCCGCCTGCAAAGGCGATGAAGATCTGGCACATGATCAGGTAGCCGATGCCCTGGTCCGCACCGCGGAAGTGGATCATGAGGCCGGCGCCCAGCATCATCAGCGGCAGGCCGAAGAACAGCGCGGTGTACTTGAAATGCCTGGTCTGTCGCACCCAGATACCAAACAGGACGCTCCAGAATGTGGAGCCGACATTGTAGATCTGGCCCATGTAGCCACCCATCGCCAGGTCGAGGTTGTATACAACTATGACGAAGTTCTGGTAGTATAGATCCCACGAGTAGAAGCTGAAGTACAGGATGGCGGACAGACAGCAGGCGCCAGTGACGGTGCGGCTCCTGAAGAGCTCCCAACGGATGAAGTGGTGTCGAGCAAAGTATCGTTCCCACACATAGAAGGCCGGGAACAGGCAGACACCGACGACGAGCATAGCGATGAACTTGGCTGAGGAGTAGCCTGCCTTCCCATACTGTTCCAGAGAGAAGGGCAGCAGGAACAGGATGAAGGCGGCCATGAGGATCGCACAGCCGACGACATCAAATTCATGACAGTAATGCACAAGAGATTGGGCCAGGCTGCGCCCACTCTTCTCGCGCTTGAAGAGACCCAGCTTCTGGGCCTTGAGCGAATAGAACTTGAAGACCACGGCAAGGGGCGTAAAGACGAAGAACATTACAATGGTAAAGGCCCCGTAGCCCCAGCGCCAGGTGGTCATGTTCAGTAGACTCTGCGCAGCCAGCGGGGCTGTGAAGGCGGTGCAGATAAACGGGGTGCCGACAAAGGCAAAGGCGAAGGCTCGGTTCCGCAGGCCGGAGGTGTCAGCAACGAAGACGTCCATGATCAGGTAGATGGCATCGTAGCCGACCCAGTAGATGACGTAGCCAGCAGCGTAGGCGTCGGGGCCGTTGCTGCAGGCAATGATAATCATGCCGACCAGATAGACCCAGACGAAGAAGAAGAAGCCCTCGGCACGGCCCCAGACGTTGAGGAGCTTGGCGATGGGCAGCTTGATGACGCCGCCGACGATGGTGGCGAGGATGTTGGCGGTCTCGATCTGGGGCGCGGACATGAAATTCGCGTAGGCGTTCATGTTGAGTATGGCGGTGGTGCCCTGCTGGAGGGCCAACATGAAGAAACAGACCCATATCCAGCCGTAGGTCGCATACAGGGCCCATCTCGGCCAGACGAGAGCGGCGGCCTCAGCCTTCTGCACACCAAGGGCGGCATCGGCGGTGACGTGGTCGGGATTTGCCTGGATTTCCTTCTCGTTGATCTCCTCTAGACTAGCCCTTGAGGACGAGTTGAAGTCTGTCTCGGGGGCGCTGGGCTGTTCCACATCGTGCTCGTTCTTGGTGTCAGCCGCGGGAGCACCCTCATGCCCTGTTGATGCGACGATATTTGTGTCGTGAGGCAGCTTGAACTTGTCGAGGAACCTCATGGTGGGCGGCTTTCTGCGTGCTTTAACACGCCCATGCTCGAGTCAGTGAAGTCCACAGCAGAACAGAGTGAGTGTAAAGCATATGGGCCGGGTCCGCCTCAAGGAGGCTTCACGATCGACAGAGATCCATGATCATGCACATGGCCTGCAGATGAGCTGTGTTCTTACCTCAGTCTATAGAGGCCTGTTTATTATATTGGCCATCAGACATTGGAGGAAAAACGAGGAGGACCTTTGGGCGTTGCGTGGCGGAGAGAAAGGAGAGCGAGAAGGCCGGGCACTGGCAACTCGCGGCGTGACTGCTTGATAAGACACCGGGGGTGCAGGCCATACTTGTAATGTGCCCGACGCTTGTGTGCACAAATGCAACTTGGTCGATCTCTGGCCAGAGACCGTCTGAGTTTTCGTGCCGACTAGTAATGGACGGGGAAGGCCCCAGGTTGGGGCATGCTACCCACCTGCCCACCCTGCCACCCACCCACGCAGCCACGCACCATGGCCGGTCGGTCATATGGGCGTGCAACGCTCCCCTGGCTCCCCACCACCCGATGCAGGTGCTGGGAAAGAGTGGACGACGGACGGGATCCAGGGTTCAAAAACAGCAATGGCCAGTGGCTAGTCCAGCTCCAGCGTGAGTGATCTGATAAGATTAGATGTGCCTACCGGCCGTGGTCTTGATCCTACCAACCAACCATTGGCCCGGATCGTCGAGACCAGTAGCCATCGTGCCATCATGCCATGCTCCCACGACCTGGCCCGTTTATCTCATATCATCTTTGGTTAGCCTCCCTCGCTAGCATGCTTGAATTTTCTGCTTTTTCTTTTGCCATGCCATGCCCTTCTCGTCCCATCCCGTCAGCCCGTCCCCTCTCGCAGAGCTGCGACGGCCCGACTGGGCGGGGAAGCTTGACCGTGGCAAGCAGAAGCTTATTTGCCATTTGCCCTCCCCAGCGCCACAGATCCCCTGCTCTGGCACACTGGCAAACAGCATTGGCAGGGACCGAGCTTGGCGCATCTCTTGTCGCCGCCCATGTCGAGCATTTTTTCGACTTACCTGCGCCTATAATGCGATGTCGCATGGCAGGTAGGTGGAATCCCTTTCAGCCGCAGAGGCAACCCGAGGAATTTGCAATGGCATGTTGCCATCGGCGAACGAGCTTGTTTTGACAGGACCGTCTTGGAAGTGTGTAAGTGGAAACATACGAGGCACGGCGTCTGTGGCCAACCCAAGCAGACGTGGTCCACTCCGCACCTCGGAGCCCTGAATACACGAGGCCCAACGGTGGGTACGTCAGATACGAGCAGGCATACGCATTCATATGCTGCGCGCCTCTGACTCCCGTGGACATAATCAGACACACCATGTGGCGATGGATTTTGTCTTTGAACTCTCCAATCGGAACACGGTTCTGCCATGTAAGACGAGTCAGGACACGGCACGAGGCGTCTTCTTCCCGCTCAACACCTCCACTCTTGCAAGGCTCATGGACACAGGTGGTGAAGAGCGCCATTTTGGTCTCTGAATACCATTTTCAATTTTGTCTAGGCTATTCAGGAGATTGGTGGTTGCAGAAGCCCAAAGACACGTCCCTGCCCTCGAGTGTCACGGCTGCACTTGGCAATGCCTTCAACGAAACTCTTCTGGTTTCTTTTGATCGATCGGTGCGACAGTCTCATTTCACACCACGCACCCGTATACTACACCACAACGCCCCACCCGCCACCCGCCACACCCCAAACTCTCTCGCTCCCATATACCAGACTTTTGACTATGCTAAACGTTTTCTATTCAAAACACCTCCGCTTACTCCCTCATGGTGACGACGCAACGGATGCAGTCACCCGCCTTCATGTCGTTGAAAGCCTGTGCATGAAGATGATTAGTATTGTGTCACTAATGCGAAAGTCACACAGTCCTGGGTGCCTTGGTACTTACCTGGTTGATCTTGTCCAGGGGCTGGCGGTGGGTGATGAACTCGTCGACCTTCAGGTTGCCGTCGAGGTAGTCCTGGACGAGACCGGGCAGCTGGCTGCGGCCCTTGACTCCGCCAAAGGCACAACCCTTCCAGACACGGCCGGTGACCAGCTGGAACGGCCGTGTGGAGATCTCCTGGCCAGCGGCGGCGACACCAATGATGATGCTCTCGCCCCAGCCCTTGTGGCAGGCCTCGAGGGCAGCACGCATAACACCGACATTACCGGTACAGTCAAAGGTGTAGTCACAGCCACCATCCGTCAGCTCGATCAGCTTGTCCTGGATGGACTGGCCGTTCAGCTTGGTGGGGTTGACAAAGTCGGTGGCGCCGAACTTCTTTGCCCACTCCTCCTTGGCATCATTGACGTCCACAACGATGATCTTTGAGGCCTGGTTCTTGGCCGCACCCTGGATGACAGACAGACCGACACAGCCGGCGCCGAAGATGGCGACGGTGGAACCCTTCTCGACACCGCCCTTGCCGGCAGTAATTGTGGCGGCTCCGTAACCGGTGGTGATACCGCAGCCCAGCAGACACGTGCGGTCCATAGGGGCGTTTTCCTGGGTGATGGCGACGACCGAGATGTCGGCCACGACGGTGTATTGGGAGAAGGTCGACGTGCCCATGAAGTGCAGCAGGTCCTTGCCCTTGGCCCTGAACCGGGAGGTGCCATCGGGCATGACACCCTTGCCCTGGGTCGCCCGGATCTTGCCGCACAGGTTGGTCTTGCCGCTCTTGCAGAACTTGCACTCCTTGCACTCGGGTGTGCTGTTTTGGCGACTGCGTTAGCCCTAGAGATCCCGATATCAGGCATGTGTGGTGCAGGCCCTGCCAAGCCGAAGTGGGACGCCGAGAGTGCCCGAGCTGCCCGGCAGAGGACCGCATCCCCACTTTCCGGCTCCAAACGAGCCAAGGAGCTCGGGCGCCAGCTGTCGACCGGGGCTCCAGCGGGGTCGAGGCGGGAGATTATGATACGATGAGGAAAACACAGCAGAGCAGAGGAGCGAGCGCACGAAGGGGGTTTTCTTACTAGAGCGCGACGACGTGGTCACCAGGCTTCACGTTGGTGACGCCCTCACCAACAGACTCGACGATACCAGCACCCTCGTGCCCCAGGACAATGGGGAAGGCACCCTCTGGGTCCTTGCCGGACAGAGTGTAGGCATCTGTGTGGCACACACCGGTGTAGTAGATCTCAATGCGGACTTCGTGTGCTCTTGGGGGCAGGACTTCGATGTCTTCGATCGAGAGGTCCTTGCCGGCTTCCCAGGCGACGGCGGCCTGCGGGGGCTGTCAGTACGGAACCTAAGACTCTCGCCCCGCCTCGTGCGACTTCTACCGACCTTGCAGGTGATGGTCTAGAGGTCAATTGTTAGCATGTGGTTCAATCTCAGCAGGCATTTGCCCCAGCAGCGCTGCGGTCTCGTCGCAGGCAGCGAGTGGTCGCGCTCACCTTTCCAACGGTGTCGGCGGGCATCTTGATGTGTGGTGAGCTGTGGTGAACTGGTGGAGGTGTAAAGGGTGAAATGGAGAAGGGCGGGAGTAAAGGTTTCAGAGAGGAGTAGTCCTGGCTTTTGCTTTATTAGTAGTGTGCCAGGCCAAGATACGATGTCGGAATGCTCACGGGTCTATGACCACCGTTCGCGCCGAGGTGGGGCTCCGTACTAGGTGCCCTGCCCAGGTGCTCAAATCCGTCTACCGTATCTGCGCACTTCCACGCGGCAGACGTCGAGACCTGACCCCAACCGTCCAGCCGTCTTGACTGTGGCCAGGGATCTAATGCCATCTAGAACCGTTGGCGGACCCCGTTGCGTGGTAGACTTGCGCAGCTTCCGCCAAACGTTGCCCTGTGACGTATTGGCAGATGGCGGGGTAGCCTCAGCCGTCTGCCCGTGTCTTGCCAGCACGCCAAGCTACTGCGGCATTCGGGATGTCGGCGTTTGTGAAGTCGCAGGGAGTGACTCGAGGCGTCAGGGCGATTTTAGGCTGGCCCAAAATGGCCCTCGCTTGGTAATGAGCTTGACGGACGGCCTGCGGATATTCTGGGGCGCAAGTTTTCTCCGCAAGATCAATCTGAGATACTCTTACCACCACAGTATGTACTAAGTACCTAGGTGCTTTCTTAGTACTTAGCTAGAGGCAGCTACATCGCACCAGTCTCTCTTCAACCATGGGGCGGTGGACTTCGCTTCAGCCTCCCTACACTGTCCTTCCCTGGTGGCTCGCCGTCGTGCAACTAGTGTTGCAGCGCCGGCGACCAGCTTGTGACGATGGCATCTAGTCTGCGCATACACCCGGGCAGCTATGGGGACACGTGTGGAACTCGGCAGCTTTCGTCTCGCCGAGTTCCAACTTTCTCGCTTCGCGCCTTGTTCCAGATCTCTCCTGGCATCCTTCATACCAGCTACAGCTAAGTCACGTCACAACGAGCATACACGACACCGCACGGAAACTTCCCACAAACTTTGAATCGACTTCGCTCTGACGTTTGTTCCAGGTCGTCACCGGCGCACACTGGCACTCAGAACCACCAGGGCAGTCCGCACCGTTTCCAGGATGGACCGCGAAGATGGTCATTTCCCGAGGTTCCTACACCTCCCCTTTGAACTGCGCGACCAGATTTGGAAGGACGTCTTGCCCCAACAACATCCTCCTCGCAACATGCCCCGAGTCCCGAGCTGTCGTTAGCAAGCGCTTCCCTGACACCCTCGGTGACGCTGGGCCGCGCCTCAGCTTTCGAGAGGACTTGATCTATCTGGATTCTGAGCTGCTCTTGCCCTACACCGGACAAGAGATCCTCGCAGGAGTAGAGCTTCACTTCGAAGGGGGCTGGAACAAACTGGTTCATCGCCTGGCTCTTAGCTGCGATAAGCACTTTTGGCCCCGCCCCCTCCTCTGGGAGCTTCACCCCCAGACGGACATCGAAGGATTCATGGAGTTTCTCGCCACATGCACTAGTCTCAAGCAGCTTGTTCTCAGTACCACACGTGGGATGACCCTCGACTCATGGGGATTTATGGGCAAGGCACGCCGGTCTGCCCTTTCCAGAGAGATGGCCGAGTGCTACAGAGGCCTGACTTGCCAGCCAAGTGAGCCGCGGCCCGATGGCGGGTTTTTTGTGACGAAGCCCATGAAATTAGTGATGCAGACCATGTTCAACCAGCTGGAGGCTGACAGGTACCCCGTGCTAAAGGACTTGGAGATATTGAAGATGGTGCATCTCTGTCGCAAGCTTCAGTTTCTCTGCCAGTAATTTTCATAATGGGGTGTTTCTCATGAAGCTTACAGTGGTTACTTTTTACACCCAGCGGGTTTGATAAGCGGATGTATTCGGTCGAGCCCGACTGTCGGAATTGGCCCGCGCAAACAGTCACAACCATGGATTTATACATCGAAATGTTGGGCTTTGTTTTCCCATGGGAGAGTGGGCACAGGAGTGTGTCGAGCTGCTCCAAGTTCGGTCACCGATCGATGTCGGGACATGCGGGTGTAACTGTCTCTCGGCGGTAATTCCTCTGGTCACATATGCACGCAGCACCGTGACAGCTTAGTCTGGTCAGATGCATAGGTACTTAAGTACTCACAAATGCCACCCACCACCACAAACGTCTTATTACTGATGATTCTGATGAAATTAAGGTAGACAATGAATCGATAAGCCACACTTAAATTCTTTCAGCCGCTTTGGCTTATCGACGGGTTATCACGACGGACAAAGACGCTCCGGGACTTGGTAGCAATGTTGTGAGACCCTAATATCAGAGCACCCTTGCCATGTGTGTCAGATACACAGCGCCACGGCGAATTCCTCCTCGATAAACAATACGCCGGCTGACAGGCAGGCCCAATTCTACAATATGGAGCCCCTGAAATCTTGACAGTCCCCTAACCCTTGCCCCTCTGCCCCTGATTTTAACTTTCAGGGCGATGCAGATGGACCCCCCTGAGGGCATTTTGTGGAGACTCCCCACCGTGCAGGAGCCGCGTGTCACGGCCAATGGAAGCCGTGAGAATTGTGGCCTCGAGCTTGCATTCTTTCGTCGGGGGGGCGACAAGCGGTCAAAAGGTCGTCTGGACCACCGCTGTGCAGTTGGTGGGCTCGTGCTATATACCTTTTTAGTGTGCTGCTCACAATGAGACTGTCTCAAGGTGAGTGAAAGTCCACCCGCAACTCCTCTCAACGGCGGCAAGCCCTTTGGGAGATCTGCACCGGGCACCACACACGCGAGCGCAACCCTGACAATGGCCGTCACGCAGCATCCAAGACGTATCTTGACCTTCCAACATTCGCGGAGCCAGGCGAATACAGCATCGTGATCTGCGCCGACGACGATGAGTATGCTGGGAGGAGCAAGATTTTGCAGAAGGTTTTGTTAATCCCCTTTTTATATTATCCTACCCTCGGTCGTTTTTTTCCTTTTGAAGGGGACCCGGTGGCCGATGAACGCAAAATCCCGTTGTTAACACATGGCCCACTAGTTCACGCTCAACGATGATCCCAGTAGCGCCTCGGACAATGATGACCGCTGCCGCAAGCTGATGGACATCTCGGGCGCGGCCACGGCCGTCGAGCTATTGGAGCTGGGCCCGGAGACGGACACGGCCATGCTGAGGTATCAGGTCGAGTACGCCGACGCATTTGCGTTCGTCTTCAGCCTGTACTCACCCAAGACGCTCGAGACTGCTCAGAAGCTGCGTGACAAGGTCGCGGGCGCGGCGAGGAATCACCACAACATCATCACCATGTCCGACTATGAGAGGCCCGGGATGACGGTGCCCGTGTTCCTGATAGGGAACAGGGACGAGGACTTGGCTCCTCCACAGGGTGAGTGGCAGAGACAGTTCCGCACTTAGAGTAACGAGAGACGACTTCTGACCTGTTTGGATCCTTGACGACACAGAGCTTGAGGAGGGCGACTTCTCACCAACAGCTTTCAATGAGAACGCCGAGGCAGAGTTAAAGGCACTGAGAGAGAAAGGGCGGGCGGTGGCCCAGGAGTGGAAGTGTGCGTACTTCGAGGTTGACACGTCCAAGAGCGGCGAGCACGGCGTGGACGAGGCCATCACCGGTATCGGACACATCATCAAGGCGGCAGAGAGACCATCGACCTCGTCCACAGCATCATTCCGAACTCCTATGAAGCCGCCCAAGCAGTACAGGATACGGCGCTTCCTAGGGCGGATGAGCAGGATGACGAGCTTCACTAATTAGGGCTATATCGGTTGGGGGGTGGGGGGCTGCAGTGGCTGGCTGGGGCTGGCTCGGGCACGTTTTTCTCCTTAGTAACTAATGGCATCGGAAAGCAGCAGCAGCATCTGGTGGGTACTTGAGTAAACATAGAGGAGTTCTGGAGTGAGGCCATGCAACACGGGGGGGAGCACACACATACCGGCAGTCTGATACTATACACACAAGAATGAGCGTGCTCGTCAGTCTCGTGTAGTAAAATCACATGTGCGCATAGCTGGCGACATATTGCTCCATATATTTCTCGGGCGGCCAGGAACCCGCAGCCTGCGCCCCAGCTGCAGGGGTCGGCAGCAGATTGGCAGGCCAGGGTGCCGAGGGAGGGTGCCTTATTCAGGGGCTCGGCGTAGCTGTATATCTGCCCAGGTGCTTAAAGTGGACACGATGTTTAGATGCCGCGTGCCAATTGGCCTAAACCCCCCACAATGGCATTGCAAATGAGGCATCGAGAGCGTAAATAACAGTCACGAATTGACAGTTATACCAAATTTACAATGCATGTCGCCAACCTTGAAGCCGGGCCATCCGAATGGGCGTGTTTAGCGCCTGGGAGAGCCGATCTTCAAGCTGCAGCACGCAGCACGCAGATCCACCGCGCTCACCGCTGTCGTCGACAAAACCTAAACTAAAGCCACGCCTGCCGCACCCGGTGACCTGTGACCTGTGTTCAGAACCGGGACTTCACGTCTGATATCCAGCCCTTCCACTCCCTAGCGATCTCGATCGCCGGCCACAAAAAAAAAACCACCTCCACACCTCCAACGCCTGTGGGACTTGCGTAATATCGCCCTCGCCCACACACAGCTGAACAATGGTGGAGCGATCTGATTCCTGGCCCGTGGCCCCGGTGGCCCCCGACACCGAGGCCGGGTCGGGCATCGACATCGGCGACCTGGGGGAGACGCTGTCGTTCCTGCGGTGCTTCGACACCATCTTCCTGGTGGACGACTCGGCGGCCATGGGCCCCTACTGGGGCGACGTCAAGGCCCTGCTGGAGCGCATCGCGCCCATCTGCGCCAAGTACGACCCGGACGGCATAGACCTGTTCTTCCTCAACCACCGGCCCAAGGGCCTGCTGGCCAACATGTCGTTCCGCAAGTCGGGCTACCGGCGCATCGGCGGCAACACGGCCGACACGGTCGCCGGCGTCTTCGACCGCGTCAAGCCGCACGGCAAGTGCAACATGGGCGCGCGCCTCAGCAAGCTGTTCCACTGGTACCACGGCATGCTCAAGCAGGACGAGGAGGGCGCCGCCCTGAACCTGATCGTCATCACCGCCGGCGCCTTTGACGACGACATCAAGGCCCCGCTGGTCAAGAGCGCCAAGAGCCTCGACGAGATGGGCGTCCCCGAGCACCAGGTCGGCGTCCAGTTCTTCCAGATCGGCAAGCCCACCCTCGAGGTCGCCCAGACCTTTGAGTACCTCGACGACCAGCTCCACAAGGAGGCCCACACCAGGGACATCGTCGACACCACCACGTGGACGGGCAAGCCGGGGTCCCTGTCCACCGACGATCTGGTCAAGGTCGTCCTCGGCGCCGTGGTCAAGAAGCTCGACGAGCGCAGCAAGGGCATAGAGCTCTCGAGGGGGTTGACGGTGAAGCGTTACGACAGGGATTCTTGAGCTACTGCGTGGGATCCGCCCAGAGCCCGCTCCCTGGCTGTCTGTTTTGGCTAGGATCAGAGCCAACCCAGGGACTGGCACCATCTGAGGTCGTTGACCTCACAACCTCATCATCACTGCTGCACCGGGGGTCTGGGCGCGCTAAACAACCTAGTCTGCCTTTGCCCGACGTCAGCTCCGAGAGGACGTTACAGCAACTGAGCCCAAGGCCTGTTCAACTGTAGATTGCTTTGTAGTAAGACAACAGAAAAAGGCGGGAGGCACGGATGTTTTCTGCAACCAACATATCCCAAAATACAATATACCCACTGCATATACTCAAAGAAAAGGGAACGAGTCAAGGAGTAAAGGCTATCTATCCTTCAACAGTGCCACCATGTCTATCCTCCGCTCCCCAGCCCTAACCAGCCTCCTCGGCCTCGCCAACCTGTCCGCCCTCGGGGCTGCAACGCTCTACCTCAGGTCCCTACACGCCAAGGAGCTCGAGGAGCACGCGGAAAACGAGGCGCGCATGGACGGGCTCGAGGGGACGCTGCGCGGCCACATCGGGCTGATCGAGGACTCGCTGGAGCGCCTCGAGGGCCAGAAGATGAAAGGGATGAGCGAGAGAGCACAGAAGCTCTACATGGCGCGCGGGAGGGAGGACGCCGGCGAGGGAGGGCCATGAGGAGGACTATCCGTCGGGCCTCTACCTCACCTATCCTGGGGAGTCTGGGGAGGCTTGGCAGTCGATGGTCCGTTCAGCTTGATGACCAACGACATGTGGAAAATGAGGACCCATTCAAGCGACCTTCACACCTCATTCCACACTACTCACTCATTTGATGTCACAAATGGAACAAATCAGAGGGTATTTTGGACTTGGTCACAGAAAGGCAATCAGGTTTTGGCAGACTCTCTTGTTGTATTAATATCATCCTGATGCAGTTACCTGCGCGTCTATTTGTTATCGTAGCTAATTTCCAGCAGATATTAGAGCAGCCGCTTGGTATATCTTGTCTCCTATGCCTCTGGTACATTGAGATGCCCTAGGTTCTCTCATCTGGGACAGGTCACAGTATCAAAAATTCACAGGATTGCTGACAAGCGGCCCTCTGACTCAGAAGCACAGCGGCTTGTCTTAAAAGGTGCGGGCGACCCTGCCGTTGGAGCCCCGGCGGACGGCGGGAGCAGCAGCGGCGCTGGAGGCGGCGCCACCCGCGGCGGGAGCAGTGCCGGAGGAGCCACCGGCGACACAGTTGGAGCCGACGAGGGGAGCGAAGGCGTCGGACTGCTCACGGAAGACGGCGTCGCCGGGGTTCTCGTAGGTGACGTCGGTGTTCTCGGTGCTGCTGCAGCTGTTCACCGCGGGGACGTTGGCGACGGCCATGTCAGGGAGGGACTCGAAGGCGGAAGCATCGCCGCCGGTGCCGGTGAGCTCGACATCGGCGCAGTTCATGTAGAACTCGCGGACACCGCCAGACTTGTTCAGCCAGGTCCAGGCGAGGGTGGCCTTGCCGGAGGGGATGTCGGCCGGGACGGTGTAGTTGAACTTGTCGGGCACCGGGAGGGTGGCGCTCTCAGGGGTGAGGTTGCCGGTCTGGCCGCGGGCGGGGCAGCCACCCTCGAAGGAGGTGATGACCTTCCAGGCGGAGCTGGCGGTAGGGGGGGAGTCGTAGGTCAGGGAGATCTGGCAGGAGCCGCCGGCGTGGACGGTGGAGCCCATGAAGGCGAGGTCTTGAGTCGAGCCCAGCTCCATGGTGTTGAGAGGACCACTGGTCTTGCCCTGGCAGGGGAAGGCATTGTCCGCGCCGATGGGCGAGTTGATGGAACCCTCGAAAGGCTGAGGGGTGGTGATGACAATGTGGGCGTTGGCGCAGGCGGCCAGGATGGCAAGGATCTGGATCGAGGACAGCATCTTGAGGGAATGTGGATAGATGATCGTACCGGACGAATCTAGGTGTGGTGTGGTGTAAAGATGGTGGTGGACTGAGAAGTCTCGTGAGTGGAAGTGAATGTGGTGAGAGAACGGTGTATGCAACGCGCCAGGCGTGTAAAGATTAGTGAGTAAGTGTAATGGGGAAGAGAGAATGAGATGCTGTGATGATGAGAGTGGGATGAGAAGTGGTATGATGGACTGATGAAGCCATTCTTATATTCCTGAGGGCCCCCGAGCATCGCGACATGCCTCCACCACGAGGGCATCCTGTGGGATACGACGCGGTCCAGATGCGCCACCCGCAAGGCAGTAAGGCGCCTCCTTTGGCGTTGACTAGGCGGCCGGCCATTTCCAAGTCAAACGAGGCAAAAGGTGATACTATGCCAAGAGCACTCCCACGGGCAAAAACACACCGGCAGCGATCTGTGAGACAGGCGACATCTAAGCCAGCTGTAACGAGGCCGTCTTTTGCTACCGTTGGGTTTGATGCCGGCCTGCCCAGCTGCCAGGTGATTGGCTTTCCTGCAGTGTCGATCCGGAGCCAGACCCGTTCTTCTCCCTCGGCCGCGGTCCCTGGGGGCCTGTTTTGAGGCTGGCCCGGCCGTAAGACCCAGGTGTTGATGACTGGAGGAGGCGCTGGGCTCCTTCAAACACAATGGCGGCCATTGGGCCGGCCGGTTTTGGCTCCTGAAGTCCTCACAACCAGGAGCAGGTCCCAGGCACCACTTTTCCCCAGTAGACTACATATGTACGACTAATACAAATACACAACCTTGGAAGTGGGCCAATCAGATATGCATCTGTGAGTAAGCGCATTGAGTGAGAGTCCGCATTTCCCAAAATACTTGTGTCTTGGGGGGGCCGGCTTATTCTCCTGGCTAGAGTCACTTTGTACTACTCTCAAGATCCACAGCACTTTGGGAGGAATGCCAAGCTGCCGTGCTCCCTTTCAATCGTGCGGCGCAGCACTCCTCTAAGCACTCCTCTAATAAGCTGCCAAGAATGCTAAGGTCCTGCCAGTACGACTTGAGTGAGGAAATAGAATCTGCTGTGCCGCCCAGTCTGGTTGCCCGAGCCCTTTTTACCTATAATAATTAATGTGTCTTCAGATGCAACTGTTCAAGGTGTCGCCACAACACTGCATCCAAGTTACTACGAGACAATTGGTTTGTTAAATCAGAAACCTGTATCAATTCAACGATTCGGTGATGGCTTTGAAATCAGTCTAGAATTGTATGAAATACTTGACACTATAAGCTGCTCTTTTGCGCCCAATTCGTCAGTATTTTACATGTCTATGATCTGTCAGCAGCCAACTCGTCTCTGTCTAGGTATGGAATCCGATGTTTGATCGTGTGTCACCAAAGTCTCCAAGATTGGCAAACGGAAAGGAAAAGAAATTGTCAGGGGCACTTCATTACAACTTAGTAGGCCTTAAGCAGTAGTGTTGACTAGTACAATAATTCCCAATTTTCCCAAGGTCGAAAACTTTCTCAAAAAAAGAGCGAGACAGTCCACTTTGTTGATGAATTTATCCACCATTCCACCTGAAGCCTTGTCCTAGGATCGTGTCCTAGCAATAGATCTGAATCAACCACCACACGAATCCCCTTCGCCTGTCGCTCCTCGTATCCTGGGAAGAGGGTGCAGCTGTCGTCTTTTTTCCGAACACATATCAAGGATAGGATTCCTCTCTCAGATCCCCACAGGCTCAATCTTCCCAGTGAAAGTATCGAGCTTGAAACCCAAAATGTTTAGGCCGGCCAGCGACTTGGCGCTCTTCAAAATGCGGACATCCTCCATGATGGAGTCCTCAAACTCGTCGGACGAGAACAGCTTGTAGTCAATCTCCTCGGCCGCGCGCTTCGCATCCGCGTCGCCCTCGGCTGCCACCGTGTTGACGATTTCTTCCGGCGTCACATGCGTAACACCGCAATCTGTACCCAATCTGGTGAGCAGATGATCCCATTCCAATATTGAGGGACATCACCTCGGAACCTCAGATTTGGACACCTACCTGTGTGGTGGATGACGACGACATTCCTGAGCCCAGCGAGCCCGCGCAACAAGGTCAGGCTGCGAATCGCGTCATCCGTGGCCCGCCCTCCGGCGTTGCGGATCACTCCGCCGTCAAAACCGGGGCCGAAGAACGTCTCCGGGACACAACGAGGATCGAGGCAGGTCACTGAACGCGGGTATTTCACATCGTTAGACGAAGCTTGAGTACAGGGGAGGTGTTGTCGGGCGGGTGACTTACGGACTAGGGTCGTCTCGCCGGTTTCTTTGGCGAGGAGCCGACGCTCAGCCATATGCCATGGCTGAGGAAGGGAAGGGAAAACATCTGTGACAAAACTCTTGTTGTACTCGATCCAGTCGGCGATCTTACCCGGGTATGAAGAAGACATTTCTTGTCTGACGATTTAGCTTGAAACCTGACTGTTAAATGAGAAGTATCTGTTTCTTGCGTGTGTTTATTTTGGATGTTGGAATTAGTATTCCAGGATTTTCTCCATTTTATATACTCGTGGTCCGGTCCGTATAGTCGTGTTCTGGTCGATTAGTAGCTGTGTTGTGAATTTGTCATTGCTCGGCAACTCCAAGTTTGTTGATGAGTGATCCATAATTTGCATCCAAGGCTTGATTGGGCAACGCCAGTGATTCCACTCAAGCGCGAGGTGTACTGCAGCCGATGGGGTGCGGCTTGCTACTGCAACCCAATAGACGGGATGACGCTCGGGGAACTAGCGCAGAAGCCTGCGGCAGATCTTTCAGCTTCGAAATTCGTGCTTGAAAGCTTGAATGCTTCGCCCTACACACCTGGGTATGCAGGCGATCACGAAAAGGTCTAGGAAGAGCCCGCAAGACACCTTGGTCAGCAAGGCGCGGAGTGCAGTAGGGGTGAATTGTCAACATCGGGCTCTCTTGATAACCCGTGTAATTCGACCCAATCGCAAATTGACTAGGCATCCAGTGCGTCTGCTTTGAAATCGATACATAAATGTCGTCATAAACCTCGTTCAAGGGTGTAGGGTAGCATCTGGATATTAATCAACATGCTTCGCAATTGATGTTTGGTCCTCCTCATTAATTAGACTCCATTTTCCCACTGCCAGCGTGCGTTCAACTTCATGTGGCTGTGAGGCAGCTTGTGCCTCGGCAGCGCTCAAGTGCTACCAGTACGAAGCTAGACGTCCACGAGTACCTGCTAATTTAATGATAATCAGCGGAGGGAGGAACAATAAGATGCCCATGTAGCACAGTCATCCACACGCCCCAGGTGCCCTGCGACGGGATATTTCTAAGCTGGGTCTTGAGCTGGATTCGTTATTATGAGAGTTACCTGACTAGATTCACTTCTATTCCGTATACGTCTGAGGACATAATACAAGGCGCCTTTATACGGTGGTAAACGCTCAAGACCCAGCATTAAAAAAAGCATATAGTGTCGATAGCAGGTGAAAATACGGGAGGTGCATGTGGCCTCAGCCTTGCGACACACAGACAAGGCTAAGGGGCACCGTCTTGACGAAATCACATTACATGAACATGAACTCGGATTTTACTGCCAATTTGACAAAATTGACTCGAATCGAATCGTTCGTGAGCCTCAGAGGGGGCGGCGGGAGCCCAAGTCGGCACGGTGGCAGTTATCGCCCAAGTGCCTGGAGTACGGTTCCATTGCCCGCACTTAGCCAATTGATGATAACTATTATAGCGAATGAAGATCCGAGCGTAATAAGAAGAAAGACTGCATGTCATGTATGCGATGACGGGAATGGGATCCTTGGGACGGACCTGATGCTAAGGGCTATCAGCGAGGGGGACCAAGCAGTTGGTAAAGTATTTAAGGAAGTCTTTGTGATGGAAGCGGACACCACGTCCTACCTTCCAAGGTTATTTGACTGTTACATAGCGGATTCATAATTTTTCTTCCTCCATTTCGAGCTGTTTAATCCCGTACTCATTTGTGTTGGCCTATTTACCTTTGCTGTGGTCGCGTTCGATTTTGATCCACAAGTCTGCTTACATGTCCGCCAGTGCAGCTTTTGAGTTTAACGAGTCATTCATTATATCCGTGCAAAATTCACCAGGTTGTGCCAGTGATACGTGCTGGACGCCGAATTCTGGAAATACCTATACATTTGACTGGCCTGACTCGACGCATAATGAGATGTCTAGTGCCATTTTAGTAGAGCCTGGCCCGTAGCCGGACCGAAAAGTGGCTTTCTATTTCGCAACCCTGGAAAGCCACACTCTTGGAGATGGACGTTGTATTTTTGCAAGGATATTCCCCACTCACCTTACAGCCTTGGAATTCAGGTACGCTACAAGGCCAAGTAACCTAGGTACGTGTATGGGAAAACGGGGAGGGCCCTGTTATCTTGTTGTCGTATCCAGTCAGCCGGTCCAATGAGCTTGGGTGTTCGTAGATCATTCGCGACCTTCTTCCGAAGCTCCGAAGTTCTAGCATCATCCACTTCAGCCGTTGGGCTTCTAGGTAGGTGACACCATTCTGACAACGGATGAGAATGGTTTGTTGCCCATCTTCGAACCCACAGACATACACACTGCTACCATTATCAAAACATGAAAGTGGCGGAGAGAAATGAGTGTTTTTTTAATTCCTCCTTGTCTTCGCTACACATGTTGCCTGGCCTACTAGTTATTTGCTATACATGTACGTATTTTATCTTGAGAACAACAAAACAAATATATGTCATTTTGAACAGAATAGCTTCTGCCCTGGCAAGAGGACAGCAAGCCAGCACAGGGCACACGCATCACACGGTGACGCTATGGTAACAATCAAGAAGAGAAGGCCGCCACAGCAGCAGAGAATGCAGCATTGATCGCGTCAGCTGCAGCCTGCGCGTTGGCCTTCTGATCCGCGGAGGCGATGTTAACAAGCGTGTTTCCGAGGGTGGCGGACTTGGACTGCAGGCTCTGGAGAGTGGACAGGACGATGGAGGTTATGCCCAGGGCCTGGAAGTCGGCCTTGCGGTTGGTCAGGGCGGTCAGGGAGGCCTGGATGTCTGGGGTGAGGGTGCCCGTGACGTAGCCGATGATGTTCTGCGAGTCCGCGCTCGAGGCCTGGGCCTCGTCTGCGGCAGCGGTGTTGGCGTTGTCAATCTGGGTCTGCAGGGACCTAGTCAGCATTGGTGATGTCTCTCGAGAGTTGCCCTGGGTTTGTATGCCCGAGGCGGGGAGGAGAGTGACTTACGCCGACGGCGTTGGCATCAGACTGGATGCCCAAGGCACCGAGGAGCGAGCCGTCCCAGTTGGTGACGGTGGTGGTCAGAGCCCGGGTTGAGGTGTCAATGCTCTGGAGGTTGGCAAGAGTCTCGGCGGGATCACGGCGGATCAGGGAAGGAAGGGCCGTGATGGCCGTGGCGAAGACGAGGACGGAGGCGAAGTTGACCATTTTGGCAGTTGTCTGGCAGGAAGTTGAATGAGGGCCGTGTGTTTTGGTTATAATAATGCTTGATACTTTTTACGAGATGCAGAGACAGTTCGAATATTTGGAACAGATCACAATGGGTGGAGGTCTGGGACTCATATAAATATTCTCACATGCAGTCCGTACGCAGCTGGGTTCGGACTGTATTATTAGTATCATGACGGCGCATATCCAGCCTCCCTGGAGACATCCTCGGCCTGCGTTGCCTCGCAATGACTTGTGATGCTTCCGTAATTGCTTGGCCCGGTCTTTTGCCCTTGTGAATGCGACCCAAGGTCGTAGTCGGAGGTCTTCGCGAGTGTGCTGAGACGGTCGACACTTGCTTCACTCGGCCGGAGGTCAGGTCCAACACCTGCGAATGGGCCGGACCATTGGCCACAACTGGCTGTCGTCGGGCGAGCCTAGACTAGGTAAAACATGCCCTCGCTATAGGTCATGGGTCCCTCCATCCGCAGAATGCGGGGAAGGCTTGGGTCAACCTGGGAGGACCGGTCAGCTTGATGGCCATTGTGGCAGTTGGCCCGAGATGTCGGCGGTACTGACCGGTGGTGGGCTGTCTCAAAACGCTCATCCAATTATTTGGGACGAACCCCTGGGACTAATAGCAAAGACATTGTGGGATGCGAGCCATCATGGCTGTGCCAAGATGGGAGGCGAACATGTGGTGCCCGCGCTGGCCGGTCTTCTGGAGCATAAGAGTTAAGCTCGAACTGGTGCAATGATCTTCTTCATTATGCGAGAAATGCAAAAAGGCTTTGAGAATTTTATCAAACTCAAGCTCTGTCAGGCATCGTCATCACATCCAAGTGCCTACGACTGCCGGCAGAGCCCAGCTTCAGACTTGGCTTTGTGAAAGGCACAGATGCTAGCTCTGACTTCCGGATGGTCTTTTCTCGGCAGGAGGAGCAACCTCCGAGCGCCAGTGTCCCTCGGCAACGGACCTCTTTTTCGTCAACGAAAAGCTCATGATAGCACCCCGTGGGGCAGCATGGCGGCTGCGATCCGCGGCCTGCGCCTCACGACGGCTCGCCCAAAAAGAGGGGCATACCTTTTACATAACAGAATCACTTCTCGTTGGTGCAATCCGTGTTCTCCCAGCGGGATATGGCTGTGCGGCGATCACACGCTGCGAGAGTGGCTCCAGGGTTGTTGACGTTGTCGTGAGGGGCACGAGGGGCTCAACAGAGTTTCGTGTGCCGTCGGTATTGGGGAAATCCTGCTTGGGGTCGGACAACACTCCTGATTCGGTTCCAAGGGGCTGGACGGCACGCAAGCCACATCAGGTGTGATACTTTGCAATGTAAACATCGAGGAAACTTGTCTCTCAATTCAAGGTTGCCATGTGCAACGAGAGATTGAGTTCTCGGAATCACACCACGTTTTGGTACGATTTTCATCCGGCAGCAGAGAGCATCTGTGACGTTGGGATGTTGCACTGGAGTACTTAACTTTAGAAACTGGGGAGTGCGCAGCTAGAGAACTACCCAAGTACCCGGGTGCCTAGGTACTTAAGTAGGTACTGAGCTTGTGTTGCACTGATTTCGTGCTGAATCAAGAAGCTTGCTTCGAGAGGCTGCGATTATTCATGTTCTAGAAACGTTCATGGCGCATAAATAGAGAATAATTAGCTGGTGGGTGGTGTTAATATTGCTCATGTACCTAGCAAAAATCATTTGTCAAATCAAGTATCTTTGTAGATGCATCTAGCATGCCCAGGTGCTCTTGGTAGAAACATTCAGATCGCGTCGGTATCGAAACCTTCAGGTGGGAATAAGCGATCATATACAAATGGATTAGTTTTTAGTGCTCGTGGCTGCCTCTTACCGCCATAATCCTCAGCTTCCTCTAGGCTTTGTGTCCTCATTATTCTTCTTCTAGTCCTCAGGCCCGTTGATCTTGTCGCTTCGGACAAATCATTGATTGAAAGGAATCAAGCGTGGAAATACATAACCTTTTCCCCCTTTTGTTTCGTTCCTCCGCCGCTTTGCCATGAGCACGATCCGCACGAGAGCTGGATTAAACGCAGAAGACCATGGCTCTAATGATACAGCGATTCTCCACTATTGGAGTTGTGACGGCGACGAGGAATGATTATGTCGACTGAACATATAATACCGCTGTTTTTGTTTTTCCCAACCTATTATCGGTTTGATTTTTTTTTATCGTTCTAGAGAAAAAAGAGGAAGACAATACTGAATCCCTCGAGTGCTTGCCACTGTGTGAAGAAACCCTATACACCATGACGTGTATGAGGATTGGGAACAAGACTACTCATGTCGACTCTCACTCCCTATCCTCGTTTCAAGTCTGATGACCATGAACGCCGCAAATGAGTCGTTTCTGCCTATGAAAGCATTGCTTCTAACGTCGTGGTACGTTCAAGGCTCCAGACTGGTTCCTGTCAAACTGCGCGCAGCGGCCTTTTAATTCGCCTCAAGAAAGTTATAGAGCGAGAGCGTCAAGAGACTGGCTTTACTTGAGAAGCACCGGCGCGGTTGCAAGAAACTTGGTGAACCGAACAGGCCGCAAATCACGAGGCTATCGATTCATAAAGTCAAGACTGGTCAATTTCAAGGTATCAGGTACTTCGAAAAAAGCCTTGAGACAGGCAATGTGCCTTGACCCTCCCGTGACAGCTGGCTGCCATCACTCAGCGCAACTGCAAATCCATTGCAGACTTATTGGATTCACAAGCCCTACTGGAATCTCGAGTCTACAGGCGGCAGACCAGAAGCCACCCCAAACCGACACAACGATGTCTCAGAATGGCGTAGACCGCCCCCGCCCCCCAATACCCCGGCACCACCATCAAAAGCCTAGTCGGAGTCGCTGCTCGACGAAGAGCCGTGACTGCCCCTGCGCTTTTGGTAGCCGTACTTGTCCTTCTTATGCTTCTTTTCCTTCTTGTCCTTCTTCTTCTTATCAAACTTGTTCTCGAGCGCATTCCCACCAATCGCACCAATAAGGGCGGCGCCGACGGATGCGAGCCCGCCACCGCCGGCCGAGTGCGCAGCGTAGCCGGCCGCGCCGGCGCCGAGCACCGTGCCCATCAGGCCGCGCTCATCCTGTCCTGGCTGTCCTGGCTGTCCTGGCTGCCCTTGGTGTCCTCCGTATTGTTGTTGGTGGCCGTAGGATGAGTCGCCGCCCTGGGGTTGGTGGCCGTACTGAGACTGTTGTGGGTGGCCATACTGCGACTGCTGCTGGTGGCCGTGCTGGGGCGCGTACTGTTGTTGGGGAGGAGGGTACTGCTGGCCGCCGCCGTAGCCCTGGTGCTGCTGTTGCTGGGGGCTTGCGTACTGGTTGTACTGCTGCTGGGGTGGTGGGTTGTATGCGCCCTGGTTGTAGGGGGAAGAACCGTAGCCCTGGGGGTCCGGCAGTGTCAGCCGTGCTGTGCAATGAATGTCCTGGCGGCGGGTGCACGTGGGACAGTTGGGAGGAGTTGGATATCGCATACCTGCTGCTGAGGGTGGTGGCCCTGCTGTCCGTAGCCCTGGCCACCATACTGGTTCTGTTGGTGGTGGCCGCCGTTGCCGCCGTAGTAATCGTTAGCAGACATGATGTTCTGTTGGTATTCCTGTTGTCCAAAAGAGATTGATAAACGTTGATGGATACGTATAGGACTGCGATTAGATGCCAAGGGGAAATGCGAAAGTGTAGGCAGGGGGTTGTAGGGACCGAGGGGCTGCGGGTTTGGCGAGGTTGATGGGCCGATCGGGGTGATTATAATAATAAGAAGCAGGACCGATAGACCGACAGGCCGACAGGCCGACACGTCAGTCACGTCAGTCACACGGGCGGCCGACTGGAAGCAGCCGAGATTGCGGCATGATGAGTGATGAATGGCGAGTTGCGCCGCCCCCCCCCTCCAAGGCAGGCCCATCCAAGGGCCCCTCGGGAGGCAAGGTTCATTCACCTTTCAGCTGCAGAGCAAACGGACTTGCGTAAGTGTAGGCTGGGAGGTTGGGATCGTTTAGTGCGGGCCGCAGTTCGGCCTGGTGCAAGGCCTCCGACTCCGCCTCCCGCCTGACGTCTGCTGAGCTGACAGAAGAGCCATAGCCATAGGTTGGGACCTGAAGGATTGAGTCGTCAGTGTCCCAGGTGATGTCAGCAGCTCGCTGCGGAGCACTGACTGGGTGGACAGGACCCTGACCCGGGACGGCGGCGGCGGGGGGTTCCAATTCCGTCACTGCATCCACCGTGCTGCATGCAGGTCAGCCCTCCAGCCCTCCAAGCTCCAAGGGTCTTCCTCTCGCCTGTTTATACCAAGGTACTTTGGCTACAACAGGGACGCTCCTTCGTTATTTCCGATGTCCTGCAGGTCCAGGCTGCCAGGCTCGCCCACCCGCCCAACCCGAGGTCGCAGGGTCGTTGCTCTTTTTACGTGATGCATCTCGACTGCCACAGCACTGGCATTCTGTTGTACTGCCTGACTGCGTAACACCGGCACTCTTTTATTCGAGTCAGTCCCCAGTCCCCAGTCTCGCTGTGTTTTCGTTTCTCCGCCTCAACCGAGGAAGGGAGAGGCGGTGATGCCAGGTAACACATGCTTCGGCGTTGAAACGGCCCGCCATCCATCAGAGGTCGCTATCGGCAGTCTATCGACGCCAGTCGCACCCGCAGTGTAACCAGGTCGCTGCCAGGTCGCTGCCAGGTCGCTGCCAGGTCGCCGCCCTCGCACTCGCCCTCAAGTGCTCGCCCCAGACCTGGCCGCGCTGACGGGCCACGCTAGCCTCACCCAAGGAGCGGCAGCAAAAGGACAATTCCTCTCAAACATCCGCCTGCACGTCATTAATTGTCCACGTGCTTTGTGCATCGTGGTTGTACGAGCCACATCCACAACGTCCCTCCCTCGCGTCCAGGCTTACTCCGCAGCAAATTCGGCTCCACCACAGTGGGTTTGGTTTACCTGTACCGTGGAACCGGGAGCACAGCAGAGACACACAACCACTCCTCCTCCCTCCTCCCTCTCTTTCTTTGAAACATGACGCCGCTGTCGCTCTCCTCCGCCCCTCGAGACCCGAGTGCTGACAGCTCGTGTTCCCCGAGTTCTGTCTCTGCGAAACGCCCGCCCCGGTCCTGCGCTGGACCCGCCATGCCAGGGATTGGCCCGAGTACGACAAGGTGCCATCGCTCTGCCTGCTGGACCGCCCGGGGCATGGTGAGTGGCTCGAGCTAGTGGCGCAGAGGGACGGCCCGAGAGCTTTGGGTGAACTGTGTACTATATACCATGTATATTTCGCCCTATCTCTCAGCACAGATTGGGGGACGGTGGAATGGGACGACCCGGCGATCCTCGAGCCAAAGTCCTGTTTCGGCTCGGCGCTCAAGCGTCCATGCTACGGCCGTTGCGCTGCGGCACAGCAAGATGGACATGCCGCCGCTTTGCACGCGTCGGTTGGCATTGCCCGCCTGCTCCGACGGTCCCAGGCTCCCAGGCACCGAGACTCACCGGTCAACTCACCTTATGGGGCTCTCACACCATCATGGCCACCATATTCTCCAAAGTACCTGCCTCCCTTCCCTGCCTCCTGCACAACAATATCACAGATATGCAGACGGCGAAACGGGCCCGCCAAATCGGGCATTCGCCCTCTATCTCCAAACCTTAGTGGGCACAAGGTTCACCGCTATTCATCTCGATGCGACCGTAGGATCTGGTTAAAAGCCCTCGTTGCGTACAAGTGCCATACCGGACAGCCCGTATTGAACTTTTTTGACGAGCGTAGGACCATTGGACCCGCCCGCCGATCGGCAATGCTGGTCCGTCCAAAAGAGGGAATGTCGAGAACCCCGACATTGCGCGCACCACTGCGTCCTGGGGGCAAAAGCAAAAAAAAAGAGAGAAAAAAAAAAGAGCATCCGGTGCCACCCAGCGATAGTTGGTTGGCCTGCCGTGCTAGTTGTATGCGCGTTGAGCACAGGCAGGATTTCCCGAGCATGGATCGCCTCGCTCAACTTCTTCAGCCCACAGCCAGTGTCTTGGATGTATGGTGTCAGCTACTACGCGTCGTCAGCAGCTGTGACTCCCGAGCATCTGGCCATGCTGCCGAGAATAGACATGGAGTCGTCCGGGTCCCGCCTATACATCTCTGCCGTGCCAAGTTCCTGCCAGGCAAACAGAGCTGCCCGCCCGGCTGCCCTTTTCCCCTCGCAGGGCAGCGCGTAGCTTGTCGCCTTGCCAGCCCGTGCCACGGGCTGCCCGCGCCCCTCGAGATGGGCCCGCGTACCGAGTTATTGGGGCAAAGAGCCGCGGATGCGTGCGTTTCAGGCTGTCCCAGGTCGTACCGTGGTCTGCAGAAGGTGCAAATTTGCCGTCCTGGCACTGGTCACCTGCGCCATCAGTGACACCCACACTGCCAGGTACAGAATGTTGGATGGGATGAAGGGCCCAAGCTCAGTCGACGACAGGGGTCGCAATCCCTGATTATATGTGAGAACATTTCCCGGGTCGAGCAGCCTCGTGCCTTCGATAGACCGCAACCTTCCCCCCCCCCCCCCAAGAGGCTTCGTTACTTCGACAAGGGTAGTATCGCCTGGATTCTGTCGTTCGACGATCTCTCCTCCCTCATACCAGTCAGTAGACCGTTGGCCCGCCGTGCACACAAGTACCGTATGTCGTAACTGATCATTAATCAACTAGCCTCAAGTCTGCCGCTGAAGACAGTTCACCCAGAGACCACCGGCCGCGACACAATGAGCGACAAGTGGTGTGATCATCACGCCCTAGGCTGTCCTTACAGAACAACGTCCGGAGTCGACCTGTGCGATCTGTGCAAGGCGAACAAGTGCCCCCACCCGACAGTGACCTAGAGAAGAGAACATCTTGCTTGGTTTGTCGGCGCCAAACCACAAGTTAATTGTGGGAATCTCGAGGGCGTCTGCTCCCGTCCGTACCCCCTACCGACCGAAGATACCCTTTCTAAAGAGATGCATGGCCACTGGGCCTGAACGTGAATGGGGCTTCCTGGCGCACTGCACAAGGAAGGTGGGAGGGGTTGCCTCTCCTGGGCTCTGGGACAGGCACTGCCAGCCAAAGATATCCGCATCGGTGTCTCAACAACCCGGGCGTCCTAGGAGTTTAAAAGAAGAAGGAAAGGGTTTTGGAAGAAGTGTTCTAGGAATTGCCGGGGGCGAGTGTACATATTGTGTTGATGACTTTGAGGAGATGATTCTGGGTTGCTGCTCTCCCCTCAGAATATGGAGCTGGTAATGGGATGGCATTGGTCAGGATTTTGCAAGTTTCTCTAGTGGGGAACAACCGCGTGTGTGAAAGCAGTGAGCTTCTTGTGAGTACCAAAGTGAAGTCAGGGTTGCGGAGAGCAAGGCAGAAAGCTTCTGGCAGAGGCAGACAGATTTATAGATGGAAGGAGAGCATACCATATAATTACCACAACCTGGGAAGGATTGAGCAGCCTGTCAGTTGTATCGGGAAGTAACAGCTGTCGTTTGTGATAAAGAGGAAAGAGCGAGCAGACTTGTAGTTTGTTACAGCACAGTAATGACGTTGCGCCTTCTCACACAAACCAATATGTCGCATCGAGCGAGCCCACAGTAAATGCCGGACGGACCTCGCTGGCAGTTGCTTCTGTGAGCAAGGAGGACCCTGTCTCGCCATTCTGACCCGCCAGCCCGCCAGCCCTCGACGCAACCGAGCACACCCTGAGACGCAGCAGATATATCAGATGCGCAGCGAGCTCCCGATTGAAGATTTGAGGCGGGCTCGGATACTTGGCCCAAGACGAACTAGCTTTCAAGACATGGCCCAAGCATTGGACGGGAAGACACAGACAGGTTCGGTTCAGTAGCAGATCATCATTTCGTGTCGATTGCAGTCATGTTTGATCCCGCTGTTTGGGGAAATGGGTACTAAAACTATGCAACATGAAGCCCATGAACTGCTTGCCGCCGCCGTACATCTCCGTAACTAACTCTTCCTTCCCCCTTTCGGGTGACGAGGTTGCAACTCGGGACCAAAAATAACTTTTCTCTTTTCCAGCGTTCTATGGCGAGTGATAGTCCAAATTTACGGCCGAGAAAAAAGGTAGGATCGCGCCAGCCCGGTAGCCAGCTATGATGATGGATCCGACAAGAAGTGTATAGATGGGAAGAAACAAACAACAGAGGCAAAGAAAAAGATGCGTCGTGGTATCACAGGTCCTGTCGTCCCTCTCTCCTCTCCGACCAAGAAAACATCCAATCTTCTCGACCCCGTGAGAATTAAAATGAAAAACGCTTTATCATTGACCCCATATCCGACGTGAAGGCCGAAGCGAAGGATTAAGTCGATGCCCCCAACGCGATGATTTCAGCTGATAACCCCTATCGGCGAGCCCATTAGACAAGCATGGCAACAGCGCCGAGGGCGCCGAGGAGCAGGCCGCCCTGCAGGGTCTGGGCGCCGGCGACGGCAGCGGAGCTGGAGGAGCTCGCAGCAGCGGCGCCGGTCTCGCTGCTGGACTCGCCGGAGGAGTCGGTGGCTGTGGCGGTGGCCTTGGTGGAGGTGTGGATGGCACCCGTGCCGGAGGGGTAGGGGTTGGTCGAGTTGCCCATGGGGAAGAAGGTGGAGGTGGTCGGGACCGCGACAGACTCGCTTGTGGTGGTGTTGTCCACGGCGGAGGAGACGACGCTCGAGGTGGGGGAGACCATGGTCAGGGTGACGCTCTTTGTGAGAGAGGTGGTCAGGACGGTGGTTGAGTCCTGGGCGGAGACGACCGAGGCACCGGCGGCCAGGAGGGTGAGGAGGATGTTTGAGACCTGCATCTTGGGAGAGGGGTTGTGATGTGCGGTTGACCGGTGGATGAGCTGATGATGTGTTTGTTTATCGACAGGGTTTTTGCGATCTGCGTCGAATGAGAAAGGAATTCAGTGAACTTTGTCGTCGTGAGTCTGGGGCGTCGGTCAAAGTCGTGAGTGAGTTTGTAGTAGCGAATGTAAGGCTGCGCGAGGCAAGCTGGGTGAGTGAGCGAGTGTATTTGAGAGCTGCTGGCTGGGGAGAGAAGGAGCAAGGACGTGCGGGCGAGGCAAGGAAGGCCGACGAGGTTGATATTGCGGCCGGGTGGGCAGGTGGGATGGGTGGGATGGGGGCGGCAGGGGCCACTGTGTGGGATGGACAGGGACGGGGGCGGGTGCGCCTCCTTTTCCACCCACAAGTACCAGTTGTCTCTGCATCCTGTCTGCCTGTCAGCCGGTTCTGTGTGTGTGCGGCAACGGCAGCAGGGCAGCAGGGCAGCAGGGCAGCAGGGCAGCAGGGCAGCAGGGCAGCAGGAAGCAGCGCAATCTCATCCGAGCGGGTTGACGTTGTCAGGCAGGTGGGACTCGAGATGCCCTGGCCAATGCCAGCCCTGGATTTGGGGCCCCACTACCTTATTGGGAGGAGGTCATCGTGGTACTGGAGCTGGGTCCTGGGCTCTCCCATGCAGCACCGCCCCATCTTTTTCAGGAACAAAACACCCTCATTGGCTGATGAGATACAGATCTGCAAGCCATGAGGGTGATAGTGCAGGCAACAAGGGTCTGACGCCCTAGGAGCCATGGCGAAAAGTCAGACCCCAAAAACCGCCGACATTGACTCGAACAATGCGCCATATTTAAATGCCAAAACCGCTTCCGACGGCCACTGCCGGCCAACCGACCTGCGTGCCTGCCTGCCTGCCTGCGTGCCTCTGGGGAGTCCAGAACATGTGATATCTGCACCATGGAATGAACACTTTTGTGGTGGTGGCAACTTGCAAAGCCTGCAGCGGGGCATCCGACTCGAGCGGCGGCCGTTGACCTCCTCGCAGCCCTCGGAACTAACGATCATGGCGGGGAAGAAGCATCAATGGAACAATCTACAATTCTTCAGCAGGCCAAGGCCACTCTCGTATTGTCCTGGGCCGACGGTTGCACAAAACGTGTCTATTGTCCGAGGCAACGTCGCACCACGAGGTTTTCGTGCCACGCCAGTTGATAGAGGAAACGCCACTTATTATTATTGTGGACAGCAGAGATGACCAGGACTAAGACGCCCCGATAAAGCTTGACACACGCGTTTAAGCTTCTGCACGAGCTTGACCATCGTAATCGTGCTCAGGCCGCAGAGGTCGGCCGCTGGCGTCTGCGCACGACAAAACCCCATTCCAATTTCCCTCGGCCATGGGACAACCCCACCGACTCCTAATCTACAAAAGTCCAGACCCGCAGACCCGATCCCAGCCTGCGTCTTATATGCCACTACGGAATATAGCACCGTTGTGCACGACGTCGGATGCTTTGCCCCAAACCGGCCCTCTCAAACAGCGGTCAGGCCCACCACACGGACAAGCCCTCCGGATAAGCACCGTGGCTGCATCACAGACTCCGGCGATGCGCAGCAGACATACACACTCCCTCATCGCCTCGGCTGGCCTGGTCAGTGCCAGCCCGGTTCATCATACACCGAGTACTATAGGATCTCCAGGCTGCCATGCTTGGGACGCAACACCTCAGAAGTGTGGGCTCTCGTGCCAGTGTTGATGAGTCTCGGGCTCCCAGGGGCGCGTGGCCGGCCTCTCAACTCGGGGTCGGGGGCGTATTGGCTGCCAGCGGCCTGACGGACCGAAACTGGGGTGGCCATCTCGAGGAGGAGGCGAGGCGTGCAAGCTGCAAGGACACGCATATGGGCTCGGTGCTTCACAACCAAACCTGCAGCCCGTGTCGTTTACATGGTGACGGTGATGGTGGTGATGGCCAGACCGCCCAGACTCTTCCTGACGCTGCTCAGGCATCAAGTAGTCGTCCACGTATGCGAGAACTTCGCTTAGGATCCAGTGCCGGTCACTACGGCTGTCCTGCCTTGTCTTGTGCAATAGGCGTTCCAGCAGCTCCGTCGCCTGGTCGACATTCTGACGCTGCAGGAGCGTTCCCAAGATCTGGCCGATCGTGCGCTGGGCCTCGGCTTCGCGGCTGGGTTCAGCGATGGTTGATGCCTCCTGCCTCTGCCTGGTCCCTCGAGCTGGGGAACTTTCTTCAAACCGTCGCGTCAGGTCATGTCGCTCCAAGATCCTTTCGATCATGCCTTCGATTTCTGCCAGGCTTGGGGTCACCGTGTCGCTTGGGCTCGCATAGCCACCGGCAGCCTGCCTCAGGATGTCCGCCTCAAGGACCTTGAGCCTCTCAAATTCCCTTTTCCTTTCATTCTCCTCCAACATCTCGGAGAATCTGAGCTCCTGCATCTTGATTTCGTCCTGAAAGAACAGAGTCAGTCCCAATGTAATGCTGGTCGGTAGGCGGGAGCTCGTTCCGACCACTCACCTGCTTGGCGTCCTCTGCTTTTTGCTTTTCAAGCGCCTGAAGTCTGGCATGTTCTCGCTCGTGGTCGCGTTGATCAAGGATCTTGACAAGGTCAGCCTCCCCGAGGCACTCTTTGCTGTGCTTTGGCGTAGCCCCTTCCTGCAGCCCCCTCAGTCCCTCCAACTCTCGCCGCATGTCGCGCTCATCGATCAACTTCAGGACATCTGCCTCTTCAAGACCCTTTTTCGGGGCCGGCTTGTTCTTGCGTTCCTCGCTCTCCTTTTCTTGCTTCTCCACCAGCCCCTTCAAGCGCTCAAGCTCTTTCTTTGCCGCGTCTTCCTTCATCTTGCTCTGCTCATCTGCCTTTGCGGATCGCCTCTTCCTCGTCTCCTCTCCAAAGTCCCTGGCGGATTTTGCAGCCTCGTCTGCCCCTTTCAGAATCTCATCCATCTCTTCTAGGCGCTCCTGGATTTGTTTGATACCTTTCCCGACCCCTTCGGTTGCGGATTTGGCCTGGTCAAACTGTGTGTGGACATGTTCATCCAAGTGGTGCAGCGCGAGATTGTGGCTGTACTGTTCCCAGGTTGTGCTTTCCGTCGGGTATCTCTCCCTGAGATAGTCGATGAGATGCTCTGTGTGACACATGGGGGATGCCACAGAGGAGGCACTGGTCTTGGGCCGAGGCATACGGCTATGTGTGGGCATGGCAGGAACGGCGACAGGTTTGATCTCCGGGGTGCTTTTCGTCTTGGTGCTCTTGTGCCCCCTGGAGCCTTTTTTTGGTGGGACCAATAAGCACATTTGTATCTCAAGGACGGTTGAAGTATTGGGGCAATTTACAGAATGATTCCGGAGCCATATGTGCACATCTCTCACTGATGCACATGTCTTATATCACTTCACTCAACCGCAGCAAGCAAGTCATGTATTGAAGCGGCACGGGAACCAAGATTGTCCTGTTGGTGGACCGGTCTCGTACAGCTACAATAACAAATGTGAGATTTCCTTTCTACACCCAGTTTCTAGTTTCTCTTAAAGGGAACTTGCAGCACCTGCTGCTCCGGCACTTTGTGCCGAGAGCCAGTCTGGCCAAAATCACCGATTGTGGTCCCTCGGACTCCAGGAACAGGACCAGAGCAATAGCGAAGTTGTTCCATTCCCAGCATTGTGGCTTTGATGTAACCATGCTCGGAATGTCTCACAATGGCGGCATATCGGCCACGCCGGATTGACATGGCGTATTGTTTTATGAGCCCTGACCTTGATGGTAAATACAGGTGTGCGTACAAGACAGCTAAACATACTAGCCCTAGGTACCTATAAGTACGGGGTACCAGTCAGACGATGCAGCTCGGCAATAGGACCCCTGAGTACGTCATACTATCGATAAGGCAATCAGAGGACAGCGGGAGACAGGACTATTAGTTAGTCTTGAATTCACCCATCCTCCTACAACGGTAACCTGCAGTTGATTTTACAGTAGCATAGCGTTGGCGGGGAGGGCCGAGAAATTGCAGATCGCGTAGGCCTTTCTTTGACATGGTGGCCACCACCGCTGGCCGGGCTAAAATGGCCCATTGGTGAAACGCAGGATCCACCTGCTCGTACGCTGAGGCCGGCCACCTCTGATCTCTCTGAGCCCAGAGCTCTCTTGTGTGGGAGTGTGAAGTGGCCCCTCCGCGTACCTCCGTCCCATCCCACCCTGGCCCATCTCACCGGAACATCAACCAAGTGCCACGTCTGCAGCGACAACCCCAGACCCCAGAGCCATCCCAAGATCATCCACCTGCCTCCACGAAGCCCCAAACCCCCAGAGAAAGCACCAGACCACCACCCACCATGGCGTCCGAGGAACCAGCTGCAGCACCAGCAGCAACACCAGCAGCAGCAGCAGCACCAACACCTGCCCCCGCCCCCCCAGCTTCAGCCGAGGAGCCAGCAGCCCAGAGCTCCAAGTCGGCTGAGACGCCGACGCCAGCAGAGGGCTCGGCCGATGCCCCTGCGTCGGCCCCGGTCAAGAAGGTGGTCAGGAAGGTGGTCAAGAACTACAGCACCGACCCAGCACTGTACATCTACACCTCCCTGACCGCGGGGAACCGCCACATCATCACAGCCACCTCGCGACTCGAGACCATCCTGCGCGCCAACCGTGTGCCCTTCAAGGCCATCGACGTCGCCACCGATGAGAAGGCGCGCATGCTCTGGGGCCGTCGAGCCGGCAAGGCTGCGGACGGCCGCGTACGGAGGCTACCCGGGCTCGTCCAGACCGGCATAGTGCTCGGCGTGAGTCTGCCCGGCCCCTCTCCCCAGGCGGAAATGGGAAATGACTAGCTAACACCCCGGTTCTTGCGGCCTAGGACATCGTCGAGATCGAGGAGTGGAACGAGTACGGCGAGCTGAAGCAGCACGTCAAGATCTACTACGACGAGTTCACCCAGCCCAAGAAGGGCGCCGTCGCCCCCGTGCCCAAGTACAAGCAGCCCGAGAACAAGACCCCCTTCCCGCCCGCCATGCCAAACCCGCCACCGCCGCCCGACCGGGTCAAGAGCGAGGCCGAACAGAATGCCAACAAGATCGCCGCCATCGTCAAGGGCGCCAAGAGCCCCACCACCAGCAGCAGCGGCAGCAACAGTAACAACAACAACAACAACAACGTCGTCGCCGCCACCAAGAGCGTCGCGGAGGAGGCCGCGCAGAAGGCCAAGGAGGCCGCGGCGAGGGCGAAGAAAGCCAAGCTCGAGGCGCTGAGGGAGAAGGTCCACGGCAAGAAGGCCGAGGCGGGCGGCGAGGGGGCCGAGGCGGAGCAGGCAGACGCCCCGACAAAGGAGATGTCGCAGCTATCCGTCGCGGCCTCCGCGTCGTCGGCCGCCACCACCGCGGCGGGGCTGCAGTCTCCCACCAGCGGCGCGTGGAAGAGCAGCGGCGCCGGGGACAACAGTCTCGGCGCGGCGCTGCATACAGTGCAGAGCCCTACCACGGCGACGTGGAAGGCGCAGAGCGAAGGGACGTTCGCCGGGGCCAGGGTGGCGAGCGCGAGCGCCGAGGAGATCGAGAAGGTTGAGAGCCAGGAGGCTATTAAGGAGGAGCCTGAGCCGGAGGAGGAGGAGGAGGAGGAGAAGTCGGATACAGCCAAGCCGGCCGGTGAGGTTAAGGAAGGGGTCGAGGCGGAGGGGACCAAGGCATGATCGTTGCAGGACAAACAGATCGCCGGATTACAGCAGGGACCTCAGTACGGCTGTGTTCAACTGATGTTGATATCAGTAGCAAGGAGTATGGCAGTCGTGGTAATTCCTATATGAGCTTTGGGTTTAGGAGGTGAGGAGTATTTGCCTGGGACTTTCAGATTTATATGTCGGGGTCGAGTATCGGTCTCCCTGGAGTGTTGTTTATTGATATGGAATGCAAGCTCAATGCATCAAAAGGCCTGTCAGTTTTGAATATTCATGCGACCAGACTCCGGCGAATTGTATCTCAGCCAACTAGTAACGTCTGCGACTGGTACGGACGGATTGTGCAACAATGAGACCCTTCAGCACCACCCCGGAGCAATGCAGGGAGGGCAAGTGCTAGTGGATCTCAATCCTGAAGGAGAATGGAAGTCAGCATGCGAAAGGACCCAGTTGTTCCAGGCACAATACATGTAGATTGTACTTTGTTACATTCTGTGGCCGTTGTTCCTCGGTCATATAAACACGTGCCATTTCCTTATTTACTTTTGCCCCATTGTACCGATACCAGGTCCGGAGTTGAAGCACACTCAGTCATACAGTCCATCGTCGTCACTCGCCGTACCGTCTTGGAATCCAGCAACCGCCTTTCCCTTCCCCTTGCTCTTGGTGCTGACCCCATTCGGCCCATCTCCATCGGCCTCCTGGGCGTCGATCCCATAGTCATCCTCATACTCGGCATCCTCACCATCACTTCCCGCAGCGACCGCCTTGCCTTTGCCCTTGCTGCTAGCAATAATCGACTTGCCCTTGCCCTTTGCGCTCCGCTGCGACGCGGTCGACACCGTCCTCTGACTGAGGTTGAGCGGGGCCGGCCTCTGCTTCTCCGCATTTGCGCCCGCGGCGCCGTTGGCCTCCCGGCCGCCCTCGAAGGTGGCCCTTACTCGCTCGTAGTGGGACAGCTCGCCCGCGCTCACGCTGGGGATGAGCTCCCTGTGCGCGTCCATGAAGTCCTCCTCGGTCACCATCACGGCGACGTCCTCCGGTGTGGCGTGGTGATCGAAGAAGTTGGCCGTGGAGATGGCCTGCTTCTTGCCCTCGGCCTCCGCTTCGGCGTTGAGGGCCTTGATCTTGACGTCCACCTTGCCGGCCTGTCTTGTCACGGCCTTGAGCATGGCGTCGCTGCATAGCGCATAAAAGTCGGCGCCCGTGTATGTGAATGGAAGCTTCTCGGCGACGGCGCGCAGTGTGAGAGCCGGATGGAGGGTAAATCTGCGAATGGATGGTCAGCCTTCGTGCTCAGGTGGACGAGGTTTCAAACTGCACTTACTTGCGTGTCAGTGCTTCCAGGATCCTAAGCTGCTTCTCATGAGTGTCAGACACTCCCAGGTACAGCATCTTGTCAAATCTTCCTGGCCGCAGCAGTGCCGAGTCCAAAAGATCCGGCCGGTTCGTGGCACCGATAACAAACACTCCTCCTGCACTGTCCTCGCCGCTGGACATTCCGTCCAGTTCAGCCAGAAGCTGACTCACAATGCGGTCCATCACACCACCGCTGTCTCCTTGGTTGCCTCTCTTCGGAGCCACGGAATCCAGTTCATCGAAGAACACCACACATGGCCGGGCATCCCTTGCCCTCTGGAAGACCCGCCGCACGTTGGCTTCAGACTCACCAATATACATATTAAGCAGCTCAGGACCCTTCACGCTAAAGAAGTTCAGGCTATACTCAGTTGCAATAGCCTTCGCCAGCAGCGTTTTACCTGTCCCAGGTGGTCCGTAGAAAAGAATGCCACTGCGCTTCTTCATACCCTTAGCAAACAGCTCAGGCCGCTCGAGAGGAAGTTGTATGGTCTCTGAAACGGTATCTTTGACGTTTTCAAGACCACCAACGTCATCCCATGTAACATTGGGGATCTTTGGGGCCCCAATGGCGTCTGCAAAATTCTTGCGCGCAGCTTCCACAGCGACATCAAAATCAGCCGGTGTCAGGCCGCGAGAGGATGGACCGCCAGCGACTTGAATGTCACGGATGGTGAGCCTGGTGCTTGTATCCGTTTCTTGGGAGGTGAGTCTCTCGAGACGTGATCGCTGGGCGACCAGGGCCCGGTCGACGACGTCGACCAGGTCACCTGCGACTAGAGCGGCGGTTTTGAGGGCTACACTGCTTAATTCGACCTCAGGGCTGAGAGAAATTGCTCGGTCGTCGATGACGCTTCTCAGTATCACTTCTCGCTCGCCCTCGTCGGGAGCCCTCATCTCGAGCTCGTGGGTAAACAGTCCTCTCACCCCGTCGGGTACCTTGTCCACCTCGGTCGTAGTAGCAATGACCACTCTGGCATCGGCTAGGATCTCTCTCATTGACGATACCATCCTGTCCGCGGTGAAAGCTTCAACATGCCTGATGAGCAAAGCACAGCACTCTGGGCCGCAGCTCATGGCCCGCTCAGCTCGACTCTTCAAGAATCCTTCCGTCTTGACGTCGCTGCCCCCTGACCCTGCGTCGTTGACAATGTCATATGCGTCTAGCACAAAGGTGTGTAGGCCAATGTCAAGACACGCATCCCCCGCAACGGTGGTTTTCCCGATATTTCTCTGGGTGGACACGAGCAAGATCGCCAAAGGGGGCATTTTGAGCTGCATCGCCCTTCGACTTGTTGCTGCTGATAGGAGCTTACGCAAGCGGCTCCGCAGGGGAGAAACTCGAGGCTTCTCTGGTTCCATAATTGCTGTCGGTGGAGACTGTAAAGATCGATCTGGCGGCTTTCTCAGGCCCAAATAGTACCTCCATGTGCTGTCCTGAACACCCGGTATGCGGCTTGTCACAGACCCTGTCTGTCGCAAGAGTGTCATTGAGACATCGATGCATGCGACTGAGCCCCACGTATCTTCTTCAGGCTCTTCCTCAGGGCCTTCACGTTTCATTGGAACAATATGGGTCACCTTGAACCAGACCACCTCATCATAGCTGAGACCCTGTCTTCGGTTCGTAGGATTTGACGCGGCCAAAGACAGAATATCATCAACAGCGAGGTTATCCGCGCCGGATTCCTGGAGTGTCCTTCCGAGCTGCGTGTCGATAGGAAAAGCGATCAAGTCACCACTTTTGACTATTCTCGATTTCTTTTCAAAATAGGACTTCACCCCGGCCATAACAGCTGTTTGGACGTCCCGCTCCACCGATCTCGGAGTTCGAACATGGCGCAGGGTGACCTCGCGAGCATACGGTGGTTGTGAAGAGCCTGTCAGCTTTGACAAGGGATTCTTCGCCAAAACCGGGGAGCCCCTCTTTAAAGGGGCTATCCGCAGATAGGCCGGGCCGTCAAGGTTTGCCAACAAGACAGGCGACACATAGACCGCAGGGCTTGACGGTTTCTGCAGCTGGGACTCGAAGAAGGAAGGTCGTCTGCCCTCATTTTTGGAGTGCACAATCCTCGTCACAGGTCGCTGTGAGTAGCCTTCTGGCAAACCGAAGACCCTCACTGGCCGCCAGTCTGGCTCCTCCTCGCCTATGTCGCCAAAGCTCCCGAGGCCAAACTGGCCGAACCCGTTCGCAGGAGGCTCCTGTGCAGGTTCCAACCTCACCCAGTCTCCAGAAAAACAACCAATCCTTGTCAAATTGCTAATGTCGACATACACACGAGCCTCCTCGTCATCAGCGGGGAGGACCTTCGGATGTAGGAGCTCTGGAGGAATGGGTCTCATGAGACCCTGTGCTTTGAACAGCCGCCCGCGAGGTCGGTCGAGCCTCGCCGTAGTGGCAGTAAAGGTTGAGAAGACTGAGCCAGGCGTACTGATACCGTTCGTCTTTCGGCCGCGGCCCAAGGTCATCGGTGTGCCGGCAACCATCGTGGACACCCCGCTGGCTGTCGCGGGCAACGCTGGGGCCTGGAGGGAGATCAGGTCATCCATCGAATCGTCCGATAAATCGTCGTGCTCATCCAAAGAAAGCTCTGACTCTTCAGTCTCGGTGATGACATCCGACTCTTCAGTTTGGGCTTCTGTGCTCGTCCTATAGCGTTCCTCCGCAGCGGAATAGAATTGGTCGTTCGCAGTGTCGTCATCATCCTCGGCAAGCCCGTTAAGCTTCTTAGACGAGGACATGGCTGATGAAGTACGGCTATCCTTGGAGTGCATACGCCCTCTAGATACGATTATCTTTGTTGATGGCGACAAGATTCCTTGGGCAACTGGCTCGCAAAGCGTGACCTTGCCTGGGTTCGGGGGCACGTGAGTTACGGCGTGAGGTGGCAGAGGCAGTGGAAACAGATCTCCGGAATGGACCACTTTCAATGTACCAAGAGCAACGCGTATGGCGGTTTTGAGGCGCTCATCCGGAGAGGGCTCATCTGTGGCGCCCTTGCCCTTGCCTTTGAGCTGGGCCGAGGTAACGTCGGGATGGTCCCTGAAGAAAGTGCCCTCCCCATCTTCCAATCTTTTCGCGAGGTCGCCCTCGAGGCTCACGAAGACTGTATCGAGTGATAGAGCCACCACGTCCAAAACCAATATCTCGATTCCACTTCGGCTGTGGCTGGACAGCTTGGATGGCGCAACCTGTTGAAGGGTGGTCGCAAAGCTCTGGAGGGCGAGGGAGGAGGGAGAGAACTGGAGAGTCGAGTGTGCGAGGGCAGAAGACTGTGTGACAGGTACTATTGTCCAGCTCGTGGTTTCGGGCGAGGCATTGGGTGCCCACGGGGCCAGAGCGACGTGGAGCACGTCGGGGACGAGGGGGCCATCCTGGTCGTGCTGTGCGTCTTGAGCAGCAGAGGTGAGTATTAGCATGAGAAAGCCAGGGTATGAGGGACAGGCAGGAAGAGCTACCATGTTTCAGATGTGGGAACAGGTCGGCGAACAAGTCCTCGGACAAGATGCCAACGTCACCCTTGACATGATCATCAAGGACGAGCCGGGCGGCAATGGCAGGTTTGTCGTGTCTGCGCCTTCTCTTCCGCTTCCGGTGGGGATGAGACAGGTCGACGGGTGCCGGTGAAGACATGGCCGTCAGCTGGTATGAGGGGGAGGTATAGCAAGTCAAGAGGCGTGACCCAGACGAGGTTGGCGATGAGTGTCGGCCCCGCAGCGCACAGCTCTATGGAGCTCAGTTATCGGGAGCTCATCGTCTTCTCGGGTGGGGGATTGGGAGATGGGGCGGCGTAGTATAACACGACACGGCGCAACCGACCCCGTTTGAGATGGTCAGCAGCTTGACGGTTTCCAGACGGAAGGAAAGACAGACAGATATGCGACAGGTGGTGCCGGAGTCAATTGTTCGGCGCGGAGTGAGGTTGACGAGTCCCGTGGACCCCTGCCGATTCTCCTGGAGAACCTCGGCAAGCGGGCTGGCGGGCTGCAGGATGGCAGGATGGGCAGCCGGCCGACTCCAACCCCAACCCAACGAACGGCAAGTGTCCGTCCGTGTGTAGTCGCATCTGGAGGCAACTTTATTTTTATTTTGCCAAACATAGAAGACTGATATAAAGCCGAGATTCAAGTTCAATCCATCCCAATCCAAACGTGTCCCTCTTCTCTTCTGTGCCTTGCATCCTTTTCGTGTATTCAGTCACCACCTCACCGCCTGGGTCGACCTTCTGTCTGCATTGACTCTTGCAAATGACATCAAGTTTCTGCAAGATATATCTACCTAGGTACCTAGGTACTTGGGTACTTGGGTTCTGCAGTGATGCCAATCTGGCAATCATAACGAATGCCAAGCCAAGCCCTGCGCCCATCTCGCCTTCGATTTGAGCAGTCGCGATAGCACAACTGCACCCAGCTGCGGGTGTGGCTTGGTCTTCACATGCCTGGACTTCCACGTCTGACTAGCTGGTACTCCGTCCGTATCGAGGAGAGGCGGCTGCAAAATTTCATGACCACCCACCCCTGCACAGATGACGCGCGGGGCTGAATCTATGGCTATGGACCACCCATTACGGGTGTCCGGGTGCCTTGACAGATGATATTCTCTCCTCACTAATAAGTACTAGGTACCCTACACACTGTCGCATATCACCGTCACGCGCCTTCTCCCGCCGCCGCCCTCGTGCCATCCCGACGTCCCTTCTCACCATCTGTCTGTCCTCCACTGACCCGCGATAGGCCGACCCCGGGAAATGAGTGGTCCTCATCCCCTTACGGAGAACTTCCAGGGTAGTCAGGGGCTTCATCATCTTTTTTTTCCTTTCTTGCTCGTGCGCAACTAGACCAACGCCTTAGAACTGCAGACTCCGGTTCCTGGACTAGAGAATAATAGTCTTTGTTTATCTCTTCCATGACGTCTTTCCCGTCTTCTAGAATTATACCTGCTCTCACCGTTCTGCCTCCTCTGCCTGGCTCTATATTCATCGTAGCCTCGACCGACGGCGATGACAGGCGACGACACACCCGGCCCGAGCTCCACGCCGCTGGCCCACCCCGCAGTCGAGTTTGCAAAGCAATCACAGAAACTATCGCACAAGAATCCAGACGAGGATAACTCGGAAAATGTCGCCGCCCAGGCCCTCTTCGTCACGCCAAGGGACCCCGTCATCGCCACGGCCCAAGGACACAGGCTGCCAGGTGTGCCTCTGGAAGAGGCGCAAAAATTGAACACGCTGAGGGAGGAGCTCGAACAGGACCGGCCTGCAGCCTCTCGACACTCGAGGAATGGAAGCGCCCACCATGATCTTGACGTCGAGGCTCAGACCTCCCATAACCCCGGCGAACCGCACAAGGCCTTCACCGCGCCCCCGGTGCCCAATGGCAAGTCGTTGCAAAAGACGTCCGAAGGCTCCTTGCGGCGGGCCATGCCGCCCTCCCACACGAACCCTCTGTTCCCCCCGCTGCCACTGTACGGCCCCTCCTCGATCCTGCGGGACATCCATTGTGCGGCTTTCAGAGTGTCTTCCTTCTTCCTAAGCCTGTCATTCCTAGGCGTCGTAGTTCTCGGGTCCCTCTTCACGAGCATCCCGCTGGTGGCAAGGCGCATCTGGTATAGACTCACGTTTCGAAATCCGGATAAAGGTCGTCCGTTCTACGAGGAGGAAGTCAGCCGACGGGACGCAAGAAGGGAGGAGGAGCGGAAGTGGAAGCATCGCACCTCTGAGGAACGACGTCTGACCGACAATGATAGCGTGGTCAGCTACAATGGTTATATTCCCACAGAAGGTGGCCCGGACCCCATTAAGTGCGACGTGGGCTATTACGCGCGGCGGGTTGGCCTCGATGTTGAAGAGTTCGAAGTCCAGACCGAGGACGGGTTCATCATCGACCTGTGGCATGTTTACGACCCTCGCGAATACGTCGAGCTTGACGCCAAGGAGCGACTACCTCATGGCCCCGACCCCTTCACGGGCGGCAAGCGGCGGGGCAGGGAGTTGAAAGACCCCGAGGCGCGACGGAAATACCCAGTACTGCTCATGCACGGCTTGCTGCAGTCAGCCGGGGCGTACTGCGTAAACGATGACCAGTCCCTCGCCTTCTGGCTGTGCAAGTCAGGATACGACGTCTGGCTCGGCAACAATCGCTGCGGATTCAAGCCCAAGCACGTACTGCTGGAGTATTCCGACCCGCGCATGTGGTGCTGGAACATCAGGCAGATGGGCGTTTTTGACCTGCCCGCGCTGACCTCTCGTGTCCTATACGAGACGGGATTCTCAAAGATTGGCCTGGTAGCCCACTCCCAGGGCACGACCGAGACATTAGTTGCCTTGGCCAAGGAACAGAGACCCGAGCTCGGGGAGAAGCTTTCTGTGTTCTGTGCCCTGGCACCGGCCGCCTACGCCGGGCCACTGATTGGAAAGATGTATTTCAAATTCATGCGGGTCATCACCCCAGCCATGTTCAGGATGATGTTTGGCATCCATGCCTTTATACCCATCATGATGACCGCGCATAAGTTCTTACCCGCGAGGCTCTACGGTTGGATGGGCTACAAGGTCTTCTCTTTCCTGTTCGACTGGTCGGATACAAGGTGGGACCGGGGGCTCAGGAACAGATTCTTCCAGTTCGCCCCCGTCTATGTCAGTGCCGAGTCGATGAGGTGGTGGCTGGGACGCGAGTGTTTCGCAAAGCACGTGAGTCACTGCTCCTGCCTGTGCTTACTGACCTCTATGCGCAACTGCCCCGCTGACACGTAACTGCGCAGAAATGCATCCTCTCCACCAAGGAAGAATGGCGTGCCGAGGAGCGCGAGGACGAGGATGAGTCCCAGAACCCCGTCGCAGCCGTGCCTCCCGAGGTGCACGCAAGCGAGCCGCGCTCGCCTACACGAACACGCCATCAGAACCACCACAACCACCACAACCACCACCACCGGCGGCCAAAGGGATCTTCGGCATGGTATAACTCGCAAAGCCCGCCGATGGCGTTCTGGGTGTGCGGCCGCGACGACCTGGTGGACGGGGAGAAGCTCCTGCGCCGGTTTGAACGTGGGCGCGAGCCGCATGCGCGCGTGGTCTTCAGCAAAGTGATCCCCGAGTACGAGCACCTGGACGTGATATGGGCGATGGACGCGGAGCGCGAGGTGTTCCAGGAGCTGAGGGAGACGCTCTGGCGGACGTGTCCCCCGGACGAGAGGGCCAGGTGCCGGGTGCCCAAGGGCTGTGAAGATGTCGGGCAGTGGGTGGACGACCGCGCGACAGGCGATGGGGCTGGCAACAACCAAGGGCCGGCCGCCGACGAGGGCGACACGTCGGGCGAGAGCCCCAGCAGCAGCGAGGAGTTGTCTGCATAGTGTGATGAGTTTACGAGCGACGCTGTCATGGGCCATGGGAACCTGCATATATACAGCCCCTTTGGATATTTTGAGCTGCTTAGATATCATGTACTTATGGGGCATAGCGACATCGAGACTAGCCTGGCGTCCTGGCTAGCTGTTTATCATGGGCGTGCATGCAACGCCAGGATGGGCGGCCTGCAAACACAAAGACCTCACAGATTAACTTAATACACTTGACTTGTTCCTGCATATGCACATGCATAGATCATCGCGAACAGTGGTATTGCCACGGGGATGATCTGGTGGCCCACAATCAACACGATCGATGCACAGTAGAAGATGAAGGAAGCAGAGGGCAAACAAGAAAATTGCCCGAATGGCTCCCACGGCCAACAGCATCTTGTGCACGCGAACACACACACGCGCGCACACCGACCTGGGCATAGAGGCGGTCAAACTGTTTCAAAATGGCACACCGGCGCTTAACAGGCCTGCAAATGCTTACCAGATAGTCGGATCCGTTGGCTGTCAGTTGATGTGGCAGTTGATAGGGGTCCAGAAATCGGGAGGTTTCCACTGAGGGGCAAAATGGTCCCCACCCAGCGAGGTCGGAGTCCTTTTTGTTTGCCCAGGTATTTATCCTGGCCCTCCCGCCCGCCAGGAGGTTGGCAGGGCTCGATGGTCCGTCCGGTCAGCCGGTCTGGCCTGCTCTGGCCCGTGACGGGAGGCGAGGGCGAAGAGGTAGGTGATCAGCGCGACAAAGAGGCAAAGGCGGGTGTTTCGAAACATTGGAAGCTTCTCACGTTTCACCAGCATGTGCTTCTCGCAGATCAGTTGGGCTGGACTTGTAGCTACTACACTTGCAGATGTCGAGCCAATCTGGTTGGTGTGCCTGGCGTGCCGGACTAGGGGGTGGGGTGGGCGAGGACCAATCACGAGGCTAGGGGGCGAGAGCCGTCAACCTTTTCCAAACACATGACGACTCTCCCTGCATCCCTGCCATCCCTGAGCCTCCCTGAACCTCACCTCACTCAACGTGCCTGCGTGCCTCCACATGTGTATCCATCCCACCTCAGCCTGGTTTACGGAGCATGAAATCCTCATCTCCCACTTATCTCTGATCTGATCTCAGCCCAACTTGTGGGTCTCGTGGCCAACGCTCAATCCTCTGCGTTGGCGCGACTGGCTGCCAGGCTGCTGGAGGGATATTGAGTCGGTCACCTCTGAGAAGTCCCGGTCGAGCCAGATAAACGACCTCGGGCACCCGCCTGCACGCTTATTTGGCAGGTCTCACGTATAAGCCAACCCCTGCACGGTTTGAACGTCGATCATCTGGAAAGAGAGTAGAGTCAATGCTTGGCTTCCAACCCTGTCTCAAATGTTTCTCATGCAGCTCGTCTGGTCCATTCGGCACCCCAGCCGCTCCCACACGCGCAGTGCTTGTCTGTCCGCCCGTCTGTGTGTGTGAGTGGCTGGCCCGCCTCATCTGAGGTGCTCCTTGTCATATCAAGCACACGCATGTCTTGTTGCTAGTAGAACCCCACCGAGAACCATCCCTTCTCCTGTCATATACTCACGGTCCCAAAGAAGACGAGCCCCGCAGGCCCCGACCCAGAGGTTCCAGTCTCAGCCATATTGCGCCGCCGCCCAGATTGGCGAGTAGCAGGCGAGAAGGGACCATGGCACCAATGTGTACCAATGGATAGGACAAGGCCCCCCGGTCACCCTCCCCTCCTCGGCGCCCGTGCTGTGGTGCGGCTCCCCGGCAGATCTGCGCCAAACTTTCCTCCCTTGTCGACTTTTGACGCCCCCGTCGCTTGTCGCCTGTGAGCCCGACTCCCCCTTCCCACCATGTCTGCATGTCTGCATGTCCACTTCAAGGTGACTCGCACATGCATGCAGGCAGGCGGGCAGGCTCCCAGGCTCCAAGCTCCATATGCAGGGCCAGCCGTGCCCATATTTAACACCACATTCCCGTCTGAGGCATATGGCCAAGTTCTCCCAAGGTCGAGACTCTCGCTATCATCGTTGACCGACTTTGGACCCGCGTGGCTGGTACCATCTGATCTCTCATCCCTCTCTCCCTTCCCTCCGCCGTCTCTCCTTCACACGGCGTTTGCCTTGATTGGCACATATTCATCTCATCCATTGTCCTTCTTTTTTTATCCGGTGTGCTTTTCACCAGCCCCTCCTTGTTCAAGGCACAGAGAGCCTTTGTTGCAGGCCCAACAATAGCTTTATTCTCGACAACCCTTCTGTCATTTCTACCATTGTGCCATTGTCACAGACACATACTTGAGAGATCATACCTGTCTACAGACGAGGCTGTCTTGACCCAAGACTCAAGTGTTTCCTCCTCGATCCTCCTCAACTCAGATACAGCCTTGGTCCAATTCATCTTGTCAAACTTGCCTCTCCCTCACTGTCGACTTTTCGCAGCGGGCAAGCAAGGGAAAAACAAACAGAGCCAGCCTCCTTCCTCGACAATTTTCAACGCGTCTCACCTTCAACTTCTCACAAATCTTTTGACAAGATGCATTCAGTCACCGCTACTACTTTCGCCCTGCTTGCCGGCGTTCAGCTGGTGGCAGGAGCAGCTTACAGCCTGACTGACGACTACAACCAAGCCAACTTCTTCGACGGGTTCGAGTTCTTCTCTGAGGCAGACCCTACGAAAGGCTTTGTTCAGTACCAGAACAGGGTCAATGCTGCCTCCCAGGGACTGGCCGGCTTCCACAAGGATATGATCTACGTGGGTAGCGATCACAAGACCGCCAACCCCGCCAATGGCCGCGCCAGCACGCGTATCAACAGCAAGAAGTCATACACCCAGATGCTTCTTGTTGCTGATGTCGTCCACATGCCAGTGGTAAGTTCGATACATACTTTCCCCCTTCCAACCCTTGCAAACATGTCAGAAATAAACTAACCTCCTGCGGCATAGGGATGTGGAACTTGGCCCGCTCTGTGGACATACAACGAGGCCTGGCCACACAATGGCGAGATCGACATCATTGAGGGCGCCAACAGCCAGAAGTCCAACCAGGTGACCCTTCACACCGGCCCTACCTGCTCCATGACCCAGGGTGAGACTGTCGACGGCACACTTCTCCAAAATGAGAACTGCAATGACGGCTCAGGCGGGCTCGGCTGCCCCCAGACCACCAACAGCACAAACAACTTCGGCAAAGGCCTGAACGCGAATGGTGGCGGTGTCTACGCCATGGAGTGGAACAGCGACGCCATCTCGGTGTGGTTCTTCCCCAGGAACAGCACGATGCAGAACAGGATCACGTCGTCTAACAACACGCTTGACTCTTCTACATTCGGCACCCCGCTGGCCAGCTTCGTGGGGGGCAGCGGCTGCAACATCGACAACAACTTCAAGGAGCACTGGATCACCATCAACACAGACTTCTGTGGCCAGTGGGCCGGCGCCAACTGGTCCGAGGATGCCGAGTGCTCCGCAAAAGCACCCACCTGCGAGGAATACGCCGCCAAGGACCCCAGTGCCTTTGTGGACGCCTACTGGCTCTTCAAATCGATCAAGGTTTACTCCAAGACTTCTGGTGCTGGCGCTACCACGAGCACGCCCGTTAAGAGGGGCATGCGCTTCATGCCGCGCGACCACCAGGTCTAAGACGGCCGCCGGCCGAGAGCCGCGCATGCTTCTCCTTTGCGTCGTTTGCCTGGTGTGAATGGACATGGGATGGGGGACAGGTGTTGGGGTTTCACTTCTATATTCTTCTTCTTCTTCTTCTTCCGGTTATACAACCTTGGGCGATATGCCATTCTGATACCACACTTGTTTTGCACGGACGGCGTTTGATCTGGCTCGATCTTTTCCTGAGCTTTGGCATCCTGGTCGGATTTTCGGTGGCCACAGGATCGAGGTAGACAGTGCGATGGATTACTCTGAATATGCCAATCCATATGGATTTCTGCCACACGGGGCAGCCCTTCACTTATTTGCATCTGATCGTTGTGATGCCCGTTTTGAATACCACGTCCTTTGCGCAGTTGAGTTTTGTTCGTCGGAGAACTTTCTTGGCTTTGGCATCTCCATCATCATACTACAAACGCCTATTTTTGTCCACTGCTTCATTGCCGTCCCCGTGTGAATTTTGATTGGTCAGTCAGGACTCACTGCCATGTTGACCAATCCTCCGTCGTCGCTCTCGCCGCCGCCGCCGCTTACAAAGTTATAGCAGCCTCGTTATGTACCCGGACAGTCTTCTCAGAATTTTTGATTTCAAATTGATGTGATATGCCAATTACCTCCCAAGGGCTCCTACAGCCCTGGCTATATGTGCTCTTTACCGCAATTCATGTCCAACTCACTGCCAGCTTCTACCCAGCAACCCGGCGCCGCTCAACTTATTAGCCTTCATCTCCCACTCCTCGATCCTGATTATCAACTCGCCCATCAGGCCGTTCGCCCAGCCGAACCAAGCCCGCGTGAACGCATTCCCATTCCACGAGTTGACGCTCTCGTGGACGACGCCCATGCCCGAGGTCGAGTTCAGCACCATGCCCAGCTGCTCGGCGACCTCGTCCTCCACGCCGCCCTTCCCCTTGGGCCCCGCGAGCCCCGTCTCCTCGTCAAAGGCGGTCATGCCCGCCACCAGGGCCGCCATGGGCCACGCCCTGCCGGGGCCGAGGTGCGGCCCGCCCACGGCGGAGATCTCGGGCCCCTTGGCGTAGTAGGGGTTCGCGAGCGAGAGGGCAAAGCGCCGGGTGTTCTGGTAGATGGCCGCGTAGTCCCGCCTCGGCGGCGCGTGCTCGCCCTCGGGCAGCTTTGCCAGCCGCGCCGGCGGGCCCCGCGCGTAGCCGAAGAGCGGCATCGACAGCAGGCTGGGGACGTTGGCGTCGTCCATGAGGTTGACGCCGCCGAAGCCGTCGCACTCGTACGCGAAGATGTCGCCAAAGTCGCGGTGCTTGACCACCGCGTCCTTGTCGATGCCGCGCCGGATCCCCGCCGCCAGGGAGCGCATCCCGGCCGTCACGTTGGCGGCCCGCGCCGTCTTGTCGGCGTCCATCCCTGGGAGTGCGTTGCTGCCCTTGCCGCCCTCCGCGAGCGCCTCCATGATGATGGACGCCTCTTCCAGGTAGGTCGCAAACATCATGTTGGCAGGTACCAAGAACTGGAAGATGGTCGCGTCGTCGCTGGGGCGGAACGCCGTCCGCACCATGCCGTTCGTCTTGCTCGGGTTGCCGAGCCCGTCGTTGGTCAGCGTCTCGGAGCCCCTGTTCGTCCAGCCCGTGAAGGTCCACGCCGAGGGGAGCACGCGGCCCTCGTCGTCATAGGTGCCGACCGTCATGGCGGCGGCGGCGTCAACAGAGGCCTTGACGGCATCGATCCAGTTGTACCGGGCGAAGAAGGCCAGGTCTTTGGTCCGCTCGTAGTAGCCCGAGCTGACCTGGAGGAAAGAGGCGAGGCTGTCGAGCTCCCACTTGCAGTCGAAGACCTTGACCGGGTCGTAGGCCGGGCGCGGGTTGTTGTTGTGGTACGCGCCGTTGGTCGTGGGCGGGATGCCGGACTCGGGTGGGGGCTGGAACGAGTGGCAGTAGGGGGATATGATGATGTAGCGCGAGTGTGAGTTGATCAGCCCCCGCCAGAGTGAGTTCAGCGTGTTGAGTTTGCCGCCGACTGATGAGCTCTCTGGTGACAGGAAGTGCAGGTACGAGTACAGTTGGCTCGCGCTGTCGCGCAACCACATGGCGTCGATATCGCCCGTGACTACAAGTATCCATGATGTTAATGAGTCCATCTCATATAAATTTCATGTAGATGTCATGTGTGGCAAGGAGGTGTGAGTTCTCACTGATGTAGCTGAGCTCCTCCGTCGTCTCAGTGCCGTTGTCCTGGGCATACCCGTGCCACTTGACCATGGTGTCCAGCGTGTTCGGGAAGCTGTTCTGGAAGAGCCTATACAGATCCGGGTCCTTGATCTTGGACTCCATCTTGGTGATGTACTCGTCGAGCTCCGGGACCACAAAAGTTCGACACTCGGGAGGCGGGCGGACCAGGGGAAACTTGCGTCTGCCCGTTGACTTGGGGCCTGGCTGGCTACTCATGTAGCTCTCAAAGCTCACGGGACATTCCACCGTCGGTTTCGGAGCCTGTCCCCCAGCCTTGACCGGGGTGGCTGAGGCCTCTCCTTCAACCTTCTCGTTGCTGGGCGAGGCCGGCGGCGGGACGTCCTCGGGGCTCGTTGGGCGCTCGTAATCGTAGTCATCTTCCTCTTTCCCGTCCCCAGGCCCATCCGTCTCATCGTCATTCAGCCCCGGGGACCCGGGTCGGCTCAGGGCATCGCCGCTGGGCGGCGGCGTATTTGCCTTCCCGTCCGCCACGGCCCCGGCCCCGGCCCCGGGCGCCGGGTCAGTCACAAAGTCCGGAACGTCGCCCCATACAAGCGGCCGGTCCCAGCCAATGTATAAGAATGTAACGGTAATCAGGAGCGCCAAAATCAGCAGCCTCATGCTGCGGGTGCTAACCATCTTGACAGACACCACGCGAGCATTGTCCGCGGGACACAGGCACAGGAGCAAGAAGCAAGAGAACAGATAGGTAGGCGGTCGACCGCTGAAGATGCGATGAAACCAATGCCTGGCTCCAGTCCCTCTGGCTGCCAAGTGTCTCAGGATTGTCGTCGACTCATCCGACGATCAGCAAGCACAGACGCGGACTGGCGGGCTATGCACAGCGCGAAGGAAGAAGAGGTTCCAGAATTGTCGTGGAGGAATGTTTCCCAAGCGGTGGCATGCGTTGATCAATTCAGGACTGCATAGCTGCATAGCTGCATAGTACGCCCCTGATCGCTTACACCTGGGGCCGCCACATGTGCATTCAGGCGACCCGAGCGGCGTGCCATGGTCCGTCAGCTTGTGGCCTCTAGTCTCTTGGCTTCCAAGCTTCTTAGTTGCAATTTGGTCGTCCGCCGGGGGGTGCCTTTCTGGCTTACATCAGCAGGCGCCAAGTGATTGACGACAGGTCTCCCGATAGTAAGGAGGTCAAAGGAAGCTCTGCCTCCGAGCCTGTCGTGTACTGGTCGGTCGACAGTAATTGAAGGAATATTCATTTAATTCCACAGTATCTCCACACAAGTTGCAACCCAAAAAAGCAATGCATGAACCACCACTGAGCCTTTCCAACCACACAATTGCAAGTGTTGCCTAAGTACGTAACCTAATAGAGCGCAGAGTACAATGTGAGATACCGCAGCGATATAGCACTCGCTGGCTTCCGCTGCGCACGGAACTTGACGTCTTCCATCGCCCTTAGCGCCGCCAACTGCCTAGGTACACACCATCCCCCTCCCCAACAAGACTGCGGGATTGTCGATTGCGCAGAAGCTCCCTGCAAGGTTGGATATATAAAGCAGAGTGCGATTGGGATTGACAGAATTTCAGCTAGGGGATTGAGAGTCATATACGGTAATTGAATCACAGCGTCGGTGTTTGCAACCCAGGAAGCCTCATTTGATTCTGACATGGTATCCGTTTGCAATGACATTGCGACTGCGCCTATTGTAATTCCAAAATCCCCAAGGCCATCTAAAGTAGAATCGTCCGTCCTCCAAAACAGTCATCAATTTGGCAAGAAAACAGGGCAGAGACATCCACCGTCTGTCTGTTCTCAATCCAACAAATCGTTGTACTCCTTATGAGATGCAAATGCAGGAATCCACCCGTCTTTCTCCGCCAATGCTTCTCGGCACCACGGGACCATCACCGTCGAAAGGGGTAAAGTAGGTTGTCGTATTTTGTGTCTTGGGGCCTCGGCTCTGCCGGCGTAACACGAATGGGGCATAGTAGCACACAGGCGCTGTGGATAAGACAAGCGCGGATACTGTGGAGCCAGGGATGAAGAGGCTTGGGAAATGTCTGGAGCGTTTCGTCCTCTGGGCCGTTGAGCCACTGCAACACAAGGCTGTCGTTAAGCTGACAGGGGCTTTAGGATGTGGCTGGTTCGAGACACCCCACGAGGAGGCTGGAGGAAGGATGATGTTACCACATCAGGTCGACTGAAATAGCAGGGGTGATTAGGTATTAGATTGCGTGGGTGCATCTGGCAACCGAATGATGCACCGCGACAAGCGCAGCTCTCAGAACTTGACCTTCTTGCCGGTGACCTTGTAGATGATAGGGGCGACAAGGTCCTCCTTGAAACGTTCCCACGGGTTTCGGTTCAGCCAGTAGCTGAGTTCACGGTAGTTGTACATCTCGCCCCAGCAATCTCGGCCCCACTCGCAACCTGCCATGTTGACGACAAAGTCACGGTCGTTCTGGTCATAGTGAACGCGTGTGTCGTTGCCCTTATCGGAGCACGCGCCCGGAGGAAAGCTGTTGATCTTTCTCTGCGGCGCAAAGGCCGTGTGGGATCGGATCCACGCCTGGCTTCGGTAGAGTTGCTCCAACGCATCCTGTTCTTTGTGTGCCCACTCCATATGCTTCTGCTCGTAGGCCACCGGATCCCACCAAACATCGAGCAGGCGGTCGGTCCACTGGCCGCGTCGCATAAAGAAGGAGCCGAGGTTGAAGCCACCGCAGTCCTGGGAGAGGATCAAGTTCACCGAGTTTATGTCTCCGTCACCGACTGGGCTTCGCAAATCATCGTCAAGGTAGGTGTCGTTTAGGGGATGCGTGATGTTCAGAGGGTTGTACTCGTTGATGTCGCGGTAAATGTTATTCTGTAGCTGATCGAACATGTGACTTTGGAGGGAGTACGATGGTTCCATGATATAAGTGTTGAGGTCGAGCCACCACACCCTGCGGACTGGTTAGCCTGAGATCGAGAAGTAGGTCAAGATGCACTTACCACTCCGCCTTGGGGTACTTCATGAAGGCTTGCCTGACAAAGTCGACTTTCTCCCAGCTCTCTCGCCACTCGTGAGCGTATCGCTTCTTTGTGCTCATATCTACGACTTCCAGGTCGTAGCCCCAGTTTGCGACGTACTTCTTCTTGTTGCGCATACTGTCGCGCTCGATCGCCCACTCCCTCGCGCCTTTCCATTCCATGACACCGCCACCAACGTTGGCGGCTAGTATTATCACGTATTTTTCTCCGCCGCCAAGCCATGCTTTCCGGCGCCAGTGATATATTAAAGCTGGCGAAGGTCAGTATGTAGGACAGAGCCCGCAAGCTCCGGGGACACGTACGGGATTGGTAGAATATGATGATCGCGACAAGCAGCAGCAGGACGAAAAGTAACCGCAGCTTCGACTTTCGGCCCATGCGCGCCAATATGTTTCTTATCCTGCCATATAACGGCACCGACTGAGCTGGGGCCCATCTGCCCTTTTGCAATTTCTCCTTCTCGGCGTAATGTGTGCTCGTATTGAACTGTGGCAGGCTGTTCGATATGCGGCGCATGTGTCGGGTAAAGAAGCCCTGGTTCTGAGTCGCGAACGACGGGTAGCCACCATTGCCCATATTCTTGATGCGCGCAGACTCCCAGACGACTTGGTTTCCATTGGAGCCTGGGAATGCGGCCGAGGGACTGGATCGACCGCTCGTGTTGATATCGAGGCCGGGGCTGCTCCATCCGCCGGCGGGAAGGGGGGACGGGCTTCTCGAGAGGGACATTTGGAAGCCTGGGGTGCCTGTGCCATGGAGGGTGAAGGGGTTAGCAGGAATGTCACGGGGGCAGGGCGGCGGGCGGCGGGCAGCGGGCGGCGCGGTTGCGACTGGAAAGGGGAGCGTGTACGGGACATAACTCATACCTGGGATCGGGGAGAGCTGGCTAGGCTTCTGCCGATGGACGCCAAGCGACCCAAGCGAGGAGGCGGGCTCGCCTCCCAAGGAAATCTTGAGGCCACTCGAAGCAGATGAGCGTCGTCGGTGGTGGGAGGGGGCCGGTCTGTCCTCAGCCGAGGAGGAGGTAGCGGAGGGTCTTGGGGGAGCCAGGTTGACGGTGCAGGTGACAGCGACCAGAGGGCAAGGCTTGCCTCCTGGTTAGCCGAAAAAGCCAAGGGGCTGCGAGGTGGATAGGGAGGTTGGAGTTGCGGGCGGTGGTGTTACGGCGGCAAGGATGCGAGGTATTGGGCGAGCGGGTGGGCGAGTGGGTGGGCGTGGGGTTGCAATCCGCTTTGTGTCTAGCCTCGTGCTCGAGTCGACCTCGGGTGTGATGATTTGACGGGTGGGAGCACAGCCGTCGAGGTCTCAGTAGGTGCGCACGCAAGAGGTCGCGATGGCCCTATTGGGACGGCAAGTCGAGTCGAGTCGAGTCGAGCCGAGACCTGGGCAGGGCACGACAGGTGTCTCCGTCACGGATGGGAAGTTGGAGCTGGGAGCCTGCAGAGAGATCGACAGAGTCGTCGTGCGTGTGTGCCAGGGCAGAGCTGTCACGGTGACGGGCTGGGCCCACGGGTGGTTCTGAGTGGGGGAAGGGGGGCCGGGAAATGTGGTGCTTTCAGGGTCTGGATGCGATGGGACGAACGGGGACGGGCTGGTATTTTGCTGGCGCTGGGCCGATAGATTGTCATGCAGCCCCCGTTTCCGTGCGATGGGTTCTGGCGCAAATGAGCAGCAGTGGGCGACGGAGAAGAGAAGATGGGAGATGGAAAGTGATGTACAGTATGTCTTTGGTCCGCAACTGGCAGGAAGGAAGAGCCTGGGCTGGCTGGGCACACAATCAATGAGATGAATGCAGATTGCAGATTACAGATCACAGATCACAGATCACAGGCCACAGGCCACAGGCCACAGGCCACAGGCCACAGGCCACAGGCCACAGGCCACAGATCACAGATTGCACAAGAGCACTGACTCGCCGGGAAGGGGAAAGCCCGTGCAGCCTGGCAGCCAGCGAGCGACCCATAACTTTAAATGACAGCACTCTGCAATCTCAGGGGTCCAAGAGGCCCTCGCCAAAATAACATACATCAGACGAAGGAAGAGCCTGACCATCTTGATGCTACCTGCAGGATCCCACCACGGGCTACTACGGCGCCCATCATCGCATAGCAATGCAACATAAAACGACACAAATTCCCGCCCGAGCAAAAGACGGTGGCGGGCGGACAAGGGCAGCGGAACGGGCCTGACAGCTGAGTAGTCTGGACGGAATACGGGCTGCTCTTAGTAACGCGCCAGCCGTATTCCCATCGCGAGTGTCTTGGCACTTGACTAAAGTACATCTGTAGTATCAGCACTAGCCATCCTCCGACTGATGAACCGAAGGCATCAAGCAGCGCTTATTCCTCTGTCCTTTGCTGTTGTTGTCCTTCCAGACTGACTGCGCCACAAGGTGCACAGGACTCTGCAGAGCATCACGACTCCAGCGTCGGACTTGTGCCCCCGTGCGACCGAGGGGCTTGGCAAGGGAGGCTGAATCCCAGGCGAGACAGGCAGAACAGGCCTGGCCGACGATAAACCCTGGGCACCTGTCTTGTTTCTGGGTGAGACGGACATCACGTGAGCTCGAGGTAAGATCTGCCGACCGCGGATTACCATCTCGTGGTAGCGACTGTGTGGTAGATGAAATGCTGCATGTGTATAGTAAGCCTCAAGAGTTGCTGGTGTCCACTGACTGGCAGCCACCTGGGCATGTTCGCGTGCTGTGAGCGAGAAATCGCCCAGGCTGTCACATTTGCTTCTGATTGTATGAGCATCGTTTCGCCGGCTCGAGTCGCCCTGCTGAGACCACCTTTTCCCCAAGACTACCTAGGTACTTAAGTACGTAGGTAAGTACTTGATTAGACTCGGGAACGAAGTCGTGGTCTGGCGATCGTAGTGGTCGTGGGCTTTAGAATGTGTATGCGACATCAGCAGCACACAAACCCACCTCGTACCGCGGAAACCACGCGCAGACATCGGAATACCCACGCAAGCCACGCTCTGCACGGTCTACATGTGGCAATCCACCACCATCTCGCCAAGCATTTCAAGCTTCCCTCCCGCTGGGGCTCCCTGCCGATCCCTCGCCCTTTGGGGACGACAATGGCCCAAGCACCAGATGCACTGGCAAGGATCTGTGTCGATGGCAGGTCTGTCAACTGTCATGATGCTTTTGCTCTTCCTGCCTGGGTTATGGGACCATGTACGTCAGAGGTGGCCTCGGAGTCGTTTAATGGCTTTTCCGATGCGCCAGACACCTCAGACTTTCCCCCCATACCAAAACACACGGCAGCATTGATCAATCCAAAGCGAAAGATGCCGCCCACAACCCTAGGCACTAGATCGACGACAAAGAGCATCAGAGTCAAGTCTGGCACGGGGTCGTTTGTCTATTCGTTACCGAGCCACGACAACAAGTCCCACAGTTGAATCACTACACCTCGCCGCCAAGGCAGCGAGGAACTCGGTGTGTCTGACGCCGAAGACATCCAATATGATTCGGCACCAAGCAGTCCATCATCAGAAGGCCCCATACTATTAGACAGCCCGTGCCCGTCGCCACGTTCCAGACCGACACAGTCCACAACCCCCCTTGCCAAGTCAAGACAAGAGATGACCTGGACTTGACTATGTGTCTAGTCAAGGAATATAAGGCCGACCTTACCAACCGTAAAGACAACCCAGATTGGTTTGAATCTTGGCCTCAGAGGTATGCGATCTCCAAGCGTGCTAGAGAGTTGATGAAAGACTCTCTCTTACGTTGGGACTTTGTTCCCTGCCTACTTATCATGTGTGATGCCGGGATTGAGGACTTGGACAAACTTATCATGCTAGAGGCCATCTACCAACATGTCGTACAGAAGTTTTCGAAGATGAACTAGAAAAAGACCAGATATCTCAAACATAACATCAGCCATCTTAATTAATGAGATCGGGTATTCACATCCACCAAAACGGAGGGTATACCCAAGCCTCAAGGGATAACCTCTTATAGGATAAACCTGTAAGATAATTACTTGTGGCTTGGTGCTGAATTAAGCACTTTGAACTTTGAGTTGCCTGGTATGGGTGCACCCTCCGTTTTGGCGGGTGCAAATATCCGGTCTCATAATTTGATGATCTAATATCCTGTGTACCTAAGTTGTCTACCGCATGGGGTGTTGCCGCTGTTGAGTTTGCTCCAGCATCAAGGTACTTGATAATGCGGGGAACGTACTTAGGTAGGAAGGGAGCCATACGTACTCGATATAAATCCAACGGCAGCAGCCAAGGACGCCCGATACACATCGCGGACATCGAGCTCCCGGCGAAAAGTGATGAGGCAGACCACTACGGCCATTACCGGAGCCACACAGGCGAACACGAACTCGCGAACACACGTGCAAGAGTCGTCATGACCCACACACGTACCTGGGCATGCTACCTTCTGCAACAATGATGCTACTGGACTCGTGCCTGCGGACCAGAGCTCACCCGGGCAAGGGATCAGTATTATGTAGACGGGATCCAGCCCATCCGAGCGCAAGCGCCGACATAAGCGCGCAGCCCGCAACTCATTTCAAACCTCCTCAGCTTGACGCCGGCCGTCTCAATACTAAGGAGTACTATGGGACCACCGTGAGCCCCACTCTGTTGTCTGATCGATCTGACCAGCCCGTGGCCATGCGTGCATATGATACCCGGGCCCGATCAAGCTGGCCTGCCTGGATCCTACCCACCCACTGACAAGAACATGATGTCGCGACAGCTCCCTGCCCGTCCCCGTATGCACGATTAGTGTCCCGAACTGACGGGCCTCCAAAGTGACCGTCGATAGCAAACAAGGTCCAAGACCCCCTCCTACAACATGAAATGGCCCAGACCTTGGGGTCAGGCGGCCACATGGAGGTCTCGATGAGCGGCATGTCCTGAAGGCCTGCCATCGAGACCGCTGGCCTTGCTGCTCATTGGTGGGTGGATTGTCAATTCGACAGAATTATTGGCAATCAATGATATTTGCAGACATGGGTGTGCTTGTGTACACAGGAGCTTGGGCCGACCGGGACGGGATCAGCAGCCGAGCCGAGATACAGCATGGATTCCCGACCACAGAAGTTAGACACAAAGACATGCATGTGTCGGCCGTCTCATCCTTGACGCGAAGCTGCAGGGCCAGAAGAGCTCGCAACCTTGCAAGTCTTGTTGACGCGATCGCGGTGGTGGTGTTCGTGCAGACACGCAATTTCACCACCACGACGTTGGGACCAAAGCAGGATGGACCCAGAAGGCGATATGCAGGGGGCCATCTGCAGGGGAGGGCTGCGCGGCATCTTGGTCGTGGCGGGCCAGACCGATTGGCGTTGGAGGGCGCTTCGAGAGAGGCCCTGTGCGGTGCTCGGCCAATCGTTTTACACCAAGACGGCTGGGTGGGGCTGGGGTCTGTGACTCGAGCGCTTACCGCAGCAAAAACTCGAGCCTCGACGCAAATCACCACCAAAGCCAACGTTTAGGCGCCGTCATGTGCAGTCGAGCCCTGTCCCGAGCTGCAGCATTTAGACTGGCGAGATTTCACCACATGCCTGTCCGCGCCAGTCAGGCCAGTCAGATCTGCTTGATGCTCAAACATTGTCATCCGGGGGTTTCCTGGAGGGTTCCTGCAGTCGCGCAGCCCCACCGGTCGAGAGGGTGGACCAGTTGACTGACTGCCCTCAAGTGCTGCTCCGCCGCCCAACTCTCGTGCCACCATGAGGATACTCACTCATCACTCATCTCAACATGGCTTGAAAACTGGTCATTTTTTATCTTTCTTTGTTCTCTGCCTTTGTTCTTCTGGCCAAAGTCATTGTGCGTTGGTTCACGCGCCATGGTCTTCTCATTGTTCTGACCAACACGCGTTGCTGTTGCCATTGTACTCCTTCGACCATCCTATTCTTCACACCACCCAACACCACCCACACATCCTCTCCAACCACCCATGTAATTGGTTTAATCTCTCGAGTATTTTTCCTTCCCTTGGACGAAGCCTGAAACCTCTCTCTGTCTGCTATATCCTCATCGCACCCTACCTATCCTTGGGCTGCGAATTAACGGAAACGATACTCTTCATCTGCTCTTATCCCAATTGCATTCTTCAAGGCTCAGATCTCTTGACGAGATCTCCCCTTTTGTTTACCCAGAAAATCTTGAGCAAATCTTGAGCAAATCTTGATACGCACTTGCCACAGTGCCTACCACTCCTGAGATGGAGGACCTCAGAGCCATGCACATCGCCATGGCTGCAACACAGCCTCAAAATGGGACCCAACGGGATGAGTGGGAGGAATGGACAGACGATGAGGCACCCACGCCCAGAGCAGACGACTTCCCCGCCCCATTGGCGGTACCAGGCTTTTCCTCTTCGTCAAAAACACAGACCTCCACCGCACAGCGGTCCTCCAAGCCGAGACAGTCGACCATGAGAATCCAGAGACTCAAGTCTCGCAAGCGGCAAAAAGACCAGAATGCCAAGGCGGGCATCAGACTGGTCACAGACATGACCAGGTTCCGAAAGGGGCCTCAACACGCCGTACAGCTCGTGAAGCCTGCGCCTGGCCCTCACTCCAGTCATCCGGCCACAGGCAAGTTCTCTGACGCGAGCGCCTTGAGGGCTCTGGAAGGGTCGCCCAATCCCGGCTCGGTTGGGAACTGGGCCTGGCTCAAGAACAGCCCATCAACTGCTTCAGTCTCGACCTTTCAAGGCGATACCACCCCTGACAGCAGCAAGATAGTCATTGGTATATCCTTGCCCGAGGATGACGCTGCCGGCAAGGACATCAGCCCCCAGACTGCCGTCGTCGCCACTCCTTTTGACAGACTGCCTTTCAGCAAGCCTTCGACGAATCCCTTCCAGAACCAGCAGCCCAAATCTGCCTGGTCCCCCGACACAGAGGATAGCTTCTCCCCGGCGCGCCATCTTCGCTATACGTCAGGTCCATCACCACAGGTCACGAGCGCCACGCCCGGGCAGCCCGGCGTGCCACCTGTGCCAGCATTGCCGACGTCCCTGAAAAATCCAGCCAGGGCCAGGCTGTCGAGGAGTGACTTTGACGATGACTCCGATTCCACCCCGATCACCTTGTTCGAGGAGGATGGACACAAGACCCCAGCCTCCGCGACCTCAAAGCTCTCACCGGGAGCAATGACGGCGACGAGCGCCCGGTCTGGCTGGTGGGACCACCTCACCACTCCTTTCCGCGAACGCTTCAGCCCAACATCAAAGTCTGACAAGGAGGCCCCGAGTCCGGCTGCAGATGAGTGGTGGAAAGGACAAGATGAGAAGAAGTCGATCGGCGCCGCTCATATTGAAAACCATCCAGCCTACAGCGCCGCTTCGGCATCTTCTGCGACACTGCGGCCACACCCATCGCCCGTCCCCATCATCCGCGTTCCAACACCGACGATAGCGTCTTCTTCATCTTCCGGCGCGTCCACCCAAGCGCCAGGTCACGAGGGCGAGTCTCGACCCGAAAAGGCGAGAGCCATGATGGAGGATGAGGAGGGCCATGACGCCCCGACGGAAATGCCACCACCGTACGAGCGAACACCCTCCACCAAGCAGCCCAAGCCCGTTCGATTCCGCGCCGTCTTCCCTCCAGGACACGAACTATCCAACACCTACCCGCCTTCTCCGCAGCCGGGCAGCCCCGGTCTGGACGGGACGATGACCTCACAGGGAGCCATCAAAATGTCTGATGTACCCCTGACTCCGGCGCTTGGCACAAGCACTCCGCTGCCAGAAAGAAAACCAGGCACTTATGTGACTGGAGACCACTTCCTCGCAAACTATGGAAATGACCCCGCCGCAAAGATCGAGCGGACCAGGCGCAGGCACGAGAAGGAAGACTACGTCGCCCACAAGGCCGGGGGGTTCTGGAGGGGCCGCGGATGCGTCCCCGAGAGCGGGTGTTACGGCCGCTCGGGTCGGGAGGGCCGCCAGCGCAGGAGGGTCTGGATCGGCGCGATCTGCCTCGCGTTCCTGTTGCTGACCACCCTCGGTGTTGTCCTGGGTGTTGTGCTCTCACGCAGGATGGCGCGCGGACCCGGTGGTGACACTACACCCACCACAAGCGGCTCCACAGGCGGCTCTACAGGCGGCTCTGAGATCCAAAACACCTGGCTCAACCTGACCGACTTCCCACCTATGCCTACCGGCCTGTCGACCATCGTAGCCCCGGACAACTCGCAGGTCGTCAACGGCTGCGCCGCGCCGTCGACACTCTGGAGCTGCTCGCTGCCTCCTGAGCAGCAGGCAGCGAACGAGCCTTCTGATGCCGACCAGCCTGGATTCATCTTCCAGATCCAGTATGACAACAACACCCGCCAGCTGTGGAACATGCCCAACGGCACTCCCCCAACACCAACCCGACCCCAAGCATCTACCTCTTCCAAGGCGAGTGCTTCCAATACGGCCTCATCATCCACCAGCGCAAGCGCAAGCGCAAGCGCCACCAACAACATCCAGGGCGGCGACCTGAGCAACCCCAGCTCGTCCCCAGGAAAGCGTGCCATCAACCTATATGACACCGGCATCGCGCCCAACCCCGACCCGCCGTCGTTCCAGGAGATGTGGTTCCTGGGCAACACGACGGACGGGATCGTCTCGGACGAGAAAGCGGGCGAGCCCACGCCCTTCTACATCAGCTTCTTCACCAACACGAGCGGCTCGGCTGGGCCGAACATGCTCCGGTCGGACGGGGCCGGGAAGCGCGGGATAGGCAACGGCATCGGATCCGGGTCCGACAGCACGGGCAGCCTGTCCGACTTCCTGCCCCCGCCGCCCCTCAACGCCGACGGCACGGGCGCGCCCGCGCAGCTGCGGCCGTACCCCTTCCAGCAGCCCCTGCGGCTCTTTGACCGCGGCCTGCCGACAGAGCACTACGGCTTCTACTCGTACTTCAACAAGACCATCTACGTGACGTCGATGGACGGCAACGACAGCTCGGGCCCGGTGGCGGCGGACGCGAACGGCGGGTCGCGCGAGGGCACGGCCAAGTTCCTCGTGTCGTGGACGCAGACGCGGTTCATCGTCAAGATCTGGACCCGGAAGGGCGGTGCCAGCAGGCTGATGGGCGGCTCCGGCCGCCCGGCCGCGGACGTCGACGACCTGGCCTCGATGCCGGGGACCTTTCCCTACCCCGTCACCGTGGGCGAGGACACCCACGGCGGCAGCGTCGACCTCAAGGCTACCTTTGCGTACGGCGTCGAGCCGGACCGCCACGTCAACACCACCGACGCCACGCTATTTGCCAATGACGTTGGCTTCGGTGCTCCTGCTGTCAACCCCCGGTTGCCCAACGGTGACCTGAGCTGGGGCGGCGTGGACGGCGGCACGGGTGGTTGCCGGTGTGAGTGGGTGAACTGGGTGGAGGCTTGAGTATGGTCCTGGAGACATAAAAATAATTTGTTTTAATTAATTCATAAATCATTCATGGATGTTGATGCTATGCCAAACGTGCCCTATCTGTGACAATGACCGGCCAATGTAAACCCCGACTCTCCCCGGCCCCAATTCCTGTTGAGCTAGTAGTCTCAGACCTGGAGTCTATCTACATAGGACGGACTGTGCATCCTCTGTGAAGTGGCTCGGGTAACACATTGTGTGCCCTTTAGTCTCTATGCAGCCCACAGTGTCGACGAACTTGCGGGTATCTTGAGAGATCATTGATACCCCCTTACCCCAATCGCCTCTGTTCTCCATCCATCATCTCCCGGCCCTGCAGCAGGCACACTTGCAAGCTCATGCGTCCCAAGACACCAGCCCAATCTGCAACTGCTGTGTATCGTTGCAAAACGACATGTCAAGCGTGAGCAGTGGCTCACATATCCGGTAAGCAGGGATATGGAGAGCTACCTCCGCTCCCAGCCAGGTACTGGGGCGAGCCTAGAGATGACCCGACGCCTGAGCTGGCGAAGGAAGAGGGCGCGCTCACGTAGTATGGGGGGTATGTGTCCAGGGAGCCGTCGATGTTCAGGTTCATGGTGTCATAGTGGTCCATGCCAAATCCCGGGTCGAGGCCCGGGTCTTGGTACTGGAGATTGCTATGCAAATATGGCGGCATATAAGAGAGGTGCATCCCCGGGCCCGGAACCTGGTTGTAAGCCGACGCGGCGGCAGACGCCGCCGCAGCAGCGGAGAGTTGAGCGCGGATGGCCTCGTTCTCGTCCCGTAGCACCTGTCGTGCACTCTCGGCGTGGGAGATGCTGTCTCGGATGCCAGCGATGTCCGCCTCGAGCTGCTCCACGTACTTTGCCTTGCGCTGGCGGTGTGCTACCTGTGCCTTTCGAACCTGGATTCTCCGCTTGTCCTTTGAGGCCTGCCCCGGTTCGTGGGCCTGCACGGGTGCTAGGAGCGTGTATGTTAGCTGGAGTTGGTTGGCTACATTTGTGAACCTTGTCCAAAGCAGCTGCGGCGCGGGAAGTGGCTTGATGTAGCAATGGGTACCCAGGACACATGGTGCCAGGGCGCGACTAAGTCCCACGCAGATTCCCAAGCTCCACGCCCGGCGTCGACTGTTGGGCCGTTCCGAGCGTAGCGTTGACAAATCTTGGTCACCAAATCAAGACAATGTGTCACGCTGCAGGTTTCCCAGATTTCTTGGCCCCGTCCGGCTGGTTACAGCAGAGCATATAGCCTTGGACATATAAGAAGAGCAACAGCAGCACTCATAAACATGAAATCCCCACACACCTTTACCACTCGACTGGCTGGGGTCGCTCTGGACGAAAGTGAGCTCTCGGGCTGTCGACTCGTCCTTTGTTTTCCTCCAGAAGGACGTGAATGACGGACGATCTTCAGACTGCGCCTCCATTGTTCACAAGCTGTCTGACTGAGGAGCGAGGATGGTATTCAGGGCCGGCGGGAAGAGGAGTATCGTGGTCTGCTCCAGGCAGGACGATGCGCGACGGCCAGACCGCCATGCTCATTCATATACGCCGCCCTCGACCCTCGGCGCCCGCCCGGCATTGGTGCTCCAGCAAGCTGAATAAGACCTGGGCACTCCGTGGCGACGACATCCTTGCAGCGAAGCAGAATTTGCGCCCGTCACAGGCGGAAGAGGGAGCGTCTCCATGCATGAGGGAGTGGTGAAGCTGGGTCGAGGTTCGACGAGGTGTCACCTCCTTCCTGGGTCCCATGGTGGTTATTCCGCATTGGGACAGCGACCAGGACAAAAGAGGTAACCAGGTTATTCAGCAGTGCGTGAGCGTGCAACAGTGTGCGCGGCCAATCATGGCGGGCGCGCAGCTGCGGCCGCCTGCACGGAGTGCCCCGACGAGTGAGCTCTCTCTTATGTCCGGTGACACATATTGTGCGGGTGGCACGAGTGGGCCAAGTGGCATATTCTGAGGGCTTGAGTACCCAGGGCCCAGGCAGCCAGGCAGCCAGGCAGCCCAGAGAGGAACAGCCAGGGTGTCAGGGGCGTGTGCCGGCCCGGGAGTCGCTGGGAGAGTCTTGCAAAAGCCAATTCGAATCCCACCCGGGACTTGACCCGTCTGCTGATTCCGAGCTGAGGCGCCGACCTCTCCGTCCACCCAGGGCCGGAGCGGCGCAGCTCGGCCCCGAGGTGGTGGAGGACAGACGCTGAAGCATGCAAGCAACAAGCTTCTGCAGCGAAACAGTCGGGATTGCGCCAAGCCCCTGCCGGTCCAGAAGGGCAGGGGGAGGCGGTGAGAGCAGGGTAGGAGTAAGACGGACCAAAAAGCCACCGACATGGGCTGCAGTGGCCGGCGTGGGATTCAATCTGATTCGAGGCTGTGCATGCAGGACGGTACTCGGCTGCCTGGCTGTCAGAGCCACGCGGCTGGGCTCTTAGCTAAGTACGGAGTACTTCCTTACACATGCCCACGACGAATGGTTGAGGAGGGGCTTGGAGGGATGGCACATGCGGCCTCGGCCAGCAATGTGACGCTTCTCTGGGCACTCAAGTATATGCGCCCACGTACAGTGCTGTACAGACAGGGTGCGTCGAGATGGGATGGGATAGGATAGGATAGGATGACATGGGGTGGGATGGAATGCTGGTACCCCATAATTGGCGATGGGGGTTTTGACACAACCGACACACTCCTGGCATGGTGTACGGAGTAGATGAGCGCGTCATCCACGGCAACCTTGGGAAGAGGATGGATAAGAAGCATGGTTCAGAGCTGGCGGGATTCGGATCCGAGCCCAGGTCCAGTCAGCGGCTGCGATGTGTCCTCAAGATCATGCGCGGCGTGCTTGAAGAAACGTGGGCAGCCAGCCATGCTGCTGGTGCTGATGCTGCAGCTAGACGTCTGTCATGGCTGTCAGGCCCGCCGCAGCGAGAGGGAGATTGATTGATAACGAATACACACTGACGCCTGTTGCACTTGGGTCAACTGGTGTTAGTCCAAGACAGTAGTAGTGCAGTTGCACTGTCGTACACAGTAGGCGTGAGATACTGTAGAAGGCTAGAGAACCTAGCAGCATTGGCCAGTCCCAAACATGTTTAGCTGTATTATTAATCTGGGTTGCAGATACATAGCCTTGGGTGGAGACATAGTTGCGGTTGGAGGTAGAAGGCACTTAATAAGTGCTCATCCTAGTGCGCCTGCCGATCTCCTGAGTCGCACTCGGATTGTGACGGTTGATGCACCGTCGAATCCCGCTCCCCCCAAACCCACGGGCCTGGTAACAAGGATGAGACAGCCAGACTACCCTTGGTGGTCAGTCTAGACAGTTGGACAGGTACTACGTAGACTGTTTGACACCACCTCGGGCTGCCCACCTCGGGACGCATCCTGGCATCCAGTTCCTATCCCATCCGCCTGTGCGCAGCAGACAGCAAGCAGACAAGCGCGCTCCCGCTTCCTATTGCAGCTGAAAGGAGAGGCATCCTACATAGCACATACATCTCTCTGGCCCGAATCGACTTGGCCTGGCTTGACTTTTTGTCTGTTCCCCACCGCCGACGACCACCCTCACATGGCCCCTCGCCTGCCGTTTTTCTTCGCCTCACACGCCCGAATATCGATTAGATCATCGCCGACCTGCTCCAGGCCACCAGCCCCTCAACGTCCGCACTCCCCCGCCCTGTCAGCCCACGCTCCGCCTTGCCCCCCTAGCTAGACGGAACCCCTTCCGGTATCCACGACGCCCTCTCGCTTCCGCGGCACCGCCGCCGTTCGGCCCCCGAGTCGACGGCACTCGCCCATCACATCTTCTGCTGCCCGGCTCCGGACGCCACTCGGCCCTGCGGTACAACCCTCGCCTCCCCGCCTGCCCAAGGGCTGGCTCGTCGCGCCCTCGCCATGTCCACGTCGCCAGAGACGGACACGGCCATGAATGGCGTCGAGGATGCCGATGACACCCTCGCCGGCCAGGTGGAAACTAGCGGCCCGCCGACCACCGGCGCTGCCCCCCATCCACCCAACAATGCTGATGTACCCAAGCCCAAGCGCCTGGCATGTATGATATGCAGGAAGAGGAAGCTCAGATGCGACGGCACCCGCCCCCGTTGTAGCACATGTACGAGGTTGGGTCACGACTGCGCCTACGACGAGGTCCGGCGGAAGAGCGGCCCCAAGCGTGGATATGTCAAGGCTCTGGAGGAACGGCTGAGTGCGTCTGCTCCTACTCTGACAGGGCACGTCTTGAAAGACCAACTGCTGACACGAATTGGCGCTCATAGAACAAGTCGAGACTCTGCTCAAGACACAAGATCCGCCCGCTGTCCCCAAGCCAGTCGTGCATGTTGCTGCCCCTCCCGCACTCAATTCCGATCCCAAGGTCAACGACAGCCTCTCAACACCCAACAACCTCATTGTCAATGACCCTTCTATCAGCCTCTCTGCTGGGGGTGACATAGACCGGTGGAATTTCAACGGGGACAACTCCCCCCAACCTCCACAGCCCGCCGACACCTTCGACTTCAATGCTATACCAATGCAGAACAGCTTTACCTGGGAGATGATCGGCCTGGGTCTGGAAGAGCCTCTCCCTCCCCAAGAGTCTATTGATGAATTGTGAGTTGGGCCCTGTTCCGGCGGGATATTCACGTTGTAGCGGGAGGTACTAACACGTAACAACGTGCAGCCACCAGATATACTTTGAGAAAGTTCACCCTTCCATGCCCATGATACACAAATATCGCTACCTCGCAGCTATGAACTTGTAAGGCCTACCTCCTACATGACACCATGCTTATGTCTCGAAACCGGTCACTCACACGGTATTTAGAGCGCCAAGTCAGCGGCCACCTGTTTGTCTTAGGTATGCGATATGGACGCTTGCTTGTTCGGTAGCAGACAAGTTCGCCGATTTGAGAGACCTGTTCTACCAGCGAGCCCGCAAGTACGTCGAGGCCGACTACGTCAAAGGTTTTGGTGAACACCTGATCTCGGTCGCCCATGCGCAGACCCATGTCTTGCTTGCCGAGTATGAGTTCAAGATGATGTACTTCCCGAGGGCCTGGATGAGTACCGGTTCTGCTGTTCGGCTCTGTCAGATGATGGGACTGCATCGTCTAGACGGTGCTGGGTTAGACGTCAAGCAATGCATTCCCCCGCCCCGGGACTGGACTGAAAGAGAAGAAAGAAGGCGGACCTTCTGGATGGCCTTCACTGAGGATAGGTACGCCAGCATTGGTACAGGGTGGCCCATGACCATCGATGAGAAGGACATCATGAGCAATATGCCTGCTTCCGACGACGCCTACGATATGAGCCGACCGGAGCAAACACAGACCCTCGCAGACTCCATGACCCCTGCCGGGGCCGGTAGCATTTCCACAATGGGCGGTGTCGTCCTGATGGCATGCTTGTTCGGTCGCAACCTCCTCCATCTCCACCGGCCGGACGTCGATGACCGCGACCACGACCTCAATGGCGAGTTCTGGAAACGACATCGAAATCTGGACAACATCCTTCTAAACACGTCTCTCTGCCTTCCGGCTCACCTCAAACTGCCTGCGGGTCTAACAAACCCCAACGTCATCTTCACAAACATGTGCATACACACATCCACCATCTGCCTCCACCAAGCCGCCATCTTCAAGGCGGACAAGAACAGACTGCCGGCCTCTGTGAGTGCCGAGAGCAAGGTCCGTTGTATCACCGCAGCAAACGAGATTGCGAGTACCATGAGGACGATTTCACATATAGACCTCTCTACGGTGAGTTCCCAAGACGGTGATGTACTAGATGCCAATGCTAAAACCATTCCAGGTCAACCCATTCACCTCCTTCTGCCTCTATGTTGCCGCGAGAGTCTTCGTGCAGTACCTCAAAAGTCGACCTGACGACAGCCAGACTGTCGATTCACTTCGGTTTCTCCTTGCAGCAATGGGAGCCCTGAAGAGGCGGAACCCTTTGACCGAGTCCTTCCTTGTCCAGCTTGATGTCGACTTGGAAGCCCTCGGTGCGCGTATACCCAAGCTGAGGGCAGCTTTCCCAAGAAGCACATTGGGCGTGAGTCTGGATCCGTCAACCAACGTCGTTAGATATGTGAGACTGACTGGATGTGCCGCTTTAGCAAGATGGAGGCTATCCATGGCCTGGCAAAACCCCACCGGGTGCGAAGTGCGACGAGGGGGTTGATAATCACGGTATATTCGCGCAGAGTGGTTGTAATTACATGAAATCCAGCGACGCCAATGGTGACCTGGTCGGCGGTCCCGACATCGTTGATGCGGACCCAAGCCGTTCCAGCAATCAGACCAACCCGGCGAATATGCCCGGAGCAAACACTCGATGGCCAAACACGGGCCCTGCGGGGTACATGGATCGGTTGCGGTCTGGAAACGCCCACTCTTTCGGTTCTGGTATGTTACGTGGTTATGGAAATGAGGGAAGTTCCGGAGACATGTCGGCGTCACCAGACGCGGGACTCGCATCTGACAGGCCGACGCCAAACTCCAGCACATCTGCATCTGACCGGCACAACGGCAGCAGCAATGGCTTCACGGCCAACAGCAATCGATCTGGCAGGAACTCATTCGAAGCCAGCCCGGCGTCATCCACGAACAACCTCAACAACGGCAACAACAATTCACGGGCGCAGCAAGACCAGCTACCGACCGGGAACATCGATGCGTTTTTCCAAAACTTGCCCGGCAGCGATTTCACTACTGGCCTGACGCCCGGCCAGCAGTTCACGATGCCAGACACTCCGGGCAAGACCCCAGGCGGCGGCGCTGCGGGCTCAAATGCGGGAGACTTCAATTGGGAACAGTTTACTTCCGGCACGACCGGCATGACGCCTGTCTCCGAAGGCGTTCTAAGGACGATGCTACAGATGGGGCCCATGGAGACAATGGATATGGGATGGGATGCACAGCCCTGATCGGGCTGGATGCTGGATATTTGGTGTTTAATAGGTGTTGGGGAAATCTGAGTAAGCTCATCATGGCGTGGGAACCGCGCGGTCATTTTGGACCCGGTGACAGTGGTATTTGGGATGAGCACATGGAAGTCAGTCGACTTGGCGTTTATGTTCAATTTTTGTTTCATCTTGACTGCAGCGTTGCTCAAGTCTCTCCGGCGGGTGGGTAGCATGGAAGATATGGCGGTCGAACGGTATGGGTCATCCTATTTGTTTTTTTTTTTTTTGTTTTTTTTTGGAAACCGAATCTGCACGATATCCGGCTTGGCGAAAAATTGGGTGAAGGATGGAAAGCTATTTCTTCATCTATATTTTATGTACATTACTCCGGGACATAATCCCTCATTTTGGGAGAGTTAGGGCCGCGGACATCCCACTCCACGACAGCGAATCTTTTGCTATAAAGGCAAATTCGGACACGCAATGATTCTAGTCACATTGCTTCCACATTATAAGTTGCATCGTGTGTCTGTATTCATACATACTGATAACACATTAAACAATACATTGAAAGGCCGGATACACACATACCGCACGTATTGGGCAACCTTGCCGCTCTTGAAGGTTGAGCAGACCAAAATAAGCACCAGAAACTCCGGGTATCATGTTTGTAATCAAAATCGCTCTGTGCCGTTTCCTCCACATTGTCCACCCTTTTACCCCTGTACCAATTGCCCCTCACTGCGAGTAAAGCGACTGTGAATAAGTTGACGTGAGTGCAACATCCTCCAGGTCGTCCTCCCTGCTGTAGCTGTACCCGCGGTTAGGCTCCCTCTTGCTGGGCATCCTCGGCGGCAGAACGACCGACTCGACCTCCAGCCTGTCGTCCTCCTCTTCCTGGTCCCGCTTCTCCTGCTCAAGCCTAGCCATCTCCAGCGCGCGCGATATCCGCTTGCTGGACTTCCTCGGCGGCTCCGGGATGATCGAGACGCGGTCGGCTTCCTCCTCGGCCTCGAGCGGCGACAGCGCCCGCGACTCGGCCGTGATATCCTGCGAGTACCGCCTCGCGGGGGGCAGATGCGGGTCGTAGGGGCTGCTGGCCATCATGTCCGCGGTGTGGCTAGTGATGGGCTCGTGGCCGTGTTCACCAGCCGAGCCGCGCCGCGAGGGCGAGCCCTCTGATGAGACGTCCGATGGGGCCATCATGTTCGACGAGAAGATGACCTGACTGATCTCGCCGAGGTCCTGTCGCGAGTCCCGCGCGTTGCCGTGTTCGAGGTCCGTCATGCCGGTCGCGAAGGTCCCGACCGTCAGCCGCTTGCCCAGCTTGGACGTCCTGGTCCCATCTTGCTCGGTGACATCTCCGTGTACCCTGCCCCTCATTCCGTCATCAAGCCATATCGCAGGGTGGAAGGCCGCGAGCGTCACGATAGCCTCGGTCAGCATGACGCCTTCGGCAACGAGCCACAATAGCTGGTCCCTCGCGGTCGGGCTCCCGATTCCACCCCATGCTGCCGCCGACCGGTACGCACACCTGACAAGCACACAAACTCCAGCGAGCGGCAAGACAACGAGGAAGGTCTTGAAGCGAGGGGTGAGAGGGACATATCCAGCACCGTCCTTGTGGAAAGTTGTGTATCCGTACTGTCGGTCTGCCTTCCCAGCCCTGACATAAGCGATGGCAAGAAGGACCAGCGCCACAGCTAACATCAGAGTCTGCATCAAAAGGCCGGCGTAAATGATGGCCTGTCCCGTACCGGCCTCCTTGGGCAAAGTAATTCCCCATGGACCGGCCTGCTTGGCGCGTGAGAAGGTCAGGCCAAGGCCGATGGCTTGGAGCAGACCGGCGAGTATGTCTGACCAGATAAAGACTCGCATGTGCGCGTTGGGCGACAGGACCGCATGTTCGGTTCCGAGGACGCGGAGGACCTGGGCGGCGCAAAGATGAATTCTGTCCGATGGGGTCAGCCCAAAATACTACTAGATCAGATTGGTATTGTGGAGAAGAATTTACCCAATGGTGAGGAAGACGGGTGCGATGACGGATAGACCGAAGTTGGTGGTGTAAGTGACGATGTACCAATCTTGTAACCGCAATGCGTAGGCTGTTACTTCGAATATACACGTGATGCTGAGGACCAGACTAAACGGAACGAAGCGTCGCGTTTTCCACGATACAGCAAGGCAGCATGTGAGACTGGCTGCAACAATAGCAAGGAAGAAAATACTAGCGACCTGGTTGCCGTTGTTGCTGTAGGGCGAGTCGTTGACGTCCAGCCAGAGCGGGCGGTTTGGAGCAGCCATGACGAGCTGCTGCACGTCCAAGGACAGGACAGGACAGGACAGGACAGGGACACGATGCGATGAGAAGAGATAGACCAAGTCCGTACTTGGGGCGAAGAGGAAGCAGGTCGGGCAAACTCACTCGAGCTCGGCGGCCATTATACGGGAGGCTGGGCTGGGACCACAGCAGATATAACAAAGCACAATACAGCAATCGGCGCAGCACACATTCTGATCGGCGAGCAGAACCTTGCCCAGCTCCATATTTAGACGTCACCGTGTTTGTATGATACTCCGGGGCGGAGGAGGAAGGACAAGACAGTGCAGCGCAGCAGGAAAGGCGAAACTCGTGAAAATGGATCCGCAGCGAGGCTTGTTTCTCCCAGCCCGAAGCTGCTGGCCAGGGCAGCCGGGATGTTGGCTGTCGGACGGGGATGACTAGCTGGCTGCTGAGGCCTGCAGCGCCACCCGGCAGCCGGCTCCCCTACGAATCAACGGGGCCTGACAAGGCCGATCGTCACCCCACAGCCGCAGCGTTTGCGTGGCACCTGAGAGGGAGGACCTGCGCTCGTTGGCAGGTTGGCCACTGTTGGAGGATGGCGGCCCAGTAGTGTAGAACAATTGATTATACAAAAGTACTGTACTCGGTACTCCGTAGTAGGCCCAGCTCGCTGCCTTGCTTCTGTGTTGAGGGCAGGGCTGCCGAGTGAGCACTTGTTGGTCTTTTCTTTCCCTTTTCCATTGACCGGGGAGGGGCTTGGTGCTCTGGGGCTCATCTGGTCGTGCTGTTGTGCTCAGCCCGTGAAGGACGGGCCGTAGCAGGGATGTTGGCGCCGTCACGACCTGGGCTTGCTGGGCAGTACGGGCACGCGAGCAACTCTGATTACCATCCTGTGTCGTGGTTCGACAAGGGAAATCCCAAACTCTGCGGGCAGTAGCCGGACCCTGATCATATAAGCTTGCACGCTATGAGGTGCAATTGACAAATTGACCATGACTGTCACCAAAAGAGGATTGTCATAATGGGTTGACAATGAGCCAGCAAACCCACGCCTCCCGTCCTTATGGTGAACATACCGAGGGCGCTTCTCATGATACACACAGTGTTCAACTGGATCTTCCAGCCACCTGCCTGGTGCTGCTTGAATTGGCCGGTCGGCAATACCTAGGCAGTCAGTTCGGAGGGGCATAGAAGCCCAGAATTTTGAAAGGGCAAAACGCGTGCTTTAGTAGTAGACCCAAAATCTGAATGCGCACGGGCCAACTCGCGTTCTAGTACTGTAGGGTCCACGGCGGGAGTGAAGCGGAGTTTGAGGAGGAGGGTTTTGCCTCCACTCCCTCGCGTGCTAAATTTTGGAATTCCAACCCTCCCTGCCCACCACTACGATCCAATGGACAACTTCGTTGCCATTCAGACCAGGCAGCTTTAACAGGAACAATACCCAGGCAGCTTTATTGTCTTTGCTGGAGGACCTTAACATGTCCCATCTGCTCTGCACAAAAACCCTAAACCCCGCCTCGCTCGACGCCTAAAATCCGAACCCTTGATCCATCAGGCATCCTCGACGGCCCCGACGTCAGCATTGACCAACTGCGAATCTGGTTCTTCCCCCATGGCCACCCATACACCCGTCAGAGCAGAGCGGCGGTCATCGCCATCCGCCAAGAGCTCTGCCCTGAAGAGCATCCTGCGCACGAGTCTGACGACCTTGGGCCGTCGCGTGAGAGACGGCGAACAAGACCAAGACGCCGACCCGCAGAGTCCAACCAAGCGTCGCAAGACCGTCGTTTTCGACATGAACTCCAACACCGTGCAGAGCATTGCCCCGGCAACACCGGCCGAGTCAAAGGAGAAGGTCGAAGAGATCAAGCAGTCAGTGGTCAAGGCTCTGAAGGAGAACAGCATGGGCGATCAAGAAGGCTATGACACCCTGAAGGGCATCTTCGAGAACGACCGACGCCGGAGGCAGACCCCCACTTCAAGCCAGGTCGACGACGAGGTCGACCCTGCCGATCTTATACACTACGTCAAGGCTCTCAAGGTGTGCGCACCTCAGCTCGGAAGATCCTGCTCAGGCCTCGTGCACGAGGTCCTCAGCATACCATGGCTGGGCCGGCCTGACGACTTCGTGGACGCCTATATCGACTTCCTGGCCAACCTCGTTACCGGCCAATCCATCTATCTCAGCAATGTTCTCAGCATGCTCGTGGAAAGATTCCGGTATTTCAGGGAGTTTGAGTGGAGGGCAGGCTTTTTCCCCGACGTCAGCTGCGATGTCATGAGGCGACGCCTCCATCGAGCACTTGCCCACGTTCTGCAGCTGTTCCCCGCCGCGAGGCGTGTGCTTCTGTCTCTGGTCAACAAGGAATTCCCTTTCTCCGACGAGTCCAAGAGCATTCATATGGCCTTCGTACAGAACCTGCTGCGTCTGCGGGAATATGCACCGGACATGGGCCCTGAGATCATGGAGCTGATCACCGATCGACTTGTCAAGGTGGGCAATGCCATCTCCCCTCCTTCTCGGCTGTTCGCTTACAGTGCCTTAGATTGATGTCCAAATCCAAGTCGACCTGGATGAGGTCGATGATGACATCGCTGCGGGTGTGATCCAGCAGCTCCAAGCCTCCAGAGCGGATGACCCCGACGAAGATGATATGAGTGACGTCGAGAGTGTTGCAAGTGACGAGAGTGATGATCGCCATGAGCTCAGCGGCAAGATCCTCAAGGCGGCGCAGCATATCCAGAAGATGGATTTCATCATGAACAGCCTTTTCGAGCTCTACGAGCCTATCTTCGCCGACCCCGACTCTGATGCTGCAAGGGATGTCTTCGAGAACATGCTTACAGAATTTGTGAACATAATCCTTCCCACATACTCGAGTCGGCACACGCAGTTCCTCATTTTCCACTTCAGCCAGCTTTCCGAGGACCTCACCGACCGGTTTGCTGGAGTCCTGCTCGACATTGCGTTCGGCAATCAGAACTCAATGGTCACGAGGCAGAATGCCGCCGCCTATCTGGCCAGTTTCGCAGCTCGCGGGAAGAAGGTTCCTGCCGAGTCCGTGCGGACGATATGCACAGTGCTCATCAAGCACATCGACTCATATCGTTATAGACACCAAGCGACTGCACGTCCAGACTTGAGGAGATTCACCCCCTACTACGCTCTCTTCCAGGGCCTCCTCTACATTTTCTGCTTTCGATGGCGCGATCTGGTGGTCGGCAAGCCCGACCTCGTCGATCCTGAGGATCCTGCTTCGTACATGGGCCAAGAACTGGAGTGGATGGAAGAGCTGCGCCCACTCCTCCGCGCGAACATCTGGTCCGCGTTCAACCCGTTGCGGGTTTGTCATCCTACCATTGTGCAAGAGTTCGCCAAGCTTGCCGGTCACCTGAACTTCATGTACGTCCACGACAAGATCAACGCGAACCGACGGATTTATCTCTCTTCGTATGTATCCTCAAGCGTGGAGGCCTTGCGAGAGACAGCGAGCCACAACCCATACGACGAAAGCTGGCTGCAGCTCACGCCATACTTTCCCTTCGACCCTTATCAGCTTCCCGAGAGCAGGCATTGGGTCGACGGCGACTACATACCTTACGATCCTTTCCCGGGTCTTGATGATGAAGAGGATGAGAGTGATGATGAAGAGCTTCCCGAGGGCATGGAGACGTTTGAGGAGGACACAGAGACCGACGAGGGGAGCGGAAGACAATAGGCGGTCAGAGGCGTTTTAGGACCTCGAGATACAGGGGCAAGACGCGCAGGCATAAAAGCATTTGGTCAGGCGTTTAAGGGGTACAGATACCAAGCATCGGATATGGAACAGCGTTCGTTCGGAGACGTTATGAGAATTTGGCTGTGTTGGCTGCGGCAGATGTGACCAGAGGAGCTACATTTGACCCATTTCTGAAAAGTCATGTGTAACACAAAATCTGCAAAATCACATTAATTTTAGAAGAAAACCACTGGGCATATATTGTGACATCTCGTCTTGTTTACAAGGGTATCTCCAGGCTGAAACTACACACCTGTGTGTTCTGATCTGTGACAGCCGTGCAGCATAATCCCTCCTCGCTGCATCATCATCATCACCACCACCACTATCCTGTCACTTCCTATCTGGCACATCCGCTGCAATTATGCGGAGCTGGCCTAGGTCGCTGTATGCAAGGTGATACCTAGTCGGGGCCCACGAGACGACGGGAGAAGGGCTGGCCGTCTTGAAGGTGTGGACGCGTTCGCCAGACTCGCAGTGATAACATTCGATGCCAGTGCCCTCATCGCTACCGCCAACCACGTAGTACCCGTCCCAGGTAAAGCCTGTGAGAGGAAGAGGTGTCAGCACAACATCTTGGACCGAAGATAGGGCAGGATCCGGGATGGCTCACTAAGGCTCTTGACCGGGCCAACCATATCGGTGAACGATCGCTGGCAGATCCAGTCCTGCGTGTCCCAGAGGCAGATCATGGAGTCCGTGCCGCCGGAGGCGAGGTAGCGCGCGTTGGGGCTCAGCTCGACCGACAGGCAGGACGAGGTGTGGCCCTTCATCATGTACTCGTCGGTGGCGCCGGGCCCGTCGACCTTGGAGCGGTCGTAGTTGTAGTGCATGAGGGGCTGGAGGTCAGGGTACGACAGGACGCGCACCTTGCCCTCGCCCGTCGACACGAACACCTTCTTGCCGCCCCAGCAGAATGAGATCTGGTTCGTCTGGACGGGCTGCTGGTGAGATGACAGAGGCGCCGACTGCGTCGGGGACAGGATGTGGAGCTTGTCGCTCTGCGGCAGTCACGGTGGGTAGTCAGTCACCGAAGGGGGTGCCCGCGCGCCAGGAATGGTCGTAGGGAGGTGTATCTCACCTTGGTACCAACTATAAGGGACTTGCCGTCAGGGTGCCAGGCCAATGTGAAGGCCTCGCCGAGCCCTTTGACCTCGTTGATGCAGGCTTTGGTGCGGACATCCCAGAACTTGACGACGCCGTCGTTGCTGACGGAGCAGAGCTCGGCGTCCTTGACGGGGTTGAAGGCGACCTTCTCGATCGGGGCTGCGTGGCCCTTGAGCTCGGTGGAGAAGCGAACATTTGGCTTCTCCGGGTTCCCTGGAGGACTGGTCAGCTACCGAATTTGTACAGCATCAATGGTGAGGCTCCATCGCACTCACAGACTCGTAGCGTCTTGTCCGCAGCACCGGTGGCGATTAAGCTACCTTGAGGATTCCACGCAATAGAACGGATGCTGAAAACCATGTATCAGTATGCCATAAGGTCAGGTAAGTTGCCATGATGGCCACTTTCTGGAGATGGCGGGCACGGTTGTCGATGCAGGGCTGCCAGGGGACATACTTGTGGGATGAGGCACCTCTTGAGGATGTTGTGTCGGAATATGCCTGAGCTCTCTGCTGGCTGAAGTGGGCTGCAAAGTTTTGCTTAAAAATACTACTTCTAGGCTTCAGAGGAGCCATCTCAGCTGCAAGCGGCGTTGGACAGACACCGAGACAAAGGGTGGTGATTTGGTGGCACGTGTCTGGGACTCGTCTTCAGCGAGAAGGCGCAGTTCCGAGGGTTCGGTTTTTAGATCTCGAGATGGCTGCACGTAACGCACCAAGGAGCAGCTTGGCCCTTGATATGCTCCCAGACCGTCAACGAGTTTCAGATTATGAAAGCTTTGCCGAGTCCTCCAGGTGCTCCCTTTGTGGTTGCAAGGCTGGGGAAATCAACCAGCTCCTTATTGAGGAAGACGGGAGAAACGGGGGGACGCGATCCAGTAACCGGGAGACCTCACATCTGCCTTGTGTCATGGGTGTTGGAAAGGAAGTACGGAGTACAAAGACGACTTGAGCTTCGCCAACGTACCACGAGGCCCAGGGACACCAAGACTGCAATTTGTACAGTACGAGCTGCCCAGTTATATCAGATTTCAATGCGGCTCTGTTGTATCTATCGTGTTTCTTCCTCCAATTCATGCTCTTTGGCCTGCTAGTGCCGGACTTGGAGGTAAGCTTCAGAGGCTCGGGACCCTTGGGGGTTTCCCATTGGGCCCCCGAGTCCGTGGCCCTCCCTGCAGGCGGGAGGCAGGGCTGTCAGCTCCACTGAGCTGATCCCAACCTGCCGCAGCCGTCGCAAACAACAGGAAGCCTCGCTGAGCTGAGGCCACCCACACTACTCCGTACCTACCTAGGTATCAACCACTCACCACATGTCAATGTCAACAATCTCTCTGCAACCTTGGAATCACCCAGGTAGAACTTACCAGCACACACACACACACAGAGGCCAATCATGATGAGCTAAGTGCTCGCAGTGGACTCCCACAATCCATTCAACCGATACAGCAGCCATTGAACTGGCACGAATGAAGACACAACCTGTCTCTTGGCTCCCAACAGCCAGCCATGTACTGGCCCGTTGGCACACCTCGAGTTTATGCCACCAGCAGCACCCAGACTGCCAACTTCAACCTCGTCGTCTCCCATGATGGCCTCTCTCCTCCCCCGGATGCTTATGAGGATGCCACAGACAAGGCTGACAAGGCTTCCCTCCTGACCTCGGACTCCGCCTCGGCCTCGAGCTATGACATTGTCCCACCCACTCCCGTCACCCCAATAACGCCCCAGACACCCGCCATCAACTCGGTAGAGCACGCTTCGCTCGACTCGGCCTCAGAAGCTTCCACAAGCAATGAGCCACCCCCTGTTCCTGCGTCAATACCGCTCAAGGAGCCTATCCTGGCCCTGCGCGTTGCGCGCCTCGGTCACTTGTTTGCCGTCATCACTGCGACTTCCATGACCATATGGCAGGCCAAGGTGCGATGCCAACTCCCTCCCAGCCCTCGGATGCCCACATTTAGAGCTCACATTGTGTTTAGCCAACTGTCATACTTGCTGTCATTGTTCGATCCGAAACCTCCCTCGAAACCTACGGCACCAACCTCGATCTCCTGCTCAGACCCGACTCGGCCATCTTCGTCGTGCGCACCAGCCAGGGCTTCCTCATTACCTATTCGCTAGCCACCGATCCCGAGTCGCGAGTATACAAGCCCTACTTCACCAGCCATACCAATGTTCAGCGACGGCGCCAAAGCCACTGGGGTGGCCCGGGACATACTGCTCCTGACCAGATACTCTGGGGCGCTGGGGAGGGCCAGGGCGTTCGCGATATCAGCGTGCGATTTCGCATGGTCATCAAGGTAGATGCCGGCATAGTGAGTGCCCTTGCGCTTGATGACGAAGTGGTAGTGGCCACGCGGAAGCCAGCCGCGGTACAGTGCATACGTTGGAGTCCAGACAGTTCGGGCAGCCAGACGAGCACCGAGCTCCTGAGCAAGATGGTGTGGCTCGGAAAGAAAGTGACCGTGATCGAGATGACGAATGACAGGTCGATGAACCTCTCGACTTGGATCACAAGTGACGGCAAGGCTTACGCCGTCCAGCGGACGCCAAAGGGCCAACCTAACCCAGAGACTGGTGAGATGGACCCGAAAAGGCTGTTCAAGGGCCATTGTTTTCATACCCCACAAGGCAAACAAGACCGTGGGACACACGCCGTCATAAATGCACGATTTTCCCTCATAGCACTCGGATGCGAAGACGGCGCCATCCGTGTTTATACGGTCAGAGACTACTCTGGCAACGTTCCTTCGTCTCACATCCACAGGCTGTCTGTGTCGGATTCCCACTCAGGCGCATTAACTACCTTGAGCTATTCTCCCGACGGGTACTGTCTGTTTGCAGGTTACGAGAAGGGATGGGCGACATGGAGTGTGTACGGGAAGCCTCTTAGCAGCAGCTTCGGGGTCGACCAAAATCTCGTGTCTAGGCACGATGAGCACTGGATCTCCGGTATCAAAGACGCCTCGTGGCTTGGAGGCGGCTCAGAGATGCTCATGGTCGGTATGAGACACGAGGCTCTCTGGCTGCTGGAGATGGCGAGAAGCGCCGTCACGGGGTGCTACAGCTCCTCGAACATTTTCCGGACTGTGCTACAGACCACCTCGAGCGTGATGATATACAGAGGGTACGATCTACCAGACATGAGTACCATCTCAGCAGAGCCTTTCCTCTGGCACACGGCAAGGATGCCCGCAAATTATCTGTTGAACCAGTGGCCAGTACGCTGCACGGTCATATCGTCAGATGGACGTTATCTGGCCGTTGCTGGCCGGCGTGGCCTTGCTCATTACAGCGTCAACAGCGGCCGGTGGAAAACATTCTCCAACCCAGACATGGAGAATGAATTTCAAGTCAGAGGTGGCATGTGCTGGTACCAGAACGTACTGGTGGCTGCCGTAGAAGTCCAAAAGTCCTACGAGCTACGACTCTTCTCGCGTGAGAAGGACTTGGACAACGCATCTATCGTCTACGTGCATTCTATGCCCGCACCGGTAGTCCTCCTCACCCCCTCGGGAGAAGATTCGCTTCTGGTATACACCTACGACAATCTCCTGTACCATTTCATATTCGCTCCTTTCGGCAACTCAGTTCGCCTCGTGCAAGTCGGCCAGATTGCCTTCCACGGCATTGTCAGATCTCCTGCTAGAGTACGAGGCCTGAGCTGGGTATTGCCAGAACATCACCTCGTCGAAGGTGATCCTTCTCAGGATGTTGCTGTCGCATCAGTATTATTTCTGGTGGACGGCAAGCTCGTGTTGCTGCAACCTTCACTGAATGACGAAGGTCAGCTCAAGTACGACATGCGCGTCATTGCGCAGAATGTCGAGTATTACGTCTCCATGAAGGACCAGCCTTTTCTGGCCCCGATTGGCCCACCTCGCACTAATATTCCAGCAGAAGCGGAGAATGAGGACTTGTTCAACTCTCTGTGGATGTTCGACGGTGGTGATCTGAAGGCCTGGTCGGATATGCAAAAGGTCCTGAACGCAATCTCAGGCGACAACCAGCGCGAACTCCCTCCACCTGTTGCTATAAGCATAGACTTCTACCCACTCTCGGTCCTACTCGAAAAAGCCATCATCCTTGGCGTTGAGCCAGATCTTGTCCAGAGGAGGGATATCAACTTCTCATTCTTCCGCTTCTCGATACGGGTAAGTACCGCATAGATATTCACCTTGCCCACGTCTCTGACATCAACCTAGACAAACCTCTTCCTGCCTGAGATCCTACGCTACCACCTCATCGCCGGAAAGCCATTGGCAGCTCTTTATCTGGCTCAACAATATCAGCATCTTGAGTATTTTGCGCACGCGCTCGAGGTCCTTCTTCACCACGTCCTCGACGAAGAAGTGGACATGTCGCCGTCCCCGCCTCCCGAGAGCGCAATCCTCCCTCGCGTCCTATCGCTGCTCTCGTCTTTCAAGGAGTATCTGGACATCGTGGTCCAATGCACCCGCAAGACCGAGGTACGCTCCTGGCGCACTCTGTTCGCCTACCTCCCCCCGCCGCAGGAGCTCTTCGAGGAGAGCCTCCAGCGGGGGAGCCTCAAGACCGCCGGCGGCTACCTCCTCATCCTCCACACGTTCGACGAGCTGTCGTCCGCGTCGGAGCAGAGCGTCAGGCTGCTGAGCAGGGCCATGAGGGAGGAGGACTGGGAGCTGTGCAAGGAGCTGGCGCGGTTCTTGGCCGCGCTGGACGAGACGGGCGATACACTCCGCGAGGCGCTGGAGATGGCCAACGTTCGGATCGCGACGGGGAACAGGGAGGGCGAGGAGGGCATTGGCGGGTCGCTCGTCGCGCGGCTTGAAGTCCCGCAGAGGAGGGCGCTGAACGGTTCGGGATCCGGCTCCGGCTCCGGGTCTGGCAAGTCGAGCAAGGCGGGGAGTCCGGTTGGTGGAACCGGTGGGAGCCCTGGCGGCGGTGGTGAACTGTCGGATGCGAGCGCGAGCGTTAGTGGGGAGAGCGATGCTGGGACGGCGAGATGAGGCTGACCACTGTATATCAGCCGAAACAAAAGGTTTAAATGGGCCAATTGCATGATATACCACGCATTCAATACTTTCGGGTGTCAATGAAAACAGTTGCTCCCTCCCTTGAGGTGAGTAATGCAATTGCAGCAAAGTGTAAGTGCAGGTTCCGGCCCCGGAAGGACGCTCTGTGATGCGGAACCGCGGGAGCCTACGTTGCCATGCTTCTTGAGAAGGATTTGTCAATTTCCAAATCTCTGGCTGCCAAGCGCAGTGCCTCTATATCATACATACATGCCCATCCATCTATCTCATCCCGATATCCTGTCCCCGAGCCTCCTGCTCCGCTGGGGTGGAGCCCAGCGAGAACCCCGCGCCCTTCCTCCGCCTCCTGAGCTCGCGCAGCTTCTCCCGGATGGTGACGACCTCGCCGTCCCTCCTGGCGCGTTCGCGGCCCTCGCCCAGGACCTCGAGGTTCTTGTTGGCGAGGCCGAGGGGCTTCCCTGTCTCGCTGTCCAGAACGCGCCGCTGGATGTCCGGGAGGTAGGCCCAGGAGCAGACGGCGCCCAGGGCCATGAAGAGGGAGAAGAGCAGGAAGATGAGCCCCTGCCGCGTGTTGGACTTGTAGCCCGCGTTGATACCGTAGACGACCAGCACGGCCACCATGCTGCCGATCTTGCCCGCCGCCGCGGAGATGCCGTGACAGGTGCACCTGTATGTGGTCGGGAAGATCTCGGCGGGTATAATAAATGTTAGGGTGTTTGCGCCTGTGGTGCCGTGTTAGTCGAGGGGCTCTCGTTGCTGGAACGGTGTCATTCAGGAGCTGTGGAAATCACGTACCGAAATTGAAAAAGAAGTGGCAGATCGCGACACCGAGGACTGTCGCTGGGGCCGACGATGTGTGAGCTACGCCATAGTACTGCAATATATCAATATCAGTCGTGTTCACGGCCATGTATCTACTCAGCGGTGGGATCTGTATGCTGTTCGGAGTGCCTGGTGCAATCTAGCCAAGTGAAGACTTCTTCACCATGCAAACCATGCCTCTTTCGTACAGTACAGAAACGTGTCTTGTCCTTGATAATTACTTACAACGCCTCCAGTAATTAGAAAAAGGGCCATTAGAAGTAAGAATGACGTAGTCAGAAAGCGCCTGCGGTGCAGGCGGTTCGCCGCGAAGGTGTAGCACGCAGTGCCGAGGATTGACGCGATAGACACGGTGACGAGGTACTGTTTGGCCTGTTCGATCAGTGTATCGTAGATTGTCGAGCACGGGTGAGCATAGTCTGTCTGCCATGCTGGTATGCCATTCTGGTTCCATAGGGGTATTGTGGAGTTCCCGCCGTCAAGGGTCGAGTTCCAGCAAGACAGGTCAGGGGTGATGGTGGGCTTGAAGCTTGTTGCCCAGAGGTCTGCGAGCGTGCTGCCTTTGTCTAGGGAAAAGCCGTAAAAGCTGACTGCACAGTCCAAGTTAGCATCTTCCGAGGAATTTTGGTCAGGTGTACTTGACGGCCATGCCCACACTGGAGAGATGCTGCCTGCGCATCCCATCGCACGTTTTGATTGACCCTTGAAGACAATCTTTCCAGGGACAGTACACGTCCGAGGGGCCACTCACCATCCAAGAAGAACCATGTTGCACTGGTTCCTAGTAAATAGTACCAATTTCCATCTGTGATGAAATAGTTGTATAAATCCTCTTTGGAAAATTGCACCGGCATGAACTGAAAGGGCTGTGCTTGGTGGCCACCAGGGGAATAAGGACTGTCAATAGTCACAGCAGCGGGGGGTGCGCCATATACTCTCTGTGTGTCACGAAAAGCAGTCCCGGGCTTTGCCTTGACCTCCAAGCTATAGAGGCCGCAGTCGTAGAGGAAGAACCTGAAGATGATGGCTAGGACGGCCGGGACGCAGCCAGATCCGATGACGATCCTCCAGATCCCGTCGATGACCTGCTTGCACTCTTTCTCGTACTTATCGTTGATTCCACACTGCATGCCTTGGATATCGTATTTTTTATTCTGTCCTATGACCACCCAAAGGCCGACGAGCTGAGCCAGTGCCTGGCCGACTGGCTGCATCATGAAGACGGAGGAGATCATGGTGGCCCGGGACGAGGTGCTGGACCATTCTGACGTGATGACAGCACTGAGGGGATATTCTGCGCCGATTCCAATACCCATAACAAAACGCCACTGTTTGAATTACCTGTCAGTAGCTGGTCACTCGAGATATATTCTGGCAGAGGCGGCTGACCCAGGTGAACAGGGCTAGGAACGACAGGGTGCCATAGCCATAGCTGCTCGTGGCCACTCCTATGGTTGAGACAATGACAAGGACAAGCTCGATGCCGTACAGCCTCGTTCGTCCGTAGCGATCAGCCAGGTAGCCGAAGAGCATCTGGCCACAGACTGAGCCAAAGAGGGTGACGAGGTTTATGACAAGGCCAGGCCACCTTTTGTCGGGAAAGTAGACGAAAGTGATTGAGGTCAGGATAACATTGCTCGCGAATAGGTTGTACCTATGATGCTGTCAGCGGCCAGGGCTCGTCGTGTATGATAGGGATGACAGTGTAGATACAGCAGCGGTGGGGACAGACTTACGAGTCGGTGAGAAAGCCGGAGGCAGCAACACCCCAGATCCTCAGGTTCCAAGAATTCAAATCCAGCTCGTAGCGTAGCTGCTGACGGTCCTGGGAGCGGGATTTGGTGAGTTGAAATGGTCATATGCCCACATTCAGGGCTGTATCGGCATAAAGAAGGAGGCTCACCTGTAGGTCCCTCTGGGGCAGTGCAGAGCTGTCGAAGCCCAGGAATCCACGGTTTTTCTTTTCCACATCGTCTGGGTACATGTTGCGTGGCATTTTCACACAAGTCTGGTCATGTCTGAGACCTCAACAACAGAGAGTATCTATCGTATATGTCTAAGCGGGCATGGTGCGAGATAGGAGGTGACAGAGGCTCTGAACAGAATATTCCACACTCGGTCTGTCACGGGCAGGTGCTGTAAGGTGGGGCCAACAGAGCAGGAAGATTAGAGTAATAGCAGGATCAGGATACTGATGGCAGGAGTAGAGGATCATGTATGAGAAGCTGCGAGGCTGCAAGGCCGTGGCCGGGTCACAGCAGGCCAGGAGTCCCGATTGGATGGATGATGGAGCTGGAGCTTAGCTGTAGCTGTAGCTGTATGTGCGCGGTGGTTTCGTCGAGGTATGGGTATGGGTATGGGTGTGGGTATCGGTGTGGGTGCGGGTGTGGGTGTGGGTGAGTGTGGGTACCACCATAGACATCGGACATGGACATTAGACATGCACATCAGACATGCACATTGAGATGGGCCTGGACCTGGACCTTGATCTGGGTCAAGAAGCCGTCAGACGGTTGATCAGGACGATCCATGGGACGGGCGGCGGCGGAGGAGGTGTGATTGTGGACGGGGCCGGGCTCGTCGAAACGTATAAATCCGAGCGAGAAGTTTAATTCAGCAAACATCAGCCAGTCGCCGCATGTTGGCCGGCTAAAGACCTGGGCCCCAAGACGACAGGGCAGCAGGGTGCATATCCCATTAAGCACTACGGTCCGATCAAACAATAGCCTGGCGGCGGTGGCAGTGGCAGGAGAACAGACAGTCTTCACCCCAGCTCACCTTGGCGGACACAGACATGGACGCTTGCACCTGCCTATCATGTCCACAGCCTTGCTCACGCAGTCGCCTCTTTCCTTGGGTGGGTGGCGTTTATTTATCATGCAGACAATATGCTGGACATGCCGTGTGCGCGCACATACCGTGGTACAAGAGCCAATTTGCTTTTTCTTTCTCTGCTCTGCCCAGCTGCCTGGCTGCCTGGGCTGCGGGAGCCCCAGCATGAGCACAGGGCCCACGTGGGCAGGTGGGCAGGTGGGCAGGTGCGACAGACGAGGAGACGTTGGCCGTCGAGGGCGCGCGGCTGGCAGACCAGACTAGTCCGTCCAGTCCTCACCTCACCCACGGTACGGAGTACATGGTACTTACTTCCAGGGTTTCCAGACGGGTCGTCGATCCCCAGCCTACGGCAGCCAATCTACCTGGCACCCCACCTGCCCACCTCGATCGAATCGGTCCCAGCCGAGCTGTCACAAACACAACCCACCGGGGCTCGCACCGGATCGCGGAGATGACTGCTGTTTCTCCATCACCACAACGAGAGTCGGTGATAATTATAGAGCCTCACTTCCCACCCGGGTGTAGCCCCGGTCTTGGGCTCTCGGCTGCGTCTGTTCCGCCCGTTGAGACGGTAAAAATAGAGGCGGGCAAACAAACAACGGATCAGACAAACATCAGACATTGGCGATATGTTTCTGAAGTTTTGCATCCGCACCACCACTCCCAGCCTTGGCAGCCTGATGTTTCGTGCGCGCTAATACAGATTACACAGCAGGTACCCCGTACCCAGCAGCCTGGTTCTGGGCTGTCACACAACCTGCCCTGAATCATGGCGCATTACTGGCCCATGTTAGATGGGCAGCACTGCAAGGTCTCCTCCTGGGGTTGTTTCATCAACATTCTATTAAAAGACCGCCCACCGTCTCGTGCCTGCGTCCTTCCGGCACCCGTCCTCGCCGCCGGACCAGTTGCCCATGCAACCTCAGGGGGCTCAACCCTCGGGGCACACGAACAGGGTGGCTGGAAGACGACAACCACCACGACGGGCTGGGACGGGGTGAAATGGGCCTGCAGCCCGCCCGGAACGGCTTAGCCCGTCCGCCATGCAACGGTGCAATCCCGTCGTCGGATTCTGGCATGTGCTCGTGTGCCGGGCTCTATTTGCTGCATCCCGCCATGCTCCTGGTCCACGGCCGTGTCGGGGGGCCCCTTGAGAACATCTCGACCCCCCGGGCCAACACCAATGGCGTCCCATAATGCCCCCGCTCCCCTTGAACTCTACTGTCCTTGCCAGCCTGCATGCCCTGCGCGGAGTACGCTCGGCAACATCACCACCACCCTGTCCCAGGCAGGCCCGACGGGCGACGCAACCGCCAGTCAGGAGCCAGAAGAGCCTCGGAGCAGGGGCTACACCACGACAGGGTGCAAGCAGCAAGCAACAAACAGCAATGCAAATCATTCTTTCTCCGATAAGATGCCCAGCTTGATGATCTCGACCTCGTCTGCCAGACTGCCAGACTGTGCCTGCACCGGCGATGGGGCCCGCCCTGAAACAAATCAAACAGCACAACCGTGAACCCTCGAGCTCGGCCCATGACGGAGATGCTTTTCTTGTCGCAACCTTAATCGCTGCCCTCGATCTGTCCAGCTGATCCGGGGTCCTTCAACGGTTGCCTCTCCAAGGTGAAGCCTTCCACCTCCCGGCCAATATCCCCTGCCGACCCTAACTCGTTGGCACGTAGTTGTCGTCACTCCTTCACCTCTGTCTGCCCGTGTTGTTTTGCCCCACGGAAGCCTCCCGGTCTGCCAGGTCCTGTCCGCTCTGCCGCATGCTGTCTGCCCACCCAGACACATCTCCCCTATATCTACCGCCTCGTGCAGTGAAGGACCACACACTCCGAACCTGGCCGCGCGGCTGCTAGCACTCCTGGGATCGATAGCATGCCCTCCGTCACCGACTGCAACTCACCTTAGTTTTGCCTTTGGCGAGGCTCAGAGGCAGCTGGGCTTCAGGACGCCCGGGGACTGATGCTCCCTCCCAGCCATGGCCTCCTCCAGTCGATCTTTTCGATCGTTGCAATCCGGGTCCTCATCGTCATCATACGTCTCCTCGTCCCTGGCCGGTCCCTCCCTCGGCCGGACACATTCACATCTCACGCACACGCCGACAAGCTCCTCCGCCTCGGGCGCAACCTACGAGCCGTCATTCCCGGCCACCTCACTACGTCCCTTGGACCTTGGGCCCCCGGGCTACCAGGCTACGATTACTCTCTTCGAGCGCACACCGCACGAGCGCACAGTGTACCTCGGGCCTTGGGAGGTAATAGAAGGGGAGACTCGCCGGGTTGTCTGGCAGAGCAGCTACCAAGGCGAGATCTTGGAACAATTCCGTGCGTTTCGGATAGAGGGTCTCTATCCAAGTGAGCATGAGCTAACCTTACAGCAGTCCCATTGGGCCTCCCAACACAGGCGCAACCTGTTACGCTACACGCCCAGCACCGCCCTTACTCTGACCCAGCGGAGATGGAGCTATTTGTCACGTTCCGAGAGCCATACAGGATAAGGTACACCACGGCCGACGGCACGGTGGTTCACGACGAGGTCGTCGAAGTCAAGTATGAATTCACTTCGATCGAGGGGTCGATGCGGTTCCAGGGAGACTTGCGAAGACAAGACTTTGTCGACTATTTCGACGTTGATGTCGTCTTCTCGGACACGCACGGGAGGACAGACACCCTGACAGGGGCTGTGCGAGGCCTGGCAACAATACAAAGAATCAAACTATGGAGAGACCGACTCTCCTTGCACCACTGCATAACATTCTACTCGAACAAGCCGTCCAATCGGCGCGAGCGGCGGTACCGAGAGTACCAGGTGACCGACTTCCATGAGGAGCTTCGCAACCGCGACGACAAGCATAGAGAATGCCGACTCGGCGCGATAGGAAGGCGCGGGAGCGCGCCCAACGCCGTCCGCGCGAGGAGCTTCTCCCTCTCGTCGCCGTCCTCATGGCGAAGCAAGCAGAGGTCGTCAGAACGAGATGCTTCGCAGATTTCCGCGACTACTGTGCCGCTGGATATCCGTTGGTTGGGGGTTCGCTTCTCACGGGAAAGTGGTCAGTATTTCACCCTTGAATTTTCCGCCTTGGTCCCTCCCTCAAGAGTTCTATTTACGCCAGACCAACATGACTACCGCTGACCAATAATCTAGACTACCGCCGCTTCGTTGACCAATGGACCTTTTGCCACATCGCAGACGCGGCATTGCGTGGGATGCCATTTGCGCCAAACCGTATTGAACTCCCTATGCCTGCCCTGCGGACGGGCCAAACAACGTATGAGCTTGAGGCTACAGAGTCCTCAAGAAGTCTCCCGAACATATCCACTATGCTGGGGCCGGGGAACAGTGATGCGGGATCCTAGCAACAACACTTGGAGGACAAACTCCAGACTACTATTTGTGGTGATGATGCAGCTGGCGTGGCTTCTAAGGGTGTGCTAAACATGCAGCTTTGGAGAGGGGAGGTTGACAAAAACTGCTACTGGGAAAGGAAATCTGGATGTCGCAGTTTGAGCAAGGAGTTTTATACCCAGGCTTGTCTTATAGGATATGTGGAGTGCGACGGATTCACGATCACTCCGTCCACTGGAAATAAAAAAAATAGACCTGTTGTGTCGAAATCATCGACAGAGACAGACCGCAAAAGCTTCCACGGTGACACTGTCCTGCATACAACTTGTTTCTCAATGCCAGTGTGGCCTACACGGATAGCTACAGAGTCCAAAACTTTGAAACACCGTACAGCAGTGGTCTCGCGCGTCAATCATGTTGAGGCTGCCACCCATAGACCAGAGCGAACACAATATAGATTTGGAAAACCTTCCGCACAAACGCACCATACGGATAATGCGGCAGAAAATAGGAAGCAGTGACCAACGTGATGAGATGACTTACTATAAATACACGAGCTAGGTGTTTCAGATGTGAGGTAGCAATACCACAAAGGGATGATGGCGTTGGGATGATGTTGTAGTGAAGAGTTACATTGGCCCTTCGTCTGTTTCCGGCAGCTCTGAGAAGGCCCTGCCGCAACAACCGAACCTCGTCACTGGGGAACTTCAGCCAAACTTCCATCGCGGTCTTATTGCTCTTCTCTCCCTTCCTCTGCGGCTCTTGATTTACACGTCCTAAAGATGTTGCAAGACCGTCTTGCAAGCAGACCCCAGAAGATGGGTTGAACAGCTCAAAGATGCGGCCTTACTTGGGGCATCAGACACACTTGATAATGACAATGATAGTCCTCAAGCCAGCAGCTCGTCCCAGAGCTGAGGGTGGCGGTCGGCCTCGCCAGGGCCGGGGAGCGAGAAGCTCTAGTCTGCGCTGGCCAGCCGCTCGTAAGCTCATCGCCGATCAATCTATCCGAACTCGTTGGGATGGCGAGGTTGCCTCTTCTTGGGCGGGGGAGCTGGACAAGGTATCGTGTTTACTCTGGGCCCGTTTACAGGGAAGCGGTAGCGATGCTAAGTTGTACTGAGCAAGTGTGCACGGGGTATTGATTCCTTTCCTTTCGAAAAGACCAGATGACACGGTAGCCAGGCCAGTGAGGCTCAGGAGGCGGTGTACTTGGGAACCATTGACGATCGCGCGAATGCCAGTAACCCAGAGAGTTAATGAAAACCTTGTCAATATCCTCCTTTAAGATGCTCAGAGGTCGATTTGCTAGACATACTGCTGGCTCTGGCAGACGACTTTTGCTAAGATAGAAGTTCCTTCAATTCCAACATTCTCCATGAAACAGGACATATTGTGTAACAGAGGCAAGAGAGCGCACAGGATGGAATGAATTCGACCTTGTTCCGAGCTGGCCTGATACATGAACAGAAAGGACTGTGGGTCTTTCCCAGGTTCAAGAATCTACGACTGAATCTCATCGAACTCGGAAGGGTGCGAGCCGTTCGGGAGCTGTTGAATCTACAACACATTCAGTTTCCCGCAGGAGGCCGCCGTTGAAAAGTCACAAGCGGCTCGAGCCGCATAGAAACATCGGTGTTCGTTTTGATAGACATGAAATCCCACCAAATCTTGGAATTGGGACGTCTCGGTTAATGCTTTGAGATACTCGCGTCGAACGTGGATATTTGTATTCTCCTGCTGACCGACCAGTGCTAGTGACGTAACGGGTGTCATCAAGCCGTGTTGAGGACATCGAGAGTGCAGGAACATCTATCTCAAACATAATAATTAAGCTTATATCGTCGTCGAGAATCCCGAGGGGCGTCCGAGCAGGGCCGTTGCGCCGACTTCGTTCGTGTTTGTGTGTGGCCCCATGACCCCGGAAGATGGGGTGTGTTGTTGGTGTTGTTGGTGTTGTTGTTGTTTGTAGCCAAGGCTCGGTCAACACATGTGGAAAGCCCTGGTCTGTATATAAAACACATCTCCTGCGCAGGAGCCGGCTAGTTTCTTCGGAGCCGGGGCTTAGATCGCGGGCGGGAGCTACCACAATCTGGGTAAAGCAGGCGTCTTGGCGACAGTTGGACGGGCAGAGCTTTTCTAACCTGGGGGTGTGGGGACCCCGTCTTGTAGGATGGCAGTCCGGGGCCGGCGTTGGATGCAAGCCGGGGTGTTATCGCGGCCTTGTATGAGGCTCGAAGCTACGTCTGTACGAGTTAGATTGAGAGGACTGTCATACCGCCGTCTCACTGTCCCGAAGCACGTGTTACATTTGACGTTCTATGGCACGAGACCAAATGAGATGAATCGAGGCCTAGCGCATTAGAGCAATTATAGTCTGAGCGGCATGAGCAATTCAAAGCTGAACTTGGCTGCTCATTGAATGTCAGATACCGAAGCTGGGTACCTATTCTTTAGTCACTCAACAGGTACAATGCACAATGAAATGCACAGTGAGATTGCTCAGGGACCTCGTTATTTGATCAAAATTGATTGTATTTCGTTGCTCGGCCAAGCTCAGTGAGTAAAGTGACAAAGGCTCGCGCTTTGTTTCCAAGCGTCGCGCAACTTATACAAGCAACGCTCGATCGCTTCCACCCCCCTCCCCCAATTTTCAACTGCCAAATTCTCCCTCTCGCTTGCCATCCCCTGCGCCCACTGATATGCGCGCAGCCGCATTATGCCGCGCTGTCGTGTGCGTGCGGCTTCTTGCAAAAACATTCAGAGTCCCCTCCCGTGGTATCATTGATTTCCGTATGTATAAATACCATCAACCGTCGACCATCTGGACCGCTGGTCTGTCCGTCGTATATGTACACAAAAGAGAGAGCCATGTTGGAGTCCCGTCCACGCTAGGTGGGAAAGACCTCCACCACAGAGCCCAGACCGCCTGTCGGGGCCATCCAGCTGCGACCACTTTTGTTTTTGGACCATTCGTCGCCTCATGGGCTCCAAGATCGTTCGCCCTCGTTGTAGTAGAAGGATAAAACAAATCAAAAAGCTAACGTAAAAATCAAGTTTCGAACGCCGGGTTGCTATGCGTATTCGTGCAGCCGTCTATGTCCGTATCCTTTGTTGCGCCGTGCCGATCGCAGAGAAAAAAGAAAAGAGTTCGTGTTGGGTATATATCCGTGTCCCCAATCTGGCCGTCCGAGGTGAGGGAGAAGAGATGAAATGGATCCCGAGAAATTCAAATGTACAGTTCAAAAAAAAAAAAATAGTCGCAGCCCATGTCTCTGCCGGCAGGTCCGGAACAGGCAGGCCGGATATGGGGTTCCTATTGCTGTCGAGGTCGCTGTTGCTGGTACTGCTGGTAGTATGAAGCCTCCTGCTCGGCGCGGCTCTCATCCGCGGCGACCATGGCGAGGGCGTCGAGGCCACTGCTGGGAGTTCTCGAGGCTACAGGCCTGACCCAGCGCTCAGCGGATAAGGTCGGGGACATCATGGTGGAGCCAATGCTCGGCGACAATAGAGGCGGTGTGTCGCGGGGAAGCGAGAATCGGCTGACGCTGCTCCTGCTGGAAGAAGACTGGCGTCGGATCGCGGCGAGGGACGGGCGGCGGGTCTGCCGGGTCGAGGCCCTCGGCTTGTCCTTCTTGTGGGTCTCGAGGTGCTGCTTCATGTTGTCGGATCGGGTGAACCTCCTGTTGCAGCCTGGCCAGGAGCATGGAACCGTCTTCTCTGCAGTGTGAATCTTGGCGTGCCGTGACGCATGGCCCGAAGTGGTGAAGGTCTTGTAGCAACTATAAGTCTCCCTGAACTTGCAAGGATAACGCTTAGGCGAGGTGCAGGTCTTGCCCTTGGAAGCCCTCTTGCCCGGAGAAGCGCTCTCGACCGACTCATCTTCCTCGTCAAGGTCCATGGCGTGGTCCTGCTCCAGCGACAACGGGGATGGCGCTTGGTGCTTGAAATCAGTGTGCTGCTGCTGCTCCGCAGCCCTCTGGATGGAGGGTTCAGCTGGGCCATCTAGCACGGACGCCGGGTAGTCCTCGCGCGCGTCGTAGCCGCGACGAAAGTGGTGATCCTCGAGACCGGAGGACGAGTGGTGGCGATGCATGGAGTCGTATGGGTATGCCGAACCCGGGCTCGTTGCTGTCCGCGGGCTGGGCAGACTGGCAAAGGACGAGATCGGAGGGAGGATCGGGCGGGCTTCTCCACGGTAAGCGGGGCGTGAAGCAGAGTGAGCTTTTGAGGCCGAGTGAAAGGACTCCGGGGCAGGCAAGCCCGTGCTGTTTTGCGCCCAGCTCCTGGGGGAGAGCTGCTCTTGATAAGTGCTGTTGGGGGTGATGGGGCTCGCGGGATCATTGCTGGTCTGAGAGTCGTACGAGTCGGACCGCATCAGGTCTGGTGTGCTGGGGTTTGAATGCACGGTTTCCCTGTGGGGTGCAGCCGGGGCGTATGAGCCGTGAGAGCGCATGCTGTGAGGCATCACCAAGGAGCCGAACGCCGGTGCTTGCGAGTGAGCTGCCGTCTTCTGGGAGGTGTGCGGCTCATAATCCAGCTCATTGGAGTCCTGTAGGATAGAGATCAGGCGCCCCGAGGCGTCGCGGTGAGTGGGCGACATGGCGAGTGAGTTTGTCGCGGGAGGCGGGTCTGACTGGGGGGCTCGGGTGGGCACGGGCAACAGCTACATGAGACGTCAATTTATGAGCTCCGACGGCAGGTCGGGGCCTTGTCGTGACGACAAGTCAACAACAACAACAATAACATACATTGATGGTCCGGAGAGGTGCTCGGGATAGGTGTGTGTGACTGACCGTGAGGATGGGTGTAGGGAGGGGAGAAGGGGCAGACGGGTGGAATGGACGGACGGCAGTGTTCCTTTTTGAAAGACGATGCGGGTGGACACAGGCTCCAGGCGGTACCCAGCCCAGCCCGGGATCCCTGATCGGTTTTAGAGTTCGCTGCGAAGGGTCTCGATCTAGTGCGAGTCCATGCGGAGGGGTCTCGTCGCAGAGCAGGGGGGGCCCGCTACAAAATCGAGAAGTCACGGCCGCGGTGGGAAAAACCAGGAAACCGGATGGGCTTTCTGCTCTGTCGGCATACCCCCCCGGAAGGCACGGACAGACATGGGTGACCCCTCTTGGCGCGGGCTCCTCGAGGGGGCGCGCAGGCCGTCCAGGGCTATCCCTGCCGCGTGCTGAGGTGGGCCCTGAGGACCGCCCACACGACGAGGTACTTTCAAGACCCCGTCCCGAAGTACCTAGACCCCATGCCCAGGTCCAGGGCCTGGTGACAGGAGACGTTGCGCCCACCAAGGACCCTCCGCCAGTTCTAAATCGCGATCTGAGAACCCAGACACCGGCACATTTTGGTGAAAAGGTAAAATTCATCAGGCCCGCCGGCGAGACTTCCCATCCACTCGCTCGTCACCGACAATCGTCGGGATTGCGCCCGAGTCCAGATGACACGACCTTTGCCCCAAACCAGAGTCTTTCAAGACCGACTGTCCATGTCAAGAGAAGTCTTGCGAGGGAGAGACTCTGTCATGATGATTCCATGCTGGTGGTGCTTCGGTGCCTTCGGCATGCAGCCTCATGCCGACCTACACAGCAACAACAGTACATGCGCTGTAAATCTGCCCCATCCTCCCAGACTTGCCTGAGATGAGTTGCCGAGCAAGGTTTTCCCCCAGTCCTTGCCTTGGGCTTGGGACAAAATATGCTTTCACGGAACATTCTGTCCGTCTCCCGTCCCTCGAGGGTCGTATGGCTCCGTGCCGAGCCCGGTGCGGACGGGCACGCGGCTGAGCACCCAAACATGCTGATCCTAACTTCTCTCCCGAGTCGCTGCTGACACATGACCTCTGCGCTGCCTCCCCTGAGGGGAAGGCTGGCTGGCCTCCAGCGCACCAGCGGTGCAGCAAGGCAGCGTCCGGAATGTTTGCTTTCGAGTATGCGCGAGCTGATCAACCGGCTCGCAACCGTCCTCATCCACATCAGCAGCAGCGTAGGATGCAGCCTGGGGTCGACCTCCACTTCTGCACTCAACAGCCTATGAGATTTGGTCCTTCAGGCGGACCCAAGACTCCTGGGGAAGATCCTCCCGCTGTCGCGACCGCTCACCTCGGCCATCTTGCGGGCTGCTCTGATGTTGGGAGTCGTGGGCCTCATTCATTAAGGGCCCAGGCCCCAGCACCACACCGGATATTCATGCATGAATCTGGGGGCTATGGGGCTCCTCCATGCTGTGAGAATTTACCACAGTGAGAACAATGACGTCGGGCAGCGCCCAGGGTTCTTGTCCCCCCCCGCCGGGCCTCTCCTGCAATCGGGTCCCTGACGCCCGCAGGGACGGAAATGGCCGCCAACGACTTTACCGGGGCCCCGGAGGCACTCGACAATCGACATGCTCTGGCCTGCCTAAGCCGGTGCTTATTTTTCGAATGGCGCGTGCCATAATACTATATATGGCTCCGCTCTTTTCCAGTGTCGATGGGCAAGAACGTAATGGGCAAAATTGATTGCTGGGCTGCTGGGATGGTATTCTTGGGCATTGGCACCTGGCCGTGCTGCCCGCCTTGGGAGGAGTGACAACATTTTCGTACTGCAGGGTTTGCAGGGTCGCTCTAGATGATCAGGGACCGGCCCCAAAGACGGTACGGCCAGGGTTGAGGACGGGCCATCTGGGTAGGGCTGCAATCCCAAATGACATACATCCACATTGGGATCAGAAGGCTCCCAATAAGGGGGTTCCCTCGACAGAGCACCACGCCGGAAAGACGCCTTGCGAAGTACCTGGCACAGGTCACACAATCGTGTGAGGACTTGGTAGCCGTTGTGGTGTTGGGTTGGTGTGGGATGTGGGACACCGGGACAGCTGGGGGCACGCACTGCGATGGGAAACCAGGTTTTGGGACGCCGGGAACCTGTCATATGGGCTCCAGCGCGAGGGAGTTTGAATCTGGCATCACGATCGCCGATTCATCATGACAGCCTCATCGTTGGGCGACAAGGGCAGAGTTTGCCGTGCTACCCGTCAGCCCGTTTCAGTGTTGGACGCCTCGCCCGTCGCGTGGCTCGGCCGGGTGTGCGAGTAAGTACCTCGAGGACCAGAGTCGACAAAAAAGTAGGAAAAAGCTGTCAGCCAATAATCGGGCTTTCTGAGATTTGAGCCGCGATCTTCCAGCCCGTGGACGTGGACAGCCAGAGGCGACAAGGGGGTCGGAAGGGAGTACTTGGGGACAAGTAGCGCTACTTGTTACTTGCATTAGGGCCCTTGTTTTGGGCTCCACCGCGGCCAAGCTCCCTCATCAGGTCGACTCACGGCAAGACGATGTCGACTGATGGATGGATGACCAGAGAGGAGGGTCATCCGGAATCATCGACAATGCATACCATGCTGCAGGATGGTCGTGCCATCCCGTAACAGACTCCCGTGGTGAAAGTTTAGCTCTGGCGGGAGGAGATTCGTGGGCGAATGACACGGTCCCGAGCAGGGAACTCCTGCATTCCGCAAAAGTGAAATGCGTCCATTTCCCCTCCCCGAGGCACCCCTCTTTGAGCATGCGCATTTGCAAGTTTCCCATCATCGCAGGTAGGGCTTTGTTCTGGGAACCGGAATTAAAACACAGGATCAGCAAGGCGTCGCAATGCGCACTCTTGAGATCAGCATCGCAGGGGCACACACACGAGCGTGCTGGATTTTCTTCGACACGAGTCTTTGTAAACACGGGCTTGGTTTTGGATCGCAACGATACCGCAGCGCAGCATGACATTGCCTGCTGCACTGCGATCTGTCAGGCGTGTAAAGGGGGGGATTGACGATCCGGATCGGTTTCCCACGATCTGGCTGGCCACGCCAAGTTCCGGTCCGCGCCAGCAAGTTGGGGTCATGATGGATTTGTCGTGATGGGAGCAGGACCACTAATGCCCAACCCACTTCCGCTTTGGCAGGCTCAGGCCAGAGAGGCTACGCGGCCGAGGGGTTTCGGTGAGACCTAGCCTCCCAGGGTCTGTTGGTTTAGCCTTCTCTCTGCGCTCTCATCCACCAGATCGTGACCTCTCCGCCTGTTACAGAAGAATGTCTTGCATGATGCTCTGCCTTGGAAATAGAATGAGCAGGCCACTGGCAGAGGGCAGGGTGATGGAGCAGGCTAGAGATTTATTGGCCTAGCGGTTTTGTTTTGGTGTAGGCGTCGGAGTGTTCCCAGCGCTTCGGGCCAACCTAAATGGACCCACACGACGTTGGGGCAGGTTACTGTTGTGCGCGTTTCGGCAGGGCGGTGTTCCTTGGAATAGTTCCGCGAGCTTCCAAGGAAAGTGGTGACATAGCCGGCTGATGGGGCCCTGAGGCGGTGGGCAGGCCCAGGCAGATGCAGAGAGAGATACCTCGAGTGTGCGCTGGATATTCAGGGTCCCAGGATTGCAAGTAAGATTCGGGGGACTGATCGAGAGTTCAGGTGAGGATCGGCTTTCCGCAGGCGCCGAGAACAGGGCCCACCCGGAACACGTGTGGGGCCCTTGTCTGGGGTGGAGCTCGGCCAGCTAGAGGTGTAACCCTCCAGGCCTGACCTTGCATTGCTCCTCTGCTTTGGCTTCAGGGACAGCTGACATGGAGCTCCATCCCGTAGTGTTTCTTCCCCCCCCCCTTCTGACAGGAGACCCTTTGCGCTGGGCGGCGGTCGGCGGTGTGGACGATTCCCTTATCGCGAATGCGAAAACATAGCCAGCCAGCTGGCTTACTGCCTAGTACACCGTACACCGTACACAGGACGTGGGAGCCGGCGGTTTCGTCTGTGCCTGCCCGGGCCCCGGGGACGCTGTCATGTCACACGGCCAGGCAAGCTCGCAGGCTCGGTGTGCATGGGTGCTGGAGTGCCTGAGTGCCGGGCAAAGACGCTTTTTTTGCGCTCGGATTAAGGACGTCACAGTGACGCACTGCAGGATCCGATGGGGCAACTGGGGCCAAGGGGTCCAGGGAAAGAAATTCACACAGCACCGCCAGACGGACGGACTGACGGACGGACTGGGTGACTGAGCATCCAACGAAGCGTCCCACAGTCGGGCTGTCACGGTCGACGAGAGGGCCTGGCCAGCCTGGGCAGCCAGGGCAGCCAGGGCAGCCAGGCTGGCAGCTGGCAGCTGGCAGGGCGCAGGGCAGGCACAGGGTGTCTGGGTGTCTGATCCCGGTGGGGCTGGGTGTGGACCCTGGAACTACGCACATGCTGGGGTCCTTCGCGAAATGTAGGGGTCCTTCCTGTCTGGGAGGGGTAGCCTGCGCGCGTGGCTACCGCGATCGAGATCTCTCCCTTCCCTGTGTGTCTTGTGTGTGAGACCGGGACACGTCGAGGAGCAATTGCTCCGCCTCGGCTGCTGGGCCATTCGAACCTGCTCGGTCAGGCACTTGATCTGTCTGTCCTTTATTCAGGCCATTGACCATGGCAAGGCCTCGGGCGCCATCCATTCCTGCCGTTGCAATTATATCTAACATCTCCCTAGGTACCTACGTACCTAGGTAACTACCTGGTCAGTCTACACATGTCTGCTGCACAAAAAAAAAGTGACGTAACGAAGCCAGATACATAGTTGCACCCACCCTGGGTACCCAAGCTGGCCGCGTTCCCGCTACGAAAGTTGGCGTACCGAAATTGTCAAGTACTCGGTAGCGTGAATGGGCTAGCTAGTCCACTGGCAGCAGCAGTTACAACTCCCTGCCGTGCTGCCGAAAGCGACGAGGGCATTCGAGCTGCCTGGCTGCACGGGGACCAAGTTCCCATTGGAGGTCATTAAGGTTTGGTGCCAAGCCTCGACTGGCGTCTCCCCGTCTCTCGAACGCGAGGTGCAGGAGGCCCAACCACGGCCACAGGGGAGGGAAGCCTTAGCCGACACGGAGTGATGAGACGACCAAAAGTAATATGCCGATACAGCACGAGGGGGCCTTACCGTACCGCACCACGGTGAGCCCACGAGTCCCGGCTCATCACGGGCGTGGGAAAAGCGCAAGGCGCAAGGCGCAAGGCGCAAGGCGCTCACATCACACACACAACACAGACACGACACAGAGGCGAGCATTCCGGCTATCTCGGACGTGATCACCCTGCAAGGAGGGGTTATCTCACCGGCGCTTCTCCAACAGGAGGACGTGGTCTAGCTGTATACTGTATACTGTGGCAGGTCTACTCCGTACCGTCTCTCAGCCACAACACAGAAGGGCTCGGTCACCTACCACCAGCTAGCCCATCAAGTCGAAACAGCTGCGGAGAAACGTGAGCACGACAACAGCTTCTGCTTGCGTTTCATCACCACGACTGCCTTGGCGGCCGCCATGCGAGTGGTCAACACGATTCCCGGGCCTTGGAAGTGAAATGATATCTATACACCAGTGACCCGGAGCAGGTTTCTCAACCTGACGCTTGCCCAATCAGCCAATGGGGCACCCGACCATTCTCCCAACGCCGTCGAGACTTGGGAGACTAGCTCTTAGCCCACGCGAAGCGCGAAGGTGCATGCGCGCGCAGTCCAGGTTGCAGCAGCACATGTTTTTGGCCAGACCCGTCGCACCCCACGCAGAACAGATATATTATGGACCATGCAGGGCCCAAGGACCCTGAGACAAACAGGTTTTCCGAGCTCTTACCTCAGTATTGGTGTACTGGCATGTATGTGGACTGCTCTGATACGCTGCGGGGCCTATGTCCCCTGTTCACCCAAGTGGTCAGACTCGGGCAAATCCACTGAAAATGCCATCATAGTCAAGTCAGTTTGCGTTGATCAGAGATGCGGCATCGCCACTTGGTCCGGCATGACAGTTTATGACAGTTTATGACAAAAAGAATGGGACAGAAAACACGCGACACATCATCCTGCCTGTTGCCTCGCATGCCACAGTATGGCAATTTGCGGGGAGGATCGAGGGGCGAGAACCCGGGTGCAATCAAATGGGAAAAGTAGACAGCTAGATAGTGAACCGACGATCAGCCCACTAGTCCTGCCATCCATCCAGTCTAGGCGAAGATGGGATTCTGAGCAAATCCCCATCCTCGAGCTCGCCTCCAAGCAAGATTTCCCATCACGCCGTGGCCGGTTGGCGTTGCAGCAGGCGGGGTTTGCACCACCCCCAGCGTCTCACTCCCTACCCATACATGTCTTGCGCGTCCTCGTCTCGCCACATTCCAGTCATCAACATCTCAGGACATCATCACAACAACATCCACAACCTGTTCTACCAGTGATCTGCCAATGGAGCACCTGCCGAGCCCGCTTAGCTGCTAACCGCCTTGCCTGCATCCCGACCCGGAAGAGACACAGAAGAGGCCAACAGGAACCAGTCTTTCATTTTTATCGCAGCCCCCATCATGCCAGCAAGTCATCGCGACAGAGAAGCCGAGCGCAAGCTCTAGCCATCATGCACCAAGGCTTGGGGACCAAGCTTTCCGGAGCGGGGTGACGGGAGGTTTGGAGGGGACGATTCCACAAGCTTGGTGTGTCAGGTTTTCTAACAATTGACCACTTTTTTTGGGGGGGTGCTTGGGCCCTTTGGCCCTTGGGGTCGTGATCAGCCTGCACTTGTGAGCACCGGGCTTGGTCCGTCAACATCTATCTACTTTCCCATCTCGGACGGACGGGAGGAAATCCCACCGACGGTCTACATCTCACGTTGAGTTGTCCGTCGTGGGCCACACACCGGGTCATCTCACGAGAGGTCGCCTCACAAGGCAGCACGCGCTTGGTCAAGTCCCACCACATCATTTTCGTTTGAGATCCGTGCGAGCTGTCTTGATTGAGGGGCTGGTGCATGGTTCCGCGATGCTTTTCCCCAACACACTAACCAGCTTACTGGTTGGGATTCGTATCAAGTAAACCCTATTTTGCTCTTCAGATGCCTACTGGAGCCAGCACGATTAGCTATCATCTGTCTTCCTATTCGCCCAGGCCTGTGGCGTCCTCTGCTCAGCTGCTAGGCGCGCTGCCTCCACCGGAATATTCGCTCCGCTTTGATACTGTCTCCTCTTCACTTCTTCGTCGCGCCCGTGTCAACCCGCTTGGGTGGTGGCAGGGCGGGCTTCTTGAAAACGCCATCACTGCTCGTCTTGCTGCTGTCACCGCCGACCTGTGTGAATGTGCCGCCCTTGAACCAGCGATCTTGCTCGGCGTCACGTTTCCTCTTCAGCTCTGCCTGAACCTTTGGATCCACCAGCTCCAGGCCCTGTACTGGCGTGAAGTTGAGAGATGACATGGTTCCACCACCGCCCACCGTAGTACCCACTCCAGATGTTCGCAGTCCGTTGCCCCGCAGGTCGAGGCCACCAGGTGTCTGGCCGAAGCCCTTGAGCGATGATGCCGCGCCGCCCGTGACCGAGCTCGCGAGGCCGCCCCAGCCCTTGTTCTTCGCGCTTAGTTTTGCGCGCGTGCGCGCGTCGATCTGTGTCCCGCGCACCCGGCCGGTGTCAGTCTGTCCGATCATGCCCATGCCCACAGTGGAGTCTCCTGCACCGTAGCCTGCTTCCTTCTCCTCCTTGCCAAAGGCTACACGATTCTGCGCCTTGCGTAGCTCAGTCATGGCGGTAGCTTCCTTGGCCTTGCGCGCGCGACGCCCTCCTCGTTTTCGGCTCGGCTTGTCATCCGGCACGGGCAGAGCGCGCTGTCCCTTGCTCAGGGGCTTCTCTTGCAACTTGTCAAGCCGCTCCAGGCAGCTCTGCTTGAAGTCCTCACCAGCTGAGCCATCCGGACTTGAGTGTGCACAGTCTACCCTGGCGGCGAGGACCACCTTTGCGGATACTATACGCATAGCCTGCCTCTTCATGTCGCTGGGTACACTGCGGATGATTGGAGAGTGGTAAAGGAAGCCCTGCTGGCGAATGCCCACGTTTGTCGCCATCCCGCTGGTTTGGTTTTTCTTGGACCCCCAGGCAGATATGTTGCAGGCTGGCGTCTTGGCCAACCCGGTCAGGCCTCCAGCCCCGTTCAGAAGCTGCGCGGCCGTCAGAGACTCGACGAGAGCGGTGAGATTTGGTGCGAAGATGTTCATGCGCGATTGCACGTATTCCGTCAGGGTCCTCTTGGCTTTGTCCAGGTCTACCACCATCTTACAAGCCCTCATCACCCGGCCGAGCTCGGCCTCTGACATCTCATGGCCGTTCGTTCTCGTTGCCTCCAGTGTCACAATCATGAGAGAGGGACCGTCAAGTACCTCCTTCAGCGTCGAGTTCAAGATGTTGTTCTTCGACGTTTCCAAGGTCTTGACGTTGTTTGAATCGAGAGGGCCATTTCCCAGAATGGCAACAACCTTGGCGTACTCGAGAGGATTCGTAATCAACGTCTCAAGCTCGGGAAACCGCACCGAGTAGTGATCGCGAATATATTTGTGTACAAGCACAATCTCGCTGTCGATTGAGGTGGATAGCTGGTTCGACTCGGTCAAGAGGTTGTATTCGGGATGGTCTTCGATGTTTCCGATGCTAGCATCTCGTGCCTCTGGTGGTTGCGCTTGGTAATATGCGATTTTCTGCAGGGTCGGGCGCAAATAGTCAGGGCTAATGTCCAGAGATAAAGATGTAAACACTTCACAATGTCTTGAACAAGTAGTAGAGGGCCAGGGGGGCTTCAAAAGCGGGCAACTAACCTCAAGCACTGGCTCCAGCGTCTTCATGAGCCCAGCGACATGCCGCACATCGTTAACGTCCTTGAGTTGCATCTTTTCGACCCTTGCTTTGGCTTCCTCGGGATCCTCTGGTACTTGTTTGCTGCTGTCGACACCGCCCATCTCCTCGTCGTCCTCGTCAGCTCCATCGTCCAAGTCCATGTCTGCCCCGTTTCCGGACGTCTCTTTGGCGGTCTCGCCATCATCGAGCCCGAGGAAGCTGTCCTCGTTCGGGGCGTCGCCAGCCTCCGAGCCCGAGTCCTCGAAGTCCTGGAGTAGCTCGTCCACGAGCGTAGACATCTTGTTCGTTTGTCTATCAGTTGGTGCGATCTTCTTTGGTTACGGTTTCAGCTCGGTGTGTATCACGACACGGTCTCGTGCCTGAGTAGGTGAGAAATATGGTAAGTTGAGATGGTGCTGTTGATTCCAGAAGCTCTTTGTCAAGGCGAAGAGGTAGGAAGGTTGGAAAAACCGGGTGGTCCGTGCGGGATCCACATCCTAGCGCAAATAGCCTGCAGCAACCATGCTAGGTCAGCCGCGTCTGGACGCTATGAAAATAAACGATTCAAGTACTTGAGGGCCAACTCACTCGTAGTCCATCATTTCACGATCTTAAGCCCGAACACCACAGGACTGACACTGACCTCATCGTTGTCGCCTCATCCCCCCTCGGGACGCCTCGGTCATTTTCAGTTATCGTATCTGGTCCTACCGGCTCGCCGACCATGGAGTCTTCACGCGGTCCCCCCCGTGTTAAGAACAAGGGAGCTGCGCCCATCCAGATCAGCGCGGAGCAGCTCCTGCGCGAGGCCGTCGACAGGCAGGAGGGCGGCCTCGACAAGCCCGAGCAGCGCTTCGCGGATCTCGAGGAGCTCAAGGAGTTCCAGGGCCGCAAGCGCCGCGAGTATGAGGACTACATCCGCCGCAACAGCCAGTCGCTCAAGAACTGGACCCAGTACACCGACTTTGAGATCCAGTACAAGGAGTTTGCCCGCGCGCGATCCGTCTTCGAACGTGCCCTGGATGTGCTCCCGACCAACCCGGCGCTGTGGATGCGGTACATTGATTTCGAGATCAAGGAGCGCAACATCCAACATGCGCGGAACCTGCTTGATCGCGCGGTCACTTTGTTGCCCCGCGTGGACAAGATGTGGTACAAGTATGTCTTCGTCCAGGAAGGTCTGGGCGACATACCTGGATGCCGGCAGGTATTCGAGAGGTGGATGACATGGCAGCCCGATGAGCGGGCTTGGAGCGCCTACATCCACTTTGAGAGGCGATACCAGGAGTTTGACAACGCGCGGAACATCCTCCAGCGATTTGTTCTAGTTCATCCCGAGCCGCGAAATTTCCTGAAATGGGCCAAATTCGAAGAGGAGTTCGGGACAAGTGACATGGTTCGGGAGGTCTTCCAGACAGCAATCGAGTCACTAGGTGACGAGTTCGTGGATGAGCGATTATTCATTGCCTTTGCGAGGTACGAGGCAAAACTCAAGGAGTATGACCGGGCAAGGGCTATCTTCAAGTTCGCGCTGGACAACCTCCCGCGATCAAGATCTATGAAGCTGCACGCTGAGTACACTGTGTTCGAGAAGCAATTTGGCGACCGGGACGGCGTTGAGGATGTTATCCTTTCGAAGAGAAGACGGCTTTACGAGGAGCAGGTCAAGGAAAACGCCAAGAACTACGACACATGGATCGACTATGCAAATCTGGAACAGACGTCTGGCAATGTTGAGCGGGTGCGGGAAGTCTACGAAAAGGCAGTCGCCCAGGTTCCACCGGCACAGGAGAAGCGACTTTGGAGGCGGTACATCTATCTGTGGATTTTCTACGCCATATACGAAGAGATGGAGGCCAAAGATATCGAGCGCGCACGACAGGTCTACGACGCATGCTTGAACCTGATCCCGCACAAGAAGTTCACTTTTGCCAAGGTATGGCTGCTCAAAGCCCAGTTCGAGATCCGCCAGGGCAACCTCACGCTGGCGCGCAAGACGCTTGGTCGGGCAATCGGGATGTGCCCCAAGGACTCGCTATTCAAGGGGTACGTGGCGCTGGAGCAGAAGCTCTACGAGTTCACGCGGTGCCGGACGCTGTACGAGAAACACGTGTCATACAATCCGTCCAACTGCCAGACGTGGATCGACTGGGCGCAGCTCGAGCGGGCACTGGGCGACCTGGAACGGGCGCGGGCCATCTTCGAGCTGGGCATCGACCAGCCGGTCCTGGACATGCCGGAGATGGTGTGGAAGAAGTACATCGACTTTGAGGAGGAGGAAGGCGAGTTCGAGCGGGCGCGGGCTCTGTACGAGCGGCTGCTCGAGAAGGCGGACCACCCCAAGGTCTGGATCAGCTACGCGCAGTTCGAGCTCGGGGCCCCTGACGGGGGCGAGGCGGCAGCGGACGAGGAGGATCAGGGCGTATCCGAGGAGGCCAAGGGTCGCACGCGCGAGGTGTTCGAGCGGGCGCTCAAGGGCATGCGGGAGCGGAAGGCGGAGCGGGTGACGCTGCTCAACGCGTGGCTTGCGTTCGAGAGGGAGCAGGGCTCGGCGGAGGATGTGGCCAAGGTGGAGAAGCAGATGCCGCGCAAGGTCAGGAAGACGAGGAAGAATGAGGAGGGCGAGATGGAGGAGTACATCGACTACGTGTTCCCCGTGGACGAGCAGCAGCCGGCGGACATCTCCAACTTCTTGGCTATGGCACAGGCATGGAAACAGCAATAAGATCGCAGGGCCTTTTCTACCGCCGATCAAAAAGCATCGCATTTTACCCGTCACGCCCCGGCCCCCCGTGTCACCTGTGACTGCTGTTGTGCCCTCGGAGGAGGTAACCGAGCTTGAGACACAATGATAGGCGGGCTTCCTCGGGCCACAGAGACCTTTCCTGTCGTCCTGTCGGAATCTTCCGAGGCAAGTATTTCTCGACACTGCACGGGACCATCGCAGCAGCTTCGTCCATCAGTGGTCGTCCGACGGTGCTTGCGCACAAGCAGTACCCTGGGTGCCTAGGTACGTATACACAGTAGGGCCAACCGGTCTGCAGCCAGGCAGTCAGCCTCCCTATGCGTGCATTGTCTCTGAGCGCGGGGCCAAAGGGCCTCGTCTCATTCTTACCCCAGCCGGCCCGGACCCATGTCAGGTACACTCTGGCAGATTCGGGGGAGGCAGGCAGGCACAGGCCCGGTCTCGCCCTGGGCCGGCTGCACGGTGATGTCATGGGCGTGACCGCCAATGCCAAGCTGGGAACTCCCGCTCGTCTTTCCGCCTGCTTGGTTCCCGTGCGCAAAGAGGCGAAGAGGTGTCAGCCGGGGTGGGTTCGGCTCTGCCCGGGGGGCGGAAAATACTTGCCTTAACATGCCTTACATACTCGCACAGCACACACAAGAACACACACTCATAGTACACAACAGAGGAATAGAAATTGAGGAGCGGTGGTCAGGGATTTCCGGAAGAGAGGAGAGCAGACAGAAAGAAGGACAGCCCCCTTCCCCCCTCCCCTCGGCCCCGCCCAACACGCCACAGTCACAGATACGTTGTGGCTGGCTAGATCTAATTATTAATTACTAGCTCAATAAGACTTTCACTCAAGCCCGCCCCTCTGGAGGTGCAGAGACCCGCCCACACGCGCCTGCTGGGCACCGAACGAGGTGGTCATGCGCTTCGTGTCCCGCATCTCTGTCCTTGAGGCCCGAGTGCGCCCCCTCCCCCCCTCCCCCTCACACCGCTTCATAGTTATAACCAACCCCGGCCAGATACTCGCCGGCGCGTCGTCGCATTTGGACAAGACCGCACTAGCTGGGCTGTACCTGTCAGAGATCTCAACGTCCCCCAGGTCGGCCAGTCTCCACGTCACAGCGGTCGCAGAGCTCGGCAGTCACGCGTTCAGAGCCCCATTGGGAACAACTCTTGTGTGACGCACGTTGCCACCATGTACTTCTCTGCTGCCGAGTATCACCAAGGTCATGAAATCGTGCATTTGACTGCTATGAGGCTATCTTGGTGTCGTGATGTGCGGAGTAAGAGCAGAGGTATAAAAGAAAGAAATCAGGTCATAAAGGTGTCGTCGTCATCTCGTTCTGCGCGTGGGCTAGGCTAGCCCCTTGCATTGTCATGAGCTTTGTCGTTCCCAAATCCCAAGGACGCTGGTCTCCCACCCCAAAAAAGACCGCCCAACCAGCCCAGAACCATCTCCAAAAAAAATATGCGGCATCCGAACTAACAGACGTGTCTCCCGGCCATTCGCTTCTCACGAGGGCCCTTTTAGATGCCCGTTTTAAAACCCGCATCAGCCAACTCTGCCAGAACCCCCCTACCCCTCGTGGGACCCCGGTCATTTTTCCTCCGTGCACCGTCCCAGGGCCCGTTCGCATTGTCTTCCACTGCGAGGACTGAAAGAAAATCACCGATCGTCCGATCTGTGGGTACGTTGGCTGCAGGTGATCGTCGCGGTCAGCCACTCGCCTCGCGTGGTTCGCGCGTTATTGTCTCGTATGCTCTCGTTCTTTGGTTTATATGCGGCTCTTGTGGCCCACTTGCTGATAATCCCGGCTGGTCCGCTCGTGTGGCCGAACCCGAAGGAGCGGTTACACAAGCTGCATCCCAGAGAGAAACAGGCTGGGGCCTAGAACTCCCAAATCCCTCAGAGACATCCTTGACTCCATAAGACGCGGGAGGGATCGTCTCTCTTTTTTTTAGCGGCGATTGCGCCGATCTATCACGAAAAGGGGATATCATCAGTAACTTGCACGGGAACGTTTTGTGTGGAAGGAAAGCAAATGAATTAGTGCCGTGTAGAAAGGGACTGGAGTAAATGCCTGGGGAGTCTATCTGTTTTCCCCAAATGCACCCGTATAGTCTTTGGGGGTATTGGTGGCGTATATAGAGATCATAGCGCGTGTAAATGTGTATGAGCTGGCGTGGCGTAGGCATCATGAGACAAGGGAAGAAGCAGCAGCAGCAGAAGCTAGGGGTTGGGAGCCCAAGCCATGGCTACCATCGCATTGCAGCGGTAGGAGGTAGAGTCGTCGAGCCAATCGAGGAAGCCCAAGATGAAAGCACTCGACATATCTTAGACCCAATAGAGACATTGTTCCACAAGATCGTTTCAACGCCTTCCATTCGTCGCACATGTTCCAAATCTTTTGATCATAACAGTCGTCAGGGTATAGTGCTTGTTGTAAAATGTGCGAGATGTGCGGTGCCACGGTGGTACAGTCGTACAGACAGACAGACAGGCAGGCAGGCAGGCAGACAGGCGCATGACGTGATGTGCATAATGAGCCAAGCTGATCTGGTGAGGGTGTAGGTGGAGGAGCGCGCGGCAGCAGAATGGGCAGATTGTTAACGGAGGCATCCATACTTGTTGCATCACGCGCCTGAGTGCTCATCTTCTGCTGCTGCTGTAGCCAGAAGGGGGTGCCGGCAAGGCAGAGTAAGGATTCCCATCAGAATAACGGGGCCCGTCGTCGTACCTGCCGCCAACCCGCGGAGGAACTGACGAAGCATATCTGTCAGCCCCGGATCTTCTGCTGTACTGCGTGGCACCGTCGTTGAAGTCGCCATAGTCGTCGTCGTCGCTCGAGTACGCGAGCCGCTTCTGCTGGCGTGCGAGGCGCTGCATCCGGCGCTGATGCCGCTCTTCCTTCTCGTGTTTCCACTCCGTCACCTCGTGGCTCATCTCCCGGGCTTCCTTGAGCTCGGAAACGGCTCCCTTGATGCCCAGAGCGGCGATGCCAACTGACGCGGCATCTTGCAGCAGCGCCTTCGACTTGAGCTTACGGGCTTCCTCCGGGCTGAGACGACCCTCCTTGACCGCCTTGTGCCGAGCATTTCGCTTCTCCATGCTCTGGTACACGTTGTGCGCTGCATGAATGGTGGCCACGGCCGCCAGGCCAGTAGTGATGATTTGCTTACCTCGCATCTTCTTTGCCCTTTTCTCGTCCTCATCGGAATCTCCCAGATCCGAACTGGATACCGACCCCCGAGAGGATGCCCGGCTTCGGGACGGGGCTCCTCTTGACCGGCTACGAGCCCGGTAGGACCGGTCATCATCATAATCATCGCGGTATCGGCCGTCCCGAGAATCATAATCGTCGTCGTAGCGGCCCCCTCGGCGCGATCCACGTGGGGACCCATATTCGCTTTCATCCTCCCCCTTGCCTAGGCCGATTCTCGCCAGCCCTTTGCGGGCCTTGTCGACGACGCTTCGGCTACGGCTACGCGTGCGTCTCCTGGGGGACTCGTCTCGGCTGTCGTAAGAGTCGCGAGAGTCGTCCCGGCGACGGGATCGTGACCGTTCGTCACGAATGTTGTCAACGGCCTTCTTGGCGCCAATGGCACCCAGACCGGCAGTAGCCAGTGCAGCGAGGCCCATGCCGCCGCCGCCACCACCACCTCCCTTGCTGCTCTCAGACCTGGCACGAGAGCGCGAGCGGCTTCGCCCTGTGGCCTTGTCCTCGATAATTTCTTTCTTGGACCCGTTGATCATGCGGTTGCCGATAAGACCGCCGATGACGGATTCAGCCAGGCCAAGCTTGCTGCCGTCTTTCCCGGGCTTCTGAGCAGCATCGATGGTCGCGGCACCGGCAGCGGCGGTGAGAACTCGTTTGGCCTTCTCTCCCTTCCAAGCGCCAGGTTCCTTGGAGACCCGGAACGCCTCAGTGGCACCGGCAATGAGGGAGGCCATGGCGGCCTTCTGGATCTTGTTGCCAGGCCCGCCCTTGGACTGAGATCTCTCGCGGCTCCCGCGACGGCTCCTGGTGTCGGATCGTGAGTCCCTGTCCCTGTCCCGGTCGCCGTGCTTCTCGTCGTGACCGCCACCGCCGGTGAGAGCCTTAAGGGCTGTGCCGAGACCGGCGGCTCCGAGGGCGGCCTCGAGAAAGTTCTTGTGGCCCTTCTTGTGCTTTTCGTCCTCGTCATCGGAATAGTACTCGGTGACTCTGCCATCACGGCCCTTGTGGACGATGTGAGTGGACTTCTTCTCGGTCTTGTCGGCGCGCTTGTTGTAGAATTCAGCGCCCTGATAGGCAGCAAAGGCACCTGCAGCACCCAGGGCAGCTGAGGAGATCAAGTTGCGATGGACGTCAGTGCCATCCTCGTTGGCCTCGCGGCGGTCATAGACTTCCTTGCCGCCGAGGGCGACGGCAGCGCCAGCGACGGCAGCGATGATCTTCTCCTGCTGGCTAAGAATACGCTTGCGCTTCATCTCCTCCTCCTCGATGTAGACGCTTTCGGCCTTCTTGCGCGGGCGACGATCGTAGTCGCGATCATAGTAGTAGTCATCGCGGCTCCTGCGGGTGTAGGCGGAGCGCGCATCATCGTCATAGTCATAGGGTTCGGCCGAGCGAGCCCTCCGAATATCGCCGCGGGGGGCGTAGCCGGGTGGAGGGAAGTCCCTACGGATCTCCTCTACAGACAGGTCGCTGTCTTCCCGACCCCTCGGCACGAGGTCGCGAGTGGACTGAACCCTCAGATAGGGATCTTGTGGATCAGCATATCTCTCCTCGCGATAGTGCTCCCGGGTGCTTCGCTGGCGGCGGGGAGGATCGTAGTCGTAGCTCATGGCTAACGGATGCTCTCTGGGTGGCAGGGAGGACAAGGTGACGTCAGCGGCGAGCCGATGAGCTGATCAGGCTCTGGACAAAGGTGCGTGTGTGTATATGTGTGTGCGTATGTTTGTTTGTTTTGACGGCAGAGCGCAGAGAGGACAGGCTGCCGATGATCAGACCCCGGATTTAGTCTGTTTGCCTTGGGGAATGGAAGGATGTAGTGGGAGAAAAACAGAAGGCGAGGGAGGTGTCACGCCCGGGAAATGCACAGGGTTGGGTTGGCTGGATTCAGCTGATGAGCAGCAGGGGCGAGGAGGGGCGAGGGCAAGGTGAGGTGAGGGGGGAGGGGGAGGGGACTGGGGGACAGGAAGCAGAGAGGCTAGAAAATATGGCCGCCTGCACCTAAAATAGGATATTGATAACGTACGAGGGTAATTCAAGACAGAAACAGCAGCTGAACTTTGAGTTCTAGAATGGGACTCAACAAATTCCTCCCACCTTGCCTGGCAGCGTGGGTAATAATGACCCAACAGCGGCAAGTAAAATTGTATTATTCTATTGACGGCTCAAATCAAGTGGGAGGGAGGGAGGGGTCACGGCCAGTCCAGTCTGGACAGGACAGGGCAGTCAGGTCAGGCAGCATGGGACACTCGGACAGGCAGACAGGCAGACAGGCAGGGCAGCAAGCCGCCACAGCCCTCCAGCCCTCCTCCCTCCTCCCACTTTTCGCCCTGTGCCGCCCTACCATTCGCGGCCACCGTCATCGAAGGATGACCCCAGGAGGCCAAGCCTGACTTGTTCTTCCACCTTCCACTCCCTGTCGGCCTGTCGGCCTGTCCAATGCCCGTTTGTGGCACAGCACCAGCAGCACCACAGGCACAACATGGCCAACAACAACGAGGGTTTGTATGGCACACGGGCGGCCTATCTGCCCGTCCCCGCCCTCAGACCACCCCGAGCAGAGCATGGCCTCGTCGCACAGGGACGACAACGACGGGACAAGAGGAGCAGAGGCCTCCTCTCTTGCACAGTCCGCGCTTACGAGGCTCGTTGCCCTACCCGGCCCGGCCTGACACCTGAATCGAAACGTTGGGCGGGTAAGACAAGCAGCAGGCCCTCCAGTGGCGCAGGGCATCGGGCTGACCGCGGAACGGCAGAACGGCCGCTGCTGTCACGGTCTGGCTGTCTGGGTGTACTCGCTATCGCCCTTTGCGTGCCAGCCCAGCCACTGCCCAACCCAACCATGCCCCACGGGTGACGTAGTGTTGTGCCCCTCCTATGTACGGAGTAGCTCCCCTGGCTCCTCGGTTCACTGAACCATCCAGCCGCTCTCTCCCACCCCCAGACTCTGCTCACCACCGCTTCACTTTCCAAGCACCGGGGAACCTCGGATACCAATTCTTGAGTAGTGTCTTGTTTGCTATTTCTTTGCTTTTCACCTGCCAGCCAATCACATCCGGTAGAGCCAGAAAATCATGTGCCGCCAGCCACGCACTGAAGAGCGCCAAGGACCAATGCCAGCCAGGGCTCGATCCCACGAAGAAAATCAGGTCGCTTTTGCCCTCAACATTCAAGAACTAACTTATTTACATCATCAACGTCGCTCAAGATTGACCTTGAAAGGAGGAGCCGCCTCATTCTGCCCGCTTGTCCTCTTGCTCCCATGTGATATTTTGCCCTCCCCCTCCCCATGATCCCTATTCATACAGCCATACTTATCGGCCACGCAAGCAAAAAGCATAAGGGTAATAAATCTTTTTTTGTCTTTCCATACCGAACACCTGAAGAACAATGAAAGAGAAGCGCAAAGACGGCCAGAGCTTTTTTGACAAACCCCGTCGTCGTTTAAAAAACACAAAAGCCCAGGCCTGTCCATCCATCCCTTGGGCCAACCCCGTTTCCTTGCACTAAGAGGATTCGAAATGACCTTCCTCCAATTCCAGACCATATCAAATGGACTGTGTGATTTGCATCTTGCTGGCCTGTTTGGTTCACCACGTGTCGTCCTCCTGCCACTGGACATTCAAAGTGGCAGAGGTAGAAGACACAGCAGGAAGCTTTCCCCGGTGCAACTTTTGTCTCCTTGCATGCGACAACTCCTCTCTTGCCCGAAATGTGCTTGTCCATGAATTATCTTCTCGCGTAAAAAAAAAAGGTTGATGCGGGAATGGATGGTTTTCAAGACTCCACAGCCTCCACCGGGAGACCGGAATGCATGAATGGGATGCTAGCTGGTTGGCCAAGGTTTGTCGTGTGTCACACGCCTATGACCATCCTCCTTTTCTGTTTCGTTTTTGGGGGGGCCGGGGGGAGGGAAAAACTCATGCCCGACTGAAAATCGTGACTGTCCTCATTGTGGACCAAGAATGTTGTCATACATACTCTCTTGCAAATATCATCGTGCTAATGTTGCCAGTCCAGAAGCCGTGAGACCGAGTGATATTACGGCCACCATCGCTGTAGTTGTCCACGTTAGGAAGCCTTCAGAGTGCGCTTCTTCGTATCAGACATGCCTCCAGATTGTAGGGGGCTTCGCCAACGGGTATCATGATTCAAAACGCTGTCCTGTGCTGATCTTTTTTCTTTCTTTTTTCTTTTGGCTTCATCAACCCAAGCCTCCATGGACAGAGATGATAGATGGTGATCGGTAAATGCGTCAAGTCTCAAGGCTCCTGCGTGAAGGCTCCGTTGCCGAAGCAGGAAAGACCCGCAGAACCAGGATGTTCTCGTGCAGGCCTCGAACCAAATCCAGCGTCGTATGGCCCCGGCGGAATCAGATAGATTGCTTCCGTTCTTGCGCCTTCTCACAGGCATGATACAATGTCAAGTACCGCAGCCAACCAGACGTTGCCGAATGCACAATCCTGCAAGCCTGTCTTACACCTGAGGCTCTCCTGATCCGATCATTGTCTGGGAGCTTTCGAAGTCCGACGTAAGCACCCTGTATATGGGGTGATCACGGGACCAAATAGGCTTCTCGGCAAATAGCACGCTGGTGTAGAACTGGAGCAAATAGCCGAGGCCAATTTTGCTTGGTTTCGCTGACGTCGCGTCTTCGAGGGCGAGCTGGCGGAAGTCTTTGTACATGCCAGGGTTGAAGTTTGACACCAAGAAGGGCGCCCAGAACTTGTATAGCCGCCTCATATCGTTCGGGACGTCTCCTGAAGCTGCAGACTGACGCAGCTTCAAAGCCCTCGCTCGGACATCCACATACTTCTCAGTGATCTTATCACCGGAGGCCTGTGCCAGTTGACCATCAAAGCGGTAGTACGCAGGAGAGCTGGAGGCAGCTTCATCGGCGACTGGGCCCAGCTCAGGACTGTGCAAGTGTCAGCGGATGATGACACCGGGTTTGGCACGCACTCAGGTACTCACGTATTCAACGCGTCTGAGCTGGCATGAACGCCATTGGTTTCAATGCCATTAGAGTCCTCGGCACTGTCCTGAGTGCTTCCGTTGGGTAGCTTTCCAGCCTCCTGGGATTTCTTAGACTGTCCCGGCAGGACAACATGCAGCTTCGAAACCTCTTCGTCTGAGAATTTCTCGGCATCCTTCAGGGCGGTCTCTACCCAAGGGCCCTGTGCTTGCAGCGCGTGGCCATCGAAGCCATTGAACATGGCGTCGTTCCCGGGAGCGAATTCGGGCACAGCAGCATTCAGCTGGGAATCATCGGCGCGGTGACCGTTGACCGGCCCACCGTTGAGTCCCTGGTTGCTGTATCCTGGTCCGTTCATGTATCCAGGGTACATATCTCCAGGAAACGGTGCTCCAAACGCTGGTGACATTGCGGGGAAAAAAGGCTGGTGATAGCCGGGGGCGCTCATGTGCATGTTGTGCCTTGACTTGGTTTCGAAACTGGTTGGGCCAGTATTGCGGGCGTGCTCCTTCCTGTTGGCTTCTGGGAGGACATACTTCTCCCAGCCTTCCCGCCGCCGCAAGAGCTCTGTCGTGCCGTCACCCAGCACAAACTCGATTTCCTCCGAGTCTGAGCAGGCTTCTCGCACAGACTGCAGGTTCTGTTGAGATATCCTCTTGACTCGGCTGAACTCAGCAATGACGTTCAGAGGCACGAATCCCTGCGCATCCATGTTCTCTCTCAGGAACAGATCCTTAGGCAGGTTGAGATCAGAGAAGTAGTACTCGATCTGCTGTTTCAGTGCAGCGTGCTGCAACAGGTGGTGTTCCGATACTGGGAAGGCGGGGAAAGCGGAATGGGGAGCTTGGCCATAGGGAGAGAAAGGGCTGAAGTCAGTGTTGAGAGGCTGCATGGCCATCTTGCCTGCGCCGTTCGATGGGCCCTTAAAAGTACCGAACGACGTAGGACGACCACGACCACCTCTGCCTGATCCCGGGCCTCCGTAAGAAACTCCATTGGCGAAGGGGGGCTGATTGAACGCGTTTGACCTGGGACCATGTCCGTTGCCCTGGTATGACTGCGAGTATGACTGACTTCCATTATGCCCGCCGCGTCCGTTGCCGTGTGCGCCCCTCCTAGGTCTCGCATCCTTGTGTCCGGCGAAGCCCCCCTCCTTTCTACCAGGCTCAGCGCCCTCGCCTCGAGAGCCGCTCTGCTGTCCGCCGAGGCCCTGCGCGAATTCACCCTTAGATCCCTTCGTTGCTTCGCTCTTGGACGCGGAATGAGACTCGCCGGGGGCGCCGGCACGACGCTCAGCCGCAGCTGGTGCCTTGCGGATGTCCCGCGTGTCTGCGGGGAACCTCTTCTTCTCGAAAGGCAGCGGGTTCGTTCGCGGCGGAGCGTCCTCCCTGGACTTCCCTTGAGAATCACTGGTGGCAGCTGGTCCTTGCGCCTCCGACCCGCCTTGCAACTTGTCCCCAGAAACGCTGGGGTTTGAAGAGTGGCCGCCTCGGCCAACAGAGTTCCGCCCAGACTGCCCTCCACCCCGGGCCTTGCCCGCGGGGCGTGTCTGTAGCTGGGTTTCCCACTTGACGGTGGGGGTGATGTCCAACTTCGTGGAGTACTTCGGCCGGGTCGTCTTGGTCAGTGACCCCTCATCCTGCTTGTCTTTTGAGGGTGCGTCCGACTCAGAAAGCTTGCGCTTGTTGTCTTCAGCGGCCGCGGTCTCCGGTGTTGGCCAAAGAGACGCGTCCTGCACTGGGGGAACATTGCCGTTCGTGCCCTGCTCACTCGCCCTGCTGCCTCTCGGATTCCTTCGGGGGCCCTGCTCGCTGGCTTGGCGTGATCCGTCGACGGGCTTGCCAGGTCGGGTCGACTCGGAGGAGTCTTTGGCGTCGGCATTCTCGGCACCGCTGGTGCTCTTGTCTGAGCCCTGAGACACGGCCTTGGTCGCCGCGTCGGTGCCAGCTGGTGCAGGAGTCACGCTGGGCTGCCTTGCCTTCGCGGCAGCGGCCCGCTGTTGCCACACGTTGACGGTCGGGGGTGGAGCTTCGAAAAGCTTCACAGGGATGACCTCTTTCTCCTGCTCCTGTTGAGCTGGTTCGCCCTCGGCGTCCTTGTCTGAAGTCTTGCCCTTCTTACCCTTGCGGCCTTTCCTGTCCGAGGACTCGCTGGTACGATTTGATTGACGGGAGGTCTTCTCGCTTGTCGTGCTTTGCGCACCATTCTTGGACGCGTCGTCTGGGCGAGGCACGACGGTGGATTCGGACTTGGCGGAGGTGGCCGAGCCGTCGGAATCGCCAGTATTGGCGAGCTCTGAGTGGGCTTTCGAGGCAACAGACTCGAGATCAACCTCGGAGCTTTTGACCGACTCGGACACCTCAGAAGTGGTCGAGAATGTCTTTGCCGAGGCATCTGCAGCTGTGGTCACCGAGCTGTTGTCGTCCTTTGCTGGATCGACCGGAGCAGGGCTCGCTGCGGACTGAGGATCGGGCTGGGCGGCATTGCGGCCCTTGGCGGCTTGCGCGTAGGAAAAGGTGGCAGCGGCCGACATGGTGTCCGATGCGTAGTGCTTGCGTGGTGTGAATTGACTCACGGTAGGCACTTGGGGTGGTTGGCCTGCAACAGCAATTTCGCAGTTGCAGCCCAGCCTGTGGTGTGTAGTGGTAGGGTTAATGTATCCCACGCACGCAGGCGCGCCTCAAGCGAGGAACACAACACGGGGGGTTTGCGCGGATTCAAGGAGCTCAGAGTATAGCCTTGGCCGCGAAACAGGGGAGGAAGCAAGCGGGAGAGTGCTGTGGCTTCTGGGTTGTGCTGGCGAGTGGGCAGGTATCTCGAAATGCGTGGTGTGCCTGGGTCGCCCCAGGAGACTGCGGAACAACAGGCTGGGTCTGGTCGTGAGGTAAGCTCCAAGGAGGAACGAGGCAGCTGGAGGACGCAGGCTGGGAGTGAACAAGGTGTACCGAATACCACTCTAGGTTCTGTTTGATGTCGTGTGGCGCGGGGGTCGCGGAAGCCCTGGGGCAGGACAGAGAATTTCAAGGTGGGCGATCGATAACCGATGGGGTAGACGACACGGACAAGAAGCGTCTGAGAGAGCAGGCGCCGTTTGCTCGGGTGTTGAGACGAGCCGATAGTAAACGCACGAAACGAAATCTCAAGGTAGGTCAGGCAGGCAGGCAAAATTGGTGGGTGCTAGGCCAGGCTGAGTGAGACCTCGGACGGGCGGACGGGGCGGGCACGAGCAAGCTGGTGGTGCAGCTGCTACGACCGAAGGAGAAAAAAAAAATGCTGGCTGCAAGCAAATCCCGAGGAATGCTGTCCGCTGCTGCTGCTGCTGCTGCTGCTGCTGCTGCTGCTGCTGCTGCTGCTGCTTCTGATGTCGACGGCACCTCTCCCTCTGGACAAGAAAGAGGCTTCTTCTTGCAGGGGAATGAACAGGACCACAGTCTCGGAGTGGACGGGGTGATGTTGGGTAGGTAGGGAGGAGGTAGAGGTAGAGGTGAAGTGAGGTAGGTAATCTTTTGTAAAAAGTGAGGAGGAGCCTGGGGAATTTTTTGTGCAAAAAATCTGCAGGCAAAAAGCCAGTCCCCGCCCTGGACTAGACAGTCACCCAAAATCTAAAAGCAGGGCTTCCCACGAGAGTCATTCACTGCATATGGAATGAATGCAGAGGGCTCAATGAATAACGTGTGTGTGTCCATCTGCCTTGCCTGTCTACATTGTCGAATGCAAATGACTTGTATGTGTGTACATGTATGTGCTTGTATGTGTGTGCGTGAGTGCGTGCTCTCTCGTGCAAAAGGGCCATGAGTACGGAATACCCATGTATTCCCGAGGAAACCTGAAGAGCATCATCCTGCCCTGGTCTGGTCTCCCAGGTCGTCCCTTTCGCGTCTCTCGCTTCCTGCAGGCTTGCATCACAGCAGTGCAGGGCGGTTTGCTGGGAGAAACCATTTTATTTCCGCCTGGGCACACACTTCTCCCTCACGACCTGACTGCTTGACTGCCAGGCTGCCTGGCTGCCCGTCCCAATGACGCACCACCAGACCACCTACCTTACCTCCCTTGCAAGGCCATTAAAGTACGGAGTACTACTACCACCACAGGCAGGTGCTGTTTCCATCCCCTCTGCCCCTCCAACAGTCCGTCTTACGCTACTAGTACCTGGCTACCTGCCCCGGCACCCAGAAGGTATCTCTGTTCGACATTGGGTCCATATGCTGGTATCTTGATCCGTCTATCTCTTGGCCACAGTCCCCCTGGGCCCACCGGAACTTTGCATTGCACCGTTCCCTTCTGAAATTTTCCCTTGCAGAACTCCCAGCATTGCCGAAAACCCATACCCCCCCCGCCGCCTGCACCCGAAAATAGAGAGTGTTCCTGCACTGTCGCAGTCATCCGGGTTTCCGAGGAGGAAGAAGAGGCCGAGGCTTCTCGTCGCTTCTCATCTGCTCACCAGCCCGACCTCCGCCAGCCTGACCTCAGATATGTAATCTCCCACGGACCCACGAGAGACTTGTTGGTACTGCCTCACCAAGGCCGCCGTCGCTTGCTGCAAAAGATCTACTGTGTAATACTCCACACCAGGCAGCCAGGCAGCCAGGCAGGGAGGACAGACCCCTCGGACCCTCTACTCCGTCCAAACCCCCCGATCAAGGGTGTGCCGCCTGCAAAGGTTGCGTTGCAGTCAGGACCATGAGGCTAATAAACCTCTCAGGCTGGAAGGCCCGCCGCCGACAAGCTGCACCGTCTCGGGCACACCTGGCGTCACACGCTCCTGGCTGTCTCTCAAGGTTGTTTACGGAGCTCAATGTCCCAAGCAGGCTTAGCCATCGTACAGCACTTCACATACACATGCCGGTACCATCCACCCTCGCATCTGCTGGCAATGGCATATCCAAGGACTGGGCTACGTAGGGCAAACCGCGGCTTTTTGAGACACATGCAACGTCGGCAAGCCCTACCTATTCAGGCTGCGTTGTTGTTCAGAGACAGCTCCAATCGGCAGGTCCAGCTGTGTCGCCGCCACGGCATGAGGGCCGAGGGGCACAAGCTCATGGAACGGAACCCTTCCCTCATCTGCCCTCCCAATTGGCTCAGCTTGACCATCGGGCAAGCCTTGAAAGCGCCGGTCCGGGCCTTGTTTATACGTAGCTGGTCGCGGGATAGCGTCACAGGGGCCCCTGAAGATCTCGCGCTTCCAGTCACTGGTCACTCTTTGTTGTCGACTCGGTGCACCAATACGAAGTATCCTCCGCACAGACTGTCCAGTCCGATGCCAGCTGCCCAAGACTGGCGCAAAAAAGCCCCCCTCCAACAACCTTGTCGCCCTACCTCCCCAATGCCCCACGGAGTTCAACAAGCGACCTTGTGGTACCGTGTTGCCGAGACCTGTTGGCATATTATCGTGTAAGGTGAATGACCAGTTATCAGCTTCCTAGCCGGCAACTCCACCAGAGGCCCCCTCCATTTGTAAGGGAATACAAATGATACGACGTCCTGGGGAAGGGGGGGCGCAAGAGTTCATTGAGCCTCGTTCCCACTGCTGGTGGTGTGATGTTGACGGAGGACGCGGGACCACCCGGCAGCTGTCAAACGGGCAGGTGGCTTTGGCTGGCCGCAGCTTCCCCGTTTCCCCGTCCACCCCTCCCTTCCCCGGATTGACGCCTACGATGAGATGGGCACGCGCCTGGGCAGTCACCCAGCACATGTGGCATAAGGTGGATTATGGGTGACAGGACATATCTTCGATTTCTTCCGCCATACGTGGTCTGCGGTCGTTTCTGTCGAGGCTGCTGTGGCGCTCCAGAAGTCGCCATATGGCCAACATCCTGCTACAGGAGAGTCCACGGGTACTTCTTGGCATGCGGTCTGTTTGTGTGGACCTGCGACTTTCTCAGACGCCTAAGAGCACCAGTTGGCCAGGGCCACAAGATACAGATATCTGCTCGTTCATCCACTCATACACTGCCAAAATGCCTTGGACTGGACTACAGCCTGTTTACAAAAGTCATGCCAGTCGGTCTCTCTCGAGATACAGTCCTCTCACGCACGGAGAGGACCGGTCTCCCGGAATAGATCTCAACGAACCTAATCCTGGGGCTGATCGCCTCCAATCTATGCCCATCTCACTTGTTCGGATGACTGAACTCAAGCAACGACCCCGGACTTCCTCGGCGTCAGATGTAGCCCACCTCAAACACAGATCGATCGTCTGGTTTCAGGAGAGCTCTCTCGCGGCACCCTGCATTGTGAAACGGCCTTTCCATCCACTTAAGGACGGTTCATCGCGACCGAAGCGGACCGACAGTCCGTCTTCACCTCGATCACTGCCCAGGCCGTTTCAAAAAGGTGAGAACAGAGTGACGAACCCGTTTTGCTAATTGCCATACCCGTCAAATAATGACGCTGCGTGTTCACATTGGAGAACTGCCTTGCCAGAGCTGACATTGAAGTGATCTCGGGACGCATTGTCGGAAGTTTTACAGCCTCGGAATCGGTCATATATTATCCCTGTCCGACAAACACATACTTGGGGCGAGATATAAAGAAGGCATGACTCAGTAGCTATGTGGCCATTGTTTCATTGAGTGACTGCTGGCTTACTATTCATCACTCAATCCAGGATTCACGAGCAACTTGAACTCGCTCGCAGAATTTGTGGAAATCCTGAAGCCGCCTTGCTCCAGCACCGGCCACTGTTTATTGAAGAGTGACTGGTTTCGGTTCTATTCCATATACGTTCGAAGCCATACACGGCGCCTTCATGCAGTTGTAAACGCTTGACTGGTTTTGCTTCTCTTCCGCGTACGTCCGGGGACATAGTTACATGGCGCCTTCATACGGTGGTAAACACTTAAGACCCAGTATTAGGGGGGAGGAAAACAACACTTTCGACCTAGGATAAATAGCCACCACTGGAAATAATAAGAGATAAGAGATTCACACCCGTAAAAACAGTGTGTATCTAGGCCCTACAGTACAGCTAAGTGGGTTCACTTCTATTCTATATATGTCTGAGAACATACATAGTGCCACATAGTGGTAAATGCTTAAGACCTAGTATTTAAAATTATAGAATATTAATGTAGTGTTTAAAATATGATAGGTGCTTATGGCCTTAGCCTTGTGATGTATAAGTAAGGCTAAGGGGCAATGTCTTAATGGTGGTGTTGACTAGAATCGTGGATATAAGTAGCCCACGGGCTAGTTGCGATGAAAGGAGTTATCTGGCGAGACTAGGTCTTAAGATGATCGCTATGTAAGTAGATCCCACCAAGGGATTGACTATATGTACTTACCTAAGTAGGTGCTGAGCCTTATATGGCTGTACCCTCTATTTATGCGGGAGTAAATCGCTGGTCTTGGAAATAAAACCTGGGATGCTGGCATTATTAGGTACCTAGGCACGTAGGCCACTGGCAGCACTTATGTGCTGAGGTAGTGATGACACCGTTTCTGGAATTGCGCCAGCCACACACAGAACCGCATGCTTAAAATCCCTCTCAAGGGAGTTAGACACTCCTTAGGGAGCAGTGGCCTACCTTCAACGTTTAGTGGTCGGATTTATTTGCACCGGTACAGGACCTAATGAGATAGGTTCAAGGTTGCTACTCACAAAACTACATGCACTAAACTTACTTATAGAATATAAATATAAATACTTTTATCTTAATATAAATATAATATAATATATAAGCTTTTAATATAAATAGAAATAATATAATAAAATAGTAAATAAATTAAATTATAATAGAAATAGGAGAGTAGGAGGGGTAAGAAAAAATAAAATCTTACTTTATTTTATTTATTATTTTATTATTTATTTAGCTTTTTTCTTTCTTTTTTATTATTCTCTCTCCTTCTCTCTCCTCCTCTCTCTTTCTCCTTTCTTTTCTCTCTCTTTCTAACCCTCTTTATTTATATATAAACTTAATATATTATATATATTAAACTCTTTAAAATAATATAATAAATTTTAAAATACTTTTATTATAATAAAGTATAATAATTTTATTTATACTTACTACTATATTACTATATTAAATATAGTAAATAATAACTTTAAATAAATTATTTAAACTACTTTTTAAAGTAAATTAATGTGGAAAAGTTATTATAAACTATGAGTGTGTGTGTGTGAGTGACTGGGGGCCCCACTGGCTACCTACTGCTTAGTCATCCAGTGTGGCCCATTTACCCACACCCTCTAAGACCTAAACCTTCCCTCTACAATCCCTTTAAACCTTTCCCTTTATATAAAAGGTAGCGTCGTTTTAATTTAAATTAACGTATTAAGGATAGTTACTTTATCTCTATTTCCCCTCTCGTAACATAAACTATCTTATAAATAATATATTATAAACACTAAGTTTTACTTAAGAACGCTATATACTTATAGACTTTAAAAGATTAAATTAGTTTATATTATTTTAAATATTTTAAAGAGAATAGTAAAAAGGTTTTAATTATAAACTTAAGGACTATAATATTAAAGTATTTAAAGTTTTTAAGCTCTACCCTTAATATTAATAATTTCCTAGCTTTTTATATATATAAGTATAGTTTAAAACTATAAAAACTATTACCGCTAGTTAAAACCTAGCTTTTATAGAAATTTATAGAAATTAAAAAGGTTCCTACTATATAAATATAAATAATAAAAGCTAGAATAATATATTAAACCAAACAGACATGTTGATAGGCCCACAACACAGTCTCTAATAGAATCCATATTAGTGCTATTAGTAGACTTACTGCAACAATATGGCTATCTCCTCCATAGCTGGGCAAAAAGTCAATTGACATGATCCTGCAGCACCGATGCCATGCATCAGTCGGGCGATTGGTTTAGGGGTATAATGTTCGCTTTGCATGCGAAAGGTCGCCGGTTCGATTCCGGCATCGTCCAATTATTTCTACTTTATACTTTAAGTATATTATATTTTTATTTTACTACTTATTTATTATATTATAATATTATAAGTTAATAATTAATAAATTTTAAGTTTAAATAATTTAAAATTATACTTTTTTAATTAAAATATTTATAATATAATAATTTATAAATTTAATTTATTTATTAATATTTTTAATAATAAAATTTAAATTATAAATATTTATTATATTATTATTAATAATAATAATATTATATTTTTTAAAAATTTTATTTAATTTATTTTATATAAATTAATAAATATATTTATAATTTTAATTTATATATTATTATAAAGCTAGTATTTATATATTTAGTAAGTTAGTTTATATACCTAGTATTTTCTTTCTACTTACTTAATACCTATTTTTCTTAATAACTCCCTTATATTTATAAGTACTTTCTAAGTTAGCGTTAAAAAACCTTATAAGATAATTTTTACTTTTCACTTCACCTTTCTATAGTTTCAGTTTTACCTTCTAGTTGTATACCTTAAGTATATTTAGGTATTAACTAAGAATTTAAATATTAATTGAACGCTAGAAGGCTAGATGAATGCTTAGTTAGTATCTAAATGTACTTAAAGGTGTATAGGCTAGAAGGTGTGCTAGAAGGCAAAGGTGAAAGGCTGCTAGAAGGTGAAGGCGAAGGGGCGCTAAAAGGTGAAGATAAAGGGGTGCTAGAAGGGGTGCTAGAAGGGGTGCTAGAAGGGGTCTAGAAGGGGCTTATACTTTAAGTACCGAAAATTTAGAGAATTTTAGTTAGGTATATAGTTTTCTATAAGCCTTATATATAAAAAATAGGTATTAAATATATAGAAAGAAAATATTAGGTGTGTAGATTAACTTATTAGGTGTGTAAATACTAGTTTATTATTATATATATAAAATAAAGTTTTAATTATATTATATTTTTCTTTTATATTATATAATTATTTATTTTTTTTAATTTAAAATTTATATATAAAGTTTTTAATAACTTTATATATATTTTTATAATTTTTTTATAAAAGAACTTTATTCTTTTTTTTATATATATTTTTATATTTTAAAATTAATAATTATTAATAATAAAAATATAAACTTAAAGAAAAATAAATTTATTATATTTTTTATAAATTACTTTTAAAATATTTTTAAAAGTTTTAATATTTTATTATAAAAGTTTTAAAATAGTATATTATAAATTATTTCTTTATTTTAAGTTTTTAAAATTAATTATATATTTAAATAAAAGTTATAATATTTATTTAATAAAAGTTTTATTAATATATATATAGGTTAAGTTAATTTAATAGATTAATAATAGTAAGTAGGTTATAACTATTTATATAAGTAAGTATATTAAATAAATTACCTTATTAGATATAGCTTTACTATACTTTAAAAAGGTAATATATATAGAACTAAAATAAATATAACTATATTATAAATAACCTTCATTCCTTTTATATATATATATAGAAAGCTAATTAATATTAATTAATAATTATTTAATAATTATAAAATAATAAAGTTAAAAGGTAAATTATTATTATTATTATAAAAGAGTTTTAAAATATTTAAAACTCTTTTATAAATAATAATACTTATATTATAATTAATTATAATAAAGTTTTAAAATATTTAAAACTTTATTAAAGGAAATTAAATTATAATTATATAATTTTAAAATATTTAAAACTATATAGTTATAATTATATTTATTATATAGATTATATATAAACTTTTATTAAATAATTTAATTATAAATATATTAATTAAATTTTATAATAATTATAATAATTACTTTTATTTTATAACCTTAATACTCTTTTACTTTTATAACTTTTATATTAAATTACTAGTCCTTCCTCCTATAGCTAGTAGTATATTATAAATTATAATCCTTTTATTACTACTTTTAATAGTAATAAAACTTATATTTATATACTCTATTTATATTTATAACTTAATAAACTAAATAATTTATTATATAAATTATATAAAACTTATAAAATATATTAAAATTATATAAATATAGTATAATTAATTATTTATTTAAGTATAAGTATAAAATATAATATAAGTATAATTAAATAAAGTGTAATTAAATATATTATATTATTTATTAAAATTATATATAATAATACTTATTTACTTAAATATAAAAGTTATTTTAAACTTTATATTAAAATAAGTTTTTTTAGTTATTTATTTAAATAGAATTAATAATTAACCTACTTATTTAATTAATTTACTTATATCTTTTTAATATATTATAAATCTAATAATTAATATATTTATATAATAAAAGATAGAAGAATTAATTAAATATTATATTATTTATTATAATAAAAGTAATAATCCTTTAAAAGAAAAATATAACTTTAAAGGTAATATATTTATTTATATAAAAGAATATAACTTACTTTATTATAAATAACTTTATAATAATAAATAATATTTATATAAAGTTTAATATTATTAAAGAGATTTAATTAAAAATAGATTAAAATATTTAAAATATAATAGTATTAATTATTATAAATTTAATAATAATTATTAATTTATTTAAATAATTTAATATATATATTTTAAAATTTATAAATAATAACTACTTTAATAATAATAAATAATAAACTTTTATATAAATTTAAAGTAATTTTATTAAATAAATAAAATATATATTTAAAACTATATATATATTATATATATTAAAGAAATTTATATAGAGTGTAGTATTTATATTAAACTAAAATATAATAATAGTATTTATATTTAATTATATTAATTACTAACTATTTAAAACTTTCTTAATAGCTTTAATAAGAGTTTAAAAATATAGAGATTAAAGTTAAATTAAGAATATA